TGGGGAGGAGGTGGCCGCTTCGCGGCCACCGACTCACCACCACCTCAGGCGAGCGCAGCGAGCGATTCCTGGTCGCGCCGCAGGCGCTCCCTATAGGGAAGGGGGCTTGGAGCGTGGAAGATGGTATGCAGTGGTGCTGAAGGCTTTCGAGCATGGGCTGAAGAGCGCGGTGGTGCCCCTCAAAGTACGCTTCGTCTGAGTGGCTCCAGCGCCTCGACGTCTAGATACGGTACAGCTTGCCCACATCGGCATCCCACGAGCAACGCGCCACCCTCATTGGGCTTATCGGTCGTGGGCTCCAGTGCGATACTGTGGTGTTAGCTGGAAACTTCCTGCGGGAAGAGCGACTGCTAGACTGAAAAGGTCCTGTCATCCGGTCTTGTCAGCCGGTCTTGTCGTTGGCCCCAAGGCGTTGATGGACTAAGCTTGCAAATGCATTCTGTCTATCAGGAAAATTGTGCCGCTCTGACAGGGTTCTGCGTTGTTTGCCTGTGCCTGTCTGGCAGTTCCCGGCAGCCCTCGGTTTCAGGAGGATGAGCCGACATGACATTACTCCGACCCGCAGTCTGGAAGGGATTACAACATAAACATGCACATACAAATCAGGCAGGCATCCGCGCGTCAACACATACCAGTAATGTATATACCGGCCTCTTACACTCGTGGCCTCCTGAAGTCCCGGTCCATCGAACGAACGTTGGAGGCCGAAAGAGAGCTGAGCGTCCATGGTGCTGCCACTCCAAATGAAGGATTCACGAACGGTAGCGAATGCTTTGCGGCGTCGTCTCATGACCGGCATCCCATTCCTGCTCACCCGAGATGTGTGGTACAGCCTCCGTCCAAGGTACATCGCATCAGTACCCATACAGGTTGATGTTCTCGACATGCGTCATAGCCAAAATGCTCTTATTCGCCCTCTTGAGCAGATGTCGCATCAACCAAGCCAAAGCAACAGCACCAAACGCGAACCCAGCAGAAGCTCCGAATCCGATGCTATACAGTGGACTGTCGGTACTTGGCCACAGGTACGCTCCATAGATGGAACCCAGATTTCCTAGCGAGTTGATCAAAGCGAAGATGACTGCTCTCTTCTCACGACTCTGCGCCAGAGTAGACGACGCCCACCCAATGATGACCGAGTTAACAGAGTATGCTCCAACGGGAAACACGAAACAGGCCACATATCGAGCGGGGACATTAAGAGTTGCGGCGGCCCAAATGAAGCCGATCGTGGCGATGCCGAGGCCCGCAGTGATGTGATAGGTCCGTTCGTGGTGCCGCCCGGAGCTCCATCCGAAGAGGAAGCCGACGATTCCAGCGAAAATATAAGGCGGACAGGTCAACGCCAGCGTCACAGTCGTCGAGAACCCGAATGTCTTCACAACGGTCGGCAGAAACGAGTTGAAAGAGCAAGCCGACAGCTGGAGCATCTTCATGAGGGTGAAGATCCACGTCCGGACATCCTTGCATGCTTCGAACAGACCATGCCAGGTTGTCGATGCTTCGGCGTCGCTGTCTGCCAGCTTATCGCGCTCCATGCGGTCGTGAGCCAGACGTCGCTCAGATTCGGTAAGCCATCGTGTCGTCAGCGGCTCATCCGCCAGGGTGAAGAATCCGAAGAGGGCCACAAACGCGGTGACGGAACCTTCAATGATGAAGAGCCATCGCCAGCCCTGGATCCCGAGAGCACCATCGAGTCCGGCAAATATCCCCGCAGCGATCAAACCAGAGAATCCAGTGGCTAGGATCTGAGCTCCATACAGAATCGCTATCCTTGCTGCGACCTCCCGGCGGGTATAGAAGCTGGAAATTGTGAACGTGGCAGCAGGATAGAATGGTGCCTCGACAATGCCTAGGATAAATCGTGTGGCGACCAGTCCCCCATAGCTCTGCACCAGAGCAGTGCAACCTGACACAGCCGCCCAAGCCAGCATCCAGCAGCTTCGTTCTACGTTAGCTTGATTCGGGACGTGCGTGGGAAGTGAAGGACTAGGTTGGATAGAAAGACGGAACGGTAGTGTGAGACAAAGGCATCAGAAACATCTCCGAGACCTTCAGTTTCCACTCCGCTCCTGTTCCAAGTCTGGAAAGAGCACTTACGACATATACCACGAAGGCCTCCTGACCCTAGTGATCATCATGTTGCTGGGTACCTGCATGAGCATATATCCCACAAACAGAATGGAGACAGTGGTGTTGAAGTCCGTTCCATGCATCCCGAGATCTTTCTCGAGGTTGTTCAATCGTGCTTGTGCGATTGCATTTCTGTCAACGTAGTTGAGAAAGTACATCAGGCACAACATCGGCCGTAGTCTGCGTTAGTGGCAGTAGTAATAGCAGTGTCTGAGTGTACATACCATCATAAACCAGTCCAGCTTGCGCACAAGTCTGATCTCATCAGGATCGCTCTTGGTTTGCGCACCTACGTAGTCGGCCTTGGTGGTTGTGAGAGCGGCCGGGTGTTGTTGATCTTCGAGTATGGCGCCGCCAACGGACGCCATCCTCTTTTCACCGAGCGCTTGTCCAGTATGAGTTGCCATCTTCGCTGTCCTGAGCAGTTTGTTGTCGAGCCGTGCGAGCTGTGACTAGAGATCAGACTCCTCTGACACATTGCGACTACGGCCATTAGATATAGACATTCGCATCTGCAAGACGTGAAGCATTGTGTACTGATTGAGCCAAGACATCGCGGCCCGTTCACCGAATAGCACGTGGCCAGGATGCGCCAAGGTTTGGCGACACGAGTTCCAGAGACGCGGACCAGCTTTGAAAGAAAGCGAGACACGTAGCTGTCAACGAAGTCAATGCGGACGTCTTGAAGGCGACAAAAAGATCGAAAGGCTGTTGGCGAACAGGCAAATGAAGGGAGACTCGTAGGCTTAGCTTGGGAGAAGACGGTCATTCTTCCGACAGAAGACGCACATGCACCGTGCTGGTAGCAGCGCCCGAAGATGTCCTGGGCAATGAAAGGGACGAAGTGAGTCCGGTTATGTGCTGTGTAGTATACTAGCCTACCATTGAGCCACGTGGATCGGAGGCGGAAGCGGTGATTTGTCGTTGCGGATGACATAAGCAGAGCCAATCTGCCACGTGACTTCTATGCATAAACTCTCATGACTTCGATGATATCGCCATCTCTCATGCCGAGCTTCTCCGGAGTATCGCCTTGCAAGACCTTCCACCCGTCGAACAGAAATCTGACCTTGAACGGGTCCTTGCCTTGACGGTCGCAAAAAACCTTCATTAATTTGTCGAGTTTCGTGGTTCTCTTGATCTTGAAGAAGGCCTCATCGTTCCAATCAGTGACATTGAGGTTGATTCTTTCGCCTTCAGCAGGGGCTCCACCAGAGTCTTTGTGTTCTTGCGTCGAGAGACTTGTCGCAGACAGGGTGGCGGCTCCCTTCGGCGAGGTCATCATGTGCACGCTTCGCACAACAGCCTCTTGATGCACGTCGAGTGCCCAATAGGAGATCCAGTCGATGATCACAACAGTTGTAGGGCTTGATCCTCCTCTGAAACGTTGCCATGCCAGCAGTCGATGATATTCTGTGGTCCATTAGCAAGTACAGTCGCCGCTGCACGCAAGGCTCACTGTCTCGTCATCATGCGGCACTGTCATGTCCAAACGCCACTCGTCACCGCGGAACCCAATGAACCATACGAGAGGTTGGAGGAGTTCGTTGCTGGAATCCGCTCTGAGGTGACTCTGCAACCGCAAACAGGTGCGAATCGACAGAGCTGATTGTACGTGTATCGCGTCAAAACCCTGGCCATTTTCGGATTTGGCCTCGACTACTAGAAATGGACAGCATGTATGTTCGCTTTCGAAAGGGCTGTTTCTCTTGACCTGCAGCTTTCTGAGGCGTGACGCTAACCTGTTGTTTATTGTGCTCAGTCCGAAAACAAGATCAGGCCTGTTGTATGATCCATCACGACCATCCAACCTTGATTCAGCCTGACTTAGATCGCGATGATGAATGCGTTCATCTGCTTTGTTCGAAAAGATCGATGGCTGCGTCGAGTCGAACCTAGCGAGTCGTCAACAGCTTCCGATGATCATCGTGATATTTGCGCTTACTTCACCACAGAAGCTCGCTCAGTGATGGTGCATTTGCACAGTGTCCGCGCTGCATGTGTGGTGAGAAGCTTTTGCGCAGCCACAGTGTCGGACGGCAGTGCAAAGAAGTCCGGTCTCGTCAAATGTTGATTGCACCTCTGACTGAAGCTGTCAGTGCTGAGGAACACATATGAGCTACTCCTCACCAGACAAATTCGAATTGATCAAGCTGCTCCAAGACCAGAAGCCCGACATTGTTGGTCCATCCCGCCTCGTTGTCTCCCTCCAGCCTGCATCTGACGGCCTCGAACTAGATTCTCCGGACTAGAAGCTTCCTCAAAGATGTCGCCTCACCATTGTGGTGGTTCGCGAGTGGATAGTCCCCGAGGCGGACGGTCTTAATCTCAACGATTTGGTCGAGGAGACGCCTGTACGGATCTAGCCATGCCTTGTGGCGGTGCTCAGAAGCTAGCCCAAAGAATACCTTTTAGTCATGTATGAGTTGCCAGAGCGCCCGAGCGTCAGTGTCACTTTGATCTCTTGCTCGTGGCATGTCGCACAGATATCGATGCTAGCAAAGAGCAAAGAAGCGAGGCATTTCAGCTTAGTCGTCTGATCTCCAAACGTGAAGCGTTCGCATTGTGGTCACGACTCCGCCGCAGCCCAACGGTAGCATCTGCAAGCGATGTGGTTATGTGCAGACTTGGCTCTGCATGGCACCCTGAGACGTTGCAAAGGCCCGGGCTCTGTAAATGTAGACCCGCAACGTCGCCTCGACCTTGGGCAGACCTGGCGACTATAAGCTCGGCACCACACTTCGACCCATTCAAACCGCGGTGTGAACTAGGCAACTGTTTCGTTTCAGTCATGGAAGCACGCGCATCCTTCCAGGTTAAGTCGACCGACATAGCGCCCATACATGATCGCTCAGGAGCATGACGATGCCTTTGAGATCAAAGATGATGTCGTCGAATGCCGGTATATGGGCTGGCCCTTTTGGGCGTCTGCCGCTAAGATGTCCAAAGCAGTGCGCCGCCGCCAGACCTACGTACGACCTAAATGTACAACATCCATGCATCGGACAGTTTGAGATGAACCGATGAAAATAATGGTCCGAGAGAGATGCCGCTTGACGCGATTTTATGTTTTCGATTCCGATGAAGATGAAAAGCGTAGTTTTACGCAGCTCGGCCGGTCGTTCCCAAAGGGCCAGAAGAACGCCGGTTGACAACGACTCTACCCCAAAGAGTTTATCCCCACGACCAAGACTTTAGGTTTCATCAAGAACCGAAGGCTGCCTCGGCCCCTGGCATCAAACGCGCCGAGGGACACCATATAATTGCCAAACATGCCATCACTCGCACTCGCCCAGCGCGTCAGATGGGCGAGCGCGTGGCAACATGGATTTCTCGGACGAGCTGAAGCCTGCTGACCCGCAAGGACCGGACATCCTTCGTCAGGAGAGGGTCTCGTCTGGGCTTGATGCTGCCCAACTCGCTCGGCACTTGCTGCATCGCGATGGCTTTCTTGAGCGACAGGCAAAGATCTTGAGCATCATCGAGAAGCGGCCACTCTTCAATAAGAAGAACTTACTCAACCTAGCACGTCCGCACAGATACCACATTGCACTAGCAAGGTCTAAGGAGCTTCGCAGACTATCGCTTCAGCATGGATGGTCTCTCCAGGATTTCAAAATGGCGGAATGGCTTGTGGGCGAGGTCAATCCTTACTCGCTACACACAGTCATGTTCATGACTTCCATTCGCGAACAGGCCAACGAGGAGCAACTCAAGCTCTGGCAGCCCAGAGTGGACAGTTGGGAGATCATCGGGTGTTACTCTCAGACTGAGCTCGGTCATGGCAGCAATGTGAGAGGTGTTGAGACTCAAGCAATCTGGAACTCGGAGACCAAGGACTTCACGATCCATAGCCCGACCCTGACGGCAGCAAAGTGGTGGAACGGCTCCCTCGGACGCACTGCTAATCACGCCATTATAATAGCACAACTGATGCTGCCCGAGAACGGGAAGCTTGTATCCTACGGCCCTCATCAATTTGTGGCCCAGATCCGCGACATGAAGACCAATAAGCCTCTGGAGGGCCTCGTGATTGGTGATATCAATGCCAAAGTTGGCTACGCAGGAATGGACAATGGCTATATGCTTTTCAAGAATTTCAAGATACCGCATTCGGCCCTGCTGTCGCGGCATACAGGTATCACCCTCGATGGCAAGTACATCAAACCCAAGAACCAGGCAATCGTGTATGGGAGCATGACATTTGTACGCGCTCAGATCATTATGGACTGTCGGATGGGCCTCGGGAGAGCATGTACCATTGCGGTCAGATATCTCTCGATACGGCGACAATTCGCAGATCGCGACGGGTCAAGTCCCGAAGAATTAGCCGTCCTCAACTATCCGTCAGTTCAGATGAGAGTATTACCACTTCTGGCGACAGTCTACGCGCTTCACTATACCGGAGAGTCCATGTTCAACCTGTACTGGGCCACCAGGTCGAGCGTCGACAAAGGCGATTTCTCTCGACTGGCTGAGCTACATGCTGCTTCCTCAGGTCTGAAGTCATGCTGTACTCTTCTCGTTGCAGACGGCAATGAAGTATGTCGACGAGCATTGGGTGGCCACGGCTTCGCTGGTGCTAGTGGTATGATCCCGATCACTACAGATCATCTCGACAAACCCACAGTGGAAGGAGATAGCTTCATGATCTCACAGCAGACTGCAAGTTATCTGATAAAGCGAGTCGAGTCCTGCGTCAAAAGTACTGAGGCAAGCGTCGGAGAGCCTGTCGACCACCACATCCGCGCTTTCCTGCAAGGATCTGGCCCTAGACATTACGATATCTACAACAAAGACAGCGACATCTTGGATGCCTTCCGGTATCGCTTCGCATATCTAGCCCACAAAGCCTACCAAGGCCGCGTCGAGCAAAAGCAATCTTGGACGAGCTTGATGGTCAGCCTCCACCGTTTGTCCCAAGCATGGTCAGAATGCATCCTGATCGAGAATTTTTATAATGCCATGTTCGGCGCTCGTCCCGATCCTCCAATCGCTGAAGCCACACACACAGTCCTCAAAGACGTGTTCAGGCTCTTTGCTCTATCGACAATCGACAAGCAAGGCACCGAATTCGTGGTGTCAGGTGCGCTTCGACCAGAACAACTTGCAGATCTGACTCCGACCATCCAGAGAATTATGAAGGCTGTCCGTCCCCATGCAGTCCCACTCATGGACGCTTTCTCGATACCAGATTATCTACTCGATAGTGCTCTCGGCAGGTACGATGGCGATGTTTACCGAGCGATGTGGCAGAGATCGCATTTGGAGAATCCACTGAACGTGGAAATCTTCAATCCTGACTTCCGGAGCGAGGAGATAATTATGGGTGAAGGAGAAGAGACTGCGCGCAAGCGCTTAGAGGCCATGGCGAATGGCACTTTCGGCCATGAGCAAAGATTAGCACCTAGAGCTAAGATATAATAGGCAGTAAAGAGCCGACTGATTTCAAACCCTCGGCTTGGGCTGGCTTCCAAGGTTCTGGCTTGGAGGAGTGTCCGCCCTTGCCCACCAGTCAGACGGGCATAGGTGCACAAATCGGTTCGACTCGTACCTTTATGCAAGCGAATCTCTTGACCCACGATCAGTATCATCACGCAGCTTTCCATGTTGTATGGCAAGCTTTGGTTTTGCACTCTTCAGTACAGAGTACATAGACCCTCTCTGTAGGATCCGGGGCGCGGTGGGAATCGCTTAAGGCCCATTGGTGCCCGGAATCGCTTAAGTGGGCCGTCCCTGATTCAGGCCAGACGGCGAAAAGCGTTGTCGCCTTGTGCTTACTCGATTGCAGTCGTGGTTGCCTCGCTACATGTTTCGGCCTCCCAACCTCGGAAAGAATACTTACAAACCAGTTCGGCCTCGTACAGTGCACGATTTGAGCGACACGGAGTGTTACTACTGAGAGCGAATTGGCGTCCGGGCCAGATGTCGCCGCTTTCTGCGCGAGCTCCAGCCGTGCTCCAGCGCCATTGGCCATCGCGCCATGACCCCAGAATTGGCTGCCCACATTTGCCTCGGTTCACCTCCTCACCAACCATGAATCATTGTCGGCTCGGCCGATTCGGACGACGCTGGGCTGTGAAACAGGGTCTGATGTTCGGTACCGGTGATGCAGGAATCATTCTTCTCGAGTTCAACTCCTCTGCTTGTTCACTTCCAGTCTCAGACCACAAGCACAGACAATATCGACAATGACGAACTCGACAAAGCAAGACTTTGATGTCGTTATAGTGGGGGCGGGAATCAGCGGGATCAACACCGCCTACCGATTACAGGAGGCGCTCCCTGACTACTCATACACCGTCCTCGAGACTCGCAATGAGATCGGTGGCACATGGAGTCTCTTCAAGTACCCGGGCATCCGCTCAGACTCAGATCTCTTCACATTCGGCTTTGCCTGGTCGCCCTGGGAGAAAGAGAACCCAATTGCTGACGCACCTTCAATCCTGGAGTACATGAACCGCGTCAGCAAGAAAGCCGGCATCTACGACAATATTCGATTCCAAAACGCCGTGCAAAAGCTCGAATGGAAGTCAGACCAGCAGCGCTGGTTCATCTCCGTTGAGGTCAACGGCGAGAAGCAGCAAACGCTGAGTGCCCGATTTGTGGTTATGGGCACAGGCTACTACGACCAGAAGCGTGGCCTAGCCGCTGACATCCCAGGCATCGAGAACTTCAAAGGCCAGATCATTCACCCTCAGTCCTGGCCCGAGGAGTACGACTACACCGATAAGAAAGTCATCATTATCGGCTCCGGCGCTACAGCCGTCACAATCTTACCCGCTATGAGTGATCGAGCGAAACATGTAACTATGCTTCAGCGCAGTCCCGGATACTTCATCTCGCTACCGACTGTCGGACAGCCAGTTGAGAACTTCATCCGGAGATGGATGCCTACGAGCTTGGCACACTCCCTCATCCGGCTGAAGTTTATGGTCCAGGGATGGCTGTTCATTCGATGGTGTCGACTGCAGCCAGAGAAGGCCAAGAAGCTGCTGAAGACTGCAACTGAGAAGGAGCTCCCCAAGGACGTACCATATGATCCCAACTTCAAGCCGAAATACAACCCTTGGAACCAGCGAATGTGCATTGTGCCGGGTAAATATTTCCGAGGTTCGAGTTGCAGCGGGGGTGACTGACAGACTCTAGGCGGCGATTTTTTCAAGGCTCTTCGCGACGGCAAAGGCTCAGTCGTCACCGACACAATCGATACAGTCACCGAAAGCGGAGTGCGAACAAGCTCCGGCAGAGAACTCGACGCAGATGTGATCGTGACCGCAACGGGTCTCAAGCTACAAATTCTTGCTGGCATCCCTGTAATTATTGACGGCGAGCGCTACCATCCGGAGGAGAAATATGCTTGGAATGGCCAGATGCTGCAAGGCGCACCAAACTTGACTTATGTATTTGGGTATGTACCACTCCACTTGTCCTCCAGTCCAACGCAACCATTGACACGTCCCCACAGATACGCAACAGCCTCCTGGACTCTCGGCGCAGACAACACTGCCACCTCGTGGATCCGCACCCTCAAGAAGATGCAGCAAAACAAGTACACGAGTGTTGTGCCAGAAGTCGAGGACGAGTCGAAGCTGGTCGGAAAGGAGACGTCGTTCTTAGATCTCAATTCAACATATGTCGCGACGGGAGCGAAAGGTGTGATGCCCAAGGTGACGACTCAGTGGCCGTGGATGCCAAGGACGAATGTGATCATGGACCGGTTCTATGCTAACTATGGGGATATGAGTACCGGGTTGCAGTTCAATCGGGTCGCAGTGGACTAGATCAGAGGTATTGGTGTGGATGGTTTGAGTTGGGGAGGTTTTCGAACTGGATAAATTCAGGTAGGTATCCAGACGGCTTTTTAGCCCGTCTTCTGCCGTCAATGGACATAACCCTGCTCAGATGTATTCGAGCACGTTCGTACAGATGGCGTTCCGTCGAATTCTTAGCGGCGGCCTGTTCTCGCCAGCGCGAATATCTCTCGTTTCGAGAACTTGAAGGTTGAGCGCTTCCTCCAGCGACATGATATCCCCGTCCGTTTCGACAACATCAAAGCTCGCTCCGTGGACACCTGGCACTCCCCCAAGCATCGTCGTGGTGACTTCAGCGGCAGGAGTCGTAGCCTTCGCTGACGCCGCCGAAGATGACCTTGACATACTTCTCACTCTCATGGCGAGCTTGCGGTACATGGTTGGGCCCGGTGTCGACAGAACTGGCGGCTGCAAGTAAGTCTCTGCGATGGAGTCCGACTGCAACGTGTTTCGGTTTTGGAATTGCTGGAGCAAGTAGATCTTGCACTCCCTGAGGCCAGGTCAAATTTATACTGTGCCTGACTTGGACATGGCAGCCATGACTGCATATGGTGAGTTTTCTGTCATAGCAGGCAGAGTGTCTGATGACGTCGTGATCGTACTATCTGTGCAGTGCATCAGCGCTGTTACGCAGACCCGAAGATCAGTCAGCCATTTTCGTTTTTCCACCGTCCGAAAACGGAAAACATCACGTATACTAGTGCTGTACAAGGGGATCCTGATCCAGCAAAAATTTCGGGAGCGTGTGATTTGCTATACCACTGGAAACCATCCATACGATGATTGCGAGTCGCCTGTTGCTGTCTGGAGTTCCTGTTATCAGATGTGGTCAAACAACCTTGTTGAAGTCCTCGTTGCGACTCTTCACGGTCTACTCTAGAATAACGCATACTCCTTGTGCACCGCTCGCCTCCATTCATACAGGGCATCACTGCCCCGTGGATTGCCCTTCAAAATTCGGTATCTTACTGGTGTCCAGTCACCCATTGTGCAGCCAGAGTTCTCCGAGTGCAGATCGACGCCGATCTCGTCCCAACTTATGTCGCCGGCCGCGTCAAGAGTGTCACGCGGAAGAGCGCGGATCTCATCGCCAGTGAGCTTCACATCCGGGCAGCCCTCGGGATAGATTTGATGTCGGTAATCGGAAGCGGCGATGCGTGAAGTGGCGGGATGGGGCCACGTGATAAAGATATGAGATAGGAGCCAAGACGATAGGTCGACCTTGACGTCGTTACTGCCATCCGGATCTGGCGATGCAAGAATCTCTCCTGAAGTAGGGGAATGTGAGATTATGGACAACACTGACGTGTCTACCAACGAAAGGCGCGGGAGGTTTCGGAGTGAGGCGAATACAGGCAGCCAGCTGCGCAGGTTCGTTGAGTCGTGCGGGTGCGGAAATTGAGGGAGGATGGTCGGGACGAGGGCCTCAGGGTTTGATGGTGGGACGTCGTGACGCTCAGGTGGACGGCTAGATGGAAATTCTGGGCAGAGTGCGACTCTGTGGAGACCGATCGTGGTTAGGTTTGGTGAGGATTCGAGGAGAGCAAGCAGGGAGGGCGTTGAGATGGCGGTGTTGCGTAGTCGCAATTCGCTCAATTCTGGCAGCACAGGGAGATTCGAAAAGAGGGTGATGCTTTCCGGATTGTGCTGCGTGTTGCGGCCGCGGAAGCGAACATCCAGATGGGTCAATGAATGAGCGCAGGCTGTGAGAAGTACATGAAGACTGGTGAGTTGTCTCTTGTGCAAGCCAGACTGAGCGGTTGGTTGATATACGCCGTTGTCATTGCTGTAGGGAGGTGGTGAGATTGCCAGGATCAGTGACTTGAGTCCATGTAGTGCTAAAGGTACGATCGGGTTGTCGAAGCCAGCACCTCTGTCTTTTTCAAAAGTGGTCATCACCCATGAGTCATACAGCTGATCAAGACGCACATGCCCTCCTTTCTCAAAATCGAATACCTCCAGCCTCTTCACAAGGACGTCGCTCGCGCGCAGTGCCACTATGACGGCTCCGAAAGTCGCGTTCATACGCTTCCCCATCCTCTTTTCAACATCCCAAGAAAAGCCCCTCGCTGCCAGGTGCACTTCGCCGCGGTCCAGATGCACAGCTGCCCGGATTTTGATATCGATGAATTGCCGGCCAAGGCACCTGAATGCCCGACTCAGTAGTGTCGTAGCATGGCACTTACGCAACAGCGCTGCTTGATCACGATCTAGTTCTTTGAATGCTTCTAGATCGGCTTGCGAAGATGCGATCTCCTCCTCCGTTAAGGGTACGGCGCGAGAGAAGAAGTTGCCACTGCGCGGAGGACTTCTGGGCAACCGTTGCTTCTCTCTGAGGCGTTTTTCGAGATCATCTAAACGCCACAGGGAGGCTTCTATAGTGATAACTTTGACATGGTGGGAGAAGCGTGAGCTGCATAAAGCGAGGAATTTGTTGAGGGAGCGGGTCGTCAGCTCGATCGTCTGGTGATTCAAATACTTTGTGAACGTGGGTGTGAAGCGGATATCGCAGGCATGGCAGCAGAGACGGAGAGTGCAGATGTCAGAGAGCTTCAGGGGTGATGTTATGATGTGGAGGACTTCGGTAGGGAGGGTGCATAAAGATGGGGCCGTCGAATTATCCATGATATTGGGCACATTGGCATAAATCTGTACTCAGTACTTACGCGTCACACTAGGTAGTCCGAAGAGAAGAAATCGAAGAAACATCATTGTCGGGAGACCTCTGGGTATATGTGTCGACAATCACCTTGACGGCCAGGCATCAACGATGCACCTGACTGGGGCCAAGACTATGCAACATGGGCCACCAGGCGCCACAGGCTTTTGCCGCCATAGCACGTGACCCGCATCATGTGCGACCGGTTGACAAGGGCAGTCCGTAATTTCTGGTGTTGCTTTGGTGAAATTATCGACCACGACCAAATCGGATCTCTGATAGGCTGCCTAACGGACACAATCGCTCCTAAGTCCAGGATGACAGTCAAGCTCGTTGATATCACGAGCAAGAATAGTTGGACGACCACCATCGCAACACACTCCAGTCTTGTGCGCAGAGGTGATCAGGCTTGCCGCTACTGCAGGCTCGGGAGTTCCAGTCAGTCGTCATCGCTGCATCGAGAACCGAGCTGGTTCGTGGCAAGTCGAAATCTGGGAGAACGTCCCAGAGACCGTCTGCGTGCACAAACATGCTCGTAGGGGTGGTCATGTAGACCCTGTATTGCACCAGGACAGCAACTAGAACGCAGGCGGATTCCCCTCTGACAGAATGTTGCAGACTGAGATGAGCTGCGACCATGCTTGATTACGACCATGCACGAGCGCTTCCTCCTCGATCAGGCGTGAAATCTGGGTCAGGACTTGGCGCTTACTTCGACCTCACGGCAGTATGTCCTTTATGTATAGTGCTACAGCCTTCGGTGACCACACGGGCCGGATTGCTGAACGCCCGGAGGTGTTTCCGCGTTTACTCACAACAGCATGGCTGTCACGACGTACTCGAAGCTTCAGCATGCTGGGCTTGAACATATTTTGCTTCAGCCATCAGACGGGGCATATGCAGCTCGTCAAGGCTCATACCTGGCGCAAAACGCCGCTCTGAACCCTGCATGCGTTCTCCAGCCGCGCACGGCGGAGGACGTCAGCCAAGTCATGAGAGCTATCGCTGACACGGGCATCAACTTTGCAGTACGTAGTGGAGGGTGCGTGCTGTGGCCTGGTGGGAGCAGTATTGCAGATGGAGTCACAATCGATCTGGGAGCGATGGGGGACGTAATTTACAACTCCTCGACAAGGATCGCATCGCTGCAGCCAGGATCAAATTGGGGAGAAGTGTACAAGGAGATGGAAAAGCATTGTGTCATGGTCGCTGGCGCAAGAGATGTCGCTGTTGGGGTTGGAGGCTTCCTGACTGGCGGAGGCAACTCGTATCTCACGGGTCGCATTGGCTTTGCTTGCGACACGGTCGTCAATTTCGAAGTTGTGCTCGCAGATAGTCGGATAGTGAACGCGAATGCCACCGAACATGCGGACTTATGGAAGGCACTGAAAGGAGGGTGGTCGAACGTTGGCATCGTAACTCGTTTCGATGTTGGAACTCTACCAGGAAATTCGATATGGGCCGGCTCTCGTGTGCATGATTACTCCATCATCGACAAAGCTGCTGCGGCACTTGTGAAGTATACTGAACAATGCCACAAGGCTCCTCAAACAGCGCATCTGTTAGTCGGCGGCTACAACCCAAACTTTCCCGGAGGTCGTGCTATTGTGACTGTTGTAGCCGACACAGAAGGCAACGAGGCACCTCAAATCTTTGACGAGATCCTCAGTATACCTACCGTCTTCGAGAACTTGGGCCAGACGACGATTCGGGCTATGGCAAAGCAAAGTGGCTACTCAGCAGAGACCCGCAGACGAGCTCACTGGTTCACATTGACGTTTGCCAACGACATAGAAATTGTCAAGAAAGCCATCTCGCTGCATGAGAAGCTGGCGACGGACGCGAAGGCGATCGTCGGCAGTGACAACTTTGTCACATCGATGGTGTTTCAGCCGCTGCCAGCATGCTTTGCCGAGATCGGCACTCGCAAGGGTGGGAATAGTATGGGGCTGGCTGCTGTCAAGTCCAATTCGATCATGTGGCTACTTACCATGAACTTCGCGGATCCTTCGTTGGACGAGTCGATATATGAGGCCTGTAGAGGGTGTGAAAAGGACCTTGAAGCGTTTGCGAGGAGCCGTGGTGGCGATGTGCCTTGGAGATACATCAATTATGCCGACAAGAGCCAGCATCCGTGGCTCAGCTGTGGACCAGAACTTGTCGATTTTCTGACAGAGGTTTCCAAGAAGTACGACCCGCAGCAAGTCTTCCAGCATCAGCAGCCAGGCTCATTCACTCTGCTGAATGCTCGAACCGCGAATGCGCATCCGATGGCTCTTACAGCGGCAACAATTGAAGGTGCTTGAGAAGAACACATTCTGACGCGGCCGGACGTGAGGTCTTGACCATCTGTAGGGCATTGAGCGTTGTTCAGCTTGGATAGTCAGGGCCACACGTAGCGCGCCGTCGATAATCGGCACAAAAGCTTTGCAACATTGTAAATTCAAGTGTGCTGAATGGAAGTACTGCACAAATTTCGAAAAGCTCTATCCGGGAAAGAGAAAACAGCGCTAATGGTCGTTCTGTCCTGCCGTAGCGTTGGCTTCTTTAGTTTGCGCAGTGCCAGAGCACAAATTACTGAATCATGGAATGATCAATCCTTCGGGCTGGACTTCGTGAAATGGCGGGATCAAGGATCGAAGAGCTCCCAGATGACTTTGATGAGTCTCTGTCATTGAACAAGGCAGTGCGAGGCCCAGAAGCGCCTCCCAACATCAACAATGTCTCGTTGGAGGATTTATACGAAAAGCGCCTGGATGGCAAGAACCCGATATCGGATAAGTCATTCGAGGAAGTCATGTTTGATATGAGCAAGACACCTCTATTCATGAATGAGCAGGACCTTGCCAACCAGAGTGAGTGCAATCCATTTGTCGCAAGCCTCGCCATGTCTTGGCTGACAGTATGCTGATGATCCAGTAAAGCTGAGGAGAATGATCTGATCGAAGCGATCAAGGCGATGCAGTATGAAGGGACGAAGTCGGAAATCGTCCAAGGCTTCAAAGATCAAGGCAATGAAGCAGTAAAGGAGAAGCACTGGGCGGATGCCAAGGAGTTCTACACAAAAGGCATCGCTGTCCTTAATGCCAAAGAAGGCAAATGGGACCAGCCGAAGCCAGAGGAGATCGAGGACGAAGCACGAAAGGTTACCGCACTTCGCGAAGTGGTGTATGTCAATCGTGCTCTCTGCCAGTTGGAGCTACGCAACTACCGATCCACCACGCTCGACTGTGCGCAAGCCTTACGAGTCAATCCACGCAACGTGAAGGCCCATTACCGAAGTGCTTCAGCTCTGCTGGCCCTCGAAAAGATACACGAAGCTCTCGATGTTTGCTATCGTGGCCTCAAGATTGATGAGACAAATGTGGCCTTAAAGAAGTTGCTCGACAAGATCAGAAGCAAATCAGAAGCACTCGAGGCCCGAGATCGGAAGCGACGAGCAGAGCAACAGAGGAGGGAACAGGAGCGAATCGTATTGAGGACTGCACTAGCAGCCAGGGAGATCAAAATGAGAGGATCCGACAAGCCGCCTGACCTGCAAGATGCAATGATCAAGTTAAGTCCCGATCCACTGAGTCCAAAGAGCATGTTGGAATTCCCTGTCATGTTTCTGTATCCGCTGCACAACCAGACAGATTTTGTCAAGGCGTGGGCGGAGAAAGACGCTATGTGGCAACATCTGAGCTACCTTCTGCCGCTTCCTTGGGATGACAAGGGCGAGTACAAGGAGGTAGACTGCTACATGGACACGAGGACTGGAGGTTTGATCAAGGTTGGGAAAAAGTTAACGTTGTTGGAGCTGCTGACGAATGGCAAGACCGAGATCGTAGATGGCCTGGTCAGGATTTATGTGTTACCCGTTTCTCGTGCCAAAGAATGGATAGAGGATGTCAAGGCAAAGAAGGAGAAGAACGCAATGCGATCGTGAAATGGACTATGGCCAATTCATCGAAGATATGGGCTCTTCCATGGGCGTACGTTGGGAAAGCGCGGGCCCCGGAACGGACGCTAGTGCCTCTGGCTTTTTTAGCGTTGCATTCGTGGCTCGGCTACGATCAACTCCCACTCGCCTCTCTTCGCTACAATTCATCACCACCATCACACAGGCTTGAGCTGAGCATTTTTATTCATCGTAATTGGCTTATTCTCCATACCATGCTTCGCTGGAAAGCATGATTTGATGCGAAACACTGCAAAAGGGTACCTGGGATAGGCAGATCAAGCCTTCCGCCGGCCCTATCACGCTCTTCACGGTGGTGTACCGTTCTTTTGATAATCCCGGCCCTTCAATTTGACGGCTCCCCTTCCAAGCAGCGTTTCGTGTTGCTTCGGTGTGGGCTTAGGCTCCAAAGCCTGCATCAACGTCGCTTGTCAGATCGGTCCTTCCCACCATGGACCCCGCCAATTACATCGCCCAGAACCCTTATGGCTACATGCCACAGGCTCAAATGCCTATGGCTACTCAGCAGTTCCCTCCTGCTTCTTACCCAAATCCCTACCAGGGAGGTATGATCGCCAGCGGTGTCCCTCAGCAGCAGCAACAGCAGCAACAGCAGCTAGGCTTCCAGCAGCAAGGTAAGCCGCATGACAGTCAGTAGTACGGACATGACTAAACCGACTGAAGGCTATTCACAGTTGCCGGTTCCTCAGCTATCTTCGACGAGCCAGCCCACAAGCACTCCCAGCTCAGCGCCGTCCATGTCCGTCGGCTCTTCGAATAACGTGATGGCCCAGCAAAACATGACTGGCGCCAACCTAGCTCAGCAAGCTCAAATTCAAAATGCTGCTCAATCTGCTCGACCTGTGTCGCAGCCACAGCCTGCGCAGCCTCTGTCCCCGCAGAGCCAGCAGAGGGAGCGTGCTCGAGTCACTGTTCTCTTAGATATAAATACTGCGTTATTACAAGAGGTCGTGGCGTTGCAAGCCAAAGGTATGGCTGGGCCGCAGTCGAACCAAACCCAACAGTCACCAAGTTCTCCCACCTCCGCGACCGATCCTGTTCTCAATAACAGCCCGACTACCGATGCTGCTAAGGGCAAGCCTGCATCACAAGAGTACAATGATTGCATGAGACGACTACAGATGAATTTGGGCTATCTGGCCAGCATAGCGGATGCGAAGAAGAAGTCCACCGGACAACTGCCGCCAGGCCCGGCGATCATGAATCCTCCACCACATCTGACGTCGGTCTATGACCTGTACAAGAGACTGAACACCTTGTTCCCCGAGGCGAGCCAGTCGACCATCAACAAGGCGATGGCCTTCAGCAGCGGCCACGGCGACAGACAAACACCAGGGACAGGCTGAAAAGACGGAATTGCATGTTTCACCTGCCTTCAGTATGTGCACCAGACTTAGAGCGCTTGCTCCGGCCTATTGCGAGACCGAGGTCTTGATCAGGTGTCAAGCGTGTGACAGGTCACGGCGATTTCTGCGCGTGACGCACATTCTCATGACGGTGACAATGGGCCTTCGATCGCCAAAGTAAGGGCACTATGGCTGCGCAAACTCACAGTGGTCAGACTTAGTCCAAGCGCCACATTGACGCCGACTTCCACCGAAGTTTGTGCGATCAGTGTAGCGACCTGGAAGTCAGCTCACAGCTGATGCCATGTCACGGTTCCTACTAAGGCGCCGCTGGATCATCATGATCGCCGCGACTCCTTGCTACATCATGCCACAGGGTTCTCCCGGGCTTCTTGACGGTCACAATCGAGGGAGCCATGGGCTCAGGATCAATTCGAGGAATTGAAATGGTTCGGTACAAACTGCACATCAGGGTACACCTCACGCTGGTGGCTGCAAGGGCTCTGCTGGCGCAATGCGCTGACATTGGCCCAGGGGATTGAGATTGGGACTGGCAACGGCTCTGCGTACGCTCAATCGTCCAGAACAGGCTCGTGCGAGAGCGTTCCTTTTCACAACGGTAGTCGTCGCTTCCGTCCCGACTGAACACGATGGGACGGGCCTTGCCCGCACTGTCCTGTCTTGGTCTGCTCGTGTATGCGCAGGAGACATTATGGCATCGTTCCGGACGCGTGCGCCGCGTTGCTTGTTATAAAGTCGCTGCAAGCGGTGCCTGAACGCCGAATTTCGGAATGGATCCACATCACTTCCTCTATTCGGGAGGAAGACGCGCCTGCTGAAGCTTCAACCGTCTGGGCGACGATGAAGTGTAAACTCGCGTTGAGAGAATTATCAGTCTTTTCTGATGATGCGAAACTTGTAAAGAGAACGTCGCGCGAGTGGGCATGCACGTGCATAACCTCGCTACCGTACCATCGTGGCTGTCTTTGGATCTCATGCTCATTGGTTCGCATTCTTCCTTTCAGGGAATGGCCCCAGATCGACCCCATCCATGAGGTGGGTATAGCCTCGCTTTCGCTTGTGGTACCACGGGCATAAACATCACGATGGCGGTGTCATCATGGGCATTCCATGAATGTCGTCGAATGCTACCACATAGGAACGTTTCAGCACCACTGTTTTCGATGACAAATGGTGGCACTTTTCACGTTCAGCCGTACGCATTGACTTCGGTCTGTCCAAGCAGAGCCTCACGCTGCCTGCAGAAAATATGTCCGAATGCCTCCGAGCAACTTGCGCACAGACTGACTCGGATTGTTCTATTCAGAAATCAGCATTTTGTCGCCCGGCGTTGTGTTACTACTGCTTCGGGTCCTGTTTCGACTTACGAGTACTAACGAGACAGCAGACACAGATTTACCAGTATGTGCTTGCTAGTACTCGTGTGAATATGGAATCATAGGGGCGCTGAGGGCGTCTCAACTAATTTACTTGTACTGTTCTGAGTCAGCAATTCCAAATCTGTGGGTATAGACTGCGATTCTAGGGGCAAAGTAGGGCTAGAGTATGGGGAGGAGATGCCCTGGAACCTGGCATGATCGGGGCGGCGATCACCGCAAGCTCCGCCATCTTCTCATCCGGCGTCAAGCCAAGACGGCAAAATCAGATCTTGTAGCGCCAACAAACCTTCTGACGTTCTCCCACTGGAACCGCTATACGCAAATCCTCCGCAAGATCGTGGCTTGCCCAAGCGGTGCTCGGGGTCGGTTTCGGACATGTCGCATTTCTTAAGGACCGTCGAGGCTGCCGCTGGGACTCGACGATCTCTTTCGATGTCCACCACGAATTCGCAATGACTCAACAAGGAAAGTGCGATATTTGCGTATGTGTACCTATGAACCTGGATCGGGCGAGACACCGACCTCCCGGCTCTGGTTCTTCCCGATACATGTTCGTACTGACAGGTGCAATAGCGTACTCGCAAAGTGAAGTGCGACGAGACCAAACCACAATGCAGCTCTTGCAGGAAGGCCTCAAGGCCGTGCTCGTACAAGTATGCTGATACGGTCAAGGCTGGAGACCCCTTTATCGCCCAGGATACCATTCAACAAGGTCGACAAACAGAGGTCGAGCACGAACAACGCGCAAAGGTCAACACCGAAGACCAATGGCAGCTTCGGGCGTCGAGGAGAGCCCCTGGTGGCAAGGGGACTTTCCAAACAATGTGCCTCAAGCAAAAGTCACAGCGAAGTACGAAGCCTAGACTTAGCGACTGCGTCTCCCTGGCGCCCTTAATCGAAGACACGTCATTGAGTCTTGCGGCGAGGTGGCACTGGACAATGAATCCCATGGACGCAAGCATGTGTCCATTCTCCGTTGAGGTCCATGGACACGTTTGGTACCATCTCTGATCGGCCACAGCCAGGCAATAGACGCAGCCGCGATCTATGCTCTGGACAGCATTGAGTCGTACAGGAGAAATCAGAACCATGGACGATACACCACGCCTAAATCTGCTTCTGTTGCCTTGACAGCACTTCGCGACGCATTGGATGCGGACGACCGCTTGGCAAATACCACTCATGTCGTGGCCGTGGGGCTAATTCTGGCTGCCGAGGTGAGTGCTATTTTATTGTCCACAGGACTGTGCGCTAACTCACATTGTAGTGCTGGCGAGAGATTACGTCGATAACCAACTCCATACACGTCTTTGCTGTTGTACAGATGCTCGAGCTACGGATAGAGGCAGGCTACTTTGGCGACACGGATCGGCAACTCATTCGCTCGATAGCAATGTCTGCCATGATCGAGGCGGTACTTGCAGGATGTGACTGTATATTGGGAGACAAACTCCTACTACACACGCCTTCGAACCTCTGGTCCGTTCCCAAGACCGACCGTTGCTTGGCTGCCGTGGATCTCGTCAACACTAGAATTCTGCTCATCCCAAGGGCTATCAGATTACTCCGTGAATACAGCCAAACGTCGGACCCGGCAATCTACGAAGAAGTCGTCAAAGCTCTGTCGGCAGTCAACGATCTTCCAGACGCTCCTTTAATTATGTCAATGATTGCAAGCAGCTCATGCGTGGTCTCAGACACAGCGTACCCGTCATCGGCACCACGGTATCCACTATCGCAAGCATTCGCCTTCGATTCTACTACAGTCCTGCAATTGGCCGTCCAGTTCTACATGTATAAGGCGCTACGATCAAACCTGGCGTTGAGGTGTCTGGACTTAGGCATAATAATACCAAGTCCGACAGCAGCTTTTGGTCCGAATGCAATGACCCTACAGCACGAGAGTGCTACGGCGGCCGAGAACCTTGTTCGATGCGTTCCATACTCTGTGTCATTAGACACAGCCATTCCTCTGGGCGCAATCAGGATGCTCAAGGCTATGATGGTGTCTTGGACCTGCTGGGATCTCCAGCTAGACCAGACGCCGTACAGATCGTCAGCCAGCCAACACACTCGCAATCACTCCGGATCCTCGAACAGCTCGCGACACTCCTCAAGACAGCCATCGCGCGCTTCAAGTTTAGATCCCGAGCTACCTATTCCCGTTGGACCTCTGGACCAGCCCGGACGAAAAGCTCCGGTCGACATGTTTGTCTGGCCACCACTACGAGCCATGTTCGAGTCACGAGTCTCGTCACCCACACCTCCATCTACACCGCCTCAGATGACTCTGCCCATCCGACCTACGAGCAATGACAAGGCGACTCACGCAGTGCGAATGCGGACTTACTGCGAAGAGATGTCCAACTATGGTCTGGCACGATGGGGCGGCAACATATTGACGCCATCAAACTTCGCACGAATGAGGCGAGTACTGATGGGTGTCGATGAGGCTCCACGGCGCCAGGAATCGCCCGGAGCAAAGGCGTCTCAAGTCGGTCAGCAGGCTGGTATGGTCTATCCACGACACTATACCCCGAGGGCTCATTATACGGAGGAAGCCATCATGGACGAGGTGATGCTGCAACCCATTCCACCGATGTTGGCTGTTGCCTGATAGCAGCCAGCGACGAGTTTCCATCACGTGGCTGAGCGACTTCAGCGATGTTTGACTGTACCAGTAATTGATGTCAAGTGAAGGAAGAGATGCCACTCGCCTTGCCTGCCCGAAACTGCCTGCCAAGACTTTTAGCATCGACAATAGGGAGTACCTTTCTACAACTTCTCATCTTCTTCTTGAACAACTACCTCGCAACAACTCATCCCTTCGATCAATCGTGCTACAATCTCGTAAGTCAATCAAGTCACTTGAAAACTTCCCAAGTGATTGACAGCAGCTAGGAACTCTCGAGGCGCCCTCTGGACATCAGTCCTGGCAGTCTCGCATCCGAGACAAACCTCATCGTCTTGTGAGAGTCCACGTCTGTGTGCTTCACCACCGTCTCGATGTCAAGTAGTCCAAGTACCCTGGCGAAGTCACCAGGGAAGCCTCTGCCACCGCCACTCGAATCATCTACCAACAAGAAGAGAAAGCTGAGTGATCATGACACGACACAATGGCAAGGCACCATCCTGCTTCTGGTCGGTCCTGAAGAACATGAATTCACAATTCATGCACACATCCTCAGGAGATCGCCCTTCTTTCGAGCTTGCCTAGATGCAGAGATGAGGGAAAAAGCGGAGCGAACTGTTCGACTCCCGGAGGATGCGCCACAGGTTTTCAATCAGTTGGTGACTTGGCTCTATTCGAATAAGCTGGATTGCGATTTCGCGACACTTGCCAAAGAAGCATCGTCACACCTCAACAGCGACGACCCAGAGCGCATATATCTTCGGGAAATGGGTCATTTGATGGTGAAGTTGTGGTTCCTGGCGAAGAAAGTCATGCTAGAGGCGCTACAGAACGAGGTGATCGACATGATCCGGGTGGGCTGGATTCACTACATGCCTGGGGCTGATGTGATGCAAACGATTGTGGAGCAGTCTGAGGAGACCGATGCGCTTCGCGGACTTGCTCTAAAACGCCTATCTTGTAATGCTTCAGGCTTCAAGAATTTCGGACACTACGAAACAACCGATAAGACGAAGTACCTGGACGCTGCTCAGAATTCGCTTGTACTCTCGCAGTTCTTGATCGAGGCTATGATGAACTACCGGAACCCTGTTTTTCCAAGAGTCCTGAGCGAACCCGACAGATGCGAGTGGCACGTCCACGTCGACACTCCAAAGTGTTCGTAGCAATGATTGTCTGGTGGGCGAAGCAAATAAGAATCTGCGAGATCGCACCGAAGCAGAGGGCTCGTCGTGGATGACTGCTGGATGCCATGAGACTATCCTGTCGCAGGGGCCTACTTGTCAAATAGCAAAACTCATTGTCTCGGACTGCCATTTTACTGGAGCCGTCATCGAGACTTGCGACGATAGCAACAGATGACTACCGTCAAAGAGAACTTCTGAGTCGTGAAGTCGTTCGTCTAGCAATCTTTCTAAGCACAGAGTCCTACCTAAAGCCTCAAGACTGTGGGAGGCTCGGTGATGAAATGCTTGGCGAAGTGATATTCAAGTGACAGAGCACGCGTCTTGCCCTCGGTCTTGCCTTTGCATGCTTGTGTCACAAGTAGGCAACCAGCCACGAAGAGTACTTCCCTATCATCAACAAATAGTCACAACTTTTCCCTTATTGTGGTCCGACCCTGAGCGACTCAATAACCCCTTTTGCTATGACCTGGTATGTCATCTAGAACAACGAGTACTTCTGCAATCCACTGACACGAATTGAAGGCCTCCCAGGTGATGTTCGGCGAGCACCCAAGTAACTTCAAGCCTCTCGAAGAGACTGTATTGCGAAGCATCTCCAAGCTGGCTAACATGTCAGTCAATGAGAAAACTCCTGACAAGGCGCTCAATGGCTCATCCCCATCGAATCCGACCATCAGCAAGAGAAATCAGACTAAGGGCAAGCCGACACCGTGGATGGACGTAATCTTGATCGTCGTTGGACATGAACAGCATCAATTCGGGGCCCACGAGCACATCCTCCGCAAGTCACCGTTCTTTCGCGGCTGTTTAGACGCGCACATGAAGGAGGCCATCGAGAGAACCATTCGGCTGCCTGAGGACGACCCGGAGGCCTTCGATCAGGTTCTGTTTTGGCTATACTCGGGCAGCCTGGAGCACGACTTCAAGGTGATAGCCGAAATAGCGTCCAAGGAAGGTCCGCTCATAACGCCCGTGTCGCCTGATGCTGGCCTTCGACGTAAGATAGGCTTTATGTTGGTCCGACTGTGGTTCCTGGCAAAGAAGTTAATGGTTGAGAAGCTACAGAACATGGTCATTGACATGCTACGAGCTGGCTGGGGATTCTACATACCCATGTATCGCGTTTTCGAAGTGATAATGGGAGAAGCTGAGCGTTCCGACCCGCTTCGCAGACTGGCTCTACAACGTCTTTCGTCCGCAGTCAGTCAATTCGGGGAGTTCGATAATTTCAAGGAGAGATGCGAGTACCTCAAAGTCTCGAAGGACTCGACGGTCGCTCTTGAGTTCCTGGCGGAGGCTCTAGCGAACTTTCCGAAAGCAACCAATCCGGCGAAAGATCTCAATCCATGCAAGTGGCATGTTCATGTTGACACTCCGAAGTGTACACAGAAGTGAGCATCTTGTGGGGCGTTTGGAAAGGGCCTGCGAGACAGCAGGGAAGCAGGGTCAAGGCAGCAGGAAAGACAGCATGAGGCCTGAGTACGGGATGTTTTCGTAAGAGCATCTCAGTCACGACTCTACCTCCCCCGTCGCAGATTCGGGCCCGGATGCTTGGAGGCGCAGGTTGCCAACACAGGATTTGCAGTAGACATAACGAGACGCTGAGCTTGCCTGCGACACAGTTCCGAGACTGTTGGAGCCTTGGCTCAGTAAAATAACCATCGATGTCGCCTCAATCAAAAACCAAGAAGTTGAGATGCGAAGTCCAAGCTGGGATGTCCCTGCTCGTTTCTGTCTCTCAGTCCTCCTTGAATCATTGTCTCCTAATTTCGGCATCGCGGTACAGATCAGAGCCCTGCATCGATGACTATCCAGTATGGAAGAGCCTACAGATCGTGAAGTCGACCGAGAAGCGTTGAAAGATAAGCAATGAGGCTGGGCAATTCTTCTCCCGGACCTCGGGAACGAGTGGAGCTGTACATGTGCACAGCCAAATGATATACAGATACTGATAGGCAGACGAAACGGGATCTTGGGACCCGCAAATACTGAGCGGGCACGCGTCTGCCAAATACACAGCACCCATTTCTTACTCGAGCGTGCAGAGGACTAATCAGCTCACTTTTGCAGACTCGTGTTCCCATAGCACGCAGGACTCAGTGCCGAGAATCTTCAAACTGTGCGAATGTCATGGATGGCTGGCAGTACTGTCAAGCAACACAGGCCACAATGTTGGGTAGCGAGAATGCAGAGCATCAAGCATACGAAACAAGGAATGCAAGATGTGTGCTGAATTCAGATTTATTTAATTTACAAAACTGTCCTCCTCTTATCTATCTACTTATTCCCACCGCGGCAGTGTCCTTTTTAGAATTCCAGCCACGGGTGATCATGCCTGGCCGAAGATCTCGTGAGTCTTGTCCTTCCACGTTTCGTCGGATCGAAAGCTTTGATGCCCGTGTTCCCCACTCCCCGCGTCGGTCTGATAATACTCTCGGTCCGTTGAGACTCTTGCTCTGTGAGTGGTGCAGGGAACAGCCCACCGCGGAGTGAAAGGGTATGGAATCCCACCTCGGCGGGCGCCCGTCGAATACCTTCTAATACTGGTGGAAGACGTAGTTGCCAGAAGGATCCGTCATCGAATGCATCGTAGCTCGCCCGCCGGCGCCAGGCACATATGGCATGCCACAGAGCGACTCCATCGTGTGGGAGATAACCCAACGGCCCTCGTGCACCCTGAGAAAAATGCAAGGACGCCGCCGTATCGTCTCTTGCAGCGCCTTCCGGAAGACCCAAAGTGAACAGATAGTCGTCGACAAAGCCGTCGGGGAATACCGACATGATCTTTCCAGCTTTCCCAGTGTCCTCATCCCAAGGAAACGCAGAGTGAAGAGATAGTCGTCGACGAAGTCGGCGCATGATCAGAAAAAATGTGCTCCACTGCGTGTGACAGGGCAGACAGCTTGCCCTGTCAAGTCTGGGATAACGCCACCAGACAACCAGAATCTGGGTGTTGGATGAGGAGTCCGTGAACCTTGAGCGCAGGTAGCGTGACCGGTGGCGCTTCACATAGGAGCTGACAGTGTGTACAAAGGCCGTTCTTGCTCTCCTTGTATGCTCGATCCCCACCAGATATGCCCGTCTTCAGCAGAGCATGCAGCCTAGGCGGCACGGGCGGGCGTAGACCTTGGCTTTGTCCTTCATCTCAGGGGTGCAAACAATCCGCTTGCCGTCGTTGCCGTTCTTCTCGCGTTTCTTCCCTCCCTGCCCAGCAGACCCAGAGCGCTGGCAGTCGGTCTTCTTGACGCTCCCGTCGGTGCCCTTCTTGGCGGCATTGCCGTACGCTTGCGCTTCTTGGACTGAGAAGGCGACCACTGAAAATTTGTTCGGCGATGCAGCGCACAATCTCGGCCTTCTAGTGCTTGCTGACTGTGAGGAGATTCCAAGGGCGTGTAATGATATATATAGGGGTTCGGACGCAGACCCGGCAGTCAAACTTTCTTCTCGTACGGATCACCGTTCCGGTGGAGCTCTTTTATATGGGGACCAACATGATTGACGAGTGCGTCGACGTTGGTGAGTGGATCGAACCCACCATCTTCACATCGAGCGTCTTAGGAGCAATGACACAGATGGTGAGAGACCGAAGGCCCCGGAAGACGCCAATTTCGGTGGCTGTGTGGGGTTGAATGAGTCCAGGAAGTTGAGCGACAGTAAAGAACACAGGGATGGACCTGATCACCAATCGTTGCGAGAGAGGTGGGAAAGCGAACGGTGAGAGCATCGATGGCAGTTCGTTTGAGGTTGTTGAGGTTCTCATGTAGGACTTCCTTACAAAGCTGAGATCCATGGCTTCGAGACAGAGACAGGACCGACCACTGGATAGCATGTTTCCGAGCATCCTGCAACGACGTGACAGATTTTCATCGTAGGAACCTCCTGTGGCCAGGACTGGTGTGCGGAACATGGCTTTGCCGAGTCTGATCAGAGGGTATTGAAGGTCATCGCCATGCGGACGCAATTGGGAGCCCTGAGACAGAAAGACCAGGACAGTGTAGATGCGTTGTCTGGCGGGGATACCCAGGGCCTCGGTGACATGGTATAGGATCTTGTCCACGAGCTTTTGCAGCAGATGAGACGTGGTCTCCAGACCGAAAGCGCACAGGTGCTTGGCGCAGCCGCACGAGAGGCAATGAGGCTTGGGTGTATGGCTGGACGTCGAAGGTGTCTGCGGAAGGTCCACATGATGGTCAGATATGAGTAGAGCCTCCACGGCAGACAAGAATGCTGTGGTTGCGGAACTGCTCCAGACCGTCGCAGCTTCTGATTCAGCTTGGTCAATTTGACAGACTTGATTGCCACAATTGTCTGGCCGATGACTTGGACCTGCAGGCAGGCTCTATGATATATATAGTAAAACGCGGGCGAAGGCTGGCGTGAAGGAGCCTTGGTAGTCGAGAATGGTGTTGTTCCGAGCTGGACCGAGCCTCTGACATCCTCCCAGGCGCCTATGGAACACAGTAGATCCCGACGCTGACAAGGGATGGGACTTATCGCAGCGACAATCCGGAAGACGCCGTGAACATTGGTCGCGCGCTCGCTGTGTACCGCACTTAAGGAAATTGCCGTGGATGTTGTGCAGCATGTCGACCCAGAAACCGTGGACAGACCGCAGCGACGAAGACGTGAGGTCGTATGCGAGCTTGCTAGAGTTCGTGATACTCATCTTCGCAGCCTGGCTTGCTGCATAGAAGACCAGTGTGGAATAGCTCGCGCATGAGAGCGTACAGAAGTCTGCCCTTCCAGTTGAGCATATTGACTGCCGGTTCCACCCGTCCTCTGAATATGATGGCTGCATGCGCCTGCGACTCGAGGTAGCCAGAGCCGAGATAGGCTGGCGTAAGCTAGATTGTGTCGTGGCTGTCCTGTATGTAGCCTGCAACTTCTAGACTTCTGACCGGAGATCCGAGGCTTATCTTGGCTCCCCAGTGGCCCCCACCATCGCTCTCGTCGACATCTAGAACCGCGTCTTCGGCAGCACCAGCGATCCCATCAGTAAGACCGTGCTGCTCAAATGAAGCTCGTCGAAGTTGATGACGTGCATGTCGAGAGCATGATCAGTGACGCCAGTGTGGGAGGAGCCTAGGCGGCAATCTGGTGTTCGAGAATGGCGTGCGATACCACCTCTGACTTGAGTCTGCTAAAGCTTGCTCTGGACGACTTCGGCCATGGTCCACGAAGTCGTTGAGAAACGCGTAGCATATCAATCTGTGAAGGACTCACGTCGCCATAGTATTCTGTCGCTTCACAGGACCCTCGGACTGTAGTGGGCTGCCTGGCCGCTTGATCGCATCTTTTGACGCGTCTGCAAGATCACTCGGCATGTTGGCAGCGGCGGTGCACACGCCTAGCAATCTCACGGTGCTTGTTGGTTGATGGCTTGGCAGACGATTCGCAGGATCTGAATAGATGGCTTCCAAGCGTTATCTTCGTCGTTCCAATAGGGACAGCATTCGACATTCGGGAAGGTGGTCCCGCGACCAGTGGAAGAGGCGGAGATGGAGACCTCGTCTGGGAGTGCGAAGCCGATGATCTCGACGAGTCACTTGGTCGACTGCCCGGATAGATATATGTGGTAGGCTATAAGAGCGACTGCACCCCAGCATACATTAGCTTAAGCGGAGAGCTGACTGGTGGGATTGCTTTAGGCAGAGGAATCGGCTTCAAGATGGTCGGTCGTGGCTGTAGGTACTTTTTGCAAGCTTGCGCATCTTCTTGTTGAAGGTGGCACAGAATAGCGTGGAGTTGGCTGTTCCTGAGAACGGACCCAGGATGTGAAGTATCGGAGTTGCAACGGGCGTGGGTCGGTTTTGGGACAGTTGATGGAAAGTGGCAGCATCTGTTGCGCCTTTGATTGCAGATTCATGGTCATCGTAACGGGCTTCGACCAGCTCATCATCGCATTCCTCCCACTCATCGTCGTACTCCTCCCACTCATCGTCGAACTCCTCCCACTCATCGTCGAACTCCACCCACTCATCGTCGTACTCCTCCCACTCATCTGAACAATAGTGAAAGTCGCATGGCTACCAGTCGCTTAGAGGACTCGTGGCGGCGGCGCGGATGAGGGTTCTGATCGCATCCGGATCTCTGGCGGAGGACTGCCGTTGAGGGACAGCCTCGCCGATGTGGTAATTGATGGCGCTGGTAGACTCACCACGGGCGAAGGAGAATCGTGTGGTGGTGGTGGTGGAGGCAGGCGTCGAAGTGGATTGAGGGGCGCAGACGCAAGGACTCGTGGCGAGATGAGGATGAGACGCCGTAGCTCTTGCCCTCCTTGACGAACAAGCTGGTTAGGAGGTGGTGTTGGAGGAAGAACAAAGCCGGCAGTTCTGCAGTGTCGCCTTGATCGAAGCCAGGACAGTTCTGCAGTGTCGCCTTGACCGAAGCCAGGACAGTTCTGCAGTGTCGCCTTGATCGAAGCCAGGACAGTTCTGCAGTGTCGCCTTGACCAAAGCACGAGTGACGAAGGGGTGGTTGGATAGCGAGCAAGGTAAAGTGTTGTACTGGCCGTTCCAATCGTGTGGCAGTGGCGACGTCGAACTCGTCCTTGTAGTCCTTCACGAAGTCGCAGCCAGTGGGATCTTGCTGGCATGGTCCCTGTACACATAGTGGTCGTCGTCGCCCTTGATCGTCTTCCAAAGTCCACCCCAACAGGAGGCTGCTGATAGACACTCGGAATGCTATTTATGGTCAGTCATACTCTATAGCACCACCATGCGCAAAGGTTGACTTACCCTTCAGTGCCAGACCCGCAAGATATGATATATATATTGATCGAGTCCGATCCGAGAGGCCCAGGTAGTCCATACGAAGCTGGAGCCTTGTGAAAGGAGTGGTCATCCAGAGCAAGTGCTCTCTGAAAGCGGCACTTCTGTTGTGGGCTCCCTGGACCTCTCTTCTCTTTGGGTTGGTGAGGATTGGTGATGGAGAAAACAAAGGCTCTTGGTGGAGGGCAAGGGAGGTTCTTATAGTATTTGCGGCCCCTTTGGCTGTGCTTAGCAACGCAATATGCTTCAGAGCACAGCCTCACGCCTATCCTGGTCAAGAGAGAGTAAACGCAAGTAAACAGTCTGCAATGTGACTCACAGGGGTCGTTTACGTCGTGAAGGGCAACAGGAGGGGCTGGAAAGAAGGTGACGGGCAACAGGAGGGCTTGGAGAAGAAGTGACGGCCTTTCTGCGTGGCTGAGCAGCCTACACAATCAACAACTGGCACCTGAATGGCTCATTCAGAGACAGTACTGGCATTCAGTAAGTCGTGAAGGTGTAGCGAGGCAGAATCAGCAAACGTGAATGCGGCTGACGAGAGCTTGAAGACATGTGTTCTGCTGGTCCATGACTTCGACAGTAAACAGAGCAGGTGCCCTCCTAGTGACAATATTGGTCCATGAGCCGATTGCAATCATATTGACCAAATGTATCTGAATGACATCATGACGGGGATCGAAACTCGTGAGTGGCGAGACCTTGTCATCGAGTGCAGTGGCCCATTTCGGATCTCGAGTTGCCGCCTGAACAATGCTAAGCATCAAGGGCAATCGAGGATCATGCGGAGCCCTTTCTTAGAAGGCACTCACGAAGCCCAACAATGCCTCCTCAACTCATGAGGACGTGTGCTGTGCTCAATCGTATCAAGCAGTCTCTGTGACCGCAGGACGTGTGATCTTGAGATGCTCCTGGAGGCGGTCTGGGAACCCACGCGAATCACATACGGTCTCGCTGTGTCCGAAGCCTCCAAGTACTCACCACATGAAGTGATCCTCCGCCAGAACATGAAAGCCAGTAGTAGATCCGTTGCCGCAGAGGTCACGCTGTGCGCACCGCCCAGTCGTGGACCGTCCTTCGTATCTCAGTGTGGCAGTAGATGTCCGCTCAGCGGATTCGGAGCAGGCCGCGATACAGCCGCTTGCATTTAGACTCGGTCGCGGGATCAAACAACGAGCAAGCCTTCTATCATCCGGTGATACGAGACTGTAGCAGGTCACGAACACATGCCGGCTGTTCAACTACCCCACTGTGACGAATGATGGTGACGGCGTTCATGGGAGGTGAAGGTGATGCCTTATGAACCGCTACAGTAGATCAGCCAACATATCTGGGACCTATTCGTCGTGCGATTGGGCCTGGACATCTTATCGTGAGTGATTGCTGGATCAATATACCTGCTGGCGCGGGTAAGAAATGGATCTAGGAATTCTTCTGCTCCCGAGGCCGCGTATGCGCATCGGCTGAGATCCCTGGAGAAAGCGTGTCATGAGCTGACTTTGGGCTGATCTTTGTTCACGACTTCCTTGAGGAAATTCGTTGAGAAGCGGTTGACCTGCTCGTAAACCGTGTCGAATCCCTTATTGGCCCCATAGTACGGATCGACGACCTCTTCTTCCTTGCCGGTTCCACTGAAATGGCCATACAGCATGACCTGTGCCTTACAAGAGCCACTCTTCTCCACTCGTCTCTTCATCCTCTCCAGATCTCGCAGATTATGTCTGTCCATTGCGAATATGTAATCGAACTCTCGGAAGTCCGTCTCCTCTACCTGACGCGCGCCATGATCGTAGTCCGTGATTCCCTTTTTGCGCAGCGTTGCCATCGTCCGTGAGTCCGGGGGCTCAAGGGTATGATATGCTCCAGTGCCGCTGCTATCAATTTTCCCAACTCGAGGGTCTGAGGCAGCTAAGGAGCGAAATACACCCTCCGCCATCGGTGAGCGGCAAATGTTGCCCAGGCACACGAAGAGGACGGAGATCGGCTCTGCCATGGCGCTGCGTGCGATCGTTGGTCCTAGCAGCCGTCCAGAGGAAGAAGCAACAAGCAACACATTCCCCAGGACCACGCACGTAGTCGACCGACGGCAACTGGAGAGTGTGCCCTAACCCTATCGGCGCTCAGGTCCCAGGCCTCAACTCACAATGAACTCTCTCCGAACTTTTCACACCTTGTCATCCATAATTCGAGGACCTTCCCGCGGCTCCTGGTTTCTTTCTCGCCGAGCGCTGTCCTTACAATGCGCTTGCAGCTGTCAATGCTACGGTAAGTTCCGCGCGCCTCTTCCCACGATCAGCATCTGCGACCATGACCCAATCAGATTGCCTCGTTCCAGGATCTTGGCATAGTGGCTTTGCCATGCACTACCGTCGCTCGACCAGCAACCTTGCTTGGCGGTGATCTGAATCGACCCTGAAAGGAACAGTCACATGGGTCAACAACGCAGGGGCGTTGTCTTGCCACGATGAAACAATTTTGCCATGTGGTCTATGCGATCTGAGCGGCAGGTATGTACCCAATGAGGCTAGATTGCCATCACTTTTGACATCGTTTTGGGACCGACGCCATCGACTTTGGCTCTGCTGCCTACTTCTCGACAAAAGGACTGAGCTATGTCGTCGCCCCGGGGGTTACTAAGGCTATCAGTAGTGGCGCAGACCTATTTCTGGACTGTCAACAGCAATCTCGGAGAGTATTGCCTACTTGATCTTCATCAATGGCGGGCTCCCTGACTGAAGTCCACGTTCGAAAACAACCATGACGGTGCGTTTTGTTGTGATGTATATAAGAGCCTTACGGCTCTGCTCCAGCGTCGCCTGTAATGCGCATTCCACTTTTCCTTTACTCTATGACCATGTACCACCATAACCTTTCCTTTGGCGTATCGTGCCTCGTTCTCGCAGCAGCAGCCATAGCACAGACAACGGGCCCGACTGTAAGAACAGCTGATGGACCAGTCGTTGGCCGCACAACTCGGTCACTAGGACCCAGGGTAGCCGTCGACCAGTTCCTTGGAATACCCTTCGCGCAGCCACCCATCGATGATTTACGATTCGCTCCGCCGAGCAGACCAGAGCCATGGACAGAACCCAGAAATGCTACAGAACAGCCTCCTGCTTGCATTCAATTCTTCGGACGCCCAGGACCAAGCACCGACTTAGCTCAGCTTCTCTATAATGATCCACCAATAGGCGAAGATAGCGAAGACTGCCTCTACCTCGACGTATATGTTCCGAATGGAGGCGAGGACGACAAGCCAGTGTTGTTCTGGATCCACGGCGGATCTGGCATCATAGGAGCGTCTCATTGCCACTATATGACGGCACAGACTTTGCCGCAAACCAGGACACGATTGTGGTCACTTCAAATTATCGGCTAGGATGTCAGTAGCCTCTTCTTGCGGCAGATCTTGCTTCGATCGACCAGCTAATACTTTGCAGTCTTCGGTAACTTAGATGCACCCGAGCAGACCGTGCCATTGAACGAGTCGAGCCTTGGATTAATGGACCAAAGGCTTGCGCTGTCGTGGATCACTGAGAACATCGCGGCATTCGGTGGGGATCCTAAGAAAGGCAGGCTTGTGACACACATCCAGCAAGAAACCCCACTAATACATCATTGTAGTCACAATCATGGGCGAGTCCCATGGGGCGGTCTCTGTCGGCCATCTCGTCAATACCTTTCCAGACAATCCACCGTTTCGCGCAGCAATCGAAATGTCGGGAAGCGCTGTCGCTCTTGCTGGTTCTAGTGATCCAGGTGGGCAAAGCTCTGAACAGATCTGGCCTCGGGTCATGGCTGGCTTGAATTGCACCAATTCCGAAAATGCCGAAGAAGAGCTCTCGTGCGCTCGCTCTGCCTCAGTCAACGATATCCTCACCTTCCTTAATTCGAACGACATCCGTGGCACCTTAGCCCGGCCCGACAATGTGACAGCACTCGTTCGGCCTGACGTCGCCTGGTCTACACACAACGTAGCACAGGTCCCTCTCCTCATCGGCTCCACGGCTGATGAAGCAAGTTTCTGGGTCGTTTCCGCTGTTGCCGACCTTCAAGCGGCCACGTCTAATACGAGCGGCTCCGATGACAGTGTGCCATCCATTGCGACATTCCTAGAGGCGGAGTTCAACTTGCCATCTGCTGCAGCAGCCACGATTCAAGAGCTCTATGCGCCCGGGTCATCATACTACTCAGGCCCTAATGACACGTTCTCAATCTTGACAGCCATTCTCACGGATTATACCTTCCGCTGCACGTCCTCCTTTGTCGCGAACCTCACATCATCGCTTCTCGAGCAGAATGTGTGGCAGTACGATTTCACTGCCATTGCGCCCTCAACGACATTCGCTGAGTATCCTGGTCTAGGTGCTTGGCACTCGAGTGAGTTGGGATTCGTGTTCGGAACATACAACAGGAGCGGCAGGGCAATGGAGGTTGATGCAAGACTGAGTCGCTCTATGCAGGACCAGTTTGGCAGCTTCGTCAGAGATCCATCGGGTGATGGACCTGGCTGGGCACCCTTCCCAATCGTGGCAGCACTGGGTGTTGACGATGAAGGAGAGGCTACGACGACGGAGGTGGATGGAACAGATTATGCGCCCGTGTGTCAACTGTTCAATAGGCTGTACCTGCAGGACTTGCCGGCTTGGCAGCACTAGGAGGCCCTAACGGAAGGATTGATGCTGAGACCGGCACTGAGGCAGAGCAGGAGGAACAGGAGGGTGCGACAAGCAATGGTGCTTCGGTTGCAATGCACTGCAATGTCGCTCTTGTTCTCGGCGCGCTGACCTTGGGGGTTGCTGCGTTTCTATGATCGGAGTGCCTCCCGCCTAGCACCCTGATCCCATGCGCGTGGGCGAGGAGGCTCGGCGGGAGCTGCAAACTGGCGAACTAGCGTTGAACAACGGGGCAGGTTGTTCAGACAAGAACCGGGCGTTTTTCGAAATGATATCCGGATAAAGCCGGCGCCGAAACACAACTTCTCTCGCCCAGGGCGGTCGTTCCAGGCGCCGATGCCCCTAAAACGCTCAATTCTTGACCGAAGAAGTTGCGTGGGGGCCGAACCTTGGAAGGGGCCAGAAAGTTCGGATTCAGCGACCTCCCCATCCACTGTCCATCACACGCACATTCTACACCTTCCCAGTTGCAGGTCCTTGTCTTTGTTCTTCGTGTGTCGACTCGAGTAGTTGATGGCAGAGAGAGGTCGTGGAGTTCGATCCGCGATGCAGCAGCTTGACCAGAGCGTCGATAACCATGTAGACTCTTAGCGCGACGGGCGTGTGCAGAGTCATTCCATCGACAGGCGAACTTCACTCGTCGACATCAGCTTCTCACATTCCGATGCATCGGACAGTACGAGTCACGATGGTTTAGATCGTCAAAGATGAGAGCTTCAAGCATTTGGCGGATGCTCTCGCTTGCCACCATCGATACCGGCTAGCACCTGGGCATGTATCGTTACCGAACGCGCTAACAGCCAACCAAGCAAAGTACTGCATGGGCCTCGCTCTCTAAGAATGTCATATGCGTCCTTCTTCTCCTCATCCGTTATTGTCGTTCGTTATTGTGCAGCTGATTACTAGCGACAGAGAATAACATGGCGGAATCCGATAGCCTCACCGCCGTCGCGCTGATCGCGTCCTTTACGGCACTAGTCATCGCTCTTGGCCAGCTTCTGCAGCAAGTCTTCGGCACTGCTGAGGGCTTTCGCAGAACAAATAAGGAGATCATGGGCCTGTTTGCGCAGAGTCGCGACCGCGTCTTTCACTGGAGCGAATTGAGGTTTGAGACGAGGTTCAGCACCCCGCACTTCACCTTCCACTACCCTACTACTGAATCATCGCTGCTATCTGAGATCGACAATGGCGAGATCTCGGGTGGGAAGAGGGTCACGAATCGCAAGTTTGTGCTGGCCATTGGCGATAGCAGTGAGAGAACGGACGATCTGACTAGGGCTATAAAGTCGACAACGAGGCTCAGCAAGTTTCAGAGGCTCCTGAATGCTCTTGACCAGATACTGTCGCCAACAAATGGCCAAGCACTCCTGCCAGGATATCAAGCTTACTGTGCGAGCTGGCTCACACTGCTTGACCAGCTGTACGAAGATGACAAGAGATACCACCAGAGGACCAAGGGCGCCAGCATTATCCACTCACGAGGGCCTCCTAAGTCTGGCAAGATCGGACCTGACGCTCGACAGGTCCGACACTTTGCCATTGAATGTCACAGCCGATCCTGGGATCTCTTACCGCCAGATGTAGTGCGACCATTAGCATCGATTACGTTTGGCGACCTTCTGACGTTGTGCTACCGGCTTCGACTCAATGTTCGGTCTAAATCCAAGCTGGTGGAGTTCAACGCCGATGGCTACGGCAACAACTTTTCCACCTTACAGGTTCAAGGCGTGGGCACAGTCGTCCAATACAGATACGATCGCTCGAACGACACGCACGGAGAGCGCTATCTAGCGAATACAAAGTTCATTCCGTGCGAAGAAGCGGATAAGCTTGCTTTCAGCATCATTCCGCAGAATCCAGTGCTCGGTACCCACCATGATTGGAAGCTGCTGCGTCATAGCGGCCAACCGTTCCCAGAAGCAATGAGGGAACACTTTCGAGACCTCGGAATCTCTGAACAACAATGTAATAAGGCTAGCGCGCATAAAGAACGGGATAAGAACGACGTCTGGCGAACCTTTGTGGACTCCCTCTTACTCTTGGCGCCCTTCATGCTGATTGAAGGGCTTGGTGTCGTCAAATATCAGCCGCCAATCAGCGCAGAATGGCTAGAGTCGACGCTGTGGTGCCGCGAGAGCCGTGTCATATTCCGACATCGTCTGGCTCGAGGATTGCCAGACTTACCAGCGACGGTGGACACCACCGGGTTACTCCCTCCGAGTCGAGGTCCAGGCCAGGCGCAGATGCATTGGATCGGACTCGTGTTGCATTTCTTTGCAACCAGGTACCGTCAAAATTTCCACGCTAATGGCAATGGTATCGTGAGGGCTCTCCAGGAGAATGCGCACACTGAGAGCCAGTATGAACTCATTCGGAACGTCCGTTCTGCCTCGCAAGAAGCTGACGCCTACCTCGCGTCCCTATTCGATCAGGCTCACTGCATGCCTACTTATGTCTGCTTGGTCGCAGCGCATCAAGAGATGGCTATTCGGATACACGACGAGGTGAATCAAGAGGTACGCGAACACTCGAGCAAGAAGGACCATAAGGGCCAAAAGGCACCATGGGCAAGTCAACGGGAGATCCCTCAACTCCCGCCCGGTGTGAAGATGTGGGACTTTCTGGTAGAAGTGATGCATCGCTATATCGACGAAGCACTAGACGGCACGACGATCATTGACTCCTACATCAAAAAGGTCAAAGACCTGGAAAGCTCTGACGGCAGGGCGTCAGCAGTACTCAGCGACGATCAGATACGGACTGGCTGGTGTACGATGATCTTGCGCGGCATTCTGTGGCGAATGACTCACTTTCCAATCTCGCGGCCCAATCTGCCATACCCGAGCCAATACTGGAAGGACAACACGCTCATTCTCATAGCATGATTCTCGTCGCATTCCACGGCAGCGGACCTTCCACGAGATAGAGAATTCAAACTTGGCTCCTGCTCCGTGTGAGCATAGGATCGTGATGCACTTCGTTACTGCGCTTGTCTTCGGTGCGGTAAGGTTAGGGTTTGCGGATTCTCTGTGGATGGTCACAGGGCTGTCCCACGACCTTGGATCATCCCCTGTATGTTCCTGAAGCAGAAGCCTTTTGCTGACTCCGCCTATCTATCCCGCGATCAGTTGCGAATCTCGCCAGAGAGGGAGTTCAAGTTGTTCCAAACCCCCGTGTTCGGCTCAATAGACCCTCCGAGCCACCCAAATTGTCAGGGGAAACTCAAACATTGTGTTGGAGGTTTGATCTTGTGCCCACATGCTATACGCACGGGTCATATGTTGATGGAACGAGACTACAAAGAGAGGCGGGCGGCGGGCTCGAAAGTTCAATCGTAGACGATCATCCTTTCTGTACGGAGTGGAAGACTACATTGACTCACTTCGAAGTTCTCCGAGCTCAATGACAACAGACAAGATCATCGCAGTGGTCGGCGCTACCGACCAACAGGGCGGCGCCGTGGCTCGGACTTTTGCTAAACTGCCTGGTTGGACGGTCCGCGGTCTCACTCGGAACGTCAACTCACATGCCGCCAAGGCTTTGACCAAGTCAGGCATTCACCCTATTGCAGCAGATCTAGACGACGTTGAGTCCCTGAAGCAAGCATTCACAGGTGCCTCGGCTGTATTTGGCGTCACAGACTTCTGGGGTTTCAAGGACAGACCATCAACGGCAGCATTGATCACCGAGAAGGGCATAGCCTGGCCCGAGGCGTTCTACCTGCAGGAAGTGCAACAAGGCAAGAACATCGTAGATGCTGCTGCTGCTCAATTTGCGAAAGAAGGTGCTGGACTGGAACGACTCGTGTTGAGTACAATGAGCAACGTCAAGAGAAGCAGCGGCGGAAAGTACGACTCCGTCTGGCATTTCGACTCCAAAGCCCGCTTCGTGCAGTATCTCGCCGAGAAGGCGAAAGAAGAGGAGGACGGGCGGGCGGACTCTGCGCTGGGGTATGACTCGACTTACAGCCAGCTTATAGGCAGAACCAGCTACGTGCAGATGGGCTATTACCTAGACAACCACAAGCTAAACCCTCTGGCTACACCGAGGAAGGTAAGCATGTCCCAGTGACAAGGTTTAGGTCACCTCGAGTTGACAAATCGCAGAACGACGACGGCCGCTACACGTTTAATGTCATCTCGAATCCCGACCTAAAGACAGACCCCAAGCCGATACCGTTCGTGCATCCCACTACCGACCTAGGACCCTTCGTTGAAGCCTTGGTCCTCAATGCTTCTCCAAGAACAATTCTTCTCGGTACATCTGAGCAGATGCTGTTCGAGGACTATATCAAACTATGGGCGAAGACACTCGGTGTCACTAGGACCCACATCAACAAGCTGACCACAGCAGACCTAGTTCAGATGCTAGGCAAGGAGATGGGAGAAGAGATGGGACAGATGCTGTGCTACGCCGAGGAGTTTGGTTGGACTGGCGACGAAGGTGTGAGTTGTGTATTACCGAAGGACATCGGTGTTGATGTAGACGCGCTTACCACGGTGAAGAAGTATATTCGCGAGGAGGATTGGAGTGCTGTAGGACTATAAGACGGACAACCTGCTTTACGTGCATTCTAGACATCATCCACATGGAAGTGCTTCACGTCACATGGAAGAAGTGAGCGCCGGACGACTTCCTCGGCGTTTTCATTGTTGCCAATCTGAAAGTGGTAGTAACGCAAGTGCAACCACTCCGATACCGGTCTGGCTGGAACTACCTAGGTATTTCGCGTTGCTGAGCAAATTTTGCATAGTACTAGTAAAGCGTCTCGATTTTCGCTCTTGCAAGCGAGTGTCACACGAGCTCTGCGGGCATGAGCAATAAACATCACCAGAGTGAGGTCAGTTCATAAGGAACTCCCGTGCTTCAACCTTCTGGGCTCCTTGGCTCGCGGAATTTGGCCTGCATGCCCGTTGTGGCGCCTGCAACCGCCAATAGATCCGAACTGACAGCGGATCAGATTAGATGAAAATTCTTCAGCTCCACCTGATAAGATCAGCTTCAAGACATTTTCAGAGCTTGGAAAACCGCCGGCCTTTGGCTTGTTGAGCTTGTCAGAGCTCACTGGTCCACTGCTCGCGGTCTTGAAGACGCCGAAGCTCTCAAGCTTCGAGTCGATGCCGACTTGGCAGGCTTGGTGGATCGTCGAGACCCATCGCGTGGGCTCACGTTGGCGCTTGTGATTTTCGGATTTGGGAGCTCCTCGAGCTCTGTCGTAGAGCAGCAGCAAGCAGTCCAGCAGGTTTATCTTCGTGTCGGAGCGGCATGAAATGGGGTGCTCACGAGTATTCGACAAGCGAGAACAGTCAGGACTGGATCACACCACGCTTTCTCCGTCTTGGAAGATTGCCGCTCAATGGTCGACATGGCATCTGACATATCTTTCCCAGCTCGGTAAAGTCTTGAGGTTGCATCCCACTCCACCAGCAACGTGAGCGGAAGGAACTAGCAATGAAAATAGCTGCAGGGTCCGATGCAAACTTGCAGAAGATTTACTACGTTGAGTGGGCTCCAAGGTAAGGTATTTATGATCAGCTACCAGCCCTTTTCGTACCTGAACGTTCTGAACTTGATCTTATCAATCAGTCCCTTCCTGTATAGTCAGTCCTTTGCCCAATTGCCTCATCTGGCTTCTCACTACTTCAAGCCAATATGAGGTTCAGCATACCAGGCTTCAGAGGCGCTGCCAGCCTAACAGAATCCTCGTATGCCACAGGCACAGATGCAGAACACAGAACATCAGACTCTGCTGACTCAACAGCTGAGCATGGCGCTCACAACGAGAAGCACACCCACGTCGCCGGCGCCGCTGCCTACGGCGGCTACTCATCAGACGAAGACTCTCTGGAGAAGATCGACACCAACGCTGAGCATGGTGTTCAGACCATTCAAGCCATGACCCAAGTCTGGTCCAGACGCGATCTCTATGCCGCATACATCATGATCTGGCTACTTGCCTTCATCATGGCCTTCACGAGCGGCGTGGTCAACACCCTGACGCCATATGTTACCTCGAACTTCCAGGAGCACTCTCTCACGGCGCTCACTGGTGTCATCTCATCGCTTATCGCGGGCATCTGGAAGCTGCCGTATGCGAAGATCATGAATGTCTGGGGCCGCGCACAGGCCCTGACGCTTGGTGAGTGCCTGCCTCCTCTTCACGTCTCGCATTGGGACAACTAACATCGGCCAATAGGTGTCTCCTTCGTTACACTTGGATTGATTATGATGGCTGGCTGCAACAACGTCAAGACATACTGTGCCGCCATGACATTCTTCTACGTCGGCCAGCTATCGATCGACTTCTCGATCACGGTCTTCGTCGCCGATACCTCCCAGCTCCGCAACCGAGGCTTCTTCATCGCCTACGTCGCCAGCCCATGGCTCATCACCACATGGATCTATGGCTACGCCGCCAGCGACATCGTCAACAACATCGGCTTCAGATGGGGCTTCGGCGTCTTCAGCATCGTGGTCCCAGTAGTCGCCTCACCCTGGGTCGCCCTCCTGTGGCTCCGACAGCGCAAAGCCGTCAAAGCCGGACTCGTCCCTGCGCGCGCAACGGAGTCAATGACCCTCGCCCAAAAAGCCAAGCACTACTTCAAAGAATTCGACGTCCCCGGCCTGCTCATCCTCGCCACCGGCCTAGCCTCTTCCTCCTCGCCTTCAACATCTACTCCTACCAGCCCAACACCTGGCGCTCGCCCCTGATCATCAGCTTCATCATCATCGGCTTCTTCCTCATCTGCGCCTTTGGCCTCTGGGAAGCAAAGTTCGCACCCATCACCTTCGTTCCCTGGAACCTCCTCAAGAACCGTACCGTCATATTCACTTATATTATGGCCTTCACCCTCTACATTGGCTGGTACGTCTGGGACTCGTACTTCTACAGCCTCAACGTCGTGCTGTTCAACCAGTCCATCGTCAACGCCACATACATCGGGAACATCTACACCGTCGGCTCATGCTTCATCTGCGTCGTCTACGGCTTGTGCCTGCGCTTCATCAACGGCCGCCTCAAGCTGTACTCGTTCTTCTGGGGCGTGCCCCTCACCATTCTCGGAGTCGGCTTGATGATCCACTTCCGTCAACCGGACGTCAACATCGGGTATATCGTCATGTGCCAGATCTTCGTTGCCTTTGGCGGCGGCGTGCTCGTCATCTCTGAGCAGACTACCCTCATGGCAGTCTCGAAACAGCGCGATTTCCCCGCTTTGCTGGCGTGCGAGTCTATGGTCATCAGCATCGGCTCCGCCATTGGCTCGACGATCGCGGGCGCGATGTGGACGGGGATTTTCCCGGAGAAGTTGGCGCAGAATCTGCCGGCGGATGCGCTGCCGGAGCTAGCAAGCATCTATGGTGACTTGACTGTGCAGAGCGGGTATGAATGGGGCAGTCCGACAAGAAATGCGATCAACTTGAGCTATGGCCAAACTCAGAGGTATATGTTGATTGCGGCAACGAGCTTGTATGTGGTGACGTGGGTCAGTGTCCTGGGTTGGCAGGATGTCGATGTGAGGAAGATGAAGCAGCGGACTGTTGGGCTGTTCTGAACGATTCGGGAGTCGTCATAACCTCGGGTGCGCAAAGCAATGAAGCAGTCGACCAGGTCCAGGCTGTTTCTTCGCGGGTTGGCTACGATACGGCGATGTAGCTGTGCATTGCGAAATAGCTAGCGCTCAGTCTAGAGAATGATCCAGAAGCAGTGTCTTCCTGTGGCCTGCTTCGTTGTTCATGTAAGGGCATTTGCCGTACCAGGTTCGCCCAATTAGAGTCGGGTAGCTGCTCAGATTTGTGTTCTGAATCCGGTGTGTTGATTATGCTGGTTGGACAAGTGAACAACTTTCCCTCATGTCCGTCGCAAAGGTGTCGATATGCCAATCGTGAGTCCTAGCGGCTTTCTCTACAGGCAGGCAGGTCGTCGTTCGTGGCCTCGAACGCAGTGTCTCGCCAATTGACGATGATTTAGCGCTGCTCGGCCGAGGCCGTGGAGATCGGATCTCCTTGTTGCCCAGATATGGTGTCGGTAGGCCTAGCTGAGGGTTTGCTGTCGCCTCGATTCGTTATGAGAGTGGCGTATCGAGCAAGTCCTCCCTAGCGAAGCGAAAAGTCAAACCACGAACGACTTCGCAGCCCATGAGAAAGTCGCAGCGCACGACGTCGTAGTTCTCGGTCTCATAGACACGCAGCTGATCTTCTTGTGCCTTTCACTTGACACAGTAAGCTCTTCCTTGCACACGAGGCGCCGCATAACGTCCGAAGTCATCGACAAGCGCACGATACTTGCCTCCCCAGGTCCTGAGCCTTCCCCCGATGAGGCTTGCTCTAGATAATGTCGGCTCCACATGCTCCGGCAGGTCCAATACCTTCGAGAGGACACTGGGCTCAGAAAGAGTTCCGTAGAAGAAGTACCACACGGGATACTCATTCTGTCGCGGCGCAGGGTCCCGGTCGTCTACATGGGCAGACTCATCGAGGCGGTACTGAGGCAGGCTCGAATTAACTCCCAACATTGGTCCGATGTTGTGGTCGTTGAGTGCCTTGGCCGCAATGTCAAGCCTGATGATCGTTGGCCGATATCCTTTAGCTGACGCCCAGTCGACAAGCTTGTCCGTGATTGAACCATCCACCGTGGCGAACTTCTCGTTCTTGCCATCCTTGTTCTTGCCAATTGAGACCTCCAGCATCCCTGACACTAGTGCTTCGTGGTATTGAGCTTGTAGGGCGAGCAAGTCGTTAAGCTTGATGAGGAACTTACCCTTGGAAGCTGTTGTTGCTGGTGCCTTTCTGACTTCGTTCATAGTCAGACTGTATTCGTACGATTCGCGGTCAAATCCTGCCGCTTCCTTTTCGGCCGCTATCTCGGCCCAGTGATCATTAGACAGATGGTCGCGAGCAAGATCAGCGCGATATCCCTCGATCTTGCTTTTTGCTTCGGGTGGAGAGAAGTCGAACAGGCGCTGCCATCGTTCAATGTCCTCGGAAGTGACCCTGGATGCTGCGTTTGTCTCAGCATTAACGGCCATGGCTCAAGGCTGAGAAGAGGTCGTCCATCATTAGTGTGGTGCGTAGGTCACCGCATTTGACGTGTCCGTGAATGAGATATAACAGAGAGGATGCAATGTGAATCATCGCATGAATCATATAATGACAAGTAAGTTTGACCTGAAAAGGTACTCTCAACCACGGAAATAAAAGGATCTGAGTGGGAAGGAGATTTCGCAGGCCCCATCTCAGCTGGCGGTGTTTGTTCGTCTGCCTGCAAGATGACTGGCGCGGAATGCTTTGTAACTTCACCAAAAATGCAAAAGCGTGGGGGATGGGTCGCAGACTTTCCGCTGGCTGTCCTCAGCGAATTGGTGCGATATGACTGGTGCGGAGTGCCAAGCAAAAACAGATAGAAGTCCATATACGTCGTATTGGGAAGAGTTGTGGAGCACAGGCTTTCGAGGAATAAGCCTACCTCAGCTGGCTGCCTGAGGCATCCGTCTCCCAGTTTCAGAAGTGCTGAGTCCCTCCAAGACTGACCTGAGGATGCTGCATAGATCAGTGTACTCTCATAGAGGAATGGCAGCTCCGTCGCCCCTCAAGTCGCTCCCACCGGCATAGACCATCATCTGTGCTGCCTCGTCCCAGTCCTGCGTGATCACTTGCCCTCTCCCGAACTTCGATCGTGCCCAGCCAGTCAAGACCTTCGTCTTGTGACCCATCTTCTGCAGTTCTTGAACCACATCGTCGCCAATGCCATCCTCAACGAAGACATCTCCGGTCGCAGCACCAGTGTCAGTGCCTGCGCTGATGCAAATTCTGGGCGCGTCCAGAGCTTCTTGCGGATTCATACCAAAGATGACCTGATTCAACAACACTTGCACATGACCTTGTGGCTGCATGAAGCCGCCCATAACACCATAGACCGAATGCAGCTTGCGATCCTTGCCGTCGCCGATCGTCGTCAAGCCGGGAATGATTGTATGATATGGCCGCTTTCCTGGTGCGTATATGTTTGGATGGTTATCTGGGGCCATGTTGAAGTTACTTGCCCGATTCTGCAAAGTGAATCCGCACCCCTTGGGAATGATGTGCGACCCGAAACCGTCGTAGTTGGAATTTATGAAGCTTATCGCATTACCGTTGGCGTCTGCCACGGCGAAGTAGACTGTGTCGCTGTGGTTGTGTGCCGGGCTCGGGCCAGGCTGGCCATGACAGTGAGATTGCGCTTTGGTTGGATCGAAGAGTCCCGCGCGTTCATCAAGGTATGCCTTGGAGAGCAGCTTATTGGGCGCCACAGGACTATGCTCTAGGTCAGTGATCCACCATGCACCATCTGCGAAGGCTATCTCGAGGGCTTCGATAAGCGCATGGAGGTATGGCACAGTATTGTGATCGTCTCGCGAAAATTTGGGCACTTTCTCTTGTTCTTGAAGTCGTTGCAGAATACCAAGAGTCATAAGAGCAACAAGACCTTGTCCATTGGGTGGATTCTCCCACAGCTCAACATGATCCTGGCCGTTCGAATTGTCAATGTAGTACTTGAGCGATATTGGCTCGACCTCCTCTGTACCTAGCTTGGCATGGTTCGCAAGATCGGATAACTGCATGAAACCGCCTTCACTCTGGATGATCTCGACAATGGACTGGGCAATGCGTCCTTCGTAGAACCCACTTTTACCTTGCTTCGCGAGAGTCTCGAATGTCTCAGCGAGCGCAGGGTTCCTGAGAATCTCACCGGCACCTGGTGCACGATATGAGCCATCGACGTCACGTTTCAGCATCTCGTTCGAGTTTGGTGACGCGAGCTTCAGGTTCGACTCAGAGTTCCGCCACCTGAACGCTGCGCTTTCGCTGACGGGAAAGCCCTTTCGTGCTAGCTTGATGGCCGGCTGCAGAATGTCGGCAAGACTGAGCTTTCCACTCCCGAACTTCTCGATTGTGTCAACCCAGCCAGCAGCAGCGCCAGGCACAGTCACTGACAGAGGCTGATCTGCGGTATGCGGTTTGCGCCATCAAGCTTCTCTCGGATCTGCTCCAGACTCGCTTGCTGCGGACTTCGACCTGATCCGTTCAACGCGTGCACCTTTCGGGTGCTTGCGTGCCAGAAAAGACAGAACATATCACCACCAATCCCAGTCGAGCACGGCTCAGTGACGTTCAGAGCCGCCGCGACGGCAACTGCTGCATCGGCAGCGTTCCCGCCGGCCTGCAATATCTGGCGGCCGGCTACGGACGCTAGTGGTTGTGTTGATGCCACCATGCCTTCCGTGCTGTACACCACACTGCGGCGACTAGCGAATCTTGCAAACATCCCGGGCTCGGGAGCACGCCGTGAAGTTGGATTAGTGTCCATGATTGCGATTTCGTCAGACCGTGTGCTCAACAGGCGTTGACGGGGCAGATGCAGGGCTCCTGACGTTACGTGCTTGCTATCGAAGCTTCCGCAGCTTCGTCAGTCCAGTTGATCTCGAGATCAATCGTGGCACAGGATGAGAGGTGGTTCTGTGTTGATCCCCACTTATCGCAGTAGGTAGATGTTAGCCATTCCCACTCCGACAGAATCGAACGTCAATGTCTTGTCCACTGCTTCGCGAAGATCGTGTTGCGTCTGCGCATAATGTCTGTGATCCATGACGAATTCCTCGCGTAGGACATGTCCACAATCACGGGTGATAATAACTCGATGTCCTCGGCACTTGGAACAAGGTTCATGCCGCTAGGCGTCAATATCCTACGAGACGCGGGGTGACGACAACACTGTGTGTCACCGTGTTCTGGCCTGATAGGCCATCTATAGGCATCAACTTAACACTTCTGGTCCTCGTAGCTGCTGACGCCTGGACGGACTCGATAAGTACAATCGCATCGTGATTTATCTGCTGGACCTGCTTGGTACCCCGCCCTCCAATCTGTACCCGAATGACGGCGGACGAACAGAAATGGCTTCAACAAGGATCCAGGCGCCGGAAACCCCGAAAACCGTCGCCATCATCGGCGCTGGTATCTCTGGATTGAAGGCCGCAGACATCCTACTCGCCGCTGGCGTCAAAGTGAAGATCTTCGAAGCTCGTGATAGAGTCGGTGGTCGCGTGCATCAGATCGAATGTGGCGGCCACCTGGTCGACGTTGGTGCCAACTGGATCCATGACACTGATGGCAACCCGCTCGTAGACATTGCCAAGCGGACGCACTCGGAGCTCTTCTGGCGACCGGGAGCGTCGGCGATCGTAGGCTCCGATGGGAAGACACGCAGTCCGGTCATTACGACATGGCTCGGCAAATCCTTGAATGCAATCATGGCACAAGCATATGACTTCAGTGCAAAGTATAGCGATGAAATTGATCCTGGTGAGAGCTTGATGGACTTTGTGCATGAGAAAGCTTGGAGTGCGTATCGCGGTGCGCCGGACTATCTGCAGGATCTGCTCAATGAGGCTGAGCGTTTTGGGTTGTTCATTGGAGAGCGCACATCGAGGCAGAGCCTGAAGTTTCTGACGTATGAGGAGGGCCCTGGTGGCACGGACGCGTTCAATGCGAGCACGTATAGAGAGATCCTCGGGTACATAGCGAGCAGGGCGGTTAAGGCAGGCATGATCCATCTGGAAAAAGAAGTGACCAAGATTACCTACGATAAGTTTGGCGATGTCAAGGGTGTGGTAGTCACAACGGCGGAAGGAACGAAGGAGACATTCGATGAGGTCGTCATTACCTGCCCACTTGGATGGCTGAAGCAGCACCAGAAGGCGCTGTTCACTCCTTCTCTGCCAAAAGCTCTATCAGTGGCTATTGACAACGTTGGGTAGGTTTTCAGACAGCTGTGTTTTCCGAGTGCTAACCAGATGACCAGGTACGGCAGACTCGAGAAGCTGTATTTGTCGTTTCCATCAGCCTGGTGGCTGGAAAGAGACACACTACACGGCACAATCGATGGGCCTAAGCGACATGCATTCGCCACCCATTTTCACGATCCTCAGTATGGAACCTATCCTCCTGGCCTCCCATCGAACGTAGCGATCCTGTCACTAGCACATCTTCCGAACCACTGTGATCACCCCACTCTGCTGATCTACCTATCCGGCCCCTGTGCCACGAAGATGGTGCGATCAATCGCCAGCCTGGAGCCCAACAGTGGCGAGTACAACGCGACAATCGACGAGTTCGCTAAGCCTTATTACTCGCGCCTTCCCAATTATGACTCCAACGATCCAGCCTGCTCGCCTGCCGCCTACTTCGGGTCAACCTGGCAAGCAGATCACCTGGCTGGCAATGGCTCATACAGCTTCGGCAAGGTTGGAAGTACCCAGCTCGATATTGATTTGGGGACGCTGCGAGAAAGTGGTGGACTTGGCGAACGCGCTGGTGTCTGGTTTGCTGGTGAGCATACTGCGCTACCAGAGTATCTGGCAACGGTTACTGGAGCGTTCTTGAGTGGCAAGCGAGCTGCTGAGGACGTGTTGGCAAAGTGGTCTGCGGGAACGTAACGTCTTTTATGTCGCCTTGTGGTTAAGCGTCGCTCAGCATCTCTATAGCTTCGAGTATACGCATAATCCGATCCCAGCACACACGCATGTCATGCCAATCCACGTATCGCGAGTGATGAGCTTGCCCTCGGCAAGATACTCGCCAAGCACAGTAAACAAAAAGGCCAACGAATTAGTGATTGGCACCGTCAACGAAAGCTCCGCTTGTCCCACAAGCAAAAAGAACCAGATACTCCCCGTCAAATTAGCGACCAGCGGTATCGCATAAGCAGGCTTCCTAACAAGCCCTACAACAGTGAAGAACGCTTTGGCGATCTGTCGCGATATCCAAGATCGTGATGGATCGGTAATTGATGGATTCGTCGGAGCTGTGTAATTTACGGCCGCACGCCGGATGAACGGTGTTGTGAATCCCCAACATACACCGACCAGGAGGAATGACAAGATGTAGTTGAATGGCGATGGCGAAGATTGCTCTTGAGCGGTCGACATCGCTGCTGTCGTTTACTTTGCGATCGTATACGATTGCAACGCGCAAGATCGAAACAAGTTCGGATTGGTGCTTCGAATATAGCAATTAATGAAAAAGTCAGGGGAATCTTGTTCCTGATCGCCAATGTCAGATCGGGTTCTTGGGCTAGCTTTGTCAGCATGGAAATTATCACCGGATGACAAGATCTGCGATGCGTTATGTCAAACCGGCTGACTGCATTTCCGTACTTTCAGTTTACGGATATATTTGTGCTACTCAACATCCAGCTGCCACATTCGTATTGCCCAAGCTGAGAGAGCACAACGATTCCTCGAACCGTAGTGTCTGAAAATCCTAGCTCACGGCATGTCCAGGAAGTTGCATCTCATGTTGCCTGATTCTCAAGGTATTTTCGCATTTCTGACATCGTCCTCTTGATCTCCTGTTCAAATTGACCCGAGATCACCCCTGCCACAGGAAACATATACCAAGGGAAATCCAGAGTGACTGTTCGGTCGACAACGCTCGACAGATGAACGCCTGACAGATGGATACCTTGAGCGGCCCCCGCCGTGGTGTCGCTAACCTTCATATCCACGCGTATCCGAATTTCGAGCCCGAAAATGAGTCGCATTGGCTGCTTGAAAGCCACGTGGCGTTGAACGTGGTCAAGCTCACAGACTTCGCCGTAGCGCGTGCCAGAAGGACTTCTCTCGATGTACTTGGTCCCAACGACGATAGGCGTGTCTGTAACCTCAGTTGTGCCCTTGTACGCGCTTGAGGTGGGCAGCCAGTCGTTGTATCCTGGCAAGTCGATGATGAGTGCAAAGACGGCATCTGGGTCTGCTGCGATGGGAGTCGACACCCGTATGGTTCTGACGTCTGGAGTCATCGTTCAGAGACAGCTACTACACAGTCGAGCACCCGACTAATAGGCGGGACGAATTCAAGGCCAGCAAGCGCAGTCACGAACCTACCTATATATGGACCGTCGCGCAGTCTCTGTGTATCATTGCATGCGACCAGCGCAACCGCGATCTTGTATCGTGCAGTGTATACGATACCAATCAATCTGCAGGAAGTGATAGGCGATAGTGCGCATTGCCACGCAACCCATCGGCATAGGCGAAGCTGAGGTGACTTGGGTGATAAGGTGTTGCCCGCTGAGCCCAATCGTCAGAGCTTGCGCAGGAATTGTGTGGCTGACTGACCAGGCCCGGTCGCTAGCTTGCTGTACCTCGTGCTAGACTACCTCGTGAGGAGGACTACAATACAAATAATGTTCAAGGACGGGCAACGGTCTCTGCTTCGTATTTACTTGGATAGCGACCACCGACATCCCGGCCGAAAGCTTATAATAGCAGGCACGATCAAGCACCAAATTGCCTCATCTTGGCTTCCGTCATCAGTTCCCAAATCATTCTTCGACACGAAACATTATCTTGAACAACGTTCGACCGACTTCCTACGCACCACGCACCGTTTCCGTCTATCTCCTGGCTAGAGCTTCTTCGTGTCGTCTAGGATGAGCCGACTCGGATGGTCCTGAACCCAGGGCCCCGAATCTCATCGCTCGAACGAGGCATTGATTCTGCTCAACTCCTCATTGCAGTAAGTTTTAACAGCGGCTCGCCGTCGAACGGCTCGGTAGTACTACGATTAATGATCTGTGCCGCAACACCATGAGCCTGTCTTGGGAGGTCTCCCCGATCTGGCCTGACTCTGCGCCTGTGCACCGACGCTTAGCGATATGGACAATATCGGTCGTGGCTGTGAGAGTTCGGGCGTAGCTTACCTCGTCCTTGCCAGTACGAGGAACCTCGCCACCGGCTTTCTGAGAGCCTGGCGGGCCCGAGCTACATAATGTCTGGCTTGAACTTAGGCGTTGACGGTATGTGTTGATCAGAGTGAGTCCAAATAACAGGCGTCAGACATCGCGAAACATACATGACTTCATCTTGGTGAGGCACATCCATGCAACTATTTCTGCCGTCGGGAACTATAGTGATATCAGTATAACTAGCGAGACCGTCTGACAGCGACAACATAATGCGTATCACGATATATGTCTGCGCCACCACAAAGCGATGAGGTTGTACTTCGTCCAACGCCGAAGAAGAAAGGGACGAAGGTCAAGACAGGATGTTTGACATGCAAGATCAGACGAATCAAGTTGATCAAGCCCTTTTCATTGGCAAGTATTTAGCTAACGAGCACAGGTGCGACGAAGCGAAGCCAGCATGTCTCCGCTGCAGATCCTCGGGACGCGAGTGTGGAGGCTACCCACTCATCAAGACGTTGACATTTGAGATCGTCTCAGAAGAGAACGAGAAACGCAGTTTCTTCTACTATCGCGAAAAAACGTTGCAGCATCTTGGCAGCTTCCAACAACATCGATTCTGGGACCGGCTCGTTGTGCAAGCCAGCTACTCGCATGAGCCATACGACGAATGGTGGTTGCAATAGGCGCATTCAACGAGGCCGTAGATCACGAAGATGCCGAAGTCAGTCGCCAACTGCAGACTCTTGCTCTGGAGCAGTATTCTCGCGCGCTCGAACAGACTGTCAGCCGGATCGAGATCATTGCGCAGGAGCATCTCCTGATAGCAGCCTTGATGTTTTCTTTTTTCGAGAGCATCCGCGGCCACACACTCGCAGCTTTGAGGCAGCTATATTCGGCGATATCGGCCTTGTTGCGGCACTGGACTGATGACCGGGCCATTCCTGTGATTGAGGACGATCTAAGACCCATCCTGGCCTTTACACACGTTCGGGCATCGGCGCTGTATCCGCAGATACTGCAAATACCTGCTCCTCTGAATGGCGATCTTCCGCAGCGTTTCGACAGCATGAATGAGGCGCACCTACACTTCTTTGCGATCGCGCAGAGGATCTCCACGGAGCTGGACCTAGAGTACCGAAGAGGTTCGTCAGCAGATCGACCTGCACTCACCGGGGCCGGCTTTCTGGCGCGTTTCAATGCATGGAGAGAGCGATTTGTGGAATTCATCAATGGCCCGGAGCCTACCTGTCATTGCGAAGTCTCCCAAGTGGAGATCCACCACCGCCTCGGCATACTGTTCATGCAAATTCAGTACCTTTCTGCTGCGATCAGGCTGCGAGCCGGCGTGATCGCTTCAGAAATGGCATTCGACTCGCATGTGGAAGACATCAAGCGGATACTAAATCTACATGAGCAAATCATGTTGCTGTTTCGGAGACCAGACTACGACGGCCCAGCAGCCGCCAGATGTCTAGGCTTCACGCCCTCAGTCCTACCGACATTGGCCATGCTAGGTTTGCGGTGTCGAGATGCGGCAACCAGGCGCCGCATTACGGCAATCATAAGGTCTGCCGGCAATGGAGGTAATCAGCTCGGCAACAAACTTGCTGCGGAGATCCTCGAGAAAGTCACAGAAGTCGAAGAGAGCCTCGCAACGAGACAGCCTGCACAGGAGGCTGCTGACATACCGATCGAAGCACGTCTGGTCATCTCAGCAGTCACCATGTTCAAGTATGATGCAGGTACGCAACAATTCGCAATCGTCTCCGACTACGGTGACCCCGATCTCGTTCGCGTGCGATACCTCAGACCACACACGGTCACTGCGACCGAGGCTGGGGACGAAAAACAACTACAGTACGAATCATTCTGGATCGATAGACGCCCGTTCATATCAGATCTTCAATTGCCTTATCCAGAAGACGTTCAGCCTCTGTTCCCACAGCTTCTCACCACCAGGACCAGTTGTTTTCCGGCAACCGGTCATCCGAGGACATACTCATTGCATATCGAGCAGCATTCTGCCAAATATACGTGGCTCCTCTGGCGCCGCCCCCAAGGCGGAACTCCACGGCATATATGAACACCCGTCGCGCATTTGTGATGAATTCGGTGGCTCTGGGTCTGATGGGCGCTGGCGAGTTGGCGACATTGCGATAGCCAGCCCTAGTTAAGGCACGACGGTGGTGTCATGTAGAACAGCTTGTTTTAGCGATGGATGTCCGGGCGGAAACGCTTGTGACTCATACAATATTTTGATGTGACGTTGCGAGACAGAGGAGTGTACCATTCCTATATAGATCGTGCATCGTACATAAAGTCTGCATAACCGATGGTGTGGGGGCCACTTTGTCTGGATCTGTGAAGGTACCCTTACTGTCCAACCCTCTTCAGGGACTACTAATCAGCAACACTTTCCGCATACAGACTTCTATGATTGACTCGCACTTGCAAAGTAAGAGATTGTCCCCTACTGGCATCGACATCTTTCAGCATATCGTTCTTTAGTCTACTTCGCAATGTAAGTGGAAATCGGCATGAATTATCCGCGGACGGCACGCCCTTAGAAGCATAAAACCACAAACGCCTTTCAACTACAACGACATTTCTTCGAATACATCTGTGAAGATCTCTGGCAGCTCCTCTCCTCAGAGATCATCCCTTCCCTCGTACACCCAACCTACCACCACCACACCACCGCACAAAATGTCCACCACAACAATGCCAAACCCCACCCCACGACCAAACCCAACATCAACACTCACCACCCCCACCGAGCCTTCCGAAAACGTCTCCGATATCACCATCTCCCTCGCCAACCCCACCCACACAGATGCCCTCGTCACCCTCATCAACGAAGCATTCTACTCCGACACCACCGGCGAAGCCTGGCTCACCGACGTCCGCACCCCCGTCGCCCACTCCTCCTTCATTCAACCCATGCTATCGGACCCCGACTTGCGCTTCCTCATCGCCACCGCCCCCACCGACCCCAGCGCACTGCTTGCCTGCTGTTTCGTCAGATACAACCCCACCAGCGCCGCACCATCTCAGGATCCAGCTACAGCTAAAACGACGGCATGGCTGGGCTTCCTGTGCGTTCGTCCCAAAGTGCATGGAACAGGGTTAGGTGGGAAGATGCTCGCCTACGCGGAGGAGTTCATTCGAAGGGAATGGCCACTGCCCAACGGGCCGACTAGGGTTGAGATCAATGTGGTGAACACGAGGACGGGACTGATGGGGTATTACGAGCGGAAGGGGTTCAGGAGGACGGGGAGGCAGACGGCGTTTCCTTATGGGCCGAGGAAGGGGGACGGGGTTCTGAGGGATGATCTGGCTATGGTGGACTTCGGCAAAGACTTGGGGACTGGGGAGTGAGAGGACAGGGCCTGTAGGACAGCGGTTCTGCTGCGAGGCGAATTGCTCAGGAGTCTCTCCGAGAACGAAATCATGACCGTTGGGAGTCGGAGAGCACGGCACGGGATGGGCATGGAAGGTCTTCCCAGCGGGCCGGACCTAAGTGCTGTGGTCTACGGCAGACACAGTGCTGAGTTGTTGAAAAACCAGAAGATCTGAGCAAAGATGCTACTACCTGGAGTACCTGTTCAAGAACCGCGAAACAATAGCCGGGTCTGAGAGCTCGGGGACAGATCACATCATTGCCCACGATGCTGATCCAGTGCCAGATTTCGCGGAGCGAGCACTCCATAGGGAGCGCCTACGGCGCTCCCTCTTGGGAAAGGAAGGGAGTGGAATGTAGTAGTCATATCAAAGTGTAGGAGGTGGAATCTAGTGGTCGGAACGTATCTTTTTTGATTATTTTGTTCTATTCAAGCTGGATGTACACAAGAATTCTTTGCCATGGGGTATTCCCGTCTCTTAACCTTTTTGGCGAGCGCAGCGAGCATGAGGCTGGAGGCCGTGAGGCCGGAAGTAGCGTCGCAGGCGAATAGTGGAAGGCGCCGGGTCTGGGGACGAGGTCATCAACAGGCAGCGTGAGAGTCGCTGCAAGACAGTCCGGAGATGTGACTGCCGTCGTTCAGACGCATACCCGCGCAATTACCGTAGAGCAAAATTGATGCTCATGTGGGAGAATGAAGACCTACAGCGCTCTTTCCCCCAGCGGTCCTGCCTGTCTTCACCAGCTACACCTCCTCGAAGAAGGACCGCCGCGCACTTGATAGACTGTCCTGTCGACCGTCTTTGTACAGCCGGTGACTTGCATCGTCAGTATCAAGGTGCACAACAAGGAACTCTTTGCATTGTGCACGGCATAATTGAGCACCTATGTCCGCCATGCGTGTCGTGAGTCAACGCGCAATATCGTCTCATGGACTCAGCAGTGATGGTAATCGACAAGTATTCCCAAGTCTTTGAAACCACAACTGGCGTGCATTAGCCACATGTCGCCCAAAATAGATTCATGCAATTATGCTGTCGCAAAGATGCTGTACTGCGATGCATGCCTTTTTACCACCTGTACTGCTCTGTAGATCAGCCAACCAGTTGCAGAGATAGCGAAGGCATCAGGAAATCGTTCTCGCCCTGTTGTGGCCGCAAGTTGGCACAGCAGAGGAGAAAACAGGACTTTGAAAGTTCCCTTGAGGCGAACGCGGTGGAGGCAGTTGACGCGGTTTCTGTGGCGATGAGATCTCTCGGCGCAGAAACCCTAGCGCTGCCTAATCGAGTATGATGGACAGATACAAGCATGCAGCTGACGAGAACGATACGAGATGCTTGAAGAGTGGCTGCAATTCGCCGACGACGAGCTGAAAGACTTCATCAATTGATCAGACTCACTACTCTCGCTGCCGCTCTGTTCATATCGACTTGTGCCACCACTCTCGTTGGCCGTTTCATAGCAAACAAACAAACTTCGTTACGACGAGCTTTGCCTTTTTAATTCTCCCCGCGTTTCACCTTGCGCCACGATCCATTCGCAACAAAGTCGCAGATATCTTGCGCGGACCACTGCGACTTCACACAATTCGCACTGCAGTTTTGGTTGCGGAGTCGAGACTTCCATCTTTCCTTGACACATACCACGCGCGTCGCCTTGTCAAGGCGTCATGGCCTACAATCGCCTTGGTCAGCCTCCCCGAACCATGCATTCCACCCTGAAACCCACTGACCATGTCACAGGAGGCGGTTCCGATGGCCGTAACGACAGCTACGTGAATCCCCAGCCCGGTCGCTCGCCTTCACCTGGTCGACCTCTGCAAGGCTATGATCACGACGACGACGACAACGACTATCGTTTACAGCCTCCACAGCTTCACCTGCAGATGCCCATGGCGTCCACAGACCGATTAGCATACCAGCCGACGTACTCTGTGGAAAACGTGCATAACTCGTACGGCCACGATGCTCAGTATAATGCGCAACAGGGCCAGCATGGCTCAGCAGGAGGAGTTGGAGGTGACTACGTCCTGAACCCCGAGCAACATCACGATCAGTACTACAACCAGCCATATTCTCCTCACCCACAAGGCGATTATGCCCTCGATCCATACCCGACGCCCGATCAGCGCTACAATGACGAAGATAATAGACCTATCCTCCAGCCAGACAGCGCATATGGCCCAGATCCTCATACACAACCACCAATGCAAGGAGACTACTACGATGACCCAGGCATGAGACCAACCCCTTCGCCAGCGCCGATCAGACGATGGAAGACAGTCAAAGAAGTCCCTCTATTCAACGGCAACCTCGTCCTCGACTGCCCTGTACCTCCCAGACTCCTCAGCCAAGTCCCACACGTCCAGCCGCCCGAAAGAGACGAGTTCACACACATGCGATACTCCGCCGCCACATGCGACCCGAACGACTTTTACAATGAGAGATTCACCCTGCGACAGCGACTCTTCCGCCAGCCGAGGCATACAGAGCTCTTTATCGTGGTCACCATGTACAACGAAGACGACTTCCTCTTCGCGCGCACCATGATCGGCGTTTTCAAGAACATTGAATATCTGTGCTCAAGGACGAGCAGCAAGACCTGGGGCAAGGACGCCTGGAAGAAGGTTGTGGTATGTGTCGTTAGCGATGGTCGAGCCAAGATCAACGAGCGGACAAAGGCGGTACTGGCTGGTCTGGGAGTCTACCAAGACGGCATCGCCAAACAGCGCGTCAACGAAAAGGACGTCACCGCCCATATCTACGAATACACCACCCAAGTCGGCCTCGAGCTCAAGGGCCAACAAGTCGTCCTGAAACCGCGTACCAACACCCCCGTCCAAATCCTCTTTTGCCTCAAAGAAAAGAACCAAAAGAAAATCAACTCGCACCGCTGGTTCTTCCAAGCCTTCGGCCGCGTCCTCGACCCCAACATCTGCGTCCTCCTCGACGCCGGCACAAAACCCGGCAAGGACTCCATCTACCAACTCTGGAAAGCCTTCGACCTCGAGCCCATGTGCGGCGGCGCCGCCGGCGAGATCAAAGTCATGCTGGACCACGGCAAGAAGCTCTACAACCCATTAATCGCAACACAAAACTTCGAGTACAAAATGTCCAACATCCTCGACAAACCCATGGAATCCTCCTTCGGCTTCATCTCCGTCCTCCCCGGCGCCTTCTCCGCCTACCGCTACGTCGCCCTGCAAAACGACAAGAACGGCGAAGGCCCCCTCGAAAAATACTTCCGCGGCGAGAAAATGCACGCCGATGCCGGTGTCTTCACCGCAAACATGTACCTCGCCGAGGACCGCATCCTGTGCTTCGAGCTCGTCTCCAAACGCAACTGTCGCTGGATCCTGCAATACGTCAAATCCGCGTCAGGCGAAACCGACGTGCCAGACCGCATCGCGGAATTCGTGCTCCAACGCCGCCGCTGGCTCAACGGCTCCTTCTTCGCAGCAGTCTACGCGATCGCACACGTCCACCAGCTCTTCCGCTCCAGCCACAGCTTCCTCCGCAAACTCATGCTCATCATCGAATTCATCTACCAAACCATCAACATGCTATTCGCATGGTTCGCCATCGGTAACTTCTTCCTCGTATTCAAACTCCTCACCACATCGCTCGGCACCCCGGACCTACTGGGCCAACCAGGCAACATCCTAGGCATAGTCTTCGAGTTCGTCTACCTCGGCACCCTCCTCTACTGCTTCATCCTCAGCATGGGCAACCGGCCCCAAGGCTCCAAAAAATCCTACCTCGCCATGGTAATCTTCTGGTCCGTGCTCATGATCTGGCTGACCTTCGCCGCCGTCTTCGTCACCGTGCGCGCGATCCAGAACGAGTTGGCCGATGGCGATATCACATTCACGTCAATCTTCAACAATAAAACATTCTTCGGGTTGATCGTCTCTTTGGGATCGACCTGGGTCCTCTGGCTCGTCTCCTCCATCCTGTTTTTAGATCCCTGGCACATGTTCACCTGCTTCATCCAATACATCGTCCTCACACCAACCTACATCAACGTCCTCAACATCTACGCGTTCTGCAACACCCACGACATCACGTGGGGCACCAAGGGTGACGATAAGGCGGAAAAGCTCCCCGATGTGAAGATCAAGGAAGATGGGAAGGTTGATGTTACGATCCCGCAAGACGACGGCGACCTCAATGCGCAATACGAGACTGAGTTGCTGAAGTTTGCGGGGAAACCACCAAAAGAAGTGAAAAAAGTGAATAAGGCGGATGAGCAGGAGGATTATTATAAGAGTTTCAGGACGAATGTGGTGACGATTTGGATGATTACGAATTTTATTCTCGCGGCGGCGGTGTTGAATGTGGGTGGGTTTGATCGGATTAATACTGGTGGGGAGGGGAGTGGTGATGGCAATAATGGGCAGATATATTTGACGGTGGTGTTGTGGAGTGTGGCGGGGTTGGCGTTGTTCAGGTTTATTGGGGCTATGTGGTTTTTGGTGAAGCGGTTGTTTAGGGGTGTGTAGTTATAAGGATCGGATGGGGGTGATGGTAGTGGTGAGTGGGTTGCTGGTGTTTCGGGGGAAAGGGGCAACATGGCATTGAGAACGTTGTACGATGTGTGTATCTGTAGCGCCAGGCGTTTGGTCGCGATAACATGGCATACCCATTCTGTTGTGCGGCTTGCCTAGCTGGAGATAGAACGCTGAAATGAATGAGCATGGCAGAGACGCAATTGTTTTTCTTCACGTGTGGACTAATTCGCACGTCTGGCGAGACTCGCGTTGCCCTCAAAGGCATCTGCACGTCTGACGAAGCAATCCTTCAATATCTTGCTCCATGGACAGTACCATCCTGACAGCTCCAGCTCTGACATGGCTTGTGATGCGCGGGACACCGTTTGCAGCAAGCGGCCTGGAGACGTCTCCTCTGTCAATAACACAACAAGTTGGCCCGGCACCCTCGCCCTAGTCCTGTCCGATATCGATACCCATCACCGCAGCATCGTTGAGGGCGCCTGCAAACTGCGTGGCCTTTTGAGGTCTATGGTACTCAACATATGAGCTTCATGGGACTTATTGTGTCGGTGGCAGGGTGCTGTCATATATTGACTGTTCCGTAGACCTATTGCCCACGACATTCTCAACGAACGACCTCGGTGCTTGTTGCGAGGGCGCCCAAGCACCGATCGAGCTACTCAGTCACTCGCGGAAGGCGACGGAAGTGGCCACTTGCGCTACCTGGCAGCTCCATCGTTGGGCCTTGAACCGAGTTCGACTATGGCGTGCGTCCACTTGCTGCGCCGTGTCCTTTACGAATCGACCCCGTGACCTTATGCAGTCTCCTTTCATCGTCCGGTCTTGGCGTCTGTGACACCCAAAATTCGCTCAAGTATGGTTCAGCCCAGCACGACAGTACGTCTGGTGAATTGGCTCAAGTCAAGCATATCATCGTGTTTGCTCCACACTGCGCCAAGCCTCCTGGCGACCCTGTTCTCGCTCTCTTCGATCAAGAGCCACGAACAAAAGTGTTCGGGGGAATACACTCTGTAGCCATCCGGCGAGCTGTTGCATTGTACTTCCAACAGTAGCAATGATAGGTGGCCGGACGATATTGTCAGATTAGTCTCCAGCCTGTAGTCGGACCAGAACATCCAGTCATGAGGTCCGGCAGGCAACCTCACTTGCTCGGCAATGTTAGATGCAGACAATTCTTCTGTAGCCGTCTGAATTCGATGCGTGAAAGCTCGAATCATGATCTCTCTGACATCCTCAGGCACGCAGCTCTGGGTCCGATCACTAGCATAATCAGACACTGGAACTGGTTGTTTGGTCTTGGGATGCATGACTGAAACTTCTGCTCTTAGCACGATTTTGTAAACCGAGTTCTGGGTCAGCTGTATCTGCTGTCTGGCTGACGATGCCCAGCTCCAGGAGGGAAACAGAATGGCTAGGGCGGGATCGTATTCAGCTCTTGAATCCTGACGGGCTGCGCGCCAAAAGAGATCCAGCGAATAACCTTGGGAGCCATCGTCAAAATGAACATGACTGAAGGGAACACCCCACCAAGAGGCTGAACACTCCGAGTCAGAATGCCTCGAAAAGCATTCAAGGCATCGCTTCTTTCTGTCAGCGAACGAAGTGTATAACGCCACAAGTGCAACTCGATAGGCCCGTAACGCGGCTCGGGAGGAGGGAAGAGTTCGATCACCGTTGGCGTGAGCTTGCAGTCGTACGAAGACCAGTCGATGCTGGATTGCAAGGCTTCTGGGACTGGAGACGGGAAGGTGTCGCTCTTGATTCCGTAGGGGCAGGTGAAAAAGGCCTGCTCGGTGCCTATGAAAAGGCATCTGCTGGACAGAACAGCTTCTTGATAAACCCATGCCCGTTGCTGCCATTTGCTGTTCCTAAGCTGGTTGTCCAGGCTGACGCCACTAAACACATATTCTCGACCTCTAGCCCGGAAGCGCAGCTGTTTTCGGTAGTCTGAGCTGATACCAGGCAGGCCCTGGCTTGAGTCATCGCACAGTGCAACAATAGTGAACAAGGATCCCTCATACAACTCCGACATGGCAGCAATCTGTATGCTCTTCTGATCGGAGTGGTATTGGTCAACACAATATCGATCAACCCACAGGTACCTCTCGCCGACTTGCATGACGATTTCCATTGCATCTTCGATGGTCTTCGGCACTGACGGCGGTATGCGCTGGTGTATTCTTAGGAACGTAGCCTCCGCTGCCGAGGGCTTTCGTGCACCCCAGACGTAGCTCAGCGCCACATAGCTAGCTCTTGCTGGTAGCGGTACGATTCGGCGGCTTTTGCAGTCAATGAAGCGTGTGCTTGATGGCAAAACTGGGCTATGGTTGAGTCTTCCACATTTATGGGACTTCCTGCAGGTACGAAGAGCCTGTTGGACCATCGCCGGCCTGAACTTGGTGGTCACTAGGCGGCTGCCACTGAGCACGGCATTATCTGGCTTTTTAGAACCCCTAGTAGGTATTACAGGAACTAGAAAGCTGCCATAGCGCGACATACCGGTATCAGCTTGTTGGCCGTTGCGTAGGAACAGCGCCGACACTGATACGTTCTGCTGCCATACTGGAGGATTCTCGGACAGGAGACTCCAGGTAGCGTATGCACGGAGCTCATAAGGATCCCCAGCAAACGTCGGATGGACTTGCTCTGCGTCATGGTCGAGGTACTCGGCTTCGGCCTGGAGGAAACCGCACAATGGGCAAGTCTTGTCCATCAGCAGACCACGCCGCTCGATAGAGCCGACGCGACAACCATCCTTATGAGACACCCGCAATTGAGCGATCTGCTCGAAGTTGATTCGCTGACATCTTGAACATAGCTCAGAGGAGGCGTCCAGAGCACCATTGTAAGCAAAAAATGGGTCGGCAAAATCGAGTTGACCAGGCCTTAAGTCGTGATGAGAGTCTTTGCTAGGCGACGCGAAAGCCGGATCCTGTTGTCGCTTCCTACCAGCTTCATCCATGGATGCACGAGGATGTGCTCGTCAGCACGTCGATGACAGATGCCCTGCAGTTTGGTGCATCAAGTACTACGGTCGGGATGGCTTAATAGTTGCGATTGCTCAAGGCTCTACACAGAAGAGCACAAGGCATCCCTCGACGCCGAACGACGACTTCGCTGCGGGAGTCCGAATGAGCAATGAATGGTATGGGCGTATCGCGCAAAGCGGTTCTGAGCTCGTGAGTGCCGTTAAACTACCTTAGAGGCAGCCTGAGGCTGTGGACCACAGTCGATTTTGCCGCCTAGCTGCATGACCAAAGATCTCATGACCAAAAGAGGAAGGACAAGACCAGGGAAACCGGACTTGCCTAACATCCGCCTTGCACAGTCCAAACCTCACACAGCGCTTTCCCTCCACTACAGCACAGTGACTAGTCATGCGCATAGGATGATCAGAGATGAAGCATTGAAAACGCATGCTCTACTTGTCCACCGACGCAAGTCTGCTCTACATTGCGAGGTCTAGGGCAGACCCACGGCCGGTTCGACAAAGCTGCTCCCCCGCATGTTGAAAGTGGTCAATAACCCTCACTGCGGCCGTTCTGATCAGGCAATGCGACAACCAAGCGATCCGACCGTCCTTTGTGAAAACACGAGCCATCGCTTGTGGGATGTCAACAACAAAATATGGCTGTTGATCTCTCGCTGGCAATCCCAATTCCCCCACAAACGCCTCGGAGGAGGCTTTCTCGCTTCCCAAGAGGTGTTCTAGAAGCAGAAGAAGATGAGCAAGCCTATGGAGAAGCCTCGCGTTTCAGCCCAACGCGCCAGTGGTCAGTCAGGGTCTGGCACACCCCTGTTGTGCGGGCATTTCTTTTCACATGGCGCCGATCGTCCTATTTCTCGGAGAAGTGATGCGAGTAGCTGGCTGTTCGGTACTTACGACTTTCGTTGAGTGATGCTGTACGCGAACGAGGACGATGTCTAGACTGTCAGGTCTTCGAGGTCTTGTAGCCACCGCAATGTGATGTGTCTACTGTGGGCAATCGACGTTGTCGCCCTTGCCGGTTTTTAGCACCTGAAATCCAGAATCTGAACTATGGACTCACCCAGTGCGTTGGGCCGGTAAAACTCACCCGTGAATAAGCTTCCTTCTCGGCACTTTATGCCCAAGAGACCATGCTGCTCACGGCTAGAAATGCTCCCAGAGAGTGGAAGCACCGGAAGAATAGGGCAAGGATCGTTGCGGAAGTCCCAGGCCGAAACTCACGGACGTTAGGACTGGGCAGCAGCCGATCTTTTGAATTTGGTTGCTTGCATGAACGGCAGCGAGATCATGGAGATGCTGCATTGCATTGGCGAGAAATCGAATGTGCATCCTGCAGGGTTTCTGTGGGCAGTGTACCGGTGGAAATGTTCCCGAGTGGTGAGCTGAGACAGTGTGTGACCAAGCAAATCTTCAGTCAGATCGAAGGCGACAGAGCTTGTACTGCAGCGCTCCTGCTGGGTTTCCCGAGACCGCACATTCACAATTTCGAATCTCACTACAGAGAAGGGGCGATTGAGTGAAGCTCCAAGTGAGCACTTCTACATCTACAATCGATCTGTCAGTGCTGATCATTCATCTCTCTCCGAGACTCATGCCTCACTTCCATATCATCGCCGGCAGATTGATGTCAAGCTAGAGGAAACACCCCTGTCTCCTGGAGTCCTGGGCACTGCTAAGCAAGATCTCCGGCTGTCTAATGCCCCTTTCTTTCCACCGTCGTCATTTTTGTTGCTGTACCCACTGGCCACAGGTCTAGCACCTCGACAAGTTGGAATAACAAAATCAACTGGATCCTATCAGGAACTCTTCGCACTCTTCGCCATCTACCTTTGCAGCGCTCAGTGCTATCAGTGCACACAAAATCGGTCTTCACAGCACGCTTCTGACAGCAAATCCGCCCCAGTACAACCGAATCCTTGGACGCAATTCAGCATCCAATTTGTCCACTGTCGCATGAGACAGCGGTTTGATACACAGCCAATTTCGCCAATCATTCGTTGACTGTCACCAAATCCTAGTCTTCAGTCCACGCTCTGATCGCACTATCGTCATATTACAAACGCGTCACCCCGCCACGCGCGCGTCGTTGTCATTCAGCTTGCACGACATCATTTCTACTGATCATATTCTATACAACGTGCGGGAATCTCACATTCAAGGTTTTGTGAGCCAAGACTTTGGACGTCGGTCATCCTCCCACCGAGCGCTATTCTGATCTACATTTGCGATTCAGTCACTGGAAATGGACGTTGCAGACAAGATTGCGATCACGATCTGTGGTGATGGAGGATGCGGTAAATCATCAATCACATTACGTCTGGTTCGCTCGCAGTGGACGTCCGACTACGACCCAACCATAGAGGACTCATACTCAGTCACACGCAAGATCGACGGCATGAACTACCATCTATCACTCACCGACACCGCTGGACAAGAAGAATACAGAAGTCTGTGGGCTGCTTCGAATCTACAGTCCGATGCATTCCTGCTCGTTTACGATATCACCAATGCGCACTCACTTGACGGCCTCCAGTGGTTTCTGGACATGATCGATATCGAGGCTGAGAACCGCCTGGAGCAAAACAACCGACTACTATCCCAGAAAGGTCAGAAGATCCGAGGCAATCGCGAAGCAGGCTGGAAACCACCACCAATCAAGATCGTGGCCGGCAACAAATGCGATTTGAAGGATCAGAGGATAGTGAGCAGTAAGACAGGCTGGGAGTGGGCCAAGTCCCGTGGCTGTGGCTTCATGGAGACGAGTGCGCGAGAGATGGTCAACATCGAGGAGACATTCGCATGTAAGTTGCACAGTCCTTCCGCACACGACAAGACTGACATTGTTCTCAGTAATCGTCAGAAGGGTAGTCGAGGCCAGGAAAGCAGCAAAGAGCCCAGCAGGCGTTGCTGGACATATTCCCACGCTGAGCGCCGTATCAGGGTATTCTAATCAACTTCACAATATGCAATCAAATCGACAACAAAGTCCAACACCGAGAATGAACGAGAAAGTCCGTGCCGGTGGCGACGATTCCCGAAGGCCGTGGTACAAGAGGATATTCTGCTGCGGATGAGACGACAGGGAAGAGTGTCGATATCGCACGATTGACTGATATTCTTGCCATCATGATCGCGGACAAAACCACTGTGAAGGCCGCTCATGGGTGTCGCTCACTCGATGGCCCTACTCCATTTCGTTCCTTGGGACACGGCCATGCTGCGCCATGCCATCCAATCGAGGGAAGGCAGTCATTCTACCATGACAAGCATGCCGGTGACGCCCGGGTCGACATCGCTCCCAGATATTGGCATGCTACACCAGAACTGGCTGGAGCTGATGCGCAACCGAGATTCTGGCTGGAACTAATAAGGGTCGGACACTTCTCCACCACAATTTTGCCCACGATCGACCTCGAATTGTGCCACCAAGACGCACACGACTTAAAGACGTCATTCGCGAGAGTACGTCGTTCTCCGCCGTGGCTAGCAGTCCCGCACATGGCCTTTTCCCGGCAGTTTCACCTGACTTCCAAATGCGCATTCGACTGCCGCTCCGCTCCGCACGGGATCAGTCCGAAGGGTTTGCACGGAATCGCATCGTGGACCCGTTGCGAGGTCGATCAAGATCTGATCACATAGACATACGAGCTCTGCAAGGAGCGAGACAGCTATAATTATAAACATTAGGAATACTGCGCGAGCAGTGGGGAATAATAGCGAACAACACCACCAGCTATTGAGGGGAAGAGAAGGATTGCAAACGCATATAGATAGGCGGTAATGATGGTGACCGAAGTACAGATCTTGGCTCTTGGATTCTCTGTACCTAGCAGATCAGTGCTAGCTCAAGATCAGGACTTCCAGATTAGCCTCTTGTCCTATCTTGGGACCGATGCGTCTCTTTCACACTCGAATTGCAGAGCTCTGCTCACGTGACCGGATGCCTCTCAAACGTGCACGGCATGCAACTGTCGCCAGCGCTATGACACAGCATGCTCAGCTGAAATTGCTGGCAACTGACGGACAGCGCTGTTGATCGCTTGTCAACTGCACTCCGACACTCGAGTGTGCAGGCAGTCGTCGCAGCTTCGTGATGCATGAGCCTGGCATCGATGGCTGTGCCTTTCGATATTGAAGAGCGTCCGATCGTTCGCACATGATCGTTCTGGGGTACGCAGTATATCGAGTGCGTCGCAGAAGGGCCGTTGCCCCAGCGTGGCCAGTGTACACGTTGGCCGTGTAGGCTGACGAACTCAGCTCTTGGCACATACGTTGAGGCCACAGCATCGGACCACGCTGGTTTGATGACTGCATTTGCTGCTGCTGCGGAGCGGTGAAGGGGGACCCTGCCGCTCGCCAGCGAGATTGAAGTTGAAGACAGACTTGGCCTTGCTGTTCTCAGCCGCCTGTTTCAAACTGATCCTCACCGTGTCCGTGATGCATAGCAGCCTCGCATGCCCTCCGTAGGTCCACCACGCCATCGACCCCTTCCCACTCGTCAAGCAACATATTGACTTTAACCCACTCCTTCTCCTTTTCTTCACCCTCCAGCCTCCCCAATCGATCCGGCGCACCCAACGCCCACCTCACCGTCTCCTGCTGCCTCCTCAAGTCCTCCTCCTCCTCGTCCTCATCGTCCGCACTCCCTCCCTCAGGCGCCATTTCCTTTACAAGGACCTCCAACCCTTCTAGCTTGCTCTCCAACCCCGCCACGCCATCACCGCCCAACCCTTTCCCCATCCCCCGCTGCATCTCCGCCAACGTCCCAACCGCCGTAATCAATTTACTGTAATTGTCATACACCAGTGCCTTCCTCTCCCCGTCCAGCGTCCTGATCTCGCTGATCAACGCGCCTTCGGTCTTCAGCAAGTCCGTGAGCGAAGCAGTTTTCAGGAGGGAGTCGATGAAGGTTTGTGGGGAGAAGGAGGGCGTGTCGAGACTAGCCGGCAGGCTGGTCGATGTTGTGTCGAGGTCTGTGACGGTAGTGGTGGTCGAGTTCGAGATGGTGCTGGTGATCGAGGCTGTGCGCTGGACGGGAGTGGAGGGAGCGTGGGGTTTGAGGTTATAGTAGTCCCGGAGGGCGGCGCGGTTGCGGCGTGCAGGCTTCGGTGTCGGATCTTTCGCTGTAGGAGTCGTTGGATCGCGTGTGTAGTCAAGAGACGACCTATGCGAGGAGGAGGGTGTGCCGAGTGGGGAGTTGACACTTGCTATCGATGGTGAGGTGATGCGTGGTGTGGCGGCGGGCGAAGAGGCGCGTGGAGAGGTTATGGTGGCCATACTGGTCGGTGCTGCATTTCTTGCGGCGCCTGTGCTTGAGTGAGCGGGTTTTTGGCTGTGGTGAACGGTTGCAGGTGAACTCAAGATTTGGAAGTGCTCAACTCGAAGCGAAGTCGAAGTGGCAGCATGACCCCAACCCTAACCCTCTGAAGCCTGAAGCCCGACCACGCGTTTTACGACATCATTGAAGTTGTTGCTTGAATTTCGATAGTTGAATCCACGACCCTCGAGTTGTGCGGAGCCATACACATCGATGGTCAGAATCTGGCTCCGGACCGTTGATCTGAGCGATGGGCCAACTGTCCGCGGATGCCAAGTTGCCAGCATGGACTTCAGGTGAAGAGAGGCGCGTCCGTCCACGATGCACTTCACTTGAAGTCCCTAGCGGCGTCTGCGCCCTGGCTGTGCAATGGAACTTCTGTCAAATGGAATCGTTGTCACAACTGCGCGCCTGCCACTCCGCAATATCGAAAATCATGTCCATGGTATGGACGTCCAGATCAGGCAAGAACCCCTCTCATTGTGCAACCAGCCATCCTGCAAGAGCGGTGAGTCGTCATCATGCCGTTTCTACATTTCTCATCATCTCCACACACCCATGTCTCCTACAGAAGCGTCAAGTATGTCATAATGTTGGTGATCGCGTTCATCTTTGCATTCTTCGGCTGTGGTAGATCGTATACAACAGTAAGTTTCCACATCGAGCAGGTACACAGGGTTGCGCCAGCCTCGTATCTTCCTTTCTCGAGGTAAGCGGCTCACAGAATTAGGGCAACTACACCAACGTACCCGACCCATACCAAGGCCTCAGCCCGCCAGTATATCCGTCACCAGAAGGCAAAGGTAACAGCAATCCACAATGGACAGAAGCATACAGGCAAGCCCGAGATCTCCTCTCGCAACTTACCCTAGATGAGAAGGTCAACCTCACCGGCGGTCACCTAGGACGATGCGTTGGCAGCACTGCGGCAGTCCCGCGCGTGGGATGGGGACCAATGTGTCTCTCCGACGGACCCAGCGGTATTCGTGATGTCGAGTTCGTGTCGGCTTTTCCTGCCGGTCTCACTCTCGGAGCTACCTTCGATCGGAACCTGACGTACCAATACGGCAAAGCTATCGGCGAAGAGTATCGAGACTTCGGCTTGAAGATGTATCTTGGGCCTATGGCTGGTCCGCTCGGACGAATCGCACGTGGAGGCAGGAATTGGGAAGGCTTCAGCAACGATCCGTATCTGTCTGGCGCTGGAATGGGAGCCGTCACAAAAGGCATACAGTCAACTGGTACTTTCGCGGTCGCAAAGCATTGGCTTGGCAATGAGCAAGAGGAGCGACGCAGAGCCTATGAGGACAGAGGCGAAGCTATCTCCTCCAACATCGATGATCGGACGTTGCACGAGCTCTATGCATTTCCGTTCATGGATGCGCTCAAAGCAGGTGCTGCAAGTGTTATGATCAGCTACCAACGGCTCAACAACTCATACTCGTCGCAGAACTCCGCACTTATCAATGGCATCCTGAAGACGCAACTCGGGTTCGAAGGCCTTGTAATGTCTGATTGGAACTCTCAGTATGCAGGAGTGGCTTCCGCACACGCGGGACTTGATCTCAACATGCCCGACGCCGGATGGTGGGGTGGCAATCTCACACATGCCGTCCAAAACGGCTCGGTCACTGCTTCACGATTGGATGACATGGTCGTTCGGCAGCTAGCCGCCGCCTTCTACGTTCAGCTAGAAGCAGAAAAGCACAATTCTGGGTATACTACACCGCTGCCAGGTACCCAGCGTCCCATCAATACTCAAGCCGCGGAGCACGACCGCCTGATCAGAGAGGTCGCTGCAGCGGGCACAGTCTTGGTCAAGAATGCGAACAATTTCCTTCCCCTCAAGGATCCCAAGTTCCTGACGGTGTACGGCTACGATGCCGAGCTACGGAGAAATCCCTGGGGTAATAGTCCTGGAATCTTTGCTGGTGGACCGGAAGAGAACTTCGGCTGGAATACACACAACGGAACATTGATCGCTGGAGGCGGCTCCGGTTCCTCTACGCCATCCTGGGTAGTCTCGCCATTTCACGCCATCACAGAGCGCATGATGGCCACGCACGGCGTCGTTCGCTGGAACTTTATCTCCGACTCTCCACAACCTCCTTATCCAGAAGTCGACGCTTGCCTAGTTTTCATCAATGCATACGCCTCGGAAGTGTTCGATCGCACCTCACTTGTAGACGAATTCTCCGACCGACTGATCCACAATCTGGCAGCCAACTTTACCAATGTCGTCGTCGTAATTCACAACGCCGGCATTCGTGTAGTAGACGCATGGATCGAGCATCCCAACGTCACAGCTGTGCTCTTCGCCGGTCTGCCCGGACAGCAGGCCGGAAACGCCATAGCAGATGTTCTCTGGGGCGACGTCAATCCTTCAGGGCGGCTTCCCTTTACAGTTGCCAAGAAGGAGAGCGACTATGGGCACCTGCTGAACTCGACTGCAAGCGACGATTCATATCCACAGGATGACTTTACTGAGGGTCTCTACATCGACTACCGCGCCTTTCATCGGGATGATATTGAGCCGAGGTTTCCCTTTGGGTTCGGATTGTCCTACACGGACTTCTCGTACGAGCTGTTGGACGTGGAGTACGTTGATGCGGTCTCACACGACGAGTGGCCTGATTCAGAACGGGAGATTGTTCAAGGAGGACATCCTGAACTTTGGGATACGCTATTCACCGCTCGCGTTCGTGTTCGCAATGTCGGAGATGTTGCAGGTCACGCAGTGCCCCAACTTTACGTCTCGATCCCGGATAGTCCTAAATGGCAGCTCCGAGGCTTTGAGCGCGTTGGGCCGCTTGCTCCTGGAGCACAAGAAGTTGTGGAAATGAACCTGACGCGCCGAGATCTCAGTACCTGGGACGTGGGGAGGCAGAATTGGAGGTTGAGGTGCGGTGCGGAATACCTCGTTGCTGTTGGGGACAATGCTAGAGATATGGTAGAGAGTGACGGACTGGGAGTTCATCGCTTAGGGAACCTATGCAAACGGGAGAGTGAGTGGACGGTCTAGAAGACCGAGCTGGCGCTTCTCAGGACGTCAATCGAAGCTCTGTGTATACGTTGGATGGCAGGACGCATCTTCAAAGACGTGGGACAGTTGCGCGAAAGGTTCTCTGGTCGTCCTTGCATCAGGCGCAACGCTCGACGCGTACGCTAAGCATGCCTTTTTTCCTCGGCCAAGACTTGGACTGCATTCAAGGAAGTCCATGCATTCTATGAACTATATCTTCAATATTGACATTTTAGTCTAGCCAGACTCAAGCATGACGATTCAAGCCTTGCCATTGATGGGGTCCAGTCTTTCCTTCATGAGTTGCTTCACGTCCTCAACAACATCATACCGCAGAATCCAATCCAGCACATCATCATTCACGCCTCCCTCCTCACTCGGCAACGCGTTCCCATCCACATTCCCGTACCCTCCCTTCCAGCCCCTCTCCTTGTACACCCTCTCAACCCACTGCCTCGCCTCCGGCGTCTTGACGCACGGGTTCCCTGTTAGGTCTACGCTCGAGTAGATCTGCATTACGCCTGTGCGGGGGATGCGGAGCTCGTCGAAGAGTGCTAGCTTTTGCTCTACACTTGTTTGACTGCTGGAAGGCGCAAAGAGGGTGGCGAGTGCAGCCGCGTCCTGCGCACCACTAACAAAACCCTGGCCTTTGTGTGGGAGCATAGGGTGGGCAGCGTCGCCGATGACGACGAGTGTGCCGCGGGTGCAGTGGGGGAGAGGTGGGCGGTCGTAGGTGCGCCAGAGGGGGAGGAGATTTGTTGTGGCGCTGTCGGTATTCGTCGTTGTGGAGGAAGAAGAAGAAGAGGGGATCTTGTCCACCAAACCCAAAAGTGCTGGGCCGAAGCCGCCGGCTTTCATTGCGGCGGTGAGGTCCGAGGCGGTGATGTGTTGGTTGTGCTTGTCTGCGTGGGTTTCTGAGGGCTTTGTGGTTGGAGAGGAAGGGGACGGCGGGTCGTTGATATACATGGCGAAATTCTGCAGGGTGTCGTTACGGCATGGGTAGCGGATGATGTAGCGGTCTTTGGCGAAGAAGAAGTTGATTTCGTTGGTGCCGGGGAGGATGGGCGCGGTGATAGGGTCGGCGGTGATGGCGGAGGAGGGGATGAGGAAGCGGATGACCGTTTGGACTTTAGGGATGATGGGGCATGGTTGGTGAGAGTTGACGTAGGATGCCGCCGTGCTGTGTAGGCCGTCGGCGACGATGATCAGGTCGGCGGTGTGGGTGGTGCCGTCCATAAGGGTTACGGAGCCGGCTTGGCCATCGTAAGAAGCAATGGGGGAGGAGAGGCGAAGTTTGGCGGGCCGGCCGGGTCGGTTGGGGGAGGTAGCGGCCTGGCGGAGGGTGGAGTGGATGTCGGCGCGGTGCAGGGTGTACATCGGAAATCCGTACTTCGCCTCGTAGTTTCCGTCGAAGAGAGGCGTGATGGGCGAGAGGTTGGCGGCGGTCTTGATCTGCGTACGAAGGTAGGTCGTCGCTCCAGCAGACTCAAGGTCAATGTCCCACGATCGCATGATGCGAGTCATTGGTGTGGCCATGGTGACGGCGGCACCGACTTCCTGGCTGAAGGACGACTTCTCGAAGATCTGGAGGTATGTAAGAATGTGATTGGAAACAGTGGCGGAGGGTCTGTACTGTGACATTGTGGCCTGCTTGACGGAGGCCAATTGCTGCCGACAGTCCAACTAGTCCTCCGCCAACGACTATCACCTCCATTGCCGTGGGCGGCTCTTCCGATAGTGATCCCATGTCGCGGAAGAAGCTGAAGACTGAAGTTTTCGATTGACCTGGGTAAGCAGTGCTCGAGCTCAGTATCAATTGCCTCAAGTCCGTCAGCTCGTAAGATCACAGGGGACAGGAGCATCATCGAAAATGATTATATATATGAAATTACATCCTGCGTGAGATCAAACATTGTAGGATCTGGTCATCGCTTAACGCCTAACGCGGCGTTTCTTGAAGAGGCAATATAGTGGACAGATCGACCAGTAATGATGGATGAAACGTTTATTAGTTCCGTATCCTACCTTGCTTCTTGCCTCCAGCCATAGACAATGGTTTGATGTTGAGCAGCGGTGTCAAGAACGAACTCAGAGCGGAGCATGTCTCGCGAATGGCGGGCCTGAATGATGGAAGCGCATGTTCAAGCTTGATACGCTTGTCCGGTGATGTTGAATCATAAGAACTCTGAAGCCTAGCAAGGTAATGACTGGTCATGCTCGGATTTCGGACGCCGGTCTCGATCGTACACGCTGCAAGTGGCAGGCACAGCGCTTCGTTACTCTTTGTCTGAGCTGTACTCGCTGCCGGCAGATTCAGCAGAGAGAGAGCGAATGACAGAGATGTTGTACATACGACATCGAAGAAAGCATGAAGATGATGCGAAAGCAAGTTTTGCTGACGTAAAGTACCTACAGCCGTTGCCAAGAAGGCAGAATTCGTGGTTGTTCAGGCGACTTCGCTCAACTCAAAGGCAACATCGGCGTCAGCGAATGTCTATGAAAATCAGGGCGATGATTGCTCTGTCCGGCAAGGCACCATCTCTGTTTCCTGATACTGTCACAAGATGTGCAGGACCGTTAAAATCTGGACGCAGATGAGCGGCTGTAGCTCCCTTCACTGAAGATTGGCAGTCGCGAAGCCGCCCCCACAACCTGAAATTGATCGTGGCCTAGCACCGCCCAGTGCTTCGCGAGATCTTCCCTCAGCTTTGCTGTCTTCGTGCTTCATGACGACTTTGTCGCGTATGCGATTCTTGCTAATGGACAGCAGTATCTGCAGTTCGACATTGCACATCGAAGGCGATGACCTGGATAATGGCAACGTCACCGTCAAAAGCAAATTTATCTGGCTTCTCTGAGGAGAAGATACCTGTAGATCTGGCCAAGGATGTTGAAGAAGGGAGCTCAGAGAAGACAGAACATCCTTATCGAGTTTCTGACAGCGAAGCTGTCGAGAACTCCAAGGAGACCATGACGTTGGAATCCTCTGCTCCAAACGACAGCTTCTTTGACGAGCCTCTGGAATCGAATTCCATTGGTAGCGGTAGTCATTTTACCTTAAACGGCGATAAAAACAAGCTGTTGTCCAGCAGTCATGGGAAGCAAGCGCCTCGGAGCCGCGATGACAAGCAGGCAATGCCTCACGACGACGACAAACAAACGTTGGACCTGGATGGCAAGCAAGTCTTGGGTGGCAACGCAGACAAGATAGTCGCCACAAGGTTTGAGCCAGGTCAAACAGACAGTCCGACGACAACGCTAGATCGATCTCAAATGGATGTCTCCCAACTCAGTAGAGGCTCTGGATCCTATCAAGAATACGCGTTCTGTCACGCTAGCGCGTTGCGTTTGAACCACAATGTTGTGATCGACCCCAATGGAGGAGCCATCTACTTTGTCGAAGTTGCAGCGTTTGCCAAAGGCCGTGTTGATGTTGTCGTGCACCACGTGAAGCACGAACTCGCCTCGAAAGGAGCCACGCTTACGGCAGATGAAGGCAAGCTGTGTTCAGTCGTTGGCTTTGCCCAGTTCCCTCACGACCGCGATAACCTTATACAGATTGGTCTCGGCGATCACCATGACATGAGCAGCGTCAAATGGCTTGAGCTAAAGAGGACTCACGAAATCGCCGACTGGACGATCGTTTTGCCCGGCAGTCTGAGCCATGAACTACAGCTAGCAACAAACCTGGACTCATCAACCCGCTCCAGCATCCCATCTGCGTCCCCGATCTCTCCACTGGACAGCAAGTCGTCGACTGGCAGCTTCCGTCTTGTTGAAACTTCGACAGGCGCAGTCATTGCTGCGTACTCAGAGCTGAAGACCATGTCCAGCTGGAAGAAACGAGGGAAGCTTAGAATCTACGACCGCTCCGTTGTGCATGTGAACATGTTGTCCGGAGAGGATTTGCAGCTCCTCATCGTACTCTGTTGCGCATCGATGAATGAGAAGCGCAGACGAGCCAGCGTGCGCAAGTGGACTGCAGGCGTTTTCTGAGATCGTTGGCAGATACTGCAGGCCAGGAGGTACTGATAGTATCAGCGTGCTCTGTTTGATGGCAAGCGCCTTCCGTTTACACCGACGAACGGTTCGCAAAGCTATAAATCCTGTCCAGGTTCCCCGCGTACATTCTACAGCCAGACTGCTGGAGAAGCGGGAGCTGAACACATCTCCGCCACGTTTGTTCACAGAGCAGGTTCGGGATCTAGCAGTCACTTTGGGCCTTCCAAAGCCATATCGACATCCACGATGGCAGCGACTGTGACAGAAACGGAGTGGCACTTCGACCCCAGTACCACTCCCGTGACGATACCGACGTCCACGAACGACTTGACATCAACTAGCACTGTCGTTTCACTCACGACGACATTTGACACCACCACTACCACGAGCCTGGCCACGCCATCGGGTTCGTCCACGAGCATGCCCTCCAACTCGACGTCCACGCAGTCTGACCCATCTGAGATGGATGCCGGCAAGATCGCCGCTTCTGTGCTTGGGGCTGTTCTCATAGTCGCCATTCTTGTCGGTGGTGCTATCTGGCTCAGACGTCGGGATGCCAAGAGGAAGAAGCAGCAAGAAGAGGCCATATTGCTGCAGCATAGAGGCCCACAGGAGGTCGCTGTGGACGTAGGTCGATAATTCGAGCTGGGTCTGGCGTTGGGCGCCGCGCTTTTCAGTCATTCAGTTCGTTGTTCCAAGATTGCATGCCTATTGGCTGCACGAATACGGGGATGGTCGTGTCAATCTGAAACACTGCCCCATGTCTGACAGAAAGTTATGGACGCTATCCCAGCGGCATTGCCCAAATCACGGATGGGAAGGCTGTCTTTTGAACATATCATGTCCAGTAAATAATGCGTTGAGGCGCAGTCCTTGCATTGACATGTCGGCGCAGCGACGGGAAGACGTGTCGACAACGGAGACTTATGGCCTCGCTGGAGAGACTCTCTATTTTCCTATTCTGATGACTCGTTAGCCACGGTATAGACGAGGCACATCGCTGTTGAACGTAGATTTTCTACCTCATGAGCTGTTTGACAATCTGCTTCTGCAGAAGCGTCGAAGTGCTACGAGCGTCTCAGAGGCTATGTTGGCAGGCAATCACACCGAACATGTTGGATGGGTCAACAACCAGACTCGCGGCACCAGTGACATATTGTTTGGTTGCGTGTCGACATTGGTCATATGCGTGTACACCGCGTTGCATATGAACATCACACTGTGCAACAAATCAAAGACATCCAAGTTTGCCCATCATACCTGGTGGATTCTGGTCGGCGTATTCGCACCGGAGATTATCTTGATAGCAGCCTCTACTCAACATGCTGCAGCTGCACGCCTCCAACAGGAGATCGACCGAAGACGCCGATCAGGAGCTCTCCCAGACGACGTCAATGACAAAAGATGGCGGAGTGTCTTCAGCCACTTCGTACTCATGGGCGGCTATCAACTCGTACACATAACGACAGAGCAGAAACATGCACTGCGTATGGAACCAGACTGCGTCGTCGAACTACTGGGCCATGCACAATTTAAACCTCTCGGCCTGCAGGAGATCGAGGCTCGGAGCAGAGCGTCGACTTTGGCAAAGAGCCTATCAGCCATTCAGGCGTCTTGGTTGGCGGTCCAAGTTGCAGGTCGTTTGGGCCAAGGACTTCCTGTGACGGAACTTGAGGTCAACACCATTGCTCATATCTCTTGCGCACTTCTCGCCTGGCTTTACTGGCTTCGCAAACCCTATGATGTCGACAGTCCGCAGGAAATAAGGTTGGATGATACGCTTGGGGGCTTTGTAGCTGGTCTTTGCTTAATGAGGCACGGAACAACTGAGCAGATCTTCGCTGAACTGCTATGGAGACGCACGGAAGAGTCTCATAACATGAGCAACGTCAACATCTCAGATTTTTGGGAACCTCGGCGAGTGGAACGGCGTCTAACCACCTCGACGCTTCTTGAACATATGTGCCATGCTGCTGGAGACATTGTTGTGCTGGAATGGTCCGCTTGTGCGAACAAGCAGAATCTAGTGCAATATCGCCAGCAGCGCAAAGAGGCCAAATATGTGCTGCTGCTCGAATCTCGTAGCACAGCCGAGATCGATTGGGCTATGAACAATTTCGACGAGGTTTATGGACAAGATCTACCGCCAATCATTGTCATCGCACTAGGAGACGGTGCTACCGAGGTGCTTCCTGATCCGGGCTTCAAGCTTGAAGACAGGGGAAAATACATCCATGTGGTTGCCGACCAGTTCGGGTATCTGCTACATCAGAGGTTCTGGACTGAGCCTGAGCTATCTAAGTTGTTGGCAAACCTCATCAGAAGCGTTATGGATTATGCGCACCCTGATCGTAGAGAAGTTCGCGCATATGGATGCCGCAGCTTCCTGGCAACGAAAGACCCAGTCTTCCGCGATAATATCTGGTCTGATACCCCGTGGCAGACCTGGCTGACCGGCTTAGCTATGACCGCCGTGTACGGTTCTATACACGCGGCTCTTTGGAACGCACACTTCCCGACCGATGATGAACGGTGGCTGTGGAGGATTTCTTCGATCGTCGTTTTGAGCCCGCTCCTGATACTTGGGATCTGCTGGATTGGAACAAGGGCGACGAAGCGGCTGTCTAGCCTAGTGGACTGGATCGTAATTCTAATATCAACCCCGTTAGTGCCGCTGGCCCTCCCTGCAGCAAGGCTTTTCCTCGTGGTCGAGTCATTTATCAGCCTCCGCAGCCAGCCGATTGAGGTCTACCAACAGGTGAATTGGACACAGTACATCCCACACATCTGAGCGGGCACGTTCAGTTCCAGGACTGCCGATATTGATAAGGCACTGTATCGACGGGCCACACACTGGGAATAACTTGGCAGATATGTGCAGTAGAGCAAAATAGGGAGGACGGATTGGCTCTTGATGATAAATGGCAATTGGGATATCAGCCCACGAGACCCTTGTGACTCCATGTACTATGTTATGTGACACATTCTGTTCGTCAATCTTGTAGCAGTGTACCGCACCCAATGCTCGCATCACCCAAAATGCTCGTCCATAGAACTCCACGCTATCAGTGCCTCGCACCCGGAAGTCAAATCCGCAAAGCAGAAATCTTACCCGAAGACCCTCAGAAATGCCGCCAGAAACATGCTGCTCAACAGAGGAATCGTCAGATTGTCGTCCCAGCCCCAGATGTCCACGAATTCGCTGACGCATGCGATTAGGCCCGTAACGAGGCTCATCAGAAAGACTGCTGGGGCACCTTCTATGATGCCCTCGGTTTCCCTCCAGCCGAGCTGCTCTTTCACAGCATTGGGCAAGGTCAGGCGGTTTTGAAACATGAACCCATCCGCTCCTGACGCGAGCATCCTGTCCAATCTTGACTCCGTTCTGGGAGCCAGCCAGCCCCAGAAATATGCTGCCGCGAAGACACCCACGACGAATGCAGCGATTGTGCCGGCGAGGGATTTGCCCTTGCGCAGTCTGATAGTGTAGCGACCGTACAGACGGCCGAAAGTGCTTGCTGCGGTGTCGCACCAACTGAGCAGGAGAATAGACACAACTCCCACATCCTTAGGGTAGAATTGCAGGGCAATAAACGCGCCCAAAAGATACCATATCACGCCATTATAGCCTGAGACCTCAGTTTCACGCATGAAAGCGCCGAGGCATCTGATGTAGAATTGATTGAACCGTTCGGATCGATGTCGGAGAAGATCGGTCGGTGCTATTATGGAGAGGGCGATAAGGAGGTAAGGCGTTACGGCTTGCGTCGAGGAGCCGCTGACGTAGAGCCAGAGCGTGAAGAAGCCTATCGATACGTGTAGGACTTTCCGTGGCAGCTCGTGCTTATGTATGAGTGTTTGGTAGTGTCGGTGGAGGGGTATCAGCCCGAGCGGCGATGGTGAGCGGGAGAAGTCCCGCCATGATTTCTTTACGCGGTCGTATGGTGATAGGTAGCCGTTCGGTTCGGGAGGGGCGATAGCGTGGCCATTGGTGGTGAGTGGCTGTGATTTTGTGACGGAGGATTTTCTGGTAAGCCCGCTCATGCGCCGTATATTCCGTCCAGAAGCGATGGTGCCGTTGGCGGGCTGCAGGATGGGACTTCTCGAGCGCGTGCGGGCACGCTGGTCAAGACTGGAGTCTGATCCGGAGCCGTCCTTCTCTTCCGCTATCGAGTCTGGCTGTGGTGACTTGGGTCGTTGCTTTTTGGCGGCAGATCGCGTGACGGGTGCGAAGTAGCCGTCTTGTCTGTCGGAGGCCTCGGATGGCGTCGGCGAGGGCGATATGACTCTCGGAGTGCCGGGAATTGTGTAGTAGGAGTTCATCTTGGTGTGTGGTGGGCACCTTGACGGTGAGATGTGTCAAGATGTCCCACTGCAGAGCCAAATGGCCTGTATATAAAGAGGTTCAGATCTGGAAATGACACGTGGTGAGAACCATTTAAAGCCAAATTGTGTTCGACTGTGCTCATTGCGGTTCTACCAGGTGTCTGCTCATAGCCATCTTGATAGTCAGCTAGGACACAGGCAAAGCGTCACGAAGAACCCAAGTAGATGACGGAGCACAGATAGCAAGAGGAAAGTTGGTTTCGTGTGCAAGATGACACGCACATGCTTTCCCTGCTGAGTGGCAGCCTTGGTTTGGTGTTCTTTTTTTGCCCAGGGTCTTGATTCCGCGACAGCCGGGCCTTGACTTCGCTTGAAGTGATGCTTGATGAGCCGTGTGGGTGCCTAACTTCTGGTAGCGAGGGGTCTCTAGATTTGATGTCACGGGCGCTCCCTTGTGGCGCCTGGTGGCTTAGTCATTCAACTCTTGGCACGTCTTCTCGTAAGACTCCAACTCAAGAATTTTCAACGCCGTTGACACATGACGATACATCAGACATGGCGCCCGACAGAGGAGCGAAGACCTCGAAGCCCAGCTCATCTCGAGCGTGGGAAGCCCTGACTCCTGCACTATCAGAATGGATCCTCACGGCGACCGCCGCGATGGGCTTTCAGAAGATGACGCCCGTACAGGCATCGACGATACCTCTGTTCATGGGCAACAAGGACGTGGTGGTGGAAGCAGTCACAGGTAGTGGGAAGACGCTGTCATATCTCGTCCCGCTCGTCGAACGATTGCTACGTCTGGACGAACCCATCAAAAAGCATCACGTAGGCGCGATCATTCTCTCACCTACGCGAGAGCTTGCGACACAGATTCACCAAGTCCTGGTATCATTACTGCAATTTCATGCTCCGTCAGCAGCCGCCATCAGATCTATCAACGGGGAGGAGAACGAGGAACAAGAGGAAACAGAAGCTTTCCCAGTTTCCGAGCTCAAAGTGATCCCACAGCTACTACTGGGGGGCACTCGAACGCCAGCGCAAGATCTCAGCCTCTTTCTGAAGACGTCGCCCAATCTTCTAATCTCAACACCCGGCCGACTTCTCGAGATCTTATCCTCGCCATACGTGCACTGTCCACAGTCGTCCTTCGAAGTACTCGTACTGGACGAGGCAGATCGCCTACTTGATCTAGGCTTCAAGGACGATCTGACAAAGATTCTGGGACTGCTTCCGAAGCAAAGACGAATAGGACTTTTCAGTGCCAGTGTTTCTGAAGCAGTAGACCAGCTGATCAGAGTTGGTCTTCGCAATCCGGTCCGCATCGCAGTACGTGTCAAGGGAGCAGACGGTGCTCAGGACAAGCGAACTCCTGCAAGCCTGAAAATGACATATGTCATTGCCAAAGCATCACAGAAGTTGCCCATGCTCAGCCAACTTCTGCACAAATTGGATCCCAGGCCCTTGCGGACCATTGTCTACCTCTCGACTTGCGCAGCAGTGGATTACTTTCAGAGTCTCCTGCCCGGCCTATTGCCTCAAGGCACGGTGCTAATACCTCTACACGGTAAGCATCCTTCGAATGTCCGACAGAAGAACTTTGCGAGGTTCGTCAACTCCGCTTCGCCCGCACTGCTTCTGACAACCGATGTCGCTGCGCGAGGCCTAGACATCCCGGCTGTGGATCTCGTGGTGCAGATAGATCCGCCTTCGGACCCGAAGGTGTTTCTGCACCGCTGCGGACGGGCAGGACGAGCAGGTCGAAGAGGACTTAGCGTGGTCTTCCTGCAGCCTGGCCGCGAAGAGGACTACGTCGCATTTCTCGGCGTTCGGAAAACGCCCATCACTTTGCTCGACGACCCTGACTTGTCCGTGACGGAGGACGAAGCCGATGAGACGAGGCAGATGTTCGTCAACTTGGTTTTGAAAGACCGTGCGTTATACGACAAAGCCCAACGAGCATTTGTCAGCTGGGTCAGGAGTTATTCCAAACATCAAGCGTCCTCTATCTTTCGCACAGCTGATCTGGACTGGAACGATCTTGCCATTGGCTGGGGGTTACTGAGACTTCCAAAGATGCCAGAAATGAAGAACTACGACAAGTCTCAATTTCTTGCGCCGATCGTCGACTGGGACGCATATGCTTACAAAGACAAGCAGCGTGAGAAGCACCGATTAGAAGAAGCGGAAGCAGCCGATGATCAGCCGAAAAAAGCCGTCAAACAACGCACTGGCACTACTCCATGGTCCGCAGATCTGGAACGAAAGGCTGGCAAGGAAGCGAAGCGGACTAAGAAGGCCGCTAAGCGAGAGCATGAACGGGTGGCTGATCTGACAGAGAGTCAGAAGCAAGATGAAGAGGAAACGGCAAGGATGATCGCGCAGATCCGAAAGCAACAACGGAACCCAAGTTCGTCCGAGGACATTTTCGAGGGCTTCGACTGATCGAAGAGCCACTCACTCTCACAGTCAGAGTCCGTGAGTCGCAAGCACAGCTTGACAGACACTTTCGAGGTCTGAGGCTGAAAGACAGCGAGGTCAAAAGCTTGATGGAATAGTTCCTCTTCACGCGGTTCCCTCCGCCTGGCGAGAAACAGACTGCAGATTGCAACCGCAGAATAGGTAATCCACTGCTATGATTGGTGTCTCAGGATGTAGAGGTACTCATGGATAATTTCTCGGCTTTGTCTGCGCTGCGTTGACAACGACAGCCGACTGACCACGGATAGTCTCTGATGAAATATGGCGTCCATGTTGAGCTCCCCTGGATTTTCGATATTGGTCATGCCCTAACAAACTCTTGATTCACGTCACTTCACAGGAGCAGCCGCGAGGACTTGCCGACACCACTTCTGCACCACAGCGACTGATGTCTTTGTCATCAGCTATACTGTAGATCACGACTAATCACGATTCCTACGAACTATATTCTAACTTCCGAACTCAATTGGACTACCCGATTGGTACCCTCGCAAGTCACACTGCATCGCTCACGAAGATGAAACACTACTATTCTCATGCAACCCAGTGCGCAGTGCTGCTAGAGATCCGCAGGGTAGAATCGAAGACGACGCAATAGCTTTCTGCCTGGCTTGGCTGCATGATGTGTATCCGAGCAATACGTGCTCAAACCAGTACGATCGGCGGGGACAAAGATATATAAGAAAGCTACGATAACGGACGGCGTGAAAGACAGGAACAACAGCTTCTCAACCTGAGAAGAGCGACACAAATCCTGAGGTCAACCAAAGCCGGACTCCTCGAGATGCCAGCCGCAGCGTCCAAACACCACGATGGCGGGCCCCCTCTTGTCTTCATAACGGGGGCGACAGGACACATTGGCTTTCGCATTCTCGTTCACTCCCTCGAAGCAGGCTACCGTGTACGCATCGCCAGCCGCACTCTCACTTCCGCTAAACGTCTCGCCACTCTGCCATCCATCAAGCCGTACGCTGACATCAAAACCACCGACGGTGACCCCATCGTCTCCTTCACCGAGATTCCAGACTTCCTAGTCCCAACGGCATTCGACATGGCCCTCCAAGACGTTACCTACGTCATCCACGCCGCCTCTCCCCTCCCTGACTTCACTCTGACGAGCTTCGACCTCGACGCCGACTACCTGAACCCCGCCAAAGACGGCACTCTCAACCTCCTCCATGCCGCCACCAAACACCCTAGCATCAAACGTGTCGTCATCACCTCAAGTGTAGGCGTCCTGACCCGCCCGGTCCCGCCAGCCCTCGCAACCAAGATCATCGGCCCAGACGACACAGCAACTGTACCATCTCGCGATGCCATGGCGACGCACTCCGGTCGCGCATACAATGGCTCCAAAATCCTTGCCTTGCTCGCAGTCGACGAGTTCGTAGCCACCCACCATCAGAGTCTCGGATTTGATGTGGCGCACATTCTCCCCTCGTACGTGCAAGGTCGCAACGAGGCTGCAACATCACTCAAAGACTTGGCCGGGAAGACCTCCAACGCTAATATCGTTCGTTTTGTCCTTGGACAGAAATCTCAAGTGCCGGATTTTACGGACCTGGTCCATGTCGATGACGTTGCGGCTGCGCATGTGAATGCGTTGGCTGCTGAACTGAGTCAAAGTAAGGGTAAAGGGGAGGTGAAGAGGTTCATAGTGGCGGATAATGATGCATCAGGCCGAGGGCCTATGAGCAGGTGGAGAAGATTGTGAGGAAGAGGTTCGCCGATGAGGTTGAGAGGGGCGTGTTGCCGCTGGGGGGCAGTGCGAATGTTGTGACGGTGGGGGAGATGGGGCATGATGTTGGGTTGACGGAGGATGTGCTGGGGTTGAAAGGAAGGTGGAAGGGGCTCGAGGAGATGGTGGTCAGTTTGGTTGGGCAGGTTGTTGAGTTCGTGGAGAAGGGTGAGAGATTGTAGAGCCTCAGTGACGAGGGTGAGGAAAGAGATCGTGGTAAAATTGCGGAGTTAGCTCCAAGACTGCGTGGTCGGTTTGCCAAATTTCTTGTGCATGTCATTCGGCTACAAATGCATGCTTCCAGTTTTTCACTTGGTGCGCAGATGATCGCTTCACTCACGCTGTCTCTTGATCCTGTTCCCTATCTCTCGGCCCCCTTACGGTCCTTGTCGCTGCGGGCGTGATGGCTCTTCCTCACATCGTGTGTGGCTAATACTTGATGTCCTCTGAGCAAGCCTTCTCAAGAACGTATCCACAATTCCTGGTAGCTGAACCGAAGCCGAGAGCAGGGCCTGTACCGAGCCTCATCGGGGAAAAGAAGCAGGATCGGTGTGGCCAGATGTGTGAGAAGCAGATGAATATCCATTGCGACCGTCTGGGACCAGTATGAAAACGATTCTGATTTGACCAGCCTAAACGCAAGGACGTCGGACTTTGCAAACAAGGCTGGATGAGACCATCAGATTGACAAGAGTCTCCGTGGCTGGGACCTCAATCCACCGCCATGTCTCCCATGAAGGACGTACTCAAATCCCAAGTACCGTCTTCATCGTCGACGTCGTTGTTCCACCCTTGCCACTCAATGACTCGTTCTGCCCATTTTCTGCCTTCATCCACAGTAGTTGCAATTACATCTTCTGTCAGAATCTATGGCGACCCCCAGAAGTCGCGCCATTTTCTGCGTTCATCCACAGTAGTTGCTAATCCATCTTCTGTCGGAATCTGTGGCAACTCCCAGCAGTCGCGCCTACGAAGTGATTGCCGTGCATATGTCGACACAGATCTCCCATCCACGCCCAAAACAAGCAGGGGGTCAATTGCTTCTGGTCGGCTCGTAACGACCTCTCCATCCCGGGATTTGAACGGTTTTGCAATCCTAATCATGTGGTCGAAGAATTTCTTACCCCAGCAATATGCCAGCATGAGAGGTGTGAAGCCCTTAGTGTCTGCTCGGTCGATGTCAGCCCTGGCGTTTACCAGCAGGTCGCAGAGACACAGCGCTCCATCGATTTGCTCTTCAGATGTACTGGCAATCAGATGATGGAAGACTGTCCGGCCGTGAATGTCGCAGTGCGTCGCGTCTAGGCCCAGGCACAGAAGAGTCTGCACCATCTGATGATCGCCAGTGACGATAAAGCGCATCAGCAACGAGCGTCCCTTCTGGTCACAGTTGTCCAAATCGAGACGTTGAAGCTGGAACAACGCGACCCACCCAGCGTTGGCCTCAATAGCATCTAAAGTGCTCTCGAGCATGTGTGGGCCCGATGTCTGCACAGCGGCAACCAAATCCCGTCTGTCGACTTTCATAAACCCGTCGAGCAAAAAGCGAGCCCACTCCCACCTGTCCCTTCGGAACAGCCTACGCAGCACTGCGTGCAGGCCACGTCCGCAACAGTCAACCGGCTGTCGAAGGCTCGACACATATTGTGCGAGTTCCACACTGTAGGACGCTCCTATGAAGACCATATGCTAGACATGCTCCAACAATGCAGCGTCTCTGTACGGAGAGTCAGGCCCACATAAGCTTTCCATGTAGGCCGGTATGCCTAGCCTGACAACGAGCTCGAACGGAGATACTCCATGCCTGTCGCAAAGGTTTGCTCGAGCACCATGATCCAAAAGCCACTTCATCACCGTCCAGCAGTATCTGCCGACCGCGAAGTGCAAGAAAGTACACCCAAATGCATCTCTTGCATTGATGTCCAGGCCGTTATGTACGAGGATCGCCAAGAGGCGGCACATACACTCTTCGCTCAGACCATTAGGCTGACAAGAATTCATCAAAAGCTTGCCATCGCAGTGCCAGTGAGGTTGCGAGGCTGGGTCGAACAGAATGGACGTAACACGGTACCCCGAGTCTAGCAGAAGTTGCAAAATTCTCCCAGGTGCATCATCGTCCATAACAGCGTTGTCCAGTATGGCTGACGCATTGGGAGCTTTCTTCAGATTGGCCAGCAGTTTCGATCGATGCATGTTGATACAGGATACCGCGGTTTGACCGCTTCTGCCAAGTCTCGGGAGTTGGCACTCTTCGGGTTGTTGTACCGATCTTGCCGGACAAGCTTCTCCGCGAGTTGAGCAACGCCGTATGAAGCAGAGATGAACCATCCCATCGCTCCAGCAGAAACATGACGTGGTTCACGGCAAAGCAGCAACTCTCTAGTGTGCAGCCAGAGGCGAAGCGGTTCGAGCCATTTTTCGTCACCAAAGAGATCGACGGCAATATAATCCAGAAGTCCATTCGTGTCCTGATACATTGGCCCATCTTTTTCTTCGGACAATATCAGAACGGCGGCGCAGTGCTTTGCCCAGAACATGTACGCATAAGGCGTGAAGAGCCTCCTCTGCTCAGCGTATGCGCGCCAAGTGACATACATTGCATTCGGCCAAGACCCTTTTTGTTGGATTTCGGAGTCTTCCACATCTGGTTCAGCTTCGATTACACCAGTATCGCTCAAACGCAATTGCAGTATAGAAGTGTCGATTTTGGCCGTGTTTAAGTCGTCTGTGCCCAGATCGCCCGTCTTCGATTCGTCTGGCGCCATAAGCGTCACGTCCTCATAGGCTTGCCAATCGAAGAAAGCCCAACTATGGTCTAGGCGCGAGCGGTAGGTATGCAGCTGCTTGGCCGCATGCTTGACGAAAAAGAGACAACGCCGAAATATTTCTTTGTGGCAGTTCAGCTGCGAGTAGCAGTCGTTGCTCTTGAGCAGGAAATCGACGACTGACATATGCGCAAACTGGAGCACATCGCTATTCGTCTCGTCGTGACGTGGACCGGTTACAAGCAGGTTCTGAGTAATCTGTCTCAGCTCATTCACGGTTAGTGTTCGATCAATATCGTCGTGGCAATATCCCGCCGCACTCGGATCGGTGACAGCTAGTGCGTCTCTCAGCTGATCCCAGCTTATTTGTTCGAAGGCTCCAAGCACCATCTGAAGGGCTTGCTGGGCGAGAAGTCTGGACCGCTCGTGAGGGGCATTGGTGTCGAAGATCTCTTGGTAGACAGCGCACAACTGGTCGTCTGCTCCAGCGGGTGATGCCTGCAGTCTCCGGATGCGTTCTTTGACCTCTCTCCAGTCCGCCGTCGTGTAACGCTTGTTGGGAAAGAAGAGAGACACTGTCAGCTTGACCCACAGAAACCTGTCTTATTAGTAACGCAAGGCCCATGAAATGGGGGATTGGATTTCAGCCGGGTGACGAAAATCAGTACGTACATGCCCTGTGATTTTTCCAGCAGTACTTTGGCGAGGTCCTTCTCGATTTCCGGATACTCGCCGTTCAGTAGCCTCGCTCTATCTTCGTGCCCGAACACCTCTTCGTTGACAAAGTATTCCATGTCATCCCTCGTCAGATCCACGTCAAGCATTACTGTGACGCATTGAGGAAAGTACTCACCGACATCGACGTTGAGACGGCTCGTGAGGAAGAGCTTCAGGTTCCCTGCGTGGGAAGATGCGGCCTCCTTCAGTGTTCTCAGCAAGTCCCACCATTCGGCGCACTCATCGAGAGCGTCGATGACGATTCGTGTCTCACGACATGACTGAAAGATCTCACCGAGCAAGTTCCTCCGCTCTTGTTTCGCAAGTTGCGCTCCGGCTCGCCGGTCTCGACTCAGCTTGCCGTAGAGGTTGGCTACCGGCTCGATGATGGCATCCTCGCCCTTGATTTCACACAGCTGCTGCAACAGCGCATTTTCTGCATTTTCGGCGCTTGTGACTTCGCTGGTGCCACCAGCACTGTCACAATATAAGTAGGCGAAACCCGTGCCATGCAGCCATGCACTGTGTTGCCGGAAGTGCTCGACCAGACGGCATCTGCCTCAGAGTTAGAATGCGTGGAGATCAACAAGAAAGCCTTACGTCAATGTCGATTTTCCAGTGCCAGCTGCAACCGGTAAGTATATGGTGCCAATCGATATTGTTGGCTTACCTGTTCCGCGAAGCCACAAGACTTGCAGTCCATCATCCAAGTCCCACCCTTTGAATTCGTCCGATTCCAGAAGCCACTGACCGCTCCGCTCATACTGATCTGCGATTCGAGTAGCTTTTCGCCGCTTGAAGTGGTCAGTGATGCAATCATCTTTGAATATCCAGTTCAGGATCTCTTGGTTCGCTTTGAAGAACTCGTTGTCGCTTTTGATCTTGTCGAATGAGTCTTCGCAAATCTTGAACTTGGTATCAAGATCCGCTTTGATCCTCTTGAGTTCTGGCCTGAGTTCGACTACGCGAGCCATCGCCACTGTTTGGCATGAGTATATGTAAGTGATGTGATTCGGTGAATCTTACCAGCTGGGTTCAACTCGAGATACTCTCTCGATACCGTACTATACTCAAGCACAAGGGCATAGACAGCCACCAAGTATTCATCTGCTTTATTAATGAGAGACTGGGGGCATGTCTGGCTCTTATGCAGTAGTTTCGCTTCCTTGTCAGCACATCGATCAATCTTGGAACAGACGTCATCTAGATCATTCGCAAGACTATCGTCAAGCTCGACTTTGGAAAGAGCAATCTGCAAAGCGTCAGTCGCCGACCTGATTCAAAGCTATATTCACGATCTGTGACTATGGTTGCGGGTGCCCGCTATTCTCGATAACGAAAAGCAATCAGGCCTCAGCTGCTCATCGCTGCAGTCGGAAACCAATGGCAGTGGAATGGAACGACGACTCGGGAGCCATGGTCAATTCTTAGAGACTAGGGGGGCACGATCCATGGTGCGCTTGCACAGCTGTGAGGGAAACTTACGTCCAAGACCGTGGTAAACACACCGATCCCCATAGTCGCACCACCAGTGGGCTCAAAGCGACCAGCTCTTATCGAGGTAGCATTAAATGCCTGCAGGTAGCGGCCCCACTGGATCAGTCTCCGACGGCGCCCATATCGTTGCGCGAGAGCTCTCATGTTGATGTCGCGTATGTTGTCTTTGTAAATTGATATGAGCCGAGCCGAGTCAAGAGGCTTACCACCCGCAGCAGCCAAAGACTGGACGTGATCAAAGACGTCAGGCTTCTCCTCCTTGAGCTTCTGCAGGGCTCTCCTCCAGAGATCTTTGTCCCTGGTACGAGAAGGTTCCGCCTCAAGAATCGTCGACGTGCTTACGTCTGATGTACCGGGCTGGACATCTCCGCTACTTGGCTTGTTGGTTGAACTCTTCTTGAAGGGCTTCGACACCTTATCCAGTAGCTGTCTGGCTGGTGAAGGCTTTCTGCTCGCTCTTTTCTTTGCAGGGGACGGCATTGTTGGCTGCCTCGACGCGTGGCACGCCTCCGCAAGCCAGTGGGAAAGAGCTACAGCGCAACGGAAACCAAAATTGGACCCGTCTCAACGCTCATTTGAACAGCATCGCAGCAATAAGGCATTCAGTGAAGCTGCTGAGGCATCTAGCATGCGGAAGGAGAGTTGGACTTACCTGGGCCTACATACCTTGTTTGCTGTCTTTGCAAGCCATGAAGCCTCCACGGCAGCTTGCAGATACTTTCCTTGTTTGCCATTTCAAAGACGACCGCAAAGCGTCGGACTGACCGCCGGGCTTCCAGAGGCAACTTGGAAGTCAAGGTCCGGGTGTGTCTTTGCGACGCGTCGTTGGAGACTGTGATGCAGGCGCGTCGATGCAGAAAGAAAGACAAGAGCTGAAGTTGGGCATGAAGCTGTGGGGACTCGCAAACTCCGCTAAATCCTGGTGTGACACGTCACCGGTATGCTCCTGATCTCACATGTTCCTGTCTGGAGCCCGAGATTGAGGACTGTGCGGCTGAAGGAGTTCGCTACAACGGTATCGATCATAGAAGCCTTCAAGGAGTACCTGCGATCTAGCTCTTGCGGCCGTCAAACCTCACGCCACCATCAACAGCCAGTCCATGCTTCTCGATCTTCCCTGTCGCAGTACGCCGGATCTCAGGCACAATCTCGATCACGCTCGGCACTTGAAAGCGCGCCATATGCTCAGTGGCCCAAGTCCACAGTGCCTGCTCATCCACTTTTTCCTTCGCATTCTCCCGCAACTTCAATGCGACCTTGATGTCTTCTTCTGTTCCGTCACCCAGCTGTGAGGCACGCCATAAGCCGCTGCCATCAACACATCCGAATGCTGCAAGAACTCGTCCTCAACTTCCGCCGCGTTGACATTCTCTCCTCTTCGCCTGATGATGTCCTTGACCCTGCCAAGGAAGTAGACGTTGCCAGATTCATCGACCTTGGCCAGGTCGCCAGTGTGCAGCCACAGTCCCCTAAAGGCGGTAGCTGTGTTCTGCGGGTCGTTGAAGTAGCCTTGGAAGAAGGCATTTGGCGCGTCGCTTCGCAGTAACAGGTGGCCAGCTGTGTTGGGCGGGAGTTCTTCGTCTCCGTCGTCAGCGATGCGCAGATGACGACCAGGGCGGACTCGACCGCAGGAGCCAAGCGGTAGCTTTCCATCTTGGAAGACAGGGAGACTGGCTTCGACGCTGCCGTACAACGTGATGAGCTTGTGACCAAACCTTTCCTCGTACTGTGGTGCCCATGATGGTATCGGCACACCCCATGCCAGGCGGATCTTGTGGTTGCGATCAGACGGTGAAGGCAATTGCTTGTGGAGCATCGCCAACGTGGCGCCCATGAAGTCGTATACAGTAGCACCGGTATCTCTAATCTCATCCCAGAAGCGGCTGACGCTGAAGCGGGCTGATAATGCCGCTGTAGCGCCAAGCAAGATTGCAGGAATGGTAGTAAGAGCTGTTGCATCGGCGTGAAACAGCGGGAAGGGACAGTAAAGCACATCATCCTGCCGGAGCTCACAGCCATCTATCAGAGTCTGTGCTTGGAGGATGAAGTACTCGTGGGAGAGTATGCAGGGCTTTGACTTTCCGGTTGTCCCGCTTGTGAACAGAAATGCAGCAGTCGTTGACGGCTTGACTGGATGTGAGCTGTTGACTTCGCTGCCGGAAGTACACAGTGCTTGCAGGCCGTCCGTGCCATTCGGTTCGTTCACATAGAGTGACGTCCCACCAACAACCTCGGTCCCTGCGATGGCAGATTGAAATTCTCTGTCAACAATCGCGATTTTGGGGGCGGCAGCAGATACGACATGCTTCAGCGTGACGGATCTGACCTCCACATTGATCGGCACCCACACTGCGCCCAGTCGGTTCACTGCCATCCAGATCTCGACCATCTCGACACTGTTCCGCATCATGACAAGGACTCGATCACCTGGTCCGATGCCAATGTGTCGAAGACCACCAGCGAGTTTCGACACCCTGGAATGGAATTCGCCGAAGGTGACATCTTTGCCCTGGAAGCGAAGAAAAGTGCGCGTGGGAAATTTCTCGATGGCATGGTCGAGCGCTGTGTTGATATCTCTCATTTTGGTTGGTGATGGAGGTGCAGATTGTGGGATGCTGTCCTTCGCAGCTCCATGCTCCTTGCCATTGACGATGCCGTTGGTACCATGTGCGGTCCCATTCACCTTTGGCTTCCGAGCAGCAAAGTCAGAGAATGCCTTGGCCGCATCACTTTGGGCAAAGCAGTAGTTCGCCACGTTGACTTCGTCGTGCAGACAGGTCTCCATGTTTGGAAAGACAGTTCTTTCCAAGGAAGACTTGGACGCAGACAACGAGATGCTTGGTAGCTTGGCGAGCTCGAGAGCGAGCTCGTATGCTCGGTGCTTTGGATCGTCCACAAGCTCACTGAGTAGGCCAATCTTCAGCGCTTCTTGAGCATTGATCCAGCGTCCTGTGAGCAGAAGCTCTTTCGCTTTAAGGAGGCCGACCATTTGCGACAGGCGGAGCGTGATGCCGCCGGTCGCAGCATGACCGATCGGGACCTCAGGGAACCGATACTTGGCAGCCGGTCCGCCGATCACGAAGTCAGCGGCCAACGCAATCTCGGCGCCACCGCCAATCGCGAAGCCTTGCACAGCCGCAATCACAATGGCTGACGATGAGGAGGTGAGTCGGGTGATGTCCTGGAGCTTGACGAAAGCCTCACGTAGCTCTTCAGCGGTGCCGGTCCGAGGTGCCAGAGTCTGCTTGAGATCCTCACCAGCGCAGAATGATCGAGGACCTGCCCCTTCAATGATGATGATCTTGGAGCTGGCATGTCTTCGCAGGGCGGCGACAAGGCTTTCGAGTAGGTCAGCATTGATTGCATTGAGAGCCTCCGGGCGGTTGAGAGTGATCCTGGTGATGTCTGGTCCGAGACTCTGACAGAGTACTGTTTGTTGTGTCATGTTGGACAGGATGTGTAGTTATCAACTGTGACGGTGTTGAAGGTCGTGGCTGCAAGGACTGCGTTGGCATATTAGAGTCTTCATATCTGGGACGCCGTGTCAGCCCGTGCTACGTAGTTCTGTGTCCTCGACTCAAGGTCACATACCGTCTCCGACAGGATTGGATGATTCTTGTTGCTTCAGGTGGAGGATTTCGTTCGTGCCAAGGGTCTGCACCATACGAAGTTGGCTAGACTCAAAGCATAGGAGATGACTTGCCCGAAGAGGCAGAGAAGGCATGCCATGCCGACAAACCATCAGGGGGGCCTGTGGCTTCCCTTGTTTGTCAGGGTCCAAAAGTATGCTTTCTGGGTCACTACTCTTCGTTGGATCCAACGAACCAAAGTAAGGCAGAGTGTCCTCATGCCAGTCCCGTTCAACTCGTAATACATGCTCAGCTTGAAGCAAAACTCGAAGGAAGCAGCGGCAGCCAATATATGTGCTGCGGCACTTCGACATAAATTCATGTCCTTGTTATAGCTGTCTCGTCACTCGATCTGATAAGTCCGCTTATTGTTGTTCGCATATCAAGCCGCGTGCCATTTGAGGACATACAGCCTGTTGAAACCCCTCATCGTCATGACTCCGACCGAGACTGTCAACGTTGCACATGCAACTAACGACACGACACCTGTACGGACCCAGTCAGAGAACGCATTACAGCGCGCTGTATCTGCGAGCTACGGATCCGAAGACATTCGGGGCAGGTCAAACATCGTAGCCTCTCGCACAGTCTTACGGGTGGCCGGAGAGCACGAGCTCGACAACCTGACACTTGCCACTCTGCATGGATCGGGCATGATATCCGAGCGGCCATTCGTGTTTGCAGACAATGACGAAGGCAGTATCATGGCATTCTACCACCTTGGGCGGCGATTGGCTGGACATGCAGGCCTGGTCCATGGAGGTATGATTGCTGTGCTGCTGGACGAATGCATGGGTAGAGCATGTTTCCCCAGGCTCGAGGGCAAGATCGCTGTTACTGCCAAAATGGAGATTGCATACAAGTCGCCGATGAAGGTAGACTCCGTCATAGTGATCCGAGCGTGGACCAAAGACATTCAGGGTCGGAAAGCCTTTGTTGAAGCTGTCGTGGAGGATGCAGCCGAGCGGCGGCTGATCGCGTCCGCGACGGCACTTTTCATCCAGCCAAAGTGGGCGAGTGAGATGTCAGCATGTCTACCATGAGACGTGCCGCCGACTTCGACACTGTAATCACACAATGAGGACATCGAAACCAAAGTCCATGATCACTTGAGTCCAGTCGACCGTGATCATACCCATTTCGATTCCGGATCGCTCACAGATCTCACTGCGCCGGCGCCAGACCTCTTCGACAACTTCTTTGACGGCCTTTCTGTTGCCCATGCCAAAGCGACATATCTGACTGAGCCAGCGGTCAGCGCGCGTGAGATCGTCTGGCGTGTATGCTTCCACCGCAGCAATGAACGCAGGCCATATGGAGAAGTTGCCTTCGCTGACTGCATAGAACTCGGTGACGTTCTCGAAGATGCGAGAGACGTAGGATTGGACCTGTTTTGGGGGGACCTCCAGAAGTACACGGTACATATAGATATATGCTGCTTCGACGAATGCACTTTGCTGGCTTGCGACTTCGGTTTCATGCTCACTAGGGTCCTCCTGGGTCGAAAAAGCCGAACATCGCTCCCGTTCGGCGTTGAGTCGTGACAATAATCGGGCAAGTTGGATGTCTAGCCAGCCGGACTCGTTGTTTAAACTCTTCTTGGACCTGATTTCGGTGATGTCTGCTATGCACTCTAGTATCGTTTGACTTGCGCCGATAGTGAAGCCGAAGTCTCGAGTACGCTGGATGTTACCAAATAAGCCCCTCATGTCAAGCTCAGGCTCTTGCAGCCTGTGAGTCGCAGACCGCCTTGACGTGGATCCTATGATGTCGATGATCCTGAGGCTCTGGAGCGAGGTACAGGAGAAGTCGCTCGAGAGCCAGTGCGATGCGTCGGTCTGTTGCTGTAACAACGTGCATGCTCCCTGAAGATGAGCCCTCCAGGTTGTTGAGGTTCCAGTGTAGACCTTGCAGAGGTCAGTATCTCTTTAACTTTGAAGGAAATTGACACTCACCTCAGTCATCATGAGAGTCATGATTGCGGCCATTGCAATGCTGGCTTCCTCGTTCCGCGTGAGACTTGGCAGCACTTGCTGTATCGCCTTCGTGTAGTGTCGAGATCCTACAAATGACATTCTTTGCTCATCTCCACGGAGCACAGACAGATTAAACGCTGCATGAGCAAGAATGGCATCGTAAAGCGCTCGGTGGCCAGAAGAGAGCATTGTGTAAGCGACTGAAGGGTAGTGAGTCCTCCACGGGTTGCGATAATGCTCATAAGGCATCATAATCACAGCGACATGGTTGACGTAGTGATTGAGAAGGAACTTCTCGGTCCGATGGAGATCTGGGAGGTCGGACAGCCCAGGCGAAAGTGGCAATATCGCCATGGACATCTCTGGCTCTTGCAGCGACGCAAGCGTCGTGTCTATGTCCATGACCAAATCCAGCTCATGTAAGGTCTCACTTTCCATCACCACCTCCGCTGATATGTCTCGTCCCTGTTGCGAGGCACATGTTGTCGCGGCAAAGACGGCAAATGGACTACGACTTGTGCCTGATGACAAGGTATTGCTGCCGCCATCGTCGTCGCTGATATCGCACTGCGTGATCAAGTAGTCGACGTGGTCGTCAGGGATGACATCCCACCCCTTCCAGGTCTCGTCGCTTCTCAAGAATCGACGACCATCAGACTTGTGGCCTTGTGGGGAGCTCCCAGTCAGCCACACCAGCCTCGAGCCGTAGCCATCGCACCTGAGTCCCAAAGACTGACATGCCAGACACGCCGGCAGCGACTCATCGCACCTCACTTTCCGCTTCCGGCACGTCCAGCATCCTGTAAAAGTCCTGGCACGACGCGCGGACCTGGTCATGTGCAAAGTGGCACGGCATGGGTCACGAGATTTCTCTCGTACAGGCAAGCGAGCATGGGACTATGGCACACGCGAGAAACGTTCGGTGCCCTTTGCCGTTGTGCACCGCGACTAGGAAGAAAAGAGATGAGATGGAAGGAAAGAGCGACCGCCTGCCTTTATCTTCGTGTTATCTTCCGCCCGGGTCCCACCTTAGCAGTCCTTACACGCTAGTCTATAAACAGCTAGACAACGTCGCGATGAGCTTCCTCTCTTCTTGAATTTGGAAAAGCGCGTCGTTCATTTGGCATCCACCAACTACTCTTCGCATTCTTGCTTTCCAACTTCACTCCGAGGCCGTCGTAGACGCGCATATTGCCGGGTCAATAGTCCAGCAACGCTTGAGCTTTGCACTATCGCGTTGCCCGATCCCCAATGGTGCCAACCAGTTTACCGCCCTGCTAAACTTTCGGCGATGTCAATGAAGCGGCCCAGGCATGTTAGCCTTCCGTGATATGGGCCACACACTGGCTGCAGCACACAGTCACTCGTATTGACTGCGATTTCTGGTATTTCCGCACCATGGCACTGGATCGCATTATCTCTTCTGTCTTGATGGCCCATCGGAATCTGGACCCCTTTGGTAGTGTCTCGCCTTCGATTGAGCATACTGATCCAAATGCACTGCATCATCGCTATTGCCTTCCCCGGGTCTATCATGTTCCTATCATGTACCTACTAGCTTGTACCGAATGATAAGGAGGTTCCTTCGGGACTAAAGTCATCATATCGCCATGACCTGCGACACGCTATAAAGGCCGGCTCCACGTGTCGTCTAGACCCATGTGCTCGTGAGTGTCGATGTACACACGTCGCCTTCCATCTCTCTTTGTCCTCTACACGCATCCTCTTCGGTATGGCTGAGAAGGAGTATCCTCACGAGCCGGCGCGTGAGTTGGCAGACGAAGGTGTTGCGAACGGAGAGATTGCGCGAGTGGCTATCGAAGACAAATATGGCCATGTCAACAGAAGGTGCGGCTTGTGGGAGCATCTTTACTGGTACTGACATGGTCGCAGCTTCGAAGCCGTCACATCCAATTCATTGCACTGGTAATGTCTCCCTCAGCGAGTAGTCTGGCGACAACTGATGGAAGGCAGGGCGGCGCGATCGGAACCAGCCTTTTTCTTGGCATCGGCTCTTCTCTCGCCAAAGCTGGGCCTCTGAGCTTGTTGCTGGGGTTCTCGATCACCGGCCTTGCTGTCTACGGCATGGTACTGTACTCATCTCACCACGAACAGCATATCAATAACACTTAACAGATGGTCACGCTCGGTGAGATGACGACTTGGCTCCCAGTTCCCGGCGCTATACCTCAGTTCTGCTCTCGCTTCGTGGACGACTCCCTCGGCTTCGCAGTAGGCTGGAATGTGAGTATGCAGACCAAGCTTGTCTCGTGAAACTCACAAGTAGCCAGAACTGGTACTTTTGTGCAATTGTGGTCTGTCTGGACATCAGCGCTGCGTCTGTAGTGATCGACTACTGGCCTGGAGCTAGGTCTGTATCTGTGCGTAACAAACTGGCGTTTCAAGATCGACACTTACTATGTATAGCCTGCTGTTTGGATCACGATCATTATACTGGTCATCCTATTCCTGAATGTTTTCGCCGTCTCAATCTACGGCGAAGCAGAGTTCTGGTTCGCCTCCATCAAGCTGATTACCATCCTTGGCCTCTTGATCCTGTCCGTCGTGATCATTCTGGATGGCGGGCCGAGCGGCGATCGCTTGGGCTTCAGGTACTGGAACGACCCTGGTGGTGAGTGCAATCAACCTCCTGCCCCGTCTTCTCTGACCGTACTACAGCAATGAAAGAGCTTTCGCCAGCAAGCGGGGCCACGGGTCGGTTTCTGGCCTTCTTCTCTACCCTCATCTACGCCGCGTTCACCTATGCCGGTGTTGAGATGGTGGCTGCCGCTGGAGGCGAAGCCGAAGATCCCAGACGAAACGTGCCCAAAGCCGTGCGGAGGGTCGTCTATCGCATCTTGCTTTTCTACGTGCTGGGCACTCTAGCTATAGGCTGCATGGTCGCTTCTAACGATCCCAACCTGTTTGGTGGAACAGGTGCAGCCAGGTCACCGTGGGTCATCGGGATCACCAAGGCTGGCATCAGCGTACTGCCTGACATCATCAACGCTGTGATCTTGGCATCGGCAACATCATCTGTCAATGCCTTTCTGTATACGGGAAGTCGCTACCTGTACGCGCTCGCCTCGGACGGTCAAGCACCGAAGGTGCTGTTGAAGTGTACCAAGACGTGAGTATTATAGTCTACCCGCCTCACTCTGCTGACCTTGCCTGCAGTGGTGTCCCCATCTACTGCGTACTGGTGACGAGTTCGATATCTCTTCTCACCTACATGACGGTCTCGGTCGCTGGGACTACCGTCTTCCTCTGGGTGGGAACTGCCCGATCATATTGCGGCAAAAACACTGACAAAATTGCGTTAGTTCGCAAACCTAGTCACAGTCGCCAGCATGTTGACCTGGATTTCGATCTGTGCAGCATTCATCCGTTTCCGCGAAGCACAGAAGGTTCAAGGCCTTACCGACCAAAACCCATGGTTCAGGGGTCCTCTCCAGCCATACACGGCGTGGGCAACGATGATATTCTTCTCGGTTCTGACAGTCTTCAATGGCTTTGAGGTGTTTCTGGAGGGTCATTGGAACATCAGCGACTTCCTGGTTGCGTATATTGGGATACCGTGAGTGTTTACCCTCTGTGGCTCGTTCGTGGCTGACGCCGCACTGTACAGCATTTTCGGCTTTCTGGTCTTGTTCTGGAAGTTCGTTAAGCGCACCAAGATCCACTCGCTCGCCACCATGGATTTGATGGGTGGCAGAGCAGAGATAGATGCTCTGGAGGGTACTTGGGACAAGCCAGTCCCGAAGAATTTTGCTCAGAAGGTGAGTGATTCTCGCTGAATCTCGCTGTAAGTCTAAGCACTGACATGAATCTTAGGTCTGGTTTTGGCTGGTATGATGAGACGAATGATGATGAGGGCTTGGATAAAAAGGCTTTGAGTGACTACCGGGATTTCGCCTGCACTTCCAAAGCCTCTGCCTTGTTCAACGCATCTGCGGCGCCATTTATCCGACGCGATACCTGGGTCTGACCAGAGGCACTTCAGTTCTACAACAGACGTCTCTCCTCCTTCCTTTGGATATGTTACTGTCGACGGTAGACAATGTACGTCCACAGCTCATGGCTAAGTACTGCTAACCTCATCCCTTTCGTGGCCTGGCTGAAGTGCTTCTAAATGGGCACTGTTGGTCTTCTCGTCTGCGGTGCCTTCAGTGTCGAGCACTCCGGCCGCGCTGCTCTCCTTGTGGAGCGCTTGCTCAAAGCTCAGCTCGACAGGGTCGCCAAAGACGACTGAGATGTCTTCGAGAGTCATGCCCTTGGTCTGTCACGAATGTTAGGCCCGGGCCAGCCGGAGCGGAAGGATATGACTTACCTCAGGCAGGTACAGGTACACAAGTATACCATATATGACAGTCAAGATGATGAGAATGATCCAGAATTTGTAGCTAGTACGAAGAAGCATTATGTCAGAAGGTGATCGAAACTCAGCGTCTTGAGCCAGAGCAGGACTCACCCGATATTCTTGAACGCAGTCGGCGCCGCCTCCAACAAAATAGTCGTAGCAATAAACTGGCCCATGATGGACCAGCTCATCCCGAAGCTCCTGATCACCATCGGAAAGATCTCCGATGGAATCAAATACATGGTTGCGTCCAGACAGGAGCTGTAGAAGACGACATAGGCGAAGATGAAGAAGACCCCGAACCCGAGACCAATCTGGTTGTTCGAGCCAGTCTCGACGAATTGGGCAGTCATGGCGGCCTCTCCGGACAGGCAGACCAGGATTCCAATGCATCCGGTGATGACGAAACGGCGACGCCCGATGCGGTCGATGAAGAGGCCGTTGAAGAGGTTCCCGGGAACAGTGAGGAGATTGAAGAACCCGAGCAGAAGCAGTGGTGTGCCGCCCTTGATGCCGAGGCCGGCAAAGAGCTGAGCATTGTAGTTGCTAAAATCCGCCACCTCATGTCAGCTTCAGGCCCATGATCGTACACCCACAGCGACAGATGGACTCACTTGATGACGAGTGCACCAGTGCACTGGTTCCCGAACTGGACGAGAAAGCCAAGGCCCAAACGCCTCAGGAATGATTTCTGCGAGAAAGCCAATCGAGCTTGCGCGAGGGTGCCTACAGCGTTATGCTGCCGTTCGAACGTGATCTGAGCCATCATTTGTGCATATTCTGCATGAGCATAGGTATCTTCGGGGTCGTGCTTGCTACGGTGCAGTCTGCAAGTGACCTTCCACGCTTCGTCTGTTCGGTCTTTGCCAATAAGCCTGCCTCAGTCAGCATACCTGGTGATATTCAGGTGGAATTCGGCCTCGCTTACCAGCGCGGGCTTTCTGGAAGAAAGAAACTGCCGATGAATAGTACAATGCACGGTATGAGCTGTACGCTCAAAGGAAACCGCCACTGTGTCAGTCAGTCGAGGCTTTCCGAAGTCACAGGACTACACATGCCTGAAACTGCCCATATGCCGCGAAGTAGCATCCATATGTCACAAAGCCAGTCATGGAGTAGCTGAAGCCAATCAACACCCCATGCAAGCCGACCATTAAGCCTCTCGACTCCGCCGGGCTCACCTAGAGGGATCAGCGTCAGTATTTTCTCTCCCGATGCCGTTGTTGCCGGTCAAGCTCACCTCACTCTGATACAGTGGGACCAGCGTGACCAAGATGCCAATCCCAAAACCCATGATAAACCTGGAAACCACGAACATCGGGATATCGATCGAACCGGTCATGATCGCCGCGCCTACGATCGAGATCACACATCCCAACTGTATACTCTTCTTCCGACCCAGTGCCTCACATGCCCACATGTTGAAGACACAACCTACGGCGCCGCCAGCTGCATAGATACCATTGATCAAGCCGAGAATAGCTTGACTATAAGAGCTGCCGGCCTCGAGGCCCATGTAGTCGTACCATGAAGGCTGACCGATAAGGGCGGCGGATATGGAGGAGGCATAGCCGTAGCATAGCGAACCGACGGCGACGAAGAGAGCGACGAAGAAGTTATACTTGTTGCGCGGACGGGGAATGACATACTTAGCGCGTTTGGATTGATCTTTCATGGCTGTGTTCGCGGAGAGTTTCGATATAAGAAAGAAGGTGAGGGAAGTGGAAAGGACGTATTGCACAGGACGGCAATATTAGCAGGGTGACCTGTTAAAGAGCGTGAAGTACCGGCTTGCTTGAGTACCGATACCGAGCCTGCCACTTTACAAAGACTCTGGAGTACATGAATGAATGAATGAATGGCGAATGACAATTTGGCTGCTCCCCGCAAATGTTGGGGATTTTGGGGCCCGTGTAGATCGTTGTACCGTAACCTCGGAGATGGCGATCACAGTCAACTTGAAGCGAGGTACTTGTACCTCACCATAGGCCTAAGTGCAGCATCGCGTGCGACAAGTGCATGCAATTGTAGCATCATGACGTGAACAGAGGCGGGCATCATTGTTGCTGTCGATAAGTCTATGTACGAACCGATGGATCCTGGCCGGTAAGATAGGAATTGATCTTTCATGGTTCTGCTATCGGAGGTCACGTACACCCGTGACTGCCGCCTGTTGCTTGTACGTGATAAGAAAATATCAATCCAGCGTGTCTAACCTGAACTAATTGAGTCGAGAGGCAAAAGGCCTCGCATTGAGCTTAGGTAGCGGTACGTTGGATGGAAGAAGATGCCATCTAGACCTCGGCCCAAAATTTCACGACCAGGCAAACTGGCCGCCTTGTTGCCTTGCCGTCAAGGGAGAAGAATGTGAAAATCCCTTTATCTCAGAAGAATATGTTTAATACCGACTGCTTGTGCCCACTATTTACTGCGATCGGCCTTGCGAGGCGACTCCGAGACAGCGAAATCAACGCCGCGCAGCGCGTGACAGACTAGACAGGTACTCAAAATCTGGCTTGCCTAAGTAATGACTCTGATGCTGCCTTCCCAATTTGATCCGCCGTAACGCCAGTCCACCCTTTAGCTCCCTAATGCCCTCAGAGCCAATGTCCTGAAACACACGCAACGATCTCGTGAGATTCGACCGTTCACACTCTTACAGTACTTCTACTCGATCTCCCGCTTGACGTTCACGTCATAGACTGGCGGAGGCGGCGCGACTGCACACACTAAGTCAGCATTGTCCTTAACTCAACCGGTCACACCATTGAGAAACTCACCTTCAACAATCGCAGGCCCGGCAATGATAGTAGTACTGTCCAGCTTGCCCGCGGCAGCAGCACTGGTCAAGAAAACATAAGTCTGACCCATTGCCGCAGCCGGGATCGCAACAGTAACGCTCTGCCCGACCACAGAAGCAGCTTGGACGCTCGCGACATTGAGTCCAGAGACGAACGTGGCGTATGTAGTGGCGGGGAGGGTACCGTTGCCAGCGGCGGTAAGCACGATGCTGTCGCCGGCGAACTTCTCGCAGGTCACTGGGTTCATTGTTGAGTTGCCGGTCGGGGTGGGGATTGGTGTCGCGGTGGCGGTGCCGCTGGGGTAGCCGCCTTCGGTGCCTGATGGCTTGGGCTTAGGCGCACGGCAGGTGATGCTGCGCTTGCGGATCTTGGGCACGGCGCAGGATTGGGTGGCGTTGTAGGTCAGGCCTGGCAGGGGAGTGAATGGCAGGGGAGGGTTGGTCGCGGGGCATGAGGTGATGAAGGCCGCGGCTAGGGTGTAGACTGAGGTTGGATCGAGAGGCTGAAACAGTGGTCAGAGAGTATGAAGAGCGTTGGGCGAAATGGGACTCACGGTTCCGTAAGGGCTGGCGAACGGGACCTCAGCGACGGCCGCGCGCTGGTAGGAAGTGTGCAGCGCTTCGGTGACGAGGATCGAGCCAGCGACGGTCAGGTAGTCCTTGCTCGTGATGAGAGGAGCGCCACCTAGATACGCAGACGTGCCGACACCTTCGATGATGCTGGACAGTGAGATGAAGGATTTCCTAACCAGGTCAGTTGTTGATCCGGTACAGCTGAAGACTAGTGTACTTACACATCAGTATAGGGGAAGCTATAGGTACATGGCTGGACTGGCGTCTGACCAGCAGCTGACAAGGCGCTGCTGAGAAGCGCAACGTGGCTGGATTCGTCGCTCGCGATGTATTTCAGGTCCTCGTAGTAGGTGGCGCCATAGCCGGCGGCAGCGAAGTCGCCCTCAGAGAACTTCTTAAGCGCATCGGAGTAGAACTTGTTCTCGAGATGCTCGAGCTACTTCTGTCAGTGAGGTACTGCCGCTCGTGTGGTGGATCGAACCGTCAGCGCGAACTGCAGGACAGTCACGTCGATATTGCCAGTCTGTCGCGACTCCAGTGGGACGGATGCAACGAGTCCTGCGCTCAATGCGCCGAGAAGGCCGGTGCTGTACTTCATGGTAAGGGTAATGAGTGTATGCGGTCAGTGACGACGAAATGAGTGTATAGGGTCAGTGGCGCTGGTGGCTTAGTGTCGCTGTCGCTCACAAATCGCCCCAACACGAGCAGGCTCATGCATGTTATAGATCCGGTGATGCATCAACAACTTGCTGAATGGGGGAATGCAATCTTGAGGCCAAAGCGCGATGGAGAATTGTCGTGCAGATCGACCCGGGGATGTCTGGCTGGACACATTCTGACAGCTCCGGATGAAGGAAATCCGAGAATGTGATCAGGAAGGGAGTCAGAATGATCAGTGCGCTAGTGATTTGACCTGACGTGCTGTTATGATTGGGTCGGAGGTTTTGCTCCAGTAGTTCGTGCCTGCGAAGAAGATGACATCGACTGTAGAAATGCAAACTTCGTTGAAGCTTTTTAATGCTTGTGATGTACTCTCCGCGGAGCTGTTAGGCTCGATCCTCGATGCTGCCAACGAGACCGTGGCGAGCTTGAAGACAGATTTGTGGCATAGGATTGCTCGTAGAACTTCATTAAGCGGACCTTTGTTTGCCAGCGAGAGCCAGGAGACAGCAGCGTGTGGATGGTATGACTTGCGAGCGTGTGCTGCGAGACCGACCACTTTACCTAAATAGTCTCTGAAGGGGTATGCGTGAATCTTCTTGTACCACCAGTGGGATGCGCAGTCTGCATCGCAAATCGTTTCTAGTTGTACATGGGAATTCTAGTCATCTCGTCGTCAACTTGCCAGCCCAAACGCCATCCCTGCCGATCAGTTCGAAAATTCATATGAGGCACACATTAGAACCACCCACCTCCTGTCGCTGTCGCGGTTGCAACTCACTTCTCCTTCTTTCTGGTCTTGCCAGCCCAGCCTTCGACCTCTGCCACGGCATGACGGAGGCTAGACAGGGCAGCCCTCTCCGCATTCCCAGATGTACTACTCGCAGGTTTTGGCTGACCGAACTTTGTCCATCTCAATCTTAGATTAGACCCAATATCCGCCATATCCTCTAGCGTCTTCTTGCGCATGCCTGCTGGCGCCGGCACCTGCAGATGTTCCTCTTTTGCTTTTTGATACAATGGTTGCCAGTAGCTTTGTGCAAGAGTGCGAAAGACTTCGGCTGAGTTTGGTCGGTCCTGCGCCGCCTTCGACATTCTCTCAATAGCCGACAGTAACGTCCACACGTGCCAGACCTCGTCCTTGCCGGGCAGCGTAGCGAAACCGCACTGCTCAACTAAGGGTGCGGCCAACTCAGCAGCTTTCTTGTGGTCGTCATAACCAGAGAGCTTCATCAGAAGCTGACTTCTCAAGTCATCAACATGATCCTGGGACGGTTTCGCAGCAGTCGGGAGTCTGCCCAGGATATCCGCTGCAGAACTGTATTCTCCCATATCTCTGAGATCGCGAGCGACTTCCCACCCAAGATCCCGTCGCTGGCTTGCGTTGAGAGTCAGACATTTGTCGTATGTATCAAAGAGCTCGCTGCGGCCTAGTTTCGCAAGTGAGCTTATGCCAGCACGAGAGACCATGAAATCAGCAGCAGTCGTCTTTGCAACCAGTCGGAAGGCGAATTTGTGCTGCCCCAACTGTTGAAGTTCAGTGACGATGGCATCTCTATCATGTTGGATGACTTTCCGAATGTCCGTAGTAGCCTCTCGTTTGAGCTTCAACTGCCAGGCTTTGTGGGCATCGAGAATGGCATCCGCGTATTTCTGCTTCTTGAGAAGAAGCCGGGCTCGTTTGGACATATTCCCCGCAATCCATGGGAGTCTGACGGCGTCCGGGTTGTCTTCGGCATTGCAAAGTGCCCAGTTGAGTATTGCAAGCGCTTCATCGTGATGTTTGCTGTTCGGCGATCTCTCCAGCAGCATACAGAGCTGACTCTGAGCGTCTCGCGTCATCGGCTGCGTAGATGATGGGTCCTCCTTATGGCCTTCCGCCTCGATGGTCTGGAGTAGTGCGATCGCCTCTCTGTCTCGGTCAAGATTTGACAATGCTTTAGCGGTAGCGAGCTCGATTTCGTGAACCTTTGTTTGTGCATCTTTGATCGCAGGTGTATTTGGAGGGTTTTCGTCCATCTTAGCCTGCAATGTACCCCGACGTGTTCCCATCACAGTGTTGAGTTCCCTCAGTGCGGGAGCCCATGACCCGTTGCGCATAAGCTCGGTGCCAAGCGATATGCCGAGACGATCGATCTCTCTGGCATTGTCTTTCGCATCTTCATCGCGAAGTTCTTGCACGTTCTTGAGCTGCTGCTCGAGTGTTACGATGCTTGCCTTTAGGTCATGAATCTCGGTCTTCGCAGCCTCCACCTCGAGACGGTCTTTCCAATCAGGACCCGAGCTGCGGCTCCAGTAGGCGCTATCCCTGTCTGGTTCTGGTAGGGCTTGATTGTGGGCGAGTTGGTCATTCACGACTTGTTGCCAGTTGGGATTGTATGGTGCCTGTGGTGCAGGCCGGTAGGTGTGTTGACCTGGCCATGACCTTTGCTGGGAGTGTTGATAGTAGTGGTTCTGATCAGCCATCTGCGCTTCCGGCAGGCGCCTGGCTCAATCTACGTGAGAAGTCGCTCCAACGCTTAGGTGAGAGCGCTGATTGGTCGGGTTAAGGCGGTACGAAATCAAAGGGAAATAACTCGTTAGCAAATAAAATATAACACCACAATGCAAGAAGCGAATAGTAGAATGACGATGCAACAGCTTTCAGACCGAGAGAAATTATGGTTATATTGAGTCCGTCGTGAATGGGTGAAAGCATCAGGCAGCAACATGTATCAAATCCGAGCATTGGTGGAAGTTCCAGTTCGCACTGTAGCAAGGCAACTGCTCGTGTATGTAAGTTGGAGGCTATGTCAGGTAAATATGCACGCTGCGTCGCGTCGAGGGCTTCGGGGCGCGACCAACAACTGACTTGCTCGTGTAGAGATGTCATCTGGGACGCTGTAACGATGACTTTTGATCGTGCTGTAGTCGTTTACGGGCCAGATCTTCCTCCATACTACGGGCGTCCCACTCTATCGTTCAGTTGATCATGGTCGAGATTATCCAGACCTTTCGTTATCAGAGAAATTTTTGACGCTGGCACATGAGCAGTCGCATGGAAGCGACAGACTGTGACGAATGATGACCGATGTCCAATACGAGCCGGATGGGTGTTGGTGCACGACGATGACCCCTCATGCAAAGTGGCTTTCTATGCATTAGGGCTTTTTGAGCGTTGTCCACGTTGCCCACAGAAATGGGGCGTCAGTCAGGCACAACGCGGGGCAGACCAAGCAGGAACTTCTGATTGGGGCTATGCCAAAAACCCGTCGAGCTCTTTGGCCGCCAGAAGCAACGACACGGCTCGCTCGCTGGCATACGGCTGCAAAATGCCAGCGGAGCTGAACACACTGCGTCTCTCATGCTTGCTATCGCGCTTTCGTGACGCGACTCGCCTAGCTGGTGGCCGACAGAGGTGTGCCGTCCAGCTGGCTAAAGCCTGGCTGAGTGGCTGTGCTGCAGACCATCATGAAAGGGCCTCATCACACGGGAATCGGGCGCCGTGCATGATCTTGCGCGACTCCGAACAGCAACGACGTGGCAGATGCGAAGAAAAAGACACTGGCAAGCGAAGGAGTCAGATCGAGGGAAAGCTTGCTACTTGGCTATGATTAGCTCGGAAAATAAATCCTTGATAGCGCATGTCAACATTTCCTTCCGAGCAACCTGCTGTCACCGCACGTGTTGATACAAAACGACGTCGAAAGATCGGCTCGCTCACGCCTCCTTTGGCCTCCAGATTCACCTTGTCTACAACTCAATCATCACTCACTGTACATCCGCAAAAGCTCATTGCAGTCCCGCACTGTTAGTCTTCGTCCGCCCGCAGTATCGCGAGTGCGGAGGCGGAGATGTGGAGTTCGGTGTCTGTTCCATGATCCAAACATCAATCTACAGGGCTGTACTCCTCACATGACAGAATGCTCGCGTGTAGGTGGCAGCAGGCCGGCACTTCTGTGGTGTCAAACTCTGTGGGCGGGTTTTCGCCTTTGCCAGAACTGCATAGGTAAGTTCGCTGATCGGAAAATTCCGAAAAGTGCATTGCAACGCAGCGCGGGAAGAAAGTGCCGCGGTCCACCGTCACTTGTGGAGAGAAACATTACTGTAGACAGCTTCTGAACTAAAGGCGCATAATGCTGGTTAGAGGTACAAAGACGTGCTCTTCGACGGCAATGCTCAAGCATGTAAGTCCGCTTACCAGAGTTGTCATCCGTCGACAAGTCCCAAAAGTACGTCCGACCGCAACAGCAAACTCAACTGCAATCGACCAGATTGACGCCGGTTGACAAAATCACAGTCCTGAGCAGTCACGAAATATACTACTTACAATTGGGAATTCGAGATTCGCCACGCCCACCATGGCCAAGGTAGCCCTGATCACTGGTGGCTCGTCGGGTATCGGCCTTGCCTTGGCCAAGCACCTGGTTGCAAGAGGCTGGGATATTGTCCTCGCCGATCTGCAGCCTCCCAAGGCGAGTGACGACCTACCCAAGGACCGGACTCTCTACATTTCTACCGACGTAGCATCTTTCGAGAGCCAAGCCCGCATGTTCGAGGCCGCCTTTCAATGGAGAAATCGTCTAGATGTCGCAGCTTTGAACGCCGGCATAGACGACCGAGACGATATATTCGCCTCAATCGACCCCTCCAACCCTCCCCAGAAGCCCGACATGTGACCTTCGATGTCGATCTCTTCGGCGTATACTACGGCATCAAACTCTACGCCCACTACGCCGCCCGGAATCCAACACCAGGAGGAAAGATAATCATCACATCCAGCGCCGCCGGTTTCTATCCTAACCCAGCCATACCCCAATACGCAGCAGCCAAGCACGCACTCATCGGCTTGGTGAGATCACTAGCACCTCATTCGGCTCGTCACAACATCACTATCAACACTGTTGCACCAACTTTTGTCAACACCAACATCGAACCCAAAGAGGTCAAGGGGGCAATTAGCGCCGAGCACCAAACACCCATGTCCGTAATCATCCAGGGCTTTGATGAGCTCATGGATGAAGAGAAGGGGCACAACGGAGCCGCAGTGGAAGGCTGTCAGGATGGTCTGTATTATCGGCAGCCCATTGAAGTAGTTTCCCCGTCCGCGAAGCGCTTGAGAGAGGCAGGCGATATGCAGAAGTGGGTTGAGTTGTATGTGCAGAGGAATGTTGAGAGGATGCGGAGGTCCCAAAAGGCCAGGTGAGGCGGATAGCCATAGCCCAAAAGACACATATACTTGTTGATTAAGCTTTGCTTCATGCTGTTGCTGTTGACGATCGCTGCCACGGCACCCGTTGTAAACTTCCCATTCAGAGACGTAAGCAGACATCGCAGTTCCGAGGTGCAATTTACGTCATCCGGTCTTGCATAGAGCTTTGCCTTAGCCGGTTGACAATCTTGGAAGATGAGCGACTTTAGAAGGTGCTGTGCTGCGTGAGGCCCCTGGCATTTGTCGTGTCATCGTTCAACGCCGATAAGAAGGCGCAACTCTCGTGTGCTCCTGCCATCGTTGCACTTTTGTGAGACAACGTGGGTAGTCGCATGTGCCCTGGGTTCTGTCATCCGGTCTTGGTCAGATTCCCGGTGTGGCCGGATGACAAGACGAGCCGAAGTGCTGCTGTGTATCCTCGAGCAGAGTTCGGATTGAGGAAGTGACCAGACTTTACGTGCACCCACTGTCGTCATCATCAGGCATTCGGCACTTGTGCGAAATCTGTGGGAGGATCCCGACGTTTGCCGCATTGACAGCTCGTCAACCGGTCTTGCACCGTTAGAGGAAGTAAGTGACCAAATATTTGCACGTGGTCAGAGACTAATCATTTATTGCTCCACCTGCCACTGCTTTTACATAGGTATGGAAAAGTCTGCTCCCAAACTTCCACGGGCGCACCAGATCTGTTTCACGAAAGGCCGAAGCTCCTGTGGCCAGAGCGGTCCACAATCCTGAAAAGATTGCAGCTTTCCTTCGTCTTTCCGCCTGTATTGTGCCTTACTCTGCGGCTTCGGTGCCGGTCAAGTCGGTCTCTAGGCGCAAAATCTTGATCAAATTGTGGTGCGCCCAGTATCGACGATACCTCTTTCCGTAGACATACATGGGAATCGTGGTCAGCACGCAGCCAGCGGTGATACCCGCAATGACATTGAACATCTTGGCCGGACCCTGAGTCATTAACCAGTCAACGATGTAGTTTGTGAGACTGTGATACTCCACATTAGCACGTCAGACACTCCTGAAACCAATACAGAGTCGCTTACCCGTAGTAGAAGAAGTTCTTGAACAACATGTTCATGATGAACAGCTCCGTACTGTGTTGCCGGAACGCATCCAGCGCGTAGGCACTGGTACTGATAGCGATGATGCAGAGTCCGAACATCATGAGTCCCCAGCAGAAGCAGATCACGTAGATGGACTTGAAGCCCTGGGCGGTGTAGCCAAAGCCAACCATGCCGGCGACTGAGGTGAGCCCGCCCACAGCGATTCCCAGAAGCTGGAATTCAGGTTCGTAAACTCCGCCGTTCCGCTTGACCATCCACAACAGCTGAGGTTTGGCGACGACGCCCATCAGAGCAAACGCAATGACGCTCCAATCAAGGGTGCAGCAGATGTGTAGCCAACTCCGGCCGGGGTAAGCAGATAGGGCGGCGAGCTGAAGAAGATAGACGCAACGATGGACATGGCAACGAACCAGGCCAGGCAGATCCCGCTCACCAGCACGTTGTACGACGCTCCGACATTAAGAAGGATCGCAAGTGGTGCAAGTATCATCTTGAGGAGTGAGTCGTGAACGAAGACGCCGTTGAAGATGGCTAGCCGTTGCACATACGTCTTGCGTTTGGGAGGAATCGTAACCTGAGTGATGGTACGCGAAACAGCCTCTTCTTGCTGGCTTGTAGTCTTGGCCATTTTTTCTTCCGCATGACGATGTCGTTCTTCGTCCTGGCCCAGCGCCTCCAAGTTCTGATCAGAGCCTGTCTCGTCGATCTCGTAGATCTTCTTGCGGACGTAAGTAGTCTCGGGAACGAAGAAGATGGTCAACAATAGCTGGAGACCGACGAAGGGCATCAGGATGTGAAAGTTGTAGTGCCAGCCCAGATTGGCCGTAATGGGTCCAGCAATGACCAGGACTCCATTTGAAATAGTCGCGAGCAGGAACATGACCAGAGCTACTCGTGGACCACGCTCATGCACAAAGTATAAGTCGCCAATGGATGCCACGATAAGTGATTCGTACGCGCCCACGCCGAAGCCTTGAATGATCCGCGCTGCGACCAGGGTCGGATAAGTCGTTGCGCATTCGCCGACGATACAGCCGATGACAGCCATGAGGGAACAGAAAATGTACAGAGGCCGCTTTCCAAACTTGCGCGCGAGACCAGAGACGAAGATACCGAAGGCGCCAGCCGAGAGCAGCACATAGCCAGCCAGTAGGGTAATCTTGGTCAAGCTGACGCCCAAGGACTGAGAAACTGGCAAAACGCCCGCTTGGAGGATAGCACCCTGTGTACAACCGGTCAGTCTGCGGACGTACAAGACAACAGGTAGAGGTAAGTCACGAACTGGTCCAGAGCCGCATATGATGGCACCGAATGCCAGTATGGCCAGTATTAGGTTCTTCTCTGTCTTCGGCCAGTTCAAGGGGTCGTTGGGATCGTCTGAGGGTTGTGGCGCAAGTACGATGTGGGAGTATTTCCCAGTGCCATGCTTGAGGAGTGCTGTGTTGGGACTTCCCTGCGACTGATTCTCGTCGTAGATGTAGACGGTGCCTGGTACATGACCCTCGGCCTTTGGTTCTAGTACTCCGAAGCCCATGGTGGTTGCAAGAGAGGTGAGTTGGAGAAGGAAGAAATGAATGGCTCTGAAGCGAGCTTGTGAGGCAGCTTCTGCGGGTGCTCATATAGATCGCAGTCGACAGCCGAACACTTCCAGACTCCGGATCTGACCCCAGGTTTCCCCCAGTCTGCTGCCATGCCAATGTCCCGCTGCGCTGCCTAGGCAGCCTCGTGGCATCCGCCTAGGTATGGCCAATTCGATGGTACATGACCCGGCGTCGGCAGATAGCCCGTGCTTGCCGCTTCCCCCAGACGTGGCTTATGATGAAAGAGCCGCGGTGCTCGACCGATCGTCGCAAGCCTTCGGATAGGAGCTGTTGATACAGTGATCTACCACCAAAGTAAGGCGATTGAGGTACCTAGGCATCGATACCTCGCTCGTGTGATTGGCCAGGCTTTGAGACACGAACTTAGTCTCATTCCGAACTAGTTGATAGAGTCATGAGATTCTTTCGGAAATTTCCACATCTCGCGCCACCAGAGACGAGAATTCGGCGTACGGCGTCGCTCACCGACGAAGGCGGCGCTAAATCACTTCAGGCTTGTATTCTGGATCCCTGCCCCAGTAACAGGTGGCTCCCCGCGAAGCGCGAGTGTGCCGTCGGATCTGGGTCGATCCTCTGCACGAGAGACACACCTTGTGCTGGCTGAGTGCGCCTGGAACAGAAGTTGATGCTCGCCTGAACCCCTACCAACAGAATGCATTATTGTACTGGCAAGCCTTCGGCGACAGCCTAACTCAGAGATACGAGCCAGAGTCTACCCCGGACCCAGCAGGCCCAACACGGCAAACTTCTCTACTACACTTCTCTATCCCTCAAACGTGTCCGGCAGCAGTTTATACTGCTCTGCCATGGCGCCCAAAGCGAACGCAGGATCTGTGTTCATTTTCCGAAAGAACTCGGTGCGCGTCGCGGAGATGTCCTTGTCCGTAGAGCACAGCCGGAGGTAGTTGGCTGTTGACGTAGGATTGGCCACCTCGAGCCAAGCCTTGCGCCTGCTCTCCAGAGCGCGAGAGATGATATCTTCTGGCTCGTCATGGAGTAAATGCCGCGCTATGACAGTGCGAGAACAGTGGAATCGAGGATACCCGACGTTAGACCTAGGCCGCCGAGAGGGTTATTTGCCTACGATGGCCTTGAATTAGCATGCGGTATGAACGGATAAGGCGCGGCACGGGGCTGGGTTGCATGCGCGCGCCCAGCACTTCAGAGAGATCTGACTTACATGAGCGGCATCCCCTATAAGCAGAATACGTCCTTTCTGAAAGGTCTGTGCACACCTCTGCTGTGCCCAATAAGGCTTAAGTCGCCGTAGCTTATAGTCTTTGTTCGTGGGAGACAGAAACGCTGGAATCCGTTGCTTCGACCGTTCCAGCATACTTGCTTCGTCATCTGGAAGATCAGGTTTCTCTCCGTAACAGACTCTGAAGACTGTTTCTGGGCCGGTCCGGGCGATCAGGGCCCAGTCGTTTGGGTCGACTATAAAGTTGCCCCCCGGGAAGTAGTTCTTCTCTTTCTGAAAGTCGTATTCTACGTCCGCGGCTGTGAATCTGAAGTTGGTCCAGGTGAAACCCTCGAAAGGAATACAAGCATACTGTCGGACAGCGCTCTGGGCCCCATCGCAGCCAACGACATACTTTGCAGTTAGGACAATGTCGTTGTATTGGTGGATTCCTGGAACCTTGTCTGTAGTCATGACTTCGACGCCTCCAGGTACGTTGTTGATGCCAATGCAAGGTCGCTGGAAGCGAACACTGACGTGTTCGGGGCATCGTTGCTGAATTTGTTCAAGAATGAGGTCGGAGAAATCGTCCTGACCTATCATGTACAGACAACTCTCGTCTTCGGGTGGTGGTGGTGGTAATTTCACACCGGCTTTTAGGAGCTGTTCGACTTTCTCTTTCGGATGACATTCCACGTAGGCCTCGCCCTGCACTGGACGCCAGCTTGGTCCAAAGCGGCTCTGGTACGAGCGCTTCGCGAGTGGCTCCAGCATGCCCATTGCCTTTAATTGCTTGTTCACCACCGGCATGTATGCGATCGCTCGAGGCGCCCTGAGAATTCCCGCGTGCTTCTCGATCACGATGGTCGAGATGCCTTGAATACCCAGCTTGAGCGCCAGTATCAAGCCAACAGGGCCTGCTCCCACGACGATCACGTCGGCTGTTGTGGCATTGTTAATGCCTGTTTGAGGCTGCTGGCCATTTGTTCTGCTGCTTCCGCCGAGTGACCCCATAACGAAATGTGCCAAGAGTGATTGATGGTCTCGCGAATCGATGGCACTTGTCTCCAGGTCCTTGACATGAAAAGTGCCACGATATATGCTTAGCTGAGTGAGTTTCCATGGTTTTCTCTCCGCACTGTCTAGGTCTAGGTCTAGGAACCGGGTAGGGCGAATGTCCCCACGATCGAGGTTTGGGCGAACAAGCTAACAGACCTAGGTAGTCTGGGGTGGGAGAGCTCGGAACTTCCGATAAGGTTCACTCCACAATTTTGGCCCAGACCGGATGACGCTCCATCTGGCCCAACCAAAACACCATCACACAACCACATGTGGATCCGGGAGAGTATCATGTCCTGTTCCCTAGCCATGGTTGTAGAACACTTGGCGTCTTGCGCATTGAACGTGTCAGCAAGAAGAATGGTCGCGGTTGGATCAGCAAATGTTGTGTAATGACTCATGATGGTTACGCGATCGCGTAGCTGGGTATTGTGAAGCATGCCTCGAATCGTGCAGTGCTTGATGGCCACAGTGAGTCGTGCACATGGCTCAAGAGCAGCTTCGAATCTCTTCGACATATACGTGTCAAAGCTCGGGAATGACCTCAACCACTCGACTTAGACCAGATCCAAAAATTGTCTTGACAACTCCCAGTTCATCGACTGCTGATTACCATCCGGGCCAACTTCGCCAGCCGCAGACCATCTGTAAGGCTGCTGCATTGTGTCGAAGATGGTAGTCAGGTCACCGGTCAGCTGATGCGGATCGATCGTCTCGTCCGTTAGCGGCGTTCTCCTCTGATACCACACCGGCCGCTGTTGAATTCTGGCGTGCTGATCTGGTCCCGTTGATGTGTCACTGGTGATTGGGAGAGTCGCATCTGTGCTGTTCAGAATGACGTTCTCCGTGCCACCCGTGTGCGCTCTCTTGGGTAGCATCCCTAGGCTCAAGCTGATCTCTTTGAGGTGCTGGACACGTTTCCAGAGCCTCCTGCCTAGATGAGACTCGAGGGAGAAGCCCTGGATGAGCTCAAGTGCAACGATAAATTCTTCCTGACATGCGTTGCTGAACTGATATGGGGCGTGACAAACGGCCAAGAAAAGCACAGCTAGCGCAGAAACCAGATAGTGGTTGAATGGTGCTTGGTGCGCCGAATAGAGGTCTGTCGTGTGGCTCACTCTTCGCAGCAGGCGAATGTTGTCTTTTGCTGCTTCAACAGCAAAGCTGGCATTTGGCAAGTCCTCGTTGATGCCTCGGCAATGTAAAAGCTCCTGGCGGAATATGAATAGCTGCAGTTGGTTGACTTTCAAATAGAACAGTATTCGTATTCCGTTCTCGCTCTGCGTTCGGCCACCTAGCATGTTCGCCTCTGTTGGATTCAGTCGATAATCGGGTTCGAGACTTCGATACCATTGCTGCACTCGGAAATAGAGGGAAGACATCTTCTCGAAGCTGACTTTATCGGTGGATTTCGAGGTCAATTTCCACACTCTCGATTCCAGTTGCGCGTACGCAACCATGGTGGAGAAGATGTATGAGTCCGAGTCACTCTAGAAAAGAAAGTTGAGTACAAACCCCATCCCAGAAATCGGAGTAAAAGACAAAGAAGCACATACCGATTTAGGCGGATCCAAATCTATGTCACTCTCTGGAATAGCGAAAGAGCGGCCAGTGACGAAACTCCATCGCCGGTCGAGCACATAGATAGACCAGAACAGTTGAGTGACCCTCACGCGCTGCTCAACGTCGGAAAATCGCATCGAGTAGGTCTCGCGTCGGTGCAGGCCCAGTTCGATCGCGGCCCTGCCAGCAAGACCAATCGTTCTCCAGGCAAGGATCTCGTCATCTAGGTGGAACTGCAGGACACTCTTGAAATCGTTAGCAGCAGAAGGCATCTGTGGGAGGGAGCAGACCTACTATGACAGTCCAAGCCTGCATTTCCAGGAGCTCAACCTTGGCACCCAAGAAGCGAGTTTCAAAGCCAGAATAAACGTTCTTAAGAAGCTTATCACTTAAAATATTGGGTCCACGACTCTCTATAGCTGCGGCGACGGCAATAGCCAGCTTCAAGATGTCCAAAATTCCGCCGGAGAGGGTATTTTCGTCCTTCACGAAGGCTCTCGTAGAGGAGAAAGAGCCACTGTTGACACAGTCGTAGAAGTAGTGAGCTGCACGGTACAGTATCGTCTTGTCGATGAACCGATACAGTGACCCATACTCTTCGTGATATCTATCCAACAACCGCAGCGCTTCATTTCGGGAAATGGCACACAGTGGGTCTTCGATCACGCGAGTCGCGACAGAGGTCTCTTGAAATCCGGATTTGGCCAGCGGCGCAAGAGGCCCCGCCTCGATCTCTGTAAACATTGAGGCATGTATTCCAGCATTTGCCAGAGTTTCCGTCCCCTTTTGGAGGAGGAACGATGAACTGGTGGGCCCGAGAAAGTCCGATTGCCTCCGCCGCGAAGTCGCGGAGGAGAGCATCAAAGTCCCATTGTGGTTCAACTGATTAGTTCCAGTGGTGATGTCCAGGGTGGAAGATGGCGAGGTAGAAGTCGGCACGGACACTGTAGATCGTTGTTCGGTCGGCGAACCAGTCGGCAGTCGGGCTGCCATGAGGCTGTCAATTTGCGCTTGCATTTTCTCGCACTTCTCGTTCAACGCATCGATTTCCTTGTCCTTCAGCAGCGGGATGGGACCTAATCTCGAGCTGTAAGAGCATGTAGCCGTCCGGTCCTGGCAGCGTCGGCATGGCATTTGGCTGTCGCATTTCTCTTTGCGCTTCTTGCATTCATCGCAGGCCACAGGCGTGTATCTTTTGCGTTTGCCACGCAACACCGTTGAAGGCTTAACGCCGCCTGAGCCGTCGCCCTCGTCCTGTTCAGAGTCGACCATGGTCGGTCAATTCGCATGTGCTGAGGCGACGTCGACTGTAGCTTCGTCTTCGAATCGTCGACATCATGTAGGGACCTCAGCAAGGTTCTGGCCCTGAAGGTTTCTAGGCGTAAAGTTGGCTACTGCACGGAGTCGTAAGGGCAGTCGCACGTACCTCGGTAGTTAAGAGCGGAACACCTATATGTCGCAACTTAGCACCTGGGCAGACGGGTCTGCTCAGGAGAATGCACCTTCGTCTGCATGGTAACTTCACCATCCTCATTTTCAGACTACAGACACAAGTGCTATTTCATCAATGCATTGCTCGAATTTCGATCATGGGAAGAAAGGATTTTGGTGAAGACAGGAAATTGCCAAGAATTTGTGATGTCGTTCTTTCCGCTTCTGTTCCGTTCTCAGATCTCTTGACCTCACGCAGCTGAGACCGTTTCATCGCCTTCTCGCTGCAGTACCGAGGCCCATTCCCGTCGGTGGATTCTGCGATGGCATACATAGTATGCCTTCATCGTAGTCATCGACCTTTTCTTGTGGTCTGATCTGCTACTATCAATTGGCCATGCCAAGATCCGTATCGCCACCAATCTCTCCAAAGACCGTACGACAGCCCAAACGGTCACGGCAATTATCGCAAAGCGAGCTCGTCGTGGAGGAACTAGCTCAAGACGATCTTGGGTACGACGCAGACGTGGAAGTACTACGACCTGATCAGTATGAGGAAGCAGAATCGGACTTTGAGGATGACACCCGGGCTGTCAAGTCGATCACAGCGATAGACGAAGAGATCACGAGAGGCATGCGGCAGCTCGGCTGGCGGCAGACGCAACCGACGGTGCCGACAGAGCCAGTCACAGAACACTTCTCAGACCTGGACTCAAGCCCAATCAATCAGTACGGAAAGCGCACTGAGTTCCACTTGACCACGCCTACGCGCACGGACGGTCGAGACAACTATGCTCCTCCAGCTAAGAGAAGAAAGAGGAGAGAATCACGACTCAATCCTGCACAGCGTATTCTCAAGTCAAGGCCACAGCCACTGACTGATAGCTCGGATCGGACCGACGAGAAGCGAGCACCATTGGCAGAATCCTCGTCGACAAGGTCGACTGTGGCATCGGATGAGCCCCGGATGGCTAGCAATGATGAAATGCTACTTGACTGAGAGCTAGGAGATGCCTTTCTGGCCGCACAGCACGACCAAATGGCTATGATACCCTTTATTGAGCTCGGAATTGGACGCTCTGCATGCATATGTAATCTCTAGTGCACGTTTTATTCAACAGCTCTGTTCTCAGGCACAAAATCTTCTGAAGAAGTGGTGGCTTGTCCATCTTCCCGCTAACCCCGCAATCTGGTTACTAGCGTCGGCAGGACCTGAACTAGCTTGACTCCACACGAGCTTGATTGGAGCATGACGCAATGCTGGCTCACGGTGGCTGACCTTACATTGACTTGCGACAGGTTGAACGAGCTCTTCTCGTCTTCTTCACACCTCCTGACTCTCTTTCTCTGCGCACATCTTCTCTTCAAATCTACTGCCTAATCGCAGATATGGCGACTCCACGACGATCCGCACGCGTCAAGGCGTCAGACTCTAGCCCTGTCTACACCGATCCCCCAGAGTCGGGCATAGTCAGGAAGCGCAAGAGCAAGAGCGATCTGTCTGGTAGCTCTCCGGCCACCAAGAAGGGAAAGAAGAGCTCTAAGCAGGAGGACAAGGAGCAGAAGACCATCGAAGATACCATGGACGTGTAAGTATTGAGACATATGCTCAGTATGGTACTTACAGCATACAGCGACAAGGAAGATGAGGACGCTGGTGGGGATGCCGGTTTTCAGCCAAAGGAGGCCGAGGCGCCCAAGTCTGATGTTGAGATGAAGGAGGGAAAGCCAGACAGTGCTGCCGACGCCTCACAGCCGAAAGAGGACCAGCAGGCCCTTGACGAGAATGCAGGGAAGCCAGCGGCACAGCCTGAGCCAGCAGATGCGGCAGCTCCAGAAGCCGATGACAATGCTGCGGCTACGCAGGACGCAAAGCCTGAGCAGACCAGCCTTGATTCATTCGTCAAGAATGACGGCACCGAGTCCGCAAAGCCCGCAGAAGACGAGCCAAAAGCGAGTGGTGCCGTACCACCAGGCGAAAGCACAGACAAGTCGACCTCGCAGGACAACGAGAGCAAGCCTGAGTCATCTACTGAAGCCAAATCCGAGCAGAAAGGTGAGCAGTCCCAGTCTTCCGAAGCACCAAAGGCCGATGCGCAACCCAGCGTAGCCGATCACACGCAGTCCAACGGCAAGTCGGAGGACACCAAGCCAGCAGACGACGCTCCGGAAGAGCAGTCTGACAGCACTTCCAAGCCCACCAATGGTGACGCAGTGACCCCGAAGCCCGCGCCTCCTCCATCCCCAGCAGCATCCTCGAAAAAGGCATCGTCTATTTCTTCTTCCGCGCCCGCGTCAACACCTCCTCACCATCCGACGTCAACGACATCGCCCGCTCCTTCATGATCCTCCGCCCCCTCCCAAAGGGCGCCGCCCTGACCTCCGGCCCCATCTCCGACACCTCCAATTGCCGACTGATCGCCATCCCGAAAAAAGTCCTGCCCCTCAGCGGCAAAGACCGCTTCATGGCCTTCGTCGAATCCACCAACCAATCCTTCAAGGACCTCAAATCCTCCTTCCTGTCCTCGTCGAGCTACGCGACAAAGACGCAGGGAACATCACACTCCCCCGCTGCAACGCCGATCGCTGAAGGCGTCTACGCCCTCACCACGGACGGCAAGGATTCGCACTTCGCGTATATGACTACCCTCCCCAGCACCCTCGGCGAAGTCCAGAAAGACGTCGGGATCAAAGAACAAGGCTCATTCGCTGTGAGTGCCAAGAACCCGAAATTTCCTGGGCCTCAGAACGCGCAGATCGGGAAGGATCCCGAGTACTCATCGGAGATCATGGAGGGTTTCAGAGATCTGAGGTGGGGAAGCTTGAAGCCGGAGATGTTGGGGTATGAGGGCTGCCAATTCCTGATAATTGGCGAGAGTGGAGGGGTCGACAGTGCGCTTGAGCAGTTGCCGAGGGACGAGAAGAAGGGGTTGGATGCGCCGAAGGAGGAGATGGAGAAGCTTGAAGAGGAGGATGAGGTTAGGGTGAGGGATCTGAAAGGTGATGATGCGGTGTTCGCGGATCTGGGCATATCGAAGAAAGAATACCCTGGCTTGTTGACCTCCTGGGACGCTTGAGTCAGCAGCAGTATTCTGGAAGGGCGTACTGCTTTGCGTGTACGTCCAGTGCGCATAAAGGAGTATTGATGGGTTGTGAAAGAAGTACACGGTATCGATATTGCAAAAGCGCTACCCGGAACGGGGCATTCGGGTCTATGGGATGGTTTTGAAGGAGGAAAATGGGCAATCCATAAAAGCGGCCGGAAGCTCAAAGGTACTTCATACATACCTGTTACAAACAGTGCAGTTTGACAAAACATGTACAAGGTTATTGTGGCACCATTGCTCATCAAATCATGCATCAAGTCCAACCCACAAGATTAACCTAGCCCACCACATATACCTCCGCCAGCTCATCTCACCATATATTCACCACGCCAACTCAGACCCGTCCCAATACTGTCCCCACCCCGTCCCTGACCTCTCCCTCATCCTCAAACCAGTACATCGCCACCTCCTCATCCCACTCCCTCAACGTCCCGCAGCCCGAGTTGAGAAAAGCTTTGAGCTCATACACAAACAACCTCGCATCACTCCCACCGAGGTACTCCGCAAGCAGGTCTACCGCTTGGAAGCTGTCGCCGGCGCCAGATAGGTCGAGCTGGGTCAGGATCGCGAGGACAAAGTTCGTTAGGAACGGGGCGGTTGTTGGTCGCGGACGACGGGAGTGGGCAGTGTGGTGGTGGTGGCTGGTGGCAGGAGCAGTGGGGTTTAGAAAGGAGAAGAGGGACAGCTCTCTTCGGATCCAGATTTTGGCGAGGCGGAGGAGGGGCGCTGAGGAGGGGTTGGAGGGGTGGAAGGAGGAGGGGCTGATTTGAGTTGGGCGGATGGAGCGCTTGTGATGATGCGTTGCTTTGAGCTGGTGCGCGTGGTGCTGTTGTGATGTAGTGGTAGCTCGAGCGTTCGTCCGTCGTGGTGCTGCAGGCGATGTTAGCCTTGTAGTTGTTGCATTGTCGAAGGACTGGCTGATCAAGCCGCTTGACGAGTCTGCTGGTTGGATGGGCGGCGATCGCGTCACGCCTCTCCCGCAGTACAGCGATGGGATTTGTCGTTCATATAGCGTTCGTCTGAATCTCAGCACAGGGTCTGCTGCTATCGGGTCCCGCGCATGCGGCTTCGGTGCCGTACGGCCCTGCCTACGTTGCCATCGATCCTGTCTGCTCGAAAGATTCCGTCTCTGCACATCCGAGGACTGCAGATCTGCTGCATCTAGCACCTGGCTAGGGATATCGAACGGCAGTGGTATCACTTCCGCCTCCGACCCTCCTTCGCGGATGCCGTTCCTGTATTGGTGACGCAGCGCGATGGCAGTCACCACCACCTTGCATAGTGGACAACATCGCGAGTGCGTGAGCCATGTTCCCAGGCACGGAAAGTGGAATTGAGCGTGCTGGCAGGGCACGGCTGTGGCAAGGGCTACCGGGCTCCCCGGGTCTGTTGGCTGCCTGGTCTCCTTGGCTTCACCGATCGCCCGATCTTCAGTTCCATCAAAGTCAGCGTGTGCTGTTGGAGGTGGGTATAGAAGGTCAAGACAGATGACGCAAATTTCTGGCGAGGGTATATTGTTGTTCGTAATGAAAGCTGGTCGACCGGTGTTTGGCGTGGTGATTGGAGTTCTTGCAGAAGTTGATGATTGGGGTTGACGGTCAATTATTTGGTCTTCAGTCGGATCGTCAAATTCCATGTAGCCAAACGGCGAAAGTTGTGGATGCAGTGTGTGTGACGTGGAATCCAAATAGAAGTGTTCAAGTGGCAACCGTTGTTGGTAGCAAGGGCGGAGAAGGCGATCCTTAAATCCTGGTGTGCAAATATATCTGCTTTTTCGACACAAAAGTCCATCACCTCGTCAAACAGTCCATCTACAATTTGTGCGCGATCGTCCTCGCACAAGTGGGGAAGTTCCATTAACAACATGTCCAAGACAGCCAGGGACAGTGCGACAGAGCTCCGAAAAGCATCCAAGCGGAAACCTGAGGACGAACGTGAGCCTGGATCACCTCCCAAAAAGTCAAAGAAACTCCATGGCTCCTCATCACAACGGCGAAAGGTCGAGACACCATCAAAACCCGCCTCCACCGCCGTTCCAGCAAAGGACCGTTCAGTCAATATCGACTCAGGCATAGCCGAACGCGACCCATCACTACTTGCCGACCTATTCGCCCAGAAGATCGCCAAGCACTACAAGGATAGTTCCTTGATTGAGCGGGAGGACATGAGCGTTCCCAAATCTTGGATCATCGACACAACGGAATTCGATCAGCCGCACACCGCCGGTCACCTTCCAGGATACCTTGAGAAGTTCGCGGGAGGTGGAAGGGACAAGCTGTTGACAGGCGCGAAAGAAGCGTCACCAGACACCTTGATTGTTGCATGTTCAGGCATTCGTGTGGCGGACCTCGTTCGAGAGCTTCGTGTCTATGACACCAAGGACAGCAAAGTGGCGAAGCTGATTGCCAAGCATATGAAGTTGAAGGAGAATATCGAGTATCTGGCCAAGACTAAGGTCGGGATTGCGGTGGGAACGCCAGCGAGGTTGTACGACTTAGTGGAGCAGGGAGGACTGAAGATAGACGAGCTTAAGACGGTGGTGGTCGATGGAAGTTATCTGGACGAGAAGAGGAGGGGAATATGGGATATGGGAGATGTCTTTGGGGCTTTGATGAGGCTGTTACACCACGAGAGGGTGAAGGGGAGGTTAGAGAGCGAGGATGGTGCGAAAGTTGTGGTCTTCTGACGCCTGTGTCGCGGCATTGTGTCAACGATGGCATTCCTCTGGTTATTCGGCTGACTACCTCTGCCAAAGACTATCTTGGCACCTTACTCAGAGTTCTTGAAGACCTGGGCGGTGATCAGACCGGATGACAGGCCGTTGAATTGCTTCGCCGAGCTGCCGGGTCACCCCGGCCTAGACTTGCGCCTAGCTCGTGGCTTATTCGTGCCTTCTAGCTTCTCCAGACCTTCTGCTCGGCTGCTCTTGCCGCGAGAGTTTAATGAACTCCGTACCTGAAACATCCCGCCCGCATTCTTTAAGAAATTATTGTTCCTATCTGCAACCTTCAGGCAACAAGTATAGCTGCTATCTTACAGCTTCGCACTCTCAGCCTTGTGAAAATCCACAGCAGTCCATTCGTTGAGCTATAACATCACTAGGCACGGTACCACAAGCACCGACCATCCTCGAATCCTCGCACGTGTCACACCCCGCATACCTGGTTACCGAATTTTGGGGAAAGGCTTTCAAGGTTGCTGGGAGAAGACGAGCGAAGCAAACCTCCAGCCAGCAGCGATGGGATCCAGCCACTATCAATCATATCTCAAAGCAATAGGAGGACAAGACAAAGGCCGCTCAGTCAGCACACCTGTTTCCAGCACATCACCAATCCATCGAAAATCAGTGAACAGATCAGTGTCGCCAGCAATTTCCTCTCCAGCACAGAACCACAATGGCCCAACAACACCCAGCAGCACGCAGCCACGTAGCAACATCAGTATAACACCTGTATCAACAGCACCCTCGTCGGTCGCCAACTACGGAGCAGCACCAGCAACACCCCTAGCGAGCCACCCACCAGACCGGGCAGATCCAGTACCTGCAAAACCTTCAAGCCTAGAGCCCTTGACCCCCTCACAAATCACCGCAGCATTCACATCCCTCCTCACGCTCCTGCACTCCGCGATCCAAGAGCACAACAAAGGACCGTTTGCCGCGATCCTCCTCGGCCCGGACAGCACAACACAATTGCTCAGTCACTTGTCGATTTCCGCTACCCGACGAGCCGAAACAGAACTCGCCCGCCTCGCCGCAGACCAGTACTCGCCGGCCTACCTGCGCAAGTGCACACTTGTCACCGCCTGGGAGCCCTGCCCCATGTCAGCGGGCACGATCTACCTGTCTGGGATTGGTCGCGTGGTGTATGCTGCAAGTGAGGGTAGACTCCGAGAATTGGCCCTTCTACCCAGTGAGGCAACGCTGTCGGTACCATGCCGGACGATCTTCAACGCCGGCTCAAGGGAGATCGAAGTCATCGGCCCGCTGCCGGAATGGGAGGATAAAGTGGTCCAAGCAGCGATGCAACATCAGAATGGAGACGAGTCAGTTGGCAAAGCCGCAAGTATACGGAGTAATGGAACTGGAAGCGGTGCCGGTGAAAAGGAAAGAATGAGCGTCGTAACAACATGGACGCACGAGGACAGCGTCCTAAGCTCAATCGGCGAAGACGGCGAGTACAAGGCTGACTTGGATATCGATTGGATGAAGTGAGGCTTAATCGTTTTTTCCCAGCCATCCCAGGAGGTTCGAAAGACGATGGTCAAGTGCTTTATAGCATGTGGCAGGAAAGCAGACAGCATTTTGGTGGTATAAGTGTACAAAAAGCGTCTTGCATGGATGCATTCGGGGCCAGGTCAGGTGGTAACGCAGAAAAGCATAGCATAACGCAGTACATAGATGTAGCATCATATTCCCAGTTGTTCTGGATATTTCGATCTGTCATCGTTTTTACATACCTAGCACAGTACATAAAGCTCGACCATGCCAGTGACCGAGATGAGCACTTCACAACCCTTAAGGTATACTGTCGTCGTCAATGTCGTGAAAGTCGTCATGCATGCACCTACCGAAAAATCCAAAAAACCTCCAGTCATATCCATCCCCCAGACGCGGCGCTGATACAGTCCACTACTCTTCCCACCCTATCCCACCACCCGCCTGACCAGCAGCATTACCATGACTCTCAATCCCAAGGAATCTCCCCCTCCTCGACCCGCGTACAAGTCAAATACCCCAACCCACCCCCTCCCATCCCTCCATCATCCCCACTACCCAACAACCGCAAATCCAACTCCAAACAATTCCTCACCAAAGGCTTAACCACATCCCTCGCCAGATTCTTGACTTCGTCCATGCGCCGCTCGAAGCGCCGGAGGTTCTCTTTCGAGTAAAGCGACACATTCCCCGCCATCCCGGAAGGCTGACATTTCAAGAACCGCCGCAGTTCGTCGTGCGGGAGGTAGGCCTCCGGATTCTGCGATGCGAGAAGCCTATAAATCCGCGAAGCCGGGATCGGCGAATGTGGTGGTGCAGCAGCTCCCGCGGCAGCAGCAGGTTGTCGTCCTGAACTTCCAGGCCTCGCCACACCACCTCCGGCTGCATTCCCAGCGCCGGCGCCAGCGCCGGGCGACACTCCACCACCAGGCTGCTTCAAGATCCCGCGCGGTTCCGGCGTCGTGTTCTCCGCAACCCACTGCCGAAAGAGACTCATCGCCAGCCAGCCCAGATAATCATTACTTGGGTTCACGCGCTCACCCCGCGACGTGGTCAGCGTCAGCCGAAATAACTTCGCTTCGATCTTCCCCTTCAGCTCCTCCAGATCGTCGACTTTATCCTCGATCAGATCGAGCACGGACTGCGGTACGTCATAGCCGCTGCCTCCTCCATTGCCATCGTCATCGTGGTCAGTGCGAAGGTATGGGTACGCGACGGGCCATTGCCCGACTACATGCGTCAGCGCTTCTGAGAAGATGATGCGGCTGCGCGCTAGATACCCTAATTTCAGGTACGACGGCGGGTATTTGGCGATCTGCTTGAACAATCTCGAGCCGAAGCGGAGGAGATGGTGGTCGATCCGTGGGCCGACGACTGTCAAGGCGTCGTACATGTCCGCTAGGGTGAGTAAGGCTTTGCATTCGGAGTAGGCGGCGGCGATGTTTAGAGAGTTGAGGACTGGGGCGAAGTTGTAGAAGGTACGGAAGAGGTTATCGTAGTCGCGGATGAGCGGGTTGTTGAGGGCGGCGTCTATGTTGGTTTGGGTTGTGGTGGTTGGTGGTGCTGTGTGGCCGAGGGTGAGGTTCGCTACGGAGCGGAAGAAGGACCGGTGTGCCTGCTGCTGCTGCTGCTGCTGTGGCCGCACTTGAGGAGTGGGGAGGGGTTGGAAGGAGGAGACGAAGAGGCCGCCGGACGGAGGCTGTAGGGGCGTATGTGTTAGTCTCTGTCCACGAGTGGATGGCGGGGCTGGTCTGCGTATCACATACCTTCTGAATGAGCATCGGCTCTTCATCATCCTCCAGACCTACCCAGTCCAGCTCATACCTCCACCTTTTACGCCCCGGTGCCAGCATTTGCTCTGGCCGCAACAACGGCTTTTGCTGTTGCTGCTGCCCAGCATCCACTTGACTCCCGTCCTCCCCAATCACAGTCATCACTCCCACCGGTGGCGGCGCCGACGGTGGCGGCGGTCCCAAGCTTCTCGACCACTCCTCACTCATCCCCGCCTCGAAGAAGCCCGACACCTGGCCCAGCATCAACCTGTGCAACAAGTACCTTTTCTCTTGTCCATCGCATGCGATCACGATCTCGACGTCTCCGGTCTGCGCAAAGAATGGGAACTCGTTTTGCGCGACGTAGCTCGACGAGCCGCCATGGTGGCTACGGCCACCGCGGTGGTGGTGTCGCGACCGGGAGGTTCGTGAGGAGACGGAGGGTGCGCGCCGTGACAAGGGAGCGGCTATCTCGGGGTGGGACACCATGGGTTGCGCTTGCGAGGCAGAGGGGGAGTCGATCTGGCTCATTGGGTGTAGGGGCAGACGCGACGCATGGTCAGAGGCCGGCCATGAGGCACTAGCTGCTGCGTACGTGTATAGCAGTAACAATGCTGTCGTTCCAGGTGTTGCTGCCGGTTGCAAGTCGAACTCGGAGAGAAGTGACCCGGCGGGATGAAATCAGAGCGGAGCTCGAGCAGAGTGTGGGGGATGGTCAGTGCGGCGGCTTCGTCTTTTCCGCGATGAGGCGTATACCTTCCCGCGAGCGAGGGTGATGGTGCTGGAGAGTGGAATGTGCGGACATCGTCAGGCGTCGTCTCGTGAGTCAACGGTAGTCTCTGCTATGATCGACACCGAAGCGGACTAGACTCAGCGGTCCGCAGTGGCATGGTGGCGAAGGCCCCAAGCTGGAACCAGAATTGAGGGTTCGGCTGGACGCGCAGTGGGCTTCATGCAGGTTCCCGGGCGATCAGTAGCCTATCGATGCCTCCAAAGAGCAAGGAAGTCCATGTTAGTTGATAATGCTTGGGCCAATGTAAAAACCAGTGATAGCTTTCAAGGCAGACTCGACTTTTGACGTGGTCAGCTGGAAAGCGAATTTATGATTTGCAGTCTCGAGGCAATTCTGTGAGTAGAGAATGTATTGACTTGATGCGACTGAGCGCAACGTAATCATCAACAGTGACGCCCTTTCATCGAAGGCAAACGGATTCATCTTGACGAGCCGAATTATCGGTGTGTTCATCAAGGCAAGCACAGCACATGTACAGTACGACTTTGTCGGGTGGTGTGTAAGAAGTACATTCTGCAGGATGTCTGTGTGGGAGAGGACCATTTGACGTGGTTCGTGCCTGCCGCGTTCCAACAACGTAGTAGACGGCAAACGTACTTAGTAATGATGGAGTATTTTCATTCGGAGCAATGAGCAAGTCACCGCCTGTTCGTTAATGCAATATCTGGATCTGCATCTTATGCCGCTCACTCGCTCGATGTACCAAACCCGGACACCAAGGACTTGCATGCAATCAACAGTCCGCTCAGCTCAGCTCGCTCTTCAATCATGACCAGACTAGTGCAAAGGTAGCGCCCATGCTTTTCACAATATCAACAAAGAAGCCTCCTTCTACTGCTCCATGTCGCTCCAAATGCAGTCATCACGCTCGCTCAACTCGACTCAGAACACCGCCGTCAGCCCGCTCTTGCTCTGTCGCTTACTGAACCTCTTTCGTCCCTTCAGCGATTCACTATCGTTAGTGCTCGGCTCCTTTCGAAGCATTCCTCGGGTGCCATGTCCCGATGGACTCAAGTCAGTGGGCTGGTCTATGGTACTTGGATGGCTCGAAAGTTGCCCGGTCGAGATATTGAGATCGTCGTTCTCCGAGTAGTTCTGACTTCCGCTCTGCTCATCCAGCGTGATTGCTATGTCGCGTGCTTTGACGAGAGCATCAAGCCATTCCTGTGTCGATACTGCGGTAGCCATGGGTTCTTTTGAGACTGGCCGCGTGTCCTCAAATACGAAGTGCTTGTCACGCTGGATGCGAGGTCAGTATACTGGCCGGCAGTGTGGGTATTGGCAACTTACAGTATCAACGACCCACTGAGTAATGCCCTTGGAATCAGTCGAGCTCGAGTATTCGACCCCAGGTGCAAGCAACGGGATTTCGTGTTTAGCTTTCTTTTCTTCGCCACCAGCAGGGGCTATGATCAGGCGTCCGCTTGATGTGACCATGACGAGTCGCTCACGCTTCTTGCCATCACCACCTCCGAATAACCGAGACAACTTGCCCTTCTCGTTTGAGCTGTGTGCCTGCTGGGCTGCCGAGACGGATAAGTTACCTAACTTCAATATCCGTTCGTTGTATCGCGTCAGGACAGGAGACCATTCGATATCGAGCTGACTTGGTGGAGGCAGCTCGGTCATGATTCGTGGCTGAGGCTTCGGGTTGGCTGGCGGAAGCATTGTATTTTGCGTGCTGTGTCCATGGCTGATGTCTGGCGGGAAACTGCTCTGTGTACCGCTGTGGGCGCCATTGAGTCGGATAGGTGGATTTGAAGGTGGCATAAATGGTCGAAGTTTGGGTGCAGGCGTGGACCACAACGATTTGCCCCACTTAATGCCATCGAAGAACTCGTGGTTCTTGATGTGCTCAATAGTGAGTCTTCGCTGCGGTTCCAGCACGAGTAGTCGCTCGACCAGGTCTTTCGCTGCCTCTGGGAAGCCTCGTGGGAACTCGTATTGGAGACCCACAATCTTCTGAAACGTCTGGTACTCGTTGCCTGCCTTGAACGGTGGTCGACCAGCGAGCAACTGGTAGATTATGCATCCAAACGCCCATAGATCGCTTGCTTTGCAGGCGTTCTTATCGGTCAGCAGCTCTGGGCTCACATACTCTGCAGTACCGACAAACGAGCTCGCTCGCTCGGAAGACTCTGATGAGTCTCGCTCGAAGGATGTATATCCATTCTGGTCCTTTCGTTCTGCCAAGAGTTTTGCGGTGCCAAAGTCGGTGATCTTAACATGTTTGTTCTCATCCAACAGGACATTTTCTGGCTTCAGGTCTCGATGTATGACGCCGCGGTTGTGCATGTATTCGATTGTGTCGAGTATTTGCGCAGCATAGAAGCGTGCGCATTCCTCGTCGAATGTGGACATCCGTTTCAATGTGCCCAGTAGTTCTCCCCCAGTGCACAGATCGAGGACAAAATATAGTGACCGTTCGTCCTGAAACGTATAGTAGAGCCGCACGACGCCAGGGTGATCTGTTAGGCGATTTAGGGTATCCCTCTCGATATTCACATATTTGACCTTCTTTTCTTTGATGATGTGTCGCTTATCCAAGACTTTAATGGCATAATCTTTGCCAGTAATTTTATCCTGTGCTGCCAGGACTGTACTGTATGAGCCCTCTCCCAATGTCTGACCAAAGTTGAAGTCCTTCACTCCCTTCTTTATTGAACGCACTACAGGCCTGCCGTCTGCATCGATTTCTCTTCTGGTAGTTACCGCAGCACCACGTTCCTGCCATTCCTCACTACTCTGCAGTGGTCCATTTTCGATATTGTATGGTGAACTCGACAACGGCGTCTGATTGGCTATCGGAGTCGACGATAGCGGTGTGCTCGTCGGGGGTGTGTTGCCTAGTCGCATCGAACCCATACCGCGCGATGACTTCCTCGGTGGTAGCCCGCCGTTATTCGCGCCCCAGGTTCCTGAACCATACGCTCTTTCGGTGTGTGAATCGTCTTGCGAAGGCACACCCGGCTGCTGTCCAAGAGCAGCGCGTGTGGACGAAGCACGCTGTGGGAAACCTGAACTGGTTCCCTCGGTGCGCATGCGGTACGAGCCTTGTCGCGAGACACTGCTGCTCTGAGTGCCGTTCACGGGCATCTGGGTGTAGTATGTCGAGGTGGGTCTACCGGTCTGGGCACGCGGATCGGAGTGAAGGTTCTGTGGCATCATGACAGGGTATTGTGGGAACTGCTGCTGCTGCTGGTCTTGGTATGTGTGTGGTAGCGATCGTTGCTGTCGTGGTCGGTCTGCAGATCGCTGCTGGTATGCGCTCGAGTGCGAAACAGACTGCTGCAGCGGAGAGTGGGACGGAGCAGATTGTTCGTCATGTTCGTCAAGAGGTGAGACCGGACTGTCACTGCGCTTGACCGGCCTGTTGATGTAGTCTTGTGGTATGGTCAGGTCTGGCAGTGGTGACACCGCTGGAATTGAGCGCTGCGATTGTAGCGGTGCATCAGGAGAACCTGAGCCATCGTCTGGATTGGCTATGCGCAGCGGTCCCAGAGATAAGTCGGCTGCCATAGCAAATACGTATGCTGGCAACTGCTGGTGGCTGTCTTTGGCTTAAGTCATTGCTGTGCCAAAGCAGCGACTCTGTCTCTACCTATGCCGTAGCAGTGTGATTCAGTTGTGGCTGCCGGGACTAGGTACTATGAGACATGCGGGGGGCAGTGAAAGGTGGAGTTTTTCAATGGTGTAAGAATGCGCTTTCACCGACTCAGGGCCGGAGTAGGATGTGCTGCGTTGAGGGGCCGGGTGAGGGCCGGATGCAGCTTGAAACTTGAGATGTAGAGTTTTGGGAGGGAGCGCAAGACGACGAACGCTGCTATGAGTGAATGAACTAAGTGAATGGCTGAGCACAAGGTACAACTCTGAGCAATGGAGGCTGAAGTGAGTGTGGAAAGTCGGAAACGAGATGGAGGTTCAACACCCGGCCGCCGACTTTAGGGAAGCTTGGAGGGTCGATCCCGCTTCAACTTGTACTTCTTCTTTTACCGTCGTTTGCATCAGCCACTCTTCACCTTTTCATCATCATCAAAGTCTATGTCCACCCGCAGTATGATGACCTCGAGCGCATCTGCTATTGCGGTCATGGTGATACATGGCCAATCCTGATATTCAACCAATATACAGGTGCCTAAATGCTATCTTTGGCACTGGCGGCGACGTAAGCCCAGACATTCGGTCTTCGCCTCACTGCAAGCAAAGTATTGTTGTCTCGTAACTTCCATCATCGGTTTGTGTCAGAGACAATGCCTCTCTGCGACCAGGTAATGGAAGCGTACGGCAAGTGCGATCATGAACTTAGTCGAAACCTGGCAAGCACGTCGACTGAGTGCGTAGAGGTAGGTACCGTTCAGCAACCAACACTCATGGCAATTGACACGCTTACTGGCAATGTCTGCTCGTGATACACACTCATGTCGTGAACAGCATCTTGCATCATGCTGCGTATACCACAGACAAGTATTGGACTGTCCGAACAGGACGTCGCCTTCCACATCCAGCAGCTAGATATCCATTACGGCTTACTCAAGCAGGGCTTCAAGAAAAAGGACATCTTGCGTTACATGAGGGATCACATCAAGACCGCAGCAGACCAGCGTCTCGAGACGGACTCCCTTCGAGCTCCAAGCACAGTCGACCTTGCCGTCAGCGCGCCTTGTCCACCGGTAGCACATGTCTCACCTCCGAAGCCTGATGACGCCAAGTCCGCCCCGACTTCTGACGATTTTCAGGTGGCTGAGAGCGCTGAAGCGTCATTGACCGACGCTGAGTCGACCACTACGGATGATCATTCTAAGCAGCCACGTCGACACCATGCACCACGTCAGAGCTCGCTGCTTCGATTCACCGAGTTTGCATCACCTCCAACATCTGCAGAAACCGTGCAGGCCAGTCTTCACCTACAAGCATCTCCTAGTCCTAGTCCGAAGCACTATCGACCACGAACAGATACATATTCTTACAACGAGTCTGAGCTTTCCGGGTCTGATATTCCCCGTCCGGACGACGAAACACTCACGGACGATGAGCCTACGTCGCCTCCTGTTCACGCTGTAATGCGTCCAGAGGCTCCCGAATTCGTCCCTAGTTCCCAGCGAGCCAGCGTAGAGAACAGTGTTGTGCATGAAGATCAGGACACACTTCCATTAGAGCCCAGCACGCCTGCCCAACCAACTCCTTCATTGACAGCACTTCCGTTGGTGCCCAGCACGCCTCCCCGACCGACTCCTTCCCTGACAACCGCAGTCAACACTAGCTCCAGATCTCATCGCCATCGAGATTGTGCCGATACGACGACTCGCAGAGCTCAACAACTCGATGGCCCTTTCTCTGTCTACAACGACGCATTGCCAGCCCTGTTCCAGCCTCAGACACCCCAAGAGCTTGATCGTCTTCGCAGATGGGCCGTGGACGGAAGTGCATACACCGCTCCTCCTGGCATGCTGCATTCTCCATCCCAGATCCGCCGTCGGCAGATGCAAGACGACGGCGAGCCAGGCTCTCAGACACCTACCGCAAGAGCCATCACTGCCCAAGAACGACGAGCTCGAGAATTGAGAAGAAGTATTCGCATTGAGACTGCTCGCCTTGACCGTCTGCAGATCTCTGACTCAACTGATGACGAGCAAACCAGCCGCCCGAGAACCGTGGTGGCTGACTGGCGACACGAGCTCGAGGCTGCTCGTGTAGGCGATGAGAACTGGGAGATCGAGTCTGATCCGCGGACCAGCTTCGCGCAATCAGGAATAAGGATTGTGAGTGGGAATACGCGAACATTCTCTTGACGGAGCATATGGTACACTGGAAAAAGGTCAATATCTGTGGCGACCCTGTGTAAAGCGCCTAGGGCCGAGGACAAGTTATTGAAGGAAGGTACGAACTATGCATTATTGGACTTGCATGAGAAGACAACCATAGACCACAGAAATCCAGATGATTCCGTCCCGCGTGGTCTGGTGTGCTCTAAATATGTTTTCTGGAAGCTCTATCATATCTCAGACATCAATGTCACTAATACGAACTCTTCGAAAGATCAGGCTGTGGCTTTCCGGGCCTGGACTGGTCTCAGAAGTTGACATGCAGACGCCGGCAGACCAGGATGTAAGTCATTGCAGCTTGGAGGAAACAGTGGTCAGCCATACAAGGAAGCCCCTTTAGAGTCCGTGCGCAGTTTGTGCATTGCGAGGTTTCCACGAATCTCCAGCTGCTGCGTTCGTTACCTAAACATCTCTTCGGCGATTTTCCCAACAGCCATTAATTGAGGTTCATCTCGATCAGCAAGACGTCTTTTGCCGACGTGACGGGCAAGACACGAACGTGAACGACGCATGCGGATCTATCTCGAGTACCCAACAACGAACAGAATGTTGGTCTTTCGCAGCACTAGATATGCGTGGAGGAGACCTCCTCTCCTGCGACCAACCATTGTCCTGCGACGACAGGCCTTTACTGATCAGCGGCGAGTTCAAGACGCAGGCCAACAGGCAAGGGCGAGCGTGTCCCGCCTGTTATGGCATGAAAACATCGCCAGACTCGTCGAGTCTGCTGGCGCAGCAGCAGAAGCAGGAGAGGAAGCGGCGCCTGTAATTGCAATAGGCATCGGCATAGTCGCAATCCCTCTAGCTGCCGTAGGAATTTTCGGGCTATATTGCTACAAGGCGGGCTTGATGCACGGATCGCGCATACGGGAGTGGTGCGGCGCGGCGCGCCAGCGGTGTAAGACGAGGATGGAGAGTGAGTGCCAATTCCGTCTGTCACTGAACGAGATGAGAGTACGACGAGGTTTTGGCTGATCATGGTTGGGTATCTAGGAGTGAAGGCGGCCGCTGCAGAGGAAGTCGAGAGTGAGTGATCTCCTTGTGTACTGAATGAGAGCGTCTATGGCTGATCATGATTGGGTATCTAGGAGTCAAGACGGGAGTTGCAGAGCGGAAAGCTGGTGTTGGACAAAGATGGAAGGTTGTGCTGAATAGGAAGGAGAGACTTGAGCGTGCTGATGGTTCGCCGCGAGGACAGGGTAAGGCTGTCGATGCAAGTGCTGAGCCGAAGAGGCGCGGTTGGCTGCCCGCTCGTGGAATGACGGCCGAAAGGTCAGAGAAGGATGGGACGACCTGATGTGACACTTATGCTCACGGAGGAGGATACCGACTCTCTGCTCAATGCTATGGATAGCGGAAACAATCTTCACTTAAATTCCCGGGGTACGTAGTCGAGGAAAGGAACTCTAGCAACCTTGAATGGCTTTCGCCACGCCGGATGACAGCCCGGGGATAGATCATCGCTCTCGAGGTCGTACGGTGACCCATATGGGGCAAACGTGCACCGGTAAGCGTGGCCGGATCTGCATAGCTTGAGTTCCTTCCTTCTCATGCGAACATATTCACCTTGTCAGTCAGAGTGCGCACAGCAGAAGCCTCGCAAGTCTGCGATGCACCCATGGCCATGCAAAACGGCTGCCTCCGTTATCAGGAAGGAAGAAGTCGGGACAAGACTCACTCCTGCCTGTTTAAGGCGCCATGTGCGATCTCGCATGCGCACCGGCCAAACTCCGCCTGACTGCTTCCCTACATCAGGTTTGTTTGACGGCTAAGGTGCCGGATGACTGCTCTTGACTTCTTACCTCGCTCTTGCAGAGCTGCTGGACGTGCCCGTGACTGCTTACCTGTGAGCAGCAGCTCGCAATGCCAGCAGCGATCTCGCCTACTGCCGAGCCGGGCCTCTTCTATATCATCAGTCAGCCGAAGGCAGGGTGCGAGGAAGAATACCACGAGTGGTATAACACGGAGCACGGTCCGCTGCGATTGCAGCTGGGTTTTGTGAGGAACGGGTATCGTTACAGGTGTATAGATGCCGATTCGAAGGCTTTTCTGGCGATATATGATCTGGCGAGACTAGCTGGTCTGCAAGAGCCAGGTACACGCATCTTCGAGCCAACCGATCGACGCGGGAGAGGACGGTGATAGCCGACAAGATAGACTGGATCGATCGAAGAGTGTACAGGGACGTGTCGAGCAGAGGGCGCAGTGATGATCCTGCTCCGGTGATCATGACAGTGTCGTTGCTAGTGAGAGATGACCTTGTGCCTGAGGTGCATCGGTGGTATGAGAAGGTGAGCTGAAGCACTGCACAAATGACGAGCTCTGTACTGACCTCGACGTCAGGAGCACATACACGACCTAAGTCGAATACCTGGCTGGCGGCGCAGTCGGCGCTTTGAGTTGCTCGAGGCAGATGATCTTCGTCCTGGCTATACCGAGCTGCTAGCTGTGCATGACTTCGACAAGATCAATGGACTGGATGGGCCGGAGCACATGGCAGGCAGAGCGAAGCCCTGGCGGAATCAGATCATGGCGCAGGTCGAGCGTCGGGTTAGCAGGCGGTTTGAGTACTTCCATGAGTTTCAAGCGTCGGATTATCGAGAACCATAGCTTGGACGCGGAAGACGAGAGGAGGGCTGTACATATCGAGGTGGACGATCTAGTGCTAGTTGATGATATGGTCAAGCATCACAGTATTGACCATTAATGCTGCCCATTGGTGCAGGTAAGATTTTCAAATTGCTCTCGAGACAAGAGAAGGCTGCGTTGAATGGCGGACCACCGTAGAATTGTTGATGGCTAGCAACAGAAGCACGACGCAGAATTGGTCTGTGCTTGCGACTCCAGGTTAAATGTCTATGTATATTTATCCTTAAGTTTGGCAGTCGCTGATATCCTAAGGTCCGTGCGCTTTCTAGCGGCGACTTGTGGAAGACGCCGAGGACATTGCCTCTATTGCGCCGCTCTCGCGCACGTAGGATCTTGCTGTCACAGAGTGATCGCGTCTGTCGGACAGAGATGCACGGTCTCCATTGCATGCTATGCAGCTCGCTGCTCATCCAAAGTACTGCTTGCGAATGTGCGAGACTGAATTCGAGGTATCCCGAGAACGAAATGTCTCTGCCGCAGCAGCCACTGATGTCAAGCCGCATCGCTTATGGCTCCATCAACTCCAAACCTGCGAAGCCTGGAACGTCTCGGCTCCAGAGGTTCGCGGGGTGATTTTCCCGCTGGCTCAGACTGGCTCGATGCAACTTGCTCATCTTTTCCTTCTTCACACTTCCATGACCTGCATTGGCCTCGTCCAGGATAACGCCGATCTAACATTTCTCCAAGTCACGTCAACATCAAAGCTTTGCGCACTCGAGTATTAGGAAGACAGCATTTGAGCACACAGGACAGACGCGCATTGCTTTTGGTTGGCATACGTCAAAAGCCTATCACAATTGCAAGCGGTGGACGCCAAAGCAGGCCACCTGAACGAGAGCCAAGCACTAAACTCTGGTGAGACGACCTCATCACCGTCAAGTGACGAAGATACTTCCACTCGCCCACGGGCTGCGCCAGGACCTACAGTCACCTCCACTAGCGACAGCAATGGTTCAAGCCTTATAGCCCGGCCCCAATGAACGACACAAGGATGCCCGATGCGGATGCGAAGCGTACTAAACACAGGAAAAGCACCTGTGCCGGGTGTCGGCGGCGGAAGAGTAAGTGCGATGGTCGGGTGCCGTCTTGTACGACTTGTATAGCCTACAAGGACGACTGTCGCTATGACAAACCACCGTCGCTGGCGTATGTCCGGTCTCTAGAGGAGGAAGTACACGAGCTCAAGGCTCAGCTCCGCCAAGCCAGATCTCAAACCTGGACTCCCAACCCACACCCCATCAAGGAGGAGAAGATATCCATAGCATCACCAGCAAGCGATGCTAACGTCTCCCAACAGTCCGGTAGCCAGTCCGCCCCAAATCGGCGTCGCATATGGGAGAATGATATCATTGTGGACGACCGAGGCAAGGTTGCCTTCAACGGTCCAACATCGGCCGTCTATGAGCCTCCGGATAATTCGGCTTTGCAGCCACTGAATCAGCAGTCAGTCTCGTCAGTCACGAAGGATGAGGAGATGAAACGGAACCTTGTCGTGAATGCCACACAGCAACGCGAGATCGAACCGTACGCTATCGCCAATGGTGCTGTTAAAGTCAACATTCCCAAAGAGCTCTCAGAAGAGCTGCTCAGATATCATTGGTGCTGGATACACCCACTCTTTTTGTTCGTCTATCGACCAGCCTTCGTTCGTGGCATGTCCAGCATCGATTTCAACGCACCCTCCAGGAAAGATCCGCCCTATTTCTCCGATACGTTGTTGAAGGTCATGCATGCGCATTGTGCAAGGTTCTTGAACCATGATGTGTATCAACATCACTACTCTACAGTCACTGGTCAGAGTCCAGTCACGCAGACCTTCTCGGCACATCATTTCATGCAGAAGCTGACAGAAGATGCAAGACTCAGCTTGGGTATGGACATGCTCCAGCCGAGTGCCATCCCAACTATCCAAGCACTGCTGCAACAGTCCGCTCGCGAGGTTGTGTTTGGTCGCTCCTCACAAGCTTGGACATTTGCAGGAGTAGCCTTCCGCATGGCCCTCGACATGGGCATACACCTTCCGTCGGATCGCCTACAGTCGTTTGTGAAGAGTCTTACAGCCGAAGACATCGAAGTGCGGAAGCGATTGTTCTGGGCATGTTACACGTGGGACAAGATACTGAGTGTATACCTTGGCCGCATGCCAGGCTTTGCGCATCCAACAGATGACCTTCCGATGACGTTCATGGACGATTACTCCGACAAGGACCCATGGGCACCGTACTATGGCGAGACGCCGAAGCCGGATCATGCACATGCGCCAAACTATCCGCCTTGTCCAGGCTATGTTGTGTCAACTTTCCAGCAAAATTGTCGCTTATGCGTGATATTGAACGATCTGATGCATAACATATACTCACCAGAGGCGGCTGCTCGAAGAGAAAGCGAAGACATGTCCGCGGAAGCCAAGGCAGCCAACGAGCAGCCTTTCATCAGAATCGCCAAGGATCTTCAGGAGTTCTACGTCTCAATGCCTCCCCATCTGCGCATCAACGCTGAAAGGATGCCACCACTGGCGCCACCAGTACACATCATGTCACTGAATTTGCTCTATCATACCACAGTCATACTGCTGCACCGGCCGGTAGTCTTAGGCTCGAGAGACATGAGCGCACCTGGACCAAGTCGATCATTCCAAGCTTGTCTACAAGCTACGGCTGCTATCCACGACCTACTTATCCTTCAGTCGAATACCTTTGGCCTTTCGCATGTGTCCTATCTAAATGCTTACGCCGCATATATTGCGGCGACTATAGCAGTGCTACGGTTCGAACGGGAGCACACCAATACAGTCGATCCGGCAATGAGCATGGAACGCGCTGGCCTTACTTTCTTGCTGGAGGTGTTGAAGCGTACGGCAAGCGCGATGCCAGCCCTTGAGCGTTCCGACGCCATAATACGAAAACGTGTTCAAGCCGTGATTGACCGGCAGAGCAACATACACCGAAGGCCATCGCAGCCGTCGCCGGTCCCGGTATCGACGCCACTGTTTGTGCCGACCACACACGACATGTCGCTTGCCCAGCCTACAGCATTCCAAACCATGTCTGCGCATTCGCACCATAACAACAATGGTATCCCAACAACAACGCAGCAAGTCGCGTACAGCCCCCAGCATATCCTCAATCCGAGTCCCGCACCCGACACCGTCGTATCTACGATGTCCGCCCAGTCCAACACGAACGCCTTTGTTGCCCCAATGCAGTGGCAGTCTGACATGCGCAGCAGCCTCCACCAGCAACAGAATCCATATCAACCACAGTCATCTTCTCCATCACCACATCTCCACTCCTCGCAGCAGAACACCAATGCCAGTAGCATGCACCCGCCACCTCATCCTCCACAATCATCACACTCCCACCACCGGAGCAATTCCAACTCCCTCAACAGCCATCATGTGAACAACAATGTCTTCATAGACGAGGATTTCCTGCCCGCATTTCCTGGCCAGCAATTCCCTGTGGGCATAAGTCCCGCCGACCACGGCGGGTTTGTCGACAGTCAGGCTCGCGCTGCGCTGTTCGGATATAGTTTGGATCCGCACCCCAGGCTGCAAGTGACGGGTGAAGTTGACTGGAGGGTGCTGGACGGCGGTTTCGATGGTGTTGGTGGTGAAGGAGGAGGGACCAACACAGGTGGGGCTGGCATGGGGTATGCTGTTGCTTGAACAGTCGGAGCAGAAGGCGGTTTCTAACACGAGCTGGGGCATACCGTATTCCAAGAAAGATGTAATGAGTGTATATACCATGGCTTTGGAGCGTTGCAGAAGTGAGCGTCCACAACTTGCGTAGTATCAATCGGAGATCTAAAAGGAGTCGGCCATAAGGGTGGCATGGTATGGTAGAAATGTTCTGCAACAAAACGGCGTTGATGTTAACCTGACGGGTATACCAGTCCATGATGGTCCAGGCTTATATGTATACAATCTTGCTCCAGACAGGAGACAGCCTACAGCCTTCGATTAATCAGAGGCCACCGCATGTTTACAGATACGAACTCTTTCGTGCCTTCGCGCGAGCCCGACTGCTCTTCGCTCAAGCACAAGCGCTCGACAGCAACAGATGTGATATCTACTGGCACTACCTGAGAGTGGAGCAGTACACCCCCATCCTGCAAGCCGCTATTGGCGGACGACCTAGCCGAGGCCAAAGCCGGCAACTGCACTCCGCGTTTTGGTTGTACGAGTCAGGACGAACAGCTATGTGGCAGAGGCATGAGGAGAAGTGTATATCGACTTGCCTGGAGGCCTCGCGTTGTGCTTTCCTCGGCTCGTCGACTTCACTCGCTTCTGCCTCCAGAGCATAGATATCGAAGGGCCTAAACACCCGGTTCGAACTGAAACTCCGCTCAGGAGTATACTCCAAAGGACCGTCTTAAGCTGCGCAAAAGATAGCCTTACCATCCATCCGACTGCAGCCATGGGATCCATTCAACCCAACGAGAAGCATGTTCACGAGCGATGGACGAGGGACAGAGGCAAGTGATCTCGTGCATATCTCGTGTGAGGGTTGGCGCGCGCTACCCTACCACGCTCCCTCATCCCAAGTGTGGTCCGTCCAACTCCTAGCGCTTCTTCCTAACAGTCATAATCAGGAACTCGCCCCGTGCAAATAGCAAACGCCTCCGCGCCCGCGGTGACCCCGCCTATCAGATGCTCCGCCAACTCACCCTCCACGACCCGTCCAGCCCTGGCATCGACTTCATCACCGGCGACTACCTTGCGAGATGAACCTCGCCGAGAATGCTGTTGCCATGACCGCCGGCACGCACGACGGATGGGAACCGCATTGCTACGAGGGGCTGGAAATGTGTATCGATGAAATCATTGCTCGCGGGGTGAAGGTGGTGGTTGATGGGGGAGCGTTGAATCCCAAGGGTATGGCGGAGAAGGTTTGGCGTGAGTTGGTTGTTGGGAGGGGCCATGGGGGCGAAGGTGGGTACAGGGTCGGGTGGGTTGAGGGGGACGATCTGGTGGAGGTCGTCCGAGAGGGAGTCGCTAAAGGCCAGGTCGTGGGCCACCTCGACGAAAGCAACCAGGAAGTTGGAGAGAGATTGCCCGGGAACGTAAAGGACTTCTTGGGCCAGGGGAAGGAGGGAATTCCCTCCTTCCCCGTTGTGAGTGCCAACGCGTATCTTGGTGCGAGAGGGATCAAGAGGGCGTTGGATGAGGGGTGTGATATTGTTATTTGTGGGAGGGTTGCTGATGCGAGTCCCGTGATTGGGGCGTCATGGTATTGGTATCAGTGGGCAGAGGATGACTGGGATCGTTTGGCTGGCGCGTTGGTGGCAGGGCATTTGATCGAATGCTCGAGCTATATCACGGGCGCGAACTTCGCGGGGTTTGATGAGTATGATTATGAGAACTTGATGGTGGATTTGCCGTTCGGGATCGCGGAGATTGAGAGGGATGGGAGTGCGATCGTGACGAAGCATCCTGGGACGAAAGGGGTGGTGAATGTTGATGTGGTGAAGTGCCAGTTTCTATACGAGTTGCAGGGGAGGATTTATCTGAATAGTGATGTTACGGCGGACTGTAAGGACGTTGTGATTGAGGAGGTTGGGAAGGATCGGGTAAGGTGTAGTGGGATTAAGGGTGCGCCGCCACCGCCGACGACGAAGTTGGCGATCTTTTATAAGGGTGGGTATGAGCAGCAGATTTTGATGAACGCGACTGGGTATGCGACCAAGGAGAAGTATAGGCTGGTTGAGGCGAATCTGCGGAATCAGTTGAAGAGGAACGGGTTGCTGGATAAGTTTCAGCTGCTTGACTTCCAGGTGCTGGGTGTGCCGGAGGCAAATCCGAGCAGTCAGCATGCCAGTACCACGTACTTGAGGCTGTTCACGCAGGCGGACACACAGGAGGCGTGCTATGGACTGCTGAAGTCGTTCTCGCAGATTGGGATGCAGCATTTCTCCGGGTTTCATTTGAGCCTGGATACGCGGACGGCGATTCCGAGACCGTATCTAGCGTTCTACCCGGGTCTGATCCCGCAGGAACAGCTGGAAGAGAAGGCAGGGATCTTTACTGAGGGCGGCAAGCCGTTGATGTTTGACGCGGGACATCCGTCGACTTTTCAGAAGGTGGAGCCGAGGGAGTCGTACGAGACTGCCCAGCCACAGGATCTGGCATCTTTCGGCCCAACGAAGAAGGCAAGGCTTGGTGATGTCGTCCTCGCCAGGTCAGGTGACAAGGGTGCCAACATCAATTGTGGGCTCTTTGTGCGCAAGGCGGAGCACTATCCGTGGCTGCAGAACTTCCTGACAGTGCAGCGGCTGAAAGACCTGATGGGCGAGGATTGGCGCGCGGAATACTTCGTTGAGAGGATGGAGTTCCAGAAGCTGCATGCGGTCCACTTTGTGATTTATGGGCCATTGGGCAGGGGAGTGAGCAGCTGTCGATTGCTGGATGCTCTTGGTAAAGGGTTCGCGGACTACATCAGAGACAAGGTCGTTGAGATTCCGGAAAGTTTTCTGGCGGACATGCCTGGCATCAAGGAGGAGAGGCTGGCGAGGTTGTGATGGGTCAGCTTCCATGTAAGGTCTTTGGCCATATCATAGCGCCTTGACCTTTGACTAGGGCTTCAAGCTGTATTCGTGCTTCAGGCGAGACGTTCTCGTGGTTGGAGATACACTTCTCGATAAATGCCGCCTCGTCCCACCCTCGAGCGAGGCGCTTCTGGCTGAGAAGTGAACCGGTGCCTCTGAGGTCGTGCTGCCATACGCCGTATCCTCGCAGTCTATCTCCTTCGATGACATCGGTTAATTGCTGCTCGTCGAAAGGTGGGTCGATCCCAATAAAGTGAACATCCTCTAGCGGAGCAGCTATGGCTGGGACGTGCAAGTCCAGGAATCGAGAACGCTTGAACTCATGTGAGACTATGATCAGCTTCTGCGGCCAAACTCGAAAACGGCTGCCACTCTGTCGAGAAGCTGAAGCGTGTATGAAGGCAGGATACTGTATCAAAGAAAGGAGCACGTTTTGGTACGAGTCAGTGGCCTGTTCCTCAGCGAAGGTCCTGGTCTTCAACGTCGCATGCGTTGTCTCAAGGCCAAAGAAGTCACGAGCTCGGCACAAGTCCAGATAACTCTGACCTTCTGTCTTCGAACAGCCCCTTGAAGCTTTGGTAGCGCCGCCAGAGAAAACAAGTATCGCGCGTTCGCTGGCGTCGAGGCACGCCCTCAATTGCCTAACGCCCGCTCGTGCATGTTCGATGAACGTCGGGGTCTCCCCGCGCTGGAAGGACTCTATTAGCCAATCCTTGCTTTCATTGTTGCCCGCGTTCGGATTAATCGTTGAAGATCCTAGGAAAATACCATGACAGCACACAACGATGAGTGTCGTGGTTGTTGGATCGGCAGGAAGTCCTTCCATTCATGCCACGCGCCTGCCTACTGACCGCGACGCTCTCCCGAAGGATCTCAAGTGTGTCGTCGGTGCTTACCGCGCTTGATACGCTGACCAGCACTTACATAAGGTATCGTGTACGCACGCGACAAAGAAAGAAGGATTCCAGGTGGACAAGTTAAGCTTCGCTGGCTCCCAACGTCTGAAATTGGGGTCAAACAATTACGCGGCTGCCACGCTGTTGCCCCGCCTGGTGCCTGCCTATCAGGTACGAATTTCTCGCCTGCCCTTTTCACTTCCCCCCTTGCCGATCAGATTATTCTATCTAGCTGTGCCCTTTCTGATCTTCACAAGCTTCACATATATGTCGTTTCGGGCGTTAAAGGTATTCGGCTATACGGACCTGAAGTCAACGAAATGTCTATCGCGTCCATGTACGTTGATTATAGGCGCTGCCTGGGGCCACATGCCGACCGCCCCCTGTTGCGGCGCGCCAAATTTTCGTTGTAAGCGATCATCTAATCAATCCTACATCGTGTCACGGCGAGAGATCCGGGGCCCTGGCCCGACACGCACGAGCAACCGGTCGCTCAGTGCCTACTCGTCGTAACAGTCCAGGAGTCAATGACAAAGTACTGTGCTCGTAATGGTTGTTTGATCTGCATATAGGACATCTTATCATTCACAGGTAGAAGCCTAAGTCCCCTGAGTCGGGGCCACCTCACGGAATTGCTATGCAGAGTTCGAGGCAACATCGTGCAGGGTCCTCTCATGATCGTAACCTTAATTCCGTTGCAGGAGGCAGAGCCACTCGCAGAACACGAATCGCCCAATACAGGCAATGACCTCCACTAAGACTTCATGTGAGTAAGCAAACGAAGACAAGAGAGGGCAAGTACACCTTCGGCATTGTGCAGACTGCACCAAATTTTGACAGCCACCTCCAGCCTCAGAAGTTCTTAACTTCTTCCCCAGTCTTCACAATCACGTCCAGCGTCGAGGGTGTCACAAAAGACAAATTGAAGGGCGTCTGAATTGTCAACATACATCGACATGCGGCGGTTGCAACTCGGAGTGTCGTCGACTCTCTGAGGTGTTTGAAATCTAGGGTCTTATCCTCATCGGACCAGCACAATGAAGATCAGGATACGCATTCGGGAGCAGCTATGTTTCCTCATCGCCATCACATCGTTACTGGCGTTGATGGTGCTCGCGGTCTCAACATGGGTACAGAGTCGCCACTATCTGATGGAAAGCCGGCAGCAGACTCTGCAAGTCACGGCCAACCTCAAGGCCGATCAACTTTCGCAAGATCTGAGATTGTTCCAAGAAGCAGTCCAGTCAATCACTACGAGGGACGTGCTGCAGGGGTATGTCAGAGGATATGACAATGGCAATACCACCGACGAGCTTAGAAACGCCCTCGCCGTGAGTTTACAAGAAGTCCGTGATCTTTGCGCGAGACCGTTGATTGAGCTAACCATGTACAGACCAACATGGACCACGCGCTCTCGGCTGGCTCAGAAGATGCCATATATCTACAAGGAGCCGTCTACGCTCGGGACGACAGCAACTCCGGAGCATTGATTGTCAACACTACCGGCACTGGTGCAAGGCGATTCACATTGCCCTACACCTATCCCAACGGCACTGCGGTTATGTTCGGCGATCCTGGACTTGGCTATCCTCCGACCCTGTACCCCAACCTCACTTTCAATGGCGACAACTCAACCGTACGGTACGACAACAGAGTGTTGAACTACACTTCGTCCTTACTCCTCGGCCCACTGTACTTGCCCAAGGACAACATTACCTTGATCTCGTTCACTGTCGCCATCAACAACAACACCAGCCGCACCGAAGTGCTTGGGTGGCTGACAGTTGTTCTCGATGCGCGAAATATGTACGACATTATCAATTCAAGAGTCGGCCTGGGTCATTCGGGAGAAGTGGTCATCATAGGACCCGATCGGGTGAACAACTTGTTCGAGAGGGACATCATGGGCATGCCCGCAGCCAACATCGAGGACATAGAGGTCCAGTTCAAGTTGCCTCCATATGCGGCCCGTCATCCTGCGCGAAAGGACGATCCATATCTACCATTTCCAATGCGTTGGTATCCTGCCATTGTTCGAGCTTGGTCAACGGACAGTGGCTCGATCAATAATGCTGGGACTCTGTGGAAGACCCACAACGAGAATAACGCCTCGATCGCTGTTGGCTACGCCATCGTGGACTCCCCAATCGTTGATTGGGTTGTCGTCTTCGGCCAGGCAAGGAGTGAGGTCAACGGGCCTATCAATTCGTTGAGAAACACAGTCCTGGCATGTGTCTTCTCGGTTGTTGGTGCAATTATCATCGTTTGCTTCCCTATCGCACACTATGCAGTCAAGCCTATCGATGCCCTCCGGACGGCAACCGACAACTCAGTCATGACATATGAAACATATGCACCCCCGTCCATTAAGTCGAACAAGTCGGACACTGGCACTGAGAACACCGAAAAGTCCCTACTCAGCTGGGCTAACGACGCAGAAAAGGGCGAATGCAGACTCACCGGCAAGGTCGATAAGAAGAAGTCCAAAGGCAAGAAAGTTCGCTCTTTCCAGATACCGCAAAGGGTGCCCGACAGAAAGCACTTCATACACGACGAACTTACGGACTTGACATACAAGTTCAACGACATGTCTGACGAGCTCGGTATACAGTACGCGAAGCTCGAAGACCGTGTGAAGGATCGCACGGCAGAACTCGAGAAGAGCAGGAATGAGGCGCAGGCCGCCAATGAGAGCAAGACATTGTTCATCGCAAACGTATCGCATGAACTGAGAACGCCACTGAATGGCATCATTGGCATGTGTGCAGTCGCAATGCAAGAGGAGGACGTGAAGCGGATCCGACAGTCTCTGAAGATTATTTACAAGTCGTCTGACTTGTTATTACATCTGCTCAACGACTTGCTCACTTTCAGTCGCAGTTCATATGGGCAGCAGCTATCGATAGAGGAGAACACCTTCAGGCTAGTCGACGTCGGAAACCAGCTCATCTCGATCTTTGAAAAGCAAGCTAAGGACGCGGACGTCGGGTTGAAAGTCGTGTTCCTTGGGGCGGACTCCACATATCCCAACTCAGAAGACGAGCCAGAAGATGCCATCATCGCCAGACGGGATGTAGCTGGAAATCTACGACGAGTCGAGACAAGTGTACTGGCTAGAGGCCCAGCCGATGTGGGACCCCTGAGACAAGTCGGCCTTCGTGGGGACAAGAACAGAATCTTACAGATCTTGATGAATCTGGTCAGCAACTCGCTGAAGTTCACACCAGCGAAAGGACAGATAGAGGTCCGCATACGTTGTCGAGGTATGGTCGATATGGCGCTGGCTGCAGATGACATGTCAAATGCCAACACCCTGGACGACACCACGGACACGGCGAACGACAGCATACCGCAGATCAAGGTTCGGAAACCATCAGGGAAAGAGCCTGACCTACCCAATCAGGCGGCCTCCAAAGGTCTTGTCTTTGACTTCGAAGTCGAAGACACTGGGGCAGGCATTCCAGGGCACCTGCAAAAGGAGGTGTTCAAGCCTTTTGTGCAAGGCGACCTTGCTTTAAGCAAAAAGCACGGCGGCACAGGCTTGGGGCTTTCAATCTGTAGCCAACTAGCGGAGTTGATGGGCGGCGATATCAGCTTGAAGAGCACACCAGACATAGGCAGTACCTTCACGCTCCGACTACCTCTGAAGTACACAAAGGAGACAGTGCCCTCCGTGTCAGGATCACTAGCCCGATCTGGTCGAAGAGGCAGCATGACCAGTTCCGTTCAATTCGAGACGTTCAGCAACCGGTCTGGAATGTCTCGACAGAGGCCACCTCACCGATCGCCACAGTCCAAAGGCACGTCGATCGTCTCGGTGGAGAACGCCCCAGGAATGGAGAAGCCCCGGATAGTTGGCTTTTCGCAGCCATTTATCCTGGATGACGACGACGATGATGAGGCAGAAGATAGGCCCAAAGAACCAGACCGCCGATCAACAAGCTACCATAGGCCACGGCTGGAAGCTATCGCGTCCGCATCGCAGGACGGTCCGTCAATGCTTCAGACTCTGCACTCAGGGATTGAGACTCCCGCGGAGACTTCAGGCGAAAAGCACACGGCGTCTTTGCGACCACCAATTAGTCAGGCCACGACTGCCACATCACTGTCAGGAGCGCTCCATACCGAACCTCCGGCAACGCCGGCACCCGAACCGTCTGACGCCGACAGCCCACCTCCTTTCAGAGTTCTCGTAGCAGAAGATAATCCAATAAACCAACAAGTAATCCTCCGCCTCCTCAAACTCGAAAAGATCTCCGACATCACGCTCGCCGAAGACGGCCTACAAGCCCTCGACTTCGTACAGCACTCCCTTTCGAATCCAAGTACCATGCAACCTTACAGCCTGATCTTCATGGACATCCAAATGCCACGCATGGACGGCATCGAAGCCACCAAGAAGATACGAGAGCTGGGTTTCGAGGCGCCTATTGTGGCGCTGACGGCGTTTGACCATGAATCGAATCGAAAGGGCTGTGAAGAGGTTGGGATGAATGCGTTTTTAGGTAAGCCGATCAAGAGGACGGCTTTGAAGAGGGTTCTGGGGGGGTTTGGGAGAGCAGTGGGTTCTGCTGGGAGTCGGCAGGAGAAGGTGGGTGGAGTGGCCGAGGCTACAAAAGCTGATGATTCCAAGGAAGGCGGTGCCACAACCGAGTATTGAAAGTCGTGATGTACGGCGATTATGGTAGCATTCTGAGCCTGAGAGCATCTGGCAGGCTGACGTATAGCGAAACAAGAGCGAACGTTTTTCTCTGCGCCGTTCTACGGGCAATTTGATTCCAGTCTTCACGTTCGATGCAGGCCCCGCGGACGTACGTCGTGCAACATTGGATCCAACGTGATTGAACAAAGCTGTTCGACACCGAAAAGCTTGCATTCGAGCAAAGATATCAGAACTCTGCGTGTATGAGCGAAAGACTGAGGAGTGTGGTACGCTCGCTACCTGGCCGATCCCGAAGCAAATGACCTTCAGCTACTTGCGCACTGCCTTGACTTCCATAGCCTCTCCGTTTTCTTTGCTCGCAACAGCTGCACTCGATATTGCTTCCCAGACTGTCAGAACAGTCGAACTGGTAGTCTCAATCTCATCCACACCGACGACAACAGACATCGCATTCCGAACCCCCTGGAGGCAGCAACGTGCTGTAGCTGTGAGGGCTGATGCCTCGGCCGCATATTGCGCCAGGACGAGAGCACCCAGCGCAAAAAGACACCTCGTTATCACGACTGCACAACCGCAGAATGTGCTCCACCTGCGACATTTCTCGCCTGATCCCACATGTGATTTCAGTCATGTGCTCCCGGAGTTTCACGCGCCAACCTTGGATCTGGAAGTATGCAGAGACACGACGGGCCTGCGCAGTGACGAAAGTGCCCCCGTTGCTAAGCAGCGCCTCAGCCCTTGACCCGCAACGCCAACACAGATACACATCATGGTCGCACTCCTGCACGTGCTCCCTGCAGCGACTGCAGATCCCAACATCCGGTGCCGCTGCTTGCAAATCGACGACTTTCCGGTACAGCTGATGCGTTTCTGCCATCAGCGTGCTCCTAAGGCGTGTGTACAAATATCGCAGCAGTTCGCCTCCGGTAATTCTTCTCGACCGTATCGGCGACATCAGCCTCGCAGCTTCGCCTGGCAAGTTCAACACACCCCGCTTACTGAGTGCGGTAATGGCCACTTCGAACCAAGATAAATTGCGCCGGACTCGTGACGTTGGCCGCAACGCGCTGGCGCCTCTGTCGTACAATCCATCAAATTTGAGGTGGAGCGTCGCAGCAAAGTTGCCTCCTCGGAGCATCGCTGGCCAGAGTGCGAGCTGGAACTCAAGCGAAGTGGCTCTCTTGTCGACACGCTGTGGGCTCGTCAACTATGTGCGGAGCTAGGCTGGAGCCAGACTTACTTCACACTCTGAAACCCAACGATCACTGGTCGCTCGTCGCATAAGCATGGTCACGATGTCTTCTGCACTGTCATCACTTTCAGTCATCGTCGGGTGGCTGTGTTGTAAGCCGTGCTCGTCAGCCATGTTGGAGGTCCGAAGTCCGACTGGTTGGTATACGAATGCGAAGCGTCGATTTGCGGCATGTAACGAATGTGTTCGACAAATGGTTGGGAATGACGTTACAGAACTCGGCGCTATACCATAATATGTGCGATGTTGGTGGTAGTAGATATTTTCTGATGAATGTCGCAAGTGGCAATGTGGTGCAAGATGTGTAACAGAAGAGTGTGGTAAGATGAACTTGACAAGAAGGGAAGAAGGCGCAAGGCAAATGCTATGGCGCAGAGGAAGGCACGATCAACCATACTTTTGTCCTGGGCAAGTGGTTGAATGCTCCCTATCAGGCAAGAACGCGGACAAGCCCCTTCCATGTCTCTGATGTATTTGCGGCAAGCAACAAAGAGCGACCTGTATCAACGCAGGCAAGTCCCTGTCGAGATTCCCGAGTTGCTGCTGCCGTTCTTCCTCGATATAGTACATCTGCGCGAGAAGGTGTCACTTACTTGTGACCAATAATGCCTGGCGAAGACCAGGTGAGAGGACATAGATGCAGCTGAAGGTACCAACATGCCACCAACAGCAAAGCAAAAGTCAGAGCAGAGCCTCAACGCCAGCGTTTCTGCTCCGAACAACAGTAAACAGTTCGGTCGCAGTCTGTCGACTCGTTGCTTGGACCTGACAACTTGTAGTGTCACGACAGGCCACACAATCATCGAGCGCTGCGGCAAACTCCATTTGCTTAGCATCGCGTGCGCGCCTACAGTGCTCCTACCGAAGACTTTGTCGACAGCCTGAAGACTCTGAGCACGATGTCAAGGTGACGAGCTGCAAAGCGCACAACAATGGGCAACACCATCGATCGTCGATCCCGGAGATGTTTTCGTACAAGGCTCGAAGTCTTCCGCGTCTACCACAGCCGATGAGACAATTGCTGTCAGGACTGACCAGGACTTCGTCTGCCGATGACTCCAACGCAGCCACGTCCTGGCTCAAAAGCACTGAAGCCGTGGCATACACCACGACAGCAGCAGAAAGTTGACGACACCTGTTAAGTTGAGAGCCCCCGCATTCGCTACAATGTCCGATCACTACGGAGTTGGGAAGCCTTAGCGGCTAGGCAGAAGGCAACTTTTGCCGCAGCCGACCCGAACAAGACGACCAGCAGATCATAGCACGGCTACAGGTATTCGAACCACGTTCGCGGAGTATTGCTCGTCGTGAACCATCCTACAAGCCGCAATGATCTGCCCATCACTGGGACTGACACATGCATGTCAAGTCCTGACACCAGTCCAGGCCCATGGCCCCTCGATGCGCTCTGAGGTCTGGATTTGCTCGTGTTTATCGATGTCTGGAACATGTCAATGAGGCTCTCGACTGAGCCTCGCCGGTCATCCTTGCAGGCGGGTGCCGCAGTGCATGCATGCCTGTAGCCCTGGCCACTAAGCTTCGAAAGAATGCATGTATTGCAATGCGCGGTCTGAGCCCGCGCGATGGCCTCTTCCAGCGATCCATATGTCTCCGACGCTCCTGACTGTGCCGTGCTCACGACCGTTGCACAGAAGGGCTGGCCTCCTCACCTGGGCGATTGATGGTTGTCTTAGATAGCCGGACAATTGATCGAAGTCCACAGATCGAAGAGCAGCTGTTGCTCTGGTATTTCCGCGCCTAAACCGCTAAGGACGGACTCATCGGCTTCAGACCATTTAGTCGCCTCCACTTCCAGGAGCAGCTTCTCGTGAACAAAAGTCCCAAACGACCAAACCTTGATAGACTGATACGTCCATAAGGCTCGAGCTTTGTGCTCAGAAAAGCCCCCGCGGCTCCAGCTCGGCCACACCGTATTACCCACCAGCCACGTGAAAGCCTCAAAGTCTCAGAGCGAAAGAACACGAAACCTTGCGTCGTCCTCCCGAATCGAGCCTTTGACTTTGGCGCTAGCGCCTTACCAACCATCAATTGGGTAGCCCCTCTCGCGCCTCATGCATCGGCTTTCAGCTTCAAGCTGTTTTACTTCTGGCAGATCGAGATCTTTCGCCCATCAACGGCAGCCACTACAAGCCTATACCGAATCAAAATCATCAGTGCACATTCTTGGTTGCTTTTCCAAGCACGGGACGCATGCGTGTTTGATGCACACTGTGCATGCGTGGCAGCCACGAGTTGCCAACTTACCAATCACTCCCGGCGAGCTGAGCGTAACGCACAATACAACGATTTATTACCAGAGCATCAACAAAGACGCCTCTCCTCAGCCACATGCCAGCTGTTGACAGCGGGTATTGAACTCCCGGTCGTTAGCATCAATAATAATGAACGTCTACGCTACAAATTAGCGGCTGAAAAGGCGTCCATCTATCGCCATATAGGGCAGCCAGGGGCGTCAAGCCTGATGAATTCGGCTACAAGGCGTGAGGCTGGGATAGTTAATCCACCGTGTGATCGAAGTCCCGGCTGCGATAGACGCCCACCACTTGGTCACCCACCATGAAGCTGTCAAAGACCCAGCACTGCGGTAGACTCTCCTCGCGAAAGCCAAAAGGGCAAACAAGAGCTTTGTCCAACAGATGATGGTGTACGTCGCAAGTCAAATTTCAGCCACAACGGGGTGACGGAGCTTACACGCCGACAACAGTCGTTGAGGTCTGTCCAGCCTAACGTTGTCTGTTTACTGCCATGCCTTTGATGAGCGAAGAAGACCACGCCATAGTCAGATCGATGCCACTGCTCGTAGGTATACCTGCCCCGACGGCATCTGTCTCTATGCTCATGCCTCTGAGCTTTACACCAGGCGTTCGTCCTCAAGCCCCTTATCATCCAACAAATTATGCTGCTTCCCTCTCTCCAGCAACTCATACCAGCCCCTATTATCTGGCGCAGCCGTGGTATTCGGTGTACTCAACCGAATGCCGCCGTCGCCTTCCTTAGACTCGTCACGATGCCGCCGTCCTTCTCGCAACTCTCCCATAATCCTAGCTAGCCGTTCGAATGCCTTCCGCGTCCCAGATCTCAACATTGACAACATGTCCTGCTCATTCTTTGTAGTGACCGCAGGCCCAGGACCTTCCTGCTTTCCGTGTTTTCCAGCTTCTGAGACTGTCCAGAAGCGATCGAGTCCACAACACCAGCTGCTCGTTGACGTTATTCCATGTGAATCCTTCTCTTGGGCATTGCTGGGCTGGTGACTTGTCTTCCACGTATTTGACGTGATTGACCGCAGAGCTGGCTGACCTGACGCGTGCACAAAGACCGTCGATCCGAAGCTCGACATCGTAGAGCAGACTGCCCTGCCCAATGGGTTGGTGTCTTGTACGGCGCGTGCTTCAGTCTCGTGCACTCAGCAAGGCGTGGACGCGGTTGTAGAGGACGCTCTCTCCTGTGAGTCTGGGTTTGAGGTAGAGCACTTTTGAAGAGGCACCGGGGAGAACATTCAATGCGAAGCTAAACACAATTGCACGTTACAATAAGAATCGAGCATGACGAAACGGCCTCCGCTGAGCCCGCACACGGCGAGCAGATCTGCCCTCGGGTGTGCAACGGCCATCCATAAAATTCGTCGCACTGTTGCACATCGTGTCCGAAGACTTACTCTCCATCGCTCCTCAACAACAATTCATCGTTGCCAGCGATGTTCACATTGCGACCACGACTGCACTCATCCGCGAGACAAGGTCTTGCGATCAGTGACATGCTTGTGGGCATAGTGATTGGCCGTCCTGATGAAGGCACAAAACGGGACAAGGATCAGGAAGCACAATGTGCTGTCCCTGCATTCGTTGCAACTGTTGTAGCATTTCTGTATGCAGCTCAAGTTAGAATGTTGGGGCGGGGGTGGCAGTTGTCTCAGTCTGATTCGAAATCACGTTGAGTGCAGTACGGTTGAGGATGCAAGCGTCCTGTCAACCAGCAGAGCAGCCCCAATGATGAGGAGACCACACGGCGTCGAGTTGGCCGCGAGCCCCTTCAAAAGCCTATGCTTTCGCAGCACAAGATGCTGATAGTCGCGCCGACTGAATGCAAACCCCCAAGCAGGCCGGTCAGAATCACAATGGAGCCTACCTCAGCCCCTGCGCAGTGCGTCCACGCCGTAGCACGCGAGAAGCACGTGCAAGCCTAGTCGTCGCTTACCAGGCCACTTACAAAAGTCGTTAATCTGCCATGCGGTACAACTCGTTCCCGTCCATCCCGCCTGTTGTACTCTTGTGGCTGTCGCGGGGGCCAGCCCCTTGCTCGTACAACACAGCCATGGCCAACGCGAGGCCTGAGGATCTAGAGTCGGATCCAACACTTTGATGCTATGAAGCCTAGAAGCTCTCATTTCCGGGCCGTTTTGTTGCACTTCCATCCTTGGCGTCGTTTGGAGAAGGCCTGACTTAATGGTCGAAGGCAGATCATTAGCCTCGACCCGAGATCTGGGGCGAAGTCGGGTATCTGGACGGCACGATCGCATTCGGTGATCCTTCACGCACAGCAGAGGGAGTTCATGTCGAATATTGCAGCATGGTTGATCACCAGGATCACAGTACGTCCCGAATTGTGAGCAGGAGGCGCGAAGAACCGCCCTCATTAGAGCAGCTCAGCGCCTGGATCGACGCCTTCTGCATCACACCGTGGAGATCACTCTGGAGAGCCCAATGCAGTCTGTCACGAATGCTGACTCGCGTGCAGCATGGGAATAGTGTTGTTGGCCAATATTGGGAGTTGTATTTCCGCGAAGCCGAAGTCCCGACATCCCGGAACGATGGATCCTATTTTGTATCAGCATCGACAACTTGCGAGAAGTACTGTCGGGCCTCAAGCGTTGCAATATTGCATTGTTGTACCCCACGGCCAGCGTGGTATCGTCAGGTATCGTTGACTTGTTGACTTGTCATCGGACGGACGTTTGAATATAGAACAAGGTGTCATCGCCGTGCGTTGTTCTCCGTGTAAGCAGCCACGATCAATGGTAGCTTACTTAGCCACATCCCAAATTATCGAGTTGTACCTGTGAGAGCCCAGCGCAACTCGTACCGAAGGGGAAGATCAGCGTCGGCATCATCGCCTCGCATCGACGGCAGGTAAAATGATTTCGCATGTCAGATGTTTAATAAAGCTCAGGTACTTCTGGCCCCCAATGACTGATGAGAAGGAACGATGAGTGATGCCTCCAAGCGAGAAAACTCAAACGTTCGAGAACTATTCCAGATACAAAGTGGCCGCAGTTCTTCGCTTTTGCCGAGCCCCTAGAGTACGATGGGGGGCTTCCAGACTTGAAGATCAGCGTTGGTATCGATACCAGTTCGCTTGCAGGAAAATCGGATTTGCGCATCAATGCTGTGCGGTGTTTTCGTTCGAGTGATTTGACAATGATTTGCGACATAGTAATAATAGACTGTCGTGATCATGTAAGCGCGATGATTTTGATCGCTGCTGCAAGGCCCGAAGGTTGGGCTTCGGCGAACCTGATGCTGACAGGTACACGAGAAAGTGTATTTGTTGCCTGTTAGAGAGACGTGCGCTCACTCCATTTCCGGGACACCAACAAGGACGCAGTGTATGGCTCTATAGATTGCAATTCATGCCTTCAGATCCATTGGAGCGGAAATGCTAATGCTGAAATCGATTAATGCTAGACGATTCTGCTTGCAGGCCGTTTTGGAGCTCATACGAGTCGTTTACGAGCGCGACCAGGGCTAAAGACAGCGCTATTAGTACTGCCATGTAGAGAAGCCGATGTCCTTCCGTTCTGGTGTGTTTCCTGATGAAGACGCGAGAGTGTTGAGGAAGACGTGATTGTTGTATGCGCTAGTAGCGCTGCTCATCGCTTCGATGAGAAATAGCACGAAGTGATGCACAAGTTCCTCGAGCTCATATCCGAATACTAGCGCTCGCTGTGGATGTCGCCTGTGTGTCGCTGACCAGATCCGTACGCTATCCAGTCCTAGACGAGAGAGAATGTACAGTTTAATGGGATTATCGTCTTCAAGACGAGTCAGCATAAGCTGACTTCGCGAATTCAGCTACGAGCTCCAGGCTAGAGAGTCTCTGGTCGAAGTCCGTAAAGCAGGCAAACCATGGTCCAGCAGGTGACCGGTAACTTGACAGCGTTGCTGGCAGTGGAATATGGACGGCCGCTAGTCGCATCCAGGCAATCATCAATAACGACAAGGAATGTCCCATTCCGTGAAAGAGCCGTGCCAGGTTGCGGTACACCGTGTACCAGGTCGTGGAGATCAACACCATTTCGACGGAGATCAGTCGTAGTTGTGAATATCGCACCGCCTTTTACGTGCGTACAGTCAATTCCCCAGGCGTGTATGGCGTTGCGAGCTTCCATGCTATTCCTTCACTCCGCGATGGATGCACGCAGTGGTGGCATGGGTAGCAAGCCTGGCACGTCTGTGATCGACAGGCGGAAGCAAACGAGGTAACGCTTTCGTCTATCTGCCAAGTAACAAGCCTTCCGCTTTATCCCATGTCGCAGTTCAGCAACCGTTTCGCAAGTGCTCTAATGATTCCACTCCCTAATCAAAAGCTTCAGTGAGACCGCTGGTACAGGATAAAAGCTTCATGAACGGCGAAGGTGCTGTAGCAGACCCTGATCGCCTGTGCGTCATGCCGGTACAGTGGCCGGAGGCGTCGACGAAGGATCGATAGGGCCCGCGGCCGTAAGTCCAATTGCTTGTGCAATACAAGCACCCCTGCGACGGCAGCGTACCACGTAGAACGGGTGTTTGCCGTTTGGCTGGGCTGCATAATTGCATGTGTGGCGCGATGGGGCGGTGGAAGGCCTGAAACGAGGGTTCTGAAGGAATGAGGGACCTGCCTCGCCCTGTAGAAGTTAGAAGCCACTGCAAAAGGTAAATGATGAAAAAAGGGTAACAAAACGAGCATGTGGATAGAGATGTGTTATTCGAAGGGCGAACGATAGATTGTTTTCTATGTGATTTGCGACAGACGCGCCTTCGTTGCTGCCAAAGCGTGCTTTTGGTGCAAGCGCTTTGCGCCAGTGCCATCGTGGCTACCTCATCAGGAGGTCATTTCATAGTACGTCAGACTTTGTAGTCGTAAAAACTCCCTCACTCCAAGCTTGTGGTATCCGAAAGTTGCTGCAATCTGGAAGCCATACTCAGCACTTGAGAAATGGTCCGAGCCGAATAGAATCAATTTTTATTCCGTAGAGATGTGATGTTGTCCCCCATAGGTTCGTGAATGCATAGGTATGTGATCGGGGCGTGTCAGAATGTTTGACAAGCCAAAAATATGCTGTGAAGGTCGGTGATGTACAGAACTTAAATGTTACTGTAAATTACACGAATGAGAAGCGAGGACCCTTCTCGAAGGTCTTGACATCTTCCCAAACGCCATTGATGGTGTCCACCAGAGGTTGTGGGAGGGGTCCCTGTTCGAGGATGTCGAGGTTCTCAGCAAGTTGAGAATGCTTGGAAGCACCGATGATGACCGAGTCACCATACTCGGCACCAAGCTCAGAATGCCATGTAGTCCATCGAAGGGCGGCAGCATGTCCCGAGATGCCAAAGCAACGGGCTTGTTGTCGCACGATCTCGGCGGCCGCGAAAAGAGGGTCGTGGAAGTAGTCGCCCGAGTACTTAGCGCCGAGGGGCGAGGCGACGTTCCAACGAGACTCTTTGTCCTTTGCCGAAGCCTTAGTGACCTTACTCGAGAAGAATCCACATGCAGATGGACTGTATGCGTAGAAAGCGATATTGTTGTCACGTAGGACAGTGAACAACCGCTCCTCAGCACCTCGGCAGATGGGGTTGTATTGGCCTTGATAGACCGAAGGCTTCACGTAGCAGTTCTCCTCGCAGATCTTGAGGATCTCCTCAACCTCCTCAACGGCGTAGTTTGAGAGACCGAAGCGCTCGAACTTGCCTTCGAGGAAAGCTTCGTGCATAGCCTTGCAAGTGTCCTTGAATGGCGTTGCTCTGTCTGGAGCATGCAGGTACATGACGTCCACGGAGTCAGCATCGAGTGCCTCCAATGATCGATCTATACTGAGCTTGATGTTCTTCGCTTTGTGAGAACCTGGCATGAAGGATGAGACCTTTGTGGAAACGTTGGCCCACTTTGATAGTCGTAAAGCTTTCTCTCCGAGCAGCTTTTCACAAGTACCGCCTCGTCCAACAGGGTATGCGCGAGCTGTGTCGATGTCCAGGTACCCTCTCGACCGGAACGTGTTGACGAACTTCTGCAGGTCTTCCGCTGTTGTGATCTTTGCCAACGGTGACAAGTGCGAGCCCACCGAGGCAGTACCTAGTACTACGCGTAAGGGTGGTTTACAAGGCACATGCTGAGACGCTGATGGGACCACAGTCTCAGTCTGATATAGTGTCCCCGTTCTCGACCGAAGAGGGGTGAGGGTCATGTCTGTTGCGTCGGTGTGGTTGGAGAGAGTCGATCTTCGCGATCCGAAGGATCTCGTTGAATGTGATGATGCGGCTGACGATATGTCATCTGATGGGTCCCGTCGATGCCTCCTCTGTCCTGGGGTAGGAGGGTGGACTGAGATGTTCAACTGCGGGAGTTGTTCTAGTCTGGACCGTAGAGCAGCAGCCATCGCACCGACTTGAGGATGATGAGGCACGTGGGCCGGCTGTGGTGAGGAGACTTCCGTCATTGTTATATGCTTGTTGCTTTGTTTGTTGGGTGTACAAAGACGGCTCTGGTCGAGCCCGTTCGATGACTTCCTGCCAGTGAGCACGGATCTTTGTTCGAGACCCAATGAATACGAGAATTGATTGTTGGCGACGAATATGTAAGGGCGATTAATCGATAGGAAATGTCGAGAAATCCAGAATATCGGTTGTGTAAGGCTGTGGTTATGTTATGACGAAGGATATGCAATTGCGGAGGGTGGTGAGAGAATATATGAGGGATGGATGGGTGAAGTGGGTAAACTCGCGTGGTGAGCGCTGATGCTGTTTCCGAATTACAGGTAAGAAACCAGGACCGCCACAGGCTGTCGTAATAGCCAAAAGCCAGATGGGCTTGGCTAACTCGTAAGTCTTAGGGGGAGCCGAGATGGTGGCGACGGGCTTGACCAGTAAAGCCGCTGTATGAGCATTCTTCGAACTCACCTGATGCGAGCCAGCCTCTGCCGCTCACGTTACACGGAGGATGCAGACGCCGCGATCCACATGGCCACTGCCCCTGCTGACCCGAGCCCAGGCATCCCAGACAGTCTTTTGCATCTGCAACATCCCTGCCCACATGGTGGCCCTTTTGTCGCTGGCTGGGTCAAAACTCTCATTTGGGCGCTTGCTGTTGCAGCAGCCCTTGACCCAGCATAGCCTAGACTGGCAGAGCTCGTAACAAGGCACTATGCAGCCACTGCACTGAAGGACGAGATTTTTATGAAGGGGTGGGTGAAGCATAGCCTGACGGTCGAACTTCTGATCTCTGTGATCTCGACCCGTTCCATCTTCACGATAGCACAATGCCTCAGGGTGCACATGTTGTGTTGGCAGACAGGCTCGACAGCAGTCAAAACTCGTGGAACCGAGCATATCTCCGCGCAAGCACGCTGATCGTAGGCCTCGATCAACAACACCGTCAAAAACTGTGTGGAATTGTCCAAATATTCATGGTCCGACTTTCCGTCCCAGTCGCGGGCATGGTGAAGAAGGTGCCATCGGAACTTCCATACCTCAGAGAGATCGGAAACCCCCTCGTCTATACCTGCTGCCCCAAACCCGACACGCTGGATTGACTTTCTGCCTCTAAAAGCATAACATTAATCAACGTGGGCTCTTGTTCTGTATAGTCTTCAATAATATGTAGGACCACCTTCATGTCGCAGTCGCTCCCTTTCTCTGCTCAAAGTGTGTAGATTGATTATTGATGGCTTGCAGTATATAGAAAGCCACACTGGATGTGCGAGCACTGTGGCTCGATAGGCGACACCGGCCACAAATCTTGGCACTTCGCTCTAACTCGCTCACAACACACGCACAGGTCGAATGCCAGTCGATTCGCCACGGTGGCATGCAAGCTGGCGAACTGCTTGCGATCGCAATATTCATGACAACGTCAGGGAAAGTGGCTTTGTTTGACGACTCGTAGGCCGCGATGATTTGATACTGGTGCAAGCAAGATGAATTGCGAATTCAACTTGGGGTCGGCAAGTCGGTGGTTGTCAACACCGTTCGCCGACCACTTACACAACCCCAGACAGGTTTTCACCTCCTCATCTGAACAACTCAACCGCCACCAGCAACAACACAGCGTCTGTTTTGGAATGCGTATCGCCACAGGTACATTGACTATTGTATTACACATTAGGTGAGGGGGGCTATGGTCGGGTTTTGAAGTGAGCAGGACTCACGTGCGATGTACTGCCCTGCAACAGGACGCGTCAGTCGACGTGTCGTTTCCTGAGTGCGTTCAAGATCGCTCATGAGGGTCCCAGCATACGTCAATGGCGTTGCAACGACACGCGAAGATCGATCGCGTCTTTCTCGGCTGGAATCATAATCGATAACCAGTGACCAGAATTTCAGGTTCTAGCGAGCTTGTCGATACAAACGTCGGCGCCAACGGCGAAAAAGTCCCGTTCGTGGCGCCCCCCTTCAAACCCTATGTTCAAACCAAAATCTGGGGAATAGCGACAACCATCAACATCATATAATACACTCCCAGCCCCTGAATATCACCACTGTGCTTGTCCTCCTCCGTGCAGGCTTCTCTGGACAGTTCTCCCAAGATACTTCGCAGCGGCACTGGTCTACGCCATCGCACTGCCTGTCATCGAAAGTGAGTATACATTGGGAGCCACGCACTAAGGCAAGGACTGGTTGCAAAACCTGGTCTGCACATCTCCGAGACTGGAGACGCTTGTGTAGGCGATGTTGACCTACAATGAACTTGCCTCGAGCTTGCCAACGTAGAGTCGTACCTCCGCATTTTGATCGCAACGGAAGCGAATAACTGCCAGCCTACCGAAGCATTTCAACACAGCATTCTGCGTTAAACAGTTCCGTTACCTGTGCTACACATCATCCTGCGTGGAAAGCATGATGGTCGCCCTTGGCGGGCTTCATACTTCAATCTCCGTCAAACCGGAAGCCTGCAGTTCCTCCAAGAGAGTATGCTTCAGTTGCCTGACCAGTTTCGCATGCCTTGCTGCAAGTTGCGAGCAAAGGGCTCAGAGAAAGCAAGCTCATCGAATCGAACGAGTCGTTGTAGAACTTTGATCAGATTGACCTTCCAAGGCTTGATCTACGAGACACGTTTCAGATCATCTTCAGGGGGATTCGACTCCATGTCGCGTCCAATTCGCTGCTCAACTGCCGTCCGCGCGTCGGGAATGCGTTGAACGGGCGGCTTGCACAAATGCTCCGTGTCGCAGGGATTGACCAAGCGCTTCACTCATTGTGTGGTGTCCTCACGTATCATGGTAGAGCCCTCTGGCACTTGAAGCCTGCCTCGCTGCTTTCACAATTGCCGTCGCATCAAGGATTCTTCCGGTACATCAAGCACCTGTGGCAGCAGTCCTGGACCTGCGACCGATCTACTGAACGCGACGGTAACAGCTGCAGTGGAATTGTGATCTATCGTGTCTCTGCGAACTTCTCAGAACCTCAGTGCTGGGCAAGCAGAACCGAAACCATAACCCTGATCGACCAAACAGCGGCTGCAGATCTCCCCTGATCCCGAGCAAAGATCAGGCACAACCGATCCACCGTAGCACTGCAATTCTGCTCGCCAAGCGTACTCGTTGTTTGATCAACGAGTCGCTCGAAGGCGTACCGACAAGTACCGTACCGCCGACATTCTTGCCATGAGGCAACTCGGCGCTGATCTACAGTGGCGGCCGTAACAAGCCGATACAGCCCCGTGCTGCAACCGGCAACACGCGGCTCATCAAGGCCACAAGGAAATGCAACTCCCCCGGGCCCGAGACGGCGATGCCGCGGCATCGCAACATGCCCCTCGTGAGCAATGTGCCAAGCCGACCGCTTTGTCAAGTTGCGAGGCGGTGCACCATGCTACGTCATGCCTTCGCCACAGCTTCCCAATGATTCCCAGTCACGCCTGAACATGCGAGGCATGATACTCGGTCACAGGTATTCGTAGCATTCACACATTCCATCCTCTTGGTTGCAGTAGTGGCCACCACTAAGGCGCGGGAAGAGCCCTCCCGCGTCGCAGCCTGCAGCAGTCCAAAGCGATGCGCAAGAAAAACGGTTGACGACATTTCTCCGCATGCCCAGGCAAAAGTCTCACGGCTCACCTCTTCTTCGATCTGAGCAGCGTCCCAATAGCGGGCATGGGACACGTCACGCGATGGGCGTGCCGCGCTGCTTGCTTGTTCGATCGCACGTGGACTGTGGGTGTGAATCTGGACAGCCACCCATGATCTGGGCACTGCAAGGCAACGCATTGCGGACATCTCATGCGGACCAGACGCGTGATGAGCACCATACTACACCACATCGTTTTCGGCCTGAGGCAGGCGCTTGCAGTTTTCTTTTCGTACGCGTGACTGCAGATAGCGTGGGTGTGCTCATCGGTACTGCTGAGACGTATCATTACACGGCTGCTGCTATTCCTTTGTCCAGTGACCTGGCGGCACTTCTGTCGTCAGGCCAGGCTGTTCCTGCATGATGAACGACCATCACGAGCGCAGCGAAATAGATCTAGCACATATTACCTTCCACAGGTCTAGAAGACTATTAACCCAGCAGCATTACCGGGTAAAGACCAAACCGAATCGCAAGCGGGCCAGTCGGCAGCTCTATCATGATGCATAAGACGTGTGTCAAGGCCAACAGTGATCAATTCATCGTGCTCATTGCGAGCATTAAATATGACCAAGTAGTAGTCATTCACGGCGGGGCCTAAGTCGTTCACCATGTGTCAATCCTCCAAATGTGTCAAGAATGCTCGCAAGCGCTCCCCGAGCGGGAACGCGCAAAAGACTGCTGCTGGCGGGTTGGCGCACGAAGATCCTCAGTGGCTCCCCATGAGCTTGAGCTTCCATAACAGCTACATTCCGCTTTTGTCGTCTCTCAATGGATCTGCTTTCAATGAGTGACGATATCAACCGCGAGACCGCGTGCTGTCAGTCATACTCCTCAGGATAGCATCGCCTATTCCTTTGCGTCAGATGCGTCCGTTCAGACGCACCGCAGCAGGAATGGCTGCCCAGTAACAAAAGATCGTGTTTCGAAAACGCCAATCCAGCAGACGGTCACAATGAATGCGAATCGGTCAAGGTTGCTCCATCCACTTTCAACAGCTCAGACTTTTCGCTGTCTTGAAGACCTGAACGACAAGGTCGGTCTAGTGCGATGCTCGACGAGGTTTGCAAGTGATGCCACATTTGGGTACGGCCAATCCTAAGTACTCGCCCACGCAGGTGATGTTAGGAACAGTTCTGTTGCGATTTCATATAGCTTCACTCCACAAAGCTGAGAAACAGCCGGCAGTTGTAGGTGGCAGGAATGGCACACTGGAACATGGCGGTGATTCTTGTCGTCATGGACGGATTTCTGATACGAACGTTTCTCACTTATGGCATTCATCGCGCTGCTGGACTGGTTCTGTGTTGAGGCTAGATCTTCTTGGCTTCTTTTTCCTACGATGCCATCAGTACCTGGCGAAAGCAAAGACATTGAGATGGATGGACGACATACATGCTTCTTGGCCTCCTTGTACTCATGCTTGGCTTCCTTCCTCTCCTCTTTCGCCTCTTTCTTGGCTTCTTTCTTTTCTGCCTTGTTCCTGAGCATCACGAAGTTCTGTCAGCTCGAAGGAAGATTGGGGGAGCGACATTGCGCCGACTTCGGTGCCAAGATGGCAGGAGTGAGCACATACAACTTCTCGTCAGCCTTGATTTGCTGCTCTCGAGCTTTGATGGCTTCCAGGTGCTCATCTTCTCGACTACCACGGGGTTGCCATTTGCGTCAACTGCGGTCTGCGTTGCAGGCGTGTCGTGGTGGTGACCGAGTGGCATTTTGGTTGTACGTGGCGATATCCTGGGTAGAACTACTGGAGGTGGCTTGAGAGCGTGTGAATAATCAACTTTTGTTCGGTCTGCATTCTGCTCCCAGAAGCTGAACTATATGTCTTCGCTACGCAAATCTGGTGAAGACGTCAGAGGAGCACGCGTTCGTGATCGTGCCATGGTTTTGGTGAGTTAAATCCTACTTCATCAGAAGCTTTATTAGTGGTTAAGTTCAGACCGACGTCAGCTGTGCAGTCTAGGCTCCGTGGTGTGCAAAGACTGCCTTCAAGGCCAGCCTACACGAAACCATCAAATCGAATCGTTGTCACAGGGGAACTGCGACACTAAAAGTTGAGAAGGTGGAAGATTCACATGAAGCCACATTTATATCCTGGCAAGGCTCGAAGTTCGAGTTGGTCTTTCGTCAGACCGGTTGACTGGGATAGTCCTCCGTCGTCCCGATGTACGATCTCCCCAAGTATTCCTTATAAGAGAAGCCCGTGGATCGACCTCCACCTAAGGATTCCATCTCTGCACTCTATCCCACCTGCTCGGCGTAGGCTAGAATGACCACCGTATGCAATCACCACCACCCACCCTCCTCCCCGTCCAGAAACGCCCCCATCGCCCGCCTCACCCGCTCCTTCTCCTCCCCATCCTCCATTTCCGCCAGCCTCCTCTTCGCCAAACCCCGCATCCAACTCCTCTCATGCTTCCTTGCGATTAGCAGCAACGCTATCGTCTGCTCTTGCTCAGCTTCTTCCGCTGCTGTTCCCGCTCCGTCGTCGACGGCCCTTACTAAGCGCCTAGGAGCTTCAGAAGCTTCGGCCCCGAGGCTGATTGTCCGACTGCGGAGGACGGCTTGGATAAATGCAGGATCGGAAAGCAACTCGCGTAGGCAGAGTTCGTGCTCGTCTTTGAGGTCGGCGGTGGTGATGTCGCCGAGCAGAGGGGAGGAGAACATGGTGTAGGATTTTTGGTAGGCAAGGGAGAGGGTGATTCCTGGACTTGGGAAGATAGGTTTTGAGTTTTGAGGGTGAATCATGTCTGTTTGAGGGCTTGTGGTGGTGCTGGCGCTGTTCGCGGGATCGGCGACGAAGGGAGACATGTAGTGTATGCCTGGGGTGAGGAGATCTATCGGTAGGAGGGATCGATTAGCTTTGTGCTGGCTAATGGTGAACTGTGAAATACTGCTCATGTTCTTGGAAGGGGAGAGAAAGGCAGCGCGTGACAAGAAGCTTTGTCCTGTCGTACTCTTCGGCCGACAGGCACCGGTCGAGTAGCTCAAAGGTAGTCGATGTCTGCGTTAACGGAGCGAGCGCAACGCGAAAACGATTGATCTACACTGAACGTGGTTTGCCAGTACGCAGCGCCGACATGCACCGCCAACATGCGGTGGCTTCTGTGGTACGACAGAAATGGTAAGGTAGCGTTCCTGATTGGCACCGAGGCCGCTCTCTGGGTCACAAAGAAGAAGTAAGAAAAAACGCAGAAACTCACCATAACTTCCCGGCGCATCCATATGCATTTCCACATACAGTCCCCTCAGTGAATTGAGCGGTTCCGAGCCCTTCCCATCCGTGGACCCTCTCGCACGCCTCAGACCATCTACTAAGCCCCTCATTCCCTCTCGCTGCGTCTGCACATCAGGAGTTTCCAGGTGCCACACCACCTCTACCCATCTCACTCGCTCACTCAGCGCGCTGAAGCCCCATTGGCTCTGGTTCAGTAGCATATTCGCCGCCAGCGGGTCGTCTAGACTCAGCACCAAGTGCTCGTACAAAATCGGTAAGGCCTCGACATGGAATTGGCGGGAGACGAGGAGCGGAGAGACGAGGTATGCCAGACCTGGGTGGTGCTGGTAAGTGGTATCAGAGCAGACTTCGCATGGTCCTGAGAATTTGTTGGAAACAGAGAAGGAGATGTTCGGTACTGGACGCAGGCCGGCTCGGGCCCTGGTGAAGAGGGCGTGAAAGATCTGGGCGCGGAGCTCTGGGGGAAGAGTTTGGAGGGTCGATGGTGAAGCCATTGCAGGCAAGGGTGGGTGTACTGTGGTCAGTGTGGCGTTACTTCGAGAGACTGTAGCAGGTGATCATGAATAATGGAGGGGGGAGGACTGAAGTCAAGTGTTGCAAGTAGGTAAGTGCCAAGAAACAGTGACCGAATGGGTTCGGCGGAGATACATATATTCGTCCGAGCCTGCAATCCAGAGCCCAGGAATCGATACTGTCAACACTGTACCTCTACAAGCTTGTCAGCTTCACGCAGTAGCAAGCCGGTCGCAACACGTCCCATATGATCAGACTTGGCAGTCAACAATATCGCAAGACTCTTCCAAATACACTCCTGCTGCTCTACACTTATCAACAACGTCATCAAACATTCTTTCCCCAGGTCCTCAGGAGGTAGTCTGCTGTCTGTGAGCAACGCTGTTTCCCGACAAGCACTAGTCGGCACGCACCTCACCGAAGTCATCGGGGTCGGAGGGAGGCGACTGGTTCATCCTATGTAGCACTTGTCCAACATGTACTCAGAGAAATGCATCTGGTAATGGAAACGGCAGCTCCTTCCTCAAATTTTGGTGCTCTTGCCTGGCTGGAAGCCGTTCCTGCCGAAGTTATGCTTATGCTCCTGCTCTTGTCGGTTACATCATGATGACCATAGTTCCTGCTCAATTCTCATTTTTCATGCCACATCTTCCTGTCATTCTGTGTCGCTTGTCTCGTCATCCGCAACCCACATTACACAGCGTCGTCTGTAAAGCTTTCTTGTACTCGTATCTTCTCAAACACCCTCCCACGTCGGACGAATGCCCTCACCATGTTCCAAGTCCCGGTCGGTCGTGTTCGAGAAGCTCTGAAGCAATACCATACCATACCCTGCAGCAGAACAAAGCCGAGCAAAGCACGCCATAGGGCCGCGTCCCCTCTCGCCGAAAGTCTGACCCAGCCATCGTTCTCAAAACCTCCGCAGAACTACCTGACCCGACATAGCCCACTGCTCCCAGTACGAGTTGTCCGTTGCACGCACCCGATGATGGTCTCTGTGTCCCTGACACTTTGACTGAGGGGAGGCCGCGACGTATGTCCAAACAGGTCATCTCCTCTCATGGTCATAAGTCGTCTGTTGATGCAGCCTGTATGAGTGTCTGTTCAGCATGTGTTGGCACAAAGCCGCTGTGTGAGCCGAGTAGAGGTCGAAAAGAGCATGCTTGACATGTCGCCAGTTGTACGGACTCGAGGGAGTAGGCTCGATGGAAGTCAGACTGAAGGTTGAGTCGGTGTTGTGTGCCCTATTGGTGCATGCCACATACCAGCGACTGCGTATGGGAGAGCAATTTGACGAAATCTGTCAGTACGGCTCAGACAGAGAATGCAAGTTTTGAAGCGGTCGGTTCTCTCACGCTGATACCAGGGCAATGCTAATCTTCGTTCAGGTGCCGCCAAAAGTCCTATGAGATTGGTGCAACTCGAACTTGAGGGCTTTCCAGAGTCAAATTGTCCTGCGGTTCGCCCATGCCCGTCCTCAACACAATACAGGATTCGACGTCCACTTCTTCGTCGGAATGTGCTCGTTATCTCGATCACATAAGCTACCTCACCACCCCTCACAGATAATGGCAGGCAAGTCCTCTCGTCCATGACATCGCCGTCGCTGTTGGGAATCATTGCTATTCCTTTCCCACTGTCTCGCCACCAGAACAATTCTGTTGGGCTATTGCAATATGTGATAGCCTAAGGCCATGAGTACCAGACCTGATGGGCGTCCCAGGCGACCCCGGAAGGCGCAGTTGGCACTGCTAATTTCTGATCTGCGTCCCATACAATGCTCATGGCAATCACCTGCTCGATGCAGGGATTCCTGATGTCAATTGCGGCTGATGAGCAAAGCGGCCGTGCCATGTATTGAGCGGCCAAAATGTTGATGGACCACACCGGATCCACGCTGCCGCAGCGTCCATCTGCTGTCCTTGCCGTGTCAGTAGTGACCAGCGACCATGGCGGAGCACAGCGATCTTTGAAGCCTTGAACGCTTCAACGAGGCCACTCTGAGTCTGACCCACGGGTTTTGGCGGAGGTTCACGTGGATGTCGTAAATGTCCGGCGTAATAATGGTCTGATTTGCTTGTCGTGCACGACTTGGTAGAGCTGATGTGCTCTACTAAAAGTGTGACGGGCCGTGGGCACTCATAGGGTGACCAGTCGTGATACCAGTGGTGCCCGGCATCTCAGCAAACGCGTTCCGCACTCCTGGTTGCTGAGCGTCACAGTCGTTGTATGTCGCATGTCCAGCCCTCTCAGCAAAGCAGGAAGAGACACCTACTGCCACGGGACATCAGTGCGCATGCATCCTCGTGCGACCACTTTAGATTGCGCGTCGCCGCGGGCCCTGCACCACGTGTCGTCGTCCCACCCAGAATTCAGACATATCCCCTGAGCCGCATATCCTCTCATCTCGCACTTTCCTCACTGCTCCCTGCCGCGGTCTTCGCGACCCTCTTCGCCCGCAAGCCCTGCAGGTCAATTCCAGCTTTTGTGCGCTGCACCGTCGCTGCACTACTCGCGCCACTCTTGCTGGCTAGGATGCTCTCACTAATACAACGCATCTGCGGCTGCACGACGCGCGAGATGTTATGGTAGCCGTTCTGCGGCAGGGCGGTGAGGAAGGCGTGGAGGGTTGAGGAGAGCCAGGTTGTTATTTTGGGCATCTTGGATTATGTTCTGGGGCAAGGAACGACAGAACGGATGGTGTTGTGAGCGTGGTCGCGTGAGGTCGCGTGAGTGTTTCGTACGGTGGCTATTGGCGGCTCTGTTTTACTGTAGTTCGTTGTCAGCGTTGGAGTCGCGATTGTATGATCGGGCACTTGAGATCTCGAAAATGGACGCGGTGTGATTGCTTATCGAAGGGTGCAAGAATTTCTTTGGCATGCGACGGGAAGGACAGGTGGATTGAACAGTTCCGATGCAACGAGATGCAAGATGATGGAGGCCGAGAGAAGGTTTTTAGGGGCTATCGATTGGCCTGGACTTGGTCTTGGGGAATGGAGGCGAAGTCGCGGCTTGGCGGATGGGAGGCGTAGGGCTTGGAATGGATGGGGAGGCAAAAGGACCTGGAAACGGGGGCGAACTGTCTCGGATATCATCGGGGATCGACAGCAAAGGGCTGACGGCGACCTTTGGCCGTTCCGATCTTTGATTATATTATCACTATTTGATGGGTTTGTATTGATACAGAAGGTCGTCTCGTGGGCTTTGAGGCCGATTGAACAATTCATCAGATGTTGCCGTCGCAGTCGAGTCACCTCAGACTCGAAGAAAGGGTATACAATTCAGCCAACATCATCGTGCCGCCGAACGACAGCCTTGTGCCGCACGGCTTTCATCCATTTCTCGAGAAATCTTGGTGATCTGCGGGGACATCAGTATTCGAATTTTGCGTGGTAAGGAGCTCGAGTTGACTTACATGTCGTTCACTCCCTCTTCATTGACATGGCCCAAGCAGAAGCTCTTGACTAGCATATAGAATTCGACATTCTCCTGACCAAGTGTCATGAAGAGCTTCTCTTCTTCAGGCGTCCGCTCATCATCCCATTGGTGCGTGAAGTGGTCAACGAGGTCGATCTTCACTGGCACTTCTGGCTGGGAGCACAAGGCTCCCGTTATCCTTGACCCTCGGCCGAATGTCCACGCGTATTCCGACTGCGGGATTGGGCTTTTGAAGATCTCCTTGAAGGCGGCCCGAGTTGCCTTCCGCAGGCTGTCCAAGTCAAACAACTCGGCAAGGTGCATGATTCCCACAGCTTCTCGAAACGTGATGTCGTGCGGTAATTGATCTGGTGCGTCTATTCCATGCTGTCTTCGGATGTCCTGACCCATGGCATAGATGAATGCCACAAATACCAGCGCCTCGCCCTCATCGCGTCCGAAGGTGCCCATGAACTCGTCCATCTCCTGGTCTACGCATAGTGACGTGACTGAGCTTTGTATCGCGTGAAAGATGAGCGGAAACTTGAAAATCGATCTCAGCAGAAACGAGACCAGTGGCTCATTGATTCGACGCGGTAGTGTGATCAGGTGGTCGAGAGACGTCTCAAAAGTCGTAGGCGGGTGTTCGATCCCAAGTGGTGATGCCACGAGTGGTGGTGAGCCAAGCGGGGACTTGGTGTATGCAGTGCCTCTCCGCAAAAACCTGATAGACTTCGAGTGGCCACCACCACGGACACGATTGAAAGGATCCATCGTCGTCATGCTGTAAGTCTTATGACATGCGGGTGGCAGTGAAGGTAGAATCAATTCAGCAACACTCTCGCAGTTTTTCGAAAGCTACCCCTGTCAGAAGTGTTATCAGTTTCATGAACAGAGACCAACAGCTGGTAAGTGAGACGGCAACGCTCTATTAGGTACGGACTGAATAATGGATCCATTCTCGTGTGGTGGCTGCTGGCACCTGGCTCGTTAAGGTCAGCTACCTTCCGCTTACAGGAACAGTAGAAAGCATAGGTTTTATTCTTAGTCCACATAGCAGGCGGCCCTAGGGCAAGCAGCGAGTGGGAGTTTGCCGTTACCCTGCAGGCAGCGGGTAAGCAGGGCCATGTGCCTGAGATCGAGATGCACAGTAAGAACTTTGTTGGCCTTGCGGTAGCACCTGTGGCTGAGCTATGCATAACACGACCGACGATCTTTGTCGACAGAACCAGTGAGGTGTACGGCATTCCGAACGCTAGATGCGACAACGCGGAATTGCGAGTTCGAGTATCAGTAGGAATACTCGTTGCAAAGCATTGATTATTGTCGTAGACGATGCAGCAAGTCTGCGACTCATAGTGTTCGATGGAGTTTCACTCAATGTTGGACGTTTGTTTGTGGCACGGAGATGCTCGGGTCAGCACCGAAGCTGATGCAGCGGCTCTGTCGTATGGGCGTTGCGCCCAGTCTGGGAGGCTCAATCTCGTGCTTGTTGGATATCATAGTATCAGCGGCTGGCTGTACGCTGCTTTCCGTGACCTAACACACGTGCCAACTAGACGCTCGAAGTGAGCTCGCAACTGGGACGGATTGTTAGATTGGGATTAAGGTGAAGGAAGCTCTACAGGGGCAGGGGGCAACGCCAAGCCTATAACCCCAAATGCGACTCTGTCCTGGAAGTCGCGACTTCGTAATCTTCCAATAATCGCATGACTCAAGGAGAGTCAGTCATGGACTCGCAACATTGGTATACGATCGTAGGATGTACTTCGGCCAGGTTCGCAGATCAATTTCGCAACGGACCCGCTAAGCGACAAGTCTTCTCTGTCTCCGTTCTCGGTAACAAGTAATCGCGTAAATTGCCATGCTAGTACAGACGTTCTCGATCACTGATGTGTTCCACACATCTTCCAACTGCGGAAATGCGCTTGCTGTCGTGGAGAATCCACGCAACCGACACTCCGGAACCTAGATGTTGATCATCGCCAGGCAATACGTTTTACTCGAAACCACATTTATGTGCTCGTCGGGCAAGGATATCCAGCCGGCATATCTTCGCTCTTGCCATCTCAGCGGCTGCGAGGATATTTGGGATGCGGACACAATACACTCGCAGCGTGGTGGTTCTTGGCAAACGGTGGGCAACTCGACTCTGCAAATGCGCTCCCTCGCAACACTTTGGGACAATGAAGAAGCCCACAATTTTCAGCTCGGTGCTGAGTGCGACGTCTCCAATGTGACGATTGTCAAATGCCGAACGACACGTTCTCAACAACAGTACTGCGCTAGAGCAGGCCAGAAATCCTTCGGCATCACTCCGATACGAACATGCTGACAAGCGATATTGGGCTTGCCGAGGATAACCTTTACACTTTTAGCACTCGAACCACAAGGTGTCTCAACTTCCACGACTCGATATTTGTCCATCTCTGTCAGATCTCGATACTCCTGGGATCCTTGAATGGATACCGAGAAATCTTTCTTGCTGAGAAGAAGAGCTGGGCAGGCGAAGCTCACAGATGCGCGGAGTCTCCAGGCGCCGGAAATGGACAGGCACACTTCTCTAGGCCAGCCAGGCACAGCAGCGAGAATCCTGCGACAGGAAAGGTAGCAAGTCTGCCGGCCAGAACTACCGGAGAGTACAAGCCAATGAAATGACTTCATCAGGCAGAAGATGACCCTTGCAATTGCACGAGGATAGTGAATCTAGTAGTCAGTGATCAAGGTGTAGAGGTGGACGTAGACCTTGTCGTGACGAGCGGGCCGGCGGCAGACATCATCGAAGGGCTCGCCGCGTCGTTGGCTTTTTGAAGCCTGATAACCACGCGAAGCTTTTACAAGATCATCAACGTAGATTGTTGACAGTGGAAAGCTTTGAGTCCACACAAACCCGAATTTTGCGCTAGCCAGTCCGAGAACGCTATCGATAAGAAAAAGTTGTCATCGTCGGCCTTGCGATGATTTACATTTCCTGCTTTCCTGCCCAATACACCAAACATGGCACCTTCTCGAGATCTCGTGAAAGATGATGACTCCGACTTTGAATATCCGGATCCGAAACGACGTCGGCTTTCTGGCGACAAGGATGCTTCAGGTGGTGAAGTCAGCTCAGAGGGCGAGGAAGTCTCGCCCGTGCAAGTTCCGTCACCACAGCAGCAGGAACTCAGTTTGAGTAGGATCTCTCGCATCAAGAAGTCAGATGAAGCTCTGGAGGCAGCACCGACTCGGCTGGCTGTTCGGCCTGCAGACACTGACTTCAAGTCCTTGGCGGTGGCACCGTGGCTCGTCCACACACTCAAGTCACTGTCCATTACCAGCCCGACACCAATTCAGCAGTCATGCATACCGCCAATCCTCGAGGGCCGGGACTGTATAGGAGGCTCCAGAACGGGATCGGGCAAAACAATAGCGTTCGCAGTGCCATTGTTACAGAAGTGGGCGGAGGATCCGTTCGGCATATATGCCGTGGTACTGACTCCTACTCGCGAGCTGGCCCTTCAAATATACGAACAATTCCGAGCCTTGGGCGCTTCACAAAATCTCAAAGTCGTGCTCATCACAGGCGGGACTGAAATGAGACCACAGGCGATTGCTCTCGCGCAGAGACCTCACATCGTCGTTGCGACACCTGGCCGCCTGGCCGACCACATCCAGACTTCCGGCAAAGACACAGTCATAGGCTTCTCTCGCGCCAAAGCTGTCGTTCTAGACGAAGCAGATCGCCTGCTCAAGTCCGGACCTGGATCAATGCTACCAGACCTCAACACGTGTCTCTCTGCCCTCCCACCGCCGGCCTCGCGACTAACCCTCCTCTTCACCGCCACCGTGACTCCCGAAGTCCGCTTCCTCAAATCCCAGCCACGCAATGGCCGCCCTCCAGTATTCATCTCCGAGATCTCCGACTCCGCCTCCGACCCTTCCGACCCCACTAATGGCGCTCCTACCCTCCCGCCGACCCTCACACAGACCTACCTCCAACTCCCCGCTGCCCACAAACCCGCCTACCTACACGTCCTCCTGCAAACACCCTCCATGACAGCCCACGACCCCTCAATCATCATCTTCACTAACCGCACCACGACCGCCGACCACCTCCACCGGACATTCCTCCAGCTTGACCACCCCGTCACCGCACTACACTCCGCCCTCCCACAACGCCAGCGCTCTGCAAACCTTACTGCCTTCCGCGCACGAAAGTCCCGCATCCTCATCGCAACCGACGTCGCCTCTCGCGGTCTCGATATCCCTTCCGTGCGGTACGTCGTCAACTACGACGTGCCCCGTGATCCAGCTGACTACGTGCATCGGGTTGGACGCACGGCGCGTGCGGGCAGAGATGGTACGGCAATTACTTTCACCGGACCGCGGGATGTTGAGCTAGTACTGGCAATCGAGGAGTATTTGCAGCCGGGTGGAGGTGGGAAGATGCAGAAGTGGGAGGAAGAGGGCGTGAATCTGGAGACGAGGATTGTTAAGGGACGGACACTGAAGGATGTGGAGGAGGCGAGGATGGAGGCGTTGCGGGAGGTGGAGCAGGGGAAGGATGTTTATGGGCGGAGGATTGGGAAGGGGCGCAAGGTTAGGAGTTGAAGAGATGGTCAGGGAGTGAGTGAGGATTGCGGCAGGCGGAATGAACTCCTGTAATTCGAGACCGTCTTTGTGGACGATTAGATCATCCGGTCTAGTGGAAGTCCACGACTGCCCAAGACGAAATCATAGCCAGGGACTTGGACAGGTAGCTTCCCTGCTATGACTTCTGACTACCAAGCTACGCCACCTACTATCGCTGTCCTTTCTGGCCCCTCGCGTCGCAGTATACCTCTGCCTCCCCACCTCCAGCTAACCTCAACGAGCACACTTCCCCAAATCCAGCTTCTTAACCGCCGCCTTAGCCGCAGCATCCGGACTAATATCAAAATCAAAAATATCCATAGGCAGCCCAATCGTCGTACACGCATTCGGAATATCGACTATCCCCGCCACATGGCCCTCGATTGGGATACAGCTCAGCATCAAGTAGATCTGGTAATCATCGTACCCGAAGCGCTTCAGGTACTCGATGACCCGGAGACACGATTGGCGGTACGCGATCGTCGCGTCCATGTAGTGCTGCTTGCCGGATTCGTCGACGGAGAAGCCTTCGAAATCTAGGGAAGGATGAAGTTAGTGGGTGGGACAGTGAGGGTAGGGAGAGGGAGCACGGGGCAGCCGTCCACCGGTACTATGGGCGAGCGGAGCGAGCGGACGCACCGCAGACGATTACTCAAGAACGTTGGAAGTATTCGTCTGTGGCGCCGCTTCAGACCTTGGAGCCCCCAAGGTGATGGTCGCTGCGCTCCGCTCGTCGGTGGGCAGGTAGAGGGCCAGAGGGACAATTCAAAGGTTGAGGAAAGCAAGGAGAAACGTACAAAGCATGCGTCCAGGTCCGAACTGCGGCTGGACGGGCCCAGGCAGGAAAATAGGAGATTTACCGCCCTTCATGCCGAGCAGCTCCTGGCCATTCTTGATCACGTCGAACTTGAGGGTGATGATTCCGGCGATCTCGATGGCGCCGCAGAAGGAGATTTCGCCGTCGCCTTGGGAGAAGTGTAGGTCGCCGACGGAGAATTTGGCGCCCTGGGTTTGAGCGGTCAGTCAACAGGCACACTTGTGGATTAAAGAGAAGAAGGCGAAGGGAGGCCATACCTTGACATGCACAGGCAGATACACCTTGCTACCACGACTCAAATTCTTGATATCGCAGTTCCCGCCATGCTCCGGTCTGCCGGGTATAGTCCTGGCTCCTTCCTTGCCGACCTTCTTCGTGAGTTCGGCATCGCCTTTGCCTTTGCCCACATGCACATTCTGAGGCTCAGGTGGCTGCGCAACGATCCGTTCCAGCGAGGTAGTGGAGATCAGTTCGCCTTCGCGGCGGTTCCACTCTGCCAGGATCTCCGCGGAGGGCGCGCAGCCTAGAATGCCCGGGTGGATGAGGCCGGCGAAGCGCACGCCGGGGATGTGGCGGGAGGAGCAGAAGATGCCCTGGAAATCCCAGATTGCTTTGGCACTAGTGGGTGCAATGATCGTTAGTGTAATCTCGGACAAGTGGTAGTATCGGCAGAGGTCACATCTTTGACCCTCATTGCGCCCCAAGAAGTAAACGCGACAGGCCTGGAAGTGGAGGTAGTTCTTACGCTTCTGGGTAGATCTCGTCCAAGAACCCGCCGCCATTCTCCTTGGTGAAGACGCCGGTGAAACCCCATGGCTGGTGGTCGAAGGGCTGAACGTCTTGAATTTCGACAAGGAGAACGTCACCTGGCTCGGCGGTCTCGATCTCGAAGGGCCCGGAGAGGTAATGGATCTGTCGCATGAAGACAATTCTTAGCTCTCTTACGACGAAGGCCCAGGCCCGGGTTCGAGGCGCCTCATGAGAATACTCACCTTGGTCAGATCAACGTTGCGGACATCGTCGGCGGCTGTCGCGCGTCGAAGTTAGCGCAATGCGTACAGGCGGCGACTTGGTGGACTATTGGCGAGCCGACCCAGCACAGGCGCCCTGCGGCTATAGCCTTTGGGGCAGGCCCATAGGAAGTTGAGAGATCCCAGAAACAGGGCAGTGAGCCGCTTCAGACCTTACGAGCAACAACTCTCGTGAGAGATAGGCACGCGTTGCGGTCTGATCATGCCGGTGGCTCGTCCCGTTTGCAGCACCTGATGCAGTGTTGCATTGGATGTGGAATGATGCCGCCACTTACAGTCGTTGTTCCCGATCTGGCCGCCTGTCCAGTCCACGCACTCAATCTTGACTGTCTAGGCCACGATCAGAATAGTCTGATAGATTGCTGGCCTGCGTCGGTACTTACCTCGCCATTCTTGATGGTGCCATAGAAAGGTACTGGAGGTCATCAGTCACTACAAGGGCTCAGCCGACAAGGTCGACGAACCATCAGGGTGCCATCTGTTCTAGAGTATGATCAGCGGTCGTCTGCCAAGGCGGGCTTGTCAGAGCATACATGCAGAGCTTCCTGCTCATCTGCCGGCTTGTCCAGGTCAACTTTCAGCGCAGTGCGGATAGGTCCTGAGTGAGGCATCTTCAATCTTAAAGGCTGGTAGCTAGCACGAGTGAGTGGTAGGTAGCGACAACGAGGTATACAATTGCAGAAGCTTATCACTGCCCCTCATTAACGAGTTCGAGAGCCGGCAGTCGTGGTAAGACTTTCTAACATCATCATGTACACTGCTGCATGATGCGGGGACTCGTGTTTACACGCGTACCCCGCGTGAGGTACTGATAGGATAGCTCATTCGAAGTTTACTCGCCTGATTCAATTTCCGCATGTCGAGCAGTGATGCGGATAAGCTCTCGGTTCCTGTGGGTGTTGATAAGGAATGACACACCGGAAGGTGGACATTTCCGTCGAGCGTTCCTGAAAGTGTCAGGTAGACAAGTTGAGCTCACTCTACGGCCATTATCAGCGAATTGCCGTCTTCGTCGTTGCAGCTGCAAGACCACTACGAGGACCGTGCAAGCACACAAATGCTGTGTGGTAGTTGATGGCTATCCGACGCAGGTCGTTATCAGACTGGATGCTTGGCATTGGATCAATGTCGAGCTGATACTCATTGCCAGCGCCTGCAGCATTTGACGACGAGAGCGCCACCGCAACTGGATTGCGTAGACACATCGGCGCAAGTGACCGAAGTCAGCTCTGTGATGATGCGAGTCAACTTTTGCGACACTCATGCTGGCGGCTCAGGATTTGGCGTTACCGCACCGCTGGACGATGGAGTTGCCGATGCCACTTGTGATTTCTTGGGATCTGTGCTGATCTCCAACGTGACAGGTCCGTCATTGACGAGACTGACCTGCATCATCGCCTGGAAGACACCATCTTTGACCCGATCCGCGACGTACAGCTTTTGAACCTGTGAGACGAAATAGTGATACAGCTCTTTGGCAACTTCCGGCTTAGCACTACCTACCAAAGTATGAGTGGGAGGTCTGGATCAGAAGCACTTAACGCTGAGGATCGTACCATGAAAATCTGGTTTATTCCCCTTTTTCGTGTTGGCATACAGTGTAAATTGCGACACACATAAGACTTCGCCGTCGATATCCTGTACACTCTTCTTCCAAGGCCCTCCATTCCCATCAGGCCAGAGCTTCATCTTCAAAACCTTTGCAGCCAAGGAATCACAGTCCTTGGGGGTGTCATGTGGACTGATAGCAGCGAGCACGAGAACCCCCTTGCCGATGGATGAGACAGTGCTGCCATCAACGGCAACAGATGCTGACAGGACCCGTTGCAGAATGGCTTTCATCGCTGTTCACAGACCGAACAATGATTGTAGTTACTTGCGGACGTCCCTATGATCGGCTGCTAGTCTGAGCCAGGTACTATGGTGCACAGTGCTAGCAGAGGCGCCGCTAGTCGTGTCGCTGCTCTGAGTCGCGCAGTTTGGCGCTTCGGGCTTCACGAAAGATGATCTCCTCACGCACCGTCGCAACCCTTGACGCGTTTCAGACGTAGACGATGACCGTAAACGCGTGAATCGAGGCCGTTGAAGAGATATCTCGCTTCTTCACGAACTTTCGCGGGCAAAATCTGGTCTAGTCCCAAAACGCACTAGCGCGAAAGTTGCCCTAGGCGCAGCGCAGTCGCGATGTTGCAGTGCCGGCAACGACGTCCCCGATTTCTCAATCGCAGCGCATTCCGGGTACCCAGCTGTACAGTACCAGATCACAAATTGATGGACATAAGCCAACGGTCAGAATGGCGTCCAGAAAGATTCAACAAGAGATCGACAAGACTTTCAAAAAGGTCGACGAAGGCATAGAGGAGTTCCAGGGTATTCACGATAAGCTGTACTCGTCCAACAATGCCTCACAGAAGGAGAAACTCGAGGAGCAACTCAAGACGCAGATCAAGAAACTTCAGCGATCACGAGACAATATCAAATCGTGGGCTGCCGGCAATGAAGTCAAGGACAAGGCCCATTACTGGAGTATCGGAAGAAGATTGAGAAGGTCGGTGACATGAGAGAGCCAGAATAGGCACTCGGACTGACTCGCTACAGTGTATGGAGACGTTCAAAGCCACAGAGAAGGAGATGAAGACAAAAGCGTTCTCAAAAGAAGGTCTACAGCAGAGCGTCAAGCAAGACCCCAAAGAGCGAGAGCGACAGGAGATCTGCGACTGGATAAGTGAAGGCCTCGACGAGATGAACCGAATACTGGCCGAAGAACTAGAGCCCGAAGCCAGCTCATTACAGGTCCAACTCAAGAAGAAACAGAAAGACAACTCCAAAGCCGAAAGACTACTTGAGATCGAGGAATGGACCGAGATATACAAATACCACGAGTCGCGGCTACAATTAGTTCTGCGGTCGCTGCAGAACGGCAACATCGAGAACGACCAGGTCACGGCAATCAAGGGCGATATCGAGGAGGTGCTCAAGGAAGCCAGAGAACCAGAGTTCGAGAAGGAAGCGTACGAGGGCATCTACGATGATCTGAACCTGGACAACGAAGAAGCGCAATTTGGCCTTACGAATGAGATCGACCGGATATCTTCTCAGGATGCACAATCAGTACCGGACCATGAAGAGCCAGAACCGGCACCGGCACCAATCAAGAAGGTCAAGACAGATCCTGTGTCAGCGCGCAGACCGTCAACCCAACTGAAGTCGCCCCTACCAGCACTAGCGACGCTGAATAACATGCCTCCGCCACCGACAATACCCAAAGACACAAGTATGAAACCGGCTCCAATACCCAATAGACCGCCAGGCGAGACTCTGAAGTATGCATCCGCCGCAGCGGCCGCAGCTGCAAGCGACAAGTCCGGCGTTGGGCTAACACCTCTTCCTCCACCCGTTAGCTCAAGTCCAGCGTCAGGTCTGCCACCATTACCTGCACCATCGAAATCATCAACTCTGGATTCGCCTGTAGCAACATCAACACAGCCAGTGGAAAAGCCGGCAAGTCCGCCGTCATCAAATGCGGATACTCCAGCGCAAGAACCGCCAAGTCACTCAAAGTCGCCGACCCTGAGTGCTACAAGTGTACCCGGAGCAAGTGTACCTAGTAGTGTACCAGAGACGCCAGCTATGGAGAGCGCGGAGGCCGTGCCTGAGCCTATTATCGCAGACGACACTGTCACGCCGAATGGACAGGCAGAGGATGATGCAGAAGAGTCGATCTACCACCTCCCTCCTGGCCTCCAAGACTTACTGGACTCATTCGAAACAACAAAAAGCAGAGTGTCACAGCCAACGAGCCAGCTATCACGGTTACTGCAAGGTTCACAGGACACATGTCCAGAGCCATTAGATGGTGACAGACCGCAACATTACCGGCCCACGATCAAATACAACACTCCGGCCCATTATCCGCAGGACGTGCTGCCAATTTTCGATGATCCGGCCTTGTACGCCGACCAGAGGATGGAAACTGACACATTGTTCTACATATTTTACTACCGGCAAAACACATATCAGCAGTGGCTAGCCGCGCGAGCACTCAAGAACCAGAGCTGGAGGTTCCACAAGCAATATCAAACGTGGTTTCAGCGACACGAGGAGCCGAAGTCAATTACGGAGGAGTACGAACAGGGCACGTACCGCTTCTTCGACTATGAATCCACATGGTAAGCGACAAATAACGACATATGTGAACATCGCTAACTCTTTGCAGGATGAATCGCCGAAAGGCTGACTTCAAGTTCGTCTACAAGTTCCTTGAAGACGACTTGTGATCAGATAGCACCATTGTGCATGACCGGTGTGCGGTCTCTAAACTACACTGGCATGGCCGTCCAATGGCGAGCCCAATTTTGAGCCGCATTCCCCCTCACTTCTTTCACGCTACTTCGCTACGTTGCGGCCCCCATAGTAGCCTGATGTTTTCGCTTCTCCCTCGAGCGCTGAATACTCGCCGATACTAATCGTATAGTCACTGCACGGGCCGTCAAAATGCTATGTTACAGATACTGCCGCTTGACTGCGCCTTGCTGCATGGTACCACGAGTAACCTTGGAACGTCAGATGCGTAAGAGGCAGCAAATAGAGCGGCAAGACGTCGGCCCTGCCTCCAACAACTAGGCAACCACTAACCTAATTGGGAACTTGGCGGTCATTTGGTCATTTTCTTTCTCATCGAGTCTGCCAGAATGTCCGTCCGTCAACCATCTGACTGGTTCACTGCATCGCGTCCGCAAGCGACCAAGGCTTTCTAACACAGCTGCATCATCCACTGTCTGCCCCACGCGTCCCTCGCATGACGCTCGTTGGGTAGCAGTCATGGAACAGCCTTTCTCTTGCATATCTGTCGAATACGCAAGCTTTCTGATTTGCGTTCGCCAAATCCCTGCCGCATGGAGAAAGTCCCATTTTCGTTCGGACCCCAAAATCCCCTTCGACTATACTGACAGATACATTCAAGCGTCGGAAGTTCTGGGATACTTTTGCTAGCTACATACCAATTCCCACGGCTCTCGCTTCGGCCCACTTGCGATCAAATCGTGACCGTCTTTCACGCAACACAAAGTCTAATCATCTCCATAGGTGAGGCAGCGAATGCACTCTTTCGGCTCTGATCGATCTGGTCTTCTGCAATGCGCACTGACCGATGAAGCCCACCCGCGCGGCACGATCATCTTTGCGAACCCGTTGCCTGCTGGGCTGATCGTCGTTCGTTACGGATTGTCGTTCCAGCTAGCCAGACTACTGCCTTGTCGCACAATTGCGCTCTCTTCCACGACACGAGAGCCAAATGGCCCATTCCGTTTGTATTTCTCCCTTCTTGGTGCAACAATCAGAGGCGGTCAATTTGGGACCAAGGCTTGAACTACTTTGCGCTCGCGAAGGGTACCGGCACCTCCTTTCGGGCATAAATTTGAAGCAAAGGAAGCCCTGCTGCGGATTCCGCGGCCGGGAAGGCGGACTGCCTACTCTCAAAGGTCTTTGCTGCAGCCCTACCTCCTGCCCTGCTATTGGCCGGGCAGAGGCCGAATTCAACCTTGTGGCAGGATACACCCGCTTCAGTCACTATCATGGCTGTTATTGGTGTATGTCCTTGATGCGTTGTTCGAGACCTCACCGGTGAAACTGCCTAACTCAAGCGATTACCAAAGCACTTATAGATCGTCCTGGGCCCAACCTTTATCACCAGTCCTCAGGAAGGAGCACAAGACTTTGCTTGCGATCAGGCTGAGTGCGCCGTTGCTGGTCCAAGGTACCCGAGCTCTCGACTGCTGTTATCGCAGGCTTGCTTGACGCCAACACCCAATTGCTTGGTCGTCGTCGACCTTCCTGTCGCATATCGACGATCAAGCTGAGCCGCTCATCATACCATCCTCAGAGCGCTCCCGCAGGAAATGGACCCCTTCACCCGCCACCCTTCCTACGTGGGCAGTCAATTCAACGAACCGCACCTGCAATACAACAACCACTATTCGGCGCGCCACATGGATGATGACGACGACTCCCAGCTGTTCTCAGGCGGTGGCTACTACGGCAGAGCCCAGCATGACAATAGAAACCTGTCTCAGTACGACACGACATCCTATCAGCACATGCTGCAGCGCCACTACTATCCTCCCAGCTCTTACATGCCGATCGACGACGACTTCAGCGCGATGGTGGCTACACGCAGCAACAGCACTGGACCTGACTCGTTGGATCGGGGCAGCGAGCCAAGTGACGAGGCTTTTGATGATAGGTGAGTTGACTTGCGACTGCAAGACAACCAGTCCTTGGACCTTACAAGCACTAGTCACTACACCTTTCGCAGACTCTCCCATCACCTCCCAAACACACCAGCTTCCAGCATCACAATCACTTCTCCGTCACCAAAGAACAGACACTCAGCCACCACAACCCCGTCAATGTCGAACCGCCATGAGACCAGCATGCCCAGCCGCCCCAAGACTACTTCTAAAGACCAGCGTCAACGCCGTCGCCACAACTCCTCCGCATCCTCCAGCACTGCCGGCTCCGCCCATTCCCCTAGAGCAACTCCGCAGTCCGCCAACAACGCCCTGTCCCTGACCAAACCACACTGCCCTCATCCCTCTTGCCTCACCCCCACCGGCCACCCCTTGAGGTTCTTCAGCCGCCGCGCAGACGTTACCCGGCACGACCGTAGCATGCACCAGAAGTGCTATATTGATTGCCCGAGGCCGAGGTGTGCGAGGAAGGGCGGGGATAATGGGTTTACGCGGAAGGATCATTTGACTGAGCATTTGAGGCAGTATCACGGGTTGACTTTGCCTAGGAGAGGGGGCGGCGACCGCTAGCGAGCCCACGGACCCGGGCGAACGAGTTGTGCTCAAGGATGGCGCACGCAGGACAGGATCATTGACATACTTTTCACATGGAGTCGTTACGAGATTTTGAAAGGGTACCACGGAGCGTCGATTTGGGCTCATGAGTTTACGACTTTTGCATGATGTTACTACTTTACTTGGGGGAAATCTGTTGTACCTTCGGAAGTACAGCTGGCAATGATGATGAAGACACCTTCCACCCACCCCTCTCGGGACTGATCTAGCACGGTTAGTCGTAGCTTATTGCTTTGAGCGTCACTGTTGTCTCACAGTCGTCCTCGCCCAATTCACGCACCGACTGCACAGCCTGAACCTGCCTCTACTGCAACTACCTTACTCTTTGCAGAGACCGATTCAGTTGCCGCCGCCATCGATCCAATAGCCGACAGACACAGATCTACCTCACCTGACAAAACCTACCTGCACGTCACCAAATTAAGCATCCCTCCCAACGTAGCACAACGATGCACATACCCCAAAAACTTCAAGTCCACAACCCGTCGGAATCCACCTCCCGTGGACCGGGGGTTGTCCCGGGTAGCACGACAGCACAGAAGCAGCAAAAGTTCGCTGTGGAACGGAAGCCTGTCAGCCGTCGGCGCTGACGCCGACGACCAGATTCTCGATGCATGGCTGGATGGTTCTGGTCCGGCGGGAAATGGTTCGCGACGATCGTGCGTTGCACTGGCGGAGTTGTAGAGCCGGATGACTCACGTGGAGGACTGCATGTGGTTCGGACGCTGTAAGGGGGAGGGGGAGGGAGGTGAAATGAGGCTCTGACCGCTTTTTCTGTGTCTCCGGGATATGGGTGTCGAGAGGTACTGGTACTACTGTGCTGTTGAGGATGAGCGGTATTGCTTCCGCGCCCGACGTCTGCTTGTCTTTGTGTTGGATACCGCAAAGCGATGGAGCGCGCGCAAGTGCATTGAATTCGAGTACGTCTCGTGCAGGAATCGAGGCCTGCAACGGGTACCTCACAGCTCCTCAAGTCCCTGACAGACACCACCTGCTTGACTTTGTGAGTTCAAAACCTATTGTGTGTGTGAGAGACAGCACTGTACAGTCGTCTGACACGCTGTTGCTGTCCGGTCTAGGCACTGGTCGGACGCTCAAGGACGCTCTCGTGTGAGAAGCTAGACACAAGAGGGTGGCCAACCGCGGGTCGTCGGGCCATAATCAAGTAAGTGAGCGACAGTGCTGCGTCCGAGCGTATGCGGCTTAGCTACCTGACTTCAACATCATACTACAAACCTGCTGACAGAAGAGAAAAGCTGGGACGGGACTGCAGTGCGCTTGCTATTCAGGGAGTGTTGCACTTGACGAAATTTAGCTCGAAGCACGCTCTACTCAACCGGTCTGAGAAAAATCCCCTACTGCCAAGACTGATGTGAGGTGTTCAGGTTCCGTGCCACGGCTAGTTCTGATGTGTTCGTAACAGCGTTGTTTCTAGTGCCAACTCAGCTCCGCGTCATGGCATGATGGCATGTTTGATAGGATGGGTCGGACGACCCGTTCACGCAGACAATACGAGAGCGGTTCGCACTCGGCCAATCACAAGTACCCCGTGCCTAAACCGGGCGAAGCCACAGTGCCGGCACGATGTCGCGGATTCTGGTTCTCAAACTCGAGCCTGATGTGTGCTCAAGACTGATTTATATCTCCTCTGGAACCCTGGAAGTGCCGTAGAAAGAGCACAGCAACTGCGAGTGTACTTTCGTGCCTAATTGCCGTCTCGCAGTAGGAGGGACTACTCCCAGCCGCCCCAAGACATACTGGCTGAGCACTCCATCCCTAATGTCACCTCAACGGGGTTGTCCCCGGCCTGACTGCTTCTGGACATACACTCAGCCGTGCGCCTACGAGGTCATCTCGCGAGCGTCCATGGCGACGATGACTTACGTTACTACTGTGAGGACTGCGACAAAAGCTATACGCGCCAAGATGAACTTCGGCGTCATATCAATAAGGACCATGGAAGTACGCAGCTCTATCCTTGTCCAGGCTGCGGATCCCTGTTCAAGGAACGACGCACGCTGGTTCGGCATCGAAAGCGAAACGTTTGTGGCAGCAGTCAGTGGGCACCGCCGTACTTCGTCGGCGCGCTGGGCGCCACGCCCAACTGTTCGCTGCAAGTCCTTGACGCAGATCCTGCTGAATTGTCTCTTGGTCAAGTTCTCGGTCACAATCGAGGTCCGGTGACTGGCAAGTCTCACATCGTCGCTGTTCGTTCGAAGGCAGTGAGGGATCATGAAGATGCTGATGAGGACATCGTTTCGAGTCGAGCGCGATCAATGCAGAATACGTGTGGGCCAGAACCTTCCGCGAAAGATTTCAGCGGGCGACATATACCCGCAAGGAAACCCTCGAGGTTGAGGATACTGAGATGTGCACAGCAACGTTGGTCAGGCGCCCTTCTGTGTGTCGATGTCTCTCAGGCCAGTGCGTTCGATGATTACCTAGACCGTTGTCAGGGGTTGTTCTATGCAACCGAGTTCTTTGATGATGTGCGCACATACATGGGGGATGTCTTCGACAGCCGACAAAGTCAATACACTGACTTCCTCCTTCAGCATTACGGCGCCTCGCTGTACATCTGTCAGAAAATGTTAGCCTACATCTGCATCAGCTCCCCGAGCACAGCAATTCTGTGCAGGCTACCGCTGAACGTCATGAAAAGCCTGATCCACATAGGTGTGGCTCTCTTACTGTTAGCACAGCTTTTGGGCGATGAGACTGGAAGCGCGCGACATGGCGCGTTCTGGGTTGCCATAATGGAAGCATGGAAGTATCGCACGCAGCACAGTGGTGACACGCAGCGCAGTGGTAATGAGCGTGCTTCGCCAAGTGGGTATTTTGTTATTTCACCGCACTTGCCACAGACTGTGAACACGGTCATAAAGCAGCAGCTACAGAGCTGCACCGATCCATTTATTTGGACGACTTCCGATGGCAACAGGTTTGAGTGGCGCATCGATCAGGAAGGCTTTGTGAGAAGAGATTGGTGGGATGTCTCGAAATGGAAATCGGAAGCAGCCATCGAAAACGTGAATGCTGACCCTGGTGAAAGCACGTACTCAGCTCAGAATCAAGAAGGCAAGTCTGAGACGGAGTTGACGACCGAATCTGAGCCGGCACAAGCCATCCCTGATAGTCTTTGGGACGAAGCCATAAGCTGGGAAGAGGTCCAAGCAAGCGACATCAGTGTTTTGGAACTGTCAAGAGACTAGATTGGGAGACCATTCGAGCCCATATCATGAAGCCAAGATTGGCCATAGTCTCCCGAAGGTGAATTCCGATCCGTCAGTGATGTTGAAAGCTTCGCCCACTGTCTCGGGTGTCGAGCAAGACCTGCGTCTCGAGTCTCTCACAGGCGTGAAGTGACGCCGTCTTTTCGAGACTCACGGGGAACACCAGCGGGTACGCGGACATACCCCGGGAGCATAGCCATGACGTACTTCTTCTCTCATGTCAACCGAACTGTCGATCAAGACCAAGCATCGGTCTGACAGCCGTCACAAATTCGCCATGGAAAGCTCTGCATTGACCTTGAAATGACCAACAAGGCATCACCTCGAGCAAAAGCGAACGCCATGACATCATGGGCAGCCAGGACAAATACAAACACACTACGAGCGGCAGATAGCGCCCGATCAGGCAACATGCCTCGAACCTTAACCCTGGCTTGAGCAAACTCAGCCACGGTTGCCTTCCTTGGCGCGACCCCGAATCCTGCCATGGCTGTTATAGCAACTTGAACGGGTGACGATCAGCTGGCTTGGAGCCTCGAAGGGCTATATAAATCCCTGACACTATCACCCGAGGCCTGACCATTTCGACATCACCTAAACCACAATACCAATGTTCAATCTTCTGTCGACCAGACGAGCAGCACCACAATAGAAGCAGAGCAACGCATAGCCGCCAAAGCCCACTCCCCGCCTCAGTCAGCCAGATCTCCCCTCTACCACCGGGACCACCATTGACATCACCACCACGACCAGCAACACCACCATCACCATTCCCGATCCCCCAATCTTCCACCCATAGTATCAACGACCACAATGGGCTCCTCCGGCAGCAAACAAGTCGTCGATCCAGCCCAATTCCGTCCCGCAAACCCCAACGTCAAAGAACCACACTGGTGGGGCTTCATCGACGATGGAAAAGGCTGGACTGCTCGTCCGCGGTCGGAGTACATGGCGACGCCGAACTATAATCGGGAGCTGAAGAAGCAGATGCGAGGGAAGCGGTAGGACAATGAACAACGAAGAATGGTCGGTCGTGAAGTGGCATACGGAGCAGACGGTGCAGACGGTTGCATCGCTCCTGTTGTTCGGACGAAATTCTCCGGGATTTGGCGGCGATAACCACATCCTTCGATGTCCCGTCGTTCCTGTCGCCTCTGACGCCGAGGTCGCAAGCGTGGCCGACTTTGGCGTTGTCAAACACTTTGAGCGTACTGCGAGCAAATCTGAATCCCTGAAGCCCAAAACATCCCCGCAGTGTCTCCTGTCCATTCTTTCCTTTCCCTCCAGCTCAAGCCATCGGCATCGCCGGCGTAATACCCTCAACGATACTCGTGACATAACTCGTGCAGATCGTACCAGAAGTATTGAAGATCGTGAGACTCGTCACCGTGATTCGAATACCATTCAAGATTTCACTGGAGAGGCCGGCGATCGTGGTGATGGGGACTTGGCCGGTGAACCAGCTTGTGGTGATGAAGGTTGAGGTTAATAGTATCTCTATATTGCTACTAGTATTCATACAATACTATCTATCGCCGTATTAGCTAAAGCCCTTAGCTGATAAACCTAGTTAGATCTGACGTTTAACTGGTTCATGATATTGTCACACCCACAACCCTAAATTACATATTTATATCGAACCTTCTCGCTTAAGCGTCTTCCTATCGCCGAGGCCTTCGATGATGTTCGTCGGACGGTACGTGAAGCACTGTGTGGCCCTCTACGCATTCGGGTTGACGCATATATTACAGTTGTCTGTGCCCACGACACAAGTTCCGTCGTTGTAGTAAGCCATGGCATTTGCATTTGAGAAACAATCGTTTTCGTTGCAAGCTTGATAGCAATTGGTGATAGTCTGTTGACATGCTGTGTCGCACTGTTCGGTACAGCATGTGCAGCCAGCTTTATAGGGAGCACACTCGGCTTGGTTCACTGCAGGGGCGCTAGATCCACATGTTGGGGCAGGGATTGTCGTTGTGGTGGTGGTCGTGGTGGTGGTCGTAGTGGTGGTAGTGGTGGTCGTGGTGGCGTGTTGTGGTTGTGGTGGTGGACGTCGTGGTGGTCGTGGTGGCGTGTCGTCGTTGTGGTGGTGGACGTCGTGGTGGTAGGACGTTGTGGTAGTCGTCGTGGTGGTTGGTGTCGTGGTGGACGTCGTGGTGGTACTAGTCGTGGTCGTTGGCGTCGTAGTAGTTGTGGTACTGGTAGTCGTAGTGGTGCTGGTCCTAGCACTGGTGGTGGAGGCTGTAGTGCTAGTTGTAGTGGTACGTGAGGTCGGACTAAGAGATCGTCAGCAACGAGCCGCATTCGACAGGAGACAAGGATAGCAAGCGCTTCAGACTCAGAAGCTCCGCTAGCAGCCTAGGTAATTCACCTTGCGCTGAATTGGAACTTACCATAATGTTTGCGGTTCAATGCATGAGCACACCGTCGATAGGAACGCCCCAGCTTTTGAAGCAATCGATGACCAAGCGCTCTCTTTGGGACTCAAAGATCTTGTGGTTGATGATTTAGTGGTCGTGCTAGTACTTGCGGGTGTTCGAGAAACTGAGGTTGTGGTCAACGTCGTGCGGGTCGTCGATGGAGCGGTTGTTGTTGTTGTTGTTTTTGAAACCGCGCGAGGTAATTGACGCTTTAAGGCACACTTGGCGGGATAGTGACTCGCACAGTACTGCTGAGCTGGCTGATCTAGGCGAGGTCAGTGTCGAGGGTGAGGTGTGGACGTGCTGGGAATGGTGCGCAATTTCACTTACAGTCGCTCAATAACGAGACAGCTAGGCCGTAGGCCCCTGACTGACAAACATTACCGCGTGCCGCAAGATTTTCAGGGAATGCCAGCGAAGTGGTCAGGAGTGTCAGTAAGAAGACTATGGCTAGCTTGGAATACATCTGCCCTGCTGTTGCAAGTCGAAGGAAGTCTGCGGATTAAGAAGGGTGGAAGGGCGTCCCTACGGCGTCGAAGCGTTTTCTTGAAGTAAGGAAATGGATTCGTAGGTGGGAACGGTCTGCAGCTTTATCGCTCTGAAAAGCTCATCCGGTGACGGCGTCTGACCAAGGTATCTTTTGCGCCACCTACCCTCCTGTACCAGAACACTGAAGACCCTCTTCAGCATGACCTACCGCCTAGACTACCAAAAGTAACCAAGTTTCGACACATCTGTCGCAGCATAGTGCTGTAGGGTTTTGCGAGGCCGATCGAAGAGCCTCCACTATCCAATCGAGACAGGAAGCTAGGTGATGAACGATGGCCGAACGCAGGTCTCGCCAATTCTACCTTTGCCCATGTGTAGAGGTTGTCCATGAAACCTGAATGAGGTATATATGGACTGAGGTGTGGAGATTGACTCTCAGAGCACGAATCGTTCTCAAGCGTCAGCGCTGTCAGGATGTACATAATGCCCCCACTGGATGCCTGGGTAGCAAGGAGCTGTCAACAGCCGTCGACACGAATGTCGACAGCAGTGTCATGTCGGCATAGTGTGGTTCCAGTTCGACTGAGCAAGCGTTCGCGTAGTCAACAACCGCGGCCCATTAAAGTGTGGCGCCAACATGTGATTGGTCAATTTAGTCGAGCAACTCAAGCCCACACTAAGCTTTGACCAAGCTTTGCTGCTTTTTGGCGGAACCCACACACACTTTGGTAGGGTCACTACATGCCACTACCCTTAAAGTGAGCGTCAGGATTGGAATGCTGGTTCTCTCAACATCAGATTTCGGCTCAGAAGTTGATTCGATTGGCGATAGGGATTTCGTGAAAGGTTGTCGAGTGGTAACATCTGCTTGCATAGGGTCCAGCTGGACAGCCTCAGCTAAAAGGGGAAATTTTGGACGTACGTAGAATGATATTTCTGCATTTTTCATTCAAGCTTTTGCTTATCTCAAACCCTGGCTCAACTCAACACCGTGATGAGTTCTTCCAGTAACAGACAAATAAGCTGTCAGCCCGGCACAAGTCCAGCCTTCAGGCCTCATGTAACGGAGCGACGCTGGATGTGATGCGAAGTGTTTCTTCGGGGAGATGTCCATAGGATTGAGCACGCGCTACGACGTGGGAAGCCGAGGGTAGTGGTAGGCTTGTGGCGTTGGATGATCAGGGGGAACATGATCGATGAAGGGAAGCGATATCGTGGTTCGAACGAGCCTGGTGTCAATAATTCGGCTTCCAGATATCTCTAGCTGGCGCTTCAGCTTCCATTGCACCAAGGCTACTTTCTAGAGTGCTTCAGCAGCTTTCTGAGATGATAGGTTGTTTGAGAGACCAACTCTCACCAATTGTGTTGTTCCACGAGCATTCTCGCAAGCATGGAACACGTCCGTCGTCAACTCCGTGTCTGGCAATGACAGTGTCCTATGCAGGTCAGCCTCGCGCCAGCATCGATCGTCAAGGGCAAAGACTTAGCCCGCGTACCACCGAGGGCGGACCCAAGATGCATGGCGAGTCTTGCGTGGCTGGATTGATGGAAATGTGCTTCTCGACCCCCGGGCACTCCACACCTGACACAGAAACATTAGTGCAAATGAATTCTCACAAGGCCGAGCCCATTCTTTCTGCGATCGCGAACAGCCTCGCCATCCATTATCCCGTGTACATAGGCGGCTCCTCTCAGCTCGTAATGCCCGTCGTCGGTATCTCGAGGCTTAAGCACCATGGGCCACGGGCATCCAAAAAGGATAGCAACAGAATCGCCGCAGTCTATATCCCGTGGACCTAGTCCGAGGCGGCCATCGTCTGTGACAAAACAGGCTCGATTAGGGCAAACGTCGGAAAACATGATGTCGCGGTACTGTGCCGCGGCGGATTCGAGTTGCGTTGCCTTTGGATCGTAGGAATTCGGCCACTCTGATAGTTGAAGACGCTCGAGTTGATGCTGGAATTGTTCGAATGCTGTCAGGCACGAGGAAGGAGTCCAGCGCTGATCGAAGTGCGAGTCAGCAACGAGCGTGCATGCTATAGCGGTCTCATCAATTGCGCCGCCAGAGAGAGCGTCCGAAACAGCTCGAATGGTTTGTAGGAACCCGAGAACCGCTTCGTTCGAATCGAAGGCATCCTCATCGAAGGGTACGAAGAGTGCCATGACTTTTGATACATGGCAGCCTGATAGCACGAGTTCGTCATCTTGACCTTCCGTGGATGGATACAGGTAGGCAGGCTTGCCATCGTCCACGCTGTAGATGCTGTTAAATAGTGATGGATCTCCCTGATCGTCCCTTGTTCGATGCCAAGCTACAGTCCAAGAGGGCGAAGCTGCAAGGTCTTCAGCAGTACGAAATGTCTTTGCCAACATGGACAGGGGCCAGCCAGCTCGAGGGTCCTCGCACGCCAGACTGAATGCTAGCCTTGTGGTGTCTCGCAGTAGAAGTCCCAGGGGCTTGTTGTAGTCTGGAAGCAGGGCTTCTGGGATGACTATGTTAATGTGCTGTCTGTACAGTCCAAGTATTCCATATATATGGTCGCGTGGATCGAAACACTGATAGCTGCGGAGAAAGTCCAGCAGCGCGAGTAGCGAGAGTCGATACCGAGATTGTGGCGCGAATGTGCCGTAAGTTCTATCCACCAATGGCCACATCATCCTGACCTGCCCAACGTTGTAGGGGTTACCCGAGGGGACGTCAGGGAGATGGTACCGGATCCAGCGAGCCGCCCTAAGAATGCGTTCGAGACGGATGTTTACAGATCCGCATCGGGCCATGACTTCAGGCGAGAGGGCAGCTTCTTGGACAACTATTATGATCAGCAAAATCATCTTTGGAGAGGCCTGCGTCACGATCGGGTCCAGTCCGCGACTACATGCTGACCCAACGATGAGCCACGTTGGTCGATGTGCTGTGTGCAGTCACGACTCCAGCTGGGATTACAAGAGGTCGCGAGGGCAGATGGGCACTTACCCCAAAGCCGGCCGAACCAAGGCAAAGAGCACAAGCGATAGAAAGAGACAAGGCTTACACGGCCATTGAGTTCGCGAACAGCATGATCGCTGATACCACTCTGAGGAGCAAGCTCCATGAAGTGCTGCATGCCGTTGGTGGCCGACTCGGCGTCATCAAGGATGGCATCGATGGCAGTGCTTGCCAACGCAGCGAAATCATCGTCCTCGCCAAGCCAGACCAATGCTCGATTGCAGCTTGAATATATGTCAGCCATGAGAGCCACTTGTTGATTCCTCTCGGCGATGTCGGCCTGATTGATGCAGACGGCATCGATCCAGACAACACGGATGATGGTCTTATGTCTGAACTGTCGAAGGACCTGGACAGCACTTGCAGGAGCATGCGTTTCCATGCCGTTGACAGTAAGTCGCTCTCTTTCATTAGCTGCTCCCCATACGTACGAGATTGTTTCGTACATAGGCTTGGGGTCGCTGAGCAAAGAGACTGTCTCCAATGAGCAAGAGACAGGAGCAGTGTGTTCCGATGCTGGATGTAACATGAGAAGGCGGATCTGCTGGAGCTCACCGTCAACACCTGACAGGCCGTGTGCCTCTCGTGCCGCTCGAGACCGACGTCTCTTGATAAGTTTGGACCATAGGGAAACCATGTCGACGGATATTTTGTGGGAAGGCCTGATATTGATCGCGTCTCAGCCGTGCAGTTCGAGGTCCATGCTTTTGCAGAAGCCTCTCATGGCCTGTGTAGTAAACTGAAGCTGCAGTCGTAGAGAGAACCATGATAAGGTGGCTCAATACGTATCCGATCGGAAACTGCGAGATTTGGCGCCTTAGGCGGACTTTTGGCGCACCCCTGTCGTGCTTGGCAGCAATGGCGCTGCATCGTCACAGCCCTACAACGATCGGCGACACTACCACTCAGCTTGCAGATCACTTGCACCTGCACCGGCGTCCGCGATGCTGGCAATGAGTCGCGCCCGGTGCTGTCATTGGCGTGCTATGTCGCAGGTTGATCAACGAGCTGTACTATTCTCGAAACACTAGAGGCGAGTCTGGCGAGGCCGCTTGCAAAGAACGTGGCGTTGCATCGTGCGGTGAGTATGAAGACTTATAAGGCAGCCGCGAGCTTCAGATTTCGGATGGAGTGCTTCTCGCGCGCACGAGACGACTTGAATGTACTGTAGCATAAACATTGAGAACAGGAAATGGGGAGGACTCTGTGTTCTTCATGAACCCTTAGAACTCGCACTTCCCACACAGAACCGTCCACAGTACCACGTCTGACGCCTACGAAATATTCCCAATCTTTCATTGGCCAGCCGTCTCTTGACATCCTGGGATCAGCAAGCATCAAGATGACCCGAGAAGGCAAATGTGACGTCTGTCGAAAGGTACCTGCATGCCACACCTCCTTTGAGTAGGGTGCTGACCCATCCGGCAGCGGAAAGTCAAGGTACCTGAACACGAGACCACGGCTCGAGGTGGCTCTAACAGAACGCGTAGTGCGATGAGGTCCGTCCCCTATGCGGTGCCTGCAGTAAGAAGAATCGGACATGTACATATGGGCACGCCACACGACGGCCATTCGTTGCATTCGTCGACGTCAAGGTGTCGAATGTGCCAACCAGTGCCTGCTACTCTGCTGCAGCAGAAATGTCGCTGGGCGACCAATCACCAGGTGATGACAAGCCATCCTTTCCCGGCACTGCGACACTTGTGTTGAGGTCCTCCTCAACGAGGGACTGGTCTCCCTCACGCCCACGTGCAAGTAGGCCGAAGAAGCCAGAACGGAAAAGATCAGCACAAAGCTCAGAGCGGAGTCTCTCGACTCAATCGACTCGTACAACCGGCACTCCGGGTCGATTGCTGCTAGTCCCAGATCCCACAAGCCCTGAGCTCTCCCTTGCCCTACGTTGGAGGTCTTGGAGTGAGCTTGTCTGCCCTGGCGAAGCTCACCCATACCTCGTTGGCGAATACCTCGAGCAAATGCCCCAACTTCTTGGCAATGCTCCAGGAGTCGATGCTAGTATCAAGTGTGCCTTCACGAGTTCCTTGGCTGTGCTCAATCGGCATCGGCCAGACAATTATGTCGACGCTTGTGCGCTTGCTGTCCGTGCGGTGTCGGCAATGCGTGCGACGGCTTCGACTGCGCTGCAAAATTCGATGCTGGCTACTTACACTTTACTCGCACTGGCCCTTCTCAACTTGGCAGAGGTGAGGAGCTCTTGTTGTCGGCTGCTTGATGCTGACAGATAACAAAGGCATTGATGAACGTGGTCCAGCAAACGCATCTGTTCAACCCTCCAGACGTTACACCGATCTTAGTCAATGCAACTCAAGACGGCCAGCATGTCGATCTTTTGCTGAAGCAGATGTTCTGGGCCATGGCGCCGAAAGAGGTATGTATGCCTACTGGTCGACTGAACAGCCTGCTCATCATGCATGCAGTTCCTAGTCTCGGTCTTCCAGGACCGCGACTCTCCCTTCGACAAGCCAGCTTGGTTGCAACATGATGTTCCGCCTATATTACACTGTCAATTTCCTCGCGCAGAAGAGGTAGACCGATACAACAAGACTGCAATGATCCGACTTCCACGGTTGATCCGTCTAATACGTAGCCTTCGCTATGATCCCTACAGCTATGATCTGCGGGACGAAGCTGCAGTGCTGGCATTAGAGCTGTTCGTGCCGAATCTAGATGACTGGCTAGCCAAGTGCAGGGCCAAAGGACTGATACGCCCATCCACATCACCGCTGCCAGGATCCGCTAAAGCCACCAGCGATAATCTACGTCCGCCGTTATCATCGTCGGTCCCAGCCATCACCTTTAGCACATGTCGACTGTACATGCGCTTCCAGCAATACCACTCCGTCCGAATCATTGTCAGTGGATGCGTCCAGTCTCTGCTTCGGGCCTGTCCAGAGATATCGGCGCAACATCCCAGTCTCAATGCAGTCACGGCAGCAAATGTCGACATAGACTCAGCGTCGCAGCTAGCTGCCTGCTCGGACTATACCGCTCAAGACCCATCGTCCATGCAGCTGCGGCAGCTGCACTACAAGTGGCCGCTGATCTTCAGCTTTGGGACGTGGCATCGGCTGGAGCACAGTGAGCGTCCGGCGATAGCCGCCGACGAGCATGTTGACTGTGATGACTACTTCAGCATTCCACCGCGCGCTCCTGGCCTTGATTCAGCGACCTCTGTCGTGACAGCCAGGGCGATGAAGGACTGGATCGTGAAGCGAGTCGTTGGGGCACAGGTGGCTGGTAGTAGTAATGAGCTAGATGTGAATGTCATGAGTGGTGTGATCGACTGGCGGTTTCCGAACACGACAAGGTGGAATGAGGATGGGATGAGCTGGCTTAGTGAAGTGCTCGCTGGTGGGAGGTTGGGAGCTTGAGATGTGAGATGTTGACAACCGTAGATTTTCGCTAGGCCAGCAGATATAGATGCCCTAGCGAACAACAATCGGCTCCGCAACCTTCTCCCTCACGCCCTCCCCAGAACCCTTGAACAAATTATTAGCAGGAGGATCCCTCCTCCCCAGCCTCATCGCGTTCACATAAGCCGCGATCTTGGCCTGTCCAGCCTCTGCTCTTCGCTCTGCGCCTTCTTGTGCGCTCCGCCGTCCTTCACCTGTCTCGATTCCGCAAGCTGCGCGACCCGACCTTCGGTCATCATCCACCCCACTGGAAACTGATACCTTTGCTTCATCTTCTCCCGCTTCACGTGCCGTGTATCAAGCGGAATATCCTCGAACATATCTTCCTCGTTTCTACATTCTTTGATCAGGGTTGCGAGGAGGTCGCCTAGGTAACGCTTGTTTTGCGCGGCGTTTGGGAACTTCTCTGACGACATGTGGACTCTGTCATTGAAGGGGTTGTAGCGCGTTGCGAGGAGTTTTTGGAGTTTGAGAACTTGCGGTTCGGTGAGGTTGGGCTCGAGGGAGCGGGCGAGGTCCGTGGTGGTGAAAGTTAGGGTCACTTTGCGGGCGGCGGGGTGGGATTCGCCCATGTAGGTTGTGTAGCGGAAGCGGAGGGGGGTGGCCTTCGTGGGTGGTTCGAGGGGTTTGGCGTATTCTGGGAGGGGAGGGTCAGTGCTTATCCTGGGGACTTTGATGGGCGTTGGTGAGAGGGAAAGAACATACTGGCTAGTAAAGGCATCTCCCATGCCGCCACCCGGGTGTACTGCCTGATCTCTCTGTGCAGCTGTATGTCGTTCTCCGCAATACTGCTGATGATATTGGGATCCCATTCGTCGTCGGCGTCTTCAAACTGGCCCATTTCGTCGTCCTCTCCATCGGCCCACCAGCCCATCCCGGAAGCCCTAGTCGTGGCTCGTGGTATGCGCAGGTCAAGAGGATGTGCGCGATTCACCTCCGCTTCGATCTTATCCTGGTCTCGCTGGGATAGCTCCTCGTCCTCGTTGATCGCGTTTGGTCCATCTTCGGAGTCATCGAGCAGATTGATGTCTTCCATGGATGTGAAGGATTCGGACAGGGCTTTGTAGTGGTTCAGCAGGTCGAGGTATGATTGCTGCTGTTCTGGCGTGAAGGTTTCATAGTCGGCGCGCTCTTCTGGGTCCAGGTCGGAGGCGGTGAGGAGGGTCTGGGGAACGAGGAGCTCTGAGGGCGGTTCGATGTCGTCGGGAAAGTCGTCGACGCCGGCTTCGCGGGCGAGGTCCTCGAAGCGCGTCACGAAGGGGACTGCTGTTGGTGAAGGCCTGGGTTTGCCGATGTTGCTGGCGTAGCGTTGCTGTTGGGTGAAAGGGTGGGGGTGTTTCCTTTTGGCGGGGGTGAGTCTGCAGATACAGCGGAGGCCCCGCGAGAGGCTACGTGACGTTGTTGCCATGGCTTGCTGGGACGGCACGAGTGTGAATGTGAATGCAATAAAGCAGAGCTCACTGAACTTTTGGAGTTTCCAAATGCAGCTTTGGACTTTATCCGCAACCGTAACAGACCCTGGTTTTCTGCCTCACCGTAGATCCCAAAATGGCTCCTTACCACATGCTGCTAATCAAGCCACCTTGTAAGTTCAGTCACACCGAGTGGGTTCACAAACGACCTGTGGACAAGCTACCGAAAATCATCGAGGCACAAGAAAGTGCCATGGCTCCCCAGCAGAAGCGCCTGTTCGTCACAATCGGTGCCACGGCCCCCTTCAACGGCTTAATTCGCGCTGTCCTCTCTCACGGTTTCTTGTCCGCCTTATCGGAACACTCATACACTCAGCTACGTATCCAACACGGCGATCAGGGTGGTCATATTCTTCGCGAGGCTAGTCTATCCAACATTCAACAACAATACGGCATTGAGGTCACCGGATTCGATTTCGACAAGAATGGTCTAGAGGGCGAATTGAGGGCGCTCAAGAAGAGCAGCACGAATGAGGAAGGCGCGGTCGTCAGCCATGCAGGCAGCGGCTCAGTGCTAGAGGCCATGCGTTACGAGTTGCCAATCGTTGTCGTACCGAACGAGGAGTTGTTGGGAAATCACCAGGTCGAGCTGGCAGAGGAGTTGGGTCGCTTGGGGTATGTGGTTCACGGACGAGTCGAGGATCTAGCAGGATCAATCATCAAAGTCGAGCAGCTACGAGACAAGCATCTTCTGTGGCCGCCACACACTAGTGGCGAGACGCGGAACAAGGCGGTTGGAAAGGGTCTGAAGGGCGTTTTGGACGAGGAGATGGGTTGGGCGTTGAGAGTGGAGTAGGACTCCAGCGACGACGAAGAAGGGACCGGTGATATGTACTTTTGTGCAGGACGCCATTCTTCTACGCATAGCAGCTCGGTCCTGCCGATCGCGTGCAGCCACGCAGAAGGTCTGGCGACGAATGGGTCGAAGAGGAAGAGAGACGGATCCTGGATATGCGACGATTGTCAGACACCAAGAATGCCGTGGTTTCACTGGACCCCATCAGGATATCGAGTCTGAAGCATCGCGCGTCCGGGCTACGTATCAACGTTCGCAAGTCACACAAGAGCCACTAGGAGGGCTCCGTGACGATTCAGCGGGCATATTGCGTTTTCAGCATTTTTTTTAAATCCGAAATGAGAAAATCCCTCCAGGGCGGACTCTGCGCATGAGAAAATCTGATTTTTGTTCCGCATTTGCAATGTTCACAGCGCTCCACAAGCGCCAGCGTAGTCACCGTAATGTACAACCCAGAGGCCGCCCCGACTCCCCAATCTAGCGACGGCCATAACCGCCGCCACCACCTCCGCGCTGCTGGCCTCCATACCCGCCTTGACCGCGGCTTTGTCCATATTGCCCTCCTCCATTAGCGCCAGGGCGGGCTCCATTCTGATATCCACCTGCACCTCCACCGTGCTGTCCATTACCATAGTAGCCATTGCCTTGCGATCGTCCACCACCACCACCGCCATTCGCGTAGCCTCCCTGATCATATCGCTGGGGCGGGCCCTGTCCGCCATATCCGCCACGCGACACGACAGGCAACGGTGGAGGGGGCGGGAGCCCGCCTGAAGGCATACCGGCCGCGAATTTCGGGTCCAAAAACGCTGCAAAAGGATTATCCTGCGCCGTAACGCCCGGCGGCGGAAACGGGGGCGGAAACGGTGGCGGCGGCAACCCTCCTACACCCGGCGGCGGCCGGTCTGCCGCGTAATTGATCCGAGGCGCACGCTGATTATCCATGGGGTCACGGCGCGTATTGTCGTACAGCGGCGCACCACCAAAGTCCCGTCCTGAGTTCCTCGCCTTGGACTTTAGGATCGCGAGATCGGATTTGTCCAGTGCAGGAGGAGGAAGCTTGACGCCTGGGAAGAGCATCGATTTGTGGACGTGGGTAGCGGGCGGCATGATGAAGTGTACGCTCATGCTGCGGTCGTCTTCGACGTCGGGCTCCATGCGGATGTCCTCTTCGGGGCCACGAAGGAACATGTTCGGCAGGAAATCGGCGTTCTTGATGACGTGACCTGCTAGGCGGCCTTTGCTGGTGGGTAGCTTGACTTTGGAGCCGTCGGTTCTGGCTTTCTTGGAGTAGAATTCTGTGGCGATCAGATCGTACAGTGCGTTCTGGTCAGAGACCAGGAGTGCTTCGTGGCCGAGATCGTTGCGGGCATGCTCGTCCTCGCTGAGAAGGTGGTACTTGGTGTTCATAGCAGCAAGTAGACGCTTCTCGTCGATGAAGGGAAGGAGTACAATGGCTTTCCAGGCTTGCTTCTTGCCATTGAGGTCGAGGTCGAAGTCTTCTGGGTAGAAGTCGATGATCTCGGAGTCTTCGTCGGTCATGAGTGGATGGAAAGGCTTAGGGATCGTGTGGTTCGAGGCAGCGGGCATGACACCCATGAGCTGCTCGTAGGGACGGAAAGGCTTGCCTTTGTCGAATTTCACCACCATCTTGTCAAGGTCTTGGAAGTCTGCGGCAAAAGGCGCATAGTGATGAGGATAGTACCAGGTCCAGGATGGGCAACCTTGGAAGTAGTAGAGTAGAACCCAGCAGAGGCCTTCAACGTAATCGCGTGCCACTTGGTGACGGAATTCGAGGTTCTCAGGTCCCACGTGGAACTTCTGCTCATAGTACCGATCAGCATAGCCATCTTCCCACAAACGAACAGTATCTGGAGGTGGGTTGTCGGGGTCAAATTTGGGCTTGGCGGCGGTCTCCTTTACGGGCGTGTTTCGACCGGGCGTGCCAGAGTCCGCGGAGTCAGCATCATCTTCCATAAGTTCAGATTTGCGCTTGCCGAGTGCCGAACCAGGCGTGCTCTGTGGTGTGTCTTCAGATCCGTTGATGGGCTTCGTCGGAGTTTCTGCTGATTTGTTCGCCAGCATGCGTTCCTTCAGAGCCGCGGCGGCACTTTTGTTGGATGCTATGGACTTGTCCGCAGCGCCTCTGTTGACAATCATGTTGTAGTCGATCTGTCCGGTGGGCGCATCGGCAAAGACGATAGACGTTCCATTACTAGTGGGAGCTCTGTTGTCGATCTTGCCGCCTCTGTTGTAATCTGGCGAGCCACGTCGGCCACGCTTGTTACCACCTCGTCCATCTCGGCTGTCCTGCTCGTTCTGGCGTCTCTTCTGGTTGCGCTCCTTCTTTTCTTCTACTTCACGTCGTCGTCTGAAGATGGCATCCTCCTGCTTGGCAAGACCTTGAAGAATGCACTGGGCACGAGCGAGATCGACTGAACCATCACATGTCAGGTAGCCACCCATGATGGGCAAGTTATCCCTCCAAATTGCAATGAGCTTATCGATACCGTCTTCATGAATGTCTAGACTGGGCAGATGGGGCAGGAAATCATTACCAACGAAGAAGCACATGAAGACCCAGTCGTCGATTGCACGCTCAAGGTCAAAACGGAATGGCTGACCCTGAACGAACATCTCGGCTGATAGGTACTCACGTAGAATAGAGACGCTCAGCCAGATGAAGGGCTTCTGTTCTGGCTTCTTCTCTTTCTCATCGAATTCGCCACTTTTGACTCTTGCAGTACCGCGACATTGATCTGCGTAGTGCCCTGGTTGACCGCACAATCGACAGTTGTTCTTTGTCTTGGCATCCTGAAAGAAGACATCCTCGCGAAGGATACGGAAATGGGGCTCATGTGTGGCGAGACCAAGCATGATAAGATCGGCGTCCAGGCCATACATGACATGCCGAGTATTTGGGTCATACTCAGGATCAGAGCGTTGAGAGCGAATGAATTGCATGATCTTGTGCTCACCTTCACCAGGTACGCTGGCGTCAGAGATAATGACCTTCATGTCAGCCCACGCTGGGTCCGTGTTGAGCTTCCATTGGCACCAGTAGCGGATAGATTTGGCGAGAATGAACATAAATGGGGTGCCAGGCGTGATGGCATTACTATCCCATACTTTCTTGACGACTTGCTCTTCAGAAGTGACGTTGTCGGCGTTTGAGCCTTGTTGACGACGAAGCAGAGCTTGAAACTCAGCTTGTTGTTCGTTCTTCTCCTGGGCTTCTTGGGCGGCTCGGAATCGACGGGCACGCTGTTGGTTCATCTTTGCTCGGGGCGCAACGCCGTCTGGAGAAGTTAGTGACGCGAACATTGTACGTGAGGAGGACTAGACTTACCGATAGCGATCATTAGCAGCCGGCGAGGTCGAACCATGTTTACCACGCGTTCGGTGTACTTGAAGATCTCCAGCATCATCTCGCTCTCGTTGGCGGGAGGAGCCTTGTCTTCGGGATGTGAACATGGATGGACTATACCGTTGAAGTCTAGGTACAAGTTGTGCATCTCTTCGCCATTAGGATTGGGCTTTGTCGTGTCAACAGGATACTTGACCCCGTCTATGTCGAACGGTTGCTCCTCGACCACAGACGTGATGATCTTGGGATACTTCTTCGACAGCCATCGGAAAAGCGCCGGAACACCCATGACGACGGTTGCGTGCGATGTTGTGGATGTTGAGAAAGGAAGATGAGCAGAAATCAGGCGATCATCGACTGCGATCAGATTGAAGTCCGCCCGACCAGGGCCTGGGCGCGCTAAACTGTATCTGAACGAGCGTCGCCTCGCCGGTTGACAAATTGTTTTCGCACAGATCTCGTGTGGCTCAAACTTTTATTTTCACACTCACCTGAGGACGAGGTATGGCGAACGCTCGAGACCAATTGTTATGGCGGCTCAATGCGGTTCAGGTCTACCTCCGGCACCGCGTCTGCATGAACATCGTCCCTAACGTCGGGCACTATCGGAACATACAGCAACGACATGGGATCTCAAGAAACCGTCGGACGCTGCTAGAAGCAGAATCCCGTGACGAATGTCTTCTCACTTGGTGAAGATTCGCAGCAATGTGCGCCGACTTAGGCCTGTCATATGCTGTGCCACAAAATGAGGTGCAAGTCAATCCTCGTATTCGTGCGGCGAGGGCTTAATCTAGACCTACTCAGCACAGAGCGCAACACGATACCAACTCGAATTTCAGCCTGACTCACTGTACTGACATTGCTCATATCAACTTCTCAGCGTCTTGACCAGAAGTCAGGTCAAGCATTAACGAGCATTATGGCGAGCAATCAGACAGCAACAACGACAGCGGCAATAACCCCAGCGAACGACAATCACCACGTTTCGGCAACGAATGTTCAGCTCCAGATCCTGAGTGAAGTGCGGCAGATGAATGAACGTAGCCGCAAGATCCACGCTCAACCGCCACTCAAGTCCGAAAAGCTGTGGAATTTCCTTCTCCAGTTCTTTGGCCTGCTTGCAGCTTTTTCCTTCGGCGTGTTTGCCATCCTAGCATGGAGAGCCGCTGAAAGCGCCAATCATATGACCAGTTATGCTACCGAACTAGCTATTTCAGCGAACGAAATGGCCTCCACGGCGAACGAAATGGCCTATACGGCGAACTCGGTCGCCCGTGCCGCCAGGGCTGACGCCACGGTTGCTAACCAGTTGGTATTGATTGCACGGTGTGAAGCTACCTCTACAGTGCGTTCCGCCTCCTTCCTTTTGCTGTCCATCTGTACTAGGTCTCGCGAAACAGTTGCTAATGAGCCACATCATCGCGAAGAGGGCGAGCGAGCAGTACTGTTCGGCTGTGAATGCCTTCGTGGATGATAAGACTAATCGCTACCTCGTCGCGATTGCGAATCACTACTTCGATCTGGATCGTGCCTCCTCCACCTATGCAACAGCTTCCGCTTCTTCCGCTTCGAGTTCGTCAGAAGCGGATTCGCCAGCCGGGAACCCTTCTCGCACGGGGCTGATTGCTGGGATAGCAGTTGGCGGATTTGCAGGGCTTGTTCTGCTCTGCGGGGCGGCGTTCTTGCCGTATATGACTTATCGAGCTCGTCTCAGGAGGGCGCAGGAATTAGATGCAGTGATGGGCCAGGAAAAAGTAGGTTGAACATTAGAGGCAAATCATCTCTCACGGTAATGATTGGCATTTCTGAATGGGTGGCGAAGGGTCTTCAAACGAAACAAGGACGATGCAATTGACGGTGGGAGGCTCTGTATTCCGAGATCCAGTTGACGGCATGGAGGCCGCTATTATTGCACACGCACGTCGGGTACTTGTGGGAGTCGTGACTGCATCTACAAATACTACTATGACAGCGCCAACCGTCACGAACATCTGTCCAGGTGCTCGAGATTCTGCGGCTGGTCAGGAAAGTACGCTGCAGGGCACTCCCCAAAACTCCGCAGTCCCTATAGCAAGTTTCTCCGCCCGTCCAATGGTCTCCAGTGATGACTACTTCACATCTCGATATCATCGCGAGCTCTGCCTATGACTCACACAGACATGCAGGGCAATGCTCAATCCTGCGGGCGATCTTCGCCTGCGACCTCATTCTGAACATCCGTCCTGATCGAACCGGCTGTTCTGGCGGGCAGCATTCTTCTTTCAGATGAGCCGCCTTGGCAGAAGCGGCTGCTGCATCATTCTCGACTTTTGCCAGAATTTTCCCGTGTGCACTCCGCTAACCTCACGAGCAAATGACCTTATGTCCACTATTGGCCTCAAAAACGCCGTAGGTTTGGCCGGGCAGGTTGTATAAGTACAGATTGCGGACTGTTTCCATCATGGCCAGACCGTCACCAACAGAGTTTCGAGGACGCGACTCTGTACCATGGCGACAACAACCACCATGACGCAGTCAAAACAAGAGGTCGAGCTGCAGGACCTACCACACTATCTACGCTCAGATGCCCAGGACGCGGCTGGCAAAGGTCAAGTCCTGGACCATGAGTCCCTGACGGCTTCCATTGCCAACTCTGATCCGCCTGAACATGCAGTATCTGTCTCGCAGCGATGGAATGGCTCCAGATCAAACGTCTTCAAAACCATGTCGACGTTCCTCGGCTTCATTGTGATGGGCGCCAATGACGCCGCGTATGGCGCTATCCTGCCTTACCTTCAGCGCTACTACGATACATCCTATACAGTTGTGTCGCTAGTCTTCCTCTCACCCTTTGTCGGCTACATCGCATCCGCAACCACGAACAACTTGCTGCACAAGACATTTGGTCAACGAGGTATTGCCATCATTGGTCCGACATGCCACATCATATCGTACATCGTCATTTGCACTCACCCGCCGTTTGGAGCACTGGTCGTGGTGTTCATCCTAGCCGGCTATGGCAACGGTGTTCTCGATGCTGCATGGAATTCGTGGATCGGTAATCTCGCGAACCCGAACGAGCTCTTAGGATTCCTGCATGGCTTCTATGGACTCGGCGCAGTGATCTCGCCTCTGGTCGCTACGACTATGATCACACGAGGGGGGCTTGAGTGGTACACCTTCTACTATATCATGATCGCCGCTGCAGTGTTGGAGTTGGCGGCATCGACAGCTGCCTTCTGGGACATGACCGGCTTGAAGTTCCGCCAGCTTATGAGCGACGATGCGGTCCGCGGTGCAACGCGTGCAGCGCTCAAGACTCGCGTTGCGTGGATAGGTGCCGTGTTCTTGTTGGTCTACGTCGGCATTGAGGTCGCCTTGGGAGGCTGGATCGTTGAATTCATGATCCAAGTAAGGGACGGGCAGCCATTCGAGTCCGGCATGGTCGCTACAGGCTTCTGGTTGGGCCTGACTGTTGGCCGCTTCATCCTCGGGTTCATCACACCACGCCTCGGAGAAAACCTCTCGATCTTCGTCTACCTCCTATTTGCTATGGCTATGCAGCTCCTCTTTTGGCTTGTACCGCAGTTCATCGTATCTTCTGTCGCAGCGGCACTTGTTGGCTTCTTCCTTGGACCTCTGTTTCCGGCTGTGGTCGTTGCAATCACGAAGCTACTTCCACCACATCTGCACGTGGCCACAGTCGGCTTTGCTGCCGCCTCCGGAGGTGGAGGAGCTTGTATTCTACCCTTCGCAGTCGGAGCGATCGCACAGAAGGCCGGTGTCCGCGTCTTGCAGCCAATCATTCTGGCTATGCTGGCTCTTGCGTTACTTCTGTGGACATTTGGTATGCCAAAAATCAGCGGGAAGGAAGATGCGAAGAATGGCAAACTCGAGAAGGCCAAGGGCGCTGTATCAAGAGCGTTCTATGGCTGCTTCTCAGCCCGACTATGAAAACCAGACGCCTTTGTGCTAAAGCCGCTGGCCAGGCAAGGAGGCAAAGATTCGCAAGTACAGCGGCTCGTTGAGACGCAGGTGCTTCGGACCTTTCCATCGCATCAAGTTGACAAATGCCCGAGTGGCCTCTGCATCCCGCAGCGACACTCTTACTCTGGCTGCTGGCTGGCGGTAGTAATTTGCTTGCTCTTCAATGATCATCTGGTCACCAAGCAGTCTATTCTACGGTCAGCGTCGGTCGGACGTCGATCTCGGCACATACATACTTCTTGAGGCTCCCAATCCGCTCACAGGACTGGTTCGAGCGGACCAAGTCATTCAATCGGTATAGTTCGAGATTCGACAATAACCACACGGCAACTTCGTTGGCGATCGACAGGTCCGGATCGAGCACATTTCTAAATGTTTGTCCCGGCTCCTGCAACACCTCCAAGACCAGATCAGTCGTCAGGAAAATGGTCCTTGCCACCGTGCCCAGGGACTTAATTCCTGATAGCCGTTGTGCGGAGTCGATACTGGACCAAGCACTCGCAGTGGCGCTTGCGTTGTCTTCCAGAACAGCTCTGTATGCATTGAGGAAGGCGTACATCTCAAGCACGTCGGGAAACAGTGCGTCCTGTATCCGATCCTCGAAGTCTGTGCTTGCCAAAGCGAGCTCTGCGGGTAAGCATAGGGCAAGGTGGTTGGAGGCGGCTGCCGCGAGCCATTTGGTGGTAGCACGCACGACGGCGACATCCCTCAGCAGCTGAACGGCTGTGTCACTTTTAAGGATGTTGCTTGCGACGCCTGTCTCGTCACAGACCTGTTCTCGACACAACGAGGCTATCTCCGGGCCATCGACGATCCGCTGCCAGCGCACAGATGTCCTGCGCAGCGCGAGAAGGCATGTATTTGGCAGGTTGACTGCGATAGCGACCAGCAGTTCTAAAGGCAGATCGAGGAGGCTGCGAGATTGACTCATATTGCCAAAACACGTTGATAGTTGGACTGGTTCAGTGAGTATTTATGGATCGGGTTATAGACACATGTATATTCCTCCTCGGAATGCTAGATTCATGTAGACAAACTCGAGGAGCCCGTTGCGCTCCAAGCAGTGTGCCTTCGCATCGTACCAAGTAAGAACGGCTCCACGGCCTCAATTCTGCCGTCAGTAAGACTCTCAATGGTACTCGTCAGCCATATACTCGTGCCAGTGATCATCGTCTAAGCAGCGGAGTAATTGCGTGAGCCTCCGAAGATTAGGCCCGTCATCTCACGTATTCGCCATGATGCGTGTGACGCCCTCGGCGACGAGCTATGACAGCACCTCGGCCTCCTCTTGCCCTAGACGAACTCGTTCTAATCAATGAATACCGTCCAACGTGGAGATAGCACCGCCCGCCGGAGGCCGATGGCCTCTGGCGGAAGGTCAGATTCCTTGGCGTACTCGGAAACGAAGCAGCGCGTTGTGATTGGACAATCCTTCGAACGCGCTTCGCTCGGAAAGTCGCGTCTCCCGACCGATGGCGCAACGACACCCATCACAGGATATGCGCAGGATAGCGCAGAACTGCTAATTGAGTCATTAGCAATACTTAGCATATCATATTGAACAGCATGCGCGATGGGAGTGACAACTAGGTCCGCTAGTAGTAGCCCTGTGAAGAAACACCAGTCCAGAGCGGCAACTGGCGAAGGAAAGACCACGAAAACAGACGCAGCAGATGGCATGAGAGTACTATTCCTGCCCAAGGACCTGTCCCCGAAGGCCCGTATCCTATCAATACGACATCCTCGAGATTCTTCTCCCAAACGATTCCTATTGTGCCCAGTCCACGGCCTGTATGAGTTCACAAGAATAGCCCAGCCGCCGGGCGAGTATCGAAGTCTGCTCTTCTCGAGCGTTGAAGAGGACTCGGCATCCTCTGAGCCAGTCCCTGCTTCAACAGAGAGCTCGAAGTTCAGCGATGGCTACATATCCCAAGATGCCTCCCTCCTCGTGGCAACGCCATTCGACCTGTTCTTTTTCCTGCTCTCGATCCTACCCTCAGCACTGGCAGGATCAGCCAAGGCACTCTTTCAGCCGATTGACGACCTGTTTGAGAGCGCCATAGAAAGAGACAAGCACTCGAGATTTATTATCTCCGTGGGAAGGCCGCTGGTTGAGCAGGCATTACGGAAGTTCTGCGACACGGTGGACGCGGGCGATGATACGATGTTCAGGGTCAGCGAGGAGAAGACAGTGGCTTTGATACACCAAAAGATAATCCGCGTAGTTGAGAGGGGACTGCCGCCAACTTTGGAGGAGCGATTCGTTACCCGAGCGTTTGAGACGCCTGTGCTGGGGGTGAAGCGGGAGACAAGTACTCTGAGCACTGCGACCATGGTAATAGATGAAGCCGAAGCCGAAGCCGAAGAAGAGATAAAGAACACCGACAATGCGAACGGTGACTCTCAGTCCTCGGCCGCAAGCTCGGCCCCATCTCTCGTCTTTTCCGAAACATCAACCATATCTACATCAACGGTAACAACCATAGCTTCATCACCCGAAGCACCATCTCCACAAATTCTCAACCTACAACGCCTCAAGGTCGCCCTCGACTTCATCATCGTCTCCTATTTCCACCCAACTGTCGCCAACCACGTCCGCCAACACTTCTTGTCATCATCCTCACCCATCGACTTCGGCCCACTTCAAACACACTTGGCTCACCTCGCAAAGCTAAAGGCACAAGCTCTAGCGCAGCGATCACTAGGCGACTTCAGCCGCAAGCGAGGCCTCGAAGACGACGAGGCTGCAGAAGAGCGCGCAGAGAAGAAGCGGAAGCAGGACGAGGAAGAGAAGAAGAAGAAAGCAAACATTTCGAGAGGTGTCAAGGATCTTGCTAAGGTGAACGTGAGTGGCATGAAGAAGATGTCGGATTTCTTTGCGAAGAAGCCAGCGGCGAAGGCGAAGGCGTAGCTCCGAAGATGGAGCCCAAATAGCACGAAAATGACCAGTTCTGGGAAACGTGCAACAGTCCACCATCGTCAGGCGGGTTGATAGTACCGGCTGCCAGCTGAATCACGCCTTCACCGTCGCCCGAGCTCGCGAGAACCAGCTTCGATAATGCCCCATTTGTATGGTTCCAAGATCGCTTACAGTGAGGTGCGAGTCCGTTGTCCTAATGGGTCCGTGAGGAATCATTCTCAGCGCTCAAAGAAGTGCTCTGCATCTCACTTGCCTCCAGATAGCAACTTGAATACCTGACCTGTCCCCTGGACCAATCAAAATCTGAGGCGACTGGACGGAGCAATCTAGTTACCTAGATGTGGATGACGGCGCTGTACTGTTCCTACACCTTGGATACTTTTCGTCATTTGAATCGCAGCTGGCCTTGGTGGTCAAGAACCTGGTGCAGGTTCAAGCCCAACGGCCGCTGGTGACCATACCGAATATCGGGCTATTCAATGCGACGCAAGCCGTCGCGAAAGCTGACGTTCAGGTGTTCCCACTCAATGAGAAGGATACCTACGTAGGCACCAGGCGACAGGGGTGCGCTTCATTTTAGTGGCTTGCTAGTTTTCTTGTCTATGGTTATTCAGGTCCTGTTACGGTTGATCGAATGGACTTCAACGTCCGCCTGGCCTGCAGCAGGCACCCGCCAGCAAGTACGTAACAGACGCCACAGAATAATTGAGTATACAGATATTCGCGCTCGTAGCCCGGTCGCTTCAGGTGTAATGCAATTACTTCTGAGACTGTGCCGTCAGTAACCTTCTGCTTTTAGACTTTGTCTCACAGACTCACACGTGGTAGGCAGGACGATGGACAACCAAGACAATGCCAGAAGCGAGGGGAGTTGCTTGAGACCCGCAATTTCAACGCACAGCGGCCCGATAGTCTGAGCCCAGCTGTTAGCAAGATGTTGTCGTTCATGCTGACAGTTTTGACCACATACCACCCAGAAGACTCCAAGTATCGCCCCACTAATAATAGCAAACACTATTATGTTCGGATAGGTCTTTGCCGGAATCCAGAGAGCAAAACAGACCAGGCCGCAGAGGAAAGTAAGGCTGGATGCCACTTCAAGTCGTCCAAGACGATCGCTGATAACACCGATAAAAGGTCTACCAAAGGCTGTTCCCAGGTTAAGGAAGGCAGTGATGTTTGTTGCCTGGGCTCGATCAAGATTGATTGACAGCGAGAAATCTGACAAAGAGTAAAGCAATGTGATGTATCCAAGCATACTCACAAATGCCCAGCCTAGGAGCCATAGGACACTCTGCTGTCGCAGAAGCTTGGGATCAAATGGCCTCTGCTTTGGTTGTATAGTAGTATTCCGGTCCATAATGCAAAATGTGGCTAGTACATTTACACAGCAGCTAACACAACCAATAATCCGGAGTGTCCATGGAAGACCGAGGCGCTCAATCATAGCCCCAGTAGCAAGAGAGAACAAGAGTCCACCTATACCAGATCCAGCAGTGCTGACTCCATTTGCGAGGCTCCTGTTCTGATCGAACCACTGCGATATGATCGGTATGCTTGGGACATAGACGAAACCGACTCCTAGTCCAACCAAAGCGCCTTGCGAGAGATAAAGGTGCCAGATGCGTGTCCCAAAGGAGGCGCAGACGAATCCTGCCAATAAGAAAACTGCTCCAGCGTACATTGGCGGTTTGGTTCCCATAAATCGGGGGCGGGTCAAGACCGTTACCAACGGGGCCGCAACCATTGCAACACCAAAGTTCAATCCGCCAACAAAAGCATAATCCTGTGCCTTAGCCTCAGGGTAGTAGTCTTGTGAGAGGTAGTAGGAAAGGAAGACTCCGTACGCCTGAACTCCGGGTTAGGTACTTTGCAACTCGTCAGATGCGGCATATCTCAAACTCTTACCGCTACCACGCCCCATGTGAAGCCATTGATTGCAAATACGCAGCCGACGCACACCCAGCCGTAGCCTCCGTCGGGGCAGTCGATGTTTTGAGTCGCAGACGAGCTGCTAGCCGTCGACAGAGCTCGCCGAGGAGGGGTGACTTCGTCCATATAGAAGACTGGGATCTTGCGGACAAATAGCCTCAGCGGAAATGTCTTCTGATCTCTCGCAATCCGGGGACTCGCTGCTGAGACTCTAGGTGAGTTCAGTGAGCATTTCTCGGGTTGCTAAATGCATTTTGTGTTTAATGAGAGCGCTTCCATCACGCGAGAATGTTAGGCAAGGCTCCGACGATGGATATGGCCTCTCTTTCTAGCTACAGGGAACTCTAGTACGCAAGTGGGGCACCTACCTACCCATTCTTGGCAGCGAAGGCAGATTGAAAGGCCTCCAATTAACGTGATCTTTCAGGTCTTCGGCCGATCGTCGCCATTGCGCACGGCCAAGTTCTCCACGCCAAGGTGGGTACGATATGTCACCGGCGGGCCACCCTGAACCCCAAGCGTCCGATCGACGCGATGAATCGCACTGCGTAGTCAGGTGACATATCACGGCCGATGTCTCACACTCACTGCAGCCTCTAGACGTTAATTGTGTCCGCAATCAAGACCTCACCTTCACGGCAGAGCTCCAATACGAGGGCGAGGACCATACAACAAGCCTGGTGATGCAATGCATCACAAAACATTTCCAACATGGAAGTCTTCCAGCATGCATACAGGTTTACTACGAGGCTTCTACACGATTGGCTGCGACAAATTCTGCGCATTCCTTGCTCAATGTCGGCCGTTACTACCAACCCCGTTGTTGCTTTGATGTGACATTGGACAGATTGAGGCTGGTACTTGTCGTTCATCAACGGCTTCGTGCCACACGTAAGACCTTAAGCGTCTGCCGTTCAAGTACCGACATCCGGGCCCGCAATAACGTATGCGAGAAGTCCTAAGAGTAGGCGATTATCAACGCGACATGCATCCCCAGCCGACTCATCAAGGTACATGAATCCAGGCCACAGCCAGCTCTCAATAGTCTCTAGTGGGAGTCCTCGACGATTCCGACGCTGTACAATAAGATAAGCCTGAGAGCATAGCGTTGTTGACAATGTGATCTCGTCGAAGCCTGCCCATGGATGTGATTCTCGATTATATTGCCAGCTTGTATGCTTGTGAAAATGCTCTAGTGCTTCTGATGATGTTGTCGAGCAGCGCGCTGAGGAGCTGAGCATTGCTGGAGATTGCATGACGCCCTGCGACGAACAACTGGCATCGTCGACAAACGATGTAATCAACATGCTTAGAGCTGGCAGATCTGCTGACTTCTCTTCGCCATGGATACTATCGGTTCGTGCTGGCTGGTCTTCAGGCGGCATAAAGCCTAACGATCCGCGGGCAGATCTCAGTTCAGTGCCAGAAGAGGCTATCACACAAGTGTGAAGCGCATCATTCCATGTTCCCTGACACTGACCAGCGTCCACAGTCGCAGGATTCACGCATGATCCTGTATAAGCGACAGCCTTCGGGGCGGTGTGACCAATCAGCCGATCTGGGTGATTTTGGAACGCAAGCTGGCTTCGCAAAGCATTGTTTTCGCGCTCAAGTCGTCTCACGGTATCTTCCAAGATTTCTGATCTCCGCTCTAAGGAGTCGATGTAGTCGCGCCGCCTTTTTCGGTGTTGACGCTGATTATTTCGCACTCGGACCAGTGTGTGTATTGGCGTTTTAGTCGTTTTCGCAACTCGAGCAGTGGTACGGGCATCCATGTTTGCAGAAGCAGAGTCAAGAGCCGGAATCAGAGCATCAGCGCCAGATCTTCGCGAATCGTCATGTGTCAAAAACGCAAATTACAAAGCATTCCGAGAAGAAGAAACCCCGCTAGTGGGCCACAGAAGTGATATGTCACTGGTGGCAATTTTACGATACGACATCGCACCAACGACCACTGTACATGCTACCGAACATCTAGTCCCCAGGATTTGTATGACTATTTAGGATTGCCGAGAAACTAAGAGGTAGGCATTGTTGCAAATCGCACACATTGGCACCAGATCAAGAGGCTTCCAGCAATCCTGGGGAGTAATTGAATGTGAAGGTAGGCAATATTTATGGAGCCATGCAAAAGCGATGGAGCCTTCTGTGAACACTGGGCTGCCTGCCAGGCTTAGAAGACCTGCTAGCAGTGCCCATCAGCCTCTGCTGTTGAATCGAGGCAAACCAGCATGCCTTACATCTTGCGGCACATGCATTTCTGGCCAACGAGGATGCCAAGTTCTCGGTTCTAGACGTTCAACACAATCTACAAGCCCTCGCAAGAGTGAACCCGAATGGAGGCGCTATTCAGCAGCGTCCCTGGACTGTCGGAATTACTACTGAATCAGCAGACCCATTTGCGTGGCGCTCTACAGCGGGAATTATCCATGAAACTGAACCTGAAACTTTGCTCCACAGGGCGCTTTGTCACTCAGCATTTCCTATTGGTAGATTGGAAATTTGTTACAGTAATTTACTCACATGCCAATAAGCCATGCTAATGTATTACATGTCAGACAGAAGGCTTCTTAAATTTTACTCACAATCCGAATCCCTTTTGTCACCACTGCCTTCATGGGAATGTGCGTGCGTCTACAGGCACTGCGACTCTCTTCCTATCAAAGAGCAGGAATACCTTTACCTACCAGGATACTGCACAGAACAATTGTTGTGCTCCCTCGCTCGGCAAACGTGCGCACACAAAGGATGAGTTCCCGCGAATCACTACCGTGGGAGCAGGTAGTTCCACAGGCCATCTGCAAGACCCCAGAGACTTGTACACGATATGATGTCTTGAGGCTTTTACAGAAAAATCAGAAGCCCGGCACGGAGTTTCTCCTCATTGATGTCCGCAGAGAAGATCACCACGTATGCACAGCCTAGGCAGGAGCACTGTCAGTCCACGGAGCTCAAATCGCTAATTTGACCAAAGGGCAGCAGTATTGCTGGGTCCTTGAACATGCCCATACAAACGATCTCTCAAAGCCTGCCAACGCTACTGCAATTGTGTGTTGCAGCCAACATAGTATCGGTCATATTTTACTGTGGTGGGTGTCTGCCATTCAGCCCAGCCTCTGGCAATTACGAAAGATCTTAGACCACTGACAAAGCCTCTCAGGGCATTCTACTGGTCGCGGACCCCGAGCAGCCGCCCTGTTCGCTGACGAGCTCGAGAAAAAGAAGCTGCAAGGACTGATCCAGAGTTTGGTGCTTGCAGAAGGGTTCAATGGATGGTCAAATGCTGGTGGGGCATTCGATGCATATATCACGCAATAGTCGGCGGCTGCTCCTCTCTACCAAGAGTCAGTTTGAACACTTGTGGCCCAAGAACAATCAAGGCTGTATCCAATGCCTGGTGGAGGACGGCATCGTGTAGCTATTTCGCCGACCAGCATCTCACTGATTGGACTGACAAGTGGTCGTGGACAGACGGAACTCGAAGTGGCCGCAATAGACCTTTCAAACTCCACACTGCCCTGCTGAGATGCTGGTGGTTCCAGACTAATAGACAAAAGTGATTCTTACTATTGATAGGGTATGTCATTAAGCTGGGTACGAGAAAGTAGGAAAGTCCTATGCACGAATCTTCCAGAACCTTCGGCAACGAGTTTTATTTCTGGAAGATCTGTCACTCGCGGCTTCTAGTTGGAATGGAGTTATCGTATCGCACACCGGGACATTCGCAAGATGCGGATCTAAGTATAGTATTGTTATAGTATTGAGATACTTGCGGTGGTAGCGCACCCGGTCCGGATGGTTGACTGTCGCGTGTCCGATTAGGTCTGCCACACGTCAAGGCCACCTTTCTTTCAGTCGCAGCACGCAATGCCATGTAAGATCATGAGGAGGTTGAGGTGCGCTATTCCCGCCACGCCTCCTTCTCATAACCATCCATCCACTCCACAAACTCTGGCCCGGCTTGCGCCCAGCCCGCAATTCCCCCTGTCAAAACAATGCTCTTGATAGCCTCTATACCGTTATCTTGAAGCAAGTCACTGAACCACCCTGCGGCGCGATTGCCGCGACCCTTGGACGAGCCTACAGTAGATGACAAGTAAGTGAAGTATTCAGGCGTCACTAGTGCCACAGGGCCTTACCACAGTACCAGACCACTTTTTGAACACGCGGTAGGCTTTGACAGATTCTCAACAGAGTTGGCAAACTTGGATATAGCGATTGCGCGGGAAGATTCAAAGACCCTCGTATGGTTCCGCCCTGACCTCATTAGCATGCTTCTTATGCCAGCCTAGCCCTTGCCATTTAACGACGAAGTGGCAGAAGTCACTGATGACGCCTACCTCGTGGTCAACGCGGCGAAGGTCGATGAGCAGAAGATCGACCCCAGCTGTTACTCCAGCATGGAACAGTCCAAGCAGTTCCTTCGCCGAGATTGCTTCAGTGTTCGCGTTCCGCGGTTTAGGGTACGCATCGTACCACTTTGCCTCTGCCATTTAAGCGCGAATCAAATGATCTGACAGAATGATCTTAGCAATAGTCTTTGCTTGAACTAGAGGTTGCAGAATTCAAGTGATAGTGGAAGTGGAAGTCTTCCGCAAGTAATGGGGTGCCCTTCTAATGCCTCTCAGTCGGGCACCAGTGTTGGTTAGTCACTAGCCGCCACTGATTGGTGGATATTTAGTTCGCCCCAGCAAAAGTAAAAGACAAACCAATTTGAAATTTCCAAGGGCAGCAAACGCCTTAATCTCGTCCCCTTTGTCACCGTCAACTCTTGATTTGTGTATATTACGAGCGCCTACATCATCTTATGGAGCAATGTTCAGACGTGGCGCTTTTGTCAAGTATAAGAAATGCCGTGGACAATCGAAATCGACGCCAACTGCTCCCAACAACAATTCATCATTGCATTCGCTGTTATGACTGACGAGGTTGTTCCATCAAGCGCAACCACAATGGCAGTACCTTCGGTCCCAGCAGATATGGAGCGCGCCCGTGAGCTCGAGGACGAAAAGCAGCAGAACAATGATCCTGAAGCTGCCCAGAACACCACGGAGGATCTCAACAACAAGAAGAAGTCAGTTTACAATGGCCTAGGTTGGCTAGACCGCCTGCTCGTGCTTTGGATCCTACTGGCAATAGTTATCGGCATCTTACTTGGGAATTTCGTCGACAGCGTCGGCCCTGCTCTACAGAAAGGCAAATTCGTCGACGTCTCCGTTCCTATTGGTACGTTCCCGCGATTCCTATCTATACTCCTCTTTGTGGTATGCGACTAACTATACCTAGCCGTGGGACTACTCGTTATGATGTACCCAATCTTGTGTAAGGTCCAGTACGAGACACTGCATCAAGTCTTTGCCCACCGGCAAATTTGGGTGCAACTGGGCTTCAGCATCATTGTGAATTGGATAATTGCTCCCTTGCTGATGGTAAAACTTCCCACCCAACAGTATGACTCTATGCTCACTGTTTTCACAGCTTGGGCTTGCCTGGGCGTTTCTACCTGACAAACCTGGCCTCAGAAATGGCCTGATATTCGTCGGTCTGGCTCGCTGCATTGCGATGGTTTGTCTCCTTTGACAGCATTTCGAAGAGCATGCTAATGTCTTGTCTCACAGGTTTTGATTTGGACAGGACTTGCTGGTGGAGACGAGCAGTACTGCGCCATACTGGTGGCGGTCAACTCTCTTCTGCAGATGGTTCTCTACGCGCCACTAGCAATCCTGTTTGTCAACATAATCAGCCACGGGGGCGAAACTTCGGTCTCGTACACTGTTGTCGCACGCAGTGTAGGTGTCTTCCTTGGCATTCCTCTTGCCGCCGCTATCCTTACACGACTTCTCCTCCGCGCAATCAATAAACAGTGGTACGATCGAACCTTCATTAAATGGCTCTCGCCGTGGTCACTCATTGGCCTGCTTTACACCATTCTAGTCCTGTTCGCATCGCAGGGCAAGCAGGTTGTTCACCAGATTGTGTCTGTTCTCAGAGTGGCTGCACCTCTCTTCTTCTACTTCCTCATTATCTTCTCCGCTACCTTGTGGGTCACGGCACGGCTCGGATTTGGCTATAAGCTGGCGGCTACCCAGAGTTTCACCGCTGCCAGTAACAATTTTGAGCTAGCAATTGCGGTTGCGGTTGCCACCTTCGGAGCAAATAGTGACGAGGCCCTCGCGAGTACAGTGGGCCCTTTGATCGAGGTGCCGGTCCTTGTGCTTCTTGTGTACCTCGTTAAGTGGGTGGCAGGACGTTGGGGTTGGAAAGATTAATGCAAGATTGCGAATCGAATACATGATGCACGCTGCTCAGGTGTGACTTGACATGGGTGCTTCTGGCAGCAGTTCCGGAATTGAAGTGGGCTGTGCGACAGTGTTCATATATGAACGCATAGGTCTTGAATGACCCGCTCGTCTCGTTCCGCACACTTTGGCAGATAGTACCGAAGAAGATACACGGATTCTGGCGGGACAGCTCAAGCAGATTCCGCAGACACGTGGACCGCAAGGGCCTGAAAAGGCTCCCGAGGTCGTGGGCTGTCTGGTACTTAGGTATATCTACAAACAATGAATTATCCATCTTGCTCAGTTTCAAATGACTACTTATACGGCAAACAGTCCGGACCATGCTCCAACCAACCTTGGAATGATTCGCTGCTACAAATACAGCTTGTCTAACTACATCCAGTAAGTCTGGATTAGGTATGGAGCTCGCCTGTCTCTGTGACGTTGAGGCTGATCGACGGAGGAAGCTTTGTACAAGGTCCTGACTCGATAAGCTTATGGTAACGGCATCGCACGTGCATGGCACGGACAACCTCGCTCGCAAACAAACCAGGGACAACCTTCCTCCACGCCAAAATGACCCTTCCAGTCGAGAAACTCGAGCTATCCTCAACGACGCTCGCAGACCTCGCATCCGTCATCTCCTCCGGTCTGCGCAACAGCTTCTCCCGCTCCTCATGCACTGTCACCATCACTGCAGACCTCCGCCTGCCACCCTACCACCTCGCCGCCCCCGGCCTGTCCGGCTCCCCCCGCGTTGTCGACATCGGCTCGCCGCCATCTCCGCCCACCCAACCTCACCAAAAAATACGACCTCCTCTCCATCGCCAAACTGATCGACCTCCCGCAATCCCAAGGGCTGCTCATCGGCGCCGGCGCGGCCCATTTCACACGGTCGGCAAGAATTGCGAACTTGCGCCGAATATCGCTTACTCGGACGGTGGTCGCAAGGTGGTGAATCGGACGCACTATACCAAATTGGAGCCTGGGTCTGATGGTTCGCTTGTTCCGCAATGCTTGCAGATTGAGGAGGAGAGCACGGGCTTCGCACTAATGGCGAACCTTTACGGCAGCCAAGGCCTCCCCGGCGAAGCCCTGCACATCACCGCCACAGCCCGTACAGGCTCACACGCCAGCTTCACGGACGCGATTCAGGATGCTATTCGCGAGCACTACGGTCCCGACCATCCGTTGATCAGCTTGGGAGGCGTCTTTGTGCTCAAGCGCGGCAAAGCAAATTTCCACGTCATGCCCGATTTCCCAGGTCCAAAGGAACCTGAATTGGACAGCGATGAAGCGATTGCCAAGTGGTTGCGATACTTCGACTTCGAGGCGCCGGTAGTGGCATTGAGCGTTCTGCATACGTGTGGTGAGGACGTGGTCAAGGAGCTGGGGTTGAGGGTCGAGCATAGTCATTGCTTTTCGGAGGCGGAGGATGGGTCAAAGGACCAAGGGACTGGGAGAGGAGGGCATTATCACTACGATGTGGATGAGACGAAGGACGTTGTGGAGTATGAGGGGTGGTTCAACGTTGCGGAGTGGGTTTATAGGGTTGATCGACCGGGGCCGGAGGTTTGAGGGGGACGTGAGCGAGGAGAGGAATAAGTGCTAGCTGAGCAAGCTTGGATCAAGGAGATCGGCTAGGATCGAGCGATGGACTCATGTCAGTACGCTGAGGTTGCCAGGTTGCTCGCCTAAGTGAGAAATAACTGCCCCTGGTCGGTCTCCGTGCCGCACGTACAGGTGTTCATCTTGAGCACAATGACACTTATCCTGGGTATGATTAGCTGAACCCACGCGCCAGGTAGAAGTCCGCTTCAGGAGGTAAGCCTGCTTGACCGACCCGTGCTATACCTTCGTCCAAAGTGCTCTGACTACCGAGCGGTTCCGACTGTGATTCCCGGGTGTGGTTGTACCAACGACTGTTCAACCCTGTTCAAGCTGGATCTTCCATCCGGTAGGTCGTCAGCTAAGGTCCCTTGTGCGTGGAAGGCATAGACGCAGTTGTTTCGCTGACTTGTGCGACTGCCTGCTGCTTTGGAGCCCGGGATCCGGTCCTATGTGGATCAGACCTCAAACACCAGATGACTGCGACTCTACATCCATGCCACTATCGCCCAGCAGGTCATCCTGACCGGAGTCTGTTAGTTGCGAGGATGGGATTGGTGGGTGTCGATAAATAAGGGGTACCGCCGCGCGTCGATGTGGGGCCAACAGCTGGGATCGGCAGTGGATGGGTGCTAGGATGCGGACTGTGGCGTGCAGTTGAAGCTCTGCCAACTGCCAAAGATCCGATGGCAGTGAGGCAGTGCGACGAGAGCCAAAACCTATGCCGATCACGAGGCTCAAGCGTCAGCGGCAGCCCTAAAGTCGAAATAAGGAGAATAATCGAAATCAGCCCGAAGGTCCGGGTCAGCCGCGAGAGTGATGTCTTCTGTGCCGACGGCGGTTCCAAGGTCGACGTCGTCGGAGGCAAGCCCAACGGCCCGAGTCAGCTTCAAGAGCGATGCCAGGCCCAACATTGATCTCAGCCTCGTCTTCAGCACTAATGAGAGAGCAGCCGGCGGATATCTGCGGTCCGCATCACCACCGGCGTCGATCAGCATTCTAAGTATCTCTTCCCTGTCCCAGGATGTGGCATCGTTCTTGATCCGGTATCGGACAGCTTCAAGGGCTGTACATTCGAGACCTCCAAAAGCGAGACTTGTTAGGCACCGTATGTGTACATCAGCACCTGCGCTCAACAACACCCTTGCGATATCCACGTGACCTAAGTATGCTGCGTTTACAAGGACATTTCCCCAGTGCCTGTGCCGTGCGGTCAGATCAGCACCACCGTCGACCAATAGTTGCACCCGCTCGGTGTGGCCTTTGTTCACCGCTTCGACCAGGGCCACGTCGATCCAGCGGACAGACGAGCTGCCTTGGAGCTCGATGTCGAACTTCAACGCCAATCCTGGGTGACATCGTGTGTTATTGGGCACGTACATGAGATACAGCTCTAAAGCAGCAAGATTCCCTTTGCGTGATTCTTTGAGCATCGCGTCGATGAGAAATTCGAATTTGTCTGGTTCAAGGGTAGCCCCATGGTCGACTAAAACCTGTGCTGCCTCCTTGTGCAGATGGGCTATCGCGGCGGCGACGGCAAACCCTTCGCGGCGCTCAAGCCACCCAGACGACTCATAGTGGAAGAATCCCACGCTGTTTGGGTCGACTTCCTTGTCCAACAGAAGGTGCATCACTCCGACATCACCAAAGCGCGCTGCGTCGAAAAGGGCTTGCTGCAGGTGGCTTTGACCTATCTTTTGCCTGGCGCTGTCGTTCAGCAGTATCTTGACATCCTCAATGTTGCCCTGAACCAGGGCGGCTGTGAAAGCACAGCCGAAGGTCACCCCAAAATCAGCAGGCACGGCGGTGATAGCTTCCTGTAGCACATCGAGAATTTCCTGATGATTTCGATCTGCCGCCACCTGTACAGCGTCGAGCATGATTTCGTCATCGTCGAGTATATCTCTCTCCTTCAAAAGTAATCTCACAATGCCTGCATAGCCAAAGAATGACGCAACAACAAGTACATGCGCATCCTGTAGGTAGTACCTGGTTTTCACATTGTAGAATTTAGCAGTGCGAGCGGGATCTGCGCCATTTGAAAGGAGAGCTTGCACAACCTGGTATCTGTTATTGTAGCAGGCGATGAAAAGAGCCGTTGGCGTTCGCGAGTCGCGAGCAGGGTGGTCGACGTCGACTCCAGCATTCAAGAGCGACTGAACTGCGGTCATCCAACCCTTCTTCGCAGCATAGCCCAGGGCCGTACGGTGTTCCTTATTGCCGGTGTGGAGCGGCGCCAGTGTGGTTATATCCAAGCCATTGTCGACAGTCCCAAAATTGCTGCAGTATTGCGTTATCGCGACAATGACGTCTTCATCACAGTCTGCTTCGATTGCAGTAAAGACTGGGTGTCGGTCACGCTTTGCAACATACTTGCCTGCCCACTGTGGGCTACCCAGGGCACCAATCAAGCCGATCAGCTTCGGTGCTGCGTTCGCCGCCAGGATTTGTAACAAACTGGTATTTTTGCTGTATCTCCGAGTTGAATGAATTTGTACCACATTGGCCGCGAGAAGCCATTGTTCTCTAGGGTACGACCGCAAGAATGCCATCTGTGGACTGAGATCAGCATGCGCGTTATTGGAGTGATACCACAAGTTGTCAACCGCATAGTTGAGGAAGGGGAAAGCCTTCGTGACCTTTTCCCGCAGAAGTCTGCCCTCGGCCGACTTCGCTTTCGGCAGTTCGCGATCTCCTTTAACGTAACCCGTTAAATCGGAGCTTATGTACTTCGCACAACACTGCTTTATCTGGTCGTGGCTGAACGCGAAGAGGTCGCCATTGATCTCACCAGGCCACAGCTTGATGAGGCCATTCCTTTTCACCAAGTAATCGTGAACAGATTCATGAATGAATTGAACAGTAGACTTCTTTCGTGTGGTCAGACCAGCAAGGCCTTTGGTCGAGCTAGAGACGTATAAGCTCATATGATCGGCTGTGAACTCATCCCGATCGAGACCTGTGAGTCCCGACGGATCCTCCTCATTCCAGGTCTCGATTGCGTGACAGAATTCCTCTCTGTCTAGCGGCCGCCTAGCAAAGGCAATGAGCATTAATGACAGCAGCAGGTCGCCTCGTCGCACAGTATCGCGCTCGATAATCTGTTTGAACAGTTCATCGAGCTCCTCGGGGGTATCGTGAAGCGCCTTTTTCGCCTCTTTCACCCGGCCCTGCGCGAGAATGGCATTCATCTTACGGACCACGAGAAAGACCCAAAGGAAGACGCCATTCGATTTCGTTAGAATAGTGTCTTTGATGTGTTGGACAGCACTACCACTGCCTCCCTTGAGCTCTTTATTGACGTATTGAATGATGTCCTCTTCGTGGCCTGGCTCATCTTCAAGCACAATCTGACTCCCATAACGTACCACGATGGTGGGATAGTGACGGCTGGCAAAGCAAATACTGAACTGAGTCCCTGACTCGACGGAGTGCATACTGAGATCTTCCATGAACGTGATCATGTCGCGAATTTCCTGTTCGTCGCATTCGTCGAGAGCGTCGATGAAGCACACTAACCGCCTGTCTCTTAGCTTCTCTGTGGCAGCATATAGGATCTCGCACACGGAATCAACGGTCCAGGTGTCAGTCTTAATATCGTCCAGAAGCTCTTGGAGGTCATCAGCAGAGTCTAGCAACTGCCACAGCAGCGCGCGGTACATTCCAAAGGTTTACTTCTCTAGATCATCGCCACGGGCGTTGAAGAAGAAAGAAACAACGATATCGTTGGGGCTTTTTCTTCGTTTGATATCAGTGAAAATGTGCTTCATCATTATCGATTTCCCCACGCCAGGGTCGCCCTTGATCCAGAGGAAGTTGCAGTCTCCTCGGTCATGGGTGGACGTGCTCCACTGGACAAAAGCCTCGTGCCTCAAGAGCCACTTGCAAGTGGCTCTGTGGGCAGACCTGTGTGTGTCACGCCGGACGTCCATGTCGTCGAAGGCCAATGACTCGAGCAACAACGACCGACGGGCAGCGGTAGAGCCATGTTCTGTTCCAGGGCGGTCTGGACCTCGAGCCACTGAGGGTGCTTCATCTGATACTAACGGAACGGGTGGCTCAAGACCGTCTATATATCGTCCCAATCTCTTCTTGATCTCGTCCTGTAGCCTGTGCCATGCATTCTCCAGATCCTCTCCATAGTGAGGTTTCAGGTAGACATTGAAAAGGCCAGCAAGACAGTAGGCCATGTCTTCAGGTTCTTTGGTTTTCCGAAAGACTGCCCATTGTCGGCGTTCGTCGATGCTGAAGCTCGCTAGTTTGGCGCCATCGAGAGCCGTCAGAGGGATGCCTGTAGCGCGATGGATTTCTCGTTTCAGAGATGCTCTGGTACCAATCAAGCCGCCTTCGCGTGAGAAGAACTCTACGCATGAAGGAGCAAGAAGTTCTTGCAGCGTCCAGCCTCTGGTAAACCACCGTGCTTTGTTGAAGTTCGAGCTGCGCAGATCACAAAGACCTTCAGCGTTACGCTTGTTCGACGACACATCACACAGAAGCACATAGCATTTGACTGATGCAGCATACCAGCGAAACATGGACGTTATGGCAGCTTCGACTTCGGTTCCGTTCCTGTCGGTACCCTTATTGATGCAACATGTGTCGAGCCAGAAGTATTCCAAACCATCCTTTTTGACCTGTGCTGCACAGAAGTCAATCTTGTACCTCGCTTTCTTCCTTTTCCAAGCATCTGTCTGCACGTCTTCGTAGAGGACTTCGTCGCCATCGTTTTCGCTCCACGTGTGCGACAGGATGGCATATGGTGGAGGACTGCGAGGATCGTGCTGCGTGAGCTTGATGTTGCCGCTGTCATCGACATGCAGCAGGCGCATGATCGCCATATCGAGTCTCTCACGGCATCGACATAGTGTCAGTCTGTCAGCTCAAGAAGGCCTCTTGGACAATTCAACTGCTCTCAGCCCAGAGATGCGAATCACCTATGCGAGGCTGATATGTACAAAGCCCACTCGAGGCGCAGCGACCTGTGGTCCAGAATGCTGTCAAGCCGCATCCCGGGCGAACCTATCACGTCCAAGAGACCAAAGTGCCCGACCAAAGTACCTTCGTCCCCAACGAAACGGACGATCAGGTCACGTGCCCATGTCTGCATATTCGGAAGATGTATGCCGTACGAGATCGGAAAGATGATGGATCTAGAATCGCTCGCCCAGCTCCATGGCAGAGTGTGAAGAATTGTAAGAACAGCTCGTCAAGGTTCAAATTTCCCCAGATTGCGGGAAGGCGCGTCCTACGCGAGCGTGACGTCAGCCATGGTATCCACCATCATCACCACTCCACGATCAAGTTCAAGATGCTGAGAAAACAACGTTGCACGATTGATACGGCTTCTTCAACGCAAAGATACACAGCAGCCGTGTATACCGGTTCGAGCCACGCCCAGCCCAACTTTCATGTAGAGCACTCATCTCTAGAACGTTTTCATCATTCCCTTGTGCCCCGGTCCCATTCCTCATACTCCTCCCTATGCACCAACTCCTCAAACTCCCCCCTCAACACCTCCCCACCCTTCCACCTCTTCAAGAACTCCTGCACCTTCGGCGCAATCTGGTCCGCCGTGTACCCAAAATACTTGTACGCGTCCGGACCCGGCAGACTCTGCCCAAACCTATTCTTGCTCATGCACACCGCCGCGTCCGCATACTTCTCCCAGCCCGTCGCCGTGTATGCTTCGACGACTATCGCGGGGATGTTCTTGCTGGTGTGGCGCTGCAGGACGTTGCGCTGATACGACCTAGGCTGGGCGTCGAAGAGGCGTTGGCACGGGAAGGACACTAGGCGGACCTTGAGATTGTGTTTCGAGCGGAGCAGGTCGGCAGTTGACGAGGCGATGTTGAATTCAGGTCCAACACCGATCAGGGTGATGTCAGCAGCGTCTCCTGGGTCCTCGCCAATGACATAGGCGCCTTTGGCGACTTTGTCGCGGCTGGTCAAACCAGGGAATTGAGGAATGCCGTGTCGGGAGGTCGAAATGATGCTGGGTGTAAACTTGGCCTTGATAGCGTGATCCACGCTCCTGCCGTCTCTTCTGTATCTGCCGGGCGGATGTACAACAAATTCGGCATGGCGCGATACAGGGCGGCGAGCTCCAGAGGCTGATGCGTTGGACCGTCTTCACCTGTACCAATGCTGTCGTGAGTGGCGGCGTGGATGACCTGCAGGCGTTGAAGCGCGCCCATGCGCACAGCCGCGGCGCAGTAGATGTAGAACATGAAGAAGGAGGATGTAATTGGAATAAACGTTTGGGCGCCCGGCCGGCCCCAGGCAGCGATACCGTTCGAGATGGCGCACATGGCGTGTTCGCGAATACCGTAGTGGATATATCGGCCAGAGTAGCTGCCATCCGGGCCGGTCGAAGGATTGAGATCTGGCGAATTGAAGGGAATCATGTTGTTGTACTTCATGTTCACGGAGGGTGTAAGGTCCGCCGTGCCTACTATACTGCATGGAGGTCAGCGCTGTTCTCAGATCCTCGCCTGGGACAACTTACAAATTAGGGACATGTTCGACGATCGGGTTGAGGACCAAGCCGGACGCAGCACGCGTTGCAGTGGCTTTGTTGGGGAACTCCTTTGGGATGTACTGCTCCCAGTCAGGAGTGTTGCCTTCAATTCGGGCAACGAAAATTTTATGAAGCTCTGGATGCTGCTTTCCATACGCGGCAAGGAGGTCATTCCATTCGGCAACATGGCGTTTGCCTCGTGGGACGATGTCGCTAAAGAAATCGCGCACAGATTGAGAAATCTGCCACATTTCGTCTTCCTTAAAGCCGTAAGCCTTCTTCATCTGAGCAACATCTTCGGGCTTGAATGCGGCTCCGTGCGCAACCGCTTGACCGGCGACATCGCTACCAAGGCCAATGATTGTGCGTACGTTGATAAAGGTGGGCTTGTCAGACTTCTTGCTGAGCTCCAGGGCCTTGACAATCAGCTCAACGTCATGGTTACCGTCCATGATGTCGATGACCTGATAACCGCAAGCACGCATCTTGGCGTTGATATCTTCCGTGTTGGTGATATCTACAGCCCCATCACAGGTGATCTGGTTGTTGTCGTAGATTATTGTCAGGTTGTTGAGCCGCCAATGCCCACCCAAGGATATTGCCTCGAGTCCGACGCCTTCTTGCAGACACGCGTCTCCAACAGTGCACCAGATATGATTCGATATGATATCGTAATCTGGCGTGTTGAACGTGGCTGCCAGGTTCTTGCTGGCCATGGCAAGTCCTACAGCGTTGGCCACGCCCTGACCGAGAGGGCCCGTGGTGACCTCAACGCCCTCGTGTTCGATCTCAGGATGTCCCGGACACAGGCCGTCCGCGCGATCCGAGTGATACGACTTCAGCTGGTCAAATGACATATCATTAAAGCCGGTCATGTGTAAGTAAACGTATTGCCAGATGCAGCAGTGGCCATTCGAGAGGATGAATCGGTCTCGATTGATCCAAGTTGGATCTCGTGGAGCATAGCGCATTGTGTACTTCCATAGTGCGATGCCAATCGCCATCATGCCGATCGCGCCACCAGGGTGGCCACCCTTGAATTGCTGGCATAAGTCGGCGACCAAGACTCGCAATGTCTTGAGTACCAGAGCATGCTCATCAGAGACATTGCCGCCATTTTGATCTGCTTCGACCACCTTCTTCACGGCGGATTTGCTGTAGTCGTTAGCGCCGTTTTTCGAATCCGCGGTGGCGGTAGGTGGTGCCATGTTGATGCTGCTTTGGAGCGCTGTGGTGGTGCTCTGCGAACAACCATATTAATGTTCAACCGCCGGCTCAACGGGACTGAATTGTGCCACATCATGACGATGGAGACGACGTTGTAGTTTCGACGTCAGGAGCCAGCCTTTGGGGGAGCTGAATGAGCATGTCATGATCTTGTTAATCGGCGATGACATCGTAAGGACACTCAATCATAGGTGTTTCTGGAAACTCTGTCAATTCCGCCATGCGGGGATCGCGCCGAGTCGCGGGGTTCAGGAGTTGTTCGCCATAACGACGGAAATTACCCTTTGCAACAATCCATGTACTGGCCTAAAGCCACGTGGTGTGTAGGCGAATGTCTCACCGGTATCTGACACGATCTCCCAAGCTGCCAAGAGCGTATATGTGGCTGGCGGAGGCGCCGAGTACCAGTCATTCTGGTCATACGTGCGGAGAGAAAACGCCACAAACAGCTCAAGTTGCGCTTCATCAAGTCATCGAGCCGGGCGCTCTGAGGTGTCTCATTCTGCAGTACTGTAGTTGCACGACTGCAGAATCTTTCACGGCTTCTTGCTCTAATGCAGACTCCAAGGTGATGTCAGTCTCACTGCTCCAAACGCGCCGCGTGTCCTTGCTCTGTCTAAACGCGTCTATGCGAAATAGAAAGACGTCGGAGGCTCCAGCCTACTCCATGCTCCTAATCCAGGCGCCTCGTCTCACACGCATCGTTGATGCAACGGATCGAATTGGCTCACAGCTTGGGCTGAGCCGATCTGCTATGCGCTACAATCTGGTCGACCAACTCTCGCAGGATGTCCTTTCGAATCTTACCGCTGCCTGTAAGTGGAAAATTTGCGATATGCTCCCCTGTGCCGACCCAGAACACATGAGCAGGCGCCTTGTGTCGACCCAGACGAAGTTGCACCCATTGCCTTAAGTCTCCCAACGCCACTTTCTCACAACCAGGCCGCAATGCCAAGACTGCTGCAACCGCCTCGCCATATTTCTGGTCGTGGGCACCTATCACGGCAGCTTGACTAATCGACGGATGATCCAGAAGGCGCTCTTCAATCTCTCCAGGATACACGTTCTCACCTCCTTGTCTGTCTGTCAGCGCAAAGTCAGATTGCCGAAAGTGACAGGGGAACATACCTCGAATGATTATGTCCTTGATTCTTCCCGTTATGCGACAATATCCGTTTTCGTCGATGGTTGCTTCATCGCCAGTGTGCATCCATACGACGCCGTCTTCGCCCCGAATCATTGCTTCGGCCGTCTTGTCAGGGTTCTTGTAGTAACCTTTCTGCAAAAGCCAACCAGAGATACAGAGCTCGCCTGGCACACCAAGCGGGAGTGTGCGGTTCTTGGAATCAACGACCTTCGCTGAAACATGAGGCAAAACGCGACCGACGGTCTCAAGGCGCTGCTCCAATGTGTCTGTCGTCTGTGTCATGAAGCTTGCTGGTGAAGTCTCAGTCATGCCTAAGTTGCGTCACAAGGTCAGCCGGATCGAAAGGGCCTAGTCACCTGATCAAGCGAACTCACCATAGGAGATGGCAATGTTCTTGAAACCTAATTGCTCGTGGAGCTCCGTCAACAACGCTGGAGGGACCTTGCTTCCTGCGGCGATACCTGTTCTCAGTGTGTTCACCCTTTGGCCTGTGTTCTTCAGCTGCTGCATGATAGCTGTGAACATGGTTGGAACACCATGAAGAACGGTGCATTTCTCTTTTACGATCACCTCAGCCACGGCTGCCGGGTCGAAGTCTCGATTGGCGTACACAATCGTCGAGCTGTGGGTATACGACGCCAAGAATCCAGCGACCAAGCCAAAGACATGGTAGAGCGGCGGTGGACAGCATATGATATCTTCGCAATCAAGGCCGAGATAGTCGCCCATGAATCGGGCGTTGTTGAGGAGGCCGCTGAGAAATGATGGTCAGCACACGGTGAAGACTTGGGAGCTGTACAAAGCACAGTCATGATCCCTGAGAACGACATCGGTGTGCTTACAAATGAGTGAGCATGGCTGCCTTGGGTACTCCTGTGGTGCCGCTGGTGAATTGTATGTTCGCAATATCCTCGGCATTGGCTGCGGCCTGCAATCGCTCCAGGGTCCTCTCGGGGATCAGTCTGCCTGCAGTCACCACATCTTCCCAAGACATCCCCAAGCCTCTTCTGGATCCCCCGTCGCGCATACGAACCAAATGCTTCATGTTGGGGCATTGCCGTTCCAAATGCTGGAAGAGAGTATCAGAGGGCTTGCCATTCACCTCGTCTGCAATGAACAATGCCAGAGGCTCTGCTTACGATCTCAGTATTCACCCATCAAGCGGAAGCCCGCGGATTGTCCACCATGGTCGATGGATATGAAGAAGTGCGCACCTATGTGTCTGACCGCACGTTCACATTCCTCAGCAGTCCAGGTCTTGTTGTAAATGACCAAGCACACCCCGATTCGCGCAGCAGCAAAGAAGAGTATGATAAATCTCTCATCATCGCCGCAAAATATTGCGATGCGACTACCGCGGCGAGCACCCAATTTAATGAGACCCTTGGCAAGTTTTATGCTGTATTTATCGATATCAGCGTACGATATTCTGGCTCCGGTCCATGCCACTCCGACAGCCGCTTTCTTGGGATGACGCTTAGCCTGCAACTGACAGAGTTGTCCCAGAGTCATGGTCATGAGCGGCGGGTCCTTAGACCCGGTGACCATGGAGAGTCTGGCTGTCATAATTGACCTAGCGATTGTCAATAAAGACAGTCTGTAGACACCACCAAATCAGCAGCGACGACGAGGTCTCCGCCGAAGATGGCGAAGGCACGACTTGATATATCCATGATGCCCAAGGACAGCGGCTTGCATCTGCGGAGATTAGCAACGCATACGTACACAGTAAGTCCTCCTAAGCTTGCGTTCAGGCGTGTAGTCAGAGTAAGCAGCGTGTTCCTGACACTTGTACCTGATCCGGCAAGATGTGGATCGAGAATCACGACTACCGAGCTGCAATCCCCCAATGATATTTTGCATTCAGATGCCACACCGAGCTTGGTGTGCCTGAACCTCGTTCACTGGCATAAAACTGGTCAACATACCTTACATAAGGCAAGTGATAATGCCATGGTACGACTCATGCAATCGATTCGACAGTCGCGCTATTTGCGGCTTTAGCACTACAACGTGTGTGCAGGGTCAGCATTTGCGGCATCGGACTGACAATTGCGCCGTACTGGCTTCAACGATTGCAAGGGTAGGACAACGTCGTCTCTGATGCCACTTTTTGCCTGTTCACACTCGACCATAGACATGACAGCGTCTCAGTCATGCATTAGATAATCAGACGGAATGGATCAAAGCGCACGTCAGTGTAGGTCGGAGATCTCGCATTTTAAGGCGCATTCTGCCAAAATGTTCAAGGCCGGTCAAGTCCCCTACGTCAGTGCTTGGCAAACCTTGCTTGCCGATTAGAAAATCGCCTAACTGCAATTCAAACTGAAACAAAAGGGACCGCGATATATCAGGCAAAAGTTTCTTTCCAGGCATACAAGCCCCCAGTCGTCCCTTGTCATGTGTTGCGCAGAGCTCTGGACTCTTCGCCGAGATGGCAATTCGATTGTTCGAGGCGCACAAAATCGCTGTGGGACTTTGCACGGGCCTCTGCTCAGTGATCTAGCAGGTTCTAACGGATGAGTGCGGCCGTACCTTTGGATGCGATCAAGTGTCTATGCTCGGCGTAGCTCTTCAGGTCCGGGCTCAGCGAGCTCCTCACCGAGCGTGCTGGAGCGAAACCACGCCGGCGTACTTCCAGCCAAGAGGTCTCGCCTACATCAGACCTGGAGAAGCCCCTACGAGCCCTGTCGCAACCAAATAGCCTGGTAAGCGTCCGGAGCTTCCTGTCAGGATCTCCCGGTATTGATCAATCACATACTCGCTACAGAGGACTGCCGACATTGAGCCACGAACGAGTGTATAGCCATTGGCTAATACTGGCTAGCCAGAACTGATGTGCACTTCATTGTCAAGTGGCAATACCCTGTATATGGTATACCTTGAACCTGCCCGTGGACATGGAGTTGCCACTTGACAATCAAGTGCACATCGCAGACTCGTCCCATGCCGCTGGGTTCTTTTCCCAGTCCTTAGGATCATATAAGACGGCCATGATAATTCCATCGTCCTCAATCCTCAGCATGCTCAGCCCATCTCTTCTTTCCTACATTCTTTTCTCGCACTCATTTGCTCCTTGACTCGCTTCATTGACTGAAGCTACACTCACTTGACTACAGCCAAGCTGCTCACCCACATTCATTTGTTCATTCGACACCAGGATCCCACCATGTCAGCCCTCACCAGCAGCATCATCACAGTGCTTGCTCTAACAAGTAGTGCATCTGCCCATGGATTCGTCAGGGGCATTACAGCTGGAGGTCGCTACTATCAGGGTGCTGATCCATCATTCCAGTACCAACCCGAGAGTCAACGTCCCGCGGTGGCTGGCTGGTCGGCTCAGAACGTCGACAATGGCTTCCCGGACCCAGTATACAATGCACCAGACATGATCTGCCACAAAAGCGCTACACCTGGCCAGGCGTTCGTGGAGGTGGCTGCTGGGAGCCCACTCACTCTTCACTGGAATACCTGGCCAGACACACACAAAGGACCTGTCATTGACTACCTCGCCAACGCCCGTGGCGCCTTCTCATCAATCAACAAGGCATCTCTGCAATTCGTCAAAATTGCTGAGGCTGGACTTTCAGGTGGCACTTGGGCTGCGGATCGTCTCATTGCTTCGAACAACTCATGGACCACGACCATTCCAAGCTCTATTGCAGCTGGGGACTACGTTTTGCGCCACGAGATCATTGCCCTACACAGCGCCAGCTCACCCGGAGGCGCGCAGAACTACCCTCAATGCATCAACCTGAGGATCACTGGTGGCGGCAGCAATTCCTTGCCGTCTGGTACGCTTGGCACAGCACTTTATACCGGAAATGAGCCTGGCATTGTGTTCAATCTCTACAACAACCCAACCAGCTACCCAATCCCAGGCCCAGCATTGATGGCTGGTGGTAGCTCGGGAGGAGGAAGCGCTAGTGGCGGTGCGACTACGACGACAGCCAGAGCTACTGCAACTGCAACTGGAGCCACAACTACCAAAGTAACGACTTTGTTGACCGCAACAACTAGAGCCACGACATTAGTGACCTCTACACGGACGAGCTCGCCAGCGACAAGCCCGACCAGTGGTGGTGGTAGTGGCAATGCGGCAGCACTGTACGGTCAGTGCGGTGGCTCTGGCTGGAGTGGTCCTACAAGCTGCCAGTCTGGCACCTGCAAAGTGCAAAACCCGTACTATTCGCAGTGTGTGCCGAATTGAAACAGATGCCGGTGGGCAGGAACCGGCTCTGCGAGCGCATCGGATACAAGGGCAAGCGGCGGCACTGCCGTCGGCGCTGTGGCTCTGATACACTGATTGTTGGTGATGAGGCTACGGCTGATATGTTCATCTTCACTTCTGACACACACAGAAACCTGTGTATACCTTTTTCGTCTTCTTAAATGATATCATGCAGCTGCTACCTCTTTGATCACGTGACCCGTATGGCGTGTCATCCGGCGTAGGGCGTTTTTTCGACGAGAATTCAATTTACTGTGCTTCAATGCATCTACTGCCATCGCGCACGCAGCTCGCTGCACCTGTATGATCGGGCAGCGACGCAGTCGACGACTGCGACTACTATGTCCGCCATCTTCGACCCAATCATAATGTATGCACCGATCATACAACATCGACCAGGGCCTTCGTCTGGCCGTGCTCTCACCGCTGGTAACTGGCAACAGCGAGGCTCACCCGAGAGCTTGAATACGCATCGACTCTTCGCGCTACAACGTGAATCCCGGGCGTTTTGACCTTGGAATCAGCCTAGCTGTCTCTACGATAATGCTTGCAATGCGAATGGAGCTTCCGTGGCAGCCTCGACACCGTGAATCTTGGCGAGCTGATCTTCTGGGTTGGGCGGAAACCTACAAATGGGTAAAGTACTGGCAGTGGCAAAGGTAAGGTGATGCGGTGAGCAAGATCCATAACACAAACAACAGAAAGCAGCGCAGCAGCCGCGGTGAGATCTCTCATTATTAATCCCGGCGCTTCGCTGTTCTTTGACTTCGCCTACATATGTGCCCAAGGTCTTTGTGTCATCCCCCATCACGCACTTATGCACACTGTCATCATCGCACAGAACCGCGATTGTATCTACACTCCCTCAGTCAGTTCGGACGAGGAAGCGACACCACTCTTGGAGCAGCCACCTCACAACAAGATGGGTGACCAGGCTAACGAAGAGTTCGAAATCGGCGCCTATCTTACGATGTTCAGTCTGGGGATAGGTATTCCACTCGCCTTCGTCTCGCACCCTGTAGCCACTACATACTCCGACCTCTGTATATGTTTCACATTCGCCGCCATCTTCAGTCGATACATCGAGTTAGTACAACCTGGTCAATATCGGATCGCCTATATCGCATATCAATTCTTCTCGATGGTCCTCTTCCAGACCGTGATGGTCGCTGCTAGAGCCAACACTCGGTAGGGCCTTCACAGTGTAGGACCTACCTCGGCCTCGCCAATCCCAGTCGACGGACTATGGCACTGCAGACACCGCAGTCGCTCGTCTCCAGTCACTGTATGAAGAGCCGGCAATACACATCCCCCAAATCCTCCCCACTATCACCGACTCGCTTGACGAAACTATAATCATCCGCCGGACCATCGCATGACGGCCATACGACACCTGATCAAAACCAACAGGGCATGTGGTCAATCGGACAGGGAGAAAAAGCCAAGTAACCCGAGCAGACTTGAAAGCAGTACCATCACTAGCATAGAGTGATTGATCCAACTAGACAGAAACAATCTCTCAGATCAAATCAATGACGTGCCCTGAACTTCACGTCAAGGCACCCTACACCGCGATACTTCATTGATCCCATCGTCTTTCCAGCCTCTCGGGCGCACAAAGGCCCCACTATCCCACCAGTCCCACTTCCGCAGCACTTTCAGCGTGTCGAAGTCATAGGTCACTTTCTGTGATTCCAATCAGCTCCGACCGACTTCAAGAGCACAATGAGAATGAATAGAAATCGCGGACAAACTCACCATATCTGCGATCGCAGTCTTATGTCCCATGCTATCGGCAACCCTGCAGATTCCAATCCTTGCCGTGACGTGCACATCGAACCCTCTGTCCTCGCGGCTGCCCAGTCCTGTAGTCGTGTACGCGCAAGCGTTCCGGTGCAACAGGGACAACAGCCGCTTGTCGTGAAGACCCGCGCGAACATCCCAAGGCGATTGAAAAGACTGCAGGACGAAGCTGACATAGCTGTCTAGGGTCGGCGTGACTATCTGCACGACTTCACTCGTGTCGATTGCGTGCGCTTCGCCGGGGAAATCTTCTCGACCAGCGCTGGCAGCAATGGACTCGAAAATGACAAGCTCAAGTTTCGGCAGGTACTTCTTGTTCATGTACCGCTGATTAAAGCCAAGAATGCTGAACAGCCGTAGCGTGGTGACTGACCACGTGATACTCCCCTTGAGCAAACGTGAATAGTCATCATCAAGCGCCGCAGGCGGTAAGTCCCAGGGCTTCAGATCCAAGCCTGTGTGAATGCCACCTACAGGTTTGATGCATAGCGGCCGCCTCGGTCCAGACTTGGTGGTCTCGCACTGAACGGCGAAATCTCGAATGATGTACAGTTCTGTGCGAAATGCATCCCAGGCTTCAGCGTTGACTTGCTTCGAGACGAGGAACAGTGGGTGGTGAATGCTGGTTTCGTGAAGTTGCCATTGGATATGGGAACTGGTCAGGACGTGATCATCTGGGTGGTGATCGAGCTCTAGTTCAAGCTTGATGCGTTCGTCTGTCTGATCGAAGACTGAGGCGTATATGATCGCTCGGACCTCAGGTGGGAGAGTGAGGAAGGAGATGGGGGAAGTCATGCTTGTCTGGCCTTTCCTTTGCAATGAGATGCTATGAGTGCAGGCACGTATTCCAATCGCTACTTCCAAGGGATTAAATCAACTTGATTGTCACAATGAGATCTCCGCCTCACGTTCATGCAAATCCCAGCGTGAATGTTCCTAGGTACCGTGTCCATCAGGCAACAGCGGTGGCCCAGATAGAAATCCAAATCTGGAATGTGGCCTGCCTCACACGCCAGAACTGCATAGTCAGCTCACTTTAACATTCACAAGAAATTCATTGTTCTCTTCATCATCGTTGCACGAGATGAGCCACTTGTGATATCATCCTGCAGTGTGCCGTTGCACAGCCAAGGTCACTTGAGATCGCGATAATTTGACGCTTGTACCTAGGGTGTAGGGACACTTCGAGCTACCCGGTTGTCGATATGCTCAAGAACATCGCGACTCTGGCAAGAATGTTATCGGCATCCGCGAAGACGAAGCGAGCCGAAGAGCTCACATATCAGGTGGCATCCACCCCCACTTCACTACCTGACAGGCACTATGCCTGCCGAGACCTGTCGACCCTTGTCGACTTCACATCTACCTATGCCAGCATCGAGTCGCACTCTGATGATGCTACGCCAGTGTCTAGGAGATGCGCTATGCAAAACGTGGACACTGCAAGCCACAAGCGACTGCATTCGAGAGGGGTTGGCGTCCGTGGCTAATAGCAATGCGTAGGAGTTGATATCGGTCATCTTTGTTATCAGAATGTGTCGACCGAATTCAACAAACTGTTTGCCGTCAAGGAGACCCTCCAGAAAGTCGGCATGTTGCTCTCAGCCTACCTAAACAAAGATGCCTTCTACCAGACCCTCCAGCTACTTCTCGCCCTGTTCGTTGCACGCGCGATTGGCTACGTGATTTACTATCGCTTTTTCCACCCATACAGAAACTATCCTGGACCATTTCTAGCCTCAATCACGAGCATCTGGTACTTCAGAGCCGTCAGATATGGACGCGCTCAGGACTTCCAGCTCGCCATTCACAAGAAGTATGGCCCGTTCGTTCGCATCAGCCCAGATCAGATTCAGATCATGGATCCTGCTGCGATTGAGACTATCTATGGCCCGAAGAATGTCTTCAAGAAATCCGAATTCTACGAAGGCTTCAACGCACACATTGCCGAGCGTCGAGGTGGATTCGAGGAGCACGATGAACGCCTGCATATGATCCGTCGTCGGATCATTGCGCCTCTATATACACAAGCATCAATCTTGGAGTTCGAGCCATGCGTCGACCGGCTTATTTCCATCTTCTACCACAAGTTGCAGCATTTCGCAGAGACCGGCAAACAATTCGACATGTCCGTCTGGTTGCGGAAGTACACATTCGATGTGATTGGCGAGATCTTCTACGGGCGACTGGGTGGCTTTGGTAGGTTTCGTCTCTCAAGCTGGAATGTTGTGTACGAGGCATTCGACACTGCGCATCAGTCTGACTTGTCTTCTCCAGGCTTCATGCGCGATGATATAGACTACAACAGGTGGTGCCATCTGATGGACGTTATGCCGCCGCCGATCTCTGCGCTGACCTACCTGCCGTACGGGTTTCGAAATCTGTGGTTCATGTACGAGCTACTATGGCCGTCGACCCGTGAGGGCGCGAAGGGACACTTCGACGTCGCCAAGCAGGCAAAGATTGCTGTCAAAGAGCGGCTCAGTGATATTGAGAAAGCCAATGCCGTTCCAGAAGACGAGAAACGTGCAGGTGAAATTGTGCCAGAGAAACCGTTTCAGCGGCAAGACATGCTCTCCAAGCTTCTCTCTCTTGTTACGCCAGCCAGTAGACCCTATGACCAGAAAATACACATCAGGTGAGTGCTGGGTAAAGGACCTCGCAGCAGCGACCCCACGTGCTTAGGGAAAGCTTTGCTGACAACAGTACCGCAGCATCCTCGACGTCGCCGCGGAAATATGGACTATGATCTGGGCAGGCAGCGACACTACGGCCATCGCCTTGACTTCGATCTTCTACCATCTCCACTGGTTCCCCGTCACACTCGATAAGCTGCGCGAGGAGATCGACCACGCTTTCGCCACAGGTCAATTGTCGTACCCACTACGCTTCGCGGACTGCATCAAACTGCCGTACCTTCACGCAGTCGTCCGCGAGGCGATGCGCGTTCACCCTTCCCTCGGCACAGGCTTACCTCGTATCGTGCCAGAGGGTGGCGCCACTATCTGCGGTCGCCCATTCCCTGCCGGCTATGGTGTGATCATGAATCAGTGCGCAGTCCACTTCGACAAAGGCATATTCGGCGATGACGCAGAGGAGTTCATTCCAGAGAGATGGATCAGGGACGGTGAAGTGAGAGCGGCGACCATGGAAAGGCATATCCTGCAATTCGGATATGGGCCACGCATCTGCATTGGGAAGTGGATCACGATGGTGGAGATGTATAAGTTGCTGCCTACGATACTCAGAGACTTCGAATTTGAGGGAGTGGGAGAGGGCGGGAAGCAGGGAGTCTTGAAGGAATGGAAGGTGTGGGCTGGATGGTTTCATCAGCAAAAGGGCGTGGATGTCGTGGTGAGGAGAAGGAAGGGTCGAGAGCAGAGGGAAGATGACGTGGTGGTTGAACTAGGAGACTGGGCTGTTCCAAAGGGCCACGACGCGTTCGTAAGTTGCACAGGCGATATCGAACATATCAGCTGTGACGATGGCACATTTGCATAAAGCACGGCGGCGCTGGCTACCTGGAGCCATGCTAGTCACCTTGCAAAATGTCACTTCACTTTTCGCGTAGTACCAGTCAATAAACTCGATCATTCACTTATCGAGAAGCTCGTGCCAAGGCTTGACTCGCGTTCACGTGATCCTCGTGATGTAAACAATGGGCTTGTCGCCAAAGCCTCATCCTCTGCTGCTGTTCATTAGCGTTGTCGTGCCTTCGCGCGGGAGAACACGCCAGCGTCGCGATCATGAGCTCTCCTCCGGGCTCGACGACGAAGCGACAGCGTCTGTCGTCCATGCGGCAGTCGATCCGCACACCCTTGCGGACATCGCAGCATGGAGCATCGGCCATCCCAGTGCCGTCGCAAAGCAACCACGGCACCAAAGGCGCCGCCTCACAGCCGACCTATGACTTCTTAAGTGGCGACACCGAGAACAACCCACCAGCCAAAAGGACCATGCTTAGGAAGTCGTCCTTTTCGAACATCAACCATGCCGAAAACGAGAACTATCGCGCCAAAGCCATGGGGCTTGAGTACGAACTCAAGAATCTGCAGCAGGAGCGTAATATGCTCAAGTTACAGCACGAGAAAGAGCTCCGGGACGTGCAGGCTCGAGCAGATGCCGACTTCAAGAAGTATCAGAGTGCTGAAAGCGCTTCGCAGAAAGCAACGCTGCGATACGATGCTCTTCAGAAAGAGATGCGCGATGTGCAAGATCAGATCATCAACGAAAAGGCTGCGCTGGAACGGAAGCTACGCGACATGCAAGATCAGAACGCTGCGCTCAAGGAGGACTCAGAAGACGCGGAGGGCAGGCTTGCAGACTCCGAGCGGCATTACAAGCATCAGCTGCACGACGTCGAGGGAAAGCGTGTCGCGCTGCAGGAGACAGTGGATAAGCTGAGAGAGGACTTAGCACGGCTGACTGGAGATTTCGAGAATTCTCAGACCCGGCTTGCTCAGCGAGACGCGGAAGTCGCTGGCTTGGAAGCGCAGGTCGTGGATCTGAAGACACACACGGGTGACAGCGACGCTTTGGGCGTTCTACAGACGCAGTTGTCTGAGCAAGTGACGCATATTCGCAATCTGGAGATCACGAATCGAGAGCAGGGAGTGGAATTACGTCGGCTTCGCGACGCACACCGCAGTGTTCAAGTCGTCGAAGAGCAGAAACGAGGCCTGGAAACAGAGCTGCAGGTGCTCCAAGATGTCGAACGACAACTGGGCGAGGCGCAAATTCAGAAAGAGATACTTCAGGATGAGAAGCGTCAGTGGACTAGTCTTCTTGAGCAGAACGGAGAGCAGCCCGAATTCGAGTCGCCCGAAGCGGTCGTGAAAGCTCTTGTTGAGACACGTCTTGAGGTCACAACTTTATCGGAACGGATAGGCCTCGCTGAGACCGATCTGGCTGAGAAAGACGGCATGTTGACCACAATCGACGCCGAGCGCAATGCTTTGAAGGATGAGCTGCGGAAAGCCAAAGAGGCGACCCCGCCAACCACTTCAGATTCGACCGACAATAAGGCGTACAAGCGGCTGGAACGCGCAAAGGCTCTCGCTGTCAAGGAGACAGACTATCTGCGTGCTCAACTTAACTCGTTGAACGACGAAGAGACGAGCGAGAACCCGAACTACGACGGTCAGCGTGCCGAGCAGATTAAGCAACTGGAGTCGTTAGTAGATCAATACAAGACCGAGATCGCCACACTGCACGCAGATATCAGCAAGCTTGAGCAAGTGCCGGCCAGCGAACCTAGGGGGACGAAACGGCCCGCAGAGAGCCAAGAGCCGGATGCTGAGACGTCAGAACAGCTGGGTCCACTACTTCGCAAGAACAAGCATCTGCAAGTGGCTTTGCAGAAGACTGGACAGCAATCGAAGATGCTTGCAACCGAGCTGCAAGCGGCCAAGGCGCAGCTGAAGTCGTTGCGTGAGAGCAGCAAGACTCGCGTGTTGGAACTGCGGGACAACCCGACAGCGAAGGCTGAAGCGATCAAGATGTCGACGTTGAGAACGCTCAAGGAAGAGAATACCAACCTGCTCAGCCAATTGCGGGGCGAGGACTTGCAGGGCGTCAAGGTCGTCCCCGTTAGTACCGTGGACGCGCTCAAACTCGACATGGAGGAGATGCAAATCGTCCTTGCCGAGAAGGACAAGACCATGCGCCGACAACGAGAAATCTGGACACAAAAGGCAGCCGAGTTCCGGGATGTGATCGCGTCGGTCCTCGGTTGGCGCATCATATTCCTGCCCAATGGAAAGGCCAAGGTGTCCAGCGTCTTCTACGGAAAGGAAGGTGAAGCCGACGACGAAGATGCAGACGAGCATTCTATCACTTTCGATGGCGAGAACGGAACCATGAAGATCAGTGGTGGTACCACTGGTCCGTTCGCACAGGAAATTAAGGAGCAAGTCGACTTCTGGGTGAAGGAGAAGAAAGAGATACCAGGATTTTTGGCTGCATTGACGATTCAATTTCACGATGAATATCGTAGTCGGTAGATGGCAGCTCGCACTTTTTATATCCTCTTTGAGTATAATGTAGATGACATGCAGCTGTCAACGAGTACAAAGTTGATGACTCGGAACAATTCATTGTGCGGTAAGCCTTCCACATGCGAGTGACCCGTTGCTTTATTGTTTGCTTTTACTGCCGAGGGTAGCTGCTACATGGGGCATAGCCCAACAGTTTTGCATCGGGAGCGGGAGGGGCAGTTGCACTATCACCTACTTCGTCCAGGCTTCCTGCACCCTCATCCCCGTGGGAGATCTCGTCACCCCTCGTGCCCAATCACTGAAGGCCGTAGCACAGTCTTGTCAGCTTTCAGGTACCTTGACAGCCAGCCTGTGGTGTCGCGAAAATCTTGCTTATCATCCGAACCAGTCTCCGAAGGTGCTCCTCATTGATGATCTGTACCACCGGACGAGTGTTACACTAAGCTATGAAAACCCCCTCAGGCCATCGCCTCTGACCAAAAGCAGTCAACGCTTCACCGTGCTCTGCCTGTATCCGTCCTATGCTCCCAGACAAGCACCATGCAAGACTTTGAAGCGAAGACTCAAATATGGCCGGAAACAAACAGGCCTTCCTTTTCGTGAACAAGGATTGGCAGAGCCCCTCGTTGACCAAGACCTCCGCCAAGGAGCAGACCAATATCAACAGTCACGTCCAACGAGGCAGGCGTCATCATCGCAATCCTGCTTCTTCACGACGCAAAGAAGCTTCGAAAGACCAGACTGCACCTTCACTGAAGCAGTCCGAAAGCTCTGGTTCTTCTGAGTCTCCTCCTGAGTCATCCTCATCAGCGCTAGCAGTCCGTACTTCGCCTCGGCTCAGGTTCACTTCCATCAAACGCGAAGAAAGCACCGGCCAAGATGACGAGTCTGGTGCGTTGCGTATACGAACTGCGCAACAGACCTCAGATGATCTCGTCAACATCGCCAGTCCGTTCAATGACATCGATCGAGGCCATCGTACTACTGGAGGACTCCTAACGCCGGATCTGTCGCCTGCAGATATTGCACAGTTTACGACCTCATTAGATCCGTTCGACAACTCGTCTATACATCTGGATGCCAAGACGCATTCGCTGATCAACTACTACAAGGATGTCTACCATCCTGCCGTTTGGCACGTCGAAACTCGTGCTTCGTCCAAGGGCGAGTATGCCTTCCAGACGACTTCGGCCGATGTGATCCGGAGTGCTCTGTCAAGCGACGTCGACATGTTCGCCCTGCTAGCATGCATGGCTTCGCGGCTCGAATACGTCGATAAGGTTCCAGGATATTCTACTGACGAGTATCTTGGCAAAGCGCTGTCAGCCACCAGGAAGTTTATCGCAAAACGAGCCAGCCTGGGACCCAAGTCGCACGAAGAAATCTTGATGGTCATCTTTCACTTGTATGCAGCCGAGGGATATCGAAACAACGTCGCTGCGGCCAAGATCCACATGAAAGGTGCCAAAACTATCGTTACCGCAATCGGCGGGTTGAACAAGCTGAGAGACCCTCAGATGCAGGAGCTGCTCATCATTGGTGACGGACTGCTATCGGCAATGACATTGCAGCCCTGCGAGCTGCCATGTGAGTTTGACCCCGGTAATTACCTTGACGCGACACCAGAGCAATTGCGCCTCCCAGCAACATACGATCTCAGCCAGATCTGTCCAGCACTGAGGCGTCAGCCGCGGAGTCAGATCATCCGCCAGCTCTACAAAACTTGCTGGACCAAGTCGCAGAGCTCAATTGGGTGTTGATGCATGCTAAAAATGGCAATCCCGATGCGAGCAAACATGCAATGCGCTGGATACAGATGCGGAGCATGGCGATCAGACATGGGTTGCTGCAATTCAACATCAGCGATCCTCGTCTGGATAGCTTTAGAGGCAGTGTGGTGCTTTGGATAGTCACCACTACTACACTGCTTGGCCTGAAGAGGTTGGCGCTTGTGATCGCTCCACAAATTCGTGCCAAACTTCAGGCAGCGGAACAGCAGAGTTTGAGGTACAGCCATCGCGACATCAATGCGTGGATACTGTCATTGGGTGCGATGAGTGCGATGCCGGGCTCTCCTGATACCGCATGGTTCGTGAGTCGTCTGGCTAACCTTCTGGATGCAAGGCGCATCGTGGCACATGCGGCCGTCCGGGGTGATGGCGAATCAACTCTGCTGAAAATGCTTCGAGATCTCCAGACGGCGTTCTTCTTCCATGAGGCAGTGCACGGGGGGTATCTGGTAGCTCTGGCGAAGAATCTCATGCGCGAGGCGACTACGTGAGCGAGCTTAGTCTCAACTCAATGATTCCTAGACGTCCTTGCAGTCGTGCTGTGGTCGACTTGAGGTTGAATGGTATCTTCTCGATCGATCGAAAGGTGTACTCCCGGAAGACATCTGATACCAATTGCGGCGGTCGAATTCCTGCTGCCTGATACTCCCCATGTGGAGCCAAGACTGGGGACGATCTAGGGTACTACCAACATGCAGTGCATGCCACTCCATATTTATACACGGCTTGAACCATGGATCTACCGTGGGTGATGCTGCCGCGTCACATACACAACACAGAGAGCAGTTCAATGTCGATGATGCTGTCGACCTTGACCAATCAAGGTCCGGCAGTGAATAGTGTTTGATGGACTACGCCGTTCCGTCCTGCATTCGTCAAGGGAGTGATATCTCGGGAACCAGTACAGTTTCTTGTCGAGCAAGCGCCTTTTCATTAGGGTTGGGCCATTGTCTTGATGCTCATGTTTGCTTCAGGATAGTACTTCGCCGAATTGCGATGCGGGAAGCGCGTCTCGGCACGGCAAAGGACCAAACTGTGATACCACGTCCGCGGACGACACTACTACACATCCTTTACTCACAGGAGGGCAGAATTCTGTTGCCTTGCACAGCCCTGCATCATGCTGCAGTCAATTTCGACAAAGCCCTTTGAGCGTGGATTCGATCGTACGCACAGTCTATGCGGCTCCGTCGAGTGTTCCATCGACTCGGCTCCAACGGGACCGGGCTCGTTGGCGTGACAAGCCATGATGAACAACACGCAACACCTTCGTAAAGGCCTTGCTATTTGCGGATATGGAGGTGCGTCAGGTGGCACCTTCTCTCATGTGCCCGAATGCACCTGCTCTCACGAATCGTCAAGTGAAGGCAGGACGTAAAGCAATTGCCATCACTCCTTCCAAATCGCACAAGGCGCCTTCACCTGCACTGCCTTCACGTTCCGGGGCAAGCGATGCAGTCGCCCATATTTAAGGAAAGAAAGAATTGGTCTGTGCAATGGCAACCACGCACAGACATGGGGTCAAGCTCCCCAAGTGTTGACCTCGACGACCCGGACGCTCCACTTCTACGGTCCCGCTCTTACTTCTACCACATCATGGCTGTGAAGGCGTCGCTCCGACAACGCTTTCTCGGACTCTTGCGCTGTCGCGCAGATCTGAGCCACCCAGTCAAGAAGAAGAGAGTGACGTACCGACTCGTCATTTTCCTGCCATTGCTGGCATTGTTGACGTTCGCGCTGGTCATGTGAGCTACACAACTTCTGCGTGTAAACTGACTCTGATCATCTTGCAGATTGTATTACGCAGTCGCGTTCAGCATACTACGTGTGGTGCAGCCTCCAGCACCGAGGAATGGCCTGCAGGACATAATGGACCACTGGAAGGGTCCTGGGTCGGCAGATCTATCAAACATTGATCGCTACACCTTTGCGGCCGGAGTAAAACCCATACCGTGCCATAGTCACAATGACTACTCTCAGCGCGTGCCACTCTTCCAGGGATTGTCCGTTGGCTGCACTAGCACCGAGGCAGATGTATATCTTCCAGCAGTCCAGTCGCATACAACCGATCTACTTATAGCACACAAACGTGGAGCGACCACGTCTTCTCGGACTTTGAGATCACTTTACCTCGATCCTTTATTAGCCATTCTCACCGCCGTCAATGTCGGCAGTGCCGACTCCGCCAAGCATGGAGTCTACTCCAGCACTCAGTCCAACCAGACGCTACGGTTGCTGATCGATGTCAAGGAGACGAGGTCTATACGCATCGCATCGACGTTCTACCTTCTTCAGCAGCAGCTTCAGCCTCTTCGTCAAGCAGGGTACCTGACCACCTATAATACTTCAACGTCAACGTTGGTCATGCGGCCATTGACGATCATCATGACAGGATCCGCCGAGCTATCTCACATCACCAACCACACGCTAAACCCATTCCACGACGTCTTTCTCGACGCACCCTTGCACGACCTGTATCCTTCCGGCGCTGAGAGTCCTTACAATATCTCCAACTCCTGCATGGCGAGCACATCTCTCGCTACGCGTGTCGGAAAACCCAATATGCTGACAGGCAAGCTTAGCAAATCCCAGCTCGCGAAAATCGACGAGCAGGTTGCTGGTGCTCGAAAGTTGGGACTCGGGGCGCGTTACTGGGGTACGCCAACGTGGCCCGTGGGTGTGCGGAGCGGAATTTGGTGGGAGATGTTGACGCGTGTTGATCCGACGTCGTGGCTTGGTGATGCTGGCGATGTCGACACTGAAGCCACCGAAGATGGAGGTAGCACAGGCTGGGTCAATGTTGACGACCTGGAGGTCTTCCGGCGATGGGACTGGGACACAGGCGCAGGTAGACGAGGAACGTCAACATTGCTGGATTGGTGCTGGTTCTTGGGGCGGATCATTGGGGATGGTGTCTGTCGGTGACCGCATTCTGGAACAAAATTTCCACCATGTCACGGTGTTAATGGATGACGTTGGGACAAAGCCTGTTAAACTTGGCCACCGCATCTGGTGGTGGTACAAAAGGCTCACTGGAAGCCCTTGCTCAGGCCAGACTGAGTGAGCGTAGCCGTGACGAAGAGACGAAGGGAGATGCAAGCCCGTCTACGAATAATATTTTGAAATCTCTCCTACAACGTGTCCCGGCGAACTTTACCTCCGTGGTGAATATACTTATCAGTCCGAATGACAGCCATTGTTTCTGCGCAGACAAGACTGGAAGACGGAACCCTTCATGCGACTGCCACTGCGCTTGTCCATCCTTCAAGGAGATGACGACAGCACGAACACGAACGAGCCACTCCTTCTCACCAACATATCTTGAGGATCGCACAGGTAAATGGCTTCCGCCGTAACCTTGTCATCCGGTTTGGTCAAGGCTCCACGCGAGACCGGATGACATGACCACATCACACTCGCACCTTCTGTTTCTATCGGCCAAGCAGGCAAAAACAGCAAGAGCACATCGTGATCGCACCTTCTCATCTCGTTCCTTAGCAACGCCACGAGCGGCAGGTGCATCGCTCAGCACCTTCCACTATCGTTCAAGTCGTCAACCGGCTTGATCAGAGCCGGCCGTGCGACCGGTTGACATGACGTCTCGATGGTTTCGCGTTTCGTTCCCGCAATGGCAGCTGCCCTCCTTGGCCGTGACGTTGGTGACCTACCCGAACCACTTGGGACGGCGAGGATGCGGGAGCCAGACACGACTCGAAATCTCGAAGACCAGCAAGATAGAGACATAAGGCACAGAAGGTGACAGGAAGCCAAGTAAGAACGACATAAGGCTCAGAAGGTCCACACATGGAACCAGGAACAGGAAGCGATCAGTGTAACATCAAACTCAGTTCTATCGATCCTATATGCTCCCCAGAATTTCTCCGTCTTTCAATAAGAACACCAAAGCTTCGCACGCTCGTACGTATCGTCAAAATGTATCACCAAGCCAGGCTGAAACTCCGTTGCCTCTCACCATCACTGAAGATGCAGTCACCTGAACTCTCTCCACCCCTCACGCAACACCTACGACAGGTAGGTCTGCAGATTGCCCGCACCAGCAGTCAAGCCATTGCACCCACCGGACGCGCCACCAGTCTTGGGGTCATACCCGCTGCCACCACCGTTGCTCGCACCGCAGTTGACGAGCTCGTAGCCGAACCAGCAGCTCGGAGCGCTCCTGTCCGAGCACATGAAGACGCAAGTGTTCATGTCAGTCGTGCATCCCTTGCTGCCATCGGCCTTGTAGTGTGTCGTCGAGATCGAGCGACCAGCCATGTTGACCTCCCGTGAGACGTCGTAGGTGCTGTAAATACCGGCGAAGGTATACTCCAACCACGTCTGGTGCAGTTGACCGTTGACCATAGACGTGTCACCGAAGACGGGAGCGCAGGCTCCGCTAGCACCCTCGGCGTAGCTGATGGTGACATTCTGACCGGAAGGAATGGGAACCGAGATCAGAGGCGCAATGGCGTTGACCCAGGAGCCGGCAGGGCCCCAGCAGAAGAGGACAAGGTCATCGGCGGCAGTGTTGGTGAAGGTGTTGGTGTAGGGGCCATTGCTGCCGATCCACGCGCCGCTCGTTTGCGCGTAGCTGTTGAGGCCTGCCTTTGCGCCCAGGCCTTGGATCGTGGACATGACGGCGCTTGCGAGGGTACCGCGTTTCTCGTGCCTGTTGTCCATGTTAGTATTAGAGTGACCAGAGAGGGAGGAACTGGAGCGCGAGCATCGTGGCTGCCGCTCCAGCTCCGGGGTGATTGTGCTTACTCTGCCTCATGCATGACCTCGGCGTGACGAAGCGCATGGTTGTGCACTTTGCCCATGCCGTGCCTGTGCGTTGCGGCGGCTGACGCCACACTGGCGACAGCGGCCAGGAGAGTGGTGGACGTGTACTTCATCTTGTTTTCTGTTCTGTTTGTCTGAGTTCTACTCAAGGATTGTATAGTATTGCGTTTCGGGTTCGTCGATCACAGATCGTTGTCGTTGCAAAGGAGTAAAGGAGCGTGCGCAGGGAGAAAGGATCCGGAGGCGTGAAGGAGTGAACGCGAACGGAAAGTTCTTTGTGCTGGGAGTCGAAGATAATGAAAGGACGCAGAGTTCGAGAAGAATGCCTCGTGTTCTGCTGACAATGCTTGTTGCAAAGGAAGGTCAAAGAAGAGCCGATGCAGCTTTTCCGGTGCAAGTTCAGCGGCAGCGACAGCAAACAAGAGCAGGGGGCAGGGAGCAGTACACAGCACGGGTTCTGGGAAATCTGGGCAATGCAATGAACGACCCACCTTTGACCTAAGTAGCAAATCACCACAAGCGCGCGTCGAAGTAACTTCGAAGCCTGCAGTAGTCGGGGCTTCGGTGCATTGTTGTTGGAGGATGGTCGGAGCTTGCTTTGGCCTTGGAACGAAAATGCTGATCCGGCAACGGGGAATTTTGACGATGAACAGCGTGAAACAGGACTAACGCCGTGCCAATCTCAGGTACACACCAATCAAGTGCGACGTCGCTTGTGTGTACCTGACATTAGTGCATGGAGCTTGAGGGCCTCCCCGTCGCGCGTTTCTGTCCGACTTTGACTTCTGTTGCGTTGTTCCATCATGGTGGCAGGTTGAACGACGATAGATGGCATGCCACATCGTCATGCATTTTTTGCAAGTTGTCGATGTTGGGCAAGGCCGATCGAGATCGTGGTCAAAGTGCGCCGTAGTAATCTCAAGGCGCTTTGAGCATTTCGTGTCCGAAAATTGAGCGCTCCAGGCGTCGGCGTTAATCCGGAATCAAGGCTCTTACGGTCTCCTCCTGGCCCCTGCTTCAGGGTTGCGAGAATGAAAAACCCACCGTTCGTCCTGACTCTCTTGCTTCTCTGCTTCAGAAAACTTTTTCTGCATAATGAACATGGATGGATGCATTTCCGTATGACTAGAGCAAATTTTTTGTCGACGTGGCCGGACGTTGACCAGCAGAGATAACGTGTGTAAACCTCAGCATGCCGACCGGGGGCACTGACCGTTGCCGAGACCCTTGTGCCGATATGACTCCTCGGAACCAATTATGCTCTATCGTACCTGCATATCGGGTACAAGCCAAGGCGCGGGTGGACGTCGACAGTTCGTTGTTTTGCAGGTTTGCAACCAGTCTGGCACACTTCGTGATCCTGCTTGGTCCGATCGTCAACGGGCGACCCAGTGAGTGCCGGTGTGGACGCCGCCTCGGCTGAGAATTTTGGTCTTCATATCCTTGAGCGACAAGGAAGACGTGAGAAGCCCGGAAAAACGACGTCTGATAGTGGGCGATGGTGTACACTTCTCAGCATGACAAATTCCCGAATGAAAAATTTTGGTGGTGTTGAAAGCACTTGTGCTCGTGGACAGCAGAGGTGAGGCAGACGCCGAAATGTGGCAGAACAGATTAGCCAAAGGAAGAGCGATCGTAACCGAGACTGAGACTGCAGTGTTAGTTGTTGCTGCAGTTGCGATTGTGACTGTGCAACTGCATCTTGATGTCTGAGGTGCCTTCTTAAATTCAGATTCTAGGTGGCAGGGGACAGGAACTCATGAAATTGAACAGAGAAGTCGAGATCGTCCAACTTTCTCACGGTCTCACCAGACTATACATATACAACTTCCACACTCGGTACGGAGCATATGATAACCATGGTAATCATGCTGATCTAGTCGACCTTATGAAACCTTGGCATTAATTTCGCAGTGTTGTTCAGGCACACTGTCGACAGTATGATCCCGCGCTGCAGCTTCCCAACCAATCATCTCGCCGAAGGTCAAGATCCTTGGCTGCGCCGGGACCGAATCTGGTAAGTCTGGTCCTCGATCGTCAGCAGCGCCATGCAAGTGACCTATCTCCTTGCGCAACCAACCTTGCGGGCCCGGCAATCGTATCACGATGGATCTGATAGCACTCACCCTTCGCCAGTGCTGATTTGGATGGGGTTTTTTGCTGTTGGACAAGGTCTCCCTATTTCGGGAAGGAGGAACCACAATATCGTCCATGGCCGCTCACCCGTACCTCAGGCTGATCCAGAAACCTCTACCTTCCCCGGCTTCCCGTGATGTGGCGGGTTCGGTTTCTGGAGAATGAGCGTCAGGTGCAGAGCCGCAGCAGCCGTCGAAGCCAAGAAGGTCACGGACGACCGAGGTACAACCCATTTCAGACGGCCTCTATGCCTATCCTTATCTCAGAATTCGGACAGAATTCTGACTCGATCATGGGCGCGCAGGGATGCTATGCGAAGGCGCACATTGGCTTGTGTGGGTCGCAATGAAGTTGCTACGCAGGTGAGCAAGTACTTGGTTATACGTTCATAAAAAGCTGGTTTGAAATCCCCGTCGCCCACGCATGAACCTGTTCATTGACTTGACCACGATACCGGATGCCGATGCAGAAAACGGTACTGCGGATCCGCTGAGACGGTAAGCTGCGACATTTGCAACGCATCTTCCGTGGTGTTTCTATTTGCTGACGAACACGGGCTGCTGGCTCATCATGAGTGTCTGTAGTGTTGTCCGGTCTCAACGCAGCATCTTTACTCGGCTACGCATTTCATGCGCTCAAGCGTCTCCGGCTATGCTAACGGTCGAGACGATGAACTTCTGGTCCTTGGTAAACAGCGTGAGATGACAATCAATATCGGACACATCTTGAAAGAGCTGACCATCAGATACATCTTGGAAGGGCTGCGAGCAAACTGTGAATTCATTGTGTCACATCCAAGCAGTCCGATATACAATCTACGTGTTGTCACGATCCTCTAAGATTGGAGTGTCCAGCAAAAGTACAGCTTCACTCCTACATCTTCAGCCAAGGCCTGAGGACACCTACATGGAATGTCTGGACTGTTTCTTCGCTTTCCTCCATCTCTATGGTGAGCAATTCTCGTCAGCATGAATACCTGGCCTATTTCGCCAACCGAAGCCACAAGCGAGGATTTACCTGACGCTAGCACCTCGACACAGACGGTGAGTGCGACGTTCTCTGTCACTCTTTCTGGCTCTTAACAACTCACACCTTCTAGACCCGCGACAACGTCAACGAACAGCGTGCGCGCTCTCCGAGTTCGTCGGCGACCTCCAGTTCCTACGAAATGCATGATGCACTTCCAATCCGCCTACAACGCCTGCTTGACGAGATTGATGACGAAGATCAATACAAAGACAACATCTTTCTGGCAGAGCGAGAAGCTTACCTCAATCATCGCAATAACGCCAAGTTCGAGTACATAATAGTGGACGGATCCAAGCAGATCAAGCTCAAGACTAGGTACTACCACAACGTGGGCAAGTGTAAGTCTGGTCGAGCAGGCGGAGTAGTCATTGGTACTGGGGGCCCGTTGTCGCACTGGACAATCATGGCACGGCATGCATCGCACACGCCAGAAAATTTCCACACATGGAATGGTGTCCACATTGGCTACAGTGCGGGGTGTCCTGTCACGAAACAAGCTGGCACTCCCAACCGACCAAAGACCAAGAAGCGGGCAAGACAACCCAGTCTATCAGACACCTCCAGTGCTTTCTCGGACCCAATAAGGCACTCCAAACCAGCGAAGACATCTAGCTCTGCCTACAAGACCCTGATGACTCCAGTCTTCAAAGATCTCTGCAGCGACCATCCACATCTGCAGGGAGAGGTACAAAAGATCGCTGCGAGTCCCAAAGACTGGATGAAGCGCATACTCTTCCGTAAGCAGCACATGACGGGTCCTAGTGAAACAGGATCGGGGCTGGACCCACCTATGCAGTACTTCCAGGCAAGTACGGCCAATCCATCAAAGCCGCTGAAAAGTAGGTGGTGTTGGGTCTCTAAGAGCCCTTTCGATGGCGCGAAACTGGGCGTTGTGGTGATTCAGGGTCAAGGCCTGCCTCAAGCGGCTCTCCTTGGCAGATATCTTGACGCTCCCTCTACACATACTGGGCATGGTATGACCCAGAGTCACCATACAATGACGCCTTCAAGATCATCAAGTGCGGCATGGGTAGAGAATACAATGCCCTGGCAGCAGTTCGCGCTCAGCAACAGCCTGTACCGTCTGATCAAAACTTCGGAATCGAGCAGTCCCACGCCTCTGTAATGTCATCGCCAGCCGAGCCAGTACCGCCTCTTTCGGAAACCCCTTCCTCGCCATCTGCCTCCTGTCCGCCACAGGCTCGACCACCAATCATGCAGGCCGGTACGCACGCAAGATGTGGAACCGCATACAACGCTGACCGACTACATGCCAAGCTGCGGCGTATCTTGGACCCCATACCATCGCTACTGGTCACCAGTCAGGACCCTCAAACCGTCCACCTTCGTCCGCCGTTGGCAATGAATCACCCGCTGCCAGCACCACACGGTGTTCGACCTGGCGAGGGATCATAGTCGAAATGCGCGCATACCCAGGAGATCCGCGCCGAAGACTAGACTGGGACTTGCTACTTCACGAAGATTTCACCGCAGCCTGGCAGAAGCATTGGACTTTCCCATTACCGAATGGTGGGGAGATCATTGGGCCGCTGACAGTCGATCTGGAAGCCAAGAACCGCAACGGCAGCGCCATTGTCGACGAAAGCGGAGTTATCGACGGATACTGGCCTGATTGGCACGGGCTAGTGGAGGAGATCAAGCGAAAGATCGATGGGCTGTTGAGGGCTTGCAGCATTGGGCTAGAAGACTTGATGGGACCTGCTGGAGGCATCGGGTCTGTCAGTGGCAAGCACGGCAAGCAGACGCAGTTTGCGGACGACGACGACGACGACGATGTCGCCTATGTCTTGGTCATCATGCGGCGACGGGAGTAAAGTTGAGCCTCGGTCCAGCAGTGCTGAGGCATACTCAAGCAGAATCGCGCCGTCCACGGGGATGTTCTGTGCTTGAGTATGGGTGCTAGGCAAGGTTGCCCTGTAAGGCAACTGCGGGTCGCTCCTTCCGTGCAATTCTCTCCTCTGTTATAGTCGTAATTCCTTCTCCCAGTGTTTCGTCTCCCCATCTTCTTGTCGAACACGTTTTTTTTTGACTCTGCGCGGTAGCTGACTTTCAGCCTGCCATGCGGTGACAGCAATAATGGCATCCTCAGGTCGTCCAAGACTTGCGATCGGAGCCGCTGAAACCGGAAGCTATCGCAGCCGTCCGGCGATCAATCCCAGCGCTGGTATGCCGCACCATCGGGTCTAGTGGGGGCATATACGGTGTCGCAATAATGATTGCGTCCTCGATATTGCGATCTACGGACACCATCAGACCGCGATAGAGACAATGAACTTGTTCCCGGCCGCTCGACTCATGTTTGGCCGAGCTTTGTTGGCATCTCCTTTCCCTTTGTCCCATACAGGATCATTGAGGACTTCACAACTGCAGCGCACCTCGACTATGACCTATTGTTGGACGTCTTTGTCATTTGCCGAGAATAGGATCGAGAAAAACACATCGACAAACCGCTATTGTGCGCATACAGGCTCTGACCATGCATCGCAAAGATGTATATAGGAGATGTCGGAAAGGGCAGGAGCCAGATGCCACTTGCCAATCCATATCGCTGTCACTCCTGAAAACTTCCAACAAGATGCTAACCCGTCCCACCGCCTACCAGCTACTAACCTTGGTGAGCCTAACATATGGCTCACCAACAAAAGACTACTCAAACATTGGCAAACGCGCCGTTGTCCCATACATGCCCACAGACTACAAATACCCAAGCGGGTCATTCAAGGACTCCAGAACCGGTGTCGAGGTCAGACCAACCATCATGATCCCGCGCTACAACGAAGACAAGTGGCTGAATTTCTGCGCGCGCTACGACGTTACACACGATGGACTCACAATGCCCGAAGGACACACATGCTATCAGGACACAAACGCTCTATCCGAGAACGCCACCACAAAACCCACTGGTGTGAAGGTCTGGCCTGGCAGCTCTGCACCTGGCTGTGGGCCCTGTGTACAGCTCCTCTCGGAGAATCGTGCCTTTGCGAATCAACGTGCGGGCTGGTGGCCTGGTCGTAACATTAATTGTGTGCTCTTCTGGACTAACAACTGTGTCTACGACTACAAGAACGAGTCCTCTGGGGCTTATTATGCTGAGTCACCCGCAACCGTGCTCCCGCCTCCAGGGCTGGCCGTGATGGAGACTGGCCCGTGGCAGGACGTCACGCTCAACACTGCGTGGTTTAAAGATCCATTTGGAAAGGACAGCAAGAAGACTGCAGCGGGCCCCTAGAGCTATAAGTGTTGGGTTCGAGGCCAGAATTTCGATGGGAATGACAAGGATCATCCGGTGGGATTGGGAGGTACGTATGCCGATGACAAGACTCCGCCACCTGGAGTTAATGCGAAGAATCTGCATTTTGGTGGTGAGGGTGACCGCAACAGGTAAGTGAAGAACGATTTTCCCAGGCTCCGGTGAGTGTCTTCAGGAGGGTTGCAAGGCGGAAGGTCGAGCACAGGCACGTCTTTTTTGGTGAACAGGGTGAGTATCGCTATGCTGTCAGGATAGACCTCCAGCAATAGGACTTATGTCCAATCGGTAAGTCACTCGAGGCAACGGCCTAGATCCTGCACACAGCACTGTGCTCCATCCAATCTTCCAAGGCATTCCGTGCTTAATACTTAGCAACGTGAAAGTGTGACACGTGCCTCGTTGCCTCGTAGCTCAATCGTTCCCACTGGCTGTGTGCATCTTCACCTATGGAGACCTCGTGCTCTGAACCCCTAGCAGCATAGGAATGGAGCACGAACAGCTTCTGCAGCAGCAGGAATAGAGATCGTTGTAGAGATAGAGAAAGAAGCAGCACCCATCTCAGGATCGTCTGATCTGAGTCTCCGAACCAAATCACACGGCCGTCACGACAGCTCTAACATTATTCTCAACTCCTTGTGGGTTGAGGCTCAAGATAGTCGCGACCTTAGCTCACATGAGTGGCACTTCTTGCTCGATTGATTCTTGGGTCGCAGTGAGGCTGCGAGGCGTCCACCCTTCAAGATCACAGTGTGAGCGTGAACAGACATCTGAAGTGGCGTTGCAGGTGACAAGCACGTCTGCTGGTGAAAGTCCAAGGTAAGGAAGGGCTGGCCCAGGTGAACCGCGCGTGAAATAGTGACGGGCCAGATCTCGTTGCCTGGGCCAGCGTAAACTGATGCTTCCTTACTTAAGACTTCACAACCATTGTCTTTGCCTCTGAGAACGTTTCTGTCAGTATTGCATCTGTAAATCTTGCTCGTCCGAAGAGAATCTGCTCTGGTGTTGCAAGCGGCGGGCATCAACGAGTCTGTCGACACTGCGCTCCGAAGATCCTGCAAACTTGACTGCGTTGCGCATCGAATCGCGTTGTCTAGGTAAGTGCTGTCAACGTTTTGAGCCCAGAGCCAGTAACTTAGAACCTCCACTGACTGTGCATCAGCCCAGAAGAGCAGGTAGCCTGTTGCATCCCCTCAACGCGGCAACATGATCACGATGACACGAATCAATGCTTGACCGCAAATCAAGACGAGCGAGCCCACACTGATGGGAATACCTCCGGAGCTGCGACGCCAGATCCTGGAGTATGCCATCAACGATCTGGTCTACGTCGACTATCGCTGGAGCAACAATCACGACCGTCTCTCCTGGCGTCCCTCCTGTGGCAGCGACACATGGCTGCAGCACATGATGCTTGTCTCCAAAGACTTCGGTGCCATGGCGAGGGACGTCATCGCGAGAGCTGCACATCTGACGCTCTCCGACTTCACACTGCGGGAAGAACTCCTTGATCTCACTTCTGGTGACTTGAGCGACGAGTTGATGTGGAAGACTGCGGAGCGGCAGCGAACCCGTTTCCTCGCATCCATCCACAATGGTGCCTCGTGGGATCAGAGAGATTCCTTGGACGTACCAGCAGCCTTTTCAGAATACCTCCTCAGCGCGAACAGTCTCTGGATCTATCAGCCGAAGATGGCCTGGGGAGCTTTGCACGACAGTTTCGACGTCAGCCCTTTTAGATTCCTGCGCAATGTAACCCTTCACGCTGGTAATATCGAAGACTGGCCCGACAATAAGATCAAGATAATGATGCACATGGCAAGCAGAGATCCTGAATGGGCTATCGCGAAAGTTATTCATCTTATGGGCTCGCTTGCCGATCCAAGCGTGATACCGTCGCAGCAGCTTGCGGCGGTCTGGGCCGACTACATACCACATCTCGATCATTATCGGGACCACGTGAGAGCGGCGTATCGGCAGGGGTCCAGACCTTGTCATCCGTATTTTCTGCGATCGGCGTTTCGGCGTCGCCTGCAAGGGGTAACCGTGTCCGTGGAGGCACTGCTGAAGTGGTTGTGTGAGGTCGATATGAGAGTTGGCAGACGAAATATCGCTGGCCTTATGGACAGCACAATTCCGGAGGTGACTTTCAATACCGAAGGAGCAACCTTGCCCACGTGGCCGAACAAGCTGGTAAGTCCGCATGATCAGGTGGTGTCATTCCGTGTACTGACCTGTTACTAGTTCCCGCGCGTGTCCTTTTCCAACAAGGAGACCAAGGTCTTTGTGAACGTGTGGGACGCGGTTGAAGTTGCTACTCGCATCTTCTAGTCGGCTAACGTAGCCACAAACCGAATGGCCATACAGTTAAACGGATAAGCGAAGTACCAGGACCGTCAACAAGATAACGTGGCGGGAGTGCAAGGCGTGGTGCCCGTTGGAGTTGATCTGGATTCCAGCGACTGATCATGGGTGTACCAATGTACCAGTGTATCTATCGCTGCTGGCAGGCGAGGCAGCGGTGCAATGAGATGACGGGTCCTCTGGAGTATGAAGCTTGACCTGCGATGGCACTGCCGTTGTGCTTTAAGGCCTAGGCCGGAAGTTGGAACAGCAAATCGCACTCTAGAAAGGACAAGAAGTCCCCGAGGAAGTCTGCTGGGTCCTTGAGGCGGGCGGCAGTCGGTGCAGGAAGCCAGTACCTCAAGTGACAGCGGAGGGTGCTCAGGTGACGAAGTGACGAGGTGGTGATGGACGATTGAGACAGTTATAGCAACTTCACTATTCCCTCCACGCGTTGCCAATCTTGATGCCTTGACAAACGGCCACTTCCAAGATAGTTTTTCGACCTTCTTATCACTCTTTCCTCCTCATACATTCATCCAAAAGCAGGTGTAACTGCCAACGCGAGCGACTGCATTCGCGACCGAGGACATCCCGAAGGCGCAGAGCGCACTACTCCTCCAGTAAGCTACGCTGCTTTCAACGGTAGCGGCGGTTCCATGATCGTGTTGATCGCAATTGTACTGGTCACATCACCTTGCAGCTCTTACTGACAAGCCTCCAGCGCAAGCAGACATGGACGATCTCTCCTCTATTCCACAGGCTGGCAGCAAAGCCATGGCGTCGGAACTCGCTGGCTTGCACCTAGTCCAGTGTAGTCGCACATTAAATGGAATACCGGTCGAAATACTCAGTAAGATCCTGGAGTACGTGGTTGCAGACGAAGTTCATGTCTGCGTCGATCATCATGAGGACAAGACCGGTACGAAGCCATGGGTGCCGGACCTGATGCTCGTCTCCGACAAATTCAACGTCACGGCGAAGAAGGCTATCGCGAAGCATGCACAGCTATCATTCTTCGACACTAGTCAGTTCGAAATGCACTTCGAGGCCATTGAGAATCACGGTGCGCAAGAAAACTGGAGGGGACACCTACGATTGACGAAATTTCCGGAATATCTCGTCAGTGAGGCATCTCGGCTCACTATCATTCAGGGCAATATGTATTGCAACCATCTGGACGTTGGCACCTTTCCGAAATTGCGCAAAGTCACGTTCTGGTTGGGCAGCATCGAGACCTGGCCTTTCCGCGTCAGTCGCCTAATGATAGCAGTCTCCCGTGCCACGACCGATTTCGTTGCCACACTCGGACAAAAGCTCACCGGATTGGTCAGAGCGCTCGCCGATGCAGACGTTCTGTCACCAGGTGAAGTCACAATTCTCCTCAGCATCTGTAGAGGGCGCTTGCTCGAATGGACGGCGTCGGCAGCCGACGCCAAGATGTCTGAGTTGATGGTATTCCATGAAGCACTCAGATTCCGCCTCGAGGCTGGCCCTGATTCCACGGCGGCATTGTTGAAGCGAATCTGCGCGGTAGACTTCGGTATCTGCAGATCAAACATCGGCGGACTCTCCGATCATACTGTTCTGATAGCCGGTTTCACCACTGAATCCGATGGCAAAGGCATCACAACAGTGAGTTTGAACGCTGAGAGAAGTTTGGCCCGGTCGCTGACAATATAACAGTTCGCAAACCTGTCTTTCCACAAAGACCGAACCGAGGTGGATGTCAATAGGACTGCTCTTGTGGCCGTTGTAGCAGAGCTGGAGTCCAAGCTAAACGGCTGACTCTGCTCAGCATTGGTTGCGCCTAGGAAAAGCTGGCGCGGATGTCTCACGACTGCACTGCACTGACGTTTGACGGTCTCCACCCAAAGCAATGACGATAATCTCGGATGTCGCGATCGGCGACGAGCAGGACTCGTAGTCGCAAAATGCCTTCACAGGACTCACGCGGGCCGGGACGAGTCGCCCGTTCCAGGGTCCAACTCATGATATTCACAGCAGCTGTCTCGACAGCATTAGGATAGTGACGCGTGAACCACGAACGGTTTGAAGGCACCTAGCTGTACGGAAAAGGCAATTCTGTGTCGTCGAATGGCGCGTCGCCTCATCGATCAGTGGCTTGAATGCTCATCTAGCACTTCAACCATCGCACGTGTAGAACTACTTCCTTCGTAGTTTGATCCTCGGGGGTTTCGATGGCGTCCGCCTTCTCGGCGCGATCATCCCATATGATCAAGTGACGGACGGGCCGGTGAGCATCGAGTGACAAAGCAGTGAAGCGATCCGTTGATCGTGTCAGCCTGGCAACTTCAATGTGAAATAATGGCGCTCCGAAGTGTGAACTTTTGACTGACATCGACTTGTACCTCTATGTCCACATCCTGCTCGACTTTTCATCTTTCATCCTCAATACTTCTTCCGCATAGCAGGCGTCGCGGCATTATCTCGAACGAGGGGACCCGGATAAAGACTGTTGCACTTCTCGAGAGTCATTGGCGCTGACTGTGCCGGCAATCTCTAGTGAACACATTTGAAGATCCGTATGTTGATGCTGCCGAGGATTGCCACGTCGTTTGCGGGTTCAAGCTCGTGCTGACAAATTGTCGCAGCCGAGCAAGTCGCTTCTTACCACACTACCGATCTCACACCATGGCGCCGACGTCTGTAGAGCTGGCGTTCGTTCAATGCGATCGAACGTTGATGGGTATGCCCAACGAGATCCTCCGGTCTATCCTAGAGCACGTTGTTGGGGAAGAAGCCTCCATCACGTACGAGCCAAGCAGTGACGAAGGACCTCTGTCGTGGGACAACCCATGGGTCCCGGAGCTCATACTTGTATCACGAGATTTCGGTGCCATGGGCAAGGAGGTCATCGCAAAAGCCGCAAGCTTGATGTTCGTGGAAAAGAGCCAGGCCAGACTGTTTGAAGAGGCTTTGAAGGAAGGCACCCACGAAGGCTAGAAGGGTACAGTGACTGTGAAGTCATTTCCTAGCTTTCTGCGCGATCAGGCCCCGGAACTCTGCATCATGCAAGACAAGGTCCTGATGGGCGGCGTGTGCGACCACCTGAACATCAACACCTTCGCCTCCCTTCGCGAAGTACTACTCTCCGGCGGCGACATCGAAGAGTGGGCCTTGGGACGCACCTCGGTGTTAATTGCCGTTGCAAGCCAAAGTACTGACCCGCCGCTGAGGACAGTCGTACTGAAGCTCGGGAGTCTGGCCAAGTCCATCCTTGATCCAGAGTTCCTGTCGCCGAAGGCTCTCGCGAAAGCCCGACGTCTCTGTCGCGAGAGTCTGACCGAATGGCTATTCTCAATGGCTGCAGCTATCGACGATGACACCGACGTACCAAAACCCATCGCCCTACAACAAGCGCTTATTTTCCGCTTGAGAGCCGGAGTTACATCCACCAAGGCTTTGGTGAAGAGGATCTGCGAAGTCGACATCGGTGTCAATAGATCGTGCATCACCGGTCTTAGCGACAGTACGGTCCTCAGGTTCATGTTCACGAGTGCATGCGATGGCGAATCAGAGGAGGTAAGTTCAATTATGTGAGGCTTTGTCCGCCTGCTGACGACGAGACAGTTTGCAGAAGTCGCTTTTTGGAAGGACCGTACCGAGGTCATCCTTGAGCCGCAATGGGTCTCTCGCCTTGAGGTCGCAGCGAAGCTGGAGTACATGATTACCAACGGGAGTGCGTCTGACTAGGAACGCCAGAAGGAGTACCAATGCACATCTGAGAGTCTTCGTCCAGCTGACCTGTCTATCGGAAACAAGTGGCGGACCCGCGGTGTGCCCTGCCAGGTCAAATCGTGGAGGAGACGTTCTCGATAGCCCTGCTTCTTGCAGAACTCGGAGCATCCTGCAATGAACGGCGTTGGCAACACAATCAATCAAGCTCAGTACAGCCATGCACAGCGAAAGACTGCTGGGCAGACTGGCGATTGACCTGATCAAGCCACTTATCGGAAGCGGAGAATTACTTTAGGATGCAGCATCCTCAATGACGCAGAATCCTGCGTCTGCTCACACGCACAACGAAGTCTTTACTCAGAGTGGTGGCATCATACCGTTGGTGGCGACCAGTTTTATCGAGCCCTTGCAACTTTTGATGGCGATATAGAGGAAAGAACCCTGAGTAATCTAAGCTGCTCCTTGGTTTTCAATGAACCGAATGGCATATGGTGTACGTGAATAGCAAAACATCATGTCGCTTTCACTGGCGCTGCGTAGTGTGTCCCGCAAGCGCCTACCTCCGGTCTGCGTGAGTTCACCCTGAAGCTGTCCAGATCACGTGAAAGACTCCCTCGGGACCTGTGGGTGTCCAGCTTTTCGATAAGACTAAGTCACACATGCCTAGGTGACGAAGTGGCGACGTGAAGATCGAATGCTACACCCCTGTTGCCCAGCAACTTCACTGGGAAGTATTGGGACTCTTCACTGCCAATTTTCGACTAGAATGGATCCCCATATCTGCCCATAATTGACTCGTCCTTTTGTCTTTCATCTTCAAGATTTCCTCCCAGGTGCAGCGACGCCAACGCAGATTTGCAGAAAGCACAATCGACATCTGGACTGGCGTGGTCCAGAGAGCCGTCGGCTGTAGCGCCGCGCCAGCGATTCTCTTCGAAGGTATTGAAAGATCTGTAAGTTTGTTTGCTGCGGACCTTGGTAAACTTTTGCCAGGCTGGGTTTTTGCTGACAGTTTCTCGCAGCTAGACAACTCCATTTCCTCCACGCGCCATGCCGGAAACAAAGGCGACAGGGAATGCGACCGAGTACCTCGAGAAGTGCGACCGCACCTTGGCTGGCATGCCATCCGAGATCCTCCGGCTGATCCTGCATCATGTTCTGGTGGACGATGCGGTCATCACATGCACTCAGACAGGTACTGGGGTGAGCCTAAACTGGAGTAAGAGAACGGCGCCTGACCTCATATTCGTTTCGAAGCGCTTTGGGGCCGTGGCGAAGGATGTGATCGCAGAGGAAGCGATCATGGTGTATAACGCTGAGCACCAAGCCAAAACATTCCTGGATGCTATCTGCAACGGCGCTCAACAGGATTGGGAGGATACATTGAACTTGTCACCCATCCCTGAACACATTCGCAGCAAGAGCCAGGAACTCCGCATTTACCAGCGGAAGCTCCTGCGCGGTGGTGTGTGTGATCGTTTAGACGTCAATAGTTTCCCGTCACTGCGCAAGGTCGATCTCGTTGTCGATAATATCGAGGATTGGGCGAATAATTTCAACTCGACGTTGCTTTACATTGCAGCTCAGGGCAATGCGTTTGTGCAAACGGTCCAAACGAAGCTCACCAGTGTTGTTGAGACCATCACCAATCCTGATTACCTATCAGTCGATGTGGCCAGAGAGCTCAAGACCGCCACCGCCACACTCCTGGCTTTGTGGCGTATCGTTTCGAGAAGCATGGGAATCACCAGCTTGATGCCCATTGTGTTGCAGGAAGCACTGTCTGTCCGCATGCGCGCAGGTCATGCATCCACAGAGGCGTTGTTGATAGAGATCTGCGAGAGACACATGGGTATTGCGAGATCACGAGTTGACGGCCTTCTTGACCATACACTCCTGGCCGTGCATTTCACTACTCGAGTTGACGGAACATCCAAAGCAGTGAGTCAATGCGTCGAAGCATTTCCCGGTTGCTGACAACATGATAGTTCGCCACTGTGACGTTCTCTAAGGACGAGACGCGGGCAGTAGTCGAACCTGATGCTGTCGATGGCGTCCTTCAGAACCTGTCCGCCGGTATCAACGACTTCCTCAAAACTAGTGGCGCCGAGCTCTAGAAAACGAAAATTTGTGGACGATCGGCCAGGACCGACTGAAACGCCGAGTGGAAGTGCTGGCCCACAGGTTTTTGAGACGGAGACTTTCCCTGTGGAGAGATCGAGGCCGCATCAGTGGAAAATGTGCACGCAGGTGCGAATGATCGTTGAGCGAGCGGAGATACGAGTCCAATAGCATCAAGTTACATGGTCCAGCGATCGCAGTAACTTCCATATGTAAGGTCTTTACACAGCGCGCTAACTGTCGTGTGAATCCTCGCCGTTTTAGAGACCTCTACACTTCGAATTGACAATGGTATTGCAGGTCGTCATTGGCTCGTATGTACTATGCGGACTGCGCTGTAGCAGCTGTTGCTGTTCGAGCAGGCTTCAGACTCCCGAATCGCAGAAAGTTAACTTTGATCCGGCTACCCTGCTAGATCTATGTGAACGATTTCCTCGGAACCTGTGGAATGGCCTCCAGCTTCTCGGTGCGACTAAGCTTAGCATTGAATTCGTCCAGTCTATCCATCGGCAGGTCTAAAAACAAGTGCTTATTCTTCCACCTCACCTCGCTATGTGCAAACTCCTTCTCACTGCCAGGTGGTGGTGGCGGCTCCGTGATCTTTGTGATCAGATACGCCGTGGACGCCTCCGCGATGCCGTAGATCAACACACCGAGGAGTGGAATCTTGACCATGACTGCGAATGCGACGCTAAAGCCAAACAGAACGCCAGCACGATCGATGAACCATGTCTTCTTCTGTTCCTTTGTGAATCTGATGCGGTGAAAGTATGGTTCCAGGAGCTGTCGCATCAAGCTTCGTGAAGAGAAGTACGTCTGCAGGAACTGGACGAAGTATCGCTTCGGGACGACGAAGCCGATAGCAAAGACGGCTGTGGCCGGTACGGGTCCAACGGCTTTGTTGAAGGTATAAAACGAGGCTGCCGGAAGGACAAGAGGACCAATGCCAGGAACGAATGTTAGGCCATACGTTGCCAGCGAAATGGCTGCTCGTCGTCCGTACTTCATTGCAAACAACATCACACCGTCCATGACAGTTCGCTTCTCCTTCTTCTCCCTCTCGCCGTGCGTCGAGTACATCGCCAAGGTTGGGTGGTACATGGCTCGGAGTTGGCTCGGGTCGTCTGATTTGTGCTTCTGGATGTAAGTCTGGTCGACCCATCGAAGGCTGTCCATGAACATGTTGTCCAGCGTTGGCGTGATGGAGCTCATGATCATCATGAGCATGAATGGAATCTGTAGAACGCTCTTCGATATGAAGTCCAGTCCGTCGATGATTGCGTCATCCCATCCTTCGCCTTCCAGGTCCATGAACATCGACAGGAACCATAGTAGTACTCTGATGCCGTAGATTGGGACATTGAGGATGATGCGGATTGCCAGTCCAGCACATACTGCGATGGCAGCTTGTCTGTAGTGATGGGTGGTGAACAGGTCTGGATTCTGCAGTGCCCGATGAGCACCCACAAAGGTCAACTGGGCACCCCGTAGGATGGCATTGGGGTCGAAGTTGGACATGGTGGTGAGTCTGTCACGAGGCAGCTCGACCTTGCCCAAGTGCTAGCAGAGTGACCACGCCGTGAGACTCAAACAGAAGCAAGCTGTTTGCTCGTGTGAGGAAGTGATGAAATATGACGAGGCGTCCTGTGGCGCGGCGGGTGCCTCATCCAGCCACCGCTAGTGGGCGCGTAAATCAACGTCATTTGGGTCCTTTGAGATTGGCGAACGCCTTCAAGAGTTGCCAACTCCATCCTCCTGCATTAACCTCTAAACCGCCATGTCACACACGCGACACGCGTTCGAAGTCACGATATCCCTATTCTGAGCATCTACTCTACTCTTGCGAAGATGCGCCATGGCCAGCTCGTCAGCCTACGGTGAGAGACCGCCTCTCCAAGGCTATAGACGCTCGTTCACTGCGCCGCACCGACAATTGTCCTACCACGAACGAGCAGCACTCGACAAGTCGGACGCCGACTCAGGCGTCGTGTATGAGCACCCGCATGTCCGAATCATCAGCTTCGCCCCGCCGAACGAGTCCATTGTCTCGAGGAACAGCGAAACACATGCCGATGCCGACTATCCCATCGACACCATAGAAACGCTGCCATGGCGATCACGGACGGAAGATCTGACAGCCACCGGGCCCATGCGAATCGAGAAAGTGCAAGGCTCTGTCAATTTTCTGAAGTGTGGACACAATTTCGTGCACTCGATACTACGGAATTCACAGTGTTGGTGTGTTGACGGAGAGTCCAAGTTTGTCCTTCGGAAACGCAAGTTGGAGTATTATCGGATTGAGCTGCCAAAGGAGACGACGGAGGAGAGGGCGAAGGTGGAAGAACTCAAGACTGTACTAGCGACAGTGCTCAAATATGAGAAGACACCGTGTCCGTTCAAGCGAGCATTCCAGGTTGAGCTACCAGATGATGCCATCACACCGCGGCGGAAAGGCAAGTGGAAGGCAAGAGACAGCAGCTTACTCTCGTCGCCCGATCTAAACACACCCTCGGTGCGGAAGTGGAAGAGCTCGCGCCCGTCCATGCCATACACGCCACCCAGCGCGTTCCCGGACTCGTTCAACAAGCGCCGTACGTCGGAATTTGTGCCTGACAGCCCCATCACGCCAATGTCTGCTCCAGTACAGCGCCGAAGCTCGGTCGCGGAGCGTCGAGCAGCCTTTGAGCATATGCAGTCATCGTCGCGACCTTCCTCACGACCGCCTTCTCGACCACAGACGCCTACGAGTACGTCGTCTGGTCACAGCTTCGAAGATGATGGCAGTTCAGACCGCGATCGTAGCATTGAGGAGACCGATTCCGTCCTTGAATCTGCTGATCTCGAAGACGACGGAAGCCATCCATTGAATGGCAATGCACGAGTTCCGAGTCCTCTCATTAACGAGACAAGTTTGCACACGGACAATGAGGCCGAGCCTGAGAGGGAAGTAGAGATAGAGCCTACGAACACCAGTGAAGAAACCGACGAGGTGTTTCTGCCAGAATATCATGAAGAAGTTGCGCCCGGTGAGGGTTCGGCAATGGTAGCGGATTCGCAAGGCCCCATTTTGGACATGGCGGAGGACGAAGGCATAACAGATGTCAACGAGCCTTTGCCAGATCAGGAACATATCATTGACGCTCCGAACAAGGACGTACAGGAGGAGACGACCCAGCAAGAACCTGCAGCATTCGAAGAGGAAGCAGAACCAGTCCCTTCAAACAACACAGATACTGAAGCACCGACCACGGAGGCCGAAGCCTCAGTACTTGACGAGACAGCAAGCATTGCATCGACAGCAGATTCGTTTCACAGCACGGATGATATACCAGACCATATACCAGATGTCGATCCAACACCACTTGCACGCGATCACGATCCATTTGCTTCCAAACAATACTCCCACAAACGAGACATCTCCGAACTCACAGTCACGGCCTCCACATTCAGTGAACAAGCAGACAGCGACCCACCGATTACACCTCGTCTAATCCAATCCTCTATGTCCGATCAGTCATGGCCAGACATCCAAACGCCTTCCTCTTATCTTCAAGACGGCCTACGCCAGCGCCAGAAAGGCGCTCGATCACTCTCACCTATGCCGTCGTCCCACATCCTCGCGCCCTCCTCGTCCGACCAACGGCAGCCATCACCCGCCCGCTTCTCGGCCACAGTGATCCAAAAAGCCGCCACCATAGCCGTGACCAAACCCCTCGAAGTCGTCGTCCTGGTCGTCCAGATCCTCGCGCGCATAGCCGGCGGAGCCACCTTAAATGACCTGCTCAATGGTGGACTATTCCAGCAGCCACCACAAAGGACGACTCGTCAGCACAATCGTAACCCGAGTTTTCCAGATCGAGTTGTTGCACAGTCTGACGATGAGGAGGAAGACGATTTCGGCGTGCCGATTCGCATCCGGACGCGGAGTTGGGAGCAGAGAGGGGTGCCGCAGGGTGGTTTTGTGCCGGTCAAGGAGGAGAGGGAGAGGGATGAGGATGTTGATTCTTTGTTTGCGGATGATCTAGATTGACGTGATCTGATCTGACCACGGAGCTATACACTCATGATAGGTAGCAGTGGACAGGACCAGCTTTGTGCTAGATACCATTCACAGACACGACTGTAGCTTTGTACTATAGCGCGGACAGTTCTTGCCAGATGCAATAAAGCTAGTAGTCCCTTTCCGCGGTTGGCTGTCGTCAGGTCTTTCTCCATCTCCTGCACGACATCGTGTTCGGGAAGTGGTCTCCGCGCTTGGACTTGGACTGCTTGTCCTTTTGAAAGCCATGCTTTGTCTTTCCCTATTGGTCCAACACGCTGAAATTTCTCTGGAAGGGACGCTGTTGATGTGCATCTGGCTTCTCGCTCTAGGGAGGGCTTGCTCCTTTTTGGAATTATCTTCGGTGACTGGTCGGTCGAGCAGCGACTCTCGGGCGCATATGGAGCGTGAGATGAAGGGCGCCACACAATTTGACCAAGACCGGCTGTCCGTAGCAGTTCTGCCGTCATGCTCTGGATCATCTCACGGTAGACCTCTATTTCGATCATTTCCCACCGGCCTTCTTCTTCCCACCCTTCTTCTTGGGCTTCCTTTCCCTCTTCCTGAGACCGGTCATGCTTGTTTTGCACGTCTCGGCAAGTTTCGCAAAGAACTCTTCCGCCTCGCTTGCCTCAATCACTGTACTGATCTTCACCTTCTTTCCTTCCAACTTCCTCGCTTGGGTTTTGGTGTGGTGGGTTTTGGGGGTTGCGGCGCCGTTCGTGGCTCGCACTAATATCTTTGGCGCGGCTGATGTATCGCTGGTCATTGCGGTGTCGGTATCTGGCGAGGGAGCGCCGAAGAGGGCTTTTTGGGTGAGAAAGACGGAGCCGTGGTTTGCGGTGGTTGTACTGGTGAAGAGGGTTGTGAGTTGGGCGAGGAAATCGCTTGGTGTGAGGCGAGGAGTTTCTGAGGACGGCGCCATACTGGCTTACGAATCGCCTTCCGTTGACGGCTGGCTGGCCGGGTGCAGAGCGATGCGTGCACGCAGGTGATGTTGGTCTGGTCAGATGTGGTCGGGTCGCAGCGAGTCGTATTGGTGGATGGCGGAGGCGTGCATTGACAGCAGCGACCTGGAGAGTTAGTTGCCGCAAACAGACTGCCTACAATGTCTTGCTATGAGGCAACGTAGACTGTGTCGGGTTAGATATGTGTATAGAGTACGTTTCTTTCTTCGTGTTGGATCGGATTTCTCGAGCAGCGCGGGGTGTACTCTTAATTCCGCTCATCTCCGTGTCGCAGAATCTCGACATTTGGAGAAAAAGTCCTGGACCAAAAGTCCAAAAGTTCGCGAAATGGATGGCATGTCGAAATTCCGTGTAGGCTCAAACAATGTCGCGCGGGCCAGTGCTTCCGGTTGGGCTACAGCGTGAGCTGGGCTTGGAATCACAACAAAGTAGGAGAGGCAATGGTGTGCGGACGCGGAAAGAAGAAAGGCGGGCTGGGAGGGTTGAGAAACGGCAGCAGCCTGTGATGCAGCAGCGGAGGCAGGGCGGCCTTGGAGGCGTCGGAATCAGGTTGCTGGCAGGAGAGAAAATGCAGTCAAGCCTGTGGGAGAGCATGCCAATAGGGAGGTCTCTGACGCCGAAAGTGACGCATCTGCCAAAGAAGAGGCAACCAACATTCGAACAACGGCGAAGAGACCCAAAGTCGACGCGAAAGCAGCATCGTCGCGAAGACCACAGCCGCACGAAAGCGACTCAGAAGACAGTTATGAGGATGAGGGCGACGGCGACGTAGAAGAGGACGACGACGTGGAGCAGGAGCAGGAACAGCAAAGCGATGAGGACGTATATGAACGACTGTATCGTGGCTCCTCCCCCGAAGTCGTCCTGGATGCAAACTCGCGATCGTACAAAGACCGGCAAGCAGAGGAGGATGCCGATGTGGCTGCCCTTGAGAAGAAGCTAGGTCTTCGAGGGAAGAAGAGGAAGGGTCCCGACGATGACGGACTCGCAAATATATTGGGTGATTTCGACGAGGGCGACAAGGACTCACGGACCCAGCACGAAAGCGTCGAGTGGTTGAGGAGCAAGCGTCAGAAAGCTCTGCAGCGGCAAGAGGAGAGTGACGAAGACGAGTCCGACGACGAGTCCGACAATGAAGAAGGCTCGGAAGGCGTTCCTCTACAGGAAGACTTTGAGGGCTTCGAGTCAGACGAAGCCGACGAGCCACTTCAGGAGGACATCGCTAAGAGGGTGCGCGAGAACCCCTATGTTGCACCAGTCTCATCTACGGCCAAGTATGTCCCGCCTTCATTGCGGAAAGCACAATCCGAGTCCAGTGAAGCAACACTGCGCCTACGACGTCAGCTCCAAGGTCACCTCAACAAGCTCTCCGAGGCCAACTTGATCTCTATCGTGACAGAAGTTGAAAGCATGTACCGGACGAATGCACGCGGTGATGTCACCAACATCCTCATCGACTTGCTGCTGAATCTATTCACGACGCCTTCTACACTGAGCAATACCTTCATCATCCTACACGCCGCATTTGCCACTGCACTGTACAGGCTGATCGGCGTCGACTTTGGCGCCCAACTCATCTCATCGCTGGTTGACCGCTTCCTGGACCATCACCAGAACACCACTACCGCCACTACAACACCCAAAGAGCCGTTAAATCTGCTGTCTTGGCTCTCCTATCTTTTCACGTTCTCTCTGGTTGCCTCGCCACTAATTACATCATTGATTTCCCGCCTGCTCGAACCACTGACGGAGACGAATGCTGAGCTTCTGCTGCGGATCATCCGCGACTGCGGCCCCCAACTCCGATCCACAGATCCAACCGCCCTGAAGACTATCGTCTTTCGGACTTCAGCAGCAGTGGAAAAGCTGCAAGCCGGAGGACAGACTATCAGTGTTCGCACGAAGTTCATGCTCGAGACCATTAAGGACCTCAAGAACAACAAGCTTCGCCATTCGACCGCAGACGTAGGCGCAAGCAGAGAACATATTACACGAATGAAAAAGGCCCTCGGGTCAATGTCGAACAGGACGTTACGTGCGACTGAGCCTCTTCGGATCGATCTCTCAGACATCCTCGACAGTGACCGCAAAGGCAAGTGGTGGCTTGTCGGCGCCAGCTGGAAGGGTCACGATGCAGATGCGCCGCCCGTCGCAGACAAAAGCGTCGACGAAGCGTACCCGCCAACATGCCAGCCGATCAGATGGGTCAGCTCACCGAGCAGGCCGACGTCTCGATACCTGCTCTAGCATCCTCTCTGCGACTCAACACTCCGCTCCAGCACACAATCCTATCCGCAATCGCCAATTCGCTATCTGGGACCATGGCCCACGAACATATTATCAAGCTGAATCTCAAGAATGCACAAATTCCGGAGATCCCGGTCGTCGTCTTGCGCTGTTGTGCGGCCGAGCCAGATTGGAATCCATTTTACGCTCAGCTTGCTACGCGTCTTTGCGTCTATGGTTCTAAGGCCGCCCGAATATGCAAGGCTTGGCAGTTTGCTGTTTGGGGCTATCTGCGGAGTATAGGGCTGACGGCGGCGACTCAGATGGCCTAGACGAGATAACTACTCCTGATGACGACGAGGCAGGAGGTGGGTTGACGAGCATGGCTGCCCTTAGCAATACCGCTCGACTGACTGCGGCTCTCATTCATGCTGGACATCTCTCGTTGAGTGTGCTCCGGACTGTCGACTTGCATCTCTTGAAGGACGACTCGAAGGCCCAATTGTGGGTAGAACTGCTGCTGGTGCAGCTCCTCGTGTTGTGCAAAGGCGACGAGGCCATGATTGGGAGAATCTTCAAGAAGCTCGACGCTACGCCACAGGTGGTGCCCAGGCTGAGGGTGTTTATGAGGAAGTATGTGAAGTCTGGTGATTTGGCGGAGGACAAGGAGGGAAAGAGACTGGTCAAGGTTGGGTATAAGACAGCAAGCCGGGTCCTTGAAGGGCTCGGACGGCAGCAATCATGAGATATTTAGCGAATCGTGGAACTACCCAGGGAGCTCCTTCCCACGACTACTTATATCGAGTGCGCAGGCACGATAGATCTGGACTTATCGAGACACTCCGCCCCACAAGTCGCGTCTTCTGGTCTCGAATCGTACAAACTTCCTGTCAACTGCGACCTCATGTTGTCGGCTTCAGTTCATTATGGTTCTCACATGTCAGTACGGAGACCTTCGTAAGTAGGATCTCGCAACGCTTGCCGGTACCAATGACCTCGTCCTTCTCGATACGACCGTTCAAGTGACCTTCGATTGGATTTCGCTCGTTGCCGAACAAGTAAGAGCACCACGGTGGAGAGACATGTCCAAAGATCAAAAAGAAGTTCTGATGGCACTACGACTCGAACGTAGCTCTCCCTCTCGCGTTATCTCTTCAGGTATCTGCCCCGGGGCAAGTTCTGGGTCGCCTACATCCTTATCGTTGGATGCAGGGCTTTCTGGATCGCCTACAATCTTCTTGTTGGTTGCAGGACTTACAAATTCGCAGCCGTGGTGCACCACCAATCTGGAATTCGCTTCCCTGGTCATAGTGCCAGGCAAAGCGCGCTGAGTTTACCGTCGAGGATTTTAAACTGAGGACGTGTTGACCTGGTACACCATGCCATCTCTGTGTGGATATTGTTGTTGAAATTTGCGGAAGGGCAATACATGGACTTTGACGCAGGTCGTGCGAGCAAGTGACTGACCGCCACAGTTCACCAAAGCCATGGGCGCAACTTCTGCATTCGAAGCCGTGACGGGAGCATGCTTTGCGGCCAGCGGCAGCTATACGCTGTCTCGTACTACCTACTTCACGACCATAAGCGGCTACAGCCCTTTGCCCTCCACCTGTGTACCTGTTCAGCACGCCCGCAAACCCATTTCGTCCGCAGCGAATGCAAAAGCGCAAAAAGAACTTCAGATCTGGCGGCACCCTGCATCGAACAAGGATCTCCCTCTGTAACCTCCTCTTCAGGCATGCTCCAGGCTCACAGCTAGCCAACCTCTTGAGGTCGGCATCATAGCACAAGGGAACTGATCAATTTTGCGGTTGATGCAGCTTTGCACTCCGATGACGGCATAAGACCACCGATCGGAACGACCTGACTTCGATCCAGTCGAGGCCGTGTTTCCTGAAGAGACTTCGATATGAGGACGTGTTGACCGTATACACCATGCCACCTTGTGTGGATTGTTGGCGACTTTTCAGGCCGGGCATTAGATAACGAAGACATGGCTGGCCGATAGTGGCGAGCGTGTGGTGGAAGCCTGGGTCATTCTTCTACGGTCCAAAAAGCAACGGGCAAACAGCCCCCTAGCAGTGGCCACCGGCTGTCGCGTATCACTTTACGACAAGAAGCAGCTACGGCCATGTGATCTATAACCGCTCATCCCTCCTACGATATAATCCTGGCCACAGCGATTCAAAAAGCAAAAGGAACCAGAACGTTGACAGCACCCTGATTTGAACAGGGGTCTCCCTCAGTATACATCTCTTCAGGTATGCCCCGGGGCGAACAACTGACCGACTCAATGAGTACGGGCCAGTAAACAGAAACTGATCAATTTTCAATTGAAACAATTATAACTTCCGATCGTGGAAAGCGACGAACGGATTGACCTAAATCCAATGGAGTCAGGGTCGTACAGCCTGAAGAGATTCGATATGAGGACGTGTTGACCACTACACTATGCCGTCCCTGTGAATGATACGCGAGGACTTGTTGGGCGAGGTTTGTGGACGAGTTGTATACGTACCGACCTCAATGCTTATTGCTCAAACGCTTAGAGGAGAAATGCTAAGTGTTGCAATGACACCGGGAGCGGGTGCATGGGAAGCTACCGAGCGTCATCTGTGAGCAACCGCTTTCTACCACGACGCTACGACCTCCACAAAAATGAATCTGCCGCTCACAAGCCTACGAAAAAGTCCTTCACGCTCAATTGGCCGTCCTCTGCTTTCCGAGAAGCGCAAAAAGAGAACCACGACGGCACCCTGGATCGAACAGGGGTCTCCCTCTCGCGTCAATCTCTTCGGCTTGCTCTTCGGTATTGCCCCGGGGCACACTCCCATCCGCGGCGGACCACGCATTGGAAGAGCCTTCCTTGAGAAGGCCACCTTGACCTCTCAAGGGAGGCTCAGCTGCTATACCTTCGAGAGCTTCAAGATTCTTGACTGAGGACGTGTTTGGACCTGCTACACTATGCCGTCCTCATTTACGTGTTCCGCGGTCGATTGTTGAGCGAAAATCTGGCGAGGTCAATACATGATCTCAGACCTAGATGTCCAATGCCTCCCACGCGCAATCCGGATACGGTAAATGCTTGGACGCTCTCGCGGATATCTGCTTTAGTCAGGAGTACCTACCTATCCGTGTCTGGCTGAGAATCTACCAATTATTGGGCTCGATCATATCCACCACACGAGACTCCGCTTCCAGCTCCGGAGGACACTAGAGCCCACAAACTCTGGACCAAGTCTACAAGGACACTTTCACAGCTACGAAAATTTGCAGAAAGGAATCTGACGACCCCTTGATTCGAACAAGGCGCTTCCTCTCTGCTGAAGCCCCTGAGATGTGCCACAGAGCCCACAAGGCGTCCCGTGAGAGCGTCTGACAGACTGGCACAGAGCACGCGTTGGACGACGTCGATGCGAGGACGTGTTGACCATATACACCATGCCGTCTGGGAGGTGCTTGGGTGTAGATTGTTGTATGGAAACGGAACAGAAGAACTATTTGAACCTAGGACTGTCGTCCGGTCTGTGCTCAAAATCGCGTCGCAGCGAGCAGAAATGGGAACCACGGAAGTGGTTTGGGCGATGAGACGGATACCCGTTCGCGCTAGCGAATGCTCGTGTGACCTCGACAGCGACGCAAAAGAGTAATTGGCACGACATGCGACTGCCGAGTGGAAGTGCGGCCAGGAAGCGAACGGCGGATCTATGCTTCCTGCCTTGCCTGCTCCCTAAGCCGGCACAGATGCGTTCTGGTCGGAATCCGTCGGGGCTTCGGTTGCCTCACCGGCCCTTCCTCAGCAAGGCTGGCGCATGGCCATCTTGACTACGCTGCACACTACTGGAGCCGGAAGAGCAAAAAGATGACACCTTGGCTCGAACAAGGCGCTTCCTCTTCTCAGAAGTCTTCAGGTATCTGTATCTGATTGCCCGCAAAGCCGAGCGAAACAAATTGTTGCGCTACAAATTGTAGCCAGATCCGTACAGTACGGATCAGCGGAAGTACCGCTTTCCCACTGCTTCGCTAACGAGCGAAGAGTCGGTGATGCCCACTGCCTCGCATTGTGCGAGGAAGTCGGTTGTATGTCCCGTTGCTCCATATACCATGAAGAACAAGGCTGTGGACGAAGCAACTGGTTATTCAGTCGATGGACCATATACCGTCAGACTATGCTGTGAGGACGTGTTGCCAGATACACCATGCCATCTCGTTGGGATTGTTGCTGAGAAATCTGTCGGTTTAATTTACATGGACATGATGATTGATCTAGAAGCCAGCGTGGGAGGCTCCGAAGTAGCCGGGAATGTAGCAAACACCCTGACACATGGGGCTGGGGTCGGCAAAGGGTAGCTGCATTATGACAGCGGTGCTGCTCCACCGGGTCCTACCATATCGAAAGGACCCGATCAACACCAAATCCGGAGCAGGGACCTTGGACTCAGTGCCTCGGCGTACCGTTGACCACTTTTCTCACCGAAGGACTAGATACAAAACAGCAAAAAGAAATCAACACCGACGACATCTTGACTCGAACAAGACTCTCCCTCTTTGCAAGAAGTCTCAGGTGATGCTGTGCCCCGGGCCCGGGAACTGCAATTTGCAGTGACTGCGATTGCAGTAAATCCGTGTATACGGATAAAGCACGAGTATGCTTCACTATCGCCTCGGCGAGATGGATGGATGCGCGAGATGATAGGATGGTGTGACACCACCAGACTAGCGTTGCCGTCAGCTCGGTGGCCCATGCAGACACCACCGTAAGACTTTGTTGCGAGGACGTGTTGGACCTGATACACCATGCCATCGAATGGGTGTTGTAGTTGTTGACGAGAAATTCCGCGCAGAACCTGATAAGTGTGACCATAGCCCAGGCTTGCCTGCTGTGACTGGTCCAAGGCAGGTGCTTCCGGTATTGATGGACGACGTGCAGGTTAAGCGGTGACGGCTACGGATGCCTGCCTCATACCGCCAGTCTCTGTCCGGCAGTAGCGAATCTGATGGTAGGCTTTGACCTGCCCAGGTTCAGCCTCAAGTAGCAAGCCGCAGGACTGGGTGGTGACAGTCAGGACACGTTAAGGCTTCAGAGCGGGTGTTCGTCCTGTGCTGAAGTTCACCTAATCTTCTTGGCTGGAAATGCTGCTGTTGATGCGGACTCGACTTGCGCCAATCATTCGGGCATCGAAATGCGGTATCCCTGCTCTTTTGGAAGGTGTGCTGATAAATGCGGCGGTTGCAGTGGGGGTCTCTACCGTCCGATTATAACGGTGCACAGCCGCCCCCATTCCCCCCCAATAACCCAACTACCTGGTACCTGATCCACCAACTCCATGGCCGTATACTGCGATCTAAGCGCAATTACTAACTTCAGAAAAACCCAATGGAGACAACATCGGTGGATCCACCGACTATACATTTCCACTATGTGACCATCGGCCAGAAACGACTATCAGGTCAAGAGCGTCGTCATGCCGAGCTGGCCGACGCTGCCGCGCGAAGCCATGCTGCCCTTGTGTCTTACGCAAAGAACAGGACGCAGCGGAGAGCATCGAAGTCCCCTTCGTCAAAGCATGCTGCCATCAAGAGTGAGCACCCAGCAACAGATGCAGCCTCATGTTCTGCAATACTGTCGATTAACACCGGGCCGCTCGACCCATTCGTCTCGCTGACCATTTTCCTTTCGCCATATGACAGAAGTCTAGTCCATGAATGTAGGTCCCCATCCCCTGTTTTCGCGTTGACAGACCCTCACCCCCTCTAGACCTCCTCTCCGCCCCCCAACAGATCTACGGCACCACACCCAAGTCCCTCTTCTGCCCCGTCCGCATTTCCAGCCTTGTAGGCATCGCCTCCAACGAGATCTGGCTCCGATGGATGCTTTATCTCGTGGAGCACCGCCGTACACAGCTGCGTGGCGAGTCCATCGACTCCTCCGCAACCCTCCTGCGCCGCCGCACAGCAAATTACCGTGCCATGCAACAAATCATAGCGGTGTCCGACCCCAGCACTCTCTCCGACGAAGTCTTTTACAGCCTCGTCTCCGCCGGCGCCGCTGAGTTTCGAGTCAACAGACCTAGTACCGCCACTAAGCATCTCGAGGCAGGGCTAATGCTCGTTGACGCGCGCCGCAAAGCCAACAAACCCCTTCCCGATATCAGCACGACTGGCCTCATCTCTTGTAGCACCTATATCGGCTACGGCGTGCGCGACTACTTCCGCACTCCCGAAGCGCTTGCATTCGCGCAGTCCAACGTCTGCCAGCGCCTTCGCTCGGTCCAGACGTGGATCCTCGCAATGCGTCAACAGCATCGGCACTCCCCTGGCGTAGTGCCTTGTGGTGCCACACACTCACTAGTATCTGCAACATCGCATGAGCAGAGTCCCATCTCCCCTCCAACAACCTCCTATCCCTTCCTCCTCCGCCACATTCACGCCGGCCTGACCGCCAGCAGTACCTCTCTCTACGCCACACGCACTTGCCTCGGCATCCTCTTCGCGCTCATCTCCACCCTCTGGTCCTGTCGACACGACGAGCTCGCCTCGACGGAGTATCTGCGGGAGTTGGAGCAGTACATCCGCGGCAGCGAAGCACCGACCTGTTCTACTGCCGCTGCTTCTGGTGGCGACGTGAGAGACGAGCGTGAGCTAAGATTGGCGCCCATGACAATTCTGTGGATTGTGTCATTTTGTGGCAGCAGGGTTCAGGAGAAGTATGGAGGACAAGGGAGAGGCGGAAGACTGTATGATTTTTGGGAGGTGGTCGAGTTTGTGGAATTAGTTGTGCATGTGGGAGGGAACATGGCAGGCAGGACGAGGGAGGCGTTGGGGAGTTGGATCCTTGTGGGGCTTGGGGAGAGGGAAGAGGAGGCGAAGATGGTGGTGTTGGAAGAGAGGGAGAGGGAGAGGAAAACAACAGTTAGGGAGGTTGGGAAGCAGTCGATATGGTGGGACGGAGGGGGTGGTGGGAGTGGGGTGACTTCGATGGGCCTCCATACAGGAGCTTAAGATTGGTATTGTGGACTGGGATTTCAATAGGGCTACAGGTGGCTACGCATTTCACTATCTTCGCTCCTTACTCATGGGCGTGTCCCGTGAGCCCTCGTCGACTTTTAAAAAGACCATCGCACCCATAGCATAAGCTCCTCTTCTTCAGATCCTCGTTAGGAGTAGCCCTACACTGACCGGACCGTCGCCCGCGTACACATTCCCTTTCGCTCAAGAAGCAAACGATAATCAACAAGATGACAGCACCACGGCTCGATACTCTGAAGAGCAAGTATTGACCTTGTATTAAAGTGAATGAAGGTATTCATCTGGCTGTGACATCCTTCTCGAATCCACAGCCAGGACTCAAGGACCAGCGTCCCAAAAAGCAAAAAAGACATGCTGACAGCACCCTGATTCGAACAGGGGTCTTCCTCGGTGTTGAACAGCTTGCATTTGTCGGATATCGTGATCATCTGTCAAGATCTTATACGGCTGTCCTGAGTATTCATTGTGAACTAGCACGAGAATGTGTTGGACCTGCTACACTATGCTGTCGAAACCATGAGTAGAATGGTCGAGTTTGTTGGAGGAAGTTTTGTGGTGTTTGATATAGACAGATCAATCTGAGGTGTCGATAGTGAAGTGTCAGGAAGTGAGCGTGATTTGAGCTCAGACTTAGTCCTCATGCGAGCCGCATATACCGAAGAGAAGGATGAAAAAAGCAAAAAGAATATTCTGACAGCACCCTGGTTCGAACAGAGGGCTTCCTCGTATGTGCAGCCACACCTGTCCACACGTGAACATGTGCCTAATGTGAAGACACACTGGTGTATCGGACAGGCTCGCGCGGTGGCTTAGCACGAGGACGTGTTAGACCTGCTACACTATGCTGTCGAAAGATTCGGGAGTATGCGTGAATATGTTATGGGCGAAAAATCGGGGTTTGTAATATACATAGGTTGGCCGCCCTTGTGGTAGTGAACTTCCAGAGCTGTGAGTCAATAAGTGCAGTTAAGCGAATTGGAAGGAGGGAATTTAGTAAGAAGCTGAGGGCGATGGATCGACAAGGAGACCAAGAACTGCTGCGGATGTTGAGCTAGAGTATCAGCAATTAGGTTAGTTGTCAGGTGCACTACGCTAAGCCTTTGCGCTGCAATTCGGGTCCTCCAGCGATCGAAAGCGGACAATTGCCTCCATCGTATCAAGCCTTCCATAACATCATTGGCCTAGACCTTGGCGGCGCACGCCCAGCTCCAAGTCCTTGACAAGGGTCGTCCTCGCTGCTTCGTGGGCCCGACAACACTCCAGGATTCGCCCGTCTCTTTGTACTCAGCAGCGTAAACTTCCATTTTCAAGCAGCATACCAGCCCGCCAAGCTCAACAACGGCGCAACAGCCACCGAGGTCAAAGGAGAATAGACACCCGCTGCGGCATACCGTCTCGCCGCCCAGAGCGATGCCGCCAGCAGGGACCAGAACAGTGTCTTCTCGGGCGTGGTCTTCGGTCCGCCTGTGATGGACCAGTAGTAGTTGTAGACCGCTTTAGCATGGATCAGAAAACGCCTGTGTCATTAATCAGCGAAACTTACCTAGAGTGGCGAACCCGGCGTTCATGTAGTCCCAGCCATTAGCGGTGCCAGCGGCGGCGGTGCGCTGTTGTCGCGTGCCTTTGGAGAGTGTTTCCAGCGACGGGTCGACGTGCTCTTTGCCGAAGGCGATGTGGCCGGGCACCGAGATAGCGTTGAGAGCTGCGCTGATGCGGAAGAGGTAGATTGCTGCTGTGCTTGGGTAGACGGCGGCCATGGCTCAAGGCGTCAACAGGATCGGCCTGAGGTGTGAGGCTGAGTTCGTGGTTTGGTCGTATAGTCCAAGGGTGAAGCTCGGTGAAGGTGTTGTCAGAATGCCTCTTCGCAGGTTAAGATTTGTCCTGATTGTTGTCCGGGGTAGGGCGTGCTCACAGCTGACGAGAAACGACGTCGAAACAAAATGCTCTCGGCCCCTCACGTCTTCCGCCCCAGTGAGCTCTCGGAACAAGGAAGGTCAGTGGCTCGTTTGCAGCTTCACTCGTCTTAGGGTAGTTGACGCTCGGGGTTGTGGTGTAACCAATGACTCGACGTACCTCGGCATCGTGGCTAGGCTAGAGGGGTCAAGCCACAGTGTGGCACTAGATTTCCTCTTCACCATACTTGAGCAGGGAAGAAGGAAATATGGCCATAGATCGACATGGCAGTCGCATCATAATGAGCAACAACGGAGTAATTGCCCCACAGGCGACAGCTTTGCCTCGTGAATGACTTCTCCGGATTTACGGTGCAGCACTGAGGAGGAACTCCCCCGCGAAAAACGTCCGTAGCATCTCCGTCCTGGGACACGAGGAAGCAGCTCTGGGAGCTCGAGCTCGAAGCTACTGCGGCGCTCAAGTAAGTGCAGAGCATGAGAGGTGCACTTCCCTCTTCGAGCCCGTGTCTGGGGCGAAGACGCGTCTCTGTTCTCAGCAGCAGACGCGAGCTGATGAATAACAGAACCTTCAATGCCAGAGAGAGCCTTGTCCTCCGCCATCAGCCTCGCTCGCCGTGTTGGGCTAAACTTTGAAGCGGCGACACCGGCTCTACGGCCAACGTAGAGACTCAGGAGCTCTACCATGTCAACACCTCAACAACAATCGATCCAATCTGCGATCAACTACGCGTTGAGTCGATAAAGTACAGATGACTACAGCACTTGCTCACGGCATGGCCGAACAGGCGTGCTACGCGTTCTAGACGACGATGATGTCACGCCTGCTTCTGGCGTACTGCCCGATAGAGCGCTCACAACATGATCTTTCGTCGGAGTACAGGACACCTGGGTGGCACCTGGGTCACACCCGGGTGAAACACTTGAGATCCTACACGTGGACGCGAAGCCGTGCAACAAACCTGCCTGAATACCATATCTTGACATCAGCAAATCACGGTCTCCGTGAGGTAGCTTATCTCATCTATCAGATCCGCTGTGGGCCGCAGATCCAGCGTTCTCAGAGGTCCGTTCCTAGTCAACAAGCGACCATGTACAGGAGAGTGGTCCTTGCAAGGTACTTCACAAAAGCGGTATGCTTCCATCTGCATCGTTGCTTAGCAGCATGAGTAAGTTGTCACGGTGACACTCAACAGCTGTTTCTCCGCAAGGTATTTTGGTTCACTCTCCTTGCGTCGCATCAAAGATGGACCTCTCGACTATGAGCTACGTGTTCACCGCGCGTTCTGCCCCAATGGTCCTCATGGTTGCTTCGGGTCGAAGCTCGCCCTACGTTCCTCGATGAATGTTCGCCGGAAACTTGGTGTGGCTGGTAGATGGACTACCAGCCCACCCCTACTTTCCCCAGTCTGTAAGGTGGTAAGCTCGGTGTGGCTTAAGCGTCCTCCCAAAGCACAAGTCCGCTCCGATCACCTGACCAGGGTGCTACTACCGATGTTGTATGGATCTTATGCATTCGACCTGTCCGATAACATCGATGCTCTCCCATGCTCGCGATCCCTGGAAGGCTCGCTCGACACTCGGAACGAGGCACAAGCGACTGTGTGCATGTCTAGCGAGAATGTGAGTGCACTTTGTTCATTTTGCGACCAGGGACAGCCCCGTGGCCGACACTTCATCACATCAGCAGTGCTACGTCAGAATCAATACTGCAGGTGATCACTAAAGGATTCCACAACTTCTGGAAGGCTTCCTGCGAAAATCAGATTCACACCGGGCTTGTTGCCGAACGCATGGCATCTGCGGACAGCTGTTCCCAATGTCGAAGGACTTGACCTCACCAGTGATACTTGGGAGCTGTGACGTGTGCAACTAAGCTGCCAGTAGCTGCTCAGGATCCATTGGCATGACGTCGGATGGCTCCAACATGGTGGTGTGAGAATCACTGGCCATTGAGGGTGGTCAGGATCATCGGCAGACGCTTGCTGTCGCGACAGTCTCGACTTACAGCTCTGCGGTCGACTGTTGCCCGCACAACTGGCAATTGCGACAGCAAATTACTCTCGGTCTGTCTGATGAGCTCTAAGTTGTTCCAAAAGCACTGGGTGTGGCTATCGTATCCGCCTAGGGGCCAGCAACAAGCTGTCAGACACTGTGCGAAGGTCGATTATGGCGCCACACTTGCTCCGCATATACAAAGTGCCTTGTGGCACAGATAGCTCGAGCACTGCGCTACTATTCAAGGCTCGGCAGGCGTCGCGTATGGAGGATCGTTGCCTTGCCCCGGGTGCGTCAGCTAAAACGCCCTACAGAGCCTCCCGCACAGATGCCCCGCGGCTCAAACGCTGCCACAGCATAGTGGTCAAGACCCGCTTCAGACACAAATGCTCAAGTGATCCTGTCGCGTTTTCCACTTCCTCCTACGGGGAAGTCGAAACGAATAGTTGGGTTGTATATTTTGACTCTTGAGTTCCCGGCTTTGCATTTCAGCTGTTCTCAAAGCCAAAGCAGGTTGCCTTCTCTGCATATATCAGCCTTTCAACTATGACGTTGCTGTTCGAGGCAGGCACAGTACCAGGACCCTGCATAAGCGGAACTCGCTTTGGATATTCCTTGAGCCCGATGTCCATGCACCGGCAGGGCAACTTGATGCTTGTATCGCCGGCTGACGAGGCAAACTATTGTGCGGCTGACGACCTTAGCAGCCCTACCGGGTTATGCCTGCTCGGCCTGGCAAGATCGGATTTCCCCAACTCCACATGCGTTCCTGGAATTATGCAGGGCTCAGAAGTTGACCTTGATGGATCTCAGGTCCCCGATGAGACCATCATGACTGCTAGAAGTTGGACAGGGCAACCACCCGTACAAACCACAAGCCAGCAGGTCGAGCGAAGATACTCTGCTCGCAGTCCGTGCGCCGTAAAATACATAGCAATTTTTCATCGGCCGTAGACAGCGGCACTCTCAAGCCTTGAGCACCGCCGGGTCCACCCTGATTTGGCAACAACACCGGGTTTACAGATGATCAAGCAAAGACTCAAACGAACGGAAGCGAAATCGTTCTGCAGGTGCAGAATTCGCAGCCACCGAAAATGCCATCCATGTACTATACGAGATTGTAGTCACAGAATCACGCACGGCTCGCATACAAGCTCAAAATAATATGAGAACTGCGCCTCACCAGACGAACCATCAAGATGCATGATCTCAAGGCAGAGGACTCATGATGCTCTCGTGCGTGCTTCTCTAGGCATGCACGAAATTCTCTTCGACCTGCCCAGGAACAGCCGAGAGCACTACACCTTGACTTCAAGCATGAAAAAGTCAAGATGCGAGCCCTAAGAATACATACGATGCGAACGGACTCGTCTAAATTGCTTCCCGCCCGTATCGTACGAGATCCATGCATCCTTCTCGAAGCCTGCCAACCTTCGCAGGCATTTCCCTTTCGAGCCGTGGCTTGCGATCAGTGCAGTAGTCAAACCTTCCGGGTGAAAGGCATATCGGCCACGAACTCGCAGGTAGTGTAGCACCGCGGTGTATCATTAATTCCCGTTAAAGCCAAAGCGCACGCATGCACGCTGAGATAATTCAAGGTACATCGACCTTCCCCTATGCAGTAGGTGGGGCGGTACGACCGCAGATTTGGCAGATTTCTGGCAATTTTGATGATGACACAATCGTTGATCCGCCGAAATCGTATCGATATCGTCTGAAAGGACCCTGAAGATTTGGAAGAGGCGATCGCTTGACGATGCGCCCTCGCCTATCTCTTAGGGCTCGGGCTCAAGGGCTCGGGCCCGGCGTGCCTGGGGTTGTAGTTGGGCGCCCGAGTATTTGGAAGTTTGTCGCTGCTTGTGCCCTGTTTTCTGTAGTAAGTTGGTGATGATCCGGAGCGTTTTGCACGAAGCATGAAATCAAGGCGATGGCAGTGCTTGATAGTACCTGGGCACAAGTCTCGGCAGATCAGGCACCTACATGTTCATACTTCGTCCTAGGTGAGCGCGCGGGAAGAGTGAAGTGTTGCGACTCGTGTGATCTCGTATGTTGAGGCATTTCCGCCCCGTGTGAGGCCGCGTACTTCTTACCTAGCGAGTCGCGACTTAGGGCGTGAGGCAGTAAGGCGTGCGTTGCTAAGACTCACAACTCTTGTTTCTCACACCGAGTATATGCGCAAGCGTCGGGGCCGGATAGACGTTGTTACCGAACGCACAAGGAGAAAGCAGTGATTAGATTGTTTTTGAAATGTTCCATTAAGTAGAGTACTATTTTGGATATCATCGTGGCCCGCTAAAACGCTTCATTCATAGAACTCCCCGCTCATGATCGTACCAAAAGGGAAGTCTGGGTCTTCCTAGCGACGCTGACTTGATATTCGTAAACACCACGGAACGTCGCGGATACTCATTGCTGTCGCGTGCTTGTGCTTGTGATATCTCTTTGCATTCTGACAGGCCGGCCACGAAGGCCGCGACTTCTGCCTTGGATGCAGTGAGGACCGTAAGCTGCATCTGCTGACAACATGTACTGCATGCCGCTGTTCGCGTGTCTGGAGAGGAAGGGCTGCCTTTCTCACGTGTCGTAGCCTATGGCCAAAGGATTTCTCGGACAGGCAGGCGTCAACACACCTCAACTGCTGTGACCGAGACCTTTGACTGAGGAATGGCAATAGGCTTAGACCTCGTGAGGGGCGAGAACTCTTCATCTGAATCTGAGTTGTCGCTATTTGAGTCGTCTGAGTCGGGTTCCTCGACAGTGATGACTGATTGTGAGCTTGAGTAGGGTGTTGACTCGAAAGCCATGGCCATGTCGTCGTCCTCCTCGCACTCCACTGATTCATAGACGATTTCGGGTTCTGGTTGCTTCTTTGGTGTCGGCTTTTCTTGGATGATCTCGAGATGTGCTTGTAGTGTGACATTCTTCAGGTGATCTAGGAAGTTGGCATGACCGACAACGTGTCTCAGATCCATGTCTGGTCGTCTGCATTCTTGGACCATCTTGACACGGGCGGAGCGTGCGAGAACATTGATCTCAATGAGACTGGACTTCCTTGTGGCGTTCATGTTGATGTATGACTGTGGTGATGTTTGTGGTTGAAGGTGGAAGTCTCGAGTGTTGATACCTTGTTCCTGGTTGTGGCAATGAAAATCATGGAGTATGGAAGGGGCGAGGACATATTGATATACAATTGAGCCTACTTTGATCACCTAACTTACCTCACTCATGAAGGTTACTATGCAGTGCTATGCTGCAGAGTTTAAGCGCGTAGCGGATTACGTATCTTGCGACCATGCATCGAAAACACGGGACAGGGATGTGGATGCCAACACCTGGCATGCTTACTGTTCAGACGCGACTGCTCAAACGGGCATGGTCAAAGTGATGATGTTAGAATCTTGCGTCTCCCCTTTCGGGTGACAAAGACTGGTTTGTCTCCGAAGCTGCGCCCTGATCTCCGTGCTCCGTTATCGAAGCCGAAGGTTGCGAACACGGCGAAGCGCCAAAGTCTCCCCATAGCTGCCATGATGCGAAGAGGGGCAGAAAGTTTGCTGCAGAGCAGATCATTTATCACGTGACTCGACTCGGACGGTTCTTGTGTCCGCCTCAATGATCTGCCTGCTTGTACGGCCGGTGGTCGGATGAGTCAATCGCGTATCGCTTCAATGATATCACACCATTGACAGAAAACGCGCATTTCCGTTGCGCGTACTCACCACTTGAACCAGATCACAGATCACCGTTATGACATCGAATGCTGCCTCATTCCCACCCAATGCGATCGGCGCAACGGTCCTCGCACCGTTGGATGGCATTTCGTCCTCTCTGGACGCCCTAGTACAGACGTTGCAAGCGTCGAACACATTTGCCCAACTCCCTGCCATAGCCGCCGAAATTTCCACAGCCGACGATGACCTGACGCGGGCGCTAGACTTGCTGAAACAACATCAAGCAAACTACGCTCGTATTCTACACCTTAGGCAGCAGGCCGGCGATCTCGAAAATAACATCAAGGACACCATTCGACGTGCCCGCCAACTGCGAGCCGATATCACGTCGATTCACCCTAGCATAGATGACGATGAGGCGCTGAGCGATGACGAGGACGATGGTCCTCCGACTGTCGACTATGAACAGCTCCTGCAATTCGCTTCGCGAATCGGCAAGCACAACAGCCTTGCAAAGCAGGAAGCTGAGCAGGAAGGCACACGGCTGAAGCTCAAGGCGCATGAAGCACGGAGAAAAAGCGAGGCCCTTCAGGCATCGCGGCAGCAGGTCAACGGTACAACAGCAGGCCCCGAGAATGCGGCGGATCAACCTCAGCCTGATTCCGCAGGAGAGCAATTCGATCTGATAGCTCGACAGGCAGCAGACTTGAGCAATGAGGTGCAGAGATTTGAGGCTTCATCGCGCTTACCATTTCCGGATGCTGCACTACTGCGCCGAGGCGCTCTCGGCCGGCTTGATCTGGTTCGAGAGGCTGACGATGGCGATCCTGACGGTGCTGTTGAACGCGAGGTTGAGCGCATGGTTAGGGAAACCGAAGATGTGGCAGCCGTGGTAGCAGCCGCGCCCATCGTAAGAGCCGTGGAGAGACCGAAGCAGGAGCGAGAGCAGCAACCAAATGTGAGCGGTCCATCGCAAGCGAGCACGTCTAGGCCCGTGGCACCTCAGGCACCACCGAAGCCGAAAACGAAGGTCAATCTGGACTTTCCTGGCGCCGATAGTGATGAAGAAGACGACGATTGATCGACTGTGTGGGTCTGTGTTAGGACGGCAAACACTCGTCACATCGCAGCGCTCTGCGAGCTCTCTCTGACGATACTCCTGGGTTTTCAGATCCCAAGCGTCGCCAACGAGGTATGGCCAATGCCTACGGCACCAAATAGTGACCTCGTTGCAGTTCGAAGAACAGGGCCAATCACAATTTCCTGAAGCAGTGCCCATTTGGTCAAGCCCAGATCTAGCCGACACCAGACGGGTGCAGTGCGCTCCCATGCCAGTACGTCACTCTGCATTCAAACCTTCGGAGGCTTGACCTACGGTCATGTGACGGTATCTCCCAGGTACCAAAGTATGCTCGAAGGTTCAGTCCAATGCGCAGCTCGGATGAGCCTTCCAGAAGACTTGCCTCTGCATGTTCTCGAACGACGATGCATTATGCACAGTCTCGAAGCCTTCTGGAAGGCTCATCCGAGCTGCGCGTTAGACTGAACCTTGCGAGTCTTCCAGAAGTCTTCCTGTCCGAACCGTCGAACGACGTCTCGATAAGCTCAGGCTTGCATTCAGCTCTCTGCACCGGAACAGATAGATCTGTACCGATCAATCACTCCGTTTCAGATACATATGCACGCCAACTATGATCATGCGACTTGACCTCTCCTGAGTCTCCCCAAGGCGCATCACGGCTGAGCCTTCCAGAATTCGTCTTTCTGCAGTCTTCGAACGAGATCGCGTTACATCCAGCTTTCGGAGCTGAGCCAGTGACTCACGCAACGATATGCTCTTCCACATCGAATGTCCACCGGCTCAGAATGCAAACACATGACTCGACGCACTGCTCCGCTGCACTGTTGAGTTCGGAACCCAGCTCGGATGGCCTTTCCACAAGCCTTTCTTCCAGTCTTTCGAACCAACCTCGTCGCAATAGACCCAGTCCAGCTCCTTGATCCAGGCTTGCTATCAGACGGCGGTTGCTGCATCATCGGCTCATGCAGAGCGCGTCTCCAGTGACAATCAATGAGGACGACTCACACTCGGGGGTAGCAACAACCATTTGGTATACAATGAAAGTGGTTGCGCTTATCGTACAGTTACAGATATTCTCGATTGCGTGTCTTAAAGTGCCTCACGAACCACCGCCGCCGCCGCCATCGCCACCTCCTCCACCTCCACCACCATCTCCATGCCCACCATGCCCACCAAACAATCCCCCACCATCACCGCCATGTCCCCCATCACCATGATGCCCGTGCCCATCATGTCCATGCCCATCACTGCCCCTACCAAGCACCTTCCCAACGCCCTTTAGCAATGCCTTCGCAACCTTCTTCTTCCCACTCTCCTTCTTAGCGCCGCCGGCGACGAAGGCGCGGCCGTCGTTGTACCCGTAGCTACCGGGCATGCCCTGTTGTTGCCAGTGGGGTGGTTGTTGGTGGTTGTTATACACGCCTATGCCCTGGTATGCGTGGTACCTTCCGGGATCTTGCTGTTGTTGCCATTGTTCATGCGGTTGCTGCTGCTGCCATGGCTGCTGTTGCCACGGCTGCTGGTGCTGCCACGGCTGGCCCATCTCGCGAAGGCTATTTGTGGGTTTTCCAGAGTCAACGTGCTGGTGCGGGCGTTGCGATATCGGTCCCGGCTATCGCAGTCGCGTTGTTGGCGTAGGATTTGTGTTATATTGTGGGGTGTTCGGCTACGCGGCTGCGTGTTCGTGTCAGATGGATTTGTGTTGTTTTGTGGGGTGCAAAGTGCGAATGCTGGAGGGCTGTGCTGTAGAGGCTCGTATATGTCGTAAATCTCGTATCGTACAATTTGGAATGGGTGTGGATCGCAGGACTGGGGTTTGTTTGGGATTGATCTATGGGATTATGCTATCAAGTGGGAGGTATTTGAAGGACTTATATACTCGCCCATCTCAGTGTGTCACAAATTCACCATACTGGACTACTTAGGTATCCACGGTGATCGTGCACTGCCATCTGGTGCGGGCAAATCAGGCACGCTGTAGCCAAAGGCCAGCATCAACTACTTGGCCGACGTCAGTCTACCCTGAAACGTACCAAAAATATAGGACGCCTGGCGAATAGGGAATTGGAGGCGCTGGTCATTGCCCTAACAAGGCAAACATGCCGCTGGTTTGGGGGCTGCGGCTCAAAGGGCTCCAGGTACACTGCACTGTAGTACTTTCAGGGAACTGTTGCGGAGTAGGTAGCTTGCGAAGCCATGCAGGTGCGGCGTCGAAATAAGGACGGCTGTATTCCGTGGTTGCCATCATGCTAAACCATCGCTCAGGGACACCATCTGTCTCAGTTGGACGAAGATGATGCCAAAATCGACGTTGAAGCTTCCCGGCTGTGTGGCGACCGGCTGGACTGTAAGTCGTCCCTGTTAGCGTTTTGGTGCGCATTTGGGAACGCGGCGCAGTTCCTCCTGGAAATGTCGCCAGACCAGCCAGCAGCGCGCCGATTCACCAACAAGCAACATCGCACTAGCAAAGCGGTGATAACAGGGTTAGGTAAAAGTCAAAGACTGCAAATGTATCGATTCCATTCGTTCCGGCTGCTCCTTGGATTCGCCCGCCGCCAGAGCCAGTCCCTCCTCGGCTTCACTAGCTCTCGGCCAAGATCGGCGTCCTCAAGCTCTGTGACAGCCTCGAGACTGGCTTGAAGTACTGGCTGCGTGGGAAAGAATGGCAGAGCAGTCGCCAGAGACAGCAGCGCAAGGCTGGTCTCACTTCGTGCCCGAGAACACTGTGATGAGTCGAGTTGAATGTTCAATCTTTCGCGAGGAATACTGAGCTTGGAGACAATGTCTCTCAAGGTATTGATCTCACCTTGTGCTCCACCTTGCATCGCGAATTTTAGAAACCTCTAGGACTAGACTTCGGTCAGTATGGCATACGTAATGACAACGCACATGACAGAAATCGCATTCGCGTGTAGGCAGAGGATAAGGATCAAATCTTGTGCCGCCTCAAATGATTCTTGACATAAACGGTGTGGTTCGCTGTGGGGTATCTATGCAAACAAACGCGTCGTGCCAGGCTGCTCTTGTAAGTTAGGAGAAGATTCGTCTTTTGGTGTTCTGAGAAGTTGTGTTGATTGCTGGAGCGAATCTCAGCGCCGGCATGGGAGAATCCAGATCCATTCCGCCTTCGCTAATCATGCTTGAACCGAAGTTGGGCTTTGCACCACTTCGGGACTGCGAGATTTGTCGAGAGTGGGGGCGTGATTGTTGCATGTTTTCCAGATATCGGTCAACGCCATCCAGATCCAGGTCGCCACGCTCCAAGAGGCTTTGTTCGACTGACACCGCTCGAGACTGTTCTGCTGGGTCATCTGTCTGGATTGAAGGTGACACATACAGCAGAAGCTGTGCACCTGTTGCTAGCATGAAGTTTGGTGCAGTATCAAAGTCCAGCCGGGACTTCTGGTCCACGAAATCTGGGAGTAGCCCAACTCCTTTCACTTCGCTGACAGAACTCTTCAGCTCTGGCAAAGTAGCTGGTCGATCGTTCGGTTGCAGAGAGCCTTTACCACTGCTCTTGCTCTTCCACCACGTCGCTGTTGATGAGAGATACCTGTTGATGAAAACTAGGCCTGTGCTTGCATCCTCCTTCTCGGCCACAGCGCTGAACATGACCGCGTCGTCACCATCCACGCCTGATGATCCAACCGCGATGCTGCCCGTGCTGAATCGGCTTGATTCACCCTCGTAGCCTCGTCTTCGTTCGAGCGTACCACTCACAGCGAATTTCGAGACTGTGCCGCCGGAAATGCCAACGACGTTGCCTTGATTCTTGATGACAGTATCGGTAGGCGGCCCTGCAGCCTCAAAATCCCAAATGCCGTACTGACCATTCTCGAGGAAGGCAATGATTGCTCTGCCCGAGCAGATCCATGCTGCATCTAACGGTCGAATCCTGCTACCAATCGAGTTCAGCTCAGATCGGTACCCAGGATGCAATGTGATCAAAAACCTTCCAGACACGCCAGATGCGGTTGTTGAACGTGGGGTCGACACCGAATCGAGTGTAGCGGCCGAGCCTCGTCTCCTCGACATTGCCCTGGTGAACACTTGATAGACTTTGACCACAGCAGCATCAGGTAGAATGACCAAGAGGTTCGAGTGCCGCTCTGCTTCGTGCGAGGCTGTGTTGAAGGATAGCTTGGCAGCATGCAAAGGGCTACGCATGCTCACACGACGGATGAGTTTATTAGCCGCCGCATTTGATTGCAATTTGTTGCCTTGAACCTGGACCTGATGGACAAGCAATAGGCCGGAGCCGGTGCACGACGTAGAAGCGACTAATAATGACCATGACTTGGCTGCGTTCTCATCCTCTTCGTCTTCTATGTCGCTATCATGTCCAATGGTAGTAGTGACCGAGACCGCAGACACTAGATCTTGGTGGCCAGACAACTTCGCGACCTGCACTCCTAGGCGGGAGATGTCATTGTTCTCTGGTGCAGGCGGCTGCAGCGGGACAGCAATGACTCGCACAAGGCAGTCAGCGCATCCGGCAGCCAATATGATGTTGTCTTTGAGCAAAGCTGGTGCACCCTCGGACAGTTCCTGAGACCCACGGAGTACTGCTACCTTGAGGGCGGCGCTTCCAAGAGGGACGTCGATATGACGGAGGATTGCTCGGTATGGGGCAGCAGGATCGACGGCCTCATCAGCATCGTCAAACTCGGCCGGCTTGGGAGCGGCTTCATCGTCGTCGGAGTCTAAGTCGATGACATCGGTGGCCTGGTTGGCGTGACCATTGACTTTCTCGCTGGGTGGTAAGGGTTTCTTGAAACGCTTTCCGGCGTACCAGACAATGCGCAGTCCATCGTCATGACTGTAGACGATTACCGTAGACCCATTGGAGGAGGTTCTTGGGTAGACATGGGCATCGTAGATGCGGTGTGGGAGGTCGTGTCTAGCTACGTTAGCGGCTTCCGGGCCACGCATCAGTAAGAGGGACAAACGTGAGCTGGTAGCCTGAGCGATGCTGGAGCACCCTAGGCTTCATGCTGATAGACTACTTGCACCTGCAGGTTAAGAGTCGAAGTCGTGGTTGCCAAAAGAAAGGATGAAGACCTCACGAATCGCAGGTGCGGGTGGTCTCTCCATCTTTTTTGAATTCCGACGCGACGCGTTTTTGGCGGGCATCACTTCAACTTCAACGCCAACCTCACCCTCAACCTCAACTTCGTCCTTCACCCCTACAACACATCGCAGTAGGTGGACCTTTCGAAAGTCCTGATATGGCGCTGGCTCCGTCGCTTCAGGATCTGGTGGGACCCTTCGAATCTCTGGTAGGCTTCTCAGATGGCCTCACTTCGCTCTCTTGGCACCGTCAAGCCTTCCGCCCTGCAATATCTCGCCGCCGAAGGGATACTTCCCGATGACCCAGAGCCGGATGCGTACCGGTGGAAGACTACCTACAGAGTGAACTCGGTGTATGACGAGATATTGATCGCACAGTCATGGGTCGTGTGGTCCCGATGTGGCACCATCAAGCGAGTTCTGAACCTTGCCAGCGAGAAGGAGGACATCCTTCAAGCATTCACCACTACTTTCGATCTACAGCATGACGAGCATGGCAAGGACTCCCTAGAAGAGGCTTTAGTGGTCGTCCTCAATACCCAGGTCCACATCCTGCTGCTTTCGGGCGACAGTCATATCCTCCCGTTGTCCTTCGAGCCACAAAAAGCGCTTGCATGTCCTGGAGGTTTCGTTTTGCAGCGAAGGGCTGCAAAGGACATCGATGATAGTCTCGACCTGACTCAGCACGACTTAAGCACCATCAACGAGAGCCAGACCACCTTGCGGCCAGGGAGCGGCAGACCGTCCCTACTACTGACAGATTTTGACAGAGCCTTCTCGCGCTCAAGCGACAATGTGCCACGCACCTTCTCGTGCGTCGATCCTATGTCAGAGCTCGGTCTAGTGGTATGTGGCGATACTGATAAGGCACGGTCACTTAACGATTGCCATGCTCTGCCCTTCTCGGAGACACTGGTGTACCTGTCGCCTTATGACGAACTCGAGGATCTCTCCACTGAGCATGAGCATCTTTGTCTGGCAGTTACTGCTGATCTCTCCAATAGCACTGTCACGATATGGCATGTGGCACGACATGTTCCCGCATCCGCTCGGACCAGGTCCAAGAAACAAACGACAGCCCGTAAAAGTACCTCAGCGAGGAAGAGCTCTGCAAATCTTGCAAAATCGCAGCAAACGAGGGAAAGCCATCTTCGACAGAGCTTTGGTGCTCAGGCTCAGTCGTATGCCGACAATTTGCGGTCTTCTGCTTCTGAGCAGAAGTCTGGGAATAGTCTTGCGGATCAGCTTGGTCCAGAGTTCGAGCAGACTGGAGTGCAGACTCGCTCCTCCCGACGAGTGAGCTCTATGCTTGCTCGAACGGATCTGGGAATCGGCGGTGACAGAAATGCCTTCAATGAGCTGGCCACGGGACAAGCTAGTCGCAAAAGTCTCGGACGTGCAGGTGCTCGTGGCGAATCCATTGGGAGCTTTGGTGATCGACAGAGCTTTGGTATCCGACGCAAAAGCTCCTTCCATGCTGCTACGTCGATTTTGAGCACCGGAACATCCTTCCTCAACGTAGCGGGAATCGCACACACCGATCACTTGTACAACGGTACAAATTTTGATCAGCAGGAGATCGATGTTTCCGAGTCTAGTGATCTGCCTAGGGATGTTGGATTCTTCAAGCTGACTACGTTCGAGTGGCATGAGCCGACGCAGGGGCTAGCTGATCTGGACGTCTTCACTTTGTTGTCCCCCGGACAGATTGGTATTGATCAGCCCACTCTGTCAGTGTGCCTGCTGGACCATAGCTCGCGGACTATAGCCATTGTCAGCGTACAGGTCGACAGTCCGAGCCCGCGGGCATCCTTGACCCGATCAAAACGAGCCAAGCTGAAAGCAAGCAGCATTCGCCGAGGCAACGGTATCTCTACGGCGTGTATAGTCAAGGACACCAATACTCGAAGGCTCTTGGTCGTTCAGAAGGCGCTGTCAGGCGAGTATTTTATGCAGCTAGAGGCACCCTGGAGTCCGTCTCTTACCTTGCCGATGCCATCACGTCTCAGTCTCACGAATGCTCAGCCCTCAGCCTTTGACCAGGGTTTCAGTAAGAGGGGAGATGAGTCTAAACTCCATGCCACTACTGCTGCAGCGACAATTGATATTGTTAGAGCTGAAGGATGCGGTGGCCAGGGGCAGATCGTTCTCTTTGATTCATCTAGCAGGCTGCATCAATTGCAAGTCACCTTGGCGCCGAAAAACAATTTTGTTGGGCATGTGCTTTCAATGTGCAACTTTCTCTTCGGAAAGCAATTCCGTGATAGTATGCTGGTAGCCTATTGGGAGATGCGTCGCTGGATTGATCTACGGCACATCGAAGGCGCCGATGAGTGGACAGCCTTGGTCACGACGATATTCACCCTTGTCGTGCCGTTCCTAGACACGTCTTTCAAGTCGACCCCAGCCAAGAAAAAGACTGCCACTCTTTTGAGATCGAGCAGTGGATCCGCCGTGGATCTGACCAATTTCAAAGCCATGTCAGATGCTCATATCATTTCTCAGCCTGAGGCTCTCAGCAATCAATGGCACTGGCTAGGCAATGAAGCCACGATGACTCTACCAGTGTCACCCACATCACCCTCGTCCCGGCATCTGCGTGGAGCAAGTCTGCAATCAGCGCTCGACGGTGTCCAAGGCTCGACGCGCACATTCGTGACCGATTGCGTCACTCTCGCGAGAGAATTCATACAGTCCCCTGCTGGAGAAGCCATGATCGGATCCGAGGGATATCTGCCAGTCGCCATCAACAAAGACAGGGTAGTCCGTCAGACTGCCGTCGCAAAAATGACAGTAGGTCTCCAGCTGCTGTACGAAGAGGAAAAGCTTGTTCGGATATCAATCGATCGTTTCGTGACATCTTCTCTGCCAGCTGTTCTGGCTCAACTTGGCACATGGCTTAGATGGTCAGCATGGACCATGGAACAGCAAACTTATTTTGGGCTTCAACTTGACAATCCCACCCAGTGGTCAATAGAAGCATCCCACATCACCGCACTGCAGGTGCCATCCCAACCTTTCGAGCCGCCTTCAATACTGCAATACGTCTGTGATAACATCGGGTCTCAATCTGGTATTGTCTTTCCCACTCTAGCGACGTTAGCCGAGCAGCAGTCGCCAGACAGACAGACCGAACACGAGTCCAGAAGCGCACGACTTACACCACTTACTCACGCCATCACATGCGTACTCCGCAAACGTCCATGGGCCACTGGAGGTGCCGTGTCGCCGCCACAAGGGTGGGACATTCCTACAAAAGAGCTTCAAGCTATGCCCGAAGCGATCGTTGCAGTGTTCCACCAAGCTGCTGCTGCTTCGCGGGCAAGTAATAAACACTCGCCCAGTCGCGAGCAGCCGCAAGATGCAGAGAAAGCCCGATCCCGACCTGCTCCGTTAGCGCTCGCAAGTGCCACTGCCTCTCATCACGCAAGCAAAGACTTCCACAGCGCAGGCGTTTCTGCTTTCGATGGTGAGACAACTCAGCGCTGGGACCTAGCGTCAGAAGCAGATCGACATGCCGTCAGTCGTGCACTGTTTCAGGCTGATCGCCGCTTCCAGGAAGCATCGCGGTTGGTGAATCAGACTCGACCACCTGTCGTGGACTGTCCGATTGAGCCTGACTGGACCGAAGCGGATCTACTGGAGACACAAAAGGAGCTTGCGCAGCTTGTGGCGAGACGCACGCTGTCGATTGCTTCTGGGCGTGCAATGATGCATTACAGCGCCAGAGAACCTCTTCTCACGGAAAGAGTGCCTATTCCAGCGTTCTCGCTACAGTGTTTAATAGTGTCATCGGGCAGATCCGAGACTGCACAGCCCATGACATTCAGCGCCGACAAGTCGTCCTTCACGGAAGAGAAAGTGTGCTGGGCGTTTTTCCATAATGGCGCAAGTGCTGGTCTTATGGTGTCAAGGTTTGCTCGCTGCGTCGATACTTCGTGGATCCTGTACAACAAGCCACAGGAGCTTACCAACCGCCATGCTGGCTTCCTGCTCGCACTCGGACTCAATGGTCACCTGCGCTCTCTTGCCAAATGGGTTGCGTTCAAGTATCTCACACCAAAGCATACGATGACTTCGATCGGTCTGCTCCTGGGTCTGTCGGCATCATATATCGGAACGCAAGATCAGCTCATCACTCGACTGCTATCAGTCCACGTCACTCGACTGCTGCCTGTAGGTGCTGCTGAGCTCAATCTCTCGCCACTAACGCAGACCACCGGCATCATGGGCATCGGATTACTGTATTTGAGCTCGCACCATCGTCGTATGTCCGAAGTCATGCTCTCAGAACTCGAGAACAGCGATGCTGAGGAGGGTGTTGCCCCAGAGCTTGTTTTGCGAGACGAAGGATACCGTCTGGCCGCCGGCTTCTCTCTCGGCTTGATTAACCTAGGCCAGGGCAACGAGTTGCACGGGCTGCACGACATGTCCGTTCCAGAAAGGCTGTTGGCGATTGCCATCTCAATGAAGAATGTCAATCTGGTTCACGTCTTAGACCGCGCCACATCAGGGGCCGTGATGGCCATTGCCTTCATCTTCATGAAGACGAACAACGCCTCAGTAGCGTCGAAAATCGACATTCCTGACACATTGCACCAATTCGACTATGTTCGACCGGACATCTTCCTGCTGCGGACATTGGCAAGACACCTCATCATGTGGGATTCCATCATGCCAACTCAGTCTTTTGTAACAAGATCTCTTCCGAAGCCGTACCGACACCGGGCATCTCTCGATAAGACCTTGAGCCTCGCAACGGAGGATCTGCCTTTCTTCAACATCCTGGCCGGTATCTGCTTCGCTCTAGGACTGCGTTACGCAGGCACACAACGTGAGGATGCGAGAAATCTACTTGTCTCGTACCTGGATCATTTCCTGCGACTTTCACGCCTCCCTTGTGCCCATTATGATGCTCGAGTCACTCTTAACAGTGTGCGTCATTGTCTCGATGTCGTCGCGTTGTCCGCAGCGATGGTGATGGCCGGCTCCGGCGATTTGATTGTCCTGCGGAGGCTGCGAAGTCTGCATGGCCGGACCGACAGAGATACGCCATTTGGAAGCCACATGGCTGCACACATGGCCCTTGGGGCACTGTTCCTTGGTGGCGGCACCATGACGTTTGGAACGAGCAAGAAGGCTGTTGCCAGTCTTTGCATATCATTCTATCCACTGTTTCCGAGCGATGTGCTGGACAACAAGGCACACTTGCAAGCGTTACGGCATCTATGGGTTCTGGCAGCAGAATCGAGATGTTTGGTGTGCAAGGAACGGGAAACCGGGGCGCTGGTTGGAGGCGTTGCTGCGACGGTATATCTGAAGAATGGCGAGACGGTCAACATGAAGGTACCAGGTCTCTTACCTGAGCTGGACACGGTCAATAGCATCGTGGTCGAGGGTCACGGCTGGTGGTCATCAACGCTCAATATGAAAGAGTCCAAGAAGCGCAACAACATCGACCAACAAGGCGTGGTCACGGTCTTCATGAAGCGCAAATCCGCATTCGACTCAGCTCCGCAGGGAGACTCGATAGCTGAAGAGCTGCGTCTTCTCGACGAGCACAGCATGAGAGCCGCAGGGGGCGTACCTAGCTGCAATCCAGATCTAGCTGAGCGCACGCATACCTCCTCCAAGGCATCCGAGGGCGATCCATTCGAGTGGTTGTTCGGTCTCGAGTCATTCGAGGACTATGATGCCAAGGAGCGAGATCTGGTGCTGGGACCTTATGATGGGGATGGAAGGCGGTTCTTGGAGGGTACTCCTCTGGACGCGAGGCTGGTCGTTGAGCGAGGACTGCTGCCTGATGATCGTCGTAGTGGAGAGCACAAATTAGAGATTGACAAGCTGTACCAGATTCGGGCGCTGCTGCAGTGGTTTGATCAATTTGACAGTGAGGACGAGCAGATGGATGCTCAAGGTGACGATGCGAATGAGACGAGATGGCGTTCGGGTTTGTGGCTGCGGCGCGAGGTCATTGACAGGTTGAGGGAGAGGGTGTTCAAGTTGATGGCTGAATGACGGGCTGTCATAAATAGCAAGTCAATCTCATGCACGCATACGTCTATTACGTCCAGCGCTTCTCAAGGAGGTTTGCCAGGAGGCGTTAAAGCATGGCAGTACTATTTCCTGAACACGAGACCCAACCCGTCCCCCACCGGCTTTGCCTTCCGGTCTGACTAATCGTGCTAGAGAACTACAGTACTTCAGACTTTTGCCAGACCGTTGAGGAGAAACCAGCAGCGCCCAGGTGTCCTCAAAGAATCCTCCCTTGCATAGTTATTCTTCGCTGAGAACAAGGCTTGCTCAAGCGAGCGAAGACAACATCGTTCGTTCGTACTTACTGCGAATTGAGAACGGAGTCCCGCGTCCCATGACGTTACATCGTCTCGGCGCTTCCGGGTGCTGCCACATCATGCGATACCTGCCGGCAGATGATCTGTATTGGTTGGCGACCACATGAGCCAATGAAGCCTTCAAAATCCTGGCAGAGCAATTGTGACGAAACAAGAAGTTGGGAAAGGGAAGTTGTCTTGATCAGAAATATGGATCGTCGTGAATATGATGTCCGCCTGGAACCCGCTGTTCGAAAAAACATGTCGACTCAAACAGAATGATGTTGAGTTCACAAGAGGAATTGTATCTGTGATCGGTCGCGATACATTCCTGAAGGGACAGTGAACGGCCTTGTTTGACGTGATCGACTACAAGCAACCAACTTGCACTTTCCTCAACCACCTCCTTTCCACGTGACTTCCCAAACGTCCAAGTTGGCAATAAATTCGACCACACGGCATTAGTGGCAACGAAAACATCTCTTTGGCACGCCGACCAGGCCTTTCACCATTCGCCACGCTCATACGACAATCGTCGCACAAGATGGCCGAGCTCTCGACTACCCTGCCTAATGTAAGTCCTCCGTTGCCGCCCCTCTCACCAACTGCTCTCTGGGCTCACATCGAGTCCATTGATACTAACAATCATTTCACGCAATAGAGTCCACCAACATCGACACTCATATCTCTCCCAAATGAGCTTCTACGCCAAATCTTAGCACACGCCCTACCCAAACGAATCCACGTTGCGGCCACTGGTCGCTTCGAAGCCAGCCATCCTGGGCGACCTTACGCACGTCAACGCCTGTTCTGGAACGACGAGAATGTCTTGGGCCTGACGCTCGTTTCGAAGCAAGTGGCGGAGATTGTAGGACCCTTGATATACGAGAGGATGGAGATCACGCCGATTGATGTGTATTGGGTGTTTGACCCATTACGAGAGCTCGTGAAGGGGCAGCTGTGGGAATGCGATCGTAGTGGGGCTGAAAGGATGCACGGAGATGGGAAGTGCGGTGGGGACGTCAGGTCGGTGAAGCAGGTACGGGAGTATCTGAGAGCCTTGAGGTCGCTTGGAAGTGTGGGAAGGAGGGGAGGAGGGGGTCAAACTGAAGTCCGGTACTAGACGGTGCTGGGCGGGAAGCTGCTGGCCGACAACACCAATCGCGTTCCCCGGCCTACTTGCATATGATGTCACTTGGCGGCGTCACATCAAAACCCCTGCTCGAGATAAAGGCATAGGGCGAGCTAGGTACTGTACCGCAGGCGGGAACGGATGCTTCATGAGGGAGGCAGCCACGACTGTGTAGCTTTTTCTTGGCGTCATGTACTGGGCTGAGCAGTTCGCCTTCCGACTTCAGCTGGACGACACCAGAGCTGGTGCCTAGTCCGAGTCTTCAACATCAGTCTCCGTTGGCCACTGCAAAACCTCTCCTCCTTGCTCCCGAAACCGGACAGACCTTAACACCATGGACGACGTTATCGAAGAGCCAGACTCGGTAAGTAAACAAACACCCTCCACAATATGACTGCTAACAACCCAACGACATCTCCATCGGCCAGTCCCTGCCAGAGCGACCCACTATCGTCGCCGACGACTATCAACTCGCTGCCCCTTGAACTCCTTCAGCAGATCTTCCTTGTCAACATGCCGGACGAGATTCATGTCGTTTACGACAACACACGCACACACTCATGGAACGGCCGATCACAGCTTTGCTGGACGCCAGGTCATGTACTTGAAATGCTCACGGTCTGCAAGCTCTGGACGCAGGCAATCGGACCATTGATTCACAGAAGGGTGGAGGTCGTTGTGAGAACGCCAGAGAAATACAAGCCCGAAGGCTGGCCTGCTGGTACAGAAGGTAGAGTCTTGCGATGGGCAACCGGACGGGGGTTGACTGGAAACACCAGACCGTACGCTAAGACTGGTCAGAATGTCGTGGAGGACTATCTCAGGAGTCTGTCGTGGTCTGGACACGCATTGTCGGAGGAAGAGAGGCGGCGTCTGAGAAGAGAATGGTTGCGATGAGCACGAAGGATTCTCTGACTGGAAAATATGCTCAGGAAGCCTTGCTGTCGCTCAATAGGACCACGCATGACCTTATGGCATGCCCGCGGAGTTTGTGCATTACGGCTTCTGACTTTGTGCACTTCGCTGCAGACACGACTGATATTGCCTGTGGGAAGTCATCTATCTGGCGCCTACTACCAAAAGTACCACATCGAGCTCTGCTGAATAGGTGCCTGGATCTTGCCTCTATGAAGAAAGATCAGAAGTTCTTCGCCCAGCGGTTTTCTTCTAGCAACGGCTCTGCCCGCCTGCTAGTTATCACTTTGTGACTTGGACTCGAGTCGCTCCTGACTCCGATATGACTTGCCTAAACCTGTCTGTCAGGAGTCTTTCTCCACCCAGGCCAACCTCACTGGCGTCCATTACTTTGTCGACCGCAGACACGCAATTGACAAGCCCACCTTGTTCTCATCCGCACATCACTCAATACTGCTTGCGACGTCGCGCAGGCATAGCGAGTCATTTCGAAGATGGCTGACGTTCTCTCTGCATCACTGCTGTCAGTAAGTCTCCCGCCCGAAAGTCCTCGCCGGCTCCGTGCTGACCGCTGTCCACCGCTCAGGATGAGCCGACGGCGCCCACGCTAGCGTCCATGCCAGCCGAAATCCTCGAGAAGATCTTCGCCCTCGCCATCCCTGAGCAAGTCATAATGAACGACACTCGTGATATCTCCAAAGCCTTGAGATTCCGTCCCATCAACTGTGTTTGGAGACTGGACGGGATTTATTCGGTACACAAATGGACATATGAGCTACTGAATGTGTCGAAGCGTCTCAGAGCCATCATCGGACCGATCCTGTACACTCGGATCATCATCACGCCCGGATTCTTCCTGAGTAAGAGATCAAGCTCGCACTTCTCAGCAGCTAGCGAGATGAAACATGAGCCGACGAGGTACTCGGGAAAGAAGGTCAAGCCTTTCAGTGTTTGTAAGACTGCCAAGCATGGGTTGGATCGGAAGTTGCGAGAGATTTGTGGGCTGCCGTCGGCTTGTATCCTCGAGGAGGAGAAGGAAGATGTACTGAGTCAAGTAAGAGCTGGAGCCGATGAGAGTAGTGATTGAGGTCCTCACGACATCCAGGCACATATAGTGGCTCGACCAGGCTACCGAGCAGCAGCTGTTCATGGTCAGCATATCGAAGAAACCATGTTGGACCAAATCTGCAATCCAGCAAGCCACGGCACCCGGGTCGACTCGGACATCTCATACACAAGTTCGATCAAGTTCTCCAACCCTCAAAGCCTGTGCTATCATCTCCTCTTCTATCACAATTGAGCGCTCGCCTCCCAGCTAGAGTCGTAGGGGCAATTGTCGCTGTCCAAATCATGGGAGATTAGTCCGTCCACTTGCTCGGCCGTGCCTATTGTTCCTGTTGGCTGCGTCATCACGTCCTCACTCGAGTGTAAACCACTTCTGGTCTTGGCAGAGTAACACACATCTCCGCTTGAGAAGCCTCTCCGACTTCAGCCTCCTTCATTGTCACGCTTCCAAATCTTCTGCCCGTCTATGCATTCACCCTCGATGTAATATCGGGATACGGTCTCGGCGAGCTTGGTATGGCTACTGCAATGTCGTGCCGCGGTAAGGACGGACAAGCGATGACGGCTGAGGAGCGCGGGTCTTCGTCACCGACGGTAAGTGGTCCACGGTCGACGTTCGGCGAGTTTGTCTTAATGACTGACTACCATGTTCAGCTCGGGGTAAAACCGACACTGGCAAGCCTCCCAAGCGAGATTCTTCAGAAAATATTCGCTTTCGCCATCCCAGAACAGGTCATCGTCAACGCGACCGCCCGGTTCCTCTACAGCACTGTCCGCTCACATTTCGTCGATTGGTCGCCTCAATGGGCATACGAGCTGATGGCCATCTCGCGGCGGCTGAGACTGGTGGTGGGACCAATACTGTACAACAGCATCAGTGTCCCTCCAGTGGAGCTCGGTCGATGGTACATGGCCGACCCATGCGAGTTGCTGAGGTTGCTGAAGCACGACGCGACAGGCATTCCGGGTAAGAAGTGGCCACTGCCTGCCTGTGAGACGACAACGCACCAGCTCGATCGAAAGCTGCGGAAGATGTGCGGGCTGTCATCTGCTTGTGTTGAGAAGAAGGAAAAGGTGGCCGATGCTGAGGAACTCGAAGAGGCGGCTTCTATAGAGTTGGGCACTGTCGCTTCTGAGAGAGAATCCTGCGTGCCGGTACTCACGCATCCACTGCCTCTCAGGCCCGCGTGGATACCCTGAGAATAGACTGACGCCGGAGGCTCAACGTCAGTAACACCAGAGTCTGATTCGTATCGGCCCATTCACAAGCCCAGCCTTGCTGTTACAGCCACTCATTCGGAATATTCGTTTCGCGCGCCCGAGGTCCCTACTTGGTCGCTTAAGACATCACACTTCCCGGTCTTCTTCAGTCACACTCGATCGCTCGCGTCCGCTTTGTCCCTCCCCGCCAACCTCCAACGCCATTGGCACTATTCCAATTTCGCCCACGAATCGCTCCAACCACTCCCTCAGATACCCTTGCGCCTCCTCCATCAACTCGATCCAAGTCCCACAATCCCGCGGCCAATACCTCCACCGACAAGTATCCCCTCCCGGCCCAATCACCTCGATCTTCATCCGCTGATACAGCACCGGCACCAGCACGCTAGAGAACCGCCTTGAGATCAGCAGCAAGTCAGGGACACTGGGAGGCTTCCAGTATAGATGAGGCGGTTCTGCAATGGTCGTCAGGGATTCCGGCGGCGAGGTCACGTTCCCAGTATTCTTGGATTTGCGGTAGCTGGCAAATGCCATGGCGGAGAAGAGTTGGGATTTCGGGCGTGCTCGTTCGTAGACGACATGGATGTCGTCTGGGAGGAAGTGGCGGACTATGAGGAGGAGAATTTCTGTGGGTAGGCTGAGGAGATGGGTGCGCGTGCTGTCGGCTGCGGTTGGCATTGGGACGACAGCATGGTTGTCCTGGATGGCATGTGTGCTGCCGTTGATGTGCTTCTGCGGAACCAAGAGCTCACTGGACAGGCTAGCCGATAGGGTCGTGTACAGGCGTGCGTCTAGGACTGTTGTCGTTGCAACCATCGTCATGAACCTTGTCTGTCCTTTCGATGCACTGTTTTGTACTTGCCCAGACTGTACTCCCTGACGTCCAAATGGCGAAGAATTCGTCGAGCAGCAGGATGAAAGCACGCGCAATGGACACAAGGGCCCCGGGACACTTGTACCGCGGACTTATCTTCATTATAATATGTCATCAATGTCTCCTCCGTGATCAGTCCTAGAGCCACCCGAAATAGATCAGGTAAGGTCCTCATGTCAGCAGGGAGCACTCCATCAATCCTCCTTAATCAGGCCTTGCTCCGAGTCGCCGATGAATGTCCACCTCCAGGTCCTTCAAACGAGAGGATGGTATTGACATGATGACAATATCCCGTCATCCGCCACGATCATTCACCACTCCTCCGCGGCAAACATGTCTGGGATCGGGCGAAATCAAAATGGCGTTGTTGAATTTGAGGACAATAAGCATGAGGTGGCACGGGATGTCAAGCTGAGCCCAATGACATCGTTGCTCCTGCCAAATACGGGGGCTCCACCAACATATTGCCGCATGCAGGTACAACTGCATGCAAGTACTTGTGCCCGCCTCCGTCAGGGCCCACGGACACGGACGAAAGAGGCAAGTCTACTGCATTCGTACTTGCGTTCACGCCTTTCGACTTAGTCATGGTAGGAGCCTGGAGTCTGCGTCGAAGGACACCACACACGCACACACATACCGCTACTATGTGAAGGAAGTCATGCATCGTACAGTATCAGGCACAAGCTCACGGTCTTGAGCCGCGCCCGCCATGATTAACGTGCGCTCTTATCCAGCGACGTTCTCAGCGACTTTCTCGCCATTCACGCCAATCTCACCCGTCGCTCTTTCGCTTTCGGCTGTCTTCGAAGCTGCCTCTTCAGCATCATCCTCGCCGAACAGCTTCGCAATAGCCTTCATCGTCGTGTTACCACCACTGAACACCACCCCAATATCCCACGCCCTTCCCGTTCCCTCCTTCCTCTGCTCCTCCACCACCCACTTCCTCCACTTCTCATTGAACAGCACCACCGCTAACGGTACACACCCACTCGGCTCGACTACGTACTTCATCCTCTCGAACACCAAGCGCATAGCCATCTTGATCTGCTGTTCCGTGACGCTGAAGACCGCTTCTACCTTGTCCTTGTTGCTGACCACAGTCCAATTCGTCACACCCACAGGCGTGCGTAGCCCATCGGCTATCGTAAGCGTCTTCACACTCTCTATCCTCTTGCCCTGTGCTAGCCCACGTTCCGCATCGTTGGCGCCCTCAAACTCCGGCTCCGCGCCAAACACGCGCGTCTCGGGCTTGTCCGAGAACCACGTCGCGATGCCACCCAGCAACCCACCACCGCCAATCGGCGCAACCACCACATCAAGCGAAGCCTTGCCGCTGTGTCCCTCTGGCTGGTTCCTGATCCACTCCTCATATTGCTCCTCAATTTCCTTCCCAGTCGTGCCCTGCCCAAGTATGATATCCGGGTGATCATACGGCGGCACCAAGATCGGCCCCTCCCCGTCCCTCCCACCACCCTTCTCCCGCATGATCGCAGCAACCTTCTCCTCCCTCTCGCTGCTCGTACTTCCACTGAAGATCACTTCCGTAGCATGCCTCTGCGTCCCCGAGATCTTGCTCGCCGTGCTGATACCTGGCATCACGATATAACTCGGAACTCCGAATTCCTTCGCCGCTAATGCCAGAGCTTGTGCGTGGTTCCCGCTGGAGTGCGTGATCACGCCGCGTTTCTGGATGGCGGGCAGGCCATGCAGAGTAATCAAGTGGGATAATGCATGAAACGCGCCACGGGCTTTGAATGCTCCAATGCGTTGCAGATTTTCGGCTTTGAAGTGCAGAGACAGACGTGGCGCAGGTGAGGCACCATTGCTGTGTCCGTTCGTACTTGGGGGAGTGTCCGAAAGATATGCTGCTGGGTTTGGCGAGGATGCGATCTCGTTCAATGTCTTAGACGTAATAAGAGGCGTACGGTGGACGTGCGACTTGATGGCAGCATGTGCTTTAGCGACCGAGTCCGGCGTCAACGGTAGACATGTCGACGGATCAGCCATAGCGCGGAATGTTTATTTGCAGTGCGAAGTGGAAGGCGGAATGGTTCTTGCAACCCGCCGTGCTTGTAGTTGCGTCAAAAGACCTCAATGCTGTCGGAACTTGGCCGATGATGGGCCAGACGACACATATGATATCGGGTAGAAGACAGGCTCACTCTCTAATTGACTCACAATGACCCTCAGCGGTACGTCGCACGCCCATTGACACAAACAAGATCTTAAAGGGACTAGAATCCGAACGACGCGAATGACGACGAGCAGAATGAGAGAGATGGCGGAAGAAAGACGGGAGATCGACAGAACCCACGGCCAGGTACAACACCAAGCCTTGGCATGCTACCTGAGGTAAGCAGGTGTGTTCGAGTCAATCGAGCCAGCCTCCACGAGGAATACATCCGATGAATCGTCGCTATAAACAGTAACTCTTTCGCTCATGCTGTCACTGTACGGCTCGTCATCCGGTCTGACCAAGATGCTACACAAGACCGGTTGACATCCACCATTCTCGTGGCCGCTCCCTCCTCAAGTGCTTGACATGCAAGTGATGACAGCAGGAGCACAACGTGATCGCACCTTCCCATCAAAGCTCATTGACGGCGTCGCGGGCGGCAGGCGCTCGGCTAGCGCCTTCCGAGCGCAAGTCCTGTCAACCGGCTCAGGTGGGGTTATTTGTGAGACCGTATGGCGAACCACAGATGCTCTACAGATCGTCGAAAGACTTCTAGGACGCTTGAGCATGACCAAAAATTTGATCCGCTTTCAAGCTCTGGGGCGGGACCTATGTAACTTAGTTGTGACTAGCCTGACTAAGATAGGTCGTGGCGGAAGCCTCGTCGCGAGTGCCAGGGGTGTTGTAAACGACCAGGAATATACTTGACCAAACGCAGTTGGTGGCTCGAACAACATCCCATATACCAACCCACCAAAGAAACACACGCCTCAGCCATCGGCCCCGCGATGCACAGCCAGAAAACCCATCCATTGGGTTCGCACCAAGCATAAATGTCATCGGAGGACACATTACAGAGTATCCAGCACCTGGATCGAGACATGCCGGGCCCGTCGATCTTGTCATCCGGCGTCACCAAAAACCGACGCAAATAGTCATCCGGCGTCACGAATGTCCAAACTCACCACTGCTTTCAGATGCTATAGCAGCATGACCCTTCATTCCGAACAACTGCCCCTAGGTCAGGCGGTATTTGTAGGCTGTCGCTACCGGCTCAGGCGGACTTTGTGACGAGTTTCGCAAGATTGACGGACCTCAAAATAGTTGATCGAAAGAGCTATTTCAGAGAAATGGCCGGCCCCACGGAGTTGAGGCTGCGCCGAAGCTGATGACTAGATCAAGAAGACTGGTTACAAGTTTGCTGTCGGGCCCCATAGGTTTGGTGGTCGCGGAGGCAAGGCTGCGGAAATCGATGATCGTGGGTGGTACCTTTGGAGGGCCCGTCATCCGGCGTGAGACCAGTCCCTCACTTCGCGTCTTCTGAAGCATCTCTTTAAGGGTCAACCAAAGTCCTCAGGCGATGACAGACACTCGTAGTGACGGTGCAAGACAGACGATGTAAGCGGGAGGGTTGGATTGTAAGAAGCGGTTTTGACATCTATGTGCACGAAGATAGCATCCAGATAGCAGATGGTGTATATACAAGTTCCATGCTGTCAGGCGGACTCCGAGGCTGCATGCAGAATTGTATCCAGCGAAACACGGTCTTTCGACCCAAAGCTTCACAGTGGTTCCACCGCGAGCTGTGGATGATGATCGCCGCGGTCGCCCATTCCGTGCCTGCCGTCGCACTTCCGCTCGCCTGGTCGATTCCACGGTGACTGTTGAGGCCATATCAGCTGCATTTGAGCGTCCGCCATGCGACCTGACAATGCTCCCAGAGCTCACGCATCACGTCTCCACAAGTCGTCAGAGTGCTCCCTGGCGTCTGTGCATCATCTGAGCTGTCCTGTCTCTCATCAATAATGCCAGAACCCGAGTGTCGCTGTGCACGGCCTCAGGTATTCTTGTCCAGCCCCTCAGCGGCCAAATTCTTCTTGAACCTCCTCTCGATAGCCTCCATGAATTCCGTGGTCGTGACCCACGCCTCACGATCCTTCCGCCCACAGGCCAATGCCAGATCCTTGGTCATGATGGCATCCTCATCCACTGTCTGTACGACCGCCCTCTCCAGACTTTCAGCCCACGTCACGAGCTCAGGCGTATCATCGAGGCTCCCACGCTTGACCAACCCCCTCGTCCACGCGAAGATACTCGCGATAGGATTTGTGGAGGTTTCGCGGCCTTTCTGATGCTCGCGATAATGCCGCGTGACGGTGCCGTGCGCGGCCTCGGACTCGTAAGTCAGGCCGTCTGGGGTAATAAGTTGAGAAGTCATCAATCCTAACGAGCCGAAGCCTTGGGCAACGATATCAGACTGCACGTCTCCATCATAGTTCTTCATGGCAATGACAAATCCGCCCTCGGACTTGATCATCTGGGCCACCATGTCGTCGATCAGGCGGTGCTCGTACCAGATCTTCTGCTTCTCGAACTGCGGGCGGTACTCGGCCTCGTAGATCTCCTGGAAGATGTCCTTGAAGCGGCCATCGTAGGCTTTGAGGATGGTATTCTTCGTCGACATGTACAAGGGGTAGTTGCGGTCGAGGGCGAACTTGAATGAGGCGTGCGCGAAGCTCGGATGGAGTCGTCTGTGTTGTACTGTGTTTGTGCGACGCCTCCGGCCATGTTGAAGCTGTAGACATCGATCTTCTTGGGAGGGGCGCCGGAGGCCGGGTGGAAGGTCATTTGCAGGGTGCCGGCTTCCTTGACCACGATGTCTTTGGCGCGGTACTGATCGCCGAAGGCGTGGCGGCCGATGACGATGGGCTGCTGCCAGCCGGGAACCAGGCGGGGAATGCGTGGGATCACGATCGGCTCGCGGAAGACGGTGCCGCCGAGGATGTTGCGGATTGTGCCGTTGGGTGAGAGCCACACTAGATGGTGTTAGTATTGGAAGTAGGATGTGGACGGAAGACGTACTCTTCTTGAGCTTGAACTCCTCAACACGCTGCTCGTCTGGCGTAATCGTTGCACATTTGACGCCCACCGAATATTTCAGGATGGCATTTGCAGCGTCCACTGTGACCTGGTCGTCGGTCTCATCGCGGTATGGCAGGCCCAGGTCGTAGTATTTCAGGTCAATGTCGAGGTATGGGAAGATGAATTTCTCCTTGATGTCGGCCCAGATGATTCTGGTCATCTCATCGCCGTCCAGCTCGACGACAGGATTCTTGACCTTGATCTTTGTGCGCGCTTCTGAGGACGCATTGCGTGTCTGTTGGGACTGTAACGATGATGGACTCGACGATGATGCCATGCGGGCGCTTTCCGCGGCCAGGCGCGAGGTGGGCTGGGAGGACATTGTTCTTGCTGGCAGTGATGTGAGTGGTCTAGTAGAGAATGCCCTTTGCCGTAGAGGTATTGATCTGACTGCGCGCGGCAAGGTGGTAGCTATGCGAGAGGAGTGCATAGCTGTGGTGGGAAGCAGGGCAGCTTCCGAAATATACAAATATGCAAGGCCGGTGAAATTCTACTCGGAGCTGTCAGTCTGAGTCGTGATCCCGAGGTCTCGGCCTGCAATAGCCTGTAGGAGAACGAGATTCCAGGTCTGCAGCCGCGAGAGGAGAAATTCGGAAGATGCGAGATGATGTATATGTGCGAAGTCGGCAATCGCGGAGGGGAAGGTTCTCACAAACAAAAGGTAGTATCCGTTGTCATGGGGCTTGGAGCTGGCAAAGTCGCAATCGCCGTACTGAGCGCGGCGCGTCTGGCTCTTTCGCTGTTACCGAGGGACTGACGAGGGGAAGATGTGGGTGGTGGGATCGTCTCGAGGAATCCCTGTCGCGGTTATGTTCCTTGTGTGGGGGATTCGGATTTCAGCCGATGAGAATTGGAGAGAAAAGTGTGCCCAGGCGTGGTCTTATTTGCGATCTTCGGATATCGAGCTGAACGACACGTGAGTCAAGATCAAGATCTATTGTACAGCTCTTATAGTGAGTCGAGGGTATCATTTATAGTACATGTTCACTACTCCTACTTGCGGGAGTCAAGGATTCCAAGGCTGCCGGGGAGTGCTGAGAAGGTCCGAAAGTATCTCCTCAATATGCTGCCACATCGTGAAGTGGCTTTTGCCCGGATACTCCTTATATACGGATGCTTCCAGGCGAGCCGCCAGGTACTTGCCCATGTTCGGCGGTGTGTTGACGTCCTTCTCGCCATACCATAATTTGATGCCAGGGTACCCGACGTCTTCCAACCTGAAGCCCCAATCATCGAGCTGAACAGAACTGTCCTCAATGTGACCGTCGACACCTTGTCGGTAGACTTCCTGCCACAATCTTATGATGCCCTCTTCCATACCGGGTTGTGTCATTTCTTCGCGGTCTTCGCCTTTGAAGAAGTCCAGCTGTTTGCGCACGATGGCTTTTGCTTCGGTAGAGTCCTCCTTCTGCATAGCTGGGACCATGTATCGGCCAATGATGAAACGGAAAAAGCCCGGGAAGACTCTGTAGGTCAGGTAGCCCCATTTGTTGATCAGACTCATGCCCTTCATGCCTGCTTGCACAGGGGCCACCCCAATGGCAATACCAACGCCTTTGACCTGTTCGCGTGGCAGACACTTCGCAGCAGCCAGGGCGTACCCTGTGCCACCACTGACACTCAAGATATAGTACGACTTTAGATTCAGCTGCTCCACAAGCTGCCGTAAGTCATCCGCCCAGTCTATGATCTTGCGGCCTGTTTTCGGCGTCGAGAAACCAATGCCTGGACGATCAATGCCGATCCAGCGAACATTGAGCTTCTCCGCAATCGCGAGGTCCTTCTCAGTCATGCATGCATCCAGTCGGCAATCAGGTATACCATGGCAAAAGATGACCGGGCGGGCATCAGGTCGTTTCGAGCCATACTCCACGAAGGACATCAGCCGGCCATCGTCTAGCTGGAGGACCCGACAACCGTCTGAGACAGAAACTTTCAAGTGCTCCGCAGGTACAAATGGGCTGATGGCTGCACGAGACACGTGCCTCTCTCGTCTAGGGACCTGAGCAGGAGTGGATGCTAGAGAAGCTGCCGATCGAAAGGATGTTCTTTGGGCGGCGAGGAGTGTTCTGCATATGGGTGTGGCGCGGCTGAACTTGTGGCGAGCTACTGCGTGCATAATCTGCTCGAAACGAAAGCAAATGACCTACCTCAGAAAAACAGAATTTCTGGGAGCTTGCCAGTACATATGGCTTGGACAACAACACCTCGTAGCATGCTTCCGAGTGTTAACCGCCAAGGGGAGAGCACAAATGCTGGAAGCTTCTCTCCTTATTCGAGTTCCATAAATAGCCCCAAAACGAGATTGATGGAGCGCTCGGCCGCCGCGCGACGCGTAGTGCGAGTCTGGCACCCATCATACCACGGGAACGCTTGGGGGAGCAGTCGTAGTTGAGACTCGCACGAGGCTGCGGCATGGCGGAGATTCGTTCGAGCACGAACAGGCGGCGATGAGGAGACCTAGATTCTTGCCAGTTCTCAAGGACTTCGAGTTGAAAAGATTGAGCTTGATCGTAGCCAGCCCTTGCCTTCGGGCATTGAGGGTTAGGGTTGATCGAATAGACCATTGCCAAAGAACTTGTAGTTTGTCATTCGACGACAACTGTCCCTATATTGCACCATTTCGAGAATCCCGCATAGCCGCCTAGGTAGCTCTGCCAACACCTTGACCACCATCACTGCCGCCTCCCGCAAGGACTTCCATACAGATCCGCCCGCGGCGCGCAGCTCATCTTTAGCTCGCCATGGCAGATAAACTCCGCACCCTCCAACAACTCGAAGCCCTCCAAGCGAAATACGTGGGCACAGGCCACGCCGACACCTCGCGCCACGAGTGGACGAACAACATCGTGCGCGATTCGTACGCCAGCTATGTCGGACACCCGCCACTATTGAGCTACATGGCGATTGGGATGGGTGAGCCGAGGGATAAGGTCAGGGCGATGGTCATTGAGAAGATGGTGAGGGGCGTTGGACCGCCTCCGGATCCCAACAAGGATGAGGAGGTGAAGATGGAGGGGTCGTGATCGGTGTGGCGAGGGAGAGATGGCATGAGTTTCAGATCTTACAGAAGAGGAGATTGTCGACTTGATATCTGGCTCTGGAGGGAGGGCCGTCTTCATCAAGGTGAAATTCGACACAGGACCTACAGCATGTTGTCAGCGTGCGTGACCTCCACGACATGCGCGTCTCTCCAGTTCTGGCATGGAGCAGCACCTATTACCAAAAGAATTGCTGGCACAGAAGCGCTGAAGCATAACTGAGTGATACTCGAGTTACCGGAATCAACCGAGGTGGGCAAAGAGTCATATCCGTGCCCACAGATCTCTATGCAACACGAGGCTTCTCCCCACAGCGAGATGAACGACTTAGTGGACCAGCAGAATCGTCAGATGGTGCCGAACACATGCAAGACCATATCCTGCAGGCACAGCTACATCCGAGCATCCAGCCTCTACCGCGGCCAGAGCCCATGAAGAAAGGCATGCTCGCCCCAACAAGAAGCAGCGTGTGCTATCTCGAACATGGCAATCACAAAGTCTTGTTCCAGTTTTGTGATTGTTGAGGAGAAGAGGAGAGAAGACGAAGACAGCAGTCGGGCCTACTATATGTACCTCGCCAACAGAACCGAAGCCCGGCGCAAACCGAAACGGTCGCTTCACTGAAGTGGACAGAAGATATTCACGGCTCGTCGTATGATTCAAGGCTAGGCTATCGTCGGCTCCAGGACTCAATGCCGCGCATACCCCCCGTGTTGTCATTTTCACACGAGAATTCACTGCGGACGGTGGCTCAGAGGACGGGCTACACCGCGGCTAAAAGTCAACTCCCATGTGAGGGGACGCTCAGGCATTCATGAGTATCGAGAGGAGTGGACGATCCTAGGCCCAGGCCGGTCGGTATGGCGTGGAAATTTGGCAAGTAGCGAAAGTACGAACATCAATGACATGCGTCTCTGCTGACAGATTAACATGATGGCATATAGATAGATTGTGGTGTATTTGCTAGTTCTCCAAAATCCTTCACGCTATTTGCAGTTCTTTCCACCTCCCGATGGCCTCCATTCGTCGCCTCGAACCGGTTCCATCTGATATGTGTTTGGCCACGGTCCGGGTGTGGTCAACCGCTCTTGCTGAAGCTGCGCATACAAACCAAGCGTTGACCTTGCGTGACTCAGAACGTTCGAAGTTGGACGATGACGCCACCCGTCATGCTTCGAGCTGGCTGGTTTTGGCAGTCTTGGTGAGGCGCGGACGTGTGCAAGGGCACAGATTGAACTCCTGACCGGGCCAACGATGGTTGCATACGGGCCACAAATCTCCACGCTCTTGGACTTGAATGTCGACGATGCCTCGCAAAGTCGGGAAGGCCACGGTGATTGTTGTAGAGGTGAAGCTCGGCCGCGAGAATGAATCGAACTGACGCAGACGCGCCGTTGATGGCATAAGTCCCTCCAATGCTCCGTCTCTCGAAACGCCAAAAATTTGGACGTAGAAGAAGTTTCGTCTCACAGCTGAGGGTCCCCCCAAACCACGAGGTCCTCAAAGCTCATCTGACGCCTTAAATACGCCAATCTCGACTCCATTCCATTTTTCCCTCATAGCCTGTATGCCAGGCTCCAGACATAGGAAATGTTCATATCAATATGCTCAGCGAAGTAAGGGCTAGGGCGCGGTCGTTCAGAAAATGCCGTTGACGATGTTGCTGCCGATCGTGGCACCAGCGCCGAAGATAGCAGCGTTGCCCATCTTCTTGCCGAATTTCTTGCCGTGCTCCTCTAATTTACTGGTTTGTCGGCCGGGTTGTGATGAAGAGCTGGCAATGTCGAGGGGCATGTTGCCGTAGCCGCTTGATGATGGCTGATGTGGGAGAGGTGGTCGGCCCTTTTCTTCGATAATGTTCACGTAGCTACGGGGAAAGATGCCTTCGAGACCGGTGCGTTCATTTCGGCCCCTCCACCCTGGAAAGGAGTCAGATAGATCGGTCAGTGGAAACGGGGCTACTCACAGTCGTTGTTCATGTGCTCGATGACCTGTACCCTGTCGTTCGGCTGTAGGGCCAGATCGCCAGTGTCTGTGGGTTGATATGCATAGAGGGCGGAGGCTACGCTCAGTACGGGTGGTACCGTGGCATATGCAGGCGGTGGCAGAGGCGCCGGAGAGTGTGTTTGTGGGTATGAGTTCTTCAAAGATAAATCCGAAAGCTGCTCAACGGGTGTGCTGATCGCTGGGGAGAGGTTGACAGGGGCGTGTAGAGGAGCTCGCAACGGCGTTTGTGCAGGCAGCTGTGCAAGAATTGAGGATAATTGCTCGGACGAAATGACGCCGGTATCTGTGAGAAATTCAAGTTCCTGTTGTTCCGCTACGTTAGAAAGGCATTTGTGACTGTTTCGGTGATTCGGGACGTACTGTTCTGATGGTCCGCAGGCTACGGTTCGAGAGGGCGATCGAGGCCTCAGAGGAGGCCATCTTAGGAGTGGGCTGACACACGCACTGCAGGCGATGACAACGACACTGGCGAATGCAAAGCCAGACGGCGAAAATAAAAGAGTGGTGGTTGGTACAGAGGCGCGGTGAGAATGAAGAGGTTCAGGTGAGGTGCGGTGTCTCAGAAGAGGTCCAACTCTCTGACAGAACTGCGCCTAAAGGAGAGTACGTCTTGGCAGCAAATAATAGGTTCACAGGCACAAACAGTCCATGGAACAGCACCGGTTCTGCTTTCTTTTGACAACCTGATGGGCCGTTTCTATGTCCTACACAGTCCTTCCAGTCCGTGTGCTCATCGCATCAATCGAGTCGTTTCGGACTCGTTGCAAGTCTGATGCGACAAGATTTCTGGCTGACAGGTCTAATTCAAAGTGCTTCGCGGGAGGAACATTGGCATGATGCATCCAACAAAGTCAAGTACCCTCCCCGTTCCTGCATAAGAACTGCAGCCTCCGTACTTCAGATTTGTGTGCCTGTGTTCGTTGGCATACCTCATGAACGTCGAACAGACTTCCCACAGCAGGTTTCCTCCCGTGCTTCCCGTCTCATTGATGGCTCTCCGTGTGACCCGCGCTCTCTTCGTGTAGCATTGTTCGTTTTCCTCGGCTCATGTTCTCACGGGACCAGCTCCCATTTTCCGTCTAGCTCGCTTGGGCAGACATGTCAGCAGTCGCATTTCTTTCGTTCCCTGGACTCGGTTCGGAGCAAGTTGAAGCGAAAAGCCGGGTCACATGGTCGCGTTTGTGCCGTGTTGATGATGACTCGGTACCTCGTAGCGGCCAGTCAGCCCAGCCAACCATTTCCAGACTGACAGCTCAGGTACCCACCCCTCAAGATTGAGTTGCCGAGTCTTGACCCTCAACATCCAATTTCAACCTCATCCTACCGTAAGGCAGACGCGTAGAGTCGACTGCCGGTCCTGCACATTTATTGCTGCGAACATCCTCCCTTTTTGCGACAGAAGGCCATGTACGCACCACAGGAAGGCATCGCTAGCGATGGAGACACCTGAGGGTCAGGCCAACCGTCCACGGTCTCTCGGCCGTGTCCGGAGCACTAAATGTGGTTGGTGCTGGAGTTTCTAATTTTAGCCTCGTCGTCGTGACTCGAGAAACTGTGAGCACCGATATCAAGCTCGGGTGGCAGACGCCGGTTGAGTGATGGAGTATGATCGAGGAGGTCTTCGGTAGGGGCTGGAAACCTATGGACATCGGAACGAGACTCAGGAAAAGCAGTGGCATAGTTGACGAATGCTGGTTGACAACACCGAAGGGGACGCGAACGCTGAGCATAGCGGGCGTCGACTGAGCTGGAAGTGGTGTCTGAAACGACCATTCTGCATGCTGGCAAATGTGTCCGCTGGCAGTCGATTTGCTCTGCTGCGTTGAGGGTTTCGTGGACGGTCCGAGGAATATGTCATCGCCATCTAACATTCTAAAGGATCGCGCGCAGACTGACGACGTAGCACTGGTCCTCCTCGACAGGCCCTAGCGTCCTATGGGAAAGAAGAGCCAAACCTGTATCCTCTGGGTCGGTTCCCCTCACTGTCGAGCACACAGCAGGAACTGTTGAACTGAGAGACATGTTGCCGTAGTGAGGGCAGGTGCGTTTGGCTGAGCCTTGGCGGCGTGATTGCAGTGAAGGCAAGCACTGCAATGATCCCACAAACCTTTTCCCTTTCGAAATATAAGACTCTTTCTCTTTCTCCTACTCTTTTTCATCCTACCACTCTCATCCTTTTGAGCACATCTGGTGTCTCTTGCCTGTCAAGTCAGTCGATCTCGGTCTACACATCGCAAGGTACGTACTGTATTGCTTCGATCGCTCTTCTTGTCGCACTCGATTCTACCCTTCCTTCGTCTCAGCTCATCTTATGGCTTTGACGATCGAGCAAGACCGGTGTCCAGAGTCGCTCGAGCGCTTCACTACCATCATTCACGTTCAGAAATCTCTCTGACCTTCTTGCATCTTCTGCCAAGCCCCATGCTCGTTTATTCTCGATTTTCACACTCTGCACAATCTCCTTTCCATCCTCTGTCTAATTCATTCAGACACCTCTTCCAAACCACCTCAGACTCACTGTATGTCCATGCTCAACTGTTCTCGTGCACTCTGCAGCCTGTTGCCCTGGACGCTCCAAGTTGACCAAGTTCTCCGCCTGCAGGCTCCGTGCCAATACTTTTGCTAACTTACTTGCCAGAAACTTGAACCTCAAATTCTACTTCTCTCACCATGTCTGGTTGGGATTCATCTGGTCAGTCACAACATTCATTCTTGCTCCTTGCACACAACATAGCCTTGTCCTTTGTCATTCATACCTGTAAGAGCTTGGATATCGATCATGTCTACTAGCTGGGAGCGCATGCTCGATCGGCGAAGACACGCACGAAAGACTGTCAAAAAGTTCATCAAGACTGTCGCAGGACAGAAGACCAACTTCGCCAAAGACGAACAGCGGTACTATCGACAAGTCTCTCCTACACACTCACCTGGCTTGATTACATTAACTTCAATCCGTGAGGACGAAGAACAGTATCAAATTGTCGATCAACGCAGCTTGTCGAGCTCATCGAAGTCTTCGAGTACTTTACTGATGGAGAACATTCGTGCAGGCGGTGGCGACACCTGGAATGCTGAATCCAACGGAGCTTCCCAATGGAATGACTCTGGCAACAACGACGATGCTCGCAAGTGGAACGATGGCGGTGCCAACGGCGACGCTGGTTTCAACGACAGCGGTGCTGCTGACTTCGGTGGCGATGCTGGTCAAGGTGGCGACGGTGACGGTGCTGCCAACGGTGGTGCTTGTCACAACTGTGGTCAAGGTAAGTCGTCTTCGTCATTGCAACACCTTTCAAGCTGAACTTCGTCAACAGATGGCCACATGATGCGCGACTGTCCCGAGCCCCGCAAGCAGGGTGCGTGTTACAACTGTGTAAGTTGCCATCCTTGCTTCATCCTTCGTCGTCGCTGACCATCTTCAGGGTGAGGAAGGCCACAACAAGGCCGACTGCACCAAGCCTCGCGTTCAGCGAGAGTTCACTGGCGAATGTCGCGACTGTGGTCAAAGTACGTGTCTGGCAAGATGTCACTGAACTGGACTAACAATACCGCAGCTGGACATCAAGCTCGCGACTGCCCTTCCAAGCCAAAGATCTGCAAAATCTGCCGTGAGGAAGGCCATGAAGCTCTTGCTTGCACCGGCAAGATGAAGCTCAACCTCAGTCACGTCGCTGACAAGTCTGTCGACGAAGCTTGGGCTCTCCTCACTCAGGCCTCCGATGAGCGCGACCTCGATGATTTCAAGGATGCCGTCAAGATGCTTTCCAAAGCCGATCCCAACATCACCTACGTCGACATGGAGAAAGAGTTCCGTGCTCGAGAATTCAAGGTCTACCTCATTGGTCTTGAGAAAGAGTCTGGTCCAACCTTCACCAATGTCGACCTCCAGGGCAACACCGGTAAGAAGTACGCCATCGGATACTTCTTCAGCGAGAAGCCTCAGCGTCCTACTATGGTCGACAAGTGGCCCGAGTCTCCTGAAGCCAACCTCGAGCGTCTGGCTGACGTCGGTGTTCCCATGGATCGTGGTGTTCCGGTTTGCAGCAACTGGTATGTGTCCACGTCCTTTGAGCCGCACCTGCTAACCACGTCAGTAACGAGTTGGGTCACTCCAAGCGTGACTGCAAGGAAGACATTCGAGAAATTGAGCAACCCAAGGTCGCTTGTGCCCTCTGTGGTGAAGATGGTCATCGTGTTCGCGACTGCACCCAGGAGCGTCCCAAGCCTCGTGGTCCGAGAACCTGCAAGATCTGCGAGTCCGAAGAGCACATCGCCAAGGAGTGCCCCAACCGCGAGAAGCGTACCTGCCGCAACTGTGGTTCCGAGGATCACATGGCTAAGGAGTGCGATGTCAAGAAGTGTTCCAACTGGTATGCTGTCCTCCTCAATTCCTTTGTACTGTACTAACATCAACAGTGATGCTGAGGGCCACGAATGGAGAGACTGCACTGCTCCTAAGGATTGGTCTCGTGTAACTTGCCGCAACTGCGGTGAGAAAGGTCATACCGTCAAGCGCTGCAAGCAACCCATCAAGGAGCAGGAGAACACCAATCCTTCTGGTGACGGTGATGGCGGTTTCGGTAACGCTACCGACGCGGGAGCTGGCGGTGGCGACTGGGACAAGCCTGCTGCCGACTCTGGCGCTGGCGGCGAATGGGACAGTGGTAAGGATGCCGCTGGTGCAGCTAGCTGGGAGAGCAACGCTGCTCCTGTCGCTGTCGGTGGTGGTGGCGGCTGGTAAGCTGCTTCGGCACGCGACTAAAGGCACATGCGGATGAGTGCGTCTATCAAGATGACACGTCCACATCAAAGTCTCCACGAAGACCCGTCTGCGGGGAGGCCTCTACGTTCGACTTTGTCGTCTTCCAATGAAGCGATTCTTCAACACAGCACGAAATAGTAAGGGAACCGAATCAAAGGGGAGCTACAGCAGCGATCTCGATGTCCATTGACCTCGATCGGGATCGCCAGATACTGTTCGGCTTACCCAGATTCAGACAGCTCAGAATCAGAATCCAGAATCAAGATCATCGAAAACGAAGTCTCATTTCATTGCTTGTGCTTTTGCGGTGAGCTTGGATCATGGTTTGTACATGAGAAAGTTCTTCTCCGTCGTGAAATAGCCTCTGGACCTCGCAATTCGTCGTGCAGCCCGTGGAGTCGAGCCATGACTTCCAATAGGTGGTGCAGCTCGTGGAAGGTAACGCTGGCGATCGATCTGCTGCTGACTTCCTGCTCCAAAGTCCTCCCGGCGAGCTGTTCTGCTCCGTGAAGCTTGCTGACGACTGATGCTGTGTTGAAACCGCGGGTCCAAGATCCGACGATTTCTTTCCCTCAGTCTGATGATCGTACATGTTTGTGCGGCTGACGTTGGTACATAATGCTTGGCGATGGCTCCGTGACCTCGACTGTCCTGCTTCGGCGTGTTAAGGTCGTCGGAAACACCTTCGTTCACGAACCTGCCGTGAAGTCCTCCCTGGACCCCGGTCCATCGCATTTGCACGCCAAAGCCCCTCCCCCACAAATCAGCCCAAAGCCCGCCTCGGACCATCGTGTCAAATGCTACCACCCCTATCTCGCCACGCCTCGAACCCTTGGATCCGTTCTCGCAAAACCTTCAGCTCCTCCACCAATGCGTCAAACTCCTCCTCTCGCTCCTTTGCCGTCTCGTTCTCTGCTTCTAGTCTGGCGTTTTGGGTCTGCAATTCTCGGATCTGGCGTTGTAGTGTGACGTTCCGGGCGTTGAGGTGTGCCGTGTGCTGGTTGAAAAGCTCGGCGATTTGGGTTGAGATATCCGGGGAGGCCTCTGCAGCAGAATTGCCGTGAGCCAGAACAGGAGGATTGGCGAATGGGTGGCGGTTCGTGGGTAAGTTGACGGGAGTGAAGCTAGCACTGTTGGTGCGGTGTGGCAACGTCGAACTGGGTAGGCGTATTGAGGCCGGTGTTCCTGATTGGGACTGAGAGCGGTCTGTCATTGCTGAGACAGAGTCCTCCCGGGCATTCTGGTTCTCGTGCTGCAGTTGGAGGGCTGCGGTGTCGTTGAACGTACGGTCGGGGCTTGTGAAGTTCGCAGCAGAGGCCTCCTGACGGAGGAAGGGATCGCTCGAGACGCGAGCAACGCGATTCTCGGCGTGGAGTTGGAATGCCGCAGAGTCACTGAATGTGCCGGGCGAAGTGAGGTTGTTGGAAGGTTGGCGAATGGGTTGGATGAAGCGTTGGAGAGCGGTTCCTGGTGTGAGAGTAGGCTCGCTCTCGTCATCGTCATCTTTAGGCTCGGTCGTTCTGCCTCGGGAGGACTCTGTAGCTGGCGTCCATTGACGATTGCCCAGTCTCAATGCTGGCGCATCCTCTTCAGTAGAAGTCGTCGCCTCCCTCGCATTTGGCCCCAATTCTGCCTCAGAGCCCTCCTCACCATCATCGTCGTCGGTGACAGCTTTCGAGACCTTGCGACGCTTCGCCCGTCCAGCACCATACTGCTCAACAACAAAGTCAGGACTCTCCCTCAACGCTTTCTCCGCACACCCATTACACAGCGTTGGATCATATGCCGAATTTGTCCGCCAGGCGTGCTTCATGGTGCCTCCGCAGTTGGCGCAGTGGTAGTAAAGCTCGTCATCGGCTTCACCGGCGTTGCGACGCGCGCGGCGAGTGCGCATAGGGGAGGGGTCGATGCCGTCGGCCATGGTGCTGTGTCTATGATATGTCAGGAGGACTCTGAGATGACTCGTACTGTAGTTGACTTACGCGAGAGGGTTGAATTTCCTGCTTCGCGTCAGAGTCCGCCTCGCACACGTAAAGGAATGAGATCTCAGGAGCAAGTCACTTACTCAATGACCAGATGAGGCGAGGTCGCGAAGCAGAAAGAGCGAGATGGTGCTGTCCAGGAGGCCTCTGCGTCTTCAAGCGAACACAGGAGATGCTGGGTCAAAAGAAAAAGCAGATGAGGGGCAATGAAATTCTGAGAGGCATCCGTGGTAGTCCTGTTGTTGCTAGGCAAGCTATGCTACCAAAGACCTCAATGCCAAGGCTACCCTGGGGAGGTCACTGTGCTGTCCAGCCATTTCTGTAAAGTTCCATTGGTGGCGGCCCTGACCCCAGGAGATCCTGGTCCCAGTCCAGCCTGAGCTGCCTCGACACTTCTCCTGGAACGTACGAGTACGTTCTGTCGACTGCATAGGCGACCTGATACTGACCGGCGTCCAGCTCTCCCGAAGCGCCAGAAGCTACCTCCAGCTTGCGGCCATCCATCCAAGGTCGTGTGGTGCCGGTTAACAGATGATGGACGCCGTTGGTAGCAGATTGCGTCCGGCATTGTCGTATGGTGATATGCTCACCGCTGCTCGAGTCCTCCATCGTCAGATTTCTATCTCACGCGGTTCTCGTGGTCTCAACGCTGCTGCCAGATCTGCGACCCTTGGCTTAGCGGCGCCATCTCCTCGTACCACTCAGCCATCCTCTTCAACCCATCAGCCTTAGCCCCTTCCTTGTACCATTCAGACCAGACACCCAGGTCATTGCGAAGCTTCTTGACCATTTCGTGTGCTTCTGTGATATGCTGGTTGGCCTCATTCAATTGCTTACCAGAGGTTTCTGAGCCCTGTTGAAGTTGGCGGACCTGCTCCTGGGAGTCGTCCAAGCGTTGCTGAAGTTGACGGTCCTGCTCCTCAGTTTCGTCCAGGCGTTGTTGAAGTTGACGGACCTGCTCCTCATGTTTCTCCTGAGTAAGTTTGAGATGGTCGCTTGCCACGGCCTTATAGCGGTTCAGAAACTCCTGGAGCTCTTTGTCGCGCGTGTTCTTCTCGTTGTTGGACTTGTCGACCACCTTCTGCAGCTCGTCAACTTTGGCAATGAGTCGCCAAACGAATGCTTTGTGACATTTCTGAGCTTCTTCCTGCGCGGCTTGGTGTTGCTGATGCAGCTGCTTGAGTTCTGACTCGAAGTCCTTGTCTTCTTCGTGGTCAGGCACTTCCTTTCCCTCCTGATCAGACTGTTCATGTCGCTTCTGATCAAGCTCTGTCTTTGCGCACTGGGGATCAAGGGGACCAGTAGCCTCTGCCGCCTCAGCATTGGCATTGTTCACATGGATCGTAAGCTTTGCCTTCTTCGCTGGGGGCATAACGCCAGCATCATCCTGCTCAGCCTCTTTGACACATTTGGGCCAGTGTTTCTCGAGACACGTGGCACAGTTATCCGACCAACGAGCCGAGCCACCCTTCTCCGAGTATCTCACTTCCTTGCCATGAGAGCACAGGTAAGATAGTTCGCCGGAAGCTTCGCGCTTTCGCCGTCCGTCTGACGACAGGTCATCGCCGCCACCATCGTTGCTGGCCATTGTTTGATAAGTGCTAGACGACTGCTGGATAGCCTAATATGTCTTCAGTATCATGCTCGACGGAGAAGGATCGCCTGCAGCTGACGTACCTTATTTGCGAGCCAACATGCCGATGTTTTCCTCAGGATAGCAGTAACGTTACCCAATTGTGTGAGTCAAAGCGAGTCTGGACGTAGACTCGAAGTTCCGGATTGGTGAGAACACAAAGGAAAGGTGTCAGAGGCGGTGGAAGTCAGCGTGGGCATGTTAGTGATGTAAGTGTTGAGACGAGTGGTCCGATGCTATGTGCAATACAAACGAGGAAGGCTTGGCAATGAGAGGTGCAGCGTTGGTAACAATAAGGATCTGAAGATGGAGAGGGGAGATCTCGCCGAGGAAGAGAGTGTCGCTGAGTGGGAGACTGTCTCGCTGAAGAGCTCAGTAACAGTCCGTCCGGCTTGTTACCTTGCCATCAGTGACAGCCAGCAGGCTCTATCTGAAACAGAGTACCGAGCCGACTTGGAAATATACGACTCCATTCCAGAAGCTGTTCGCCAACACTCACTATGTCGTGCAGGTGATCTCGTATGCAGTAGCACCCGTCCAAGCATGCTTCAGTTCGAGTAGTGATGAGCCAACAGCAGATATCCACCCGAGGAGATATCCCCGAAGGAAGGTCGTAGTCCGGATCGCAGCCTGAGTTGCCTTGGTGTTCTTTCTTGCAATGGGTGTTGATGTCGCAGCAACTGCATAGGAGATCTGATTCTGAGTACCGTCTCCTTTCTCTGAAGGACTAGCAGTTTGATTCAGTCCGGATTCATACATACTCATGGATATGCAATTCCAGTGGCAATCGCGGAAGCTTAATCCAAGGCTATCGCCTTTGAGGATGAGATTTCCGTCTCTTAGGGCTCACGACATTCAACCTTGACCGAAACTCGGCCGTTGTGATCATCCTGCTGCTCCTCCTCCTATTCCCGCCTCAGCTCACCCATCCGGTTGTACCACTCAACCCCTTGGTCATGCCAACCTCCCATCTGGTCGTGCACCTCAGCCCACCCCCGCAAGCGTCCGAGAAGCTGATCAATCACCCCACGTTGCGTTTCGATACGCTGATTGGACGCGTCTAAGCGCTGCTGGAGACTGATGTTCTCCTCCTGCAATGGAGCCTGTCCATTCTGCCGGAGTTCCTCAATCTGCTCCTGAAGCGTGGCGTTCTCCTCCTTCAACCCACGAATCTCATTCTGAGCATCCTTCCGCGCTTTGACACTCTTGCTAGCAAGTTCCGCGAGCTCGTCAGTTGCCTTCTTGAGTGCGATTTGAAGGTCATCATTGGCGAGGGCGCGTCGACCAATCTCCCGTCGATTCTCACGATTCTGTTCTTCCTCAGCTTCGAGCTTCTGCTCTAGATGTGCGATGTGACGTGCCGCAGCTGGTTGGGTGAAGCGATACAATGTTGGAGTAGGACGGGCTGCAGGAGTCGACGCGCCGCCGACGTGGCCATCTTTGTTTCCGCGCGGATTCCCTGATCGCACGCTCTGTCCATCAGACGTGACAGTCGTGTTGTTGTGGTTGAGGGTCGTTTCCTTGGGAGCGGCAGTCTGGTCTGCGGCCTGGACGGATTCAAAGTGTGCCGATGAAGACTTTTCCACGATTGGCGACAACGCAGAGTTCTCCCGGGTTGTTGGTGGCGTCAGCCTGATCTCGAGGTATTCGCCGTTTTGGTGAGCGGGAGAGCCGCGACGTGTCGATCTTGCTCCGGCAGGGGCGACCTCGAGTTCTTCTTGGTCTTCATCAACTGTGACTTGTTGCACTGTTGAGTCACACAATGTCCCATTTGAGTCCGTACCAACCCCAGGAGCCATCGCCGGCTCGTCCTCGGTGACACTTGCTGAACGCTTGCGTTTCTTTGCCCGGGCCTTCTCTTGGCAATATGAACAGAGGGTAGGTGCAGGCCCTGGCCGATGCTGTTGAGCATACTTCACTTCTTTGTCACATTCGTTGCAATAGAAGCGTAGTGGGCTGCCGCTCTTGCGTGTTGGTCGTCTGAATGACGATGCGTCACTGTCTGAACCGCCGTTATTAGACATGAGGACAGTAGTACTCGAATATAGCTTGTAGCCTGGTGTGGCCTTAGTATTGTATTTTGGTACAGGGACAGGGTCACTCGTGGAGATCTACCTTGCTTGAGATCGACCGCCCAGACTTAAACGGAAGCGGAGCGTCGCCTAAGGGTAGCAAACAAGTGTTGAGAGCTTTCAGACGTCCTGTCGCTTTGAACTCGTGCCTTTTGGCTCTTTGTACCTAAATTGCATGTGCCCAGATAGATCAGAGCCATAAGAAAGCTATCCCAAGTGGTGGAAGTCAGCGGTATGTATACAACGACGGGTGCAATGATGGTCTGGGTGGGGTGGCAAGTTTGCTTTGGGACAAAGAGAGATTTTGATCGAGACTGAGGGGCAGTTGCTCGCTGAGGGACCCCAGTCGTAGCACCTGCCTACCTTCTCAAGCACCCCCTAGCTATCCTGCAGAATGGAAGAACCATGATGGTACTGGCAGCCCCGTTCCAGAAACTGTGGCCAGTTCTTGCTCATGTTTTATGACTGGTCCAAAAGGATGGCCCCGAGGTCGGCGGTTTCCATTCGTACCAAGCGTTCAGAGCCGATAATAAATTTCCAGTCCTAGACTCATGACCAGCAATAATCCCATCACTCAGCGCGGCCCTACGAATCGTCGGCAGACCACTCTCCTCCAGCTCGGCTTGACATCCACATAGTTGTATGGTGTCGGTCGCTGTATGGGCGACGACAACGACCGTGTGATCCTGCCATGCCTGTTGCCATACAGAACCCGTCAGCCGTATCCCTATGTCTCTTCAGGAGTTCACTGTTGTTAGACATCATGCAGACCTCTATCCGTCGAGTTCCTCAGCTTGGTGGGTACTCTCCCAAGCCTGCTCGGATGCATTTCTCTTTTTGATGAAGTCCTTCGCAAGGTTCTCGCGCTTGCGGTACTCCTTGTTCTTCTCCTGTGCCTTTTTGAGACTCTCGTCAACCTCGCTCAAGCTGAGTTGAAGCTGTTTGACCTGCTCGTCGACCAAACTCTTCTCCTGGATGAGTTTTTCTTTGGCACCTTGCAACGTCTTGACCTCCTCGTCGACCAAACTCTTCTCCTGAGTGAGTTTGTCTTTGGCACCTTGCAACGTCTTGACCTCCTTCTGCAGGTCGCTGACCTTGATGGCGAGTTTGCCGTTGTTGTCGAGGTATCGTTGACACGTGTCCTCCGCGGCTTTGTGACGCTTGTTGACTTCGTCGATGTACATTGCCAGAGCGCTATCATCTTCTTCGTTCGCCTCCTGCTCCGGCTCTTCTACTGCCGTAGCCTGGGTATGAGAGCTAGGAATCTCTGCCGCCCGATCTTCTACCTCTCGCACAAGATCTTCGACCGCAGTGTCTTGGACTGCAGTGTCTTCGACCGCAGTGTTTGAGCCATGAGAGCCACTATCCTCTACCTCCTGATCTGTGATTTGAGATGTGCGGAATGTGATCTTCGTCATCTTCCGGGGTAGCTCAGGCTCGGTGGCCCGTGAGCGCTTCGCAAGACCAGACTGAACAACGTTCTCGTTATTCTCCGAGGGGTCATAATCTTGACAACCGCGACACAGATTTGAAACGTCTTCATTTGGACCGTCTGGCAATTTTCCCTGGCAAGTGAACCATCTATGGCGCTTGCAGTCGACACATTGGAAGTGGCTCTCTTTTAGACCAGTCCCATTATCCTTGTCCTTCAACCGTCCGAACGTGGCGAACGCGAAAGACGGCAAGGCGCCACTAGAACGTTCATTATTGGACATGATTATGTGAGTGCTTGACTGTAGCGTGATCGTAGAATACTAGTACCTCTTTAGTATTTAGTTCAATATAATCGTGGGATTATACCTCCTTAACTTACCTAGATTGTGAATTGTCTTTCTCGTCTTATGTTAAAGCGAGAGACTGGTCGAAGGCTATTTAATGATGAATGTTGGCCTGCTCTCACTGTATCTCTCTAGATCTATATTAGCAAGTATACTAGAGTCAACACAACGCATCTTACCTACCTCGCTGTCAAGCGAGCAAAAGATCCGAGAGGAAGCTATCCGAATTGTGAACACCAACGCACGGAGATGATGTGGACGTTGGAAACAAGGAAGTCTGTTTCGTGCGAAAGAACATTCGAGCAAGGTCTTGGCAATCCTCACTGCTCTGAGCAAACGAGAAGAGGGGCAACATCTCGCCTCAGAGCAGCTTGACTTATGGCTGACCCTCAGTTGGTTGTCAAGCAAAATGGCGCTATCGACCAGAATGCCAAGACCGCATAAGGGGCATGTGGGCCCCTCCCAGAAGCTGATAGCGAGTTCTTAGCCATGTCTGGCCAACGACATTGATCGTATGTAAGTCATTGGCCAGGACGGCGTATCGTGAGACTGTCACAGACCGTCGTGGTCAGGATAGCGGCCGGTCAGGTCGTTAAGGCGTAGGATCCGAGCAAGACTCATCATCCTTGGCAGATAGTCAGTGAGCAACCTCGCGGGCGGCATGAAGACCGGCGGTTGACGGCATGATGTCGAACGTATGTCGAGTGGTTCAGGACGTGAAGGATCGATGCGAAGGGCGGATAAGAGAATCGGACGACTTCCGGACGAAGGACACCTTTGCGTAGCGGTACGAGGACTGAACAAGGCACTGAATGATCTGATCGAACAACGAGTGCGTGTGAAGCTGGTAAGAAGGAACAATCGAGGATCGAGAAGCGTAAGGGGTATTAGTAGTCATTCCTGTTGACGTGACTGCTGCTCAAGGACGGGGACTCGCGGCTGCCGTCGGTCCAATTCACCACCCACTACACAGTCATCATCGCTCTCTCTCAACGTCAATGTCCAGTCCGACGCAACTCCGCAGCTCTCGGAGCTTCCAGTCGACACCGAGGGGGACCAAGCCAATCTCAGATCTCCAGTCCCAAGTCCATCCCAGCAATAATCTCATCGTCCAGCGCAGCCCTCCGAATCGTCGGCAGACCACCTTTCTTCTTCATCGGCTTGAGCGGAACAGGCGTGCTGCTCCTTGGTGTACCCAGTCCAGGCGTTCCAGCACGAGACCGGACACCATTGAGCGGTGTACCAGCACGAGAGATATCACTGCCATCACCAAATAGATCATCCTTCGGACCAGGACTCTCTCTCGCCCTCTGCTGCTGACGGACTCTTCGAGCACGCATCTCAGCGAGTTGTGCTTTGCGGATGTTCTCGGTATTCAGGTGGTTGTTCTTGACGTTCAGAGCAGTGAGGCGTTCCTGCTCGGTGTTGATCTTGGGGCCTTCTTTCTTGATGAGAGAGGTGTTCATGGCAAGCTTCATCGGCACGATATTCTGCAGCTTCTCCTCGAGCTCGTCGATAAGTTCGTATTTGCGTGTGCGGCGGGCTTCGACGATCTGGTCTAGAATTTCTTCCTTTTCCTTGGATTTGGTGACCATGGCCATAAGTTCGTTCTGGGCTTCTAGCTTGGCGGTGATTTCTTTGTCGAGGAACTTGTGGTTGATGAGGGTGTTGATGTCCTGGAGCTTCCGTGCGATGGCGCCTTTGGTCGGCATAGGTTTCTCCACGTTGGCCATCTCAGCACGGTACTTGGTCCACTCCTTCTCAATGAATGGTCCCATTGAGCACTCCAAGAATGACCAAGCTCGCTCAGCTTTGCCAAAGGCACAAACGGCGTACTTGTCTGTAAGGAATTGAGTGTTGTTCGGAGCCATCATAGCGTACGGACGACCCTTCTGAATGCCCTTGATGATGCACAATCGATATTCGTTGACGTTGGGGTCTCGACCTGGGCCAAGATTGACTCGAGCGTAGCAACCGACGATCAGCTGGTCGAAGCCTGGAGTCTGACAGACCTGAGCAAAGTTGTCCCTGCCGACCTTTGCGCGGTTCACATCAGCCAAGTCTGCAGGTGGGTCGTCCTTGATTGGAGTGGGACTGCGCTTTCTGGTGGGTCTTCTATCATCGTAATCGCTTTCGCCCTGCGCATCTTCGTCGCTGTAACCGTACTTGTCTTCCGGAGTGACGCTTCGAGCTGACCGGTTCTGTCGTCGCTCATCGCGAAGAACCTTCTCTGCACGTTGCTGCTTGTAGCGATCAATGGCACCCTTGGACTCTCCGCCGACCTTTGTGCGCTGGCGCGAACTCTTACGTTGACTGTCATCCAGACCAGCATCATCGACCTTGCGCTTGGCTTTCTTTTCTTGCTTCTTGGCTTCTTTCTCCCGGCGGCGCAACATTTCATGGATGAGGCTGTTCTGCTTGAGGCGCTCGACTTCTTCGTGGCGAGCAGCCATTGCGGCCTCTCGCTCGACCTGTGGTAGTGCTTGGACACGAGCCTTGTCGGCTGCATCGTGGTAGAGACCTTCGTATGCATAGATAGGCTTCTCGCCGTTCGCATCATCGCTAGAGCCAGCATCGGAGTCGGATTGCGACATAGCAACAGACTCAGAGGGTGCAGGCGAGGATCTGTGGACGTTAGTCAAGGTCAATGCGACTCCGCAAACAACTTACACTTCATCTTCATCGTCAGAATAGCGCTTGCGTCGGGAAGCCGGCTTGCGAGCACCAGTCTTGCGGACCTTCTGCGCGACGCCTTTACGAGCCATGTCTTCAGGAGGAGGCGATGAATCTCTGCGGGAAGAAGAAGATCTGGATCGGCGACGCGGAGAAGATGAAGTAGTTTTTTGCGGGGGTGGTGAAGTCGACATGTAGTCTTCCTCGCCGGAGGAGTCACCTCCGGCAAGTGCGAGGAGCTCAGCATCTAGGTCGGCCATGGTGAACGGTTATTGACGCAAGCCTGAGTGGTGAGGGGACCAAGTGAGGGTTGCTGAGGCAGCACAGTGGGATGGATCGTGTCTGAGACTAGGATGAAGTGTACTGGAAGCTGTTTCAATGTCTAGTGCTTTTCTTTCGCGATGACGGACGGCCAGCGTTCGAATTGAGGCTGTATGTGTTGCTCTAGATGGTCAAAAAGAAGGGATGGTGTTACAAAGCCAGAATCAATACAGGGACAGCAAGAATCGTGGTTGAAGCAGGATACAGAATCAGGTGGCTGGGATGTTGACAAACAAATGTCACACCGCGCTCAATGATCGATTGTCGACAAGTGAAAGATTGAATAGCAAGAGATCAACAGCTTCAGGTTATGCATCCGACAGGTGAAGTTCAAATTCCATGGGCCTTGTTCGGCACGGAGAATCGTTTCTCCTTCCCCAGGAAATTGTCCGTCTCCAACGTCATGTATGTCGATAGTAAAGAGGCAGCAAGCAGAGAGAAGATGTTCCGATAGGTCTTGTACGTAGCGAAATTGTGAAAGCGTCGAGATGCCATCGCCATACATATGCAGAGCCTGCACGGCAGCTGCACGGCGACAACCAACTTCCCGAACCGCAGTCACCACGTCGACCAGAGCCATTCGCTCAGCAGCCCGTTCGAAACGCGCTGCCTCAATAGCACCCACAACCCGCGGAAGTGCCGCAGCCGACGCAAAGCGATCTGCTTCGACAATAACAACGCCCGCAAACCCCTCAGACCCCGGACCACCACCACCCACCTCAAAGCCCGTAGCAAAGATGACACCAGAACAGCGCGCCTTCCTCGCCTCCGCCCTCCGCGTAAATCACGCGGGTGAACTCGCCGCAACGGTTATCCTCAAGTCGCAGACACCGCCTCTCGTCACCACACACCCAAACCTCCGTCCACTGATGTCACACATGCTCGACCAAGAATCCTCACATTTCGCTACATTCAACGGTCTATTAGCCAAACACCGCATCCGCCCCTCAGCCCTCTACCCCGTGTGGTCGGCCGCCGCCGGCATCTTGGGCTGGAGCACAGGCTTGTTAGGCAAGGAAGCATCCATGGCGTGCACGGAAGCCGTAGAGACGGAGATCGGGGAGCACTATAACAGCCAACTGCGGGAATTGGTGAAGTGGGATCAAGAGGCGAGGGAGAGAGGGGAGGAACTGGATCCGGAGTTGAGGGAGTTAATGGGGGAGGTGAGAAGGATAAGGGACGAGGAGCTAGAGCACTTGGATCATGCGGTGGAGGGAGGGGCGAAGATGGCGAGGCCGTATGAGGTGTTGACTGGGGTTGTGAGGGGTGGTTGTCGAGGGGCTATATGGATTGCTCAGAAGGTGTGAACGATTCATGAATGTACAATTTGGGAATCGTTTGGAAGTGGCATTCGCGTTCGTGAGATGCTGCCAACAAGCGGCTTCGGTGCTGTTGTGTTCGTGGGAAGGACACTGACGAGAAATGTACAGAAGATGAATTTTCGATTTGAGACTGACCATCAAAGTCTGTCTTCCTCGCCGGAATAACGACGAGGAGGACGCTGCCTAGTTCGACGAGTGGTAGAGATATACCACACTGTCTGTTCTTGACGTACTCCACAAGCCTTTGAAGGCCAAGTTCGACAATTACATCTGTTCCCATCAAATTACTTCAAAACTGCTAGTTGCCAAGCAGGACTTCGTCGGCCAGTCGTGTCCAAACTCCCCAACTCATTCCTGTCATCGACACCTGGAGTCTTCCTTGGTTGAAAGCTGTCGAAAGGTCGACGGTGAATCCCTAGGTCAGACCAGCCTCACAAATCCTTCTGAATGTCACTCGGCAACAACCTTGCGAGCTTCATCTCATGCAAGACAACCTTGCACTTCCGATCCAGCGGCACATGTTCTCCCCTACTCGGCGATCTCTTCTTCTCCACCTTCTGTCTTGCATCGTTCAAGACGACCATTTCCCAGGAGTCGTCGACGGCCTGATCCCTGGGCTCCGGCTTCATGATCAGACTAGCGCGATAAACATTGTTCATCCAGACCAAGGGGCTAGCTGGATCGAGGGTTGGGAGGACTTCGTGGCCAAGGAGGACGTTACAGCGGTCGCAGAGGGTAATCTTGAAATCGGTCGATCTGTACGTGCGCTTACAGAAGTTATTTGAGAGTTGAGCATCGTATTTGGCGGAGGTGAGGCAGGGCTTGTGGTTGTGGATGGCGTGGCCACAGTGGAGGTAGTATTCTTCGGAGGTGACGCACATTTTGAAGTGAGTCGACTTGTGTGGATTGAGTCGTTTGCTTGGTTGTTTGGTCGGGTGCGTATGCCTCGAGGCCTGCTCAGAGAAGTGGATGGAGGTGTGAGTGGTTGGTATGTCTGGTTTGTGCAATGATTGAGAGATCGGTTGCCGGCGGAGAGAGCCAGGAGGGTTTTATAAAGCACAAGTCGAAGCAAACAGATGAGCCTCAATCATCTATTGAGGTTGTTCATGAATAGTGATAGACCTGAACAGAGGAGGTTGGGGCTATTGATGAGCAGCTTCAGATCTGTTTGTACCTCTGAAAGTGAAAAAGCAGTGAAGAAGTAATGAGAGATAGAATCGACTAAATGATGGGTGATTATTCAATCAGAAGTGTTATTCTGTAGCTGCTGTTGTCGAGGTAATTGTTACTCACCGCGGTGACTGCTTGATTGAGACCAAGCAGTGCTGGCAAGCGTGATCGGCCCTGGTGATAATTCCTTCCCCAGTTCGAAGCACACGAAGTCCCAGCCCAGAAAAGGACCGCACCTGCAGTCGCTTATTCAATTAAGGCACTATGAAGACTCGACCTGCAAATACATTAAGATCAGTTGGCCCACGCCCAGACCCTTGCAGGACTATAGACTCGCTTTCCCCTGACTCTCGAACTAGAGATCGTTTATCAGTTTTTTGTGCTTCCTGAAGTGCACGGCGAAGATCGGACACTTACGGGCAAGATAACGCAAATAATTCCTGCAGCAATAAAAAGAGCACCACTCGTATACACCGGCGCTGACGTCTCCAAGTTCGCGAACATCGCGATGATAGGTGCCATGATGCCGAACACGCGGTTCGCACAAGCCGCAAGCGCGTTGCCTGTTCCTCGATCCTTGGTAGCGAAAATCTCCGGCGTGTATGCATACAGTACGGCATACATGATGTTGGACGTGAAGTTGTAAGCGCAGTTCCAGCCTAGCAGCGAGTCGGAATCTGTGGCTGTTGTAGATGCGTACAGGAAGACGCCGGTGAGTGCTGTTGAGACTGCCAATGCTCCCTTTCTGCCAAACCTCTTGATCTCGACGAGGAAACCGCCCAGAATTGCTCCTGGGACGCCAAGGACAGCGATGATGAGCGAATTTCGGTATGTAATGTAAGTCGAGCCATCTCCGGATGCCGCACCTCTGGTAGCGAGGATGTAAGGGATGTATGCGTTATACAACGGGTAAGCCAAGCCAATCAGTCCCCAGATAGACATGATCATGCTTGTCGAGAATGCCAGCTTCTTGGTTTGGAAGAGGGATCGCACATGCGTCAGGTTGACCTTCTGGAGGTTCCGCTTGATGATGGCGGCATTGCTGGTATCGACACCACCCGTTGAGGTCCCGACACCTTCACAGGCCTTCAAGTCCTGCACGGTCAAACTTGACTCCCGCTTATTCCGCTTCGCTACCTCATGGACGACACGAACGGCATCCTCGTCGCGCCCTTTACCCATCAAATATTTGGGGCTTTCGAAGATTGTAAACGAGAAGCGTATCGCCCACAGCAAGAGCACAATGCCACCCATAGTAATCGCGAGATATCGCCAGCCCATATTCTTCGATCGTGTGCACTCTTCTCCTTCTTGACAGGTCAAGTTGCCAAGCAATGGCCATGCGATCAGCGTTGCGACAACCTGTGCGACCGCCCAGTCAATCGACAGCACTGTCAGAAGGTATTGATGCGACCCAGGGAGGAACTCCAGGAAGATCGCACTGTCGACAGGTAGATTGCCACCGACGCCAAAGCTCCACAGAGCTGCAAAACAACCGATCGCAGCAAAGTTCGGAGACGACGCAGCTATCATCGCAAAGACCGCCGCAACTCCAAGGGTGATGTTGAAAGCCCACCGACGACCAAAGATATCGCACCCGAAACCCCAGAAGGCGGCGCCCGCAAGTAGTCCAATGTTCTGGGCAAGTTGCAGTAAAGGTGGCCGACCTGGGTTGAACTCGTTAACGATCGGCGTGAAGATCAAGCTCGTCATGATCGGGAAGAAGTTGTCAGCGGCCCATCCGAAGCCAATGACCACGAACAGCTGCCATTGGTACCAGCCCATGCCAATGTCCTGAATGGCTCTGTTCAAAACGCGAGCCTTGGCCTCGTAGACAGGATCGAGCGTGCCCTCTGGCAGCGCCGAAGCATCGTGCGCGCCAACAGCAACATCGTCGCCGATTCGTGGCTCGACGCCGGCCTCTAGGCCCTTCGTGTCTGGCTCTTTGTCAGTCATGGCGATAGAGTGTCTTGATCGCAAAACTCGAAGCTGGCAGAAAGAATCAAAACACAGGGAAGGCTCTGCTGATAACTGTGGTCCCGTTCATGCAATTTCGTGGGGTTGCGGCTGTAGTAGCACGGCCATGGCGCTCGCGTGCTCGATGATGTGCTCATAAGCGGGCGCAATCATTGGCTGCAGATTGTGCAACAGGCCCGTTCCAAGCGAAAGATCATCGCTCTCGTCACGATAGAAGCAGGCCTACGCGAAAGCACGGGGGCGATGTGCCGACGCGGCAGACTTCTTGCTGCCATGTATAGCAGCAGTAAGCTGTTGCTTCGTTGCTTTCGCGATCGATTCGGCAGCAGGCGAAGCTCATGGTACTAGTACTGCTTGCAAAAGAACCCGGAGAATTCTCGAAGGTAAAATCGCGTGACGTCATCAACGAATCTTTGACACTGGCACCGATTAAACTCGGGATCGTACTCGCGTACGGACAGCATAAAGCATCTACGGCACCATCAGGATACGCATTCTCGGGGTGCTCATAGGTGTCAAGAAAGCCGCTGATCTGTCCCAGACGTTGGGAGAGGGTTGCGTAGTATGTCGCGCCCTGACAAAGTATGAACCTGCCCGGATCGAATTGAGGTAGGTCACTTTATCTGACGCGACTAGACACCCGCGCCCTCCAGGAGGTTTGTACACCCTTCGAGCTCTGCACAAAGATCTGCCTCGGCCAAGAAGTCAGTTCCATCGTTCTCACAGAAAGCTGCTCCATCATCGGGCTTTGGCTCTTCTCGTACGGTCCGCTTTGGCACGCCGGCAGTTGCCAGAGATGAGATCTCAGCCAGTTTCGAGGAAGACGATACACCACCCCCGACTCGTGCATCGAAGGTAGTGTCATCTAGCCATGTGCTCCAGGACGAGATCCACAGCTTCAAGCAGTCGCCAAGTCGAGGCGACTCGGCGCAGCTTGAGCAAAGTCACGTCCAAGGCCACGGTAGGCAGACCGCAAATGAGTTTGCGACGCCGATGCCGAAACGACGCAAGCGAGAACCTTCTCCTGCATTCAGTAAGGACCTTATAGCGATCTCCTCCTCGCCTTCGGAGTCTGCGTCAGCCGCCGCCTTGACGGATGAGGAAGAGGTCGACCAAGACCTCCTGGCTCCGACACCATACACAGCATCGCGCTTTCGGAGGCCAGCGCCGGCGCCAGCACTAACAGTGATCCACAATGATATGCAGGAGGCCAGAGTCAAGCCCACCTTCCGTCGTCTAGACCCGACTTCAAACCTGCCGCCCGAAATGAGCACAACCTTACCAGATGCATTCACGCCATCTAGAAGGAAAGGCAAACGAGACTATGTCAGCGGCGGTCTGGCAGACACAGTACGCAATTGGGTCTTACAGGCCGCAACCGAGGCGTCTCACAGAATTGGCAACGAGGAGTAGGAGGTCAACGTGGAAGAGGTCACATTAGACGATAGTCGACGAGGCATCTTGGTCGGAGACGTCCACGAGTCGAAGTGGCTGCTTGTGGGTGCTCAGCCGTGGGACAGCCGGAGTCTATCTACGCGGACGGCCAGCAGGCTGTCGGACAGTGGCAAAGTTGTTGTACGTGGAAACGCGACTAGCTGGACTGTGCCTTTGCTAGCGGCGGGACATGAGCAGGATCTGCACGTTGCCACATTATGGGATATAGCATCGTGATCGCCGTACCCTCCTTGCTTGGCCATTTCGGCATAGTAATACGGCGTGAAAGTAGATCTTCGCGTAGGTCGTGGCAGCAAAGATGAGAGAGATTTGGTTCATGGTGATTTTACGTGGAAGGTGAGTGGGATGGACTTCCCGGAGCAAGAAACGAAGGGACGCAATGCCAAGCCGGGAGGTGGGTGTCTTGGGGTATGTAGGACCGTGGTGGCAGTCTCTCTTCCGCTTCAACACCGTCACCGACATTTATCTGCGAGCCGAAAGTGCTCCCAAACCTCGCAGTCCCCAAGCGTCCCTGTACTTCAGTCGATAACCATTATGGGCCGTGCCAGGATAGCGGACGAGCACTGGGCGGGAGTGACCGACCTCCGCAAACGAAAGCAGATTCAGGATCGACTGGCTCAGCGAGCGAGACGTGAGTGCATGCGAAACAATGTCCCTGATTCCTATCGAAGGTGACTGAGATCTGTAGGGCAGCGACTCTTGCGCGCTAAGAAGACGTCTTCAACAGAAAGTCGATGTCAAACTGCCGTGACCAACACTCCTGCCATCAATTCGACAGAGACTGATCCGAGCAACAACAGCGACGACTGGTACAGCGGCTCGGAGTGTCTCTCCATCAACACGCACCCAAGTCACTACGATGCACACGCTACCAAAGCGTCGGGAGAGTCCTTGTTTACTGGTCAAGTCACAGCGAACATCTATGGAGCATTCTATCAGAACGGTCAGATACTGGGTCTACTCTGCTCCGTCAACTTCATTGGCACCTCAGCGCCTGCAGGACCAGAAGTTCCAGCAGCCCTGCGGCCGACGCAATTACAAATGAGTGTGCCACATCCTCCTTGGATCGACCGTTTCCCGTTCCCACGGATGCGGGACAATATGATCACCCTGCTCGGCCTAGTGAACGAGGAGGACTTCTTAGCAGACCTGTTCTGCTTATCGAGCTTTTCGATTAAAGCAGGAGGAGCCTCGTGGGACCCTGAATCATGGACCATCGGACGCGAGTTCGAATCTAGATGGGGCTTTTTGTTTCATTGAAGCACGACGTGCACGTGCAAATCCATTACTTCTCGAAGTCTGCCACCGCGTCATCGAGGGCCTTGACCAACTCCCGAGGTGCTGATGCGTTTGGACAGTGATCTGCCGCGAGTCTGTAGACTCTGACCTGTCTTCCGCTCTCCCTCTCGATCCGCTCGATACATGACCGTTGGAAATCGGGTGGCAGTATGATGTCCTGCTCACAGAAAATCCACGACGACGGTATGTGCTTGTACCCGGCATACGTGAGCTTACCTTCGAAGCTTGCGAGCGAATGCAGTGGCATTTTCTTCACCCACGCGACTCCTTCAGCATGTGGCAGGCCCGAGAAAGATGTCCCCGCGCTCTCTTCAGCAATATGTTCCATGTATCCCTACGACGATCAGTAACGGTGTTACGAGGTAGGCATTGGTCAGAGCATACGTCTTCGCGAAGGATCAGCCACGGTGAAGACCCGCTGGCCGTCACCTCTCGCAGGGACACGCCTACATCAGGTACCACGCAGGTCACGAACACCAATTGTGTGATACCGCCGCGCTGTCCAGCTGCTGTACGCTCAGCCTTCGAAAGTCCTCTGGAGCACTCTGATCCCACGACACCACCATAAGAGTGCATTGCTAGCACAACGTCTTTGCCTTCGTCGCACAGTCGTTCAACAATATCATGGAAGTAAGCTGCATCCTCTTCCATTGTTGCGGGTTTCTCGGGCGGTGTACGCGCTGAAGAGGGCAGTGTGTCTACCACGATGTCGTAACCTCGGTTTCGTATCCCATCAGCCACGTCAGTATAGAATGATGCTGGCGAGAAGGACCCATTGATCCAGACGATCGTGGGCTTCGGAGGAAGGCTGCCCATGGTTGAATCGTGTCGACGGCTTGAAATATGGAATTATGACCTTGAAAACAGGCCCTCTACGCGCGGTCGAGCGACGACTGCGACTTGAGTAGCATGTTCTGGATATATAACGGCAGGGTGCACGGCAAGCACTCCCCGTACTACTGACAATACTTGCAGGCAAGTGTCGGGCCATCTCGGCCCAGATGAGAGAACGACAGCGCACGCAAGCAAATATGGTCGCTTTCATGTCCAATAGGCAGCTGCTCCGGCGACGCTCAAGATGAGCTTGTCCAGCCATTGTCAGATGGTCGGAATCGAATGTCAGAATGTGGAGTGGCTTTCAAAACGCGGATCGAAATCACTTACAGCGCCCAAGCGATATACGAGGATATTTCAGCATACGTTCGGTTAAATTACTGCCAAGCACCCAGATTCGGCCTTGGAGATCCTGATCATCGGTATCGTGACCTCACAATACGATGTCAGTAACGCAGCATACGAATGTCAGTAAGATTGGCTCACATCCGCAATTCCAACCGCGACATCCTCTTAGCGGCTCGTTGCGATGCTCTCTGATCCCGACATACTTCCACGAATGTCCGTGGGCAGCGACCGCGTGCTCCAGGTTTCGGAGTCGAGACCGCCTCCACGAACATTACCCCCGGGCCACCTCTCCACAAGGTCCAACTCCGTCGACCTGGGCAGTATAGCCGGTGTGGAGAAGACTACTGCGTCCATGGCATGATCATAGCTATATAGTCACCAAAGCGCTCCGCGCCAGAGCGTCCTATGAAGACATAAGACGATATTATTGTGCCTGGATCTTTGACTCACTCCCTCAGAAGCCCAGTGGCCAAGATGGGCCACCTTTCCTGGTATAGTATCGGCATTTGCCTCGTCGTCTCATGGGGTGGCTACGCATACGGCTTTGGCTTCGCTTCCTTCATCACCAGTCAGGGTCAACCGACCTTCTACACCTACTTTAGTCTCGATCGTATGTCCTTGAGAACCTCCTCCGCCTTTCACTGCTGACCGACCTATCTCCAGCTGCAAGTGCTTACACAGCAAAGTGAGTCTCCTGGTTTGCGCACCAAGTGCGACACCAGCTGACTGATGTCCTCCACCAGGATACTGGGAGCATGCAATGCCTTATTCAACTTCGGTTTGGCGATGGGTGCTCTTTTTCAAGGCTGGCTATGCGATGCTCTTGGTCGAAAGCGGGCATTCCTGGTCGCTGGGCTCTGCTCTTTGCTCGGAGGAGCCTTGATTACGGGCGCCCATGTTATTGAGATGCTCATCCCCGTACGGGTTCTACACGGTTTCGGCCTGAACATGTTGATCTGCTTGGTGCCGCTCTACCTGACAGAGGTTGCCCCAGCAGAGAAGCGTGGCCTCCTTGCGGGCCTCATGACGCTCAGTTTTAGCATGGGCTATGTCGTGTACGAAAGTCTAGGTGTTGCCTTGTGATAGAATTGCTGACAACGCCCGTAGCTGCGGTTATATTGCTGTGGGTACCTTCTACGGAACCACCTACAACGTTCAGGTGAGGCTGCCATTAGCTATGGCAATGGTCGGTCCCGCAGCACTTCTCTTGGGTCTTCCCTTCATTCCAGGTAAGCCAAAAGCGCTTGCTCAGTCTACTAAACACGACCAGCATTAACAAACCACAGAGTCTCCACGGTATCTCGTTCTCAATAACCAAGGAGCCGAAGCGCTGGATGTACTACGAAGAATACATGGCGATCCAAGCAATCCTGACGACACATTTGCTCAAGCTGAGTACACGCAAATTGTCGCACAGACGGAGAAAGACCAGGAGACTACGGCCAGCTACCTGGAGATGTTCCGAAAGCCTTCGTGGCGTAAGAGGAGTGTTCTTGCCCTCTTCATCCAGTCCGTCATCCCTGGCGCGTCATCTACCATAGCCATGCGTTCGAGTGTCTGTACTGACCGAAGGTGTCCATCAGATTTGCAGCTCAATCCACTGGGGTATGCTCGCGTCCTAGGCTACTTGACAAGTTCATTCGCTGACGGAGGCAACCAGATTCTAGGCATCGCGAACTATCTGATCTTGATCTTCTCCAGTCTGGGAGTCAGCCCGGTTATGTCCCTCGTGCTATATGGTCCGTCTCAAGTCCTCCACGACATAGCCAGCAGTCTGCCCGACTGCCTAATCTGACTACTTGACAGCTGTCTATGCCACGGTGGGCATCTTCACTGTCCTCCTGACCATATTCACCGTCGACCGAATTGGGCGTCGGACACTCTTTCGTAAGTCTGCATGTGAACGTACAGTCACACAGGTCATCTAGCTAAAGTCACGTTCGCTCGAGCAGTCTACGGCTTCCCCCTCGTCGCCATCATTCTCGTCATCGAAGGCGTCCTTCAGTCCAAGTACTTGGGCACCGACCACCAAGCAGGTCTTGCGGCATGTGTGCTGGTGATATTCGTCTACATCGTTGTTTTCCAAGCCATCGATGCGCCGGCTTTCATCTGGATAGCGGAGATCTTTCCGACGAACATTCGCGGTCGTGGCATCGGTCTGGGTTTCTTCGCATACTTTGTGGGCGCCATCACCTACAGCACCCCGTCAGCGCTTGCATTCAGAAATCTGTGAGTTGTCGAGCCTATCTGGAACAGAGCAGTCACCCACTTTTCTAATGTTGGTTTGCTAATTGTACTCGGCCCAGTACCTATAGGATGTACTTCATTTATGCCGGTTTGTCGGTGCTGTCGACCATCATCGTGTACTTCTACATCCCGGAGACCAAGCAAATTCCTGTCGAGGAGATAGGGGCGTTATTTGGCGATGAGGTTGTCGTGCATTTGACTGAGGCTGGGCAGAGCATCGTCGAGGAAAAGAATACTCTGCCGCGCGCTAGCACCACGGAGGTAGTCACAGCCTAGTACCGCGCTCAAAATAACCGCTAAGCAGAAGAACTTCTCTGCACAAGGCAGTTTTTACAGCACGGATATCTGGTAGAGCGGAGGCAGCTTGTTACAGGCTTCAAGCTCGACTTATTGGAGGACCAGAGCAATGTCAGTACAAGGTTGGTGTTACATATGGAAGAAACATACAGGCACGCCCTGCCGGTGCCAGACGCCAATACAGGGGACAAGGATGCCCAGTTCACTTATGTAGAAGCGTTCACGGGTCGATCAGTAGTGTAGCGTAAAATTTGCAGCTAGCTGGACTGTGCCTTTGCAGACGGTGGCACAGTAGACTGATCTGCGAGTTGCTACGTACCGGTATATAGGCTCATGATTGCCACTCTAATTCACATGGGCAATGTCACATGTACTCCGCCTTTCTGCGCGTAGATTGCCTGGGTGGTCGTGTAGGTCTTGGCATTGCCCCATGCAAGGGAGTATGTCAACCGGCGCACTCGTCTTGCCTCGCCACAATATACATAGAAACATCATTTCTTGCATTCTGCCTTGTGTTGGGTACACGGACAGTGCTCATCTGCTAGTTCTCGAGGTCATTGCTGTTCAAGATTGAAGATGAGGTCGTGTTCTTCCTTCCTTCGTCTATGACGCAGTCCATTTATATTGACGAGCACTGGTTGATCAAACCACAACAGCCTGATGAACAACGCAAGTGGCTTGTCGGCAGCCACACACAAAGATGATGGCACCACTTCGCACGATGCTGCGTTCGAAAACTGGATCGTTCTGCTCAGCGCCTGCATGATCGCAATGTCACTTATGGTGCTTGACTTCCGCTTCTATTCCCACGCCAGGCGACTACTTTTGGTCACGGTGTGGCTATGCCGGCGAGAAGCCTTTGGATGCCTTCGAGGCCTTTACGATATGCTCAGTTGGCCATACAACCTCATGGCTGTGGCATACGCCACGTTCGCTTTTCTGAGAACCGCAAGACTCGGAGGCATAACAGCTGGAGCTGGAGATGAACCACCTCCACGACCATTCCTGCCACCACTAATCTTCCCCTGCCACACGACTCACTCCAGATTCTTCCCAGCGAGGCACTCCTTCACATACTCGTATCTCCAAGTGGGAATACCCATTGGCTGGCGTCACAGCTCTGGGTTCTTGACCTGCGACACCTCCGAAGATCTCTTCGGGCGCAAGACTAGCGGATGGTTCTCGGTCCACGATGAGGATTATCTCGCACGAGGCACGCACCAAGATGGCTTACGCGGGAAGCTTGACGATTTTCTCAAGGTGCATGGGATTACAGCAGCAGAATTGCCATACGCATACCTCGTGACAGCGCCACGATTCCTAGGTTGGAGCTTCAATCCTGTGTCCTTCTGGTATTTGTACGACTCAATGCAGAAGCTGAAGGCCATGATACTTGAGGTCAACAATACCTTTGACGAGCGGCGCATGTACTTGCTGAAGCCTGAGAAAAGCTCAGAGAACGGAAGGTTTTCGGAGACATGGGCCAAGGACTTTCACGTCAGTCCTTTCAATGATCGAACCGGAAGCTACTCGGTTGTTGCAATGGACCCATTTGAGCGATTCAACTGGACAAGAGACAAGCGCCCGGACGCGGTCAATATCGACAACAACATCACCCTCACTTCGCTCCCACCAAATGCTAAGCCAAAGCTGGTGGCTCGTCTCTACTCAACATCGAAAGCTCTCGATCCTGCGCAGATGACATTGTTCGAATACGTAGTCTTCATGTGCCAGTGGTGTTGGACCGGCTTCCTTACCAATCCACGAATACTGTGGGAGGCACGAATACTTTGGGCGAAGAAGCAGCTGCAAGTCTTCTTCCGGCCTGAAGTCAATATCGGTAGCATCGGAAGACAGGAGCAGAAGGAAGAGATTGTCATCGAGATTTGCTTCCAACAATGGCTGGACGAGCTAGCTCATCGGGAGAAGTGTCTTATTGAGTACACATGCGCAGCTGGTGCGAATCGCGGCAAAACCCTCACGCTGGGAGATTCTTCCGGCCCGGTTGATGTCTCCGTAAGCACAGAAACGGCGAAGCTGGAAGTCCTGACACCAGAGTGGTACTCTGAACTTGCACGGACGGACGACATGCGCGAGCTTTTCCAAACACGATGCTTTGAATCAGTCGACGGAGAGATGATGCTGAGCGTCAATAGTGCGGGCAGACGCCTCTTGGAGGCAGCATTGTACAAGATGTCCAGGTCGTCAGAAGACTCGGAGAAAGACTACGTCAAGGTGCCACTGGCCAGCGACCGCAGATCTGACACATCTCCGCAAGACGCGGTTGTCCAGAACCTCATTGCCGCTTGCACGGGCAAGGCAGTGAAATACAGGGGCCTGCAGGCCTGCTTCCGCCAGCTACTTGACCCACTGTTGACACCGACCCTGCTTCGTGGCTATGACAGAGCTGCGTGGTCGATTATGCTTGCAGACAGACTCGCTTTCGGGTCTACTGGGCTCCTCAAGTGTTATATAAACATAGCCTCCTGGGGAGCTACGTTCGTTGCAGGACACTATCTGGCGCCGCTCGTGAAGTCAGTGCTTCTAGAGATGACGGCGTAGAATGAGCAAGTAGACGAATGGAGTCATATATGTGTCCCATCACTGCTAACGCTGACGCCGCCTGGTCTGGGCCGGGTCAAAATTTTTCGGGGAGCTTCAACCTGCTCCGGTTCTCCACTCTGCGAAGTCGGAGTGCCAAGAATCGACAGTCCGCGGCGAGCGAGACCAGTCTGATCTTTTGGAGTTTCTGAGGAACTGCGTGAGCTTCAAAAAATAATATACCCCAGATTCCCATACTTCTGACTCCTGTGACATTTACATCTCTACTCTCAGCAAAAATGGCCTCCAAGACTTTCGTGCGGACTCTGCGTGCTGCTTCTAAGCAGAAGCTGCCCTCCAGCACCGTCCCAAAGCGCAGCTTCTCGTCGGCTCTTGCCGCAAGACCAGCCGCTGTTGCCCAGTCAAAGGCGTCGTTCGCGCCTGCTCAGCAGACTCGTGGGGTTAAGACTATCGACTTTGCTGGCACGAAAGAGAAGGTCTTTGGTAGGCATACATGTGCTACTACATGGAATTGAAGCTTACAATCAGACAGAGCGAGCAGATTGGCCTACCTCAAAACTTCAGGTACACCCAACCACCCGATGTGCAGTGCAGCAAGCTGATCTGTATACAGGAATACTTCAAGGACGACACTCTCGCCCTGATCGGCTATGGCTCGCAAGGGCACGGTCAAGGCCTGAACCTGCGTGACAACGGCCTCAATGTCATCATTGGAGTCCGCAAGAACGGCGCATCGTGGAAAGAGGCCGAGCAAGATGGCTGGATCCCGGGCAAGAACTTGTTCGAGGTCGACGAAGCTATCTCGAAAGGCACCATCATCATGAACCTGCTCAGCGACGCAGCTCAGTCAGAGACATGGCCTGCCATCAAGCCGCAATTGACCAAGGGCAAGGTAAGCCGCTCCTCAATTGGCTATTGGTAGATTACTGATTTCATCCAGACCCTCTACTTCTCCCACGGCTTCTCCCCCGTCTTCAAGGATCTCACCAAGGTCGACGTGCCCTCCGACATCGATGTCATCCTTGTTGCACCCAAGGGTTCCGGCCGTACTGTCCGCAGCTTGTTCCGTGAGGGCCGTGGCATCAACTCCTCCGTCGCTGTCTTCCAAGACGTGACAGGCAAGGCTGAAGAGAAGGCGGTCGCCCTAGGCGTCGCGGTTGGCTCAGGCTACCTCTACAAAACCACATTCGAGAAAGAAGTCTTCTCCGACCTCTACGGTGAGCGAGGGTGCCTGATGGGCGGCATCCACGGCATGTTCCTCGCCCAGTACGAGGTCCTCCGTGAGCGCGGTCACTCGCCATCAGAGGCCTTCAACGAGACCGTCGAGGAGGCTACCCAGTCCCTGTACCCTCTAATTGGCGCCAACGGCATGGACTGGATGTATGCCGCCTGCTCAACCACTGCTCGTCGTGGTGCCATCGATTGGTCCAGCAAGTTCAAGGACACCCTCAAGCCTGTCTTCAATGAGCTGTACGACAGTGTGAAGGACGGCAAAGAGACCCAGCGCAGTCTGGACTACAACAGCCAGTCGAACTACCGTGAGTTGTACGAGAAGGAGATGCAGGAGATTCGTGATCTTGAGATCTGGCGTGCTGGCAAGGCTGTCCGGTGAGTTACCCATTGCACGTTCCGAGGACTCGTCACTAACAATTTCTTCAGCGGTCTCCGCCCCGAGAACAACTAGAATTGCTGTTTGATCAGCAATAGATCTTCTACCAAGTCTATGCTTTGAGATACCATGGCGTTTGCAAAAGCGATGGTCCGAAAAGTCTGGAAAGGGCCGGCACGTGGGTGGGAGGCACAGCTAGTGGTTGTATGTATCAAGATCTCTAGAGCACGCATTCGGACTCCAGTGCATCCACTTTCACCCGTCCTATTCGTTTCAAGCACCAAGCAAAGGGGATCTCCAAACGTACTCGGCAATGTCCGAATTCGATCTCGCAGCATTGACACATTTCATTCAGTGTGCGCTTTCCAAGCCGCGATCCCTCGTGCTAGGGGAAGAGGGCGTGCGAACGCTTACCTCCATGTCTATCGCTTGTGCATAATCCACGCCATTCGGACAATGCATAACCAATGAACATCACCCTCTGATCCAGCGCATGCGCCTGTGTCCGTCGACGACCACTGATGCACGCACAAGAACTTCTTGCTCCCACACATCGGGTTCAGCGCAGAGCCCACGGCCCGGTCGTGTCACCAGCCCACATCAGACAGGCCACTCGTCGCCGAATCCCATGCTCATGCTGTAAGCTCTCTCACTCCATTCCCACTCTCAGCAGTCCCAAAGCCAGCTCACTTCTTCTTCGCAGGAAATTTCGCCTCCCCAATCCCACTCCCCCTCAGCTTGACCCCCAACACCCGCTCCATCGCGCCCAACACCTTCTGATCCGGCGCCGCACTCCCTTTCTCCATATCCTGGATTATGGTGACTGTCGTGTTGCACTTTGTCGCCAGATCCTTCTGTGTCATTTTCGGCTCCTTTGCGTTCCGCGCTTTGAGGATCGCTTGCCCGACTTCCGTGCCGACTGTTTTGGGCTTGATGATCTCGTCGGTGCGGTCGACTTTTGTGAGGTGTTGGCCTTCTGTGTTTGGTTTCTGTGATGGGCGTTAGTGAAGAAGTGGGTGGTAGGGAGGGAAGGGTTCACGTACAGCAGCATTGACGCCACCGAACTTCTTCTCTGTGCCGACGATGGCGCCGGAGCGCTGAGCGGCGTTGATGGCGGCCTTGCCCTTGACGACACGCTCGCGATCAACAGCGGTGCCGCCGTTAGCGCGGACTTTGCTGCCGATGCGGGTTGTGGACTCCCAGTCGTCCGACATCTTGTATAGATTTGCTGAGAGTTTGGAGGGTGGGTTGTGGGTAGCGGTGTGTGTAGTTCGGTGAGGGGCTTGGTGGTGGTGGGAGACGAAGAGTGTAGTTCTTGTCTGGTCGCAGAGAGAGGACTGGGTCTTGTGGGTGGCGAGGAGGTAGTGAGGTGGTAACAAATGAAAAGGTTCAAGATATGTTTTGTGAAAGAGTCATAGCAAGCGGCGGGCAGATTCACCTGGAAAGCCATCGAGTCAACGGTCGGAGTTTAGTGACTTGTTTCCGCGAGTGCCCTGAAGCTTCTTCTTACTTCACTCACCTGCTGTCTGCTATGGGGGTTTACATGATCATGTTCATACCAATATCTTCAACCACAGCAGCAGAGGATAAGAGCTCGCTGTCAGTATCAAGCATGGAGGCCTCCTTGATCCAAGATACTCGATCCCGCGCTTGTTCGGAGGCTCTGTCCGCCTCGTTCGATTTTCGTCCGGCAGCGGCTGAAGAGACTACGGTGGCTGGTTGTTATCAAGCACTTCATGCTGATGTCCGCTTGTCGTCTGAGGAAGGTGTCTGGTCTATCCTCGAAGTACACTCACGAAATATAAGTGTTGCTGAGGTAAGAGCGATGTGTCAATACGAGTCTGCCCCTAGGGTTGCCTCATAAATCCGCAAACCACTCTCTTGGCGTTGTTGCATAACTAGCAGGATGAGGCATTGTGAACCTCAATCTGTAGCCACGATATCGCTTTCATGTGCGTCGTGATATGAATGAATGCACTGCTGGTGATATACGAAATCTCCTCACTTTCAAGTATATAAAGCTGTAGATAGTATGCATTCTTGCTCAAGATCCCATCTCGCACATCGACACAGCCAGACCAGTAACCAATCAGATCATCAAGCAAAGGCATCATGTCATTCATCAAGACCAAGCACCACAAGCCATACCCGGCAATCCTTCCATCGAGGCCGGAACTTTCCCAGCGCGACCAGACTGTCCTCATCACCGGAGGTGGCTCAGGAATAGGCTATGCCATCTCCAAAGCATTCGCACAAGCGGGCGCAGCCACCATCGTCATCGTTGGCCGTCGCCTAGACGTGTTGAGAGATGCCACGGTGAAATTGAAGCAGGACGTACCCGAGTTCGCTGGTCGTGTGCTGGGTCTCAAGTGCAACGTGTCGGACTTGCAGAGCACAGCGGACCTCTGGGATGCACTACAGAGCGAAAACATTGTCGTCGATGTCCTTGTCTTGAATGCCGCCGACTCGCGAAGCAGCGGTCCTCTCCATCAGATCGACCTGCAGCAAATCTGGGCCGAGTTCAATGCCAATGTCCGTGGCCCGATTGACATTGCGCAGAGATTTCTCAAGCAGAACGATGCAATGCCGAACGGGCACAAGAAGGTACGTTCACGCTGGACCGCAGGTAGTGCAGGTCTCACCATGCTTCAGACTATTGTCAACATCTCCACCTTGTGTATCTATGACTTTGCAACTCCAGGCACGAAACCCAACTACAACTTAATGAAGAATGCTGGTACATTGGCAATGCAACAGATTGCGAGGGACGTGCCAGGCGAGAAGACTCAGATCGTCAGCTTTCATCCAGGAGGTGTGTTCACTGAGGCGTCAAAGGCTGCTGGATTCACGGTGGACATGTGGGACTGGGACGACGGTGAGTGTTGCTCAGGATCGCTAATGCGACCAGCTGCTGACTCTTGACAGAAATGCTTCCAGGATCATTCGCAGTCTGGGCTGCGTCTGCCGAAGCTAGTTTCTTGCACGGGCGGTATGTCGAAGCCAATTGGGATGTTGAAGAGATGAGTCGAGGTGACGTGCGCACGAAGGTGGAACAAGACCAGTATTTCCTCCAGATCGGAGTGAATGGGTTGGTGGGAACTAGGACTGCCTAGACGTACTCATAGCTTGTGCGTGCCTCACAGAGTCCACGATTTCAGCCATAAGCTATCTAGCGCGCCTGGCCCAGTACGTTCTTAAGCCTCCGTAGCAGTGCCCCAGTCTAGATATGGGCCCCTTTGCACTAGCGAACCGTGCTATTCTGCCATTCTGAGTGGCCCCCGACAATCAGACATTCGCCAGAATTCTCACGCAGCGCCCATCTCAACTGGCCCATTGACAATATCGTAGCTGCGCTGTGGTGCACACGGAATGCGCTCGCCCATTGTTCCGCCGTGGTTCTGAAGGCGTAGAAACACTCCCGGAAGCAGTCCCAGCATCACCTTCCGCCTCGCCTGTGCCAGCGTCGTATGTTTCGGAGCACCCGTAGGGCGAGACTCGTAGTGCTCGGACATCGGAAATGGAAAATCGAAGGAGAATATGCCGTCCACCTGCTGCATCTCGACTCGCATCTTCAGCGCCATCTCGAAGCATTCCACAAGAGACTGATGCCACTCGCCAATAAAGTCGATGTTCTCCTCTTCCATTATACGTTGCTGCGGCTGGTTGCGTGGACGTAGGCCTTCACGACGGTCTCCAGCACGCGGAGTGGTGGGGTGAACGTGTGTATCTCGAGTGCTTTGTAAGCTGTTCGCAACAGCATAGAAAGTGTTCCATGCTCCTGGCAATGGCGCCTGAGTATCGAAACCCCATGAAACCTGGCGCATGACATCGATGGTTGGTGGCGTCATGAATCGGATAAGTATATCGTTGAGCTGGCGTGCGTGGACAACAGCATGGCCTTTGATGTTTGGCATAACCTTTTTCTCGTAGTACATTCTTGTGGCATTTGTCTTCGCCAGTGCAAGGACATCGGGGGCTATTTATGTTAGCGCGAAGCTCGACGGTCGCCGTTGAGGGCACATACCAACATTGTGACGAAGCTCGTTCACAAAGAATCCAAGATCCGGGTGAGGTATTTCGTCTCGCAATGCCCATGACGTTATCGCGGCACCGATCATTGCTTGTATGAAAATCTGCAAAGGGAGATGGTTCGTTGCGCGTAGCGTGTTGAATTGATTGATTTTCATTGGAATTTCGAAGCGATCGCCTAACGCACGGTCAGCGTGGATGCACTCTAACATGAGCGAAGCAGTACCCACAGAACAGTAGACTTTCTAGAAGACTGGTTACTTCAACACCCAGCTGCTCAAGATTGAGGACAAAGCTGATTCGGATCGATCTTGGCCGCCGTGAGTCGTCGCAAGACCGCAGCTTCGATCGTACTGTCCAAATTGGCCATCGCTTGTTTGATGAAAGAAGTGTCTGGCATTTTCGTGGCGGGCCAAAGCGTTCGGGCAACTGTGCTGTCCTCTACTGGAGAACTGGTGGACTCAGAAAGTTCGATCGGCTCAGGCGTTGTGTCCTCCTGTTCCGCTTCATCACTACCATCGGTGTCAGACACGTGAGGAGTGCTGGACTTGGTCTCACGGGCACCTCTGAGATGAAAAGGACGCTGTTGCTGCTGCTGCCGTGTCCACTCCTTGATCTCATGCTCTTTGAAGGTCCCATCAGGGAACGCCGTCAGATCGAGTATGTCCATGCCTCCGAGACATAGTTGGGCTTTTGTCACTGCCTTGCCATCTTTCTGGAATCTGGCGTCACAAATATGGGTGAGCTTGTTCTCAACTTGATCGGCTGTGATTTTTGTGGAGGGATCGGCTGTTTTCAGCTGCCAACGAACCAGCTCCAGAGCCTGTCGTCTGTCCGTCATAAACAGACCCTTTGGCCCTTTGTTGGCATCGAGAAGATCGAGGAGGACTCTGACCTTGTCGCCGGTCCAGATTGTACGAGACCACCCACCAACGTCAGGCATTTTGAATCCCGATACATCGATCTTGCCATTAGCAGAGATCTCACTTGCGTCGTAGACGCCTTCTTCAAACCTGGAGATATCCAGCATATCTGACCCATGTCGCCAAAGCGCACGTATACCTTTGAGCCGCTGGTCTTTCGTGAGCTCGTTTGCAAACCTGCTTAAGCGGTTGCGAAGCGCTTCAGAGTGATACTGATTTGCTTTTGAATTGGAGTAAGTCGTGTTGAGGAGTTTGGCCATCGAAGCAAGAGTGCCGTGCATGTCTTTCTCGTAGATGTTGTTCGGCCCTTTGTGCTGATCGACGAAATCTAGCATGAACCGGACCACCGCAGGCGGGAAGGTAGCCATGGTGGATGACAGATAGAGGCCTCCCGGGTGGTCTCTGGAGTCTTGTGGTGTTAGAGATGCGAGAGATGCGAAGGAAATTGAATGACTGTTTCCAGGAAGGTGGTTACGGTCTTGGCATTAGCAAACAATCGCCCGGGTAGCTGCCTTCCAAGGCTGTGAACTTCACTTGATGATAAGCAGACCCACCGTCTCATTCAACATCGCGTCTTTCCAGACTTGTTCTGTGGATCTTGGGAAAATTCAGCCAGAGTCCTCCCTGCGACATCCATCATGGTGTCCTGCAGCAACTGCGTTGCCAGTCGACGCGCTTCAAGCTGTGCTCGCCGCGGCAGATCCCTTGCGTGTTCCGAATGTAGGCGCAAGAACATCGAATGCGATCTCGCTGTCCTTATCAAGGCCGAGGAGGACTCCGTAGCCGAGCAGTCAATCACATCGCCTCCAGCCAAAAAGCGCCGAAAGGCCGCCACGGCGCCGAAAGACTCGAAAAGCTTCCAACTCCAGGAACTGCTGTCCGGCAATCTCATATGGGCAATTGGCATCGACGCTGGAACCAACTACTGCTCTGCATCATGGTCAACAGTGAACGCTCATACGGGCGTCCAGAGTCAAAATGTGGTCAGCAAACAGATCTCATTCGGTGAAGAAGGCGAGAAAGAGGCACCAATGGAAGCCACGATCATCAACAACGGCGGAGTTCCGACCCTGTACGTCGGTCAACAAGTCCAGAACTTCCTCCTGAGTCAGATTTCCCGCCGAGATCAAGTCTTCTCATTGCCAAAGCTTGCCTTACTCGCAGGCAGTGAGCACGCCGTGTTCGGCGTCCGAAATGCTGCAGACTCAATCCAGGGAGACGCGTATGATACGGCAGCAGAGATATCGCGACTACACCAAAAAGCCATCTCCAGCTTCAAAGGCCTCCTCGTCCAAGTTCCACGAAAATCCTACGACAATTATGAGTTTGCCTGCAACGACCCTGTCGACGTTCTCGGTGGTGTGTTAGCTTGGATCTGGGACAAAATAGTGACCGACATAAGGGATGAGACAGGCTATTCTCGGGAGGATGCTAGCGTCATATTGAAGAGCGCCAAGGTCGCTGCCAGTGTTCCAGAAATCTGGTCTGATGCAATGACGGATTGGGTTCGAAGACTCTGGCTACAAGCTGGCCTCCATTCTGTCAATATTGTCTCCGAGCCAAAGTGTGCGGCGGTCTGGCTTGCCCATGAGCGTCAGACTTCAGTGCAAGCCAACTCACCTGATCAACAGCGCCATGCCGTTGCTGATGTCCGCAATACAATCACAATTATAGTCGATATTGGCTGTGGAACCCTGGATCTAGCAACAATTCAGGCCGAGCTGGAGCCCGCCCTGAAGGTCAAGTCCCTGATCCGAGGCTCTGGCAGCCTGCGAGGATCCTACCAGATTAACGTCATCTTCAAGAAGCACTTGGTCCAAATTTTCGGCGATTCCTACAATCGGGTCGTTGAACAACTATCCGCCGGCGGGCCTCGTGACGATGACCTTCTCCTTGAACCATTCTCTCGTGGCTTTGAGAAGGCTAAGCGTCAATTCGATCCCGACATGGAACACGACCTAGCCATCCCGTTCGACTCTCCTGACCGGCTGCCGCCTGTACCTGAGATCTCCAGCGTTCGCGGAAACATGCTTTTCATCAAGGCCCAGCGTATGCGCGATATCTTGGAAAAATTCATGCAAGGAATACGTCCGACACTCGATGACCATTTCCTCCGTCTGGAGGCCTTCATGAAACAGAACAAGACTGCCAAGAAGGCCAGAATCGAGATGCAATGTGTTGGTGGTGGCTCAAAGTCCCGCTTTATAAGAGAGTGGCTTCAGGGCAACGCTGAGTGGGCCAGAATGTCAAAACATATCCCTCAAGGCTCTCTGGCGGCCCTTGGGGCTAGATTGATGGCCGAAGATCCGGAACTCGGTAGCCAAGAATTCTCCAGATCTGGATACGGATGTAAGTTGTTCTGTCCAGGTTTCAGTTCCAGGGCGGACTCTATGATCCAAATTGAGCTCATTCACTGACCTTATTTTTTAGCGGCCTGGGCGGTCAAGTACGAGAGCAAGAAGCACAGCAATGCTCAGAAAGCCGACATCATTGCTGCTAACGCTGAGTTTCCGACGAAACACGTAAAGAACCGCGTGTTCTGGGGCTTCCCAGTGGGTGCGAAGTTGCTGGACCCGGAAGAACCTCTCGTCGTGGATGGCTTTGTGTCAATCATCAAAGAGTTCGCTGTCTGGCCAATCGAACTGGAAATGGAGCTCTACAGGACGGAGGATCTTGAGCTAAGCCAGACTGACGATGTTGACGCCAGTACTCCCGGAATCACCAAGTTGCGACCGCTGACCATGGATGTGGCGTTCCACCAGCAGGCATTTCCCGTTGACAGTCGCGAGGGAAGCGACGTCTACGATATCGAGTGTCGCGGTATTGCGAAATGGGAGGGCTCGAGAATGTACTGGATCTTCGTGGTGCACAAGACTGGCAAGTTCCCCCAAAACGCTGCGTTGGACGAGTACGAGGGCGAGGACTACATCTGGAAGCGCGTGGAGCTCGAAGAGGTGCTGGAGTATGGCGCATTGAGAGTCTCCGGTTGAAGATTGAGCTGCATGTTTCCGAAGGTCGCTGCCAGAGCCAGGGCGGCCTTCAGGGGGGATTTTCGGGACTCGCAGCTGGCCCGAATGTGGACAGGGCTTAAGGGCCCTTTTTGCATGCTCAGATAGCTACCCAGTACATACGCAATGTACTACAATGTCGAAGTCCTCCCCAGGAACTCAGTCACACTATTGACGGATGTTGCGACTGCTTGCGCCGTAAGGCCGCCAACACGGACCCGAATTCGACCACATTGGCTTTCTTGTTGGGGGCTGTGTCAATCTTGTACTCGAACAGCTTGGCACACTGGCACACCCACGGTCGCAAGTTTCAAAGCAGTGGTCCACTGTATGATGCAAGAGCGCCTGTGACTGTTGTAGTCGCACATGCTGCGCGCCTGAGCCGCAAGGAAAGTTCATGACGATGGTTGAAGCAGAAAGACTCAGGGTTCGAAGCCACACGTCAAGGCGGACTGAAGATCCGTGCTTCATTTACGCCCGGCGTAAATCATGCCAAGGACGCTTACGGCCGTGCCTGTGTCCTAGCCCGTCACTCCGATCCCAAGCCTGCAGCAAAACTCGATCGCGCCAATCTTTGAACGACAGAGCCTAGTCCCTTTTCGTCGCCATGCTGCGAACGAACGATGGATTTACGCCAGGCACCTACGATTCTTTCAAGCCGTTGCTTCGTATGTGTGACCTGTCGATAGACGTTTCGCATTGACGAGATCTGGCGCCATGAATAGACCACAGTGGGCATTCCTGCGCCCCTAGTCCCAATGCACACTCATTTTGCGTCTTCATGGGTCCCAAAATTGGGCCGCTTCATCTCCTGCCAATCGCCATACGCGATTCATCGTATCGTCGCTGTTGATCCGCACGTACCTGTATACATACGACCGTTGACATGAAGCAGAGCCGCCTCGATGGAGGACTATATAGCAGCTGTGCCATTCCCGTGGCAAGTCTACCATTCTCTCATCAGCTCAACTCAACATAACAGCCTCACAGACCACCAGCATCTCAGTGTACCTTGACCACCACTAATCCCACTACAAGCACCAACAAACAACATGTCTGACTCCGAAGGCTACCGCAACCCCGCCGATGGCATCATCTACTACTACACCGGCGACCAAGAGCCACAATGCGAAATCGGCAAATGCCCAATCGAGTACTCCGTCTACGGCTACCGCCCATCGCTCGCCTTCAGCGGCACCATCATCGCCCTCTACGCTCTTGTCATGGTCGCCCAGACCTTCCTCGGCATCCGCTACCGCAAATGGGGCTTCATGGTCGCCATGCAGCTCGGCTGCCTGTGCGAGATCCTCGGCTACGTTGGCCGCATCCTCTATTACCAGAACCCTTGGGCGCAAGGCGGCTTCATCATGCAGATCGTCCTCATCACCATCGCGCCCGTGTTCTTCTCTGCGGCTATCTACGTCCTCATCTACCAGATCGCGAAGTACGTGTCAGCTGAATCCAGCCGCGTCAACCCGAAGCTCTTCTACTACATCTTCATCACAGCCGACATCATTTCCCTGATCCTCCAGGCAGTCGGCGGCGCCATGTCCAGCACCTCTGAAGGCGACTCCACCTCCGGCGTCAACATTGCCCTCGCCGGTCTGGCGTTCCAGGTCGCGACACTCGTCTTCTTCGCTGTCGCGGTCGTCGACTACATGTTCTGCAGCCGCAAGGTCTGGAGCACAGTCAAGCTCCCAACCCGCTTCATCAGCTTCTGCGCGTTCTTGGCTCTTGCTTGGACTGTCATCACCATTCGCTGCTGCTATCGAGTGTATGAGCTCAGCGAGGGCTACTCACGAGACTCGGAAGCTCTCCGAGACCAGCCTCTGTTCAATGGGCTCGAGGGAGTCATGATCATCCTTGCAGCTGTCTTCCTAATTGGCGGTCACCCTGGCTTCGTCTTCCGACAGGGCGAGACTCTGACGCAGCAGGAGTCGTTTAAGGGGAAGTCGGAGCGTGAGGCTAGTGCAGGCAGCGAAACTGTCTGAGCTTTCTGTGCCGACGAGCGATCACGAGCGTAGAAACCACTGCAGGGTTGAGTGTACATGACGGCGGCGTTGCATTGGAGTAAGGGGTGTAGTGTGGCATCATACTGGGAGGAGGGAATACCCAAAGCGTTGAGCATTTGAAGGTTAGATCGAACATAGACATGGAAGCGACCAGTCTTTCCGCGAAGACCTAATAATTACGAATTCAATCAAAGCATACCTCTCGGTCATCTCACACACCTTCTCATGGCTTCCAAACAGCAAAAGGTAGAACAATCGCTATGCAGCACCCAGAATCGAACCGGGATCTCTGTGCAATAGTTGCTGGCGGGGATTCTACGGGACTGCATGAATTGACCGAAGCCGTTGGCTACCTTGCTCGATGTGTTTGCTAATTGACACCATGCTGCTGAAATGGGTCGCGTCGTGCATGTTCTGTGAGCGTGATTTGCGAGTTGCGAATATAGGTACTTTCACAAGCAAAGTCGTTACAGCTTGAAGTCAAGTTACTTTGACACGCATTCGTTGACCACTATGGACAGCTGACACATGCCATTCTGATACGCAAACTATGCTCACCGCCGCCGTAGCACACCACAACAACTTGCAACACAAAAGCTCCCTTTCGCCCTCAGCCCCAGGTGTCACCTCTCAACAACCCATTCAGAAAGCCGCCACCACCACCTCCTTTCGCATTCTTCCCCATCGCACCACCCTTGCCCCTTCTCGAATTTCCTGCTGCCTTCTGCTGCGGCCGCTCACCCGCCTGGTAATTCACCGCGTTCCTCCTCCCACCCATCCCTTTCCGCACGAACGCTTTCTCCTCACTCACGTGCCCCCTCTCCGTCTTGGCGATACTCACGCCCGTCGCGGAGACATTCTCTGAGCTAAGAGATGACAAACTGCTATTCGTTGTGGCGCGACGCAGCAACGAGGGCGGTCTGAATGTCGATGTTGCGGACACGGTGGCTGTGTTGGCCATGAATGCCATCTTTGTAAGACCATTGGAGGTTGTGGACGAGGCGGTTGAAGACGCGCGCGTAAGGGAGAGGCGGTTGATGACTGTGCCGCGAGAACGGCGTGGATTGGTGTTGGTGGTGCGAGAAGAGAAGGATGCGGAGTAGGGAAAATTGGGCTTCTTGAAGACGCCGTCTGACACGGTCGAGTCTTCCTCCTCCTCATCGTCGACGACAAAGTCTCCCAAGCCAGAGCCGTCTTCGTCCGCGGCAGCGAGCTCGTCGGCTTCAGCTTCGTCGTAGTGTCGGTCAAGGTTGACGTATTTTCCAGGGTCGTCGTCGTCAGAGTCCGAGAGCTCAAGGGATGCGCTGTTGGACAGGGAGTCGGGTTCTTCGAAGAGGAAGGAGAGATTCTCGCGGATCTCGGCGACTGTGGATGGTTTCTTGTCGATAGCGGTGCGTCGGAGGGCTGGTGGGAGACGGTTGAGCTGGGACTCTGACGTGGGATCTAGGGGACGCTTGCGCTTGAGACCGGACTGTGTTTCCGTGATCGAGTGCTGTCCAGCCTGGTCCTGAGATTGCGACTCGTCCTGTTTGTCGGTGACCTCAAGTTCGTCGTCATCAGAAGCATCATGGCGGTCTTCGATGCTTCGTAGGAAAGCTTCCTTCTTTCGATCATCCGCAATCTTGCCGACAGCTTCATCCTTGAGTAGCTCGCGGCGCATCTTCGCATGCTCCCGACGCTTAGCTTCACTCCTTCGGGCAGCTTCGTCTTCCTCGTCTGATAGATCGAGGTCACCACCGACAGCTCTTCTGTTACGCAGTTTGCCCGTCTTAATTTCTTGGTACAGCTTGTTGACTGCGGCCTCATCGCTCTTGCGCTCTCGATCGGCATAGAAGCCGGCCAGCGCAGCTTCATCGCCCTTGCCCACCTGTGTGTCGTCGTCAATGATCCGCCGATCGTCCTCATTCTCCACGTCGTGGGCGTTCTCGTCATCGCTGGCGCCTCCAAGACCTGCATATTCGTCGTCAGATTCCTCGGCGGCTTCATCGACGATGTCCTTGGCCTTAGATTTTGTTTTGTCGAAGGTCTCCATCTCGGCCTTCTTCGCTGCTCGTTTCATCACTTCAAAGGCTGTGACTGAGGCATCAGCTTCTGCGCCATCGTCTGCTTCGGACTCGTCGTCGACAGCACGTCCTCTCCGAAGACGACCCTTTCGCACAAGAATGGGACTAGCTTCCACCTCATTCAACGGAACAGTGTCGATCGTCGAATGAGGCCGGAGGGAAGGCGATTCTGCCGTGAAGCGATTACCGTGGAAGGGGCTGAACACGTAGTCCGCATCCTGAGTCGGCTCAAAGGCTGCCTGCGACGGAGTGGGCTGCGTCGTGCTCATCCCACGAACAAGAGACGGCGACTCAGGAATGGCCTGCGGCTGCGAGAGTGTTAGACTAATATCGAGCGGCTGTGTCTGCGTGGCGGGCTGGCTGTCTGTGACCAGATCGAGTGACTCCATGCGGTTCAGACGAGGCATGATAGCCAGCCCTGGAGAAGGCAGGTCGTGCACGTAGTCCATACTGTCCTTTTCTTCCTGCTGAGTCTGGCTCTGCGAGTCGGCCATAGTTGCCCCAAACGCTTGTGTCAGCCCAAGAGGGAGATCATCAGACATGTTCAAACCTGGAATCTGCTTCCTAGCTGATCGAGAAGAAATCGTCTGTGGTGTCTTTGCTAGTTGTGGTAGCTTAGGTGTCTCGAGCTGTGGCGCATCGTCCTCATCGTCACTGATGACGCGTGTGTTGCGAACTTTGGCAGCTGCCGGAGTCTTGACGGCAAGTTCGGTCGCAAGGTCTGACTCGTCTCCTTCCTCATCATCGGATTCCCGCCTGAGCGCTTCATCATCTTCTTGCGCTACCTCTTCCTCTTCCTCCTCATCGTCATCGTCGGCCTGATCATCGAAGAGCTTCCCTTCCTCGTTCTCAAGGTCAAGCGGTTCCTGCTGGTTCTCGTCTTCATCATCTTCGTCGTCTTCTTCATCATCTGCGTCCTCATCTTCTGCCTCTGCTTCGACCTCAGACCCGACGAAGTCTTCGTCGTCTTCGCTCTCGTCATCGTCTACAGCGTCTTTGACAAAGGTACCGTCCTTCTTGGCAGCCTCCTTCTCGCGCCTCGCCAGCTCCGCAGCTTCTTCTCGAGCTCTCTCTACCAGATCTTCAACGACTTCCTGATCACGATCACGCTCTTCGGCAGTCTGAATAACGACACCTTTGGCTCGCAGCTCGTCGATCCGTTGCTGGCGCTCTGCACGTGCCTGCAGACGAGCTGCCTTTCGCAGGTTAGCTGCCATCTCTGCTTGAGTCATGGTCGACTTGTCGTCTTTGTTTCTTTCGTGGACATGAGCTAGCGTACGCAGAGCAAGATGCGAGGTTGTCTCCTTCGCTTTGTGCTTTGGCAGCTTCTCGAATGCGGCGTATTTGCGTTGATCGCCGGGATTGGTGACGACATCGAGCTCATCATCGTCGGCGTCATCAGCACTACCTACCCCGACTGCCCTCAGCATTGCCTTTATCTTAGCTCGTTTGTCTACTTTGTCGTCTGTCGAGACCACGAGTCCGGCTGTTGCAGTAGGAACAGTGGGCATAAGGGCGGACCCGAGAATTACTGGCTCAGGCAGATCCGGAGCGCCTTCGATGGCCTTCCCTTTACCTTTGCTGACATCCAGCAAAGGCTCCAGTCCGATTTCGGCCAACGGCGGAGCTTCGACAACTTGATCGGTGGCGGACTGCTTGCTAAGATCCTTCGGTGTGTCCTTTGGCGGACTCTGCATGGGGCTCGTGGGAGGAGTACTGTGATGTCGTACTTCCGAGTCAGAGTCTGACACGGAACTCGCCCTGCTGGCACTTCCTTGCTCAGGAAGTGGCGCGTTCTTTGGTGCCAGACCAAATCTGGCAAGAAGACTCTCCTTTGTGATCTTCTTCCTGACCTGGGCCTGATGAGCGAGCTGATTGTTCCGGCTCAACCGTTGAGTCTCGCGCTTCATCTCTTCGATAGCTTTCTTGCTGGCCTTCCGTGTCGGCTTGGCCCTTTTTGCAATCCTGCGGGCCGCATCTGCGTCCGAGCCCTCGCTGGACTCGTGAGAGTCGTCGCCTGGACTTGAGCCACGCTGTCGCTTCAGACTACGAGCTTGTTCCTCGAGAGATGCTTGACGGGCCGCACGCTTTGCCTCCTCTGCTTTTTCTCGCTCGAGCCGTAACTTTGCTTGCTTCTCGACCAGGGCCTGAAATTTCGACAGTGGCTCGGCCAGCGTTGAGCGTTCGCCATCAGAGGCGTCTCCTCCCGCCACGCCTCTCGCGTCGCTTGCTGCCGCCTGTGAACGCGTCGGAGATGGGAAGAACAGAGGCGAATGCGCCGCGGAGGAATGGACAGACGTGGCAGGAGTCGACGGCGCTCCAGGCCTGCTCTTGCGTTTTGTCAGAAGGCGTCTGCGAGGTGCGGCATCTTCGCGAGACTGTTCTCCATCGCTTTTGCGCTCGTCTGCTGCAGCTGTGACACCACCTGCCGTAGGCTCGCGTCTTTGAGTTTCAGGCTCAAGACGAGCAGCCATGCGACTCTTCCTGACAACGGGAGCATCGTCATCGCTGTCGTCCGACGACTGCGCCCCAGATGATGATGTTCCGTTGGTCTTACGGTCCGCAAAGCCGTTCACACGCGTGTTGCTTGCTTCGTTCTCGGAGTCGGAGTCGTCGAATTGAGCCAGCAGTGCTCGTACCTTGCGGCTAGGAGTGAGCATTTCAGCATCCGAACCAGCAGCATCTGCCGCAGACACTGGTGAGGAGGCCATAGAGGCGACCTATGTGCTATATCAATACACGCATGTCAATAATAACACTTCAAGAATTTTCGAGGTGCTGTGCTGTGGTTTTCGAGTTGCATGTTTAAGTCGCGTCGAGGCGCGTCGCGTGTGGAGAATTCGACTTCCCCACTGTGGGCGTCATTTAGGCGTTGATCCACTGGGCCTCAGGCTTGAAACGACTTTGTTCACACTTACTTCTCTTCCTCCTGCAATCCACGCCGTTGCTTCTCCCTACGCGATCACGGGCAGTCACTGTCAGACAGTAGTATGGCGATACGGAAGTCAAAGAGCGAGCTTGCAAATGCCACTTATGGCTTGATATGATCATTGGTATGTACGTATGCTGCAATGCTGGCCGTGGTCGAACGCATTGTTGATATGAGAACTATTCGCTATGATGGTGGCTTGCTGGAATGGACTGAGATGACAAAAGAAAAGCCCACCTGCTCGCCTCTGTTGTCTCAGAGGCCGCAATGTGTTGGTTCACTTATACCATCCGCTGCGCGAAGGGTGATTGGCGTATGCCTTCGCGGCGGCCCGCTTCTTGCGAACACAGTGATATACAGCGCCGATGGCGACGATGACACCGAGCGCAACGATGGCGCCTGAAATCCAGATTGTGATTTGTTCCATGTTTGATGATGTGTGTGCTTGATGGAGCGATATATGCTGTACGACGTCGAGGTATTCTTGCGAGAGTATACCTTACTCGAGCAATCTATGGTGAGTGGCAGCGCTATATACCAGGATTGAACACAAGCTCGCCACAACAATGCGACAGACTAGGCTTTGTTCGCATGGGTTTGAAATAGAGCCTTGGCCTGAGCGCCTTGTTCACATGATTGTGGGACAATGGCAGGGACACGAATTCTCTTCACGAGCCAGATCCTCGAGCACAGCAGAACCGAAAATAGAGCACGCATGAGCAGTACCTTGGGCTAGACTTTTCCAAAATCCAACAAAGTCGCTTTACCAGCAGCCGTGGAGGGCTGCTTGACGCGCCGCTCTTAGCCATATGTTGTATTAGCTCATGTACAGTGCCACTGCAACATTGAGAACTGCTCTTGTTGCTTCTGCTGGATGGCAAGGAGTTGCTTGCATGTACAGGATCCAAAACAAGTCATCAAAAAGTTCAGCCTTGCCATCCAGCCTTGTTGACACGCTTCTTCCAAAGTTTGTGCACGCGTCATGAGCATTGCACCTCGTAATTTCAATTGTCCGTGCGCAAAGCAGGGGAATCTCGTTTGGGCGGCAAAGGCTGTCCCATCGCAGATGCAATGGCAGGCGACGAGTCACTGGTAGCTGAATGGAAGACCTTGTATGCAACGACGCTGCCTGCCCTCGCGAAGTCTCGCGATCCAGCACAGCCGAAATGGCCCGTGTCACTGGACCATTGCTTTGCTAGGATTATTCTCGACAACACCGTCGGACAAGGCTCTCAGCAATGGGACAAGGTTATAGCGAAGCCTGCTGTGAAGAATATGAATGATGACCAACTTCGCGCCGCCATTGAGCTTGGCGAACGGATCTCCAGGGGTGAGATTAACTTGTGCGAGCTGGATCAGATCAGCTTGATGTGTCGTGGGAAGAATGAGGCGAAGTACGCCAAGAGTAGTACTGGCCAAGCTAAGAAACGAAAGGCAGTGGAGGACAACGATCAGCCGACAAAGACAGCAAAGGTCGAAAAGCAGCAATCAATGCTTGACTTCGGCACCAAGTCGGCGGACGACAAGGGCAGCACTAAGCCCAAGAATGGCGTTAAGCCTGACGATCTGACGGAAGCCCAATTTATCGAGATTCTGGAACAAATTCAGAAGCATTCGTCGCTTACTCCATACCGGCGCCGACTTTACACTGTCCTTCTGTCAGTGCCAAGAGGATCACATACAACCTACGCTGCCATGTCGGACTATCTCAACTCGTCCGCCCGTGCTGTCGGCAATGGCATACGCAACAATCCCTTCGCTCCAGATTGCCCATGTCATCGAGTGCTCGCCGCTGACGGCAGCATTGGAGGCTTCCATGGCGATTGGGGCAAGGAAGGCAAGTATGCCAACGACAAACTTAAGCTACTGAGGTCAGAAGGCGTCAAATTTGACGTCAAGGGAAAGGTAGTCGGGAAGCCATTCCGCGACTTCCATGAGTTCGAGCATCTGCAGCAAGAGCTCAAGCACGAGGCAACTTAAGCCGCTCCATACTTTGGCAACTGTCAGGATTCCGCAAGACAACTCACTGCAAAGCTGAGACGCGTCAGATCGACATCTTATGTCAATCGGCCGTCTGGATCTCGGTCATCAGGCGCAATTGGATCGGCGAACATGATCGCCGCCACGCTGTGTCACCTCAAGCGATCGTTCTTGGATATGCAGCCTCGGCCTTCCGAGTGTAGCAGTTCCTTGCTTGTCTGGGAGTGAAGTCCTCTACCCTGCTCCGAGAGCAGTGTCTGAACAGAGCCAGGACCTAGATGGCGAGCACGCAGAAATCGAGTCGGCGACTAGCTTGCCTTCAATGCGCTCACGGCAAACGCCAATGCGACACCAGGCGCCCTGCCTGTTCTCGGTGTTCTCGGCAGCGACGAACATGCAAATATTTGAACAGCACACAGGAAACCCAGTCTGGGCCAGAGTCAAGCACGGAGGCTCAGCTGGTAGACAAGTCCAGAAACACATGCATGGCCGCTCAGCAGTCGACGAGCCGTCCCTTCATAGCGCAGGAGTCGTGTACTGCTACTATACCGAGAGGTACACCTGCCAAGCTCGAATCTCTATTCAGCATCCGCTTCTGCTCAGATGGTCAGACTTTCGACCTACAAAGAATCTTCTTGGGAGGAGCGCTGTCTGTGAGTGAGAAGCGTATGTTCATGTCTTCGTCACCGTCGAAGCCCGAGTGGATGCTGAAATCGACTAGAGCAGGCTGGGAAACGTGTTGAATTTATGAAAGGACAACAATTCTACCTTGCTCTGCGCGCTGCATCAGCTGCAAACAAGGTTCCGGATTTCGCCCGTCGTATTGGTGCGAATGAGCCGATCTTGAAGATGGATGAAGAGATGTTGTCTTGGGATCTAGCGACCAGGAATGCGCCAAATACAGCTACAAGGATCTGTCGACTGAAGCTTTGCACAGAACCGCCCACAATGGAGATACTTGATGCATACCTTCGCCGTGCTCAACATCGCCTTGCAACACCACTGATCAAGGCTGCGGTGTCCTACTTGCAAATGCGCTTGCCACATGTACCTTATTCTGACCCTTGCTGCAGCTGCATCACTGACAAGAGCCAGTCCCAGATACTGCAGCATGCCCTTGAATCAAATGGTGTGGTAGCAAACGCTATGTCCGCATATCACGCTATCCGAAGGTCACAAATGCTCAGCGGCCACGACCCCCCTCACGTATACCTCAGTCCCCAAGGAAATGCGCTCTCACTGTTGTCCAATGAGTGGTCGTTGCTGTGCAGTCTTCATAAGCTGATGGATGAAGCTGGCCACGTTTCGTCGGAAGCTGCCTTTCCAGTCTTCGCGGCTCTGGCCATTCGACAGAGTCAGCTTCTTGATCACGCTTGCTATCGAGCTTTGGATGGGCGTGAGTCAAGAACTTTCCAGGCGCTATGACCATAAGAGCTGACACTTACAGAATACAGTGCAGCCAATTTCTTCGTACACCAGGCTCGCGCGGCAGACGAGCTCCGCTCATCCGTTTTCGGCACGACCTGGCCTTCTTGTGTAGAGATTGTGTCCAAAGCTACCAGCGTGCAGCCAGAACTCGGTCTCAACCAAATATTGGAAGCTGCACGACGATCGCTCGAGGGTAAGTCGGCTAGACCTTTAGTGATACAACTGACTTAGTAGGGCTCACCTTCAACGACTGGCTCAAGGACTCGCTCAGCTGCTGGCCGAGTCAAGCTAGAGATGCCGTGAGCCAGATCGCTCAGATCTAGATCGAGACCTTCATCAATGCCAACGCGACTGGGGCTAGAAACTATCGATCTGGTGCCACCGCACTTTTTCTTTTGGGTGCGCTGTCATTACCGCGAGATATGACACCATGGCTTGTACCACGTCCGCACCGCCACCTCAACAATATCGATCTAGAACACCATTTTCGAGCTCGGCACTGAGATCCGACTCGCCAGCAGCCCCAGAATCCAGACCGATGTGCTGGATCGCGTGGAAAATGATAGCGACCTCCGACACTCGCGACACTTCTTTGACCTACGTTCCTCCGGAATGGACGATGGGAGCTCAGTCTTTGCTATAGCCAGATGCCTGATGTATTCCTACAGATTTGCTGGTGGGAAGACTTCACGCCACAACGTTGGCATCGACGGCGCCATCATCGTAATTGTCGACCTTCTGGGTGCTGCCGGCCAGCTTTTCCGCTCCGCAGGTACATGCTTTAATCTCTGAGAACCAAGCCACCCGAGATATAGATGGCTGCTCGCGTGTGCCGAACGACTCTGGCGCAGGTTACTATTTCAAAAACTTCCATCACCGTGCCTCTCACGCGCAAGTGCGAGCAAGGTGGGTGGTCCGCACGTGCATACATTGACCTTTCTGGCGCGACCGAGCAGTCCAGCAAGGCCGACCTCACACGGCCGCGGGACTGCAAAATACACGCTCGACCGATGCTGAAAGATTCTGGGAAAGCATGAAGGGCATCGCCTGGCTATAAAGATGTGCTGTGTCCCCTCTCACCTCGAATTATGCACAGTCGACACGTCCAGGCAAGCGCAAACAAAAGGCATGCTCCTCAACTCTCACGAAACTTCATCAATACTTACACCGGCCTTCGCGCATCAGAATGTGCAATCTAAGCCTCACCACCATCGCCTCTCTGGGCCTGGTCCTGGGTAGCGGCATTTGCGCTCCCCTCGGTCGGCACGGTGACACTAGTCTTGGTCCAGTGGTCGACATCTCCAACACACATCTCCCTGAGAGCAACGATGGCCTTGAGCACGGCAAGAGAGGCACCATAGGCGATACCATCGACCGTCTGCCAGTCTACGCCGACTCCACTGGTATTGGCTTGAAGTACGGCGACAACTGGCCCCGTGATCTCGGTGAGACACAGGCACGACATGCCAAAGTTGTGGTCGCCATGGGCAGCGTTCGCCGCACAGACTCTGACAGCGACCTCACCGACAGCGACCTCACCGACAGCGGCACCGACAACAGCGAGGAAGACGGTGTAGCCGTGAACAAGCAGAAGGATAAGGTTGTTGATGCCATCTCTGACGAACACGCCGACCTCATGCAGCGAAGCCCTGGCCGCTACAGACGCAGCGAAATCCTCGCGCGAGGCCTTGCCAGCGCTATACGCGACAACGAGGACGAATTTTCGACGTTCGACACTCGCGCTAAGCTCAAGCAGGGTGAGAATGAACTATCCAGACGTTGCCATGGCAATCGCGGTTACATTGGCTAGATCAAACTCATTGGCGCCGCACCTCAGGTGATTCTTGAACAAAGTCCGGTGACCTGCAGAGACTGCTTGTGGACCGGGCTCTCAAGCATGAAGCTGGAGCTGGATAAGTCTGCGAAGTCCGACGGAATCAAACAGCTGCTGGGATGCTCGGAATCATTATTTGGGACACTAGGAACTTACGTTGGTGCATGATGAGCCTGTCACAAAAGGCAATCCCGTTTCTCTAAAACACTTGAATGAACAGTCCTTACAAACACACACCTGCAACATGATTTCCGTATCCATCTGCACGTTGAAGAAAGGGCAGTCTGCCTCAGTGTCGCATTCGGCGACTGGCGACAAGGACTTCCGAGCCGTGCCCAGGACAAGGTACCTTGTGCCAAGATTCGCCTGATTGCCATGTCATCCGCCTCCAGTGCCAGGAACATCATGCCACTCGACTTCGAGCGCGGCTTGTGATAATGTGTCGCCGACTGTCATTGAACATCATGTTGTACGCTGTTACGCTGATACGCTGATACGTCGTTTATCCACCTGCCACATCGGGCCATGATAGCTGGGCTAGGCCACTGACTTCCATGCAACCTATGACGTTGCGCAGCGCGTTTCTGCTCTGCTGTAGTGCGCGTACAATGTACGCCGTTTGAGACGGGTCGAATGCATAAGTACCACTCCCCAGAGCTCACAATTGAACGATCATAATCTTCATTATTTGAACACCGATCCAGATTCTAAGTAGTCTGTTTACCTTGATCGAACTCATCATCGTCCGCCCATCTCCGCCAGTTCCTTCACCATACACAAAAATGGGCGGCGGCGCCCAAACCCTACCCGCAGGCTTTCCCGTCGCCAACCCAACAACATCCTACTGGCAACTCCCACCCCACCCCATCTCAAACCACCGCACCAGCCCCGACCTCCCCACCTCAACCCCATGGGACTACATCATAATCGGCTCCGGCATCTCCGCGCCGCCATCGCCTACAAACTCCTCACCCACTCCCCCCACCTCAAGATCCTAATGCTGGAAGCACGCACTGCAGCAAGCGGCGCAAGCGGGAGGAACGGCGGGCACTGCCGTGCTGGATGGTGGTTGAATTTTGAGAAGTATGCTGCGGCGTGGGGAGAGGAGGAGGCGGTGAAGTTTGAGGAGTTGGAAAGGGGGAATGTGGAGGATGTGGCGGGGTTTGTGCGGGAGGAGGGGGTTGACTGTGATTTTCGGGAGGTGGTTACTGTTGATGCGTTTTATACTGAGGGGGAGTGGGGGAGGGTGAAGAGGGATATGGGGTTGAGGAAGGAGGTTAGAAGGAGACTGGGTGTGGAGGAGAAGGTGGAGCAGAAGGTGTGGGAGGGGAGAGAGGCGGAGGAGCAGACGGGACTGAAGGGTGTGATTGGGGCGGTGGGGTATAAAGCATACACGCAGAATCCGTATCGGTTGGTGTGCAGGATGCTGGAGTCGTGTCTAGAGAGGGGTTTGAACTTGCAGACCGAGACGCCGGCGCTGAAGGTGACCGCTGTAGATAGAGAAGGGGCAAAGTGGAGGTGCATACGTTTCGTGGCAATGTCAGGGCGGCGAACGTGGTGCTGGCGACGAATGCCTACACGAACAGCCTGCACGACGGTTTGGCGAAGACGGGTTTCCTGAAGCCGAGCAGGAGTCAGGTCACTGCTATCAGGCCTGCAGAGGGGAATGTGTTACAGCATGCCTCAATCGGCAAAAGTATTGCGTTGGACGACAAAGGATCCGGCGACTACTTCTTCATCCGCCAACCTGGGTTGGAAGGCGCAGGAGATGTGTTATATGGTGGTGGCAGGAGCATATCACCTACGCGGGAGATGGGGATCACAGACGACTCGACGATCAATGAAGCCATTGCTGTATACCAGAAAAGGTCCGTCCCTGAAGCTTTTGGGCAGGATCAATGGGGCAAGCAAAGCGACGAGATCAGAGACTGGACGGGCATCACTTGCTATACACCCGACACGTACCCTTTGGTCGGGCAATTACCAGGGGAGCAAGGACTCTGGGCATCAGTTGGCATGGATGGACATGGCATGGCTATGGCCTTCAGAAGTGCTGAAGCGCTAGTCCAACTAATGACAATGGGTGAAGAGCCAGAGTGGCTTCCGAAAGGGTTTCGGATGGCAAGAGCATGGGAGGAGACGAGGGTGAACTTCAGTCCACATATTTGGAAGCCTGAGCAAAGGGAAGGACTGGCGCAGCTGTGAGGCGGTGATGAACTTGCCCAGCAATGAGCAGAGAAATGACTACCGCAGAGAAACAGTCGAGGCCGTTCCTGACTTCGGGTCGTCTTCGACTGTTGCTTGAGTATGGGACTGTTCGGTCATCTCGAGGCCACACAGCCTTGCAGCACTCTGATCACCCTGTGAGCGACTATTGGAGCCACTTGCCTTCAAGTAAAACCCTCAATACCTTCAGGAGACCGTTGCCAGGAGCCAAGAGCACGTGATCGATTGATATTGCTATTGTAAGGCACACGATACATAAGAATAAGGCTGAGTCTCTGGTCACCATACCTCGAAGCCAACAGCTATCGACGTCTTGGTGGAAGGTCACCGCGTGCTCTGCGTCCACGCCGAACCAGGTATCCTCTGTTGCCATCGTAGTCGTCGACGAATTGCAAGTCAGGGATGTCCTCATCTGGCCGTAGTCTATGCGGCAAGGCAGGCGGCTGCCTGGAGGTTGATCCCTGACTCTGACTTCCGCTAGGACCAATATCGACGCCCTCATGAGTATATTGTCGCAACAAGCCCTGGGGTGCAGCTTCTCCTTCATTATATGCCTCAATCTGGGGCAGGTTCGGCACGCCAAACATCGCTAATAAGTTGGCTTGCGGTGTGTCTGCTGGATCCACTGCAGTGTTTAGAGCGGCAGCGACCCGACTCTCGACATCGTACAGCAGATCCATACGCTCGCTTCTGCCCCTGAACCGTCGCAGCACCTGCTCGTGGAGTATTGAGAGCAGAGTTGATACTGCTTTGAAAGGCTTTTCCCATTGGTCGGGGTCTAGAACGGCGCGCTGAAGCCGCAGCGTTTCGGGGTCTTGATCTTCCGGCTGGCCGTACAGTCGGTCGATTGGCATAGGCAGTTGTGGTTCTGCATAGTCGTCGGGAAGAGAGATCGATGCATATCTCCAGTTGGATTTGTACACACCCGGCGCCAAGTCATGTGTCAATTGCCCTATATTGGGAAGTCGCAAAGCCTTGTGTACCTTGTCACGGAAACTGTTCTGGTCAAGTGTTTGTTGTGGCTCACGTCCCCTGCGAGATGTTGAGATGGGATAAGTGATCGTGCTGTAGAACTCCCACAGCTGATCGGCCGGATCACATTCGTCGTGGACTCCATACCAGCAGATTCCCGGTAAGAGTATAGGCTCTTCTTGGCCACGCCGAACCTCTTCGGTTACGCGTTCCATGCAGTCGACGCGGTGAGTGAAACCCTGATCACATTCTTCGCCTTTGCAGGGACAGATTTTTCGACCCAACTTCCTCCCTTCCTCCTTGGCGTCGTAGAGCGTATTGAGAGGTCTGAAGTCGGGCTTTCCGCACCAGAAGCACAAGTACCAATAACCCAGGGAGACATAACACATCCTGGGGGATATTCCGCTTTCGTAGAAGACTAATTGACTGCTCCGGCTGGTACACTAGGGTCAAGGAGGCCAAGGTATCGTACAATTCTGTGTGATAGGCAGCGGTGGGATGCTTGTTGGACATCATGTCTCTCGTGTCAGGGTGGTGCTCCCTCTATATAGACGGGAAGCACAACTGATCTCGTTGGCTTCGCACGGAACGTATGGCGATCGAGTCATCACGCTCTGTTTGATCGTACGTCTTTGCAAGTTGATCATCATGGTGACGATCCCGACGTCTCGTGTTAAGTACACACGGCAAATGGACTGCGTTTGTTAATCGATGGTGTCAAAGGCGATCCTTGTTGGGTGCGCCTCGCAACTCGTTGACGTTGTCCCATGGAAATCGCCATGCAGAAGGAGCCATCAGGCTGGCTGGCCTCGGAAGCGCATGAGTAACAATCTGGCTGCTGGCACGCACTTCTACTCAGTTGACATTGAATTGAGTCGCGACGGAACTTACAGAACAGCTGCTTTGACGCGCGAGGTCGCTATCTGTTGTCGAAGGGGCAAAAAAGCGGAACCTTGGCTTAAGGTGGTCGAGGCCTTCCACACTTGCAGATAATCTCAAAGGGCTTGTCATCCGGACTTGCAAATATACTTTCCTCTTTGCTCAACGCCATGTCCTGAAGTACGCCGATTTATTAAGAGAGCACGAGCATGCTGTCTGCATGTATTCCTCTTCGGAATGTATAATTAGTTGTCTATCGTGCAGCCTCAAAGAGTAGGTTCATAGCATGACTATCTGAATAGATAATATTGTTACTAATGATATGTGTCCGTTTGCGGTCCCTACGTAGACAAAAGAAAATCGCGGTGGCCACGAGTAACTAACGGTGCGCCAGAGGACGATGCCTGTAACGGTGACTGTTCCGAGATCTCTCTGTCTCTGTGTCACTACCGGAGTCTTGATGGCTCACGCGAAGAAGGCGGTCGTCTTCGTATTCGTCGTCGGAAGTAGTGAATCGGCTCGAACTTTCTCCATCGGTCGTATACTGGCCTGAGCCTTCTTCAGTACCTGCGTGGCTCCGCGCATCCTCAGTTGCTGTCTGGCTCGAACCTCCCTCGGTCTCTGCCTGACTGGAGCGATCATCATGGGTGTCAGTCTCGCTTTCCGGAGAATCATCTTCATCGGACTCCGACTCAAATTGCTCAGCAGGACTAAGCTCGGCCTCGCTCTCCGATGGGCTGGTGGTGGGCGCATCCCCGTACATGTCGGTGGATTCTGGACCATATTCGTCGCCTTCCGGCTGTCGAGTGCCCATAAGAGTTGAAGCGTCCTCCACGGATTCCACTGCATACTGGCTGTCGTCGTCCTGGCTCACGTACTGGTCGTCATGCCTCCTCTTCCATCCCTCCACCGACTGCTCGTCATAACCGTTGTTCCATGCGAACTGTATAATATCCTCGGCGACAGGAACATTGTGATGTCTGAAAATAGCATGTAGCATCGCCACCCAATTCACCTTGTCTCGTCCGCGAAGGGCACCACCGAACTCGACATTATCCGAGCTAATCTGGGCATGAAGCTCGAGGAATTTCTCCCATATCGTTTTGTAACGAGCCTCGACCTCAGCCTGCAGGTCAAGGTGCCTGTCCAATTGATCTTCGTCGGTCTTATAGTACCGATCAACTGGCGCCGGGCTCTGGAACTCTCTGGGATTGCGCTGAATCACCGCATATCGCCAGGGGATTTTGAGTCTGTTCGGGTCCAACAGATTCTGTTCGATGTAGGGGAGGATGAGCCCTTCGTCTAGCTGAGCGCTTCGTGCGTCGTCTGCAAAACCACCGTAGTTCGGTGCGGCTTCTAGGCTCTCACGGAGGGACAACAACTTGTCACTTATGTCACACGAAGGACATTCTCCCAGCCAAATGATGCCGGGTCTTTGATCACGTTCAGGGTAAGTGCGGTTGCGTACGACATCGACGGAATAGATCCTGGTAGGTCGTCTCCCATCACGACCTTCGCATACGCCAGGGCGCCGTTCGCGCACGCAGGGACATTTGCCCTTCTGGGAATCGACCATCGGCGGTTCGAAAAAGCCACGACGGCACCATTTGATTTTGTCGCAGTGCCAGCATCGATACCAGTACCTGTGTATTCGGTGTTAGCTTGTATGCGGGAACGAGAAATGCTTGATTATACCCCAGATCCACAAGACACATTCTGAACACTATTCGAGGACGTAGGTTCCAAGGACTGCACTCGCAGACGTAGTCGGACGCTATGGCCTCGGAAGTCGAAAATGGCTTGTCTGAGTCAATCACCTGGGATGGAGGTCGTCAAGGTATGAGTAGGCACTGGGCTGCAATGAACCATCTCGAACCCTTGCGCACATGGTGACCTGTGATATACATGTTTGATTCCGTCCGTTGGCTTGAGGCTAGGAGGCGTCACGACATCTTGTCAGCATAGAGTCAGTCTGCTGGCTGGGATGCATTGTTGCTTCGTTCGCAGTGACTTGAACTGTGTCGTTTGCTTTGTGGACATGTGTGTCTTGATACGGATAATGACTACATTCTCAGGGCCTGGTCTCAAGCATCTTCACCCAGCACGACTTTCTGTCATTGACGTCAGCAAGTATACTCACGGAGCAGGAAGGGGGACTTCGGATGCAACTTACCCTCGCCATATTACCAGCTACCCCCCGAACCCGAACACCTGTCCAATGCTCAAACTGCCACAAACCTTGTGTGACCAGGGTCTCCAGTCCCTGTATCGTCTTCCACTTGCCGACTTCCTCCGCCATCTGCATCACAGCCGTGAACTTGGGCTTGTACGCCATCTCGAGCAAAACACCGTTGCCTCGCTCACCACCTTTGCCCTTGTCTCGGTCGGCTCTGCTCGCTAAGAATAGCTGATTGAGGACACTTGCAAGCGCAGGATCGATGGGTAGATTCGCTGGAATAGTCGCAATGGCCACCTTCGGCATACCGCTGCCCTTACCATCCTTTCTGCTGAACTGTGCAAGGACGTTTGGTGTAGATGGATCAACCACGACTATGTTGTATGATGAGGGGAACGTGGCGGCCATTTCTGTGATCTTCGGCACACAGCGTCCTAGAAGGTAAATCGGCGAATACAACATACTGTGGAGAGTCTGAATTGCGGCGCGAGCAGTCCCACCGCCGCCGATGACTAGACCAGCTTGCGTACCCTCTCCGAGGAGACCTGAGGCACCAGCCGAACGCAGGCAATCCATCATGCCGGTGTAATCTGTGTTACGGCCTAGTAGTTGTGGTTTATCCGAGCCTGGAGAGTATACTGGCACGATCGTGTTGACCGCACCAATGATCTCGGCAGACTCGTCCACCGAGTCTAGCAATTTCATGACGTCTAGCTTGAGAGGTATTGTGACACTGGCGCCTCCGAAGTCTGGAGCACGGATCAGCGCTTCAAGCTCCGACGCTTCTGTAGTTTCATGTAGGTCGTAGTGATGTGGCAACCCGGTAGCGTTGAACAAGGTGTTGTGTAAGGCTGGCGATTTCGAAGCGCTGATCGGGCTCCCAAACAGGTAGAACTTCTTGGGTGCAATTTCTCCCATCAACGAGAGCGCCGTTCGGATTTCCTTCGCGGAGAGCTGACCAGGCGCAGCCTTGAATGGCAAAGCCGGATGCGTGACTGGAGTCATGAAATCGTTGATGATACGGGAGAATTGACCAATCCGGCCCATGTTGATAGCCATGAGGGGCACATCTGGGTGCGATCTCGCTGCCCATTGCTTGAAGTTACGCAGCGCAAAGTTGTCTTCTTTTGTCTGGGCCATTCCACAAAGCTTGACAATGTCGCCATACTGTAGGCATCTGTTGTATGTTGGAGCCCAGGAGCCATTCTTAGACCAGGACAGCTCACTCCTCGGATCGTGGTTGGAGGCGATAATCTTCGAGTACGAGAAATTTCTTGACTGAAGAACTTCCTGTAGCAGGCTTTCTGGAAACGTGGTGACTTCTAGATCAATGAACTCGGTCCCCATCTTGATGGCTCGCTTGTACAAGGCAAGAGCCTCCGCATGAGCATCATCTGGCCAGGCACCACCTTGTGATTTTGTTCTGATGGTAAAGATAACCGGAAGTGGAATCGTCGCCCGCAGGAGCGACAGCTGAGACGTGACATAGTCCAATGACGGGAGGTCGTCCGCAGCATGTGGGTCTTTCAGGAGATCGACACGTAGTTCAACAGCATCAGAGCCGAAGGCGACCTCCGATAGTGTGTGAAGATAGGGCCGCAGATCGGGATAGGTCAGAGCAACGAAGAAGGACTGAGGTTTGCGTTTCATCGCCGAGAGCGCATCCGACTTGCCTGTGACCATCTGCAGGAAGCGGTCGAAATCTTCCGCAGCCTGCGATAGGTTCTCTCCAGGCACTCTCTGGCTGTAGTAGAGAATGTTGCTACACTCTTCGAACCATGGTTTTCTTCGGAGCCAGACTCCCATCATGTCCTCAACATAGGCTGGCCGAGTCTTGTCAATCTGCAAGAAATCCATTACCTGATGAATATCGCGTTCAACGAGAAGGACGTGACCAGTGTTTTTGTGCCAGTCCACGAGCAGTTTCCGAGCTTCAGCACTTTCCACCACTCCTCCACCGCAGGCGAAGACGTGGTCCCGTGGCAGCTCCTTCATGACTGACTTCAAGATTTCGAGCTCGAGTTTCCGGAAATAATCCCAGCCACTTTCCCGAACAATACTTGGAATCTCCCGACCCTCGCGAAGTTCCATCTCCGTATCGAGATCGATGAGCTTCTTGTGTTCACTGGCCAATGACTTAGCCGCCCATCTTCCCGTAGTTGTCTTTCCGGCGCCACGCATGCCGATGATGAAGATTGACGCCGAGCCTGGGTTGATGTGCTTCGGCGAGACGGTATGTGGTTTGGATAACTCCTTACCTTCAAGACTGACTTTGAAGAGCTGGTACATCGTGTCCCACCAGCCTGGCCAGGTCTTTCCCGTGCAAGCTTTCTCAAGGATCACGGTTGGCTTGGCTGCTCCCAGAGCTAGCACACTGAAACTCATTGCCACTCGGTGATCATCATAGCAGTAGACACCCTCAGTAGCTTCTTGCAATTTGTCCCGGCTAATGCCGTCAATTTCGATCCCATCGTCGAATTGTCGACACTTGACACCGAATTTGGCGAGCTCATCCTCCATTGCTTGTATTCGATTGCATTCTTTGACTCTCTGATTCGCGATTCCATATATCCTTGTCGTATGCGACGAGCCTTCCGTTGCGACGGCGGCCAGTACCGAAGCCGTCAGGAAGGCATCCGTCATCGGTTCCATGTCTACATTTGGCAGCGCTCTTAGCTTGCCGCCTGCTGGACCTGTGACAGTGGTTGAAGTCTTCGTCTGCTGTACCTCGCAGCCCATAGGCTGAAGAACATCAATCGCGAATGCTGAATCGCCTTGAAGCGATCCGGAGCCGATGTTTGGAATAGTGCATGTCGTTCCTGTGATCGCCGCGATTGCAAGTGGGTACGTGGCCGAACTTGCATCACTTTCGACCACATACTCTGATGGGTTGTGATAGGCGCCTCGCGGAATGTGATATGTGTGCTCTTCCGTCTTCGATCGCTCGACATTTACACCGAATTGTGCCATCATGGCAGTCGTCATGTCAATGTACGGCTGAGACACAGGCTTTCCGCCGACAAGTTTGAGAGTTACTGGTGACTTGGCGTATGGAGCGCACATCAGTAGTGATGATACATACTGAGATGACACTTTGGCAGCCAGCCTGATCTCACCACCTTGGAACCCGCCCGAGGCACCGATGTTGAGAGGCAGTGATCCCTCAGATTCGAGATACTCAACCTTTGCCCCATTGACACGCAATGCGTCCACCAGATCTCCGATGGGCCGTTGCTTCATTCTTGTGTTGCCTGTCAGTACTGTTGATTTGACCTGACTTGGCTTGGCTAGCGTGACCACAGTTGTCAGAAACCGTGCTGCCGTTCCAGCGTTACCCAGGTAGAGATCGGTTTCGGACGCTGCCAAGATTCCGCCTTTTCCATTGACAACCAGCGTCTCTCCGTTATCCTCCCAATCGAATGAAGCAGCGCCCAACCTAGCCAATGCGTCTAGCATAACTTCGGTATCTGCAGAAGTAAGGAGATTCTTCATCCGACACGTCCCAGAGCCAAGCGCAGCGAGTACAAGAGCTCGATTGGAGATAGATTTCGAGCCCGGCGGCGTACAGGTGACGTTCAGCCCACGCGGCACTCCTGGAGTAACTTCGATGCTTGGCGCCAATGCTACCCTCAGATCTGCATCTGACACTGTACTCGCTTTCTGCTCATGAGTGTGCCCGATAGCTGAGAGGAGCACGACCTTTTTCATGGCACCAACATTCTTCTTGTCTACGGCCATCTTCGTGATGAGCCTTCCAGCGGGCAATGTTTTCCTTTCGACAAGAGTCGTATCTTGTCATCTTCCAACTGGGTGGGTAGGCTGTACGCTGCTAGGCATTTCTGAAGTCGACCAACGGCGACGCCACTAAGGATGCCCAGGTAGCGTGCCAGCACTGCCTCAAGCACCATGCCAATTGCCACACACTCGCCGTGAAGGACCTGAGGCGTGAGGAACGCTTCTATCGCATGACCTATAGAGTGACCGAAGTTCAGAAGATTGCGTAGACCGCCTTCCCTCTCGTCCTCGGTGACAACTCTAGCTTTGAACTTGGCCGATTCCGAAATGGCTCGAATCAGGGTATGTTCGATGCCATGAAAACGCGCCGCTCCTTTGCTCATGTCTGAGTTGACAGCTCGCATGATGGTGTCTGCGTTAGCTTCGAGAAATGCGAACTCTCCCTCTTCCGAGATCGCGGCTGTTTTGATGACTTCCGCCATGCCGTTGATAAGCTCTCGTCTCGGAAGACTGCCTAGGAAATCAAGATCGATGTATATTCGTTCAGGCTGCCAGATTGCACCGATCAGATTCTTCCCTAGGGGTGTATCGATAGCTGTTTTACCGCCAATCGATGAATCAACCATTGCCAACAATGTGGTGGGCACCTGCACAAAGCGCACTCCACGCATGTAGGTTGCAGCGACGAAGCCAGTCAAATCACCCACCACGCCTCCTCCGAGAGCAATGATGACTGTGTCCCTCCCGCATGGTGGCTTCTGGTGCAGGAGCCAATCCTCGATATCGTTCTTAGTCTCACGTGACTTTGAAGTCTCGCCTGGTGGAACTTCGTAGACCAGAAGTCGTGAAGGAGCTGCAGTATCTTGATTTGCTTCGAAGACCGACCTGAAAGAGTCGACGTAGAGCTTGCCTATATTCGAATCCGTGATTAAAACATAGGTCGACGATTTGAGGTTGCTCAGAAGATCCTTGGCAACATAATTTCGCCAGAGCCCGAAGCTGATTATGATGCTCTCTTTACCCAGCAGGTTGACCCTGATCTCTTTCGAGCTCCCGTTGACGCCATTGACGCCGTTGATACCGTTGGCTTGAGGCATTGCTGTGGGAGAGAAGAAAGCATTGACTCACATTCCAAAAAAGTTATGAGATGAGGCTAATGCCAGGGGCCCGACCCCGGATGACGCTAATGGGGGCGGCAAATTCGGGCATGAGTTTAGCCGACACTCAGCCTTGGCCTCATTGGGAATTCAAAAGTCTTCCACAGTAGACAGGTATAGCGATTCTGCACGAAATTTTGATAGAATATTCCACGAAGCGTATAGGGCTCTACAAACAACACGACAGTGGCTTCTGTGGTTCAGCAAGCCTATGAGGAAACTCCCCTCGGCGTTGGCGTCTCAGTCGTGACTGTGATCAGGGACCTCAATATGGACAGTGACAGCGACAGCAGCATATCTGATGTGCTCGACCGTCGCGAGGATGAGGGCTGGGAAGACCTTGAAGACGACACGGAGACCGTCACTGTGGTGTCACTATTCGACAAGGAAACCTTTACATCCGCCAAGGACATGCTGTTGTCTTGTAAAGAGAACCATAATTTCGACATCTGGAAGATCAAGTCTGACTTAGGCCTTGACTTTCTGGAACTTATCAAACTCGTCAACTACATCAGATCCGAGGTTGCTAGTGGGGACGCTCAGCCCAGCACCTCTGACAAATCCCTCTTCGCGGACGACAAGTATCTGCAGCCTGTATTGGAGGATGACGCGGTGTTGTACAGTCTCGACGATGTATTTGAGGAAGGCCCGCTGGATTCTGCTACCAACGAGGTTGATCAACTTCGTGACCAGCTTGCGCAGCTCACTAGCCAGTTCCAAGCATATCGCGAGGAGGTTCAAAGATCACTTCTGGAGGATATCGACGCGAAACCAGTTCGGAGTACAGCAACAGCCTTGCCAGGACCATCAGCATCCCAACCAGGTCTCTCGGCTGTCGATGCAGGCTACTTTGAGTCTTACTCATTCAACTCGATCCACGAGCTTATGATAAAAGACTCTACGCGGACAGACGCTTACAGGGACTTCATCTACGACAACAAACACCTTTTCGCTGATAAGGTTGTTCTTGATGTCGGCTGTGGTACAGGTATCCTGTCCATGTTCTGCGCAAAAGCTGGTGCACGTCGGGTCATCGCTGTAGACAACTCGGAGATCATCCACAAGGCACGCGAGAACGTCTTCCGAAATAAGCTCGACAATGTGATCACCTGCGTGCGTGGCAAAATCGAGGAAGTCATTCTCCCAGTCCAACAAGTCGACATCATTGTCTCAGAGTGGATGGGGTACTGCTTGCTGTACGAAACAATGCTGGACTCGGTACTCTTTGCAAGAGACAAGTATCTCAATCCTGACACAGGACTGATGGTACCGTCACACGCAGTGATCAAGATCGCACCCCTGGGAGACTCTGATCTACGCAACTCACATATCGACTTCTGGCGCGATGTGTACGGGTTTGACATGACGGCGATGCTAGAGAAAGCTCATGAAGAGGCGCTCATTCGAACACTACAAGCAGAGGAACTCGGTGGACAAGCAACAACGGTGTTGGAGCTCGACCTTCACACTGCCACCGTGGCCGATCTCTCCTTCACGAAAAACTTCAGTCTCAAATGGAACCCATCTGCTGCAAAAGATGGCGGCTGTTCCACCTCAGCGTCAAAGTCTGGCGCAAAAGTCACTATCAACGGCACTGAAGGCAAGCTTACCGGTGATCCCGCAGGTGTGGACAACAACAGCAGTCCTCAGCCCAACATCGATACCCACACTCATCTGGAGGGCTTCGTGTTGTGGTTCGACACTCCCTTCGCCACTTCACGCCAATCTGGCCTGCCTGTCTCTTCGAAATGGCTTACTCTCTCGACTGGACCGTATACGACCCCAACACATTGGCAACAAGGCGTTCTACTCATTGACGACAATCACCACAAAACCGACCTACTTGCACTTGATGAGGGAGATGAGGTGACAGGGACAATCAGCTACCGCAAGCAAAAGGAAGAGGGAAGTCGGGGCCTGGACATCGAGGTCTCGTGGTCCAAAGCCGGCTCAGTCGAAGACAAGCCGAATGGGGAGCAGTCGAGCGCAGATGCGACTGTTCACGGCGCGAAGGACAAGAAGGACGCTTCTGGGCGCCAGATCTGGTCTCTCGAGTAGGGCTCGAGTATTTTGATCTCCGAAACCATGGAGCCTATGAGCTTCAGCATCCTACTGTGGCTTCTGTTGACGTGGTTGAGCGACTGTTTCATACGGACTGCACGTAGTATCACCGACTATGGCACAGCTTAAAAAAGGCAAGATCCGACCGACCTTAAGCGTGATTCCCACTTACAAGTTGTACCGCAATTATCATCAACTAAGCACGCCCGATCACGATCACAACAATGCATCAGGAATAGAACACAGTATAGGCCAACGAATAAGTCATCATTGACGCTGCTGAAGATTATATAAGGAGTGTAACGACCTCCAAAAAGATCCGCTAAAGCCCAAAGCCAATTAATGTATCCGACCCAAGAATGCAAGTACACCATCGCTATGCAGCTCAAAAGACCATTCCAGCATCCACTCATCACCCACGCATACCAGCATGGCCCGTGTCTTGTCGTGCGATCCGCTTACAGAGCACTGGTAGCGGTGGCCGCAGCAGTAGTGGTGCTTGAAGCAGTGGGGTCGACAACGGCAGCGTTCACAGCGACCTTGGCATCGCCAGCCGGGGGAGCAGCGATGAATTGGACGTTGAGGTTGTTGGCAGTGAATGCGGGGTCGCACTTGAGCGCTCCGACACCAGTAGGACCGTCCTTGAAGGTCCACTTGCCCTTGCCGGCATCAGAGAAGGAGGTATCGATGTTGTCGCCGCGCTTGGCGATGATCTCCTTCTGGGCCTGGTCGATGACCTTGCAGCGAGGGGTGGCAAGACCACCGTTGAGGACCTCGATGGACTTGAAGTTGACGCTGGTGAAGCGGTCGCCGAGGAATCTCTGGTCGGCTTGGTAGTTGGAGAGAGGAACGTGCAGGAAGAAGGTCTCGGCCTCGAGGCGGACTTCCAATTTACCCGCGTCGGGAGTGCGCTTGGTGGGTGCGGCAAGCGAGCCGGTGATGGCCAAAAGGCTGACGAGGACGCTGGATGTGAATTGCATTTTTGGTGATTAAATTAATTGGTTATTTGGGTATGGAAAGAATGAAGAAAGGAAATAAGGAAATTAGACAATAGGAAAAGTTGGTTTGTTTTTTGGTTGAATGATTGTGTATGGGAGAAGTTCTTCTTACTGAGAGGGAGGACGCGGGCTTTATATTCGAAGCGTGGCACTTTGGTTCTCAGCAAAAGAAATCGTGAAAGGCGTTCCCTGTACATTGGGTACGTACCATGCCCACAGCGGAGGGGCGAAGCTTATGCCCGGCTGGGATATTTTCGTCTAGCGGTGTCGTTCTGGCAGTGAACCTGCGCTGTGCCGAGAGATGCCACAGGACTAGCTAGCAGCTCGTAATCGCGAAGACTGGCATAGCACCGCGCGCTGACAATTCGACAGTGGGGATGGACTACCCACTGCGCCGTGTGCAGCGATCTGAGCCAAGTGGTTGGCTACAGAAGGAAGCCGTTTCTGGATGCGGGACCGGACTGATTACGATGCCGTGTTGAGTAGCTAGCGAGCGAATGACGGAAGGCTGTGCTGCTGGCGGTGGCGTGGGACGCCTGCCTCCGAGAGGCTTAATGCAGCGGAGCGGGCCATGTTCATTACTTCCGTGGTCACACAAGCCTGCGTAAGCGGGAATCAGCTATACCGGCAGTGAGATGTCACCGCCATAACAATGGCAGCATCGCAGCAATTTGGCGGCGACCAGTGTCCGAGGGCAGGTCATTGAGTGTGCACACACGCTGCACATGAGCCGCTGACGGTATCGATAAATCGAAATGTGGCTCGGACGACTTCACGACAGCGATAAATTTGTTCAACAAAGGCGGTGCAAAGGTGATATGAAATCAAAAACAAGCATCTCGCGACTTGGCAGGTGGTGTGGTTAGGCCAGCCACCCCATTGGTGCTTGCTGCACGCCGTACTCTGTAGACGTCCTTTCGCAGCGATCAAGCCTTCAGCCATACACATACATGGCCTTCCCTGCCGCTTACGGGCTCAGCTGTCACTTTGTCCAAAGTGCTACTAGACAGGTGGCTCCATGACAGCACATCGAAATATCCCGACCCTGGGCGTGCTCAGCATAAGCACCCTGGCATACTCGCTGGACATATGGGGTGCCTTCGATTCATGATGCGAGCTTTGCTGAGCTTATATGCAACGCTGTGGTTCTACTGGATGCTTTCATGACGATTAATCGCACCTCGGGGCTTGACGTTACGATCGAGTCGCACTTGAGCTTAGGGGCCGTTCGGGTTTCCCGCGGCCAACGAATATTAGCCCGAAGATCACAACTCAATTCCGGGGTAGGTGCCTCGGATATGATATCAAATGCACGAAAAAGGCAGGTACCGTTCGATCTGGACTGGTCCAGTTGCTACACTACTGCGTAAATGCGTACCATCATTGTCCGTCAAACCCCATGTGGGAAATGCAGCTACACAAATTGTCAGCTCCTTGTCCACAGCTCTGTCCGGCGACCAGGTGCCTGCGCTCTCTCCTCCGTGGAGAAGTATTGTACCTTGGAATAGTAAACATCGAGCAGCCAATAACCACTGTACAGACCCAGAAATCAAATCTGGCCGGATGCCACTCATCGTCTGCGGACGCATAGAGGACGCCCTGCAAATTGTTTGGGCGCTATGTAGGGAGCTCCCGTGAATTCAGCTGAGCCTTGCACCTATAAGCGCCAGCTCACCACAGCAAGCACACTGCAGAGGACCGAGAATGTCCCCTGGACGAACGCCCACACCGATCAGAGGGACAGTCACGCCTCCGGCAATTGACCCTGAGACTGTTCAACGTACCAACATTCGCATCGCCCGCCCGATCCTCACAATCGGCGCAACATCAGCCTCACGTCGGCGGCGATCTTCGCCATGGTACCTCTGTTCTCTGCGGAGGTCGTGGTCTAACCTGCCGGTTCGTATGCTTCGGTCGCCCTTACCAGATGGCATCTTGTCGTGCCGAGTGCGGTCATGATCGCGTGGGCGACGGGTCCTTTTGGTGGACGACGAGGTTGTGGTCGATCTGGGTGGCCGTTGCTCTTCTGTCCTGGCTATCGCTTCCTCGTTGCCTCCCATGTCAGACGGAGCTTCTTCTGCTGCTGCTGGAGAGGTACCTGGTGGCGTAATGGTCACCTCTGCCGTATCGTCCAGGGGAGGCACGGCTTCGACGTCCGCGCCCGCTTCCTGAGGGACGGTTGCTTCTTCCTCTACAGCAGCGCTGTCGAGCACTTCCAACTCGTTCTCACGCTCAGCGTCAGCAACAGCTTGTTCCCCACCTGGCACGTCCAGCGACGCCTTAGGTTCGTCAGTAGTCACAGCCACCCCAATTGAACCTACATCGTCCACTGGGGCCTGATCCTCTCGCTCACTCTCAGCCATCTGCTGCTCGACCTTGTCGCCCTCGATCCCGATCGACTTCACCGCAGCATCCGCACGCTCATCCTTGCGAACATCCCTGCGCTTACCACTACTGCTCGTGCTTCTTGTAGAAGAGGGCTTCTGTGCCTTGACATTTCCGCCACGATTACTATCATCGTCCTCATTGAACCTCACAAGCAGCAATCTGCCGCTATGGCCCCCACTGCGCTCAACGCCTGGCCCAGAGCTACTACCACCTGTCAGAATCCTTCTTAGAATCCCCGGCCGCGGCGCAATCGGACTCTCCTTGAAGCTGCCTCCGCCGCCACTGCTATGCGTGCCGCCAGCTAGACTTGGTCTCCACGGCGCTGGGCCATGTCTTTCAGAGCTGTGTCGACTAGGTCCTGGCCGCTGGGTTCGTTTCGGACTACCAGGCTCGTCATTAGTATCCACCGTCTTTTCGCGTTCATCGACCTTCCTTTCCTTGCTTCTACCGTGCTTGTCCCCACTTGCACTGAGCTCCCTTTCCTTTCCCTTGGCTTTGTCCACATGACCGCTCTCCTTGTCCTCGTGACCATAAGCATGTTTCTCACTCCGCCGTTTCCGCCTTTCACGCTTCTCGCCCTGCCTCTCAGCCTCAAGCTTGGCTTTGTCTATCGCGCGCGAGTAAGCATTTGTAAAGGCACCCTTTTCCTCTCGGGACCGCACTAGCTGTGTGCGGTGGCCGTTGAGGTCGTCTGGGGCGCTGTGGTTCGAGTCCCGTCGACGGTGGCGGCGGCGGCGAGTGGAGGATTTTGAGGGGGACGTGGGGGTTGTGGAAAGTGCTGCTGCTGCTGATGCGGCCGTCGTAAGGGCGAGGGCGCCGGTGGCAAGGTCAGTGCCGCCTCCGTTAATAGCCTGGGTTGCCGCCGATGATTCTGGTGCAGGATCAGCCGGTTGAGCTTGGTCGGCTGGTGAGAGATCAGCTGCCTCCTCGGGCTCGGCTGTCGCGTCTTTTACTGCAACTTGCGACGGAGCGGCAGCCTCGACTGGCTCAATCCCTTCCACGGCATCAGTGTCTAGGCCGGTAGCCGCATCACCCACCACGGCTCTCTCCACCTCGTCGTTTGCTGGATCCGGCTCGGCTGTCACCGCGGCTGGCACGTCTTCTGCTACAGCCTCACCAGCGAGATTATCACCGCTCTGTACCACAGCCTCCAGGGTAGCCCCTTCGGGTGACTCCTCGTGTAGCCCTCCAAGAGCTCCACCGTCGCCGGCGGATTGGATTTCTTCCAGGCAGGTATTGTCGGCCACAATAGGCGCTTCTACTTCTGCTAAGTCAACCTCATTAGTGGCACCTTCGGATTCGTCCTCGGCGGTGGGCTCCGTTTCGGCGACTGTCTCTTCTGCTGGCAGGTCTACAGGCACGACTTCGGACCTTTCTTCCTCTTCTGCCAACGACCCTGCAGTCTCCTCTTCGATGTTTTGTCCCAGATCTTTAGCCTCGGTTCCTCCAGCTTCTGTGACCAGATCGTCGATCCCTGCCTCGTCTGCCGCCAGCGTACCTGCGTCAGCCACCGCCGTCCCGGAGAGTGCGTCCGCCATGGGCGGACCATCATTCCAGGCTCCAGGTATATTTTCTCCAGCTGCCTCGTCGTCTGCGACAGGTTCTTCTGTAACGGGGTTTGCAAGGGCCACGCCTACCATCGTCGCAACCTCCTCGGCCGAATCGGGCGGCACGGCCAAGTTCTCCGCCTCCGGTGATGTAACACTGTCGTCTGGCCCGTCCGCGTCACCCGCTGGGACAGCATCCATGACCTCTTGAGCCTCGTCCGGTGGATCTGCGGTGTCCTCAATGTGCTCGCCGATGGGCTCGGCTTGTGCAGCTTCCTCAGCGGGCTCTGCATCGACGACCACATCAACGAGCTCTTCGTCCAAGACGATCGGTTCTATGGCATCGCTGTCCGTAAAGATCGTCTCCTGATCTGCAGGGGCGCCTACATGGTCCGCAGCGATGGCTTCGGTGTCAACATGGCTCGGGTTTGCCGCCTCTTCAGGTACAGTCTCCTCAGGAGTGTCTACCTCACCTGCTGGAGGCCCATCGGTGTCCCCAGGCGGTGGCTCGGGCTGTACCACCTCGGGCACTTCTCCTATGACGTCTTGGTCGGCTATGGTTCCGTCCTCCGCCTCAGTCACACGCTCGTCGTCTGGCGGAGGAACATCCTCGACGATCTCTGCTCTATTTACTGCCTCGGGTTCCGCCACCGTTTCAGGTTCCGCCTCAGGCACGACCTCGGCCTCGCCCGGCGGCGCCGTCACCGCCTCAATCGGATTCTCGAACTTGGCAGCAAGCGCGCCCACTTTCTTGCCCTTCTTACTCTTGCTCTTCTTCTTGGCTGGCGCCTTCCTTGACGACTTCTTGGATTGCTCCTTGGCAAAAGAGACGTGGCCCTTCTCGCTTGGGACGTCTCTAGGAGAGTCCTTAGGAGCTTCTGGTTGCGGACCTGGCTCGGGCGCTGGCTCCGGTACAGCGTCAGCCTCCGGCTCTAGCACCTCGGGTACGGGTTCTGCATCGACAGCCTCGGTTTCGGCCGGTGGTGTGAAGGTAGCATCGTCAACGACGTCGATGATGGGTTCTGGTGCTGAGTTGTCTTGCACATCAAGGTCTGCTTCACTCGGGCTGAAATGGTCGTCGTCATTGTTGGCAGGCAGTCGCTCCTCCGCTGCCGGATCAATGATATCTGCCTCGTCCAGCAACTCGGGAGATGCTTCTACTTCTGTGCACGACAATCATGTGAGATTGCTGACTCTGGTCAGGATATCTGGGTTTTTACCTGTATCGACGACGACGCGTTCGTCGTCAAGCGCCATCACTTCGACATCATCGACCCCCGTGGTGTCTACAGGCTCTGCGCTGGTCTATCAGCAATTGTCCGCAGCAAGGTAGGCTGATATAATCATACCCTGGTCCTGGACGTCCTCGTCCACCACGACAACGTCCACTGGATCCTCGACCCGGACCTCATCCTCCATACCCTGTGATCTATCTGCCTCATCATCTCTATCATTAGCATCATGAGTGTACGCCTCGTCGTCCGTTCCACCACGGTCCTCCGACTGGAGGGAGTCGTCAGTGTATCTTGGGCTCCACTTGATGCGATCGTGGTGCGGAGCAGGAATACCGATAGGGTGCGAGATAGGTCTGAGTGTGATGCGATCGAAGGTCTGGTACTGGAAGGGCTTATCGAAGACCTGGTATTGGAAAACTGACGCTTTGTTTCGAGATGGTGGTGACATTCTTCCGTAGCGAAGAATGAGGGCGTAGCTCGTCACGGAGAGTATTGAGGCTCAGCGGAGGTCCAAAGGTGTTTCTGTTCTGCCATTTTATTCTTGCCCATCGCGTTGGGCGCCGTGTAACAATCAAATGCAAAAGAGGCGTTGTGGGAGAACGTGGACAGCGGGGATGGGAGGGCAGGCGTGGGACGAGACTAGGCCTGGAGTGCTTCTGTCACACACGTGCTGTATAGGTAGCTTGCAAGCGAGGATAACCCAGTCTGGTTGGTAACACAGTGGAATATCTTGTCTTTCAGCGGCAAGGGGTGGCACACGAAAATAATCGTTGGTGAGCGCAGCTTTGCAGACCCTACGAGCTATGAGCGAAGCAGGCAATGTCGTTGCTGATTCGTGAATAGTAGAATGGCCGATGGAGGAAAAAGCAACCATGCCGCACTCGATTGAGGTCATGACGGGCGAGTGTGGTATAGTCTCGGCCTGCAACCCACCGCGGGATGTACGGATTAGTGACAACGTAGTCGGCGCGGTCGATCGCATGTTCAGTCCAAGGCCCTGTCCAGTGTATCGTTCAGACTCAGTGGAAGAGAGGTCGAGTCCAATGTTGAGCATCCTGGCAAGAGCATCGTGATGTAGGGCCGCAAAGCTCAATCTGAAGACTTCCCAACACAATTGGTGCCCAATGCGAGGATGCTGAAGTCTGCGTGGAGTCTCGAGTCTGAACCTAAGCACGTCGTAGGCGGAATGGTTGTGCAACGTGTCAAGCGATCATCGGCTTGTCAGCATGATAGTGTTGTTAGGCGGTTGGCATGCACATAGACCAGTTCGTGAAGTGTGAGTGTGACGTTCGTTCATGACATGACATGTGCCTGTTGATGACGGAAGAATTGCAGGTGAAGGAACTTGGAGTTGTATAGCTCTGGGTCACTCTCGCTGCGGTTGGAGGAGGAAAGAATGCTCCGCGGGTCGCGCCGAGCACGAACCTGCCCACTGCGCTGATATTGGCAGGTGCGATCCAGGCACCCCTGTCCATTGGTCGCCCCATTTGTATGGCAACAATCGTGCCATTCCGCCAACCACATATACCACAAGCAACTTTTAGTTCTGGCAGTAGCTTCACTCTCCGAGCTCTTCGTCCATACGTATCCTCCATCGCGGGCCAAATTCTAGTGCCGTCAGATAAGGTCACGTAGATTAAGCGCAGCACTTACTTCGCATGGCCCAGATCACAGAAGCACTCGAGAGTGCCCACAGCCCTAATATCGTGAAAAGCCAGCCATTACCAATAGACGCAATCAAGGGCGCCCCAACAATGCCACCCACGCAGGAAAAGATGTTGCGGACAAAGTTGTTCAGCGCCACGCCTGACGACGACCGCTGAGGCATGAACTCGGTCAACATTGTCGTTGCCATGGCGAAGATCAGCATACTGCCGACTCCGTAGAAGAAGTTGGCGATCATCTGTAGTGTTATAAGCGCGTGTCTGACGACAAAATGCGGAGGCATACCGGAGCTAACCAAAATACACCCTTCTCAGCCGTCCAACCATACCAGATCAAGCTCAATGGGTAGAGCAACGCTCCCAACCATGCATTCTCCCGCATTCGGTCTTCTGGATGGTAGACAAGTTTGCCTTCGTGGACGCGATTGGCCTTGACTGCTTCGCGTTTCATGATATAGTCCATCCATCTCCCGCCTAGTATACTAGCTAATATATACCCAAGTGAATTTGGTAAATACAACAAGCCTAAAATCAATGTTGTAAACTCGTATGGTGGTCGCTCGAATGTATATGTGATGGAGATGTTCAGCACATACAGTCCGCCAAAGGTGACGCTCGCATAATATATCGTTAGGCTGACCGCTGGGTATTTGAGGTAGACGAAAATCTTGAGCGGATCGAGAAGCAGCATCCTCGCAATGCGCACGTACTTCTTTGACTGTCGTTGAACAGATTCACGTGTTGATGTGCGGCTCAATGCAGGTCTCGCAACGCCGTCTGTTTCGACTGCTTCAGCCTCGGCAGCTAAAGTCAGGTCTTTCATCGACTTCAACGTTTCAGGAAGTCCAAAGAATATCAGAAGCCAGGTCAAGGCTGGCAGCCATTAGTATGGGCCAATACACACTTGATGTCGATGACTTACCACCGTATATCACCAGCACCCACTGTGTTGCACGCCAATTCCACCTTTCACCCACAATGCCACCCAGTATCGGTGCGAATAGCGGTCCACATAGCGGTCCAAGGTAGAAGATGCCCATAGCTCTTCCACGCTCGTGAGACTCCCACACATCAGCAATGGTGCCCACACCTACTGCCTGGACAGATGCTGCTGCGCCTCCAGCCAACATACGAACCACGATCAACATCTCAATGGACGTTGATATCGCACAGCACACCGCCCAGAGCACAAAGAGTGCAAAGGAAGCAATATAGACTGATCGCCGGCCCGACGCCTCAGAGAATGCACTCCACCAAAGCGGGAAGATCGCCATGCTGAGCATATACAGCGCCACTGTCAAGTTGGTAACAACCGGGGTACTGTTCAGATCTCTGGTGACCTGCTCTAGTGTTGGAAATATGATCCCTGAACCGACCGGAGCACACGCCCCGGCGACCGAGACGATGAAAGTGATGAACCATTTTGTGCTGTCCTTGTAGTCGTATGGGTTGGTCACTTCCGGTATGAGAGCGAACGCAGCGAACCAGCCCCGCCGCTCTTTACGCGGGACTTTTACAAGGAGCTGCTTTGGTGTTCTGATGCGATATAGAGCAGCTTCGGCGTCCTGATGGGCCACATGGTGAGACTCTGTGGCGGAATGGATCGAGCGGAGAGTAATGCTGTCATCGGTTTGACGGCGTTGCCTCTTTTTGCCGTCGTTGGAAATGTCTGTCACAGCTTGATCCTCGTGAATATGATCTTGGGCATCTGTACCCTTTTCAGCGAGTCCAGAGCCCATCTAAGGACAGACTAGCTACAGCAGATGAGTGAGTGCGTCGTCCTGGCGATCGGCCAAAGCCAAGATTCACGGTCCAGGTACATGGACCGCTGTAAAAGAGTAGGTTTTCACACAGCTAGAAAGCAGAATGTATGCCAGCGAGGTCAGTGATGACTGCCGCTATTTCTGCACATATGTGTTATATGATGTAGCTGTCAGATTCATTCCGTTGCCGACTGAATAATATGAACAAGTTGCGAAGACGAAGTGGCGGTCATGGTCGATCTAAAGTCGAGGATGGAGATCTTGTGGGAGGGCGTCTTCCCCGTAGGAGAGCCAATGATGAGAGGCGCCATAAAGACATGGAGGCGGCTTGCCGCGTGTAATGAACCGCACGCTAAATAACAATAGAGAAAGCCACTGTGTACTGTGCCGTTGCAACCGATCCGCGCATAGTTGAGCTTGAAATCGGGGAATGAGGTGCTTTGGCTGACGGCTGATAGGTCTTGCGATCACATTTGGAGAGGGAAATGCTGAACTCCGACGTGGCTCTGAATGACTCGTCATTCGCGATGTGATAGCCGGAGATGCGGTCCAGCAACGACGGTATGACGACGATTATGTCGGTGCCGAGGTTTGTGGGGGACATGGTGGGCTGTTGGCCCCGGGGCTGCTCCTTCCAGTTTCTGTTTCGTAGGACCTGCCCAGATGTCGACGCGAGGGACCTGCAGCTACCCCGGATTTTCAGGCTCGATTTAATTCGATCCATCACATTGTTGTAGCACCAGTGACAAGGCAGTAACATATGCCAAAATCCACTTCAGGCAAGCTCGACTAATCCAGTGCGTTGATAACAAAGCCTCACACCCACCAAGCCCGATTACTCAACCTTTTGGAGCTATAAAAGGTCTATTTGCCTGCTCAGGTGTTTGCAAAGGTTGGCATACTATAACTCCTGAAACACTGGGCACTCCTTGACCCCAAAACACGGACAAGTCCAACCAGATCTGCGGCATTGTCCTCGTGTCAGCACCGTTCCGAGATCTGCTCGCTCCCGATCTGTGTCACACAAATCCACTCTCTCCATGGCGGAGTCGATACCGGCGGACACTCGAGCCCAGCTAAGAGGCCATTTCGACGATTACCAGGGAGACAAGTATGCCCAAGGCTGGCAGAAGCTATGGGAAGCCGGTACCAAATTCACACCATGGGACCGAGGAGCACCAAGCCCAGCCCTATTCGATACACTACTGAATTGGAAGGAAGTCATCGGCAATTCAGTCTTCGAGGGTCGCCGCAAGAAGGCCCTGGTCCCTGGCTGCGGCCGAGGAGTCGATGTCCTGCTGCTATCCAGTTTCGGCTACGATGCAGTCGGCCTCGAGATCAGTCCTGGCGCAGTCGAGGCCTGCCACGAGTTTGCAGCCGAGAACGAATCTAAGTATCCGGCTCGTGACCAAAAGATTGGGAGCGGGAAACGACAGTTCGTGCTGGGCGATTTCTACAGCAATGATTGGAAGAAGGAAGTTGGTATGGCTGAGGACGAGACCTTTGATCTCATCTACGACTACACAGTAAGCATCCCTCTTCCATACGTAAGGGCAAATATCATACTCACCATTCCCACACAGTTCTTCTGCGCCATGCAACCGCCCATGCGCCCAGCTTGGGCCGCACGTCAAAGCGCCCTCCTGAAAGACTCTCCACTAGCCAATCTGATATGTCTTGAGTTTCCTACAGATAAGCCAGCCCATACTGGCGGACCGCCGTTTGGATCACCCTCCTCAGCATACATCGAACATCTCGCACATCCTGGAAAAGACATTCCTTACGATGCCGACGGCAACGTCAAGTTCAGCGCATATCCAGAGTACGATGCCGGTGGCCTCGAAAGGGTTGAGTACTTTCATCCTCAGGACACCCATCAGGTCGGGAAAGACGATGCTGGGAATGTCAAGGACTACATCTCGATCTGGAGACATAGATGAGCACTTTCACCGAATTTCATGCCTTCTTGAGTGCATTGTAGTGCTCGCCCAACCCAAAGCTGTGCTTGTAGTAAGCCAACCACACCTCTGCCGCCGAGTCTGCTCCGCCACCAGTGCCCGATTCGAACGTCTCAACCCGTCCATCCGCCTGCAGCACCTTGACCGTGATCTCATACGCCCGTGCAATTGCCTGCAACTCGACCTGCCCACCCCACTCCGCCGTGTCCCGAATTTTCCGAACATACACAACCAGTGGCTCTTCCAGGAACGCCGCGAAATCGTCGGAGTGCTCCTCGATGAACTTGCTCGTCTTGACCCGGACATCGTGATAGCCTTCCTTTTTCGATTCCGCTGTTGCAGATGTGGCAGGTGGTAAACCGTGAGCGATAGCTGAGTACAGGCAATGTCCGTCCGGCTGGATGAAAGTCTCTAAGAGTCCAAGCTTGGACTGCTGGCCCCTCATAGCGGCGAGCTCCTGTGCGCGTTGGTCAGGGAGGTTAGCGGCTTCCTCGGCGGCTTCGCTGGCCAGAGCAGCCTGTTCGGCAGCGCGACGGGCGAGGCGGGCTTTTTGGCGGGATGGTTTCTTGGTTTCAGGAGGAAGAGCCTGCTCTGCAAGCGTGGATGATGGATCGGACTTAGTGTTGCTGTCGAAAGAGACTTGCTTCGGTGGCTTCTCTAACTGGTCATGCTTGGCAGCTTTTGTACCCCCATCTGAGGCTTCCTCCGGGTCCTGACTGCCATTTAGATCAAGAGCGCTCGTATCATCCGCAAGACTCGTGCCTTCCACTTCATTCATCTCGGCTTGCTGCCGTTCTTTCAATTCTCGTTCGAGATTCTCGCATTCATCATTGACGCCCTTCCGGGTTTTCTTGGTGGCATTCTTTTTCTTCGATGTGATTTTGCTCTGCAGATCCTTCCGCTCGGCACGATGCCTCGCTAGCAATTCTTCCATCGCTGCTGGATCGATGTGGCCATCTTCAAACGAAACACCAGCCGCACAATCCGAGTCAGACGCCACGGCAGATGAGCAATTTGCCTCGCATACCCTGACGAAGAAAACGATTTCAATGTTCTAGCGCTCGCCAGGCGAATTAAGACGTGGCTGCCCTGAGACAAGGAGACCTGATTGGGCTTCCTACGCCAAGCCTGGAGTCCTTTCGGGTCAGCCCTGAGCTTGTTTTCAGGCCCCTCGACGCGCGCCGGCGGCTACGCAGCAGTCGATCACTTCAGCCCGCCATCTCAGCTCATGCACGTCTACGGCGCTACTTATAAAGGACTGGCATTTATCATTTCCCATTAGGATATACGTACACTACAAAGTCCTCCCTGACCGCCTTCTGCCGCCTCCGGCTACTCCATCTTTGTTGCGGCCTACATTCATTGAGCGCCTGTGCCCTGTCCTTGCCCGAGTACCCCGCTTCGCGCTTTGTCTCGCCGGTGCTGTGCGTTGTCAGCGTCAGATCTCACTGCCATTCATCTCAGCAAAATCTCTGTTCTTGACCGACCTCGACCTCCCGCGACTCGTTCTTTGTCTGTTACTCTGTCCTTGACCCACCGTCCGATCGTTTACGCCTGGCGAGCAACTCAAGATGGGTGACATGCAGGATCGCAAAGTGTTTAAGGTGTTCAACCAAGATTTCATCGTCGACAAGACGTACAAGGTCACCAAAGAACTCGGTCAGGGTGCGTACGGTATTGTCTGGTGAGTCGTGCTGCTTCCATGGAGAGAGCAGCCGCTGACACGGCATTTAGCGCTGCCACCAACACGCAGTCCGGCGAAGGGGTTGCAATCAAGAAGGTCACAAATGTCTTCAGCAAGAAGATCCTCGCAAAGCGAGCACTTCGAGAGATCAAGCTGCTCCAGCACTTCAGAGGTCACAGGAATGTATGTTGGACGCTGTACTGTCTATGGCAAGCAATGCAAGCTGACAGCCGCTAGATCACATGCCTGTACGATATGGATATTCCGCACCCGGAGAACTTCAACGAGACATACTTGTACGAAGGTGAGAAGACGCCCTTGATCTCATAGAAACTTACTAACCCCGCGCAGACTGATGGAGTGCGATCTTGCGGCCATCATCAGATCTGGTCAGCCCTTGACCGATGCTCATTTCCAGTCCTTCATTTACCAGATCCTGTGCGGTCTCAAGTACATCCACTCCGCCAACGTCCTCCATCGAGACTTGAAGCCCGGCAACCTTCTGGTCAATGCCGATTGCGAGCTCAAGATCTGTGACTTCGGTCTCGCCAGAGGTTTCTCTCAAGATCCAGAAGAGAATGCTGGATACATGACAGAATACGTTGCTACGCGTTGGTACAGAGCGCCCGAAATCATGCTTAGTTTCCAGAGTTACACCAAAGCCAGTAAGTCAGGTCCGTGCCAATCAATGATCTCCTACTGATCTGTCCTGCAGTCGACGTTTGGTCGGTTGGCTGCATTCTGGCAGAGCTCTTGGGCGGTCGTCCATTCTTCAAAGGTCGCGACTACGTGGACCAACTCAACCAGATTCTCCACTACCTCGGAACTCCTAACGAGCAGACTCTCAAGCGGATCGGGTCTCCCCGCGCCCAAGAATACGTGCGGAACCTGCCATTCATGCCGAAGGTGCCCTTCCAAAGGCTCTTCCCACAAGCCAACCCCGACGCGCTTGATTTACTGGACCGCATGTTGGCCTTCGACCCCTCTTCTCGCATCTCCGTCGAGCAGGCGCTCGAGCACCGCTACCTACACATCTGGCACGACGCTACTGACGAGCCAGCCTGCCCGAAGACCTTTGATTTCGCGTTTGAGGTCGTAGAGGATGTTCAGGAGATGCGAAAGATGATCCTAGACGAAGTCGATCGCTTCAGAGCGCACGTCAGACAAGCCCCGGGCAACCAGTCCTCCCCAGCTGGCATCACAATGAACATTCCCAGCAACGTCAACCAGTACGCGGCCCAGCCAGAGGACCCCCGGCCGCAGGAAGCCTACGCACAGGGCGGTGCGAATGACCTGGAGCGGGAATTGCAATTTGGTAGCGACGCGATGCAGCGATAGAATTGCGATATTTGTTCTCGTCCCAAAACAGCTACAGGGCGGCTTCTGGCACCCAGACTCAAATATAATGAAATAATCTACCCGCTGACAACATCAGGATGCCCCAAGCACGGATTACCGCAGCCACTACGAAAGTACCGCCCTCGGGCGGCCCCTGACTTCTTTCTGGAGACACCACCTGTTGAGAACCCCATGAATGAGAGATGTTGGACACCGAAGGCCGCCCCGCGCGAGCCACGTAGCGCGTGGGGATTAATGTGATGACAATCATGGATAGAACTCATGGATCCTGGGCCAAGGGCCTCCCTGAAGAAATACAGATCTTGGGTCGCCAAAATTTTGAATCAGGGCACAAGGCTGCTGCTGTGGCGATGTTGCTAGGATGAGTGGTGGGCTTGGTATACGATCTTGCTACGATGTGAACCCCTCTATGTCCGCTCATTGGAAGCGTGCCCTGCCCGATACTAACTTGGCGAATTTCCTTTCATGTTCACGACCCTTGCTGGGAAGCACCTAGGCATCGACGCACCCTTCTGAAGAGTATTTGTGACTGCGTCCGGTTTATCGCGCAAAAAAAAAGAACCCCCCTTGCGAAAACGTCATGAAGCAGCTAAGTAGGGCAGGTGCAGTAGTATTGAGGGCAGCATTGGTGTCTACCCGTTTTACATTCCTGGTCAACCGGTCTAGGATGCAGCCCTCTTCCTCCGAGGCACGCCTCACCAGCAGCTAGTCGCAGGCTCAACTTGTGGCTGTCTGGATTTCATTATCGATCGCGCGGTATATCAGAATGCTCCTTTGGCAGACTACGCCAGTAGAATAGGTGACAAAATCAAAGACATGGATACTGGAAAATATCCGGGTATATAATATCTCCCCTCTTCCACTCACGCCCCAACATACCAAATCTCGACGCCCAAAACCTCGAATTTTCGCCCCTCCTCGCTCAGTGGCTCGTTGCCGAATGTCAAGCACGTCTCGCTGATGCCACTGTCTAGTTGATCGTCAAGCCAGAGGCCGTAATGCCCGTCGCCGCCGCCGACGGAGAGATAGTCGGGCTCGCAGTAGATGTGTAGTCGTTGACGCCGGAGTAGGGGAAGGCTTTGAAGCGGATGCGTTGGTCTTCTTCGGGGACCACTGGAGCTATGGGTGAAATCGGAGAGGTGGGCTTTGACGGACGGCGTCGCTGCGAACAGTGGTTGTGCGCGTCGCGTGTGAAGTGTCTGCTGAGGGTGGGGGTGGGAGGCCGGCTAGTTCGAGGAGGTCTGAGGATAAAGGCTTGTCGCTCTGGGAAGTTGAGTGAGTGCCGTTGGAGGGTGCCGATGTTGCGGCTAGGCTACGCAGGGAGGGCAGGATGGAGGCGCGCCAGAGGAAGCACTCGCCGGTGCCGAAGTAGTGTTTTTGTGGTGTCGGTGCGTCGGTAAGATACGCGCCGAAGAGCGAGCCGGTGCTATTGCCATCTTTGATGACGAGAACGTAGCCCGAGCGTTGGGTAGTGAGAGAAACCTCCTCGCAAGCGTTGTACAGAGAGCGCAGGCTGGAGCCGTGGACCTCAAGTGAGTAGGCCAGTTTCCAGTGATCTAGAAGTTGGAGCCTTGGTGGGAGGAGCAACCGGATTTCCTCCGCAAGTGACCTGGATAAGAGGAGAGAGGCTTCCGCGGACGGAGAGAGCGTGTGTTGGAGAGACAGCGGTGTTAATGGTGGTGGTTGGTAGGGTGATGCTGTGCGTCGGGGCGGCGTCCAGGCGCCGGGTGAGGATGAAGATGTCGGGGCGTCGAGGAGTTTGTTCACTGGTATTTCCGGTGGTTCGGTCATGCGACGGTATAGGCTCGACATTACGTGCTTGACAGGGTAGGCTAGGTATGCCGCTGAGGAGGGATTGTGGGGATTTGACATCAGGGTCGGTTCGGTGTCTTTTTCATTGTTCGGATCGCCATTTGGGCGCTCTTTCGGCGGCGCCGTGGCCATCGCGGGCACACGATGCGCGTGAACTGAGTGTTGGCTCTTTGTTCCGGGGTGCCAGCGAATATGGTTTCCGAGTTTGGGTAGGAAATTGTCGATAGAGTTTGAGTCACGTGCAGCGATAAGAGATCATGCAGTGGTAGATGATGCGGCGGTAGCAGTCAGACTCCTGTTGATGAGCGAGTGAAGGCAGCAGCAGGCAGCAGTGGTCGTTGTTTCACACCTGTCGAGGCTGGCTGCAAATGAAGGGTTGAACACGAACCTTCGTTGGTCACCACCAGGCTGGACTTCAGCCTCGTTCATACGTCATTTGTAGATCTCTCTTTCAAGTTGATCTTGTTTGCTGTGACTCTTCTCAAGATCCAACGCGACAGTTGCTCCTCATCCTAACTGTTGTGCTTGTCCGACACCTCTGATTTCTCAGGCCTGACAACAGACGCGTTGAGACCGTATTCGGATTCGGAGCCCGCCGGTCTCCTTCTGGCGCTCCGCCTTTATTGCCCCTCTTATCTTCAGTGACTAGAGCGGCAAAAGGCAAACATCGCACGACAACCCACCAGCACGCCTGCGGTGCCAGTCCCTGGAGACTGAGGTCTTCGCAGCGATTTACACGGAGCGTGCACCGACGCCGGTGCTGCCGTAAGGATGTTTATGGTCAAGAATTGTAAGTTTCTGGTATCTGCAGTAAGAAATCTACTGACGCCTACTAGTCACCAAATATCTTTTCGGAGACGGCTCCAAGGAGACCATCATTGAGATTCCTCAAGGTCAACTATACCTAGTGCGGCCCCTCTCGCCCAAAGGCTACTCTGAGCTCATCTACAAAGACGCTGTCGCATCGATCCGACGGACAGGCCAGGAATTCCAGTACCAGCTTGTTGTACAGCGTGCGTACGAGGAAGGCGAAGAGGAGCTTGCAGAGGATGATGAGGGTGAGGCAAATGCGCTAGACACAGATGAGAAGACCTTCCTGCTAGATCAGGCTCTACACTTCAGATCAGACAAGCGAGACGGCGGCGAACATGTCTTTGCATGGCGGGACCTGAGTGGCGACGTCGGCGACCTCTACGAATTTGTGTGCGACTCAAGTGTTGCCTCCGAGAAGTCTGAGACGTTTGCTCTGGCTGCAGTCGAATGCCAGTACGAGCGCAAATACCGCAAGAAAGCCGAATTCGCGACCGACGACGAGCTCAAGGAGTTTGAATTTTCCAACGAAGACTCCATCCCGCTAGCCGAGTCGATATCACAAGAAGAGCGTGCACCCACTGCGAAAGAATCTACAACACATATGGCTAAGGAGGTCAAATCATCAAAGAAGAAGCCAATCGCCGCTGCCAATACTGCAGCACAGCGTACGGAAGCACCACCAGCACAGGCCGCCCCATCTCAAGGCGAAGAGATCGTCAAACAGCACGCAGAGCTACACTTGTTCGACTTCGAATCCGCCTCGTTCAGTCCAGTTGACACAGACGTCGTGGCAACAGTCTCAGATCTTGGCAGTTGGCGATACTGGCTACAAATCAACTCTGCCGACGGAAAGCCACATCTCGGCCAGGAGGTCATCGCAGACATCAGTCCTGTTTTCAACTTCGAATACCTCTCATTCATCTGGAATCACTACACCGAGGATGGATCAGCATATTCATGGCTTCTGCGATTCAAGAACCGAGAAGTGCTCGAAAATTTCCAAGAAGGTCTCATGCAGGCGCTGTGGGAGCAATTGAACGAGCAGAAATGGGCAAAGGTCAAGGATCAAGCAGAGAAGGACTACGTCTTTGAGGCATTCAACGATCTTACAATGGACGACGCACCTCCTGTCGATGAAGAGGAGGAAGAGGAGGACGAAGCTGAAGACGACCGCCCGCGGAGCGAGCACTATGACAGTGATGAGTCCGACGAAGATGTTGATCCACACCACAAGGATGAGGGCACGAATTCGCTTCTGGCTGTCGGAGGCACCAACGATCGATCATACGTTGTCCGTGGCTCCAAGATCGGTGTCTTCAAGCATCTACCAAACAAGCGACTCGATTTCAGCACAAGTATCAGCAAGATCGACACACCCAGCGGAAAGAAGTTCAGCCCCACCAAAGTCATGCTGCACGCCTCCGACCGAGATCTCGTCCTACAAGATGCCGCCAATCCAAATTCTCTGTACCGCATGGATCTCGAGCGTGGAAAGGTAGTTGACGAGTGGAAGGCCCACGATGACATCCCAGTTGTCGGCTTCGGCCCAGAAACCAAGTTTTCTCAGATGACTGACGCACAGCCCTTCATCGGCCACTCACGAAATGCCCTCTTCCGCCTCGACCCTCGTGTCTCCGGTAATAAGCTAGTTGAATCTGACATGAAGCAGTACGTGTCCAAGAACGACTTCTCCGCGCAAGCCACTACCGAGAAGGGCTACATTGCCGTCGCGTCGAATAAAGCGACATCCGCCTCTTTGACCGTCTCGGAGTCAATGCCAAAACCCAAGTGCCCGCTCTTGGTGACCCCATCAACGGCATCGACGTCAGTGCCGATGGCCGCTGGATCCTCGGCACGTGCACAAACTATCTCCTCTTGATCGACGCTCTTCAGACCGAGGGCCGCTACGAAGGCAAGCTGGGTTTCGAGCGCTCGTTCGCCAAGGACTCCAAGCCCAAGCCTCGCCGCCTCCAGCCTTCCCCAGAACACATCGCACAAATCCGTCATGTCACAGGCAAGCCTCTCAGCTTCACACAAGCCAAGTTCAACATCAGCCAAGACGGCAAGGAAACCTCGATCATCACCTCCACTGGCCCATACGTGATCACCTGGACGATGAAGAAGGTTCTGGCTGGCGACAAGGATAGCTACAGAATCCGCAAGTATGGCGAGGATGTCATGGCGGACAGCTTCGAGTATGGGACGGACAAGCATGCTATCCTGATGTTGCCGAATGAGGTCGACATGGTCGCGAGGAGTAGCTTGAAGCGGCCGACAAGGGAGAGTATCATGGCGCCGGGGGCGAGACTTAGTGGCTGGGTCCGACGACGCCGAGGAGAAGTGCGGGCGGGAGGGCTTCGAAGTTGAGGGAGGAGATTGTGAACAGTCCGTACTAGGCATGTTACTAATGAGGCATGGACAGGTTGGGGCGGACTCTGACTCACAGAGGGTGGTGGAACATGCGACTTCGATGATGACGATGAATGTGTGAGAGCAGAGATACGGTGATGACGATACCCATACTTTCTCTTTGGCCTCCCAAGTCCTCCTCGACGAGAACCTGCTTCCGCAGCATGTAGACTTATTGCTAAAGAATGGCAGCAGCTGTTTCCAGAGGTAGGCTCTTTTCAACTTCTATCTCCCTACGCAGTAAAGGGCAGTCACAGTTATACACTTAAGCAGGAATTCGTTACTCCGGCGAGCCGCAACATACCTCAGGACTGCTGTGACTCGAGGTGCACGTCTACTTCACCTCAGCATGACTCTGCTCGAGGCTCCGGACTCTTGAGGAGATGATGCAAGTGATGTCGTTCGTGGCCCAAGTGAATGTGTGTGAAACGAAATTCACTTGCTTGCCGTCAGGGGTACCAGGCAGCAAGGCATGTCTTCTCAAGATCATTTTGTTCGTTCTGACCGCATCAATCTCAGTACTTTCTTTCCACCCGACAACTTTCAGATTGATCAAGATACGTCGATCTGATCTGCTCTCTACACTGTCAGTCACCTCTCATGACGCAGCGTCCGATCATCTTTGATCTTACCAATGACGATCTGATCGACACTGTTGAGGTAAGGTCAAAGTAATGCAACCGCTACAACGCTGACATTGCCTAGATGGATGACACCGAGAACACGATGGCGCACACTCAGCCTCCAAAGGCAAACATTCACAGCTTGACCAAAGAAGCCCTCAAAGATTTCCGAGATCAAGTGGAAGCTGCGACAAAGCAGACGACTGGCGTCCGTCTGATATTCCTCGCCAGTGAAGTCGTCCGGCTCGCCGGCAAAAAGAAGAAGTCGAATGTGTATGAGTACTGGCTACAGGGCGAGAAACTCGAGACACATTTCTACCAGGATCAAGCCCATGATAGCAAGGGCCGTCGAGGCGGAATACTTGTAGCCATGGGATCGCGTTTACCACAGCCTGTGCTTCTGGCAAAATCGCCCAAGGAGGGCCAGTCACCGGGATTCAAGAAGGGAACATATCGACCATGGAAAGACAATGCCTATATGGCATCCGAGTTCGATGTAGTCAAGAGGCCTGCGCCTGATCCCGACTCTCAGAGCGACAGGCCGATCGATCAAGACACGAACGGTGTCAGCAGCCCAGCTCCATCTGTCGCTATCAACAACGATCCTTACCAGATCCCGCAGCGACATCGAGACAGTAACAGCTACGATCAAACTGTTGTGGACGGCACGACCAAGCATGGAAATCGGCCCTCGTCCGGCACATCTTCGAAGAGAGTTGGAAGTGAGGATACACAAGCGTCAAGAGCTCACAGTTCTCGAACCAAACCCAAGACCGAGCATACTGATGACAACAGTACAATGCGAGAGGTGCCGCTTTCGACGGGGCTACAAGTCTCGCGCTTGGCCGAATCGCGCGCGAATTCATCACAGCATTCAGTCCCAGCCACAGGCGACTCACCTCAGATGCAGTACGGGTTCGTGGCTCAACCGCGACGGCGTATGTATTCCACGTACGATCCTATCCCGGGGCCCATCAGATTTGAGGAACATTATCAAACTGCCGCTCGACCATCAAAGAAAGCTAGACATTCCGCACTAGATGATTCCGAAGATGGCGAAGAAGATGTCGGCGAGATTCCACTCGACGATAAGGACTTGTCTGCGAGGACCAGTGCTACACCTGAGTGGACTTTGACGGAGACAGCTCGAGCTTTTCCCGATGGCCGATCCAACATGTCGGTTGTGAAGGCCTCGGTTGTCACTGCCGATCAGCAGCCTCTCGCTTCCCAGCCGACTGTCCCGACCACAAGATCCATCCCGCGCACTCAGTCCAGCCCGCTCAGTCAATCGACTCTGCCCACTCAGTGCATCCCGCTCAGTCAATCGACTCTGCCCACTCAGTCCATCCCGCCCAGTCAATCCGTCTTGCAAGCTCGATCTGCCCCGCCCAGTCAGCTTGTTCTGTCCACTCAGTCCGTCGCTTCCGACGCAGCCAACATCAATGTTGAGTTGAAGATGCGGGCTGACGAGATCCGTGAAGTGAAATGGCATACTCTATGCGACCCTGGCTTCCAGTACTTCCTCGAACGTCAGCTAGAGTCCGACGGCGGTCACCTGGTCACTGAAACCACGGTCGTACGTCAGCTGAACCTCGATAATTCCCCCACTACCTACTCGGCAACCGAAACCGTGGTCGCATATCTAGAGCAGAACAACGGTTCTGTTGCGGAGTCGATGGACCTGCTGAGGAAGGCGATTGCTGGCTGCGACTCGATTCTGACAGACGGTAGTGGCAGGACAGTGCGTAAGCTCACGGTGCGACTGAAGCCTCGGTCGGCGTGAATTTGCCAAGACGATAGCTGGAGGAGTAGTTTCCAGGAATAGGAAGGACAATGTTCAGGGGACCTGGCTGAGTCCGCTCTTGGCTGGAGTCTGAATTAGAAAGGGGAATGATGTCACGAATGAATGCGCACATGGCTCGCCGAAGACGCTGGCCGAACCTCCAGCTGTTCCAGCCGCAACAATCGAGATCCTAGATGGTCGACTTGGATAGCTTAGGCGGTCCATATCAACTCCTGGCGTTCCTGATCATACTCCAAATCGGCACCGTCCCCTCCGCCCCCTCCCTCCCCCCATGACCGTAATCGCGATCTCCCTGAACCCGAACGCCGCATAAACATCCCTCGCCCTCTCATTCCCCGCCTCCAACCATACCGGACATCCTTCCTCGTCCGCCCACTTCAGCCCCACCTCTATCACCGCCCGCACCGCACCCTTCACGGCCGCCATCTCCGGATGTCGCGCCATGAGCGACACATACCACCATTTCCGCCCACCGTTCCAGTGCAATGGTAAGACTTTCCGCCGCTCGACCGCCCACACTCGCACGGCATTCTGCATCACTGGACGGTGCGCGAGCTCCGGGATGAGCAAGTCGTCCCCTTCGTCGATCTCCATCTGCGCTGTGGCGGTCGGTGGCGCCCAGCATGCTACTGCTGCGTAACCACTACTGCCATTATCACTGCAGGAGGAAGGGGAAGCGGACACCATGATGCAGCCTTGCTGGAGCTTTGTGGTGATGCGGTCGATGTTGTTCTGGAGGGCCAGGGGGTAGGTGAGGCCAGAGGGATGCTTTTCGCGGTTGAGGAGGAGGTTGAAGGGGTCGGTCATGCCGGCGAGGGCGTTTGTGGCGGCGAGGAGGGGGATGAGTGGTGAGGTGGCGGAGGTGTGGATTCTGAGAGTTATGCCTGGGGTAGATGGCGGATGCGCTTGATATGGGATGACGGCAAGGTGAGTGCCGCCGGCCTCGTTCGGGACCAGGTTCGTGTCGAGTAGAACGCTTGGCTTCATGTCAGGCTCCGTAGAACCTGCTAGGCGGTGATCCATTTCGGCGGAGATGTCTGCAATGTTTGTATGCTCCCCGTTCCGTTTATGCTCAGGATCTCTGACGAACAGCACGTGTTGCCATTAGTACTCCAGCACCCGGCCTTGCGACTGAAACAAAGATATTAGGAAATACACTGGATCCGTTGACTTGTCTTGATTCACAGCCCAAGGGACAATAGAGGTTCGCATTCGAGATTCGCACGGTGCAGAAAGAACAGCATGTATGTACAGAACAATACGCAGAGCGTCATGAGTCATATCAATTGATCAAGCAAAGGCGTAGTGTACATATATGTGCACGGGCCGAGTGGCTTCACCTTAGCGCGACGATGGTGGAGGACAGCGGGACATTCCCCGAATGTCGTTTACCTTCTTGTCCACGCGGACACTTGCCGACCGCTTCACCCAAATGATCATGACCAATGACGCATGGATTGGTGATCGGTGACTGCTGGGACATATTGGCGCTGATAGACTGATTGGCGGCGAACATGGCTCACAGAGTGGGCGCAGAAGATCGTGGTATGCTTTGCAGTCAAAAGAAGGTTGCAGTGGCTGATGTAGTCACGATCTCATGCGTACCTGTCGCATCACAGGCACCAGGTGGGTACCCCTCGGGTTAGGTACCTTCCAGCCACCAGGTCCATCACAGAAACGGAGATCAAGTCGGGAAGGCAAGATGGACCGCGTGCTTGCCAGCGAGCACGGAAACATGGGCCATGGCATGCATGAACGACATTGCCTATGCCTTTCCCGCAGGCATAGCACTTCGCGTCACCTGCACAGCACATCGTGAGGTGGACCAGAGCAAGTACCCCGTGCCATTACATGGTGTCAGGCTGGTCCAGAGAGATGACATGGTCTCCAAGAATCAAGAAGTCCTCATTGAAATGCGCCAACAATCGACTGACTAGACTGCAGTGCACCTGAGATGCTCAACGAGCCAGGCTTTCCTATGCCGCCGTTGTCTCCGACACACTTTCGATGATACTGCTCCCACCACCCTCCACCTCGCTAATTAGCCTTGTCGCAACGACCTCCCCACCTGCTTCGCTCACGAAAATCTGCGCCACGAGCGTTATCCCAGGAAACGGCCTGTACACGTACTCCTTCTCCGTTGTTACAATCCCGTCCACCACGACACCCGTCCTTGACTGGCCTGTAAACTCCATATCTGTGTCGTACCGCCCTACGATACGCTGGTTGTAGATGATCCCGCCGTTGTCCAGACTTTGATCGACTAGGTCGCCGTTCTGGTCCAGGACGCGGTTGGTGTGCGCGTTGCCTTCGTAGTTGTTGATGGCGTACAGAATGCCGTTCGCGAGTTGCGCGTTGAAAAGGCCGCGCTCGGACAGGGAAGCGGATGGAGCGGCGCCAGTGGTTGAGCCGTTGGCGGGACTGCCACCTGACGAGGATCCATCGCCGATCACGCCTCCAACGATGTCACCTACTCCGCCAATGACACCACCGGCCAGATCGCCCAGCTCAGCGAGGATGGGATTCAGGTCAACGGAATCGAGGACTGAGCTGACCATCTTGACCAGGTTCTCCAATCGCGCGGTAAGCTCAACTTTGGCGGTCACATTCTGGATCTGCAGTCGAATGCGCTCCACCGAGACATCGACACCAGCGTTGAACTCCAGTAGTTGCAAGACTTGCGCATCGATGTTGATCTTGGCGGAGAGCTCCCGGACTAGGATATCGATCTCGCCGACGTGTACACTGGCGTTGAGGTAGACATCTGGTGGTGGGTAATCCGGATTGGACGTTGCGGTGTTGTCAGTTTCGTAGAGCACTGACTCGTTGTCGCCAGTCACTGTCAGATTGTATCCGGCATAGCGTCCTGTGCGAGGGCGAGTGAGGCCAAGGGAATGAGAAGCAATGAGCTCAGAGGTCGCATGTCTGCTGTTGAGCCACTAGTAATGGTGATTTGTCTGCTGCTGAGGGAGCCTGTAGTGCATCAATGTCTCGATGCGGAGAAGTGTTGAGGGTTTTGTCCGAATAGTTGTGCACCAGGCAGTCCGAGAAGGAAATATCAAATGCTAGAAACGAGCGTTGGAGGTCACCTCGAACGAATGCCGCGAACAGAAGCGTTGCGATGGTTGACACGAAGCTGCAACTGCCGCATCGCAAGTTTCTGCTTCTCGAAGAAACTGGTCAATAAGCCGTTATACCAAACCACGAAGCGAGATTGATCGCCAGAGATTGGTGTGGTGGAGATGCGGTTCGGAGAATACGATGCCTCGAATCCAGGGGAAGCCCACGAATCACGGCATTTGCGCATACTTTTAGGCATGGGATATGGGCGTTCCGGGCGTGCAAAAGATCGAAATTGGGTGGGAGAGATGTTGATTTAGTGTTTGAAGAATCAGGTTTACCCCGGCCGTGGGCGTTTGAGGTTCCAGCCCCTGCAGGGATCATGGGGGTGGGCAAAGCCATTCGCGGTTGGTCGCATCTGCCGGATATTCTCGTTAAGGAGATTGGCAACGGGTTTGAGATGGGAACATCGTGATCCGTGAACAGGGCATGGGGAGGTGTTGAGAGAAGTGTAGAAATCGTTCTTGTCGTCGTTGCTGCTGCCATTCGATCTGCTTAACGCTTCAGTAATACCTACTTCGATTCGCTCCTTCCAACACAACCCACATCGTCTACCAGCAACGACAATGCTGCGCCAGTCACTCATTCTCATCGCCGCCTGCGCGAGCATCGTGCTTGCCCAGCAGCCGGCGCCACCTGCACCGCCTGGAAAAGCAGCAACGACGTCTGCTACCAAAGCCAGCTCGACGAGAAGTGCTACAGCATCCAACACTGGCAGCGCAACATCAACCAGAACGGGCTCCTCGACATCGGGAGCGCCATCTGCGACTGGATCAAGCGCATTCAGCGAAGTTCCGGATGTCGTCCTTCACGTACCTGAGCTCTCTGTGGGGCGGATAGAGCTCAACGTGGACAACCTCCAGGCCGACATCAACTTACACGCCAATGTTGCCAGCCTTGTCAGTATCAACGCCGGTGTGGCGCTATCGATCAAGGAGGTCAATCTCACTATTGCTGACGTGGATGCTGAATTGGACCTTGTCGTCCGCCTGGGTCACCTCGTGGACATCGTCAATCGCGTCTTCGAGTCCCTGGACCTCAACCCATTGCTCCTGGACACCATTGGGAACGTCACGGATCTGCTGAAGCCAGTTATTGGCGCGGTAGACGGACTGCTCGGCAGCATCACACAAGGTGGCACGACCCTGAACTTCCTAGTCGACAACTTGGGCAACATCATCCAGGAGGTCGGAGACGTGACTTCGGTCGTTGGCAACTATAAGACCAACATGACGCAGATCGGAGGGGAGACTTCGCTAGCAAATGGTCTGATCCAGAAGACCTTCGAGTACACGCCGCTGAACCAAATTGTGGAGATGCTGTTTAATACAGCGGGACAGGTGGTGCAGGCGGTAGTGAAAAAGACTGGTGGTGGAGGTTCGTCAACGACCGCGACGTCGCAGCCGACAACGACGGCTGTGGCGAAGCGCAAGATATAGGCGGCGCTGGGAGGAATTTTGGTATAATCGAGCATATGGAATATGTTGCTTCTGGATTCGCCAAGCAAAGATTATTTGATCGTCCCATTTCTTGCATTTTTCTCTGCGGGTAGCTGGACGCGTTCATGTTGTGGCAAACCACTGACCTACCAAGCTCTTCGGCCAAGAGATGAGCTCTTACCTCAGTTTTAACAGGTACGCCATGGACTCCCACAGCGACCTCCCTGGCAAGCGAAAACATGACGGAACGATTCTGCGTCTTGACGCTCAAATGAAGCTCCTCCCGAAATTGCTGGCTCGATCTGCAGTACAGTTTCGGCCCTTAGAGCCCACCCTGACCTGGACGCTCGGGGTTCTTGAGACAGCTGCTGAGACCGCTCAGTGCATGCCCGAACATTCTGCCTCCTTACTTAGCTTTCCACCAACGATCGATCGACATCCCGTCCAGAGGATCACGGATTACTCGAGGGACTTTCGCCAACGGCCTGAACGGACGCTCCTCGCTACCATCGATGATCTTGAGAATATCATACCAGAAGCTGGTCTCTGCAACGTCATTGCTTGTGATGCTCCAGTTTTCCGGTACCACGCGGATCGGTACAGCTTTCGCGAACTGATCCTGCTGCTTGTCTCTGCCTTTTCCTTCACCGTTCTCACCCGCGGATTCATGAATAGTGCCGCCAGCCTGGGTCATCATCTTCTTGATGCCACCTCTTATCACTTCGCTAAGCACCGAGAAGTCTCGGAAACGACGAGTCAATGTCTGACGTTGAACTTTCGGACCATCGGCGATAATGTTAACAGTGAACGGGTCAGCCTTGATCGCAGCGTCCATGCCATGCTGATTGTTTTCCGTATGCAGTGTGTGCCAACCCATCTCCTTGGATTTCTCATTACCTCGGCCAAGAATCTTAACCCTGACATTGGAGAAGTCGCGAGTTGTGGGATGATCGGCCGCGGAGGTCTTGCTGAGAGAAGTGGTCGAGTGACAGGGCCAAGCAGAGTTGTTGACTTGAGCCGGATCCGAGCGTGTTGAAGCATCAGCCACGTTTGCGCGTTTCCGAGAGCCCTGGACGCGCTTAGCCTCGTAGACGACGCTACCAACATCACCTTCGCTGCCGTCGGAATCGATGATCTTCCGCTCTGCGACTAGTCAGTTTCGGCGGTCTGCTCCTGCGAGACAGTGACTTACTGCGGTTGACGAGTAGATTGAGGAGTTGCGAGGAGGGCTCTGAAGCGATGGGTGGCTGTGAATGTGGCGACGGAACGGCATCGACCGACGCGATCTGACCGTCACCATTGGTGTTCGGTTGTTGGGACGAGCCATCTGACGGGACGACTGTGTCAGGTCTGACACTTTCGTTTGGCGGGTCCATTTGGCTGTGTCAGCGCCGCGGCGATCTATCACAATATAAACTCAGATCGACTATGCTTCAGCGAAGACGACATACCTTGGAAGTCAGAGGAAGTGGCAAAGTCTGTCAGTGAGTCACGAGGAGTGCGAAAGGTGCCCTGATAGCCGTCGTGCCGGGTTGTTGTCACGACGAGATGAAAGTCGAATTGAGTAGATGCAAGGTTGCAGGGACTTAAGTAGTCAAACGAGGTCGATGCCCGTTCGTGCCAATGCTGATTAGTGTCGGCTGAGTCGCACAGTGACTGAATGAGATTCAGTCACAGTGACTGCTTTACCTTGCGAAGTCATAGGCCCATCTTCTGCCATCAACACGTATTCACGCAAGGCAACTTTTCCCATCTCGACTTCTCCGAGTAGCTGGAAGCAGGAGGAGATCTTGGCTGATTCAAAGCAGCGATATAAAAGCTGTACACCATTCATAGACGGGGGTCCCAGTGAGCTCGAGGTACGGGATGGTCAGTAATTCTTTTTGGATTCCAATGCAAACTTAGGTACTCATACTCTGCTGAGTCCGGCAATAGATCTCCAGCTTAGACAATACCGGTCAGGCTCTTTCATTCGCGAACAGACGACTTGAGTTCGTACACATCAAGGGGACTTCGCCTGCACGAATTGCAAGACCTTTCGGACGAAGTCGGTAGGGTTCTCTTCCGCCAGAAAGTGGCCACTATCCTCCACCGTGGCATGGTGCACTGTCTCATACATCTCTCTCGCCATGCCCTCAGCCTCTGCAGCAATGAAACTGTGATCACCGGACATAATCATTGATCGAACTTTCGACTTGCCGTTCTGATTCAGCCAGTCCAAGTTGTCTTTCCCATCTTGAGTAAACGCACGATAGCTGAGGAAAGCACACCGCAATGCATCTGGCATTGAGTATCGAGTGGTGTAGAAGTCAAGGACATCCTCGGAGAAAACGCTAGCATTCTGAGTCAATCGGTCGTAGAAGTGCTTCAGGTACATCTTCTCCTTGCCTGCCACTAGGGCGGCTGACAGCTCGGGTTTATGGCTTTGAAAGTCGAAATGCCATAGAGTTTCCGTATGCTTGATCTTATCGAACAGAGTGCTGCCCGGCAGCGGGCACTCTCCCCAAATCACGTCAGCTGTGTTTTCGGGAAATTGCGCCGCGTATGCATGAGCGATTGTTCCACCGATGTCGTGGCCGACAACATGGACCTTCTCCTTGACACCAATGTGCTTGGCCAATAGCTCGAACAGCTCTGCCGCGAGCTGCTTCTTTGTATAGTTGTAGTCTCCAAATGGCTTGGACGAGAAGCCGTGGCCTTTGTAGTCCGGTGCGATGACGTGATAGCCGGCTTCAGCAAATGGTACCAATACGTGCCGAAACTGGTACGAACTTTCTGGAAAGCCATGTATCAACAGAATGGTGCCCTTCCGTTGCTTTGTGGGTGGTGAGCATTCCATGTAAAAGAGTCGTAGCTCAGGATCGGCTTTGCTCAGGTACGCCTGTCGATGGAAAACCTGAGGCGGCGACATTGGGTCTGAGTCGCCCATAGTGCTCCGAATATTCACTGCCGCACGACCTTGGACTGTAAAAAGCTGCTCACATGTATATCTGCTGGTAGTTGACGTGAAGTGTCATTTTACCAACAAGCGTTCAAGACAAGCATATCATTTTGTCCTGATCACGACCCGTGACTCTCTTCAAATTTCTCCTCCAAATCAGCATTTCGGGGAAGAAGCATGGTAGTCGGGGAGGACTTCCGCCAGATCCTAGTCAGCGAACGGTTTCCGTCTGGTTGAGTCGTCCCTGCTGGGAGGAAGGCGCCTGAGGTTACCTATCGCGGGATCTCCTCGCCCCTCCAAAGACGAACTTGGAGATACGAGGAGGGGTGATGTGCGGTTTAGAACATAGTTGCCTCGTGGAGATACTAGTATCTGGGAAGGCGCTTAAAAGGTAAAATCTTGGAACCATGAGTGGCGATCGCCGCACTATCTCCGCTATTGTACAGCTACCAAATTATTTTCTCCCTCTTGAGTAGTTCTCAGCCGCTCCCACACAACATAGCGGCATTGCGACTGTGCCGAGCTTCACGAATGTGGGCCGTCATTGCGGGCCGTTCGCTGGCCTTTCAAGCGAGATCGAAGCCTTTTCCGACATTGTCTCATGACAATGAGCTCGACGTTGCTGAGGAACTTGATATGAAAAGGAATGCCGGGCCGCCATGCGCACGTTGAGCCGCTCAAGCGAGCCGGTCAAGCGATACGGAGCCCAGCACTGTGCAGTACCATGCATAGCAGGGGCTGTTGGCCACGTGCAGGAGCCGAGGACGCGGCACCCCTAGCGCGTGATGTGGTCCTTGATGTACTGTAGCTCTCTTGGAGAAATAGCGGCTCGTTGTACCCTGGGGAAATGGCGGCTCGATGGATCCTGTACAGGGCGACTCGATGCGGGAATCTCGGAGAAGTGGCGGCTCGAGGTAACTTTGGTGGAGGAGCGAATGGAGGCATGCAGAGCAGAGAAACGACGATTTATAAAGACAGCTCTCACAGTCAGCCTTCCACGAAGAAGGGAGATCGAACCTGGGTCTTTGCGCGAGCTCTACCATTAGCAACTCAGGAACATTTCCAACGATGGCTGTTCAAGCATGGCGGGCCCTGCAAGGCAAGACTCTTCTGATATGTCTGAATCTGTTCAGTGCAATTGCCCTAATCTTCGAGGGCTACAATCAAGGTGAGAATGCATCTGTTACCAAGAAAGCACTCACTGGACAATGCTGACCCCATTGCAGGCGTGATGGGAGGTGTCTCCGGGACCCCTGATTTCATTCAACAGATGGGACTGGGTACAGATGGAATCATAGTAGACGCTACCCATCAAGGGTAACATTTCCGACCATTGAGGTACGGGTCGTCAACAGTCACTAACACAAAAGCAGGGGTCTAGTAGCTTCATACTACTTCGGTGCAATGTTCGGCTGCTTCTTCGCGGGCTGGTTTGGTGACACTTACGGTCGCAAACGCGGTGTATGGCTGGGCTCTTTGTTTTGCATCCTCGGCGGCGCTCTACTATCAGCAAGCATCAACTCGAATATGTTCATCTGCTCTCGTGTGATCACAGGCATTGGAATCGGGTTCATCAACACTATCATTCCAACATGGGTCTCGGAACTGGCTCGAGCTCACAACCGCGGTGTTCACTTCACGTTTATCTTCATCTCAAATTGTAAGTTGCTCTGCACCATCGCCAACCCTCGACTAATCATACTTGTCTAGATCTTGGCATTATTATCGCCTACTGGCTCAACTACGGCGTGAGCTTCACGTCTGGTGCTGCATTCAAGTGGAGATTTCCACTCGCGTTCATGACTGTGTAAGTGGCAGCAAATCTATGGCGAGTATTAGAAATCCCCTGACACCGTGTGCAGGCCAACAATTATTATTGCCCTTACAGTGGCGTTTCTGCCGGACTCGCCTCGCTGGCTGATCGCAAACGGTCGCCGCACAGAAGCAATTGAGGTTCTGGCAAAGGTTCGTGGCGATCTCTCGCAAGATGATCGCGAACTCCTGGCCGAGGTCGAAGAGCTGGAGGCCGTGGTGGAAGCTTCGAAACACAGTCGCAACCAGATCTGGAATATCGCCCTCGGCAGACATTCTGGCCGTCTTCACCTGGGTCGTCGCGCTTGGATGGGCTTCTTCCTTATGCAGATGTTGATGTGGAGTGGCATTATGGCGATCACGACATACTCTGGGGAACTGTTTAAACAGGCCGGCTTCTCGCCAGCCAAGTCCGCCTGGATGGGCGGCTTCTGCAATAGTGTCAGTGGCGTCCTCGGCACTGCCGCGGCGGTGAGTCAAAGGCCCTTTTTATCCTCGTCGCGACATTGATATGCTGACACTCTGTGCCTAGGCTCTTGTCATCGATCGATGGGGTCGCATCAAGAGTCTGCTCACCGGCTTTACCACGCAGGGCATCGTCATGTTTCTCACTGGTGCATTTCTCAAGGTAGCCAAGGATCTAAATGAGAGTGACCCGACCAAAGCTCAGAAGTTCGGCGTCGCATCAGCGAGTATGCTGTTTGTCTTCCTTTGGTGCTTCTGCATGTTCGTCATTGTTCCATGCTTCTTGTATTCCACCGAGATTTGGCCTCAAGAAGTCCGGGCTCAGGGCTACGCTTTTACTGTCTTTGGCTGGTGAGTTGGCTCCTGGTACCTTTGTTTGTCTCGCACTTGGCTGACATGCATGACAGGGCTGTTGGATCCGGGCTCACGACGCTATTGATCCCGATCATGTTGCAGAAGCTCAACTACGGGACTTTCTTCTTGTTTGGTGCATTCAACATCGGTAAGCATTCTCGCACTGCTGAGACTTCGGCAACTTGCACATATGCTGACTTCCGCCGAAGTCGCCATTCCTTCTGTGTGGTTCATCTACCCCGAGACTCGCGGCAGATCTCTCGAAGAGATCAACTTGCTCTTTGCTTCATCGTCACTCCTGGTCAGCGCCAACGAGAAGGAATACCAAAGGATGGTCCAAGAAGCAGGGGGCAATACTGCTGTGGCAGAGAGACGTCTCCTGGACGAGGTTGATGCTTCGACGCGAGAGGGGAAAGGAGAAGCACGGACACCGTCAGCGTCCAGTAATGGGGAGAAAGGAAGCACGTCAGGGGTTGCGATCCATAATGTGCCTAAGCTGTAAAAAGGCGGTGGAAATGATAGCATTTCTGTTTCGCCCGTGGCCCGAGTCGTTGTAGTCATGCAAGGCCTATGAACCTGCTCAAGCCTTGCGCATTATGTTCTTTCAGCTGCTCCGACGACTGCTCGTACCTCATCAATTTGTGATTGAGACGCCGTGGCCGCGGATTTGCGATACAGATCGCCTCCAGGAGGCCTTCGTGTCTAGATACACCGTTTCTGCCTGGGTCTCAGACGAGCTCTACGAGCTGACCGGAGCCTGCGTCGCTGGGATGTGATTATCGATCAGTTCGCCTCTTTCGATGATGGTTCGGGTGCGATAATCGAGGGTAAAATCCTGAACCTGTCAGCGATCAGCTGCTCGGGAGGCCTTTGATTGACTTACTAGGCCATGTGATGCCGGCTTGCCTATGGTGTAGTAGATGATGTGACAGCCTAGCAAAATCCTGACTGGTGATGCTTTCAAGGCCTCAATATCGCGACACTCCTCCTCGAAGTCATCCGCGTACATGTCAATAACACCTTTGCGAATGTAGTTCGGGAGAGGTGCTCCGTCTTCTGGGTACTTCACCAAGTGCTTCAGGTCGGCACCAAAGTGCACTTCTTCGAGTTTTGGCATGGTCAATAGCGACACTACATCGCTGTCAGGTGTGCTGACAAAGATAGACCGTGCTTCACACAAGTAGTGCGCCGGAACTCGACGGGCTGGTGGTGTGACGGGAGGCCAGCCGTAGGTCTTTGAATCGTAGAACTCGGGCCTCAGACTTCTGGCGAATATCGGTAAGGACTCTGTTCTGATGAGCTTGCAGACGATTAGTGCTCCTGGCAGTCTGGAGGTTTGCGTTTGATACGCGCCAAGGTGAACCCTTAGGCGACGTCCATTTCCAGGAACGTCAATCATGAGTCGCGCGCCAACAAAGAGGTGTTCGTAAACCATCTTGCGGATCTCAAACGGCAAGTCGAGAATTCGGAAGGGCTTGGTGGCAAGGGTCGTATCCTGGGGATCGACTTCGCTGTCCTCGTTGAAGGACTCCTGGGTGTGCTTAGTATCGAGTCCATGATTTGGACGGACATCGGGAATGGGACAACCTACGGGGCTCTGCAGTGGACCATTGACATCGCCCGTGTCCTGCGTGGTGGATGGCTGTGCGTCCATCGTAGCGGGCGAAGAGTGAGTTCTTGTCGTTAAGCACGCTGAGGGCCGCCTTGCGCTATTAATATCGCAGAGTACGTTCACAAGATGTGACTGTCCAAGATTCCTTTACTTGTCGACCTCCGAGTCACTGTGAGTCCATCTCATGGTCACCAAGTCATGCAGTCACGTATGAGTCAAAATTAAATTAATTCAGTTGAAAATTCAAGTCTGAGTACCTTACGTACTGAGGTAGTCACATTAAGCTAGAAAGCGATTCAGCTTGAAATGGTTTCGACAAGGCCTCGATAGCGTTCCAACATCTCCATCGCTATGTATCTTCGAAATAGACAGTTTTGCTATACCCTGGCACGTCCTTCACAGCCTCGCAATCAACTACTTGTCGAGTTCGGTAGTCGATGGTGAAGTTCTGGCTTCTGTCAATTTACATTTGGGAGGGCACAGGAGATGAGTTCACTTACTCGGGAGTATGCAGGATTGTCTTCTGCCTCATCCCAGTCCCAGTCATAGTAGTACGCAGTGCACAAGAGCAAGATTTTCAGAGGAGAAGCTACCACTGTCGCTGTCCTACTTGCCTGGGCCTCAAATTCCGCGAGGAGCCTTCTGATCTCGGTGTCCGAAGGACCAATCAGATTACTTTTGAGGCTCTCGACGTTTGTCCTGAAATTTAGGGACGTAAATAGGCCACACTCAATTCGATAGCATACTTCTTCGAGTTTCGGGAAGTTCGCGAGATTGAGTGGCTTGCAACAGCCGTGAAACGGACCACCACTGAGAACAGATCGTGCCTCGGATAGGTAATGTGCTGGAACCTGGTATCGGGCAGATTCGTCGGCATCGCAGTTGTAGAACTCCGGGCTAAGCGATTTGGCGAAGACCAGCAGAGATTCCGCTCTCAACAGCTTGCAAGCGAGCAGCAGTGAGGGCAGTGTGCTGCCCACGGATTCGGGGACCATAGGCTTAGGCCTGCGTCGACGGCTAAGCTTGTGTCGGGACCCTGGCGGAGCGATGATGAGGCGAAAGCCGGTGAAGAGCTCTTCGTAGACCATCTTGCGGATTTCTGCAGGTAGGTCGAGGAAGCGGAATGGCTTTGTGTCAGTGACCATGTTTAGAGCGTCGACATCGCCAGTGGCCTGCGTGCCGATGCTTGTGTGTTCATCGTGACAGGCGGAATGCAGGGTATTGGGTTCAAGCGAGAGTCGAGCAAATGCAGGCCGAGGATGTACGCCGAGGGCCGCCTTGTGGTATGAAAGGAGACGAGTACCTCCATCTAAAATTATGATTAATGCGACATGACTTCACTTGACACGACTTTACCTGTAGACAGCCTCGTGGGATTCGAGTCATGCAATCTGGTCTGAGTCATAATTCACATAGTTCAGGTGACCAAGCTGCGCGCTAGTTAGTCACTACAACTTCAGCAGCAATTCATCAGGTACCTCGAATGATGCAGACAACTTTAGAAGGCAAGCTTGAAAAGTGGTTGCCTTGTCGCCTCATTTCGTAGCCAGCCACTTCTCCATCTTGATCTTTCCAACGCCCGTCTAAATTCGAGAGATTCCTCGCCATCAGTCCCGCTTGATTCTGGACGACTTTAGCCATCCCGTTCATCCGGAGAGCCAGCACAAGTACGTGCTGTAACTGCCAGCTTTGTGCCACAAGTCGAGAATCTCACATTACCAGTGCCAGTTAAGATAGATGACGAGCAGCTCCCCTTCGACTCTTGAGTTCCGATGGCTCATGTGTGCAAGCTTGTCGTGCACCCAATATTTCGTAGTGTCGCCCCTATCAAGGATGGATCCTTCATGATGTCGACCCAATTTAGGATAATCTCGGTATAATAATCGATGTGTATCATCCATACACGCGCATCCTCATCATACTTAGGTAGCCTCTGACATCTATGACAACTCGAACTGCTGCAGGAACAAGAGACTCCTTGAGCTTGAACAAGTTGCGTTCCTTGACATTTCTCATATAAAGGCTGATCCGCTCCTGGTAATCCATTTGCGTCCAGTCTGCGACAAACTCCAGTTCTGGGCGCCACGAATACTCACTCAAGCCATGAAGGCCAGTACTGGCAACGACGAAACGCAGTTCTTTCAACGCAGGGAGCAACCGAAAGTTGGAGCTCGCACCCCATGACCGGGGATGCGACGACCGGCGAGCCCTTCAAAAATCACAAGTTCAGTATACGCAAGGTAACGAGCCAGATTACCGAAAACTGTGTCTGGACTGAGTCGTGTTAGATGATATTGAGCGGTGAGTTGCTTCGAGTAGACCGGAACTGCCTCCTCACGAAGGGACCGCGAAGACAGGAGCAGCGCGGGAATTGTGACGCCGTTTGTTATTCTTCCACGCCGACCGAAGCGACGTCCTTCGAGTCGGCGTGGAACGTCCATGACGAGTTATTCTCCACGAAACAACGTCTCATATGCCGTTTTCCGGATCTCAGCGGGCAGGTGGAGGAAGCAAAAAGGCTTCCCGCTGCTTCCGGGATTCTAGGACTTTTAACAACGGCGCCGTGAGGAACAGTAGACCCCGGGCAAATGCCTTACCTGCTGATCGACTGTGGTGCCTGGGCTATCATAACCTTGCTCGCCGTGGACAGTCGACATGCCGAGTGGGTCGATGCGTCAATAGCGTATGATATGCCGCAGTGTCATAGATGATTATCAAGGAGTTGCTGGACGATAATAACAAGGGAGAACGTTAAGTGATCTGTGCGTCTGCTGGTACATATATTATTGCGCTTTTCCGTCTAGCCCATGCTCTATGTGCAGAACCAATGGCGGAGGGCGCTGTTGACGCAGCGCCGAGCACGAGATGCGCTGACAGATTATTGTCTGCGTCTTGTACTGTCCAAACGACTATATCTAGGATGAGCTGTTCTGGTTTGTCAACCTGTCCGGTCACGATCCACATTGTCAACCGGTCTTGTCAAGCTCGACGCGTGGAGTTGAGGAACGCGCCAAAATTTGGAGATCGCCATGTGTCGCTCGAACCTCAAGCAAGCCGACCGCGACAGTAAATGGTCATGCCCACGACAGAGCGTCAGATTCAGAGCAGGATAGAGCAGCATTTTGGTTGTCGTCGTCGCCGTGAACAACAGTCACTGAGCAGATGTACGCTCAACTGCCGAAACCGCTGCACCGTACGGCCCCTCGCTTCCGTTGCAGGGGTCTCCCCAACCGAAACAAACAAATGATTGTGCGACAACGTCAGATTCTTGCTCTTATTTTTATTTCGTAGCATGGAGCAGTCAACATGTCGGAAGACATACCATGGCCACCGACATCGCCCAAGGCCGCCCTGCTTAGTTCTCCGAGTGGTCGCAAGCGCTACAGCGAGGCAATGGATCGATCTCCGATCAAGCGTTCCCGCACGACACCTAATCTGCTGAGCAGGCTGCAGGACGCGCGGAGTGGTGGACAAGACGAGAATATGCCTGACAGTGACGAGGAAGACGACGAAGAGACGCTCAAACTGCAATTGGCTGCGATCGAGGCAAAGTTGAAATTGAAGAGACTGCAACAAGCAAAAGCAAAGCCAGAATCTACGCAACATGCCTCGAGCAGTCGGCGGACAGAGACAGTACAGATTGGTCTATCGCCTACGAAGAGGGCGCCGATCAGCTTAGAGCCTCGCTCACCCAGCAGACTGCTGCTCGGTATTGACAAGGGAAAGACTGGCGCTGATATGTCTTTGAAGCGGGCCAAATCGCTCTCAGATCGACCGGGCACGTCTACTGCGCTCGTGAGGCCAGAGCGGTCACTCTCCAGGGCATCGCAATTATCATCACGATTGCAAAGCGCTGCCTCGCGACCGTCGTCACAGACAAGCAGTGCTACTCCGGCTCCGAAGTCGTTCAGTGAGCGCATGGCAGACGTGCGGGACAAGGACAAGGGAAGAGAAATCAGAAGGAGTGCTGCCTTGGAGAATCGTACGTCGAATTTCAATTTGGACAAGGATGAGATGGAAGAGTATCGTGCTTTGGCCGAAGAGAATCAAAAGGCAATGTCACCTCCTGTGAGGAACGCTATGACTCAATCGTACACCAGAGAGGAGATCCTACAAGCTCAAAGTGCGGCTGGCGGCTCGAAGTTGCGCAGAAGCAAGACCGATCCGGACCTGAAGAGCAGGCGACCTGTATCCCGAAGCTCCGATTCTCACGAACCAGACTCGTCTCTCCATGAAGGTTTCTCTGGCATCAGCCTGTCCTCTCGCATTCTCCCCCACACTTTTCTTAAGCGAACACTTCCCGAGGACGACTTTACCGTCTACACTGTTGCTGAGCTGCTCCGAAACATCAAATCTCCCGAGTATGAACTCCCTGATGGCGTCGGCGACTACGTAGTCTTCGCCATCATTGCGTCCAAGTCCTCTCCTCTCGATCAGAAGATCAAAGCTGAAGAGACGTCAAGCGGTACAAAGGACTGGGAGCGCAAATGGGATGACGGCAAGCAGAACGCCAAGAAGTTCATTGCCATGACTCTCACTGACCTCAAGTGGACTGTCGATCTGTACCTGTTCGGTACGGCCGTCCCGCGGTATCACCGTCTCACGCCAGGTACGGTAATAGCGATCCTGAACCCCGGGATTATGCCGCCGAAGAAAGGCCGCGAAGAGTCTGGTGCTTTCAGCCTGAACCTCAGCAACGGTGAAGACACAATTCTCGAAATCGGCACCGCTGCTCACCTTGGCCACTGCACGTCCAAGAAGAAGGACGGCAAGCTATGTGGGCAATGGATCGACACGTCCAAGACCGAAATCTGCGAATGGCATCTCAACATGCAGCTGCACCGCACCGAGCAAGGGCGCATGGGTCTGAACGCCGGCAGCCATGGGTACGGCCAGGGCAGTAAGTCTGGCTCGTCTGGCTTCCCAAGATTCAACCAGTCAGATCGTCGCGGTGGACGATCTGGACGGGGCAGAGGTGGAGGTCTCCTGCCCCGCGATGAAGGCCAGAAATTCGACGAGCTAGGTCAATCCTACTTTGTCTCAAGAGGCACTGCACCCATCGCACCACCGACCATGAGCGACATCAACACTCCGTTCACGACCATCAACACCGCCCGTACCATCGACCTTGACGATCCATTCCTCAATGCCGACCATGTCCGCGACCGCAAAACTCTCATGAAGAAACGGGCAGAGCGCCAGCAGCAGGAGAGGGAGATTGCAAAACATCTCGGCAAGACGAGCTATGGGAGTAGTGCAGGCGCGGAGTATATGCGGCATCAGTCTGGGACGGCTACGAAGAAAGAGATGACGGGCAGGGAAGGTGTGGGCGTCAGGCGGGACGCACAGGCGATTCTCGGCAGTATTATGCGGGATGCAGGTGACGGGAAAAGCAAGAGGACGGGCGATGAGGTCCGGTTGAGTCCGGCGAAGAGGGAGAAGAAGAAAGTGACGCGATTCGTCACGGATCGGGGGATCAGGGAGGCAGGAAGAGAGAGCTCGGGTGTTGTTCCGGCTATTAACGAGGACGACGACGATGATGACGATCTGGATATTGTGTAGGACTGGCGAACAACGAGGGTATGAGAACGATTGTGCACTGCTGTCAATGACGACGAAAGACTTCGACCTGGCTTCCGTCTCACACGAGGCATTTGGGATGCACCTGAACCTCACCTTGGACTCGTCAGAAAGCCGAGTTTCCCACTTAGAACTAACCATGAGGCAGGTCAAAAGAGCTGAGACACCATGTATGATGGTGATGGTGAGGTTCTTGGCGCTACTGACGATTCGATCATTGCGTAGGAGCGAACGCATTGATGGCACGACCGTCGTGTTGTATGTGGATTTGACCGACAAAAGCTTTCCACCACTCTCGATTTGGCCGACGAGCTTTGACCAAACCCTCAGATTGGATTCGAGTTCGCGTCAGGACCTTCGCGCTTTCTGTGGCAGTGAATGACTGGCAGTTGCAGTGAAGCACGCGAGGATAACATATATCGACTAATCTCTCCTTGTCGCTTTGCTCATCCTTCCCACCACTCCCAACAAACAACGCCATCACAAGATTTGGCGTCATCTACCATCGTATCCGTTTTCGAGCACTCAATCTTCCTGGCGCATGATGTCGTCGAGTCTCGCCGAAGATGAAGGCCGTGATGGCTCAGATACAGCGGTCGAGAAGCAGGTGAGTGGACGAACTCTTGCTTGTTGCTGACCGCGAGTCACATGCTGACGCTCGTAGGTCGTTCCCAAGCGCGACAGACCTGTCGGCTTCCTCGACCTACCTCTTGAGGTCCGAACGATGGTGTACGAGAAACACCTCGCTGAAGCGTACCCTAGAGCGTCCCTTCAGCTTGATGTTGCACGCGGCCTAGAGATCCAGCAGGGAAGGAGCTTTGTGGCAAGATTCAGCACAAAGTCTGGCACCAGGGAAAGACAGAGGGGTAGGCCGTCCCTTCTGCTGGTCTCCGGGCTCATTCGAAGCGAAGCGCTTCCTATCTACACCAGCAAACTCACCGTCACCGTCTTCGGCGACTTGGGAAGGCAGGATGAGATCCGGGACGCCCTGGCGCAATACCTGCAAAACTCTCGAAGCTTGTTCGTCTACCTGTCCAACGATGATACCAGCCTCGCCAGTCTCAATCTCCCGTCGATGCCGGCTCTGAGAGTGTTGCACTTCTCACACGACATAACGACTTCGTTCATTGACCGAGAGTACCAAGCGGCTTTCGAAAAGAATCGGCAACGTCTCAAGAAGCTCGCAACGGATGCGCTCAAAGCTTCTGCTCTTCCGCCAGGCGTCCGAGTGTACACGGCGGTTTCGGGCAGGGGTGCTTACGTGGGTCGAGTGGGACTCAAGTAGACTTCCAAACAACGACAAGACCTGGCTCGGGAGTTCTTTCACAATAGGACGGCTAGCTTTGGCTGCGCGGTGTGAGTCTTGGCAACGCAGAAGGTACTCGGAAGGTTTAGTCACTCAGGATAGCTGTTCCACCCAGCAGGGCTAAGGTACTTCCGTCAAGGTACTCGGAAGGATGCTGCGAGGTATATATGTCGACTCCCACTCTGCCTACGCCGTCAATTTTTCTCCTCAATGCCACTTACCAACTAGCACCACTTGCACCATCATATTCTGGGTCATCGACCATACTCAAGATGCCGCTATCTTGGCGCTCGGTGTATGCACTCATGTGCAAGCTTTTGAATTATACCAAGGTTTTCGGACGTGACAGCAAAGCCGCGGCTGTTGCCACGAGCAAGAGGCCTCTTGGGTACCTAGACCTTCCCGCAGAGATTCGGATGATGGTGTATGAGCAGATCATTGTTGGGTCACACCACCTGATGATTGATGTCCCAGGACACTGGCAGAGCAGACAATCCCCAACTGGCAGAGGTTTTGGCCCAGTTGAAAGCGGCCGCTGCGAAGGGGCACCACCACTTTTGCAGGTGTCCCGTCTCGTCCGGAATGAAACGCTTCCTATCTACGCCCGAAATTTGACTGTTCACATCTATGGAGATCTGGAAGGGCAGAACGATAGCTGGCACGCTCTGGTGGATCATCTAGAGGTCTGTAAGAGCTTGGTCGTCCACGAATCCCGTGAGGGCAACTGCATCAGTCTCAACCTGCCCTCTATGCCAGCTCTCAAAGTTTTGCACTTTTCGAAAGACTTGGGTCCCGATTCTGTCTCCCGCACCCCGCTAGAGACCTCTAGCCCAGAGTATAGAGAAAGGTTTGAGAGGTACTTTCAACGGTTCAAGAAGCTCGGGATGCCTGCTCTCGAAGCGGCTTCTCTTCCCCAAGGTGTTATTTGTTTTCGCAGACTTGTCGGGGACTGGGCGGTATTTGGGTCGGATCGGACGCAAACAGATGGGACGACAACTACAAAAACGGTTCGATGACTCTGACAATCTTCAAACAGGCTATTTCTCGCCTTGGAACTTACCTTGGACTGCTCACCAATGTGAGCATTGTGGCGGCAGTCACTCACCTTCAGCAAGTCAACTAAAGACGCCAAGACATGTCTATACTTGTTCCCGGGCAACGTAGCCCACAATGTCCTCTGCTACTACTGAATAAAGTCTTCTCAATGTGCTTGACACAGGCACATTAGAGGCTCTACACACACATAGCGATGTTCAAGCTCACTTCTACACAACGCCGCGATTGCAGGATGGCGTTTTTCACATCCAAGTACCGAGCATCTGCAAAGAAGCAACCCACAAAGAAACAACCGCTGATTACAGCGTTCATCCCTGGCAAAAATCACAATCACAGTCACTCACACACAGCGGTCGAGGAGCAGGTAAGCGAATCCATCATGAGCTGTCTAACACGACGACACAGCTGACACTTGCAGACCTTCGAGCGCGAAGGACCCTTCAGGTTGCTCGATCTACCCAGCGAACTCCGGAAGTTGGTCTATGAGCACTGTTTACCGAGAGCGCCTGTCGCGATCGTTCTTCCAAGCGGCTCGGCGACAGCACGTGTGAGCTACTATGGCGGCTCTTTACTGTGAGAACCAGGCCCGAGGTTCACAGTCCCGGCTCTCCTTCTAACCGCTCGATCGATCCAGGAAGAGGCGATCCCGATCTACTCGCGAGGCGGACTCAAGGTCTATTTGTGTCAAGGTTGGGAGACACAGACTTGGAGCGAACCGACAGTGTGGCTGGCACTCTGCAGAGACTTGTGCATTGACGAGTTGAATATCACCAATCCCGTAACGCTCAACCTTCCGAAGATGCTGGCGCTGAAGCTCGTACACTTTCATCATAATCGGGATTACGAGCGTCTTAGCGCCGAACAATTGCAGGAGGACAAGAAGGCAGCTGTGGAGCGCTACAAAAAGTTTGGGCTGCTTGCTCTGGAGAATGTTGAAGCTCGGCAAGCAGTCTCGGTCATCTTGGTGGTTGGGTCTAGACCCGTTTTCCTGGGCCGAGTGGGACGCAAGTCGATATCTTGAAGCAATACCAGGCTCCGGACACAAGTACTGGGCGGCTTTAGCAGGTTTTTGTGGTTCTGAGGTCAGGGAGGACGCTGAGGTTCCGAGGTCGATTCGCCAACAAATCGTTGGATTTGAGATGCGCCTTACTTGAGCGTTGGCTGTCAGGAAAATCTGTTCCGAATTTCCTGGCCAGGGAGGGCGCTGAGAGGATTCGAAAGGAATGCTCAGAGGGAAAACTTGGACATTGTGCCGGAGAGCAACGTTGAGGATGCCGGAGATGGTGGCCAGGGTGCTCCGCGGTACCAGCGAGAGCGACGACACGAAGGTCGTTGCTCGCCAGGCCAATTCACATTCAACCAAGAGATCTGTCCATTCTGCTGCTCCCACATGGGAGATCCAGCCTGCATCTGAGCATGGATCATAGTCCAGAAGTTCCTTTGTGCTGACTTCGTACAGTGACTCCTTCAGCAAGTGATCCCGGAAAACAGCTGTGAGTACTCTGTGAGCACTTGGCAAGTGCAGCAAAGGCCGGCTTCATTGTTCCATTTCCTACGTGTCTCCGTTTCCTTCCTACGTTCAGTACCTGAAACGAATGCCTGGCGCTAGGGAGCTAAGAAGTCATACACTGATTTGTTTGTTATCAAGAAGGAATCCTTTGATGCTACCCATCACTAATGCCACATCACACGTCCTGTTGCAGGCCTTGGACTGTCTGATTGCACCGTCACTGGTCCTGCGCTCGACTTCCTCCTTCGCACACGATGGTCTTGACCCGCGCAGCCGCCCAGCGCGGTGCCAACGCCGACACGATCGTCGATGAGCAGGTAAGATTCTCGCCACCTGCTGTTCAGCTCTACCAGGTATCTGACCTTTCTAGACTTCCGAAAGCGAGAAGCCCTTCCGATTCCTCGACCTCCCCACTGAAATCCGACAGATGGTCTACGAATTGCACTTTGTGGGCGTTCGACACCTCGCCGTCGACGTTCCAGGCCATCTCGTCCAGTCCACAATGCCCAACATTTTCGCCGCAAAGCAACACAAGATCCCTCCGCTCCTCCTGGCCTGTCGCACAATCCGCGCCGAAGCAATGCCAGTCTTCTCCAGCAAGCTCACCGTCCACATCCACCGCGGTCTCGGCAGAAATACTCGACACAGACAGGCCCGAGCATCGACCGCTCTCGCCCACTACCTCTGCTCCTCGACAGCTCTCGTCATTCACGGCTTCGATCGTGTCCCCTACCCGGGCAAGCTCGAGCTCCCAAGCATGCCGGCGCTAAAAGTGTTGCGCTTCTTCGTGTACAACAATGGAATCGGCCAGGCGAGCGTGTTTCGTGACCATGCTGTGCATGTTCAATGGTTTAGGGAGACGGGAATGCTTGCTCTGAGACAGGGTGGGTCTGTTGAGCCGGGTGTGAGGGTTTTCGCGGAGCTGAATGGGAAGTGTGCTTACCTTGGGCGGATCGGAAGCGTGTAGATGAGCTCAGGAGGGCACTGCGGCTTGTGTAGGGTACTTCAAGTCATTGGCGTTGACGACAACATGAGTGTTGAATAGACACATCAATTAAGCTCAGGCAATTCCAATCTCAGAGTCCTAGCTCTCAGTCGGGCGTCCCTGCTAGCTCTACGGAGCATTCGACCGTCGCTTACTTGAGGAGCACGACTAGCTCCAACTCGCCTACGACTGCCGTTGCTTGAGTGTTGCTCAAGCGTCACTGACTAACACCTCATCTAAGGGAATCTGCAGGCCAGGGAGGACTCTGTATCGAAGGGTTCGTTACCTTTACTCAAGCCACGCAAGACATAATAAAAATCCGACGACTACCACCAACTGGATCGAGCTGAGACCGGTTCACAAGCATACCAACAGGCCAGCTGACGGGAAAGCAGCCAGACCGGCTGGCAAAAAGGTTCTCAGACCGGTTGACAAAGGGGCCAACTCGCACCTGCCTCTCTGGACATCTTCCCACAGCAGGCGCAAGGGGCCGGTGGCACCCGTACCTGCCTTCCTCGACGTGTCCCTGGCAGTACTGCAGGAGCTTCCCACTGACAAACCTCGTACCTGCCCGTCCAAACATCTTGCTGCAGCAGGAGGTGATCGACTGACGCCAGTCGCACCTGCCTCTCTGTACCCCTTCTGTGGCAGGAGCGATCAGCTGGGGCCATTCGCACTTGCCTCTGCAGATACATCACATGGGCAAGAGCGTCTCAGCAGCGTTTCGCACCTGCCTCTGCGAAATGCTCTGTGCGGCAGGAGCGTCTCAGCAGCGTTCGCACCTACCTCTCCAAGATGTGGCTCTGCGGCAGGAGCCTCCAGTTGATCGCATTCGCTACCTGCCTCCCTTGAGACTTTCAGCAGCAGCAAGAGCGACTCGCCCGACAACGTTCGCACCTACCCCTGCACGCACGATGTGCGGCAGTCTTGATCCATTGGGACCAGCGTCCTCTAAAGCATAAACACGGCTGTCAGCAAGGGCAAAGTGTCGGGGACGTGACCAGAAAGCGAAGGGTTGGACGAAGGGGAAGATGAGGAGTAGGATAGATAGTATTGTGGAAGGCGGACTATCCCAAGACCGGTTGAGAAGGGGACAGGAAGCCGGATGATGGGCGGCGTTTTACGAGACCGGATGACCAGCGTCTTGGAAAGGACTTCTCTATCGCCGGTCGACGGTTGGTCTGAGCTAAGACTGGTTGACAAAGGAAGGGCCCTGGAAGACATCCTACTCTTGTGATATGCAGGGCGGCATCTACGTCGGGGTTGTGTTAGTCACTGCGGGTCATTGACGTTGACATGGACTTGGATGGCATTCTCCTCACCGACGGACATCTCACACGCCTTGAGATGATGTAGCGAAGACTCCGACGAAGAAATATTGGTCGGTACGTGTCTCGAACATCTCAAAGAAGGTTGCCATGATCATCGTTCGGTAGCAAGCAAATACTGTCAACAAAATCTCGCTCACTTCCGCCAGCTCATCCTCCTCGCCTTCAGCACTACATAAGCCAACCCCCTCAACCCAATCACAATAATAGCCAGAAACCCAACACACTGCCCCACGGAATACCTGTCCAGAGCATACAAAGCCAACACCTGCTCGCCCGTCTCAATCCCACACATCCCATCAGGTAATCTCTGCTCCGCATCACACGTAAATCTTACTCCTCTCAGGCTTTCGCCCGCCATTGCCATAACCACCCATTTCGTCGGATTGACGTGGTTAATCCATTGTAGAAATCCAGTGACATCGACGGCCATGATTCCTGCTAGATTGATACACAAGGACATGGTTACAGTAGCCACATTGATGGCAAGCCCAACATGATTAACCATGCTGAAGAACATAATCCCCAAGCTCTCCCCACAGCTGGCGACGCTGAATGCCACAAACGTCGACAGAAAGTACATCGTCGCTGTGCGATGGATGCCCGTCGGAAAGACAGCTAGGATGGAGAATATGAGTGCACCGATAATCTCCATTGGCGTCTCGATCGCAGTGAATTGCAGGAAGAATGCTTCGAGGGGATACACTGCGTCATCGTCCTCATGGTAAAAGATGTCTCGCTCGGGCGGATAGGTAGCGATGGAGTTGAGCATGCCCATGAAGAAAATACTGGCGTATTGCCCTGCGAAGCCTGCTCTCGTCTGCACCCCCGAGAAGCCGTTGGTCAGTGGGCTGAAGAAGATGGCGAAGACGACGCCGCACGCGATGAACTGGTTGATGCGGCCCCAGAGGATGTTGGGCTGGCGGCGGATATTTTTGAAGTTGCGGGCCATGAGGATCGGGAAGGCGAGGCGGAACGGCGTCCTTTCGCGCAGCATTTGGCCGAGTGTGGCTGGATTTGCGACTTCGCGGTCGGTGGTGGCGAGCTCCTGTTGGACGGTCGTCCATTTGTCAATGAGGTTCTGGAGCTTTTCGTGTGAGACTGAATGGCGTTCGTGCCAGTTGGTCGAGACCAGATCGATGGTGAAGTCGGCCGGGTTGGCGTGCTCTGGGCACTTGTGGCCAAGGTCGTCGAAGTAGGCGACCATGTCGGATGCTGCGCCGGAGTAGACGACGTGGCCTCCCTTTGCGAGAAGGAGCATGGAGCCGAATTGGCGGTAGAGGTCTGATCGGGGCTGGTGGATCGTGAAGATGATTGTGCGGTCTTCGTCCGCAAGACCTTGAAGTACTTCTAGGATCGATGCTGCGGTGAATGAGTCCAGGCCGCTCGTTGGTTCGTCGAGGAGAAGGATAGAGGGTGATGTGAGGATTTGAATGGCAATCGAGACGCGTCTCTTCTCCCCACCAGAAATACCTTTCATGAAGGCGTCGCCAATGAGTGTGTCTGCGCAGTCTTTCAATCCGAGCTTGAGTAGCACGTCTTCGGCGCGTCGCAGCTTCTCCTCGATTGGTATTCTGGCGGGTAGTCTGAGCCGTGCTGCGAAGCGTAGGGTTTCGCGAACAGTCAAGGCTGGAAGGAGACCGACGTCGTCCTGGTGGACGTAGGAGATGACCGATTTCACGACCTGACGGGATGGTACTGCGCCGTTCATCAAGACTTTTCCGCCACGCCGATATTTCGTGGTGGTCGTATTTCGCAATCTATTGGCAATGGCGTTCAAGAGAGAGGACTTGCCGCTACCCGAGGGCCCCATGATAACATTCAGTGTACCTGGCGTGAAGACGGATGTGGTAGGATGGAGGATCGTCTTCGTGGACTTCTTACGGAAGAGCGAGTTCGATTCGACGGACAGCTCGAATGCGTCGACCTGCACTGTGATAGGTCGGATTTCATCTTTGCGATCCTGTACCACATTGCCATCTATCACAGCCGAGTCGGATGTGCTGACACGGACGAGCTGGATGTTGTGAGTCTTGTACTTCAGTATGAGTACATTGACGGTGAGCATTAGCGCGAGAAAGCCCAGTAAGGCCAAAGCTGGAGTGCTGAGCCAGTCGGGAGGTAGGTCGAGCCCTTCCAGAATGTAGGTACCAGTGTACTCGATGCATCTTGGATCATTGGGATTGTTTGAGACCGGACAGGCGTAGAAGTGGCCTGCGAATTCGTTCGCACAGAAGGCCGCAAAACCGTAGTATGAGTAAGTAATCCACTTTATCCAGCGCAGCCAGATGGGGATCGTGCTCGTGTTTATCACGAAGCCTGCACCGTATGATTGTATCAGGAACATCGCGTTGGCAACAATTGAAGCGATCATGAAATGACGCTCGACTGCCACGCAGAAGAGGGCGACTGTAACACTCAAGAGGTGCATGGTCAAAGTAAGGGCGACAAAGATGAAGAACTGGCCGGGATCACTCCGGAAACCTGCCATCCAGTAAAACAATGTGGCGTAGATGATCGAGATGGGCACATCTTCCAACCAAAAGCGTGAGAGGCGGCGGCTCAGAATAAAGGTAGCGGATGATGTAACTCCTTCGGAGAGTTCTCGGTCGAAGATAGGTATGTCGATGCTCATCCTGTACGTCTCGAACATCAGAATCAAGTATGGCTGAAGGACCACGCATGCCATGAAAGACCCCATGCGCGACCTGATGCCACTGAGATCTGAGCTCAGTCCAAAGAAGATCCAGCCAACAGCAATCCCCATCAGTATGCCTTCAAGGATGGCAGCGAAGAGACCGAGGCGGTCCCGGATGGTCGTGACGGCATCGCGCCGCGTGTGGACCAGGATTCGGTATGCCCAAACCCGAATCGCTTGAGCTGTACTTCCCGTGTTGGCATTGAAAGGAACCAACTGACCTGCACCTGGCGGCGGAGGCTGGAGGTGCGACGACGCAATCGACTTCCATGCCGACTGGAGTCGTTCAATACGAGCGATCGAGGCGTGCTCGACATCTGGGGCGCGCAAGTCGATCGAGGCAGAGTCGATGATGAAGTCGAAGGGATTGACTAGAGTTGGCAGCTTATGACCTTGCTCTTCAAAATGCTGGATGCATTGAGATCGCGGGCCACTGTACACAACGCTTCCTCGGGCTAGCAGGATGATATTGTCAACCTGGTTCCAGATCTCAGATCTGGGCTGATGGAGCGTTAAGACGACACAATATCCCCGATCTGCAAGATTCTTGAGACAACGCACTACACCCATCGCTGAGGTAGCATCGAGCCCCGTTGTGGGCTCGTCTGCAGTCAGAACGCTTTGGTTGGCTAGCAGCTGTATGCCTATGCTGGTGCGGCGTTTCTCTCCTCCACTGCAGCCTCGTCTGATACTGTTGCCAATTTTGGTGTCGGCACAATCTTGCAGGCCCAGGTCTGTGATGACTGATTCGACTTTGGCAAGGCGATCGGTCTTGGACATGACTGAAGAGAGCCGGAGATCTGCCGCGTATCTAAGTGTCTCTCTAACGGTTAGGGTTGGCTGCAAGGCGTCCTGTTGCATCACGTACGCCAGTCCAGCATCTGCTCCTGAGCTAAACTCCACGCGAGCAGTATCATTCTTGGAACAGACAATTGTGCCGCTCTGACGCAATGCTTTGCCTTGGACTCTCTTCGCCATAGCGTTCAACAGCGATGTCTTACCAGACCCCGAGGATCCCATTATAACAGTCAGAGATCCGCCGGGAATATCGACCGATACATCGTTAAGTATGATCTTTTCAGACGGCTGAGCCTCGACGTCCTTCTTCAGCTTCCTTTGGAACGGACCTGGTCTGGCGGGTTGCACCTTTATCGTGAGATCTCTGATGCTGATATCGACGACAGCGCGCTGATCACCCGAGTGCTCGACCACCTCATGGTCGCGGGGTGATAGGTGTTTTTCGTCCATGACTTCGACCTGGTTTCAGTGGTCCGGCGCGCCGGTTGTCTCGTAATCAGCCAATATTGATGTTGTGAACACGCGGGGTCCTCCACATCGCGAAGAGGTCCATCATATCAGTACCCTTTGGAATGAACAGTCAAGTTGCACGATCGTGCCCATGATGCCGGGAAGTAAAGTTGAAGGAACAACTTTGGTCGAAGTCAGAATGTCGAAGCGAGAAGTGTGGGATGCTGCGATGCCACATGTTATAAGTCCTGCCTGTACGACGCCCGGTTGATTAACTCGCAAGAGATTTGTTCGCTTCGTTCGGGATGAGCCCACCATTCGACCGATCAGGCATAAATCACGAAACGGCCTCTTGTTCTAGGCGGCTTGACCGAGCGAGCCGACGTCAAAGAAGAAATGAAACCGCCAATCGTTTTCGATGTGCTCGTGGCCATTTCGGCAGAGTTTGTACTTCGCAGTCGGTGCTTATGGATTCTTTCGCCAGAAAATTAGAGCGTCAGCCAGTCTCATATAGGTTGTGGCACGAAGGGTCATTGACAGGCATTCGATTATAGGCTGAGCGGCGGTCCTGCTCTTTGGTATGGTCGTTTTTGCGTCTGAGATCGCAGTCGCAGATTGTCAGAATCTGATAATGATTAGCCTCCACCGCGGTGTACTGCATCGGGTGGTTCCAGTGTGACGTGCCTAGGTACCTAGGATGCAGGCCCGGCACCGCGGTGATGGGGAATCCCAAGTACATGACTCAGTGAAAATGAAGACCCGTGTGAAACGTGTTATTTTCTCCGAGTCAGGAAAGTGACACAACTCGGTCGCTCCTGCATCACGAAGTACCTGCCACGACTTCACATAATTAACATTCACCTAGTACTTGAGCGCGCAAGCACAAAACTCGATCGCGCTTGCCTTTATGAAGGCTCTCTGATTGGCAATTGACAGTGCTTAGAAAACTTGCAGCAGTGACCGAATCAACATGGCGTCAGCCGTTTGCTAATGATTCATGCCCGCCCAGCATCATCAAATCGTCTGACCTCTCCCTGTCTTGGAGCCTTATCGCATGCAGCCATGACGAGGAACTACTCCATCACATACCTGAAGCGGTGGTCGTGCAAGCCCAAGAAAGAGATTCCGGGCGTGCCCCAGATCAAAGCCCTCCACGTCTATGATTTCGATAACACGCTATTCAGCAGTCCTCTCCCAAATCCTCAGATATGGGCCGGTTCAACAATAGGTATGCTTCAGGCGAAAGAGACGCTCACATACGGCGGCTGGTGGCATGACTCCACCATTCTCGCAGCCACAGGTCAAGGTCTCGAGAAAGAGGAAGCAAGAGCATGGGAGGGATCGTGGAACGAGACAGTCGTTGACCTGGTCAGACTGAGCATCGAGACCAAAGACGCGTTGACGATCGTCCTGACCGGCCGTAACGAGAAGAGCTTCGCCGATCTCATCAACCGCATGCTCAATGCCAAAGACCTGGACGTTGATCTCGTGGCACTCAAGCCAGACCTCTCACCCGGCGGTTCAGCCTTCGGATCTACCATGGAATACAAGCAAGCCTTCTTGTCGGATCTGGTCTTCACATACAAGCATGCAGAAGAGATCAAGATCTACGAGGACAGACCCAAACACGTCAAGGCGTTCAAGGACTACTTTGAGAAACTCAACAAGTCTTTCCTATCACACCCCGTCGACCAGCCAGCACCACCTCGGAAGCCAATCACGACCGATGTCGTTCACGTCTGTGAGCTGAAGTCATCTCTGGATCCTCAGTCCGAAGTCGAAGTCATCCAACGTGCCATTGCTCGTCACAACGAATCAGTACTCAACGGTGGATCAAGCAGAAGCCCCTCAAGATCGTTGAGAACCACCTGTATCTCGGCCATCTCATCAACCAAAACGATTCGGCCAGACTCATATCGCTGTGTAACGTCCAGCCTACTCTGATTGATTCAGGTGAGGTGCGGTTCATGGCTTCAAACATCCTCATAGAACCCGGCTACGCTCGTAAAGACGTTGTGCAGAAGGCCGGTGGTCGAGGCAAGAAGGTCATGTGGCAGGTAGACGGTATTGCCAAGTACGAAGATCGAATATGGGCTGCAAGAGTGACTCCCGTTCAGGACACTCAGGTCTTCACCAAGGACTCTACTCCGACTGTGGTTCTGGCCATCAGGAAGGGGTCTAGACCAATCGACGCTAGCAAGATCACCAATTGGCAACCTGTCAGTAAGGACAAGGCATTCATGTTCCAGACTGAAGTCGGTGACAAGCTCATGCTAGAGATCCAGCGAGACAACACGCCTGCAAAGAACAACAACCAAGACCGAGACCGTGGTGGACAGACCTTCAACAAACGCAAGTTCAACGATGAGAATGACTTCAACAATGCCTGGCCAAAGCCGGGTGAGCAGCACAACAAGCGACAAGGCGGTGATCGTCATGGCCAAGCACGTCACTTCCAGTCCAAGGCAAACTTCAACAACGCGTCCAATCCCAATATGCCTGGTAGCACCGGCAAGCAGTTCCAGAACCAGAGCAACACGGCCAAGCCCGCAACACAGCAGCAGGGCCGCAATAATGCCAACATGGGCGCCAATAGAGGTGGTGCAAACAACAATAACAACCAGCGGAATAATCGCAACGGCAATCGTGGCCCAGCCTACAAGAGCTTGGACGACTACGGCCCCAATAACTTTGACGGTCAGGCCGATCCAAAGCTGCAGCAGACCGCTATGGTGATGGACTACTAGGGACAGTCTATGCAAGAATCGCAGAAGCCGCAGAAGACGGCACGAGCTGTGAGGAGAGAGCGGTATCTACGCCGCCAGCTCACCCATCGCGAGGGCAATTCGAAGCAGCAACAGACTGCTATGGTGATGGACTACTAGGGACAGTATCTGGAAGCATCGCACGGCATGCGAAAACCGCCACGAGCTGTGCGAAAAGCACGGTACCTATGCGACCAGCTCCTCGAATCAATCTCAGGTGGAGAACTACCGGCATGAGTTGGGGCTGTATCAATACCGCAAGGACATCTTTTCAGTCCGAGGCATGGAGTATGCTATCATTTCAAGCGGCGTAAAAGCATGGCGGTAGTCATCTATCATCACTAATAATACGCGTCGGACACTACCATGCCACAATGGCGTTACTACTACTGTATCATATGGAAGCACCTTCAAATAGGCAGCATTATGCTGAGACCATACACGTAGCAATGATCTATTTGCATGGTACCTTGTATCGACCTTACCCTGCACAGTACCTGATGTCGTTTGCCTGACGTTCACGACGTTCATGCTGTACGAGTTGTGAAGAGTGCCTCGCACCAAGGTACCGAATCTTTCATATGCCAACGCCTGTTGTTGCCCGACGTATAAGATCTCCATTCTTGGAAAAGCCAGGGAGTAAGGCAAACAGCCCGATGATCGTTGGAGCTCGAGCACAGGGGTCCTTGTTCCTGATTGGGCACTCCACTTTCCCAGAACAGCTTCTACAGTATCGGTCTCAGGCTGTCTACCGCTTTCAAGTCAACAGATCTCCATGTCGGCGAGTAAAAGGAGGGCGGAAGGTAAGTCTGGCGAAAGTCACAACACGGACTCTATCGACTACATGCCCAGCTATCTCGACGTCAGGTGTGTCGACGCCCTATGCTTGCTTTGGATCTGCTCATGATTTGGAATCGTTGTTGATCGGGATGAGTCATCCATACATACACCTGGATCGAGCAGTTGCTCCACGTTTGACCCTCACATGCACCTGCAGCACCACGAGCAGCATTGAAGCATGAGGTTGGCAGAAGAACAATAATCATATGATTGCAATAATGTGTGCTGCTGCGCTCCACAGACTCATATGGCTCGCTAGATCAGATTATTCGTCCACTAACAATAGTCCAACATTGTGACACGCCCGGATGCCAGAGGCCGAGGCTTAGAACGTAGCCTGATAGCCAAATCCCATCTGCGTCTGCGTCACGGGAGGACCTTGACTCGTGCTGCCCCACGACGGCGGCAGGGACGGATCGTGCTGACTTTGTTGCCCATTGCTCGCGAACCCATCCCAGCCCTGATCCGTTTGCAGGTCGAAGTAGGGCGGCAGCCAGTTATGGCTGAATACGCCCCAGTCCGGATGGATCTGCTCTAGCGGTAATTCCTGCAGATTATTCAAACTCGCGTCCGCCCCGATTTGTATCTGCGGGATTTCTGCCGCTGAGGGTGAGAGAATTCCTGTTGGATTGTTGGTGGTTGAGTCCCGACCATCGACTGAGGCTGAAGCCTCAGGCGTGTAAGCCGGCGCCTCCGGCACAGGCTTCTCCCAACTCGTCTCTCTTCGATCAATCGCCGCCGCATGCCTCGCTGCCGCCCGCACAATCTCCAACTCCCCATGCGTAGCAACTACATTCCCCAATCGCTCCGCACTCTCCGTCCCCTGGATCTTCGCTAACGTATCTATAACGCGCGCGACGCGAGCGGGCTCGTCGTCGGGCCGTTGCGTGTGGGAGACGAAGAGGTCGTGGGCGCGCCGGATGTGGTTGCGGGCGATGTCGCGGTCGGACTCGACGAAGCCGGAGTCGCGGGAGAGGGAGAAGCGGAGGAGGAAGAGGGTTGCTTTTGCGAAGGTGAAGTGGTAGTACTTTGGGTAGGACAAATAGGTGGGCTTGATGGGCGCAGAAGTGCTGGGGTCCTGTGGTGTGCTCGAGGCAGAGGTCGAGACGGTGCCCTCCATGAGCTTCTCGTAGAGGGCGATGAGTTTGACGGAGGCTTGGAAGCCTTTGAAGAGGGAGGTGCCGACTAGGGAGTTGGGGGAGGGTGTGCTGTTGGAGTGGGATGAGCGGGACATTTCTTTTGAGGCGGACATGATTACGCTGGAGTAGAGGTCGAGGCGGGCGACGAGGAGGGCGAAGTCGTTTGAGAGGGTCCAGTCGTCGCCGAAGCGGGAGAAGATGCTGTTGAGTTCTTTCTCGAACATTTGGATTGCGGAGGGGGAGTTGAAGAGGCCTTGGTCGGAGGTCAGGACGGAGGTGTAATTTGCAACTTGACGTTGCAGCTCGATGTGTGCGGCGAACTCTTTGGTGATGCAGCCTGTCGAGAGGGCTTTGGAGATGTTGTGTAGATCTTCGACATTGCGGAGGGGTGGGCGGACGGCGAGGTTCGAGCCGAGCCAGGAGGAGACTTGGAAGCAGGCCAGCCAAGTGCGGCAGCGCGCTTGTTCGTTGTCATCGAGATCGTTCTTTTTAGTGCTGCTGCGAAAGGAAGTCGTGATTTCGAGGTTGGAGGTGGCTCCCAGAGCTATGTTGCAGAGGTTCCAGCTTGGGTCCTCTCGCTGATGTCGGACGGGGAAGGGCCAGAGGCAGACCAGGAGAAGACCCTGGATCGTGCTGAGAGAAAGAGGCGACTGTATCATCACCTGGCCTAGGTAGGTATTGAATTGCTTCTGAATGCTGTCGAGTAGTTCTAGCGTCCCAGTCGAGCCACGGATCGACACCGCGACCATGGACCAGAATAGAAATGGCGTCTGTTCGTATATCTCGTCATAGCTTCGTCTCGTATCAACTATAGGCAGGTGTCTGTGCTGGAACCTGGCGAACTGCAGCAGAATGTTGCGCACCTGCTGCATAGACAGATGGAATGACCCCAATCGGTACATTTGACTCGGACTGCCAGGCTTGTCCAGGCCAAAGTACGTTTCGGGCTCATCGTTCGCATTTGCATAGCGATCCGATTCTGGTGATCCGTAATCTGATTGACTGTCTACGCTCGATGGCACACCAAAGATCTGTGGGACTGGGAGCAAACCAGGGATCTCCTGTGGGTTCGAGATGCCCAGCGCGCCACGCAGCTCGGCGAGTTGCTTGGTGACCTTTTCGAGCTGGCCTTTGGTGGGAGTCCTCTTGAAGGACGGGTCGAAAGCGCAGACGAGCCGACGTGATTTACAGCGACTGCAAGGATCTGGAAAGTTGTGTTTGGAATCACACCTTAGCTTGACCTGTCGACATTGGGTGCATGCCTTGGAAGAGCGCGAAGACGGCGCCATTTTGCGAATTGTGGCGGCAGACGATGCGATGTGCGGAGCGAGCTCTGCTTAATATCAAGAGAGAGAAGGGATCCACCTGGACAGACTGTGTTATGTATGTCGCTCACTGGGCAGATGTCAATTTAATGATGTGGCCGACACAGTCAGGCGGAACAAGTTGGCTGTCTGTCTGCCGCTGCAACATAGTCGTAGAGGCCTGCCAAGCAGTAGCCCTGCAGATCTGCAGATCCGTCATGAAAAGTGGCGTAGCATAAGTCGTCGTAGTCGCCTGAAAGGTGACTGCTCAGTTAGATAATAAGGAGAAGTGTTGTGGAACGGTGAGGCTCAAAGCTGACTACCGAGGGGACCGCAAGAAGGAACTTGATTGGGCAGCAGACTGTTCTGGCCCTATAGAGTGTCTGTTACAGCATCCGCTAGTTCGTTGAGTAGCTGACTCTGCTTTTCGAAGAAGCATGGAAGAAGATACATGGAAGCCTAGTGCGGGCTAGGATCTGTCGCTGCTCGAGCCTCGGTGTTAAGCGGGAGAATTGCCAAGATTCCCGCAGTGGTGTCAACTTGAATCTCTGGAGGCCGCCTGAATCTTCCGTCGTCACATCACGCCTGTTTGATTCCCAAACATAGCCGCATCTGCAGCTCATCTGCATGGTTCGTGCCTTTGATCTGGAAACTCGTCAGTCTGACGCAGGCAAGGTATGGTCCTCCTGACTAATTTGGTCTCTAGTGCTGCCACCAGCTTTCGCTTTGCTGACTGTTCCAAACAACCAGACAGGATAACACGATCATCTCGACTCGACCAGCTAATCTCGAGTCAACCAGCTGGCTGGGTCCGCCATGGCACTTCCCAACCTTCGGAGACTTTTTGTGGAAGCTCGCACTGAGGCAGAGGAGAACGAATACTCCAGGAATGCGGTACAGCCTGATTCTTGGCTTCTTGACTCGCATCTTATACTGACATTCGCTAATTAGTTCTACAATCTGGTGCTATTCATCTCATCAGTTGCCGTGTTTGGCCTGGTAGCACAGCGCATGAGCAACACCAAGGCATTGAAATGATCTCAAACGAAGTCTCCACTGGTGACATGCTTGCTCAGGCCCGCCACAAATTCGACGGTATACGTCGGGCAGGCCAATTTTCGATTGGACCACATCAGCTTGTTTCCTCACCATCGCTACTAAGAAAATCATAATGTGCTCTACCGCGCTGCAAGCGGCCCTTGGACTTGGGTTTCTCATCAGCGGTATCTTCCGCCGAGGATGCCTTTCCAGCAGTTCCCCATCGCTGGTCGCCCTCTTGGACGGCTGACAGATCTTCAGCAAGCTCTCTGGCCTCCTTGATGGACGCCGCTTTCTCGACGGAATAGCGGCCAGTCATGCCTACGTCCGCAAGCAATTCCTTGAGATGCTTGATCTTGGCCTTTGGTGTTTCATAAGGCTTGAGGTATGCGCCCCATACCTTGCGGACCCCACATTTGACCAACCAGCCTTGAAGCCGTTTGATCTCTGCTTGATCAGGATCGTCTTCTGTCGTCGATTTGCTCTTGGCGGGTTTCCAGGCAGGCTTCGAGGACTTGCCTTTCGGAGCGGTACTTTTGGTCTTGGGCTTCCTCTTGGGTTTAGGATCTTCGTCGAGCACTACCGACATCTCGCTGTCTGACTCGGCGTTTTCGGATTCGTCGTTGCTTGGTGCCGTCTCTCTGGGATCGTCGCTGTCATCGTCGTCTGATACAGTGGCGGCCTTGCTATTCTTTTTGGCAGACGCCGCTGGCTTCGCCTTGGTAACCTTGGCTGCTTTGGGCTTATTCGGCTTGGCTTTGGCTTTCTGTCGAGACACGCCTTCGGAGTCTGCATCACTCAGGGCCGATGACTCCCGATCTGAGTCGTCGGACTCTGCCGGCTCTGTCTTGCGTTTCTTCGGCGCTGGACTAGGTGGATCGGTGGACTTGCGTTTTCGTGGTGGAGGGGCGGCCTTCGCGTTCGCCTTGGACTTCGACTTGAGCTCTGGTGAGCTAGGAACTTCTTTCTCGTTCTCCTGCCATATAGGTCAGTACACGCGTGCTGCAGTAACCAGTATACCTACGGCCTGATCATGGACAATTTCCTTGCTCTTCTGGTTCCACGTCGTATGTCCTTTGTAGAAGCCCTCTGGCAGACGGAGCTTCTTTTCCGAGGCTGCACGAATGGTGCGTAGTGTAGGATCCTCATTTCTTTCGTGCGCGCGGTTGAACTCGCGCCGAAGACTGTTCTCGAGTTCAAAGTCCGGTGGGACCTCGAAACTCGGCGCGTCTGAGAGGTCCGAGTCGGACATCTCTGGGCGATACAGGTGGTTCAGCGCGACCTTAGGAAGCACTAGCACGCGTCTGAACAGAGCAGCAGCGCTTTGTCTGTGAGTGTTGAGGAAATGGCGTCCTGATCTGAGTGACAGACCGAGTAGGTGGTCGACGCGGGGGAGAAACGAACGCGCTTCGCTTTCTCCAACTTTTTATTTGTCACTCAGCACCTCGCTGTCGCCGCTTCCCGCTCTAGTTTCCACGTCCTTCCCGCCACTGTCCCTCCGCCCTCACCAAAGTCCCGCCCGCCTCCATTTCATCCCCGCCTCGATGCCCTCCTCCCTCGACCGCCTCTTCGCCTCCGCCAGCCAGCCCTCCTCGAAACCTCCACCCTCCTCCTCAACCACCGGACCAAACACGGACGACGACCCCGTCGTCAAAGAACTCGCCAATGGCTACAAGAAACTCGCCTCCGGCATCGTCCTCGACCCCTCCGGCAAGCCCTGCCGACAATGCTCCTCGGTCTCCTCGTGGATGGCGATGACGAAGAAGCGCTCTACGCCCGCCAGCAGCAGCAGCAGCAGCAGCAGCAGCACTACAACGACAGGGCCAGCGGCGAAAGCCGACCCAGCTACGACCACCGAGCCACCCGTGAACGGTCCTGCTTCCGGCGCATCAGCGGCTACAATCGTCGCGAGCGCGGTAGATGACAGCAGCACAGAGCAACAGTGTCCGCCCGATGTCGACCAACTCGGCCGTGCGACCTGGACGCTGTTGCACACACTCACCGCGACCTACCCCTCCTCTCCTTCTCCAAGCATGCAAGCCACCACGAAGTCCTTCATCCAGACCTTCGCCCAACTCTACCCTTGCGGCTACTGCGCCGAGGATTTCCGCGACTGGATGAGAGAGCAAGGCAATGAAGTCAATGTGAAGAGTCAGGACGAATTCGGGGAGTGGGCGTGCAGAGCGCATAACGCGGTGAACGTGAAACTGGGGAAGAGGGAATTTGATTGTGGGTTGTGGAAGGAGCGGTGGCGGGACGGGTGGGGGGATGGACGGTGTGGTTGAGGGGCGTGCTGGATGGGGACGTTGTATGATAGCGGCATTTACTGGAGCGCAGTGTGGACTGTATTTAGCAGGGCGTGCATTGGATGGCATGGACGCACAGCAAGCAAAGGTGGCGCTGTCGGAGGCCGCTTCTGTGGCTGCCGGCACTGTACAAAAGATATACATGACCGTACCTGGGAACTGGTCGGTCTGGGAGATCTCGGCTCATCTCGAACCCAACGCGTATGGCACTGATGTAAAAATAATGATCAGGAGGTATACAATATTGTATTTAGTAGCAGTCGCCTTGTTTCTTGCCTACTCTGCCAGTATCACTATCAAAACAGACTCAACAAGTCCTCATTCGTCTTCTTTCCCCCAGCCTGCAACTGCTGCTGGGGAGGCGGAGGAGCCGTCGCTCCACCACCGCCCATACTCAACCCCCCGAACCCACCGTTCAGGATATCGTCGTCGCTCATCCCCCCACCGAACCCACCTCCGCCATTGCTTGATGCGGCATTACCATTGCTATTGCTGCTCCCAAACACGCCCAGCAAATCATCCATACCTCCCCCAGTCTGGCCCGTAGCACTCAACGGACTCATCGCTTGTAATCCTCCCCCACCCGAAACGGGACTCTGCACCCGTGCTGGAGTGCCGCTACCCACTGGTGTTCCGCCCATCCCTTCCAGCCCAGTCATCCCATTCGACGCCGGAGCGGTGCTGGCAGGTGCAGAACCGTCGAAGTCGATATCCAGTAGATTCTCTGCATTGTTCTGGCCCGCTGCCGCGCCGGCGGGCGTCTTCCCTGATACAGCAGCAGCCGCGGCCGCGGCTGCGAGGGGATTCTCGCGTGCATTTTGCTGCGCTTCTTCAGTGGCGGCTTGTTGTATTGCGTCGGCGCCCGTCCGGCCTTGTCCGACGAACTGCTCGGGTGGTTTGTGGTAGACTGACGCTAGCGTGGAGAGTTCTGTAAGGAGCTTTTCTAGGAGAGGCGCGGGGAGGGACTGGATTGTGGTTGTGATTGGTGGCTTTTCGGAAAGGACGATATTTTTGGGCGCGTTCTGATCAGTGGTATTGGAGAGTAGTCGCCAGTAGACGAATGCGCGATCGCGGATATCCGGGTTGTCGCATTCGGAGGTGGCTGTTGTAAGGACCTTCTGGACGAGGCCTTGGGCTGCTTGCGGCCGTTTCAGGAAGAGTTTGACGACAGCGGTGAGGATTTGGAGTTGGGTCTGGGAGAATTCTTCACCAAATCCGTCGACGAAGCCGGCAAGGATGTCGCCTGCGTTGGAGATCTTCTCGGCGTATTCGCCAACGATCCAGATGAGGGAAGCTCGCGCGTTGGGTTCGTCGAGCTCGTCGATGCATTTGCAGAGTGTGGGGATGATGTTCTCGTAGCCGGGGTATTTGCGGAAGATGTCTTTGATGACGATGATGACTTCTTGGACGACGTAGTTGACGCGGGTGTTGATGAGGTCGAGGAGGGCGTTGACGCAGCGCTCGGCGGCGGATTCGATTTTGATGGCGACTTGGCCGATGGCTTTGACGGAGCGGCGGACAAAGTCCATGTCCATTTCTATTGCGTATTCTTTCAGTTCCATGAGGAGTTGATCGACGTTGGATTCGTGTGCTATTCGGACCATGATCTCGAGCTTCTGGAATTTGACGTAGGGTGGGTCGTTGTATTTGCAGAAGAAGACACGTAGCTCTTTGTTGAGAATGTCGGGCTGTTTCTGGAGGATGAGGTCGATGTTGCGTAGAGCGACGTACTGAACCTCTGGTGCGGATGAGATGAGGGTGACGAGAGGAGGGGCCATCTTCTTAAGATATGTTCGTGCTTGTTCGGGACTGACGTAGCGCATGTGTAGAAGGACGGCCTTGACCGCGGCAAGGACGACGGAGGAGTTGACGTGTTGGAACTGTGGCGCTACTCTCTCACAGATATGTTCTGATTCCTTGACGTCGTGAGCTTTGTAGCTGGCGAGATTGGACAAGATAGTGACTCTGCCCCATTCCGTGCATTCATTGAGCGCCATGAGCAGCTTTTTGAGTGTGGTTGGTGTGATTTGTAGCGCGTTTGTCTCTGGTGCTGCCTCCCCAATCTCCGCCAGGGCTGTGACTGCATTGGCAACCACCATCGGGTTCGGGTCGCCTATCAACTCTTGCAGAGTCTCGAGAAAGCCATTCTCCAGGCACATCGCGGGTGCCAGATCGAATAGCTTTGCGACACATATCGCGGCGGTCTTGCGCACGTAGGGCGACTCGTCTCGTAATGTTTTCCGCAATGGCTCCTCCATATAATCAATCATCTTGTCCACGCGGATGCAGCCCATCGTTCGGATTGCGAGTGCCCGTATAAGTGGATTTGGGTCTTCGGAATCTTGTACAAAGGTGTTGACGGCTAAAATGCACAGGTCGGGATGTGATTTGGCATAATTCCTGAGGCATGGTCAGTCATCCAGCCGCGGGAAGAGAGTATGGTGACGTACATTAGATACAAATAGACCAGCTTCTTCTGGTCCAGGTCGCCAGTCGCTATATTCTTGAGGACATCCGGAAACAGAGCGGACACATCCTTGCCCAGGGTCATGGCCATGATGGTCTTCTGTATCGACTCTTTCCGTTCCCAAGCATACTGTGACACCAGCCCAGCCCGCAACTCGAACGTCTCGCCCTTCTTAGGTGGCGCGAACGCGTTCTTCATCCTGTTCATTGCCATGCTGGGCAGTGTGTGGATGTGGCTGCGGGTAAGCAATGGCGGGGGAATTGAGAGGAGAACAACTATCGTGTCATGGTCGCCGTAAGTATGGCCAGAGACCGGTTGCCAGCGAGCAGAGAGGCAGTGGTAGATTAGTGCACGGTGGTCTTGCCCAAGTCTGTTGCAGAATGTCGTCAAAGGTGGCACTTGACCAGCAGTCCTCACCAACGTCTCGACGCAAGTGGAATTCATGTCGGCCTGTCCGCACCGGGTCTAGCCGTAAAGCTTGGCTTCGGATCAGATCTCCGCGACTTCCCCTTTCCTTGTCAGCCTTAGTTCCTTCTCGCATCAACGTCGCCGCATGGACATCATGGCTGCCATGTCATACACCTCAGATGATTCAAGGTAAGTATGCACACAGTGGTCATCGATCATACTATGCGTCATAGCTGGTCTTGAGTCACTCCTCATGCTTTGAGTGTAAACTATCGAAGGCTTCGACACCAGGCGCGGACACAAGGTACCTAGCTAGCCAAGTGACCGGCTTCCGCGATGCCGCCACGCTGTCTACGCGTTTCATGGTCTGTTCGCGAGGTTGTGTTTGCGCTGCTATGCCATGGGACAGCTCCGAAGGCCGTCTTGCGCGTTACAGATCGAGGCTCGATCCGGACGGACCATTCCTACATGTGCTCTACCATCGACACAAGCCATCCCCGATGCAGAACTTCCCAAAGCAGGCCATGACTTCGAGGTATGTCGAGTTCCAAGGACCGACCGATGCGAGATACGAGCCACTGGACTGTCCGATATTCGGAAGGAAGTGTGCCCAATGATCCCCGCTCGAACTCCAGAGTGTGACCCTTGGAAGTCGCCGTCGCTCAATTAGGCTGCGCCATTACTCACACGTAGTCGAAATGCCTACCCTCGCTGCCTTGTTGCCTTCTCGGACGTTGCGAATGAGTACCATGGATGACCGAGACCGAGACAAACCTTCCCCGGCCGCGGTTCGCGAGCTAAGCGAAAATCGCTTACCCCAAATTTCACCGCAAGCAGGGTATACTTACATCCGACATGGTCTGAATTGCAATTTGCTCAACCATCTATAAGATTCAGCCGCACCGCCCTGCATCAATGAACATGTGCTAATACTAATTCAAGAACTGTACTGCCTAAACACAGCCTCACCAACACGAATAATGCCCGAGCTCACGGACAATGCCGCTCATACTAACAAAACAGACCCGTTAGTGCCCCTGTGCCACATCGTCACTCCCGTGGGATGCCTTGGTTTCGGCATCGACAAGGACATCATAGATGCTGAGTTGGAGCGCCTTACGAAGACCGGCATTCCTACTGCGATCATCCTTGACTCAGGATCAACCGACTCAGGGCCGTCAAAGCTTGCGACCGGAAGCACCTCTGCACCTCTTTTCGCATACAAACGAGATCTGGGGCACCTGATACCCCTGGTCCACAAGTATCACGTGCCGCTGTTGTTCAGCTCGGCTGGCGGCGATGGCAGCGGCAAACATGTCGACGATATGGTTGATGTGATTGAGGGAATACAGGATGCCTCAGACAGGTACGAGAAGCAGCATCACTGCTCATGCAGTAACACTAACATCTGCAGCAAATACAAAGCAAAGACCTTGGCTGTATACTCAGACGTCTCGAAAGATCTGGTCAGGAGTCGACTGGCAAGCGGCCACATCACAGGGTGAGCCGGGACGGCAGATTCGTCGCCGCATCATCACTGACTCAGAATAGATGTGGACCGCCAGTCCCAACCTTGACCGAAGATGATATTGCCGGCGCTCCAACCATCGTCGGCCAGATGGGTGCCGAACCCTTCCTAGACGCTATGTTCGCCCACCCAGACTACGACGCCGTCGTCGGCGGCCGTGCCTACGATCCAGCACCATTCGTAGCATTCATGGCATACGCTTCATGAACGGCAATCAACAACCCCTCTCATCCCTTCCCCCCAGCGTCCTAGGCGGTTTCTTCCACATCGGCAAGATCCTCGAATGCGGCGGCCAATGCGCGACCCCCAAATCCCGCCCCGCCCGCGCCACAATCTACACAAACGGCACCTTCGACGTAGTCGGCCTCGAGCCCGGCGCCCGCTGCACCGCCCTCTCCGTCGCCACACACACCTTCTACGAAAAATCCCGGCCTGACTTCCTCCACGGGCCCGGCGGCATCCTCGACCTAACCAACAGCACGTACACCGAACTCGCTGACGGGAAGTCCTGCCGCTCATCCGGCGCCATCTTCCGCCACTCCCTCGCCCAAGGCAACCCCTACACCCTCAAACTCGAAGGCGCTCGCACCAACGGCTTCCGCTCAATGTTCGTCGGCGTCTTCCGCGAGCCAGCCCTCACCTCCCAACTCCCCAAGTACTTCCCCCGCCTCCACGCGTATGTCTCGCAACAGCACGCACACCTCCCCCGTGGCGACTGGGATCTGCTACTCCACCCCTTCGGCGCGCTCGGCCAGAACAGCACACCTTTCGGAGAAGTCTGCATCGTAGGCGAGACTTTCGGACGCACCCAAGAGATCGCGAACAGCGTCAGCAACGCGGCGCGAGTGGCGTGTATCCACGGGCCATATGAGGGACAGAAGGCTACGAGCGGGAATATGGCGTTTGGGATTGCGGGGAAGACGGAGATTGAGTGTGGGCCGTTTCCGCAATTTTGTGTTTATCATTTGATGGAGCTTGAGGGTGGCGAGGAGGGGGCGGTGGAGGTTGGGGAGAGTCCGATTCGGGAAGGGAGGTTTGATGCGCCGCCGAAGCCGCTGAGCGGTGATAGGCAGGGTAAGGGGCTGTTTAGCTGGCGGACGGTCAGTATTGGTGTGAATGAGAATCCGCTGCCTGAATATCCGAGGACACCGGCTGCTATGAGCAGTGATCGGCCGAGCATCGATGTTCAACCCCCAGCGATCTCCTCGGCAGTCACAGCCGCCCTCCCCACCTTGCCGGAAGATGGCAGCGACCCAACCCTCCTCGACCTCGCATCGATAATCCGCTCCAAAAACGCCGGACCCTATGAAATCACCTTCGACCTCTTATTCACCAACCCACAACTCTTCCACGCCTTGGCCAGCGCCAGCCCTCCCGTACTGTCCAAATCCATCATCGCGAAGCTGTATGGACTGGAGAGCGAGGAGCAGGTGGTATATTGTGGATGGTTCCCACAGGCGTTGGGGTTTAAGGCGACGATTCCGCGGGTTGGGTATAAGGACGGGAAGACGGTGAGGGAGGTTAGTGGTGGGTGGGGGGATGTGGATGTGCATGGGAGTCAGATGTATGGGCGGTTGGCCGGGGTTAGGGTGCCGCGGGAGCTGGTCGAGGGCATCTTCGGCAATGGTGTAGCTGTGGACGGGAAGGCGGACGTAGAAGTGAATGGTGCGGTGGTGAATGGTGCGATCAACGGCTCTGGCACGGAGGAGAAGAAGGCTGAAGTGAATGGCGCGGTGGTGAAAGGTACGATCAACGGCACTGGGACGGAGGAGAAGAAGGCTGAAGTGGATGGCACGGCGAACAGCACTGGGACGGTGGAGCAGAAGTATGAGGTAGATGCGCAGGTTGTGGAGGTCAAGGTCAACGAGGGTATCGAGGCGCACGCTTGAGAGAGGGCAGAATGGAAGCTTACCGGCGATACGGACGGGGCGGGCCCTAGTGGCTAGAGGCGAACGACCGAGTAGGGAAACGTCATGGTTGTTTGGGCATATGTTGGGTGTCTACTACATGGATACTAGGTAAATGCTTCATGTCTGTCTCAGAGCTTGTGATCTGTGCTAGTCTTGTTGAACATCTGGTGTCAGCGCAGCTGCGCTGTTCTGCTCCGACCGGAGAGACTTGGGTGCAGAGCTGTCAAGGCCCCATCGTATTCTCAATGAGTCGTGGTACTCCCGTGCTGTGTAAACCTGCACTCACCACTTCGCTTGTCTGGCTGTGCCTTCGCCCCAGACCTGCTACGATTGTGCTGGCAGCTTGTCGTGTTGGCGGCCGCGACTCATTCAGATCCCATAAACCTAAGTACCTTCTGCCACCAGCTTGCCTGAACAGGTGTTTCTGGGTGGGTCTCGGCTGTCCATGCTGTGATCTCGGTTGCTGATGCTGTGCAGTTTGGTGTGTATTCGTGAACATGCCACTTGCATCCTGCTTGAGTGGCCATTGAGGGGCTTCACTGGGGAATTGCATCATCGTGTCGACCAGGAACTCCAATCGGTCGAGGCCTGTCGTGTAGAATTGGTACTCTTTGAATAGCAATGCGTATCTCCTCCAACTCAGCCAGCTCTTGTCGAATAATAGCGCTTCTTCGGCCAGTAGATGCTTGAGAAAAGATCTGACCGGTGCATCATCTGTCTCATCTGAGTCCAGAACAAGTTGGATCAACTTTTGGAGCAGCTCATGACGCCAATAATGTCGCGAATCGAGAATGTTGTCTATGATCGTGTTGGCGAGCTCTTCTGCGGATAATCGTGATGCAAGCAGGTAGAGTGACATGCGTCTCAGAACCGCAGAATCATATTCCTCAAGTCGTGTCTGCCAGGCGCCGTAGTCAGCCTGAAAGTATGCCTTCTTGAGCACTTCCAAGTCATCGGTGAAGTTCGCGTGATATGCCCAGTTTCGGAGCCCTTTCCAGGCCTCGACATCATCCGTCCGTCGCTCGATTACACAAGGTGTGTTCCGCCATGCGATCCACGTCTTGGGGCAAGTCGGAGTGAAATTTACTCGTTTCCAAGCCCAAGAATGAGCCGAAACTTTCGATCTGCTGGGGCCAACCACCACAGTGACCATTTCTTCGAAGGGGTCAGGACATGCAGTACCTGAACACGGAGACTGCATCGAACATGGTGTGATGTCCGGAGCCGTCTGAGTTGACAAGATTGTGGTGGCAAGAGTGTTGTTGATGGTCGATATTGATATGTCCTGAGAGAGTGCGACAGGTGCTGGGTTCGCAGACGAAGCAGTGGAGAGCGAGCGCAGAGCGAGAGCGCAGACCAGAGCCTTCAGAAAGGTGCGCAGCATTGCGATATGTGTTATAGTAGCTTGTAGTTGTGATCTTGTGGGTATCGATGTGAGGCTTTGAGAGCTGGATGGGGTCGATGGTACAGGTGAAGTGGATAGCAAGGAGAAAGCAAACACAACTCGCGGCAGAAGGAGCAATATATGCCGTCTCAAGAGGCAGCGACAGAGAGTCAGCGGAAACAGCACAAAGCAGCCGCTTGATATGTTACGGATTCAGGCAGAGCAATCTCAAGGCGCGCGACTTACCGAGACAACGACTGACATCTTTGTTCTTGACGGCATAAGAATACAGCTGCCGCTTTGAGAGACGATCCCTAACGTTCAACTCGCGCTGCATTCGGTATGCTGGCGTTCTATTGTGGCACTTGTGGGCTCTCCAGGCAAGCTCGTGGTTAGATCGAACGTACTTCGGTAAACAAGCCCGACGCAGGCTCAACTTCAAGTTGAACAGACGAATGCTTGGCAGAGTCACGTGCTCTGCCTACTGGCAGGAAGTCCCGCTGGCAGTCAAGAAGGAGCAAACCAGCTAGCTGTCCGGAAAGCGGTTTTGCTAAGCATGGTATAAGTTGCAGATCAGTGAGGCATGTATATCACTCGAACAACGAGAAGAATTGATTACTGGTCAGCCACGGGGCGCATACGAAGAATAGCTTGAGAAGTCATGCTCATTTTCATGAATTTTATCTTTGCTTGTGTGTCTGCAAAGCTCTGAGCACTATGTTCTTCATCTACCTAAGCATTCCAATCTCGGAGTCTTCGGAGCGACGACCTGTCGTGCCATGAGGATTCCATATCGTCGGCCAGCACCTTACCAACGCTTCAGGTAGGAAAGTGGATTGCGCCGATCATTCACTACCGCCAGACCGCTTTCTATCTTGGCTCCGGGATCGACTTCTGGATGGCATGCTGGCGTGGAACCATGAGTATGCCATCTGCATCTCGACTCCCAGGTCCAGCCCGGGTATGTCCCATTTGGATATTCCATCATTGCCTGATTCAAGAAGTTCGACCGATTGACATTTTGCTCGTAGAAGGCGTATTGACCTGGTTGATGCTTCCTCCAAGTTCCCCAGTCAGAGGACCCATCGAGTACTTCGAATGCCAGCGCATGCTTGAGCAAAGATCTCATTGGATCCTCTTGCGGAATCTCTGCCTCCAAGACAAGCTCGAGAAGCTCAGGGAAATAGTAGACCCAGCCATCGAGAAAGGAGTCCATTACTCTGTTGCGAACATCTTCGCCATGAAATCTTGTTGCAAGTAGGTATAGTCGCATCCTCCTGAGGGCAGATATCTGGTATTGCTTCCTATGATGAGCCGCGGCTGCCGATTCCAGATTGGATTTGAGCTTGGCCAAGTTGCATGTGAAATTTCCGTAGTATGCCAATTCCCAAAGGTCTGTCCATGCGTGAGGATCTTCATCTGGTATTTGATATGTGCCATTCACCGCCGAACCGCCGCTCACAGCCATGAGCCAATTTTCGGTCAAATTGATCTTCTTCAAGATGAATTCGTGGAATATGAAGGGCTTCTGCTCCGGAGCAACGTTGAGAGTGATGACGCGGCCCATTTCGTGAGAATCGTGATTGCATTGACGAGAGGCCTCCGGAAACGGCTCCAACTGTGTCTGAACATGAAGTATCGGCGTCGTCTGCGACATAGCTGTTGGAAACGAAGTGGAAATGTTGTGTGGACCTAGTACCGTCTGCGCGATGCACGCCGTGACAAGATTAGGAGTGTGCTGTATGGCGGGCACCACATCGATGCTGCCAGCGAGAGCGAAGCACAGAGCGAGAGCACTCGTCAGTAGTTTGGTAAGAGTAACCATGGTGCCGCTGACGGTGTTCGATCTAGCTTGCTTTCGTGTGCTTCGGTGTAGGATATCGAGGGATGTTGTGGGAGGATGAGCGGATGTGATGGTGGAAAGAACAGCAAGACATGCTCAATCCATATGAGAATTTGACCTTCATGAGCTCAGGCAACACGACAGTCCATCACACGTACAAAGAACAAGGCTGTCCGACTGCCTGGTTACAGCGCAAGGCAAGGCAGTCTTGCACCGTACAAGGCCTTTGACCGAGGCGAGGCAATTTTGCGTCTCCTCAAGGCGCCTCATTGAATTCAGCCTTCGGCAAAGATCCTGGTGATATGAAAATGTCGAGTTAGTCTCGGCGGCGCAGAGCGGGCCTCGTGTCGGCGCTGTGCGGTAAGACCGTGATAGTGGACATATCCGCGCTCAAAGAAACCGTCATCGTCAACATCATCCCAGTTGCGACACTGAGCCTGGATCGACGCTCGACGCTCAACACTCTTCGATGCATGAGCACCTACCTGCCAGTAACGCAGACGCCAATCAAGACGCGTTAGGAAGGTTAGCTCGGCGCGACATAATGGCATTCGCGACGTGACTTGTCCCGCAGGCTACGCATATCGATGGAACAGAGGTGCTGAAGACACTCCTGGCATCATCGACGATGCAGCGTGACCCGAATGCATGAAAGATGGTGGCTTCTGACAGTCTTCAATGTAATAGCAATCTTTGTTGTTCTGAATCAACATTGATGACGTCGTTTGCCAAGGGGCACCCAAATTGGGGGGCTTGGCATCCTGTATTTACTTGTCATCCGACGACTTTGAAAGCCAGACAGAACAGCAAGGTCACTCGCGGCAATTGCTCCTGTGCCGGGTCGGTCCGCCAAATGCTCAGCTTCTCGCGGTTCGTCTCAGACATATCCGTTGCAGGCCAACGGTGAACGTCATCAGCCGCATCTATGGCCTGCGAGTCCCAGCCGGGTCAGTCGTTGACTGACGATGCAATGTTTACCATCATTCCGAAGTATCACCCGAACGATGTTCGTTGTGGTGTACCTGAATTGACGATGATGGAAATAGCTTACGGCGTAAGTTTCCGAAGTGGATCGATCCGTGGTAATTCTGCCACTTGAGGAAGAATCTAAAGTACGAATCCTGTCCTCATTACGACAAGAAATGTTTGCTTGGGCTGTCGGACGCAAGAACAAGATCGCGACCAGCAGACGAAGTAAGCCCTGGCTCTGTTGACCTCTGACAGGTATTCAGCAGTCCTACGGAACTCGAGACCTGTCGAGACATATCTCAACTGTGACAGCAGTGGAAGCCAGGTGCTTGATGGGTCAAGCAGTGCCGACTTGTGTTTGTCCGTAGGTTGACGTAAGTCAAGCTAACACACCCCAAACCATGCCGTTCGTTTCTATATCAGAGCTGCTGTTGAGCGCGTTTTTCCCGCCATCAGACACACTCGCGCGACGCCGTTCAATAGGTGTACTATACATATATGTTTCGATGCACTGGACCGAGACTCAGTGCAACTACGGCCACGAAGAAGATGAGTCCAAGCAGCTGTTTGGCACGTCGATTTGTCGATTGCACTTCACCTCGTCGGATGAGCATGGTCTCTGGTGACGATGCCATGTCTTGCCTTGTCACCACCAATCGAGAAAATTTGATGGCTTTATTCGCTTTTGTCGCCTGGGTCGAAGATTCGTCCTGCCTTGTAACGACCTGACGAAGCAACGGCCTTATGCGCCTGCGTCGCCCAGGCACGAGGGCAGCATAGGCTGGCTTGCGTTGCCTGAGTGCATGGCTACATACACAACTTTTTCATCAAGGATCTGTTTCTATCATTCACACCTGCAGTAACGAGATACACCTCCCACCGAACACTCGATCGAGACCAGATCCTATTCGCCAGCTGAAAGTCTTCGAAACCAGCCACAACAAGCCACAGCCACCGGCGTGACAGATACAACCATGTCACCACGCACCACAAACGAAAGCGTACCAATGGACTGGAACGACATCGTCACGGTCGTTGTTGGTGAAGGCCCTGATGAGCGTAAGTTTACAGCTCATGCATCAGCGCTCAAGCGGATCGACTTCTTCAAGGCTTGTCTCAACGCAAACATAAGGGAAGCGAACGACCTCGTCATTCGCCTTCCTGAAGATGACGGCGACGTTTTCAGTGAGCTACTCTCCTGGGCATACTGTGTCATTACGACAGCCGTTTGGTCACCTTTGGAGATGCCTGCAAGGCATTCTGGCCAGTCGGAACCACCGTATCTACCAAAACTGGTGATCCAGTGCTAGTTGCACAATTCAGAGACGAAATCATCAAGCGCACGGCAGTCTATGCTCTAGCTCGCAAGCTATGTGCCGAGAAAGCCAGTAATGATGCGTTCGACATCCTTCACGAGCATTTCCTCAGCTGGTTCTACAACGCAGACCAGTTGTGCATGGTCTTCGAAACTTTAGACAGCTCTGACCCTTTGTGGCAATTCTTCACACGCATGACAGCAATGCACGTCAAAGAAGAAGGTCTCAACAAATTCGTGACGTCTGACGAGACTTACCTTCTGCTCAGCGATCGTGCTGACTACCTCAAATTCCTCGTTGAAGCGATGGCCGAAGATCTCAAGCCGAAGACCCGGGTTCTCAGAGATGTTTGTGCGTGGCATACTCACATCACCACAACTGTATGCAAGAGCACGTCCGCAAATTGAGGAGCATCTCAGAACCTTAGCAGACCATTACAGCAGGCTAGGTATGTCCAGTCCATCCGATTGAGATTCTTTGTTGAACGCAGACTAATCGATACAGCCACTACGATGCGAAACGATAGAGAGCGCACTGCCAGAGACGACCCGGTGACAGCGTGTTCCTGCGTCTCATACATTGGCATCATCTAGTCGGCGCGAGGGCACGGGCTAGAGGCATCACAGCTTACCCGTTTCAACGAGTTTCCAAACGATGCTAGGAAGATAGACGATATGAATATGAGCACAAGGCATCTTAGATCGTCCATAGATATTCCAGGGCAAACCCCGAGAGAGTATGAATACAGATACAGCTCATCTCAGCATTTGAACCACCTCCGTGGGAGGACTGATTCCATTACTTCGCTGCGCCGGCACCTATGTATCTCACGAGCGCGTCGCACCTAGGAAACATGACTTGCTGTCGTTCGGTTCGAGGCGACGGCACGCCGTTGCCCAGTGCTTTCAACCCATAACGACTTCACGGACATCGTCACGCACCGCTGAAGGCATTACGATATTTCACTTCGTTCAGGGGCAACTCGGGCGAGGTGAAGAACTTTGAAAGGCTTCCAGTGCTCTGTCACGCGTGGCCTGCATAAAGCGACTTGCAAATTTTGGGCATGGCATGGCACATACGTCTTCACCTACCAGTCCGTTTGCCATCACCGGCCTCGCCGAAAGACTCGCTACCATGTTGCACCGACTACTTAAGCTCGCGACCACACAAGCAGTTGATACCTCAGCGCCTATGGTCTGCGTGACCACAAGTCCCTGCGGAGTTTCGCCGGTACAAGAAGTATCACGATCAAATCAGTCATCGAGTCCCGAGCTCACTGGATCTGCCGAGATCATGACCGGGATAGATATGTCAACGATGCGGCCTGACACGTTCAGCGACTCAGATGATTGGAACGACCTCGTCCTCATACTTGTGGGCAAGGGCCCTGATCAGCGCAAGTTCACTGCACACGCCTCTGTGCTGAAACACATCGACTTCTTCAAGGGTTGCCTCAATGCGAATATGAAGGAAGCTGAACAGCGCGTGGTTCACTTGCCTGAGGACGATGGTGGCGCATTCAACGACCTCTTGTACTGGACCTATCACGGCAAATTCCAGGTTGAAATCCGTGCTCTGTTCGACGCAGACGACAGCGACGACATCGAACTGCAAAGAAACGAGATGCTCAACAAACGCATTCAAGTCTACCTCCTCGCGCAAAAGCTATGCACAGAGCCGGCCATGAACGCTGCCATGGACTCCCTGCGCAACTCCGAGATGCATGGTCTTCCGCTGCTCAACGGCATCGAACTCGCATTGACCGTGATCGAGCCTGCAGATCCACTCCGACGACTCTTGAAAGCTTTCCTCTTTTATGAGATCACAGGCCAACGTAACAGACCGTCTGGAGAGTTCGATGTCTTTGCCGAGATTGAGGTCTGGAAAAAGGAGCGCTTCGAACAATACGAGCATTTCAAGAAGAGCGTTAGTCTGATGGCGTTTCTTGTCGATACACTGATAGACGCTGAGGCAAAGATCGATATCTACGATCAAGGCGTGTGTACTTGGCACACTCATGTTGTCACGCCTAAGTGTAAGTGTACATGCGGCTGTAGATGAGTGGGTGCATGCGATCCCGATAGGAGGGCATGGACGACGGATACGGACAAGAACGACCACGAAGGAGGCAGTCTACTTGGTTGACGAGTTCCACGGTACATCGGGTCCCCCTGAGACGGTGTGCAGGGCCATCAGCTGTGGCTATCTTCTGTAGCTGGGATGACTACGGCATCTTTCGAGCCTCGCTCAACGAGCCCAGCATAAATCTAGAGCATTGGCGTCATTGCTTGCGGAGATCGGTCCGGTGTGGATGCCAGTATTGAAATGGGAGATGTATAGCGCAGTCGACACACGGCAAGACAGCCCAGGTTGTGCTAGACAGTGTGGTCTCGGACGTAGGCTTCGAAGGACTCCAGCATTGCACTTTGAGGATTTTCACGGAAGAGGACTTGGAGGGCGAGGCCTGTGCGTGTGCAGGCTGATTGAGCTGGTGTGCTCGCGTCAATGCCACCGATGTTTCAATCAGGTATAAGCGGTGGCTTCAGCCCTTGCCATACTGCCATCTCGCCGTCCATTAAGATTGTCTGGACGTCAGGACAGAAGTCGGTACTATGTGGGATGACTTTCACCGTCCGTTGATTCTTGCGGCACATACCGCGCTCTCCGTTGATGCCGGTCTGTTGACGACCTGTGGAATTACGAGCAGTAGGCACAGCGTCTTGTCACAGAATGAGAGAAGCTGCAGGTACGGTCCGGCACAGTGATGAGAGAACGTCATAGACTCGCACAAACGTTTCGAGACTGGAGGTGAGTTTTCTTCGTATTCAAGCCGTACGTGGGTATCTGAAAGTCTCGTGAATAGACATCTGGAGCGCCGACGGACATTCATCCGTCGCAATTCATGCTGCTGAGCCTAAGTCGTCCTCCTGCGTGACACTATCCGTAAAGGTCAGGTAAAGTAGTCAATGATGCTTCTTGGTGATCACGCTAGAGGATGATTTCCCTGTCTTGGCCTGCGCATACTCCTCCACCATTAGAGCAGACTGAGATCTGATTACCCCTGCGTGGTGAATGTAGATCCGGTTCGGGTCGTTGGAGAGGTGTGCTCAGCCGACTGAAGCAGCTTCTGGACCAGCGTCCTTGTCGGAGATACTTGCGCACTTCGGTGTATTGACATGGGTATGCCACTCACAGGGGTTGGAAAAGCTCCAGCATTCATTGTCGGAATCAGGGTACTCGGCCATCGCTTCGAGAATGAATTTCATGAAGTCGTATCTGTCGTTGAGGTCGCTATTCCAGCCTTTATCATGTCCCATCCATTCTTTCAGACCACCTGATGTTCCGTAGATTTGGGCAGAGGTTTTCTTCTTGAATAGTCGTAATAGAGCATCACCGCCGTCGAGCTCATCTAACGCAATTCCCAGCTGTGCAGCACCGGGAGTCCAGTGGTCATAGTGCTTCCACAAGGTATCTATCGCGGCATTGGAAGCCATCTCTGCGCACATCTTGCGGGCGAATGCGTAGACGCGTACACGCTTTTTGACTTCCTCCCAGTAGACCTCCTTGGCGGTATCTTCTTTTGACCGTCCTGATGAAAGAGCTCTACATTCGACAGCAAAAGCTTCGAGATCGCATTGGTAGCCGTCGAAGTAGGCCCAATGCAACAGGTCCTCGAACATATCTGGATTGTCCTCCGGAAGACGCACAAGTCGCTCTTTAGCCTCCTTCATATCCGCGCTAAGACAACCCTTGAAGAAGTCGATGCGCTTCAACACCGATGCATGAGCTGTGAACTTGCGCTCGGTGCTTCCCGTGCCGACGATGACAGTAATGAGGTCGTTCCAGTCGACTGGTATGCTGGGTATGGGTTGGCTTGACATGGTTGCGTGCCTTGAGAGTATGGTCGACTTGCGATCTAAACACCGACGGTGAGCCGTTACCCGGATGGTGTTGCACTGGCGTTTGTGGTGACTCACTAGGATTTGTGGCTACTGGTAGGTTGGCGTTGATCCGATCGGACGTGAAGACAGGCGGCAGCGTTCTCGTGGCGCAAAGCCGAGTCGTTCTGCAGAAAACGGAGGATGTTTTGACGAGGTTGCTGAGGGCGATTGAAAATCTGGTGCGGACGAATCTTGGGAATGCGTTTGTTATTGCCCGGACAGTCACTTGACGAAGTGAAGTGGATTTCATGGTGGAGCGTGGTGCCGGACTTCTCAACTACTGGCCTTGTGATAGAGAGGGATGCAGTCAAGCTGGCAACATGTCCGTGTTAGTCGAGAAGCTATTTGCTGTCAACAGTCCTAGATAGTAGTCGCAACAGCCAGCCAGAAGTCGCGTCCATGGGACCGGTCAGCGCCGCTACCATCGGAAGCTCCTTCCCAGAGCGTGTGAATAGCCATTAGATGGAAGTCGCGCCCCCGTTATCTCAATTGAGTCTCCAGGAAGTCAGAGCCCGCCTCGGATGACATCCCAGCGCCATGCTGCTGTCCCATTCCAAAGTACCGCTCTACTTCCCGTTGCTCGGATACTTCACTAGTGCCTCAATCACAAAGCCCGCCACGTCTCGGTACCTCGCCTCCCTGTACTTGATCTGCCCGTTCTCATCGAACTTCTTCCAACCCTTGAAATGGTGAATGTACTCAGCCACACTCTTGAGCACGTACTCTCGCAGTTGGTCGCCATCCTGACCACCGAGCTTCTCCTCGATCATCTTGATTTCGTAGGTCGCGAAGCATTTGCCTTTCATGAAGGACTCGATGTCAGCGAAGACGGCGTCTTGAAGCGGTTGATACATGAGCTTGTTGGCAAGGAAGTAGAGCTGAAGGGCGACCTTGCTCGGCTTGGCGCGGGCGTCGCGGTCTATGGATCGCGGCTGATTCTGTCCTGCCGTAGAGATCAGAACTCACTCCGGGCGGACTTTGTGGGAACGAATTGCTCATGGTGGGAACACATACCTGAACTATCATGTACATCGACAGGGACATCTTGCTTGCAACTTTCCGCGAGTAGCTTTTCCAGCTTGTGGTATCTAATGAAGTAGGCAGCAGCTTCAAAGACAGCCGCGTCATCCTCAGGCATCCTCACGATCTTTTCGTCGGCTTCGATCATGGTCGCGTCCAGACAGCCTCTGAAGAAAGGCACAACACGAATATCATTCTCGAAGAGCCGGAAGCTGCTCTCTTCGGGACCCACGAGGACTTGGACCATTTTGTTGTGTCGAGATGTGAGAGGGTCCTCTTCGTCACGCTTGCGCTTTTGAGCAGTGGTGAGAACAGGGCGTGTGATTTGATTGATGACGGGATACTTCTCGGTCTGTATGTCCATCACGATGTCGGGATCGTCGTCATTGATGATGATTGATGAACATGGTTTCTTGGGCACTTCGACAACAACGTTGCGGTGCGTGCCAGGCGCCTCACTCATCACTGTGATCTTGCCATGCCTACCAGTCGCTAGGTCATCGTCAGTCAGGTGCCCCAAGTCTGGCCGCCTTCGCCGTATGAGACGGATGTCGGCACGACGAAGCAGTTCTCCAGCGAGGTAGGAAAACGATGACATGGTGGGCGAATCGGGCAAGGTGGTAAAGAACGAAAGAACGTCGGCGACAAGGTGAGTTATTTGTAGACCGTAAGTCTGCGTGACAGCAAGTGAAGTTCGGAAGCCTCCGGTGAAGTTGAGCGAGACGTGACTTCGAGCTGAGTGATCTTCAAAGTGATGTGACTTGTCTGGCTTGGCAGAAATATTGACGCGGACTAGATTGGAAGGAGCCATCACACTCTGCCTCGGATGCTCGCCTGGAGGTACGTACCGGCAGTGAGTGACTTGACGGGACAGAATTAAGTGTCGGATTACCGCAGACGAGATCGCAAAGGGGCTGTCGAGCGAGAGCCTCCCTCGACTTGTTCCAGCCAGTCATCAATCCGTGAGCAGTTCATGACTCCGGCTCCAAGGCTCAGAACTACTCAGAGATCATCGCTGCAGATGCTCCTTCGGCGAACAGGAATCGTATCTTCATTAGCTTCATCCTCTCGATCAAAAGTCCATCCCATCCGCACCAGTAACGCCGTCCTCATCTCTCTCCCTCTTCACCCTCACGCCCTCACTCTTGATCAGACCCTTTACAAACCCATCAAACGCCTCAACATACGGCCTCAGCCTCGTTTTCTCCCAATCTTTCAACTGTGCGCCCTCAACACCTTGCGTATCAGTCGGCGTCATCGTCAACTGCGAATCGTCATGCCCATTCGCTCCAGCCTTGTACTCATCTATTTCCCTCAGCAACTCGGTAACCTTCGGCACACTGAGCGGATCAAACTTCTCCGCCTCTTTCATGTCACCTGTCGCAGTAATCGGCACGCAAACCCGACCAGTACCAGGATGCACCACAAACGGCGATTTGAGCAAATGGTTCTTCTTCTTGCCAACTTCCACATCAAGGCGCGGATACGTGTACTCGAGGAGGATATCTTGCTTGGCTTGCACCAGTGCTTTCGTATCGAGCGTTTTGCTGACGCCTTGTGACGCAAGTGCGTCGATATCAGCCCACTTCCGTGTGCTGGATCGTCCTGGCGTGCTGTCCCACTTCTTTCGCAGCGCATCATTCAGATTCTTGTCCGGAAGCAGCTTGAGCAGGCGAGCTTCGCCGTCGCTGGACTCAAAGGGTTCTTGGTCCTCAAGCACTCGTGCGAAGTAGGGCTTGAGGATGTCGAGACTCCTGACGAGATGCGGATGCAAAGGCCGCCGCACATTGATCCGCTTGCCTCCTTGCACACCAGTCTTGAACAGGTCGAAGTACCCTGTGATGGCTTTCCGCTTGTCGTCATCAAGTTCTCTGGCATTCTTGTCGCTGATCCACGCGTGCACACCTCTTCGACCGGAATACACCCACATGATGTGATCGAAGCCGAAGTCTTCTCTCAGAGCAACATCAACGACTTTGATGGCCATGGTAGCAAACGCCCAGCATTTCTCACAAATGTTGGCTTTCACGCAGCATGTCCGAATATCGTCGTAGTCTGTCAGATCGATATCAAAGACAATTTCTTTGCTCAAAGGTTTGAACATGGAGCTCTTCCTTAGTGTCTTCCTGTCTCGCGGGTTGGTGGTGTAGACGGGCCCGATTTCGAAGCGGGAGGGGATGAGGCGTAGGATGTCTTTTCGTAAGAGATCGTGAGTTGGGTATGACTGGTAGCGTAGGTAGCGTCGTTCGAGAGCGTGAATGCGAATTCTCGGTTTCCGAAATCGGGGCCAGGTTTGGGCGAGTGGTTGAGCCACTGGAATAGTGTTCGAAAGGGGAAGAGGCGGGCATAGAACTGGGTCATTATGGTTGGGTCTGAGTAGCTTTCGGTCTGTACAGCTGGGGCTGTAGTGCCATTGCCTTGTGCAGGAGGCGACGATGGCATCGCACTGGACGTAGGGAAGTCATCATCCGAGTCTTGGTCGAACAGGTCTTGTAGAGCAACTTTGTTGGCGTCACCTTCGGCAGAGGTTGATGTGCCGTTGGTCGCAGGAGGGGCATCAGGTAGCTCGACATCCTCTTTTGCCGGCGAGCTGCTCGGCGACGATGTGTCTGCCATTGGAAGACCCATCAGTGACGTGTCGACTTGAGGACTTGTTGTTACAGTTGCTGTGCGGGCTATGAAGTTGAATGCGAAGGTGGACTAAATTGATTCTCCCAAGACGCGGTTGACGCGACCGAGGTCAGACGCGTGAGCTTGGCATTTTCCTCCCTATAACATGAGCCTTGTCGACCGGCTTACTGTACACCACGATCAGGCGAATAAATTGGTTGCCACGGGGAATGAGTTCACAAATGTTCTGTTTTCATAAATGATAGTATCTACATACAAGTTGTCGACTTCGTTTCCAACAATGGTCTAAATTCGAAAGAATGTCCCTTGAATTCTCCCTTAAATGATTCCATTTTCATTCATGATTGCGGAGTGTTCTCCTTCGAGTCAATTTCATGCGCATCAGAAAACGGACTCGATTCCTGGCTCTTGAGCTGGGGCCGCTTGATTGCCGACCCAGCTGCATCCTTCAAGGCTTGTTCGATCATGGCGTTCAAGCCCTCGCTCTTGCTATGGCGGTGTGTGTTGTTGCTGCTGCTGCTGAGAGGACCGTCTGTGGGCATGATACGGGAGATGCCGCTGACAGACGATGATCGATGATTGCTGGTTGCAAACGACGGTTTTGGTGACACGAAGTGAGAGTCTTCGGGTGAGACCACTTCTTTCTCGCTCTCAATCGGTGATGCCAGCTCCTTCTCGTCAAAGTACAAAGGTACACTCTTCTCTGATACTGAGATCGACGTGGCTTTCGACGATTGCTGCTTGGCAAGGTTGGCCAGAGTCGGTACGCGAGGTGCAGAGCCCTGCTTCTTGATTTCAATAGGGCGCGCGACCGCCGTCTTGGCAACTATAGAGCTGCCTGCCATGCTAGGCTTTTGTTGGACTATGCGAGGAGTGCCTTGTGATAGTGCTGGAGTGTTGTTGCCGGACTTCACACTGACCATGTTCGCTTGAGCGCGGAACGCTTGCTGAGCCGGGACGGGCGGGACCTCCTCAGTCTCGCCACCATAGAAAGTAGTTCGAGCTAAGCTGGGTGACAGACTGATACGCTTGTCGACAGTAGTGGCATCGGAGTATGTAGAGCCTCGCAGATCGCTAGGCATGAAAAAATGTTGTTCGGGTCCAATGACAGTCCCGTTGGGGCCAGGAGCACTGCCCGGTAATAGTGGCACGGGTGGAGGAAAGCCAGGAGATTCGGGCGGCGACCGGACAGTCACGCCCGGGATGTATGCGATCTGGATGACGTTGGAAGCCCTCGTCATCACTGTCGAAGCGACAGACCGACGGGAGGCCGCAGTGGACTGATTGTCGCGGAGCGTAGCACGCTTTTCATCTGCCCAGACGATACCTGCTTTCTTCTTGGGCCGAAGCCAGAACCACCATATAACAAAAACGATCACTGCGAGACCTGCGATACCACCCACCACACCGCCCGCAATCGGCGCCACTGGCGTGCTTGAGCTGGGCTCAGGTATTTGACCAGGTAGTGCACCAACCTTGATGCATGTTGTGTACGCACAGTTGTCGCAGGTTTTCGATATCAATTGACACGTTTCGCCGTTCGGGCAGGTGGGACAACTCGGTCCTTCCGAAGGGCACTGGACGCATCTTCGGAAGATGTTGAAGTCACGACTCACTTCACAACATTAGCATAAGTCTGCGAAAGTATCGGGACAAAACACACGTGAAGTCTCCGGCGCCATGCTGGCGAGCACTTGTTGTATATACCCAACTCGAACTCCCGTTTCCGACGAAGACCCTGCCCCGGTGTATGTTGTTCCACTTCGCGGTGCTGAATGTGATGTTGATGCTCGCAGAGCACTTCAAGGGATGTCGAACGAGTGACGTTGAAAGAACTGAAGTCGAGTAACGAGCGTGGCTGAAAACAGAACAAAGAATGTGGTACAAGGCCCGAGGCCTTCTCTCCACGGGTGTGTGCAGAAATGAAGGCGGTCGACGAATGCAATGTCGTCGAAGACAGACAAAGCTGTAGAGCGAGTGTTGTAGGATGCACTGAGTAATGAGCGACGATGATCAACCACGAGAACGAGCGATGGAGCAGACTCCGCCGTCTTGGTCGCGGTGTGAGGTCGTGGAGAGGAGGAAGAGGAGGCACACGATAGCACGATTTGGCAAGGGCTGCGGACGGGAAATTGCAGTGGACAGCCAGCTCCAATGAAAACGTCAGGGTACCTGACCCAGCAGTTGGTGAGACCGCCCGAAAGGGAGCGGTCGTGGGGTCCGCCACGAAGCTTGGAGCGAATGATCTCCCGGCATGATCGCCTCATGATATATATTGCTCACCTATTGCCCATCAGCGACGAATTATTGTGCGAAGGTCCATCCATCGCGTCCAAAGGCGATCAAAGTGTGTCCGCTAACAACACCTGCAAAGATCAAATCACAGCGCAGAGGAACTTGTATGCTTGTGTGGTCAGCATTGTTCGGAGCAGGCCCAGCAACACTAGCTGCTCGTGCGCTGCAAGGGGCTTATTGTGAACTCGTCATCAAAGCACATGCGAAAAATCCAGATGACGGTCTGCCAGACTGTCGATGCAGTAACGCGATCGTTATGCTGGTCAGAGTCTGGTCAGAGAAGCAAAATGATTGTGCCATCCGAAGGGCTGAAGGAAGCATCTCATCAACCGCATCTCGTGGTTTCGCAAGATAGGGGAAAAGTATCAGCACACGAACCACGTGAGATTCTTGCATGGCATTGGTACGGATCTGCAGAATCGCGCCTGCCGTGGTTCGTTCGTACTCGTACTTGCCCGTGAGTGTTGACAAATTCGTCTGCAAAGTATCGCCTTTGCAATGCGGCGCTGCAAACAGAAATCGTGCACGGTCGTTGTCCCATGTTTGCGGCAACAATACTTACACGGCAACGGCGACTGACAAAGCCCGCAATGAATCTGGTGGGCAATATCTTAGGCGGGCAGGCCCGCTCGCAACAGCGACACAACACAGCCTCTCTTCAGCCTGCGCCACCGTAGCCACGCATTGGAAGGCACAACCGAGAGGCCGGGTTCTATTTCGAGCTGACTCGGGGCATGCATAAACCTACCCGTTGCCATGCATATGCATCAAGCCTGGTAGCAGTATGCTGTGGCATCTGAGCTGAGCTGCTTGTGTCGTAGTCGATGATGCCAAGTACACGATGTAGCAGAGTAATCGCTTGATCACGCAGATGCCGATGGCGTCGAACAGTGTTGTAGCGCACCCGGAAGATTTTAAGAGACATGGACAAGGGAAGGGCCGTTGGCCTCTGGCGATGAACTTTGCCTTTCGCGGGGCGAGTTGTTGGGCTTGTCTACCGCACCAAAATACTTGCCGCCCCACAGAATGCCCGATGCTGGCTGCGGTCGGCACGTTCCATGTTCCCGGATGCTATAGTTCTAGCAGTAGAACTCGAACACATGTTGTAGTAGATACTCTGACCGCGTGTACTCAAATGAATCTCGATATTGAATATTTCGTGCTGGTTGGATCGGTGGAATGATGCAATGGCGTAGGACTGAGCGGTAAGCGAGACCATACGACCAAGGAAACGGGCGCTCTCTGGGCGGAAAAGACTTGAATGATCGCCAGGAGGCGAGGCTGAGCATAAAATCATTGGACACGAGGTGAAACCCTGCACCACCCGCAGTCATGCGTAGCAGTGGACTTATGTGAAACTCACCATCAGAGCCCCTCGATGCTTGCCCCTAAGAGCTACTAGTCCAGCATTCAATCGTTTGAAACCGTCGATTTCTCCTCAAGTCTCTTTGTTCCACCATTCATCACCACCATTTCCCTCGTTGCCTGTTTACTCAACCTACGCCCAGGTGGCTCACCTAATACTACACAGCGGTCTCTCACGAACAATTCTTGTAATTCCTCCTCACTGCCACTCGCTCTCACGACACCAATCCTAGGGTTTACGACAATTCAAGTCGAGCGCTTCTGGTCCAGCGCACGGACTTTTCACTCTGTGATCGACAGCGGCCATGTCCAACTACCAGGGCGGTGGCTACGGTGGTCACCAGATGTCCAACGTGAACGTAAGCTGAATTCTGCTGATTCTTGACCTATACTGACTGCCGTAGAACAATTATCCTCCTCGGCGGACTGATGACGAGGCTCAGGCTTCGTTGCTACAACAGAACTCGGCGTACCAGCAGCCACCCTACGACGATCACTACTCTCGACCTCACACCCCTGGGCAAGAATCACAGTATACTCTGAACGAGTCGTATGCTGGTGGAGATCCTCAGAAGCTGCCAACCACTGGTGGCTACGGTTACGATACTGGCTACAACTCGAGTGCTCAAAGTCTGCCAAATCCGAATGCGGCCTATGCTCAGACTCCCAACCCATACGAGCGATCAGATTCGACCGAAGCATGGAGACAAAGACAAAATGGCAACATCAAGCGTTATGCCACTCGCAAAGTCAAGCTCGTTCAGGGCGGCGTCCTCAGCATCGACTACCCCGTCCCGTCTGCTATCCAGAATGCGATCCAGGCGAAGTATCGGAATGATCTGGAAGGTGGTAGCGAAGAGTTTACTCACATGCGATACACGGCAGCGACCTGCGATCCTGACGAGTTCACTCTCAAGAATGGCTACAATCTGCGACCTGCCATGTACAATCGCCATACAGAGCTCCTGATCGCCATCACCTACTACAACGAAGATAAGGTCCTGACTGCCCGCACACTTCACGGTGTCATGCAGAACATCAGAGATATCGTCAACCTCAAGCGCTCCGAGTTTTGGAACAAAGGTGGCCCCGCGTGGCAGAAGATTGTGGTCTGTCTTGTTTTCGACGGTATTGATCCCTGCGACAAGGAGACACTCGATGTCTTGGCGACTGTCGGCATCTACCAGGACGGCGTCATGAAGCGCGATATCGATGGCAAGGAGACAGTTGCACATATCTTCGAGTACACCACCCAGCTCTCCGTTACCGCCAATCAGCAGCTGATCCGACCGAACGATAACGACGCGACATCTCTGCCTCCTGTGCAGATGATGTTCTGTCTCAAGCAGAAGAACAGCAAGAAGATCAATTCGCATAGATGGCTCTTCAATGCTTTTGGCCGAATCTTGAATCCCGAAGTCTGCATTCTGCTCGATGCTGGAACGAAGCCTGGTCCGAAGTCTCTGCTCGCACTGTGGGAAGGTTTCTACAACGACAAGGATCTCGGAGGTGCTTGCGGTGAGATACACGCTATGCTGGGCAACGTAAGATTGATTCTACCATCTACGAGATAAGACTGACTTTCGCAGGGCTGGAAGAAGCTGCTCAACCCACTGGTCGCCGCGCAGAATTTTGAGTACAAGATCTCAAATATTCTCGACAAACCCTTGGAGAGTTCGTTTGGCTACGTCAGCGTGCTCCCGGGTGCCTTCTCAGCATATCGATTCCGAGCCATCATGGGTCGTCCTCTCGAACAGTACTTCCATGGTGATCACACTCTGTCCGCCCGCCTTGGAAAGAAGGGTATCGAGGGTATGAACATCTTCAAGAAGAACATGTTTTTGGCCGAGGATCGTATCCTGTGTTTCGAACTGGTCGCCAAAGCCGGATCCAAGTGGCATCTGACTTACGTCAAGGCCTCGAAAGGTGAGACTGATGTTCCGGAAGGTGCAGCAGAATTCATCGGTCAGCGAAGACGTTGGCTCAACGGTTCGTTCGCTGCCTCGATCTATTCTCTGATGCATTTCTCGCGGATGTACAAGTCCGGCCACAACCTCATCCGCATGTTCTTCTTCCATATCCAGATGCTCTACAACATTGTCTCGGTCCTTCTCTCTTGGTTCTCCCTGGCTGCATTCTGGCTCACGACAAAGGTTATCATGGATCTGGTCGGTCAACCTAGTGCAGCCAACAGCAACACGGCCTTCCCATTTGGCGACGATGCGACTCCGATCGTCAACACGGTTTTACAATACATATATCTGGCTTTCTTACTGTTGCAGTTCATCCTGGCACTTGGCAACCGACCGAAAGGCTCAAAAATTGCATACATCATCTCATTCACGGTCTTCGCCTTGATCCAGTTGTACATCATCGTTCTGTCGATGTACCTGGTGGTCCGCGCCTTCACCTCTAAGAACACGACCGACATTGTGACAGGCGAAGGTGCTCAGAAATTCATCGATTCCTTCTTCTCTTCGAGCGGTCCTGGCATTATCATCATTGCGCTGGCGGCGACCTTCGGTCTCTACTTCGTGGCGTCTTTCATGTATTTGGATCCATGGCACATGTTCACCTCTTTCATCCAGTACCTACTGCTCATGCCATCATTCATCAATATCTTGATGATCTACGCGTTTAGCAATTGGCATGATGTGTCATGGGGTACCAAGGGCTCAGACAAGGCCGATGCCCTGCCATCGGCGCAGACCAAGAAGGACGAGAAGGGAAAGACCACGGTTGAGGAAGTTGACAAGCCGCAAGCCGATATCGACAGTCAATTCGAGGCCACCGTTCGACGTGCTTTGGCGCCATATCATGCTCCTGCGGACAAGGACGAGAAGAGCTTGGAAGACTCGTACAAGAATTTCCGAACGCGACTGGTGGCTACCTGGATCTTCTCGAATGCTGCACTTGCTGTTGCCATCACTAGTGAGAATGTGGACAGCTTTGGCTTTTCTGTAAGTGTTAAACCAGGCGTTGTGCAGATCTCAACTAACATTATCACAGGATGGCGCTACCCTTCGTACTCAGCGCTTCTTCCAGGCCCTGCTTTGGACTACCGCTGCTCTATCGCTGATTCGCTTTACGGGATGCTGTTGGTTCTTGGGCAAGACTGGTCTGCTATGTTGCTTCGCCAGACGATGAGGCTGGATCTCATGTTGCCTGTGTGTGCTTTTGTGGAATTTAGCGGGCAAAAAAGGGTGCAAACATGGACAGATCCTCCCTCTAGGTAGAGGCGTCCTCTCAGGTTGCTTTCGGTGCAGAGTCGTTTGAAGGACTCCTTGGCGATCAGTCGATACATTGGACATGCGCATACTCCGTCTTGATGACTGTAGAAATGAAAATTCTGCATTTCAATGTCTTCATTACTGTCGTGATGGATTTTCATGCGGCTCCTGCTATCATTGAATGGATATGGGCACCTGAGTCATTCGGCCTAGGCCGCGCCTATCGGCGAATCGCGTCAGATCTCGCGGGATGATTTCATCGTGCCTCGTCTCGCCTTCTCTTCTACCATCTTCTGTAACTGCACTATCAGTCCTTCACAGTACATGCATCTGGCGCATTCACTTGATCAGGCACTTTGATCAGGCTGCAGGCTCTCGCTCACAAAGAATTGCTATCTCTATAATCTCACCATAATAATCGATTGTTCAGTCTTCAACCACTTCCCCACCTCGTGACCAAGATACAACCGTACGAGTCCAAGACCCGACTACCCATCCGCATCACGACACGCGAGTACGACACTCCCGCTTGAGGCTATACCCCAAGATCGAGCGGCTTGCCCGCGAGGCAGAACACCGGCAAGATGTTGAAGATATGGTCCATGGTACGGACCCGCTACCACTTAGACCTGCCACCAGCTAACTGACGACTCCGACAGAAACAGCAGCAACAGAAGGATGAGCAGGCAGCAGGCGCGACACAGAAGAAGAAGAAGGTCACAGCGGCTCAGCTGCGGGTACAGAAAGGTATGTCCTGTGCAGGGCAGATCAGCAAGATCAGAGAGACCAGGACACGCAACTAAGGAAGACGATGCAGATCTGAGTGAGCTAGCGCTCGGCGCAACGATGAAGACGACGTTTCCGAATCCCGACGATATCTTGAACTTCACACTCACGATCGAGCCGGACGAGGGCATGTACAAGGGCGGGAGTTTTGTGTTTACGTTCGCTATGAATAACAACTGTGAGTCTCATCGAATGGGAAGTGTTAGGTGCGGTCGAGCTGGAAGGGCCGCTGCAGCGCTCCCTGAACGGGTCTCTGAGGTGTTTCCGCAATCGTGTTGGGCCTCAGAAACGCTACCTCCTGGCCTCGTCCGCTCAACCACGCCTCCCAACCCAAAACCCACCGAAACGACAACTGCTAACTGGCCCACAGACCCCCACGACCCTCCAAAAGTAAAGTGCACACAAAAGATCTACCATCCCAACATCGACCTAGAAGGCAACGTCTGTCTCAACATCCTCAGGGAGGACTGGAAGCCCGTCCTTAATCTCAACGCCGTCATAGTAGGCATGCAGGTATGTATCCCTCCCATTCTCCGTACACCGACCAGTGTTGACAATCTTCTAGTTCCTCTTCCTCGAGCCAAACGCCTCAGATCCGCTCAACAAAGAAGCCGCCGAAGACCTACGCACCAACCGAGAAGGCTTCCGGAGAAATGCGCGGACTGCTATGGGCGGTGGCAGCGTAAAGGGCGTCACGTTTGATCGCGTGCAGAAATAGGAAGGCCCTTTCGAACCCTGTCGACCAGCACCGGACCCGCCCTCGGACAGACGTAAGCGTCCGTGGGAGCTCGAAGCCGATACCGGTCTACGCTCATGGGCAAGAAGGCATTGGGGAGGAGACGATGCGAGCCTTTGAGGGTGCCATGGATGCACATAGTGCGGAACGGTCTCAGTCGACGAATTGTCTATCAACGCATTCACAGAGGCGCACTGTTGGGGACGGCTCGCGGCGCATAGACTGTTGTGCAGTGATTTGAGCAGAATCGGGTCAGATAGTAGGGCTCTCGTAATGGTCCATGGACGGACCTGGTGCGCTGAAGAATGACCTTGATAGAGTGAAATCAATATCAGAATGAACGCACACAACAACATCCTCTCTGCAGAAGATCTGGGCGTTGTTGGCGGTTGTGTGAATATATTTGCTCATCGACAAAAGATACCTGAAACATGACGTTCCATAGGTCGACAGTGTTCGCTCGGCCATACAGAATGGACCTGGTACGTAGTTGATAAGCACGACCAGTTTGCAGTGCTCGAAGTGCTGCAAAGAGACGCACACAGTCCGCCATGCAGGAGCACTGATCGTGGTGACCTACCAAGTATTTACTGGTCAACCGGCGCGCCCAAGCACTAAGTGAGTGGGGCGATGGATTCAATTTCCGATGTTGTCAACATCACGTCTCGGTCTCGCGTCTGGCCTACTTTCATGACATTGACATCTCAGGCAACCTTGGAACAGACCGACTAAACAAGATCATGATTGACATGGAGCAGACGGTCGGAGGACCAGGTCGACTGTTCAGCGTCTCGCCTGACGAGTCTGCATCGATGGTCGGAAGCAGTTCCATCGTCGACCGGCGCTGGTCGCCGGACTCCCCACAGATGGCCATGCTACTGTGCTGCCTCTGTCTGACAGTTGATGAAGCTCGGCCACCAGCCTCGCAGCATTGTTGACGCTTGGTCGTGGACAATCCAAGCGCCGTGGCCGCAAATCCCTCGCGACAAGTTACACCTGGATCGAGTGAGCGATCACCTGGTCAGCAGCTATCTTATGCGGGTGAGTATATACGGACAGCGCAATTTGACCACTCCTGATCGATATGGAGCTTGATGCTCAAAAAATTGGCGAGAGCAATCCCAAGAGGCATCCATAAGACGCGTTCCACCTCACATGCCTTGCAAGCGTATGGGGGCTGACTAAATGCAAGCTGTTCTTGGAACGCAATGCACTGGTAACGCTGGCCAACACTGATACGGACTTCCGCAGCTGTAAAGGAGCTCAGTGGAAGCAATCCCGGTATGTGCACGATACACGGCTCGGGCTGACACTTGAGATCCGCGCTTTGCGCGCAAGTCACCGGTAACTCAGTCCTCAGTCAGAAAGCGTCCTACTGTTTGGTCCCAACAACAACGCATACTTGCCTGCTTGGATCCAGAAGCGGTCTCGAAGGATCACTAATGAGCTGCGCACCAGCAGAATCCACACCACACTGCAAGGTCCTTAAGGACCTTGCTGCTGGCGTGTCAGACTCTCATCCGGAGATGGAATCTTGCCGTACCCTACACCACGGCGTAATAGATCCACTTGAGGCGATGCTACGTGGCCACCCTAAAGCGATCGATGCAAGGTTGAGGACTGTCGGCATATTCCGGTACCCAACACGGCCATCCTGAATGCCTGAAGGCTGTGCGATTTTGGTTATGGTTAATCACCTAGCATACCTTATCCCGCCGACCCTTGAATAGAGTCTGGAGGAAAGGCTAGCTGTGTCCGCGTTGTAGCCTCGAACCAAGAGAGGAGGCACGGGGCGTAGGAGGCAAGAACGATCGACGACTTCTAGGTCTAGACTTCGGGCATCGGTATCGAAAGTCACATCTTTGCAGAGGCGCTTCGGAGGCCAAGGCTTTTCAGCTCCAATAGCTGCGCGCCTACGACGAGACAGTCTGCGCAAAGACTGGGCGCTACTGAATGATATGGATGCGAACGAGGTGTCTCAACAAGAATGCTGACCGGTCACGTACCATGTATCTGGACTATGCTCAAAATACTTGCGATTCATCCCATTGAGAGCGCGAGCTGACGGATTGGGTGCAAGTCACGTCAATGCAATTCGCCGCAGTATGACCGTGGATTCTCAGCCAGGACTTAAAGGCACGGCACGGCATCCTCCGTTAGATCAATCGTGCCGCTGCGTTTTCCTAGCTTGTTGGCGAATCACATTGCAGATCTTGAACACTACCTTCAGATGTCTGGACATGAATCGATAAGAACGCACGGTCCACGGATCCTGGAGACCGGAGGTCTAGTTCAACGTAGTGTTGTCCTCCCATGCCACCACATTCTCACAGAGTTCATGACCGGCAGACGATGTTTCAGCCATGCTCACTTGGCAAGTCTCTCATACAGCTACTTCACATCGAATTTGGAATTTATTGCAGGACATCTTGAATTTTAGCAGCCCATCCGGTACACACTCGAGCCTCGAAACAGCCGCTTCTGGTCAACCACACAGGATCTTCCACCTGCTGTTGAGACTACTATGCGCCAGTGCTACCATCAATGAAGCTTTATTTTAGCGTTGTGTCCATTTATGGTAGAGGACGAGGCAAGGGCAGACCGGTATGGGGATAATAGTTCGAGGAATGCAACCGCCCCACATGCGCGAAAGTTGGCCCCTGATTGGACGGAAAAGTCATCTGCAGTCAATCCAAGCCTCTTGAACGGTGCTGTCAAACTGTCAAGGACACTGCCGGCGGACCGGAGATGCCACCAACACTGTCAAATCGTGGGTTTCTGTCACTTCGTCTTGTCGTCTTGTCTTCGCGAACAATGGCTATCTGAAGTCGAAGAAGCTCGATGTGACAGCTGTCAGAGGAGCCATGGTTCTGGGACAGTCCAGCGTCCACGCCTGCAAACCTGCGTTGTCAGCTCGGCTGCATTCGTCAAAGTTGATCTAGGATATCGAAGCCGAAGCCAGACCCTATCGCGAATGTTTGTCTAGACTCAACAGTCCCAAATCATGGAGCTGATGAAGGATCTGTGGTCTGGATTACGCCACCACTGAAAACGGGGCTTCGATAGACTTTCGGGATCCGCAACCGTTATTTCGCCGTTACGCCACAAAGCTGTTTCCCCGTCCCCTTTCGATTCAGCTCTGACACCATTTCATTGTTTTGTTCACCAGTCTACGCCTGTTCTTTTGCTGGTGGTGGGCTGATTGACTTTCTAGGCTGTCCACTCACGGCGCCAGTCGACGATGCTCTGGACCCCGAATTTGCAATGTTGGAAAAAGATTGGCCCGATCCAGCCATGACTTCATTTTTGGCATCCATTCTCGATGCTATCCCATCACACAGTAGCAATGATCTGCATTCTCTGACTCGCATCAGAACGACTGTTAGGGACGCAGACGGCGATCGTGCCTTGAACAGCTACGGCCACCACCCTCATCTATACCCCGCGACCCTAATTGAGCACCTTGTGTGTCTTATTCGAGACCGGCCATAATGGGTCACCCGTTGCGGGAGGCTAATCTGATCTTCCATGTTGCAGTCTGGCGACGTCAAGGAAAGTCTTGTGGCTGAAGGTCTTGCCCGAGCCGCTGACTAGCGTGTCGACGGGCCATCTGAATCATGGCCTACTGCAGTGCTCTCCTTGTCATGATTCATCAGGTCCAGTCCGTTGAATCATGTCCAGCTACCGGTACTCATTTGCGATGATTCATAGCAGCTGTTAGCTACTCCTTCCCGCTGCGGCTGGGACACCTTCAGCAACAACGACCTTCATGGAACGGTCCTCGCCCGCCTATCGTCCGATCAAAGCTCTCGAAGATGGTGTCTACGAAATCGTCTGTGATGACTAGCCCGAGCTGTGCTACAGTATGCTCAGCGCAGGTAGACACCATCTGCGCCGATGCTGCTGTTGATTGCGACAATGGGAATCATTCGGGACAAAGCTCTTCTCTTTCCGACTTGAGGGTGTAGCGCAGAGGACTTTGTTCAATGCTCATTGCCATAGCCCCGACAGATTGGCTTCAACTACCACACCTCAGGTGTCTCCCAAGACGGGCTGAAGGTATTGCCATCATGATGTCGCACATTACCAAGATGCAGAGGCCTCAGGATAAGAAGGCCGATGGTCTCAAACCGTGGTACCTGAGACACTTCCCACAAGGATCACAAGACTCGTCACGCGAAGCATCGAGAGAAGATGCGGTTCATCCAATCGTTCTTGTTTTACGCTGTACTCTGTTGCGATGTGCTTGCTGTGCCAACTAAGCCTCAAGAGTGCAATGCAGGTCCCGCGAAAGAGTTACAGGGCTATGCCCCTGCTCTTGCATACTGTTCATCAAGTTATCCTCCGGTCCCAGTCACCACGATCGTGACTGACTATCACACTGCCATTGTGGAAGGAAAGCCGACTACTTACGCAAAGACGGTGCCTCATGTACTCCCAACCTTGACCAAGACGACGTCTACCAGGTATCTTGTGACAGCAACGGCTACCACAACAGACTGGAACAATCGTGTATCAACATGGTAAGCAGCTCCAAAGCTGTGAAGGCTAGCCAAGACGAGCACTGCTCATTGATGCTGACTATATGCAGTACTATCTTTTCCACCAAGCAGGTCGGTCACTTGCCACGTCGCTCGGCTGAAGCTGTGGCGCGGGACCTTCCCGCGGATCCTCAACAGTCTGCATGGCTTTCGCTCCTGAAAGAGCCAGCGCCTACGGTTGCAAGCTGTTGCCAGTGCTTACAAGTCACTCCGACGAAGTCCATCCACGTTCCCGGTCATAGCACTGTCTGGAGCACAAAATATCCACATGTCACAGTTACCGTCACCAAGGGCTATACTCGCCCGACTAACGTCGTCACCTGGAGCAAGACGGTCTATACTACTCATACGACGACTTCGTGCCCTCGAGCAACGCGGACGATCTCAACTACCTGGACAGTCACCCAGACCAAGACTTCGGCGGCCTCCTCACCAGCGGTATCGGTGACTCATTCTGGCGCGCAGGGCGGAGGCTCTGCCTCAGCATCGAGGCGCCCGACTGGTTCAGCAGCCGCAAGCTCACCTCTTCTCCCGTCTGCAGGCGCTTCCTCTACCTCTACAGCAGCGAGCTCTGGCATCAGCCAGACCGTTTCAATGCCAAGCTCAGGTTCCGGAACGTCCTCTTTATCGTCGCCAATATCTGGTGGTGTAGGCATATCCGGAGCCTTCACTCAGACATCTGCGACAGGTGCAGGCGCTGGCATTGGTGATCCAGGCTCGATTGGCGGAGCATCTACCAGCATAAGCATGACATCTTCTCTGAGTGGCTCAACAAGTGCAGGCGCTGGCGTAGGGGGTCCAGGGTCGATTGGCGGAGTGTCCTCCGCCGTAGGCCTGACATCGTCTGTGGGTGCCTCGACGAGTGCAGGCGCTGGCATTGGAGGTCCAGGGTCGAGTGGCGGCGCGTCCTCCGGCATCGGCCTGACATCTTCTCTGGGTGCCTCAACAAGTGGAGGTGCTGGTTCTGGAGGTCCAGGATCGATCGGCGGAGCATCTACCAGCACAGGCTTGACCCCGTATCCTGGTGCCTCGACAAGTGCAGGCGCTGGCATTGGAGGTCCAGGGTCGGACGGCGGAAATTCTGCTAGCGCCAGCCTGACAGCTTCTCTGGGTGGCTCGAGTTCAAGTGGAAGCTCTATCGCTGCAGTCGGTGGTGTTCCCTCGTCCTCAGTCGGCTCAAGCCCGTCGATTTCTTCCAGCAATGTTTCTCCGACCTCGTCAAGCTTGAATGCGAGCACTGGCGCTGGTGGCATCGGCGGAATCTCGTTGTCTGCGGGAGTCACATCATCGACAAACAACTCTGCAGCTACCTCGCCAGGGTACGGTTCAAACTCCGCCGCAAGCTCTGTGACAATCAGTGCTACTGGCGCGTCGGGCACTGCCGCTCCATCCCTGACTTCAGCTTCAACTGGCGCAACGACAGGCGGCACGGCGTCTACAGTCATCGTTGACCCAGGCAACTTATCTCCTACCACGACTGGCCTTCTATCAACGATCATTTCTTCACTCCTGCCTAGCTCCCCGTCCGTCTCTATCACCCCGACCGGTAGCAATGGATCAGGTGGCACGAGTGCTAGTAGCGGCGAATCAAGCGATCCGACCTCCGCTATTACCTCAACGTGCAGTATTGAAGGCAATCTCGTCCTCTGTGCAGGTGTAACGGTCAGCACAATAGCAACAGTCAGCGCGTCATTATCGGCAAGCCTTCCTGGTCTTGGCAGCTCGTCGGCTGCGTTGCCAACGACTACCCCTGCCATTGAGACAGTGTATACTGCAATCATCGAGTCCGGTACGACTGTCGTAAGTGTCGTTCTCGTAACCCTCACTACAGACCCGACCGGTGGGTCTGCTATCATATCTATGACCTCGTCAATCCCCAGCGCCTCGTCTGTCTCGGCCACCGTTTCGCAGTCTTGCACATATGATGGCACAGGGGCTCAGGTCTGTGTGGATGTGACGGTAGGTCCGATATCTGGCGGAGCCTCACTGGGCGTTTCTGTCCCTGAGACTTCCGCTGTGGCATCGACCTCGCCTGCCTCCTCTGCTGGAGCGACCTTGACAGGGTCTAGCTCCGCAAGCTCTGGATCTCTAGCGGCTACCTCACAGTCCTGTACACTCAACTCGTCCGGAATACAAGTCTGTGTGGATGTGACAGCAGGTCCGATATCTGGCGGAGCCTCACTGGGCGTTTCTGTCCCTGAGACTTCCGCTGTGGCATCGACCGCGACTGCCTCCTCGTCTGGAACTACCTCGGCGACGCCTGCCTCCGCAACCTCTGGTTCTTCAGTGGTCACCTCAACGTCCTGCACAGTCAACCCCTCGGGAGTAACAGTTTGCGTCGCTGTCACCGTGGATCCCGTGTCTACTGGCGTCACCGCAGGTGTTTCAGATCCAGGTCTCGGCGGGGCCACCGGTACGGCAGCGCCAACAAGCTCGATCAGCGAGGTCTCATCTGTCGTGGGCGTCATAACCTCCCTCACTGCAACCGACGCGACACCGACGCCGGTCACTACTCCGGTCTCTGGCTCGGGTCTTCCATCTAGCTGCACAATCGACGCTGCAGGAGCAATCGTGTGTATCGATGTCTCGGCATCTCAGATCTCTGCTGGGACCACACTCTCAGTCCCGCTTACAGACACATTCTTACCCAGCTCCATAGTTCTGCCGAGCACGTTGTCTACTCCAGGCGCCCTTACAACTTATACGACCTCGGTTGCGTCTGGGTCCGTGGTCCCATCTGGCTGCACAGCGGATGGCAATGGGCTCGTGGTATGCGTTTCTGCATCGGTGGATCCTGTCTCCGCAGGAGCTACACTCTCAGTGTCAGTGACGGATCTAAGTACTCCTGTCACGGCAACTTCGGTATCCGTCCCTGATATCAGTGCTTCTATCACGGCATCTCTATCCGGCACAGAATCTATGTCGTATATTACGTCGACCTACACGACATCAGTCAGCCCAGGGTCACCCACTCCAGTTGGGTGCACAGTCGGCACGAACGGTATCGCAGTTTGCGTCAACGTTTTGGTTGCTCCAGTCAGTGCCGGCGCCACAGTCTCGGCCTCGCTGCCCGATGCTAGTCCCGCAAGCTCGGTATCTGTACCAGATATCGGCGCTTCTGTCACGGCATCTCTGTCTGATACAGAATCGGTCTCGTATATTACGTCGACGTACACGACATCAGTCAGCCCAGGAGCAACAGCTCCAGCTGGGTGCACAGTCGACACAAGCGGTATCGCAGTCTGCGTCAACGTACTCATTGCTCCAGTCAGTGCCGGCGCCACAGTCTCGGCTTCCCTGCCGGATGCTAGTCCTAGTATAACTGCGATCTCATCCCTGCTTTCCAGCGTTCCAGCCTCAATTGGACTGACCTCGAGCGACAGCGCGCTCCCAGCTCCATCGACAACGGGCCTCGTGAGCTCACTGATATCGGTGCTGTCTTCTATATTCGTCTCAGCTCCCTCGAGTTTGACGGACGTCCCGGGCTCAACGGCGGTCTTGTCACTGACTTCGGTCAATCCTACTGTCGTGCCGGTCCCGACAGCGACAGCAACTAGTACAATCTGCAGCGTCGGTGCCAACGGGATTGAGGTTTGTGTCTCAGCGGCCGTTGATCCTGTTACCGTTGGTGCCACTGTTGCTATCCCGCTCCCATCGACTGATCTGCCAACATCGTCACTGTCCTCACTCTTTGTGTCGGCTTCCATTTCAGATGTGACGCTGCCGACACCAACGGTCTCTCTGCCTGATGTCTCAATCTCAGTGTCAGGGGTGCTATCAGCCTCGGTCTCCGTATCGGACGTCTTGTCGACACCATCGCTGTCGCTCTCGGCGACGGTGTCTGATCCGACCTCGTTGCTAAGCTCAGTGATCTCAGCTGTGGACTCGGGTGTGGCCCCTATTGGCTCGTCTCTGAGCTCAGTAGTTGGAGATGTTACATCTCAGGCGGCTTCCATCACGGCACCGGTTTCCTTGCCAGGAATTTCGGCATCAGACATTTCCGTATCGGTCTCAGCCTCATTATCGGTGGCCGATCCATCGACTTACATCTCCGTCGAACCGTCTCTGACTCTTTCCACGACAGTGCCGATGTGAGCTCGGTACTGAGCACGCTCACTTCTGACGTGGCCTCGGTACTGAGTACCCTCACTTCTGACGTGGCTTCTGTCATTGGCTCAGTTGTGACCTCTCCTGCCAGCATAATTGATCCGACAAGCTTGGCTGGGCTGACGACTTTGGTCGGGTCCGATTCTATTACCATCTCTGCTGGTGAGACTGTGGCAGTCAGCGTCAGCATCCCCTCAGTCGACCCGAACAGTACTCCACTCGTCACTTCGATCGACTTGTCGAGCATTCCGGGTATCACAGCCAGCGTTGTTGACCCAGTCTCCGGTGGCGTCACAGCATCTGTCGGTCTAGGAGACTCGTCGAGCTTGGTGGATGTTTCCGCTAGTGCGACCGTCTCTGTTACCGACCCGATCACTGTAGTGGTTACAACACCCGTTTCTGAGATTTCGGCTGGCCTCAGTAGCTGCACAATCAACACTGATGGACTTGCAGTGTGCCTCTCGGTATCCGCTGGACCAGTATCCGCCGGTGCTACAGCATCTGTCGGACTGGACACGACTTCTGATCTTGTTGGCGTTGGTGCCACAGCAACCGTTGGTGTCAGCGATCCAGCAACTTCGATTCTGGCATCAGTTTCGTCAACAGCTTCAGCCGTCATTGATCCCACTGTTGTGGCTTCCATCACCAATGATCTACCGCTGTCTACTCTCACCTCCGTTTTGGGTGAGTTGGTGTCATCTAGCACTGTCGATGCCGGGTCCATCGTCAGTGTTGTCACAAGCATCGTCTCCGATATCACCCAAGTTGCATCCATCGAGGTACCGGCCGCTACTACAAGCCCAGTAGGAATCGATGTCTCACTCACGGCCGATGTTTCGCCATCATCGATCGGCATTGACGTCTCGGGTGGGGCTTCCGGCCTGCCTGTTAGCTCTACAGTAACGGTCGGAGTATCACTGGATCCCACCGAGATTGTCTCTTCGCTGCTCTCATCAGGGGCGATCCCATCAGTCACTCTCACACCCACAGTGAGCGCACCAACTGCTACGGACTCAACTGGTCTTGACCTCTCAGCTTCAGTGCAACTTTCATCGTCATTAGGCGTTGATGTGTCAGCGGGAGCTTCTGGCCTTCCCGTCGATGCTACAGCTACAGTTGGAGTCTCGATCGATCCTACTCAGGCTATCACATCTGTCGCATCGGTGCTAGACTCAGCAGTTAATTCAGCCTTCAGACTCTCACTACCGACCTCGCTACCGCCACCATCTCTGGTGGAGTTGATCTCTCTGCTTCGGCACAGCTGTCCTCCACCATTGGAGTCGATGTCTCGGCTGGTGCCTCTGGTCTTCCCGTCGGTGCTACCGTCACCGCAGGAGCTTCAACTGATCCAACCCAAATCATTGAGTCGCTGGCCTCGTCAGTTCTCGATACGTCAGCTCTTCCAAGCCTGTCAATCAACATACCCACTGGCGCGACTTCAGCAGGGATTATTGTTTCTGCTTCTGCAGACCTTTCTACTGCCACCAAAGTCGATGTTTCTGTTGGCGCATCTGGTCTTCCTATCAGCGCAACCGTGACAGCGGGAGCAGGGCTTGATCCTGCTCAAGTCATTTCATCGGCTGTCGATACATCAGTCCTTCAAAGCCTATCATCTGAAGTTCCCACCATCACGCCTTCAGTATCAATCGACGGTTCTCTTTCAGCAGGTCTTTCGTCGACTATCGGGCTTGGTGCCTCTGTCGGTGAGTCCGGTCTACCAATCAGCGCTACAGTGACGGCTGGAGCATCGGTCGACCCTGCTGGAAGCATTTTGACCACAGTCGTGACAGATGTGGCAGGCCTTCTACTTACCCTGACATCAGACGTGCCTTCCGCCACAGCATCCGATGGAATCGACGTTTCCCTGTCAGCAGAGGTTTCCTCGACCATCGGGGTTGAGGCCTCTGTTGGCGAGTCTGGTCTACCAATTAGCGCTACGGCGACGGCTGGTGTGTCTGTCGACCCTGTTGGGAGCATCCTGACCACAGTAGTGTCAGATGTGACAGCCATTCAATCCCTGACATCGGATGTGCCTTCCATCACAGCTTCCAGTGGGATCGATGTTTCTGCTTCTGCACAGCTTTCCTCTACTGTCGGCGTGGACGTCTCAGTGGGAGCTTCAGGCCTCCTTGTTAGCCCAACTATAACTGCCGGAGTGTCAGTCGACCCAACTCTATCGATCTTGCCGACTAGTGTACCAGGAGTCGATGTCTCGGTCTCGACTGATGTGTCTTCCGCGCTTGGCGTGGCCATCTCAGTGGCAGCCTCAAGCCCTCCCGTCGATACTACGACAGCAGACGTCAATCCAGTCGTATCGGTTGTGCCGACCAGTGTACCCGGAGTCGATGTTTCTGTTTCAGCTGATCTGTCCTCAACTATTGGTCTGGGTGTCTCGGCAGGCGCTTCAGGCTTGCCAGTCGGTGCTACTGCCACGGTCGGTGTGACAGCTGATCCCATATCGGCTGTGTCCAGCGTACTAAGCTCTCCGGATGCCCTGCCGGTGTCGACGATCATTTCCGCTGACCTATCATCAGTCGTGTCGGCAATTAGTGCTTTACAGACCTCCCAGCTCCTTTCTGCTAGCATCGGAGTCGTTGCCTCTGACACTATCTCAGGCGTGCTCGTTGGTGCTACTGCAACCTCAACTGCAGCTTCGGGAGGTGCCGTATCGGTTCTGTCGGGCGCTCTTAGCTCCTTGGATGCCGAATCGTTGTCAGCATCTATCGTGCAGACACTGACATCAGCAGTGCCCTCTACGCTAGGGGCTGGTGCAGGAATCGATGTCTCTGCAACCGCTGCCGCCACCTCCGGTATCGACGCCACAGTATCTGCTGGAGACTCGGGCCTGCCACTGAGTGCCACGATCACCGCTGCTCTGTCAGCCAATCCAGCGACAACCGTGCTAGTATCGGTAACCAATCCCGGAGTTGATGTCTCGGCCTCTGCTGCTGCTAGCTCTGACCTTGGCATCGGGCTTGGAATTGGAGCTTCTAGTGTACCAGTCAGCGTCACGCTCGATGCAGGCTCGACGGTCAATCCTACAGCAAGCACAATTGTCCCGGCATCTTCCGCTGGTATCGATCTGTCCGCTTCGGTCCAAGGTACATCTGGAGCTAGCATCGCGATCTCCGCTGCGGCATCTGGTTTGCCTGTCAGTCCTACAGTCACCCTTGGCGTGGGTGTGGATGCATCTTCGTCTCTTCTCACGGCCTCGACGAGCGTCCAAGTGGTACCTACTGGCGTCGGCGTCGATGTCTCTGCCTCGGTCCAAGCTTCTTCGGGTCTTGGAGCAACGGCCTCGGTCGGCGCTTCTGTACCAACTGTATTAGGGACAGCTTCTTTGTCGCCCATCTCAGTCTCGCTGGCCGCTTCGTCGCCGATCACAGTCTCGCTAGCCGCATCGGTCCCGACGACGTTGATCACACAAACAGTTCCTGCTTCGGTGCTGTCGCTGTCGTCGGCGTCTATCTCTCTTTTAGGTGCAGCAGGAGCAACCGTTTCAGCATCCATTTTGGTGAGCCCGACTGTCACAGCCGTCCCCATCGCAACGAGTCTCGCAGGCGTCACCGGCGAAAGTATTAGCACTGCAATCGCAACGGCGTCAACTATCACTTCTGCGGCAGTACTTCCAACAGCGGATGTTAGTGCATCACTCGACGCAGCCTTATCACTCAAGGCAAGTGCTTCCTCGGCCTCCGCTGCTGCTATCAGTGCTTCAATCTCTGCAAGTATTGCTGCGGCGAGTGCTGCAGAGCTTGCCGCCAGTGCATCTATCAGCAGTGCAAACTTGGCCAGCGCCTCCGCGGCTTCAGCTTCTGCGTTGAGCGCCTCTTTGGAGGCCGTCGCTGCTGCATCCAGCGCTTCTGTTCTCAGCGTCGCGGCAAGTGCTTCCGCCAGTGCATATTCAGTCAGCCTTGCTTCAGTCGCAAGTGTTGCCTCAGCAAGCCAGCTTTCGGCAAGTCTCTACTCCGTCAGCCTCTATTCTGCAAGCGTGCAGTCCGCTGCCAGTCTAGCCTCCGAAGCTAGTCTTGCGTCAGTCGCCAGCATCGCGTCTGTAGCCAGTGTGAGTGCATATTCCGCCAGCATCTCCTCCGCTGCCGCCTCAGCCGCCAGCGCGTCAGCAGCCAGCGCCTCCGCTGCTAGTCTTGCCTCCGTGGCATCGAGTGCGAGTGCATACTCCGTCAGTCTTGCAGCGGCAGCCAGCGCGTCATCAGCGAGCGTCCAGGCGTCCATCGCAGCAAGTGCTTCAGCCGCCTCTGCTCTCAGCGCGTCTCTGGCCGCCAGCGCATCGTTGGCATCGGTGGCCAGTGCGTCTTCTTACAGTGCTTCGTTCCTTTCAGCACAACAGGCGAGTGCTTCCGCAGCAAGTGCCTCTCAAGCGATCGCATCCTACGCATCAGCCAGCCTGGCGGCGGCAGCTAGTATATCTGCGGCCAGTGTTTCTGCAGCCGCACAGGCAAGTGCGTCACGCGCGAGTGCATCACTTGCGAGCGCCTCGTTGGCAAGTTTGTCGCTGTCGAACGCCGCTGTCGCCGCTACTTTGCAGCCAACAACATTGCTGACCCTGGTCAGCACAACATCCGCTGCCGCTCCACTTGTCGCTGTATCGGCATTAGGCTCGGCGTCGTCATTGGTCCAAGCCAGCGTTGGCGCCACAATCGCCACACAGTCATCATCGGTGCAGGCTGGCGTCCTAGGAAGTGTTGGCACCGCAACTATCTCGGTTGCGACTCCAGCGGGTGCGACCGCTTCGGCAGCGGTTGTCTCCATTGCCTCTGTCGTCTCCGCTCCCACAGCTTCCGTGAGCGCCCAAGTTACTGCCACGGCCTCTGCGGTCAATGTACTTGGAGTCACGCTTTCAGCGTCTTCGGCGAAGGTCACAGTCCCCGTTGCATCTGTCGTCTCCGGTGCAACTGCCGCCGTAGGTGCCCAAGCAACCGTCGCGACCGCCGCGACCTCTGCGATCTCTGTCGTCTCCGTCCCGACAGCCTCCGTCAGTGTCCAAGCAAGCGTGGCCGCCTCTGCGGTCTCCGCACCTGCAGTCACCGCTTCGGTATCTTCGGTAAAGGCCACAGTGTCCGTCGCATCAGTGGTATCGGCAGCATCGGTGGTTCCTTCTGTTGCGTCTGCAGCGTCCGTAGCTGTCACGGTGGCAGCGAGTCCTGCAGCTGCGAAGACGACAGCCGCTGCTGTGACGGTAGCCGCAAGCGCTACTGCGGCAAAGACGACGGCAGCTGCTGCGACGGTCGCCGTTACCGCCACAGTGAGCGCTGCTTCTGGGGTTGGGATTGGTCTTTCGTAAAGAAGGATTTGCTGATGGAACCTCTAGGAGGAGAATCTGTGAAGTAATGGATGGTGTGGAATAGCAGCGTATAGTTGGGAGTAAATAGTCGTTCTGTCACGAGGAGTCGTTCTGTATGCGGGTCCCTGCCAGTTTTGCTGTCTACAAGGTGCTATAATATACGGAATTTCACCGTTCGAAATGCACAGCAACAGTTGGATGCGTATGCGTGAAGATCTCATTCAATAATGAGCATGTCTGCACTTAGTACACGGGCTTTAGACGCAGATTACAGTGACCTTGCCAAGCGCCGGACTCTCGGAGCTCAGTCAATTGCTTTCGGGATCACTACCTGTGCTGATTAGGCACCTGCAAAAGCGCAGTCACTTTGAAGTCACCTATCGCCATTGCTGGCAGATCAATCGTTCTCAAACGTGCGCTGGCCCCTGCTGAGTATCCTGTGCGGATTCTTTCCCACTTCTACTCCTCGACAGGATAAGCAACTTTCCCAGTCATCACCTCCTGAACAAGCCCCGCGTCCAGCAGCTTATCCACCAAATCAAACAACACCGCATCACAGCCCACCGCCGCTGCAAAAGCCACCGTCACTGGCTGCCACTCCATCTTCCTCGTGAAATGACTGTGGTACTCGATCTGCCCTATCGGCACCACAATCTCCGGAAATCCTGCAAAGGAGGCTTCCAGCCCACTCCCATACCCCTCAACGAGATGCACCTTCGTCTGGTCTACCTTCACCGTCGAAGGCGGAACATGCAGACTATGTGCCACAATCGCGGACGTACAAGTCTCCGGATCCGTGGGCAGAATATACGTGTTGAACCACTCGGCATACTGCTCGCGGCGATGCACGGACTCGTTGTAGCGTGCACGAGTGGTTGCGTTGACGCCATCAGCAGTCAGGTTGACAGCGGGGTCGAGGGGTGGGAAGGCGCCGTCGTTGGCGGCTCCGTAGGCTTCGGCTAGGGGTTTGCCGATGAGATCCCAGGACTGTGCTGAGTTTTGGTCTTGGTAGACGTAGAAGTAGTAGGATTGGAAGGTTTCGTTGATGACGTTGGCGCGGAAGCTGGAGGTGAGGTTGACGGTTGTTGTTTTGGCTTGCAGGAGGGTTTCGACTTTTGTGAAGAACTCGAGCTTCATGGCCTCGGCTTCGGGCTGGGTTAGGGCTGGCTCGTCGGCCCAGTACTGGAGTGTGGTCGGGAAGGTTGGTGGGCTGGATGAGATTCCGGTACCGTTGAGCCAGACGCGGCCGACTGTGGTGAAGATTTCTGGTGACCTCGCCATGTGCCAGGAGTGTCCTGCTCGGCGATTGCAGGGAGGATGCCTGTGAGGTTGTACATGCCGTGCGTGGCCTTGTACCCATAGAAGCCGGCGTGGCGCGCTGGATAGCGGACGCTGCCTCCGGTGTCACTCCCAATCGTGAAGTCCAGCCAGTCGTATGCCACAATGGCCGCAGATGAGCCAGAGCTGCTGCCGCCGGTTGTCTGGTAGCCGTCGCCTCTGAAGCTCCATGGGTCCTGATAGTCGACTTGCCACCCGTTGAGGGGTGTGCCAAGAGCAAAGGCGATAGTCTTTGTCTTGCCGACGAGCTGAGCTCCAGCGGCCAGACATGTCTCGACGACCTCGTTTGTGAAGTTCTGTGGACCATAGGTGTCGTAAAAGGATCGGGACCCGCCGGATGTTGTGAGGCCTTTGACATGGTAGATGTCCTTGACAGCAAATCGCATTCCGGCCAACGGGCCTTCACCCACAGCAGGAGGGACCGGGATATTTCCTCCACTGTACTCGACGAACGTCATTCCATCGCCGCCCGGAACAGGTTTTGCACCGGACATAAAAGCAATAGCAGGATCCTCTTGAATCTGATATGCCTTCGCAATGCTGACCGTATTACCGATAGGTAGTGCAACATATGCTCCTGCAGGGAGGTCGATATCGCTGCTTTCCATCATGGTGCTGAAGTCGGGCCAGTCGATAGGTCCGCCGACACTGAAGTAGCTCATACCGTCAGAGGTTGGTTCAGCGGTCGAATTGAAGGCATCGCTGGAGAGCCTTGTGTACTCTTCTGCCAGTACCTGAGGCCATCACTGCCGACCCACTCGAAGTTGATCGCTACGGTAGCTGCTACCAGCGATGAGAGCATTACGAGTCGACTATACATTCTGCTGGTTCAGTCGGTGTCTCTGCAAGTTCCGCCTGTCTCTACAGTCGAGGTCGACATTTTGTCTGATGGCTTTTTTATGTGTGCCCTCGGCATCGCATGGTTTTGGCCACTCGCCGTGATCGGCGACAGCGAGGGCCACTACAGCATCCGATGCCATCTGGTAGCAGGAAAACATCGTCATATTGCCCACTCGGGTCAGCATAAGTGTGCTCTCTTATCATTACTGGGCCGTTTAAAGGCGCTATAGCGATTGGTTTGGAGGTCAGTGTGGATCAGTTCGGCGGAAACGCGGTGTCGGGTCGAGATAAGGCACTTGGCATTCTGTCATCCATGGATTCCAAGGTTCTCCATACTTAAGTACTCTGTGGCAGGTTCCAGGTACCTAGGTATCTCATCTTCGTCATTATCTGACTACTTTGCACGTGGTAACTATACAGTCTCAACCAGCAATCGAAGCGCTCTGCCACCAATCACATCTACGATCAGCCTGCGCATCGGTTTGCACATTCCCTAAGCCCGACGCGTAGGACTCGTTGAGTAATAGCACTGACGCCGCAGATCCATACGCCGGAAATCGTGGCGTTACCGGCCCAGCGGCGTCGGTAGAGCCTTTCGCATCACCCCAGGCTCCTTCGCTGCCCCATTTGGATCGCCCGTCACCACAAAGTTGACAATATATTGTTGTAAGACGTTGGCCACCTCCTCCACAACTGGAAGCTCCTCCCAAGTCTTCGTTTCCGGACCATTATAGAACGAATATGCCAAGTCATCCGCATGAATAGCCGGCGGCACAGCGAAGAGGTACTTCCAGATCTTGCCTGTCTTTGGACCCAACGCTTGCGCCAACCAGCGCGTATTGCACAGAAAACAACCTTCAGCAGTCGTGATGGCTGCTCTCTCGGGTTGCGTCGTGTAGTTATACTTGCCCGACAGATCGTTAGGATATAGTGCTGTTGCAGCATAATTGAGATCCGCTTGTGTCATGTTGGGGAAGAATTGGCGAATGTTGGCACGGTAGTCGCTATCATTGGCTAGGAAAGGGGAGTCGAAGAGGATGCCTTCCCGGTGATTCGTGCCCATTAGTAGACCTTGCAGGGATGCAGCCGCGAAGCGATTCTGCGCGATGAGACGGCTGGGCAGATCAGGTGCGAAGGAGCCGTCTACCACGGGGCCGTATGTGTATATGCCATAAGGGGATCCGCCGACGATGACGCTGTTGAGGAGGTGTAGCTCCTCGAAAGTCAGCGAGCGGAGGTCTGAGATGGATCGGATCGACTTGTTGGTAAGGCTTGACGCTACGGAAAAGGTCTGCTCCAGAATGCTCTGTTGGAAGCCCGGACTGCCATTTGGCTGAAAGCCTGGGCTTTGTAGGATCGCTTTCTGGAACGGTATCGGGCGCGACCCACCGTAAGCGGTGATCTGGTGGAGTACTGAGCCGCCACCAGCGGATTCTCCCATGATGGTGACCCGGCTGGAATCGCCCCCGAAGAGATGGATGTATTGCTGCACCCATTGTAGCGCAAGTCGTTGGTCAAGGAGGCCGGCGTTCGAGTCTCCCTCGCCGTTCAGCTGCGCCGGTAGAAAGCCCTAACAAGAGTCAGTCGATGGTCGGGACATGTACAACAGTTCAATGCTGGAGTCTCAGACTGACAAACAAGCCGACTCGATAGTTCATGGCCACAAAGATAAAATCCTCCCCAGCGCCACTCTTTCGCGTCATCAGGCCTGTGGCATTCATCTCATGCTTATATCCGGCGGAGAAGCCCCCACCATCGATCCAGACAAGCACTGGAAGTCCGCTAGCAGCCTCGACAGTCGCAGTGCGTCTTCTGCTGGATCGCCTGCTGAATGCTTCTGTGGGAACCAAGACATCCAGAAAGAGACAATCTTCTGACTCTTCCGGGTTCACGGGAGGAACTTGAGAAATATTGAACGCCGGATGCGTCAGTGCGGACGTTGGCTCACCGATCGCGACTTCATAGCCAGTCGTGAGCCAGGCGGGATGAGCTTGTGGACAACGAGTGAAGTTCTGGCCGCGGTTTAGTCGTCGATCAACGCTGGTTGGCAATTTTGGCGCACGGAAGCGGTCTGCTCCGGTCGTTGTTTCGCCATACCGTATGTTCGAGAAGTTGTAGTAGGACCCTGAGCTCTGCGTGCAGTCAGAATGGAAGTCCGCGTACTGTTGAGATGGTCTTCATACACCTAAGGTGCCTTGATGAATAGCGTAGTCTAAATCCACAATTTGTGTCGCTGGGGCGGACAACGCCGCCGAATGGGCTAGGCCCGCTCCCGCCAAGAGCGTGAGGGTGGTACAGTACCAGCCCATGGCCATGAAATATTCCTCGTTCTTTATCTGCTGCACAGGTCCGAGTGCATTGCAAGTACCTCCGTGTACAACACATGGCCAACAGATGCGTTATAACAACCGCCAGTCCTGTGGTGCACTCGAGCAATGCCCGTCACGCACAGGTCGGACGGTGAGCAGCTGAACGAAGGCTGAGTACCTGAATAGGGCCGGCTTCAAGCTCCAAAATCAACCTTTCCCGGGGAATGTTGCGTCGTACAGAGCACAGCCTAGGTACAGTATTCCCCAGTAGATACTGAGTGGCACCACTGGCAGCTGAAGCCGCATGGGATCGCGTGGGCATCGTGCGTGCGTTCTGTTCGCCGTTGTGCCACGGCAAGCGCGACCTACTAAGTAGGCTTATAGCTAGAAGCGTCCACAGGGCCTACAAATCCCACCCACACACACCCACACACCACATGGTGCACGTTAGCCACGCGTCCACTCTGCCTACAGCTCCACAACGGTCCATCGTTCATTCGCCCAGCAGCGACGAATAGCGCTGCGTTGGTTGAGTATCAGCGCATTTCTTCTCTCCCAGGATTAAGGCTGATGTTGGGCGTATAGGAGGCTGGCAGAGGTCGCTCGACCTAGCACGCACCGAAACAGCTTCATTCAGGTCGTAGTGGTTGCACCTTTGGATGGATGGCAACCTGATCGGCCTTCTATAGCCGGCAGCTGCACTCTACCGGTTTATAAGAAGGCCATCCACAGCTTTCCGATAGTCGAGGAATGGGAAACAGTCCTGTCAGACTGACCAGAGCTCCTACTCGGCAATCATGCTTGTCCAAAACATCCGTCTCACGGGGCTGCTGCTATCCTCTATCATAGCCTCAGCACTGGCATGCTCGCGTGTTACTTATACCGGTGCAAAAGATGGTCGAAGCCTAGTAGGGCGGTCGATGGACTGGCTGACACCCACCAATTCAAGCATCTATGCGTTCCCGCCGGGCCTCAAACGGGACGGCGCAGCAGGCAACAACTCACTCCAATGGACCAGCAAATACGGGTCTGTCATCACCACAGCATATGATCTGTCGACCTGCGACGGCATGAATGAGCGCGGTCTTGTCGCCAATCTGCTGTATCTAGCCGACGCCGAATATGGGTCCCGCAACCACTCAATGCCTGCCATGTCTCTTGCCATCTGGCCGCAGTACTTCCTGGACCAGTATGCCACTGTCGCTGAAGCCGCCAAAGACCTGTTCGACTCCAACGGCGATCCCAAGTTCCAAGTTCGCACCAAGGACCTTATCCCAGGCGTCTCTACCGTGATGCACGTAGCGTTGAGTGACGCATCTGGTGACAACCTGATCTTGGAATGGATCAACGGCAAACTCGTTGTGCATCATGGTACACAGTACAACGTCATGACCAACGAGCCGAGCTACGATCAGCAACTGGCCATCAACGAGTACTGGTCCGTCATTGGCAACTATTCCCTGCCTGGTACCGACAGACCCGCAGATCGGTTTGCTCGGCTCTCGCACTATGTTGAAATGGCACCCGATGCGCCCGACTGGGTCTCGGCGTTGGCTACCACGGCCGGCATGATCCGTGCGGTGTCCGTTCCCATGGAGCCGATCAACGTCAACACACCCAACATCACGCCAACACTCTGGCGGACATTCGCTGATACCAAGGATTTAGTTTACTACTACGAGAGTGCGTCAGATGGCATGTACTTTTATGTTGACCTGAAGGAGCTCAACTTGGGCAACAGCTCGGGGCATACTTTGCAGCTGCCAATGGTTGGCGTGAATTGGACTGAAAGGGTCGGTGACATGTCGGGCTTGTTCAGACAGGCCGAGCCATTCAAGTTTATGTCAGCGGACAATTGAGCAGAAGCTGATCTGTCGTGTCAAGACTGTAGTCAGAAGCGCATTCCAGAACAATAGATCTATCGAAGAACCCTGTATTGGCCATTTTCGAGCGTCGGGCAACTCATGGATATTTGCTTGTGAGGTCCAGCTGAGCCGAAATCTCCGCTCCACCCAATCCTAACATAAAGTTGTAATTAATCTTGCTCGGCATTCCGCTTCAGACCCCAAAAAATGTCCACGGGCGTATTAAGACCGCTCACACGCGGGGCTCGCGGGAGTCCAGATTTTGAAGCTGGGGTGAGGTGACCTCGGAAGATTTTTGATCGGACCGGACAAACTATTTGACGACGAAGCCTCAAGGATAACAACCTTCACAGAAATTATTCAAGGTCGTGGCACACCCACCACCATAAGATACCGGCCGTGATCCTTTGTGTGAGCCAACCCTCAAGAAGTTGAAATGAGAGAAAGTGCAGGTGAGTCACAATGATCGATCGATGCGAGATGCTCTTCGATACTGACTCCCCCAACAGCATGGCCCGTGGCTGATAGCCAGCTGTCCCCAAAGATACTTGATCTTCTTCAGCAAGCGGCCAATTATCGACAATTGAAGAAAGGCGCCAACGAAGCCACCAAAACGCTCAATCGCGGCACGTCTGAGGTCATTGTGCTGGCAGCCGATACCTCACCATTGGCCATCCTCCTCCACCTCCCGCTCCTCGCCGAAGACAAGAATGTACCATATGTCTACGTGCCGAGTAAAGTCGCACTAGGCCGCGCTTGCGGCGTAAGTCGACCTATCATCGCTGCCAGCATTACAACCAACGAAAGCAGCGATCTTATGCCACAGATCCGGGAATTGAAGAACAGAGTCGAGAGGTTGATGATCTAGGCTATTCATGTTGCTGGGGACTTGGGACAATGCATTCGAAGCGGGACGATAAGCCCGTCAATTCGGGATTGATGTTCGCGGGCAAGAGCTCGTAGGCAGCATACAACAAATGTGGACGGATGTTATCGTCTTCCTGGCCACGAATGAGTCGGTACAGTCTCGGGTGGTGAAGTTCGCGAGGATTTTTCCATTGCAGGAGCACAGACGTGCCCGGGTCGTTCAGGATTAGGGACATCGCATCGATCCCATTGACCTCCAAGCAAGGCAGAGTCTTTTCATTTTCAGGACAGCTATTTGCTTGTGACACATACTCATGCCAGCTGGGATATGCCATAAACTCTCCGCTCCGCCCCTTGCGACTAAGCACCTCAATCTAGTTGTGCTCGGCATCCAGCTCCAGTCATCTTCGCCCATGCAGCAGACCGCTCTTGCGGCTGAGATACAAGGAATCTTGAGAGATCTCCTCACTAGTCCCTTTGCGTCTGACGCTTTAGCTTGGCTGTTCTCACCACGACAAGGTGCAACAGGGTGGACTACGAGCAACATGGCTCCCGTGTTGAGGGCTTCGTGGGTCCGTGCAACAGCGCGCGTTGCAGCCCAAACAAGTTCAATTGTAGTCTCCTCCTCATATGGCCAAATCCGCCGAGGTATAGACACGCCGTCGCGGGCGACCCGAAACGGCAAATGGGTCTTATTCATCGAGGCTCACGACATTACTCGGCAAGTCTCTATGTCAGTAGTACCTCCCTTACTCTTGATCCTCACGCGAGACTTGCGAAGAAGATCGTTCTGACCTGCTCTCCGCGTCCCCATCCAACACCGACCTTGTCTCAGATGGATGGTCATTCGTTGAAGGGCCGTTCGCGTTGCCTCATCAGGCCCCTCGCGGCTTTGATCAAGAGGATCACTCCGAGCTGCTACTTCCGGCAAAGCTTTCACTATGGCCAAAGACGCTTGATCCTGTACCTCAAGGGCCCTATCCAAGATATTTCCGGGTGCAGAGGATTCTTTTGCCGCTTCATGGCCACTCCGGCATGGAGGTATTCGTAACTGGATACGAGCTTCCACCGGATTCGCCTCGTCAACCATCGCGAATCGTGCTTGGGGACCAGGCCTCTTGGTAATGAGCTGCATGATGTTGCTTGTTGTCTCACCACAATAGTCTTGGGCCTCGCGGTTTGCGAGGACTAGCCAATTGACCGTACTTCTGGCCAAAACTCCAGCATATCCCAGAAGGCCTATGGGCTCTTCAAAGAGCACTGATGGTGTCTTTCCATAGAAGTAAGCAAACGACAACACTCCCGCCGCTACCAACATAAGGCCGAGGACCACTCCAGTCACTACTTCGTCGACGAATAGTCGGTTGGTAGTAGTTGTCAAGTCCAGCTGAACGTTTGTTGGGGTCGAGGGTTGGATCATGAACTGTGTGACCAGAGTTGCATAAGTGTGGGCAAAGACCTGGCGCGTAGCAGCAGTCAACACCTTGCCATCATACTGTTGGCCACTGGACAACTCATGTGCGTTGTCAAGAATCAAACGGCCAAGCGTTGTGGCAGAGACTGCCGTGGATCCACCGTTCAAAGTTGTGTCAACAGACTGGACCTGATTGAGCTGTGTCTCAAGCGACTCCCACCACTGTGGCTTCAATATCCCGCGTGACTCTTCTGCAAAGCCAAGCACGGGATCACGAAAATCTGTCTCAAGACTGAGGCTCAAGCGTCCGGAAGCAGTCCAATAAGATGGCATGCAACTGAGTACTGTGGGCACCGATTTGTTGAAGTTCTCCACTCGAGGAGCGCCGACGACGATCAGGCGGCTTGAGGACGAGGTCGACGGATCCTCTCTGCATCCAAAGATGGGGAAAGTCTGGAGGTATGCACTGTATGTGCCAGCGATACCCATATTCACAGACCATTTACACTGACGATCGGTTCCGTTGATATTCCATCGACCACCATTGCCGTCTCTGCTGTTAACGTTGACTACGCGGACAATATTCAGCGCAGAGTCTTCCATAGCAACACAGTCGACCTCGGAGAAGTACATTGATGTATTTGCGGTCGCTGACGGACGCGTTGCAAATCGATCGACCGTCGGTCTGGAGAAGCTGAGGAAAGCATGCGTCCCGTTGGTATCAGCAGCCGAGCTCGCACCATAAATGAGTGATCCAGCTACAGCCCCGATGACAGAAAAAAGATCCCATGACAAAGATTCGTCCATCGGTGGATTAGCATTGAAGCTTGTATTATGGATAGCGGCAGTATAATTCCTTTGCGTGTTGGTGTATGGTCTTAACGACATCATATGTGTGGCCAGTGGTCCCAGCGCAATGCGAAAGATATCGGCGAGCGTGAAAGCAAGTAACAAGAACCAATGTCTCCGGCGTCCGGCCTTCACTTCTCTTTGGCCGGGGAAAAGGGACAGGTAATCGAGTGCAATGCTTTTGCTGGCTGGTGCACCATCTGTGCGGGCGAGCTCAACGAAAGGCTGCCGTGCTCCGTAGGCGTTGACCACAGATGCAAAGCATAGTCCGTATATCTGGAACACAAACGCCGGCAATAGTGTCCAGGCGTAGCTGACTTTCCAGTTTATCTGTGCGAAGCGGCTGGACCGGTCCTGAACTACTATCAGGCCATGCCAGATGGTTGATAGTACAAGTATGGTGACCAAACCTCCGGTTAAGAGACATGTCGTCGTAAAAAGGGGAATGAGAGCTCTCTTTTTGATCTTCCACGAACGCCATCCCACGTTCTGGCAGGTGTTTACGGATTGCAAACGGGCTTGCTGGAGATCTGTCTCTGACTCATCGTTGTGGTGCTTTGATGTTGAGCTGGACATGCTCGAGATTCGTCAATCTTTGCAACGAGATTCGTTTCTGATTTCCCCAAGATCAGATTCACGTACTTAAGCAAGTACATAGTTTGTTGAAGGTTGACAGACGCTCCAGCGGATGACATTCAAGAGACCTTCTCGATCGACCAAGCTCGGGTGTGCATGATCACTGCGACGGTTGTGCAGAGACTGAGCCACGACTGGTGCCTGCTCAGGTGTTCGTCTCGAAATCATGTAGCGAGTCAGCCTACCGAACCTTACTCCGAGACTTAGCATGCGTGTCCGGCACCAATACGAGCCTCGGGCGCAGCCTGCACCGCGATAATCCCTGTCGACACAATGCACTTAGTGACCCGTCCTTCAAACTGTCGCAATTGCTCCGTCGGCAGATTGAGATGCAGAATTCAGATCAGTATGTACTCCATTGAAGCTGATTGAGGCAAATCAGACGCATCCCTGACTTTGCACAAGACACTAGAAATGGTTCAAAAGTCCAGTCCGCCACAGCGTCGACGTGCTCTCCCCAATTGCTTCACCTTCGCCCCAAACAACACTTCCACGGCTCACAATGCCGCGACGCCTTAGCCTCATCGCTTGCTCTGCGATACTAGTCCTCAGCCATGCCCAAACCCTGGGTGTGGGCCCCTATCTCTGTCGAACAGATGCAGCAATAAGTGAGCTGCCCGCTTGCGACGAGACCAAGGCCAATGTCCAGCAATGCTTCGGTATTGATCAATCAGATGAAGCCAAAGAAGTGTGCTTCTGCAATCAAACAGTCCTCAATGCAATCGTCGAGTGAGTAACCGCCCCAGTAATCTAGAAGCCAAGTTGAATTCGATGAAGCTGTGAGAGCGAAATGCGTCTCTGCTACCTGAATGAGCGATTCGACCCAGAGGCGTCCAGTCTACTGAGCAATTGGCACGATTGGTGCGACGGATACATCACGTATACGCCAACCTCGCCCATCCTCAGCCACGTAACAACAACCTACCCGACCTTCGTAGGCAGTGATGGAGATCCGCTTTGCAAAGACTTCACAACATCATGCGCTATTTGGTCGGCTTCAGAAGCAAGCTGCCTGGCACTGGATCCCTCAGCTACGGCAGCATCTTTCTTGGATTGTGCATGTCGAGCCGAGCTGCTCTCCTTGGCCTCAGTCTGCCTCTATGATGCCTCAGTGACCTGCTTTGGTCTCAGCGCCACCCTTGCGGACCTACCACTGTGGAGCATATGCAAGGTAGGAGGTTGCAATCGTTCTGGGCCTAGAAGACGTCAGGCTGACAAGTCTGAGCAGACCACCTTCGGAGTAGCGGAATCTCAGGCTACGACAACTGGCTCGGTCGTCACGAGCAGCATCTCATCCGTCAATTCAGGTGGCACGTCATCCAACTCGATCGATGCCCAGCCACAACCAACACGAAGCTCGAGCACCGCATTCGCGACTGGCGCGGCCTCGTCGACTGTGAGTCTGCCCAATTCGGCTGCAGCAATGGTGGGTTGGGCGAACGAGATTTGGCACGGCTACTCCATGACAGGCGTAGCGCGAGCTTTGCTTTTGTCGGTAGTCGCTTTTGTGGCATTATAAGCACCTCGCTTCGTGTGACAATGGTCCGCCTGTGCAGCTGGCGGCGTGCCAGTAGAAGCCAGAAGCAGGCGATGAAGCAATGAGAAGTCGAGATTAAGGTTGCTAAGCCGCGGGTCGTGGCGAAAACTCCATAAGGCGAATCAGAGCCGCAGTCCCTCCGCCGATCTGTTAGCGAAAGCCCCCCTCACTGGCCGATTTGGCTGGCCAGCCACATCGGTCTTCGAACCCTAGCGTGCGTCGAGCTGAAAAGCGAACTCATTGATTCCCTTGATCTCGGCCTTGCTGGTACATTGTTATTCGTCGCACAGAGCTGGACTCGTGATGTGCGAGCCGATCTGGGAAAGCCAAGATTCGGGAGCCTACTGTAGCTTCATCTGCATGGGCTTCAGACGAGGCTTAGACGAAAAATATCGTCATACCTTCGTATTTTCCTCTCGAAGCCATGATGGTAGTGCACGAATCAGGGCCACGCGCGATTGAGCTCTATGAGCGAAACCACTCGCTGAGGCAGCCTTGTCCGTCTAGTCCTGCTACTACAAATGTAAAAGGCACGGTAAGCATGCATCGCAACTTCCAGCAAAACAGAAGAACACTTCTTTCCAGAACCCTCCTCTCCTAGCCCCGTAACGGACCTGAGCAAGCGACTCCCCTTCCACCAACAGATCCAACTTATGGCGCAAAAATTCCCAACCCTAGGCCCCGTTGCCTCCCTCATCGTGTGCCTCTTATCACACTTCCTACCGGCACTTGCAGCGCAGGACTGCGCGTCAGTCACCTGCTTCAACTACATAAACCATCTACATCTAGTGTCGCGCACCGACCCGCCGGGCGCTTCCGTCTACCAGCCTAATACACCACTGGGACAGAAACAGATATACTATGCGTGTGGAGACGGGCAGATCCTGGACTGCTACAATTGCGCCTGCTGTGAGGGACAATTGACCGAGGCGCAGGTTGAGGTCTTCGATGTCTGGACGGTCACTTGTGCCACATATAATGTGTTCGGGGTTGCTGCTGCTGCGCAATGTTGGGCTGGGGAAGCGACCTGTGCCGTTGTTGAAGGCTTGAACGATTGAGAGAGTTAGTGAGCGTGAGGGGTCAGAGACCCTTGACTCCTACTTGCACTGTCCACGCAGAGTCTGCAAGTGGCGGGGTCGCAGCTTGCCTTAGGAGGCAGTAATTAGCCAGCTTGGTGATTTTGTATTATGAGCGTGAACACTTCCAAATTACTTCGCACAGCAAGAGTCACACTGCGTGCTTAACGATTTGCGGATACCGAACTTGCTTGTGATACACAAACTCGCCAAGGTTTGCCCTGAATTTGGGGGTTCCGCTCCACCCCATGCCATCGCAAATTGAGAACTTAGAAGTTTCGTCTAATTTTGCTCAGCATTCCGCTGTTGGGTCACGTCAGGCGCGACCCACCTACACCTTATAGGCTACAGCCTGCGGCTCCCACAGTTCTGATACCTCTACACATCATATCGCATCAAAGCGCATTACACTTACACAGGTTTCACCGATACAGTTGTCTTCCGCTGAAGAACACAACACAGGTAACAGAACGCCTGCGACCCCGGCTTACTTATTTGACGCGTTCATGTGCCACCACTCCCGTATTGGCGCCAATATTGGCCGATATATCAGACAGCCTCTGCGGCTGCGATCTAGGGAACCTTGAGTCTCCACTCCCACCCCTCTACCTGTGACGCTTTGGCTTGGCTAATTTGAGCACGACGTAACACATGGGATGTCTGCGAGAGCTGGAGCTAGGGCGGAGCCTGATCTCCACTTTGTCTCCCCGAGTGCCTGAACTCCCATGACTGGACCGAACGGGGACCTAGATGTCGCTGTTGCGAATGACCCGAAATGCAGTCGACAACGAGACCAAGAAGATTATGAGCCATGTACACGGCTGGAAGATCCGGAGCTTTGCATACTGATGGCGATCGTCGTACCATGGCGGTGCGAGGCTTGACACGTTTTGACTTCGCTCGCAGCTGCACCACCTCATTGCATTATGTTGCCCAACTGGCGCAAACCTGTGGCCAAGGTGGCCTTTCAGAGACTTTTGACGATGTCCAGACTAGTTGTTCTTTCTTCTCTCTACACCTGGCTCTCCCGAGTTGTTGTCGTTTTCGCACGCTTTTCCCCGCTGCTATACCATTCCATTCCGGGGGCGGTAGAAAATCCTTTCCTCGAGGTCGCTGATCGCTAAGGTCGCAGAGGACCGTCCTCAACATCACTGGAGTCCAACAAGAAACGCTGCAGTTTGAGCAAAGTGTCGATTTCGCTCCTATTACAAGATTCTCGACGGCGATTATCGCCTCTCGGGATAATCTGTCACACCCGTCATCCCCTGCGACGTGCACGACCATGTCGCTCTCCAAGACCAAACGTGTGCAGACGCCTCGCGCGCAAGTGTGTCAGATTAAGGCCATTAAGCCTCTTGACGCACAGCTTTCATTCCTCTCTCCTAGTAGCTCTGGTACTATTGAGCCAGAGAACCACAAGCGACACAACGGCTTCTTCAAACTCCCACTCGAAATTCGCCTCCGGATCTACTCCTTGATCCTCCGTCCAGAAGTTCGTCTGTACGCAACATGGCTCTTCCAGTCGAACGAGTATCGCGTCTACGAGCCAGAAAAACCGAGGTGGTACGATGCAACCTATCGCTCGGACTTTCCTACGGACCCAAGGCATCACGAACGCCCAAATCGTCCCCAGAACTTCCTCGGCTGCACGAAAATCCTTTCGTTATGCAGGCAAACCTATCTTGAGGCCATCGAATTCCTGCATTTGCAAGATGTCCGAGTCGATATCAACGACAAAGGTGGCGACGTCTTTCGACCTCTGGACGCGTTTGGTATGCCAGGCTTCTTCGTAGGAGAGAAGAAGACCACCAGAGTCTTCACCTACCCACGTTTCTGCGAGCTGCAATTCCTGCGGCTCCGGCACATCGAGCTCAGAGTTGACACGGAGCTGGGACCTAATTTCAAGCGTCAGCTGCGTTGTGTCGCAAAAGCGCTACGAAATTCGGCAGACGTGGAGTCCTTGAAGGTAAATTTGGAAATGGTCAAGCCAACCCAGGGCTATTACGTGTCACCTTATTTCACGACTGAGACTTTTGGTCTCTTCAACGACGTCATTGACGTCGCGAGGGTGAAGCAGATTCAGATCTTTTTCAGCTCCCCGGACCGGTGCAGGCGATGGTGTAAGGACGTATGTGTCCGATTCAACACCCTAGCTTCAAGGCTGGCGCTCCGCTGGACGTCGAACGCGCCAGGGTCGAAGAAGTGTTGCCACTGGGTTTCAACCCAACAACTGTGTCGCTCGTGAAGCGAAGACAGTACAGGATCGACTACCAAATGGTGCCAGAGTGCCGCCATTGCCTCCAGATCTTCTCCTGCCAAGCCGCGCTTCGGATCCATCTGAGACGTGAGCCGGGGCATATACAGCGATTCCGGAAGCGAGAGTACAACGCCATCGTTCCCTACGCGACTCAGACTGGCGATCGCAAGTGTCCGACTTGTGCTAAAGAGTACTCTAGCGTTAGTAAATTGGAGGAACATATGCGCGACGAATCCCATCGTCGGTATGGCGTCGTGCCGCGGTGGAAGGAGGATAATGAGAAGTGGGATCGGTACTGGAAGTGGCATCTGGACAAGTTCGGATGGCTGTGAATCGAGACTGGGCTGAACAGAGAGTACGATTTACATGTGAACATGACAGGGCACACAATCGAGTCAGCAACGAATGAACCGGACAGTAAAGAATGGGCTAAAGTCGTTTCGTAGGCTTGTCGCCACGGCATGTGCAACCGACACCAGCTTCTTACTCTACAAGCAGGAGCATCTTGTCGGTTATTGGGTTTCTGGGCTCGCTGATCATGTCGTCGTCTTCACCTCATCCGGATTCGGTTTCCTGCCGTACACGTTATAGCTGTGCGCATCACCAATTAGCATAAGCTTAATTCCCAACCGGCTTAAACAATACAGCAGTGCACACGGCTGAGAGGAACCAGAAAACTCACAAATACGCATACATATGTATGCTCGGATCCGCCAACTCCTTCAATCCCTGCGTCATAATCACCCTCAACTGGTCTGGATCTCCACCCATCACCGCCGTGTACCCCCTCATCAGGTACGCCTCCATCCCTGTACTCAGCGAGTAATTCTCGAAGGCACCAATCTTCTTGAGTCGCTTGTCCTTCGGCCAAGGTCCCTGAGGCATCTTGATGATATTCTCCACGACATCCACGAACCCGGCCACCTCGAGCTGCTTCTTGAACTGTTTAACGCAGTCGATTGGCGTGCCCATCTTCTCGCCCATGGCAAAGAACATATCCCGCAGCTGCAGCAGCGCGGCGTCCTCGGGTAGGGATCCGTCGTCGCTGGTCGGTGTGGCGAGGGAGGAGTTGACTTCTAGGTAGCCTCCCGGCTTCAAGTGGTCGAGGGCCTGCTTGAACAATCTGGGGTAGTCTCGAATACTGAGCAGGAGTTCACGAGCGTGAATGAGGTCGAATGAATCCTTCTTGAGCAGCCATTCGTCTTCGACGTCTAGGACCTCGAAGCTGCAGTTGGGCGGCACGTATGGAGGCTGGACGGGAGCAATGTCCACGCCGGTCACGGTGGCGTTCTCGTACCTGTCGGCGACGTCGAAAGCCAGATGCCGCTGCCGGTGCCAAGGTCGAGGATGGTCGTGGGTTCGATTGGGGAGGTGAAGAGTTTGTCGCCAAGGAGCATGTTAAACTTCACGTGTTGGAGATCGTTGCGCTCTTGCTCGCGCTCGTCTACGGGGAGGCCGTAGGCATGTTTGCCATAGGCGGCATATTGCCGGCCGTTCTCCTCGATGCCTTCGCGGATATAGCTACTGATGGTTGTGGCGTAGGTGCTGCCTGCGTTGGAGGATGCAGTGTCGTAGCCTTCATCGCCAGCGGTGGGACCGTCGGCGGCGATGGGATCCGTCGTTGTCGTTGGATCAGTGGCCATCTTGTCATGCTAGATATAGGGCAGAGGCAGAGGGAAGAAGTATTTTGAGTTGGTGGGTGGGGTGGTCAGCAAGTGCCACGGCACGGCCCTGGACTTTCTTCACATTACGCCTCCGGGGATATGTCAGGCCGCGGAGAATACGACCTTGGTGCAGAGTTTCTGCAGCACTAGCAGTGGATGGTGAGCTTCGGCATCGGAAGAGACAGATGTCGGTACGAATGATTGGTGTCTTGAATCTTGGACTTTGGGCCTTACCGACTGGCGTGGGGCTGCCCAGGAACTGCGGAGGGGCAGACTGGACCTTAGCGATCGTGCTAGATACGTGTACAATGCGCCTGCGAGTCATAGATCTCGGTTCGACGGTACAAGTGTACCTTGACTCGCGAGTAGAGGACGCGATTTCCTCATGATCACCGAGAAGGTAAGCTTATACATATCTGAGGAGGCGTTGGACTGCACATCAATATTGTGCGACCATCTTGGCGAAAAATGCATGGGTGGATAATCGATGCTCAATCAATAGGCACAATGCCGTCCATCAACACGAAAGTTGCGAAAGCTGTGATCTAGACTTATTGGAATCATTTGCCATGAGGTAGCTGGAGCGGAGTGCCCGCTGGAACAAAGTTCGGTTCGGTTAAATCTTAAACCACGCCGGATGACATGGTAAAGCCTGGCCCAGTCGAGCACCAAAATATGACATCGCCATCCCCACGTTCTCCCATTTCGAAATCCTCTGGGACCAGCGAGTTACCCAGCTCTCGTCATGCTGAAGAGTCTTCATTTCTGGGGATGCAGAATCCCGGTGGTGAGGCCCTTTGTTTGATGACAGCTGTTGTGGACATTTATATTGAGGTTTCGCATTTTTGTGAGAGTAAATGAATACTTCGTATCGACGGAGAGAGGCCGGTCGAAAACATACTCTCCCCCGGGGGCCAGTGCAGAAAGCCATCATGAGGGATGCAATTAAGGATTGGAGTATGAGTGGTTGTCTTGGCGGAAAGTTGTCGTCTCCACGCCCACAATGCCACCGACGCACACTGGGATGATTTTCGAGCGCGCAGGAAGCATTAGTCCTTTTCAAGCAGTCCAAAAGGCCATGGGTATGAGTAAGCGCTGCACACCTCGCTGGAATCATACCTGAAGGGAAACTGATCAAGTGGCCTTGTTTCAAGCAGTGAGTCGTGACTCTTAACATTGTAGGTAGTCTCCAATACTCGAACACAATAACGAAGTGCTGCAACTTCACTGCGGCACCAGTGAACTCGGATCTATAGCCAAGGCCTGACCTGTTCCACTGAAGGGTTTCATCCACCCGGCCTTGCATGGGTCGGTAGTAGTGAGTGCAGCTTGCACCTTGTCTGAGCTTTTTTCCAACAGCAAACTGCTAAGGGAAACCTTCGCAAGTCGGAATAACTGGCTTTCCGACCCGCTGTTCTGAGAGCGACAACGCCGGGATGGACCAGGCCCCGCCTCCTGTCGGCTCCCACGCTCCGACTCAGCCCAGCCTGTGACACTTGGTGGTTCGATTGTGTCGTACGCTTTTTTTCTGTGCTGCGGTTGGGAAACATAGTCCTGCATATGCCGCTGGCTTGAGATCGTGCCTTGACTGGGACCTTTTGGTGCCTGGTACTCTGCCAACCATCTGCCGATAGCCCTAGCCTGCTTCATAGCCTTGGGAGGTCCTTCATAGTCGATGTCTCGTCTCTCGCGGCTGTGCTTCGATGCTGTGGCACCCTGCTCACATGCAATTCCTATTTGGGCTTCACTGTGCGTCGACCGCTTGCTCTTGGTTGACAGAAGGCCGATCAGCGTCCCAGCATCCTTTTGGTAACATCTCCCCACCCTGATACCACATCGTCCGGAATCTTCATGAGGTCTTCATCTTCCGGCCTCAAAGTTCCATTAATACAGTCAATCAGCAAGTAGACTTTCTGCTCGCGCTTCTCGCCTGTTCGAAACGATCCTAGACCCTGATATAAGCTTCCCAGCGTTACGAGAGCATCGCCCTTCTCCAGCTCAACACCAATAGCGTTATCGTCGTTGATTAGTGGTTGTCCATCGCCCCAGAGATGACTGCCGGGAACAACGTGAGGCGCCCCCGTTGAGCGGGTTGTGTCTGCTGTTGGAATGAGAATGGCAAGAGACACATCACGACCGACAGAGTACGTGGCTGATTTGACGTGCCGGGCATGATGAGATGCGTCCGGACGCTGTAATGGCTGAGACTTCAGGCCTGGCGTGAGCGAGATTGCGGCGGCAGAGGAGAGCGTCGGTTGCGTGGTACTCGTTATAGGTATACTCCCGATGTAGTGGCGGGTCTGAATGGAGAGGAAATGATCGAGTACGGCTTGTAAGCGCCCGTTACTGAGGACGGTCTCACGGGTCGTGGTAGAAGTTGGGAGAAGATGAGGGAAAGTGTGGACATCGGAGGGGTCTTTCGACTTCTCGTCGTTGAGACCTTCAAGCCATGACTTCAACTCCTGGCTTACTTTGTCGAGCGTTGAAGTCCCTGCAAAGTCGTTGATAACCACGCAACCGTCCTCTTCGAGTGCAGCGATGACGGTTTTTAGAGGTGCGCTGACATCTATACGCTCTATATGTCTCGTACCGCCGACTGAGGTCTCGTGTGGTGCTTTATCTGGTGAGCTGGACCGTGCGTGGCTACTGTTGCTGTAGTATGCCAGCCGCCGAGCTTTGTGTTGCATCAGGTATGCCATGGTGTCGCATGCAAGGGTAAAATAGGAATGCTAGGGCTGCGTCTGGGTACAAGGGGGAGTCAGGACAGCAACATGACGGAAATGCGGTCAGAGGTTTCAAGCAATACTTATCCAAATAGTTCCTCGCAGACCAGGCGTGCATAAGCGCGTTCATCGCGCAAGCCATTGCATAAATGCGCTCGATGAACCCTTGGGCCAGAAGCAGATCTATTTCGGTAAGGTTTACTTTGATGTTGCCATGCGTACGTAGGCCGTGGAGTCGGTACGGGCAATCATTAGGGTTTGCCAGAACAATCTAGCAGGGCCATTGCAATCAGAAGAAGCATAAGATGAACTTCTATTCAGCAGAGCTTCGGCTGATGATGGTTAGAGCTCACGAACAAGCATTTCGTCGCCGAGCTCACCGTGAAGATCCATGGTACAACGGATGGGAGAACGTTCAAGCAACCAGATGACACCGGATCGTCGTCATACTCAGCGCATTTAGTCATCCTTGGGAGAGGGGATGTTCCGCTCGGCTGCACGTTGACTCGAGAAATGGCTTGATGTGAAGGGAAGCATGGACATGATGGAGCGTGTGAGCTGACGCGGCCACGACATTGAAGTGATGTTGATAGATCTTGGCATCGCAGAGAGAGCGGCAACTACTCCCGAGGTCACGACTGGTCCACAGGCACCAAAGGTCTAGGGTCTAGCACAAATGACGCACTTGGGACTTTTGGTACGTTGTACACTAGAGCACAAGTTGCTCAGAATGGATACGCTCGTCATTTCTGTGCTAATAATAATGATCTATCCTGTGTTCCCTATTTCCAAGTGTCGAAAGAGGCAGGATTGTAGACTGATTTGTTGCTGGAAGTTTGCGTTGCACTGTATGCAACCCCAGATAAGGCCAGGAAAAAGCGTCTGCCCGGGCGCCGTCGCCGCATAGGAAGTTCATCGGCTAACATCTTGCTCATGTCAAGGCGTCTCGCTCTATGGGTATGACATGCTCGGTGGTGGGACGTAGGCCTGTTTCGTCTTGGGATCCATGCCAGTGTGTCGCACGACCATCTCTTTGTCTTCTTGGATCAATTCGCAGCAAGGGCAGCAGAATGCAGTGCAGCAATCGCCAAAACCATTGCTCTCCATGCCATGCTTCTCGCGCATGCTCATGCGATTGACAAATTGCAGGATCCATGAGACACCACAGCAGAGCAGCACACCGTGAAGAGCGCACTGAGTAAGTCAGAACCTTGTGAGACAGGTGGTACCGTCGGCATTCTTACCTGCCCGTTCATTCCACTGGGATCTCTCACACCTTCCTCGCGCTCCTTGATGCGACCATAGACGACGCAGGGACACCATGTAGCAAGACAACCTGAGTATCGGTCAATACAGGCTCCCAAGGCTTGACAAACGTTACTCACATGTTCCGATTGGCGAGAAGCAGTCGAAGAGACCGAATTGGAATTTTGCTGGCAAAGAGTGTCCGGCCTGGGGAGGATAGGCATGTGCCTGCTGATGCTCCGGCTTGACCGCATAATCACTGGGTGCTTGGGAAGACATTGTCGCTAATGTACAAGGCGCTGAATTACTGATGCTGATGTAGTCGTGAGTAAATGAGTGACTTGACGAGTGAGCAAATGTATAGCAGAGATGATGAGAGAGACGAAGTGGCTGTTCAGGTCAATATCAATTCTGGGGAAGGTGCAAGGCTTAGACTGTCACTTCCGAAGGAACGGCTGAATTTCAACAAGCGGCGAACCTTAAGGCAGGCACTGATTAGGATTCAGACCGTCGAATTATAGCACGTACATTTGCAGCACACTGGTCTGTGCTACCGTATCATAAGATTGAGACTCAGCCCGAACAGACCTGGCGTGTCGATCGAGACCGAGTTTCTTTGAACAAACACACAGTTGCGAGGAAACGGCCCCCGAAAGGACCAACTCATCTCGGAGTAGTCAGCTAGTGAAGGATTCGCATCAAAATCCTTCGGGCCGCCCTGCAACAACGACTGAGAACCTCGCATTTTTGGTGTGTATTAGGGGTCACCGGTCTTGCCTCGTCAAACACGGCATGTCAAAATGCAGGAATTGAGTGGAGATTACCGTGCAGAAGCCTCCGATTTCAGCTTTTTGACATCTGCAGTCGGTACCTGGTATATCGCAAGGTACGAGCCCCACCTTCGCATTATGGGCTCTCCCCGCCTGTCGACAGTTGCCATAGTGCTATGAGTTCAACTTGTGAGTCCATATGTATCTCCTGAGAACTCATGGTCCTTTTGCTCGAAAGCATTGCCATTCGACAGCAATGTGCAATCACGGTGCACGGAGGATCGAGCTCGTGTTTCAGGGGTCCAGAAAAGCCAGCCTGTCTCCGAAAATAGGACCAGTCCACTCCTGCCAAGGCCACCTGAAATGCTCGTAGGGCTGAGGGACCATAGGGAGAATTGTTTGCTACCACACGATCACACCACCTCGACATGCACCTGAGCTTTGTGAAGAAGTTCTCATGGCGAATTCGCCATGGCGGCGTCAACAGCAACTACAGCGCAACTCAAGACCTACCAAATCAGGACCCCCAAGGGACGTGGTGTCGACATTCGACGCGGTGGAGGCTGTTGCGGCTCTAGGCGATGTGCCGCGTCTAGACGACTACAGAATGAGGACGCGCCCGCCATTGTCGTGACCAACATCTGTAACCGAGGCGCGATGCACCTGCCACGACCAGACAGAAGTCATAAGGTGTTCTCATGTTCTATTGCACGGCTCATGTTCCATTGCACTGAGGAGCCTTAAGGACGTAAGTAAGCTGTTGAAACATGTGAAAAGGTCCTCAGATCTACAGAGATCGAATACCTTAGAATGCGGTGCTTAAGTAAGTACAGGAACCCAACCAATTAATAATTCTTGCTGGATCTCCGAAATCTTTCGGTGACTTGCGGGGTTAGGATGCGGGCGCAGATCGATCTTCAGATGGACCTCGGTTTCCATGACTCTGCCTTACAATTCTTCATACACAATGTCAACGCTACCGCAAGCATCTTCATTTGTCACGACGATCAACCCTCATGCAATTGCGACCCGGTGCTTCGACCGAGTCTTCGTCCAGACCCGCAACAATTCCGCAAGTGAAGCCAGGTGAGCCACCATCCCGAGCCAATCAAGGTAGGCGGTCAAGCGGCCGCATCTTGTGAAGCATTGGATTAGGTCATGACACCACTGCCATTGACGGTCGGCACGCCGCCGATCTCCTTACCACCAAGTGTCGCTAATAGTACCTAACACCGAAAGAGTTCAAGAAAACATGTAGCTTGCGGTCTTCAACGACGCCATGGCTCGCAACTTGATACGCACGAAAAGGTAAGTCGTTGACAAATGTGCATGGCCATGTTGCAGGTATATAGAGGAGGGCCGTCATCGCCGATTGCCAGACAGCATACCCCCAAGCAACCAACTGATCACAACCTACCAGCGAGCATTGAAAAGCAAACACAGTCAACATGACGGATTTCAACCGCGAGACCACAGGCCGCGAGGTCGTCCAAGCCTACGGCTCACGGCTCAATAACAAGACCATTGTCATCACTGGGGCATCTGATGGCGGCTTAGGCGCAGCGACCGCTGTAGCTTTGGCCGGTGCATCACCAGCGCACATCATCCTACTGGCGCGATCGGCCAAGAAGGTGACTCCAGTGCAGGAACAGATCGCCGCTGCAAATGCTTCTGTCAAGACCTCATTTGTGTCTGTCGAGCTCGACGATGTCGATTCGGTCCGCAAGGCGGCCTCCGAGATTAACGACTTGACTGATCACATCGATGTTCTGCTTAACAACGCTGGCATAATGGCAATCCCCGAGTTCACGACCAACAAAGATGGCATTGAGTTACAACTTGCGACAAACCACCTCGGCCACTTCCTCCTCACAGCGCTCCTGTTCCCGAAAATCGAAGCTGCAGGCCCAGGTGCGCGCATCGTCAATCTCACCTCGGATGGCCATGAGCTCGCTCAATGCCACTTTGAAGACTACAATTTCAGCGATGGCAAGAAATACCATCCTTTCAGAGGATACGGGCAGTCCAAGACTGCGAACATCCTGTTCACCACGTATCTGGCTTCGCACTTGAGTTCGCGACAGATCTACAGCTTCTCCCTCCACCCTGGTGTAATTATGTCCACCGGTCTCTCGAAGACGATGACGGAAGAGATGGTGCGGACAGCCGACGAGATCGCGACAGAAGAGACTGGCATAGGTTTCACCATCGAGGAACCAAAGGACATTGAACATGGGATCGCAACGTCGCTGATCGCGATCCTGGACCCGAGGCTTGAGCAGCATAATGGAGCATACTTGGAGGACGGCGCCATCGCGGTCGCCAGGTCGTATGCGACAAGCGAGCAGGGCGCGGAGCGGCTGTGGAAGCTGAGTGAGAAGCTGGTCAAGCAGGAGTTCAGGCTCTGATCATGCATCGTGATTGCGATGTCATAGCGATCATTGGACCAGTGTCCATAGGTTGACAACAGTCTGCGCCTAGTATTGACCTTGTACCTTTCAGTAGTACTGCAAATCCTTTCAGATCCTTTCGTGTTCCGGTAGCCACGTGAGACACGCTCATGTGGCTAACGCGGGCGCAATCCGTGCACAGAGAAAATGTGCATGCCGTCAGAAGCAACCTGTGGCGCACTGTTGAAGCAGCGCAAGCCTGACTTTGGAGCAGCAAGTGCTGATGAAGTATCGATGGTCGAAGATATTCGACCCCGGAGTATGGATCGAATCCTTCCCGACGACTGGCTTGATTCGACCGGTCCCTGCACTCAAAGATCTCTTACCGAGCGCGATCAATTGGCTGGGGAGACATAGAGGCACCAATTAGGATAACCTAATGACGCCACTGCCGTCGGTCTTTCTTTCTTAATAAGCACTTGGCGGCTTGAAGCGCGAAAGGCGAGGGCCAAACTGCACTCCCCACTGTCTGCTTGAGCTCTACTTAGTCATGTCGGCCAATTGCACTCACCGAGGCTTTGTCAATTGGGTACCTTTCGTGCATTAACTTCGGCGCGAGCATGCGTTTTGATGCACGGTTCCTGGTGATTGGGGCTCCAGATAGGGCAGATGATCGCGAACAGTAGCAGGTGCTACTCTCAACGCTTCCAACGTGGGCAGGATATATATGGTAGGCACGACGTGCAGCGGACAGAGCTTCTCATCCAACAGCAACAACTCGTTTATACATCGTATAACACCCACGGTTTCGACCTTCGAAACACAAGTACGATAATTGCAGCAGTATTCCATCGCACTACACACACCACAAAATGTCCAAGAAGATCCTGACCATTTTTGGTGCCACTGGCAATCAGGGTGGAAGTGTCGTCAGTGTGATCCTTGGATCTAGCACTCTGTCGTCAAAGTACCAGCTCCGCGCAATCACCCGCGACACCACAAAGCCCAATGCTGTTGCTCTGAAGGACAAGGGAGTGCAGCTCGCCAAGGCAGATCTCAATGATGCCGGAAGTGTCGCTGAAGCGATCAAGGGCTCCTATGGCGTCTTTGCTGTCACCAACTACTGGTAAGCTCTACCGTTCTGCTGTCGGCGGTCGAAGACTGACATCGATCAGGGAAACAATGGACAAAGATGTCGAGTACAACCAAGGCAAGAATATCGTGGACGCTGCGAAAGCAGAAGGCGTAAAGCATCTTGTCTGGTCCGGACTACCGAATGTTACTAAGGTCTCGAACGGCGAATTGACACTCGTGGAGCACTTTGATAGGTGAGCTGCTTTGTCCTGCACAGATTTCATCTCGCTTCCTACGTGTAAGACCGCACAGAAAACGAACTGACCAGGACCGCAGCAAAGCAGATGTCACTGAGTACGGCAACAAGAGCAAGGGCGACTCCCTGATATTCTCGACCTTCATGCCTGGCTATTTCATGTCCAACCTACCTGGGCAGATAAAGAAGCAGGAAGACGGGCAGATCGGGCTTTCGCTTCCGTGGAATGCTGAGAAGACCTGGGTTCCTCTGCAGGACATCCGTGCCGACACAGGAAAGTTCGTCGCCGGTCTCTTTGAAGCTGGGTCGTCAGCAAACGGTGTTGCTGTACAGGGCGCTAGCGAATGGATTCACCCAAGCGCCATTGTCGCAAAGGTTGCAGAGGTATCTGGACAAGACGTTAAGTTTATTGAACAACCGCTCGACGTGGAGACGACCAAATCTATGCCCAAGATCCCAGGCGAACTGGCTCAGAACATGCTTTTCGTCCGGGATTATAGCTATTTTGGCCCAGGAGCCGAGCAGAAGCAGGCCGAGTCCGACAAGTTCCTGCCGGAAGAACTGAAGAAGAAGGCGACCTGGGATGAATTTGCGAAAGCACAGAAGTGGTCGTTCTAGTGTAGTGTTGCCGTATACCTCCAACGAACCGATCAAACATGATTCTTCGCTCGATGAGTGTCACTGTTGAGAGGCAACAAGGATCGCATCTTCGATCTTCTGCATCTGCGTGCGCGCAGAGGTTGAATAGATGCAGCAGAGTTGACAAATGCAGTGACCGTCCCGTTCCTTTTTGAATGAAGCGACCCGCGAAACCCTGCCTAGGCAGGCATACTAGTAGTGATTACTGAACAATTTCGATCATTTCTGATCATTAATCATTAATCCCCGCCAAGAAATCTGACATGGCTTGAGTCCACTGCAAACTTTCGCGCCAATTGTACCTTACCTTGCAGCCAACAACTCCATCTCATGTATTCTTCCCTATGCACAACCTACACCCAAAGCATCATCTACACTCCTACGGAGACACCGAAAGAAACAGAAGTCTCATGAGGTGTACAGATTGTGCTCAGGGCCGGCCATGACGATCTGCGCACCGTCCGTGGTGGGCCGTCCTGCAAGCCACAATCTTGGTCTTGACTACCATCGAACATCTGAACAGCTCGCAGCAGCTGTGAAGCCTTGAATGAATTCGCTCGCTTGCTGAGGAAGTGGTCCTGACATAAGACTTGAAGTACGCTTCTTCCACGTGCATCCACAGCATTGTTGCCTTCTCATCTCAGTTCCTCGGGATTCTGAGATAGCCACCTTTTGTGATTTCCAATCGCTACACTGACGGAAAGTATCTGTCGCGTATATCTGACGAGGAAGGATCGTTCGAATGAGCTCCATGCTATATCAATACTTACACAGTGTCACCGTCGCGGACATCGCGCTCTCAATACCAATGAAGTATTCCGTATAATACGAGCCGCCGACAGGGTCGAATATCCACTTTGCACGTTCCTGCAGGCCGATCTATGCATATCAGTCGTCTGCCGGCATTGACTAGGCCGGAACCGGAAATAGGTGTACCAGAAAGAGACGTGGACTCCTGTTTTAGTCAGCGCAAGTACTGGCAGATTGCAGGAGGCCTTCTCGTCTGTGGCTTTGAGGGCATTGTGTGGCCTGTCTGGTCGTACGTACGAGGCAGCTGGACGCAGACATAAGCAATGCCACCAAGACATCGGCGAAGGAAGAGCATTCCCGCTCCATTCCTGTTTGTCAATGAGGACGCGAGTACGGTAACGGGCACGGGCAATGACGCTCAACGGAACAGGGCAAAGCAAAGCCACGTACAGAGACGAGGTTTCGCAGAACGCACCAAGACCGAAAGATCACATGAATCTGCGCTGTCAGGTCATTCTCAAGCAGGAGGATTCAAGCCAGAAGGAAGCGGACAGCCATCTGTACCTCTGACTCTTCAGCAGCGCCAATCAGCTTATAGCCACCCCGTGTCCGTGCCACGGAGCGAGCCGAGCTCGTCAGTGCTTCCTGTGCAACATCAGACCGAGCCGAATACGGTCATAGGCCCAATCAGCGCCGGCCCTCACCACTCGATCAATCACTACCATTTCTACCAGCAGGCTGCACCTGCGCCCCTACCGACCTCACAGATTATAGCACTGCACGACGTCAACACCGCGCTCAATAACCCTCTCAGATCATCCACAGTCCATCCATTGCTTAACGACCGCTACCAGCTCCTGCAGAAATGGACGCCCACGCTTATGAGCTACTGGACCACGACCCTCCTTCCAGAGAAGTTTTATCCAGATTCCCGCATCGTCCCTGTTGCTCAGATGCGGCACGCCCAATACTTTCACAACGAGTTGCAATTGAGTCTGACAAAGCCCGCTCACGCGTACGCCTTTCTCGCCAACATCTCTGTGCAAATGCTACGGAAGGAGGGCCGTCTCCTGATACCTTCCTCACATAGTCCAGCCGATCTCTACTCTTCAAGCACTTCCTCGCCACATGAAAGCCATGTGGCCGACGCTCGCATTCCCGAGCTCTTCAAAGCACACGCCATCTCTGCTATCCGGAACGAGCTCTCTGCCAATCCTCTCTCCCACGACACAGCGCAAGACGTCCTTCACCTGCTCGCGACCGCGTATCACCAGAACAACATGGAAGCAGCACGGCCACACTACCAAGCCCTTCTGCGTATGATCAACACACTCGGAGGACTAGGAACATTCAGCGCTTACTTTGCCGAGACTATGTTCTTGCTGCATTGGTCAGCGAATCTCAAAGGCCTGAGTAGACCGACACTGCCCGTCAAGAGCTTCGATCCCGGAGAGGGACCAGATGACGTGTGTGCAGTTGTCTCGCAGCTTCGAAATGCAAGCCCGCTCACATCTGGCTTCAGTCGCTTAGCACAGCATAGCTTCATGGTCAGCCCACAGTTGCTCCAGCTGGCGCAGTCACTCGCAGACGTCATCCTCTTCGCCCGATACGCCGAGTTACAACCACTTTACGTTCCTGCGCACTTTAGGTGGATTGACACGCGACATATAGCAGTAGGGTACCACCTGCTGTCATTGCCACCCGATGTGATGTACGGCAAGATCAATGAGGCAATAAGGATAGCGATGATCTTCAGCACTGCGCTGACGAGAAGTCCGCGGAGTGGACAAAGCTGCGCGAGTATGAGCGTTGGCTTGTCGAGGTTGAGAGACTTGATCGTCGGCTCGGATGGGACAACAAGACTGTGGAGCAATATCGACGGCGGTACTCAAGCTTTGCTCTGGATCAGTGTCGTCGGCGGCCTGACATCTGGATGGAAGAACCCGGACTCGAGAAAGTGGTTTCGCAGTCTTGCTCAGCAGTGTGGCGAGAAGCTGTGCATCGACAAGATCGACTCCGAGCACAGTGCGACACAAGCGATGAACGACTTCGGACAAGGTTTTGAGCTGCAACATACTGGTGAGCTTACTTTCACAGCAAACACCTCCACTACGTATCTAGAGACACCACTAGACCAAGGGGATCCCTCACAGATCGCAGTTACTACGTCGAGTGATCAGCCATACGATTACACCACGGCGGTTCCCATCCCAGAACGAGCCACAGACGACAGCGACAGGTCCGAAGCGCCAGAAGGAGGGCCTGAACATCGAATTGACATTGTAGGCGAGGTCAACGCAGAAGATGAGCAAGCCACTTGGGAAGCGGACACTTTCACCAGTCCGGGCGGACTTGTACCTGTAGCTGCGACAAAAGCACCAGGTCGCCAAGTGAAGGAAGAATGGCAGTGTGTTCAAGACATCCTATTGAGGTTCATCTGGGACGAGGCACTTGAGGGCGGGCCGTTGCAGACGTTCTGGTCGGAAATGCCAGAACATGGAGCACTTGTATTCTAACAGTCTGGTTCGAACCTTCTGTCGATAGACTGAAGCTGATAAAAGGCGGTCTCAGAAACCGAAGCTATCAAGCAGACTATCCGCGCTTGGTTCCTGGAACTGTGTTGGTGCTGGCTTCTTCTCCTCTTTCTCTTTCTCGTTCTTCTTCTCATCGACTTCCGCATCCTTTTCTCGATCATCGGCCAGCTTCTTCTCAGCCTCACTTGGCTCCTCCTTCGCAAACGCATCGAGGATCGATTTGTGCTCGATTGTCGTCGTACTGTTGTTTGTCGCTGTGCTTTCGTCTCTTCTTGGAGCTGAGAGGAGGTGCTCTGCTGTTCGAGTGGGTAGGCGACCTTTGCGAGTAGCGCTGTCGTCTTCCTTCGCATCTGATCTTGCATCAAGGTTGTCGTTTTCTTGATCGGCTGGACCAAGTGAGGCGAGAAGCTCGTCGGACCACTGCTCCAATGCTGCTGCCTCCGCTGTATTGTCTGTCCCGGCTGTGTCGCGGAGCTTGGTGATCTCGTCCTTGACCGTAGTGCTCAGGACTTCACGTATGACTTTCGCACCTTCCCTCTTCGCCCCCTTATTACTAATTCCGCTGTTACTGTTCTCATCACCAACAATCTCGCCCTCACCAGCGACCATCCAAACCCTCGCGACACTCACCCCAAGCACCCAATCCCCCATCTTTGAAACACAGACACCCACCACCGCGTCCCTCAGCCGTCCGGCCAACAAGAACCATGCAGCAGCGTACTCGAACCTCCGCTTCGACAACAGCGCATATGCATTTTTCAGCGCCGCCTCTTTCCACCGCGGCTCCGAGAAGTCCCGTGCGAGCAACTTGAGGGTCACATCGCGCATGCTGACGCCGTGCGCGGTGCGCCAGAGGGAGAGGAGGAGGGGTTTCTGGCGAAGGGCGAGGTAGTAGAGGCTGCACGGAACGGGTGAACGCGGTGGATGGGCCGGTTGTGAGGTATAGGCTGTGCGGGCTAGGAGGGTGAAGATGTTGATCAGGGCGGGAGGGTCGTTGGGTGAGAGCCATAGGGGTAGGCGGGTGTGCCGGGCCGTTGGCCACGGGAGGAGCGTGCCGGGTGAGGATGTGTGGGTGAGAGTTAAGGTGGTGAGGATGTCTTGGGATGTCGAGTGTGAAGCGGCAAGAGTTGCGCGCCAAGAGAGTGGTGATTGCGGGTCCGCTCTCGTAGAGTACAGGGCGCGGAGATAGTTGTGTCCTTGTTCATCGACTGGAGCAGGAAGGAAGGGTTGTGACGAGTCTTTGGCCCGTGACGCTGATTGCGGAAGCCAGACTTGGACGGTGCTGTCGGTGAAATCGATAGCGAAGTGTCCTTTCTGAGGCGAGTCGCCAGAGTCTAGTTGGATGAGGCTGCATGGTGAGCGTCCTGGCGGAAGCGATATGGAGTCCCGCGAGGCAGGAGCTGCAGGGAGTCTTCGAGCAGGACAATGGCGTGTTCTTCGACGAACAGGACATCAATGATGTCGTCGTCAAATGATCGTGATACTTGGACTTCGAGCAGGTGGCTGTCATCGCTGTCATCGACCGAGAAGATCTTCACGTCTCTTTCGGTCCATGTGAGCATCTGATCCCCAGCTTCATTGTGGATAATGTCCTCAACAGGAGCTTCGTGCCCGGCCCACGCGGTTGACTGCTGAAGCCGATCTCTCCGGGTGGCTGTATCGAAGAGACTGGCAATGTGGGCTTCGTAGTGTGATATGGAGCCACCAAAGGAGTGCACAAGTAAGGAGATCGAAGAAGGTGCGCTTCCGCCTGCGAACGCGCAGAATTGGACGTGCTCGGTATCCAGATGTGCTTTCTGTAGTAGCGATAGGTCGACATCGTCAACATGGGCCACATTAAACACTTCTGTTGCCAGTTTGTTCTTGCAGCCGGCGTTCTCTAGCCCCCAAGCAGACATGTGACCTAGGCCGTCGAGCACGATGCATATCTCAGGGCTTCTGTTGGCGATCGCAATAAGGTGCTCTAGAGCATGATCAGACTTGGTATTGGGTGCGTTTTCGACAGCCCTCTCGGTGGCATGCGAGAAATCACGACTGTCGATGATGAATGCATATCGACGAGGGCTAATGGACCCTACACTTAGCCTCCTAGGCTGGATGGTTGCGGCCGTATCAATAGCAGCAACCTTTTGCATGATTGATATTGAGTGCGGATCGGTATGAGCCCATGCTCGCACGTAGCCGTCAGCGCAGAAGGTATAGAGCAGACTGTCCAGGCTCTGCTCTTGATGCCACGGTTTTCGCCAGTGCAGATTCGTGACTGCTGATGGGTGCGACAGATACGACACATCAAATCGTGTGCTGTCCGACTCATATGACAGTCTCCGCCAGATTTTGACCAAACGGTCGTGCTGGCCGCATGATGCTATGAGTCCGGCGTCTTGAGAGCAGTATGCGACTGCGACAGGATATGGCAGCTCTTGGTCCCACACCACTCGTGAGTCGTACGATATGTACCATAACTGTAATCGTGAGCCTCCGACGAGGAGCTCTTCTGCCGACGCCCATGATATTGAAGTGACCGTGTCTATCGTGGGAATGGACGCCCTTCTGAGGGCAGGATCGGAGCGCACACCATTGACTCTCGGTCGATCTCCGTTTGTGTCACCGTTGGTCGCGCGGATGGACGAGGTCAGCACTCCCTGTCTGGGACCGAGAGGCTCCCATTTCAGCTTGCCTTGACCTACAGGCTCGAAGACAAAGACTGTCGTCGAGTTACTAGCGGCAATGCGTCCCGAAAACTCTTCTATAGCCACCGCCTGCAGAGGCTCGCAGTCTAGATATATCGTTTGGAGAATCGAATACAGGCCTGTCGTTACAACGATAGCGCTGTGCGAGAGATAGGCAATCAGTCGATTGCCGTTCCAGTACGCGGTGCTGATGGCTTGTCGTCCAGAGTGAGGACGTCCAGGGAGGATAGGCCTCATCTAGGCGGGCAACATGGTGCAGAAGATTGTAGTCCTGGATGTGCCCTGCGACGCGTGAAGTCGCTGAGCCAATCATGACATATGCCAAGCCCTCGGTGGGGTCCTTTGGTACCTAGTACTTAGCCACTACATGAGGCACCCTCTATCGCAGACAACTGAGTCAGAGCTGGTCAGGAACTGTGTATCGTGCTAGGTGTCAATCTACTGCAAAGACCCATACTTTAGGAATGATGAAGACTCGGACGCGTGCGACTTGACCAAGGTCCACGACGGGCGAACGCAAGTCACGTCTCCGAGTTCCGACCACAGCACCAGTGAACAAGGCATATAAGTCAGGTGGGAACAGAAATGCTCACGTCGATAGCTGTTCGTGATGCTGCCCTGCGATTTCGCCTCGTGTCCAGCATTCGTATCATGGAATGGGAGGCTTCCTTGGCGCATCGACCGTCCAATCTTGGCTGAGCAGAAGAAGTGCAGCTGAAAGTTGAAGGAATCTAGATTCACCCCAGATACGAAGCCTTGCGGGGCGGCGTCCGAACAATGGTCGGACTGCACAGTCCACTACTTCAAGTCAGTGGCTGCCTCAGGGCATCATTATTTCATTTGCACAGATCGCTGCCTCGCAATGAATGCTACGTGGATCTCGTTGCCTGCTGACAGGACGCTGCCGGAAGTTCAGGCTGGGTTGACTCTCGTCGTCACAGTACTTGCAGCGCTGACGATCTTTATATTTGTACGAACTCGATGGATCAGCGCTACTCGACGCTCAGCAAAGGGCAAAGACGTCAAATTATCGTCTTTTGTATGCCTCAACTCGTTGGGCGAAGTTTTGGATGCTTTCATCGTCCTGAGAACGAGAGTGTTGTCGAAGCGTCACCTTGGGATTCTAGCTCAGTGCATTGTGGTCATCTTTCTGTCAGCGAGTTCATTGCTCTCTGGCTATGTCGCTCGCTATGCTAGCAGAAGTGGGTACGAAGTCAGTAGACAAGCAGTATCTGGATACCTCGCCGATCGACTCTCCGGAGGAATGAGTGCAGCCAACGTGGAGTGGAACGAAACCTACTATCGTCTTGATCAAGCCGGGTTCCCGCTCAACCAGTTACTGGACTTCCTTCCGGCCAATGACTTGAACTGGAAGTTCGATTCGACCCAGTGGAACAACAGCTGGACAATGTCCTGTCAGAGCTCTGGACCCGCCTCTGTAGCCCTTGCAACCACAGGGTACTGCGGCAATTCGATCGTATCAGAGATCCCGGCTCTTGCTGAATTCCTCTCGCCCAATGACTACCAAGTCTCCGCAGAATCCTGGAGCGGCTTCGAGTGGAACAACAGGTGGCGGGACATCTACCTCTTCTCCACGGCCAAAGCTCAGTCCGCTTTTGCCAATTCCGACGGCACTAACAATTCCGTGTCCATCTCCATCGCGGCCATCCACATGCGTAACGTCACCAAGAAATCCGAACCCTCCAGCAACACCTGCCAGTACGGCGTCACTGCACGTTCCAACAGCACGCTCAGCAAAATCACCTGCCAACTCAGCCGCCTCAAACAAGTCCCAGACGTCAACAATACCGCCTTCCCGGACTACCCGCCTGAATACCAACAAACACTCTCAAACGCCCTCACCTCCTTCTACGGTGCCCGCCTCGCGCAAGAATCCGCCACCAAATCGCCCATCACAATCATCCAGCCCAACGAACTTATCCGCTTCTACCAAACCTACACAGTCGTCAAGGATGTGCAGTACCGCCAACCCGTCACTCGCTTCATCAACCAAGCCGATACTGTCGTTCAGGTGTCTATCATCTTCCTCGCCATCGCAGCTTTCTTCGCACTGATTGTTCTCCTGGGTCTGCTCAACTATGCGGCTCTGGTCATCTTCCAGAATAAGGCGTTCAGACACACGCCTCTCACGCGATTGGAGTGGATGATCCAAAGTATCTCCGCAACGGACAAGAGACACAGTGTTATGATTCCAACCGACTCTGCACGGGTGGATGCAAGTGACAAACGAGCGGCATTTGAGACAGCGGTGTATGCACGCAATGCGATGGTGGGTGGCGCCGTCAGGCAGAGGTCATCCTGGAGGGACTCATCAGCGAGTACGGCGTACATGGCGAGTCCTGGGCTGGAGTATGATAAATATGTGCTGGGCAATGTGGTGAGTCAGGGGAGTCAGCCGACGAGTCCCTGGGTGCCGTACACGGGGCAGGGCACTGGAAGAACGCCTCTGTTGGGCGGTGAGGGATACGATTGAAGGATGGGCATTCTTTCCTGTCTTACACCTTGATTTTGATGGGAGGCGAAGAGCTAGACCGAGACCGAGAAAAAGAGGAAGAGAGCGTCAGAGGATCCAACGACCAACCTGTAATGAGCCACGCCTCTGAACTCTCGGGAGTCGCTGTCCTCGGTTCCCGTTCTCGGATCTCATCATCCGGGATCGACCTCATTCCGATACCGTTTCCAGCCCCTCCCTCCTCAATTTCGCCTCTAATTCGAAATATCTGACCAAGCCTTCATCGATCTCGCCACCCTCGTGATTTGCACTGTTAACATCCTCGATACTCTTTGCATACATCTCCCGCAGCTCGTCCAACCTTTGCTTACGATCGCTATCGATCTCGTAATTCTTCATTCTCTTCCGCACCAACCTCTCCCACGTCGACAAGTGCTGCTGATGCACTGCCACACCATGGTAGTCAGCGACGTCGCCTTGAGTCACAAAGCCCCAAGCGCGCTGCATCTCAGCGAGGTCCAGACCGGTGGTGTCCGGGACAAAGACAAGCGTCAGGAAGAGCCCAACAAGCGTTGAGACCGAAGCGAGAATAAACTTCGTGCGATCGCCAATGTACGCGAAGGAAACGGTCGCGACTAGGGCACCGACTTTGCCGACGGCAGCGCTGAAGCCATGTGCAGTCGAACGGATGCCGATTGGGAAGATCTCTGCTGCGAGGAGGAAGGTCGTGGAGTTTGGGCCAAATTGAACCCAAAAATTGGCGAAGAAGTACAGCGCTTGAAATGCCTTGGCACCTGGCCCAGGCTGACTGAGGACGGGATATAGAAATGAGATAGTGGCGTAGATCACGAACTGCGCGAAGAAGCCACACGTCTGCATGCGCCGACGACCATATGGTTTGTAGTCGATGAGGAGCGCTGCCATGTAGTAGCCGATTAGCTGGCAGAAAATATTGATCAGGTTGTACAGCCAGATGGTATCAGCCTCTCTCGCAGACGTGCCGGTGACGAGTTGTAGGAGGTCGTTGCGGAAGATCTGCATGCCATAGAAGGCAAAGTCGCTGCAGAACCAGCAGAGGCTTGATGCTAGTAGGCGTGCCCAGAACCGCGATAGGACGAATTTGAAGCTCACCCAGTCGTATCCGGCAGAGTTATTTTGCGTGCGGTTCGCACGTATGCCAGAATCAACATTCGTGTTCTTTATGCGGAGACGTAGGAAATACAACAAACATAGAGCCGCAATGGCAAAACTGACGCGGAAGGTTATTTGCGTCTCTTGTTCCGAGTACGGTGGCTGCAGGGAGTGGGACGAACTGGTTGCGACTGTCAGGAGGATGAGAACCACTTGATTGGCGAGTTGACCCCAGCCTTGCATGAGGAAAGCGAGGCATGCCGACCGCCCCCGGTGTTGTCGGTCTTCGGAGCCTTTCATGCCTTCGATAGAGCTCGTGCCGGTCATTGGATACTCACCTCCTACACCTAGACCGAAGACGAAGATTGAGATCGCGTACATGATTGTCCATCCTTGGAGGGAGAGTCCCCACATCGAGGTGAGGAGAATGGTCCCAACCAGCATGATGCAGACATCTTGTATCAAGCCCCAACGTCTGCCGATGGCGTCGCCCAGGTAGCCTACGACGAGTTGCCCACAGAGGATGCCGACTATCTCCATGTATTTGATAGCCTTGATCGACTGCTCACTGCAGACGACGGTGTCGTCGAAGCACTGTGGCCATACTGCCTTGAACAGTGGCATGATGTTGCCCACTGAGAACAGAACGTAGCCTTCCACGAAGAATCCAGCACCTGGTAGTGCATAGGTACGGCAGTATTCCCTCAGTGGCCTGAGAATTCCAGCTTTGGCAAGCTGCTGAACAGCTCGATATTCGCGTTTGGCCTCTTCCCTGGCTTTGTTCTTAACCCATAGCAATTGCTCAGAAGCTGGTAGGTCGGCCCAGTACGAAGTGCCGGAAAATGCGTCTGCTGGGTACAACGCGTTGTTGAGCAGCTGCTTGTGCTCGTCCAGCTCACTCTTGTGCGAGTGCGACTTGCCTCCATTATTGGGTTGATCTTGGTGTTTTGTCTGGGAAAGTAGAGGCTGTCGCTCGCTGTCGCTATCCATCACGGAAGTAATTATCGATGGCAGGCAGTCCAGCGAGCTGCCATGAGTTGTAGCCGAAGCACGGAGGTCTGCCTATAGACTGTCAGCAGCTCCGTCATTGCTCTACTATACCCGTGTACCCGGATGAGTGTGTCATTGAACTTTAAACAAACCTCTCCTAGTACATTCATCAAGCTTTTAGGTTTGTGCAAGATATCGAGCAACTCGGAGTATGTTAGTCGTCAGATCGCGGACCTTGAAGATGTTTCGACAGAGTACTATCGCCATGCCAACTTCTGAGAACTGTCATGTACCTAGTAGCCTTGCGGCAAGCATCATGGCAAAGTTTTGAGGGCCGATCTCCTTTGAACAGGTCGGATGGTCTGAAGTTACACCTCGACGACTCCCACCAGAGCCAAACGTTGTTCTTTCTAGGAGAGCAGGGTATGCTCTTCGTTGTATTTTCCGTGACATCTCGCTGCGTGAGATACAACAATTATTGAGCAAGCTGTAATGAGGAAATACCTTTCCTCGGTCTTGCCTGGCTCGTCGAGACGCGCACATATCCCGCTACAGCGACTGAGATGGCTTGTGCCAAGATACGCATTGTAGGTCGTGATGAGTGAGCCCGTCATTGACAAACCCGGCCTGGCTGAACTGCTGACACGTACGGAAGGAGTCAATGGGAATTCAGATTGGGATTGAGGCAGCAGATGATACGGCGGACCCGATGCTCCAGAAGCGCACGATCGAAATCCCGCGCCTTGTCGTGGGCGTCATGTCGTACAAAATTCTCTCCACATCTTGTTGTCACTTAGTACACGATGTCGCCACTAAGGTTTCCAGGTTACTTACTGCATGATGGGCCTGGTGGTCAAACAGCCCATTCGATAAATGGCAGACGGAGACTACCGTCCTGACTGGCTGTCAGGATACGCATCCAAATCGCTCTACAGATGGGAAGAGCACGAAGCCGAATCGCAAGTATTCTATACGAGACGACTGGGCATCGTCGAGTCCCTCTTCGACCACGATGGAACACAGCATGAAGGGCGTGCGGACCTCAATTGCAATCTGAAAGTCGAGCTCCGCAGTATTAAGGACGCGAAAGCTATCAGAGAGCATATTTCTCTAGCCTGGTCGGTACTACGGCACCAACACCCACTACTGTCTGCCAAGGCCGTCGCTTCCACGAAGCATGGCAACGAACGAGCATTCGTCTATCGGCGTCCGGGCTCGGGCAAAGACATTGTCCGCGACGGCTACCCACACGTTTGCTACTTGGAGGATCATCGGAAGGGAGTGGATGCGCACGACTTCTACCAGCATCTCATGAACTCTTCTAGGGCAATCGATCCGGAACTAGCTCTTTCGAAACTATTCGTCCTTCCATACTCGTCCAGTAAAGAGACTTCATTCACGGTCAACTGCGTCTTCGTGGTAGCACACCAAGTCTGTGATGGTCTTACAGTCCATCGGTGGATGTCAAGTTTCGTGGATTTGTTGAACTTGAGCGATGCCCGATTGATCGAGCGAGCGGCTTCCTTAGCATCGATGTCTCCTGTGTCAAGTCTACCACCTGCACAAGAAGTACTTTACCATCCAGTTCCAGGGAGCGTCGCACGTCAGCGCTGGTTCTGGGCGATCGCACGCATTCTCCGACACGTGAAGCGTCCTATGCCCGCGGCATTTCAGAATCCATTGAATCGCTCGCAGCCACTGCAGGCCAGCAACAGATTTCCAACAAAGTACGAGGTCCTTAGCTATGACCGCACCCCTGCACTGAACAACTATGCAATCGCCCCAACCCTGGACCGAAGGTCTACGGAGAAATTAGTGAAGCTTTGCCGACAAGCTAAGATCAGCATTGGATCCGGTTTGTTCACTCTGGTTGCACTAGTCATGATGCAAATGGAGGAAGAGAGGCATCCGAACATCGCCCTCGAGGACCGTCTGCCTTTCCACGGCAGCTTCCCAGTCAACCCTCGACCTTTTCTTGCTGGAGAACCTACTGCAGGCAAAGAGGATAGCCTCATGCTTGGCTTTGGTGATGGCGTCATCCTACCGTTCCTGCCCAAAGACCTGTCATTCGACGGACGATTCCGCCTGCTTGGCAGACAGGCCCATCGGCAACTCAAGCAATATCAGAAGCGCCCACGGACAGCCGAGGAGGAATTGAGTCTGGGGTCGAGGAGTCCACGTCAGTTGCTGCCAAGTCTGTACATGGCGACTCTGGAGCGTTTGCAAAACTGGCGAAGTGCACAGCCAGGAACATATAACTTACAAGGCGCATACCCCGTTGCGGTGCCACTGAGTCCCGCGACATGTGGTATCAGCTCTGTGGGTGATCGAACTCAAATCATAGCCCCAGGGAAGTACGATGTCACGCACCTGTCTACCGATCAGGACTTTGTGGCTGATTTTCGAGACGTGAGCTCAGCTGTCAGGGCCAGGAACGGGGAGTTTCTATGCGGTGCTGCAAGTGATAGGGAGAAGACGTACTTCATGATTTCAGTGGATAGCTGTGCCGTCGACCGTGGAAAGGCGAAACACTTCAAGGAGGTCATCGAGACGATTCTCGAGCCTCGGGATACGAAGTCGAAGCTTTGACGCGGATCGTACATTAGATGAAACCTCGAAAAGTGAATGAAAGACTGCAGACGTATGCCTTCGAAACGGGGTCTTAATCCTGCCACAGTCCTAATATGGAGCTGATCAGTTGCCTTTCTCGTTGCCTTGGCGAGGCGACCACTGCCTCAGGAATTGACAGCAGACGTAAGGCTCCTTTCCTTTTCGCAATCATCGGGCAGCTTGACTCGTCTCCGCAGCTGGTGACTCGTGCTCGCCTCATCGAACGCTGGCATCTTGAATAAAGTCAGGCCGTCATCGCAGCCACAGGTATTGCTTGGCCTTTACATTGTAACATCAGAACGTCCGATATCGGGCTCGTCGCGTTGCCTCTTAAGACGCGTGTCAGCGTTGTAAATTGAGACTCACTGTAAAAGAAGCAGTCCGAACGTTTCTGTCAGGTTGTATCTGGTCAAAGATAGGTCATTGAGACATCCGAATCCGCGCAGGTCTCCATCACACAACAGGCCTCATCGGGCTCTTCTTTGGTACTCCGGCACAGAGCATACCACTCAGCATGACGTCTCAACCTCAGTCCGGCCAGTCGGGCCCGCAATACACTCATGGTCACCATGCATCGGTGATCAAATCGCATAGCTGGCGCACCGCCGCCAACTCGGTCGGCTATCTTCTCCCACGGCTTAAGGCTACTGATCGAATCCTCGACATCGGCTGCGGACCAGGCACAATAACATGCGATCTGGCCTCCGAACATGTCGCGCAAGGCAGTGTCGTCGGCCTCGATGCGTCCGAGTCCGTCATCGCACAAGCTAACAAGACCGCCAAAGAACGAGGCATCTCAAATATTGAATTCGTGGCGGGAGACGCGTATCATCTGTCCTACGAAGATGGCTCCTTCGATGTAGTCGCATGCCATCAAGTCCTTCAGCACGTCAACGATCCCGTCGGTCTACTCAAGGAGATGAAGCGGGTGTGCAAGAAGGGTGGAATCGTGGCGGCGAGGGAGAGCGACTATGATGGATTTGTGTGGTACCCTCAGAGCGATGGATTGGATGAGTGGCGAAGAGTGTATCGTACTGTGGCCCGCGGCAATGGCGGTGAGCCCAATGCGGGTAGGATGACGCATGTCTGGGCGAAGCAGGCTGGGTTCACGAACATTAAATGCAGCAGCTCGAGCTGGTGCTATTCTACCGATGAAGAGAAGAAGTGGTGGAGTGGCACCTGGGCGGAGAGGGTGAGCGTGGATGGCAGTGCGTTGGGGAAGACTGCGCTTGAGAAAGGAGTTGTAAATGGCAAGGAGGACCTGGAAAACCTTGCGAAGGCATGGCGGGAGTGGGGCGCGCATGAGGATGGGTGGTTCCAGGTGCCAAGTGGGGAGGTGATCTGTATCAATGAGTGACGCTGAATGCGCTCGATGTGCGGCACAGGAAATGGATACAGAGTCCAAAGTTACTTCGATTCTTTAGTTGACACAGACCATGCCATGCAGGAAAGTGGTCCTAGGACGCTGTCATCGTCATTGTACGCCGTTCGAAGTCCCATTCGACTTCGGCGGTACGTCGTGCGGCTGGCTCTGTGATCGCGTGTTGGAGGACAGAGTCATCGTCCACCGTCGTCTTCCATCCGTGCCAGCGCCTTCGTCTGCCAGCGGACTGCCGTCCTCGGCGACCAAAACCCTATCATCGCCCTGCGGCATGATCACACGAAGCGTGCCCTTACGCCACCACGGGAGTCGCTCGATGACTTCCCTGTTCTCCAGTATATGCAGGCCAACTGTCACACTTTCATGTCCAGCGCCATAGCACAGCTCAAATCTACCGATCTTATGCGCTTCCCCATGCCCATAGCCGTCATCGTCGTAGAAGACGTTCTTGAACACTCGCCCATGACTGGAAGACTTCGGTGGAAATATTTCCACGGCCCTCTCATCGTCCTCGGCCAGGTCCTCGCAGTACGCCATTGCAGTGCGCGGCTCGCCCGGGGTTCTAGTCGGGACATTAATGCCCGTGATTACCGCGCCTCCGACACGGGCGAGCACGGGTATGGAGGTTGTGCGCCACGGTCCCACTGGGATCGTCACCCACTGACCTGACGCAAAGTACTGCTGTGGGCCAGGTGGAGATTTAGTGTTGATATACCCATAATCAAATGGGCTATCAGTACGGCGTGGCAGGTACATCCGTGCTTCTTGCTGACCTGGTGCAGTTGCACAACCGACCAGCAAGGTGTCTCCCAGCCAGAACTGCTCCTCGCCATTCTTGAGGATCTGGCTAGCCCACACCTCCGGGTCACCCTCGTGATCCCAGCCGACCCACCGGACAGATGGTGCACCAGTCAGGTGGCCCTCCAGGCTGAGCGAATAGAGGTACGGTATAAGCTCATACCGCCGCTGGATCGCCGCCCGCACCTGAGGCAGGATGTCTGGATACATCCATGGCTCGATGACCTCGCCTGCCTGATTGTCCTGCGGGCTGGTCTTGAAGCAGTTGATTGCAAATCGCGGCTGGTGGATGCCAAGCTGGATCCACCGCAGCAACAATTCCGGTGAGGGCTGCGGGCCTTCGAAGCCGCCGATGTCGTGACCGAAGTTGTGCATGCCGGAAAGGCCGGCATTCAGGGAAATGGCGACCGAAGCGCGCATCGCGGCCCAGGAGGTCATGTTGTCGCCGGACCAGGACGAGGCTGCGTAGCGGAAAGTGCCGGGAGTGCCGCTGCGGGTGAGGACGAAGGGACGTTCGTTGGGAGCGACCGATTGGAGACCGAGGGCGGAGGCTTTGGCCATGAGCTCGCAGTGGAGGGCGCGGCCGTAGAGACCGATGTGATTGCTGGGCTTGGGCTCAGAGGTGGCGTGGCTGGGCAAATGCTCGAGGTTGTCCAGGCTCATGGTCCAGTCGTCGTCTGGCAGTGTGTACTCGTTGTTGTCGTTCCACATACTATCGACCCCTTGTCGCTTGAGATTAGCCACGCCTTTCACCCACCAATCAAAGGCGGCTTTGTTCGTGAAGTCAATGTGACCGCCGAGGCCTGATTCACCTCCACCCGCCGACCATAATTTCATGGTACCCATCTTGCCTGTCGATGGGTCGCTGAAAAGAGCATTCTTGGACTTCAGGTACTCGAAGTCGGGATGTGATGACAAGATGAATGGCTTGATGTTCGTGAGCAGTCGAATACCTTGCTTGTGAAAACGCGACAAGAACCCTTCAGGATCAGGAAAGCGATGCTTGTTCCACGTGAACACGTTACGCACTTTTGGCTCGGTGTCAGCTATCGAGTAGCCTGACGACATCTGATGCGCTGAACATGGTATGTCGTGTTCCACAAGCTTCCGTGCAAACTCATCGAGCACAACGTGTGATGGCGGGTCATCTTTAGCGCAGTACTTGTAACCTCCCGAGATGTAGCCGAAAGCCCATCGTGGCGAGAGCAGCGGGAAGCCAACGACTTGACCGTAGAGTCGCATCACGTCTCGAAGTGTCCGACCGATCAGCAAGTACTCTGCCAAGCCACCGTAGTCCTGACGGTACACCTTGAAGTGGCCCCACAGACCGTCGATCTCGGAGCCGACAGACCAAAAGCCTCGTGCATGAGATGTCGAGAACACGCCGACCACCCCTTGTGGCGTAGCTTTGATCAGCAGTGGGATATGCTTGTACATGGGATCCGTTCTATGCGCATCATAGCCGAAACAGTCGGTTGCAGACAGGATGAAAGGTCGAGCTGTTAGATCCATGGGTGCCGCCTTCTCTCCCAGACCCACGTGCAGCGCCTTCCGATCATGTACCATGTAATGCGCACATCCCTCGCCGTCAATTACATAGGACCTGTCCGGAACGTCGGCGTGTATAGAATTGGCTTGGTCCTTGAATCGCAGTGAGACCACGGGTGCGCCCGCGAAGTTAATTGTGGCTTCGACATCTTTGACGGTGATCTTGGTACAGTTGTCAACCGCATCGAACTCTGGCTCAACTGACGACGAGAGATGTTCGACATTGGGGTATGGTGGTAGTGGGTGCTTAGACGACCAGAATTGTGTCCTGAAAATCCCTTCTCGTACGGCCTCGAATGTGAAGTGAGCCCAGCCATGTGTGTACCCTGCTTCCAGCGAGACGTGAGCTTCGTGCTTACTGGTAGTGGTCCATTTCGTAGGGACTTGCTCGCGCTGTGGCATTTCGTTGGTCTGGCTATCGTCTTCCAGCCTGAGTAGAATGTCTGGTCCGACTCCCACTGCTGCACTAGTACGCTCAAGCAGTCTCGGAGTCTCGTCTGCGGCAGATCGATTGTGGTCAATGCTTTCCGGACTGTATGAACCCGAAAAGCGTCAAAGCTACCGATCTGGTCCCAGCAGTGGCTCTTTTATCGGAGGTTCGGACCGAATGTCAAGTCGGGCGATTTGATGCGCAAACGATCTTTCGCTTGGCGCCCAGGATCGTGCTTTGTTGGAAGTGTTGGCAAGACGTATCATAGCCCGCAGCTGGTCTTTTACAACCACCGACGCATTATCAGAGCTCGCCCTGCCGGTTCCAGGACTTCAGTTGCCGATACCAAGATGGAACTCTCAAACCGATCGACAATAAAGGGGCGCCCAGAGATCCCGTAGCCAACGAATCACAACGCTCGCTGATACGGTCCGAACATGCCGAAGCCTTCGGAATAGTGTCCAAGCGAAGCCAGCCCGGGGATCTACCCCAGGCGGGGAATTTAGACCTCACGCGCCTCCGCTATAAAGCATGCTGTACCCTATGAACCTGCCTCGAGACTTCGCGAAAATATTGCGGCACTCTCCTGCGACCCAAGCAGTTGGCTATGGACGACGAGATCAGGAAGTCGCCTGTTCAGGAGGACCCTGGCAGCATGAACAACGCTGTAGATCGCAGTCTTGATCAGACCAGCTTGAGCGATGCCGACAAAGACCGCGCAAAGGCGCTTGTGCAGCGAGTCGGGCACCGCGTCGAGCTCACTCCTGAGAACAACAAGCGCATCTTCCGCAAGATCAACATCCGCATCTTACCAGTCATCCTCTTCATCTACTTCCTCCAAGCACTGGACGTGAGCGCTCCATCCGTGGCAGAGCTCGAGGCTATGCTAACCTGATTCACAGAAAGCAACGCTCGCCTATGCCTCAGTCTTCGGACTCATCGAAGACACCCACCTCGTCGGCTTGCAGTACAGCTGGCTCGGTTCTGTTGTCTATGCTGCCCAGCTAGTTGCTCAGCCAGTAGTGGCCTACAGCCTGGTCAAGTTCCCACTAGGGAAATTTCTGGCTGGGACAGTCTTTGCGTGGGGAGCGACCCTAACATGTATGGCCGCAGCACATAACTTCGGAGGGCTCCTGACTGCAAGGTTGTTCCTGGGCTTGTTCGAAGCTGGTGTCGCACCTGCTTTCATCGCGGTCACACAGATGTGGTGGCGGCGACGTGAGCAACCTGTGATTCTAGCATCGTGGTATGCCATGAAGTATGTACAGCTTCAATTTTGCTCCAGGGAATACTCTGACAAATTTCCCAGCGGCGTGACGAATATGCTCGGCAGTCTGATCACCTACGGTCTGGGACATATTGACAGCTCGTTGAAGGAGTATCAGATCATCTTCCTATTCTTCGGACTGATCACCGTGGCGTATGCTTCGTGGTGCTGTTCTTCATGCCAGACTCCCCGACGAAGACCAATATACTCAATGAGGAAGAGAAGCTGATAGCGATTGAGCGGCTGCGGGCGAACCAGATGGGTATCGAGAACTATACTTGGAAGTGGGAGCACGTCAGGGAGGCCGCTGTTGATCTCAAGACTTGGTTGTGGTGCGCGATGCTGTTCAGCATTTCAGTGCCATCCGGCGGTGTGTCGACGTTTGGGCCACTCATCGTCCAGTCCTTCGGGTACAATCGTTTCGAGACGATACTGTTCAACATACCTTTTGGGGCTGTGCAGCTCGTAGCGGTAAGTCGCCACACCCTGTCCTTCGATTCCGCTAGGCTGACACAGGTTTACAGACACTGCTCAGCGCTTATGTTGCCACAAAGATTCGGCGCAAGGCACCTGTATTGGTGTTCTTGTCGGTCATCCCGAGTGTTGGCTGTTTGATGTTGCTCTTTTTGCCACGCGGTGCTGGCCACAAGGGCCCGTTACTTGCCGCATGTGAGTCTCTCTAAACACTCAGACCCTTGTGAACAATCCAATGTTCCGGTTCGCTAGCTGGCTGCCACTTCCGACATCTTGTCTGGACCATGGCTAACGAAAGCTCCGCAGACTATATCATCTCCGTATATCCAGCAATCACGCCGTTGATATACAGTTGGCAAGCCGGCAATACGGCAGGCGAAACCAAGAAGAAGACAACAACAGCCGCGTTGATCATCGCTCAGTCGGCGGGTAATATCCTTGGACCGAATCTATACACACCAGCAGAGAAGCCACTGTACCGCCGGGGTCTGATCTCAAATCTGGTGCTGTTCCTTGTTCTTATCGTGCTATATGCTGCACAGTGGTTTTACCTGCTCTGGCGGAATCGCAAGCAAGCCTCCAAACGGAACGCAATGGGAAAGAATGCTGACATAGTTGACACATCGATGGCCAAGATCAAATCCGAGCTTCCGGATGCCGAGAAGCATGAAAGCGTACAGGAGATCGAGAGGGATAAGTCATTGGACGACCGGACGGACTTCGAAAACGAGGACTTTGTGTATACGTACTAGGCACAACGGCGAAATCGTGACCAAGGCCATGTGATCAGAGCCGTTCAACTCTGCAAGGCCTGGTCGGTAGAATGATTAGCGCCCAGGAGATAGTCATCGAAGAAGTTTTGCCAGCTGGCAGGACTCGAGAAGAGCGTCAGACCAGGGAAATTCCACTCAAACACGAATTGCTCGGGCACAAAACTCTGAAGTTCGAGATTGGCATCTGACGTCTCCCAGAAAAAGGCTGGTGGCGAGCTATTCGTGGTTACCTGGGGATCGTAATGTTGCTGCAGGGCTCTGCTATACTTCTCGATGCTCATTCCCAGCACCTGTACGTAGATCCGGCTAGTGGTGGTCCCAGCACATGTTCGTGCATTAAGCATCTGACGGTACAACTGGTTGCCCTCCTCGAGAAGGCGGTAGCTTTCTGTCTGGCTCTCCGGGAGTAGGCGCGTAAGTTTGAGCACCAGAAGGAAGCAGAAGGCACATTTGGCCCAGACAAAGTCCATAGCAAAGCGCAGGTTTGGCAAATATAGGTTAGGTTCCTCGAGGGTGGCCGATAGATGAGCTCGAAGCTCGACCTTCGCCATGCTCAGAATTTTGAGGCCGATCGCGCTTAATGCATCGACATTCTCGGTACCAAGGCACTTTAGTGCGCGAAAATAAGCCATTGCTTTGCACCAGTGCTTTTGGACTCGAAGGTTGATGAGTAATAATGGGAGCTCCAGGTTCGCCACGGGGGAGCTCTCCATCATTGCCTTCCATTCGCTATACCACAGGTTGATGTCGATCGTTGCATGATTAGTTGCTTTGAGGATGTCTGAGTCTGCCCCAGAGTCCTCCTTAGCAAACCCGGCGTGAATCTCTGTCCGCAGGCTATTCAATTCCACTTGAGACAAGAGGCGGAGGTCCAGTGGGGTGGTATGTTTTTGCTGTAGAAATGCCCGACATCGCCGCATGTGGCCCTCGGGTCTAAGCGCCGGGAGGTTGCCAGCATCAACCTGCAGCATGTTGTCAAGAACCATAATCTCGAACCAGGTGCGCGAGCAGCGTGTCAGATATGGTAGGTCCACCGCTGAATCGTCTTCCTCCAGAGCGGATGACATGAGCTCATCAAATGCCAGGTTGAGCTTGATGTCGATTGCAAATCGTGTTGCGAGCGATAGAAGAAGCGACCTTTCGGGTGAATAGCAGGCAATCACCAATAAGGCTTGCACGGTTTCCAGAACTTTAGGCTGGCTTTGAACAATGACCTGGTTCACATGCTTCTTCAGTTCGAAGTTTAGCATCTGCGGTAGCTGTGTCTCGTTATCAGCCACGGTGATGCCAGCAGTGCAGAGAGCATCGAACAAGAGGCTGCTTCGTTGCCTAATGGAATCGAATGTGTCGTAAGAAGGATCGAATATCGGCACAAAGCGGTCACAGCCAGCAAAGAAGGCATTGAAGGCTACCTCGGCGGAGCTGGTGTTCATAAGACCCCTGCTCACGAAGTCCATCGAGGCACGGCCATCGACAGCGATAGCATGATCACTGGGACGGTTCCTCATGCAGTAAGTGCCAAGTAATGAGACGGGCGAGGCATTCGACCGGTCGTGGCCTGGAGAGACAGACGGTAGGAGAGCCGTTCCAGGTGGAGTGACCGTAGCACTGTGCACTGATGGAGGAAGAGGGGGAGTGCGTTCAGATCTGTGCGCCTCGTCTGTGTCCATGTGAATATCCCTTGTAACAGCGCCATAATCAACGCCTGTCGATCCGGATATAACGTCCTGTGGCAGTGATTCCTTTAATTCGCGGATGTCTTGCTGAAGCTGAGTCAATTTCTCTTCGTAGGACAGCTTTGATGATTCGGGATAGCAGCAATCCTTTCTAGTCCTACGACAGCGAGAACATGGATCGTTGCCATCACACTTCAGCTTCGATCGTCGACAAGGGCTACATGCTTTTGCGATGCGTTTGATAACAGTATTAGAGGTCGTCGGCATCGGCTCGCTGGTCCGGACGAAGCCTTGAAGGCTAGCTCGAGGCATGCTCGGAGACAATTGCCCATGACTACGAACGCCGTCATGAGATTCTTGAAAGTCCTCGCGACTTGCTAGGTAAAGGCAATTCTCTTCTCGTGAAGCGAAGTCGAGGCTCATCGGAAACAAGCAGTTCTTAATTCCGGATAAGTCAACTACGCTTTTTTTCTATGTGAAGTCATCGAACACCAGCGTTTCGACCGACCTGTGACCTTCCGCACCTCGAACCAGGCGAATGTCAATTCGATTGCCGGTGATAACACCTTCCACGCCCGTGTAGCCATTGAGCAAGTCGACAGTACTGGGCGGACGAGCTCGACGAGCTCTGAACTGAATTAAGCTGTCAGCTCCGTTAACCATGGACCGAGGTCTTTCAGGACTTGTATGGTATAAATCCAAGTCAAGTCCTTCCTGCCAATACAGCTCTCGGCGCCAGTGTCGGCAACCATGCGTGGCGTGTCGACGCTGTGGATCGGACGATACTCTGGTCAACATAGCTCATCAGGACCGCCTTTTGTTCGCGGACCAACCGAGTTCTTTCGGCCAAGTATAGGGGCTAGCCAGCTTCATGCGCCGCCAGGACTGCGTGCATCGCGATCGAGGGATGGCAAGCATCTGAGACGAGTCGACATCATTATGGCCTTGACTTCTGCTCAAGCGAGTCTGTAAGTTGCTTTCGAGAGGAGGGGTGAGTAGACGGCTTCAGGATGATAGCGGACTTTTGTGAATTGGTGGCTTCACCACTGCCTGGATTGATCTTCACTCGCAACCCGTTGATCAGCACTATCGACTTGTCTCGAGGACTACTTAGTTTGCGTCTCTGCCTTGCACGACTTTCATTTCCTTACCCAAGTCCTATCGGCGTCGTGCCCACCTATCGCCCACTTACTAAGGATAGGAACATATCGTCGTCGGAACACCTCTCTATCACGTAACTGGCAGGGACAGGAATTGTTCCCGCACAGCCGTCAAGTAGTCCAGTGTGCATGCGACTAGCAAGTTACGAAGCATGTGTGCCCTACTCAGGATGAACTAAGTTTGTCTAGATGGACGACATTGAGATGACGCCGGTGCCGGCTGTATCTGGCCATTCTGGCTCCTACTCATGGCCGACATCGATTCCGTCTCGTCTTCAAGAACAACATCAGGATGTCAAGAACAAAAATCCCGGTATAAATGTACTGCTCCTCAAAAACACTGCTGTAGCGCGAAAGGTTGGCGACGAGCCTCGAGTCTACAGATACTACATGGGCACGAAGGGATCCGGTGAACAGCTCGACACACACTTCTACCCTAATCAAGGCAAGTTCATTGTCGGAGAGAAAGCTCATTCTGGAGGGCTCCTAGCCGCAGTTTGGTCAGGTTCCCCTGGTTTACCACATCCTGTCATACTCGCAAAGTCGCCTACCCAAAACAAGACGAAAAGCTTATTCAGGCCCCTCTGGAATGGCGACTACATGTCAGACAATTTCGATATCGAAAGGATCTGTGAGCCCGAAGCAGCTAGAGAGACGGTCATTGCTACCCCAAAAGCCCAGGCTGCAAGCATTTCCAAAGGTGTAGCCGGTATCATTGCAATTAACGAGCATCAGTCGGACGTAGTGGAAACTTCGCAACACCGGGATCCCAATAGCCGCGATCGAGGCTCCGTCGACGGTACTGGCCAGTCTTCGAGACAAGATGAGCGTCCTGCAAAGCGCCTCAAGACCAGCGGCCACGGAGCAAGCCGGGCATGCGTAGCTTGTGTTGAGTCAGAGCTGGAGTGCGAAGACGAGCATCCTTGCCAACACTGTGTCATGGGTGGTCTTGCGTGCACGGTCAGCCAGCCTGCACCGAGTGCGGTCTACAATCATAATCGCACTGGATCCTCTGCACAAGACTTCGAGCCTGCCGGAGATCCTCAGGATGAGCCAGAGGCCACTGCAATGCTCATTAATGACAACGACGACGCAGGCGTCGAAAGCGAATCTGATATCTGGGAGCTTGTCAATCGGGTCAAGAGAAAGCACAACTCACAACGACGGACATCGTTCACGCGCGAGGATTGGTCATCATCGCCGGTAGCCTCGCCTCAGCTCGCTCCATCGGTTCCACGGCAAGTGCAGGGAGAGACGAGGCAAGGACCTACAGCGACAATCGACAGCGAAGATACTGTCTTGCATAGTGACACCGTCGTCGTCGATGTCCCAGAGTCCGAGAGAGAAGACATTGCCAATCAAGTGTCGGCTACCCAGCAGCATCAAATGTCCATGGTAGCCTTGGTCAACAATCGTGAGTTTCACAGTCACCCAAAGGAACTTGGGGATGGTCATTCGTTCCAGCTCCAACAGACCGCAGGTGAAGGCGATTCGGGGCTTGATGAAGTTTCAGACGTCCACGAAGATGACATTTCGGTTGACTCCGATATTGATTTCCACGAAGAAGAGGTGACTGCACCAACCGTGCCTGACACTGCGCGCAAATCGATCCAGGTACAGCGATATCGCCTGGCGCGCCTCGCAACTCACGGCGTGTTGCTTAAGCCTGATTGCCATGATCTTGTGATCGATGGAGCAGACAAAACTATCTGGGTCAGTACTACCCACAATGAAGTCGACTTCGATCTTGTGAAGGGCCCGTCGAGGATTGACAACATTATTGTTGTTAAGCACAGCTCAGGTTCTGTACCAATAGTGGAAATCAAGTTCCGTGGCGGTCGCGATATAGATCTCATGTTTGAGTTGCATAGTCGCGAAGCAGTCTTTCACATGGTGTCGACACTACAGGCCATAGATCAGACACTAAGTGTGTCCACCAAGGGCAGCGAGCACTTGGAAACGCTCTTCCAGCTTGCGTTGCAAACCGCGACATCTGGGAGGCCATCAGCCATTCCTGGCAGCGTTACAAGAGAACATGGATCGGTGGCTCGGGATAACAAGACACCGGCCCAAAGCGCGCAAACCTCCTTCGCCAATGCGATGGTCCAGACAGCAAAGCCGATGCCCGTCGCTATGGCAGGCGAGACTACGTCGGAACTGCCACCGAGCCCTAACATCCTGGGTCCTCCACCCCTATCCGACGCCCGCAACGATCCACCCGTGCTTTTAAACATGTCTAACATCGAGGTCGAAGTCTCCCTGAAGGAAGGAAAGCCTCCTTTCACGATGCGCTGGCACGAACTGAATGAAGAGCGGTGGCAGATTGTGCTGGGAACAGCGCTCTCATCAGACAACGACGAGGAGATCGGCCCTGTGGAAGCGGTGGTGACTGATCAAGATCCCACCAACGGCTTGAGGCAAAACCGCACCGCTACGCAGAGCTGCTCCGGGCTTTACACAAGCTTCGGGGAGTTCAGTGCCGATGTTGCGAGATCCTTGGGGGCATGCTCGCCAAGAAGGGTGAAGGTGAAATAGGGCAGGACGAGCAGTCAGGGCGTTGCAAAGCCGCTACCTCAATTCGGGTTGTCTTGCGTCGATTGTGAGAACTGGACCCACACGGCACTAAGGCGCAGGGAACAGCATTTCGGAGGTTGAGAGCGATCATCAGACATGTCGCGTGAAGCGCGGGCAGCGTACAGTGAGGTCGGACCGTACCTCGTCGCTCTGCGGCCTTCTCGGGGAAGATCTTGATAGACATTCGCTTGGATCGGTAACTGCGCGATCTGAGACGTGCCCGGAAGTGCATGTCTCGAAAATCGCCAGGATGCTCATATGCCGCCTCAGAGGAGTGTGGTTGCTGCAGACTAGGCTCGTCGCCTTGGCGCAGTTTCCGGTCATTGCTTCATAGACCATAATGGTTTCAACAATCAATGCAGTTCAAGGAAGTGGATTGAGGGCAGATTGAGGTTTGATGCCTGGCTTTGTGACTTTCATTTTCTTCGATTCGCATTTTCCACAGTGGCCATGCGGTTAAATGCGACTATGGCTGTGTCGCGTCGGACATGGCTGTTCTAGCACACCTTCAGTGGAATGATATTAACTATCCTGGGTTGCAGCTTTTGTCGAAGCCTAAGCTTCTTCCTCGTACTCTTCGTCGTCCACCTCGGCTGCGCCCACTTTGGGCTCGGAGCCTGAGATGACCTTGGTCTTGACCGCTGGCTCATCTTCTTCGCCCTCCTGTTCATCCTCATCGTCTTCTGGAGCTTCAGCAGCATCGTCTTCTGCATCCTCGTCCTCCTCCTCGCCATTTGTCTTGGTCTTCTTCGAGTCGGGCACTACCTCATCGGCATCGGCCTTGCGCTTCTTTGATGGCGCTGGGGTGCAGGTCAGTAATCTGGGCGAGAGCCTGGGGAGGACCGCAACTCACCGGGCGCTTCCTCCTCATCTGCGGCCTCTTCGTCGCCCTCCTCTTCTTCCTCATCTTCCTCCTCGCCTTCCTCGTCGTCCTCTAGGTCAGACTCCTCGTACCTGCAGGGGATAAATTAGACGTGCTCTCTGTCCATGGGAATGCGACGAGGTTGCGAGCCAGAGGCGGCCAGGAAGTACGAATATAGGCGCAAAAAACGTACTCTTCTTCTTCCTCGCCGTCGTCGTCACTGGGCAAAGCCTGGAGCTCCTCCTCCTCGGAATCCTCGTCTTCATCCTTGCGCCTCCGAGGCATGTTGACAGATGTCTCTAAAGGAAAGAGTAAGGTGTGGAACGGTTAGCAGCTAAGGTATGAAGCTACTGGAAAGCTCCTAAGCTTCAAAGTCCTTCAGGTACAATGACTTCAGGGGAAAGCCGGAGTACAGAGGAAGAGAAGGAGGAAGGAGAGCGGAAAATGGGACAAGAGACGGGCGCAAGCTGGGCTGGGAAAGTGACGAGAGGTGAGCAAACGCGTAGGCGGTGGGCGATGAGCTCACAGCCAGTTCCTGCATGACTGAGAGCTATCCGCAACCCTAAACGACGTCTGCCCTGCATAACCGCAAGGGAGGGAGCTCCTCGGATGTCAGATTCCAACCATAAATTCAGCAAAGTCCGGACAGATTCATGGCTGAGGGGCAGGGCGACAGGAGAAGAGGAACAAAATTGTGGGATGAGGGGGGCCTGGCTGGCTGGATGCCGACTGGGGGGAACTGACGGCACCAAAAGTCTCAGGCTCTTTTGGAGCTTGCGCTCGGACCACCTCGCCTGTTCGACATTTCGTGCCTGGATCCACCGTCATGAATCGATGAACCCCTCGAGCCCCTTTCCGCCGGGCGCCCAAGAATCACCTCACTGCTTCATGTTACTCATCAAAGACATGGTGCTTTCCTCCGGTATTGTTCTCCTGGACGCTTTGCGAGAAACATGATGACCGCGATGGAGCTGAATGTCCGCATCACGTGACTGTTGCGGGACCGCCACGGTCGATGGCTATGGGCGGCTATAAACCTACCTAGGTATCAATGGTTCAGCAAGGAAGCAAGCTGCGGCGACGATGCATTCAGCCGAGTACATTCAACGCTGCGCTTGCCTTGCCTAAACAGTATCGCTGAACTTGGCAAGCGCTCAACAGAACAGAGTAAGTCCGTTGAGGAAGTTGCGATTCGAGGTTGCGCTTGCCGTAGACTGCTTTCCATGCCTCTGTCTAGCTCAACATCATCCTTATCCACCAAGATCATCAGTAGAACCAACGAACACCACGAGTACCGCGGCGAACGCTGTCGTTGCCATGAAGACGTCTGCCTTTCTAGATGCCACAACAGCCATAACCATTGCAAATCCCAAACTCAGGAGGACTACCGCTACCAGCCTGGCCATGGTCGACCTGAGATTGAAGAGGATGAGTATCGCCAAAGCAGGCATCACCGCTGAAACAATCATGCAGATGACGTTTCCAAGCATCTTCAGCGCCTTCATCTCATATTCGCGAGCATTTTCGACAGCTTGCAGGGACTTGGCACGGTGCGCGGAAAGACGATATCCAATAAATCTGTCGTAAACAGGAACGATCCATTTGCCAACGAAGATAGCGATCGGATCATCTTTCCCAGGCCTTGGATTTATACTTAACAAGTCCTCTGGCAAGGTCAGCATCTCGCACGAGCACAGACTGACGGAACGAACCTCGAATCCTTGAGTCTCGAAACACCGCCTCTTCAATACCAGTACCCTCAAGGAAGGCTTTTCCGCCATGCTCTTCGTCACTGTCATACCACCGTTGCAGTAACTCAAAGCTGTCACTTGCAGGTTTGTCAAGTGCGTTAATTCTGGCCGTCTGCAAGATTGTGCTGTCTGCGCCAGCGATCAGCTTTTGACATCTCAGCCACGAGGAACTTTCTCACAGTACTTGTCCAACAGCGTCCGGATCCTCTCGAACACGCTAGTAATCACAGTATTGGCGTCTGTATAGGGTGCTCCGAGCCACGATGCATTGAACCCGTTCAAGTCTGGATTCGCCCTCAGCTCCTCGACCGTCAATTCAAGACCAAGAAGTTCCGCCTGCATGTGCAACAGCGTCTCGGTATTTAGAGCCGAGAATCGTCTCAGGATGCTCACGTCTTGTCTGGAAGACATGAATTCTGCTAAGCTGTCGTATCCTGGCATGGCTTATCCGTCTTGTGCCACTGTGTCACAGGGATCGGAATCATGCAGGTACTTGTGCGAGCGGGCCGTTCCAGTTTTATATTTGGTGAGCATTGTCTTGAGCATGACTTTGAGTGGTCTATTCCAGGCATTTCATGATTGGCAAAAGGCCATGATTACTGCCCGATTCGTGGCTTTGTACTTCCAAAACGAGACAGAATAATCCACGAGTGTTATTCGTCGGTACAGAAATGTGCATTCGCCACATATACGCAGCGGAATGTGGCAGATGGCGGCACCCATGTGAGCTTTGCTAGACTGGAAAACCTTCTAGGCGTTCTCTGCCAATCGAATCGGTGCTGCGGCATTGCGCGCAGTGTCCGCATACTCCTGCAGCTTACCACAAAAATGCCGTTGAGCGGATGTTTGATGTCAAGATATCACCAACATGGTCGATCTCCTACGATATGAACACAATACAGACGCACCACACGATAGAACGTTTCAGCCTGCACCGCTTCGTCAGGGCAACACATATCGGCACAATCAAGATGGCGGTCACACCAATGCCATTGTCGGCATGCAGCAACAGTGGTCTTTCGTGTGAAATCTCAGAGGTGTGGCGTTTGCTACAGTGACCGAGATGGAGGTGTATCGCCGCAGACCGCTCAAAAGGGCCCACGTTCAATCATGCGTACGGTAGCCTTTTCATGTGCCGTTGTGCAACGTACGAAAACAGCCTCTGACCCTGAGCTGTCCCTCTCGGCTTCAGCGAACTGTCATGTCTCGGAGGGAATGCAGTCCACATGAGGCACTTCCTCTCGAGAGTTCTTCATATACTCAATAGCCCAGCAACGACTCACGAAGCGCAGATCAGATCATCGTCATCATTGAATTCATCACACGCAGTCGCCGGGTGCAACGGACAGTGCCGTCCAGTAGAAGTCGACCAGACGCATTCATTGGCAACACTCGTTATGTCGAAGGCTAGCCTTTGGATGGCAGGCTGCTTCGGTAGCAAATCCGAGGAGACCTCCGCCATTCGCAGAACTCCCATGCCTTCACATCATATTTTTGCAAAGACAGGTCGGCGTTGGCAGCGATGGTTCTCGGTACTGAGGTATATAAAGCGTGGTCGACACAATGAAACGCACATCGAGATCCCAGATGTGATCGTGACGCACAATCGTTTCGTATTCGATGTGATCGCTCGATCTGTTGACATCAACGGGAAGGAGAAGAAAGTCTTGAAGCGAGCACTTCTCGACACAGGAAGCGACCTCAATTTGATCAGTGCGTCAGCATTCGATGGCTTGATGATGAATTTCAGCCCTTTCCGAAAAGACATTCATACCTTAGCCGGCAGAACAGCCATCGCTGGCCACACCAGAATTGCCTGGTCAACTATAGGGTCGAGTCCACCAAATTCGTCTGCCAAATTGCACTGGGATCGATTTTATGTGCTAGCCAGCACGGAGAATGCAGCTTTCGACATGATCCTGGGCCATGAATGGATTTTCAACAACTTCGCTGTATTTAGCGAGCTCATAAAAGCTCAGCAACCAAAAGCATCGTGACGGCCATCCTCGAGAAGGCGTCGAGATGTTCTGCGCTTCGGAATCGTTTGAGAGGCTTCATCGCAACACTAAGAGCAAAGGAGTTGAAACAAAAAGTTATCAATTGTTCATCTGGGTGTATATATGCAGAAAAGTCCTCTGACAAAGTTATGTACTACTAAGGCGCAATGCGACGAGTACATGGCGCCTGCTTAAGATAAGCCATCCCAATCTTGACTGTGGTTGTGCAGAGGGATGTGCACCTGACTTGCTTATGTTACACGCCAACTCTGAAGTTTTCGCTACAACCAGAGCCAGCACGGCTGATACGAAAAAAAATACAAAATGAGAATATCCGGTCAGTCCATCGACCAGTACCAACAGTCTGCTTCAGCTTTTAATGGTCAAGTCAGCGACAGTTTCGGCCGCCTTCTAGGTCTATGCCGCTTCGAAGGCGCAAATTTCAGGGCTGATCCTTGACAGTTCCTTCACTTGCTCCATGCAGCTACCTTCGATCATGGGACAGGTTACGCCGCGCCTTGCATCGTGGCACATCGGACGTATGGATGGATTCTATATCAAGTGCGACCATCCTTCTCGATGGAATCGTGGTGAGTTGGCAACAAGTGGCCAGCAAACACATTCTAATCCGGGCTAAGGCAGCAACAGCGAACTGCAGGTGCTGGAGACTGAGGTCATCGATTGGGTTTCCTTGCATTTCGGGCATCGCACAACTCCAGAATGCCCGAAGGACGAGAACGCAGTCGATCCACTGCGGTTTTGCCACGCGAACATGATGTCGAAGCCTCATATCAGTCGTGGAAAGCACGGAGGCCTACGCTGTTTCGTCAAAACAGCCAGGTGGATAGCCACAAGAACATGGTATACCTGACTTCGCTATAGGCTCTTCCTGTGCGGTAGCTGACGAAGCTTCTAGGCCTCAACAACGCGGAACGTGCAGATTGCTGTCATAGCCGACGACCAAGAGCATCTTGTGCCGTTACCAAAGACTCTATTCGACACTTCAGCGAGTCTCAGCGTCATCACCAACACGAAGGCTGTCGCCACGCTGGGCCGTGCATCTCGCACCCCTACCGTGATTCACAGAAGCTCGCTCGGTAGTCTGACGACTGCATCTTGCGTCACGCTTCGATGTCGTTACGATGGCGGACTGCAATCTTTCCAAGAAACTTTCCACATCATCGATGACACGGAAAAGCTGCATGGCTATGATGCAATCCTGCGTGGCAGCATAGCCATCAAGCCGCCTTGCGCAAGTGGACAAGACTCTGTTCCTGGTGCATACCCAATCCTGCTCAGTCCGCCTGGGAAGAGTGGTAAAGAGGACAGGAAGCAAAGAGAAGCGGAACTGAGGAGGAAAGAGACCTCATACCAGGAACAGGTCAAGAGGCAAAGAGAGCAGGTGAAGAGACAGCTTGATGGTGCTAAGAGTGCTGTAACTGCTGGTGGAGGAGGCAGGCGATGAAGAGTTGGTTGGCATTTCACGTGATGAAGATGTCTAGAACGAATGCTGTACTCAGCACCTGCACACAGGATGATTCGGGATTTATATTCAACCTTGGTTGGAGACACTTGGCGAAGCATTCTCAAATTAGGTAGAAGTCACCCACCTTGACTTCCTTCATTATAAACCGCTCCGGTTTGCGCATTGTCTATGACTTCCGTGCTTGCGACCACGGGTAACCTTAAGTATTGCAGTGCGTCCACAGCTTCATTCCAGGATGATTCGGTCAGCGTGCCTGCAGGAGCAGCCCATGACCAGCTCGTCCTGAGACTGATCTGCCTCGGCCCACGATCATTCGACTTGTCCACTCCAGCAGCTCGTCAATTCCGCATTTGACCAATATGTGCTCACTTGCAGGCTCTGACAGACTTGGCTGAAGTGAGCTGCTAAGTCGATACAAAGGCATCGTCCTTCAGTCGGGGGCTGTTCGTATTCGTGAGATACGTCGCGTGTCCAGGGGCCACCTGCCAGCCACGCCGATCTTCACGGTGCCTCGGAGCTCATTGCTCTCTGTGCTCTTCACGCAAAAGACGCTCGATCGAAGAGCAGAGTCGATGCTTTTTGAACGACGGAAACAGCGCGTTCAAGCAGCTCGACCTCAGTTCTGTCAGATTCAGTCCTCATCAGCGAAGAGTGTGTATCATCGCATCCATTCTGGCCCCCACCAACGAACACGCGAATCGTTCCAGTTTTGACCAATCGTCCTGTTCCAGGCGTGCTTGGCTTCATGGGTCACCATGCAAGCGTCCGCCAGAGCGACTCGTCCTAGCCTCAATGGCACTCTGGGACATTACCGCCGTGCTACTTAAACGACGACAGACGGCGCCGCCACGATGGCTGCGCTCGACTTGCGCTGCTCTCGTCCAATACACGCGCAAATATGCGATTACAGTCCGCCCTAATCGCCGCCTCTTTGGCAGCATCAACTCACGCTGCCAACGACATAATTCTCAACCAGTACCAATACTGCATTCGCTTTTTCGGCTCGCTCTCCGTGGACCTCGAGATCGCCGATGGGGTGGCCGAGCGCAACTACAATGACACCATCATGTGCCCTAGGTCTATGAGCTTTCCGACTGTCTCCGGCGCGAGCTTAGATATCTGCCCGCCCACCGACTCCCTTGGCAGCCCAGACAATCCCAGCACGCTGTCCGCCGAACTGCGATTCTCGCATACGTCAGGAGAACTGACAGACCCTGTTGATGATCTGCGCCTCCAACCACAGCTCGTCACGAATGGCTCGGTTCGCGGACCTTTCCAGAACGGTGGGACGCCAGCTATCATCGCGTTCGATGAGGCGCGCACTGCCAAAGACGGACCGGATACGTGGACGATCAATGGCACACAGAACGCCCTGATCGAGGAGCCAGACATTGAAGATCGCACGCAAAACATCTACTTCGGTTGCAGATATCCCAATAGTCGGTACTACTGCGGCACCTACGAGGACCTCCACTCGGACAATGGCGGTTGCTGGAACAGCCAAACATTCCTCTTCAACATGAAGAATGCACTCAACTTCACCTACCGCTTCAGCAACAATGAAGCGAGCGTCGAGATTTGGGCGTCCAGTGAATATTTTCTCCCGAGAAGAGAGGCTGGTACGATTGACGGAGCGGCGACGGGGACGAACACGACAGCGTATGTTGTGTTTGGAGGGACGAGGAGAGTGCCGACTGTGACCGACTATGATTTCTGGAAAAATACGGAGTTGACGTATGAACAGGAGGTTGAGGACAATGTGCGTCGGGAGAGGATGAGTTTTGTGAGGGGTGTGGACGGGCTGCCGGTGCTGGTCAATGAGACCGACAGTGGGGAGGAGTATGCCAGTGGCAACGGGAGCTATAGCGTTCAGGAGGGCGGTGCTAGTGGGTATGAGGCCCTGTCGACGACGAGTGCTTCGGTCCTAGTAATTGGTGGGCTGATTGCTGTGGCAGCAGCGCTGCTATGATTGAGGCGAGTTCAGCTGACGCTGGAGTCAGAACTTACGAACATGCTCGAAGGATACACCAAGTCGTTCTCTTCGCTCACAACGCATTCAACACGGATATGCATCCTCCGCTGTGCCAAGCCCTCCAGCCTGGTCCTCACCGATAGCATGTACATACGAGCAGAAGTATAGCAAGGCCTGCAAGATCTCAACTGCCGCCTACTCTCCAACTTCCGTGAGGCGTCAGCATGTTCGACGGCATGTTGTTTCACAAGGACTCCTCCACCAGTCGGACAGACTCCTTGACACCATGGGTCAGGGGCCGATCAGAAGAGCCGATGCTAGTCGTTTGCACGAAGTAATGTCAGTACTCTACGACAGTCACGCGGGCATAAGGGTGGCGCATATAAACAACTTGAGAGCCTCCAAGTGACGACTCCCATCTACTTGTCTGAATCTCACAACTTGAGCCTATCCAGCATACTTCATCAGCCCAGCGGACAATCATGAAGCCTTCCCCATTCCTTCCAAGTCTTGGCCTCTTCCTTACAGCCCTGGGCAACGCCCACCTCATCTCACTTCGCCAAGTCTCCCAAACCCTAACACTCACCTTCTTCACCTACACCAATCCCTCCTGCTCGCCCTCTACAGCAGCCAATTACCACTTCATCAGCTTCACCTCCGCCAACATTGGACAGTGCCGCAACCTGGAGCAGGTGTTCGACAGCAATGGCGCCGTGCTAGGCTACAAAGCATTCGAGATCGATGAGTTTGGCGCTGGGTCCCCGGCGCTTTCGGGCAGTATATTCTTCTATAAGGGACAGAGTTGTGGTGGGCAAGCGCTGGAGAGTCGGAAGTTGGATGCGGTGTTTCTCGGCGACGGACGTGAGGAGTTGGTGGGAGAGGGGATTGGGAGTGTTGTTGTGAGGCGGGCTTCATAGGCAGGTGATTCTTTGGCATAGCAATCCCGGCGTCACGTCAAGTCCGTTCAACGGACCTTAGCCCGTGACAGCCTCGCGAGACACAATAGGCGATAGTCCTGCTGCATGCCGCTCATCTGCGGAGAGATCCTTGGTATCTGGAGGCGTCCAACCTGTCAGAGCTTGGAAGATTAGCATAGCCAGTGATAGCACAGCTCCGAAGATGAAGAGCATCCGGAGAGCGCTAACGTAACCTTCCACGGCAACATCATGCTCAATACCACTAAGCTGATACACAAGCCTTGGATTCCCAAGTAACCTTCGTATAAGATCGGCCTTGCCCTTCACGTTTTCGTGCTTGAAGCCATGACGGAGCGCTTCTTGGAGTGTGCGAATGAACAGGCCGCCAGAGATGGCCGAGCCGAATGAGCCGATAGGCCTCTGAACATAGCGATAAGCGGCAGCACAATTGCATGACTTGAGGGATGCGTAAGATACAGCACATGTGCCAGCGAGTAGTTGAGCAATGCGCCGGTGATAAAGCCGTTACAGAACAGGACTGTGACGAAGACGTATATGTTGGCGTTGGGTGTCGCAATTTGTGAGATGACTAGGTTTGAGGCAGCGAAAAGCACAAAGCAGATCAAGCATGACGTGTAGAAAGATCCGGACTTCTTGATGTGCAGCCAGCCCGCCAGGACCCCGCCTAAACCAAAGCCAGCGTTCGTTGGTATGAGCATGAGGCCAGCGACAGCAGCGTCCAGCCACGTACAGAAATGGCATACACCGGAGTGTAGAATAGTACAGCCCATCTTGCAGTCATGAGCCCAAGTGTGGAAAGGCCAGTGAACAGCATTGCTTTCGATTTCATGACGCTAGGAGGTATGATAGGTCGATCGCCCATTTCGCCTCGACAAACACGAACAGCATGAAGCCTGCAACCGCAAGGATGATAGGCGTGGCATGGATTCTGGACGCTGACAAGCCATATAGAAGCAGGGTTACCGCAGAGATCAGGCTCAGGATACCAAGATAGTCGATTCGTGACAGCTTGTGTAGGAATGACTCATCGTCAGAATCGGGCTGTTGTCGGCCCTCGCTAGGCTCAGGCAGAGTTGCTAGAGCGAGGAGGCCACCAACCAAAACCAATGGAATTTGCAGCCAGAAAACAGCTCGCCACCCAAGTGCAGGCTCCAGAGCACCGGCGAGCACGGCGCCTAATGAGACCCCGGTCGTGTAGCAGACATTGATGAGACCGAAGAAGAGACCTCGCCGACGCGTGCTGGTCAGATCCGCGACCAGGATGAGAGCGACAGGCGTGAAGGCTGCAGCACCGATGCCTGTGAGAGCTCGTCCGACCAGAAATATTGCCAAGCTCCCAGCTTGGGATGTGATGAGCAGGCCAACTGCAACGACCAGAACGGAAGCGAAGAGATAATATCTAGGCGTGAAGATGATGCAGAATCGGCCAGCTACCGGAATTAGGCTGGTCAGAGCGATGAGGTACGTCGAGGTGAACCAGCTCACAGAGTCGAAAGCATCAAGGGCAGTAGCGATGGTGCCTTGCACCGTCGTCAAGAGCGATATGTTGCATGTCAAGACGAAAATGAGCACCCATATGCTCAAGCATATCAAGGCGCCTCTGGTGTTTGAGATCGTGTGTTGTGCCGTGCCTTTCGGTGCGTCGTCGCTTTCTTCGTGCAAAGTGGAAGAGCTTGAGTGGAGCAGAGGTGCTCTTTCCGAGTTTTCATCGGCAGCGCTTGTCATCGCGGGACACTGTGCGGCTCCTCAGATTGTGCACTCCAACATGGGAAAGAAGGACAATGGGCTTCGATGGATGTCCGTGGTGGCGTTGATGACGACCAATGGCAAGAAAGTCGCCGCCCTGCGCTACATGCCAAGATCGCTCGAAAATTGCCAGTCAGACGAAAAGCTCAGCGTGAGATCGGGCCCAACGATCTCAAAAAACATGTCACCACTAATGTCTTTGATCAGATCATATAGCGGAGCTGCACACTCAAGTAAGTTGACAGTACAATGAGAACTCTGTGTCATTCTCCGGCTGCCTCGTTCGACTTGACCTCGGTGCAGGCGCGGCCTGAATGGCGGGATGTCTTTCCTAAAGTGAAAGACGCGTGACGTCAGTCATGTCGCCTGGGCAAAAGGCAACCGTCGTTCATAAGCACAACTTTGAAGCCTCTACCTAGATACCTTTGTAGCTTTGCCTCATGAAATCAACACGTTCTGATGAGCGCAAAAGAACCCAGGAAGGCCCCGCAATGACTACTGACGTACGATGCGGGATACCAGAGCACTGTCGATGGATCCCTCACGATCGGCAACTTGTCCTGCAGCCTGATCGACTATCTTCCAGCTGAACACGCAGTCATGGGCAGAAAGTGCAGGACTTTCTCTGACGACACATGCCTGCACATCAGTATGCATTGTTCTTGACATATCGACCAAGGCTTGTCCCCTAAGATCAATGAGAAGGTCTTTCGCCTTCGAGGAGGCTGAACCTCCATCATGCAAGCCCCAAAGGTCCGGCCCAGAAAAGGCAGCCGCTAATGCACCCGATCGCTTCGCATCACGGTCAAGGAGCAACATGATTCGCTGCCTACACTCGACATTGCAGATGCTGCTGACAAGCTATTGAACATCGCCTCCTTCGCCCCAGACCGGGAAGCGATGCCGTTGTCCTCAGCCTGAAGACAGCGGCTGCCTCCGTAACACAGGGAGAATCGCTGACTGGAGCTCATAGCGTATAAATGTCTTTGCGACCCACACTTCACATCTGGAGTATGTGAGTGTTTCCAATAACCTTCAGCCTTGCTGTTCCACACTGCACAACACTGACACCACCCGGCGCTTTCATCGGGCTGCTCCTCCACCAGTCTACGATGGCCGACCAAGGCTCCCCCGGTAGCCGGCACGCCTCGCCCAAAGCATTTCAGAAAGTTCCTACACGAGCGCGACGAGGACCTAGCTCCAGATCTACGGAGCCGACAGCTGTAGAACTAGATCCACTACGTTCAGTCAGCGGGAGCGTTGATGCCAATCAGAACACAGACGATACTCTGTTTGGGGAATCCTTTCGACCCAGAACACCAACCAATCAATCGTTGCCCAGGCATCACAGCCGTAGCCCGAGTGGTCCAACCCTCAGACAACCTAGGCCGCACAGTCACAAAGGCACTCAGGCTGACAACAAGTCGACGTTGGACGGCCACACCGTAACTCTGCTCGACATACAGCAAAGTAGATGGATTGTGGACCCGAACAACCATGCTTCAGAGAAGGTATATCTCGTCGCAGAAGAGGGCCCGCTTAGTGAGATGTCTACCATCTTGACCGACTTCTGCTGGGTGCATCATCAGCGCACTCGTGAAATGCATTTCGAGCACTTTGTGGCAAGTTCATCGTGTCCATCAGAAGCTAGCCTGTTCATCCCTGGGCGCATTCGAGTGCTGCTCGTAAGTGTACGCAAGCGCATGTCATACGGACCTAGCGCGTTCACTCGTCCGAGGACTGTTCATTCGCTGTGACCGTGGCAAGACGAGCGGAATTGCATTAGCATACCCCTTGCTATCGACGAACGGCTCTACCCTGGAGACACGTTCCTAGATGGCGATGTAGAGCACGCGCAAGCTCGTCGAAATGCCTTCAGACTCCTCAATCTCTTTTACCACCACTCCAGTCCAGGCGGAAGCCCTCAAGTCACACGTCGCTAACGCCAGACCCAGCAAACGATCGATGGCATACCAGGCCTTTTCAAACACGAGCACACTGTAGCTCGTAAATGTCTCGAGGAAGCCAAGCACATGCGGCGAATGTTCGCCAGTGGCAAGTATTTCAAGCCTCTCGTGCATCAGGTCAAGGAGAACGTCAACTTCGCCGATGCAAAGAGTGAGGTCAAAGCGACCTTCATCTCCATACCAGTGTTCAGCTCGATGCATGGCGAAGAGCCAGTTGTCCATCACGATAAGCCCACGCAACAACACGGCATGGTACGTCAGCTGCTTCAGACAATGTTCGAGAAGACCCATAAGCTTGTGCATGCAGAAGCATACTCCAAGGATCATCATCAAGAGCTTGCAACAAAAGAACTTCGCAAGCGCGAGGGCCACCCAATCAGAAGTCTCATGCAGTACACCAATATATTGGCACCAGGCCTTGATCGAGACTGGCACCAAGCGATGGTCAGACTAGAGAATGAGGACGATCATGACCAGCCACTGATTCACGTCCCCGAGTTTTGGGCTGTCATCATCAATACGAAGACTATCGTTACCTGCTCACCGTTCTCGGTCGAAGAATTATTGGGTGAAAATATCACGCATCAAAAGCCAGACGTACAGGACATGAGAATTCACGTCGAATACACGAATCTGGGCGGCGCGGCCACACATGAATTCAGATGCCGTACCTGGGTCGGCTTTTTGAATACGGTCGCTGCTATTGAAAGGCAGATTCCCAAAGAAGACGAGCTCAGCGTTCAGCTGAGTCAGGATGATTCCGCCTTCAAGATCGTTGACGCGAACTTCCGACTCATCAACCGAAGCAGATGGCAGGACTTGACGGCAAGCAAAAACGTCACCGAATTCTTCAGCAAAGGTCTCAGTGAGGTTGCTGAAGGAAATGAACGACAGTCGCTTGAACGTTACCTTTTCGACTCGCAAATTCTGGTCGTTCCGTAGTGCTACATGGGACCTGATGGTCCAAAAGCTTACCTCGGAACTATTACAAAAAAAACTACGCGCAGAGCAAAGCAACCGCAAAGTCGTGTCTCAGAGGGATCGTACTGAGCATCTGGCAAAGCTACGTAGGATTGACGCAGAGCTCAAGGTCACGAGGGCGAGTCTTCTCGAAGCACGTCGAATTCAACTCGGGCAGCGCTTGCTGTATGCAGCTGTGAGGTATCAGCTGATCGATCCCGGGGGCGTCCTTCTCGACGAGGATGCTGCATACCTCGAAGTCCGCCTCCGTCGAAAGGCACAAGAGTGGGAACTACATCATCAAACTCGAGTGTAGACCAGAAGAAAACATCGACTGTCGACAGACAGGCTCCGGATGCAGTCGATCGAGTCAAGTCAGGACGGAGCAGCAAAGCAGCTTCTCGGAGACCGTCATTTACCGACAAAGACGAAATTCGGACGTCAAAAGTCGGAATCGAAAAGGCCGATGCCGCAGCGAAGCAGCGAGCTACTGTTCGTATCAACGTTCCCTCAGAATTGGCTGCAGATGGCCCCATACTGGAACGATTTCGCCCGCCTGATCGACGAGCTACCGAGCTTGCGAAAGCGGGCGTTCCAAGAATCGATTCTGCATTGGCACAGTAGCGATATCTTGAGCCGCCCCATGCCCCAAATTTGCGCAAGTCTGCTACTTCGATAGATGGAGTGGGCTCAGTCACCAATGGCCCGATCATGAGCAGATCCAGTCGTAGTAAAACCATGGACATTAACATCTCAGACCTCGAAGCTCAGATGACGAGGCCTTCCAGCCCTAAGTTGTTCGATTCCTTGACAAGGCGCCGGAAAGTCCCCCGCGTCACAATTGTGCATGGGACCGCGCCGGCTTCATCTACAAGCTTGCCGATTCCGCCAGTCAAGCCAGAAAACTCACAGGATGCAAAATATAAGCCTCCATCGATCTTCCGACCTCGAGCACCAATAAGTCCTATGACGCATTCAGGGCCAGTAGCCATTACACCGCGGCTCCCGCCAATAGTTGGAGCCACAGAATTTCACCCTCGTCATGTTATTGGAAAACGCTTTGCTGCAAGCCCACAGCCACTATCCACTGGAGATGCCTTCAACTCAATTGTTACGCTCGACTCGGTAGATAAGAGTACCGCGTCGGCATCCAGCGACGCTGGACTCGGCATACGTGATGTCCAGCGTGCCTCTTCAACGAAGTCACCGCGGAAGCTTAACAACCTCAAAGATCTTGAGCCTTACTTCGAATGGGCGCCTTCAGAGATAGCGGCCACGCCACGTGATATACAGCCTGAGGATAACGTTCAGAGCCCAGATACCGGGGTATCGAGGCAGCCTGCTCGATCCACGTATGACCGCGAGAAGGCAATCGAACATGCTAGAGGAATACTAGAGATCCTGACGGTGGAAATGTCCTCGGGTCACTATGTTTCCGAGGACTTCCCCATAGCTCCAATTCAATTCCAGGCGGTCAAGTCAAAGTCTTTTCAAGAGGTTGACGCCCTTTTGCAGGGTCTCAAAATCGAGAGGCAGAACAGCGGAGACACTCATAAGGATGCCAGGCGGATGGTGAGTCTCAAGGTCGATATTGTGTCGAGCATAGACACGATCCTGAGGTGTTTTATCGGACGCAACAACCAGGATGCTAGTCTGGTGCAGCGCATCTGGGGCATTGTTTACGGCATCTGCCAAGCATCGGACGTCGGTCGAGATGTAAGTGCTTGTCCAAGAGGTCGCCATCATTCATGACTGACTTGTGTGCTCCAGAAAGCAGATACCCATTTTAAGTACAGTGTGCTGGCTTGGATCAAGACAGATCTCGCTCAAACCGAACAACAATGCTATGAGATTCTGTCATCTGCCAGATCAGACACAGGCAATTACATTGAGCAGCTCAATTTCGCGTTGCCACCCAGTTTCGTGTCGCAGTTCCGAGACATTGTTCTCCTGCTGCTATCGTTCCTGGCTGTACTTCTGCCCGATGCTCCTAGAGGTAGCCAAGCAGCGGCCGAACATATGTGGAAGATTGTGGAAAGCGGCTGGACAGAATGTGAAGTGGCTCTACTGCGCGATGCGAGAGATTTCAAGGAGAACGGTGACAACCGCGAATATCTTCTGGAGTCGGTCAAATCCGCCGACACGATGTTCGCACTCTTGCTACAGAATGCATTCTCCATATCATGCTCGGAAATGCATGAGGACGACAACGAACGACCACACTGCGATCTCGAACATATCTACCGCCGATGGACAACGATCTGCAACGAAAGAGCAAATCAGGAAGCCTCGGCAGAAATGTACGAGGAGTTGAGATACCTCAATGATCAGCTAGGCGCGATAAGCAAGGTACTAGAAGACCAAAACAGGTCACTCTCAAAATTTTGGAGGTCCGCGAGTCGCCGAACCAAACTCTGGACAAACGCATCAACAAGCGAACGGAAACATTCTTGGACGATATGATCGATCATTTCAGGACCCTCAAGAATTACGCGGGCGAGGCAGAAACGATGACGAGCAATTCGATCGATGTCAGCAATGAAGGCAACAACAAGGCCATCTTTGTCTTCACGCTTATCACGATCGTCTTTTTGCCTTTGAACTTCATCAGTAGCATCCTGGGCATGAACACCACAGACATCAGAACTACTTCGAGGTCATCGAAGCTGTTCTGGGAGATCGCTGTGCCTTTCATGGCAGTGGTGGTGGCGGTTTGTGTGATTTTGGTCAAGATCAAATTCAAGTTCAAGCTGAGAAGGAGAATCGGCAGATTTCTGCTCGTGTTCTTCCCGGAAACATGGGAAACGGAACACATGAAGATCAAAACAAGGGGGAAGCAGATCTCGCGGCGAACGAGTATTGCGCCGAATAAGCAGCAGTAGCTTGCGAATACCTGGGGAGACCAACAGCAGTGGTTTGATGACAGTCTTTCGAGGTATCCAGTATGAGGCTGGACGTCACCTAGAACTTGGGTTTTCTAGCAATACCGTACCTAGGTAGTTCGAGACAATGCCAACAAGACGTCCACAAGTTTTCGTACCCGAGTATTAAACATCCCGTCCGTGTGGACATGAATTCGAAACACTCGTGTCACCTCTCTTCGGATGGACCACTACCTGGGATTGGAATGCTTGACCTTTCGACTAATATATGAAACCAGCAGAATCTAAGTTACAACAAGCCGCTGACCTCAATCACTTCTAAGAACAAACTATGCTGTCGCGCAACATGAATCTGGAGAGCTTTGCGCCCTAGACAACAAGAGTCGGTTCTGGGGCCTCGCTTCAGATAGGCGCTTTCGGTGCATCCGACCAGTATGCCGAAGCGCTGGGCTCGTTGGTCCATGAAGGAACCGCTTCCCAGCCTGGATTGTGTGGTGTCGGGACCGGTGGCTGCACGTCCGACCAGTAGGAACCGCCAGATGTGGAAGTGGAACTAGTGTCCCAAGGCACCCATGCTGTCGGAATTGGCTCATCTGACCAGTAGGGCCCTGTGGTAGACGGAATGTTCTCCCATGGCTGGAATGGCGTCGGCACAGGCAGGTCTGACCAGTACGGCCCAGTGGTGGATGGGATGTTCTCCCACGGTTGACCTGGAGTCGGCACGGGTGCCTCTGACCAATACGGCCCGTTCGTAGATGGTATATTTTCCCATGACTGGAGTGACGTTGGCACAGGTGCATCGGACCAGTAAGCGACTCCGGAGGTCGATGGCAAATTTTTCCACACGAAGCTGGACGTTGGCACTGGTGCGTCTGTCCAGTACGTGCCCGTGGCTGAGGCGATGTTCTCCCAAGATGGCTGGTCGTCTGAGCGCTTCCGGTCGACGTGGAGGACCGGTACAGCCACTGTGGACAAGGCCAGACCCGCGATGACGAGGAACGACTTCTGATCCATGTTTCGATGGGAACGGGTATACGTGATGTCGAGCTACACTGACAGAAGAACAGAAGAAATAGAGAAGTGAGCGACTGAGAGAGAGGATGCTGCTGAATCAAAGTCTTCCTCAATCTCGAACAGAGGCATGCCTTACCTTTATAACTTACTGTACATGGCGCTGCATGTGTGAGGTTCTCAAACGTGCCTCAGGCACTCAGGCAGGTTGTGTTGTGTAGTTCAAAAATTGTGCTAAGTTTGTGTGTGTTCAATTTCGGTTGCTGTGTCTGAATCTTTGAACATGCGAAAGCGGTCGCCAAGCGCGCTGGCCAAATTTCCCCTTGGGTTTCCTCTTCAGGACACAGGGGCTCTTCAGCCAGATGGTTAGGCGCCTTCGTCTAATGCCATCTCATCGTTGGTTGGCAATGCCACTGGGGAACATGTGAGGCTGTGTCAATATCGACACTGATGCCAGAGAGTCTTCTTCCGTGAAGCCTTCCAGCCTGGTGCGTCAAGCAGTCCGAGTCTATCTGGTGCTGCTGCTGTGACCGGTGTAGCGCCAAGCATCGGCATCGGTGTCCCGCCTCCGTCATTGCAACGCTGGCACTCGCTGGTGGCTTGCGCTTGATTCTGTTGGGCGAGGCACAGCGCTCTCACTTGACTGATATATGCAAGATGTTGCGAGAGTGAACACTGCGCGCCGTGGATCATCGCGGATCCGGAATCTGGGGGACCATGAGAGAGCGCAACCGTGTCATCTGGTATCGCTTCGAAGCAGCTGTTCGTGTAGAAATCAGAGTGCTGCCGACATCGCGGTCGAAAGCCAGCAACGAGCTTTGGCAGAGGGATGACCGTGGATCTCTGGCTTCTGGCTAGGTGATGTGAGTGAGGGGGAAAGCTTCACGGAGGAAGCTTCAGTCACGCGACAGATGCGCGCCTGCCAAGCCTCTGACCGCTCGCGTTCGTTCATATTCACCGTAGATGCGTCGGGACCTCTTCCCCCCCGACATCATAAATCACTTTTGATGAACCTAGATGCTGCGTTATACGTCTCTTGGCGGTCCTAACGCGCCGTTGGAGCAAGCGATCTTCCACAAACGAGTCTGGGCTGAAGACCACGGGAATCTGGGTAAAGGTCTGACCACGATTTGCAACGTCCAGGAGAATGACCAGATTCTATTCATCAGACGGCCACTAATTCTCGCGTTGGAAACCTTCCAGCTGGGCTGCACGTGCTACTCGTGCCTGCGCCCACAGAATGCTCACGTTCTCAATGCATCTTGCGAACCGGAATTGGTCGGCCCCAAGCGATGCGCCGGCTGTAAGATCGTATCTTTTTGCAATGAAAGCTGTTAGAAGCACTCCTGGAAAGCATATCACAAGTATGAGTGCGACATCTTTGCTCGACTGCAGCCTCGAGTACTCCCAAGCACAGTCCGTGGGATCATAGGAGTCCGGCTGCAATACAAGAACGACCTCCTTCACGAAAAGGAATGGGCTCAGCTCATGGGTTTCGAATCTCATTACCTGGCGGCACCAAGTGGAAACACATTGCTCTGATGGCGAAGGCAATCAAGACCTACTCGGGCCTGGACGATCCGATTGATGTGATAATCAAAATATGCTGCATCCTAATGGTGAACTCTTTCACTCTTACTAATTCAACGTACGATCCCATTGGCATCGCGTTACATCCATTAGCTGCCCTCATGAACCATAGATGCGAGCCAAATGCTTACGTCCGAGTTGACACGCTGGATTGCAGCAGTCTTGACGAAGACGATCTATATGGAGCACCGGAGGTATTGCGAGGCTCGATCTCTGTGCATGCCTTGACGCCACAGTTGATGTAAGACGTCGTCAGCTTGAGTTGTCCTCTCGCTACTTCTTTCAATGCGGATGCGACAAATGTCTGACCGATCTCAACGGCCCTCGGACGACTGAGCTGCCATCAAGAGCAGTGTCCAATACCGTTGACATCCTCAGTTCGTCAGCCTCCAAGCCGGATGCCCTAGTCCAGCATCTTCCACTGTTGCGGCAAGCGCTTCGAGACTTGACATGCGCCGGAAGGTCAATTGCAGAATACCCATCATTACAGCTAAGACACCAATTAGTGCTTGCGTTGATAGCTGCGGAGCAGTACTGGGAAGCAATGGTCCAAAACATGATCTTGACTTATCAACTCGAGCCACTGATGTACGAGCAATGGTACCACCCGTCGCGCCTAGTGAGCACGTGGAGGTTGTTTAGGCTGATACAGCTCGCTTTGCCTCATGCCTCGACAGAAGAGCAGAGACTGCATCTCTCTGTGCTGGGCTGCTCGCTCTTACAAGAAATGGTCCACAGGACTACCTTCGTTTGGGACCCTAAAAGGCAAATGGCACAGCTCAGGGAGGCAAAAGAAGGCATACAGAGTGACGGTCTTGCGGAACAAACAGTCCAGGATGCATTTTACCATCCAGACCTACATGGTGCCGACAACAGCTGGGGTCAACTCGAGTACGCCATGAAGACTGCTCTGGACGACTTAATTGATGGCCCAGGCGCAGCGCTATGGCAAGCGTTTTGCGACGAGGGCTGCGGCGAGATGGCGTCAAACGCTTTTGAATGGGCAACAGGCATGATGATGAAAGCCTTGGAGGAGGAGACTGGCGTCTCAGCTTCCCGAAACGGGCCAAACATCAACGATGTCGGAAACGGCGTACCAAGACCTCCAGCGGAACCGAGCTACGCAAGTCATGTCGTTGGGCATCCCATTGCTGTGCTTGCAGAGCATTGACTTGCTGCACGCAAAGCTCGGAAAGCAGCATCGAGAGAATCACCCAGCTCTTGAGTCCAATATCCGAGTTCTGTTCAGCGCTGCAGAATTGCGGTCTCGGCTTCAGGATGGAGAACTGTCTCAAACACCCTGCTGTACCGCGCCTCATAGGTACCGCCATGAATCGTGCTTGGCAACGCTCTTCGCCGTTGACGAATCAGCAACAGCTGGTTATCTCAACAGCATTAAAGACCTGCTGCATTCGGGTGATTAAGCGACATCTTGGCAACAAGCTGGAGCCGCTGGACTATGGCAATCGATGACATACATCGTTCGTTTCTTATCTTTATCGTCCTGAGACTTCGCGAACCGACCATCTACGTCACCCTATGTGCGGAACTCCTGAGCGATACCCCAGCATCAGTCGTGCTGCTGCATCATACGAATGATCGCTCAGCGCTGATGCACCTGTCTATGCTCGATGGCGGATCCAATGTCTATGTGCTTGCCAAGTCATGGTATACTGATAACGCAAACAAGCGAGACTTGTCGACCCCTGCGAGTCATGGAACCACCATTTACACTTTACGATCGTCCATATGGTAGGCTGGGTACGTAGTGCGGCTCGTGCCAAACGTGCGCCATGCATCGTCTGGGGACTAATGACCACATGCATCTGGAGAACAGGTTGGTCGCGCCACGTTTTTAAATGCCGGTCGATCGTCCTCGACCAAACTTTGACGGTCCCTCGTCCTCGACTGTATACCTCGTATCCCACAGTCTTGCCCATACAGCCCATCGACTGCGATGCTTCAACTGAGCCCACGACAGAAAAGGTCGCCGGTACTGGCTATGATAGCCCTTCAAGTGAGGAAGTCAAAGTCGCGCCATCAATCGACCTCAAAGATGGCGATAAAGCGCTTGAGTTCCTGCGCAGCAATACTGCCGAGGGCGAAGTCGGGGCAGTCGACGAGAAGTCCTTGGTCAGGAAGATCGATTGGATGATAATGCCTTTGATGTGGGCATGTTACTTTCTACGTATGTCTATGCCTCCTAGTATTCACACATAGTCACTGACGAGGTCTTGCAGAGTACCTGGACAAGACACTGATCAATTACGCAAACGTGATGGGCCTCAGCAAGGACAATAATCTCACTACTTCGCAGTTCAGCAACCTGGCCATGTTCTTCTACGTCTCTTACCTGGTATGCGAGTTGCCCCACGGTTGGCTCATGCAGCGTTTCCCGACCGCGAAATATTTGGGTTTCTGCGTTATCATGTGGGGCGCCATGGTCGCCGTCACGTCCGCATGCAACAACTACGGCAGTCTCGTCGCCACCCGCTTACTGCTCGGTGCTTTTGAAGCGGCTGTCGCACCTTCACTGATGCTTGTCACGGGTATGTGGTACCGTCGGACTGGCGAGCAACCAATCCGGATCGCATTCTGGTACACCGGCACAGGCCTAGGAATCATGATCGGCGCCTCATCAGTTTTGGTTTCCAGCATGTCCAGACAGACGCCTTCAAAAGCTGGCAAATCATGTTCCTGGTCATTGGTCTCCTCACGATCTGTGTCGGCATTCTAGTTGTGCTCTTCTTGCCCGACAATCCGATGTCCAGCAGACTGACGCCCGCTGAGAAGCTTGTTGCTATCACACGTCTGCGAGAGAACCAGATGGGTATCGAAAACAAGGTCTTCAAGAAGGAACAAGCTATCGAGTGCTTCAAGGACCCGCAGACCTGGCTCTTCATCATCATTACTATTGCCAGCAATGTACCCAACGGCGCTGTAAGCAGCTACCAGGCTACGATCATCCGCGGCTTCGGCTTCACACCCAAGGAGACAGCCTTGCTATCGCTGCCATCTGGTTTCGTTGGCGTTGTGGCCGTCCTTGCAGCATGTTTCGCTGCCTCGCGTCTCGACCAACGTGCCTATGCCATTGTCGGCCTCATGATCCCTAGCATTCTTGGCGCTTGTCTTATGAGCTTTCTGCCTGTGGACAACCGCGCAGGCCGTCTCGTTGGGGTGTACCTCATCAACTCTACCCTGGCCGTCTTGACGCTGTTGTACAGCTGGGTGGGTGCGAACTACTCCGGCCATACCAAGAAGGTCACAATGAACGCGGTGTTGCTTATGAGCTTCTGTCTGGGGAACATCTTGGGTCCTCTGACATTCCAGAACGGTGAGTGCAGAACATTCCATCTGCACAGTATCTGGACCACTTGACTAATTTGTAATAGGTGACGCTCCAGATTTCATCCCGGCCAAGATCGCGATCATCGTTACGTGCGCTCTGACGGTGGTACTGGCGCTGGCACTGCGCTTCTACTACGTCAAGTTGAACAAGAAGAGGCAGCGCCTGGTAGATCGCGGAGAGGTGATCGTCAATGAAGATGCTTGGTTGATGGATATGACTGATAAGCAGAATGTCGGGTTCCGTTACCGAGTATGATGGCTGCCTGACGTGCTTGTGGGCAGATGCAGCCGTGAGGTATTCGGAACACCAGATCGTCAATCACTCGAAGTCTGTGACACCGACAGCATGTGTCTCGAGTAAAATCTGAACAGCAGCATGATTGTGGACATATAGCTAGCGCAGGGCACCGTGGTGCCAACACTCTCATCCAGCACGTCTTGACGAACAAGCCTCTTTCTCACACGTTCTGTCGATCGCGTGATGCATATGTGCCATGGCCTTACTGAACGGTCCTCCCTACCGGAAAACTCGTTCGACAGTAAATGATCTCGGAGACTGAGGACTGGATATGAAGTCATCCGGCTTACTTACTTAAGGTACCTTGAAGCGCGTCTTGCCAAGCATTAACGCGCCTCGATCCTTCACTTCTTCTGCCTGTCACTTTCTACTTGACCACACAAAACCTTGACACGTCGGAAACGAGAGGCAGTGTGCTTTGTAGTGCCATGCATGGTTGTCAGCTTCATTTTAGACCCCGCTGCAGCCTCTACAGGCACGCGGTCTCGCCGCGATCGGCAACAGGAATGTTGATTTCCTGGCATTCCAACAGCCGGGCGAACCCGCCCAAGGACTCCTCCCCAGACTGACGCGTGCGACAATCACTGACACGTACGTTGCTCCCGTCAGTGCCGTCAATGTCGCGACTGTGCCAAAGATCTCTGGGCAAGTAGGGCGACACAGCCCGAGGCGTTGTTAGAGCGGGCACTGAAGCAACGACACCAACCAGTTGCGGCGGCAAATTGACTCTGAGACTCAGGAGTGTCGCTAGCACATGCGCATACCACGGTAGGTCTCCCTTTGGACGCTCCCATGAACTTTTCCTGTGCCAAAGGGCTCGTCTGCAGAAAATTGGAATCCGGCGGGGCATGGCGAGGCACAAAATATGGACATCGATAACCTAGAAGCCCCTTGTGCAGGGTGAATAGCACTTCATAAGCAGAGAAGCAATCCCGATGAGTGTCTGAGACAAGAGAGCAGTTCAGCAGATACTTTGATTGTCGTGATGGATCGGACTTGGGTGATTATATTGACGCTTGCGTCAGCCGTGGCCGGTGGTCCAACTCGGCAATCCTGGGGATCTGATGGGCGGCGCGGCAGCAACTTTGGACCCGGCGGCAACTTTGGCGGTGGCTCTAATCGTGGTGGCGTCCATGGAGGTGGCTTTGGTGGTGGTGGCTCTCATGGTGGAGGCTTCTATGGTGGAGGCCCTTATAGTGGTGGCCCTCGTGGTGGCCCTCGTGGTGGCGGCTCATATCACGGCGACGTCTGCAAAGCGCAAGCATACTCCGACGTCATTACGCTCCTTTGGGACCACTCTCCAGCACACAGCTATTGCGAAGCTCACTACCCTAGACAGTGCATACCACCACCTTCGAAGCGAGGCGAAGCGGGTGACCATGCGCTGGCGGAGCCTCCAGAGCTTCTATTCGGATCAGACACTGCGCCCAAAGCCGTACCAGACTCGCTGGACAAACGGAAAGGCTGGTTCGACTGGAACGCAGAGAAGAAGCAATCCACCTGGGCATCCTGCAAAGCGAAATCCGGCCCATACCTGTCGACGGTGTGCTCGTGTCTACAGGCGACCAAGACTTGCAGTACTGCATCATCGACAGGTACCGCCTCCCAGACGACAGTCTCAACGACAACTGTGGCAATGACCACATCACTGACCACATCACCGTTCATAGCACCGACCACATCGCCGACCACGTCAACGAGCACGTCGACGACCGCATCAGCGACCACATTACCATCACTCACACTTCCAACACCATCATCAACAACAGTGGCATGTGTAGCCAACCTCCCAGCAGCCTGCGCCAGCCTCTCACTCGTGAGCGGTGTCGACCTACAACTTGCCGCCGCTAACTGCCAGATCGCTGTCCTTGATGTTCTGAACGTCGGCACCTTGCCAGATTCCCTCAACTGCCTCGCCGCGTCCAACGTGGTCACCAAGACCGGCCCACAAGTCGCCGCCTGCGTCGCCAACTCAGGCCTCTTCTGTGCGACCACATCAACGACCACAACGACGACAACAACGACGACCACATCCTCAGCTTCATCAGCACTCTCCTCAAGTCCTCCTTTCTCAATAAATCCTATGTCGATCGCAACTTCGACCTCTTCAGCGACCACTCCGTCCTCGATTGCTACGACAACAGTATCTATGACCGATACTTCGTTCACTTCCTCATCAACAACTCTTTCAAGCACCCTGCCGGTCAGCATGATCACAACGACATTTGCAAACACAACTACGGCACTGAATGCCACTACGTCCATCTCTGGCATCACTACCACAACCATGTTCACCAACGCTACTATAACGACGCCTTCTACTACGACCTCGAATACGACGTCAACAATAACCATTGCAACATCCTCATCGACCTCGTCGAGTTTGACAATGTCCTCGTCAGGTCCGTCCTTTCCAGTTGATCCTGTGTCATTCACAACCTCGAGTGCTTCATCGATCACTCCGTCCTCGATTGTTAGCACGACAGTATCTGCAAACACCACCTCGATCAGCTCTCCAACAACAACAACTCCGCTCACTACCGTTTCAGCCAGCCTCATCACAACAATTGCCACGAATGTCAGCACGACAGCGGATACTACTGCCACCACCTCTGCTATCACGACTACAACTACGTCTACCAACGCCAGTACGATCACGTCCGTCGACACGACCATGATGACAATCTCGAACATGACGACCATCACGACCACCTTCTCTTCGACAACTCCATTCGTTACAGTGACATCCAATTCCACTGCAACGACAGGAACGTCCACAAGTCTCACCATGACAGCATCGGTGAATGCGACCTCAATCACACTGACAACTTTCACCACCACAGCGTCCGTCAACGGCACGACAACGACGTCTGCCGATCCGATTACAACAACGTTTTCTAACGTAACTTCGACAGTGGCCACGGACACAATATCGACAACATCTGCAATCGACACAAGCACGACGGATCTCACCACAACAACAACATTCGCAAACACCACTGCTACCGCGTCCGTTGACATGACCACGATGACGTCCTCGAACATGACCACGCCATCCATCACTGATACCACATCGACCACGTCTACAAGTGCTACAAGCACTGCGGACCTCACTACAACAGCATCCGATAACGCCACCACGACTATGTCCACCGAAACGACCACGACGACGTCCTTGAGCATCACCTCGACATTCGACGCAAGCACAACATCGATCACACCCGTTATTGACACAACCACTGCTTCATTGACAAGTACCCCGACGTTATTCCCAACCAGCACAGCGCCCATAAACTCTACCGACACGACCGTTGAGAATGTGAAGCGTATGGCGAGACTGAAAGTGGCGAGAGCCGGACGGGGTTACGGGCTAGATGGGAATGCAGCTGACAGGGACGAGGCGAAGCGCTATGCAGAGCCTAGGTATTGGGGATGATGCCTCGAGGCATCTTGATATTGGTGTCTTCCCTGATTCACGCAGGCTTCGGCTTGTATGCATGAGACTAAATACTTCCTATAGACTTGATAGAATCATTACGAAGCCACCGCGCTGCGTGTACTACGTCGCGGCCGTGAAAGAATCTGGTGCCTTGACGTGAAAGAGGTACAAGGCCTTCGTGCCTATCGGACCAACCTCGAATGGCTGTGGGCGAGATCCAGGAACACGACCCGCGTCGCCTTGCGCCTAAGCGGCCCCTTACAACATACTAGTCAGGGCGACCTCGTATTTAGCCCATCGAGAGTGCCTACACTTTTATTTGTCGGTAGCACTTACTCGAGTTCCTGTGCTCAGCGAAGATTGAAAATGGCAGCTACAACCCGTCAGCCGTGGTTCGCACTCATAAGCGTCCCTTGTCATTCGTTTGCATCCTCTTTCTCACCCCTCGGTTGATGATGTATCACGGATGAGCGAATGGTTGTGCCAAACGAAATGACGTACACTCAGGCTCTTACACCGCCTAAAATTGACAAGCGCCAATCTATGCAGGAGCGATCCCGTGTCGATCTTTTTGGCCAGCGACAACGCCGAGGTGAGTTCTAGGCCCCAATTCTCGAGAGTCAAAGATACGGCTGCGAAACTCTGAGCCAGACAGGTCTACAGCAGCTTCTTATCAGGCTTTCTGCACATTGCAATCAACTGACGGTCATGCAACGCAAAGACCACTGCAGTAAGAGTGACAAATGGCAAGGCAGTTTGACATCGGACGCTGCATATTGCGAGGCGAAAAAGTACTCATGGCGCGGGTGTTATCTCGTCCAAGCCAGGCAAGGCACAGCCAGCCCAGCCCGCTAATGTTCTTGGATGAGCACATCCAGTGGCCACTTGCGGTCCAATGCCGATGCCACGGACTCGGCCTCGGGTGGGGGGAGATATCTCGAGTCTCGTTCCCATCCCGTCTATCTGGGTTTGTACTTCCGGACTATTCTTCCTGTCCTTTACAATTCTTTCTACTGCCGCAGTCGCCTCTCGATCGCACCCGACTGCTGTCTGAGCGTCCCAGATAGCGTTACACTTACCATGCGATAAAGTGGAAGTAACGACGGTCATGCAGCACGCTCGTCGAGGACCGGAAAAATGGAGAAAACCACCATAGCAGCCCTGCTTGGTCGAGCCGACGACACTCATTATGAGGTCGCAACATCGAAGAACGTCTTTCGAGGCCAGTATGACACAGACTCCGTGCTGGTCACGCTCTCGATCGCTTTGGCCCTCTATAACAGCCTTGAGATGGTGCTCTTGATCGCAACGACATTCAAAAGGTTTCGAGGACTATATTTCTACTCCCTTTCGCTATGTACGGTCGGTGTACTATTATTCGCCATCGGCATGATGCTGGGGTACTTCGAACTGTGCATCATGTGGCTGTGGAAAACCATACTCGACATCGGATGGATCATGATGATTGTGTTCCAGGCACTTGTTCTGTATTCACGGCTGAACTTGATCTACGACGACAACCGGATTGTGAATGCTGTCAAGTGGATGATTGTGTTTACCACCTTTGCGTTTCTGATTCCTGTAGTTGTGCTGGATTTCGGTACCACATACGGGCAATCACCTGGCTGGTCGGAAGGCTATTACTACATTGAGCAAGTTCAGGTCACTGGCATCACTTTGCAAGAGCTCATCATTTCCGGTCTCTATGTCTGGAAAACGATAGGACTGCTCAAGATCATCTCTCGCAAGCATACTCGCAGTATGATCTACCAGCTATTCATCATCAACGTGATCATTATCGGCATGGACATCGTCATCATTTGTCTGCAGTTCTTGCACTATCAACTCTATCAGGAAGCTTTGAAAGTGTTCTTTTACAGCGTCAAGTTGAAGCTCGAGTTGAATATCCTGTCGAAGCTGGTCGATCTAGTTCACGGCGGCAACCAACAACGTGCGTCCATGACTCTCGACGTTATCGATTCGAATACCATCACTGGCCAGGAGCGTGACCTGGTCAAGGCTGAGCAGAGTGTAACATCGTCCAGCAACAGACGCTTCAGTGCCAAGAGCTGGTTTGGCAGTCTGCACAGCGATGCCAAAGGACCAATGGAGCAGATCAATGAAGAGAGGCTTTCGGTGGATGAGAAGTCTCAGATGCCGTTGTCGCCATTGCCTGCAGTGCTGAATGGGCCGACCATGGATCACGGCAAACCGACTTCTACCAAACGGTCGTCGTCGAGTGGTGATGGCGAGATGGACGAGATCAGTCCGGCCATGGCAGAATCGAGCATAAGCCGTCCATCGCCGAGGTTCAGAAGTCATCGAGAGAGTGATTTGATGTATGCCGATTACTTGAGGGAGACTAGGTGAGGAAAAGCACAATGTTGGTGTACTGAAGTCGCCAACAATATTATCAATCATGTGCCAAGTACAACAGCAACTTGGTCTTACGAGACGCCACGGAATATCTGCGGTCATGGCGAACCGCCAATCTGATGGCCATGCAGTCACTTATAGCAACAACCGCTTACGACTTCACGCCTTGATCTGCATCGTATGGCTCCCAGCCGTCGCCTTTCTCTCGTCGATAACAACCGCCGGCTTCCTACCACTGGTATTTTTCATCCCTGGATCGGTGTATTTCTTTGGCGACAACAATCCCACGCTGATCGCCACGGGCAGCCTTCGTCAATTCGTCGGTGCATTTCTTCGTCGAGGACAAACCCGCAGTCTTCGGGTCAAGTATTTGCAGACCAGTGATTTGGCCACGGCCCGACCACTCGGCGAGCAAGGACGGGTAGACTGGTTCGTCCGTGGCCACATCGAGGATGCGGGGAAGGCCGCGCTGGCGGACGTATGGCACATAATACTTCTTGGCGATCTCCTCACAGAGCAGGTGAATGAGGCGATGTGGTAGGTTCGGGTACACCGGGCGATGTCGTACGGTCGCGCTGATACTGACTTCGAGCACCCCAAAGTGCGTAACGAACTACATCGGAGTCAGAAATTGTCGAGCGGCTTGCGTTAAGGGACCAAACGACTTACGTATCGAGATGCTTTGAACTCTCCATACAGTTCTGGATCGCGGTCCTTGTTAGGCCTCGAGGCTTGATTTGCTCTGCATGTTTTGCCCATATTGTCGGTGGTGGATGGTTGGACAGAAGCTGGTGATTCCAGGCGGTGCTGATAGCGACACTGATGGGCAAGGAAAGTCTGGTAGACCGAAGACGAATTCCATCTTACGGAATGGGCAAATATATACGCCTAGAGTAAATACCTTGGAAGGTACTCAAGCCTCCACAACTTTCTCGCAGTCTGTTCCACGTGTCACCTCAGGTTCCGATACCCAGATCGAAGTATTCTGCATTGTTGCTTCGAACGCACTCTGGTACTAGACCTATTCCCAAGCCCAACGACCTCAGTAAATAATAAGGCGGTCGTCGGAAGCATTGCAGTCAACCGGTTCACGGAGCACTCAGAGATCGAGACTTTAGGGTTAGGGCCAGATCGGCGCGGGCGCCCTGCCGAAAATTCACCTGTGAATTCCGTACACCTCCATCACCTGCACCACCTCCATTACGACTCACATAGCTCCACCGAACCTGCCGCGCATCCGATAACAGACCGTATCCGTCGAGACCTTGGCCCAACCGCGAGGAGTATAGTCCGAAAGCTGCGCAGCCATCGCGCAAAGCAAGGCGGTCTTGCTATAGACAGGTAACATTTCCACCACTCACATGGCTACCAAGCCAACCAAGAATCAGCAGAAGCGCGCGAAGAAGAAGGCCGCGAAGGAGGCTCAGGTCAGTCTTCTGCTCTATCTCTCCGAAAAATGTACTGACGCGACGCAGAAAACAAGAGACACATCAGAGCCGATTTTACAAGATGAACCACCTCAGCAGAATGGCGACACATCAAAGCCAGAGGCTGCAAAGCCCGCGGCACCGGCGATCGAGCCACTCATCGTCGACCCCGACAACCCGTTGTTCGACATGTACAAGGACATCATGGGCAAGTTCGAGGAAGCAGACACAGAAGATCCCGCCCTGAAAGAGCCAGAGAAGCCTGAGGTTTATTTCTCAGACGATGACGATATACCAGACGAGGAAGATGAAGCGGCACAAAAGGTCTCGAAGAAGAAGCGGAAACAAATGACGAAGATGTCGGTAGCTGAGCTCAAAGCTTCAGTCAAGCGGCCCGAGGTGATCGAGTTCTACGACACAGACGCGCCGGACCCGAAACTGCTGGTGCATATTAAATCGTATAAGAACGTGGTGCCTGTGCCGAATCACTGGTCTCTGAAGCGGGAATACTTGTCTTCGAAACGTGGCATCGAGAAGCCGCCGTTCTCGTTGCCGAAGTTCATTCAAGAAACAGGGATCGCAGAGATGCGAGATGCTGTGCTCGAGAAACAGAACGAGGCGTCACTCAAGCAGAAGCAACGAGAAAGAGTGCAGCCGAAGATGGGCAAGCTGGACATCGACTACCAAAAGCTCTACGAGGCATTCTTCAGACACCAGACCAAACCTGAATTGACGAGGTACGGTGAGGTCTACTACGAGGGCAAGGAGTTCGAGACCAATTTGAAGCATCTCCGCCCTGGCGAGATCTCGGACGAGCTCAAGGACGCGCTCAACATGCCTGCTGGTGCTCCACCGCCGTGGCTGATTAACATGCAGCGATATGGTCCACCACCATCATATCCTTCTCTACGAGTACCCGGAGTCAACGCACCGCCGCCGCCAGGAGCAAGCTGGGGTTTCGGGCCTGGGCAGTGGGGCAAGCCGCCTGTTGATGAGTCGACTAATCGGCCTCTCTATGGCGGTGACATCTTTGGTGTTTTGCAGCAGCAGACAACTACGCAACAAGGCGAGCCGATCGAGAAGGATCTTTGGGGTGAGCTGCAAGAACAAGAAGAATCCGAAGAAGAGGAAGAAGACGATGAAGATGAAGAGGAGGACGAGGACGATGAGGGAGGTATGCAGACATCTGCGGGTCTGGAAACACCCAGCGGCATGTCCTCAGCTATGCCGTCTGAGATTGGAGGAACAGAGACAGTTTCTGAATTTGACCTGAGAAAGAGAAGAGGGACAGAAACCGAAGAAAGCTCACATCCACGGTCGGCTTACCAGGTCATTCCGGAGCGGCAGACGAAGGTTGAGGGCTTCCTTGGTGGTGATCGAGCCTATGATCTGAAAGGAACGGCAAACAACGTGCCCGTTCTGGGTCAAGATGATGGTCGGAAACGGAAGAGACAAGGTGATGTTGATGTGGCAATTGATCCGGAGAACATGGGCAGAGAAGATCTACAGAGAGCGTATGAGCAACAGAGGAGGGCTGAGCAGAATCCGCAATGGAACGTCGGGGAGTTTCAAGAAGATCTTAGCGACATGATTGCCGCGGAGAGCAGGAAGAGGCAGAAGCAAGATCAAGAGCGGAAGGGGAAGAAGTGATGGATCGAGGACAAGAGTCGAGTCGATGCACTACCTGCCGAATCGTAATTGTACGAACACTCCGAATGATCGAGCTGCCGATACCCAGAATCCATCTACCTGATCTGCCCTGCCATTCACCTGAGGGAGCTCGTGGGCTTCACCACTCCATTTCCGCACTCGTGAATTCGACTGAGCCCTAACCCTATTCAGTAGTCAACTTTTTCAGACTTCACGAATTGTCAAACGCAGGGCAATATCCGACTTCTTCATATCTCACTGTCGCCTGAAGTCGCAGCCGCGAACTATGCTGCGGACAGAAGGCGCCGAATAACTTCGACACAGACAGCACGTCGCACTGCTGTCCCAGCTTGAACTCCCAGCACCATGAGTGATTCCTACAGAAGGTAACTCCTCCTCACCCATCCCCAGCACATACCCAGCATCCTAACCCACCACGCAGACCCCGCGACCGCAGCCGCGACCGAGATCGAGGCCCAAAAGACACAAACGTCGAATTCTTTGGTGGTGGCGAAAGCTATCGACCCGGCGGTCACACGGGACAAGGACCATACCGTCCTCCGCATACACAATCACGAGACTCATGGGGCGATCGCAGAGACGACCGGAGGGATGACAGGAGAGAGCCGCCGCCACGACGCGAACCAAGGAGAGAAGAGATCGACTCGTATGTGCCGCCGACTAGTGCGCGGGCGAGGCGGGATAGTCGGTCGCCTGTGAGGCAGCGATCACCCGGAGGGCGGCGTTCACCACCGCCACGAGATCGCGGCGATCTGTTTCCGGAACAGCCACCAAGGTCTCCTCCTAGAAGATACTCGCCGCCGAGAAGAGATGATCGCGCGAGATCGCCGCCACGGCGCCGGTCGAGATCACCACTTGGGCGGGCGAGAAGTCCTGATCGAAGAGCTAGAGATTACAGTCCACCTCGGTCACCGCGACGTGATCGCTCTCCGGTAAGGTATGACCGCCCAAGGTCACCTGCAAGACGGCCGTATTCGCCTCCACGAGACACGCGTCCATATCGCTCGAGGTCAAGATCTCCGAGAAGAGGCTATCAAGATGACAACTGGCGACGACGGTCACCTTCACCACGAGCCAATTCGAGTGTACCCTCGCGTCGATCATCTCCACCTGTACATCCTGATCGCAGTGTGCCGGGCTCTGCACCTCGTTCGCCGTATCGCCAGCAGTCTCCGCCACGAGACACTCGGAACAATGACTTCCAACCTCCGTCAGGTCCGGCAAGAAATGGCTATGACCGCCCACCACCCAGCGGCCCAGCTCGGTCGTTCACCTCCAGTCAAACACCACCCGCCGGTCCAGCTGCGTTCCGCGCTCCTCCATCCGGCCCACGCGGCGGCGGAAATCGCTTCGACAGCCCACGACGAGACTACTCCAATCCAGCTCTGGCAGGGAGAACGAGTCTGACATACCGAGCGCCCACAGCGCCTTCACGCGCACCAGTCTACGGCGACGGCTCATCCACAACACATGCCTCTGGCACTGCACCGCCTTCTGGTCCTCGCTCCAGCAGCTACTCACGAGGCGACTACTCCAACGCAGCCACCCCTCGCAACGACTACACCCGCCCAACGCCACCAAGCTACCCATCCTCCTCATCGATCACTACCCGCGCACCCCCAACCGGCCCACAATCTGCCTCATCCACCGGTCCAGCAAACGACTACGTCCCTTTCCGCCCCTCCAATACATCAACCAGCACAACCTACCCACGCACCCAACGCTTCAATCTTCCCCTTGCCCTGTCCACTACCGAGAAACTCGTCCCTGGAGGCAAATTGCTACCTTCGGGCTTGACACCAGAGCAAGAGAAGAAAATGCGGCAGTTGGAGGCGGATGCAGAGCGGATTAGGCAGGATATAGCGGAAAAGCAGGCGAGTAAGAGGGAGGCGGTGAATGAGTGGGAGGTGAGGGAACGGGAGAGTGCAAGGGAGGGGTTGCGGGCTGAGTTGGCGGAGGAGGGGTTGAGGGGGTTGGAGCGGGACGGGGAGGGGGGTGTTGCTGCTTTTTGAGCGGACTGAGAGGGCATGGCGAGGTGCATGTTGTTGATGGAAGTCATCGAGAAGGGCGGCGGCTGGTACAGGACATTTGGCAGTGGGCATACTACCCTCAATTGCCATCATCGCCATGTCGTGCTGACGCATTGGGCAGCCAAGAATTCTAGGACAGATGACATCTTGGAATACTTCCCTCTCATGTCATTGAATACATCCCTCTCCTGTCATGCAAATGGGACAGGATCTCGCCGTTCTCCTGAATCAAAACGCGCCGTGATCGTGTCCGCACTTACCTCATGTCATGGTCTCCAATGTTCTGTCTATATATGGGAAATCCCTCGCGTGATGGAGGAAGGTGCAAGTCCGGAGATAGCAAATCTTAGCTCTTGCTTTTTTTGACATAAATTTTTAGTTCTCGCGATGATTCTCCATTATTTCACCACGTTCACGCGTTGTCAGACTTTTGCACTATCGAAAGATATGATCATCCTGCCTCAGCGTGGCTTCATCGTACATCCCGACTCCCGAGCGATGATGCACTGACCTTCAGAGAACACCCTCCAACTCATGCGCGTACTTTGTACAATGTCGGCGGTAGTACATTTTCCACCAACTGTGCCACAGCTGTGTCGATGCCATGCAACCGCTTTGGTCCCTATACGCCGCCTAACGTTACACGAGTCCTCGGACTTTCCTACGACTGCCGTCATTTTCACAATTACTCCTGTACTGAGCGCAAACACGACCGCGATTCCAACATAGACTCACACTGTCTCAAGCCACATCTCACGGATCACCAAGGGTCTATCCGAGCTTGGTGAAGCTTCTCCTTTTCCCCAGAAAGCATGGCCTCGCACTCAATCTCGTCTTGCCGAGTTCCGAACTCAATTGGGACATCCAATGGTCCCGAGCTATGAAAATCAATGATCAGGTCTATTTACAGCAACTGAGGTGTCATCTAACAAGCTATCGCTGTTGAGGTCCAGGTCAAGGCTCAGGCTGCTGAGCATGGCACGATGCAGTCCACTGCAACGATTGTATGAGGTGAAGTATTCGTGCTCGACACAGATCAACGCGTGAGATAGACCCTGACGCAGCCACAACAAAAGGTCGTGTTCACGGGCTTCGAGGAACTATCCTAGCGGGTGAACTGAGTTTGCTATTTCCTCCGATCTCCACGACCAGCTCAAATGTACACGCTATTATGTACAACAATCCCATGTTGACTCAATGCGGGAGGATTCGGCCCACTAAACACGACTATTCGATGAGCACTAATCTCGAGGCCCCTATACGGACGTGCTTGACCGTGATTACAACGGGTCCATCACCGACTGTGCAGTATCACAGGCTTTCTGGCGAGCGCAAGCCACCACTTCCGAAGGATGGGACACGATCGCCGTCACGCCTGCTCCAAGAGCTATATAGCCGCGATCAGAGGATCTCCCACAGGTGACTTCTTCAGACATCTTCGGATCAGTCTCAACCACCACATTCGCTTGATTCACTTCAAAAGTCTTTCGCTAACAAGTTCTGCCCATTATGCGCTTCTCTTTGGCTCTTCTCGCCCTTGCCGGCACGGCTGCTGTTGCCGCACCAACTTGGGGTGATAACAACCCAGCACCTCCTCCATCTGGACCACCAAGCGGCCCGCCGCCACCACCCAACGGGCCTCCCCCTCCACCGAAGCCACCTGGAGGCGACGAGCATCCTCCGCCGCCTGGTCCTCCTGGCCCTCCTGGACCGCCGGGTCCTCCTAAGGTGAGTGATAACACAGAAGATGCTATCTTGGTGCCAGTCAACAACGGAGACGCTGCTTGGCCACAGCCATGTGACCCTAATCGCCTACGTTGAAGCACAGTCGCTGACAGGAGAAACAGCCACCCGGGCCTCCAGCACCTCCTGGACCACCAAAGCCAGTAAGTACTCATCTTCTCTCAGCGTGCCCCAAGCGGAAACCAGGGCAGCTTCGGGTCACTGAGCCTGCAACATTCTTATGCAACCATATAACATGCCTTTGGTATTCTAGGAGTATAGCCGCTAACGTGACCTAGCCCGGACCACCAGCACCACCTCCTCCTCCACCGCCTCCTCCTCCTCCCACACCTCCGCCGCCACCACCACCAGCGACGACGACCAAGTATGTGTGGGGAGATCACGGCGCACCCACGGTAAGCTACCTCCTGCCCTTGTCCTGCGCAGTACACAAATGCTGACATGTATTTCGCAGACCACGGCAGTAAGTTTATTCCAGGCCATTCTCCAGAGCCCAGCTATTCCTACGCTTATGCCTGAGCTTGCGGGCCCCAGCGGGTTCGAGTGTGTTCAATATGATACTGACTCGTGCGCTACCTCCTCCTCCTCCTCCTCCTCCTCCTCCTCCTCCACCACCACCACCACCGCCGCCTCCACCACCAGTATGTCATTCCCAGAGCAGACCCTGTCTATAGATCATCCGCCCCTGGTGGAACTTTGTACGCTGACCTGCTATCTAGCCACCACCACCACCACCGCCGCCACCGCCGCCTCCAGTAAGTCACTCCCACCGGCATACAATGCTTGCAGTCCACACACATACGCTGTTCGGGACTGGCTGTCACCTAGCCTATGAGTTCAGATACTGATCTACTGTCCAGCACCGCCGCCGCCGCCGCCCGCTCCTCCTGGACCTCCTAAGCCACCTGGACCACCGGGTCCCCCGCCTCCGCCGCCAGGACCACCTGGTCCTCCACCTCCACCACCGGGACCTCCCGGCCCGCCACCACCGCCTCCAGGACCTCCAGGTCCTCCTGCACCTCCTCCTGGTAAGCCACCTGGCGGCGATCAAGGCGGCTGGACGAGTCACTCTTGGTCTTGAATGGATTGGTGGTGCGCTACGGTTAGCGCATAGGCTGGAAGCGCAGGATATTGGTGGTCCGCGAGGAGTCTCCTCCTAGGAGGCGTCCTGTACCGAAGACGACGGAGTGGAGGCCAGATAGCTCGTGTGGTTGTGGTTCACTTCTGCGGGGTGAATTTGTCTAACTTAATGTGGCTTTAATATTCTACACGTACAGGTGCATAGGCGGGTCTAGTCGCGGTCTGGGGTTGGTAGAGGATCTTCTTGCAAGGAATAAGATTGATAGCAGGAACATCATCGAAATTGCAAATTTTTGAAGGAGGTGCTTCGTTGCGGAAGGACTGCTGTCGGATGATACGTTGCGATGATCGCCTTTGGCATTGCAGTGTCTGCTCTGCTCTGTCCACAGCGATTGATGTCCGAGACCTTTTCACAGAATTCACCAGTCTGATTCGGAGTCATGAACATATACGTCATGCGCCTGTGCCGATTTCTCGACAGGTAGCTGTTCAAGTAGGCTTCTCAGCGCCCTTGCACCAGCGTCCATGGGTTTTCGTCGGGATTTCTGTACATCCTCTTCCATCTCCTCGTCTCGTCTCGTCGTGCAGACATGAATGATCGTGACATCTTCGTTGAGCATTTCTTGGTACCGTATTAGGACGTGTAGGATCCATTCAGTACCAGGGACGATCTTCGAGGCGTATACCGGCATGATCTGCCATAAGCCGGCGTCAATTGGTCTAGGAGTCTCGTCGGCGACGGTATCATTGGGAGAAGACGCGGAGAACTCTTCTATCAGGATTGCGCCTCCATCTTCCGACTCAAATGCGATAGTCACAGTCGTCTGCAGACCAAGTGACGGATAAAGCATCTGGAATGATATGCGTTCCTGGTTCCCCGTCAGTATTTCCGCGGATGCCTTCTCGAGAGGTGCGGCAGACGTCAGAGTGGTGCCGAGGTTCCTCCAGCAGGCCTTCGGGCGAAGTCCTTCGAGTACCGCTTCGGGACCTTCAACATTTGGAACAAGCCATAACCAGAGGCCATGATCAGTCGTCGTTGAAATTTGCAATCTTTCACGGCGTTCAGAAAGGTAAAAGCGTTTCTCAACGATCACGAAGTCCCGCCATTCAAGTTGCTCCCTTGATGCTAAGTCGGTCTCGACAACAGTGTAGGTGCGTTGGCTGGATTGGGAATCCAGAACTACCTCCTCCTCTGTGTCGGGGTAGATCTTGCTTAGCGACAAGGCTATTGTCTTGGTGATATCGTCTTCGAAGCGGCAGTCCAGTAAGGCAAGGCATCTCCGTGAATAGGGTGAAGAACGGCTGGATTCGACCGCAACGTAGGGAAGAGAAATACGCAGACCTGCATTGGTCAGTTGTACCGGTGCTCTGTGAGTGCGGAGATCAACAATTTGCCCCGAGTCCGCGAAACAGTCCACCGAGGGAGCAAAGATACTGCGATCCCACGTGGCGCCTGTCTGCGCACCATCCCAGACCAGTATAGAATGATCGCGACTCTGGTTTAGGATCTCCTGTTGCAGACGACGAAAGGCCTTGGGGCCCTCGCCGTACAGCATGGGTATATTGACGTCGAAGAGCCCCATCAGGCTGTAGGCTCGATCTTCAGAGCGCGTTGCTTTTCGCTTGGCCGCCCAGGAGAATCGTTGTGCTATACTGTACTCCCTCAGCGGGGTCTCTTTTTCGACAGCCGCCAGGGGAACGCCCGTCAAACGGCTGAAGGTCGCGTGCCTCGTGATGAGCTTGCTGTTTTCAAGCTCCAGTTCCTTGGTCCGTGTACTTGTGGCATACTTGCTGCCGAGGTAGCTCCACGTGTCGTTGCAGTTGTAGAAGTCGACTCTGTCAGGTGCAAGAAATTCTTGGAGAGTCCAACTTCGTGTCTGCCATTCGCTAAGAGACAAAACCGTCTCAAGTTCAGTCTCGGACGTTCCCACTGTCGCTGAACATGAAACGTCGTCTAAGAATGCGTAGCAGATTCGGGACCGTTCGTACCAGCCGTACATAGAGTTTATGGCTTCCTGAAGCTCCGCTGATGATGACTTATCTATACAGACTGTGTCGATCCAGATCCAGCCAACGTCGTCAACAATGGCTTGTATGCACGCCGAGATTATCTTTCGAATACCGCCTCTTTCGATGTACCAGGAGGACTTCGGGTTGTTTATCTCGCGAAGCATCTTCGGCCGGTCTTCCTCGAAATAGCTTTGCCTATTGTGCCTATAGTTCGGGTTGTGCAATAGACGTGAGTCATACTCGCTAAGGGTCAGCTCATCATGCCGCCATCGATGGGAAACAATCGCATAGGGCGGGACCTGTGTGTCGTAGATTCTTGCAGCTCCAGAGTCCGAGTGTTGATGAGCCTCATGACTAAGATTAAGTCCTTTTATGCCATATGACTTAGCGACAGGTCTCTGCTAGGTAGCAGTAACGAGTTAGCCGGGACACAGCGTCACACAGCGTCAACAGGAAGCGGGAGCGACAAGACAGCGTCGAGCCTTGCAGTTATTTTCCTAATTTCAAAATGACTGGAGAATGTCATCAAATGGCTTGAGTCCCAACTTATGATTCTTCGGGCAAGCGCAAATCGCCTGCCAACGGCAGCTCGTGAACAGAGTGTAGAGTTCTGGAAGGACCGATGAAGTCTACCAGGCAACAAGGTAGGCGGCTTCGTCGACAACCCCCACGCTTTAGTGCAGCACCTTGGCATTAGGCAAATTCGTGAGAACGATATGATTGGGTGTTTGCTACCTATCCTAGAGTCACTGTTTGTTTCCAGCCGTACACTCGCATGGGCAGCCACGGACATCTGCGGTCTTGTGGTCGGTCGGACGTACCGGAGAAGCTCCAGAAGAATGGAGTTGGAAGGCCTCCTGCCTCAACAAGATCTTGCATCGGTCGTGAAGGTCCCTGACACAGAGATCGAGGATGCAGCGACCAGCACCAACCATCTTTGGAATGCTTGACAGAGTACGTCCGTCCTCAAATTCAGCAGGGCCCGCCCCAGCACACCGACGACTCCCTCGACCTGCAGCTGGTCACTCGCTTCCGGAGGCAGACCACTATGCCATCTCTCGCAGTACAGCCTCGCGAGCTTCTGGCTCTCCCTTCCAAGCACTAATAACACTTGGCGGCAGGACACCCTCTTCTGCATCAGCATGTGATTGAATAGCGGCCGTCCAGATCTGTAGGTCACCGAGTCCCTCGCGACGGACCTCGACTCTCTTTTCCTCTCGTGCTAGGTTCAGTGTTAGCTTGCATCGGGATGTGAGCGGGCAGTGAAGGGCTGAGGTGGAGGATAGCGTGGAACAGGAATAGGAGACAAAGGCAACAGGGCGAACTCTGAGGCCTTTAGCACCAGGCCAAACGTTGCGTAAATACTCACACTCGGTAATTTCATCGAGCTTCTTGATCACCTGGATCAGCCCACGAATCGCCACCTCATTGTCAGCCTCCCACTCCTTGATGTCACTGCTGACATCGTGGACGACGGTGGAATCGTTCGAGAAACGGCCCTTTACATGACGCTTGTCACTGTGATCTCTCGTGTAGTGTGCGAGGATGAAGTTGGGCGACTGTGTAGCCCACGCGCGGCTGTGGACCTGTGATTCGCGGATGGGGTTTGGGGTTGTGACTTGTCGAGTCTTGAGGTCAAAGACAGCAGACTGTGGAATCGAAAAACGCGTGACCTGGAGCTGTACTTCCAGGGCGGGCTCCATAGGCTCTTCTTTGATGTAGTCCATCGGTTCTTCCTTGATGGAGTTCATAGCTTCTTCCTTGATAGAAGTGCCAGGCTCTGCTTTGATGCTATCCGTGGCCTCTTCTTTGCTGCCGAATTCGGCTACGTGCTTGAGTGGATGGCCCTCGTCGAGCTTCTCCGGCAGATACCCATCGGCTTCGTATCTGACAACACACCGTAGACCACCTAGATTGTAGGCGATGAGTCGCTGATGAGTCTCTGAACCCTTGCAGCCTTCATCCCAAGTGGTATAGGCCTCGGCGAAGTTATGACCATACCCCACCACGTCTTTGATAATATCCATCGGTCCACCGTTCTCAACGTGCATGAGAAAGAGCTAGGCTCTTTGTTAGCTTGGATCGGGACATTGATGGGGAAGGACTGCGGCGGAGGTTGATGTGGAACGGGTCAGGGCGGACTCTGCGACCTTCACTCTCTACTTTGGTCTCGGTCCAATGCTGGGAAGAATACTCACAGTACTGCCAATCTTCTCAGCGTAGAAGCGAAAATTCTTCTCAGCCTGGTTGACGAACGAACCAAGGTTGCGAATAGTGTTGCTGCAGGCGAAGAGATCGATGGACTGACTGTCGAAGGTGGGATAAAGAGCAAAGATCGCACGAACTGAGGGCTCAAGTGGGAAGCTGGGATACTGAGAAGCGTTTTTGTCGTGGTACCGCATGCCATAGTCTTTCGATAGTCTGACAGCTTCAACCGGTGGGGTCCATCGAGGAGGGCAGCCTGTATGGCAGATTAGGACTATGGTCTGACGGAAGGGAGGTCGAGCTGTGACCAAGAGTCCTGGGCGCTTTCGCGAAGTCCACCACCGTCCATTGTCGAGTCACAAATGTTGCACATCATGGATTCTTAACCAGGGAGGGCGCTGAGTACCTGGCTTTGCTACGCCGATCGAGTTGGCGGGCTTGAAATGAGCCTCACTCGAGCGTCAGGGTGGAAGATTGGTACCTCGGGGACTTTCTGGCCAGGGAGGGCGCTGGACCGAAAAACGCCCAGTACCTTTACGTCACAGCCTGGGGGTGGCGACGTACCTGGAACGATGATAGTGCGCTTGCCGTGGGACAACCAGTTGTAGGAGGCAAGATATTCGACATCTGTGATTTTTGCAGGAGTTTCACTGCGCTGCGGGTTGACGTAGGGTTGCAGCAGGGTGGTGATGTGTTGCTGTTGAGGTTGCGTCGGAATGAGAGCACGCTCTACTGGCACTCCACGCGTGGACGGCTTCTTCGAAGACTGAGGGCGCGGAGGTTCGGAGGCCTGCTTTTCTGTTAGTCAAGGCGGGCTCTGGGGGCTGAGACCGTTTTGCAGATCGAGCCAGGACGTTTGGGAGGAGCCTTACTTGAGCGTCAAGTCGCGGGTCTCGGGTGTATGGCTTCCAGCGACCGCCGCCAGAGCGCTTCTTGGGTGGATGCGACATGATCAGTAGGGCATGGGGCTCAGGTGTTGAATCCCGAGATTCCGAGTCGTCAAGGCGGGCTCTGAGGGCTGACACTGTTATTTAAATCGAGCCAGGGAGTCTGAGAGGAGCCTCACTTGAGCGTCAAGTCGCAGGATCAAGCTATCATCGATTTGCCTGCCAGGGAGGTCGCTGCACGAAGTTTGGCGTGTTTGTGGGGTCAATCAGCAGAAATGCGAGCCAGTGGAAGAAAAGCGTGCGACGCGGAGGTTAGGAGATGTTCGGGGCTGTGGAGCAGTGCACTCAGATATTATCGGTTGCCTAGGTAGATTTCGGCGTTGAGCTAGCTGTATTCTTCACTTCGAGATAAAGGCCAAGATCGAAGGCACTCGATGCGCTTCACCTGGTGTATCTGCCATAAGTGCCCCTTCCACACGGGTTGCCACATTGTCAACAAGCCCACTTCGGTTTTGTTGACGATCATTTCCTGTGTACCGCTATTCGTGGCCGCTCAATGCAAAGCGAAGCAGTCCTTCATCAAGATGTTTTCGATTGTCGCTGCACCACCTGTGGTAGGTTGTCTCGTACATGTTCATCTCTCCCAAGCACAAAGACTGACAATATTGACAAGGTCAAACCCAAGCCCATGCTCGGAAGTTTGCCGCCCGAGATACTCGTGAAGATCGTCGGCTTCGCAATCGGCGACTTGGTCACCATCCACATGTCGTTCTCAAGCGGCAGTCAGCGCGCCACTGGCATTATGACATGGTCATCACAGTGGGCTCCAAGTATCCTGCTTGTCTCGAAGAATATTCGTCGAGCCGCTCAATCAGTACTGCCCAAAGTAGGCGCCGAGCTTGAGATCAGACGGCCGCTTTACTGCACGTGGATGGCTCTCCGTTGGTTTCCGTCCCTCCCATTGGCTACAAGGCATTTTGAGAAGCTCGTTGGTAAAGAGCCCGACAGAGTTTATGAGCTCGAGTAGGATACTGAGCACTTGGAGAGCAACCCAGTTCGAATTCAGCGCTGAAAATGTCAACGGCATACAGCCTCAGCATAACGTCCCAGGCTAGCTGTTCCTTTGGGCGTAGTTCAACCGGTGATGTTGTCGGTGCCAGATCCCACGAAGTATTCCCCATGACGCTCGCAGTGCTGTCCATAGTCGAGCGCTCGAACAGCAGGCTACTTCCTCTTTGCGCTGTCGTTGACTGGTCGCCACACGATGGCGTGGAGAGGCGATGGGCCCGTCGACAGCGTTGCTGCGTGGTAGAGCAGCAATGTCCTCAAAGGGTCGTGCTTTTTCAGCTGTCGATCGCTGACATACGACGCAGCTCTTGCCTCGCAAAACCGGAGCTCAAATTGCTGTAGCAGCCAATGCAGAAATCGACCTCCGGAACTACCAGGATCGTTCTACTATGCAGACAAGTTCGTGTGCGTGTCTTATCACTTCTTCCCACCCTTCTTCTTATTCTTCTTGCTGCCATCGGCTGTTCTGATCTTCTTTGGTGCACCCTTGCCACGAATTTTGGCGATCTGAATACTCTCCAGCCGATCCTCCTCAGCCTCATTCCACCCTGACAGGCCAAACTTGTCTTTGAATTGTCGTAGCATATCGTTGATGGTAGTGGACTTTCGAGGATAGTACGCAGCAAGGGCAGGACCCTTCAGACGCTGCCGCAGGATTTTGTTGCCCAGTCGTAGCCGCTCGGGGTTGAATGTCTGTGAGAAGATACTGGTTTGCAGCTATTCCGATGATTATTAGCCAGAGCCAAAGCATTGCTTGGCTACAAGACACGTACCTTTGTCAGCTGGAGGAGCCTTTCGCGAGAGATAGCACCCGCCATTGCTGCTGTCGCTTTGAGATGATCTGTCTAGGGTGGTAAGGTAACTGAGGTGAGGTCAAGATTCATCGGAGCAGACCTCGCCTAACGTTCCCAATCCAGAACAGCGGAGTCGTGCTTTGCCGCTTACATAATGCGTCATCTCCTAGTACTTTTACCACCTACACAGTACCCACAAAATATCGCTTGCGAATCACTCACGACTGCGATTCATCAGTCACTCGGACCTGGAGGCCTTTCACTTCTTTTTGGAAGTCCGATGAATCAGATATCTCAGGCAGCAACCCGACTTTGAATCGTCCAGAAACAGTTAATAGATTTTGGCTGTGTCAGTGAAGTGCTCGTTTCGCTTTGCGCCGGATCTTGACCTTCTCTTCAAGGTATAAGTAGAGGTCTACGCTCGATCTCTTCTTGCCTTTCAATTTCCCTCGCACTTAGAGTTTCCAATTTTCCTCGCACTCGGAATCAAGATGGAGCCACGATCTGGTGAGAAGCGCAAGTACGACTACAGACAAGGCCCATACTCGAAGAAGCCACGATACGATAACAAACCTCACCATCAGAAGAACGGCAATGGTGTCTCGCGGCAAGCCACGCATGTCGTAACACTGCCTGATCCACTTCCACAACTACCACCGATCTCTGAGGAGCTTACCAAGTCTACATTCACCCACAAGAGTCAGGCTCCAAACGATGTCTCGAAAAGCTACGACAGACTAGAGTGGCTCGGAGATGCCTACATCGAAGTCGCATCCACCAGGCTCATCTTCGCACGCTACAAGAATCTACCTACAGGACGCTCCTGCGATGTTCGAGAGATGCTGGTCAAGAACGAGACTCTTAGCCAGTACAGTCTAGCCTACGGGTTCGACAAGCGAATCAACATCAATCCTTCCAGCAAGCCAACAGATGGCACCAGCCTCATCAAACTTCACGGTGATATCTTCGAGGCATACGTTGGCGCTATCATTCAGTCCGACCCCATCAAGGGCTTCGAGATTGCTGAAGACTGGCTGGCAGCGTTGTGGGAGCCACTCCTGAAAGATGTCCAGGGAGAAGCTCCTAACATGGTGTGGAAGGATGAGCTACGGAGGAAGATTGGATCGAAGGGAGTCAAGCTCAACTATGTGGATGAGAGACCGGCAATAATTGGCAGAGGCATCGAGACTTACTTCATTGGTGTGTACTTGACTGGACTGGGCTACGACAACCAGCATCTTGGCAGTGGACAAGCGTTGAACAAGAAGGAAGCCGGAATGCAGGCTGCTGCGGCAGCTCTCAGCAATCACCCTCTCATCGACGAATTGATTGTGAAGAAGGCGAAGTTGGATGAGGAGCGTCAGGCAGAGCGCGACAAGGAGGCCCTCAATGGTGATGCTCAGGAAATCAACATCCAAGAGGCATGATCCTATCAATCAGCCTGTGGAGCGCTCGAGCTGGGTTGCTCAACTCAAAAGGCCGCCACATGGGCGCAAGCCACACAGACCAGCCGAAGCGCGTCTCGACTCGTCTTTGTGGCGGTATTACCACAACTCGTTGGCATCGGCTGCTCTACTTAGATGGTACATGGCAACCGCCATGGCTCAACAAGGCCAACGTAGTGCGAGGGAGTACGACAGCGGTCAAAATCAGTTCCGAATAGACACTCATTTCGACGTCCATCTTGCAGAACTTGACGGAAACGCTCGGAAGGCTGACGGAAACGCTTGACAAGGCAGGACACTTGACCACACAGATCTTCATCGCGATCGACTTTGCGCTCGGATGTTATTTGGATGCTTCGGCTACCTTTATGTAAGCGCTTCATACTGCTACTGAGTTAAGTTTATGATCGACGCCTTTTACTTGATCTCGCCGTCTCCCGCGGACGCGGTTGCAGCAGAGTCCACTGACTTGTCCAGCATAGAAGCACTCCTCAGCCAATGTTTTCGAGCCTCGAATCTAGGATGCTTTCCGCCCTTTCCCGAATCCGAAGAACTTTCTCGAGGCGATTTCCTCCTCTGATCTGGCGCTTTCGTCGACGACATCCTCTTTGAAACGGCTGGCCTGTGCGCGAAGTCTCCGTGCGCGAAGTCTCTCTGCTTCATACGGATGTGTGTGCTGTGCGTCGCCTGCCATGTCGGTCGGTCCCTTCGCCTCGCTCGGCTTTCTTAGATCTTTTAACCGCTGCGCCACTTTTCCTACTTGCGCACCGATGGTAGAAGACTTGAGGCGTGGCTTCAGGCCGATCAACGACTTTCTCAAACCGCCCTTCGCGCGTGATAGCTCGGCGCTCGCAATGGTGTACTCGGACAACTGAGATGTAGCGATGCTACTAGTGCTGATGTTTTCGTGCCTCAGCGGTAGCGACGTCGATACTGTAGGAGTGATGGGGCCCTCTGGAGAGCTGTGTGCTTCGGGTCCGCCGCTTCTACACCAGACGGACTCTTCTTCAGGATTCCCCGACTCAGACTCGGTCTGTGCAGCAGCATCTTGTTGCCGCGGATGTCGCGCTGCTACAGGTGTCGGTGGCACGTTGTTGGCATATCGGAAATCGAATGGCGAGGTTGCTCCTGGAACTCGCTCGAATACTCCACCACTTCTTCCCACAGCTTCCCTGCGGTTTCGACGAATTGCTCCAGGAGATGTGTTGGACGGAAGACTGAAATTCAATGGGTGCCTGTGCTCGTCAGTGATGATATAAATAGAGTTCACAGCAGAACTTACCGCATCCCTGGAAAGGCTTCCTTTGTCGAAGGTTTCCAACCTGATGTGCAACTAGTCCACAGGGGCTCGGAATACTTGTTCTGCTCTCGAGCAAAAATCTTCTCACAGTCGATGAAGCTGTCACGAAATCTGCTTTGTCGAATACCCGTGACGATGAAGATGCAAACGGTGTCAGCCTCTGTTCTCTTGTCGTTGAAGAAGTTGATGTTGAAAGATGTCAGACCAGAAGACACATAAACCTACCATACCGCCGGGCGTGTCGTCGCATCGCCTGCATAAGGCGATTGCAGGCATCAGTTGCCTTCGAAGTGATAACTGGTTGTCACGGTGAACCATCTCCATTCTCAGCGTGTCGCCCTTGGAGCGTGACACGACGGACATCGAGCAAAGAATGATGCGAGGCACAAGTGAAGAGACTGACAGAGAGAATCACATGAAGTCCATGTCCGGCGCGCATGTCTCTTGCATCAGATGATCGAGACTGATGCCGCGGGTCTCTGTTGACCTACAGGCCGCCGCGCTCCCGAGATGCAGGCCGCACGGTGAGTCGTCCTGAACCGCTTATACACCCGTACAAAAGGCCGGAAGCTTCGGACCTGGGTGCGCCGACCAAGACCCATCCCGACATTATACCTTGACTTGCCTTGCGGCGGACGGCGCAAGCGATGATGGGCGGGATGCCAAGTTCTTGGCCCGCATCATCCCAAGAGACGCTTGGCGGGAAGCGGAAGGTCAACGGCTTGATCTGGAGTCTACCAAGCCACCACGCTGCAACAGCCCCGCAGCAAGCTGATAGCTGCTACTATGCCGCGGGCTTCGAGTGGGATGAGCGTTGTGCGATCCGCCGGCCACGGCCCGCATGACGGACTATAAATTCGACATTGTATGAGCTGCGATGGCCCGCCGGACTTCGGTAGACGTCCACAACCAGCCATGAAGGCCACCCAAGCTGCTTCGGTCCTCCTCGCCCTTGGCAGTCGCCTCGTGTCTGCGCAACTGATTTACGCCAATAATGATGTACCCGTGTTGAAGGATGACGACAGCGTGGCGGCAAACTTCCCGGAGGTAGACATCGACCTCTACTCGCCTGCTTTCATCGATTCAGATGGAGTACTGGAGGAGTTCGCAAACGGTACTTCAGGCCCAACGAGCCAAGCTACCCTTGAAGCCTTCTTGGAAGAGCTGGCTGGCCGCAATGACTGGTTCAAATACACTGTTCCCGACTTCTCATCAGAGGAAGGCCGTTCGATTCCTTTCATCTACTTGTCAAGCAACGCAAGTACCACTTCCAACGGATCGGCGGCACCAGAGTCTGGCGACAAGATCCGGATCTACCTTCACGGCGGTGTCCACGGGAACGAACCTGCTGGCGATCAAGCAGTAATGGCATTCCTTGGCGCGCTCGATAATAACCAGACGTATGCGGAGACGATTCTGTCAGCAGTAGAATTCCTCGTCATACCACGCTACAACCCTGACGGTGTCGCATACTTCCAACGCTTCATGGCTACAGGACTCGACCCGAACCGCGACCATGTCAAGCTCCGAAGCCAGCAGACTTACGACATCAAGGCCCTGAATGTAGCTTTCAATGCTCACATCTCGATCGACTGCCACGAGTACAATGCTCCGCGAGCTTTCGGTCCTGACGAGGACTTGACGACGTCCCAGGATGGGCAATTCTCAGCTTTCAAGAACATGAACATTCATCCTCGTATCCGCTCGCTTGCCGAGGGCATCTTCGCTGACAACATCGCCGCCGCGATGGACGATGCCGGTCTCAGGCATTCACCATACGTGGTGGCTGCGTCGACGCCCGAGATCAGCTTCACCGAGTTCGTCACCGACAACAATGGAGATGATCAGGTCGGCTTGTCCCAAGGTATTGCTTACCTCTCTGAGACACGTGGCATCCGTCTGGCAGATCAGCACTTCAAGCGGCGAGTCGCTGCGGGGCTGACCATCATTCGTGCTATAGTCGACACGGCGGTAGCTAATGCTGAAGAGGTCTTCAACCTTATCGAGTCAACTCGAGAAGAATATGCCCAAAGCGATGACGAGATCATCCTTTTGTCTGCACCTCGACCAACGAACATCACGTGGCCACTCGTTTCACTCACCAATGGTTCACTGATAGACGTCCCTATCGCATTTGGGAACAACACGCCCGCTAATGCCGTCTTGACCCGTCCACGACCAGAAGCATACATCTTTTCCGCTGCCTGGCCGGACATTGCTGCACGCTTGCGTGCGGTCGGCGTCGAAGTTCAGCAACTGAATACTTCTTGGATGGGCGAAGTCGAGGCTTTCAATATCACAAACGCGACTGTGGCGCGGACGAAATTCGAAGGTGCTGCGCAGACGACTGTCTGGGAGACTGAGACGTTGGTAAAGAATGTCAGCTTTCCAGGTGAGGGAGGGAAGGGGCCGTACTGGATCGATAGTCGACAGCAGCGGGCGGCTCATGCATTTATGAGGCTGGAGCCGGAGACCGAATCCGGGTTTGCGAAGTGGAATGTCATTCCGGTCGCGACTGGGGATGAGTGGCCTGTATATCGTGTTCCAAGGCAGTGACGCCACTGTTCGACGAGGAGACGTTGAGAAGTCTTCTGGCCACCGTGTTATCAATCAAGTTTCGGCTTCGCAGTCTCCGTTCTTACGAGTCCGACTTCCTCCGGTAACTACGTGCTCAGGAGGCCACTCAAGTCCACTCAGTACGATAGGCCTACCCAGTCAGCCTGCCCAACCAGCGCCAAGTTGAGTATCCGCTGTCCACCTTCACTACCTCCGATTGAGCCAACCCAGCGGTACTGACTTCACTCGTTCGCTCGTGCCATGGTCTGCACTGACCACCGACATTCTTGCGTTGGCAGGGATGATTGTGTAGACGCACTGGCCGCCTTGGTATTGCTCTTCCTCACTCAACTGGTCTACTATCTTCGTCTTGGTGACGCTTATTCTCGTTCAACTGGCCTTGGTAACGCTTGTTCCCAAGCAACTAGTCTTGGTAGTAGTGATGGTGTCTCTTCTAGCTCTGGTACCTATCCTATCATGGCTCGTCCTCGACGCAGCCACAGGCGTTCTACTTACCATACCAGCCAGTATCGCGCTTATGGGCTACCCGCCCTTCTTGTGCCGACTGCGGTGTCTATCAAGACCCTCCACTACCTGGAACTTCTACCTGGTCTAGGAGAGGTATGGGGACTGATCACACTCATTGGATTCATCCACTTCACCTCGGTGCTCTATATCAAGCGATGGACTCTGCGTACGTCTTGCCTGTCACCGAGCAAGGATGGATCACGCAACAAATCAAATGCGAACTCCTGGTACCTTCGGCCCAGCTCCTGGAGGAGAATGTACCAAGGCGCAACAGACCCACGACTTCTCCTCGTTCCTCGCGAGGACATTGTTGGTCCCGAAGACAATCAACGCAAAATAACGTCCACAACACCTGGGAAGCCAGCACCGCCATCGCCAAAGGCCGGCCCAGCACACCGCCCACCCTTCAAACCCCGCATCAAACTCCCTATACTCCTCCTCAAAGCCCTCCTGATCTACCTCCTCAACACAACCCTCCTCCCCCTCCTCCTCGACCCACCCCTCGCCCTCACAGACTTCGCCCATCCCCGCGGCAACCTCCTCCGCCGCCTCCTCATACAACTCTACCTCACCAACCGCGTCAAACCACTCCTCTTCACCCCAATCACCGCCCGCGATCTCCTCATCCGAATCTGGTTCACCACAACCACAATATTCACGCCCATCGTTATCCTCGACGGCATCCACACCATCTGCTCCGTGTTATTCATCTACGTCCTCCGCGTCGACCGCCCAGAATGCTGGCTGGACCTCTTCGGCTCGCCGCTCGAGGCATACACGTTAGGTCGATTCTGGTCGGGGTTCTGGCATCGCTTGCATGTTAGTGCGTATGGAGAATGGGCGGAGGTGTTGTTGCCGAGAGTTTGGTTGGGGAGGAGGGAAGGTGTGAGGAGGGTGTGGAAGGTGTTGGTGGCGTTTGGGTTGAGTGGAGGCATGCATCAGATTTTGTCCAGGGGAAGTTTTCCGGTTTGTGCTGGGAGGGGGAGCGGGGATTGGGCGGATTTGAAGTTGTTTGGGTTGATGGCTGGTGTTGTGGTTGCGGAGGGATGGGTTTTGAGGGTGGTGGGGGGCTGTTTGAGGCGGCGGAGGAAGGGTGCTGGACGAGATGGAGGCGAGCAGAAGCACTGGGTGCTGACGATCTGGTGGCGGATCACCGACACTTTGTGTCGGCTCCTGGGCTACATCTGGGTGGTGAGCTTCTTCGTCTGGGCTGTGCCGAAGGTCTACTACCCCAGGCTGTACTGCATAGTTAGGACTAGCCGGAGCGGGCTATAGTGACGGAGTGGCCAATTGAAGACGAATGATTTCGAGCTGCACGAGGTGGCGGAGATGGCGAAGGGGGCGGAGATGATGACGCATACGCCCAGGTTTAAGCCGAGTCAGGAGACGGATCGGTTGGCTAGGTTGACGGTTAGGGATGTTTATATTGAATAGATGCTTGCAGCGGACGTGGGGAGGGCGTCTATCATGAGGGGTCTATGCCCAGTACTGCCCTGTCTCAATCTTCTCCTTGGCGATCTGTAACGCTCCTTTCGTGCACGCCTCCAGATCCTCCTTCGCCAACCCTAATGCCTCATCATGTAAGCCCTTATGCGCTTGGTATGCCTGCGCATGCCCCTGATTTCGGTCCGGGTAGGCCTCCATAACACTCCCATACAGGATCTTCCCGAATCCCGCCCTGTTGCCTTGTTGCAACTGCTCGCGACCCGTCTTGAGGTACTCCTCCGTACTGACCGTGATCTGCTCCCACTCCGACTCGGACGTCGATGTCGCTCTACATACAGCAGCGAGCATGTCCCGCTGGGAGAGCTGGAAGGAGGACAGACGGAGAAAGGAGTTTGCGAATGTGCCTTCGATGCTCAGACCCGAGTCTGATTTGATGGGCAGTTCTAGCATAGCGACCGTGCCTTCTCCTGTGTGCTCCCACGTTGACGTGTTGACGGGCGTGTTACCGCCGTCGTACAGGTAGACCTTGCCTGGGATAGACCGGAAATCAAAGCCATAGCAATTGGGTCCCGAGCCGAGGGAGTACTCGTACCAGAAGCCGCAGACAACGGAGATCCAGGACATGCCTTTGGATTTGATGTAATCGCGGGTCTCGTTGATGCCGGTGCCGAGCATGGCTGTCTTGTTGACCACAGGGTCGGTCCAGTCTGTGCCCCATTCGTTGGGGATGATGTAGCGGACAGTCTTGGCGGCGGCAGCGGCGTCGACGAGGGCGGGCTGAGTTTCCTTGGGTGTGAAGACTGAAAGGGAGATGATTAGGACTTCGACACCGGTGAGCGCGGTTGTCAGCTCGTCGTGGTTCTCGTAGTCGACGGGGCAGACTTTGATGTTGGATGCTGTTGGGATCTTTGCTGAGGAGTCCTTGCGGGTCAGGATGGTGATGTTGAATTTGGAGGGGGAGGAGAGGAGGCGTTGCAGGATGTGGCTGCCGACTTGGCCGGTCGCGCCAACTAGGGCGACGTTCTTGATGTGGTTTGATTCGGTCATCCTGTCTTGAGTTGATGAAGTAGGCTTGTTGCGATACTGTGACGCGAAAAGGCTGTCCTTTGGTACTTAAGAACGGAATGTTCGTGTGATTGCAATCGAACTTGGTGCAGCAGTGGCGTACTTATATATCGGAAACTGTTCTGCACGTTCACATTCTGATGCAACCCACTAAAGACCTTAAATCCGATGTCCGTAGATTTCGGCTCAAGAGCTCGCTCGTTCAAGATTTCATCGGCGACGACGTGATGCTCAACGAGCGGAAAAGATAGCAGATGATGTACTGGTGCTATATCGATACGAAAAGAGGTTAGCCTCCGTGCTCGAGCGTTGCCGCAGCCAATGAAATCACTGCAATGTTTGACTGCCCCACCAAGATCTCGGCCCCGTGGTGAAAGCCACTATGCAGGTCCGTGATGTGATTCTGCATGGTGGAAAGTTAGATGCATCTTCTAGGTGTCTGCACGCATGCAGACTTGCATCAGAGCTCGATTTCGAGACATGTCAACATTGACAGATCCCTCACTCGGCGCCGAGTGAATACCTGGCGCTTGGCATAAATCTCTTCTGTATGCCTCAGTGAATTGCAGGGTGCAAGGTGAGCACGTGTAGCAAGTAGTACAATGATCACCACCAGAAGCTCACACTGATCCCAACCGAGCAGCTGCGGACATAGTGCCACCACCCCACCGGCAAGTAGAGGGCATCACCAGGTTCGAGAATGCATTCCCAGTACGGGACTTTGCTGATGCCCGGGTAGACAGCATCCCAATCTTCGTCCGGTGAAAGCTCCATGGCTGCGACATCGATCTTTGACGTGTTCGACATATCTATTGTCGTTGTGCCTGAACCACCCATGGCCTCATGCGGCGCCGTCTCTGTGGCTGACATCGACTGAAGACTGCCGCTGTCATGAGGAGAGTAGAGTCGAACATACTTTGTACCAACGACCTGGCAGAGAATATTGTGGTAGGGGTCATGATGAAGCGGCGTTATAGTCCATGCTGGCCCAAACCAAATATTTCTGTGGATTTCATGCTCGTCGTTGATCAACTGGCCGCCAGGTTCGGACTCGCTGGTGCCGTCCTCCGTCTTTGCTGAAAGCGACTGCTTCGAAGACACGGACAGAGGAGTGTCAGGCTCTGATTTAGGCGCATCCATGTAGCAATAGTCAGGTATCAACAGAGCTGCTTCTAGGGACGGTAGTTGGCGGAAAAGATCGTGTTGAGCCAGGTAGCCGGTGTCCGTTCGGGCTTCGGGTGTAGTGAAAATATAAGAGTAGAGAAAATCGCCAAACGTGATAATCTTCTGACCCCAGCCGCTGTCGGTGTAGCTCCTTCCAGTTTCTATGGGGACCAGTCGACGCCCCCCGAGTGTATGGTTCATCCAGTACGACGTCTGCTTCCAGTCAGTCAAGGCAGACCACGAATCGAGTGTGTTCAGCAGCTTGACAGGTTTTCGTGAAGTCTGAAGCCATTTGCTGAACATTTCCAAGGTCGGCACGCGCATCTCAGTCACGGAATGCTTGATTTTGGGTACCGACGTGACGAGCTCAGGTAAAGTAGCTCTTCGCAGGACTTCTGAAGCTGGCTCGTGGCGGAACCGTTTGTGCTTCTTCCGCTCTGCATTGTCAACATAGCTCTCCAACTGAAGGAATATTCTCGATATGAACTCCTCTCTGCGTAGTCCTCCAGCTGTGATTAATGCCATGTCAAGCAAGCCGACTGCATCTTGCAGCCAAGATGATGACTTTTTAGCGTCTTCAATAGCATTCTCCCGCGCCTCAATCACGCGCACTGCTTTGATTATGGATGTGTCAGTATACAAGCGGAACCAGCACGGCTTTACCTCTGAAAAAGGAAAGACACGGATCTTCTTGTCTGCCAAATCGAAGTACTCATCCGTCTTTGCCTCTAGAGATCCAAGCTCGACGCCTTCGCAATCATGAATAGGGTCGTCAGCGTCATGCTCAGCTACCTCTTCGAGACTGTTATCGAGAAAGGCGGCGAGATCGGCCTCATCATTGTCATTGCGAGTGCGTTTCATTGATGGCATAGGACGGTAGCAGGCAGCGTTCACGATAGCTCATGCTACCACTTGCGCAACGACGCGAAAATGATGAACGATCTCGCGAGGAAGGCGGCGTCGGGAAGTCGAGAAAGGTCAAGGAGTGACAGGTGCCAACCTGAAGTCTTGGCGCGTGTTGTAGTGAGGCACGAGTGAGGCAAGTTAAGCGAGGAAGCTGCGACCACTTCAAGTTGCGTCTTGAATCATGACCTTGACATTAATTCCTACCATTCCCATCATCGCCGTCCACCTCGCAATCTCCCCATCATTGGTCGTCGAAAGCTCTGTATCACTCTGCGACTTGTTCTGACAGCTCTCTCGCCGTCGGCGCTCAGGCGCAGCCATGTCTACCATCTCCGATGTGTCCAACACACGCCTATACCTAGGCAACCTCCCACGAAACAGTATGCTGGCCACATCCTTCCGTTGAGAATTGTTCCTAGCCCTATCTGAGTGCCATGCTCTGGATTCTTGGTTCCGGCCATCCCTTGGCGACTGGCCTGGCATAGTCTTCTGGCACTGGCAGCAGCTAACTGGACTTACTTTCAGTCACAAAGGCCGATATTGAAGAACACTTCAGTTCCCATGGAACCGGCAACATCAAGGAGGTCAAACTCATGAATGGCTTCGGCTTTCTCGAGTACGACGATCCCATGGATGCGAAGGATGTCGTACCAGGTGAGCAGGTCCCAAGCTATCTCATGTAATTTGTTAACATGTCACAGCTTTCCGTATGGATCCCCCAAGGACCCTTGATCGTACGCCCTAACTCTACTTAGACGGAACCGAGTTTAAAGGAGAACGCTTGACTGTGCAGTTCGCTAGAGGCCCACGCAGAAAGGACGATTTCGGACCTCAGGAACGGAATATGCCACGTCCTCGTCGTACGGTCTATCGCATGGATCTCACAGGTCTCGCTCCCGAAACAAGTTGGCAGGTCAGGAATATCCCGGAGTCAAACATAAGTCTCATACTCAGGCTCACATCTTATACAGGATCTCAAGGACTTTGCTCGGAATTCCGGTCAGCTGGACGTGGTCTACTCGGAGACTGGTCGTGACAGCGGAGGCAAAGGCTACTATGGGTAAGTGGTGCAGATGCAGGCGTGTGTCCATTGCTAACGAAGCAGCTTCGTGGAATTCGAGACTGCCGCAGATCTGAAGAGCGCCGTCGAAAAGCTGGACGGTCGCGAGTTCAAGGGTGCTACAGTTCAGTGTGTTGCAAATGTATGTGACGTGGCTTTCTTCATTCTGATTCAGTGACTGACAGTGCTGCAGATCCAAGACGAGCGTCCAGATGCGCGAGCCTATCGCCAGCGTTCGCCACCTCGAGGTCGGTACTATGATGACTACGATCGCCGTGGTCCGCCTCCACGCGGCTACTCTCCTCGTGGCTATCGGGAGCGCTCACCTGGCCGTCGCCCTCCTCCGGTCGATGATTACTACGGCCGGGATGGCTATGGTCGACGCAGTCCTCCACGCGGCGAGTATCCTCCACGTCGATATGATGATCCTTATGGAGATCCTAGAGGCGCCCCACCTCCGCCTGGACGTGGCTATTCGGATCCATACGCCAGAGGTCCTCCTCCCGGCGACCCGTACGCTCGGCCTAGGAGTCCTCCACGTGGTGGAGGCGGCTATGGCTATGGTGGTGGCTACAGCGCGGGCGGTGGTTACGAGGATCGTGGCCGCTACTGATTTTGCGCTCTTCGAGCCACAGCTAAAACACAGAGGATACCTGGCTTTCTGGCCTTGGGAGGTTCTGTCGGATTCTCAGACGCGGCCAATATCGGGATTCTATCTTCTTGAACAGATTGGCAGCACATGCGAATGCGAATGCCAGGACGCTAGGGTTTGGGTGGTTTCCGCCATTCGGTGTTCGAATGCAAAAGTTAACCTCCGCACAAAAAGCATGCCACGTGGCAGCTGAGCCAGGTTCGAAAACACAGCCTGAGATTGCTCCGTAGGATAGGATACGTCTCTGGCCAAAGGTACTCATAATATGAGTCAACTGGGCTGTTCATCTTCGCTCTTCTCTTCCGCTGCTGCTCTCTTCTTTCTAGCCTGGCAGGCACGACTCACTACGCTTATAAGGGCTTGCAGCTTTCTACAGATCCACGCTACCTACAAACCACTCATCTTTAGGCATCACACCTTCAAGTCGTATCACTGGTCCCATATCTGCCACCACCGTCCTGGAGTTGAGCATCCACAGCTGTAGATACGATAGACATGGCGTCTCCCTCGACAACTACAGAGACTTTGCCCGTGGTGACAGCCACAACGGCTCCCGCGATGGGCCCGCCGACACTAGTGTCACTCCCGGTAGAGATCAAGAACTGTATTGCACACCATATCTCTTCATTCGAGGACACAGATCCACTCATAGCCCGTCAGTCGCTGGCCAGCGCGCGGCTAATATGCCGAGGGTGGTCTGCACCACCGCTAAAATACCTCTACCGGCACATATACGTTCCTCTCCCACTTGGTGCCAGATGTCTGTGTCTAGCACGTCTCCTCGTTATCGCCCAATCCTCCCATCTCGCTGACCAGGTGCGACACGTCACTGTCATCACCACTGGCCACGCCAAGGGAGGTTGTCAGAAGTTCACTGAGACTTCTTATGGCGCACATGTTCACGACACTCGAAGCTCACCAGCAGCTCAGTACAGGGCAGACCGGAACTTCAACGCCCGCTTCTGGTCACAGCTTGAGGCCGCCAAACCTCCAGACCCCTGCGACTGTCCTGGTGTCACCCAAGCGGCCGGCGTCCTTGCGCAGGTGGCCTACGACATCCAGGACGAGTGGTCCACTGTCATACACGCCTTCCGTTACACCATCTCTCGCTTTCCGCACTTGGACTCCCTCAACATCTTCACTTTGAGCGCCTTCAGCCGCACCTACCCAACACAGCTTATGTCCTTCCCATGGGCTGCGCGATGGAGCGAGGACAACGATGCAAGAATGGGACATCTACTCAATGCTGTACTGATATACCGCCGTCTGGAGCACCCGTTGACCAACATTAGCATAAACACGACGGAGTTTTCGTACGGCTGCCACCAAGGGAACCGCCTGAATAACATGTACTACTTCAAACGCAATATGGAGGTCCATGCTCGCTCGCTGAGGAGACTCTGTCTGCGATACCGTGGGGTATCCAATCGACGTTACGGGCTGGATGACCCTGAATCTATAGTGCGTTGTTGCGTCAGGTTACTCAATACACTATTTTCGACGACCGCGGTGGAATTGCCGAATATGCAGTGTCTCGAGTTGAGCCTGCTTGAGGAGGACGATGTGGAGCAAGAGAAGGCTTCCCTGGCGCGTAATCCACAGCGCGTCGTCAACAACGATGCTCGGCCAGTCATAACCGTACCCAAGCGCCGACGTGTGCCTCCAAGGGAGCACCTAGTGCCACTCAGCACGATTTCCAGACACACATTTCCCAACTTGCACACTTTGCATCTTCACGGTTTCACCTGCGTGCAGGAAGGCAACGCCGCTGAGTTTCCTGACTTCTTGGAGCAATGTCCCAAATTGAAGGATCTGAAACTGGGACTGCTACGCGTGGCGGATGGGGTGACCTAGACCGAGTTGAGTGCCATGGTTGAGCGCTTTGCAGAGAAGTGGCCGAGTGTCAATCCCCCAATTATGTAGCGTCCAGCGCTGGTGGTGAGGGCGAGCTGCGTTGAGGAGATCAAGGGGATGTCAATGATACGTGGTACGAAGCACAGGTTCGGGCATGAGTGGAGTGGCTACTTACCTCCTCAAAGTTCTACTTACCAGAGATTTTCAGGCATTGAGTCATCAGGCTACAGTAGCTCTAATACAACACTCAGTTGATGTCCTTTTGCCTGCACTGAGTACGCATATACTGAGAACATCGAGGTCCCTCTACTTGGGTGAAGTCGAAGACGGGCAACAGCACGGCGAGCGCTCCGGTGTGTCCACATGGCATACCCAACGAGAGTCACCCGTCGACTACCTCCCATCACCGAAAGGGCCTCTTTGCCCCAATAAGCACGCTACATCGTCCATCTCACCCTCATCGCCCTGACTGCCGCCCGTGAAACAATCTGTCGAGGCGGTCCTGGGGATCTCGGATCTATCTTGTTGTTGCTGCTGTTGCTGGAGGATCTGGAAGAGCTCGACCTGCGAAGCGAAGACGGACGCCAGCTGTTCGTACCTCATGCGCCAGTCCATTACTTCGCGTTTCAGGGTCTCGATGGCCCGGCGTTGTCGGTCTCGGAAGGCTTGCTGGGAGGTTCGGTTTTGCTCTTGGCGTCTCTGTGAGTGGGGGGAATGGTGGGTTAGCAGGGCTTTGTTGTGGGGTGATTGCGGGTAGGGGACAGATGAGGTGGGGGTGGAGAGGCTTGCCCGCTTTTTCTCCTGAGATGCTTCCATGTAGGCGAGGGATCTGGTTGAGCGGGAGCTGGGTGGTGGCGGCGTGAATAGTGATTCTTCTTGGTAGGGGACGAGGATTTCAGCGTGGTACGTGTTCTCTATCAGCATGTCCGGAGATTGTATAACCTGATCTGACGGATAATTTGTCCAGACTATGTTGTCGCACAGCTGGTTGACGTGATAGCTGTCGACGAGATGATGTGTCGAGACTGAGGGATGATACGGATAAGCCTGGCTGAAAAGGGTGTTGGCCATGTTTGAGAAAGTTGCATTCGACTGGCCTAGGTGTCTTTGGCAGCTGTGTCCAGCAATGCGCAGTCCTTCGGGGATGATCGACACAGCTGTCTTCCATCATTCAGCAGTGGGGGATGCCCGCATAATATATCAGTTTTCCGTGGTAGCGGAAAGCTCAAGCACACGTGGGGTCCATACTCCAAGGCTTGATGACACTATATCGGTGACAAGTGCATGCGCTCGATACTGGACCAAGAACTGCGTGTGATGCAACGATGTCGGCGGAAGCATGGTCAGAGTCTCTTTGTCGATTCGAAAGTCAGTCGATGGTGAGACGCATCACAATTCAGCGGAAGGTCAACCTATCACGTGTGACGTCCTACTTGGTTTCAACGAGAGCAGCCAAAGCAAGCACTGCTCGTCTTGTAAGAGCCGCACAGCGGCTCTGATCTGTGCGGCTCTGATTCGAATCTGGTGTTAATTGGAAAGTTTCCGCAGGATGATCCTCAATCGGGGTTGGGGTTTGGAAAGACTTGCCCTGATCAAGCAGGTAGTCGTCACATTAAGCTTTAGCAGACACGATCGTCATGGTCTTTCCAAGAAATCCCAAGAGAGGTTAAGAATCCAAGTCTAAAGTTTGCAACACAAGTTTTCCTGCGGCAACACATTGTGCCGAACGTAGCGGACGAACATGGCGGAGCGGACATACGATATAAGGACCTTTGTACGGAATGCGCGATGGGCAGGGTCTCTGGCCGGTAGCGGACAAGGATGGTTATTGTGCCGGGAAGCACAAAGATCTCGAACTCTTGGATCTCGCTGTATTGCACCGCATCTATGATGTCGGTAGCTATTCCGCTACTGCATAGCTCCCCTCGGTTTGAACTTGGCCCTTAGAAGATTATGTCTACACTGGTACGTGAGAAGCTGTACCCTGCGGGCCTCCGACGGGGCGGAGGCACAATTTGCCTGATGCCGACAAGATGCTCAGTCTCGTCATTGTGGTTGTGGTTGGATCCAGACTGGTGCTAACGAGGTGCTCAATTTTCTCGTCATTGCTGTCGTGGCTGTGTTGGTATGTTGACGAAGTTGACATCCATGTCGCCGACGAGGTGCTCAATCTCGTCGGTGTTGCTTTCAGATGGATTGTCTTGTTGTGTTGACGGCTCTGGTCTGGTACCGACACATTGTTCTAGCAGTTGTTGCTTTCGGATTATTTCCGGTGGCTGATGTCAGAATCATGTTGACGATTGTCTTGGGTTGGTGTGATACTCACTGTTGACCTTGTGTCTGGTTGAATCGTTCTGCTGTCTGTAAGCACCTACACCTCCCTTGTTTGTGGTGGAAGCCTCCAACTCCCGTCAATCTTGTGACGATTTCCTGAAGCCCTCTTCACCTTTGTTTGTGTTGAGCATTCTTTTGTCCTCAGTTCATCATCGCCTCCCACAGGAGCATTGGACTCTGCATGATGAGCAACAAGCAACAAGCTCATCGAGCTCTTGGCTCGCCTGCTCCGAAATGCGAGGCCGAGGCCGGAATCTGCGCCGCAACCAGCTCTCCACGCGGGAATCCGCTTGTATCGAAAACCCTGTTAACTCCGTCCAGCGGCCACCCGGTGGGATCCTTGGGGTTCTGGTATGCATTCGTTTCATCTTTTGAGAATCTGGGCAGCGGCCTCCACGTGAGATGATGCTGAACTTGGTCTGCATGTGTCTTGGAATATGAGAATCTGGTCAGAGGCCTCCCTATAGGGGTTTTGGATTCTGATCTGCATTTGTCTTCAAATCTGAGAATTTGGCCAGAGGCCTCTCTAAGGGGAATCTGGATTCCGATCTGCATTCGTCTCGAACTTGAAGATCGGGCCAGCAGCCACCTTGTGGGAGGATCGTTGCTGCATCGGAATTATCTACCCCTAGCGCGCGGATCAGCACCTGTATCAAGGGCGAGAGCAAAAATCGAAGGGTAAGGAGCAGGAACTGAAGAGCCAGGAACAGAGACGGAAGGACTAGGAACAGAGTTTGCAGCGAGAGCACTTGCCATGGTGAGGGAGGAGCAGAAGAGGAGAATTGGAGGAGGTGCTGGTGCTGGTGCTGTTGCGGTTGCGGTTGTGGTTTTGGTGAGCAGAAACGAAAAAGGGAGAGGAGAGGGAAGGGAGGAAGAAGGAGGAAGAGGTTGTTGCTGTTGCTGTTATGGTTGTGATTGTGATTGCGGCTTTGAAGGAGCAGAAAACGAAGAATGAGAGCCATCTCGTTTCTAGTACGGTTATTGAAGAAGGGAAGAGGAACCTGGAACAATTGCGCATTAGCAGAGTGACCTTGGGAGCAGAGACAGGAGGTGCAGGAACTGGAGCAAGGACAGCAGGAGCAAGGACAGCAGGAGCAAGGACAGCAGGAGCAAGGACAGCAGGAGCAAGGATGCACCAGTCGTACTACACTAACAAGCCAAGGCAGTCGAAACGTTGGTACCTTTGCGGGGGCCCTAAAAGTACTTAGTATCCTTTCCTTTCCGCCCTCTTCCCCTCCGGGACCTATACCTGCCGCTTTTGCACTTCTATCTGTCCATCCTGAGTCCTCCGCTCCAATCATGTCTCTCTGACATACCAAGACAGCCAAGGCAGCAGAGAGGTGGTGTGCTAACTTTCCGCGCGACCCCCTTTTCACTCTCTGTCCAAAGCCCTGCCTCTTCGGCACTTCTATCTGTCGCGCCCCAGATTTCCGCCCGGCCCTTTTTCCGTTTCGGCACTTCTATCTGTTGCGCTCCAGGTTTCCGCCATAATTAGCTTTCCGTTAGAAAAGCCAGCGGCTGCTGTGTTCAATAAGCGCGTTGAAGGCCGCCGGAATGGGTTCTTCTCGAAGTGGTCGGACGGCAGCGAAATGAGGGCATGGGCTTTCCAGTAGACCAGCATACTGTAGACTCCCACGAGGCCTCCTCGGGGGCTATGATGACCCGTTATTTGACATGATTTGTTTTGCAATGACCACTTGGGAACTCGTCCCTCGTCAAGCGGGTGGCCATTCGCAAACCCTGATGTGTCGGTCAAGACTTGTACCTGGGAGGAGCCCTTCGGTAGGGCTAAGCATTGCGGCCTCGAACTCCGTCCATAGAGCGCCCATTCTCATCGATCAATACTGATAGGAGGCCTTCTATATCGGAATACTGGTCGTATAGGAACCGTCTCAGTAGATCGACAAACGCAGCGATTCGATACCTGGAGGAGAACGATGGCGCAACGTCAATCATGGCAGGTGCTGATGTGCCTGGGGATTTCACCGAGAGCGTAGGTTCATAAAGCACCGCACGGCGCTGCCACAACAGTGCATCGTATGTACAGCACGACGAAGCTACGTGCAATCAAAATAGGATTTTGGCGACCAGGTAGTCGCTGCTTTTAGTCCGAGTCGTCTGGAGAAGATCGCTTGGGCGCGATTGAGTCCGGGCAAGCCTAGACGAGACAAACGAGCTTCAAGGTTGTAATTTGAAATTGATATCAAGTGGGCAAGACCAGACGGACTGATCTGTGTTCATCCAAAAGTCTTTGCTCAGGCTGCGACTTCTTACTTCCGTGCTTGCTGTTGTCAATAACGTACGATATCTCGTACGCAAGTCGTATGACTCGTGACACAATTCAACGCTCTCAGGATGTTGATAGATGCGAGCTGAAAAAAGGAAGGTGAGCCCTCGTCCTTGCCAAGAGAGGCGGGAGCTCGCTGCAGCCAACCAGTCCATGCCTGTCTGATCACAACGACGACCACAGGTAGGAGCGAACTTGCGTACCGTCGTTGTCGCACTTCACGAATCTCTGTGCTCCCTCACCTATGCAACACAGAGCCCACTTCTAGGATTGCACGGTCAGCGCGTGCCTGTCCTTGCCGCCATGCACATAGCCATTCAACTTGCCCCTCCACGATCGCACTGGTCACAGCAGAGTCGCACGTCTTGCTGTGTTACACGATTCGTGCCAGCCTGCGATTATCTTATATTGCCGCCAACTGCTGACTGTCTTGCTACATGCTAAACTAATCCATGACTGTCAGAGCTGGGTCGAACCACAAAGCGCCCTATAACAGCACCATCTACACTACCGCAACCAAAATTCCGCCAACATGCCTATCTACCTTGCCCATGGCTTCCGATGGCCACGAGATGGCTTCACTGGCATACGTGTTCACGCTATAATCCACAATCTGGAGGAGGTATCCGTTGAATATATACAAAATCCACACAGTCGCACAGCGCTGGCAAACTCCCTCCGCGAGCTACATCCGGAAATCATGCAACGCCTCGAGAAGTCAGGCCGAAGAATAGACTTCCTCGAGCAGTACGATCCCGAAGACGAGTCAATGAATGCTGTCACGCAGCCCTATGCCTTCGTTTGCGATCGAGTAGCCATGATTGCTGGAGGACCAAGAGCAGAAGTACACCTGGGCGACCTCTTTCAAACACAAGCAGCCAACGCGTCAAAAGCAGCACAAGAGCGGCGTATCTCGACGACGGCAGATCGGACGTCTAAGCATGATCCCGCAGATGGCTCTCCAGAACGAGCGAGGAGCCCGCAGCAACGCAAGACCAGGGCCAGAACTCTGCCCATGTCGATCGAAAGGCCCTTCAATTCACCGCCGGACATTCGTGCACTGAGTGCCAATGTGCATGACATCACGAATGACCAGCCGATACCGCCTGACGCGTGGGATGCCATGGCTGAGCTACGAGACAAGCTCGCTAAAGAGGAGACAATTGGCTGGTGGGTTGTATATAACGGTGACCCGGAACGAGCATACGACCCGTCAAGTGACGAGGACTACGACTCAGAGGCCTCGGACGAGGGCACCGAAACTGGAGAAAGCATCGAAGAGGGCGTCAAGGAAATTCGTCCCAAAATATCGGCTGCTAAGCTAGGCTTGACACCGTCAACCTCGAACAACCAACCACTCGCAAAGTCAAAGTCGCTTCCCGAGAGCAGGATCACTACATCCCCATCGAAGCAGTCCCCCAAGCCAACCTCCGTCACCAAAAAGCCACCACCTTCCGCACTCCAAACTTCCTCAAAGGCCAGCAAGCCTGCCGGCGGCGCCCTGACAGCGAACCCACCAACCCCGCAACCCCTCAAGTCACCGACCGGCGGCCGCATCCCACCGCCAGTACCACCTCCGCCACCAAAGTCGTCCGCTCGCACTCCCGGCACTTCCAAGACCACAACGCTATCACCACCTCAGGAACTACTGAACATGAACAAAGAACTCCCACACAGTCCCGCTGCCGAGAAAGCCGCTTTACAGAAAGAGGCCAGCAACACATCTTCTTACAACTCTGCCGTGACCACCAGTCGAAGTAGGAGCAATACCCAAGGAAGCCTGAACGGGGCGTGTCCGGCCAATGCGCTCAATGCAAGTCCGAATCAAACGAGAACGGGGTATCGAGCGCCGAACCAGAGCTTGAGCACGAGTACTAGCAACACTGCGTTTGAGCGGGAGAAAGAGTCGGATGCTAACAGTCCAACATCGCCGGTCGGGGCTGGGAAGAAGGACGGCATGGGGTTGAGGAGGAAGATTTTCGGGAGGAGAGGGACGGGCAGTGACTCGAGGTGAACTGGGGTGGGTGGCACAAGAATACGCGGCGACGGCGTATGGGAAGAGGAAACGCCTACTGCGGTTAAGACTCGAGTCGAGAGACATGCAGTTTGATGCACGTTCAATACGGCAGGAACGGAAGACAGGTCCGCGGTACACCAATTGGGGCTGATGAGTGTATGCAGCCAGTGCTGGTCAAGAACGCGACTGGATAGATTGTGGCGGATTGACCAACAGCACAAATATTTTCGCGGCTATGTAACAGAGGCCGTGCGCCTCCAATGATGATGACGATGACAACGACAACTAATGATGACTTGCCGATGTGCTATTCCCGTTCACGACATCCTGGGTAGACGCGATGGGCATAGGCCAAGCACTGAGCCGGTTGACTGGCGTCAGCTCAAGCCGGATGACAGCCACATTCCAGACCGGATGACAGACGCCAGCCAAGACCGGGTGACCGGCACCGTTGAATCCGGACCGACCACTCTTTCCTGATCTGCTGGCCGGACTGCGTGAATTTTGTGTGGATCTCGCCGTGCTCACAACGAAGAGGCGGATTCTGCAGATCGAAGTCGACTCCGTCGTGGGAATGGCGCTCGATGGTGTCGCACCGGTGTTTGGGTTGCCATGGAATTGCAGAGCAACTATATTCCACTGCATATGCACACCCATTTTCTGATGCGCAAGTACTCCCCACCTGTACTTTCTCGCGAGTGGGTAGAGACGGGATAGACTGCGATGAATGTCGCCTACAGACGCTAGAAACCAGTCGTAGAAGCGATCTCACGCCACGGTGTTTGCTCGAAGGCTCAGAATGATAGAACTTACGCACTGCTCGCTCTAGTCAACCGGTCTGCATGAAGGACTGTTACGCGGTTCGGCTTAGTGCTTGTGAGATATGGATGCTACGACGGAATGGCCGCTGATCTCCAAGTTATCGCACGTACACGTACGCTCATTGAGATTTCTCATATTCGAGGCCTAGGAGGCACTGCAACAGCTCGCCTATGCTCGTCACCACTGGGCGATGGACGTACAGAGTATCTCTGCTGTTCTGTCACTCTTATGACTATCACTGCCACTGTCACCGACCATGGTACTTCGCCCAGCTCGCCTCAAACGTCTCCTCATGCACGCAGAAGTCCTTGATGTAGTCCTTCTCCAGCTCATGCGCCCGTTTGCCCAACAACACGAGACTGTGCAATGGGGGACCGAGATCGCTTTCCGCCAGTTCTGCGAGCGTGCCGCAGAGCATTTTCTGCTCTGTTGAGCCTAGTCGTGCGACGCCTATCGCAAGGGAGTCGGGACTGTAGACTGGCTGCTTGGGCTGCTTCGGCGTTGAGGATGCGCCGCTGCCCTCTTCAGCTTCCTCCTCGGCTTCCTTCAGGATCTCCAGCGTCTCCAGCATCTGCGCCGCACATTCACTCACACTCATGTACCTCGCCGGTTGGTATACTTTCCGTCCCCTCGCCATGTCTTCCAGACTTTGCTCCTTGACCTTGATGTCGAGCAAGATCAAAGTATGCAGACCTATTCCCATGTTCTCCGCTATCCTGTCGTAGAAGCTAGTCGGCTTCCAGTGATCTGTAAACCAGACCATGGAGACTGTTTGGCCGAAGTTGTAGAGTTGCAGGCCTGTAGCGCCAACCGCATTGAGTATCGAGGCATTGGGAATATGTTGGTACGGTATGCCAAGCGAACGAGCTCGGAGAACCAGGTCGGTGTGTGTAGTGGCACCGAATGGATCGCCAACGACGAGGAAGGCGATGGTCTGGTGCTGGGCGTTGGCGAGGATGGTGTCTGAAGAGGACTCGACTAATTCGCGGTCCGCAATGGTGATGGACCGACCGTAGAAGGACTCCTAGGGTGGCTGGTCAGATGGCTGTCAGCGAGCGTGCGCAATGTTAAGGGACAGAGGCTTAGTGAGGACAGGGTGATGAGGGTTCTACGGCAGTGCTGTACATACAAGTTTGGCCTTGTCCACCAGCAGGATGCTCGTGTATGCCTCAAGGTAGACCCGGTCAGCCTTTGTTACGATTTCGAGACCTTTGACTGTGACATCGGTCTCGTCGGCCAGGCCGAGGCCGATGAGGTACAGCATCTTTGCTGTCTACGAGCAGTGCTGCTTCTGCTACTATAAGTACTGGCTCAGGAAAATAAGTGAAGAATAGTGCGGGGAGGCAGGTGCTGTGCGGAGAGCTTTGCACAGCTGGCCTGTAGACGCCACCGTAGGTCTTCTGATTGTCCTCAGCCGTAGCATCTTCTTGCATCTTTCATCCTGCCCATCACCCATGACTGAAGTCGGTGTCCACATCAATTCTTTTGGGACGCGCACAGCTCCCAGACTGGAGGCAAATCTGGGCTGACCTGCGAGGAGGCGGGGCAGCCAGAAGTGGTAGTCAAAATGGCCGAACGACCCGCCAAATATCGGCAGGAGATTCAGCAGGTAAGAACTCACATTGATTTTGCGAAGACATCTCTTGGTGCCGAGGACATGCACGAACCGGGCTGGACGAGTACTGGACGAAGCGGATGGAGCTGGCCGCGGAATTGAGATCGTTCTGGTCCCTCATACCTACGACGACTGCTCGAACAATTGGCGAGGCTGCGAGGCGACCAGACGACCGAAAGTTGATCGTTCTTGGCAGTCATGTTCGTGGACACTCTTCGTGTACTTTGACCACCAAGCAGCCTCGAAAAGTCAGCTACACAGTCGTCCTCGTCACGATCGTTATTCCGTACCTCGATCGTCATGGACCGCTTCCGATCCGCAAAGCTCCTTCCAATCCTTTGCTTCGAACTGCTTCAGTGACCGCAGCACTGACTCTAACGCTTCGGAATCAGGCCAATCCTCCAACATCACCAAGTAAGATACTCGCACAAGATCAAGACCCCTTCCAGGAAGCCCCGTTCGAGGACACAGCAGAAGAAGGAGGCAGCTTCGGCGGCATCAGCAACGATTTCTGGAACTCCCTCGAAGCGCCTCCCGTGGAAAAGCCGAGCCTTTTCGACACCATCTTTCCACTTGATGATCCCATTGACGACCCCGAAACTTCTAAGTGGAGATTGGACCCAGTCGACTGCTACGGATACGATATCACTAAAGGCTATGACTACAACTACGTTGCACCTCCCATTGAATCCCCTGAATTCACCGAAGCACAAATGGCGTCCGAGTCTTTTGATAACTACCGTGAATACTTTGCTAACATCTGCGCGAAGATGATGTTCGTTAGCGGCGAAACTGCTGAACCCTCTCCCGATACTACCTGGCACATCGAAGAAATCGTTCGCGAACAAGTCATACATATGGTGAGTTCCTCCACAAAACCACGCCACAGTCTAACAATCAGCAGCTCAAGACCGCCGTCGAGTTAGCCAACCGACGAGGCTCGAAATCAATCAACATCCACGACTTGATGTTCCAAATCCGCCACGACAAGTCCAAACTCTCCCGCCTCAAGACCTTCCTCTCCTGGAAGGATGTCCGCAAGAACGTCAAAGACTCGGACGACAAAGGTGGCGGTGACGCTGACATCGACATCGACAACGAGAACGCTCAAGCTCCCGCCGCCGGAGGCCCCGCGCAGAAGTCCAACAAGAAACAAAAGCTCGTCTTGCCATGGGACGTGGAGTCATTCTACAGCGTCCAAGTTCCCGAGCGGGACGACGAGGAAGACGAAGAGGAGGACGAGCAGAACGAAGCTACTCTCGCCCGTCTCGCCTCCGCTGATGAACGCACCCGCAACATGACTCGTGAGGAGTACGTCTACTGGTCCGACTGTCGCCAAGCATCCTTCACCTTTCGCAAGGGCAAGCGTTTCCGAGAGTGGGCTGGTTTCGGCACGATCGTCGACACCAAGCCCAACGACGATGTCATCGACATTCTAGGGTTCCTTACATTCGAGATCGTCCAAACCCTCACCGAGGCCGCGCTCAAAGTCAAAGCTGAAGCCGATAGCCACAACCGCCGGATGACTCAGGGTCAGGGTGAGAGCAAGAAGCGCAAGCACGAGGGCATGGGGCTGTTTGTGATGCACGAGGAGGGTCGCACCCCCGTCGAGCCGGCTCATGTAGCGCGAAGCGTTTCGTCGTCTGCAGATCCCGCCGCAGAAGTACTTGATGTTTCAGAATGGACAGGCTGGGATGCGGCGTCCTTATCAGCTCATTTGATGGGCTAGCTAATGCCGTGTGAGTATGGGCGTGGTCTGTCTATTTAGCGAAGGCGTTCAGGATCGAGATATTGGGAGCTCTGGGGCATAAAATGGAGCCACTTGGCGCATTTGGGAGACCTTCAGATACCTCAGATAGTCTGGCTTGTCACTTTCGATACTACCTAGGTATGTGCGGCCTGAGCTTATGCTGGCGCCGGAAGAACACTCAAGTGAAGCTTAAGCAATTCGAAGTTGAGAGATTTGTCGCTCGGTTCAACATCACTGCCAGTTCTGAGTCGCCTTCAATTCCCGTCGGAGTCTCGTCATTCGAGCGTCGCGGACCGGCACCTCACCCAACAAAATCTACGGGCCAGGGAGGACTCTGTGGTGCAAGATTTTACATTCTGATTTTCGGGTTTACATTAAGACCCAGAACTTCACTCAACCACAACCTTCACCAGCCGCTTATCCCAAGCCACACTTCAGCCTGCCCGCATAGTTGACAATTTCTTGGTGCACCGCAGCTACGTGTGCTCGAGTTGTGCCAACAACATTGCAAGGCAACCGCTGACTCTCCGCAATGCATGATGACGCGAACACGCCGATTTGTCACTTCCCAGCATAAGGCGCAATGCTTATGCTGCTTGAACGTTCACTCGTAAAGCTTGAGCACAACGACATATTTAAATTGATTGATATCGCATTCCGGGTATACAGATTCCTTTACAGGACGTCAGGACACACATACCGAAAGCGAACACAGCCAATTTTGAACTCTCCCCGCCAAACGCAGTTGTTCTCACCGGAAGCAAAAGCCCAGCAACACGCAATGGCGACCGTCAAAGCAACACACACCGCCTCAGGCATCCTCCTCGCCGAAGTCCCCGTCTCGGAGACCTCCAGCGTGGAAGGAAACTACTACATCCCAGAATCAGCTCTCAAGCTCCCGCTCCCTGGCAAGGACGAGAATGCGAAACCTCGCCTCACACCATCAACGACGCATTATCACTGCCCCTGGAAAGGCCAGTCCAGCTACTACAACTTGGTCACCGAAAACGGGAAGACCGTCAAGGATATAGCGTGGTACTACGCGGACCCAAGCAAGAAGGCGATCGAGAAGGGCGTAACAAAGGACAAGGTGGCATTTGACAAGGGCCAAGTGAAGGTCGTGGTTGAGTAGTCAAGACTTCGAATACATCGCCCTCGAAAAATCGGTCTGAGGCGTCGTATAGCTCATTTACTTACGCCCAGCAATCAGAAATCTCGCTTGAAGCTCTTCGCTACGCTCCACATCCCTTCCATCTTCGCGCGCGCCAAAACGTCCCGTGCCTGCCCGTCCGTCTCACAGACTCTCGCGCCGAGCCACTTGCGGAACGCCCTCTGCTTTTCTTCACCACTGAAGATCAGCTCGCACTTATTCTCGCCTAGGTCCCTCAGCTCACCCGTCTCTTCATCATGCGCATCCAGCCACTTCGCCTGCTGTCGCTCCTCAGCAGCAGCACGATTCCCCTCCTGCACAGCCTTCGGTTCCTCGATCTCCGTCCACTTGATGCGATTCTGCATGAGCTTGTCGTAGTGATTGATCGAATGCGCACCTCCTTCAACCACCAACAAGCAGAATTTGGGGTTCATAATGCATACACCGGTAAGCTTATCCTGCTCGGCGTTCTTGCTAATCTTGAAACGATGCTGGCCGTTGGCGAGGCTGCCAATCTTGTATACACGCACGTGAATCCCCAGACTCTCGTCGGCAGCTTGCTGGCGGGCAAGCTTCTCGTGGCGCTCTTCCTTGGACAGAGCGCGAGCAGAGTTGGCGTCGAGGTGGGTTTGATGCCGGGCGGCGACTTCGCGGTTGACGCGGGCTTCGACGGCGGTGGGGTCTTGGATCGCTTCTTCGCCCAGGACGCGCATCATGTTGTTGCGTGTCACCTTTGGTGGGGGTGGGGGTACGAGACCGAGGCGGACCTTGGCTTGTTCTTCTTGCATGTTGGCCTTGCGCTGCTGGCGGCGTTTCTTGGCCATTTCGGTTTTCGTGAGGTGCATGGGTTTCGGAGCGGGCATGTTCCTTTCTTGGGGTGGTTCGAGGGCGACCGGGAATTGGATGTAGATTGTGACTACGGAGTCGGGGGTGTCGATTTTGAGGTTGGCTGGGTTAGAGATGGCGTCATAGCTGTCGCCGTTGACGAGGCCTTCGTCCCACCATTCGATTGCGGGTGGCTCGGGGACGAGGAAGGCTCTTTCGGTGTCGAGGTCCTCGTCTATGCCGGCTTTTCGAGCGCTTTCCGCAATGCGCTTCTTCATCTCTTCGAGCTGAGCTTGCTTTCGGAGGGCGGCGCCTTGGGCCATGTATTTGCCTTGTTCATTGAAGAGGAGTTGGCGGCTTTTGCGGCCGCGGAGACTGGCATTGGCAGGCCCTATGCTGCTGTCGAAGTACGGGTTCGCTTTCAGCTCTTCCAAGGACGGCGCCGTGAGGTCGAGCTGCTCCTTCTTGGGAATCTGTGGCTGTGCCTTCCTATTTCCGAGTGTCGTAGCAAACTTTGGCTGGGCTCTACCAGCTGCAGCGGTATGTTGCGCGTCATCTCTGAGGAGTGGGTGCATGCCAATATCGAGACCTCCGCGACTTCTCGGCATGTCTTCCCGTGCTGGAGGCGCATGGCTCGGTAGTGGTGTTGTTGACTGTGTAGATGTTCTGCTTGTGGCGGCAGCAACACGCGCTTTCAAGGCGGCGAGGCGATCAGATGTCGATGTTCCGGTGGGCAGAGAAGCCGCTGGCGTTGTAGCAGGTGGTGCATTGGCAGCATTGCGTGCCTTGAGCGCTTCGGCTCTTGCTCTGGCCTGGGCCATGATCTGACTGACGTCCATCTTTGGCGGCGCACCAGGCGTGCCTGGGGTAGACGGACGCGGTGATCCATTGTTGGAACGTGCTCTCTTCTGGTCAGAAGATGCATCGTCTTCAGGGTGCGGTCTTTTTAGCGAACTGCTCGGCGTGCTCGCCATGGCTGGCGGGAGATACTCACTTCAAGACGTCTACCAGCGACGGGCTGTACCTCAGGTACTGTCCACGTTCCGCATGTGAACAGACAAGAGCGTAGGTTGCAGATGCATTCTGAGCCAGAAAAGTGATTCAAGTTGGGGAAGCCTGGCCAAGCCCGGAGACGAGCTCACCTATCTCCGGGGGTGACGAGTGACGTACGTCGCCGCTGCCGATTGACAACTTCGACCACCAGGCATCCTCCATCGCTCTTGCTTCTCATACCACATATCCCAATTTCATGCCTGTCACCCAGTACGCCCAAGTCAAACCAGGCCAAGCCGTTTCAATCGTCCTCAAAGCCGATCAGCGCACCGGAAAGCAAGTGCAAGGCCTGGTCGCTCAACTGCTGACCCGACACAACCACCCTCGAGGCATCAAGGTCAAGCTCACCGACGGTCGCGTGGGTAGAGTCCAGCAACTCGGCAAGATGTCGTCGAATAACCCCTGGGAGGACGCCACATCACAAGGCAATCCATACGTCAACTCGCCAACACAAGGCCAGCAGTCGACGGGGTTGAATCAGACATATTTTGCGCAGGACACCTCAAACCAGCACCAACAGACACCCTATGGTCAGCAGACGAGTCAGCGGCCACAACATAATCAGCAGCCGCAGTCGAACCAGCAGCATTCGAATCCGTGGGGCGCTCCTCAGGGTCCTCCGCCCTCACAAGGTCTCCAGCGATCCGATACAGAGGACCTGCTCAGACAACAGGGAGATGCAGGCGCACAGTACGAGACGATGCAGCAGTACGAGGCAAATGCGCGACAGACGGATGACGACAAGAACCAAGCTGAGCTGCAGAAGCAGTTCCCCAACATCGACTCGAGCTTGATTGCGGCAATTTACAATGAACGAAAGCCGGACATGGCAGAGGTGCGGGAATTGCTGCAGGAGTTGAACTCTTCATGATACACACCTACGAAGCCAGCGCCTTATCCATATTACTCTTGGTAACATCCCACAACTTCTTCGCATCACCACTCTCCCTGATCTTCTTCAACACCGGCACCGTCGTCGCAACAACATCATTATTCTCATCCACAGCATAACTCCCACTCCCAACCACGCCGTCCGTGCCCACCGCGGTCTCCATCCCCACAACCTCAACACCACCCTTCCCAGCTCTCTCATCAAAATTCCCACTAGTCGCCGCAAAGACCTGCCTCTCCCCACACTCCTCTCCACCTATCGCATAGAACGGCATCACGAATCTCGTTGCTAGCCGCATCACCACGCCCGTCAGCCCCGTCATCGTATCCGCGATCCCCGTCACCACATGCCCCGGAAAGCTATGCACAAAACCGACCTCCCCATCCGCCTCTTTGCTAAGTCGCTCCATCGCCAGCGTCAGCATACTCGCGCAATGGCCCCTCATCTCACTGATCCTCGGCATTCCCTTGCGGTTCTGCAGATGCAAGTCGTCGACGTCCAGGGGGCCTTCTTTTCCTCCACACAGCACGTTGACCACGTGCTTCAGGCCGCTCGCAGCGCGCAATTGTGGTAGGAGGTTCTGCGCGAAGCGGATGCGGGAGTAGTACGCCAGGGCCGCCATCGTGGGCAGTCCCTCGGATGTTCTGGCGCTGAAGTCCAGTGTTCCTTGACTCATATACAGCACATTGATCGTCTTCACTTCCTGCTGGAGCTCAGCGCATACACGATCGACTTCCTTGAGGAGGCTGGCGTCGCATTTGATGAAAGTGATGGTCGCGTTGGGAGCGAGGGTACGTGCTTGGTCTATCGTTGGGGTGGAGGAGCGGGCGAGCACGTAGATTCGGGCTGTGGTGGTGGGGTGGTGCCGCAGGAGAGCGAGCAGGCAGTATGCGCCGATGCCTTTCGTGCCGCCGACGAAGATGGCGGTGAAGTCGGCTGGGAGGTACTTGGGGATCAGGGCGTTGGAGGCTTTCATTGCTGAGAGGTCGGGCATTTTGACGTTAGGGTTGTGTGGACGGTTTCTAGTGGCGTGTGAGGTCGTCAGGACGGTCGTTGCACTGTTCTGTACCTGGCTCTCGTGTTCTGCTGAAGAAGGGTCTCGAGATAGCCCGGTAACGTCAGCGAATCCGTCGCGTTGGCTTGTTGAAAGTCTCTCCCCGCAATTGACGCGCTATGGTGTTTTGCGATCTGCGCTTCCTGTCGAAATTGCGATTAGGTGAACATCCGTAAACGTGGTTCAACCCGCGACCATATATACATTCTGCACAACAGGCAACGCTCCTGCCTTGCGTCTTTGCGCACACCCACGGCAACACCGCCGCAAGCCACACCGACGCCCATCTCTCTAGCTGCTGCGTAAACTCAACGACAAACCATCCGTCCGTGGTGGACAGCCCACCAGGCACTATTTCCACCGTCATTTCTCCATGCACTGTATTCATCCGAAAGCCGACCGTGCAGGGGCCGCGTAGTTAGGACGAACTTTCCACTCGTCATTGCGTGGGCTCACTAACGGCCTGGGGCTTAGCCACCAAAAGAACATGGGCCCGATTGGCCCTCCTGGGCGAATTTGAAGCCGAATTGAGAGCTTGTAAGGATTGATTGGATCGGGATCTGGAGCGGTCGTAATCGTGTCTTTCCATGTGCTTTCTAGGCGTAAATTCCAACTTGAAGTTTCTGTGAACAACTTCGAGATTCGCGGTGGAATCATGGTCAGAGCCGGGCTTTGTACAGGACAAGAATATCGGTCGTTCATGCGTTGCTGTCCGTAGCGAGGAATATGTGAGGCTGTTGCCCACGGCAAGGTACAGAACAATGCTTGTTCAGAAATGACACGCGCTACATGGAAGGCATATTCAGGTCCAGAGCAGCTTGACGCGAGTGCAGGCGCGACTCTGTAATACCAAGACCAGCGGCAGGCGCGAGTCTGGTATCTCTAGTCCACCGAAGAGCTGCGTTGCTGCGGTTCACGACTCAGACACATGCTCTCTTTGTTAAACATCAATCTCAATCACCGAAAGCGCGCTCACCTAGGTAATGGTGCTGATTAGCGATGTGCTCGACCTGGCAAACCAACATCGCATCTCAATAATCGTCAAATCGCCACACCCCCCACGATTTCTACCTATACCAAAAATTGTCTGCTATTTCAGTGCTTCACCCCGATGGAAGGCTCCAGACGAGCTAATATGCTAAGCTCGATCGTAGCACAAGATCTGGTCGCTCCTTTCAGCACCCGTCGACGCCGTCTTTGACAACTCTTCGACAACTCTTCGACAACTCTCATGACACGGATGCGACTGAGCTCACTGTCTCCGCAGCTAGCGATCACATAACCTCACACATCATGGTCATCGCCGTGGTAGCGACTGCAGTACCCACTCCGCCACCAGCCGCCTTCGCAATGCCCTGAAGATATTCCTTGCGTCTATGAGTCTGTGGAATCTGCGGCGTGGGCGCGACGTTGTTACTGAAGTTCGATAGCTCGGTGGTGATTACATCCAGCTGGGGATAGTCGGAGAGCACCTCAACCACGTGTGCTTCGCATAGGGCAGAGGCTCGGATGTGGACTTGGTTGTTTGCTAGCGCGACGAAGAACTCGTTCCTGCGGTAGGGGTTCAAGGCAACGTACTGATATTGAACAGAGTCAGCAAGCTGCCTGCAGCATAGCACGAGGTGTTTTCGATGAGCTTTCATACATACAACGACATCGCCTCGTTCAGATTTGTCGAGGATATCCCACAGCTCCGGATAGCCCATTTTAACCTTGTAATAATAATCCCCGTCGGTGCAGAGCACAACATACGACTGATTGATCCCCAAGGATACAGACTTGATCGTTTGACCTGTGTCATCAACAGTGTGCAAGGCTTCATTCAACTGTTCGTTGGTTTGACTGACAGCTACACTTGTCATCCAGTCGTCGCTGCTGTATAAGAGCCATTCATCTGGACTGGAACCGAACGCGGCTTTGCAGTTTCGTCGACCATTCTTCTTGAGGAATTGCCTAATGTCCCTACTTCCGAACCCTTTGGAAGTTCCTGGAGTCGAAGTCAATACGAGCTGGAGGAAACGATGACCGACATACTGGACCGTGTCACTGTGTTGCCTCTCTTGTCGGTGCCAGTATAGACGCAGAACCAGTCCGAACTAGCGTTCATCGCGAGCGAGACGATACTTTCGAGTTCTGGGGCTTCCAAGAATGCGCCGAGATCACCGCAGATCCTATGGCTAAGCAGTCTCATGTCAGCTTCTTATATCCTCGATCTGCCTGAAGATTGCGAATACCTCGTCAACCGTTTCGGGTGGTCCAGCACATAGACGCCGATTCCTCCGAAAATGAAGCACAGTTGGTAAACAGACATGATGGGTTAGCATGTGTCCTCATCGAGGAAAGAGACAGACCTGGGCAGAAGACTTATAGCTGGACTTCCTGCCCGGACTTCGGGAGATAGCACTTTGGTTCGACAACATCTCCAGTGGTTGTACATACCCGGGCTGCACCACGCCCGAGTATCGCAAGCTCGAACTGGATACTCGGGGAGAAAATACGTCTTACAACTGAGGGTGTTCATGCTCTTGCGCAGGCACCCGTCGTTTGCCCTTGTCAAGCACCATAGAGCAAGAAGTTCATGTGTCACAAGAACTGTCGCTCGGCTCCGGTCGCCATCCCGTGCCTGACCTAGGCAGGGCAATTGCATTGTGCAACAGTACAAGCTGAGGTTGCGAAGACTGTGAGGACGTCCGAGTATGCTGCATTTCCTCGAGGCAGCATTACGAATCGCGGTCTTAGCCATTGGCCATGTAACGACCGTTGTTATCTGCTCCTGTACAGGGCGATCTTCGTCTGGACTGCTTCCAACACGCGTGTCGGTGCAGGATGACACCCCAGGACCGCGCAGTGTCACATTCAGTCGCGGTTCTGATAGAGCAGCGACGCTCCTAATTGCAGCATCGTGCCCATCTTCGCGGACGGTTCTGCCCACGAGCAGGAGCTGGTCAGTCCACCCTTGGTACGTTGGTACCTAGAACCCTGTCTTCTGATAATGTATATTGTACGAAGGGACTCTTCATCGCAGAAGAGTCCAGTCCAGTTTACGAGCCGTGCTCAACAGCGCGCATTGCTTCCAGAAGTGGTCAACGGTCACATTGGTAGGTGTGGAGGACATTCAGGGGCACTGCGTGCATTATTGACAAATTGACTTGATGGTCCGATCCGCAGACACAAGAACTTCGGTCTCGATTTTAGAATCGGCAAAGCTTTGTGTCGGACGCATAGATCCTCGACCTGCTTTTGTAATCCTGCCGTTCTGGGTGGCGGTTCATTCCAAAGCAGCCAAGTTCTGCGCGGTGTGGATGTCCGTCCCCTGGCTGGGCGGATCTTCGCCGCTCATAGAAGGTGCAGCGCAGTGCTTGTATGGCTTGGCGCATTTCCCGCCCCAACCTTGTTGTGACGATGTCGCTTATGTATCTCCTTTGTCACTGCATGTCGCTACTGATGTGGCGTCAGTTCAAGCATCGGCAAGGACCGATCCACATGGTCGCATTAGCTAACGTACAACTTGTTACAGCCATCCATCAATATTAGCATACAACACAGAGGCTGGCCCCAAGTCCTTCATACACACGGCGTAAATTAGCGATTACTGGGCCTCTTTACGAGACAATGTCCAATCCCAAAGAACCTGAGTCCTTGCTCTGGATACTACCTCGAGTCATGCTGAGAATAAACATTGTTCTCTAGACCAAAATACTTGGTCAGAACTGTTGCGCCACACTGTACCATAGGGCGGCCTTCGGCACAGTCAGGCCTGCGAGCCCTACGTTCTACACGAACGACCATGGGTGAGGATTACGCACTCTGCTCTTCGATACCGACGGAAGGGTAGCCCTAGAACGAGGCTCACGCTCCAAGTTCAGACGACCGTGGCATTGTCCCCACACTATTGCCAAAAGGAGTCGAAAGAGACATTTAGTCAGCTCTCCTCGTACTCGTCTATGATATTGCTTCTTCTCAGGCCAATGGGTGGTCAGCATGTTATTCCATTTCTCGAACACACACTTTCGCCCAAGTTCCAGAAGTTCGATCGGCTCATTCCATAACTGCTATATTTGCTCTTAGCGGTTGGAACCATATGGTACTAAACGATACAGCTTAAGAGATCGACGCCACAGCAAGCGAGGGCCCGCCCGCGCTATGCTTCACGAGGCGACGGTTCAGGTTTGGGGAGGCGGACTTGACCACGATCAGCTTCGTGTTGAAACCCACTGTTGATGATCGATCAATTGAGACAGAAGTTGCGCGGCCGCTCAGCATGACTATACGGATCGGCTCCACGCGGGTTGAGGAATATATACTGGCTGGATGCTCCCGGATTGCCGCAGGTCACATCCTGGACATACTTTTGACCTTAGGCCATCTTCCAACGAGTGATCGATCACTCACCAGGACAGCAGGTAATCTTCGACTGTAAAAACTAGCAGCATTGTGAACAGCCATCCACGTCCTTCCAATCACCAGCCAGCGCCAGCATGGCGAACCATATAACGTGGCACCCATTCGGTCACCGCCAACAACAAGGCTCAACACCACTCCTCGGCAGCAATAGCCCACACGCCGGCGCATACAGTCCCAGCCTCGGCGCACCAACGCCATCACCACATCAGAACGCATTCCCAAACTACAGACAACCGCTCCCTCCATCAGCATCATCATCGACCTCCTACATCCCCCAAGACACCGGCTACGAACCAGCCAACGACGCCGGAACAGGCTACATCCCCCTCAAACCACCCTCGCAAGTCACCTTCCCTCAACACCCCAAGAAGTTACCTCTATGGCGCCGCGCCACCAAACTCCTCTCCCCAATCGCCACCATCCTCACCTTCCTCTTCTCCCTCGTCCTCACAGCCGCCATGCTCTACGTCCTCATCCAATTCCTGCGCACGCGCAACACCCACCCTGCCGACCCCAACGCCCCACGCGCTTCCGACGGCAGCACCTTAACCCCCTGGCCGCCCGCCTCTGACGGCCCCGTGAAGGTATGGCCAACTTACCTCCTCCTCGCGGCCACCGTCGTGTCGTTGTTCACCTCCATCCTCGACCAACTAGCGGATTGCAACTGCCTCCCCAGCTTGAAACGCACGAAGATCAAGATCACGTACTATGTGTTGCATATCGCGGTGTGGGTTGTGGTGGCGGTGCTGTATAAGACGGAGAGGGGGTTGAGTGATTTGTGGGGATGGAGTTGTCATATGGAGGGCGGTGAAAGGGAGAAGATTTTCGCTGAAGTACTCAGCTTTAGTGCACTTTGCAGTGTGCAGGATTTTAGTTGGGTTGGGGCCATTATTGAGGTTGCGGTGAAGCTGGCGGTGCTGGTGGTGGCGTGGATCGTGGGGAGGTGCTGGGGTGGGAGGGCGAAGAAGGGGGTTGAGGTTGTTGGGGAGGTTTTGGGTTGGACTCTTTGAGGTCGGGTTGAATCGGCGCATTGGAGCCATTCAAGCGGGCAGATACGCGGCACTGTTGCGAGATCAGCATATTGATTCATGGCCACCAACAGAGCTGACTGGTAGAGGTGGCATAGGGCGACTTAGAACCGGCAATGCATCTACACCTTCAGCACACTCAGTCGGTGATCCCTCTCTGCTGTAACGATCTCTTCGAAGACTGAAGCTCGCCCTAGCAAGTAGCTGCAGATGCTATCTGACTATGGCAAGGAGGAGCAGAAAGATGCCTGGAACGAGGACAGTCCTGGCGTTAGGAAGAGGAGAAGTGGTCGGGGCAAGACAACTACTTTATACCTAGGTATCTCTCCAGTAGAGTGGAGACCCAGAACAGACACGGAATGATCATTTCGAGTGACTTTGCCGAGAAGGTATTAACTGTTCGTGCATAGTTTGAGATCGGGCTGCTACTTGGCGTATTCACTCGAGCGGCCTCGTCGAGGAGGACGGGCTGCTGCCTGACGTATTCACCAGAGGGGCCTCGTTAAGGAGGAAAGATCGGAAACGACTTGAAGAGTTTCGGGAGACAAGGGAATCTCGTCTGATGCTCAGCGTTCGAGAGCTGTAGCATCCGGAACTGTCGTTTTGAAGGGGCGCAGGCAGGTGGCTTTGCGAACGACTTGATGGCGAGCCATTTCATAGCTGCTGGGGCTTTGAAAGCATTTGCAATGGACCAAAAGATGGGGAACGATACCTACACACTGCGACTGTCCCGGAACCTTGGGCACGATCCATGCTGGAATCGTGTGGTATCGCTGCGATTATATTCGAACTCGTCCACTCCACCGGTAGTGCGGCAAGATCCCGTCATCATGGCAAGCTTGACGATTATGAATGTAGAGATACTCAAGACAATTCTTTACGTACCAGTTGGCAGTGGCTAAAGCGCTCGAATGCGTCCTCAACAACCTCGCTGCCAAAAGCGGCGAGCGTGTCATCCGGCTATGCCTGGGACCCTACGGCGGCCTGCTCAGACGCTGCACGCAAGGCACAGATGAAGCCGGATGACAAGCATGCCGGTTCATGGCAACAGTACGCGTTCGATGCTAGGTGCTGCTATCCACATTCTATTTCTGTAATGGGTTCTGCTCAATGACTCTCCAGAGTGCTACTACGTTGCGCAAGCAGCCCGGGACCCTCCTTGCACCCTCGCAATTTCTCCTTGGTACGCCTGTGCCCGAGATAATGGCTTGCATCTTCAAGGAGTCAGTCCCTGCTGAGTTCCATGCTAGAGGTGTGCGTGGGCCGCTCTCCAGAATTGTTGGCCAGGTCGGTATGCAGCTTTCGGGCACAATCCGCTCGGCACGCTTCCCGTCATCGACTTCTCAGCACACCCATCAGCTCAACGAACCGCGGTGTCGAGTAGCCTAGATGTAGAGCTCGAACGAGACCGGGGTGTATCCGCTCAAAGCCTTCTCCAAGGATGCGTCGATACGCTTTTCTGCCCAAGGGATAGGTTTTAGAATATGTTCGGTTGAACCATCGGCATTGCGACTCGTCATTGCGTTCTGCGTCAGGTCAGCATGTACTGCTCTTTTCATCAGCTCCAGGGAGACAAACTGCGATATGATCAAGGTGGAGCGCCCTGTACGGAGGCATGGTTCTGTTGTTGCCAGTGCGTCGGAGGGAGACCTTGAGGTGCCCAATCTTGTGGCGAAGAACCCACTTGACATTGCTCGGCTCCTTCTGGGCGCCTCTGTCGCTAGCCCGACCTTCATAGCTGCGGACCCACACGTTGAGCCGGGTCGTACAGAACCTCCGCGAACCCGCCGCAAGATCTTCGAGCAGCTTCCCAAAGGCTGGTCTTGTCGATTGCGTGCTGATCGCTATTTCACCGCGATAGGAATACGTAGTCGCAGACTTCTCGATGCACTTCAATGCGGGAAAGCCATGGCGCTGCCTCAATGCCGGATAATAGGGTGGGCCAGGCAATTGCCTGGATAAGTCTCTGATTGTGGTGAGCAAGGATCTCCACGGGTCCAGCACAAGGCTGGCCAGGGTACTGAAGCGATCAAGATCGTTGTGTCCGGAGTCATTGAGAATCCCAAACGAGACGCCGCCAGCTGATAGATGTGAAATGAATTCTTCGCGGATGGGCTTGTTGGCACGAAGTAGACCAGCATGAACTTGCATTCGTGGCGCCTTCAATGCTTCATCCTGACGAGAGAGAAACTCGAAGAAGAATCTCGCCCGCAGGCCTTCGACGTCTTTCCACGGCCACTCGACTTTGCCTGTATGAATGTCCCTAGGAGTACTGATTCTGGTCCAGGTGCGCAGTATGTAGTCTTCGGTGGCGACCGCGTAAATCTTGACGCGTAGCTCAGCAGGGAGTTGAGTCAACATCTTGGTCGAAGAGAGAACGCGTGGGAGTATCCGAACGAAGAGCAGTGAAGTGATTGACGTTCAGACAATTCGATGAACTAAGATCAGAAGTTGATAGCTCGACCAAGCTTCATCAGAGTTTCGCATAAGGCAAGAATCATTTCGAGTGAAGCACTGCGAGATATGTGAAGGGTGCAATAATACCAGCAAGTCACTTACGGTGGAAGATTGCATTTCCTGTGGGCAATAGTATCACCTGTACCCAGTACCTTAGTGAAATCGATATATTGATTCGATGAGGACGTGTCCTTGGAACACTATCGACATGCACGCTTGCTGGCGACGTTGATAATTGTTTGCCCCCCGGCTTTGTGCATAAATCAGTAGAAATCGGGACGTCGCGTTCTTAGCAAAGGGACCAAGCATTGTATGGCGTTGTACAGGTGGGTGAAGACGTAGCAGATATAGAAACGTCCGACAAGATGCCATTGAGCGACGAAGCGAAGGCTGAAGGCGTCCCCGATATTGTGGCTAGTAGGTCTATCACCGCCTGGGCCTGGATGTCGACGAGCATGTCGAGACCGCGCATTCCTCTACCTGTTCTAGTGACCAACCGAATGATTGGCCGCGGTCTGTAGCACAGTGGTTGAGCTGCCCGAACCTATAGGAGTCCAAGGCCAAGGGCCCGGGGCCAAAAATTGAGATCAGTCCGTAGGCCCCTGCAGGTGGACGCCTTATGAACCACAAGGCAGACTTTGGCCGTACTTCGTATCTTGCGACACTCTGTGTATCAAACTTCCTTCCATAAGAACGACGGACGAGAAGCACAAGATGCTGTCTCCAGCATCTGACTGGCATGTCTATGCCAGTCACTTCATAAGGGACAACGCATCCTCCCAGGTGAAGGACTCTGATCATCAATTTGGCCACAGTACCATCCAACGAAGACCTTAGCGGGACACATCTAGATTGGGTGAGGAAGACGGCACAGCCTAGGCTCGAGCAGCGCTTCCATTCTCCGGGAAAATGACAACACGGTACTCGAGAGCGTTATAGCCATGCCGATAACTCTGTTCTCACAGGCTCTTCTCTTCTTCATCGGCACCCTCACGATCTTCAGCCTCACGCTCATCGTTCCACTCTTTCCCTTCACCGGAGCACCTCTCCCTCACCGCCATCCCTGCGCCCACCTCATCAGCCCGTCGCTCTCCGCAACTTTCGACTGGAGCTCGCCCAGTGCATTGGACCTCGCCTTCTGCATTCAACACCGGCAGCCGAAACCCTCAACCTGCCTGTTCTACACTTCGGACGCCCGGCTCGACGCAAGGCGCTATGCTCAGGAATCCGGCAATATCACTATCTACGATGTCTATGACCAGTATTACTTCAACCCCGCCCACCTTCCCGGCAGTCAGTGGAATAAGCTGAATGTTACCAGAATGATGTGGAAGATCACAAGCAAAGCATACGCAATGCGCTGTTCGGGCAAAGTGAGTCTGGTGCTGCCGTGGAACGTGAGCGATGAGGCGGTGTGCCCGAACAGTATCTGGGTGACTGATGAGTATGAGGTTATAAGAGAAGCGCAGGGTACGATTGAGTTGCCCGTGAACAGGATCAGCTGGGTACCGGAGGACGAAGTTGGGGGAGGAAAGTGGGTGAGACGGCCTTTGCGTAAGAGGAGCGATGCTGGAGACGGACAAGGAGGGCTACCCTCTGATTCTAGGCGACGTGTCAAGCGCGGTGAGATCAGGTCGCCAGAAGCTGTTGGTGCAGACGCTAGCCAGATTGCGATGGCTGAGACGATGGTGGATGAGCCAGTGGTAGAGATGGACGATTCTTCTTCATCTGTTAACAAGCTCTCGGATGAGCTGACGAGGGGACTCTGGGACGATAATGGCGATGATCCGTGGGCTGTCTATCAACCTGACGATGTTTGTGGCCGGCCGTGACGCGGAACAGGGTCCGGACACGGTTTGCGGAGCTACTTGAGTTGTTGGCTGCAGTTCTTCGCGGCTGAATGCATTGGCCTGATTGTGAACGAAGGATCGACTGAGCTGAGCAATGACACCACTTACTTAAGGAAGTGAGAGCTGGGAGCGCAAATGTGCCTGACCCACGCAATAAATAGTGAATGTCTTCTGGCCGAGTCATTACAGTGACCGTTCCGAAGTTGCCCTGGTCTTCACTTTGTCGACGTCTCGTCAGATATAAGTACTCGCTTCGTCCTCGGCTGCCTCTTCTCTTCCTTCTTCCTACACAGTGGCGAGTTTCACTCGTCAGAGGAGGACTGTGCGACCGAACCTTCCTACTTGCCATGACATGTTAGCATCCACTGCTACCTGATGGGGCAAGACAGTGAGGCCGATGATGCTGCCAAAACAGCGCTAGAAGACCCAAGACCTTCAGGACATCCAGCGTGGCAGACGAAGGTCAGGGGATGCTTAGCAACGAAAGTCCTCATGTCGAATATTGTATCTCTTTGCTGATCATAAATATACAGCTCAACGCCTGCAATGCCGTATTTCTACCCACAAACCCGTGAAGAAACCCAAGTCAGTCCGCCGATGCGCCTGCAGCCCCTTCGCTGTGCAATTTCTCCCACAGAATGTTCGACACATCAACCTTATCCCAACCACGCGAAGAGAACTAATCCTCCCAACTCTTCTCCACAGTCTCCCTCACCCGCTTCGTATACTCCTTCCGATTGTCCTTGTACAGATTACTCGCTTCCACATTCGCCGGACTGCCTGTGTTGGGATCATTCAGCAGACTCTGAATACTCGTCAAGATGGCAGCTACATCGTATGTCGGTGACCACCTATTCTGCAGGATGTCCAGACATAGTTCGCCGGTGCCGTAGACGTTGGGGTGGAACATTGAGCTGACGAATTTGACGCCGGGGGGCTTGTTCGGGTAGGCTTCTTCGAATTGCATGACGAGGCGGAATGTGCCGTCTTCGAATGGGGTGTCTGCTGGGCCGATTATCACTGCGTTCCTGGAGACATCAATCAGCTTGAGGGTTCGTCTTAGGTGGGCCAGGGGATGTACCAGGTCATCACGTTATCAGCGATAGGTGAGGCGGAGACACCGGCGGGAGGATCTGTTTGCATGCGCTGGGGAAGTTAGTGGAAGTCGGCCACAGCATGAAATGCGCTGACCTTGAAGTCCCGCATCAAGCGGCGTCTTGCAGATGTAGACATGGTCTGTGATGGGTATGGGGTAACAAGAGTTGGTTGCGGCCGATGCGAGCCTTCGCTCTGACTTATGGGAGTCGCTTTTCGTGGTCTATTCAATGATTCGCACGGGATGCCAGGAATGAATGAGTATGTGAGAGACTCAGAATGAGTACGGCGAGAATGAGAGGCGAGATGGCAGTGGCACGAGAGTCGCCGCAGATACAACGCCGCCAATGAAGTCACGGTGAAGGCCGCGACCCGGGGCGGCACGCCGCTGCGACGCCGCTACGGGCTTGGCATACCCGAACTCCAAAGAGCCGAGGTGCGGAGAAAGTTGGAGGTAGTTTCCGCAGCTCACTTCACATGCTCGCCAGCCGTTAATACCCGCCATCGCCTCCATGCCACGGGCTAATTTCTGATCATCTTCAGTCCGCCTGGGGATACTTCGACAAGCTGGCGCCCTCAGCAGAATCAGCATCAGCAGCACGTCTGACGGGCGACACCGACGACAACATGGCTTCCCTCGCAGCGCCCGCCCGTCGCGCCGCCGCACGAACGGCATCTGCTACATCCTCTGCGCGTCTGGGCCAGCTACGCAGCCACTTCAGCACAACAGCTCCCGCGCGAAAAGAGATACAGGAAGCTTACATTTTGTCTGCGGCGCGTACACCGACAGCCAAGTTCAATGGCTCCTTTATGAACATGTCAGCACCCCAGCTCGGCGCTGTCGCCATAAAATCAGCCCTCGAGAAGTCCAAGGTACCCGTCGAGAAGATCACAGACGTTTACATGGGCAACGTCCTCTCCGCAAACGTAGGCCAAGCCCCAGCTCGACAAGCGACCATATTCGCAGGTCTCCCACCCAGCGTCGAGGCTGTCACCATCAACAAAGTATGCGCCTCCGGCCTAAAAGCAGTAGCCGTTGCAGCACAGAACATCCAGCTTGGCCTCGCGGAAGCACAGATAGCCGGTGGCATGGAGTCAATGTCTCGTGTCCCCTACTACCTACCTCGAGCCGCCCAGAACCCGCCCTTCGGGCACATCAACATGAAGGACGGCTTGATCGAAGATGGCTTATGGGACGTGTACAACCAATTCCACATGGGCAACTGCGCCGAGAACACCGCCAAAAATTACAAGATCTCCCGTGAGGCCCAAGACGCATATGCAATCCGGTCCTTTGAGCGAGCACAAGCCGCTTGGGCAGAGAATAAATTCGCGGATGAGATCGCCCCAGTCACCGTGAAATCAAAAAAGGGCGACGTAACAATCAGCAAAGACGAAGGCTACGAGACCCTCAAGAAAGACAAAGTGCCTACTCTGAAACCCGCCTTTGTGCGCGACGGGACTGGCACAGTCACTGCGGCCAACTCGTCCACCTTCAACGACGGGGCAAGTGCGCTTGTCTTGGGGAACAAGGAGATCGCTCAGCAGTACGGCCAGGGCAGCCGCGTTCTTGCTCGGATAGTCAGCAGCGCAGATGCAGCCACCGATCCAATAGACTTCACAATCGCGCCTGCCAAAGCCGTGCCCATTGCGTTGGAACGTGCGGGCATCACGAAGGAAGACGTTGCGATTTGGGAATTCAACGAGGCGTTCGCTGCTGTCATCAAAGCGAACGAACAGGTAAGCCGGTTTCTCCCCTTGCTGACTCACCTCAAATTCTCGGCTTCACGGTACTAACCAAGCACTAGATACTGGGCCTCGAGAACGCAAAAGTAAACCTACTAGGCGGCGCTATCTCTCTAGGCCACGCACTGGGCAGCTCAGGCTCGAGAATATTGACGACGCTGCTGCACCAGTTGAAGCCTGGAGAGTATGGTGTCGCGGCGATCTGCAATGGCGGCGGTGCGGCGACTGCAATGGTCGTGCAAAGGATCGAGTCTGTATAGGTAGTTTGTAGAACCATAGCACGAGGATGAGCCAAGTCCCAGGAAGCCGTGTGCGATCCAGAACTAGCGCAGAATCATAGCCTGTTCGATCTCCTGCACACCCTTGGTACTGATTCGATACGTGCGCCTCTCAGCGTCTCCGCGACCCCAGCGCATGACCGCCACGAGCTCATTGCGCTCGAGAAACACATGCACCGCCGCCCCCTCCCTCGTGTCCTTCAGCTCCGGCTGCAGCGGGAACCACAGTCTCGAGCTCTCGAACTCAGTTAGAACGTCTAGTGGTGGGAGGTGGAAGCACTCGAGATGTACATCGTCAGCTTTCTCGGCGTCCTCGGGTAGGCTGCTGCCACTCCTGGGGGCGAAGGTGGTCCGAATGAGGTCGTGAAGGTGCTGCTGAAGTTTCCAGAGCACGATGGCACTGACAGGTCGGCGGATGATGGGTGTGAGGGGTTCGAAGAGGTGCTCCCATTTGTGGTCTCGGGCGACGTCGAGGGGCGTACTATGTTCGGGTGTGTTGTTGGAACCGCTGGTGCGGGAGAGACCTGGCAAGATGTGAGACAGGGGAGGGTGGTGGCGTGATGAGACAGAGAACGTACGCCACGCGCCCTCCTTCAGCAATGCTTCGACTGCAGACTTTTTGCCGTGCCAGGCTGCTTGATGGAGGACGGTGTAGCCACTTGAGGATTTGCCTCTCTTGTGCTCGGCATCGCTCACTGAACACGATCAGTCAATTGCCGCTACGTGACGAGTGTTCGTTGACTCACGGAAGCGGGTGCAATTGACCCAGTTCTGACGATGCGTCGTCTTCGCGTGCTCAAGTCGCCTGTAGACCTCATCCCATCGGCCATGGTAGGACGCGTCAGATAAAGCTATTCGGTCTTTGAAATATGCCGACTTATCGTCCTGACCTGGCTTGCATCGGAATTGCCCGTACCATGCAATGCCGGAAGTCTTGTAAGGCGTGAAGATGCCATTCCGATCGAACGTTGAGGATTCCGAGGAGGTCTGCAGCCCGACTTGTGCTACAATAGTCTGCAATATGGCCAACTTCTCGTGAACGCTGACAACTTGCTCTCTATACGCATGTCAGCCTTTGTATACATGTCGATAGACAGAGCCGACACACGTCAAGAGCAGTTTCCAGAGCCGGTCCGTCTCAGCGGCGAGCTTGCTGACAAGCTCCTCGACCTCACCACTGTTGTACAGCCACTTGGCACGATCAATATAAGACAACTTCGAGCCAGCACTGTTGGATACTGCTGCCTTCACCTTATCCCGCAGATCCTGCACTATGGTCCGGCATTCCAGCGTGCTCACTTGCCGGTCGAGATACTCCTGCTGCTCGGAACACAGCGGTCGTCGAATGACAGCGAAGCGATCGAGCTGCTCACGCAGCTTCTCTGTCTCGCTTGTCACTCGTGCGAGGGCACTTGGGGCTTTCTTGAATTTTTCGGCCAATGAGATGAGAATTGCGACGACGTTGGCTGTTGTTTCGAGGAGGCCGATTATTGAAACGGGATCCATTGCTTAGGCCGTTGCTGAGATAGCGCTTCCGCAAGTCGTCGCCAGCATCAAACACAGCCCTCGTCATTGTCTCGTGCTCTACAAGGCACGAGAGACTGAAATCGACCGCAAAGCCTTAGTACATGTAGGGTCTTAAGCCGTGCTGGAGTAGACGGCCATGTCCTCTGGCCTAGAGTGACACGGCGTCAGGCCACTTATCATGCCCCGCCATCACAATCCTTCTGCAGGGGTGGGTTCAGCTTCTGCAAGGCCGATGCAGCGAAGCTGATCTCGGCTATGGAGAGGTGCTAGCACTATGTCAAGGATCAGAGATGCGGTCATATTGTAGCTAGTTACCCGTGCGTCGTGCCGCTATTCACTTTAGCTCTACGCGGATTATGGACGGTGGCATCGTAGACCGGATGACGTGCTTCCCGAGGCATGTGAAAGACCGGTTGACTTGGTGAGCACGATGCCACAACGGACCACGAGTCACGCTATGACTCCCAAACAAGAAAACGCCCTTTTTCCTGGCCAGAGTCATCAGAAGTGGTGGCACATCAGGATGATATTACTATAACCTCCTCAAACGAAGGACTGCACATCCAAGTCGCTGGAAGACTCTATCCTACTCCTCACATGTTATATCTAGCCAACAAGAAACCATGATCGTTCAAGTATCCTGCTAAGGCAAGACAAAAGCCACTTCGGGCATGCAAGGTATGAAGCAAATGTACCGCACGCTTTCGCTTTCGTGCTGAATGAGTGTGTGCGAACACAGGTCGAGGATGTGACATATTCAACAGGCTGCCAACGCATCAAGTCCTCCTACCCCAACCGCTGAAGAATCCACCACCACCGGCGCTCGCGCTCGGCGCATGTATGGCTTTAGGCGACTCCCTCGCCGGCGTGCTCGGAACAATCCCCGTCGGCGATTCCGAACTCGACACCGTCCTGCCAATCGGACTTGTCGACGGTCCACCCATGATCTTCCGCAACGCATCCAACTTGCCTCTCGTCTCCTCGAGTTCCTGCCTGGCGACCGCTTCAGCTGTCTTTGCGGTTGCGAGCTCGAGGAGCAGCGCGTCGTTCGCGGGTTGAGTTGGGGATGGTTGCTGCTCTGCACTGCTGCTGATGCTGTTGGCGGTGTTGTGAGTGATGGCATTGGAGACGATGGCAGCAGCATTCAGACTGCTGGCACGTTTTGAGAAGATGACGGAGGACGGTCGGGGCTCTGACGCGCGACCAAGCTTGAATTCCCGAAGACCAGGCTGTTTAGGCGGTGGCGGCATCTTAAGCTCGCCAAAGTCCGCGCTGGGTGTAATGGGCGTGTACATGTCCGATGGCGATTCTGGTGTTGATGGGTGACGCGCGCGAAGTTCTTGGACCGTGCGCTCCAAGCGCTGCTTCGACTGATGCGCGTCTTGAATACGGGCGCGTGCATCCCGCAGATGGTCTTTCAAATCCCGATGCTCAGCGTCTCGCTCTGAAAGCTTTTGTTGTAGCTCTGCCGAACGCTCGCATTCCGCATCGTAGCGGGATTGCCACTCGTCAGCGGTATCCCGGAGGGCGTGTTTGCTGAGAATGATGGACTGCCGTTGGCCTTCTGATGAGTTGAATTGGAGGGCGGCCTTTTCCATGAATTGGAACATCGTGGTGTCGGTCTCGTCTGGCTCGCCACCAGCGAGTTCGTGGATGAGTGAGGTCTGTATGCGGAAGCGGGAGAGTAGTTCTTTGGCGACTGTGACGTCCTCGGCTCGCTCTTCGCGTTCTCGTCGGAGGTCTTCTTGAAGGTCTGAGTGCTGGCGCTGGAGGTGGCTGAGGGCGGTGAGGAGGTCTTCGATTTGACTGTGTAGGCCACGGTCGTCAGCGGATCGTATTTGTTGTTCGCCAAAAGATGTGGCTCGCTTTATTGAGGCGTCCTCGTCGATGTCTGTAGGAGCTGTGCTGGCGTCTGAAACGGTGACCATAGAATGCACGGTGGACGTGAGGCTGTGACTTGAAGAAGAGACCCTGAGACTAGCGGCGCCGGGTATGGTAAGGCTGAGATTGCCCGACTTGGTCGACATGTGCCCGGACCCACTCCAGAACCGACCAAGGATAGCTGCCGCCGTCGATTTGAGCGCGGATTGAGGCGCAACAGTTGGCATTTGCGCCAGGGTAAATTCTTGCTCGAGCGCCTTGAGCGACTCTTGATTAACGACAGAAGTGAAGGAAACGACATCCTGAATCAAAGCATTACCATCTTGGGCGTAACAATCGAAGACTTGACGTCCGCCAACCAAAGACATGGCTTCTTCGTAGTCTAGAGATTTGAGTTTCTCAGCATTCCTCTGCATCAGGGCCAACGCGCAGCGCATTAGAGTTTCAGTGGCGCCCTCCGATAGGATCAGATCATATAGTCTCAGTAGCATCGGTAGCGGACATGTTGCTGAGAAGAACGACAAGAACCATTTCGAAACCCATAATGCACCGAGGTCGATTTCTTCGAAGTGCTTGTTGAGTTCGGGAAGATGCTGCTTCAGCAGTGCTGAGAATTGGTAGATCTTGAGATGCAGCCCGTCCAAGCTAGGGAGATATGATGATCGCATGCCGTAGCCCTCCATTACGCGGACGAGGATGCAGAAAGCCTCGGGCTCGCTCATGTGCATGAGTAGAGGGCCAACGACAAAACCAAGCCCCTGACAGTAGCCGATGTCACTGTCGTAAAGTGAGAAGGCTTTAAGGACTCGGCCAAGCATTTGCTGACCCTCGCCACCCGTTTCTGAGAACATGGCGACATTTGGGAAGCTGCGGCCGACATCCTTGCCAATGATGCCATCGTATGGACTTGGTTCGTTCGCCAGTCGCTGATATTCGGTGTACAGGTTGGGATCTCTTGCTCCAGCAATGCTGACCCAGACAGGGCCTCGAAGCGGTGGAGGCACACCGCCTCTTATCTTGTTGGCTGTGAGTGTCGGCAGCCGTTCTACCGTCTGCTTGGTATCGGACACAAGGGCTATCCAGAACTCATATTCGGTCATCTGAGGTGTAGGTAGCATGGAATAGCGCAGGGATTCGGGCTGCGGTCCATCGATGAGCTTCTTGAGGAACTGTATCGAGGGTGGTCGTGTGCTTCTTCGCTTCTGGGACTTTGGCGCGGCGGCCTTAGGGTCAGCGATGATAGCTGCATTGGCAGACTCTAATCGAGCAAGCAGTAGTGCAGTCGATTCGTCGGTAGCACTGTCCTTAGGCTCTTGCTGTTCGGTCTTCTCGAGCTCCTCCCAGTCGACAGGGCTACTTGAGCCATCAGACTCGGGCCTCGAGCTCTTTGACGACGTCGTGGAAATGCTGAGTGGTCTGCTAGCTACACTGTCCGAGCGAGGGCGGGGATCAAGGGGTGAAGCTTCAGTCTCGAGCGACAAGCGAACTGTGACCATAGAGGCTGTATGATTTGGAAGAGGGATATCTTCTGGTTCGACTTGTGGTTCGACCATTGTCTGACGCACGGTTGGGATTGTAATGTAAGGATTGACAGGTCGTATGCAGGCAGCCTTCAAGCAGGGGACCCCGTAAAGGAGTGCTGGATCCCCTTTCTAGAAGACGCGTTGTGGTTGTTTCAAGGAGTGACTTCTCGCTACTTTGCCGGCAAAGCGAGCGAGCTGGTGGCAAGCAGGATGAAAGAGTGGAATGAGCGTCGAACGCAAGAATTCAGATCATTGTTGCTGGAGGAGGGGTTCTTCAACTCGAAACAAAGGACGAACGATATTCAACTTCCAGCCCCTGGCCGGTCCAGTGTAAGCATGTGGGACTCCGGCCGACGCGCCAGCCAATCAATGCGCGTTGCCTGCCCGAAGCTGCAGATCCTCATTTCGCGAATTCAACAACCTCAGATCAGCATTCTGATCAATCAGTTGCCTTACACTTCGTAGAGAGATCCTGTCCTTGGTCCAGTGTGCGCTCCCATATGTGCGTCTGCCTCGTAGTCCCTGGGCTGCGATGCAAGCGGCTGCGGGTCAACAGCAAACCAATGCTGGCTTTAACTGGAACGAAGCTTCAGGCTTGATTATTGTGCCATTCCGAGGGATGAGGACGATCCGAATGAAGGCGTGCTGACGAACCGATCCTAAGAGCAGCGCGATTTGCTCAGTGACACTTATGCAGCAGCCTCAGTGCATCGTGTGTTCCCATCGTGAACATTATGTAGCAGCAACGAAGCGAGGTGAGTCATCTGCAGTAAGTATGTAAGAAGAGGTTCGCTCCTTCCACAACACTGATCAGAGCTGTTTCGGCAGTCGCATGGCACTTGATCGAATGTGTCAGGTACGGTGCTTTACAGAGCCTCGAAGTACTGCAAGGACAAGATGTTAATCATTGGCCGCCAGCTACTAAAGCTACCAAGCCAGCAACCGCGCAAGCACATTAACGTGTACATCAAGTACCTCTGATCTGCTTACTTCGAAAACATCTCTTAGGCTCCAGAGAGTAAAGCATCGACGCACTCGACTCGTTTTGTAACTTACATCCCCTACGCGGTCAAAGAATTGGAGATGAGCTTCTCGCGCATTCTCGCCCGGATGGACGAGCTAGCTGCACCTCCGAGGCGTCCTCCCGCTGCCGACGCAGCAGATCTCTCGCCGATCATGGCTGAACAGGATGCCGACACCGTAAGATTCGAGTTATTCACATTGTCTTCTAGACCAACATGCCCAAACTGCATCAAGGGCGGATGACGTTTGGACGCCGGCAGACAGTCCTTTTGAAGATTGCCAGGTCTGTCCAGCTGACACAAACAGCGTGGTCCTTCTGCCTGCTTCCTTGGTACCTGCTGGCATGGCCAGCACCTACACCAAAGCAGGCCACAAATTCAGCCGGTGCAGCGTGACATTCATGGCTATTCAACGACCAGGCATATCCAAATTCTGTTCCAAATGCGGAAGAGCAGTTCTCCGCATTGAGAAGCTCGAGGACGAAAGTGGTCCGAGCTTGACCAGGCGACTTCTCGAGGAATGGGATGTGTGCCCGTATTGCCAAGGCTACCTCCGCGATTGAGTCGGGTGGAATGCATTCCGGTGTAACATACTTAAAACCCGACAACCCCGCGGATCGAAGGAAGTTTTCGGCACATACTTAAGGCTGTGCGGATGATGGACGGGAAGCCGTTGCCACACGAGATTGCTGTCTCGAGGAAAGATTATGCCGTCGACTATGACGACGATGTGGCCGCAAACGGCAGCGAGTTGCCTGAAAGCGACTTTGGCCGCATGCGTGCCAGCGCTACTCAATTTACATATCATTAACGCAAACTGCTTCTGTCATCTTGCCTTCGCACTGTCATGGTCTTCCAGCCTGTATCGTTTCTTCGCAGACTTACACAGACTCACAGCAGCACAGTTTAGACCAACACCATGTCGTCAGAAGCAGGTCTTTCGAGATCGGGTTCGCTCACAGACTGGCTGAGAACTAGCTTCAAAGGCGGCATGTCTTCTTTTAAGCCAAAGAAACCACAAGACAATGCACGATTGAAGGCACGTCTTTCGAAAGAACCGCCTTCTCGACCCAGCAGTGCTGCAGCCGCAGAGCACATCAACGACAAGACCCAGGATGGCAAGCCCGTCGAATTGCCAACAAAAGAGCCTGAGAGAAAGCCTACAGCCGAGACTACGAACTCGTCCGTGATTGATCCCGACTATTCACCAAATAAAAAGGCATTCCGGAAGAGTGGTGGCAAGCCGACTATCCCAGCCGGGCAATCGTTCTTCGAAGACAGCTCAAGCGACGAGGAACCAGAAAGCCCAGTCCTTCAGCGTGCCAGCTCCGTCCGAGTTGCGAACCCCGTCTTGGTACGGAATGTCAGCAATGCTACCGGTGCAGTCAGCCACTCGACTCCTCTTCGCAAGCATGATGAGCGTCCTATCACACCTGAAAACAACAGCGACGCCAAAGATGGTCCTGCCGACGCCCTGCGTATGCTTGAGGCGAACTCTGCTAAGCCTCTGCCGATGCCCTCGACACCTCCTGCATCACAAGGCCATAGCACGACTACGAGTACGCTTGGTGGCGATATCACTGCCTCGCCAGCGTCCACTGTCTTTAGTAATGTTCAAGCCGCATCCAGTCCGCCCTCGACACCTCCAATCACGATCACAACCCCTCTCCCACCTCTGTCTGCGTTGCGCTCCAATCCAGTCACACCGACCACCGAGCTGACCTCTGCTCGGCTGTCTCGTGCTCTATCCGCACCTACACCACCAAATCGCAATCCCAACCGTCGCGTTACAATCCGTCCCTCGGACCTGGTCATCGGTGAGGATCACGACCACAAGCTCTTCCGCGATTCAGTCATTACGACGCCATATCCCGGGAGTGCGAGCGACAGCCTGGCCAACAAGAACAAACGCCTGTCAGATATACCCGATGAGCCTTCTCGTGCCAACAGCGTCGGGAGCACTGCTAAGCCACCAATTCAGCTGCTGTCACCACATGCGCTAACGGCGTCACCTCATGGTCCCGGCGACCGCGATCGATTCCCTTCGCTCACGAGCACTGAATCGCTGCTCGTCACGTTGAGTCTGTTTGGAAAGCCGAATACTGCGTCGACGGTCGAAGTCACCATCCCACTCGCTGCTACTCAACCACGTCAGCCACTGTCGCTGCGCCGCGAGACTCGCAAAGAACGCGCCGCCCGGCCAAATCTTACAGCACCTGACTTCGACGACAGCAACCTTTTCACTCTCCTCCGCAAGCACTACCACTCTCACCTCGTCGGCGGCCGGGCTAAACGTGTCTGCCTGCTCCCCACACGCACACTCAGCAATGCCACCTCGATACCCGCCAGCGACACCATGAACACGAATGACATTGCCCACTTGAACGATCCATATGACTTCCTCGCTCACCTTCGTGAGCCAAGTCTCGGCAAAGGCAAGCGTAATTACCTCCTCTGGCTGCGCAATAATCAGTCTTCTGGACAACAAGTCAACCGTCGTGGCCCCTCAAGCTCATTCTCAACTGCCGCGACCATCGAGACGCCCGTCGCGGTAACTGCCACGGAGACGGGTTTCCCTGCGAATGAGGCTTCTCCAGTCAGCACCTCCAAGAAGAGCGATGTCCACCCAGCATTCGGCGGCACCTTCCTCTCCTCGCCCACCACAACCCTCCCCTCGATCCAGCACTCCACAACCAGCAACAACAGTAAGGTCTCATACCCGCGGATGCCCTTCCAAACCAGCCACGCGTACAATGCGGCCTCAGTCTTCGCGCACGGCGCCCTCCCACCATCCACTAAGCCCGCGCAAGCAACAGGGCCACACATCGCCCTGCACCACCGCACAAACCTCCTCACCCTCTCCCTCGCAGGCTTCCTCGTCTTCCTCGCCGGGCTGATCACTGTCATTGTATGGGTGCTGGTTGGCGTGCCGGGTTTGGCTGCAGGCCAACGTGAGCTTCCTTCTTTCCATGAGAAGTTTGTTGACGCGGGTAGTACGACTGATGTGGTTGCGACGAATGCTACTGCACTCGCAGCGTTCGATACATACCGCGTAGCAGCGAGTTATGGAGACTGGCACGTTGATGCGCAGATGCGTGTTCTCACCGCACTAGTGATGGGAGGTGTTGTGTGGTTTGGTGGAGGTGTGGCGGTGCTTGGGTGGTGGGCCGCTGGCTGGATGCTGTTGTGATATCCCTACTAAAACCCATAGGTACTATAGAGAGATTAGCTTGCTGCGAAAGCAAGATGGTGAAAGTAGTGCCAAAAACTATATCCGTTGCGAGGACCTCAGCAACAGGAAAGAAGGGACCCCGAACCAGTAAGAAGACACCAGGATCGGCAAATTCATAGAAAAAGTCATTTCTCGTTAATTCAAGCTTGTTTCCGAGTCATCGAAAACGAAGACGTCCCGCTGTGTCGCTTTCCAAGCGTACTGATGATTTGAGTACACGAGCGCTTGCTTGCTTGCTTGCCTGCCGTCTATCCATACACACCACTCATTCAGTGTACCCTGACATCGCCAAAAGGGCCCTGCCGTATCGTGCGAGTCTGGGTGTTTTGCGTACTGCGTGCTTTGCGTGCTTTGCGAGTGTGCATGCTTTGCGAGTCTGCATGCTCTGCGCGTCTTCCTGCTTTGCGAGGCTGCATGCTTTGCAACTTTGTTGCCCATTGACGTGAACTCAGTCGCTATCGTCAACATCAACAGCAAAGCTGTCGTCGTTCTCAACCTCATCATCAGAATCATCGAAGGCATACTTCACAGGCTTCTTATTTGTCGCCGCACGTCTCCCAGCCCGAGCAGCCGGCTTCACATCTTCGTCGTCGCTATCATCAACGTCCATAGCGTCGTTGTCCTTTCCGGCAGGCGAGTCCAGCAGATCATTCACGAGATCATCATCCTCGTCGTCAGAAAGAATCACGGTCTTCTTCTTGGCAAGGCGTTTCGCGTACGCCTTCGCGGCGGGTGATTGCGGGGGCTCCTTCTTTGCCGTTGCAGCGGCAGCAGCCTTTTTGTTGGCTGTGACTGCTGAAGCGGCGACTTTCTTGACTGGAGCTTTGACCGACGGCGCTGCGGTCTTCTTCTTCGCGGCAGCTGTAGCCTTGGGCTTGACAGACTCGACGTCGCTATCCACTCCTTTCTTGGGACGGCCGCGCGCTTTTGATTTGGTTGTCGCGGGCTTGAAGTCCTCTTCCGAGTCATCGTCTTGCTCCGAGGCGTCGTCCTCGAAGACTGTGGTGTCCTTGTTGGTGACCAGGATCGAGCGACGCGGCGAGGATTGCGGAGCCAGTGCCTTGTAGTCCGTCTCCTCATCATCAGAGATGCTGTCGGAGATCTTAGGCGCGGGCGGCTTCGTAGGAAGCTTGAAGTCATGACTGCTTGACGGCCGCGAGGTCGACGTGTTGAACAAGGGCTTCGACTCTGTCGTGTTCCCACCAAGTGGCTTGACCAATGTGCCCAGATCAGCGAGCAGATCGTCGCCATCACTATCGTCGTCTGAGTCGACGGTGTATTTGATGGGCGCTTTATTCGCAGCTGCTCGACCGCGTGGCTTGTCCGGCTTGGGGATCGTGCCAATAGGCGCCTCGGTCTTGACCTTTGGCTTCGAGACTTGTGAAGAGCCAACACCTTCAGCAGGCGTCTCAGCGCGACTCGTCGGTTCCGAATCACTGCTTCCATCAGTGAACTGACTTCTCGCTTGCGCGATAGTGCTGTGCACTTTCGACTTCGCTGGGGGAGCATACTCTGTCCTCTTCACAACAGGATTCTTCTTCTTCATAAACGTGTCCAATGAGCCCTGAACTGCTTTGGGCGCAGGTACAGCTTTGGGCAGTGCCGGCTTCTTCGCCTTCTTGCGATCATCAAAGTCATCATCAGAGTCATCATCCTTGTTCTTGCGCTTCTTCGACGCCGTCTTGCCCCCGATGTGGAACTTCGCGGATGCTCTCCGACCACCCTTGCGAATCTTCTTCTCGGTTTGACGCTCGTCTTCAAGTTGTGTTTCCCACTCGGTGACGAACTCGTCGAGGTCGGTGCGCCAGAGGTCTTGGATGGAGGTTTTGCTGAGGGCGTCGATCTCGTGCTCTTTGTCGCCCATTTGCTTGCGGAGTTTTTCGATGCGTTCTTGGGTCAAGGACCAGATGGGCATGCCGAGGAGGTAGTCGCTGGAAAAGGGGTCAGTGTTTGCACCAGGGTAAGAGGTTGTGTGTCCGGGTACTTACTATGCGGAAGCTTGAGCGTTGATCTCGGCGTCTTGCTCCTCATCTTCCTCAACGGCATCGGCTTTCTCACCAGCCTTGGCTGCGTCCTTCTCCTTTGCGAACGCCTTGAATTTCAGCTCCTGGAGCTCGACCACCAACTTTGCTTTGCGCTTCTTCGCAACAATGAGCTCGCCGTCAACAATCATTTGGACGAATCTCGCCATGTTGGTCAGGCGTGTCAGCTCCTTGTGCATGGTCTCGAGCATGTAGGTCTTTCGCTTAGCGTACAGCTGGAGTCGATAGCGGTAGAACTCGTCCAGGATGTCTTCGACTCGGTCATACTTTCTGATACGACCCTCGGGATCGAAAGCGACGAGGTTAGCCAGCGAGACCTGCTTGGTGAGCTTGAACTTGTCGACTAAGCCTTGCTTCAGAGCAGCCTCCATGTGCTTCTCGGACTCCATTTGGATGGTGAAGAGCACATCCTTGTGAGTATTGTAGTCCTTGTAGTCCTTGATGAAGCTCGGAGCCTTCTCGGCTTTGAGGATCTCCTCGAGCTTGTCCTTGAAGGTTTGCGTCCACATGCGTACTGGCAGCTCAGAGATCTCGATCTCGGTGTCGTTCAGCTGCGAGGCAAGGCCCGAGAACTGGAACTTGCCAGGACCAGTCTCGGTGACCTCTCCCTTGAACCCACGGAACCAAGGTTGCATCGGCAGGAAGTCCTCACCATTCATCTTGCGTTTCAAGTTGTCCACGATCTCGACAGGATTGAAATTCGGGATGGATGTTGACCAACCTGTGCCAATGCCGTCCGCTCCGTTGACAAGCAGCATTGGCAGGATGGGAGCATAGATCTCCGGCTCGATGGTTTGGTCGTCATCGGTATTGTAGGTCAGCAGAGGCTCATCTGACACGTGGAAGAGCTTCCGAGCGAATGGCGATAGGCGGGTATAGATGTACCTCGCCGATGCAGAATCGGCTCCTCCTTGCAATCTGCTACCGAAGTTTCCTGAGGGCTCGAGAAGATTGATGTTGTTGCTTCCGACGAAGTTCTGCGCCAGGCCGACGATCGTGCTCTGGAGTGACGTCTCGCCGTGATGATAGGCTGTCATCCCTAGAACAATACCAGCGAACTCCACGACCTTCATGTCCTTTCTGAGATTCTTCTTGAGCGCGGTATACAGACACTTCCGCATACCCGGCTTGAGACCGTCCACGACGCTGGGGATACTGCGAACGCAATCAGCCAGCGAGAAGAGCATCAGCTCCTTGTTCACGAAGTCAGTATAGGTAATTCGTGCAGCTGAGTGATCCAGATAGTCGCCGGCTTTATATGACTGCAGCCAGGTCTTTCGTTCATCAGCCTTCTTGTTGCTGAAAGCAAGTTCAATCAGCTCTGGCTCGCCTTCTCGCATGGTGTGGAATTCTTTGTGATGGCGTTCAAGGTCACTGAAGTAGACCTGGGCATCCTCTGCTGTCGAGGTCCCCAACCCTTTGTAGTACTTGGAGGACCAGCCTTTATGGCCTTCGGCCTTCCATGCTTCGTATTCCGGCATGGTGAAGAAAGTCTTCTGCTGAGTTGGGTGCTTTGCATCGCCCTTCCAGATCTTGACAATCGGCGTAATGAATTCGACCAGGAACTCCGGAATGCGAAGCAGAGATGGGAATTGGCACTGGAGAAAATTGATGAGGAGTCCTTTGATATGACTACCATCATGATCCTGATCCGTCATGATCATAAGGTGGCCATACCGCAGGGACCGCGTATCCTCATAGACCTTCTTGTGTTGAAGACCCAAGAATGACTTGATAGCATTGATCTCAGCATTCTTCGAGATCTGATCAACGGTAGCGTCGCGTACGTTAAGAATCTTTCCTCGAAGCGGGAACACACCGAAGTGGTCCGGAGAGACAACAGCACGACCAGCCATGGCAAGACCCTTGGCAGAGTCACCCTCAGTGAGGATGAGAGTGCAGAGATGGCCAGAAGCAGTGCCAGCTTTGTTGGCATCGACCAACTTTGGGTTGTTCATCCGAGTGCGTTTCTTGCCGTCTGTCTTCTTGAGCAGCGAGTCGGCTTTCTGCTGCTGAGTGGCTAGGAGGTCCTGGAGTATGCTTGTGCCTTCGACGATCTTCTTGACGAACGCATCCGTAACCTCGAACTTCGAGCCGAAGCTGGAGGCTTTGTTGGTGAGTTGCTCTTTGGTCTGCGAAGTGTAGGCCGGGTTGACGATCTGAGCATTCACGAAGAGGAAGAGGTGGTTCTTGATCTGTGCCGGCTTGAGTGCAACACCACCCTTGTTGCCCTTCTTGACGTGAGCTGCAAGTTTTGTGACGAGTTGATCCACGATCATGTTGACATGGGTTCCGCCCGACGAGGTGTTGATGGAGTTCGTGAAAGATACCTGCTGGAAGGAGCCATCAGACACTGCAACGCCGACAGACCAGCGCTCGTTCTTCTCTTTCGCCATGATGATGTTCGAGTCATCAGTAGTCGTATCATCGCCTCGCTCGAGCTTGATAGCTTTGGTGTACAGCTCAGCATATCGTTCGAAGCTCTGCGAAGGAAGTGCAGGTAGACCCTTGCCATTGAGTCTGATCTTGACTCCCTTCAGCGTGCCAGCCAGATCGTACACTCTGCGAACAAACAGAGCCTCGAGATCGTCATCCATGCCATTCGGCATCTTGAACTTGGCCCAATCAGGCGCAAACGTGACCTTTGTGTAGTCTTCACCTTTCTGCTCGGCAATGATGGGATCGTGCATCTTGCTCATGTTGTCTGTCCAAACCTGCTTGTACTTCTTCTTGTGTTTCGAAGATGCCGTCTCGATTGTGAACTTTGTGCTGAAGATGTTACACAACTTAGCACCGTAGCCATTGCGGCCACCGGTAATCTTCTGCTCGTCGTCGTCGTAGTTCGAGCCGGTCAGTAGAACGCCAAAAATCATCTCTGGGATGTAGATCTTCTCCTTGGAGTGGATCTCAATTGGGATACCACGTCCATCATTCTCGACTGAGCATACGCCGCGCTCTCGGTCAATGTGGACGTCAATGTAGCTCTGGTTCTTGTCGTTTTGCTTATTGTCTGCGGCATTTACGAGAATCTCGTCGAAGATCTTGAAGACACCCGGCACGAACGAGATCTCTCTGTACTCCATCCGGTTCTCCTGTTGGTTGAAGACCCACATGTGGCGTTCATTGCGCTCGACGGAGCCGATGTATGTGTCTGGACGCTTGATGATGTGTTCCAACTGCGTCAACTTCTGGTATTGCTCAGAGACTCGTTTCTTCTTCTTCGGTACGCTTGGATCTTGAGCCATCGCCTCGTTGACAAGTTCGCCCAGCGGCTTGGAGTGTGGGCTCTTGGCTGGGTTCTTGGGTCCTTTGGGAGCAGAAGTCTTTGCCTTCTTTGCAGCGGGCGGTGTGTCGGCTAGAAGAGATTCATCATCAAAGTCATCAGGTTCATCTTCGTCGTCTGACTCTTTCGATCGCTTCTTGGGAATTTTCGCTTTTGGTGCCGCAGCCTTGGGTTTGGAGGCTGCCGCTTTCTTCACTGCAGCGGTGACTGGGGCCGCCTTCTTCGCAGCTTTCGGCTTCTGCGATGTGTTAGCGACGCGTCTTTACGGTGTGTCATCGCAACTTACGGCGACCGGCGCCTCAAAGTCGCTGCCATCGCTCATGTCGAAGTCGCTACTCATTTTGGCGTGTAGCGGCAGTAGACTCCTGTAAAGTCTGACAGTCGCGTGAGGACCAAGTCGTGTGCTGCAGATGGCAAATCGACATCGACTGAAAAGAAAAGTTGTCATGCATGGAATCGCATTGAAATGGTTTGTTTACACGACCAGGCGAGGCGCGTTTCGGGCGTGAGCAAACTTTGCCTCCGCTATCTCCGGGCACTAACCACGAGTTCACGGCTTGGCCCTCGAGCTTAGTGGAACCCACTACCACGTCTTCCACGTTCAGGCACAAAAGTCACTTGCTTTTCTTTCAACAGTTAGTGCTGAACGGTGCAAAGAACGGCTAGGCCGTGTCTGATCCAATGATCTAGTCTATGGTCCGTGAAGACCTCTATTCTCGTTATGCCCACCCTTCGTAAATGCGCCTTTAGATGCCGCAGCTTCAACGAGCACCTAGGCATGATACCTCGTACTACTCACGCTTCAACACCCAAAAGAGCTGCCCAGTCCCAGCCTGATTCTTCTCATCACGCCTCTCAGCAACATAGTTGCAAGACTTGAAAGTACTGTACAATGATCCCAAGAATGATTCATTCTTTGCCTCCATATATCGGTCGCCCATAAGAGGCGTGATGGCGTGAGTAGCTCGTTCGGCATGATAGAATGGGATCTTGGGAAACAAATGGTGGACTGCATGATAGTCGACGATTTCATGGAAGAAGTGGCGGCCAATGAAACCCATGCAGCTGCGGTCGACGGTGCCCATCGCGCCTTTGGTGAACGTCCAGGTTTCTTCGGTATGGTAGGGTATGTCGGGGTGGGTATGGTGGAGGTATGTGATTGCGACTGTCGTTTTATTAGCAAGGGGTGTGGTGAGTGGGCGAAGAGGTATGCATACCTAGCCAGTGATGAACCCAGAGGTATGGGACCAGGTACAGGAGAAGCGTTGTCTTAACGCCCACGCGGGTCGAGACAAAGTAGAGGAAACCGAATGTTAGAAGAAGGCCAATGTCGGTTAGCAACACTGACCATCGCTGACTCGGGCTGAAGAGACGACTAGTCAAAGTGAAATGATTCGCTGTGGTCGAAGACGTCGTCGCATTATCAGTGTCAGGTAAGCTTTTCTTGCCAGCCGTTGCATTGGACACGAGGTACACCTGCCAGCCGATCAATTGGAACTGGACGAGTCGTGCCAAGGTGACCAGAGGTGTGTCCTCGGCGTGCTCTAGCAACTTGCTCAAGCGGTGGTTGCCCTCCTTCAGTTCTGTCTCTGTCGGCGGTACGAACACAACGTCTCTAGCAATGTTGCCCGTGTATCGATGATGCCGAGCATGTGTTATCTGCCAAGAGAAATACGGCACCAAGAGAAACGAGTGCACTACCCATCCAACGAAGTCGTTGAGTCCTTTGTAGGGAGAGAAAGCGCCATGACCACACTCATGGGCAAGGATCCACAGACCAGTGCCAACACATCCTTGGGCAAATGTGTAGGCTAGCCATGCCACCGCCTGCAGCCATGGACTTGGGATCGAGTCGATCTGTAGGGCGGTATAGACCAGTGCTGCCGCATAGATGATATCTCTGGCCAGGTACAGTAGCGATGTGGTAGCTGATGACTGGAAGCACTCTGCCGGGATAGCCTCCTTGAGCTGCTTCAAATTGATGTTGGCTGGACTCGCATCCTCCGACACATTGACTGTAAGTTGCAATTAGCACTTCTACCTGATTGACTGAGCAGGCTCACTTACCACTCGACATGTAGAAGATAGTTATAGGTGGTCTAGGGTGAGCAGCAGTGAAATATGGCAAACAAACCCATAGCAACCAGAGCGAGAATGCAATCTGCACTCCTGATCTCGAATGCCATTGTGGACATATCTCGAGACCCTTTCTTCTGGAGCCTGGACCCTCCTTCCTCAACCAAACACACCGCTATCGCAAAGCACAGCCCTATGGAAGAAAATTTGTGTTGAACGATGTGGATGCAATGTTTAAGGTTGAGCGGACGCTCTTGGCAGAAGACGGGTACCGAGATCGACCCTTTGGCGAACCGTAGCAGCAGAAAGCCGCCCGTGCTTTTGATCGACGAATGGAGCAGTACTGTGTAAGGAGTGGCTTGCATGTACCGCAGAGTGCACTGACCCTTTATGCGTTGCCATTTCGGGTGGGTCATGCCCGACCGTTGTCGCAGAGTTGGACGCATGGTAGAGAGCAATGAGGGCGCGATGTGCGCTGCTTTCTGGCCATCTGGTTCGAGAAGAGGCAAAAATACTGACGGCGCTCGACGGGACATCCTCCAAAGGGCGCCGCGAGAGGTCAGTACTTACCACATCGACGTCCTGGTCGGTTCTGTGGAGGAGCAAGCATACTACGGCAGAGCGCGGACCTCATCGGCGACGGCGGAGAGATCGCCAGGGCTCATACAGCCGACGACAAGCTCAGCATTGCGACTCGAGGTATCGATGTCTGGCAGCTGTTGCAGACACGATGCCAATGACAGCTTGTGACTGGTATTGCGCGTTGAAGCTTCGAAGTGACGTGAAATGTCAGGTGAGTCAAAGACACGGTAGAAATTCGGAATTTCCTAGTATTGGTGCCTTCCATGTGATGATGCTGGCCTTGGCTTCCACAGCACATTATGCAGGTCTGAAAGGAGCAGTCCGACTTAGGTCTCGACCGAACGGGAACCCGCTATTCCATGGTTGATTTCATGATATGTCTGCATCGTTGCGAGTGCGATACATTTCCGCTAATCACAAGGGGTATCCAGACCTTTCCGTCCTTCGGACTTCTAATATCCACAGGAAGCACATCCTCTGTACGCCACGTAGAATGCTATATTACAAGCCATATCGCTATGTTACTTTCCCACCTCCACACCAACACCGACCCTCGCCTTCCCGCTCTACCTGTATGACAACATCCATCTTCCTCGCACGTAAATAAGCACTCGTCCGACGCTCGACATCGTGCAAGTCTGCGGACGTGCTCGCAATGACATGCATCAGTCCAAGCACTGTCGTTGTTTCTTCATCATCGCTTTGAGCACAGTCTGAGCTCTTCCTCTCATGCCCGTGATGATGGTCGTGATCATGACTGTGACCATGATGATGATGCCCATGTCCACCAGCATCCTTCTTAATGTCCTCTAGCCAAAATTTGGGCACCGAGTAGCCGACCACGCCGCGGATGTTGCTAACACCTGCCAGGATGTCTCGGAGATTGTACTCGATATCTGAGTTTAATGAGAGCAGGAGGATCTTGGTTGTGGAGCTGACGAGAGGGATGACGCTGGCGAAGATGAGAACTGCGATCAAGAATGACCCTATGGGGTCCCAGCCTGACCATCCGGTGAATTGGATCAGAATTGTGGATATGACGACAGAGACGGAGCCAAGGGCGTCCGCCATGATGTGTAGGTACAAGCCCATCATGTTGTTAGAGTGGTGCGCGTGAGACGGAGAAGCAGCTTTGCTGCCTTTTGTGGGCGAAGCGGATGCCGAGAGAGGAGAATTGATGTCGGATGGTGAGTGGTGGTGACCGTGGTCATGGTCGTGGTGATCGTGGGAATGCGAGTGGCTGTGATCGTGCGAATGGGAATGACTGTGTTCGTGCGAGTGTGCGTGATCGTGGCTGTGGCTGTGTGCGTGACCATGATCGTGTCCATGATCATGTCCATGGTGACCGTGAAACGCCATGATGCCGACCATGTTGACAGCGAGGCCGATACTGCTCACTATCAACAGCTCGGTGGTGCGGGCCACATCAGCGCCATTGGACAGGCGCTCGACTGCCTGATACACAATCTCTACCGAGATCAGCATGAGGAAGACTGCGTTCGCGAACCCAGCCAGCGTGTCGATCTTCCCGTACCTATCCGAGTATTAGTATTGCATTGTATTGTGCCTGAAGACCAAGGACGTACCCATATGGGAACTTCAGACTCGGTGGCCACTTGCTCATGACAGCCGCGCAGAGTCCAACGAACAGCCCTACCACGTCGAAGAACATGTGCAGACTGTCGCTGATCAATCCCAATGACCCAGTCAAGTAGCCATAAGTCGCCTGGACAAACATGAATGCCAGGTTGAGCAGCATGAAGTAGAATATCCGCCGCGAGTCCGCGTCGATGACAATGCCATGTATCAAAGGCCACCGCTCAGTCACCCTCAGTATTTGCTGGGTTGCCCATGTTGCGCTGTCGGTCGCTGGCTGGTGATATGCTTGCACAGGTGGGTTGTATGCGGCGTCTGACTGTTTCCTCTTCTCTCCGCCGTGCTTATGTACATGGCCGATCTGTAGGCTCGGCGCGGAGGCAATGCCGTTTGCGTGGAAGAATTCGTCGTTGTGCGCGTGAGGTATCACTTCGTCCCGTGGAGAAGTGTCTGGAATCGCTTGGTTGACAAGAGAGTCGGAAGGTATTCTGCCTAAGGAGGAAGGAGCCCATCGATTCTTCCGCGAGTGGCCAGGCGTATGTGCATGCGAGTGTGAATGAGAATGCGCATGGCCGTGGGTGAATGACTCGCTCGTCACTGGCATTGTGAATGTCGCGCTCATGTTGCGCAAGCAGCGATTGTTGACATGTGGTTACTGAGATGCGACGTCGGTACGAGTGACGTCGGAGCTGCAAGAAAGCGCGATGTGTGCATGGACGCAGATGTTTAAAGGGTCAGTGCGATCTCATGGGATGACCGAGCTCACCGAGTCCATCATCGAGGGGTCAACAAACGTCGACTCGATTTAGGCGAAGATCCATGTGCAGGCGGAGAAAAAGAGACTGCTAGGGATCACCACGTCAGGGGTAATCAAACTCAGGGCGGAAACCTACCAATCACAGCAGACAAGGCCTGAGCATTTTTCGATACATCCAAGCAGGACAACGTCATTCTCGACTTCACAGACAGTTCTTGGGGAGGCGGACTGATACCGATTGTCGACGACTGGAGGCAATGAGGGAGAGATAGGGTCGTCGGCGAACATCGCGGGGCTGCTGGGGCTCCTCAGGTTGCGATGGCCATCTCTACACTGGAGATGAATATCATTGTAGGGCTGGTCACCATCCTCATTGTCTTCGTGTTGGTACGACCGTCACGCTATGTTCAGGGCTCAAGCGACGTCAATGTTCAGGTGCTGGCTCTGGGCGACATCGGCCGGAGCCCTCGTATGAGATATCATGCTCTGAGCATTGCCCAAAATGGTGCGCAGGTGCAGTTGATGGGATTTCTCGGTATTGACGCCCCTTCCTGACTCCAACTTCTTTGACAGTCTCTGACTCTAATAGACTCCGAACTGGACGATGATATCAAAAACAACAACCTCATCGACATTGTACCAATCCCATCACCCGCAAAGTGGTTGCAGACGTCAAACCGGCTATTGTTCCTGGTTGTCGCTCCACTGAAGGTTTTGCATCAGGTGTGGCTTCTCTGGCAGACACTGGCATACCACGTGCGACCAGCACAATGGCTCCTGGTTCAGAATCCGCCATCAATACCCACGCTTCTGCTCGCGACTGTCATCTGCTATCTTCGCGGCCAGAAAATGGTCATCGATTGGCACAACTTTGGCTACAGCATACTTGCGTTGAAGCTTGGTGAGAAGCATCCCCTCGTCCGCATTGCATGGGCTTATGAGTTCTTCTTTGCCACATTCGCGACACATCACATCGTTGTAACGGATGCCATGGGTCATGTTCTCCGCGATCAACTTGGCCTGCGAGCCAGCATCAGAACATTGCATGATCGGCCAGCCGACATTTTCCAGCCAATGGACGCAACCAAGCGTCTTGCATTCCTCCAGCAATACAAGAGCGTGTTGAAGCACTACAACAGCCTGGCAGACGAGAAAGCGTATCTGCTCGTTTCGTCCACCTCCTGGACTCCGGATGAGGACTTTTCGATCTTGTTGGACGCTCTTTGCCAGTACTCACAGAGAGCCGCGTCAGGAAGCAATCTGCCTGAGGTAGTCATTGTCATCACCGGAAAGGGGCCACAGAAGCAGCACTACGAGACTCTCATCGACAAGCTGACCAGCCAAGGCATGCTCAGCAAAGTGCACATCTACACGGATTGGCTCAGCTTCTCAGACTATGCCAGACTTCTGGCGGCTGCAGACCTCGGCATATCACTACACACAAGCAGCTCCGGTGTTGACCTTCCCATGAAAGTTGTCGACATGTTTGGCGCAGGATTGCCTGTTCTTGGCTTCAGTCAATTTGCTGCATGGCCTGAGCTCGTCACAGAAGGTGTCGATGGCAGAGGCTTCGGAAATGCTGATGAGATGGCCATGATTCTGCAAGAGCTTCTACACCCTTCTCATACCCGTCTTGATGGACTCAAAGCTGGTGCGCTCAAGCAAAGCAAGCGGCGCTGGTCTGACGAGTGGGTGGTGATGAAGGGCACACTCGGGCTTGGATAACTCCACGATGAGCAATAGTGCGCAAAAGACACCTCCTTCTGACGATTGTGACCGTCACGGTAATCCTTGAACCAAGGTAAGACTGACTGAGACGAGACTCTGCCTCTCAAGGTCCTCGAAATGTACAGGGGTAAGCGGACACCGGGCCAATCGGAGACTCTGTAGGATAGCGCGACAACCCCACCGTTATCTTGCCGCGGCGCGGGGCGGACCAGCCTGCGACTTGGGGTCATCTGCCTGTCCTCATCATCTGGCATATTGCGTTCAATTCCCACCACTCCATACATAAACGACCCTGCTATTGAAACGAAATTACACACATCTGCACCAACAGCGACTTCAATATGGGATCGTCTCAATCAGCACCCAACCGGGAGGAGGCTGCGCTCCTCGTCCAGCGCCTGCACGCCATGCGCATGCAAGATAGAGACATTGAACGCGACTATGTTTCGATAGACACCGAGAAAGGCATGCTGACCTCCCATGCTAACTCACCATCACTTTCCATCTCGTCCGCTGAGACATGGGAGAAGCAGCTGCTCGCCGATCCCAAGAATCGCCTGGCCTTGTCCGCCTTGATGCAGAACGACGTCCGAAACATCATCTCTCAGAAGGTTGCTACACTGCCCGATACGCAGACCTATAATGTCAAGATCCCTTTTGAGGGCAGTCCAGTCACAAATCAGCGCTCGTCAGGACGATGCTGGCTGTTCGCAACCACCAACGTTCTGCGGGTTCCAATTATGAAGAAGTACAATCTGAAGGAGTTTGAGCTATCCCAATCTTATCTCTTCTTCTGGGACAAACTTGAGAAGTCCAACTGGTTCCTCGAGCAGATCATCGACACCTCCGATATGGACCTCGATTCCCGAATCGTGCAAGAACTGCTAGGATCACCCGTGAGTGACGGTGGACAGTGGGACATGGCAGCCAACCTCGTCCACAAGTACGGCTTGGTCCCGCAGACACTCTACCCCGACAGCTACAACGCCATGAACTCGGGCGCCATGGGCAGCATCATCACCTCGAAACTCCGCGAAGACGCCCTGAAACTACGATCCATCAAGCAGCAGGCCACTTCCGGCACCTCCTCAAAGCTCGCAGCCATGAAGGCCCGCATGCTGCAAGAAGTCCACTGCATCCTCACTCTTATGCTTGGTCCACCACCTAAGCCTGAAGACAAGTTCTCATGGGACCACTACGACAGCAATGGCAAATTCCACCAACTCCAGAAAACACCCCTTGACTTTGCCGCCGACATCTCCTCTTCAAACTCTTTCCGAACATTAGGCGCCAAGGTCTCAGACATGTTCTCCCTCGTCAACGACCCTCGAAACCCATACATGAAGCTGCTCACCGTCGATCGACTCGGCAATGTCGTTGGTGGCCGCCCAGTCACATATGTAAATGTGGACATGTCCACCATGAAAGCCGCCGCTATTTCCATGCTCAAAGCCGGCATCCCAGTCTTCTTCGGCAGCGATGTGGGCAAATATTCCAACTCAACCACAGGCACGATGGACACGCGTCTCTACGACTACAAGCTTGCGTTCAACGTCAGCTTGGACATGAGCAAGTCCCAGCGTCTGCGGACAAGGGAGAGTGCTAGTATGTTCCCCTCCCAAACCTGCCCTTCCTCTGCTTCGCTCCTCCTTCCAGACGTGCTCCTCCAACGAACCGAGCCTGACATGTCCTCAACAGTGACCCACGCCATGACCCTAACAGCAGTCCACCTTGACCCCTCTACCGGCAAGCCCATCCGCTGGCGCGTCCAGAACTCTTGGGGCACATCCGCAGGTACCGAAGGATACATGGTGATGACGGACGCTTGGATGGATGAATTCGTCTACCAGGTTGTGGTTGACCCCGGGTATGTGGGCAAAGAGATCAAGGAGATTCTGGGCACCAAAGCGAAGAGGTTGGATCTGTGGGATCCGATGGGTGCGCTGGCTTGAGCTACTGCTTTAGCCGAGCTAGTCTGTGTTAACGGACCCGACGAGGCAAGATCGTGGAATATTTTGAGGTTGGTGAGGTATGGTGCACAAGCGATATGCTTACCTTGCCCAAGGTGTTGCTGAAGCAGACCGTTACGTCTTTATGAGATCAGGAGGCATGGCGTCAGGCATGCAGCGAATTTAAATGCACTTTCCAAGTCAGAGCTATCTCGCCAATTCCGGAGACCAAACCTAACGCCGCGTGGTCCAAACCTAAGTCGCAACTATGATCGAGACCAATGTCACATCATCGATATCAGCATCAACATGCATCCGGTTAGTATCCCCTCACACGTCACTGCCCACTATCCCAACATCTGCTCAGATATCCTTGATCCAATATTGCGATGTTCTCGGTGGCCATTTCCCTAGTCGAAACCATACATCCAACAACTACACCACCATGCCCTCTCTCCCAACAGACAGCAGTCCCGCACCACCCCCTGCTCGGCATCTCGATCCCGCTGGCGGTACGCTGCGCGCCACTCTTCGGCACGGCCAGCAAGGATGACATAGTTGGGAATGCTTCTGGTGATCTCCTGCTCATGCTCTGCATTAGCCCCCGAAGCACGAGCAGCAGCAGCGGCAGCGACAGCAGCGTCCCCACCATCCTCGCCATCAATATGCTCCAACGCCACCCTCCCCTGCTCACCGCCACCTTTTTCGTTGGCGTCGTCTCCTTCCTCATGCTCCCAACCCGGCGCGATCGCCTCGCCCTTCGCCCTATGCTCCTCTCTTTCCTTCTTAGCGTTCTCCTCAACCTCCTCGGTGGTCTTCTCCCCCCATCCTGCACCTTCAGACTCTGACATCGCTGCCAGTCTCTGCCCACCTTCTACAAAAGCGCGTTCGCGCATTGTGAGCGTTGGTGGCAGCGGCGGAGCCTGGGGCTGCGACCAAGTATTCTGACCAGGACTTCTTGCCTGCGGCGGATCCAGACTTGGCGGACGAACGTGGACAGCAGGACCAGGTGGAATGGGAGTAGGACGAGCAGTACCAGCAGCAGCCACCGGCCCGTCATTGGTGACGGTAAGACGAGCCAGCTCCCGAGACGGTGGGTCTTGAGTGCGGTCAAAGAGTTCAGCGAGATTCCGGGCGGAAGCGGCGGCAGCAGGACCAGCAGCATGAGTAGCAGCATGACCAGCGGCAAAAGTAGAGCTCGGACCAGGACTCGGTGTCACTGACGGTAATGAGAAGAGAGCTGACGGGGAGGAAGAGCGGTTGTTGGTGTTGGTGTTCTTGATGTTCTTGTTGGCGGACATCTTCGGATGGTGTTTGCTGGGTGTTTGAGGCTTTGAGGCTTTGAGGCTTGGTGGGCTCCTGGGCTCGATGCTGGAGTTTGTGGACTTGGGGACCTAGGAATCTGGGTATGGATGTGATGTGGGTTTGGGTATGGAAGGAGTAGGCAGGGAAGACCTCTGGTCGTCAGGGTATGTATGTATTGCGTGCCTATGTTTGTCCTAGAGTGGCTTGCTCGAGAGGATTCTGGCGCAACTCATTGTTCAAGCGAAAAGGGATATGCTTGCTTGTTGGCCTTGTGCACGCACGACTCGTACCATAAATCAACCATGATGAACAGCCTGGGCGGACTGGTGTAGAAACATTAAGAGAGACAGGACAAGTCCCAGCTGTCTGAATCTCTGTTCACTATACTCAAGTGTTGAGTATATATGTAGTTCTCGATGCTAAGCCCAAAGACACACACAGCACGAGGACATACGGTTCCCAGATATCCAGATGGATATTTCCAAGACGAAGTAGACTAGCCTTCACCTGCTTTCACTGATTGCACTTGCCTCCTTTGCCATTTCTGCTCCAGTCCACTCAGACAATTTCACCACAGTGACGAAAATGGCTATCACAGTTTCACGTGTTAGGTCACCAACAATAAAACACGTCCACTACTTTTCTCTGAAGCGCAAAACCTTTCAGAGCACCCACGAACATTCTTTCTTTTGCGCCGGAAGCCCTTGTCCAAACCCAACACAAAGGGAGACAGACACTTACGAGATCGCATATTTAGTACGCAAGTACTCTTTTTCGAGTTCGCGAAAGTGCGCTGACTCACGCCCGGCAGCTCAACAATGTCAAACAACAACCAGTCCTCAGCGTCCTCGTCAGCCACCCCAAACAGCAGCCTGCCTCCATACCCCCGTATGACCGCAGCCCATCACGCCGAGATCATGGCCGCTGCCGCCAATGGAGCAACCAACATCACTGTCTCTGGTCATTCCGGCTCCGTCGAAATCACGGCGACCAGCGAGCCTGACGTCTCTCGGCCTCGTCGTGACCTAGGCGAGGGTCCCGTCCCTTCAGCTGAACCCGAACACGTTCGTCGTCCCTTCATTGGTCCTGCGCTCCCACCAAACTTCGTCGTCTCAAACACCAACAACAACTCTGCTCCGCATCCAGGCATGGCTCCTTCACTGCCAGAAGGTCATGAACACGCCCGCCCCCACCCCCAGAACCCACCGAACGGCATGCGTGAGCGCGTCTGGCAGAACGTTCCCAATCGTCGCCGCAACTTGTTAGCCACCGAAGGTTCAGGCTGGGGCAAGAAGACGAGCGAGGAAGTCGAGAAGGATGCTAGAAAGGAGAGAGACGAGCGTCGAGCTAGGGGTGAGGAGGTCGCGCCGGGCTGGGAGCATGAGGAGGACAATGAAGGCAAGGAGGAAGAGTACTATGGTCAGTACGCCAAGCCGCCTGCTGCCCCTGTCAGCCACACTCCATCAGCTCCTATCTCTTACATCCGCGATCCTGCCGACGAAGGCGCTCCAGTCCCGGATGAGGTGGCTGCCGAAGGGCGAGCTGAGGAGTGGAGGGCTGCAGAGAAGCAGCGCGACCGCGACGCTGAGGCCGGTAAGGTCTTCGATTGTTGCATGTTGGGTCAGCGTGGATGGTGGTGTTCCTGCTGGATGTAAGGTTTCGACAAACCCATCATCCATCCGGCACCGCATCGAGGGCGCGAAGCAACAGCCACAGAAAAATGTTTGAGTAGTGCGAAACTCTTTCAGTGCAGGCTGCTTAGACAAGGTTGACGCTCAAACGCCGTCAAAGCCACGAGATAACGATGGCGAGGTCCCAGGAAGGTCATTTCATGGCCTTCGGCTTGAGCGCCAAAGGCGAGGTACCTCTCGACCTTGAACGAGAGATGAACGAAAGAGTTCCCAATTCATACCCCTTCCGAAAAGACTTCTCTTCCTGACCTATTGCATTAAGTCGTAGGATATGAACGCGAAGCACTCGTGGGCCAGATATGAACAGCTACATAGAAGGGCAAGTCGGTGTGGTTGCAGACGCGAGAGCAAGCTAAGGCTGAGTCGTGGTTGCCGCCGTAAGTTTAGGATGTTGCCTCGGCTTGGCCGCTCAGACGCCTAATTCGCGTCCTTCCGACCCCTTGCTGCCTTCTTATTACTGATCGAACGCATTCATCCAGCAAACACACCCGAACCCCATCTTTCCCAGCGCACAACACTGCTTGACCACCTTGTTTGCGGCATCCACGTTCCGCTGGTGGCGTGCGGCTCGCCACTCCTCACCACGGCCTGCCAGAATGACGCGCGCGGGAACCGGCGCACTGCCTGCCTCCTCTGGTGCATGAGCGACAGCAGGGAGACGAACAGAGCCAGAAGCAGCAGTAGTGGTGGCGATCGCACCTGCAGGAGCAGTATCCTCGTCCTCCTCACCATCACTGAGCTCCATGGCCACATCCTCGTCGTCACCGATGTCCATCGAAGCATCGTCCTGACTCTCAGCCTCAATCTTCTTCTCCTGCTTTCCCCACACGTTCTGGCCCTTCAGAGCCATCGCCCTGAAATTCTCGCTCAAGGTCCGTGCCCTCAAGTACTCTCTCGTGTACTCCTCCCCAACCTCGCCCACACTCGTCATCAAATTCCCCTTTGAGTCGAAGTACCTCTTCATGTACTCTCCAGTCTCGTCCCACCGTTCTCTCAATTCCTTCTCCTGCTCAGTCTCCGGTGCATGAATCTCGATTTCCCAGGGGATGGGTCCGATCTCGCCATGGTGAAGCGACATACGACGAGGACGAGGTGCTTGCGGAGAATTATGCGGCGGCGCGGAGAGGGCTAAGGAGGAGGATTGGTTGTTGTTGGTGGTGGCATTGTTGTCGTTGTTCGTGTTGGCGGACATCGTTGCGATTGCTGAGCTCTTGTGTGTCCGTCTGGAGGACTTGAACTCTGGAAGCGTGCTTTGATATGTCTCTGGTATGGTCTGGCGTGGAGTGTGGAAGTGCAATCAAGAACAGGTGAGAGAACATCGTGGAGTCTGGAAGTGCATTCAAGAATAGGTAAGAGAACGTCTTCAGCGCGTTAACATACACGACTTGCGCGCAGCCTGCGTCTGAACAATACTTCCTTCCACTTGGACGGTAAAGACCATGCCGGAGGCCTCCAGAGCAAGCAAGCCCATTCATGCACAAACACAAACACAGACACACGATTCCACACATGAGCCTACATAGTGATACGCCAGGAACATATTCTCCTTCTGCTTCTTCCATACACAGCAATACACGCCAGCGCCTTCTCAGATCACCCATAGCCAGCCGACAACCGCTACCATGGCTGACGATTCCCCCAACACCAACAACAAGAACCGCTCCTCCTCTTCTTCTTCTTCCTCCTCCTCCTCCTCCTCCTCACCCTTCCAGACCCCGCCCCTCTTCCGAACACCAACTCCTCCCCCAGCTCCAGAACCTGCTCCCGCCACCACCGCAGAGACCATCGAAGACTTCCAAGCCGCTGGACTACGATATGATGTTCCTCCTCGCACCCTTACCCATGACGGTCGTCCTGCTAGAGACCCAAGGCGGATCCGAGACTAGAAGCTGCCGCCTCCATCGCCAACACTCCAGAGTTCCATGCCGCTGGGCTAGAAGAGCTCAGCGCTGCTGCTGCTGCCGTCGCTCCAGAAACGAGTGCTCTTCGCACCACCGCGAATCACGACGGTACGGGCTCGCATGCTCCTCGCACGGTCACACATAACGCGTCTCCCGCCACAGCAGCATCCACTCCTCATACAGCTCGCCTCCCCAGTGGTATGGCTCTCCTTCCCGGACCCGACCCTCTTCACGCCACCGATCAACGCGCCTACCCCCCCCTATCGACCACACCTAGCATGGCACCGACGGTCGCAGCTAATTATCCCGTCATTTTCGACCTCGACAATCCCACCACCGCCACCCCCGCCCCTTCGAGTTCCGACAGCGCTCCTGACCACACATCCGCTGCTCCTCCTAGCACCTCCGCTGCTCCTCCTCGCACCTCTGCGCCTGGCGAAGGCCCTACCACAGCATCCACTCCCGACGCGTCTCGAATTGCTGGTCGTACTGCTCACCCTCCCGGAACAGCTTTTCGCCGCCTCATCGAGAACCGCAGTCGCGCCCGCACCAACCACTCAGCCACACCTTCCGCGCCCACAATCACCGCTACCCATCCGCCTTCCAACCCCAACAATCCCACCACCACTTCTACTGGCACGCGTCCTGAGAACATTTGGACGCCAGAGGTCGTGCGCGAGGCCCTTGCCGATGTGGCAGACCGAGAAGAAATTGAAGCACGCCGAGACGCTGCCCATCGCGCGGAACTGCGAGCGGCGTTGGCGGCGCAGCCTTCTTTGGCACAGATCATGCGTCAGGATCGCGAAGCACGGGAAGAAGCCGAGCGCGAGGAAGCCCTCGACGCAGCCCGTCGCGCCCGACTACGAGCAGCCCTATTGCAGCAACCTGAGGCGGAAGCGCTGGGTCTTGGTCAATGGGGCAATGTGCCTGCGACGCGAGTCAGTCAGCAAGGGCGAGCTAGTCGGCAGGGGCGAGCTGGTCAGCGAGTCCAGGATGATGTTTTGCCTAGTGTGGAAACGCCGGCCAGGGGCGAAATGGCTGCTGGGATGACTGCTGATGATGACAACGACGAGGAGCATAGTCCGCCGTGGACGCCGGCCGGTCGGAGTCCAACGGAGAGCGAGTTCGAAGAGGGTGAGGTGGAAGAGAGCAGCGAGGAGGAGGAGGATGATGGGCCGAGAAGAAAGCGAAAAGGGGGAAAGAGGCGTTGAGACAGCGGGAATCTGATGGGGCCAGGTCAGTTGGGGGTGTGATAAGAACAAGATGAAGAGATGGTCCCATTTACCTGGGCCAAGATTTAGTACAAGTCTCAGGAGTACCTCGCATGATTTGGGGAGAAAGGGTACCAGGCTGCTTCTGAAAGTGGGAACTAGCGAAATGGAAGAAGTGGTGATAACGAGTATGCAGGATAATAATGCCATTGCTTCGCTTGAGTACTGGATGCTTAGCTTGCTTTCTATTGATACATAACTTCTTTAACGCCCAATGCTGCTGCTGGTAAGAGCGCCTTTGCTCGATGGAAAATTCAAGTCAATCTATCGCCAGTCTCGACGAAGAGGAGACAGGTCGCAAAGGGTCCCTGTTGTCTCCTATACGCGAGGCTTTCCGAGTCCTCGTCGCAGGAATCGGTGATCTCTGTCATAGTGGCTCGTTGTACGCGCACAAGATGGCATGTCGTCTCATGAACTCAGGGATGTCATCGACTCAGCCTTTGTCGTCTCAATCGTCCACATATTCATGATGCTGTTCATGATGCTGCAGCTCCCGCTCAAGATGCAGGAACTGGCTCGGGCTTGATCTCGCTTCCGGAGGTGGTGGTCGCAGGACCGACAGGGTCGGATCGAACAGGCTCGGATGGAAGAGTGGTCTTGGGAGCGGTAGGAAAGTCCTCCTTCTTGACCGAGTTGTTCAATGCGGGAATCTTCTGGCGGGACTTGCCGAGAAGGTCGGAGGCGGCGCCAGCATACTCACCAGCATAGGTGCGAGCAGATTCGAGAGCCTTGCCAGTGTGCTGACCAGCAATCTCCTTGACTTGCTGGGTTTGCTGGGTAACGACTTTGGTAGCATGTTCGATGTTGGAGTCGATCAGTTCCTGATTCATGACGTAGATGAGAGGACCGAGGAAGATGACGGAAGCGCCGAGGAGAGCCATGCCCCAGAAAGGGAGGAGCTTGACAAGGTAGTAGGAGAGGAAGGTCGCAAGGAAGATCTGTAGGTGTTAGTCTTGTTGGAGATGGCAAGCTATGGTGACTTACAGCTCCAGTGACGAGAATGTTCTCAGCAAAGACGACACGCTGAGACTCAATGACGAAGAAGTTGATAAGCTGCTCGACATCGTCCAGTGTAGCCTCGAGTGTCTCCTTTGGGATCTTGTAGTAACGTCTAGGACGGATAGATGAGGTCAAGCTCCCACCAGCAGCCAGCTTCGTTGCAGTCTCGGCCAGTGTGACGACTGTGGATGTCAGATCAGTTCGTCTTGCGAGTGAAAGATATGCTCACCACCAAGAGTCATCCATGTAAGCTTGAGAGCATATCGAATGATGGGAAGATATCGGCAGGCAAAGATGAAGACGAGGACGCTGGCGAAAGTAGCACCGGTAGCGCGGGGGTTCTTCCAGCTAAGGAGGGTGTAGAAGAAGGAGTGGTAGTCTATGTTTGATGTCAGCCTTTGCTGGATGTATGGTAGGTTTTCTTACGTGTCAGAGGAGTATCGTTGGCGGCCGAGTGGGCAGGCGTCTGACGGGAGCCAGCAAGCGCCGAGAATTCGTTGCTCGTAGCATTGGCTTCATTCTTGACAGAGGTGGCCACGGGACCTTTGATGTATGAGTACAGTCTTCGGACAGAGTGTATGGTGGGAATACCGTTGGCAAGATCCTGGGTGATCTGAGCATTCTTGACTGAGTCGTAAGCCTGTGCAGCGCCTGGCTCTGGGTTAGTTTGGTCGCTGACGTGGTGGGATAGATGACTGCGGCTATTAGCTGAATTTCGCTACTGGCTGTAGGGCATCAACACACCTCACTGTTGACAGCAGTGTCCTTCAACCCCGCGGCGCCATTTGTAGCACCGTTGGTGGTCGCAGGTGTAGAACCGACGTCAGTAGGCACACGAGCATCTGCACCGGGGTCGATCTGGGGGTTGATGTCGGATAGAGACATTGTGGTGGGCTAGGGATATGCAGAGGGTGATTATCTTGTGGTCTGTGGTAGTAGAAGTGATTGCAATGATCACAGAGTTGAGCAATAGATGGGATATGGGAGAGTGCGATGGAAAACTGTGGCAGTCTCAGAACAAGTTTTCTGATGTCGCCAGGAGGGAAAGCGCCAGTGACGAAATCGGCCTCCAAACAAAGGAATCACGATTCACAAGGTCACACTAGTCCGCTGCCCTCCGTGACTGAGTGATGGCCTTTCCTTCTGCTTCTATCACTTGACGCGTCCTCCATTCCTTTGAGTACATTTCATACACGGTAGAGTGATTACTAGGTATACAGTAGAGCCAACGTGTTCTCGAGCATCTTCAATTACTATTTACTGCAGAGCCCAAAGTATGGTATCAAGCACTTGATTCAGGGCAATCTCTGCCAATTTGGGCCGCCCGCCCCTGATCCAGCCAGTCGGAATCGGGCATGTGAAAGAATCGTGCTTGGGAAACGGATTCCATATCCGCTCTGAAGCCTATTCTTCCGCAGTATGAGCTGTCGAGGTTATCGACACTCTGGCTCCTCCGCGCCACTGCCATCGTCGGCACCCTCCTCCATGTTTTCGGCGGTGACTGGAGCACCCTCGTCCTCTTTCCGCTTGTTACTGTACGACACGACCTGCCAGCCTGTTGGCTTACTCGGATCTTTGATGTATTGCGACATTGGGAAGTAGTGATCGTTCTGTACAGTGGTCAGCAGCCATTTGACCTCAGGTAGTGCATGGGCAAACTCACCTTCTTCATTGTCACCACCCACGGCACATTGTCGAATGTCATTGCTCGAAGTCGGAAGTACGTGTTGTCGTCAATCTTGCTCACTTCCTGCATGAATGAGTCCAGGTCGTTGGTCTTGACGCCGTTCACATGAGTGATGAAGTTCGTCGGTGCTGAACACGTTAGCAAGAAAGTCCATCATCTCAGCCTGGCCAGGAGAAGACATACCTAGTCCGTACTGATATGCCGGTGACCCCCGACTCCTAGCACTGACATAGATTTCCGAGTGTAGCTTGCTGATCTGTTGTCGCACCGCATGATGTGGTTTCTGCAACACCGCTCCGCAGAAGATCAAGGCTCTCCTCGTCTCCAGGTCTTCCGTTGGCACTGTCGGCACCTTAAGCTGCAACTCCTTGCCATGACGAACCACCAATGCGTCCAGATACTCCTTGTCGTACATGATGTCAAACTCTGAGACTCTTGTAATGAGTTGATCGTTCAGTGTGAGGATGATGTCGCCTTCTTGCAGAGATTGCCCGTCGGTCTCGCCATTCGCAGGCCCACAGTCCACCTTCCTCACTATGAAAAGCTGATGTCGCGCAGGGTTGGCTTCCGCTACCTTGGAAATCCACTGATCTGACACGCCCATGATGCGGGCTTGTGACATCTGGATCACGTAGCTTTCAATGTTCAGTATTCGTAACTTCGGGATAATGCCATGTCGAATGTCGTCTACCATGGGTTTGATCATCGATGTAGCCAGACCCAGGTGATACTCGGTATCCCTATTCGAGCCCTGCGTGCGCTCACCCATGTAAGCCATCCATAATGCCTGCACAGTGCCGTCACTGCCAATGAGAGCTCCTGACGAGCATTGTCCGCTGAGACTGGTATCGACAGTGATGGCATCCAGGTTGACAGCACGATACCGAGGCGCTGCGGCATTTGCTGGAATCCCTACCGCCGTGATGTCTGTGACTGTTGTTTTGGCTACCACGACTCTCTGATTCTGGTTAAAGCCGACAAAGATCGTCTCCTGACCTTGCTTCATCATTTCGTCTGACAGCTTCGCGGTCTTGACGGGCGCATTGACTAATGTCGGATCATATTTGACAATCGTGTAGTTCGTCAGAGGGTGCAAGAAGACGACTTTGCCTTCGACTTGTATCGAATCTGCAACAGTCACAGTGATATCGCACAAGTCGTAGGGCACTATGGCTCGTGACACAATCACCAGCCCTTGCTCGGCATCAATGACTACTCCAAAGCAGTTTCGACGTGCTTGTGGGTAGCCATCGATCTTAACGGGCATATAGCAGGAGATTTTGACAAAAGATCGTACGATCTCAGCAGCTGCAGGTTGTGTTACTCCATCAAGCTGTATGAAGCTGGCTGACTTGGGTTCCAATGGCTGCGCCTCGAGTGCCTTGTCCACATCTTTGAAGTCCCAGAGCCCTGTCTCATCATTGCGGACCGAGAGTCGCATCTTTGGGTGCCAGTGCCGGTCAATGTGAACAACGCTCACGGCTTTCGTGTGGAGATCGCGAATATGCCGGTACGAAATGACGACTCGAGCTTTGTCCGGTATTGTCTTCATGACTTCGATGAATGTATCGAGATCAGGTGTAGGTTTCTGATCCACACTGTCGATGATCCAGCCAGAAAGAGAGCTTTCCATCTTGAAGGAGCCGGCCGCTTCACATACATAGAGTCCTTTGCAGGCAATAGCATACAGCCGGGCTTGTTGGTATGAGAGGTTGTGGAAACTGCCACCAGCGACGGTCACGAAGCGATCAGGTGTAATGGCGTGGAGATCGCCAACGTCTAACGAGAATTCGATGTCCTCGCCTCCTCGTTGAACAAGCAAGTGCACCTTCCGATCAACGCTGGAGTCTAGTATTGCATCGAGCTTAACGAATGACGTGAGAAGTTCGCCATTGACCTTAATCAACACGTCGCCCTCTTGGATCTTCTTGTCACCAGGACCTTCAGGTAAGACCACTTCTGCAACGAGCATGCTGTTGTCCTTGGGAAACGCTTTTCGTGCCGCAGATTCCCAGTTCGGCGTCAAGCTAGCCGTCTACAATCGTCGAAGGGTTTCAGAACCCACTGAGTCTGTATTGTCCCTCTCGTGATTGGTTCATTTTGTTGTAGACAACGTAGCGCTCGGGCTGGTCGATCGAGAGGTAGGAAGTAGTCTGTGGCAGCGCCGTCGACGCGACCGCCAGCTTGCAAGGCAATGGCGTTTCCGTTGAGGTTGACGACCGGACTGCCAGACGAGCCTCCTGTTGCAGCAGCTGCGGCCTGAATGTAATTTGTGTTGAAGTCGCTGTACCCTTCGCCATATTCTGGAGCATTTCGGTCTAGACGACTGATGACGCCGGACAGAATGCTCAGCTTTTCTCCGGCATCGTTACCAACCACTCGAACCTCAACGCCGACCTTTGCTGACTCTGGTTGTAGTTTCAAGGCAGTTACGTCCATGTACTTGATGGCTTTGGGATCGAATTTGAGGATACCGAAGTCGTGGACAGGATCGCGGTAGACAGGCCGTACGTCGCACTGTACTCGTTAGCATGCGTCCTCCCATCCAACAAGAATCTTGCCTCTTCATGGTTGTCAAAGACACAGTAGCCCCAGAAAGGTCCTGAGCCAACAACATGGCGATTCGTGAGGATGTAGCCTCGCTCCGCATCCACCACAAAGCCCGTTGCCTGACTCGACGTCGACAAATCTGTATCAAAGGAACAAGTCTGGCAGAAATGGATAGATACTACGCTCTTGATGACCTTTTCTATTGTCGCTTGCCATTCGGGTGAGTCGCCAGCGGCTGCGGCAGTGGGGAGGACCGGGACGGTGTCTTGCTGGGTGGGATCGATATCATACACTGAGCCGTTTCTTGGAGTCGCTTCTCCTGGCGTCGTTACTCCGTTCTCTTGCTTCAGTTGCTTCTTCGGTCGCTCAATGGCAGAAATTGGGCTGGCGCGGCGCTTAGTACGTGCTTCGCCGTTGGTCGACATGCTGGTGTGGAAGGAGCGGAAGGAGGCAACTTCTTGGAACGGAGAGACTTCTGATTTGTATGACGGGAGTCCTCCTGTAGCAAAAGAAGGCAAACGCTGACCAGAGCGCAAAGAGCGAAGTATCGAAGTTGAACTGAAGAAGACTCTGGATGACCAGGCTGCGGCTAGCGGCATTCACGCCGCTAAGTGACAAGTGAATGTAACAAAGAAATCGCCTTTCGCATTTGATGCGCCTCAACTGACATGCAATTACAATACTATGGTGTGATGGGAAGACCTCGCTGATGTGTAGGCGTCTCGAGCCTTCGCATGTCCTGCACAGTCTCAATGCGCCAAGAGCCAGAGTCGATCTTCCGCAGCGCTTCCCACCCCTGCCACGCTACTCTCTTTCAAGCTACTCTTGCCGGGCTGTCCCTTTCAAAGTTCTCGTCAGGTACGAAGTACATTTCGTGTGTCTCATCGTTCGACTGAACATGACCATCGGCTGAACTCAGACGCAAGGTCGAAGTTGTTGCTTTATCGCCAATAGGTGACGATTCCATCGTCTGATCATGGGTCCAGCTTGACAGAGGACGGACGGATAGTCCTCCGCAGTGCTGCTTCACGTTTCCTGGCATTCGCTCTCGTCTATCAATGAACCTCTCAACTTCGACCACACGAAAAGCTCTGGAACTTTGAAGTAGGATTCGCGCCACCGTCCATGTGTGTCGCTCGCCACTGTCCCAAGTACGGAGTGCCTGGATAGTAGATCTTGGACTGATCGCCGCTGCATTCCTTGCCAGTGAACTACCACAGATCAGTTCCGCTCAGCGCATCACAATGTCGTCAGACTCACCAAAATACACCAGATGCCTTGATCAGGCCCGAAAGACAATTTATCGGAGGTGCTTGGATCGATGGCGTAGCATTTGCCTTGTTGACTGTTGCCGGTTATCTCCATCTGTGTCCATCGGCACTCTACGCACATGTCAGAATGGTAACAGGTCGACGATTCCTGACTTACGGTCTTGAGGCGACCAGTTTGGCTGAGGACAAGTATACACTCCAATCCAGGTGCTGTCTCTTTGTTCAAGGACGTCCTCGGCGAAGGCAGTCGCTGCCAGCATCCAGGCCAGCATGCTGAGCATAACGCCAGTTGATGGGTACCACAACATATCGCCGTGCGACGAATCTCGATTCGATCTAGCTCATGTGCAAATCCTCCCAACAGGATCTGCCAAAGTGCTCAAGTGCACAGCAACCAAAGATGAAAGCATCTCCTGGTCAGAGCTTTTACCGTTCTTTGTTCCAGGTTCCAGTTAGCAGATCCACCACCCGCCGCCCATCGATAACCGGAAACGAAGAGTCACAGCGCGAGCCTCGGTAGTGAATGCACGACACCGACCTTCAAAGCCATGGCCATCGCCTGCTTTGTCTGCAGGTGTTGCAATGCCAACCAGGTCTGTTCGCTAAGTTCCGACTGCTAGCAGCCGTGCCTGACGTCTGACGCCCGGACTTCGTGCAATCCAGGCTGCATCGCGATCGGTCCGGGGCACTCATCTATCGCTAATCGTTCCGCGGTGCGGGCGCCGACCGGTCGCACCCAATATAGTGTGCAACGACGAGCTGGTTGTGGACTGAATGCCAACTTGGGACGCCACCTCCACTGCATATGTGTTGTGTACGTGGGAAACCTACCACGGCGCGGTCCTGATCGAAAAGGCTGCCGCATGTGGACGCATGCATTGTCTATTCTGACGTCTACCTTACAGCTTACTTTCCCTCGCAGCTCCCTTCTCCTTGCCACCGAACGCATCCAGCACCCCCTCCCTAAACTCTTTCGCCAGGTCTAGGCACAATGGGTCTCCCGGCGGCAGCATCTGCATACTCACCAACCCACACACCCCCTCCTCGGATCAACCCACCACTGCAGATTCGGCAGTCCTCCCCAATGCGCACTCCACTGCCCGCTCTTCGACCCCTTCTTCCTGCTCAGTGCGCCGACTAGGCTGTGGTTGTATTCATACGTTCCCCTTCCCTCCTCATCCTTCGGCGAGGTTGGAGCGAGTGGGCGCAGATCGCCCGCTCCACTCGGCGAAGTAGCAGCTGGTGCTGCGGGCAAGGGATAGCCGCCCGTAAGCATGCGTCCGCCGTCGAGGGTGGCCCAGTACTTGTCCAGCTCGGTCTGGAGATGACCGCCCAATTTGTCGTTCCCTTCCGCCAGCTGTGGGGAGAAGACGTATCGATCGACCGTCTCCGGCTTCAGCAATCGCCCATCGTTCTTCAGAAGACTCTCCAGAACCTTGATGTACTCTCTCGGACTACACCTGCCTCCACCACCACCGAGATCGTCTTCTGCTTTATCGATCGGCGCCGAGCCGATAGGCACGAGGTTTCCGCTGTCCGGCATGCGCATGGACATGTACACCCATCGCTCAGCGATCTCGCCTCTGACAAGGCGTTGTCGGCGGCGCGGAAGATGAAGCTGCCTGGAGCCATGGACACGGCTGGAAGAATATGTTTGTTGAAATACGCGCCCAGGCTTGGGAGGTTTGATGCCTTGGCGACGAGGAGGCCTGCCCAATCGATGCCCGGGGAGTACTGCCAGGTTTTGCCGGGTGCTGTGTTTTGGTAGAGTCAGTAACGGTATTGGTGGAGAGAGCTAGGAGACTGCACTTACGCGTGATTAACGGCGCGGAGTAGATGTCTCGAATCTTGCTCCCCTTTTGTTCGGGTTTGATGCCTTTCCACTCCCACCATTTCAGAATCTCTGGGCTTAGGAAGTCGTAGCATAGCCCGCTCGTGTGCGTTAGTAGATGGCGGAGCGTTACTTTCTTGCTCGCACCGGCAGCTTCGCTTCCTGCCTGAGCTAGCTGAGGGCTACCGTCCTCGTTCCAACCTTGGAGTAGCCCGATCTTTCCAAACTCGGGCAGAAGTTCGTGGACCGGCTGGTCAAGGTGGAGCTTTCCTTGCTCAACGAGCTGCAGGCAGGCGATGGAGGTGAGGAGCTTCGTGCAGCTGGCGAGCCAGAAGGCGGAAGCCGCGGTTAGAGGTTGGGGGTTCTCTGTTGGGGAGAGGGATGTGCCACCGGTGGCGAAGGTGTAGGCGTTTGAGGTGTTTGGCGTGGATGCGAGAAGGACGATGCCGGGAATGGAGGTTGGTGTTAGGGTGCGGAGGCGGTCCTCGAGGGTGGCGAGGGCGAACGGCATGGTTGGCAGCGAAACACTAATGCAAAGATGATGGTTCCAGTGGCCGGTGCCTTAGAGTGTCGACGGCCAATAAGTCAGGCTTGTCGCCGTGTGAGAGCTTCCCTTCACCAATAGATGACGTTCAAGACCGACTATTGACGCTATAACTGGGTGTTGGATGTCGGTGCGGTGATGGGTGCTCAACAGGTTTGCTAGCTGAACAATATCGATCGTCGTGCTGTGCCTTACGATACCTATGGAACCGGCTGCTCTGCAGTGGACCAGACGCCGTTGTACCAGCTCCCGGTAAGCTTTATTGCAAGTTATGCTGCTTCCAGACCGCTATCTGCCAAAAGCTCACAACCCTGCGCGAGTTGTCTTTACTGTCGACCTAGTGATCAGACCTACCAAGTATGAGACCTGCTGGGTAGCATGATGTCTGAATAGAAATTGCAATAGACCTTTCCTGAGCACCACTTACCTCGCATCATTGCATGCATGCTTGCCGGCTCGGACGCTGCACCACGCTTGCTCCCGAGAAGTCTCCTCTTTGCTAGTGATGTACTGAACGGCCGCTTGAGAGGGCCCGAGGCTTTTCATTCCCGCTGTCACTCTTCATTGGAGACAATACCTAAGTACTTGCGAGTCGGTGCCTTGGGACCGATGCAAACGAGGCGAAGCACTGATTTCTCGTGTTTTTCAGGGGTTCTGCACATTGATGGTTCCAAGAGATCTGGCCAGGAGACGTCGTCGTGCAGCGCGATGAAACGCGGGGAAAGCTGCAAGATTCCCGGTCATTCGTCGGCAGCGCTCTACGGCAGTCACCGCCCGGCGGGCCTACATGCTCTTAAGTACTATCTTAGGAGCCTGCGCAGGCAGCTCAAATTGCTATTAGATGGACTGATGCTTGCGCCTGCGTGGATGCCATCGACGTCTTATGTATGGCGAAGGCGGAGCAAGACGTGCTCACACGCTACGATGACTGACCTTCGTTCAGATGTCCAGCGAGAGCACGGTCGCGTTCGTATTCCTCGGCTGTTCAGGTTGCCGAAGTTTTGGCTGCTCCGGGCACTATTGCTCGTAGCTCCAGGCGTCAGAGGCCGCGAGAACAAGCCTAACGAATCATAGATAGCTGAGCTTTTCGGTGACAGCTTGACCTCAAATAGCCGTCGTCGGCTGATCTCACCGCCGACATGAACCCGAAAACTATCATCCTGTGGCTTTTACTGTGACAAACTCAGCTTCAACCACCAATACACGGCACTATGCTTGGCCTCGTACTGTGCTCGAAGCAAGTTTCGATTCGTATTCGATGTCTTCGGCCATGCCATTGGGGATGGTCCAGGCCAGCATCCTGGCTGGTGACACCAATGATCACTGGGGAAATCACTCCTTGTACCCCGGATCGGCCATCTCGTGCGCTATACTACTTCAAAAGCAGCACGGAAGCCACTCCCCGTTGCCGCGTGTCTGGCCCTCATTAAGCGAAATGAACTCGACCCTTGACAACTCCGATGCGTCTGCGCCCACAAGTATGGATCTACTCCTCTCTCTCGTTCCACAAAGATCACATCCGCAAGCTTTAACAGCACTTCACACGTCGATGTCGATGCCGTCGACGATAAAAGTGAACGACGGCCATGTCGGATGAGGGTAGTAAATGGCGACCTCCTCGCGTGGTCTTTGAGGGCAAATACGATGCGACTTCTGTAGTAGTCACTTTGGGTAAGTCAATTGGCTGTGATCGCGTGATGTACATCGCTAACGGTGTCTTTAGTGAGTTCTCTCTGTGCGAAAGGTCCATTGTCTTCGAGCACTGCGATAGGACCGCATGGCTGATACGATCTGGCACTGCGGACGCTCTTCCGCCATCAGCAGTGTGGACGAAGACGAAGCACGACACAAGTCGTACGCATGATCAGACGCTAACATCATCAACAGTCACTGGCGCTGGCGCTGTACAACTCTATTGAGCAGATTCTTCTCATAGCCACGACCTTCAAAAAGTGGAAGGGCCTCTACTTCGTCTCGCTAGTCGTGGCCACTTATGGTGTTATATCTTATTCGGTCGGTCTCATCCTGGAATACTTCGAGGTCCCGCCATACCTGTTTGGAAAGATCCTCGACACATCCGGATGGTGCTTCATGATAACTGGACAAAGTTTGGTCTTATACTCCAGGCTCAACCTCATCTTAGTCAACGAGAAGATTCTGGCAGGTGTCAAATGGATGATCATCTGCAACGCCATAGTCTGGCATTCCTCCATCATCCTGGTAGACTTTGGGACGACATATACAGACGACGTTGGATTCGCAAAGTGCTTTTGGTATCTCGAGCATGTACAGATGACCATCTTCTGCATTCAGGAGTTCATAATTTCTGGCCTCTATGTATGGCGGACATCAGCCTTTCTCAAAGTCGTGTCGAAGACAAGCACCCGAAACATCATGTCACAGCTTTTCACCATCAATGTTATACTCATTGTCATGGACATCGCATTGCTGTTCATGCAGTACAAGCATTGGAGAATCTACCAGACGGTCACCAAAGCCTTCATATACAGCGTCAAGCTGAAGCTGGAGCTCAACATTCTATCGAAGCTGGTGGATCTCGTCAGAAGTCCTAATGATCCTACGCTACTGAACGAGATCGACGGGACCACGATGCCTGGTCGGGCACAACGAGCGCTAAGGCGCGAGATATCTACACCATCTCTCAAACCTGTCTGCGATCATGTCGAGCATGGTTACGGCAACTCTAGCCAAGACGCACTTGCCGACCGCAGTCCGTCCCAAGTTTCGAACTCTCAATCGTCGCGGACTACTGGCAGGGAGTCTGACATACTGTATGCGGACATGGTGAGATCGATCAAGTGAACGATTCTCTTCAGGTCATGAAGATTCCGACAATTTTACAATTGGTCTATCTCTCGCCATGAAGCATTCGCTCTCGGGTCTCAACACTGCATAGGCTTAAGGCTTCAGTCGCCGCCTCTCGCGCCCTCTTCTCTAACGGCTACAAATCGATCAGGCTTCGATAATGACCACAATCGGCCCATTCACTTCACTGCCTCAGAAGAGAAGTTCCCTGGCGTATTAACATACCCAGGTAGCGAAGCCTGTTCCGGACATTTCCACTTGCAAGCATAACAAGCGCTTTCGATCTGTAGAAGATGTCAGTGGATGTGATCCTCGCACAGAGGGGAGGCCTGTTTCTTACGTCGATAGTGTTGCAGCCCTGCTCAAATTCGCCCTTGTCACCGAAAAAGCCGGCGCACAAGATTCCTCCACTCGCTAGCCCATATTTCACCGATAAATCATTGTCGCAGCGCGCAACGCAGCGCTCTGCAGTCATTTGCTTGCCCGAGCACAAAGTGGAGGGGTAGGGGTATCCCTTTGGACACGACAATTGAATCCTCGCCTTGTTCTTGCACACCGGCGGCAGGTCCCATCGACGGAAGAGCTTGGAGTGCTCTTCGGACCCGGGAGCTAAGTCCGCATCCTGTTCGGGCCTGGGATCTTTACTGGCCTCGACGCTCTCAGTGACGATGTTCTCAGCCTCGGAGTTGGCCTCGGTGGCTTTCTCGTCGTGAGACATGCCCAATCGACGAAGCAGGAAGTCCTCAACGCGGCGGACCAGATTGCCTGCCTCCGGCGCTTTGGGAGCATCTTGCTCATCCATCTTCAAGACGTTCGCCTCAAGGTGGTCGAGCATGTCCGGCTCCATACCCCAGCGCTTCTGCATGAATTCATCGATCTGCCGATCGAGCTCCCGTCGCTCGAGATCGCGTTTGTCGAGGTGCGATTCATCCGTGGGCTCCGGAGGATTTGCCAGCTCTGAGTGCTTCCTGCGCTGATTTTGGATGTAGTCTTGCAGAGCTCGCTTTCCGGCACTCTTTGTTGCTGCGGGATCATGGTGTTGATGTCCGAACCGTTGGTGTACGAAATCTTTCAGCTTGTTACTTAGGTCGTCGGCGACATTGCGCCGCTCGAAAGCCACTAATGGGTCTTCGGTGATGGTTGGGTCATGTACTGCCTCGGTCGGATCTGGCAGCAGCATTTCTTCGAGTTGGGTAGCATCGTTTGCTGCGACTATCATGCCTTCGGGGAGCACGACTGGTTCCGTGTCTTCGCCGGCCGCTTGGACGGCTGCCGCCGCAATGACGAGGACAGCGATGAGCTTCATTCTGGAGGGATCGAACAAGTGGGAAGGGGGGAGTTGGGAGTCTGAGGAATTGGGATCAAGCATTGCTCAAGCATATGGGAACACGACACTTTCCGCTTTCGACAGCTTTGTTGTGCACAGACCAAGTCTGCTCGCGGAGCAGCAGCACAATTGGGCTTGCGGCACAGACCAGGCATCTGCTCACGGCTGCAGGCAAGTCAGTGGAGAGCGAGTGATGGCAATCAATTGAATGCAGACAACGCGACCACGAACTCTACGAGGTTGGTCTGGAGGGGACGGCCAGCACGCAGCGAAACTTTGCTTTTGCTTTTGAGCGTCCGCCATATAGTGGCTTTTATGGACGTATGTACATATGTTGAGAACTAACAAACGACTGTATAGATATTTCAACATCTTTAAGCACACTGTCCAACTTGAGACCAACGTGGAGGAAGGTAGTCTCGCAGGTGGATTTCGCAGCACAGCCAGACTAAAGGTGCCCGGAGATAATGTCAACCTCCGGCGGTCGGACCTGTTGTTGAAGTGCTTGCCCGAGTTCCCTTGCCGGTGTTCTTCATATTCCGTCAGTACTGCCGTGCAGTCAATTTCGCGAACAGTTGTACTTTGGCCGAGTTGCTCTCAATGATACTGATACGGTAGGTTCAAGCAGATGGGCGATAGTCTACTTAGCCGATGGTAGTGGTCAGAGCGATCTCCAGATCTCCGCGCGCCACGTACAGTGCACCCCGGCAATGGAGATCCGACACAGGCTAAACGGGTTACGGCTCTCGCACACACACTCATTTCTTCAATGATGAATCGATGATGCTCACCTCGGTCTTCGGACGTACTCTTCATGCAATCGCGATATCTCTGTGAATACGTCCAGGGAACGGGAGAGGTCGACTGAGAAACGGCAGCAGCAGAAGAAGACACATAACGATGGGTTGCGACTTGCGTATCGTCGTGGTGTTTAGCATGTTCGACGGGCCACGCGAACGTCTCCATGACTAGAGTCCTTCTTTTGCCGTTCTTCCGACCACTTATCAAACGACAGTTCTTAACGGCTCTCGCGTCTCTGTCGATCAGTTACCTTCTTGAACGTCTGGGATTTGCGGGCCATGTTCCATCCCACCAAGCTGGAGCCAAGCTGGAGAAGAATGGGGTACCTGGTATTCAGCCTGAATGAGGCTCATCGTTGCCTCTTCCTCCATACGCCAATGCTTGGAGGCTCTGCTGGCTACATGGCACTTGGCTACCAGCCACTGAGGTGATTGCACCTCGCTTGGGGTTCGCTTGCACCGCACTTATGAAACTTGGTGACGATTGTTGATCGTGGTCATGTGTGGATGCGGGTTTTTCCGATATGCTGTACTGCAGTACATATACCTATGCACTTGCGCCTTGGTGTCTTGGACTTAGCTGTCGCTCGACTGTCACTGACTTCTAGGTCTAACAAGCTTGGCCTGCCTTCATCATGGCACCTTTGACTTCTGATGGCGCCCTTTCGGCCAGACGTTTGCAGTATGCAGGTCCTCCTGGACTCAAGGGCCTGGTTTCGAACGGCAAGACCACGCTGATTGCGACTTTTGCGGCCTTGGGTGGCTTTGTCTATGGGTACAATCAGGCATGTTCGGTCAGATATTGACCATGCCGGCCTTCATCAATCGAGTGAGTGTCATCGCTTCGGTTGCGATGTTATCCCACTGACAGTATTAGCTCGAACCGTACTACTCTGGTGCAACTGGTATTGAGCAGGGTCTTCTGACAGCCATCCTTGAGCTCGGTGCCTGGGTGGGTGTTCTGTTCAATGGCTGGCTCGCCGATGCTGTTGGCCGTCGCATCTCTGTCGTTATCGCGGCTGCAATCTTCACCGTTGGTGTCATTATCCAGGCATGCACGCAAAGCGCCGATCACATTTTCGCTGGAAGATTCGTGATTGGTATCGGCGTGGGAGCTTTTTCGATGCTTGTGTAAGTACTGCGAGGTGCATTCCATGGAGGTTTGCTAACTTAGGCAGCCCGTTGTACAACGCTGAGCTCGCACCTCCCGAGGTTCGTGGATCATTGGTGGCACTGCAGCAGCTCGCTATCACGTTCGGTATCATGGTTTCATACTGGATCGGCTACGGAACGAACTTCATCGGCGGTACTGGCGACTCCCAGTCCGACGCCGCGTGGCTCGTTCCCATCTGCATCCAGCTCCTACCATCGACAATTCTTGCTTCCGGCATGCTCTTGTTCATGCCGCAGTCCCCTCGCCACCTCATGAACCGTGGCCGCGAAGAGGAATGCCTCGAGACCCTGGCTCGTCTGCGCAAGACGGGTCCTGATGACATGCGAGTCAAGATTGAGTTTCTGGAGATCAAGGCCGCGAGAGAGTTCGAAGTACTACGCCTGCGTGAAAAGTTCCCCCAGTACCAGGACGGAAGCTTCAAGAGCAACTTCATGGTTGGTCTGTACGATTACATGAGCTTGGTGACCAACAAGGCCATGCGTAAGAGGACCATGGTCGCCGTGTTCGTCATGGTCTTCCAGCAGTGGAACGGCGTCAACGCCATTTTGTGAGTTGCCTCAGAAAATCGACACGCACACCACGCTGACAATTCAGATACTACGCTCCCTTCATCTTCCAAGGATTCGGCTTCGAAGACAACACCACTTCGCTGCTCGCCACTGGCGTCGTCGGTGTGGTTATGTTCCTAGCCACCATTCCCGCTGTCCTTTACGTCGACAAGCTCGGCAGGAAGACCATCCTGATCGTCGGTGGACTCGGTATGGCCACCTGTCACTTCATCGTCGCTGGCATTATCGGTGCTTATAGTGACAACTGGCCCGCTCATCGTGGTGCCGGCTGGGTGGCAGTTGTCTTTGTGTGGTTCTACGCGATCAACTTCGGTTACAGCTGGGGACCAGTTGCCTGGATTGTCATCTCGGAGGTCTACCCCCTCGGCATGCGTGCTAAGGGTATCTCCATCGGTGGCTCATCCAACTGGCTGAACAACGTGAGTGCTTCCCTTCCCCAACTCGTAGCATATCAAGGCATCCTGCTGACACCCTGTCCACAGTTCGCCGTCGCCGTCTCCACCAGCCCTTTCATCAACGCAACCCAGTTCGGAGCCTTCATCTTCTTCGGCGCCATCACAGTAGTTGGTTGTCTCTGGGTCTATTTCTTCGTTCCCGAGACCAAGGGTCGCACTCTCGAAGAAATGGACGAGCTCTTTGGCGAAGTCGGCTTCGCACAGGCTGACTTGGCACGCAAGGAGAAGATCGAGCGCGACATTGGTCTTATTGCGCTGCTGGGTGGGCCAGAGGCTGCGGCTGCTGACCATACGAGCGACAGTGACGAGGGGAAGAAGAGTGGAAGTGAGCATGTCACGCCTGCTATTCCCGGTGAGAAGGCTGGTTGAGTGGGTGGGTAATATACGGGCAGAGTGATGTGGGTGTGAATGCCCTGAAGCCTGTGTCGCACCCTGACCGCGCTCAACGAGAAAAATTGGAAAGGAAAGGGAAAGGAGGCGGATCATGCTGACCGGATATACCCTATGGTCTGTGCGTGTGGTGATGCTGGAGTTCGACACAAAATAGGCCATACCGGCGTATTGCGCTTCTATTGAATTTTTTTGGTACACAGCACACGACCATCACTCATTTTCGCTCAGTTTGAAATTTGGGGTCGGACGTTCCACTGCATCGAGAGTTATGTGCGTGCTTGCATAAGACAATGTGAGAGACTACACGACAGATGATCTTCTCAAAACGAAATGTGGAATAAGGCCAGATGACGGACGTGAGCCGGGCCTAGTTGAGACCGGTTGACGAGAGCACACAAGGGGACATGACTCAGACCGGACGACGAAGTGAAGAAGCACTAACGGCCTTTCCATGATGCCTCCAGCCTCGATCGTGTTGGATCTTCCCCGCCGATGATTCGTTGATCAAGCCAACGTGACGAATAATAGGGTAATCCCGAGCTGTTGGCTCCTGAAATCCACACATCCAACGTATTTGCTGTAGCTCTTTGGCCATCTCCTGTCCAGTCATGAGGCACCCATGGCCATCAAGTTGCTCGATGGCAGGCTGTAACAAATGTGCTACCGCGAGGTAACTATCAGCCCGGATGATTGTGCCGACTGGAACACATAACCATGGTCCACAGGAGCGTGAGATGGGCTATATGTATACCAAGCAGGACGACAGGGCCCGAACGCGTCAAAAGCCTCGATCGCGGCCAACACATACAATTGTATTCAGAGCGCAATCTCTGCTGCTTCATAACTATCATCAAAGGTACTGCGCCCCAAGCGATCGTCGTCAAAGTACCTCAAGAAGTTCCTGTAGCACTTCGAATGGGATGGGTCTGATGGAATGAGTTTGCTTCCATTGATGGTTTCTCCTATTACGCCAGCGAGTATCCTTGCTATGGCATCCGGCATTCTAAGAACCAGAATGTCCACATCGGTGTAATGCGGTGACGTCCCATTGGGTCGTAGAATACTGCTTATGTAGTCGAAAAGATGGGTTTGATGAGATGTTATCTGAAATGCTCTATACTCTATACTCTATGTGTATGTTCCCTTGGTGCTGCATGACGTAGCCGGTCCTGGGCTATGTCCTAGTATCCATGGTTGACCTCCATCACACCAGTCCACCCCATTGCCTTGGCACCCCTTCTTCTTATGGTTGGGCGCAACTGGTCGCTTGCGCGGTCGTAACAGGTATGAAATGTACCAGCGCTTAGAAAGGGCAGCTGAATGTCGTTATAAAAAACTTCCCCGTGAAAATACCGCAGTCAATGGTCTGATCCAAATTCGTGTTGCTGCAAGTAGCCAAAAGACCAGCCTGATCGGGGGTTTGAGAAGGCGACCGTGTGAAAATGGTGAGGGGGGTGTTAGGGTCCTCACAGCCTCGCACCTGGAAGATTAAGTCGTTGTCCTTGAACTGTGTGTCGACATTGCATTGGCCCCCAGTGGACACAGCTTTGTCGCAAGGGTTCTGACCAGCAACCCAAGCGAACTGGTCGCCGTTCTGATCGTGGCCAAGAGCAACAGACCCTGCGAAGGTGGATGTGATGAACACTGAGGCAATTGTGAAGACTGATACAAGCTGCATCGTGAGGACTGTGTGTAGGCGACTGGTTTAGTGAGTTGTGATAGTGCTTAGTTTGTGAGGATGATTTTGTGTCTGTGGTGTCGATAGAGGAAATATTATTGCATGATAGATGTCTCTGATTCAGAATGGATCGACAATCAGAGATGCATCTCAGGGAAGCATTTATAGTGGACGACTTCTCTGAGTCGTCCAGGCTGTGGCTGCTTCAAAGAGCTAGCTTGGCCATTTTCGGCACCTGTCCTTGAAGGTCAGCCAGATTCATTCGTAGCTGTAGCGAAGGGGGCGGTCTTATGAATTCTGGTTACACAGGGCGTAAGATTATTGGTTGGCAAATGGGGCAGTGGGTTTTCGGGTAAGCTCGCTACCTGGTATGGTAAGATCTCGAATCTCGGGACAACAGAATATAAACAACTGCACTGGCTGCCTTTTCCACTGCAAATTAGTACCTTATTTCAGACATCTGACTTCCGAGTTCCCGATAGTTTCAAAATATATACAATTTGGGTAAGTTGTCCAGACAAGTAAGGAGGGCGGTTGCCTATTTTTGTATCAGCGTTTGTGATTCTTACCCAGAGGGCAGATAACCCAACTACAGACGGGGCTGTACAGAGAGGCCAGGGTGCGTGCATGCGCCTGGTTGAGGTGGCATCCCAGAATGAACGTACACTCAGGGTGTAAAACTGAGTGCTAACGCAAGGACTTTGCTTTGCCCTAGTCTTAGGAGAAAGAACATTAGCAAAGGTAGGGCCGCTACGCACTTGGGTTTCGCCCTGGGTGTAGGGCAGGGGCGATAGGGCGGATTCATGTTCTTTCCACCTCACGAGACTCTCTGATTACTCTGAGCAGGCAGCGTGAGTTATGCCGTGTAAATATCGCCTGTGCGATGGATGTCACAGTGCTGCAGGAACTGTTGGTACGACGATGTCGACCGAGATTTCCAAAGAGCCTGTGAGATCTTCCCATGATTCAACTACGTGGGGAAGAGGAAAATGATCAGATTCGCCAAGAGATCGACCTGGTGATGACAGCGGGTCAGTGTGCTCAGCGAGCAGCTCGGCCTGCATGACGACATACTGACCGTCTAAAAGCGAAGTCACTCCAGATAGATCACCAAACCTATTTATGGCTGCATTAAGCGATGGAGAGTATCTATCGACCCTTCAAAACAGTTTCGCGCCTAGGAAAGCGTCGATTCGCCTGCTTCCAACGACGGTCGAGGATGCGTATGAGAAGATCCCGAGCACCCTTGTTATACTCCATCACTTGCACAAGCAGCTCTTGCGCCTCCTTTCATCGCCCTTTATTCCGGTAGGTCGAGATTGGCCATGCTGGTCAGCGTGGAGGGATGCAACGTTGCCTTCTTCTCATCACCTGCTTGCCAGCTCACCAAACCGTCCTCCGATTCCATTCCCGGCCATGGATCCTCACACCCCAACGAAGACTCGTCATCTCTACCAGCTCGCTTTCGCGCCGCCGCCAGTCTCCCGTGCAAGAAAGGTGCTACGAATCTCCCTCCGCTTCCCTCGTACATGTGACACAGGCAATTGTCTCTGTCCTCTGTTGCAGATAATGGACCGTTGTCGTCTCCAGGAGCCACCATCTTCCACAAGTTCTCCCTGTCCCACTGTCGCTGCAATTTGCGCTGCACGCGCTTGCTCGTGTTGTGGACCTGTGCTCGCTTCCGTGACTTGGTGCAGGATTTGCAGAGGGCCATGTCGCAGGTTGGGCACTTGCGTTTCCACTTCCAGAGCTTCCGGGGGGAATTATTGGCAGGAGTGAGGGAAGGAAAAGGAGGAGTACAAATACACTGGTTTGGCTTATGGACAGTGGCGCAAATCTGGGGCTGCGCAATCTTCTCGTTCATGAGGTCGATATTCGCGCTCCAAGTGTCGAAGACAGGGCCGCGAGGATTTTGGAGATAGCAAGGAAGAGCCTCCTTTTCGGTCTGGGAGACGACGGTGGCGGAGCTTGCTGAGCTTAAGCCTTGCTGGCTGGCGACGGCATCAAAAGCGACTGGCATGTCTGGTGACGCAGGCGATACAGGCGAATCTCGAATGTAGACATATGGTGGATGCGGGCTAAAGGGGCTGACTGGAGTGACAGCTAGAGCGGTCAGGGTGCTGAGCTGGGCCGGCGCGTGATTCTCGCACACCAAAGGGATCTTGCCATCCACGAAGAGCGGTGTGTAGCTGTCTTGATGCGGCAGGTCGATGGCGATGGGATCAAGGTGCATGGGATCGAAAGTGATGTTAAGGTCGCTCGTGATGGGGAGGGGCTTGCGCTTGATTCGGCGGCTCATTAGCCTAGTCATCGCGACGCGTGGAACGCTAGGCGACGACGAGGACAACACATCAGCTGAGACCGCAGTTGTTGGGTATGGAACATTTGACGACCTCTCGAACGTACATCTGCTCAGCGCTCGCTGGACCAATGTCGGTGCCCGAGAATAATTGGCTCCATGCTCATGTTGAGGATTCGGATTGGCTTCCTGATCTGGATACATGTCTTGAATGGCTTCCTCGATGCGCTTGTTTGAACCGAAGGCAATGTCCTGAGCGGTGCATGTTGTCGACGAAAGAGTGGGAACAGGAATGCTGTTATCGATGGACTCTATCACGTGCTGCTTGTGGAAGAGGCGACCGAAAAGTCTGCCAAATGACTTCCTGGTTCTAGTTGTAATGCGCGTGTCCGTGTCGTTCTCGACCTGCACCAGCCGCCGCCGGACTGCTTGTAATCCTACTATGTCTGACGAAGTACGCCTCATGTAATCTTGAAGCTCAGACTCTTTCTCCTTCAGTTCGATTTGCTTTGCTTTGAGCTCGTCAAGCTGGCGAATTCGACTGTCCTCCTCATGACCGAGACCATCAATGTCGTCTTGAAGCTTCCTCAAAGCGCGTCCCGCAGTCTTGTGTTCCTCCCGGAGAGCACTCAGCATGCGGTTGATCTGCTTATCCTTAGTGGGATATCCTTTCGTTGCAAAAGCTGAGTCGATGTGCGGCGTGCCAGCTTTTGCTTCACCCTGTAGAGAGGCATTCTCACGAGAGACGTTGCCTATGGAGGCCATTGTTGAAGGGCGCTTGGTAGATGACATGCTTTGTTGCTGGTCGGCGATTGCCATGATAATGATGCTGATTTTGGAACACTTTCAGCCGTTGACTTACAGATTTGCCTTTGAGATTGATCACGATGAGCATATTTATTATCCTTGAGTCACCATCGACATAGCAGGACGTGTCTGAGACCGCCTGAGACTTCTCAGACATGCGACAAAGAAGTTTTCGGTCTTACGATCCAGCTTCAGGCAATCCGATACACATGTTTTGGAAAGTAATCACAATCGGGCGCCCGGCGTCAGAAGTCAGCAGACCTGTCTGAGCCAATTCAGCAAAGCCTCTGCGGCTTCCCTCCACTGCACGTCATTTTGAACATGGTGTCCAGCCCTGGCGATCTCAACAAAGCGCACAGTCGACTTCGATTTCAGTTGATCCAGAGCTGACCGGTACTCGGCCACGCAGCGAGTTGAGGTGCCAGACATCATCATGTCTTCAGATCCGAACAACATCAACACACTGTCGCGGACCGAATTCTCGATATGCTGTACAATGTCTCTTGCATCTAGCCAGAAAGCCTGGCCACTCTTCTTTGTGCCGAGACAGCCTATAGGCACTGCATTGCCTCGTAATCGGCAGACCATCTCGCAAAGTCTCGGGTTCTTTCGATAGGCATGTCTGGGCCAAAGAAGGCGTTGTGCATAAGTCGGACAGTCGATAGATTGGACTTCGGGTGCTGCATATCGAGCATCCCACGCAGGTATATCAATGGATCGTGTCTACCCCAGTTCGAAAACACAGGTGCGATCCCGAAGTGAGGTACGTGCCCAATAAAACCGAGAGCAGGAGTCTTCGCCCAGGCCCGAGCGAGCACATACTGACAAAGCTCTCCTCCTGCGCTGTGACCGACGAGAATGGGACTGGTGCCTTCTCGTCTTTGCACAGCGGAGATCGCGGTAAGCAGGTCGTTGGCGATGTCGTCGTGCTTTGTCAACCAGACCATGCGAAACCAGCTGCTTGGCATGTAGCTCGCGCCGTGTCCGCGTGCAGATATCGAGTAAGTGCATGCTCCGTAGGACTCTCTAAGGTAGCCCATCCACTCGAGCCAGACAGAAGCATGGCCAAGCCTCCGTGCTGGAAGAGCACCGGCGTCGCTGCTGGGTCAGGTGCTGCCGGCTCAAACACGAGCAACTCCAATGGTCCTCCTGGACCTTTGATCTCAAATCGCTGCACATACTCTGGTAAGGGCCGATACTTCGGTTGCGTACGACGGAAGTGAAGTTCACGGAAGCCTTCGATGGTCTCACAGATGAAGAGCCATATGGACTGAAGTAACGACATACTTGCATGTTAGGAGTTGTCGCCGCTGAAACATTGACCACCGCGCCATAGCGTATCGGCGCAATGGACAACCTGTAGCTGCGCTCAGGTCCCAACGCCGCGCAAGCACGGTGACACATAGAAGCTCTATAGTAGTGGGCGAGACTTGAGGTCGTCAGCATCTCGCAAAAGGAAATGAAAGAAGTAGCCGGCGTGTTTCGCGGGGTGTTGCCCCACTCGCGATTGACCCCTTACAGCTACCTGGTCAGCACGAAAACGACACGTCTGTGCGATAGCTTTTCTTGCCTCCCTCGTCCAAGAATCAAGTTTGTCCATACAGCTTTACCTGTCGCTTGCAGTGTCAGCTTCATTCGTGTTGGACGACGGGATCTGCGTCGCAATGAGTCAAGAGAACCTCGAAGGAAGCATGTGATCTTCTCTGGAAAGACGAAATGGCTAGCGTGTTCCGGCCGTTGCGAGCGCTTGTACCGGCGGACAGCACTAGCGGGCTTTGACTACGCACGCTCAAGCAGACGAAGGCATGTGACTTCAAGAAAGAGTACGACGGGTAAGCCATTCGGAAAATCCTGTTCAAGCAATGACAGCGGCGCGTGGGCCATTCCGAAATATGACCTGCCTTGAGCCCTCCAGGTCCGTAAGTGACCTCAAACCGAGACACTTATAGCATCCAAGAGCAATATTTGTGTTCCCACAGCCCATTCCCCTCTCTCTTAGCGCCTCATCACCAAAGAACCGCTCACCTCGCTTTCGAAGGGAACCACGTTGCGCCAAGATGATCGAACTCGATTCTGCCCCAGCCCTGGTGATAATCGACATGCAGAACGGCTTCTGCCACACGGACGGCAGTTTCGCAAAGATGGGCATAACAACCGATCCAGCAGCCATTATCCCGCACATCAACCGGCTCCGCTCGGCCTTTCACGCCGCCAACATGCCAGTTTTCTTTGTGAGGACAGCTTACAACGCCGACTACTCCAACCGCCGGCCCCATGACCGCGGCGACTCGGTCGAGAGACTAGCAGGCTTGCTACGCGGGTCATGGGATGCGGAGATGATCGATGAGCTTAGGCCAGGAGCCGGAGAGGAAGTTATCGACAAGAACAGGAACTCTGCTTTCCTGGGAACGTGTGATTTGCACAAGATCTTGAAGGAGCGCGGTGTCAATCATCTGATCATGACGGGAGTGGGAACGGATGTATGTGTTGAGTCGACTGCGAGAGACGCATATCAAATGGACTATCATGTTACTGTTGTGAGTGATGCAACGTGGACGTGTACGGAGGCAGATCATCTGGCTGCGCTACATGCATTGAGGTTATTTGGTGGGTCGGCGTCGACGAGTGAGGTGGTCGTGGCGTTGGAAAAGCTAGGCAAGTAGACCAGGGTGGAAACGAGACAGATCCCAGTCTCCCATGCTTTCGCCCTCAGACCCACCCAGGACTAACCTGCCACCACAAATTCGCAATATACCTGTTATCCTCACTATTCCTCCAACCCCTCCACTCCCACACACCGCCATCGGCAAATCCCTTATTCTCCGGTCTCGTCCAGTCCATCACCACACCCATGATATGATCCAACCCACCCACATCATCTTCGTCACAGAATGCCTGAAATGGCGCGGGCGATCCAGCCTGTTGGCCAGTGTACTCTGCGATGAGCCGTCCGAGGCCATTGTTTTCGGCGGAGAAATTAGTAATGATGGGAAGGTCGACATTGTAGTTGAGAATTAGGCCGGTGCCGGGAAAGGAGATCCACCCAGTGAGTTCGCACTCAGAGCCGGAGTCATCGCCGGTGGACTGGATAAAGACTCGAACGTGGGTCGTGTATGTTGTGCTGTCTGCGAGGAGGACTGGGGTTGGGAGGTTGGTAGAGGGAGCCGTGAGCCGAATGGGCTCTGTAGTCTTCGTTGCGGATGTCTTACGGTGAGCGTTTGGGGATGCAGCGTCGAGGCCGGAGCGGTTGCGTGCCATGGTTGGTAGTGGTAGACACTTTGTGCACGCTAAAAAGATGATCGGGTAGAGATAATTAGCGAAGGTGAGTGACCTTGGACTGCGATGGCAGATGGATGGACGCTGAGAGATAGACAGCAAAGCATAGAGAATGTTCACTCGATGCTTTATACATCGGCCGACCGTTACTGGTAAGGTTGTGGACATCGTATTCGAGCTGAGGCTTTAACACGAGGTTGACTCTAGTCAGTGTACGAATGGCGGTCTGGGCAGCTGAACGTCACTCGAGGCGGACTCGATGGAGGTCCAATCATTGTAATGTCTAGCAAGCCATCAATTAGCATGGATAGGCAGAACCAGAATTAATGTCGAAGACCTGCAACGCCTCCAATGAGTGAGACCAGCGCCAGAGCCTCGGCGCTGCATCTTTCTGGCCCTTTTCTGACGAACTAGTATTTGAACACAGCCTGTGCTTTTGAAGGGAGGTAAAACTGGGGTGACGAAGCGATAATGGCTCCTCCGGATGCCGTGTGATGGATTGGCCTTGCGCTGGACTGGGATAGTGTCTGCTGGGCTGTCAGGCAGATCTGAGGGAGTTGTGGCGTGGTTGCTATCGTAGAGCCTGAACACGAACCGTGAAAACGCAGAGGCGCGCTCACAGAGGTCCACTGCTCACCGTTGATGCTTCCACGGTTCGAATCTTGGACAGCACGCTCGAATCAACTCGCTTGACAGTGGTAGTTCTGCGACACTCCCGGCTCGTGATCTTGCAACGACCAACCTACCTACTTGCATGGCTAGAAGGAAGCCGCAAATGAACAGTGCACACAGTGACCAGACGATGCATTGCGTGTCACATGCAGTATCTTGGGCCCGACCTCTGGAGAGGTTCTGCAGGCAGATACTTAGGTAATGGGGTAGGACTGAATGTTGATGGACTTGCAGGTAACTGTGTGAATTTTGTTAGCTTATGACGTAGGCCAAGCCAAACTTCACCTCTCCGCTTGAAGAAACGCGACCTTTGATGAAGGCTTCATTCTTTCAAGCTATCTATGAAGGACACCCTGGTCAATCTTTGTTCCAAGCTGTCACACTGATGGCACATGAGGCAGCATTCGTGTCAAGAATCTTCCAAATCGACATCATATCCAGCTCGACGCATATCGCCCTCATTTGATTTCGCATCCACCTTCAGTGGAGGTTGGCTCCGTTACGGTGGATGGCTGTGACAGCTCACTTCGGGAGTCTGCATCTTGGATGACCTCGACTGCTTCAGGCTCCTCGACCACTCCAGTCTCCTCAATCACTGCAGGCTTCTTCTCCTTGAGCAACAGGATGGTCATGCCTCTCCTCGCAGCTTGCAGCGCCGGCGCACGACCTTTTTTCTCGATCTCCGCCTCGAGGTCCTTCTCCAGTTGCTCGTCGATCTCCGCAATACCACCATTGTCACGATTCTTCAGCACGAGAGCCCATTGCTGCTGCTTGTCTTCCTTCTTCTTCGCCTCCCAGCGCTCTGCTGCAGTCATTCTCGGGCAGCCTGGCGCCATCTGGAAACCTTTGCGGTAGGTAAACTTCTCACCCTTCAATATCAAGTCTCCGGCCTCGCTGGTCTGGTCTGCTGCCCTACGAGCTTTGACGGTCGCGGCAATTTCATCTTCCTCCTTCTTGCGGATGGCATCGTACTTGTCTTGAGACTCTTTCACGGCAAGAGTACGAATCTGGGTCCATCGCTTGCATTCGAGCTTGTTGATCTCGTCCTGCTTGAGCTTGAGTCCCTCGTAGAGATCGCGTTGTGTCGCGGCTTCTTCGAACTTCTCTTCAGCTTCGGTCTGGGTCTTTTCGATTTGCTGTGCCTGGATGGTGAGTTCTTCCTTCATTTTGATCACTTCGGCTAGGGTCAGTGTAGCTTGATCTGGTCGCGAAGCTCTGGTGTAAGAAGTCGTTCGGTCTCGATCTGCTGGGCTCGGAGTTGTTGGACTTCGATCTCTAGCTGCTTCTGGGCGTCGAGGGAGGCACTAAGCTGAGTGCTGCGACTTTGGACTTGTCTGAAGAGTCGGCGCTTCTCTGCCTCTAGCTGGATTTTTGCGCCGAGCACTTCCGAGCAGGTTGCGTCGAGGTTCGCGAAAGACGTTGCCAGGATGGTCGCGCGGTAGCGATGGTATATGAGCTGACAGTTGAGCAGGTGAGTGTGAGCTTTATGGATGATCTGGTCGGCTGTGACTGCTTCGGCTTTGTCGGTCGCAGCTTCCTCTGTGCAGCTCACTGTAGGACGTTCCTTCGCACGCATTCGCTGACTGGTCCAGGAGCCCAAGGCGAGCACCGCCATCGTCAGACTGAAGACCACTGACGGCAGACCGAGGATCGTAAGCTGGACGATGCCAATGACAGCGATCCCGAGCACACCGCCGAGAACTTCGTCCGTGAGCTTATCCATCTTGTCGGGTTGTGGTACTTCGGGCTTCGCAGGGTCGCCAGCATCAGCTTCATCTTCTGTGGGATCAATCCATGGCGGCAATTTGTCGACATGACTGATGAGTTCTTGCTCCAAGGCCTTCGCATTCTCTTTCTCACCACCCTCGTTCGCTTTGTCGAGATACGCGTTGGCAGTTTTAAAGGCTTGAAGGACGTATACGCGGATGATCACCGGTACCTGTGTGAACTTGGGTAAGTCTGGATTGGTGGGGAACTCGAGGTCCGGATTTTCCAGCGGCGCGAAGGACACTGGTCTTGACTTGATTTTAGCGAAATCTTCTGCATGAGCACAAAATTCTTCCTCCGACTTAAAGTACCGTGGCGCCTTTGATGCTGTTGCTGTCGCCTTCTCAGCATTGAAGCTGTCGACAGCTCTGCCGATCACGCCAGATGATGGGTTGGGAGAGTGTTCTGGCATCTTGGACTGCTGTCTTCGCGGGTGTGGACTACTACTGACACTGGTGCAGAATATGAAGGTCTAAGAACGAGTCCGGTTTCGAGGTCGCGTTTCACTGGTTCAATCTATTACTGGCTCAGCTTGGCATCAAGTGAAGTTGTTCTGTCTACTGTTTACCCAGCGTCACCAGGGACGCCAATCTTGGGAGCACCAAGAGAGGGAGCTGTACGGCTGTCATTCCCTAGCTCCGCCGTGCACACGAAAGCTCACTGGGCTCAGATGCTGTCACCCTAGACAATGCCTTCAACTTCAGCATTTACTCAAGTGGTATTGTGTATAATCTATAAACCTTGTCCTGGATTTCCCTGATCTGCTGGACACTCTCATCCCTCCTGATGTCTTCGCTTCCAGGCTGATTCCTTATCACCAACATTTCAAAGCTTTCCTCCCTCTCGAATCGTTTCCTACTCCACTCCGGAAAACCTTCGACCGCATCATACCTCAGCTCCCGATCTCCCAACCGAGAACACTACTAAAAACGGCACAAAGATCTTCGCACCCACCATGAGCAGTATGAACGGCAACAGGAAGCCCGGCGTATGCGCTGCGGTGGCTTTGTTGCCGACTAGAAGCCAGAATGCCCCGACGATGAAGAGGATGGTTGTGGTGAAAAGCGCTGCGATTGCGAGGTAGCGCTTATAGCGCTTGAGAGTGGTGTCTCGGATCTTGCGCATGTGGTGGCTGATAGGAGTGGGCTGACTGACTGGTGGTGGGAGATGAGGGTCGAATACCGAGAAGAAGTTGAAGGCTTTGAGATTTTGTTTGAGGTCCGTTGTGGATAACATTTCGCTGGCATTCGGAAGCTGGGATACTGCGTCAGGGGTTCGTGGTGTCAGGAAACCCTTCATTGCAGACATTCGAGTTATTCTGAGAATGCAGACTCTGGTTCGAGAGGCGGCATCAAAACGGTCATGGAGATTTATGGTGGGGATAACAATGGGACAAAGATGAGATGATGCTGCCTTTTGCAGGCACGAGAGGCGCTTTATTGGTGGCATTGTGGTTATTGAGATCGCGCATGCTAACCACAAATGTCGTTCATCCTGTGCAGAGGCGCCGGCAAGGCAACAAGGCAACAAGGCAGATAGGGGGAAACACAGTTGATGGAGGAGGGAATATGCATGTCACTGTGATATTTGACTATCTATCCGAGATCACTAAATCAACTGTGCTAGCTTCCTGCGCCATGCGATTCTTCCACTACCTCGATTGGCCGTCGTCCCTTCCACCTGCAATCGACTTGTCCACCTGGTTGAACATCTGCTAGCAAGCACACCTATGAGCTCATCTTCCGCTCATCTCGCGTCCAGTCGACAACCACCTCGGCCTTGTTACTTCCTATGCCATAAGCCGTTGTCGTAATGCTCCTTGATGACCGGACCGAGACTCGGATTCTCAGCAACGACTCTATCGGTCTGCGCTCTCGTCTGTACGTACGGTCCGTTCGGCTTGGAGGGACCGTAGTTCTTCGGGAAGTTGTGACCTTGGGTGTTGCCACTCGGGTTGTTGATTTGTTCGGGCATGTTGAATGTGTTGAGATGTTGCGTTTGGTGTGAAAGTGCTCTTTTTGGATGGGACTCTTGTGAGCTTGCTCGTGGAGTCTTAAAGGGGTGTGTCTTTGTGCTGTGCTTGGTTTGTGGTTGATGCTGTGGAATGATGATATGAGTCGATTGATGGTGTGAGAGGTGTTGATGAAAAGATGCAGGTAACGCGGATCTGGCCACGGTTTTGTGCTTTCTCTGACCTCTGGCAGAGTTGTTCTAGACGTTCATTACTGGGCTCGTTGCAGGCAGCAGGAACGCTTGTGAGGATGTGTCTCGGAATGGAATAAGACAGATTGAGGAAGACAAAGAAGAGATGAGATGGGCTGAGACTGTTTATATTGAGCTGCTGAGGATGTCGACTGAGACGGCCGAGACACAACGACCTACCTGCAACGAGGAACATTTGGGCTCTGATCCTGGTCTCAAAATCGAAATCTAGGCCGAATTGAGTAAGAACGCGGTCAGACGCGTGAATGTTACACAACGCTAGCATGTGATTAGTGGAGCTCGTCCGAACCCATTGGCACACCGTTCAGTGTGCGCTTGGGAATCAACGAGCACCCTGTTGAGGGGATCTAGAAGTCGGGTGGACTCCTTGCACTCAGATCATGTCTCGTACACCGTTCATTGGTGTTCAGACATGCCTCACTGCTGACTTACCTGGCCGAAACGTTGGACCGGCTTCGCTTTGTGCACACAAGACGTCCCTTCAGCTAGGTCGACTCGTGATTCTCATCGTTCGTCGACTTACCTGGTTGAGGTAGCGACCACGTACATGGAGCTGCGTTTAACGCGTTCGGGCTCTCAAAGTCTCGGCAAGTTTGAGACGTTGTTGGACTGTCTGGATGACAAACGGACGTACGCCAGAGCCTCAGGGCGCGGTCATCGGATGCAGAGGCGTCTGGGGCTCCATGTCAAACAGCATGTCATCTATCGAGGTCTCGTTATCGAGCATGTAGACACCTGATTTTGTGAGTGAGCACTGTATGCATTCGCAAGCACGAACCGTCCGAGCTACGCTTTTGGCCGGCGAGGTTTCGGGCGAGACACAGCTCTGTTGTCGTGCCTGAATGCTATCGACAAGAGCATCGTCGATGATTGGGAAGAGCTCTCGAGGCATTGCTGTAGCTGGACTACAATCGAGATCCGCATCCGTGACGGGAGGCACCATACGGTCAAGAGCAAGCCCGATGTCGTGGCACAAGATGTCGAAATAGTCCCCATCGGAGCGACCGATTTGGTGGTCTTTTGACCGATTTTCCTCTTCTGTGTCTTGTAGTGTAGATGTGGCACCCTCTGCGCAAGATCTGTCAGTAACCGTAATAGTGAGCTCGGTCATTGCCGTTGAGCATGAGGATGCGTCCGTGCCGTCGTCAAGGATCGAACCGCTGGATTGGCTTGCCCCGTCGTCATCTGCTACTGCTGCGTGTTCGAATTCTTCAGCTCGCCTTGGCAGAGTCCGACGTACTGTGTTGTTCGTGTAGAATATCGATACGCAATAGCTCTGTCGAGGAGCCTTTGGCGCCAGGAACAGTATTCGCTTGCGTCTTCGCAACAATTGTTCCTCGGTAGCTACCATGTGCCATATCCAGTCTGCATACAAATCGTTGAAGCGTGGTTTGTTGGAGCTTGAATAGCCCACTGCGAACAGGGTCTGCCAGAAAAGACTGCGAATTAGATGCTCGAAGTCTGGCAGCCTACCTGTTTCAAGCCGTTGACGTTCGTCCTCGAGTAGAGTCCGGCACAGGAGTCGGGTCCAGAGACTGCGGTCGGTGTAGAATAATTCGTAGCTGTGTGTGGTAGCCGTCCCCATGCCGTTCTGCTCAGTCGATGGATTTCCTTGCTCTGCAATGTCGCTGTCAGCGATTTCCTCGTACCAGCCGAGAATGTACGACCAAATTGACTGGATTTGTGTCTGCATTTTCTGGTCAGAGCGATGATATCGCACGATGAGGAACCACAGGATGAGGAGCAGAACGAGTGCAAGCTTAGGGACCTCGTCAAAGACTGACATGTAGCACGACATGGCTGCAGGAGACCGCTGCCGGAGGTGAGGATCGCTTCGAGGGCATTTGATATAGCATGCATCGCTGAGGCGGTAGCACAATGGGGCTTTGCCGCCAAAGAGGCTTTGTGTGGCATTTTCTTTGATCTTCTTTGTGGTCTTGTTGGCGACGACAGGGACACCCGTGGGCAGCAGGGCATGATTAGCTGGTGCGGGAGGGAACGCTGGTCGTTGCTGATGCACTAATCGCCCGGAGTCAGGTCTGTGTTTAGCTTGTGATTGTATTCAGGTGGCTCTGGTGCCAGACACGCAGCTTCTTCGGTCTGCGGCACCTCCTGTCGTGCCCGAGTCTGCGTTCGTTGAGTTTTGCTGTTATGTAGCCCGTCTACAACACTTAAATAGCAAGCTCCTCGTGTTGCTATTCAATTCGCAAGGTCAAGACTGTAAACATTGTCCGATGTACGCGACCTGGCGCGTCCGAGCGCGGCTGGTGCGGGGAGCTGAGCTTCTAGGCACCTCGAGAGACACGATAGGCAGTTCGCATCATTTTGGGCTCGACGAGATTTTCTTCGAAGGGACAGCATGCACGAGGACCTGAGCTCAGGCCTCTACGTAGAGAACAACCACAACTCCTGCCGTTGATGGCTTACGTGTCGTGAGAATGTACAGGCTTGGCATCGCACAACAGAGCTTCATGTGTTCGAATTCCTATCGCCAGCAGACAAGCAGAAGGGGATGAAGAGATGGTCGGTGTCGCTAATACAACATGAATGTATTGACTGTCTCTTCCCCAAGATCCTGACAAGCAGGATGATTGATGAAAAGGTTTCGCATCACAAGGTGGCAGTGTAAGACCTCGGACACGGTGTCGAAGTGTCATGCGCAAGCACAGAGGACACGACAACGAGATGCCAAAAATGAGATTCTACGTTCTTCGTTAGCTTGCGCCGAGACGTGCGAGACGTGCGGGATTGGCATACAATCAATTGGTATTCCCGTAGGAATATTTCAGAGATTAAACTCTGGTTGTGTGTTAGCATCGTGGTCGGAAAGGGTCGATTCGAAGGCTGCTTACGAAAAGAACAGATACTACACTTCTGTGCGGTTGTTAGCAAGCTGGACAGTGTGTAGAGGGTGGCGTGGAACGTACGATCTAAGCCAAAAGGCACTGAAGTCATCGTCAGTACAAGATTCTGAAATGTGGGAGTAGATTCAACACGTACAAGAGAGCTGGAGGTCGGTAAGAGGTTTGGACGACAGAGAGAAGTTCTTGTGTTTTTCGAAAAGGCGCTATACCATTATTGGGATAGCGCCTTCTCAATGAACACGTGACATGACGACACTGGCCTGGAGCAAATTACACTTCACTGGCAAGAGATTATTCAAACAACGAAATTCGTCTTCACTACATGACTCTCTGTGCGCAAACTCCACCAAATATCGGAGCTCTCTGCTCAGGAGTTCACCGGTCGTTGACTTTCCTCTTCGCGATGGGTACTGAGATCTGAGTCAGGATGAAATGATCTGTGCGGGACCGCAGATTTACGAAGTACACGTGCCATGCGTTCTGATTCATACGATGTTGCTATACGAGCAGCGGGCCACGCCGTCGACTCCAGCTCGCGTCGTTCAGTGGACACGAACTTCACGGTAAGCAATTGTACGGTGTCTCCTGGAACAACTTTATGCTCCAGATGAGGCTTGTGTCGGCTTGCGTACAGGCATCTCCGGGGCCGGTCAAAACGTGTGAGTCGTGCTTTGGTGTGCCCACAGATTCGTCAACACCATTCTTGTCGCTGCCCGATAATCAAGCGACAGCAGCGTACTCAAGTAGGTAGTGCTCCGCCCCAAGATCTCGCTACTTCGCTGTTCGCTTGCGCATTGACAGAATTGTATGGCGTCGGAACGCGAGCAGCGCACGACGATGAAATGTTCTCTGGCGATATCTCTCGTTGCACATTCTGCAGATTCCAGGCCCAGCAAAGTAATGGTCGCCTCAGGCTCTTGAGCAGCAGTATCTACATCAGCTACACATGCTAGTGTCGCAGACGAAGAGATGGACATGGCATTCGAGGAGGTAGATGCACGAACTAACATCACATCGAGGAAGGACTCCCCGAAACCTACTACGCTCGCAGTGTTGATCTTGTTCGTGCCTGCGGCATTGTTTTGTACAGCTTAGCAATCCAGGACCATCCGTGCCTTCCTCACAGCAAACACCGTAGGCGAATGCCTTCAACTAAGCTTTGCAGCAACAATAACGGAAGGAGCACCCTGGATGGATCAAATCTACCCAATCCTTTTGCAATAGTCTCTTTCCTTCCTCTCTTCGTCGACAAAAATGGTGCGTATCGCGCTCCTGACGGCACCCGCGCGGTTCGAGAGATTGCTGATTATCGTGCTTCTAGGCAACAACGTAAGCCTCCTTCCGTCCGTACGCACCTACGAGCCGCACTCGTCGGTCTTCGATGTCCACCCAGCGAGAACACGCCTTCCTTCGGGCACTTGCGTTCGAGACAGACTCTTGGAAGATCATACGTCCACCACCATTTCGACTGCTCTCCCACGATGCTACGCACGATGACAAGACTTGGTGCTCATGCTGACACATACGCAGAACAGAAGCCAACCTTGCTCCCGGAGTCGACGGCGGCAGTAAGGACCCGGCCGGTGGTGCTCGAGACGGTAACGCTGGTGATGGCAGACGTGGCGGGGGCGAAAGAGGTCGTGGCAGTTGTGGAGGTCGTCGAGCTGCCAGAAGCCGCAGACGCGGCTTTTGCGGCGGCTTCGGCGTCAGTAGGCACCATCAGTACCGTGTGGAGGTGCTAATCAGTCTTATAGCACACCCAGGAAGCGTGCGAGCGGGCGACGCTTGCCCGCAATATGACGGCAGCGATGCTGCAATTCCTGGTAAGCTTCTGCCCTACGCAGCTTGATACCGTACTAATATTTCACAGGAATCTATGGGTATTAGGCCGAGCGTTGGCGGTGCTGTGCGTGCCGGTCAAGGCGTTGGTCGTAGGGGCGGTGGTCGAGGTAGCCGGGAGAATCGTCGCCAACGTCGTTTGGCACAACGGCTTGCTAGTGATTCTGGCGGTGGGGGGCTGCGCCGACGAGGCGAAGAAGGACGATGACAGGGGTGCAGGAGGAGGCGACCGCGATGGGCACGGCGAAGGTGGTGGTGGGAGCGGTACCTCCCGTCAGTATCACGTCTCCTGTATGTTGCAGCCTTCTCAGTCATGCATTGCTAACAATCTCGCAGCCACGGAAGCGAAGTGAGGGCGAGGCAGCGCCTGCTGGAAAAACCTCCCGAGGCATGGCTCGGCACCATGAATTCCTCGAGATTTCTCTACCCATCAACTTTTTCACGAGCGGCTGGTGGCTTGTCTTGTTTATTTTGCTATCCGGCAGCAGAAACATACTCTGGTCAATACGCAACCAACAATATCAACACCAAGGGTCTTCCAGACCACAACTCGACATGGCATAGGGTTCGCACAATACTGGTGTATGCTGATAGCGGATTATTCCGTCCGTCGGAATAATCTGACGTATAGACCACTTATCAAAATTTTCGGGGTTTTGCGAAGCTGCCCGTTTTCGACTGGGGACGTTTCACAGTTCATGTAGGCGCGTTCATCGCAATATCCCGAGTCATGCTATCAACGTATCCTCTATCAGTGTCGCTCCAGCGACGCAGAAAGTATGCATATAGAGCAAGTCCGGGAGCCCAACCACCAAATGTCAGGACCACCATCATCCAAACGCGAAGCTGAGACGCGTCAAGTATCCGTTCACAATTGCACAGCGGATCAATTGCTCGCCTAAACAGACCAAAACCCCAGTCATGCAGACCTTCCACCTTACAGCCACCGGCTACAACATCAATTACCTACCACAGTACATCGCCCAACGGCACGCATTCTTCGCAAAGCAAAATCTCAATGTAGTGACCACGATCCCTACCCCTTGGGACGGTGTACTCGACGCCCTAGCCGACGGCTCGGCGCATATGGCACTCGGCGGCATCTGGGTGCCCTCCATGTACCGCAACCGCGTGCCTCATGACTACACCGTCTTTGCGCAGATTGCCAATCGGTGCCCTTTGGCCTTACTGCGTCGGACTGATCGAGCGCACAAATTCGACCTCAAGAAGGATGTCGTCGGCAAGACCGTGCTGATGAAGTCGATCGGCGGCGCCAGCGTCGGGCTGTGGTTCAAGATGTTGCTGCGCGAGAATGGCGTTGATCCTCGTGATGTGGACTTCGTGCAGGATCTTGATGGCAAGATGTTGGGAACGCTTTTCGAGGGTGGCATGGGAGATTTTTTGGTCACCGACTATTTATCTGCAAGGGCGCTTGTAGAGGGAAACCCGAATCTGTCGATCGCGATGGAGATGGTCACGCAGGGCGAGGTGCCATGGAGTGTGTACTACCGGGAGACCGCAACCATCACGCCAGAAATACTAGACATGCAGAAGCGTTTCTGCCTAGGGCTATGTGAGGCTATCAAGTGGGTGCTAGCGAGAGATGCAAGCGAGTTCAGGGATGAGTTGGCAGAGCTGTTTCCGAAGGTGCCCGTCGAAGTCGCAATTGACGTGGTCAATTCGTTCAGAAAGAATGGTATGTGGAAGTCGCCTGTCATTCCTCGCGAGGCGTTTGACAGATGGCAAAAGGGTCTTCGAGATGCCCGGTTCGTCCCGGAGCCGTTGCAGTATAACAGCATTGTGGACGATGGTCCCGCGAAAGCGGCGGAGAATGAGTCTATAGCGCTGTAGAGCAGTGTGTAGACTCGAATGAGCAGGAAATATACATAATGAGCAGGAAATATACATGCTACCATTGGAGAACCACGTGTCGAGTAGCGGAACTCATATCAACCTGCGATTCTACCGGATCCCGAAGCAAATGAATTCATCGTCTGCGCGCAATTACTCTGATGATGCGTCACTGCCGCGACTACGTAGAATGCACGTATAGAGCCGCAACAACCTGTGTACACACAACATGTAGGCTTGAACACGTGTCAATCGGATTGACTTGAGCTCCGAGGCGTGACACCCGGTCTGCCGAAAATCCGATTTCAAGGAGCTGTCAACCCGTCCGAGACCAGACATGGTAAGTTTGTCGACCAATCTTGCAAACCTGCCTATCGACTAGCTGGGCTGCTGAAATACCAACCTGTCTGATATGCCTACTTACACGCAGAAGCTCAAACCACGATCACAATCAAAGTGCCGCAACTACCTCGCCTCCTTGCCCTCCCATCACAAAATCAAGCTCCCCAAGATCCGGCCATTGCGCGGCGGCATTGAGCAACTCGCTAAGGTCAAAGTTCTCACCAGCTGCAAAAGCCGACGTGTACTCGGTGTCAATCTGACCCATGCCAGAATTTCGATCATCAAACGTCGACCTCAAATGCCCCATGACTTCCCTCACTTGACTTTCGAACTCCAGACGATTGTTGGGTATCTCTTCGATGTCTTTCTCGACGAGCCAGTCGATAGTCGTGGAAGACAATGACTCAAACGCATTGCGACAACCCGATGCACCCTTGAAAGTCTCAGCCATTGCTGATAGCGTCGCTGTGCAGGTCTGAAGCGTGTTGATGCTTTTGCCCACAGGGATTTGATCACGGATCTCCTTGCTGCGCCATAGTCCATAGATGACGACCAACCCAGCCATGAACAGGTGATGCACTGATTTCCATAACATCTCAACACGACCTTCTCGCTGAAGGTCCTTCAGACCATCGATGACCCTCGTTGCGGCGTCGAACGAGCTGAGCAGCTGGTCTGCCGCCTGAAATGAGAGGGTCAAATTCGGACGGGACAGTAGCAAAATTGTGTTGTTATACAGCACTTGCCAGTGGGATTTGAAAGCAAAGATAGACTGAGGATGAGCTTTGCTGGGTTCGGGAATAGTAGCGTACCACTCTTGCAGTCGAGGCTTCACATCTTGTAACCATGCATTCCAGTTAGGACGTGGATGTGCAAGCTTGAAGCTCCACGTTTGGCTGTGCTGGACATGAATAATTTCGGACTCGAGCTGTGCTAGTTTGAACAAATGATTATGAGCGCGCTGCGTGTAGATATCGTAGTCATTGGCTTCTGATTGTGAGAGGTCGTCGCGTGAATTGATCCAGGGATTCGGAAGCTGCACTCGAATGCTCTCGTCCAGGATACCTGGAGGTCGGCCGAGAGTCACGCTCATAAGTCGGTCGAAATGATACGTTGAATGCCATAATCGCCTGCGGTCGTCCAGAAGCTGTGCATCCACATTTGAAGCCTGAGTGTCCGTTTCCCAATGCAAGCCTATGTCGATGCACAACCGCAGTGCAAATCCGGTCAGATGCCACAGGCTGCCCTGCGCAGGTGACAAAGCCACGAACTGTGTCAACAGAAGCACGACGCGCAAAGTCTGTAATTCGCTCTTTGAATACGTCAAGAGACGTTCAACCCAGAGAAGTGCAGAACGGAAACATCCGTCACTCTGGCTAGACCGACCCGATAGATAGGGCACATCGACAAGTGCAATTGCAAACACCATATAGGTCACGAACATGTTCATCTCTGCTGCAGTAGCGACTGCTCGACCTCCATCCTGGGATGCGTAAGCGCTGTCAATGGCGTCGATGACTTGCGTGCGGCTGAGTATTGGTAGGTGCGGCGTGCGGTACTGAAAGTAAACCTCGACTAAGTGATCTGCAGCAGAGCGAGGTGGGAGAGAAGCCGGAGTGGTCAAACCAGTGGGAGCGTCCTGGAATAGTTGCTGCTGGGAAGTTGGGACGGGGTTTCGGTCCACATGAATTGTTGCCATAACCATCTTGGCGAAGGCGATGCCGCTGCTATGACCAAGATACCGTGATTGATTGCCCGGCTGAACCACAACGTCTTGAGCGCTGGCGACTAAGTGCTGTAGCACCGGAGAACTTTCGTCTGACTCCGGACGTGGTCCTGCAGAAAGATTGTTGGTGTCGTTGGCTGTCGTAACACCGGATTCTGCCGTCCCTACGGTGACAGGGCTCCGATGATTTTGTTGTCGAAGTTGCTCGACCTCCTTGGTGAGTTGGGCTATCTCGTCTTCCAAGTTCGTGACATAATCACGTGGAATCTTTTCGAGTCAGTAGAGTCGTTGAGATACTTCGCTGTGTGCAGGCCTCACATTTGCCTGTTTGCCGGAATGATACGTGAGACACTCCGCACCAGCACTCGCACAATTTGAACACTGAGGATATTTCTGATCGCACTGTGACAGCGGTCGCGATGTGAGCTACTGACACAAGCAATTGTTGGGTTCCGCTACCTTCTGCTTCCTCCGACGACACCTGTTGGTGATGATAAGACTTCTTTCGCATCTACTGATCACGAGCATCGGCTTACCTCTGACACGCACTTCCGCCGCCTTTGATAGCAGCTCGTCGAACCTCATACATGTTCTTGTTCATGTGATCGGACATCCTCCGACAGCAATCGCGTTATATTGAGGTTGGAGATAATGAGTCCGGGGAAGGACGCCTGGGAAATGCCGATATAACAGTTTCGATAGTGCCCCGAGGGCTGCAGATAAGGATCGGCTGCTGCTGATTGGCGAGCTTTACAGCCACCCGTGGACCGTTCTCGCCGATAGCAGACACTAACATCGACCTTCATCGACACTTATCACGAGGCTTGTAACGAGCCAGTTTGTCCGTCTATATAGATGGCCAACATGGACACTCTCATGGAAGGAAGATCATCATCAAGTCATCTCCATCGCCTCGACTTTCCCAGCAATCACTCAACTCCCAACTCACAAGTCAGCAATGGAAAAGGAGATGGCGAAAGAATCCGTGATCGACAGCCAGTCGCTCGACCATGATGTCGGCACCCATACCACCATCTACATCGAGCCCGCTCGAGAAGCGGCCGTGCGCAGGAAGTTCGATATCTACGTTGTTCCGGTCTCGGTCATCTACCTGGTGCTGTCTACACTGGATCGCAACAATCTCGGCAATGCCCGCGTCTTCGGCTTCGACGAGGACATCGGCCTCAAGAGCGGCCAATTTGGCAACATACAAACGCTTTCCTCGGTCTGCACCGTTCTGTTCGAAGTGCCTTGGGTGCTTGCTACTCGACGATGGGGTGCTAAGAAGGCAATCGGTACTGCCTTCGTCCTCTGGTCTATCTGCACACTCGGCACTGCGTTCGTTCAAACCTATGGTCAGGTCATTGCGTGCCGCATGCTGCTCAATGCTGCCGAAGCCGGCCTTGCTCAGTCATTCGCCTTCCTCTTCTCCACCATCTATCCCCGCGAGCTCGCTGGCAAGCGAATCATGACGACCAATATCGCCCAGTGTATCTCCGGTGCTTTTGGAGGGCTGTTCGCATACGCCGTCCAGACTATGGGTGACCGCCATGGCTTCGCTGCTTGGAGATGGCTCTTCATCATCGAGTTCGGCATCACGGTGGTTATCTGTGGTGTTGGCTTGTTCTTCCTCCCGGGCAAAGTCGAGGAGGCATGGTTTCTGAGTGAAGAGGAGAAGGAGACGATGCGCTTGAAGACCGAACGTGACTACCTCATTCGCGGCGAAGAGAAGTTCGAGAAGAAATGGATCAAGCCTGCTCTCACGGATCCTTTCGTCTGGATGCTCGGTATTGCTTTCTTCACGAGCAGCGTTGCAATCAACGGATTTGGTAAGTTGTTCTTTTGTGCCCCTCCCCCAAGACATGGCTGACAAGGATCGCAGGAGTGTTTCTGCCCACCATCATCCAGGGTCTTGGCTTCGCGTCGTTGAAGGTCAACTACATGACTATTCCGGTCTTCGTTCTGGGCGCCATCTCGCTGAGCATCCAGGTCTATTACTCCGACAAGCTCAAGAAACGCGGCGCTTTCATCGTCTCCTGCTGCGTGCCCGTAGCAGCCGGCTATCTGATGTGTGTCTTCTCCAAGAACCCAGACGTCGGCTATGCAGGCATGTTCGTGCTCGTCGTTGGTAAGCTTCCTCCCAATCCAAGTCTCTCACGCCGTTCTAACACGTATTCCAGGTCTCTACCCAATCTCGACCTTGGCCGTCACATGGATCACCACGAACTTGGCACCAGACAGCAAGCGCGCCATCGGCCAGCCCTTCGCATACAGTTTGGCCAACGTCTCAAACCTTGTTTCCGGTCAGCTCTATCCGACCAACCAAGGTCCTCGCTACGTGCCCGGCAACGCGATTTCCGCCGGTCTCACAATCGTCGCCGGATTTCTGTATGCTGCATGCTGGCTTTTGCTCAGATATCGCAACAACAAGAAGGCCAAGATGATCGCTGAGGGAGCCACCGAAAATGGCAAGGAGGGTGACCAGGCTCTGGGCTTCACATATATCCTCTGAGAAACGACTCTCGGTGCACCAGCCCACGAAGGAACGAATTTTATGCTAGGTTTTATAGTTTCTGTATCGATTTCATTAACGACTTGCGTCAAGGTCATTTCTTATTTGCTGAGACCCCTTTTCCTTCCTGTCTTTACCTCTACCATGGTCCGTCACTTCTCTCTGCATCATCGCTGGCATGTCTCGTCTCTTCCAGGTAAGCACAGCACATCACATCATTAAAGCGTTCGTCCGCCAGCGACTAGATACGCGAATGCACCTTATGAATCCAAGGTAGTCCGATCTGCATCTTTAGCGGGTCCTCCCTCAAATACCCTTCCGCACCTTCACATCAACCATTAACGGATTCTTCTCCCACAGAATGAATACATCCATCTCTTGAATCCACTTCTCCCAGCCCGAGACCCCCTTAGGAATGCTCAAGTCAAAATTCCAGAGAAATTTCGCCAGCGTCACCCTTTGCTCAGCATACGCCAGATTCCTGCCGATACAATTCCTTGGCCCGGTACTGAACGGCTGGAATGATCCATTCGCGTTATCATTCTGAAACTCCTTAGGCCGCTGATCCTTCGGGAGCCACCTCTCTGGCAGGAATTCATTCGGCCTCGCGAAGTTTGACTCAACAAAGTTCGCCGCCATCGCACAAGTCGCCATTTGGGTGCCCTCTGGATAGAAGTGTCCCGATATCGTCGCGCCGCCTGCGGGAACGCTCCGGGGGAAGATGAATGGCACTGGCGGATATACTCGAAGGCATTCATTTAACACCTGCAGTAGGAACGGCGACTTGTCGTTTGCAGCGGCGATAGTAATGGACTCTGATGTCGGGAACGTCTCCCGAAGCTCCTTGACCAACTTTTCATGTACTCGTGGGTGGGTCAGGAGCAGGAAGATAGCGCCAGACAACAGTGTAGCTGTTGTCTCACTTCCTGCCAGGACGAAATTTCCACAAATCGACTTAAGCTCTTCCTCATTGAGATATCTCTGCTCTGGCGGCAACAGACTTGCCTTCTCCGGGTCATCCAGTGGCTTCTGCAATACCGTATCCAATAGGTCGCCTCGAATATCGCCCGCGTGTTCGATCCGAGTGTCCAACTTAGCCGAGACGTATTCATAATTCGTCCTTCTCGCATCTAGTAGCTTCTGTGGGAGTATCTTGAAGAGGAAACCCAGCAGACCGTACCTTCCCAGAACGGTGAACCAGACAGCGGCCTTGACACCTTGCAGGATACCCACAACCCACGGATGTGTCTCCATCTTCTCCACACACTCGAATGACTGCCCAAAAGACATGTCGGCAATGATATCGAATGTCAGCCAGTTGAACCACTCAACCATGTTCAATGGCTCCTTCCCAGCACGAGTCTTCATTTGCTCGATGAACCCATCGATATGGCCCTGCACCCTAGCTTCCTGCGAGAGCAGGCCCTGTTGGGAGAAAGCATGCGAGAACAAGTGTCGAAAGCGTCGATGGTCAGTCCGATCCGCGGTGAGTATTCCATGCACGCCATTGTACGGCACGAAGGCGGTGTCTTTGGGAAACTCGGCATTGCCCTTGACGTGGCCGTAGGCATCCTTCCAGATATCTCCGGTGGTGTGGGAGACGATGGAGGGCGCTACACGGACCCGATCACCGTATTTCTTGTGGATGGCGAGGAGCGATCTGTGATTGTTGCCTCTCAGACGGGACCATGAAAATGGAATCTCGAAGCGCGCCATAGGATTGGTCCGGGCAGGTGTCGCAGTGGGTGGAAGAAGAGGTTGTAGGTGACTTCCCACAAGATGCGCCCAAGCAGGAGGAGCGGGAGTATGAGCAGAGCGGTCGCGACTGCCATCTTGAAGTGAGAAATCTCGTTGACGCTCAGGATGGTTTCAAGGAGTCCAAAAGCCAACTAGATGTCAGTAGTCTGGATATGGGACATGCCCTTCAGATATGGCCTCGGCATGTTCCAAAGCAGGCTCCTTCCATCACGCAAACGATGTTATCCACCGTCAGCAACTTTTTGATATCATTCGGGAGATAATAGATACCGTGGCTCGCCTAACGAGGCAACAGTGGGTGTCCCTGTTACAGCACGGTGGAGCATCGTGGTAAGTGTCCGGTGTCTTGGTAGGTGACCCATGCCCGCATACGATCGCACCGTCGGCCAAGCCGTTCGCTTCCATTCCATCGCGGGCATACATCCGAGAGCTCGTACGCGTGTACTAGATATCATCATAAGTTGGTGTGGTGTTCAGTGAAAAGAGGCGCCCGATCGCATTCGAGATCGCAGTTCGCAATAATAAGGGCCCAACATGCGACAAAGTTTCGAAATCCCACTGACAAACGTCGAACGCTCATTGGTTCCAGCGATTTTCCTGACAAAACGTCGATCGACAGTTCTTTGACCATTTGAGTAAGTGTAGAAAGTTGACATATCCGCCGCTCGGACAAAATGACAACCCAGCTTAATCCACGCGAGCAGAAAAGCCTGGCGCAGTGACGACCTCAACGGCGGTTCAATGCGCGTCTTATGTAAGATGCTTGATGCGGCATTTCCAAGACTGGTGGTGGGTGGTATGATAGTGGGCGAATAATTGCTTGATTCAGAAGCCCGAGGTGGTGCCGCCTAGGATGACCCGACCATTTCAGCTCCAAGTGTCGTCCGGAATATACCAGGCAACGAGACATGGCCCAAGGCATGTGTATACAGTCCAATGTCGAGAGCCAAGCATCTTGTTTGGGGTCGAGTTTGCTTTGTCACGAACATGCAGGTACAGCGACGACTCAGGCATGTCCTTTTGAAGACGATCGATGCGCGCTCGGCCGATGCAGATAAGGCTTGCATTTCCCGTGTGCATTATGTCTCAAAGCCGATCAGGGCCTCCACCAGCCGCTGGCCGCACATTCACACAATCAGCCAGGTCCCGGACGTCCTTTCAGTATCAACTGACATTTGGTAGATGCCAGATGATCGCTCGGATAGCTATTCAGACCTTACCCGTACCAAGCAGGGCGCGTGCGAGTGTGTATACGCTGATCTGATAGAGCTCGGTAGCGACTCGCTCCCTAGACTTGCTGAGGCGTCTTCGGTCGCTGCCGAAGCAGCAGACCGCCAAGGACGATGCGTCTCGATACGACTGATAGTAGGATGTAGGTGACAGGGCGCGAAAGAGGTTCGAACGGAAGGAGCTAGATGAAGAGAAGACAAAAGGGAAGTGTGCTCTGACGCCAAGGCCTTCGCGCTGAGGTCGACGGGAACCCGCGTACTGAGGTTGACAAGGGGCCGCAATTGTCGCAGTAGCCTGTAAACAAACACATCAACGAAGCTCTCTTATATTCTATGGAAATAGATCTGAAGGATATAAGCGAGAAGAACTCCCCCTTCCGTTCACTAATCAAGCCTGAAATCCCCAAAACAGAAGTCCCAGATACACTACACTTTCAGCAGCATCACCCATGCCATACTCAGATCATCTCAACGAACAAGGCAGCAAAGCCAATTGCAAGGCCCATGTTCATGCCCATACTTGATGCATCACCGGTATAGACCTGGACCGGGTTGAATGTACCGTTGTATTGTCCCACAGGCGAAGTGGTTCCGTTGCCGGGATGCTGAACACCATAGACACTGCAAGTGCCTACGCATTCATTGCTGCAGCACCAGTTGGCGTTCGTGCAGTCGCTATTAGTTGTGCATACAGCTCCGTATCCACCGCAAATACCAGTCTCCCCAATGTGAATGGTGGAGTTGCCGCAAGAGCCGTTGACTGGCGCGAGGCCGACTCCATCAGATGCGGTGTGGTTGCATAGCGCTGCGGCGAGGATGGGTAGAACGGTCGTGGTGAGGATGGAGAGCTTCATTGTGTTGGTGTTCGGTTGTTGAATTATTACTGCGCGGGTCGTCGATTCGAGTGTATTGGTTGGGTGATTCGGTGGTCAAACGAGTGTCAAAGGTCGGTGTTGTTGCGCGTGTTGTGGTACGCAGCCGTGTCGGTAGTCGTGATGAACAGGGAAGGCATCCGACTGGGAACGAGCATCGGGTATTTGAGGTTGCAGTACTGTTTTGATTTGTGTTGATCAGGAGGAATGGGGTGGGCGGACAGTGCAATATACCAAGACGGTCCGTGCATTGCCGAACTGCGTATGCATCTATTCGGGTTGTGCCGAGAACAAAGCATCAGACTGTTCGACAGATCACCATCTACCGCACGCTTACTATGTCTTGGCTTCTAGATCAGATAATACTGAGAGCTGTAGGAAATTGGCTCATTCTCAGATCGATGGACTGGGTGGGTTGTTGTGAGTGCCGGTTCAGTCTGTGCGGTAATCGTCGTCTGTGCGGAGGTCGTCAGGCATGCTCGATCCACCACCAGGACTGACTAGACCAGTATCAAGTCAGCACACAGACAGCCCAATTCGATGCGTTCGTGAACCGCCACAATACAAACTGTGCATAGCAAAAGTCGCCTGCCTCTTCTTGGCGAGATCGTCAGCCTGACGATGCCCGCTTTGCCATCGTCGTCGATGCTATCTCCGCTGTTATTCGGCAAGGCTCATAATCAGCCTCGCCTAGTTGGCATTTCAGTTGCCATGGTTATATATTCCTGATCGTGAATTCTGTTTCAAATCCGCACATAAAACGCCGTGGGGTTCGAAGTTGACAGCCCTCATTGAACCTTATGTTTACTGAGGGTGCGAGATAAGCGGGGGATGTAGAGTAGATAGTGCCTGAGGCGTGTGCGGATTGCCCGTGGTTCGGAGGAGGGGCCGAGATCGTCAATCAGGCGACGATCGATGAGGCTAGTATCCGATCCCGGGGTGTTGAATTATTGCTCTTTGTAAAGTCTGCAGACGTCTGCGACTGTTCGAGTCGTGGTTATCGCAGACTTTTTGCCTTTTGATTTGCGACAGGCCTGGTGTTAGTGATGTGTCGCGTTTGGTCCCATTTTCTTGGCTTGGCAACAAACACCGCCCGAGAGGCAGAAGTACTCACCTGCCTGACTGACGATCCACAGCACACCAGTATCAGCGAAAGTCCTGGAAGGAGTCTCTCCTCTCGAAGTCACTTGTTTCAACGAAACGACGCGTGCTTCGACTTACGTACCACGTTGCATCAACGTCATGCTTGCCCAAACATGATTAATCGACCAGCTCGTCAGTCGTCGAAGTGTTCAGCAAGGCCTGAACGTGCACGATCTCTGCAGTGCAGAGAAGTCGACGGGAAGTCGGAGCTCTAGGACATCTGGAGACTGTGGGCGGCCTGAGGTGAGTGCCTTGATTGAGAGCAAGCGATCGTCGTTGTTGTTGCTGTCGAGCATGAGGACCAGAACGTATAATACATCGATTGACGCCGTCATGCGTTCGCAACGAAGTCGTATGGATGAGCGCCGGGCGAGGTCCTGCAACGTTGCTTTGCCACACAGCGGAATGACCCAAGCCTTGTGACCTCCGCGGGTTTGAGCGGGTCATTGCTGGCTTCCGTGAGGCATCTCAAGACATCAAAATGCTCTTCACATCAGTTATGACGTCGAAGTCATCGTTGAGCCAGCTGGGAGGACAGTGGTCACGACTGGCGCTGGTTGATCTGTGTTGGAAGGACGTCTGGCACGTGGAGCATCCCCAGCTCGACCAACGACTCAACCAGCTAGACCAGTTCTCGGAGGCAGCCAGCACGGCATTACGAGATCGCCTTCGCCGGGAGCAGTGCTGCTCGAGATGCGATAGGAGAAGATGTCACGGACATGAGCTTGAGTTGAGATGTGGTCATCAATTGCTTGGCCCGGTTGGGCCCACCCAGTGACGCCCTGGCCAATCATGGTGAAGCCGCTCCGTCATACTGTCCTTGCAATAATCTCGCTGGTTCGACAGTCACTTCAAGCTCGCTACGCGCTGTTTGACTATCGCCACGCACAGCAGTTGTCTTGCGGATGAGGTAAACGAAGTATGATCTATACTGTCACGTCTCGAGTCCACAAGCAGCCTCAGAACGTCGGGTCTTGGCGCAGATGGCACCAAGACCCATCGCGGTACTGAGGACAAGTCGTCTGCGGAGGTTCAGACCCCAAGCCATAGAATCGAGCCTCAGGTATGTCGCGGCTCTGTATATGACTTTGAGCTCATGGCAAATCTCGCTCACCTCTAGAGCGTCCAGATATGATCATCGGGAGCAAGCCATCGAGTGGTGCCCAATGAGGCAATCTCCCTCTTTCGGTATAGCCTCGGTGAGACAACGCGCCGCTTCTGCTCAGTACAGATCGGTCAAGGTCAATTGCGCGTGGACGACTGCAGACACGATCAATGCTGTGACGAAGGAAATATGTTCGAGCCATTGCAACTGCTGGCGGCACGACAGGCAGCAGCAATCCAGGCTTCGTGGACTGGCTCAGCTGTGGGAATATAAATGCTGGCTCGCAATTGTTTATGCTTCGGGATTGTCTTCTGCGAATCATGCTCTGCGAGCGTGAGGCAAGTTGATACATCGTGACACCGACCCTCTGGCAAGTATATGCAACATGCCGCGCTACTCCACGACTGACCATTTGCACGTTGGTGTGCTGTTCTGCGGACCCGTTCAACTCCTCGACCTTGCGGCTGTGGACCTTTTCGCCATGTGCAGCAAGGTCTACCTGCGCGCTTGCGAGCTACCCAAGCCCCTCGTAGCCCTCGGCCTCGAAAACATAAAGTTCTACTTCATTGGGGAGGGCGTCACACCCTCAGCCACGAACTCAGCCTCTGCCGACGCTGCAACCAGTACTGCTTTCCCAGCACCAGCGGAGACGACCCTCGTTGCCAGTACACCTTCTCTTGGCCTGAACATGCAGCTCACACACGACATCGCGTCCGCTGCCGTGGCGCCGGGTAAGCTCGACATCCTCGTCATCCCAGGCTCAGATCCGAAGTTCGTCCCCTCGGAAGCCATGGCTGCGTATATCTTGGCCCAGTCAACTTCTCCTCAGACAGATGTCCTGAGCATCTGCACAGGCATCTTTCCGCTCGCACGTTCGCCTGGAGTTTTGGACGGGCGGGTCGCCACTGGGCCCAGGCCACTTGTGGACATGAAGCTACGAAAGCTGAATCCGAAGGCAGATTGGCATGACCACAGAAGGTGGGAGGTTGATTCGTGTGCCAAGCATTCCGCAGAAGGTGTCAATCACGAAAGATCAACAGGTGGAGAGCTATGGACATCAGGAGGCATCACTGAGGGGACGGAGATGGTGGCAACGTACTTGAGGGAGAAGATGAGTGCCGAACTAGGTCAACTGGTCTGCGAGCTTGCAGGCGTGGGTGGTAGACCAAGAGAGTATGAGCAGACGAAGGTGACGATGGGTGCAGGGTTCTTCTGGTTGATTGTGAAGAGCCTCTGGCGTGGGTTGTGGGCCGGGGGAAAGTAGCGGCAGAACACTATCGATAGCTCGCGAGCGAAGGAATGAGGTTGAGTAGCACGTCGTCGCGCTCCATGCCCCACAGAGCTCTGCCCCTGTGTCATCTGTTCCCACGGTATTGAGGAAAAGCAAGGCGCTGCTGAACCATCATCCTCATTGAATACGTCACGCTCATTGGGGCTTTCGAACGAGAACGGACATCCTCTTTCGCCCCATGGTAAACAGATATGTTCTGTTCGATCCCGCAGACACAGATCAGGGAAAAGACCCAGTCGCATCTTGCATGAGAACCACAAGGCCAGATCGCGCCACCTCGTATCCTGCAAGCCATGCTGTTGGGCGCTGCTTCATGAGCCGCTTCGGCGAGTGCATGAAGGCTTGACTTTTGCTCTGTGCCAAGTCGAGCTGAGCCATCGCGAACTCACCTGTAGGCAAAAACCCGCCGGCGGCAGCGCCGGCCATTGTACGCCGATATAATTATAGCATCACTTCGAGATGGCATTTTCCTAAAATCGGTGATGGGGAGGTACTTAAGCACTTGATGCGTGATGACTTTGGAGATGAGGAGGAAGGAAGCATCACTGCAAGTTTGTTTTCTATCGAGAAACCATACCTAAAAAGCCTACTGCCCACCCCTGCAGCAGCGCCCGAATCGCCTTGGCGAAGCAAGATCTGGTTCTAGGCTCGCCTAAGATGCGTCAAGCGAGCCCGCTGACTACACCGTCAATAATTAGAGAATCAAGACGAGCCGTCGGAGCACATCTCTCTCATATCAATCATCTCATACGACAAGCCGATTATTGCTAAGAACTTGTTGCATCGGCAGATAAAAACAGCATCCTTATCAATCTTCCTGCAATTGAGCAAGTACGCTGGTCGTTCAGAACGTATATCCTGAGCATCGAAATAAGAGCCGCAAGTTTCGGGCCTGATCACTAGGGCTGACGATCGGAAAGGAGATCCTAAGACCTGCAAACGAGAAGCGAAATCTGCGGGGAGCGTAGTCCAAGCTCCGTCATCAGGCCTGGGAAGGCGTACAGGTTCAACTCACTTACGTGATCAACCTTCGCACTCATCATCGTCTACACTAGTCGCATGACCCAGGGATCCATCATGCGCGGTTCGCGATAGCATTTCTTCAATGCCGCGCGGGAGACGCCCTGGACCTGGCACAGCAGAGGAGAAGCTGCCGCCAGAAGGGAGAAGGTCCGTCTTAACGTCCAGGCATACCGCAAACGCAAACACGAGGCGGAAAAGGATAAGCAGGTCGCCAAGGAGCCGAATCTGAAGTGGGTGGAAGACACGAAATGGCAGCAGGAATACGACCAGCATAGTCGCTATGGGCGAGAGTCTGACGCCGACCAAGACAGCAAACGGTCGAGCTTTTCCGGCAGTCTGAAGTTCGAGAGTGCCGACGAAGATGCGATTAGTGCTGAAGTGGTGGCACGAACGCCACAGATGTACAATTCACCCAGCGCCGAGAAGCAGAATACCCTTCAAATTCTATCAATGTTCACCGAGCGCTTCTTGCCGGATCAGCTGTCGATGCCGTCGATGTTCGACGTGCAGACCATACGGACGCCTTGTGCGCTGTGGGTGACAACGGCCGCACGGCAAGCTCGCTCACAAGAATCTGGCGCACTGAACGATGTGCTCCATTCGATAGTAATAGCAGTCATCTCTCAGGAGCAGCAAAGGCCTGATCTTACCATAGAGGCTCACAGACTCTACACGAGGAGTCTGAACAAGACAAGACGAGGCTTAGGACCGATTCTCGCCAACAGCTACAGAGCCAGCGAGACCGATATCCTAAATATGTTCCTGGCTTGCCATGCTGCAGCAGTGTACGAAATGATAGCGAATGGAAATATGACCGATATGAGACGCCATATCTTGGGCATCGGTCTGTTGATTGAACATCAGCGCTGTATGCCAGACTTTCCTACCGTCACTGGCAATTCTCTGGTCGAGGAATACCGTATGATGGAGATCCACTTCTGCCTACTCGAGCGAAGGCTCTCTACAACGTGTCGCATGAAAGGCCTAACGCCCGAGCCAGCCAGAATCTCGCACAGCGAAGCGATCTTGAACACCGATATAGGTCTCGTCGGGTCATTGCTCGACCTCGCGGACCAGATTCTGCCCATTATGGTCGAACTTGACTCCTTCAAAGAGACCGGCCGTCCTAGTGCGGGCCATCTGATGAGACTGGTACAGTCGGCTCTAAGCCTGCATGCCCAATTCGACTCCTGGTCAAACTTCCTGCACGACAAAGCATTCCCAGGATCGCCGCACTCCGATGCATCGTCAGACGCAGACAGCGAGCCCCTCGACCTCTGCCAGATCACGCAGTACGAATACGTCACATGCTACCTGTTCAGTCTGTCCTACGACCTTCACGCCATCGAAATGTGTATAGAAGCTGTCACTGCTCTGACACAAAGGACCGAGCACTCACCCTCTCACAGTCCATCCGTCACGAAGCCCTCGGCCCAGCAACAGCTCCTTCGCACACAATCTCTCGCGGTGGCAGGCACGATGCTGGAGTTGATGCCCTATCTTTTTCAGCAGGACAAAGGCATTATCGGTCGGTCGATAGCCATCTGGCCACTTGAGGCTGTGTGGCGTGTGCTAGATGCCGAAAGCTCCAGACTGTCCGGCGATGAATATGTGGCCAAGACGCTGAACGTCTCGGACGACTTTAGAACTAAGATCAAGCAGAATCGCACGCTGGTGGAGAAATACTACAAGCTCTGCCGGCAAAGTGGCAGGACTGCGCAAGCGTACGGTCTCCCATTAATCCAAGTCAGAGATTGTGATGAAGTAGCGAACGGCTGCTGCCAAGGGAAGCAACGCGTTCACAGCATCGACACTGACGACGAGGTGAGCGAAGCTTATGCTGATTGATCATCGGATCGTCCACCTACCAACACCTCAAGCTTCTGTCGCAGACAGATGTCGCCCAGTGTTCACGGGCTGCTGACATATTCACCTGGACCATCGACACTTTCTGAAGATGGGCGCAACTGCGATATCCGTCCAGCGAACTTTCCATACCAGACTCGGCAACTCGAGGCGAGATCCTTGCCTCTAGAGGCACAACAGATCGTGCCAGCTCAGGATCATCGCTCAGTACCTAGGGATGGATTTCGTAGGCCTCCCCTGGCTTTCGTCCGCGACAGTAGCCAAGATGCAGGGGTACCGATTGGGCGGTACGCCGCCCTTCAGAACACATGGAGGGCCTCTTTGAGGTGTTTCCGTCCGCCGACATGTCTGAGCTGCAACCGTCGGACCGAAATTGACCTCCACAGATGCTTTCATATCGCCCAACCTTTTGATCCAGTGGGGACCAAGTCCAAGCAGATACACACATCATGCCACTGAGCAGGGCAGAGGCTCTTTCGGAACTTTCCCATTTGCGGCTCTTGCAGTTCATGGACGTTCAGATGAGAATAGTTAGAGATCGAATGCGTGCTCGGTGAAGCGGCTAGTACGAGACCGGTTGACACGTCCAGACAAGGTCGTGTATAAGACCGGTTGACAAATGCAGAGAGCAGTACCATGCTCCAACAATTATGTTTCTCTTCCACATCTCGCATAGCAACTGAATACCGATCGGTCAACGAGCTTATCTTGGCAAGTGCTTATAAGGGCGAAGCATGTGTTACAAAAGAAGTTTGGGCCATTGGGGAACATTTGGTTAGGTATCTCTGAAGATATAGTACATTGCCAAGGGAGATCTCCTCCTCCACAGTTCGGACTCTCAGTATCCATACTCGCGGCATTTGCACTGTTTCTCTCTCTTTCCCGGGGCGTAAACACGCGAACCTTCCTCACATTCAAATGATGATTGAGGCCTTCGCGGAGGCTGTGTAGCACTCAAGCTGCGCAAATCGTCGATAGTCGTCACTGTGTACTTTGTTCGCCGACTGCAATGCAAACAACTGCAGACTCTCCGAACCTTCAAGACTTCCCAAAGCCCAAATCCAACCCACTGAAGAAGCTGTTCCTCATCAAGCCCGAGCTCCGCCTTCCACTACTCTTCCTATTCTCCTCGTCGATCTCGAAGTCGAACTTCCCAAAGCTGCCCGTGCTCTTCGCCAAGCCAGGTCTCTGCGTCAGTGGATTCTGGCCTTTCCGGCTCGGATGCGATCGTAGTGGGTTGGGGCGCTCGATGGTTGATGTGCTTGTGTTGAATGGATTATGGATCTCGTCTGAGGGTGTGGTGAAAGGGTTTTCGTTAGCTCCCGAGGCTTTGGTGTGTTGAGTGTTGAGAGGTAAAGGTACGTCAACTCGCGTGTCGAATTTATTGCGTCGGAGACTTCCTTGGCCTTTGCCCACGGCCTGCTGGGCTGGACTGAGGTCTGTGTTGCTATGACCCTCCGCACCGTGTGTGTACAGGTTGTAGAATGTGTTGGGTCTACTCCGCCGTGCTTCGCTCGCGCGGTTGACCTGCAGTTCTTCCGAGTGGATGCTAGACACGGAGTAAATGCTGCCTTGTTCTGAGAACTGTGAGCGTACCGGCGAGGGCTGCACGATCATCGCAGAAACTGGTTTGGAGGCTGAGTTGGGTAGGGCGAGGCTCGTAACGGACGCCTCGGCTGCGTTCTTGTCGCCGAAAGGGAAGGGATAGGAGGAGTTGTTTAACGTCGCGGACGGAGTAGTATTTGGTAGCGGTTTCGCTGAATGGTTGTTGCGACGGGCCGCTATTGTTGGTGTTGGATTACTTCTAGTGTATTTAGGTGGTGGCTGAGGCGATGGTAATGATGTTAGAGAATATTCTGCTGTCTTCTCGGACACTTTCTGCGCTGGAGTCTTGAAGGAAGATGCTGAGCTGTCGGACTCTGGCTTCGGCTTAACTTGCGATGCAATTCCATGCACCATCTCCTCATCGTCGTCTCTCCTTCTAATATACATGAAGATCAGGCCGCTGATAACCGCCACCACAATAAAGGTGCAGCCAACAGCGATACCAGCGACTGTGGCGATAGACATCGCCCCGTCGTCCTGATCATCCTTTTCGTTGTCGTCATTGTCCTTGGCTGTTGAAGCTGTCGGCGTAGAAGAAGCTGTGGCGCTCGAACTGGGCGTTGAGCTGGGCGATGTTGGGCCTGGCCCAGCAACATTTGGAGCAGTGGCAATGCCGCCGGTTGCGATTGCGAGCAGAGGCTCGCCGTCCTGATCCAGTCCCAGACCTTGGCACACCTTCTCATAGTACGACGCCGCGGCTGATGCGTCGTCCGGCGAACAGGCGTCTGACACTGACAAACACTGCTCTACCGACGTCCGGACGTCCTTCTGATGTGAACATAAACATCGCGAGTCGTTCTCCGAGCACTCCAGCGCTCCAGTTGCGTCAGCCAGGCAGACTGCCGCGCATGGTGGGTAAGAGCCAGTTCCTGTAGGTGATGCGCCGGCGGCAGTTATCTGCGATGGTAGATCTGACTGCGCAGCAGCGAGCGAAACGAATGTGACGGCTAGGAGGAGCCGAAGCCTGAAGTATTGTACCATACTCTCGAATAAGTTACCGCATCTCGGTGTACTGAAGGAGTGGACGTCTCACAGAGACAAGTCGTTGAAGTCGACCGAACCTATGTTGACACTACTCCAGAGCTGTCGCTTTCTATAAAATGCACATTGTTGTCAACCAGGGGACACTGATGTTAGGTCAGCATGAGCTGGTGTGTCAAAGTGACATCAAGCGAGTTTAAGAGAAATGGTCAGTGTGATTCAAGTGGATGGTGATCAGCTAGAAGAGGATTAGACAGATGCTTGAAGCGTCCAACGGTCCACAAGATTGGACGATCTGAATCTCCCGGATAGTCGCGTCGGTCTCATTCCTGGACGCGCTTCCAGAGTTACAGGTTTTATATAACTTCAAGATGAGCTGAACGACCGAGCCAGAGGCATTCTCCTGTCAAACGGCGCGGCCACGTCCCGTGGCACCTGACCTGTCACGATTGTACATGTCGTAAGAGTCCGAGGTCTTTAGCAACTTGAAGATTGAAGAAACAAATTTGGCAGTGCGCAACCAATTTCCGACAAGAGCTTAACTTGGCACCGACGAGCCGATCAAACATGGCTAGTCGTCCCTGCCGCATAAATCACTCTTATTTACAAAAGAAGGACAGCTAAATATCTTTCTATGCATTCGGTCGATCGTCAACGTGAGGTCGGCATCGCACTGGACCGTTAATGGCGCTGACGGTAGTCATCGACACCACGAACTTGAGACGTGCCTTGAGCAGTCGAGTGGACCTACTGAGTCATTTCTCATTGTGCTCTCGTAGCGCTGAATCGCCAAACAGTTGCGGGTGGTCGGTGCGCCTCTCAGGAGTGATTTTACATAGCGTCGACGGCTTCATGGAGGATTATAACTATTAGAGTGAGTAGACGTGTATATATGCTTTGTAGGATACCTCGTGCGCCTGCCTAGGTTTCGCTCTGTCCTGGTAGCTTTCATGCACTTCGGCAGGAACAAGCATTTTGAGATTCCGTTATCACTATCATGCAGAATCTCCTACGCCTCCAACACTATCTGTGCCCTCGACAACGGCACCATGTTCGGCAAAGCAGTGAGTCTCACTGCAGATGAGTCCGAGAGATTTGAATGTGCTCGTCATCTCTTGCTGATGCGTATGCGACACAAAGGTCATTTCTAAATCGACGAGGTGCATGATGTCGTCCAAGCGAGCCCTTCTCTTGTCGCTGGAACTTACCGAGATAGCCCGAAGAAACCGCGTGGCAAGGAAAAGCAAAGTGTGCCGCTCCGCCTGCGGAAGTTCTGGCCTGGGACTCGTCACTCGCTCAAGTCAGCGCCGAGGTTCTGGGTGAGTCCCCACAAGGACCTTTGACAGCTCTTGCGCATTGGGCGTCCTTATCTTTAGAGCTAGGGTCTGAGTGGACGAACCAACGGTGGTGTGTCCCCGCGACACCCATACGGGTAAAGCCTTCTGATTACGCTCGCCCGCAACCGACACTATTCGATCCCAGAGCCAGGTGAGGGCACATCCAGACCACCCGCCCTCGTGGCGCTGCTCCCGCTTCAGGCTGCTCGTCTGCATGTTCTTATCGCAGACTGCGCCGGAGACGACGACATCTGTGCTATCTTTATACTCGACCTCCTTACAATCTCGCCATTTTTCTCACTTCAAGGTCATCACCATCTTGCTCTCGCTCTGCAGTTTTCTCGTTGAATCCTCGAGTCCACCTCCGACCGACTTACGAAATCGCAAAGTTCGAATTCCGTTGAACGCAACCTTGTCGCACGAGACTTGCTTCTGCGAAACGGCTGCCCTGAGATTCTCAGTGCAAGTCATGTTTAACGACCGCCATCCGCCGCCTTGACAAGATCTGAGATGCATGGATAGCCATCCGTGAGCCACGACCGTCTCATAGACATAGTACGAATGTATATACAGCCCGACTTCCTCTCACGAGGTATCGAGGATCATGTGGGCTCAATACTCGCCCGTGATATATACCACGACACGCCTGCAGCATATCAATCTCGGGGCGACCGAAATGCCACATTACTTGTTTCGTGGTGGTGTACGATATTCTCTCTCACCGCGATATTGATTCGAACGCTGGGAAGATGGGTCAGAACAGAACGGCTGTTTCTCGAGGACAAGTTGATGCTGTATTCGATCATACCGTTACTGATCCGTATGGCACTGGTACACGTCGTGTTAATATGGGGGACCAATAACACGACGACCGACAATCTGACGGCAATCGAGATTATGCATCGACAAACCGGCAGCAAATTGGTCTTGGCCGCCCGTATCTTCTATGCTGCATTCATCTGGATGGCAAAATTCACTGTCCTCGAGTTTCTGAAACGAACCATAGGAGCATCGTGGGCGAAGTCGTACGAGTGGGGACTGAGAGCCATTTATGTCTTTCTTGCATTGACCTACATTGCGGTCATGATCGGAACGCTCGCGGAATGTCAGCCTTTTGATCATTACTGGCAAGTCGTGCCAGATCCCGGCCCGCAGTGCCGTGAGGGACTAGTCCAGCTTCTGGTGATGGGAGTCTGCGACATCGTCACTGATGTCGTTCTTGTCGCGTTTCCAATCCCCGTCGTGCTAAGGTCGACCATGCCGATGAAGAAGAAGCTCAGTCTCATCGGACTATTCCTTCTCTCCGGCATCTTGATTGGTGTCACGGCGTACCGAGTTCCATCGACCATCGACCGACAATCGGACCAAACGTATCGATCATTGCTGGCGTCATTAGAGATTCTGGCAGCGACATTCGTCAGCAATGCTGTCATCATCGGCTCGTTCATTCGCGATAAAGGGGTCAAGAAAGCAAAGTTCCGAGCGGCATCAGTCGCAGACTCGACGAATGGCGTTGGGCCACTCTCGCGTGTGGCCACTGCACGCTCTGCTCAGGTCACCATGAGGCACTGGGGCAGCGATGAGGACCTGGTTAGCGATTTGGGCATGTCTCTGCCGTCTTCTTTGCACTACGGAGGCTCCGGGCCCAGAGCGCCTTCTGCTGCTCCTGCGTACGAGCCGGCGCTGCCTTCAGTTGACGAGAAGCCTGCTCACAGTAGGAAAACATCCGAGATAGACCAGGGTTGGACCTTCAGACATGGCTCCCGGTCACGGAGTCGCCAGCATAGACGATCTTCAGTCTCATCTGTATCGACTACCTCGATCGACATCAAGTTGCGAGGTCTGCAAGCGTCGATGGACGAGCCAGTCAGTCCAGGGGCGAATATGGATACAGAGCCGCTTAGCAAGCAGATGTCATTCTTCGACGTAGGCGGGCTGGTCGACGCACCCAAGACGACCGTCTCTCAGACTCGACTACCTGAACCGGCCGAACGGACAGGTGCACGCGGCCGTTCTGGGTCGAAACAATTCCTCTCCGACATAGGCGGTATGCTCTCGAGACACAAGGAGGAGGACACCGAGTCAGATGTCCCAAGTCGGACGCCGTCGAAATTACGGGAAAGGAGGAAGTTCAGTCGCAGTCCGAATCCAGCCCATAGGCTCGCAGGATCACGTTCCGCGAGTGGGAAGCAGGCTCAGCAATTCGAGCAGAGTCCGCAGGTCAGACCAACGGACGATGGCCCAGATGCGCTGTCCTTCGGGGATGTTGGCGGTCTGTTGAAATGAGCGATATGGTGTTGGATGTGTTGATGTATATCTGGTCATTTCTAGCGCTGGCGTTGGTGGTCCTCATGGAAATCGAACAATATGAATACTTGACACTATAAAGGGCGCATTTTCGTCTTGCTCTGAACGTGTTGGACCATTCGGTGCACTGAGTTGTACCTTATCGCTCTCGCGTCAGCCGGGAGACATAATGGGTAGTCCATGTCTTATCCAATACGCCCATGACATTCTCGTAGGCTCAGCTGGTGGGGTATCCACGTGTCGTAGATTTCTGGTTCTTCGAGAGTCGCGCTGCGGCCGCTGCAGGGACTGCAAGTACACAAGTGCGCGTGGTCACAGGAACGGCAGCTCACCTACCGCTTCCAGACTTTCATCCGTCGCGCACTGCGAATTGATGCCTGGCAGCCAGAACTTTGCCGTCGCGAACATAACAGGAAGTTTTCCTGCCGATCTTGAACTTCGATCGGTCGCGCGTCGGGATGCGGCGTCTGGCTTCCACGACTTTCCCGTCGTCAAAGTGACAGAATTGAGTCGCTGTGCCCATCGTACTTCTTTTGACAAATTGACACACCATATGTCCGTGAGACGGACTTTGGTAGGCTCCAGAGAACCGTACATCGACTTGTTGACTATCTGCAACTCTGCAAGAAGAAGGACAGCCGTGATTGATGGGGGATGGCCGAGTGTGTATGGCGCGAGAACAAGTCCGCTGGGACAGATGGAAGTCCCAAAGAGGAAGGCGACCTGCCGTGTTGAGAGCGCTTCGGAGGATGAGTTTCGGTGGCGCCGGAAAACACGTCTACTTGTCGCGTCTTGGGCTCTTTGAACTTCTTCACGCGCGAGTGAGTGAGCTTCCGGGACCCATCGAAGTATCGTACATCGTCACCTTGGCTACTTTACTCCCCTCCATGTCTTTGTGCTGTCGTGGCTTGAGCTCAGCAATGTCGGGAAACTCGAGTGATGAGACAGTCGCACCCTGGTGGTGCCTGACTTGACTCGAGCACAACTCCGGACTACCTGGTTGGCTCGTTACGGCGACGAACGTCTTCGACCAGGCGTAGCCGAATCATCGACAACCCTAATAACATCAAACAGATTTCAAAGTGTACGTTGACTAGCCAGCTGAACCCCAGAAATAGGCAAGTACCTGCCCAACTCACCTTCTCTCTGTCTGTTGGATCTTGCATGGTATGTCATAGCTCGGTTGAATTGCATTCAGCGCCAGCATATTGCAAACCTTGCAGGCCGCTCAATTCGTTGGCAATTTCTGCTCGGACGCGATGAGCAGAGACGCCGCTGGCAGTCGTTCCACGGTGCCAGGGCCAGATAGAGCACGGCTGTCTCCACATTGGTAAGACGCGTGGCAACCTCTCCCCATAATCAACGATGCCTGTTATACCCAGGGAGCCGGTGCGTGAGTGTCGGCAGTAGGTCATGTTGGCTGTCACGTACAGGGAAGACCACTTCGACGTGGCACCGTCAGCACTGACGTGTAAGCGACTGGCTGGCGTGTCGCTTTTCACGAAGACATTCGAGTCTAAGATCTCGGGCCAGAGCGTTATGGTCAAGGTCATACCTACATGAGCACGGTCCCAGGAAGTGCGCCGTTGGTGAGGAAACCTGTTGAGGCGATGCTAGTGGCTGGCTGCTGTGCTGACGACCAGCATGCCGAAGCCACGTTAACAATGCAAAGTTATCGAGTTAACCATCTCCACGACCAGCCATCAATGAACCACCCGAACACGAGCAAGGGCCGCGTGCGACCTGGCAGCAAGCACATCTAGACCACGTTGTCAACAATATTATTGATTACATCCGTGCCAACTCTGTATTGATCTGTGATCAATGACACGAATGTACAAGCTGCATTTACGCATTGATTACAGCCTCCGCGCTCTCACGCTTCTCCGATGAGGATCTTGAGTTATTAAAGGTCGACATATTCTTCTCTGCGAACAGAAATCCAATGCACCCCAGTCGATCATCTCAGATTCTTCTGTCGAACAGTACATTGCTGAAAATTGCACGATCGCTACCACGAACACCCGAGAATTTGGCACTATGCAGATGAAGGTGAGCATGCACCCGACCCCTGATTAGGCTCAACTTGTCTCGAGCTGATCACATTCAACATTAGCATCTAGCTTGGGCTGCTGCCGCTATGGTTCAGCTCAGCATGGCCGAACCTATAGGTCGTTACAACCCGTTGAAAGCTCGACCGATCGAAGAGAGTCAGGATACAGGCCCAGTCCTGGAGAGACGAATTGGCCGCTACAACCCGTTGAAAACTCGACCAGTCGAAGCCAATACAGGTCCAGTTCTGCAAAAACGTGGTGGCTGGGACCTGATCTGTGGTGCGGATCACACATACCAGTGCAAAGACGAGACCTGGGTTTGTAGTGACAACGGCGATCCACATCCAACGACATGGTATGACTCCGAGGGCATCTGTGCGACTACGTGCACATGTGACTGGATTATCATTCATGTTATTGAAAGGAGTGAGTCTAACGTCGAGGCTTCCGACTGGAAGAGGAGCGAGAATGTGAAGCAGCACACGTAAGTGACACTCGACCGGCGATCGAAGCCGTGCATAAATGCGAGTGACGGGGACGTCGCAGAGGTGCAGGGCTGCGATCTTGGTCATGTTTAGTGAGGACTTTCTGGGCCACAGCCCTGTTGTGCCGTGTCCGGCACAACCAGCGCTGACCACAAATACCTAGGTATACGCGCAAAGCCACCCAAGTAGTCATGCGAGAACGAGTCTTCATACCAATGACGATGGTCTCAAGAAGAGTGCCTACTCATCTCCACTGTCTTCGCCTGCCAGTACATATGTAGGATGCCCGCGCTGCAGGGACATCGTCCTCGGAGCTGATTCCGCCCTTGTCTGGACGGAGATGGGAACCGATTGAAACGCGGGGATGATTTAGGTATATGTCCCCACCGTTATCGCTACCTACTACCTTTCACCATCTCCGTGGACAACTACCGCACATCTGAGTTCAGTCTCTGTCCGAGGCTGGTCCCGATCATGATGCGTCGAGGCCTTTGTTGGCGTCCGGTCGGCTGAAAGGCTCCCGGCTTATCTGAGTCGCTTAAATCCACGACTGTCTTTTGTGCACATATCCACGAGATGTGCCTTGCATAGGTAGGCTCGTCTCGCAGATATTGGCTTCTTTCGAATTTTTGAGAACGACTCTCATCCGCTGTATCACCCACAATGAAGACAAAAACGACCGTCCTCATCGTCGGCGGAGGCCCCGTCGGCCTCCTGATGGCTTTACGTCTGGGTCAGGCAGGAATCGACACACTAATCGTAGAGAAACATCCTAGCTTCCAGCCGGCAACACGGGCGATGGTCTACATGCCTGTGGTCATATCGGCTTTGACCAAGCTCGGACTATACGAGCAAGTACGATCCGCCGCCTACCTCAACCAGGATGGCGTCTACTGGCGTGACACCGACATGAAGCCACTCGCTAGGCTTCCCCTTGGCGACCCGCAGTCTAGTCAATTCAATGGTGTTCTGCAGCTAGGTCAGTGGAAGATGTCATCCATCATTTCGGCAGAGCTGAAACAGCATCCTTCTGTGGAACTATGCTTTGGCTATGGCTGTGTTGGGGTGCAGGAAGACGTTGATGGCAAAGGAGTTCAGGTCCTGTTGCAGAGCAAAGACGACCCAACGGACACACTCGTTCATGCCGAGTACGTTGTTGGGTGCGACGGCGCCAACAGTAGCGTGCGAAAGGCCATGTGCATCCCCTACGAAGGCTTCTCCTATCCCTGGAAGATGATCGGCTGCGACGTGCTGTACGATTTTCCGAAACAGGAAGGGCTCACGCCACTAAATTTTGTTGTCGATGAGATTGACTGGGCTGTCATTGCTTACACTGGAGAGGATGAGGATGGGAAGCCAGACTTTGGCCGCGAGAAGACTCCATTGTGGCGTGTTGCGTACATCGAGGATTCTGATCTTCCAAGCGGCAAAGAAGACTTCTTGAGTCGAGCGAGGGAGCGTATATCTACGTCATATATAAAGCACGGCGACGGAAAGTTCAATGTCATCCGCGCCGAGCCTTATACTAACCATCAGAGATGCGCGGCGCAGGCTCGTAAAGGTCGCGTGCTCCTGGCAGGGGATGCTTTGCATGTGAGTATCCTTTCAGCACCCCACCCGTTGGTCCCGTCGACAACGCTAACATATGGACCAAGTCAAACAACCCCATCAGTGGTCTAGGCTTGACAAGTGGCATCTGTGATGCTTTTGCCTACGGGAATGCCTTGGTCAGGGTGATCAAGGATGGTGAAGATGAATCCTTACTCGCGACTTGCGCCAAATCTAGAAGAGACACCTGGCTGAATGTGACCAATGAGATGTCCCAAGGCAATCTCAACCGCTTGAGAGCCGTCGACACCAAAGGCGTGGCGATGCGGGAAGGGTTCTTCAACAAGTTGAACTCTGACCCTAGCTTCCCAGCAGTGATTCGGGGAGGTCTCGAGCGTATCCTCCCGCATACGTTCGAAGCCCCCCATCCAATGTACATGGAGGCTCAATTTCATCCGCGAAGCACAAATATTGTGGACGGCCTTTCAGCACTAGGGATGAAGTCACAGACGGTCTAGCAAGATCTCATCCTAGTTGTGTATCATCTAAGATTGCAACGCCTTCTACCTGCGGCTGTCAACATATGAACTAGTTGAGAAGAGAAACTGTCTCCCGCGCAGCCTGTACAACCGCCTGTGTCCCGTGGGCCGCCGCCACAACCGCCAGTCCTTATGGTTCTTGCCCCAAGTCATCGGAACCCGCGGATTTTGCTTATGACTCGGCATATTTGCACGTCTATGCACGCTCATAGCGTTCAAGCAACAAGCTTTACTTCCAGCACAGTATCCAATTGCGTGCGCCAAACATCCACTATCTCTAGCCCGGCCTGGCTCAACAGCTCTCGATAATGACCAAAGGTCCTTTCGATACCGTTGACGTTGATCATCATCAGCAAGTCGTACTGGACCAGGCTCAACGACGCTTTCTCATCCGGCAGGGGCATCTCGTCGATGATAATACGTGACACGGGACTCATGGCTGCGGCAACGTTCCGCAGGATGGAGAGAGCTTGTGCGTCGGACCAGTCGTGGAATATGCCACCGAAGTAGTAGATGCTGGCGCCTGTGAGAGCTGTCAGCAAGGGAGCGACACATGTGAATTAGCGGATATATGCCTGGTGCGAGACCGAGGGTACCACAGAACGGCTTGGACACCGTACTGACCTTTGATAGGTTGGGCATTGAAGAAGTCATACTCCATCGCCTCGATACCTGTTCCCTCCAGCAGTATCTCTGCCTTCTCAATATTCTCCCGGAGATCCTGCAAATTCAGACGACCTCTTCCAACGAACTCCGGGAAGCGCTTCCGAAAAGCCTGCAGATCATACCCGACGTTTCCACCAACATCTACCACCAAGACTTGTCCGTCATTCTCAGGAGCCATGGCATTCATTCCACGACCAATCTTCTCCTTGGTGGGCCAGATATCAAACCAATATCCGACCATATCCTCTCTCCTGCCACCCAGGTAGTCGCTAAAGTCCCTGAGGACCTCGGGCTGTGCGCGAAACAGCTCCCACAAACTCATACCGTGCGTCCACTCGGCGAGACCCTTCTCTCCTTTCTCCTTGTCCGGGAACTGCGGAAATCGACCGCCGTGAGCACGCATGTAAGGCACAGCATTCGCCATGACATTCAAGGTCGGGATGTTCAGGAACTTGTGAGCGCCAGTGCGGGATTTGTGGCTGAGGTAGACAGTGTTCGCGTTGGAGCGATATATCCCTGCGCTGAGCTCGGTGATGAGATGGAGGGACGAGAGCAGGCGAAGGAGGCGTACTTTGCTGTGGCATTAGACATGACCTCAGTTAAGAGCCAATAATTGAGGCGTGGCTTGGTTTGCGATGGAACGAGACTTACCGGTCAGTGACTTGTCCGATCCGGAGGCCTCTGCTACCTCATCTGCGGTGATCTGGGCTCCATGTCTGTCGACGATAGGAGTCAGAAGATTCATCTCGAGCACCATGGCGATGCCCATGTTCTGCAACGCCTGGAGTGGAAGACATGTTAGATTCGCGGAGGGATGTAGTTGCGGGCATGTCTCCAGTCTTAGAGACCCAGGCCCGAGGCCTCGTATGAGCATAGAAAACAGAACAGACCAACCTGATATCTCAGACCGGCGACGTAGTCAGCAGGTCCCAGTGCTGCGATCCGTAGTTCCTCAATCGCATTGAGCATTTGCTGTCGCTTCTGCCAGGAGCCATCATGTTCCGCGACAGCTACGCTCACTTTGTCGTTGAGAATCGTTAGATCCGCCATGTTGATAATGTGCAGCTTCAGCTGTCCGTGACGAGATCGATAGCATGTATTGTGGACATACCATCAGCACCGAAAAGTACACCAGTCAAAGACCAGTGGCTAATCGGCCAGTATCCAAGTGTGCTGATCTCATACATTTTGGACATGGTCACAAAGCGGAGATTCGGCAGTTGAGAGATCTCTCGAGATTATCCGGTCGAAATACGACGCTGCTTCTGCAATCCTCGTGACTGTGCAACAGATATATGAATAAAACAAAACGCAAGATGCAGCGAGTACCCTGGGTAAAGTGGAGGTAGTCCATGACGGGCCAAGCACAGTCGCAAATGTCAGTAAGGGCTGTGTCTCACGGTACGAACACAGAGAACCATGCCATACACGGAAAGCACCAGAGAACATCGAACCACACATGAATGTTAAAGAGTCAAGAGTGTATCGAAAGACCGCCTCAACAAGAGACGAGCCGTTAGGGTGCAATAAGAAGCAGCACCGGATCCTGTGCTTAGCTGATTTTTGCTTGATGACGTCTAATGTCGCAACAGCAATCTCGAGCTCCTGAACATGTTCTTACGATAGTAGACGCTTATCTCTCGAATCCAAAGGCCTCAAGCTTTTTCCAACCTAACGTGTCCAATGGTCCGTGACTTCTGAGCTCTCCCTGGGTTGGCGACGAAGATCCCTCGGCACTTCTCGACATGAATGGGTATGGACCAGCCTGCCTCCCAACATGGCACTCAGGGATTTCCGAGTCCCCAACGCCACCTACGCATACTCACGCTCACACAGTCGGGATGACCGTCGACTCAGGCGCGCACAGCGTGGTCTGTCCGCCATCCAGATTGATGATCTGGCACGCAGTGCACTTTCCAGTGTACAGCACAGTACCAGACGGACCGCAGAATGAGACACTGTTCTCGTCGTTGCAGAAGAGCTGGTAAGGAACACTGCAGGATTCCGCGCGTGGAGCCAAGAGCGGCGAAGCAATGGCCAGGAGAGGGAGGGTGAGGACGGTGAGGATGTTGAGTTGCATTTTGTTGGTGTGGTGGTGGTGGTCTGTGCTGTTGTTCTGGGATGATGTGTTCGATACTGCTGAGGACTGTGAATGGGTCGGAATTGTTTGCTTTCAATCGTCTGCGAGTTGGGTTGGGATTACTTATTCGGCCAGCTCGGAGTCTGCACAGCTTCCTTCGGGGTTTATATATGGCATGTTGTATGCCTACTTGAGGGGGAGTCAGACTGCCTATTCGGGAGCGGCTTCGATATCTCGTACGTGTGTCGTTCTCGATGCTACTCTGCACACCCCAGATTCGAGAGGATCAACCGGATACCAGGTATGATAGGTACCCTCCGCATCTCGCAAGGCTAGCTCGCGTGCGGACTTTATCCATGAAGCCCTGCTCGAACCTTAGAGTTGATTGATCGAGGCCTCGAACGCGTTTCACGATCCGTGCTCGGAGAATAAGGCGCACTGATCGGCATGACATGCATGCTGCACGAGATCCTCCCGCGCCATATGTGGAGAGGGCTACGCCTTGCGCCGACTGCCGTGCCTCGTACTTACTCAACAATTAGCTGCGAAATTCGAACTTGTGAACGACGATGAGAAATTCTCGAACTATTAGTCACGAAAATGTGCAAGGGAACGGACCAGGGACCTCGCCGGCAACACTCCTGCGTCACTGTGCGTCCATAATTATCTCTAGACCCATCTCGAGGTCTTGAGAGCCGTCGTGTCAGGCATCATACTTCGCGCGTTCTAGCAACCAGTGTAGCCTTTTCTAGCGCGGATAAGACGGTTCTCATCGTCGGCAATGTCTCGACATCGTCTATTGAAGTGAGGTATTCGATAGGAGTCGAAGCACATAGCTCGTAGACAATCCGTGAGACGCGTGAGATCTTAGCGACAGGGTCGATGGAAAGTTGATGGAAAGTACGATGATCTCGGCTGCAGAGAACACAAAGAAGTACGAGCAGAGCTCTGGTCAGACCGGATGACTCTGAGTTCTTGGAAAAGCCGGATGACAACTCTTCTGGACCAGACTCACTCTGCACATCCTCTACTCTCTCTGCCTTCCAGCTCACACACTCGCAAATGCAAGCCACTGCGTCGAAACGAGTAGCTAGGTCTCTAATATCGACAGCCGTATCATTTACGACGTGTGGCGCCTGCTCCAAGCTTGGATGCCTCTGGCCGACATTGCTTGGCTGAGGTAATCGCAATACCTGTCAGACTCAAGTGTCTGAAAATGTTCGTTTCGGTCACACGTCGTATTGTATGTTGCAAGAGCTTATCACAACGCTCGCTAACTATGCTTCAAGTTGATGCATGTCCAGTCGCTCTTGACTCGAATGAAGACTGCTCCGCTCAGACTCCTACCCAACCGCGCTTTCGTTCTGCAAGGTTCCGTCTCTACCACTGTATAGGTCCCTCGCTGTTGGAATAGGTCCCAGTGACGCCATCCTTGCCCTCTTTGATCAGCTCGAGTACTCTCACTGCTCCCTTGGCCGGATCTGTCTCATCATTCAAGTCCACTCCACTGGCCTTCGTAGCCCTTAAACCCGGACAAACACTGTTGACCTTCCACTCTGGATACTTCCGCGCATAATGTATTGTCAGGTAGTTGACAGCGGACTTGCTGCTTCCGTACATGAAGTTCTCCGAGAGAGGCTCGCGGACTTGCAGTTTCGACAAGGAGCCGGCGCCTGAGGAGATGAACATTACCTTCGGGAGCGTGGATCTCTCGAGAAGTGGAATGAGTCTTTCAGTGAGGGCGGCGGTGGAGATGACATTGGTTGAGAAGATATGCTCGCCTCTTTGGCGGACAGTGACGTTTTCGGGGAGCTCTCGACCGGTCGTCCCTGCGAAATTCGTCTGTCAGCATCGCATGCCCGATTGTTGAGCCTCGATTTGTACTGTATATGCAGTCTTCGGCAGAGTCTCCGGCAATTGTACGATGAGTGCAATCAATGCAGCGTCTCGGTGGCAGAGCTGACTTACCGGCATTATTGATAAGTACATCCAGCTTGCCGAAGTGCTGCTGAATCGCAAGAAACGCATGATCGATACTGTCGTCCTCTCCAATATCCAGTCCAATAGGATTGACGTTCAAAGGCGCTCCCATCGCAGCCACAGCCTCCTCCCCCTTATGTACATCTCGGCAGCCTAGGAGGACCTGATGATTGGGCAGATCCTTGATGACTTTGACCATTTCTAAGCCTACACCAGCATTTCCGCCTCTGCTATGTTGTCAGCCTTGCCAGTGGTAGATTTCGAGGCGCACGGGCCACGCACGTGGGTACGCGCCACGCTCTAGAGGACTTACGTGACCAGCACTATAATTTTAGACTTGGTCGTAACGCTCGACGGCCGCGAGACGAGGCCAGGTCGTGACATTGTGGTATGGGTGTTTTTAGCGCTCTATGAGGGACGCCTTGATCCACAGAATTAACAGCCGCGTGGAAGGTATGTGAGATAAGACTTGAGGCTTTGTCAGTGTTCTGCACTAAAGTTGACACGTGCAGACAGGAACAGGAAGCAAGCATGAAGTCTGTGGGCGGTGATAAGGCATCTGACTACGTCACAGTAACAACAAGTGCCGTCGGATATATTTCCCGTACCAGGAGATAAATTTAATCTCATCTGGGTGGGCATCTATCATTCCGCCTGCGAGCTTTACTCATTGACCAGAGTACCTACCTTTGAAGTTCTGCACCATCTCAGACGACGTGTATGGAGCCTTGATGAAAGGACGGATCCGACATGTGGGAATCGGCAACATCTTTCTAGCTCGGTCGCTCACTAGTCGCCTGCCTCGAGCAGACCCTGTGGTCTGGCGGTCATGGTGCTTCGATCAGCCCTCCCACACAGTGCTCCTACAATCAAGGTACCTCCTTCGATGCCTCAGTGCACGTCGCAGATGGAGATCGCTCCGACCGTAAGCAGATTATTTGACGCGATGATAGTGACACGACCCGTTCTGTGCCATGTTCTGGCAATCGATGTTGTGGTCGTAATGCATGAAATCAGGCAACCTCTAAGATAGGAGTATTGCCCGGCGCCTCAGTATCTGCTCGCTTCGCAAACAGCAGTCCGGCAAACACGGCACAGTTCTAGCAGTTAGTAAGTCATGAAGCTTGTGCTCCGTCCATAAACACGTCGCTAGCGCTGGTATGCATCATGTGTAGCAGGGACAGCTGCCACTGAACGACTTCGGGCGAGCTGGTTCGGTCCTTAGCACGAAATCACAGCGAGCGTCAGAGGCCCGTCGCGAACACATAAGAAGCTCACCATTGTCCCAGCGATGGCAGTGCTACATCATCCACACATCTTCCGAAAGTGCAATCACCTCCACCACGCACATGATGCTCACTGATGCCCTCCACGTCAAGATGTTGCTCACCGATGTTCAGCAGGAGGAATCAACGCGCATGTCTCCAGAGATAGCAAAGGTAATGCGGCACAATATTCCACTAGCATTCGCCAGAGCTTCGATTTTGCTGACACCAATGCTTCACTCCAGGCACTAGCTCATCTTCCGAAGCCATCATCCGGCCCGACAACACCAGCAGCCCGAGTTCAAGCCCTCCGCCAAGCCTCCGCAACGTACGACACCAAACTCCTTGCCATGCTAGGACCTCCGCCAGCCACCATTTCCGAATTCTACCACACCATAACCATGCGCGACGGGTTCCAAAGCAAGCTCAAGATCTGTCAACCAGCCAATGCAAGCACTGCCACTACCATCGGACCACTCGTCCTGCTGTTCTTCTCCGGCGCCTTCATAACCGGAACCGTCGACCAGCCACCCAACTCGCCCGCGCCCTCACCCAGCTCTACAACGCCACGGTCGTCAGCGTAGCCTACCGCCTGGCCCCAGAACACCCCTTCCCCACAGCCGTCCACGACGCCATTGACACCGTCTACTGGGCCGCCAACAACGCAGTGCTTCCCATGTCCGCCTCTGCCGGCACAGAAGGGAAAGTCCTCCACGCTGACCCACGCACCGCAGGCTTCATCCTCGGCGGCGCCAGCTCCGGCGGAAACCTCGCCGCTGTACTCACCCACTACTTTTCTCCTTCTCAGAACCAGCATACTCTGCCACAAGGCGTCCGCATTTCGGGCCAGTACGTCGGCGTGGCGCAACTTTTTCCCGACGACGGCTCTACCGTTCCCGACCATCTCCGCGGCAAGTTCATCTCCCGCCAGCAGAACGCTACAGCCCCGATCCTCAACGTTGCGGCCCTTGCTGCTGGCGCTGCGGCGCTCCGATGCAAGGATCTAAGCTCGCCACTGCGGTTTCCTCCCGTGGATAAGGGGTCGATGGCAGAGCTGCCAAGAACTTATATTCAGAGTTGTGGGATGGATCCGCTTCGAGATGACGGGTTGATTTATGACGAGTTGCTGAAAGAGGCGGGCGTGCAGACGAAAGTGGACTTTTATGCTGGCGCACCGCATGCGTTCTGGTTGGTGACGCCGCTTGAGGGGGAGGAAAGTGAAGTTGGGAGGGAGGCTGTGGTGGATGTGCTGGGTGGGATTGGGTGGTTGTTGGGGCGGAATGTAGATAAGAAGGCGATCAGGGAGGTGTTGTGATCTGCTCTGTGTTGTGGTCGAAGTGGAGTACTCAGTAGCAAGTTCTTGTGGGCTTTATAGGGTAGTGTGCCCAGTGGCCAGGAGAGTGGTATTGGATCATGTTGTCGATGGCTAAATCATGATGCCCTCTATCGGTCACCGAGCTGGGACCGGGGCCGACGGTATGGCATTGTATCTTTGATCGAAGTAGTAGTTGCGAGATGCGCGTCGTTAAACGTCAGTAACCAACTTGAACCGATACAGCGTAGTAGGCCCCGGGCAAGATATGTTCTACAAGGCGTTCATCTTGGACGTGGATACCAGTCTCCGATGAACTCGACAAGATCCAACGTCCGCCTTCTGCTATCGTACGCCCTGCTGCCCCTAGTCCTTACATCTCACACAAACTTCCCCCCATCATTTCTTCTGACCAGCCAGCCCCTCAAACCCCTGCACAGTCCTCAAGTTCTCCAGCCAAAACTTCGCAAAGAAGCTTTCCTTCACATTATCCGGCAACCACCCCACCAGCCACTCCTGCAACTGGTGCCCAACGTAGGGAACCACAGTCGACTCGCCACACCCCACACACCGCAACCCATCCTTTACCGCCCGCGCACACGTCGGAATATCCCACTTTGCGTCCGCATCTGTCCTCCCCGCGCTCGGCGTGCACAGGATCCCATAGCGGAGGCTCAGCACTTCGATGTCGGGGAAACCGGTAAGGTTAAGTTCGTGGCGGAGGGAGCGGTGGAGGGCTGAGCCGTAGGCTTTGGCGGCTGTGTAGGGTGCGGATAGGGGGAGGGGGGCGGTTTCGGCGGCGGAGGTGATGTTTAGGATTAGAGCGGGTTTTTTGCGTTTTAGGATTGGGAGGCAGACTCGCGTGAGGTGGGTGAGGAAGCGCAGGTTGATGTTGATGAAGTCGTCGATGGAGGATGGGGGGCGGGTGTCGAGGGAGAGGTTTGGGCCGAGGATGCCGATGTTGTTGACTAGGACTGTGAGGGGGACGTCGCTGATGGTGGCTAGGATTGTTTGCTCGAAGTCGTTGTAGGACTGTGAGGAGAAGGCGGTCGGGTGCTTTTCGGCGTCGATTACGAGGGTTCGTACTGTGATGTTGTGTTTGGTCTCGGTATTTGCCTTAATGCCATTGAGCTTCGCCTGGTTGCGGCCGTGGATGATCAGGTTGAAACCCTTGGCGGCTAGTTGCTCCACGAAGACCAGGCCTAAGCCGTCGGATGCACCTGTGATGAGTGCATATGGGCGAGACTTTTGGTCCGAACCGATCGAGTAGAGTCTATGTGAAGTGCCATACTTGCGCAACGATGATCTGCGGAGATTGAACTGGACGAATCGAAAGAATTGGTACGCAGCTCGAAGAAGAATCGCATAACCAAGCGGAGTCGCGACTGCAGCCAGCAGGCGGGCACTGGTCTCGAGGGACATCCTTCGACACTTGTCGGCTGGTGCAGCACGTAGGTTCTCGAAGCTCTTTATGTCAAATCTTTGGGTTGGAAAAGCAGCGCTTCGTATATTAGTCGTATACCCTAGCGTTGCGAGGAGGGTGTGGCGGCTTCCTCCATATATAGGTCTTGCGAGCACCGGGTGCCCATCCCACGGACATGCTGGACGAACTCACTTCGAGTCAGACTCCAAAAGGACATGCTCGTCGAATGAGTGTCGGCCGACATCAAATGCTATAGTAATCGATCAGATCCTCATCCCCGCCAAGAGTTTGTCTTCCATGACTTTAGCGATCCTCATGAGTTAGTATGGTGCGACACACCAATTTGATCGCTGAATCACTGGCAAATTTAAGTTCAGTGACCTCAAAAGTGCGAAGCATTCTTACATGACAAGGAGTCCGTAGTGAGTTTCTGAAGAATTCTAGGGCGGCGGCACGATATCTCCTCCCGTAACGACTTGCTCACCTTTAGCGCTGCAAGCTGACGACCTTGCTGCAGACTCTTTCAAACCCATGCACATGAACAGCAGCTGCCACCGTCGATGCCAGTCGCATCTTTCCTGAAGTGAATGACACTAGGCAGCAGGTTGTCGCTGACTCATACCAGTGCACTGGACAGTGAATAATTTCTGACTGAGTCATGCGAGTGATTGCTTCGGTTTGCTGCGGTCTTCAATTTGTTGACGAGGTATAAGTAGTCGCCGTGCTGCACCCAAGTCTATATCCTCTTCTCTACCACAACAAGCTTAGCTTCTCCCCATTGTCATGCTTTGGTAGCACTTATTGCTGCTTGGTGGGGCGAGTTGCTCTGATTGCCCAAACGTCCTGCGCACTCCACGAGGATCCAACAACACTATCGTGCACAGTGGCGGGGAGATGTGGTTCACCAACGACATGAGCCAGTAGCCCAGATGTCTTCTATGGTCCGGTCGACCACATTGTGTACATGGCCTTGGCGCACGTTCCTGGAAGCTCGGTCACGCACGGTATTGTCATCGAATGGGCGCTCGTAGCTGTGCCAATCGCATGTGCTGACGTTGTCAGCGCCATGCATGAGAACACAGCGTGCGTTGATGGAAGTGGGGGCTGAGGTGGGGTTCTTCGCGATCAGGTCGGCGGTCTCGCTGACAATGCTCTCTATTGAGCCTAGTCTCGCTTTCCACCAGCTGTTCTGTGACTAGTGCGCCCACTGGAAGCCACGAAAGACTGGAGAAAATAAGGGACCCTGCCCGCGTCGCCGTCAACTGCCCGATTTGCACACCACCAATGGAGCACGACATATTTTCATATGAAACCTCCGTCGCTTTGTTGACACGGCCAGTACACTCATGAACTGCGCTGTTCGTACCGTACTGAAGCGCAAGACTGGTCAGAATAACGTCTTGCCACTGCAGAAAACCGACTTCCGAGCTGTGAGCATCTCGGAAAACCTTGAAGCTGTGTCGTTGGCATCATAGACCCTGTCTTTTGCGCGATCGAGACGCTCGAAGTCTGGTCAAGACTGCCGTTCAGAGTTAAATCTTGGCCATCTACGCTCTTCTCGGTCATTCTCGGCCTTCGTAACACCCAATCGTAGCTTTCTAAAGTCTTCTTACCTCTTCTAACGGTGTTGCTCGACCGCTGTGCGAGCAGGAATGATCTTCCTGAGGGGCTGCACTTTCCGCTGTCGTGGCAACATAATCGACCTCAAAAAGGGCGGGGTACATCTTCCGGTCCCTCTTTCTCTCTTCTCACCTGCATCTTACCACTCTACCAAACACTACTTTTCTTCTTCCGCAGTTCAATACCAAGATAACAACATGGCTGCAGCACCCGAGTGCCCGATCAAGAGAGCCAACGTCGGCGGCGGCGGCACCCGCAACCGCGACTGGTGGCCCAACGAGCTGAAGGTCAACATCCTCCGCCAGAACACAACCGCCACCAACCCGTATGGCAAGGACAACTTCGACTACGCTCAGGCGTTCAAGAGCTTGGACTATGAGGGCCTCAAGAAAGATCTACATGCCCTGATGGCCGATTCACAAGACTACTGGCCAGCAGATTTCGGCCACTACGGTGGTTTCTTTATCCGTATGGCATGGCACTCCGCTGGCACATACCGTGTCTTTGATGGCCGTGGAGGTGGTGGTGATGGCCAGCAGAGATTTGCACCGCTCAACAGCTGGCCAGACAATGTCTCTCTAGACAAGGCGCGGCGTCTGTTGTGGCCTATCAAGCAGAAGTATGGCAACAAAATTTCGTGGGCTGATCTGATGCTGCTCACTGGTAACGTTGCCCTCGAGTCTATGGGCTGCCCAACATTCGGCTTCGCTGGTGGCCGTCCCGACACCTGGGAGGCTGATGAGTCAGTCTACTGGGGTGGCGAGACCACATGGCTCGGCAATGACGTTCGTTACTCCAACGGCAAGGCCGGTCTGTCTGAGCACGGTGTTGTGGATGGCGACCTGTCAAAGAAGGAGCACTCAGATATTCACCACCGCGATCTGGAGAAGCCGCTAGCTGCTGCTCATATGGGTCTGATCTACGTCAACCCTGAGGGTCCTGATGGTATTCCCGACCCTAAGGCAGCTGCCCGAGACATCCGCACCACCTTCGGTCGCATGGCTATGAACGACTACGAGACTGCTGCTCTCATTATTGGTGGCCACACCTTCGGCAAGACCCACGGTGCTGCACCTTCAGATCATGTCGGCAAGGAGCCCAACGCTGCAGACCTGTCTCAGCAAGGTTTCGGCTGGAAGAATGATTATAAGTCAGGCAAGGGTCCCGACACCATCACCTCCGGCCTCGAAGTGACCTGGACTTCGACACCCACCAAGTGGAGCAACAAGTACCTCGAATATCTCTACAAGTACGACTGGGAGCAGACAAAGTCACCTGCTGGTGCCAACCAGTGGGAGGCTAAGACTGACGATGAGATCATTCCTCACGCCTTCGGCGAGGGCAAGCAGAAGCCGCGCATGTTGACTACTGACTTGGCCATGCGCTACGACACTGAGTACGACAAGATCTCCCGTCACTTCCTCGAGAACCCACAGGAGCTCCAGGACGCTTTCGTCCGCGCCTGGTTCAAGCTTCTCCACCGTGACATGGGCCCACGTTCGCGCTGGCTCGGACCTGAGATCCCCAAGGAGGTTTCCCTGTGGGAAGATCCCGTCCCAGCTCAGGAAGGTCCAGTCATTGATGATAAGGATATTGCCCACCTGAAGAAGGAGATTCTCGCCACTGGTGTCGAGCCATCGAAGTTCCTCTACGCCTCGTACTCCTCAGCCTCGTCTTTCCGTGGTAGCGACAAGCGTGGTGGTGCCAACGGTGCCCGCATCCGTCTCGAGCCCATGAACAAGTGGGAGGTCAACAAGCCCACAGAGCTCGCCGAGGTCATCAAGGCTCTCGAGGGTGTCCAGCAGAAATTCACCGCCAAGAAGGTCTCGATCGCTGATCTGATCATCCTTGCCGGTGTCGCTGCCCTCGAAAAGGCCTCTGGTGCCTCAGTCCCCTTCACACCTGGTCGCACTGACGCCAGCCAAGACCAGACCGACGTCTCAACATTCGAGCACCTCGAGCCCTACGCAGACGGTTTCCGCAACTACGGCAAGGGCACCGAGCGTGTTCGCACCGAGATGATGCTCATCGACCGTGCTCACCTGCTCGGTCTCACCGCCCCCGAGATGACTGTCTTGGTCGGTGGTCTCCGATCCCTCGGCTTGAACTACGACGGATCATCCAACGGCATCCTCACCAAGAGCCCAGGCAAGCTCACCAACGACTTCTTCATCAACCTCCTCGATACCAAGACTTCGTGGAAGGCCACTGACGGCAGCCAGGAGCTGTACGAGGGAACTGATCGCAAGAGCGGCAACAAGCAGTGGACTGCAACTCGCAGTGACTTGGTGTTCGGCTCGCACGCCGAGCTGCGGTCGTACGCTGAGGTGTATGCTCTGTCTGACAACAAGGACAAGTTCGTCAAGGACTTCATCGGTGTGTGGGACAAGCTGAACAATGCCGACCGCTTCGATCTCAAGACTGCACAGGGTCTTGCCAAGTCGAAGCTGTGAGCTTTGTGGCGTTAGCACAAGCAGCTGATAACGTGTTGGAGACGTTCGTCGAAGTTGCGTCCAGCGATGCATGAGAGAGTCGAACTTTCGAGGGCTGGAGGAGGTCTGTGCATATTTACCAGCGTTCCAATCATCAGAAAATGAAAATCTGTCCACGTTCTTCCATTCTTTCGAGTTGCATTCATCGCAATAAGCACATGTTCTTCAACGTGCACTGTTCTTGATGCTGACCATCTGCGTACTACATACCTAAACCATTGAGCTCATGGCCTTTCTCGTATCTGTTAGCCACCATGGGCTTAAGTCGTGGGATTGGGAGCTTACGCTTACATGCCCTGTAGTTTCTTGGCCATTCAGACCAGGCCATGGATCAGCGGGATCAGAGTGGCCAGCCGAGCTAGCGTCGACGACATCGACAGGCTCCGGGGCTCAAATCTCTCTAGCGACCTCCTTCACTTCCTGCTACTCAACTCGATCCAAACTTGCACGCTTCATCATTTGCTGCCATGTCTGAATGCCCCCAAGGCGACTCGTTAGTGTCCATGTACATGGCGGATAACTCGTCGTCCAAGAATTGCATGCTTGTTGGAGCGCCTCTGCATATGAGTGACCACCAGCTGTCATCATAGCTAGAGCCGCTCTCCACATGAGGGGGGCTACGGGGATCCCTCGGTATTGGGTCACTCTCAGATGGGAAGTCAGCAGCTGTTGAGGAGATATCCGTAGCCGGTATCTGAGTGTCAAGCAGTGAGGACTGGTTGCTGACCAGCGAATAGTGTCCGGGCAGCAGGGATTCGGATTGATTGGCAGCCATTGGTTGAGAAGCAAATGGTGTGTGGCTGGCACAGGGGGGCATTGTACGCAGCTTCAAGACCCGGTCAGCTTCATCTACTGTGAGGTATGTAGATGTCAAGTTCAGGCACGAGGAGCGCACAAAGTTGACAGGACTGAGCAGCAATCCTGTTATCCCAAGTGGCCTGTTTTGTGTCAGACTCGCCAGTAGAGCCTTGTGCCAGCATCGATCGAAGCGATCACAGTCCGTGCAACGGAAACTGGGCCGCATGTACATCTTGAGATGAAGAAGCTCAAGACTGTGACGATTGAAACTCTGCCTGGACGTTTTGTCTCCCTGATCGGCATCATTGGCTAGCATGTCGTACAGACTAGTTTCAACAGCATTCGCGGACGGGCAGTGTACGTTGCAGACTGCCCCAGCAGCCTTCAGATAGAGTACTCGATCGATGCAGTCCCGTAGAAAGGAGAGGCGGGCAGCAGCAAACAGTTCACCAGGGAACCACGAACTCAGACCATCAAATTCTGGGAACACTGCAGCGGCTCGTTCCAGCTCCTCAGCAGACGGCAAATAGCTCTCGTGCTGGGAAACAAATTGACACAGCGCACGTCCGAGAGCTACGGCTGGGCCTTTGGAAGGCATCATGCAACTCCCTAGTCCATGCATCCTTCTCAGATGCTCGCGCATTGCGTCTTTGCGGTAGAAAGTCCTCTCGGAATCTGGGTGGTTCCAGCACGACAGGAGCGTCTCCGAATGGCTGCAGACTTCTGGGTCACCAGAGCATACGGGACAGAGTAGATAGCGCTTAGACTCAAAGTCATTGACTGGCCGACAGATCCATGCTTGTTGTTCCGAGTGCACCGACGTGACATGGCGCCTCAAGGTGTAAGGCCGCGCAAATGATTTGCGGCAGATTGGGCATCGCAGCGCTGAGGTCTTTCCGATGTTTTCTGTCGCTTCGAAACTGCTTCGAATCACGACTGTGCCCTGGCCAGCGTTAACGGTCTGCTCGAACCCTTCTTCTTGGTCTGAGACAAAAAAGATACTGTGGCCAAGGAGATGGTCCCTAAACAATCCCGTGTCCTTGACCAAGACCTGGAACTCAGCATCAGCTAAGCAATTGACTTTGGTAAAGTTTTCGTGGCTCGCATCGTACTCGGCGTTCCCCGAAATTGACCTGATTGCTTTGGTCCTGAGAATCTCTTTGCTGCAATTTGCGCCCAGCATCTCGATGGACACCCGTATGTTGGTATCGGACGGATATCCAGACGCGGAGACAATGGCGATGGATGCCTGGCGCTTCGTTGAACCATATGCCTTGCGACCACGGCGTGAGCCTTTAGAGACACGACTGTCCGCTGACACTACTGTCGTTGCCGACTTACTAGAAGCTGGTCTGCTTCCCACTGATCGTGCAGAACTTCTTACGGATCCGGGACTTCGTCGTAGGAGGCCGTGATCGCTGCTGTTATCCACCTCAGACATGTTGTCGACAGTCATGTTGAACTCAGAATCAGGGAGGAAAACACTGTCTTGCGTCCAGCGCAATTCCTCATGTTCCTCCGCGTTAGGGGAGCACAACCGTGAGTTGCTCTGCTGCTCTGGCGCATCTGCGAACTGCGACGCTTCGAGGTACCATTCGACAAACGAACCGGTCCAGTCACTGTAGGTCGGCACCTGTCTCGCCTGCCCACTGCCGGCAGACTGGTCGACAGCCGTTACATCTGGCGAGTTAGCCCGGAAAGTGTAGTTGCCGGAGACTTCGCGTAGACTCGGCGGGCGTGCTTCAAGCGAGGTTTTGTCGTTGTTACTTCCCTCACTGTGACAAGACACATGCCTGTCGGGACTTGCTTCATCTGCACCCAACTCACGGGCAATATCGTCGCCTTTGTTCAGTTTTCGCCGTCTGAAGTTCGAAACATACATCCTGACTTGCGTCGCCGAGAGTTGCGTCTGCTGTGTCAAATCTGCACATTCAGCAGTGGAGAGGTACGGATCATCCAAATGCGTCAAGACCCAGTTGTTTAAGAGAGCTTTCTGGGCATCAGAGAACCGCTGTCGCTGCTTGGGTCGCGAACTGTCTGCAGTTTGCACAGCCTCTGTATTAAGCATCTGCTGGCCGTAGGAATCGGCCTCCACACTCTCGGGACTAAGCTTGAATTGCTCGTCGAGCGGCCCTGTCAAAGAGTCGTCTGCATCAATCCAAGCTTGGAGCAGCTGATCGAAACCAGCTGAGGAGCCCGGCGACGTTGGGATTGTCGTATCGGTCATCTTGCTTCTCGTCGGCGTGGAGGCCGAAGGACCAGTGAAAAGATATGAGCCCAATCGTGTCTCTAAGACAACACGCCCAGGTTAGCTGCAGTTGCTTCTTGTGTAGGTTGTTGTTGTCCTCCCTGCTACCCTGTCAGTGTGAGGTCGTTGGCCCTGGCACGCCACATGTCGGAAGCATGGCAAGGCGCACGGGGCAGGTAGAGCAGATATTTCACACAAGGCTCGTTGCCCTGATGTGCAGCGCAGAGGTGCACCGTGTGTGTCAAGACAACGCCCAATCAACGAGTTCGCCGAGGGGCCGCGCCACCATCAGCTTCTCGTTGACCAATGAGTCCGACACATCTGACAGGGGCTGCATTGACAGCTGTGTTGACATTCACGGCGCATGTGTTCTGAGTTCGGTGCGAGGCAGAGCAATAATCCCACCGTGGCCAACGCTACTGCATGCCGGAAAACAGTTTTCTGGCATGCAGTAGCGCTGGCTTTGGTGGAAACCTGCCCATGCCATCTCTCGAGTTCCAATAAGATATCGTCTACTGACGATGCACTAACGAATGGGCGACTTGGAGTGATTGGCGCAGTGCACCGAGTATGTCTGCGCAAGCATTTCGAATGCCATATATGCAGATAGTCGATGCTGCACCTTGTATGTCAATCAAGCCTACCAACAGTAGTGGCAATGAATATAAATTGAAGCAGTTGCATCTCTAGCTCAGCGAAATCGTAAAGCGAAAGCAATACCAACACCCTACCTCGGTACGCACAAGATGTCGCTGTCTCCTGAAACAATCACAGCAATAATCTTCGGTCTCGTTATGTTCGTCCTTCAGCTCATCCAACTATATGTACATCTCAAGGACCGGGGACACCCGGCCCAGTCAGGACCATCGGGTGAGTCTCTGACACACAGCAGATCATTATTGAGACTCATCCGTGTTAGACGCGTAACAGAATGCTCCAGGCAAAAGCATAGAAGTGGAACACCGGCCTCGTCACAGCTCGAACGATCCGCCCTCCGCACGACGAATCCAATGGACTCTGAATGGAGGGCAGTTGTTGGGAGTCCCCAATGGCGCGATTACTGTATGCTGGCATAGGGAACGAGGAGTCTGATGAGATGGAGCAGTCTGAGAGGGGGTATCTCGAGGTCGCCGTTGATTTTGTCTTTTTACCGGCGTTGTGGCCCACCCGGAAGCGCGTCCGTTAGCGAAAAAGCTGCATTCCTAAGAAAAAGGTGCCCCTCCATTGGAATAGAAAATCATGTCCATCTTACATCTCCTGATATACTGTGTCTGTGATATCTAGCATAGGTTCCAAGATTGGATTGCAAGCACGATGTCGCCCTCAGTAGCAGACCTCCCCTCCGGCCTCTCAGACTCCCAAATCGCATCCTTCTGGCGCGATGGCTACCTCCTCATCCCCAACTACCTCTCGCAAACCCAATGCACAACCCTCCTCTCACGTATAAACCAACTCCTAACCGACTTCACCCTGAAAGATCACCCAATGACCAAATTCGTCACCGGCGAGCAAAAAGACGGCGTCTACGAAGGCGACACCCACGTCGGCGACGACTACTTCCTCACTTCCGGCGACAAAGTGCGCTTCTTCTTCGAGGAAGACGCCTTCGATAAGAACGGCGACCTGAGCAAGCCCAAAGAGAAAGCGATCAACAAGATCGGGCATAATCTGCACGGTTTGGTTGAGGAGTTCGGGCAGATCAGTCATGCAGGCAAGATTGGGCAGCAGAATGCTGCTATAGCCAAAGATCTGGGGTATAGAGATCCACGGCTGTTGCAGAGTATGGTCATTTGCAAGCAGCCGGAGATTGGTGGCGCTGTACCGCCTCATCAGGACTCGACGTTCTTGTATACGGACAAGCCGAGTGCGGTGGGTTTCTGGATCGCGCTTGAGGATGCGACCAAGGAGAACGGCTGTCTAAGTTTCGCCCCGGGTAGTCATCGCCGCGCACCTATACGAGAGCGGATGGTCAGAGCGAAGGGCAATGCAGGCACCGTCTTCGAGAAGATCACAACGGACGAGCAAAAGTGGCCACGCGGCTTCGATCACGAAGAGGCGGACAGCGAGGAGGACTATCAGCTTGGTGAGGTCAAGGCTGGTACCTTGGTCTTGATCCACGGCAACATCTTGCACAAAAGCGAGAAGAATTTGTCTCAGAAAGGCCGCATGATCTACACATTCCACCTCATCGAGGGCGAAGAGCACTACGACGACCGGAATTGGTTGCAAGTGCCTGGCGGACCGGCTGCATTCACGAAGCTGGACGGCACAGCATGATCAACGGACTCTTTCTGCGTGGTCGCTGTTCGAAGCACCTTGCTGCCGCAAGGAAACTCGGTGCTGTTCCTGCTCATCGATCTAACAGGGGGTGGCCATGGGTCGCGCCACCAACAATGTCCTCACCTCTTATGAAGATGCTGCAGTCGATCTACTCTGAAACTCTCTAAGCAGTTTCTAAACTTCTGTCGCCATATGATCGCACAGTCTCACTAAAGGCCACGCACCATGCTCGGCGATACTTCTGGAGGCCGACCCTCGGCGATCACCCCGCATGCCGCGCGGGCAATGCCTGGGACGATCTTGAGACAACGGCCAAGCGACGAGCTTCGTGACGATGATACCTTCTGTCCATGTCAATCAGAGTCCGTGTCATTCTGCTCATCTGAGACACGAAGTAGTGTGGGCAATTTGTCAAGTTTAGTACAGTGCAGACCCAGCAGATATGCCAACAGCACGAGTTACGCAGTTACCAGGTTTCTCGGCCACACTACGACCTTCTCCAACAACATCTTGGGCAAGAACGTCAGCACGATCGTCAGCAGCAGCGGCAGCATATTTCTTCCCACAACATCGAACATTCTCGCAACAACTCAAGTCCAAAAGAAGCGGCCAGAGTTCCTGCCCTCCGCCGACGCCGCCGTCGCAGACTCGAAAATGGCATCACGATCCTCTCCCAGGGCTTCGGCCTTTGCGGCGTTCCTGAAACCCTGCTTGACGCTATCCGTGCCGCCAACCTACGAGACTTGACCGTCGTCTCCAACAACGCCGGCGCCCGCGACAAAGGTCTTGCCAAGCTCTCCGAGACTGGACAGATCTCAAAGATGATCGGCTCGTTCATTGGCACTAACAAGCCGTTGGTCAAGTCCTTCCTCGCGGGTAAAGTCTCCGTTGAGCTGTGCCCACAAGGAACTATCGTTGAACGTTTGAGAGCAGCTGGCGCCGGCATCCCGGCATTCTTCACACGAACGGGCGTCAACACGCACGTCCAAACCGGGGAGATCCCCGCTCGGTACGACTCGAATGGCGCCATCATCCAATATGCACCTGCCCGCGAAACCCGCGTCTTCGAGGACGACAAAATGTATCTGATGGAGCGCGCACTGCACGGAGACGTAGCAATCCTGCGCGCATGGAAGGTCGATCGGGCTGGTAACTGCATCTTTCGGTCCACCACGCGCAACTACGCTACCGTGATGGCTAAAGCAGCGAAGCTTACGATCGTGGAGGCCGAAGAGATTGTCGAAATCGGCCAATTCGACCCAGACCAAGTGCACCTACCAGGCATCTTCGTCGATCGCGTCGTCCCCGCGACGGCGGAGAAGCATATTGAGATCTTGAAAGTCGACCAGGGATCCGCATCATCCTCCTCTTCCAGCTCCTCCAACGGCACTGAACAAAGCGAAGACGAACGCAAACGCATCCTCATCGCAAAACGCGCCGCCAAAGAACTCAAAGACGGCTCCTACGTTAATCTAGGCGTCGGCATCCCCACCCTCGCCCCCTCCTACCTTCCCGAGGGCGTTAACGTGACACTGCACTCCGAGAACGGCATCCTTGGAATGGGCCCTTATCCCGCTTCTGCTGAACAAGCAGATCCAGACACCGTTAACGCGGGCAAGGAAACTGTCACACTCTACCCTGGCGCAGCTGTGTTCGACACAAGCGACAGTTTCGCAATGATCCGCGGCGGACACATCGACGTCTCCATCTTGGGCGCCCTCCAGGTCTCCGCTTCCGGCGACTTGGCCAACTACATGGTGCCCGGCAAAGTGTTCAATGGAATGGGCGGCGCGATGGATCTGGTCTCGAACCCAGACGAGACGAAAGTAGTCGTGGCGACGTATCACACGGACAAAAATGGAAGGAGCAAGATTGTGGAGAGCTGTGACCTACCATTGACTGGGAGGGGGGTGGTGAGTACCATCATAACGGAGCTGTGTGTTTTCGAGGTAGACAGGAAAGGAGCTGGGTTGACACTGACCGAGCTAAGTGAGGGGGTGAGTGTGGAGGACGTACGGCGGTGTACGGAGGCCAAGTTCAAGGTCAAGGAGGGGTTGGGAACGATGTGAGGAGGGTAGACTCACAGAGAGGTTGCTTGTCAGAACGCATTCTGCGCCGACGCCACTCGTTGGTTGTGGTTCTGCCTCAAGTAGACGGTGCAGCTGTACACAAATTCATTTCATCAAGTCAGGCATGCCCAGCACTGCTTCGCCGACGGATATCTTGTGGCTCATCAGCAACAGCCACAGCATACTAGTCCGTCTTCGACTTGCACCTGCATCAAGGCATCTCGCAGACTCTTACCATGGAGGGGAACTCAGGAGATCGCTTCGTATCGTCGTGTCCCACACTCTACACCGCGCAAATTCGCACATCATCTCGCGCCGTATGCAGTCGACGGTTCGCACATGGTTCGTGGAATCCTCCGTGCATTTCTTCTCCATTGCCCCAAATGCCGTTCTCCACAGATCGAAGCCAGCTCTGTGGTATCGCTTCTCCTCGAGCTCATGCACAGTCCCAAATTCCTGCATCATCTCCAAGAAGGTTTTCTTCACGTTTCCATCGTCTCGGTGTTCGCTCGTATTGCTCTCGTTGTTTTCGATCACGAGATCTCAGACGTCCCACGAGTCGTGGACTTCACCGTTTTCTGACATCATTTCCCCTCGACGAGCATATCGTTTCAATCGTGAACAGTCCACGCTCGCATATGGTTACAATGCCCAGGATTGACGTGCCACTGGATGAGGTTGGAGAAGGTGGGATGTAGACTTTCGTGGCACGTTAAAGGCGAGTGCTGTGATCGTGTTACCAGGCGTCGAAGCCACTCCTTGACTGCCGGCATAACGATCTGATACTCCGCACTCTAAAGCTTTGGAGGACAACGCATAGACGCATTCGTATTTATATCTTCTGGATTATTCGATACATGTAGCAGGCGTCGTTACACATCTTGGAACGAGTTGTCGCTGAAGCCGCAGGACTCATCTTTCTCTTCGAGCTCTGACGTAGTTGACTCAGGTATAGCATCGTTCTTGCATCTTTCTGGACATCAACTCATCATCATGGGATCAATGGCTGGGCCTCCGGAGGCAAGTTATGGCTTTGTCGGCATCGGTGTCATGGGATTCGGAATGGCGCTCAATTTGCGGAAGAAGATTCCATCGTCGTCGCGGTTCGTTCTGTGTGAGATCAACAAGGACCGAAGAGATCAATTTGTGCAGGAGGCAAAGTCCCAGGACCTTGGCGCAGTCGACGTCGTAGACACGCCCAGGGACGTTGCCGAGAACAGCGACATCATTATCACTATGCTGCCGAAAGCGCCACACGTTTTGGAGGTGTTCAAGAATCCGCAAACTGGGTTTTTGGCCATCGACAAGCCAGCCAAATCCAAGCTCTTTCTGGAGTGCTCAAGCATCGATACCGCATCGTCAGTCGAGTTATCGAAGGTTGTTGAGGCATCTGGGATCGGACGTATGATCGACTCGCCGGTATCAGGTGGACCGCAGGGTAGCGACGCAGGCACGTTGACCTTCATGTGTGGTGGGCCTGAGGAATTGTTTCAGCAAGCTGTACCTGTTCTTAGCATGATGGGCAAGGAAGACGCCATCATCAACTGTGGCGCCCAAGGTGCTGGACTTGCAACTAAGCAGCTCAACAACTACCTCGGGTATATTGGATATGTCGGACTCTGCGAAGTCATGGCCACAGGTGTGAAGTATGGTCTGGACCCCAAGACCCTATCAGATGTCATCAATAAGTCGAGCGGTATGAACTGGAATTCGATGCACATGAACCCAGTGAAAGGTGTTCATCCGAATGCACCGGCATCGAGAGACTTCAAGGGTGGCTTTTCTGTCGAGCTTGCCCATGGCGTTATCGCTGATGCAACGAACCTGATGGACCAGGTCGGTACAAGAAAGGTGCTCGCCAACGATCTTAAGGGCATCTACGATGAGGCTCTCGAAGATCCGAGGACCAAAGGCCAGGAGGCTCGAAGTGTCTGGCGTTTCTTCGAGGATGGAAACGCATGAATCTGGAAGAGTCGGAGAGCTATGCAGCTGCTGCCCGGCGTTATGTTACACAAGTCGGGTGGCAGCATGCCAACTAGGAGGACGCGTACCTGGAGCCTGCGATCGCGGATCCGTCCAGTCTCGTCGACGGACTGCTTGATACCCGGTAAGAACAAAGGCTTTCCAGGACTGTCTTGGGCTTGGGCACTCCGCGTTTGCCTTGCGGTGGCAGAGTTGCTGAATGGGAGCGCCGCTCTCAATAGAAAGAATTGTGGAGACAGCATCTGTTTGTTGCTATGCAGAAAGCCTGGACGCGTCGCCGCATCAGTGACAACTTCTAGCATCGAAGTGCAGTCGACCACAAGAACGTGTTGGAAGCAACAAAGCAAGTCGTTAGTGGCAGGAAGCAACTGCAAGCAAAATCTGATGGCCATCAATCATGGCAAGCACTATTCACAAAGTTTGTCACTGGAGGCAAGAGCGATTTCGCGGATGGTCACGTCCACCAAACATCAAACTTGGATCTTCAACACACATTTCTGTCCGTCACGAAGACAAATGGATGTTTCATCTACAGAAAGAGTCGTCTCCTGAGCAAACAGGAGCACCACTGCAGGTTATAAAGACCTTCGTCTTCTGCAGCACCACCTTCAATCACCACCTTCAACCAGAGCAGTTCCGATACTACTATCACTGCTTTATATTATTTCCAACCAAATCAGATCTATCGACGGTCGAATCCATACTCTTCCTAGAGCCTATTATGGCTGATCGATCTGAGAATCCGCCGCTCAAGGCGCAATTCTTCGTCTCTCGCGAGGGTGGCAAGTACGTACCACTAGTCGCCATGGACGAAATGCCCCATATCATCATCATCGAAGGCGTTCCGCGCATCCTCGACATCGAGCAGACTACCGGCATGGTCAGTATTGGCTACTACGAGTCACGTCACGTCCTCTTCGCTGGCGGTCTTGCCGATGCTGGCTTCAAGCGTAACCTCGATCTCCCTAAGAGCACCAATTCACTCGATGAGGACGATAGCAACAACAATCTCGCCACGAGTACCAACACATTCAACAGAGGCAATGAAGACACCACCACCACAAACATCGACACACTCGCAAGAGGCAGTGAAGAGAACACAATCACAGAGAGCGGCATCCCAATCATCTACACAGGCGACAACTCCGTCACACGACATATCCTCAGTAATACTGTACCTGCTAACTCCTCTCGTCCACTATCTTCGAGTATGCACGCTCTCACTGCCGTCCAGGCTTCGACGGGCAGCACTGCTACCAGTGCGATGCAAGATCTAGCCACACTCACCATGCCTTGGAGACCCTCAGCCTCTCAGCGAGACCCGATTGCCAGTTCACACCCTCACATCACCCAAGCCACTCGCAGCACCTCAATCAACCCTCCACTCCACCCTGCGAGCTCGTCCCCTCCATCTTCCGCTGCCTCAACACCCAAAAAGACACACTGCTCCAAGTGGCTCGAGTCAGGACAATGCAGTTATGTTCAGGGCGCTGGATGCAAGTTCAAGCACGTGATGCCTCTTACTCTCGACGAGCTGTACAAGTTAGGCTGGCGCGACATTCCTCAGTGGTATCGAGATGAACACGGCTTGCCCAGTCTGATCGCTCCGAAAGGCTCTGATGCGTCTAAGAGACGTGGTGAGAAGAAAGACGGCATCCACGGTAAGAGCTGGCGTCCTACTCAGAAACAACACACCTCTCCTGGCAAGAACGGAGGAGGCCAGCGCGGATGGAGTAACAACTCTTATGGTAACGGTGGTGGAGGTAACGGCGGTGGAGGTAAAGGTGGTGGAGGCAAGGGTGGTGGAGGCAAAGGTGGTGGCAAATACAAGCGTCCTGCTCCTGGCCAGGTTCAGTCTTGCATGAATGCCGTGACCGGCCGCCTTGCGCACCCATACTACAACACCGACTCTTCAGATGCCCGATCTACCGATACCTCCGCGACTTCTCCTCCCACCAGCGACAGCGAAGACTTCGGAATGGGTAGCTCGAAGAACCCCAGCAATAACCCGATCCTATCCCTCCCGGATGGTCAGAACACTCCACGAGGAGCTCCTCGACGCATGGTCGAGGTGGAAGATGACGAGAAGACTCCGACTAAGGTCGCCGAGACGAAGAGAGACGAGAAGGCTATTAACACACGGATCCTGGAGTTGGACGAGGTCGACAAGACTCCAGCTGGTATGGGTGGTGCTAGGAAGGATGGCACGGATGGGAAGCAGGCGGGCTCTGAGGACGAGGACGGGATCTCCTGGAAGCTGCATGAGAACAATCCGACTGGCTTCAATGGTCAGCACGATTGAATGGGTGGTGGTGCACGTGTCGAGTGACACATTCTCGGCTGCAGCCGAGAGGATGGTTCAGGATGGATCGTGCTTCTGGCATGGGCAGGGCGGCCTCTAGGCGATGAATCTTGACAGTTCAATTTCGGAGTCCGTGATTAAGGCTCCTCACTAGGGAGGCCGCTGCAGCATTTGCTTATCCTGCGGCAAGCAAGCAGCACGAATAACGGCGATAGATGCATAGCTATGATTTTGAACGCATAGATAGATAGACAGACAAATGAAAATGAGTAATTCTCACTCATCCACATGGCGCCGGCATTGTGCTTTTGTCTACCTTTTAGATGTTTACCACCGTGTTCTCATCCGAACTAGTTCCTTTTGACACCAAGCGAACTCTCATCCTAACCCAAGCGCTCAATAACCTTCACCAAATCCGCCAACACACCCATCGCAGTAACCTCATTCCCCGCCCCAGCACCCTGCACCACCAACGGATTACTTCCATACCGCTTCGTATAGAAACATATCAGATTATCACTGCCCTTCAACCCAGCGATCGGACTCCCCTGATCCACCATCTCCAGCCCCACGCTCACCTTGTTGTTCTCAACGTCCACCTTACCGACGTACCGCACCACCTTCCCTTGTTTCTTCGCTTCGGTTTTGTACGACTCCATTTCATCGTCATGATTGGGCAGTTTCTGCATGAATTCGTCCGCTGACGACGCGGATTCGAGTGCGGACGGGATGAGTGATTGGATTGGGAAGGAAGATGTTGATTCGACCTTCAACCCAGCACACCGCGCCAAGATAACACACTTCCTCGCCACGTCCATCCCATTCAAATCATCCCTTGGATCCGGCTCCGTGTACCCCGCCGCCTTCGCCTTTCCCACTATTTCAGACCACTTCCCTGGACTGCTAGCTGACTCTGATGCAGGCGCGAACGTGTTGAACAAAAACGACATCGTCCCGGAGAAGACACCTTCGATGCGCGTGACCTGATCGCCCGTGCGCACGAGATCGTTCAGGGTGGAGATAATAGGCAGGCCCGCGCCGACTGAAGATTCATGGTAGACTAGCGCCGTGCGGGTCACGGCGCTGAAGATGGCGTTCCAGAGTGGCAGCGGGGAGGAGAAGGCCTTTTTGTTGGGTGTGATTATGCTAATGTTGGATTTGAGGAAGAGAGGGTAGGCTTCGGCGACGGATTGGTCGGAGGTGTTGTCGACTAGGACGGTTGGGTTTGGGGAAGTTGAAAGGTATTTGGCTAGGTCTGGGAGGGAGAGGAGCGGGGAACTCGAGCTTGCGAGGTCTTCGGGCGAGACGGGGCTGTAGTCTTTGTTGTACAGTTGCTTCTTCGAGCGGGAGAGGAAGATGAGTTGGGGGCGCGGCGTGGATGGGGGGAGGACGATTGAGGGCAGGGCGGCAAGGAAGGCGCTGCCTACGCCGCCAGTTGCGCCGATTATGGCGAGGGAGATTGGTTTCGACATTGAAGGAGCGAATGGGACTGGAGAGTGGTAAGATGTGTTGCGAGTCAGGTGTATTGGTGAGAAGTCATTGACCTTGTAGACTGCTGTTTCGTTTTCTTGATAATTTTTGCGGGGCGGCCATAAAACGCGGGGAAATGGAGCCTCTGATACCGATCTCGGCCGCGTGCCTGACACAGTCGTTGTCGACATCTCGCACTTTCGATAGAGACACCAAAGATGGACATGAGTCTGGACGCTGTGGTTGCTATTGACGTCGCACAGGCTGCGCTCAAGTATCTATATTTGACTTCGCATGCTGGCGGTGATGGCAATCGAGCTGAGGCTTTGAACGATCGAGTTGGCCCCTTTCAGGTAACCGTCCAGACATGTTCGAGAAATGCGAGAAATGGCGTCCTGTTCCTGAACAACACCATTCTGTGTGAGGCTGGGCCGTGGCAGGTCGTCCGATCCCTGCGGTGGCCTGAAAGGCGAATAGTCCGGTTGGTGCATGTTCGATAGCTGGTGACAAGTTGGGCGGCCTTGATGGCATAGTTCTTCCTTCATCGTCCTTCGATTGCGAGTTTTGGCGTACTGACAACAGGATCTCGAATATGGCCCGTCATGGCCGTTGATTCCAAGAGTGATCGAAACATGGCGAGGCATCGAATCCTCTGCTATAAAGATGCGCACCGAGCAGCACAGCGACTTGTTTTTTCTCAACCATACATCATTTGTCGAGATGCATCTTTCCTACATCATCGCAGCGCTGTTGCCCACAGCTTCCTGGGCGGTTCCTGCCACATTTGAATCACGTCAAAGCGAACCAGAATGCAAGTACGACTACTTTACCCAAAAGGTCGACCATTTCGGCAAGAATGACAGCACCTTCCAACAGAAGTACAGTCTCAGCACCGAGTTCTACAAGCCGGGAGGACCTATCTTCTACATGCAGGGCGCCGAAGGCTCACCATTGGGGTGTATCGACACCACTGCTGCCATTTCGTGGGCAGAAGAGGTCGGTGGTGCAGCTGTCGTGCTCGAGCACCGCTACTTTGGAGACAGCTTACCATTCAATGCTACCAATCCTCGCGAACAGCTCGCCGAGTACCAATATCTGACTCTCGACAATGTCCTGGAAGATGTCACTTTCTTCCTCGACGACCTCAAGACCAAGCTGGAGGGCGCCACAGATTCCAAGGTCATCACCAATGGTTGCTCCTACCCTGCCTGGCTGATGACAATCTACCAACAGACCAGAGCCGCGAAAGTCCACGCCACCATCGCTCAGTCCACCTCGGTCGAAGGCCTCATCACCGAGGTCGACCACACCTTCAAGTACGGCGTCAACAACTTGGCAAACAACATCTACCGTGCGCAGAACTACGAAGCGTGGGAGAAGATCAGTAACGGCTACCAAGCGCTCCACGACGCCGTCCATGCTGCAGACTACGACAAGCTCAAATCTGATTTCGGACTATGCGAGTTGCCGAACGAAGAAACAGCACTCAACATAAGAATCTATCCGGGCTTCGTCCACCTCCTGGCAACGCAGTACAACTACAACACTACAGGTCTTCCGGTCAAAGACCCCCTAAACACAATGATCAACATAGCCCTGGACGAGCAAGACCCCATCAAGCTGCTCAACAGGACAGTATGGACTTGGATGGGACCCACAGGCACCAAATGCCTCAACGTCACCGACCCACAGCAAGGTGCCTATGCAGGGTCTGGTACCGGTCTGCAGTTCGGCTCATTCAACTACCTCAACTGTAAGTCGCCCTTCCTTCCCTGCCTCTCATTTCCCTCATCCTCGAAAAGAAAGGAAACTTTCGCTAACACTGTGTCTTCCTCCAAAAAGGCGCCTTCTGCCCCGGCGTCTCCGGCGGCGACTATCTCAATACCACCATGTTCCGCTTCAACTACGACTCCTACCACTACGTCGTCGACGGCTGCAAGGAGCGCTACAACATCACAGTACCCAAAGGCGAAGACATCCGTTCAAAGTACAACATCACACGCGAGGATCTTCAGAAGAGCAAACGCATCCTCTGGACGGGTGGCGAGTTCGATCCAGAGAACGCCATGGGGCCCAGGTACCAAGGCGTCAACAGCCCGATCTTCGACATCAACGCAGACAGAGACGTGAGTCGGTATCTGCATGTGGATGGGATGGGACATTGCGAGGACAATCACGCGCCGAAGGACACGGATAAGGAGACTGTCAAGGCGGCGAGGAAGAAGACGATTGAGGTGATTCGCTCGTGGCTGGAGGAGGAGCAGGAATAATGGATTTGGCGGGTGCTAGGACAAGCGTCGATATACTGAACGTGTGGTGGGAGGGGCAGCACATGCTGAATTCACGTAGCTCGCCAAACATGCTAATCATAGACATGCTCTGCGCTCACCCTCCCTCCTCTACTCGCTCGCCATGCCCTACTCGCCTGCGTCATACTCTCCGAACGGCCCACCCTTCCTTATTCGTGTGGCATGGCACAGGATAATGGCGCTGCTTCCGCCCCCACGACCTCGGCCTAATTCTCGCTCCGTTCGCCGAAGGCGAGGCGGAGGCTCTTCAAGCCAATCCCTTCCCACCGCCTCTCCCACTCAGCAGCCCCTGGCAGACCGGGCTGGTCTGGTGTTTACCTAACTTAATTGTGTACGCCATATCGGTGTCTGAGAAAGGGGGTAGTGGACCAGTCGAACACTCGCATGGTGCAGACTTTGACTTAAAAATATCCAAGCAGGTCCCATTTCGAGCGTTTCCTAACCTGCACCTGATACATCTCACCGCATACCAACCACAGTCCTCTCAACCACCACCACCCTTCCTTCTCAACCGAACCTCCCCCTCATGATCTTTCACCTTTTCCACCTCTTGAAGCACTTCCTCCTTCACTACCTTTTGGTCGCCGCCGCCACCCCTCAAATACCGCTTTACAGCCTCGCCCCACACCGCGCCTCGCTTGTAGAAATACATACCTGGCGTGTTGCCACCCTTCATGCCTTCAATAGCCTCCGCCAGGGCCGGGCCTGAGCCTTCGTCGCGGATTTGGGAGATGGGGTAGAGGTAGGTCTTGAAGCTGAAAACTATCGCCTTGGATTTGGGGAGGCGTTGCAGGGTTTGGCGCTCGGTGCGGAGGAATGTCTGTTGAGAGAAAAGGCACGAGATTAGTCTGGTATCAGGGCAGGTGCAGTACTGATCGAGCCGGTGGGTGGAATTTGGTGTATGGGCACAGCAAACCTTCTCAAGATCGATTTCCTTCAGCTCCTCCACCTCATCGCCCTCGTGCGAGTGATTCGTGTCCGATCCAGCGGCGTACAGCTCGGTGTTGTGCGTGATGTTCCAGTTCGCGCGCTTGACGTACTTGCCGACCTCGAGCTTGGCGAAGTATCGGTCCATGCTGCTTTCGAGCTTGGCTTTGTAGCCGGGTACTGGGCCGTGGATGTCGGCTAGTCGTTTGCCTAGCTTATCGAGGCCTGGGTTGAAGCCTGATGGAAAGCATGTGATTAATGCGTGGAGGACGTATTTTGGCTCGGCGGTCTCTTCGGTGCCTTCCTCGGGAAGGAGGAAGAGGATGTCCTCGTCGAGGGTTTTGCCTAGCGTCATGAGGAGGGTGTAGGTGGAGATGGTACTGGAGAGGGGGAAGCAGGGCCACATTTCGCCTGTGATGAGGTTCTGGAGCATGAAGTGCTCGCCGGTTTCGTACAGGGTTTTGTGGAGTTTGAACATGCTGGGGTAGCGGAGCGGAAGGTAGGTGCCTGTCAGGAAGGTGTAGTATTCGGCGACGGCCTTGTGGATTCGCTTGTCGTCCGTCACGGCACATGTGTTGTCGGGGTGCTCGGCCAGGATCTTGCGGCGGTATGCGAGTCTTGATTTATAGTTCTTGTCCATCAGGATCAAGTCATCGGGGTTGAGGTTCTCAAGCGCTGGGAAGTCAGTGTCTGTTGAGTCTGGGGAGTCCGCAGAAGGGAGTTCAGGAGGCCAGTGGTTACCCATTGTGAGGTGGTATTTGGGCTTGAACGGCCGGAGTTGAGCAGGCTCGGTCTTGGTGTAGTCGAAGTCGAGCTGTTCGTTGATGGTTGGGAAATTGGGGGCGGGGAGGAAGCGGTTGCTGTGTTTGTATTTCTTGCTCTCATTCTCGGACAGATCAGTTCCTGATTGCGACTAGAGTGTCGACGTAGTGAGACTCACCCACGTTGAGGCAAATCGCCAGGCTGTCACAAGAAGCAAAAAGACGCCCATGCCAATATTGACCCAATTGTCTGTCAGCCGCTGGCCCCAGGACGTCTGCCGCAATTGATCCCATCGTAACAACTGTTTGATAGCAGCTGGAGGCTCCATGCCGGACGACATCGTTGCTCCTGGTCACGAGCCGAAGCAGATGGGATATGAATTGAGGCCAGAACTGGTGTCCAGGTATTTGAAGTCCAAAACCAGATGATGTATCTATACTCAACACGAATCGTCTTATCTTCTCATCTCATCGATTGGTTGTACTCCTCCAATTTCACATGCAAGCCATCGCCTTGTCGTGCGGTCTGAGCCCTATGATGAGGCCGTGAAGCGTGTTGATCGTCGTGACCGTGCCGGTTCAGGTGACGGCGTTCTAGAAGGTTTCCATTGTGGGAGCGCCCTGACTTAAGGCATTTCTGCGGGGAAGAGGGCGCCTGGAAATAAGGCTTCAAACACCGGATGACTGCCTGGCGCGTGCTCTGACGCATGACTGGCTATCAATCACCCGTTTTGGCATGTGCAACGGACTCGACGTCTCATTGTTGTCTATGCTCAACACACTCATCCGTGGAGGTGGAAGGGAATGGCTGTGCATGTGTTGATCTCTCACACGGGCCAGCATCTGGCTTTTGAGAATCTTGCTGCTGGCCTCGATGCCTTGCGGGAATGGATCAGTCAGAATGTCGACATCCCGCCGAATCGGCAGATTCTCATGACTGCGCGCGGCAAGAATGTCAAGACACTTACAGCAGAGTCCGAGATCTTCGTGTACGACAAGAAGAATCTGTCCTCATCGCCCGAGATCCCTCCCGACGAGCATGAGGCGCTCACAGACCTGCCTGTGCCAGACGATGCGCCTGCACCCGATAGTGACCTTGAAGCATGGAAGGACGCAGTGCGGAGGAACCGCACATGGGCACTCGAGGCGGCCGAACAGGTGAAAGGCGCTGCAGATCAGACCCAAGAGCTTTTCTACGAAGCAGACACAATAGCCAGAGGAATCCTCGCAGCGCTGGACAATGTCAAGAATGGCTTCGCTTCAGCTAGCGTCAAATTCAACGAGACAAAGGAATGGGCCCAAGAGAGCCTCCTCGAGCATCAGATGGCCCTCGATGGATGGGAAAAGACCCATACCAGGCTATCAGAATTGCCGGTACGCGAAGAGGTGGCCGCTATTCTGAGGAGGTCAGATGATGGCCCCCGTAGTCGGCAACAGATCAGTACGCTGGCGGATCTGGTCGACCTCCAAGCCATAAAGGAAACTGACGCAGTTGTAAGAACGGCATCAAAAGACTTTCGGAGCCAGCTGGACGAGCTCCAGTCCCGACGGAACCAGCTACAGGAGGATATCAACGTGGTCGAGAAGCATGTCAGTCACATAGCAGAGCCAGATACTGCCAGTCTACTGCAGGAGGTCGAGACACTGGCAAAGAGGATCAGCCGCGACTACGATGATATCCTGAAACTGCCTGACGACGCGAAATCCTTGGGTCAGGCGTCTCGCAAGGCTTCGAACCACACCCGTGATCTCATTCCAGCTATCCAGGCAGTCATGGCAGATATGCAGCAAGCCTTCATCGCGGTTCAGGACTCCCGGAATGCAATAGTCCGAGGTTACTTTGCGGCACTCAAAGAGATCTCGAGCATCCAGTCTCGACTAAGCAACCTGCAGGCCAATACGGCCGCCCTCGACTTTCGAGAAGCCGATGGCTTGGATGTCCTATTCCGTGTCGTCAGTCTGCATGTCGTCTACGGATGCACGCTTATAGAAGCCACAAGACGATCAGAATGGACAAACAAGATGCAAGTCGACGTTGATAACATGCACGCAGATCTCACACAAGTCACAGAAGACGAGCAAAGGCGGCGGAAGAAGTGGGCCTCGTCGTATGATGACTTTTTGAACAAGGATCTGAACACTCCAGATTCATTGATCGACCTCAAAACCTCGAAACCCAGAAATCCATGGCCCTTTGTTGAGCGAGAAGAGATCAACGCATACATCGATGATCTGCGGGCACTATCGCTGGACGAAGCAGTCACTACCATAGTGGACCGCCTGAAAGATCTCGATTCGCCCGTCAAACGCCAGAGACTCAGAGCATTCAAGAATGGCAGCGTGCAAGATCTTGCTGCTAGCTCTAACCTTGGCAATGCTGATGTTCGGACCTTGCAGAACGAGAAGGCACGGCTTGAAGAAAAGGTCAAATCGACCGAAAGCAGAGTACGAAAGCTGGAGGATCTCCTTCACCGGCAGAGTCAAATGAGTCGACCTAGCAGTGCACTCTTCACTCCCGGCATGTCGGACTACGATCGACATAGTCCATCACCCAGTGCTTTCCCAAAGCAGAGCGAGCTGCCGCAGCGACCGTCAATTCCACTTCGAAGGACCTCAACCGCGGCAGAAGACAAGGCGGTAGCCATAAGGATCAGCTCTCTGGAAGCCGAAGTCAAGAAACTACAAAGCGAAGCACATGAGGAGAGGAGATCGAGCACAGAAAATCGTGACAAGATGCAAGAAGCCGAGTCAGTCAAGCAAGATCTCATGGCGAATTTTGAGGCTCAAAAGCAGGAGTTTGACGAAGAGCGGCAGATTATGGACGATGAGAATCACAAGCTGAAGGTTCGGATCGAAGAGTTGGAGGATGAGCTTGATCGCATTCTCGGTTCGAAAGAGGCGACGAAAATGACAAATGATCAGAAAATGCACGACATACAGTCTGAAGCGGATGAGCTTCGTGAAGCGCTTCGAAATGAACAACAAAAGTCGCAGACGAAGATAGAAAACCTGGAACGAGATCTGGCGACGCAACGCGAGCGGACAGCCAACATCGATCGCCAGTGGCAAGAATGCCGTGAGGAGCGCAATACCGCAAGAGATCGCAATATGGAATTGGCCAAGCAGTTACGCCTGCGGGAAGAAGCCAGTGCGGATGTCATCTCAACCTTGCAAAACACACACTCGAACCTCTCGCCTGCGGGATCTGCGCCAGATGAAATTGGCCGTCTCGCAAGGGCGCTCGAGATTCTGTCTGAAGGCGCCGGCATTCATGCCCGACGACTCGATGACAATCTGCAACTCGCTACGGCCGAGAACAAGTCCCTGGAGGACAATGTCACGCATATGGAGGCCGAGGTCAAGAACTTGACTAGTAGGCTGTCCTCAGCAGAGTCCAAATCAGCATCTCTCGGAGAAAGCCTTGACCATGAGAGAAGCAAGCTCAAGGCAGTCCGCGTCGAGCTGGCTGATGCGCAAGCCGATCTTGACAGCCTTCGAGAAAAGCTCGCAGCTGGCGAGACTGGGTCCGACTCACTGCGAGAAAGGCTTTCGGAAGAAGAGAAGAAAGTCAAGGATCTCCAAGAACTAAAATTTGAGCATTTGAGCAGCATTAAGAGCCTGAAGAACGAGGTCGAGTCAATCAGTCAACAGACCAAACAAGCCACAGATAGAGCCGACAAGCTCAAGAAGAAGCTCGTCGCTCGTGGCGAGAAAGCCCGGCAGCTGTCCGAACGGCTGTATCAGCACAACGACAGAATCATCCGCATGCTGGAGCAATTCGGATTTTCCATCATTCGACAAGATGACACCCTAGTCATCCAGCGCGCATCAAAGGTCAGCGCCAGCACCATGCTGAGCGGAAACGAGAGCTCAACGCCGATGAAGCGAACCATCTCAGGCAGCGTCCCACCTCTGCACTATTCCGACCCATCAGATCTCGACACCCTCTACTGGACATCCGATACCGAAAGCACAGACGAAGAAGCCAAATACAAGACCTTCATCTCCGCCCTTCAACGCCTTGACCTAGACTCAACCCTCGACACCGTCTCTAAGCGCTACAAAGACGTCGAGAACCTCGCAAAGAAATACCAAAAAGACTCTCGCACCTACCGCGAGCGCTCCCACCGCCTTCAAAGCGAAACGCACGAAAAAATTGCCTACCGCTCCTTCAAGGAAGGCGACCTCGCCCTTTTCCTGCCCACACGAAACCAAGCGACTAGACCCTGGGCCGCGTTTAACGTGGGCGCGCCGCACTATTTCCTTCGTGAGCAGGACCACCATAAGTTGCAGTCGCGCGATTGGTTGCTGGCGCGCATCTCCCGCGTCGAGGAACGGGTAGTCGACCTGTCCCGCTCACTCTCCAGCACGCGAGCCGACGGCGGCAGCAAGTCCATGCACGGCGAAGTCGGTGACTCAGCTTCCGCGCGCTCGTTCGAGGACGAGAATCCCTTCGAGCTCTCCGACGGGTTGCGCTGGTACCTCATCGACGCGGCAGAGGAGAAGCCTGGCGCGCCGGGCACGCCCAGTGTGGGGAAGAGCACGGTTATTGCTAGTAACGTTGAGGCCGAGGCGTCGCTCACCCCTCACCGCAAAGACAAAAGCGTTGTCACAAGAGCGGCGAGCAATGCCGCAATAACGAAGACGCTGAACAAGAGTCTGGAGAGTCGGAGGTCGAGCTCTGCTTCTAAGAGGAGTGGGAGTATCAGGAAGCAAGACCGCGATAGCTCGAGTTTGAAGGACGTGCAGGCGGCATTGGCGCCGATTGTCAGTGATGTCGAGGCTGGCGCGTCTGACGAGCAGCGAAGGGAGGCGACGGAAGCTGAGAACGATGCACAGAATCAACACAAACATCAACAACCGATGGTGAAATCGACGGAGCGCACCAGCAGGGGCGATGCCAAGGTGTTTGATATTGTAAGACAGGACCTTCTGCAGGGCCCTTGACGCGTCTACGGGAACCGAGGGGCTGACCTACCATGTGCTAGGGACCCCTCGGTGATCGGCACCACGACGTGAACACACAGCGACAGCAGCCGCGTATGGCGTATCAGCACCAAGACCAACTATTTTCACCGGCTGACTACTACAATTCGCCGATGAAACCCCCCCTTCCAAGAGGCAAGTCCGAGACCAATGCTCAGGCTCATACGCTGTCAAAGCCGCTGCTATCGAGAACCCAATCGTCAACACAGCAGACGCCTTCCAAGCAGCAGCAAAGAAATTCAAGTCCGTCGAAGAACATGGCTACGCCGTCGCCGAGTAAGAAGGGATGGGAGAGGCTTTTCAATGTCGAGTTCAACGCATGATCGACCCTCGACCGCCTGGATAAGTGTGGAGTACATGTAAATTAGGACAAAGACATGAACTTAGCGTACTTAGCGAACCAACGATGTTCGGCCTACAAACTAGGTACGAGCGTATGTATGAATGATGCTGTAATGTTGCTATTTCTTTTGCATTCCTGGCCCGTCATTCTTTCGCTTTGCGGAATATGCGGTTGTGCTGGCTAGGGTATAAACACGCCTTTTAAGTCCACAGGATGTCATGATCTTGGTCGAGATGTTTCACTCTGCCGGTGCTGAGGGCCCACGTTATAAGAGTTCACGACCTGATCTGGCCTGGTCGCTGATCTCCCAGCCGCATTGCTTGCCTGCTTAGGCAGGAACAAAAGGCCAAACGTTGCCTCGGGCGCCTCCAGCTGTCCTGTCCGAGACCAGCGCATCAGGTCACCCAAAAGCAGCGACCGCCCGCTCCAACTCACTGCCCAGATCATCATCACCTCTGCCCTTCTCTCCACCGCTGAGCGGCCCTACCCGCGGGGGTGGCGCAACAGGCACAACCCCATGCGCACGCTTGGAATGCTCCCCCAAATGATCCTTCCTTGAGTAGCCCGCCCCACAGATCTCACAAACGTGCGGCTTCACGTCCGAGTGCGCCGAGCGCTCGTGCCGCTGCATGTGTTGGCGGCGGCTGAAGTCTTTAGCGCACGAGGGACAGTGCCATCGTTGAGTGGCGGGGTTGTAGGCGGCCGTGGTTGGAGAGGGGGCGGAGTTGGCTGAGGGTGCGATTGCGGAGGAGCGGTCACGTTTGCGCTTCTTTGTTCCAGGAGAGCCTGGGGTTGATGGGCCGGGGCTTTGCTCGTTGGCTGACATGCTAGAGGCGACAGCTGGAGGTGGGACTGTTGAGATGGCTTCGGCGTAGCCATTGTTGACAGGGTGCTGTGGAGGCGGATATGGCTGTGGCGGATAGGGCTGTGATTGAGGCATTGCCGCTGGAGGGTGGCCGGCGGGAGTAGCAGGCACGAGCCGGGGATCGTACGCCTGATGGGCTGGCTGGCCGTACGGGTTTTGCTGTTGCTGCGGTGGTGGTCCAACCAGTTGTTGCTGCAGCTGATGAACTTGATGCTGCAAGTTGGCCCTTTCGTTCGCGCTCTGCTCGATGGCGGCGAATTGGGCACGATTCTGTTCTAGTAGGTCTCGAAATGCTCGCTCCAGCTGATTGGGGCTGGCCTTGGCAATCTCCGCGTTGGATTTCTGGAGCTTCTCGAATTGAGTCGACAGTTGCTGGTATTCGGCGCGCAAGCGCGCTAGAGAGTCCTCAAGACGTTGATTCTGGGCTTTGAGATGAATGATCTCAGCTTCCGCGTTGGATTTGCTGATGGGGTTGCTCATTGTGGTGTCCCCGTAGGGGGCCTTTCTTTGTACTGACCGGGGTTCGATGATTGGCACACTGCCTGCGCGTGTGAGCGCGTCAAATGGCATAGACAAAGACTAGGCCGTCCTGTGTAGCGCTGTTGAGTCACGTCCAATGCATCTCGAGATATATCTCGATGAATGTTGCGATGGAATGAGGTCGCGTTAATGGGGGCAGGGGCGATCGCGTCTCCGAATTGGGGAAAGCTTGAAGACGGAATGCCAAGGATAAGGCAATCGCGTTCTCCTTCTTTGCTTCTTTCCACGGTTCTTTCCTCTCATGCTGCTGCATTGACGTTGCTGACGGCTGCATTCCAGGCAGCCATGTTAGCCATCTGCGCTGGCGATGGCTGACTTAGCTGGTTCCTCACAACCGGACAGGTCATCACGGTCGTAGTTTCAAGGAATTTGCCTGACGAATCAAGATCGTGCATGTCCTTTCCCGTATGCGCCCTCCTCGTATGGTCTCATCGCTTCATCGAGGACACGCGACCGCCAACAAGCGCGTCTCAGCAGTTGTTATTGACGCTGATTGACAGCAGAGAGCGCTGTACTGCCTTGCGAGCCTCAGACTGCCACATCTGGACACATGGAGCTTTTAGGCACTCTTCCCCGCTTCCTGACGATTTAGCTAATAAAGGTAACGCATTGCACTGTTCTCTGTATCACCTGGACGGAAAGTACCTCCCCCACTGACCGATTGTGCTTCAGAGGAACAGTTGTATCTGGCCAATCTAAATACTGACACAGCCCAAGATGAGCGTGAAAGTTCGACCCTTCACGATCGAAGTCCCACCTGATGAGGTTGATCGTATGAAGCGCAAGCTCCGAGACACCCGAATGCCAAAACTTCCTATCGTACCAGACGCAGGGGACGACTATGGTCACTTCAGCCTCCCCGTCCCACGTTACCACTGACCTCCTCACAGGGCCGTCCATCGCTGACTCACAAGCTCTACAACAAGTTCGTCAACTTCGACTGGCAGGTTGCCCACAACCACATCCAGCGCCATCAGCACTTCATAGCTACCATACCCGACGAGAACACGACCGTAGACATCCACTTCACCCACACCCGCTCAAGCAATCCCGACGCAATCCCGTTGCTTCTGATCCACGGTTGGCCCGGCTCCTTCTTCGAGTTTGATCGCGTCGTCGACGACCTAGCAAAAACCTTCCATGTCGTCGTGCCCAACATTCCCGGATTCATGTGGTCTTCCCCACCACCACGTCGCGGCTGGACCCTTAGCGACACCGCTCGCCTCTACAACAAACTTATGCACGCTCTGGGTCATACCGCCTACGCCGCCCAAGCCGGCGACTGGGGCATGTTCATCGCACGCGAACTCGGCTCTAAGTACACCTCATCGTGCAAGGCCGTGCATCTGAATTTTTGCCCCACGCCCCTCCCCGATAATCTGGAATCGTCAGATCTGGCCGAACGCGAGAAGCGAGTCGAGGCCCGTTGCGACGACTGGCTCGACAATCACCTAGGTTATGCAGTGTGTATGCGTAGCCGGCCACATACGATCGGCGTGGCTTTCGCCGATAATCCCGTTGCGATCATGATGTGGGTCGGGGAGAAATACCTCGAGCTGGCGCATCCCAATCACATGGACGAGAAGTGGTGGGACGATGTGTTGACCACGGTGTGTTTGTACTATTTCAGCGGTTGTATCATGGTAAGCCTTTCTCGCTGCTTCGATTTTCCCGGATCCATCCCATTCAGCCTTCCCAAATAGGTCGAGGTGGTCCACCCGCTTGCCGGTAGCGCCACTACACTATACTGACGCGCCTCTCAGACATCCATGCTTCCCTACTTTGAGAACGCGAAACACGCCGACTTTGGCACCCACGTCCTCTCACCAGCCAACAGAATCACCTGTCCTATGGGCTTCACCAGCTACATGTACGACTCGCGTCCAGGCACAAAGAGGGGTGTAGAGCGCAGCGGCAATCTGGTATGGTATCGCGAGGTGGACGAAGGGGGACATTTCGCAGCATTGGAGACTCCGGAGGGATTTGTGGAGGACTTGCGGGCATTTCTGGGGGAGCACTACCATACATGATCAAGAGTATCGTAAGAGGCAGTGGCGCCTCCCCGGGTTTGTACCGGCCAGGGCTTGATGACTGGCATGCTGCCTGTGTATGCGGACGCCTCAGAGAGCATAAAGACAGGTTCATTGTTTCTCCCTAGCGCTACTGGACTAAAGTCAATGCGTGTCGAGATACTTTGCGATGGCTCGCGTTGATGGAGGCAGGGGCAATTGTGGCGCGTGCCCGGTTAGGAAAAGCTTAAGACCGGACGAACGCCAAGAATCTTGATGCACCTTTATCTCTCTCACAAATTTCGGGGCATGCGTCCGACTTCGATGCACCTTCCACGTTGTGAAGCCCTGAAACTCAGGCTCTTGGACTTCGGGCATATGTCGCGACCTGTGCCCGGACTCAGGGACACCCCGCGAGCAGCATGTTGACATAGAACGACTATCGATCCCAGCTTTGCGTATTGCCTACCTAAGTTGTGCAACATGCAATCGAAGCTACATATCATAAAGTACGGCCGGACCGAGTTCGAGGACGCGTCGGGTACGGTAATCTACTATAAGTTTCTACATTCCTTAGTCCGTGAACTGGGAAAGGGGAAGGACACTCACCTGCCTATACACACTAGCAGTTCGTTGGCGGTGATGGTAAATGACACACAGTAGCACAATTTTGAGAGACGATTCCACCAGAGCATCCAGACCTCTGCAGCGATCCTTGAAACTGCCAGCTAGAATTCTGATATGTGAGTCAAGCTCGTGCGGATTTCCGTTCGACGGCATGACATTGCCGTAATGCGGGGCGCGCAGCGTCGTACCGACCCAGTAACGAACTTCTTCAAGCTTTGGCATGTGCAATGAGAGTATGGGCTCGATGCTCGGGTGGGAGATATAAGCCGATCGAACCTCACGCAAGTAGTGTGCTGGAACTTTACGTGGATTCGCCAAAAGCCGGAAATCTGACTGCTCCCGTTCTCGCCACGAATCGGCATGATATCGATCGTAGAACTCTGCGCTCAGGTTCGCGGCAAATACGGGCAAAGCTTCGGCTCTCAACGGCTTGCATGCGAGCAGCACGCTTGGTAGGCTGGCACCCTCTTCTTGTGTGAACCACGCATTGCGTAGATGAGATTTGCCAGGGGCGCGAATGCGTTTCGGAACGTCGATCGTAAGTCGAGCTCCAACAAATAGGAAGTCGTACACCATCTTGCGGATCTCAGTAGGCAGATCGAGAAATCGGAACGGCTCTGTGTCAATCACCAGATGTGCGGAATTGACTTCGTTGGTCTGGCTGGAGACCTAGAGAAAGTCAGGATTGACATCACTGAGATGGACGCACTGTTTGCTGATTTCCACGTACCAGATTCTGTAAGGCGCCATTGCCATCGCCAGCGGTACGTATATCGAACAGTTTTTGAGTCATCGTGATGAGTGGTGTATGATGCTCGACAGAGACGGGATGAAGCATGGCAATTCTAACGCGCTGAATGAGGATCTGCTAGTAACACGCAAAAGGAAAGAGTACCTTAGCATCGGTCTCCAACGAATGCTATGATGCGGCAGGAGCTTACCTGGGTACTTGGCGTGGCTTCACTTGACCTTCGCAAGTCACAGCCATGGAATTACGAGGCAGCTGAGACTGAGATTGATACTAACCCGCCGAATACGACAACTTGACGAACACTCTAATAAGGCAAAGTGATTGCCTCGTCGACCCATCGTAGCATATTGGAGTGAGGGAGGTTCTCACGCCAGCGTCAAATCTGCTTGTCTAGGGCAGTGCGCTGCAGGGTAATTCACATCACCCTCCAGCATTGACGACCACCGCGACGTTTATTGCCCGCTCTATTCCCAGCCACAACCGACTCGGTACCACTCAATCCTCCAACCCATCATACCCCTCCCCCTTCATCAACGCCTCCACCTGCCGTCTCCTCACCCCAACATTCCCCCCATCAAACACCGGCATCACAATCACATCCTCCCACAACCCCGCCAGCCCAAACTTCCCCCGATCGTAACTACCCACCCCGACAGCATACATCGCATCCCGCACACTCTCCACCGCGGCCTCCGCGCCATACAGCTTCGAGTGGTAGCACAACTCGCTCCCCACCTTCTCGCTCTTCTCAAATGCCACTATCGCCCGCCGGGCTATAGCCCGCGTCACCTCCATCTTCGTCTTGATCCCCACCAGCAAGTCTGCGACGCTTTGCTTCTCAATCATTTTCTCACGGCTACCTCGTGTATCGCTCTTTGCCCAGTCAAGGGCGATAGAGAAAGCTTGCCGCATGATGCCAACGCTCATAGCGGCGACGATGGCCGCGGAGCCGGTGAAGGTCGCTTCGACGAGGGCAGCGCCTGTGCCGTCTGGTGGGGCGAGGAGTTGGGATTTGGGGACGCGAAGGTTGGTGAAGCGCTGGTGCGGGCCGTTGACGGCGCGGTGGCCGAGGGTGGAGGGGTGGGAGAGGATGCTGTATGCAGAGAGTGGGTTTCGGGCGATGTCGGCCCGGGTTACGAGTAGGATGGCGATTTGGGTGCGGTTGTTGTTGGTTGGGGAGGTGCCATTGGTGGTGGTGCCATTTGTCGTTGCCTTCGGGGAGGATGCCGAGGGGATGCGGCAGACGACGCATTGCAGGTCGGCGCCGCGGTCGTCCCAGCCGGAGGAGTTGGTTGCCCAGATCTGTACACGATGAGTTTGTCAGTCAATCGGCATGTCGATCTCCAGTAAGCTGCTCTTAGGTTCCTAACACGTTCGATTACCTTGAAAATGGACTTCTAGGAAGCTAAGGGACGTGGATGCATACCTTCTCGCCATTAAGCACAAAGTCCTCTCCATCCTCGACGGCCACCGTTTGCAACCCATCGCTCTCAGCGGCAGCGAAGTTCGCGCTGCCCTGTGGCTCTGAGAACACTAAGCTCGCTAGTGGCGCTCCTTCCACACCTTCACCGTCACCGCTTGCCTCCAGAAAGGGCCGCAAAAAACGCTGCACCAGCTGCATCGTCCCCTTTCCCGCCTCGCCATCTAGCTTTGCTGCGCCCGCCGCAGCGAGAATCAGCGGCGTCAGGCCAAGCCCCGTGCCGAGGATGGTCAAGCTGGCAGAAGTGTCGACCGAGTAGAGCTCCTCGGTCATCAGTGACAGGTCCAGTAGAGAGTCGCATGTCCCGCCGAGGGGAGTTGGGACCTGGGCGCGCAGGAGTCCTGCAGAGACGGCGCGGCGATAGATGGGTAGGGTGGAGGCAAAGGAGGAATGTGAGCTCTTCGGTTTTGAGTCAGTCTTGGCAGTGGTGATATCATGAATTTGATGTGCTTGTGAAACTGTCGTGGTGGTAGAGGAGTAAATCGCGCGAGCATTTGTAAGGTGTTGCTTCGCCAACGCGCGGACGCGGTCGCGAGAGGCGCGTTGAGAGGTAGTCAGTGATGACGACGGTTCGGCCATGCTGTGGTTATGGCTTCTTTCTTGATGTTGTGGGAGTAGAACCGTCGATCGAACTGGGGGCGGATCAGCGAGTAGCGATGGTCATTTTGCGAGGATACGGGAAAAGATGAAAAGCATCGGTAGGCGTCGAAGCATATCCATTGGGTTTTCGTAGCTTCATCTATATACCAAGTACGCGAGTAGCCGGCCGGTGAGCTGAGTATGGTCGCAGTAACGCACCCGCTTAGGACCACCGCCTGTGAGCTCGACGATCAGGTAATCGATGGGACCGGCATGTTGTGTTGGCCAAGCAAAGCGATTCAGGCAACCAATGGGGTAAACCTTGTTTGATTACCTCTTCTGGCTACTTTGTATCTAAACGATCAGTAGAGATTGAGGCACGGCTGGACGCGAGGTTCCACACTTGTCGTGCCGCAGGGTGACAAGCGCGGAACAGATCAGCGCTGCGCAGCTATTGGACTTTCGCTGCCAATATCCGATTAATGGATCCTGGCTGGCCAGTTTCCCTACACATGGCTCACAGGCACGGCTCGGATCTTGGCGCCCTGGCTTGCCTGGGAGGTAAATACTTCCGCGGGCGATCTAGGTATCACCGCCTGCCTGGCCGAGGCGGAGTGTCCGGAATTGCTTCTGGCTGAAGCTCATCCAGATCACCCTCGACCATCCTTATACGGTCGTGATGGTCCTCCTCATCGTCCTCGGATGTTGTTGGAGTCAAGGGCTGCTTGGCTGGCGGCACAGACTTGCGCTGTGGCAGAGCCGGCTTCCCTTCCGCTGACACAGGCTTGCGTTGTGGTAGAGCCGGCTTGTTCTCAATCGGCGGCGAGGTTGACTCGGAATACGCAGGGAGCTCTGCAGCTGGCTCCTCCTTGGGCTTGTCAAGCGACGTATCACTGAGATCGAGACCGCGAAGATCTCGCATGTTCGCAGTCATCTTCTGCTTTGTTGCATCAAATTGGCCAAGCGACGAAGCGTCGGACAATATCAGCTGTCCGTTTTCGTCTTCGTCGTCGAGCAGACCATTCCGCTTTGCTTCGTCATGAATGGCCTTCTCCTTCATCTGCTCTGCCTCCAGCTCCAGCTCCTCATCCTCGACTCTATCCAGGTCAAGATCATTGAAATGGATCTGCTTCAGTATCTTGCCCATTGCTAATCTGTACTGATTGTGGCCAGTAACGATCTCGGAGATATCTGCATTCTCGACCCCAGGCACACCGGATATCGATCGAAGGCCGGAAATATTGACTGTGGCATTGCGAGCTCGATAGAGGAACCCGAGCAGGAAGTCCTTCGATGCGTAGACGTTGACGAGTCGACCGACTACAACTGTGCGGAGGACTCTCCAGATCGACACATCGCTAGGCACAGGGGAACCGATCAGTACTGCGTTTTCAATGACGCCAAATGCCTTCTGCTCGGCCAACTCCTGGAGACACGCAGCGACAACTCGTGCGCCAAGACTGAAGCCCACCAGTGTGATCGGACGCTCTCCTTGAACTCGCGCGATGAGAGCATGCGCTAGTACCTTGCCAGCTTTGTCGCTTCGTTCCATGGCTATCGTGAAGGGGTTATCAAGCAACTTTCCAGCTTTCATGAGGGTTAGTGGAAGCATGGCCGCTGCGAGAACTGGAAGCAGAAGTCTCACTGCTCCTGCCTGGGCTACTGAGTATGCTGTGTCTTTGAGAAGTGTGTCCAGCATCTCAGTCAATCCAGTCAATGCGGACAGCTCGTAACGCAATCCGAAGGGCTCCAAAGCCGCATCAGAAAATACCTTCCACGGCTGAATCACATCGTTCTCCTCCTGCACCCAGCCACTCACGCCAATGGCCACTCGTAGCTTGTGTTCGCGCTCCTTCTCCTCTGGCTTGGGCTTTGTCGGCATAAACCGAAAGTCCTCTACCTCCCTAGCATACTCTTCCATCGCCTTGCCAGTCATTCGCCCTCCCAGGGCACCGAAGAGTGCTGCAATTGTGACTGGATTGACAATTGTAGCACCTAGCAGTGTCGCTAAGCCGCCCAGACCTATGCCACCGAGTAATGCTCCTCCAAGGCCGAGGATGACCGGGGCCGCCAGTCCGCCTGTGATTCCAATGGCAACGGCGCCAGCAACGGTGGCCAGACCTACTTTCCATTTCCGACCCTGGCGGCTTTTCTCGGCTTGGGCAAGACGAGCTTCATCTGTCTGCGCGGTATCGATCGACGAGTCTTCGGCGGTCTTCAACAGGGTGATGGCTATGCTGGCCTCAGCGCTACTAAGAACGTCAACCGGTAGCTGGAGGCATTCGCAGAGAAACATCAACAGTACTCTAGAATGAGCAGGGTAGGTTTCGAGGCTTAAGAGCATGAAAAAGACTGCAGTGACAACGAGGGCACGTTTTGAATCGTCTAGCTCCTGCATGAGTGCTGACGGAGGCGTGATGGGCTTGAAGGGGAGCCATGAGTCTCGACTTGGGGAATCAAGCATTGTGGTGTTTGTTGTTTGAGTGTTGGCCACGTAGTGGTCCTTTCGACGTTTGACATCGCCGGATTGTACTCCTAGCACCTCGCCTGACTTTCGAAGGACTCGAGTGCGCCATTCGTTCAAATATTTGACTGCGGCATCCTGCAACGCCGCTTCGGTGGCTCCCGAGCCCCACAGATCGTCGCGATTGAGGGCAGCAGTATACTGGGTCCTTCTCTGGTCTGTAGGTTTCGAGAATGGACTGTTGAGGGTATCTCTCATGGCATCTGTACAGACTGCAAGCAATACCACTAGCTCAATGCGAAGCGCTCTAGTAGGGAGGACATCGTCCAACGAAGGCTCCTTGGGCTTGGTGCTGGCGCCACCGCCGCCAAATGGCAGCTTTGACGGTATCTTCAAGGGCATACTGCTTGATGACAATCAGGCGTAAGATGCGACTGCAACCGCACTAGGAACAGATGTTGTCATAGTCATGGCTTAGAGAAGGAATTTGGTGTCATGCGCAATCAATAAATAACACCAGCGACTTGCGCGTATGAGCACTTCCCGTCTGATGTAGTCAGACAGACCACGGTATGAGATGAGTCGGTGAGACTGCGTTCGTAACTTTGAGGGGGAGAGATGCAAGTACGCGGTACGTGTTAGGCAAGAGCGGCCCCAATTACTCTTGGCGCTACTTCAGCGGACGCGTACGGTCACACTTGTTGATCTCGTCATCCTTCATCGCAAGCTATCTCTTCCATAACACGAATTCTACAGCGCTATCGGGGACCAACTACGGCTATTCGCCTCGACCTACGATTCAGTCCGGCGCCGTGGGCTCCGTGTAGTTCACCACCTGGGAATCTGTGCCGAGAAATCTGGTTGAAACCTCTTCATGTAGGTGGTGTCGTCGCGCTTGCGAAGGCCACATTCGAGGTACTGCTTGTGCAGACGTGCCAGCTTCTCCCGATCTAGCTCAATCCCAAGGCCTGGCGCTGTTGGCACGATGACACCGCCGTTCGACCACTTCAGAGCTCCTTCGATCACCACGTCCTCGTCACGCCGCTTCCACGGCCAATGCGTGTCACACGCAAAGTCGAGATTAGTGGTCGCTGAAGCCAGGTGCGTCATCGCAGCCAATGAGATGCCCAGGTGAGAATTCGAATGCATGGAAAGACCCATGCCCCATGTTGCGCATATGGCTGCAAGAGTCTGTGACTTGCGCAGCCCGCCCCAGAAATGATGATCGCTAAGAATGACCTGCACAGCGTCTTGCCGGATGCTTGATGGCAGGTGCGCGAACGCCACTACAGCCATGTTGGTGGCGAGTGGCATGGACGCCTCTGCAGCAACTGCTGCCATCCCCTCAATGTCTCCAGCTGGATCCTCTAGGTATTCCACGATACCTTCTAGCTCTCTGGCAACCCACTTTGATGTCTCAACAGACCATGCTGCATTCGGATCCAGGCGCAATGGTATGCCTGGAAAGGTCGTATGGAGTGCTCTGATGGCCTCAACCTCCTGCCTTGGCTCGAAGACGCCGCCCTTCAATTTGATGGCTCTGAAGCCATACTCATCGATGATCTTGCGAGCTTGTCGGACTATGCCAGCTGGATCAAGCGCCGCACCATACTCATCGTCCTGCTCTCCCGGATGTCCAGCCCATTTGTAACTATGTCCTTCATTAGCTTGGATCGGGACGCAAGTGTCAAGTCAAGGAATAGGTTGGAGGGTAGCATGGATCGGGAGTAGCAGACAAAGGTTTCAGAGACAAAATAGAGACCTTCAGTCTCTACTTCGTTGGCAACCCAAGTTGCGGGAGTCACTCACAAAAGATATGCTGAGTATTGCACAGAATTCCTCACGCGCCCGCCCAACAGCTCGGAGACAGGCATTCCTGCGATCTTACCCTGGATATCCAGGCAAGCCACCTCGAACGGAGAGAAGACCTTGTCCGCGACAGATGCAGTTGTCACCATCCCCGCCATACCGTCTCCGCCGCTTGTGGCATTGCTCTCCAGGCCGTCCGAGCATATGCGATAGATCTCGTTGGTGTTGTAAATCGATACACCACCGAGACGGTCTGCGACACGTTGCAAGCGTTCGATGTGTGCGGAATCTCCATATGATTCACCAAGTCCATAGGTCCCCTCTTTTGTGGTCACTTCAAGTATGCTGCGAAGAGCGAACGGTTCGTGTACGCCCACACTGTTCAGCAGTGGCATATCATGAAAGGCTACAGGGGTGATGACCACCTTCTCGATGGTGGCGGACACTGCCATTCTTTAGGACTAACCTCAACCGCCCGCGATCACGTCGTCGTCGCTTTCACGGCAATACAATCAAGGTCTATACTGTCGACCAAGCCAAGAATGCTATCGGTGCAGGTCGGTATTCTGTCCACCCTGGTGGCTGCTTTTCCAGCCGTCGGAAGAGACAAGTCCACCGTTGATTTGTCGGACGAATCGAAACGGGCGTTGTTCGGCGTGGAGCTAGGCGATAAATCACCTCCCCAACATCTCAATTCTACGCTAACTGGCCGCAAGGCGGGATCGTGGGTTATTCCAAGACACCTCCACCTCTTAGCGAGCTTAGAGCACTTCTTGGCCACATGGGAATGGCTGGCAAACTGCCTTGAGTTGATGCGTGGCTCCGCAACTAATGCCTAGCTGCCAAGCTTTTGGAGGACTTTTGACCCCACGGGGACTGGGGTTGTCCCTTGTCCTGTGCCGACGGCACGGCATATCGAGTCTCGCAAACAATATGGAAGTCTCCTCATATTTGAACGTTGTCCAGATCCCCAGACAGCGACCACTCACTCCACTGGCTGCAGGGACAACCATTCGACCGGACATCCTGCCCATTGTCAACTGCGTATTCCCTTACAAGCTGCAAAGATAATCACCAAGCCAGGCATTGTGACTGCCAACCGCCAATCAGATCCAGACCTATCATCATGGCTTCACGCAGGAGCTCACGCGATGTGGACGAGGTACACGACGAGAAGCAGATGGCTATCTCGCACGTGGAAGGAGGCGGTCAGGTCATCGAGATCGAAACTTTTCGAGTCCTGGGACTGAGTCAAGAGGACGCCGACTTCTACACCAGCTTTCCTCCTGAGAAGCGGAAGAGGGTCTTTCACAAGGTACGCTGCCAGTCTCAACGATAATTGACTGTTCATGCTGACACTGATAGGTCGATATTCGCCTTGTACCTATGCTGGCTTGTCTGTGCGTGATCAATCCTGGACCATTGATGCCCTCAATGTCAGACAAAGGTTAACATTGATGCAGGTATCTGATCTGCCACATCGACCGCGCGAACATCGGCAACGCGAAGATCGAGGGCATGGTCAAGGATCTCGGCATGACCAATGTCCAGTACAATATTGTCCTGTCGATCTTCTTCGTACCATATGTCTTGTAAGTCTATCCGCTTTTCGTGAGCCTGAACCATCAGTCAATCAGGGGGGTAGTCTCGACTCGACACCTGAGATACTTGTTCTGGATGATGTCTCGGATCATCTTATAGCCTTGATCGAGGCGCTGCCATCTTTAAAGCTCTCCTGGCGGCGAGTTCACGATTGTCGGGCCTCAAGCCATCTGCTCTTCCACTACCTCTTGCCAAATGCCGAATTCCTGGTTCAGGCTGACCAATATCGGCAGGTTCGAGATCCCGTCGAACATGGTTCTGAAAAGGTTCAAGCGTCCATCTTACTACATAGGAATGCTTTGCGTGTCGTGGGGCACTGTGAGTCCGACTGCTCGAACTGGGGCCATCCTTAGCTAACGAGCTCCCAGGTTATGACCCTCACCGGTGTCGTCCAGAACTTTGCAGGTCTCATGGCCGTTCGCGTCCTTCTGGGCATTTTCGAAGCCGGCTTCTTTCCCGGTGCAATCTACCTGACGAGCTATTGGTACATGCCCAAGGACCTCTCATCACGCATCTCTTATTTCTACTGCGCTTCGGCGTTATCTGGTGCCTTTTCTGGCCTGCTAGCAGCTGGCATTGCCAAGATGGACGGAGTGGCGGGCTACGAGGGTTGGCGCTGGATCGTATGTATTACAACCCCTGGATCGGGCGAGACATCAACTTCCCGCTTCAGGCCCCACCCGATGCATGTTCTGTCTAACAGGCGAGATAGTTCCTACTGGAGGGCATCGCTACCGTTGTCATCGGTGTCATGTGCTTCTTCCTGCTCGTCGACACGCCTGCTCTCTCCACTCGTTGGCTCGAGCCCGAGGAGATTCGCTATCTGGAGCTGTCCATGTTCATCAAGCAAGGCGGTGGCTTCAGCGATGAGAAGTCGAGCAAGCGACGCGATCTGAAGAAAGTGCTCCTGAACTGGCGAGTCTACATCCAGGCCTACTTCTTGGTCTGTCAGTCTGCGCTGTCTTACGGAATGAAATTCACACTCCCGACCATCACCAAAGCAATGGGCTTTACCAATACGGTCGCTCAATTGACCTCGGCACCACCTTACGTCGCGGCAGCGCTTTCTGCTATCTTCTTTGCGAAGATTTCGGACAGGTTCTACTGGCGCATGCCCTTTGTCGTTGCACCAATGTCCCTAGTTGTGATCGCCTTCAGCGTTCTCTTTTCTCTCAACGGTGCGCTGGACACCAAGAAAGGCGTCGCCTATTTATGCATTGTTCTGGGCATGATGGGCATCTTCCCTATCCAAGCCGCAGCTGCTAGCGTAAGTCTCAATCAGCGCACGTGCTGCAACCATACTGACATTGATCACAGTGGAATGCAAACAACATCGCTCCGGCTTCTCGGAGGAACATTGGCATCGCCCTGATGAACGCTACTGGAAACATTGGCGGGTAAGTCTTCTCGCCAGCGATCAAACCCCAAACATACTAACGCGGGTATAGCATTGTGGGTTCGTTCATGTATCTAGAAAACGAAAAGCCGAAGTACCCTACCGGCTTCGGTCTCTCGCTCGCGTTCGGTGCCTCAGGCATAGTTGTTGCTCTGCTTCTGGAGTGGAGCTACAAGTATGCGAATAAGCAGAAGGCGAAGATCGTCGAGGATGCGAAGACCAAGTACACGGAAGAAGAATTGTTCGATATGGGCGATAAGTCTCCGCTATTCAAGCACGTACTGTGATGTGATGCAAATGTGTCCTGAGTCGGGTCGAAGTCTTCGAAGTGGTCACGGATCCAAAACGCTCAGAAGTCATCAAGCTGGAATGATGCGACAGCGAGGCAGTTTGGAGAAAGCATTCATGTCTAGAGCAGATATCTCGACAGATTCACAGCTTCGGTCCTAATCAGTCCTGTCTCCGTTTGTGCTCAAACATCTTCGAATATAAGTCTCAGCGCCGAGGCCATGCTTGATTCCAAATCGTGTTCAGCTATCATTATCGCCACAGGTATTCTCAGATCAACGAGCTCGCTTGAATCGGCCGCTCTACCGAATGGTCATAGAGCTACCGAGGGCTGCCTAGGCGTACAGTAAGGTATGAGGCGATGTCTAGATTGTGGTCCACTCACGCACGTCATCCGGTCTGGGTTGGTGCAGCTTTTGTCAACCGGACTGAGAAGCGGCCCGATGGCCAATCAGCTTTGCCCGATCAGCCGGATCTAATACTCACTCCTCTACGACAATTCCTTCACTCCCCTATTGGGCTGCGCATCGCACATATCTCGCTATACCTCTCTTTGCACTTGCCTCTCTTTGCACTTATTGTGCGAGTCCTATCGCGTGAAAGAAGCCTTGGGCTAACCTGCGGTGCACCTTCATCGATCATCATTTCGAATGACTAAAAGTGGATCAGCGGCGCGTAAAGCAAAACCTTTACGCCGTAGGGCGTGCTGCTTCATATCTCCTCTGAAATGAGCTTCCGCGAACATGTCAGAACCGATCAATTTCATCGATCACACTCATTTCGGGAAAAGCAGTCACGATGTCGACTACAGTTCAGACGACGCACGACAGCATTGAGCTTCGTTCCCTTAGCTTAGCAGGAACCTCGCAGGAGATCGGCAAGGCGAATTCTTTTCCGGAACCGCAAGCAAAGTACAACAAAGCTTCCGGAAGTCCCTCAACAGAGGATGCCGTTTATGCTGGAGTTCGACCTTCTGCGCTGCGCGTCACTCTGACAATACTGCAACCTTCCTTCGTCAACTTTCTCACCTCCTTCACGAATGGTTTGATTACAGTCGGGTTGCCTGCCATCGCCCGGGACATTCACTTGGCACGGACGCTATACTTATGGCCCTCTTCTGTTTACGGTTTGACTTCGGGCTCAATCCTGCTGCTTGCTGGAGCTGTGGCAGATTTGATTGGAGCAAAGAAGGTTGAGCTTGTGGGATGCGTGCTAGTCGGTATTTTCACGCTGGCATGCGGATTCGCCCAGACTGGAATCCAATTGGTTCTATTCCGAGCGATACAAGGCATAGCTGTGCTATGCACTTACCTTCATCAGTGTCGATTGTGGCGAGCGCAGTCCCAAGTGGACGACCTCGAAACATTGGGTATGCCTGCCTTGGTGCAAGCCAGGTGCTCGGGTTCTCGACCGGCCTGGTGGCCAGTGGCGTCATGGTTGACCGCATCGGATGGCGCCCAGGCTTTTACATTTCCGGAGGGGCTCTCCTTGCTACCGCTTTCGCGGCTTTCCGTGGCCTCCCGAGCGTCGCGCCGAGCGTTGGCGAAGACGACACACGGTCAGTGTGGCGGAAGCTTTACGACGAGGTGGACTGGGTTGGTGGCGTCATGGCCAGTGCTGGTCTGGCACTCCTCTCATACGTCCTGGCTGCTTTGAGCGCAGACCTCAACTCCATCAAGAGCCCGCTAAACGCTACTTTGCTGCCCTTGAGCGTCGTTCTGATGGCAGCATTCCCACTTTGGATGAATTATCGGCAGAAGCATGGCAAGCCAGCTCTTGTTCCGAACTCGCTGTGGCGCAACACCACTTTTGCGAGCACATGTCTCATGGTTCTGCTATCTTACGGAGTCATGAACTCCATGGAGCTGTTCTCCAGCCTGTACTACCAGGAGATTCAGGACGCAAGCGCCCTGACAAGCTCCCTGCAGTTTCTTCCCAGCATGACCGTTGGCTGCGTACTCAACTTGACAGTCGGCATCTTCATCCACAAAGTCCCAGCTCGATGGCTTGTGACAGTATCCTCGGTTCTTTGCGCGGGCGCTCCCCTGCTCATGGCCTTAGTGAATCCTGCCTGGAGTTACTGGTACCTGGAGTTCTGGGCCCAAGTGCTAGCTCCGATGAGCGCCGATATCCTGTTCACCGTCGGCCTCATCATCATTTCAGATGTCTTCCCGGAGAAGACTCAAGGTCTGGCTGGCGGCGTCTTCAATACGACAGCGCAATTCGGTTTCTCACTAGGTACTGGAATCTGTCAGCTTGTGGCGCTTGGAGTAGCTGGCAATTCCTCAGGCGGTGGCGGTCACGGCAGTAATGAAAGCTCGGATGTCGATCCGAAAGCATTGCTTGAAGGCTACCGAGCGAGCTTTTGGACCATGTTCGCCTTCATGTTAGCTTGTGCACTACTTGCCGTGTTTGGACTCCGGAAAGCTGGCACTGTTGGCCTGAAGCGGGACTAAGCCAGGAAGCAGCTTTTAGCCGTCGCTTCGAGCCAGTGATCACAGAGCGTCTGGATGCCAAGCCCGAGATACCTATTCCGTCGTCCATCGATGCATGAAAGCAACTCCCAGGCGAAGGACGAATTCAGGTCGGCTGTCAGCCTGGAATCCTTAGATCAGACCATAGCCGAGCGTTAGCACGTGAACCGACGCACCCATTCAGGAGACGAGGCGTCGGACGAGACGCCGACCCAGCCCGTGGCCGGCGAGCAGAGCAGATGGGGCTTAGAGATCGGTACGGAAGCCGTGTGGGAAGCGACCGTATTTGAGGTCGAGATCTTAAGCCACCTCCAGGGCTGCAGGCAGAAGGCGAGAATTGACCTACGATTCCGTGAGACCAACGGCTTATTCGCAGGCGTTTTGGCAGCTTCGCTTGCATGACTGCGCGATGGCTGTCCTTGGCAGTTTTACTACTGGTCAGCCAAGAAAGAAATCGAGGATTGCGCAGAGCAAAGTCGTCATTACATCTGAATTTGTGCCAGCTGGCTTGGCGGCCATCTACGTGCTTCAGCAACGCAACCCAGTGCATGCGTTCAATTCATTTACAAAAGCCATACGAGACATGCCTGGGATGTACCGTATGGTCCGAGTCCTCTTGGAGGCTCCCCAAATATCAGTCAACACATCGGTAGCTTCGTACGGAGCATCCCCGGACCGTTCGAAAGATTGACTTTCTGGTCAGACAAAAGGCTGGGCGGAATGCTTGTTCCCCCGCTAGACGCTTCCTCCCCGGTCCAACTCCTCGAATCTGGTTTTGCGGAGGTGCCGGTGGCTTATGTCACCAGGGGGCCTCCGCGCACTACCTACGGCAATGGATCATCGCCGGTACAAGAAGTCGATCTTTCCCACGATCTCGCTCTCATTCTCCTCGTCAACTTTTGCTTTCGACACTAGCCATCCACAATGGCGACCAAAGAGAACGTCGAGCCTCATGTGTTCCAGGACAAGGAAATCCTTGGAGATAAGGCCAATCTGTCTCATGAGGAAGCAATGCATTTCGGCGTGTTGACGCCTGAAGAGCTCGAAACTGAGAAGCACCTCAAAAGAAAAATCGACAGCTTGATCATGCCGATGGTCGTTCTTGTATACCTCGTATGTTAGCCCCAGCTCGATTCCACCTCACCTTGACTCATCACAATTACCCAGATGAACTACATCGACCGCAACAACTACGCTGCCGCCAAACTACAAGGTCTCGAGGACGATCTCAACCTCACGCCTGCTCAGTACCAGCTTGGCCTCTCCATTCTCTTCGTCGGCTACATCCTAGGACAGGTGCCGTCCAACCTACTGCTCAACCACACGGGCCGACCGTCGCTCTATCTGGCGTTCTTCACCTGCGCTTGGGGCACAGTATCTGCTTTGACTTGCCTGTGCAAGAATTTCGCTGGCATCGTCGCCTGCAGATTTCTGCTCGGCATCGTTGAGGCGCCTTTTTTTCCTGGAGTCCTCTTCTACCTCTCGAAATGGTATACCAAGAAGGAACTAAACCTCAGGATGAGCATCTTCTACAGCGGCAGCTTGATCTCCGGAGCCTTTGGCAACCTCATCGCAGCGGGCATCCTCAACGGCCTAGGCGGCAAGCGCGGACTCAGCCCCTGGCAATGGCTTTACATCATTGAAGGCGCCATCACCGTGTGCATCGGGATTGCAGTAGCCTTCGTCCTACCCGACTTCCCGCACACCTGGAACCGTCTGACTCCAGAGATGAAGCACGTCGCAAATCGCCGTCTCGCCATTGAAGCAGCTGAAGCCGACGTGGACGACGCGGGCGGCATGTCCCAGATCAAAGGCTTGAAGCTCGCGTTCCAAGACGTGACGACCTATATCCTCGCCATCGCCTACCTCGCTACCGTCGGAGCCGCCGGGTTTCAGAATTTCTTTCCTACTCTGACTGCTACGCTGGGCTACTCCCGAACGATCAGTCTCCTGCTTTGTGCGCCGCCATATATCTTCATCACATTCTGGGCACTCGCGCACAGCGTGTACAGCGACAAACTTAGCAATCGGTTCTGGTTCTTCATGTATCCCATCCCCATCACGATCATTGGCTTTGTCATCTTTATGGCCTCTGATAATTTCGGGGCAAAGTACTTTAGCTTGTTCTTGATGTGTTTTATCTTCAGCATGAAGTGAGTTCAGCGAAGCCCTCCCGGCGCGACTTTGTGAGATTTAGTGGCTGATATCGATTTAACAGTGGCACGACATACGCCTGGATCGCCGGCGCGATCCCACGCCCCCCAGCAAAACGAGCTGCTGGTAAGTCCCTCGCCACCACCTTCTGCTCCGTCCCCTCTCCACCTCTTAGTCCGAACACTACTGATCCCCCACTCCCAGCATTCGCATTCATAAACTCCATGGGCAACTCCTCCTCAATCTGGACCCCCTTCACCTACCGCCCCCAAGACCGTCCGCACTACCGGCCCGCCCTCGGCATCAACATCGCCCTCCAACTCATCGCGGGCGTCTGCGGACTGTGGCTGCGCTGGGTTCTCACGAAGCGGAATAAGAGATTGGAGAGGCTGGAGAACGAGGATGTGGAACTCAGTGAAAAGGATCTGGCGCGGTTGAGGAAGACGGCGGAGGTGGAGGGGATTGATCTTGCGGCGGCGAGGAGGTTGCAGAAGGGCTATCGGTATATGATTTAAGTGGCAGTGAGAGAAGGGAGGGGCAATGCATGGGGGAATGATGCGCTTGGGGGCCGCTGTGGGGTCGTGGAAGGTGCGTCTGCTGGTGCAGTGCACAACGCTGGGTTACTGGCTCATCGCCGCTGCTAGTAAGGCCGCTGAAGGTCAGGAATTCGGTTGCTAGTCAGCTGCCAGGCTTGAGATGAGCGTCACTTGAGCGTCACTCCGTAGAAGCAGAAGCATCATGAAAATAGGACCAGGGAGGCCGCTGTGTGGATTTGGGATGTGCTATCTACCTTCCGCAAATTCCGTCATTTCGTCACTGTTCCGCCAGAAATGGCATCGACACGTGTTCCCGACTCCAGAACGCCTCGCTTAAGACCAGAAGAGCTTTCGGGCCGGTTTCACAGACCACAGGTCCAGACTAGACTAAGAAAAATCGTAAGTGGAATCAACAGAGCCAGGCCAGGGACCATACCAGTAGGTGGAGGGGCGCCATCGTGGAGAGGTCGAGCAGCCTCAGTCTCAGAAGGATTAGCAGGAGGTGGAGCTGTCAGGTTGCCTGGCGCGCCTCTGATGACAACGTTTGGCAATGTCATCGGCGGCGCAGTCTCGTTGACCAGCAAGGCCCGCATGACTTCCATGGCAGAAAGCTGTTGACCGAGACCGGTACTACCGTCAAAGACACCAGTATACCAATGGAAGCCACAGGTTCGGTTGTCAGGACCACCAGTGCAAGCCAGAGCAGCGCCGGCGGCAGATGCTCGAAGTAAAGCGCCAATACGGCCCGCGGTGTTTGTAGCCATCATGGAAGTCCCTGCGAGCCAGCGAGCCATGTAAGCCTTCTTGGAGAGCTGATCGACGTTGCAGTTGTGATTGATTTCACAAGCTGCTTCGAACATGATGTTGGTGGCGTTCTTGAAAGGTGAGAAGAAGGTCGTGGTGGCCTCCAGCAGTCCGTTGGTGCGGATGAACCAGATGTTGTCAACGTCGCTAGCGTTGGTATAGTTCTGCATGACACTGGACCCGTAGAGGAAGACTCCGACGTTGTAGGACCATTGATGATGGTCAACGCCGGTGCACTGCGCTATGTCAGCAAGCCATGACGAGTGGGTCTTGCACTTACGTTGATTAGTTCATCTGTTCCATCGTAGACGTTGTAGATGTCGTCGATCAGACCTACGCCACTGACCCAGTCCCAAATCTTGTTGGCCCAATCAGCGTAGGTCTGATTGCCGGTGTAGCGCGCAAGGCGAGCAGAAATCTGAAAGAAGCCTCCGTTGGCAATCGATTGTCTGAGCGATGTCAGCGCAAGCCGATTAGGGGACAGTGGACTTACTTGTAGTAGTAGCCAGCATTCTCGGGATGGAACTGCCACTTCAAGCCTCCGTTGCAGTTTGTGGTGTTCCATCGATCGACGTACAATTGCCAAGCATTCTTAACGGTCTCGATCCATGGTGGAAAGGGCGAAGGTGGTTCAGGGAATCCGTACTCGGCAGCTGAAAGAGCGGCGAACACCCAGAAAGCCTGATCGTCGTTGCCTTCGTTGAAAGCCTCTTGAGGGACGACGAAGTCGGCCTGTGGTCCAAGTTGTGACACAAGAGCCTCCCACGTGACGTTCAGATAAGTCGCGTCGCCTGTGTAGTGCCAGTATTCTGCGATTATCAGTCAATAGTCGAGACGCGTTCGATGCTGCCTCACCGACCATGCCACCCCAGGCAGCGCCACTCTCCCACCAGTAGTACGGCGGATAGGGCCATTTGCCAACGACTCCATCGGGACTGTTGCCATTGTAGAGCGCTTGAAGACCAGCCGCAGCAGCCGAGGCCGCGTCAAGGATAGATTGTGATTCATCGGTGTTGAGGACGATAGCGGATGTGTTGAAGAAGAACATGCACACGATGGTGCAAAACTCGAGGATACGCATAATGCCGTTCGTGGTAACAGCCAATTAGTAGAATCGAAAAGGGTTGAGGCGGCCCTCGTAGGAATTGAATATCATCAAGTACGCATCGAAAGGACTTGGAAGGTGCGAAGACAAGAAGGCACAGCCTGAAGAATCAAACACTTGTTGCTCGCGGTGATAAAGTGACTGCCATGTCCATTTCTTAGTGCAGCGGACGTGACGGGTGAAGAATACGTTCAGTCTGTCACCTTTTCATCAACCCCACGCAAAACTTATCTCTCACCTTGACAAGTGCCATCAAGGCCCAGGACACTAGAAACTCGTGCTGATGACCATTGGCATTGATTGAGCAGAGGAAAAATTGGCACTGTGGTGTAATTGCAGGAGAAACACGGAAAGATGCATGCTGACGCCATTCATTCTGAAGATCGATGTCAAATGCCTACGGTACACTATATGTGCCCATTGTGAGGCTTTCCTGATGCTTCCAGGCTCACAATGGCTGCCGTAGCACATCTTGCAGGCTCACTCAGCCACAGCCAAGCAGGGCATACAGTGACTACTAAGCAGTATAAATGGTCTCATTCTCCGACTGCAAACAGCCTAGCAGACGACGGAAGCACAGCCGATGTCTTGACACTTGTCTGAGGCTGACCACGCCATGGTTGATTCGCTTCAGCAACATCGATGTCCTGCCTGCTCCCTAGGCTGCAAGCATGAGCGAGTCCATCACTTTCAGCGAGGGCGACCTCAAGACGCCACCAGAGCTTCGGCTTTTGCACTACAATGATGTATGTTGTCGAATCTAGCGTGAGTGATGGTTCTAACTTGCTAGGTGTATCACGTGGAGGCTGGTTCTGCTGAGCCTGTTGGTGGCATAGCGCGCTTTCAGACAGTTTGCAAGCAGTATCGGGACGATGCCGCCTTCTCTGGACAGCCTGGATTGTTGACGTTATTCTCTGGAGATGCGTTCAACCCTAGCTTGGAAAGCTCTGTCACGAAAGGATCACATATGGTTCCCGTTCTGAACAAGCTTAGCACGGACGTCGCATGCGTTGGGAACCATGACCTCGATTTTGGAGTCCGACAATTTCGAAATCTGGCGAAACAATGCACCTTCCCCTGGCTGTTGGCAACGTGCTGGATCCAGCTTTGGGAGAGGATGTCCCTTTAGCCAACTGCCCGAAGACACTTATCTTGAACGCATCGAACGGCATCAAAGTAGGAGTCATCGGACTCGTCGAGCGGGAATGGCTGGCCACGATTAACGCTTTACCACCAAACCTCATCTACAAGTCCGCCTCTGCAACAGCAATAGAGCTAGTACCTCAATTACGGAAGCAAGGTGCGGAGATCATCATCGCCGTCACCCACCAACGAGAACCCAACGACAACAAGCTCGCCGAAAAGACCCCAGCCGGCCTCATAGACCTGATCCTGGGAGGTCACGACCACTTCTACGCACACAAAACCCTAAACGGTACCCACGTCCTCCGCTCGGGCACAGACTTCCGCCAACTCAGCTACATCGAAGCCCGAAAGAAAGGCGACGGCTCTTCGAAATGGCACTTCCACATCGTTCGCCGCGACATCACTAAAGACGTAGATCCCGACCCCGAGATGACCGAATTATCGAACAAGCTCTCCTCCGCCCTCGCTACCAAACTCGACAAACCCCTCGGCTACACCGCCGCACCCCTCGATGCACGATTCACGACCGTTCGACTCAAAGAGTCCAACTACGGCAACTTTGTCTGCGACCTCATGCGCCACCACTACGGTGGCGACTGCACACTCATGGCCGCCGGCACCATCCGCGGCGACCAGATATACCCGCCCGGCGTCCTCCGCGTTAAAGACATCATGACCTGCTTCCCTTTCGAAGACCCTTGCATCGTCATCAAGGTCACCGGCGCAGCCTGTGGTCCGCACTCGAGAACTCCGTGTCGCAGTACCCGGCGCTCGAAGGGCGATTCCCGCAGGTCTCGAACATCGCTTTCGAATTCGATCCGAACAAACCCTCTGGGAAGCGTATTTTGTGGGCTAACGTCGGCGACGCACCCATCGACCACCATCAAAAGTACACTCTCGTCACACGCGGCTACATGGGCCGCGGCAAAGACGGCTTCGGCAGCCTCCTCGTGCAGTCCGAAGGTGGCGAAGCCGAAGAAATCGTGCACGAAGAGAACGGTATCCTCATCAGCATGCTGATGCGCCAGTACTTCATGTCCCTGAAGATCTTGGGCCAGTGGAAACACTGGTCGAAGAGCTTGAATCGGCATTGGAATGGCGTGCACAAGGATCTGCATGAGAGCCATCCGGTGCTAGAGCCGAAAGAGGGTGGAAGGACGGAACGGATAAAGGCATTTCCTTTGGCGCAGCGGCGGAAGAAGGTACCGTCCAGGTCACACAAACGCACACACAGCGAAGCCAACAACGCTGAACGCACAGCGAATGTGGAGCACACGCTAGACGACAGCGAAAGCGAAGACTCGGAAGTCGACCACCCAGAAGCGCTGAGCGAGGACATCAAGCTCAATGAATATGAGCTGAAGCTGGTACGAAAGGTCGTGCGGAAGTGGTGGCGCCTAGCCGGCCTTGACCCTACACGACACCCAGCGTGTGTTGATTCGAAGGGTGAGGAGGAGCTGAAGGTCGACTGGACAAAAGCAATCGCACCGCGGCTGGAAGGACGTATCAAGATCGTGGGACAGGAGGCTGTTGTGAAAAGCTGAAGACACGGCACGCCGTCCAATGAAAACTGCTCGTATGCAAAAGTTTGAGGTCACCACAGACACGATTCGTCTGCCAGTGTGGGCATGCTTAGCATCGTAGATGAACATATTCGTCTTGACCGAAGCGTGATTTGCCACTTGTCCACTACTGCGCTGCCGAACGATCTACTCGACACCAGAATGCTTGTCCAGCAAGCCTTTCGAGCATGGTTGTAAGTGAACAAACAACCGTGGAGAAGATACGCGGCAGCCGTGGTTGCTTGTGGCAGGTGTTGCAGGTTACTCAGGGGCCACGGACTCGCGTCATCCGGCGTGCCAAGATATGTCAGCCGGCGTCATATACGCCCCGAGTCAATCGGAAGAGGCCTTTGCCCAACTGGCTCGTGGCATGCAAGGATCGACAAACGCAACATGAAGCAAGGCATAAAGAAAAGTCCAGTACAGAGATTGTTGCATTTGCATTATATCCATTCAAACACATGCTTTGTTCCTTTACACTAGACCTCCCCCTGCACAGTGCCCCTCGACGACACAGAATTCCCACCGAGCCTTCTGTCTCACCCTCGCGAAGCATGTTACGCGCCCTTTGCGCGAGAGAAGCCAGACTTGTAGCCGACGGTCACTTGCATCGTTATATGAACCCCGAAGTAACACATCCACACAACTCAAGAAAGGAAATGCTCCACTTCTAAACTCTCGTGCTTAAGAGCTATAGCTAGCAGCACAGGCACCAGAGCACGAAGTCTTATACGAGATCTGCGCATAGCCATCACCGGTGACCGGTCCAAGACCGGAGACCTGGTAGCACTTGTGGTAGTCCTTGTCGCCGGCCTTGTCGACCCTGTTCATTTCATCAGTATCCATTTCAAACATTCCAGACAGAAGTTAAAACTTACCACAGAGTAGTCTCACACAGAGCATTCTCGTTGCACTGGGCATTGCAGGCATCAAGCGTATCGACCAGCTCATTCGCATCCTTTTGCCAGAACTTGGAGCCCGCGCCGGGCGAAGCACGGACGGCGCAGTTGATCTGGAAGCTGCAGCCGCACGAGCCGCTGGTCAGGATGGTCTTGCCACTATCATTGGGGCAGACTGCGGCAGTGGGGGCGGGCTTGGAGCTGGTGGTGGTGGAGGCAGACGAGTAGGAGGTGGTCCAGCCCTTGGTGGAGGTGGCGGTGGAGGTCGTGGTTGGGGCGCCGGTGTAGTCGGACCAGGTGTAGGCGGCGGAGGTGGTGGTTGTGGATGTGGTGGCTGGCTTCACGGGCTTGGTGGTGGAGGAGCTCGTGTAGTCGGCCCAGGTCGGGTCTGTTGGAGCGCGTTAGTGAGAGGATTTCGAGGCTGGGGGCAATGGGCGGGAGGTGCAGAGAATGAGCTCAGGAAAGCTCTGATCTAATATAGACTCGGATAGAGGCTGTATTGATGCAGCAGGAACTCAAATCCGTTCTTCTGTAAAAGAGCTTGCTCTGCCTGAACGACGACCGCTCGCAAAAATAGACTTACCATAGGTAGTGGTGGTGGTGGCTGGCTTGACCGGCTTCGTGGTCGAGCTGGTGTAGTCGGCCCAAGTGTAGGCAGCGGAGGTCGAAGTAGTGGTGGCGCCAGCGACAGGCACCCAGATGTACTTGGACGCAGTCTTGGTCACAGTGACAACGCTGCAGACATCGGCATCAACCCAGGTCGAGGCAGGATCGACTGGAGCATCGGACCAGACGTAGGTAGAGCTGGCAGCAACTGGCTTGGTCGTGGTGGTAGACGCCTTGACGGGCTTGGTGGTCGTGGTGGTCTTGGCGGTGTAGTCGCCCTGCGCAACTTGTTAGCTTTTTCATCTTACGCATAGACTCGCTGAATCATACCCAGGTAGCAGTGGTGGTGGTAGTAGTGGTCTTGTCCTTCACTGGCTTGGTGGTCGAGCTGCTGGAGGACTTGGTGTAGTCAGCCCAGGTGTAGCCGGTCGTGGTGGTGGTGGTCGTCTTCTTGGTGGGATCGACGGGGTAGTCGGACCAGGAGTAGGCAGTGGTCGTGGTGGTTGTCGTTGTCTTCTTGGTGGGATCGACGGGGAAGTCAGACCACGAGTAGGCGGTGGTCGTGGTAGTGGTGGTGGTCTTGGAGGTAGGATCGACTGGGTAGTCGGACCACGACGCCGTGGTAGCAGTGGTGGTCGTGGTGGTCTTGCCAGCAACTGGGTCGTCCTCCCAGTTGGCACGAGCCACAGCCGCGAAGGCAGCAACAGCGATGACGGACTTCATATTAATGGATTTGATGGTTATTGAAAGAGTGGCTAGAGTCAATGACTCTGGTTGTTTTGGTTGCTAAAGAGCGGAACGACACGAAGGTGTCTGAATTTGCTATCGGGACAGTGGTCGAGAGGAGAGGAAGAAGAGAAACACGAAGAAGTCGTGATATAACATGGCTACCCACACTTTGGTGGCCGATGGCCAGAACGAGGCATACTCGCACATCCACTCCCGCCATTCAAGAAGTGTCTTACCGTACCATGACAACTCTGTCCTGTGGATGTACGCCTGTGGTGGAGGTCAACAGAGTGTCAGTATAGCCACCCAGCAACGGAAACTTGCTCCTTCAGACGTAAAGCGTGAGGTCAAAACCGACACTAGGTACGGTATTGGCGGCATCTCGAAATTGCACAGCGAAACATGGCCGCAACTCTAGCAAGCGGCGTATTCCTTTTTGACGCCGGTTGGTGCGGGTGATTGCCTCATCGCAATTTCTGCATGGTGGAACATGTGCCGTCGAACGTGGCGTGACGATTCCAAGGCAGTCAATTCTTTGTCTGACGGTAGGAACCGAAGACCGACAGCGCGGATCGAGGTTCGTCACGTAGCAGCAGGGAGTTGTCAAAGTTGGGTTTCTGTGCATCGAGAAGCGAAGAAGCCAACCTGAAGGAGTCGAATGAAGAAGGAGCATCCCTGCGATGTGGTTATTTATGTTTGCGCTAGCCTCTTTTCGTGTCTTTAGTGGATCTAGTGAGCAGAGGTAATTTCAACCCCTGAACCAAAATCGACCGCATCCCTCACCTCATGCTCAACGGCCGCCTTGCTTCGCCGAAAAGACGACGGTCCCAGTGCGCAATCGAGGACCTGCAGTATGGCAAAAGCTGGCCAAGGGGAGGGTTCGCTGCGCAAGCCGGACGATCTTAAGCATGGGGCAGGCTCTATGGTTTCAAGTCATCGTCAACCTTGGGCGACTGCCTGCTTCCTGCCTCGGGTTGAGCCACAGTTTCTCATCACGATCGCTCCTGAGGTCTGCTAATGGATCTGTAGGATTTGACGGAGTATAGCAAATCAGAACTCGATTACCGCCACGCACACCGTCGCTGAAATATTGCTTTGGGGCGGAATAGCCAAGATAATTTCCCCATAGTACAAGCGCAATCTTATCGAGCAACCTTGTAACACGGTCTCTTGTTCGGGACAAGCTCATCGCCGAGGGTACGGCAAAGGTAACGTTTTCTCTGAGCACGACCTTCCAAGTGCAGAAGATTGGACGATCACAGTATACATACTACCGTTCCAATGCGCCATGAGGATGTGGTAGACTGGCCATGGACAAGTCGTGTACACAGTAAGTCTTTGTTACGGAAACATATTTGCAAGACCTGATGATCGTGCTTTCATTGCATTGGTGAGTCGGCCACTGGTCTCGAGCTTCCGTGCGCAACAACGCCCACTTTTGATGCGGCCCGACAATTCGGCTTCATATCGGACCAGCTGCCGCGCTGACTATAGGTGCTCATGCGAATACAAAGGGACCCAGTTGGCCCGCTACACATCGTCGAGCATTGTCACTGCTCTTGCCGCATGCGTGGGAATTCCGAGCCGGTTGATTGATCAACTTCAATGCTCGTTCCTGGATCGGATTGCTTCGGATCGGACCATGCCTTGACCAGAGGCCCTCGATTGCTTAATGGTAGCTTGAGCGGTTGAATCTGTCTGGCGTTGGAAGCTGGCAATTTAGATGTGGCAGGTTCTCTGTTCAAGTACGGTAACGAAGAAGAAATGGCATGAACTACTTCTTATCTGAATTTGGCATTCATCTGACCTAAGCAGGTAAGTATCATCGCGGCCTCGCACATGCACAGCTACTCCATCGAACGCCGGCGACGCCGTCCGTCGTTGTCGTCTTTCTTGCTTACTGCTCCTGCCTGTTGCTTAGGTCGAGTGCAGCGTACGCCGTGGTCGCTCTCATTCTCTGTTGACCAGCACTTTGTCTTCCTCTACAACAGCAACGGGCAAGCCGCCCGGATGCCGCACCCGCGGCCAACCACGATACAGTCCTTCCTTAATCCACTCCACGCTCTTCTCACTGCTCCAGTGGCTGTGTCGCTGGATCCCAATGCCCTCAGCAGCAGACTCACCCATGCCGCCGATCAGATTTAGTGAGTCGTGGTCAAGCGTGCCTATTGCAATATCGAACACCTCTTCATCGTCGTCATCGTAAGTGTCTCTGTACCGCTCGGCATCATTGCCACGAGCCTTGGCAGGATTCGGCGGTCGGTAGAAGAAAGAAAGCCCCGTCCCACACTTCCCACAGAACGTCCGATGACTTGCTCCATCGCTGCTGTAGTGCATCGCGTAAGTGCTCTCCATCCATTTACGCAGCCCCAAGAGGACGTCCCTTGTTCTTAATTCGACCATCGACGTCTCGAGATCGGAGAGGGATTTACCCCAAGGTATGCCGTGTGTCCAGCGACGCACGAGCATGAATGTGGCCCAGGATAATGGCACGACCATCCAGCACTGCGCAAGACTGCCGCAGGCTCGTCGACAGTCGCCGCAGTGGTCCAGCTCGATGATTGGGTACGTCGTCGGAAGTGTTCTGGTCTGATCTCGGCCTAGCTGTGAGTCTCGCGTATCGATTGTGTCTCCTCCCCCACTTGAGCCGGTGTAGCGGCATGGTAGTGACGGAGTTGGGAGCGCGTCCGGAACCAGTGGTCTGGAGGCGGCTTCTGGTGTCCGGATTTCGTATCGGATCGCGGAGCAGAGGCAGCCGCCTGTGAGCGTTGTTGCGGCGGGTGGGAAAAGACTGGTGGCTTCTGTGGCAGTCATTGTGGTTCACAGCTGAGAGTGTTCATAAGCATGTTGCTAGTAGTTGGGGGTAGCCCAGCGAAAGGAAGGCAAGAGTGTGTACCTGTATTGGAAGTAGGAATGTCGAGGTAGTACTAAGTACCTACCAGCGGAGCGGAGAACTTCTTGGCAAGTTCAAGTTTCGTGCTTGGCAGGGTCTGAGGCCTTCAGGGGGCTTCGTGAGGTCAGTACAGTAGGAGGCGTAGGCGCTGGCGGCTGGCGGGACAAAAGTTGCTTCGTTCAATGTACGCTGTGCTCTCTATGTACTCCATCGTATACGCAGTTCTTGCTGCTTGCTGTATATCCTGCTGTCTGTCGCCATCTTGTTCTGGAGCGCCTCGCTTCCGCGCTCTTGTCTGGGTATATTCTTGCTTCGCTCTTGTGACGCCCAGTATGCTGTGCCTTCCCATTCGTATACCCATCGCGTGCTTCTGTTCCGGCAATAGCGCCCACAGTGTGCTCCTGTCTTATGTCCCGTACCTAAGGCCCCATACCCTAGTTGTTGCCAACGAAGCAAATTCAAATGCATGCCGCTTTCAACCCATCATGCGAAAAGTCTCAACGCCCAAAGTCGGCGTCTCGACCAATGCGAACTTCGGCACACCTTCCTGTCGTCGTCTCACCAGAAAGTTGCGGTACTCTGTTATGACCTGTGACCACTCCGCCAGCGCTCGCCCAGCATAGCGTGCTGTTTCGGCTGATGAGCCGGAAGGCTTGCGCGGCTGGACGTCGGACTTTCTCTTCGACGGGGTCGTTTCATGCGTGCTCGAAATGCTGGTCCTGAATACCTCTTCGGCACTGATAGGAAGCGATGGCGCCACAAGCTTCCGATGCTGCTGGTTGTAGGTGGCTTGCTGACGCTTGTCGGCCCACTCCAGGGAGAACTTGAACGAAAACGCCTGATGCGGCGGTGTCGGTGGTCGTGAAACGTCATGCAGCGACCGTCGATCGTCTGGTGTAGAAGGTGGCGTTACTTCGCCTGGTCGGTCGTTGCCAGGCGTGCCAAATGGTAGAATGTTCTTCAGCATACTCCATCTCTTCTTGACTCCATTCTGCAGCGTCGTATCTGGGCTTGGTACGGAGTTCGTCAGGGCCGATGAGCTCTTCTGGTACGGACTATTGCTTTGAGTGCTGAGGCCTTGCGCAAGGAATTTGTCGAAGTTCGAGAAGGCGGAGCCGTTGATGCCCTGACCGGCAGTATCGGTACGGATGATAAGTAGGACGCGGCTCGGTGCTGGTGAGCATGGGACAGTCGATGGCTGGACTAGATCTCGCATGTCGGCCTCGGCACTCAGGTACTGATAATATGCCCAGACACGATTGAGGTGCGAAGAAAGCAATCGCAATCTTTGCTGGTCGATCTCAGATGGCTCATGGTCTATTCGCGCAACTCTCCAACAGAGTAGGCGGAAAAAATAATGCCGCACCATCGGCGACCAGTGACAGAAAAGGGTATCAAAAACGCTCCTATCCAACAGCCAATCCAAAATCAACTCCTGTTTTCGTTCGTCATTAGTAATTAGTATGTTCCACATGCTGTACACAAATGCAATGAGGCGTATCTGTGTTAAGGTGTTCTGGCTATGCATCATCTGCTTGCAGACTTGCAACCAGAAAGGCCAGTCGATTAGACTTTCCTGATGGTGTCGTGCAAGAAGAGGGAACATCTCCTCCAAGAAGTCGCAGAGCACGAAGCAAGCATCGTTGTTATAGAGTGAGACCTTTCTTGCTGCAGCTTTGACAACATCGCCGTAGCCGCTCACAAACAAGCGGCGAACCTGGCCATTGCCAAACTGAGGATCGCCAAGCATGTCTCGCAAAAGCATGACTAGTCGATTCTCGTTCATTTGTCGAGTGGCGTTGGCAATGGTCATCGGTAGGGGCGCCATTGAATCAGCTACGTCCATACCAGCAGCAGTCCCTGAAGCATAATTATCGACAGCAGACTGGCCAGCTTGTCGGTAGATGGTCGTTTCGAGTACGGTGAGGACTTGCGCGAGGACGGGCGCCAGACCAGGTGTGCATACTCGATCTCTCGCTGAAACATGCTCGGGAATATAGTCGGACAGCAGCAGATGATAGAACTTGGTGAAGTTGAAGAATAGATCGCTGTCACGACCAGACCATCTACCGAGCCACGGTCCATGCCATTTGAAGTGCTCAGTACCAACGGGGACATGTCGACGAAGCTGCATCATTCGAGCAAGTGAAGCCTGTGTAGTAAAAACCAGATCCTGCATTGGCGCAGGTAAACACGCAGCTAGCTCTTTCGAGGCCGTCTCGAGTTTCTCGCCGCGCTCAATGCCAGCTTCGACAAAGATGCGGCGAAGAATGCCTGGTGTCAAACGCCACAACCGAATGAGCATCTCGGCTACTCCTGGGCAAAAGAAAAAGGCGTAAGCACAGGTTCTGCCACTGAAATTGACCAGACTGGCTGGTGCGCTTCGCATGCACAGTTTGTCGATCACGTAGCCGAGTTGTGCGAGAAGATTTTGCACGAAGATGCTGCGAATGTTCTGATAGATGGTCTCAAGCAGTTGTTCGGACTCGGTGGAGGTTGTAGAGCCGTTTGAACGCTGTGTCGCCGCTTGAGTCTCGATTTCCGACGTCGGAAAGCCAGGAATGCGCCATTCAGGCCTCATCATTATCTGTGCAGCTGCTTCCAGAAAGGCTGGCCGGTCAGAGCCGGACAGTATCTGGTTGTGATGTCCAGCCAAAATTTCCAACAGTACGCACCACCATTTGTTGAGGATAGTGACCCGCCTGTCGAGATCTTCGGGCCGCAACACCAGCGAGGCCGGATGCTGTTGATTGTCCTGCAGAAATGGCAAAAGGACGGCACGTAGCACTTTGCTTTTCTGCATACTGGTCTTGCCCTGGAACGAGCTCAGTTCTCCTTCGATCTGGCGAAATGCGTGCCAAAGAGGGTCTCTCTTGTTACTCTTTTCGAGTGCGGAGAGCTGATCCGAAGAGAGCGAGGGCGGCATGGGCGGTCTGCTTGAGTTACGCTTCTGCTTGTCACTCGAGGCCAGACTCCGGAAGGACGATATGGACGATCTGGCAGAAGGGCGTTTTGGAGGGCTGATGTCGCTTTTCCGTGGAGCCTTAGCAGACTTGGTGTCGAGTACTGGCGGGCGTGCTGTGCGAGGCTCCCGCTCGTCATCTCTTGAGTCGGCGGAGGGCGACCGTGAAACAGCCCTCTGTGGAACAGCGATTCGGTCGGCGGCGAGACGGCCGGCTTTCTTCGCAGGCGACCAGCTCTGCTTCCGGTCCAACTTCTTATCGTCATCGACCGGAGAGGAGGATCGAGAGCCCATCCATGACTTCCTGGCGAGACTCCGGAAGGTGCCGGTCATGGAGCGAGACAGGCGGTATTCGTGTGAATCGCCGTTGGTCTTTGTGTCATCATCGTCGTGTGCCAGTGAGAATTTTGCCTGACTCAAGGACATGCGTTTCTTTGCCTTTTTGGAGGCGCGACGGAAGAGCTCCTTGTTTGCATTCTGAACACCATCACTGACCTTTTCCGTTCGATTGTGCATGGATAGGACGTTCTCGGAAAAGGTTCGTTTGATCTGAGCTGGACCATCCTTGGACAGTGTGGTCAGGTAGGTATAGCTAGCAGATCTTGAGAGGTCCGCAGGTTCCTCGTGGTTCGGGTCAGGTGAAGACGGGTGCGGAGAATGGATAGGCGATAAGGCGTGAACCGGCATCTGAGGCAAGCCCGAGACTTCGATGGGAGAAGGAATTAAAGGCATATCGACACGTCCGCCAGCGGGCGTTGATCTGGTTGTACCTGATCAGACCATGGTCGTCAGGTGAAGTCGATCAATGTCGCGTCCAGGGTTGGCAATGCTCGTCGTGTCTCAGGCGTCAAAACGAGCGAGCATGTGACGGACCAGGGCGGATACTAGCGATGGGATAAAGTCGTAGATACTGGAATTATACACTGAAACGAAGGTAACGGATGGAAGAACGAGAGACAGTCATAGACCAAACAATGTCGCTGACACTCGAAGACTGAAGAGGAAGAATGGGATAAGACCAAGAAGGATGCAGTGCTAGGATGTTTGATTGTATTGAGGTCGGCATTTACGAGGCACGGTAGTGAGACGGCTCACTCAGTACAAGCTTTCGCTTTCCTCGCGTCGGCCGTGCCATCTCCGACGCCTTCCATACCAGGCACCACTCAGTCAGCAATGCATACACTGTAAGAATTATCCGAGTCCACCTATGTACATATTCGTATTCTGTACGCGTGTAAATTTCTGCGTTGTACTTGCCCAGAACTCAAGCAGGATGGATGATGAGGGCGCTTGTCAGCCTTTCCGATCACACGCACGCAGACTGAACCTCTCTACACTACGTGGCCATGCTTACTACTCCAATATAGTGCAGATGGAATGTCAGAACTCTGAACACGAGACTTGAAAGCTTCATCCTGCATCTCGAAGGGCGGCATGATTGTTGGTAGTTTGCGTCAAACCTATCCTGGGGTTGTGGGAGGGGTTCCGTAGAAGGTCAACGTCAAGGTTATCGGGCAGATCTTAGCCCGTGGATGAATCAAAGTGACCACACGGACCGACCCAGCGATTGACATCGAGACGCCTGCATGTTGCCTCCCGAAAAGTCTTGTGGGCATCACAATGTGCTGAAAGTCAGGCTGTCGCCGCCATATTGCAATTGTACACGCTGCTTGACCTGAAACTATGCTTTCCTCGCTGATTGAATGCCTCTAGTGATGAGCCGTGCCCTTGTTCTCCTCGTCGATCTGCTTCAAGTCCTCAAAGTAATCGTCGGCGCTTGCTTCTTGCGTCTCTCCAGCTCCTGTTGACGAGCCCTCAATTTCGACTGTCGAATTTTCGTACTCTGACATCTCGCTTGCCAGGTCGGCCTCTTCGGGTGATTTGGGTGCAGCTGGTGGGCTGAACTTTGCAACCGCGCCTTCTTCGGGACCCTTCTGTGGTGGTGGCTTGTACGCCTTGAGCTCTCGGAGGTACAGATCTTGGATCAAATCGGCTGTCATTGACTGTCAGTGGTCGCTCGTGAGATGCCTGCGTGTTCAACCTCGCTATCGCCTGCTAACGGCTATGGCAAGCGGGCTGGCTTAGAACAGTGGAGAGCAGTCGCACCTTTTCTGACCGGAGTCGTAGCAAACGACCGTCGAGCGATCGGGAGACTGGAACGGCTCACGCGGGCGAGGAGTGCTCCCTGTTCGTGTCAGTATAGTCCTTCGAGCTCCGCCACATGAGATCCTTACGCTGTATCTTAGTGACTGCGACATGATGTGTGTGTATGTCTTGCGCAAACAACAAGAACCGGGAAACGTGAAGGGACTCTTCTCGCAGGTGAACTTCAAGCTCTCCGAGTCGCTGGGCTGGGCATCGAAAGCTCGAATGAAGCTAAGACGAAAACGGCTACAGTGCTACGATGGTCACGTGAATCAGGCGCCGGGCGTTCTTGATTATCACCAGCCTTCGACGACCATCTGCCTTGTTCTCTTCCTCATCCCGCTTCATCTCCATCGCAGACACCGTCAAGAACCATCTCTGCATCCGACACGCCCTCGCCGACTGCCCACCTCGACGACCTCCATCCGACGCATTCGAATCGAAGACCCGACTGACTCAATTTCTCGCACGCTCGATATCTCGACATTCGCGACACCTTCACTGGTTGAAGAGTCCGCCTTCTTCGCATTCAAACCCTCCTCTTGCGCCATCATCCCAATCATCAATTTTCGCAAACACTTCTAGCTCATCCTTTGGCCTTTCAAGGTACGACTGACCAGTCTTTGTACTGCGCGTGGTCATAGGGAAAAGAGCTTGCGTTTCGTTGGGTGTCTCATTCAATTGTTGATGACCTGACTGACGCAAACTTCTGAATAGCAGTCTCGAACTTGGCTCAGATTCTCTACAGGAGGGCCTGGCCGTAGCGAGTTGCCTCAACCTTCCCCGAGTCAACGAAAACCCGTCAAGCTGTATTCTCCACTGCTCGTCCGGACCTTTGCAAAGAACCACAACTTGACAAAGACGTACAAAGGCATCAAGAAACGCCGTACTGAGCAAATCACCGGCAAAGTCACCAAGCCACGGTCTGCTCTTCTGCCAAAGAAGAACGACATGGCAATGCTAGCCCCACCGCCTCCGGGCATGGGTGCTGAGAATCAGGGCGCCTATCGCGATGACCTGAATACTCACATGGTCTGTCCTGACTGCAAAATATTCCCTCCCAACCTCATCGAAGATTCCGCAAACGCCGACACCATTTGTGGTGATTGTGGTATGGTATTGGCTCAACGCAATATCAGTTACGAATCAGAATGGCGCACATTCAATTCAGATGAGGGCAAAGGAGATGGTGAGTTCTCTCGTGATCTCGTATAGCTCGTGTGCAAATTCGCGATATTAACATTGTCTTCAGACCCCAACCGTGTAGGCGAAGCCGACAACGACCTCCTCACGTCGACCAACGCTGGGACCACGATTGGTGGCGGCGCCAACGCTTCCAAGGAGACTCGCCGACTCAAGCGCGCTCAGGCTGCTCAACAAGACAGCAAAGCTGACAAAGTCCTCACAAATGCCTACATGATAGTCGATCAGTGGGGTGAGCGAGCACAGTTGCCCACCAGAGCACGTACCACCGCCAAGTCGTACTACAAGCGCGTTTTCGAGGCTGGTCAGTTCAAGGGCAAGAATGTTGAGGTTGTACTGGCTTCGTGCCTGTTCCTCTCTTGCCGACAGCACGGTGTTCCACGGTCTTTCAACGAAATGTTCAGTCTGACCAACGTCGCCAAAAAGGACATCGGCCGCACCTACAAGCAGCTCGAGAAATTCTTGCTCAGCGACTCCAACCAGAACATGGCCAACATCGAAGCCGAGGGAGGCATTGTCAGCCGCGATCACGGCTTTAAGTCTACCTCTTCCACCACGCCAGATCAGCTCTGCGTTCGCTACTGCAGTCAGCTGGGTCTTCCATTCCGCGTTCAGACTGTCGCTCAGGCTCTGGCCAAGAAGATTCCCAATGTGCCCGGCCTGGCTGGTCGCAGCCCGCTGTCCAACGCTGCTGCATGTACCTACTTCGCCAGTCACCTCATGGGAGTCGGCCAGTCTACCAAAGACATCAGCGACACCGTTGGCGTCAGTGATGCTACAATCAAGCATGCTTACAAATACCTCTATGCAGCCAAGGACCAGCTCATCGAAGAAGAATGGCTTGGCATTCAGAAGGGTACGGCTAGCGATGGTGCCCCGCTTGTCGGCGATGTGAAGAATCTTCCCACCGCCCCGCCACTTGGCGCCTAGGAGACGCCGGCTAACCTCGATCGCACTCCTGTTCGAAATCGACGATATGGTGCGTAGGACACGCCAGCTCAGAAGCAAGCAGCGTGCTTGGAGTGTCGCCGCCACAAGATCAAATGCTTGCGGCCTCCCAATTACACAGTCTGCGAACGATGTGTCAGCAAGTTCATCTAGTGTGTGGTTCCCGAGTCTCACACCGGCCGATGCTGGGCGACGTAAAGGACCTTCTCCTCGACCCACCTCTTGGTCAAGGTGCTTGCTGCTTGTTCGCTTCGCAAATTATCGCGTTCAATTCGTATGGCTGGGATTGGCTACAATTGGCTATCGGGCCATTTCTTTCGACACGAGACACTTCTTCGAGGATGCCGTTTGAGTCCGACTCACGGCCTTGTCTCACTTTTCTATTTTATGATTTACGATACAGGTTGTCGATGATTGTTCCCGACACCTCAACGATTACTGCTCAAAAAGTCCTTCATTGCGAAATGGCGTTGGACACAGAACGATACCCCGAAATGGAACTAAAAACAAATGGAGTTGTGAATGGAATGCTTGAGGATCCTATTTGCAGGTACTGTACAGCACAGCTAGACTAATAGAGGAGTTTCAGGAGTGTATATCTCTTCAGGGTACGTCGTTGACCACGGTGATCTGCACTTACCATTTTCTTTGCCCGTCCTCGAACAACGGCTATTCGCGAACTATTTCCAGCCATAATGAGGCGGTATTGACGTGAATGGCGCTTTCTGTTGCACAATGTCGCGTGACGCAGCATTATTGACATGAGTCGCGCCTGACGCCACCGACATGCTATTGATCGAGTCTTACACTTCCTCGGTAGGCACATTGCCACGACTGGAAGGCTCGACTGGCGAAACCAACCTCTATCATGTTGCGAACGTTATCGTCGTCGACCTAAACCAGAACACCGCTTCAGCTCAATCAAGCCCAAACTACATTCCAGCTACAAGTTCGCAGCGACGATGTTGCTAACCACTCTTTTCACGTTGGCCCTTACAGTCTCGCCCATCGTCGCTCTTTCCATTCCACCCGATAATCCCTACTCCCACTTCTTGGACTCCCGTGATGGACCCGGCTACAACACTGGCTCTCTGACGGTGGATCTTGGATATGAAATCTACGAAGGCCGCCTCAACACAACCACGAATCTCAACACCTGGCTCGGCATTCGCTATGCAGCATCTCCTAATGGGAGTCTTCGTTGGCAGAAACCTCAACCTCCCCCGATCAACCGCAACTCCGTCATACAAGCTGTGAAGTATACCTCCATCTGTTATCAGGCTCCTGATGCTCTCGTTGGAATTAGGCCCACCGACCAGAGTGAAGCTGCGGAAGACTGCCTGTTCCTGAATATATGGGCTCCCAGCGACCCCAGCAAGCCGCTTCCGGTGTTTGTTTGGATTCATGAGGGCGGGTATGGTACAATGAGCGGTCGACAGGATCTTAGTCTACTGATCAATACGAACAACAATGCGTTCATTGGCGTGACACTTCAGTATCGCTTGGGCGCTTTTGGGTTCCTCTCCTCTGACGAAGTCTATCGTTTTGGAACACCCAATGCTGGGCTATACGACCAACATGCAGCTCTACTATGGGTGCAGAGATACATCCACCTCTTTGGCGGCGATCCTACACAAGTCACAATTGGCGGTCTCTCAGCTGGCGGAGGCAGCGTCATGCACCACACTACATCATACGGCGGTTCGCTGGGAACATCGCTGTTCAAGAACACGTTTGCTGCTTCGCCCTACCTACCCATGCAGTATCATTACGACGAATGGATCCCTACACAAGCTTATAATGCGTTCGCTATAGCGGCTGGATGCTCTGCTCAACTGCCTGTTGGGGGTTCTGAGCAGAGTATCTTCCAGTGTCTGCAAGGAAAATCTGCGGATAGGCTTGCTAACGCGTCGGCGACTGTCTCTCAGTACGGCGCATATGGGACTGTAAGTGCTCTCAACCGCTTCTCAGAGTCTTCCTGTATTTGTCATGCCCCACTGTACCTGCCCATGCCCGAGCTCCTTTGGCCAACCAAGGTTTGATGCTGACGACGGCAGTGGGCTTTTCTCCCAGTCACAGACAACGCTCTGGTCTCAGGGCTGCTCTCGCAAACGCTCCTCCGAAAAGAACTGAACGGACTCAACACACTAGTCGGCAACAACGCCAACGAAGGTCCGGCTTTCGTCCCTCAAGACATCGACGATGAAAACGCCCTCAAATCATGGCTCAACACCACCTTCCCCCTCTGGACCGACTCCGACCGAGACAACCTCCTACTATGGTATCCCGACACCACCCGCACAAACATGAAGTTCTCCTCAGCAGGCTACGCAGGTCCGAGCGCCATTACTCAAAGCGTCGTCGCAACCGGCCAGCAGCAACGCGCCAACAACATCTACGCCGAGCTGGCATTCGTCTGTCCCTCATACTGGCTCGCCGAAGCATTCACCTCGACACCACAGACTCCCCGCAAGGCCTACAAGTACCAGTACTCCATCCCACCGGCCCTTCACGCAGGAGACAAAGAAGCCTACTTCAACGCACCCGCCGGCAATGTTGGGCCGGATATGGCACTCGCCTTCAAAAACCTGTTGGGGAACTTCATCGTTACTTCGAATCCGTCAATCCAGCAATCGATCGCGGATGGGCTGAGTTCTCCCAATGCCGATCCAGATACGACTGGGCAGGTGTGGACGAGGAATAAAGCTATAAGCGACTGGCCGGAATATGATGTGGGAAGACCCTGGCAGATCAATTTGAATCAGACGGGTGGATCGATAGTCGAGGTGAGCGGGCTGTATCCGTATCAGGGTGAGCCGGTAGTTGAGTTGGTGCCGCCGGGCGTGCAGAACAGTATTGGGCTGTATGATGCGCGGAATTGGGAGGATGGTAGGGGGAGTAGGTGTGACTTTTGGAGGGCTGTTAGCGGGTCGCTGCCTGCTTAAGAGCTCATTGGGTTTCGCAAGAGAGCAGCGTTGGCCTCTGTATGAAGAGACGAGGCCATGAGATTGATGTGTACAATAGAGACTCTTGCGAATGCGGACATGGTATACTGCTGATATGGTAATAAACGGACTGAATGTCATCAATGGAGGATGCAGGCAGGCTTGACACATGGTACACAGGCAAAGATTGCTGCATATGAGGTGGTGAATGCAGAATAGCTCGTCGTGATGAACTCAGTCTAGATTGTGCGAGTATCGAGCATCGAACACCACACCGATTTGTGACAGCGCCTGACGCTAGTGACGGGTTGCAATGGAAGCAGGAATCGAAAGCGTAGGCAAGAGGCAATCTAAGAAAACAGGTAGTCTTGCATACCATTGCCCGTCACTATCTGATCTTCACTCCTCTGAAGCCCGCCTGATATCTACTCTCACTGCGCCGCACTTGCCACAGCCTTCCTGACCACGTCCTCGATCTTCAACTCCGGCATCTCAAAGTCCTGACTCGAGACCTTAGCCTTGGTCTCTGTCACAAGATTACTGCCGTAGCCCTGTAGCACGAAGCCCGCCCTGATTAGCGCGTAGATCGCCGCACCTCTTGCGATCCCGTCTGAGGCTGTGGCTTCTTCGGCTTTTACGCTTGCTTGATTCTCTGCGATGAACTTCTCAGAGTCGATGTTCGTGACGGTGTACTTCACTTGCTGTTCCTTCTCCAGATGGGCAACGATGTCGACGAGACTCGCTTCGAACGCGCGGACGGGGACGGTCTTGTTCGCAGTTTGGGATGGGTGCAGGAGAATCTGCGCTACGCCTTCGGCTGCGTAGGGGAGGGTCGAGAAGGAGAGCTTGTGGGTGCCGTCACCGACATACTCCGCCGAATGCTTCGCAATGTTGATGCCTAGGAAGGAGATGGCGGGTGTGAGGGCCCATTCGAGCCACATCCCCGTCGGGATTGCTGTCCATGTCAAGCCCGTGGATTCCTTGGATTGGAGGTACCGCTGGACGCGGCCTTTGAGGGCGAAGACGGTGGAGAGCTGTTGGGCGGCTGGGTTGGAGTTGTCGAGGCCGTATTCGGAAGGGATGAAGCGCTTGACACCGGCCTCGATCGCGGCATCGATGAGGGTGAACTCGGAGAGTTTAGCGGGGTAGCCGATGGTTGAGATGAGCACATCCTGTTTCCTGAGGGCGCGGACGAGGTCATCGTGGGGCAGTGAGTCAGGAACGTGAAGGACAGTGACGCTTGATGGGAATGCTGTCTTCGAAGACTCGCGGGCGATGACCGTGACGGTGAAGTTGGAGGCATATTTGGGAGTGAGGAGGGTGTTGAGGATGTGGTGGCCCATCTTATTGCCGCCTGCGCCGAAGAGGGCGATGTTGCGCAGGGAAGTTGTCGAGGCGGTGGTCATTGCGTTGGCTTTGAGAAGGAACTTTTGACGGGTGTGTGCAGGATCTCTGACGGTTTTGAGATGAAAAATTTGGGTTCGAGACAGGGTGGTCTTCTGAAGTTCGTGGCTGTGAAGCGAGCAGAGTCAAGATGTGGAAGGATAGTCGGTGTCAGTGCGACCTACCGTAGCAGCAACGCATGCTTCTGCTTTATATCTGAATACACTCACCTCCGGCAACTCCATCTTCGTGAGCTGTTTGTAAGGAAGATTGCAAAAACAACACGTTTCTCGTTTCACAGAAGCACCCAGCATGCCCGACATCACGGTTCGACTTTGTCAGCGACGAGGTATGTTGTGGGCAAATTCACGACTTTGGCAGCAGCTGAGGCGAAGGCGTTGTATTGAGGCGTTGAGTTCGACTACTCGATCTACATATCGAATAGATGAAAATTGCCGTAAAAAGACATAGGTGTGCTGGTTACGGATGTAGGAGGTTGAGATGTTTGGGATTAATATTCCCAGGCTGTCGCCTGTGACGTCACATTTGTCATCAGGGGATTCACCTTCCGAGTCCGAACGACGCCAGACTCGAACCGAGGGCCCCGCGCGCGCGCCTGACGCGCTGTGACGCGGTTCAGGACGCGATCTGCTGGTTCCTTCATATTTATAAAACATCGCCGTATCGACCAGTGATGCCCAGGGCGATACAGCTGGAACCTGGTCAGCCAGGCCCAGACTGGCGCCGATGGTGCGGCGGCTGGTTATACGACCCGATGGTCCGGGTGGATGGGAGATTGATAAAGACGTCAACTTTGCACAAACGCCAGTTAAGGGAACGACGAAACGCGCAGTTATTGCGAGAGAGTGAGCAGCGTTGGGGCTTGGGACTTTCACGCGAAAAGGATGCCTCGGTAGAGCAAACCAATATACGAGAGGATCAAGCTCCAGGCAGTGACAGCAACAGCGCCATCGATGTCGAATGCAATGGCCGTACGTCCAGTGACCAACCACAAGCACCGCAGCAGGCTCAAACCAGCATCGATGACACTGCAGAACGCCTCGTCGATCAATCAAACCCCAGTCTCACCACCGCCACATCCACCACCACCACCAAAGCCAGTCTCCATCACAGCGCGTTGAACGCCCTCCTCACCAAAGAGCTCATCCATCGCGCCCGTCAGCGGCAGCACCCCAAAACACTCTGCCCCTCCGAAGTCGCGCGCAAGATCAACCTCAGTTTCCCAACAGTCTTACTCGCCGACCCTGAGCCTGAATCTTCGTCTACTCAATCTGCTCACGATAGCAGAAGCCGCAATATCGCTGTCGGCAATGATGAGCAAGCAGGGCACGACGGTCACGCCGATGTCCTGGACGTGCTAAAATCGTGGCGCGACCTAATGCCGCTTCTCCGGCAGTTTTGCGTTGAGCTGCACAACAAGCCTGACGCCGATAGCGAAACTGGTAGGGGAAAAGAAAACATGATCGAGATCCTCCAGAAAGGCGAGGTACTCCCTCGGCCGATACTGCTAGAGAACATCCGCGGGCCGATTCGCGCACGTCTGCGTCGTCGCGCTGAGGCGTGAATCGGCGAGGACAAGTGGAGACAGTGTCTGTTTCTCTTGCGAGGACATGTACATTACGGTGGATACCCTGCAGAAGCACGCCGGTTGTGCATGTAGCAGTAGTATGTTGTACCAAAACGTTTGGAACTAGGGTGTCTAGGATATCTAGATCGCTGAAAAGCCAGCGACCGCGCGCAAAGCAGACGGCTTCCTCGCCAGGGGTATCTATGTGTATAAAACGCCAAATGTGAGCTTCAAATCACCACAATGTTCCGACCTTCAAGCTTCTACATCATCTGACCGCCTCTTATCAGTACCCACCGTATCTCCCACCACCACCACCACCGCCTCTCAATGCTGTCCGTTGTCCACTGCGACTCGGCCCAATATCAATCATGCTCAACTCCGCTGCTAGCGGATCATCATATACGCTTGGTGGTGCATAGCTCTGCGGTCGAGGCATCTGGACTTTCGTTGGCGTCGTCTGCATAGGGTAGTACGAGTTACGACCGTACGGGCTGCTATTACCGTTGGGCTGATCGGCACTTGGTAGTCTGAAAGCGGCGGTCGAGCAGTCTGCCCCGCCGAATGAGGAGAATTGTTGAAGGAGTTGCGGTGCGGCCGAGGCTGCTGAGAAGGAGGGCCTGCGCTGGATCTTGGACGGATGTGTTGCTGTTGTGGTTGAGAGGTCGTGTCGAAATGTTGTGTCTGGGGAATCGCGCCGGGAGAGGAATTCGCGTGTTGCGTCGGGTAGGGCTGTTGCGGCAAAGGACGCGTCGATGGCGGAGCTTTCTGCAGACGTCGTCGACCTGAAGTCGGAGTCGTGATCGGTTCCAGCGGTGCAGGTGAGCTATTGTGATTGTTGTATGGTGAGCTTGGTATAGACAGCGCCTTCGGAGCGGCAGGAGAGGAGCCGGCTCGAGTATGCTGCGCCGAACCCTTTGTGCGGATGTGGATGACATGCTCTGGCTGGCGATTTTTACGCTCTGGCTCGGGAGCCCACGTGTCCGAAGGCAGGTGATCCGAGGGATCGATGACGCGACCGTCATTGCCGATAATGGGCTCGATCTCGTGCAGCTTCTCGTTCCTCGGACTCTCAGCCCAGTCCCTGTGCGCCGATCCCTGGCTCGAGGCTGGGTTGAAGGAGTTGAAAGAATCTGGCCCAAATGGAATGCTACCGGAATATCGCTCGATCGGAGGTGCCGGACTGACAGACTTCCGCGGCACTGCGTGATTTGGATTCGGGCTCACAGCTCGTGGGCGGACCAATTGTGGCTCCGAGCTGAAGGTGTTCCGGTGGTCGAAGTCGGCGGAGTCGAAAGTCTGGGCTCGCTGGGGAGCCTTGTATGGGTCGTCGTAGTCGTCTAGAAAGGAGTTCCGCCTGATGTATCGACCTCTCTGATCTTGCTCAACGGGATCTGCCATGAAGTCGACGCCGTAGTTTGGGGTGATCTGGTGAGGCGCAGGGAACTCGCCAGCAGAGCTTGTGGGCCTTTGGACGGGTTCTTCTGAGGGATTGAATGACTTGCGGGGTGACCTCGAAGTCTGCTGCGGAGCAAAGTTGTGCTCGATCATTTGCAGTGGACTCCTATCGCCGATCGATTCATGACATTGCGGCTGGCTCTGCTGCGCTGGAGTATCGTACGATAAAGCTAAAGGCTTTGGCAAGTAGCTCGATGTGCTGGAGGCGGAGGCGGTGGAGGCGACACTGGCTCATTGGCATACTCGATAGGGACTTTCGGAGGCACTGGAGGCAGTGACGGGATGTCCTGGTGTGTGGTAGAGTGTCGCAGAGGGCTGTCTCGGTATGCAGCATATTTTGTTGGTGAAGCACTCATGCGTCGTGGGTCGCCTGGACTCGACCTGGTGGGTGGCGACGAGCTGTAGTTGGCATGTGGCGAGGAAGGGTGTGGGCTACTGCTCAGTGGTGTCGGATCGCTGCGCCGAGTCTCCAGGGGAGGATGCTGCGGCATAGGAATTTGTGGTAACGTCGGTTCCGGGTGGTAGTATGGCTCTTGATCGTACCTTGCGTCGGCGGCAAAGGGATCTTGTACAGGTGCATACGGCTCTTGGTACTGAGGCTGACAATATTGATTGTAGTCATCGGGTCCTTCTGGGCCGCCATTCCACTGCTGTGGCTGCGGCCTGTATTCCGGCGAAATGTATGCTGGTGATCCTGCCGGTGACGAATTGTTTGACCTGCCTTGCAGTCGCAGTGGCTGCGGGTAGTCTGCTGGTTGGGCGTTTTGTAGCCTGGACCTGTGGGCAGTGGTCGTCGCTTGATCTCTCGAGGGCCGAGCTGTCGAGGACCGGATAGCGAGCCTGCATCGCTGTTGGGCGTGTTTGCTCGCTGGCGTTGTCTCTCTTTGGTTGCTTCGATCTCGGGGTTATGTTTGGTATCGTAATAGGTCATCTCGCTGCTTCAAGTTAGTCTCATGGCTGCCACACAGGGTTCTGTACACTCACAGACGGATGTCACCGGCGTATTTTCCCTTGTAGCTGAGCTGCTGCCAGAAATCTTGAGCTTTTCCGCCAGGTACAATGAGCTCAGTCAGGTCAATCCAGGCCTCGCCAATCAAGTCCGTCTTCTTGTCGTCATTGAAGACGGAGCACTTGAGCTTGTAGTAGTCGGGTGCTTCGCGTACGGTGAATCTGAGTTCTTGGTCCCTGACCCTATCATTAGTATTGCGTATCATTGAGGCGCAGTTTGGACATACCACCTAGGCGTCTGTCCGCCTCGCCGGTCGGTATTCGTCTTTTTGGCTTCCTTGCCCAGTCTCATGGCACAGTATGGATCCTGCTTGCCCATGGTCTTGCGGTTGGGAAGGTTCTTTGCTCGATCGATGATGGCAACTAGGGTGCCTATTTCCGGGCCATCAAGCGTCATATCGGCGAAAATGCCAGCTGTGTGCCCAGCGGGCATGGTGCGTTTCGTCGCCATAGTCATTGAGGCCATATCAGTTGTCAAGCTATCAGGTCAGGCGTCGTAATGATGTGGTGTGAACGAGAGGTGTCAATTATCGATACATGGCGGCGGGGTTGTTTCGAGGACATAAAGCTGCAGGGAAGCTGGCTGAGAACGAAATAGTTGTATTATGCGAATGACAAAAAGGAAAGAGCGTAGACAGTCAAGTGACAGGTTGCGAGATGGACTGAAGATGCATGAGATGATACAGAGGTGAGGTAGAGTACAAGCAGAGGGTCAGCAAGGCGTCGGTGCCAGCCATTTCAATAAAGTCAAAACGAGGCTGGGCTGTCCACATTGCCAGTCGATCTCTTCGTCCACCACCGCATGGTATTGCATCCATTGGATATGAGACATTCTCATAGACCATCGTGGCGACAATACATTCATCGCCCAGCATTGTCTTCATGGTATGGCAACTACATCTGACGCAGCTTCCATGTGCTGAGGTACCAATTGTTTGGGTCCTGCCTTTTTCGGTTACGCGGCGTCATCCCCGACAGCTCCGCTCCGGTAGCCGAGCGCCACCACCAATGAGAGGCTTTCGTGGCGCCTAAATTCTCCTGCAGCACTGGCAGGCTCAAGCCTCAAGCTTGGCCAGGCAGGCACCAAATACCTGTGTCGCGACTTCTGTCCCCGAATCCTTTGCGATTCCACGAGCAGGTGCGATGAAAGCAATCGAAAATCACAAAGCTCCCGCAGAGATCCTTATGGCTGATGTACCTCGTGAACGTGTTGCTACGTGACTAAGCACCCTCATCTTGTGACACTCGAAGCCTGAAAGCCTGCCGGGGATGACCGCCGTTTTTCTTCTCCATGTCCAACGAAAGTGTGTTCTCGTCTTTACCATCGCAATCTTTAACGACAACAGAAAGACACCAAGGGACTGACGCGATGGCAAGTGGACTACGAGACCACTGGCGCCATAATATCGCGACATTCCGCTCCCAGCCGCTTGCCGAAATCTCCGGTTCGTTAGGTGACTTGGGCACATTTCTCCCGATTGTCATCGCCTTGTCGTCGCACAATCAGATCTCTCTATCGACGACTCTCATCCTCACGGGTTTCTACAATGTCATCACCGGCGTTCTGTTCAGCATTCCTCTCCCGGTCCAGCCGATGAAAGCTATCGCCGCAGTCGCCCTGCTCAAGAACTTGTCTGCTTCCGAAGTAGCGGCAGCAGGCCTCTTCGTCAGCCTTTGTGTACTCATCCTGAGCCTCAGTGGACTTCTGGAATGGATCAATAATCTCACGCCGATACCAATTGTCAAAGGCATACAGGTCGGTGCGGGTCTCAGTCTGACCATTGCAGCAGGCACTCAGGCAACTGCGCACCTCACCTGGCTTGGGCCCAGCTGGGCTGACAACTATTTCTGGCTGATATCCATATTCGTCGCTTTGACTGTCATCACAGCGCTCGTTCCTCGGCTTCCGTTCGCGCTGATTGTGTTCGTACTGGGCATATGCTTCACCATAATCTGCATCCTGACCACTGCTGAAGCTCGTCTCCCTACACCGAGTCTATGGCATCCATCTACACAAGTACCTTCGCTCTCCGCTTTCCGAGGCGGCATTCTGTCTGCAGGTCTGGGCCAACTACCACTTACCACTCTGAACTCCATCATTGCAGTGGTTCATCTTGCGTCGAGTTTGATGCCTGAGCGGCCGACTCCGTCCGCAACCGCTATTGGCATCTCTGTGGCTTCGATGAACCTCATAGGATGCTGGTTCGGCGCCATGCCTGCATGTCATGGGAGTGGAGGCTGGCCGCCCAACATCGTTTTGGAGCGCGCTCCGGTGCGAGCGTTATTTTCTTGGGCATCATCAAAATCATTCTCGGACTCATCTTCGGAGAAAGTCTTGCAGACCTGCTACAGCAGTTTCCCATCAGCATTCTAACGGTCATGATCATTGCCGCTGGTCTAGAGCTGGCCAGTGTCGGCGAAAGCTTGAATACGGACAAGGCCAAGGATCTACAGCAGAAAGACGGCAGCCATTCCGGTCAGCGAGTCTCATTGACCGATCAACAGAAGCAGCAGAGATGGACAGTTATGCTCGTCACGGCGGGCGTGCTGGTCGCTTTCAAGAACGACGGCATAGGCTTCATTGCCGGTCTGATTTGCCACTGGTCCCAACGGCTCGAAGCACAAGTGCGCCGCAAGCGGAACAAGAGCGATTCTGCTCGAGCGGATGACGGCGAACGCCAACCGTTGTTGTCGTAGAGACATATGTTATCTATTCGTACTGCACATTGTTTGCAGGGGTTTCATGGTGCGGAAACATTCTCCGGAAAATGCAAATCCCAACGCGACTGCCCCGCTATACGATGTCATGCAATCAAGGTTAGGTATTCTTTTAGCATATACCTACCGTTCTTCTGCAAACCACAAGGACTGGTGAATCTGAAACACCTTGACTGCCACCTACGACAATGCAAGCAGAACGCGCGGCTCATGCATAGCGCTCTGCTGCAAATGTCAAATCAGGTCGCAACGTGGTTACCCCGTCTTGAGTCCTCCAAGATCAGAGTTTATGGTTCATATGTCGTAATTGGTCGCTGTACATTTCCGGCAGGAACACGAATCGATCATCACCAACTCTAAAGCATGTGGTCGTCCAAGGTCGAGATGACGAAAGACATGCAGCCGAGAGCCCAGGCCTCATATACGCTCCCAATCTGTCCAGGTACAAGGGTCATCATGGTAGTGACCCTGGACTCTTGCCTGGTGCACAAGCGAGGATGCCTACCCTGTCGGACTCCATCGCATTGACACTGCTGCTTGTCCTCGCATTCGCGCCTTCGACGCACGCCTTTGGCGCTGGCTATGTAGCTCGAGGTAGCCACGCTCATGGCTCTAATTATCGACATGGAGATATCTTGATGGCAGTGTACTTTCTGCACCATGTCCACTCCACAAGCGTTCGAAAGATCTACTTTGGCAACTGGCTGCGCGACTTCAGCCAGATCGTGGACCGTAAAGCTATTGAGCTCGTCCCAGAGCCGATACTGCGTGCTATCGTTGCAGTCTTTGCCCACATCCAATTCGGATACTCTACTGGCGACTTCGAGGTAACTCCGGAAAGACTTGGCTGCTATCGACCCGAGGAACATATCGACAATCCCAAAGGATATGATGTTCCACTTGAGCTGTCCCAGGCGCATGCTAGCTACGCACAACTACGCGCGCCAGTCACCAACGATGAACTCCAGATCCATCACGTATCTTCCATGAAGAACTATGTCGCGAATGGCGAGGCTGCACCTAACATAGACACGAGTCGCGACTTCATTGAGAAGCAGCTCATCGCAGCTGTTGCGTGCGGCCGGGCCGGCAACCCAGAGGCTTATCATCATCTCGGCGCCGCTCTTCACACCCTGGAGGACTTCGTCGCACATTCAAATTGGGTGGAGCTGTGTATACAGATGCTGGCCGAGGATTCGGAGTCTTTGCCACATAGAGAGGAGATGAGGAACGTTTTTGCTTTCACAGGTGGAGCAGCAAAGGTCGAGACCAAGCGAGGATCAGCCTCTCCTCTTGTCACCGGCACGTTCGGCGCACTAGATCTGTGGGTGTGGTCTCAGACGAGGACTTTTCTATGCTGACTACGTAGGTACCAATCATTACTTGGCGAGATCGACGACAAACTATCTGCTATGAGCATTCCGGGTCTGCAACAGGTGAGTCCATTCGAACGCGAGCTGCACAGTCTAAGTGATTCCGCAGCGAATGAAAGGTCCCAAAGACTCGCTTTCATCGGCATCTAAGGCTCTGATCGGTCTCCTGAAAGGAGCCAGCGGCGCCGACTTTATTAAAGATATCGCAAGCATCGGAGAAACCGCCACTAGTGATCCCGCTGACTGGGGCAAACTGAACGAGACGCCGGGACTGCTGTGGGATACGATCAAGCCAATCCTCCGTGTACGAGACAAAGTCGTGCAATGGGTATACGATCACCTCACAGTAGACGTCATTGCTAACGCTATCGCTGCAATATCGTCGGCGATCGACAAATTCGTGTATATTGCTCTCGGATTGGTGCTCCGCCCAGTGCTGAAAGACATCTCTGCAATCCTGGCTCAGCAGTCGGCAGAGCTCTTGGTCAAAGACCAAGAAGCTCGCCTTCTGCATGGCAAAGACAACATCTTCGACGATGCATCAACGGCTACAGACCCGACACATTCGCAGCTTTGCAAAGATCACTACGGCCATCCACTAAACGAAATCGCCGGCATAGTGGCGGTACAAATCACAACATCGACAATCAAGAAGATCATCGAGCTATGGCAGCCCGACTCCAAAGCCGCCGTCAAGCCTGTGATCGATACTATCCTCGAAACATTGCACCACCCGTTCAACTACTCTAAGGAGTCCGATCTACAGTCCCTGATGGTAGCTCAGGTCTTCAACTGGAGTGCAAGGCACGGCGAAAAGCACGATATGCTGCACAAGCAGATCCTTATTGGACTGGACAAGTCCCACCAAGCTGCGATTAATTTGGGAGAAGCGGCGAAAGCGTCGCATACTCACACATCCTATACCGCGGACGCCTATGCTGACCCCACGAAGACTGCTCCGGCATTCGTCGACACCGGTGATCAACCAGGCGTTAGCCAAGGCCGTGACAATGGTCCCGTGGGCGCCGACTCGCATGCTGCCGGCCTGCAAACCGAGCGCGAAGATTTCGCGCCTCCGCTGCAACAACAAGCCACGATCGGCCATGCGACAATAGGAAATCAGCCTTCTGTCACCGACACAGATGCCACCCAGCAGTCCGCCGACTATGGCAGCAGCAGCAATGCCAGTCAGAATCAAAGATTTCCGCGGTCAGGCACAGCCCACCGCCTGACGACCATTGACCACCCTGTCGCCTCCGCGGGCGTGTCGCAGCACCAGCCTCCAACATCCCCGACGATCAAAGCTCCCAGTGACCCCTCCGAGCCGCTGACTGCAACCGACACCACCGATTCTCAACCCCAAATCATCGATCATCTAACTCGGAATATCACATCCGCCCTCCGCCCCTCCCCATCCTCCGGCAAGAAGCCCCCGAAAGACCTCGACGCGACTCCCTCCTCCCGAAACTCGCCAAGATATTCAAGTCCGAACCCTCACCCAACACGCCGAACCCTATCGACCATGCGCTCACCATGCTTCCGGGCGTTCCCATTCTAGATATCTTTGAGGATATTCCGATCGCGGAGATTGTGGCTGCCCCGGGGATGGGAGTTGTGTTGAAGGACAGTGTGGTGAGTTTGAGGATGCAGGATGAGGAGAAGTTGGAGGAGCAGCAGAAGAAGGCGCATAGGGATTTGGGTGGGTGGGAGGAGAGGAGTGTTAAGGTATTACTTCAGCAGTTGGAGGCGCCGGGTAGGGGTCATGGAGCGCAGAGTGCAAAGATTGGGACATTTAGGGATGACGCAAAGCCTAAGGACGGTGATGAGGACGGCGATAAGGAGGGGAAGATGGGCAAGATGATGGGCAAGTTGAAACTAAAGAAATCGAGTGGTGAGCAGTGATCGATGCCATCGGTGAGGTAGGTAGGACTGCAGATGCGATCACACGGTCAACAATTACGCGAACAGTATGGGAAGTTCAGTAGAATGGCTAGATCGTACGATACATGGACGAAAAGGAGCGAAATGTTAGTGGATTAAGCCCTCTTGATCTCAAGACGAGAACGGGTGTAGGTAGGGACACAGCAAATGTTAGCAAAGCAAAACGATTCCTGCCATGAACTTTGCGCGGGTATAAGTACTGCGCGTTCCATGGCCCTGGACGGATAGAAGTGCTGAATAGACAGGCCTCTTGCCGAATGTGTTGGGCAGGTAGCTGAATAAGGGGCGAAGACAATTGCTGGTTGAGTTTGCTAAAGTGTGGTAGGGGTGGAGCGAAATGTTGGTCGAGATCAGTGAGGGACAGATACAAGTGCTGATCTGGCAGGTCGCTTGCTGGATCGGGGACTATAAGGAAGTGCACGCTTCCAGGCCAGGCTGTTCGGGCATAAAATGAGCGCTTTGTGTACTTATCCGTTCAGTTCTAGGATCTCAGGTCAGGGCGGGCTCTGAGGACCAGAATGGCCGTGCAGATTGAGCCAGCAAGTTCGAGATGAGCCTCACTTCATGTCTAGGTCGCCGGAGTGATTGTTTCTTCCTAGAGCGGGCGCTATATGAGTTTCGATACTCCAGAAACGCTCACGAGCGCCGACCGAGTGTTCAACGCTACCTACGTGGCCATCAGCCCCGTCTTAACCCGACCATTGTTCCCAGTTTGCGCGTTGAACGTTGCGACGTACTGGCAGATCGCTAGTTTGCCAGTACGTTGTCCTTGTCCCGCGTGATACCACATCGCTTATCCACAACCTGACCCTTCATGCACGCACAACGTTGCTCATGAATAGCGGATGTGTTGTTGCAACGACCGAGCATATCATGCGCCAACTGGTTGTACTTGTCGATGACCTCTGCATATTCCGAGCCAGGCTGCAATGGTTTCGGCAGTGGTCGCTCGATGAGACCAGTCAGATTGGCTGGGGTGATGTCAAAAGTCCCGTCGACGGCCGTAGAGAGGCTAGACAAGCTTGTGGAAGAGGACGACTTTGAGGTGTCCGACGCAGAAGATGTACTGCTTGGGCAATGGATCGTACGCGTTGCCTCACCGCCGCTGCTTATGATGAGGGTACTGAAGAGCTCTTCCACGCTTTGGCTTTTGAGCTCTGGCAATGTAATCTCCTCATCTTTGGTGGCGAAACCGACGTGCTTGGACGACGACTGTCGGTCTGCGGGAATGTGGCCTGCGTCCTTGCGGCTGGAGATGTCCTTTGCTCCATCGGTGATGGCAATATTTGGTTGTGTGTTAAGGTCGTGACCATCCTGTGCCAAACTCTCGTCGATCGATGTGACCTCGTTGTCGTCCAGGATGACCACCTGCTTCGGCGAGAATCGTACGTGTGCCTTATCATTGACGCTGGGCGCCTCTCCGACCTCGTCTAAGATGACCTCTTGCCGTGGCGAGAACCGCACGTGTTTGTGAGCGCCATTGATCGTGATCGTACCGTCATCGCAGTCGTCTGAGGCGCCATCGGTACCAGGAGGCTCGATATACTCGTCGAGAGATGAGATACGTACACTCTTCGCGCCGCTTGATGATCTGCTCCGAGAGTCCAGCTGATGCTCCTGTCTTGCTAGGCGCCAGAGTCGAAGAAGTTCTGTGCGATGCCAGTGTCGAGCGATAGTCGTACACTCCTCGCAGTCTTCCGTGGCCGCTAGCTCGTTCTGTCGGCTAGTCTATGCCGTACTTGCATGCCACCAAGCGCTGGATTTGTGCAGAAGAATGGGTTCGAGTTCGCTTCTTCATCCCAGTTGACTATTGAAACAGTCAGCAGAGACTCGCTTCTGTGTAGAAAGCATAACAGATATGTTGTCCGACCAAAATGTCTTCGATAGTAGTACAGAGTACGGCAGAAGAATAGGGATGGTGTAGCTACTTACAGCATCGGCCAATGTACGTGCGTTTAGGATCTGTGAGCAGGTCGGAGATGTGTTTGACAAAGGCCGCCTCGTTCTGGTTGTGCTGCTGAAACGCGAGGTTGACATCGGTCAGAGTCAGCGCGTCTTTTGGTGATAGACCTGTGTTGAAAGGACAGTGCGATGGTAGGATGAAGATACACATCTTGGCAGATTTCAGGGAAGTGTTGTGTGGGTGTAAGGCCAAAGAGGTCGACTGCTATCTAGTAAGAAATGCAGAGACGAGACTTCATACGAAGGGCAGATGTGATGGAGATTGGTGCGAAGAGGTTGCGATGTGTCGAAGATATAACTTTGTTGTCGAGTTGATCGGGAAATGCCAAGACCAAAGTGCCTACCACTTCACGAAACCCTTCACGGATGCCTGTGAAGTCAGATTGTTTCCAACTCATTGTGTATTCACTGAAAGGATTTCGATCAAGACCTTGCATCACTCGCTGCACTCTTCGAAGTGACATTCTCCGTCCGGCTTGGACTTCTCCTTTCGCATCATCGAGGGCGAGCTGTCTTTATGGTTTCTTCTCAAGATTTCTTCAGAGCAACCAGCACAATAACAACGAGCACACCCACTCCTGAACAGACGCCCATCACCAAGAGGAGAATCCACCAGTTGTCCTGCGGCATGCGACCGATTAATCCTCGCATTTCGCGATCTGAGGTATAGCGACAGTCAGACTTCAGTGTCCCCACATGCGCAGTTGCAATATCGATCTTGACTAAGACATACCTGAGTTTAGTTAGGCAACAACGCCGTGGCCGGTCCTAGGGCACCGGAGTTGAGGCTCTCTGTGTCCTAGTATGGCAGATTTCGCTGCTCTTGTCGGGCGCTTTGCGATACAAGAAGTGGTGAGCGTTAACTCGGTCTGATCGCGAGATAAAACTGCCTGGAGCTTATTATAGCCAGGATGTGACTGTGTCGACGGTATCCGCTGTCTCGCAAGGGGGTCGCAAATTCTTCTCCTGACCAGCGCTTCCTTCTAACCGCTTCTCCCTTTGTCCTTTGTGCTTATTGGGCCACATACAGGCACAAAACCGGGAGCTTGTCATCTGCATTGACCTGCTCTTTCCAGAGTCGCTTAGATCAAACCGCCATCAGGCAGTGTCGTCTCTTGGTCGATCAATACCATGTGGTCGACCTGTGCGTACGATATATGTTTTGTCCCGCGATGAGAGGCACCTTCTCGTGGTGTGGGATGTCAAGCCGCGTACGCGGTGAGCTGAGTCCTCTCGAGGTAGATTCTGTAGGTCAAAGCATTTTGTAGCAACACTGAATATGAATGGTAACGAAATTGGTTCCAAGCCTCAGACCTTTTGTGAAATGAACCATTCTGTGACTAGTCCTTGGACAGTATATGTGCACGAGGACAGCTCAAATTTATTTCACGATTCTCGTCACTGACTTGTTCTAGTGACATACACGTAAGTGTGTTATGTCCTAGTGGCATAAGTCACCCGTCTCATGACTCCTATTATCATGGCATGGAAAGAAAGAAGAAGAAAAGGCTGGAGAACGAAATATACCTAGGTATGTGCCACTGCCCGGAGCAGCTGAACACGGTCCTCACGTGACACGTGTCTTTCTTCTCAGGACTGTTTTTCGGTGGTGATGGTCGTGAGACCTGCATGCCGTTTCTCGCCGTCGACAGAGTCGTAATAATTCAAGTCGCCAGCGAGCAGCTACGACATTGCTCTCATATGCAGGCGTCTAGGTTGTGGTTGGCGCGCGCTTCAATCAGGCCCGGCGTCGCTTATCGACATGGGCTTGGCAATCTGATCGGATCGCTCGATCAAGAACGCGTCGATCTTGCCAATGCTCGTTGCTTTCCCATGGCCGTCCTCCGCTAGTGCAGCTGCAAGTTCACGAGATGCGCCTGGATGCTGTGTTGAGGACCAGCTGAAGTTGTTGGCGGACAGTAAAGCCGCATTCAGACGAGCTCGAAATATGCTCAGAAGAACGCGATTTGGCGCCAGATCTCGGAGATCTGCCTCCGCGATCGATCGGCATGTTCCTGACAGAAGATCATGACGTTGCTATGCACTGTCCACCCGTCATGATGACCGTGGCTATTCCAGCCGCTGTCAGAAAATATGTCTGTTTCAACAGTGCTTGACCATATGGCTGACAACTCGTGTCTATCACCATCTCAACCACGCTACAACGCTTGATGGACAGCAGCAGATTCGACAGAGACGTCGAGCAGCACGGCTCAAACATGTCGCAGAAGGCGCTCAATCAAAAAGATGGCCGCAAGAGGGTGCTCATCGTTGGCGCAGGTGCAGCTGGGTAAGATTACTTGCAAGCCTCAGAACAATGGCTAACAATGCCCAGCATGGCCGCTGCATACCACCTCTCCAATCATCCCGACAAGTTCGACGTGAACCTCATCGACGCCGTGGACTACTGTGGGGGCCAGGCATTCTCCATGCCGCTTGATAAAGAGAAGCATGGCGCAAGCTGGTTCAACCAAGGTGTACAGGGAGGCAGCTCGATCTTCCACCACACCCTCACCATGTTCGCGAGACAGGCTATCACGCCGACCCTGTCAACCTGCAAGTCTCGTTCGGCAAGGACAAGTTCTTCTGGACCAATGTGTTCCCTACCGAATTCATTGCCAGCCATCAGAAAGAGGTCGGAAGACTGAACTTCGTGCTCAAGTTCATGCGGTACTTCGAGCTACTGTTCGCTCTCGTGCCCATGAAGATCTTCTTCAAGATGTTCCTCTTCTCTACCGAGTTCACCAACGTGGTCGCATTGCCCATGACCGCCTTGTTCCTTGGAACAGGAAACGCAACCCCGGAAGTACCCACAATCATGCTGGAGCGCCTAACAACGAGTCCCACCTACGGCATGTGGTACCCTGGCGACAAGCACAGCGTGGTCAGCAACAAGCCCGACATGGTGGTCTTCCCCAACTTCTCCGACTTCTACGAATCATGGCGCAAAGACCTCGTCGCTCGCGGCGTCAACGTCCGCCTCTCCACCGAAGTCGTGCACATCCACAAGCGAGACTCCTCCGGCGTCACCCTGTCCCTCAAGAAGCGCACACCCGCCCCAGACGGCCACAACCCCAACAGTTGGGAGACCGGCGACCGGGACGCACCCCTCTTCGAAGAACAATACGACGAAGTCATCCTTGCTTGCCTCAGCGACACCAGCAAACGCCTCCTCGGCAAGACCGCCTCTTTCCGCGAGAAGAAGGTCCTGGGCACAGCCAAGTTCTCCGACGACATCACCATCACCCATAACGACTCCGAGTACATGAAGAAGCACTACCAGAATTTCTACGACGAGAAGCTGGCAGTTAAGTCCCTATCAGGCAAGGATCAATCCTCTCGTGTGGACTGGGCGAAGAAGAATTTCCGGCCCATGTACTACATTAAGATGTACGATCAGGACCAGTCCAAGCTCGAGATGTGCTTTGACACCACGAACTACCAATCTCAATTCCCAGAGCATGTCCCATTCGAGCAGCACGTCTTCCAGACGATCTACCTCAACAACGACCGCGACCGAAAGCTATGGCCGATCGACGAGATTGACGAGTCCAAAATCATCCGTAAGGACTGGTGGCATCAGCTATGCCATAGCTGGACGCACTACGCGTTCGTGGTGCCGCTGATGATGTTCCTGCAGGGCAAGAAGCATATCCGCTACGCCGCGTCGTGGACACTGGTCAATGCGCACGAGGTCGCTATCTTGTCGGGCATTGCTGCTGCCGTCGACTTAGGCGCAGAGTATCCTGAAGATCTGGAGCACGATAAGTTCGCATTCTTGTGCTTCAGGCTGTACTACCTGTTGGCGTATGGGAAGTGGTATAAGCGCAGGTTCCAGGGTAGCACGAGCCAGAAGGCGAAGGATGGTCAGAGCTGGGCGAATGGGATTTATGGGAGTGATTATCAGGGACCGGGGTTGAGTAAGGAGGAGAGGAGTTGTTGGAAGCAGGAGATGAAGGTTGGGAGGAGTACCGGAAACTTGGCGGATGCGTATGGGTATAAGGATGGGAGGAGTCAGCCTTGATGTCGGTAAATGAAGGTTGAATCGGATCAGGTGGCATAGATAGGTATTTCTAGATAGCAACGTATATTTATTGGACAGATCTTGGCAGACCGGATGACCACTCCTGCCGGCTGAACATGGACCTGTCATTTGTCTACCATTTCCCAACTCTATGAACCCAATTCTCAGAATGCCAGGTTGAGGTCCCAACCTGTCCATATCCAGCCAATCTATGCTGCCTGACGAAGCCCACCATCAGTCCACCAGAGATGTACACGTATCGGAGCTCGACATCATCAGCACCACTCCCACAGGCCGTGATCATCCATGCCCTCTGGGGCGCCTAATTAAACACCACAGTCTTCGTCTGGTTCAAGAATACCCTTCTCTCACTCCACCATTTGACCGCACTCGCCAGGACCTGCGTTTCCACCGTCGCGCCCCTATCTACCAGATCCTTAGCGCTCTGTGCATGCCCCACGTGCGTAACCTGCTGCTCAATAATCGGGCCCTCGTCCAAATCCTTGGTCACGAAATGCGCCGTCGCGCCTACAATCTTCACACCTCGGTCGTACGCCTGATGGTATGGCTTGGCACCTTTGAAACTCGGCAGAAAGGAATGGTGGATGTTGATGATTCGCCCGGACATCTCGGCGCAGAGGTTTGGGGTCAGGATCTGCATATACCGTGCTAGCACGACGAGTTCGATGTTGTGCTCTTTGATGAGTGAGAGGATTTTCGACTCCTGGGCGTCTTTTGACGTCGGGTCCTTGGCGGAGATGGGGAGGTGGTGGAAGTCGATTCCATAGGACTTTGCCAGCGGCTCGAAGTCGGGATGGTTGGAGACGATGACGGGGACGTCGACGTTCAGTAGACCGGCGCGCTGGCGGTAGAGGAGGTCGTTGAGGCAGTGGCCGATTTTGGAGACCATGATTAGGACTTTGGGTTTGAGGGTCGAGGGGTGGATTTGGAAGGTGGTGTGCAAGTTCAGGCTGTTGAGGGGTTGAAGGAGGTGGGAGGTGTCGTCGACGTGGCCGAAGTGGACGCGCATGAAGAACGTTTTGGTGTCTGGGTCGGAGTATTGCTGGAGGTCGAGGATGGTAAGTTGGTAGTGGGCTAACACACCCGTGACCGCGTACACAATGCCGGCTTTGTCGGGGCAGGTGAATGTTAGGAGGTGAGTCGCCATGTTGGCGGTGTCTGGTGAGGTGTTGCTCGTGGCGGCGACTTGGCTGTACCGTCTCCTGGAGCTCGAGATGGAGCTGTAACGTTTGAGGAACGGATCTATTCCTGGTCGAGTTTGCCAGTGTGTTGTAGTGACGCCGAGGCAGGGCCAGCTGCTTACAGTAGTAGTCGCTCGAGGTTTGGTTAGGCCGCGCAGCAGTCCAAGAGCAACCGGGTGAGCTTTGCTCTTCATCTAGAATATGGCACGTCTTCCGCAACGGGAACAGGAGCAAGGATGTTTTTGATCGCCGGGGTTCGGAGGCCAAGATTTTGTGGGGAGAGCACCTGGCAGGCCAAAATATTGACGTCGCTTACCTAATCTTGCCTGCGTTTTTTGGACCTTGTTCTTGCTCTTCCTGTCCTTCCATCTTACATTGATCAATAATCGGGAGGCCGAGTCCTTTCCATGGGGTCAGATTGATCTTTGCGAGGCGTGCGAGAAACACGGCCTTGTTCCGCTAGCTCGTCCTAAGTCCTCGCAAGCTGAGGATCAGACGCCATAGACCAACCGTGCAAGTGGAGTGCATATCCGTGTTGCTTTAAAGGACTGCGAATGGAATCGATCGCGCATAGTCCCTTCATCGGGCTCCGATGGGACATAGCGCCTATATAGTCCACAATTTGGACTGCCTAACACGAGAATCACTTCTTGCGTAATGCAGACAAACTCTGTTTGACGCGAAGGATCATGAGAGTGATAGCTCTGCCGAGCTTGGAGCTGAATCGGCAATACGAGTTGACATGAGTCCAGAACTTCTATAACAACATGGCAGCCCGCGTTCTGTGTCGTTCTTTCTTTTTGTTGGAAACAGATCGCCATGGCTTCCAATACCGCAGGACTGTCGTACGTCAAGGCTAACGACTATGGATTTGCTTACCAGAAGATCAGTACATCCGAGACAAACCCTCCTCTCATCCTAGTGCATGGTCACATCTCCGACTATCGTACCTGGACCGCCATTATCCCATTTCTCTCCCAGCACTTCACTATCTACAACTACTCCCGGCGCTTCGCATGGCCGAACGAGCCAATTCCAGACGAGCACGCTCCCAGATGGGAGCAAGACGCGGAGGACCTGATCGCTGTCATTCAAGCTCTGGACATCGCTCCATGTCATGTCCTAGGCAATAGTTCCGGCGCGTTTGGCATCCTCTGGGCGGCGAAGACTCACCAACACCTGTTCAGGTCAATTCTACTAGAGGAGCCGCCCTTGGTGCCTCTCTTTTACCCTACTCTTCCACCTGGCTTGTTGGATACCCTGAAGTTCTTCATCACACACCCCATTTCCTTCTTTCCCGTTACTTACTACGGGGCCGCAACGATCGGCCCAGCCGTGGAGTTTGCGAAGGCCAACCCGACAGACTATAATGGCACCGTTGACATCTTTGGTCCGGGTGTCTTAGGAGCGGAGTTCTGGAAGCGTGCCAAGACAGATCCAGCTCGCCGCCAACAATTCGAGGACAACGCGAAGTGGCTGCACAACTTCTTCGGGAAGTCTGCTATACCTGTTTATAGACCAGAAGATGTGGGCAAGGTCACCGTGCCGGCGCTGGTCCTGACCGGGACGGATGGGCCATGGAGTCAGCAGTGTATCGATTCGGAGTTGTTCAGGCTGTTCAAGGCGGCGGGCAATGGCAAGAAAGACAGGGCATGGATCAAAGGGGCTGGACACCTCATGCAAGAGGATGAGCCTGAGAAGGTGGCGGAGGCTGTGAAGCGATTTGTGCTTGGGATTTGATCTGGTGGCATGCAGGCTCCGTTTGTGCGAATACTGGAAAGGACTGCGGCCCAGACATTGATGCTTCGGGCACGGGTGTTGCCTAGACTTGCTGTCATTGAGTTTCGACGAACGCAACAGACGATCGAGCCCACACATCAATCGACTTTAATGACCATACAGGCAAGTTTTGACTGTGAGCAAATTCCAGGCACCAACAAGCAAAGCTCTCTCAACAGATAGGTAAACAGCCAGTGAACACAGCCTCTCTGGTATTTCCCTCACCTTTCTCGCTGAGTTGTGGCATCCTTGAGCTCATCTTTGTTCCACCTATCATGTTGGCACGTACCAAGCTCACCTCACCGGCGGTCCAGTTGTCCTTCCCCACTCGCCGAGAAATGAACTTGAAAGAGCATACAAGCAGACTTCCACAAGCAGCATAGCACAGTTTTTGGAGAGCTTTTCACATTATAAAGCTGGCCCACTCCCCCAGAGGCTTTGTTTCTCAGCCCTGAATCAAGTCCAACCACAAGTACAAAGCAAAGCAATCGCTAAGCCATGGCAAAGACGAGAGCACTCAGCGAGACCGCTTCGACGGGAGATGCTGTCAACACAGCGTCCCTTATCGCCACCAATCGTTCGAGACGTTCCGAACGCCTGCGTATCGTAAGTGCCCTCTTCTTTAATGACCCAAGCCCGGATGCGAGACTGACGTCAAACTCCTCGCAGAAACGAGTCGAAAAGACAAAGACCGACTACCTCTCCCGCCTCCCCCGCGAGATCCTCGCCCGCATCTTCGCCCACACTCTCCCCAATACCCGCCACAACAAAACCATCATGGTCAAGCCTCGTCAGCCAGGCGACAAATCCTACCGCGGCTACCCCACCTTCGATTGGTCCTTGGGCCCTCCCGACTACTACTGGGTCTTGTGGGACGGTATGAGAGGAGGCTTTCTCCCCCATGTCAAGGGCTTCGCCGCGCTCGTACTGGTCAGCAAGTTCTTTCGTGGTCTTACTACGGAGTATCTGGATCCGAGGGATAGTTGGATCTACTTCACGGGTGAGTATAGGTCTAGAAGGGAGGCGATGGAGTTGTGGGTTGAGCGGGCTGGATGGCGGAAGGGGGTGGATGGATTGGTGAGGCATGAGGAGTCGAAGGCGCGGTATACTTGAGTCCGCACGCAAAGCAATCGCACACTCTTGGCCGCAAATCGCAATCGGCGGACAGACGGTGTCAGGCTATTCGGGCATGAATTGGGCGTTTCCAGCCCATGTCCACTGGAAATTTGAGAGTTCAGGTCAGGGCGGGCTTTGAAGAACAAGGTCTTCTTGCAGATCGAGCCAGCAGAGTTGAGATGAGCCTCACTTGAGCATTACGACGCTGGCACGATCCAACATCAGTTGTCTTGTCAGGGAGGATACTGTAGGAGGTCGTGGCGTCTCCGTTAGACCTGGAGAGAATGCTCATGTCTTGGCCGAACAGCTTGGGTGTTACTACTGTGACTTCCGCTGCTGCGGTCTCGAGGTCTACGAAGGCATGACGATGAGGTCCAAATGGGTCGACGATGCGGTCAGCATACGATTGCGCTCAGCACCGATGTAGTTGTCCTGCGGCTTGGATTAACTTCAGGCTGAGCTGGGTAGTTTTGACGACAGTGGCTATTACCAGCACATAACGGAATGAAATGACTCTGAGTTAATGCTTGCTCACGCCCCCATCCCGTGGGGAGTCTATGATGCTTGATCCAAGTAGCAGATTTTGTTCGACCTTCGCTGATGTCGATCTCGCCACCCTGCCGCGCGAGTTAACGAGTTGTCTAGTGCAGCTGATCTGCCTCCGATGGCTGTCTACTTGGCATAGCTACGGCCGAGTCGCGGTTGGCATCATAACGAGACCAGCCTTGGGTTGCCGGATGACGGTCGCCGACGGTTACTCCCGATCTTTGGGTGTTCATCGCCAAAAGCTCCCTCGCTTCTGCCACAACTCCATCATCTTCATAGCCTTCAATGTCTTAGCTCGCCTCCTGCGACGATCCTCAGCGTTCACCTTCCCCTCACAGCGATGACAACCCTTATCAATCGCCAATGCCCGTCTTCTGTGTATCAGTGGCCGTAGGATACGATTCAAGTCTTTGCAGACCCGCAACAAGCCGCCCACATACTGATCATGCGCTTTCCACTCGTCCATCCACGTGTGTTTTGCATTCGTCAGTCTGCTTTGCCCTTAGTGAAGGAAGACGAGTCACTGTTTCTGGCGGAAGAGGCTGATCTCGGTTGAGATCGTCTATCGTATCATTCTTGACTGATCACAGCTTGCGCAAACAGCGTGCTGACGAAGCCTCAAGTTCAAACGCACTGTAGCGATATCCAATACGTACCCTGGCTCGTTGAGAGTAGCTCCCGCGCGACTCTGAACAGGAGTCGAGCCTGCGTCTGCTATGATCCAAGTCTGACTAGTCGTCGTCAAGACCGTGTGACCCCACTCGCATTCTTTGCTTAGCCTGAGCACGAACTGCGATGAAGCCGCCTGCATGGAGTTCACTGCCACAGTCGTAGACATCTCGCCTCAAAGGTGCAAGGCGTGCCTTTCAGTATTCATCCGCAATGATTCTCTCCCTCCTCGTAGCGCGCTGAGTGATGATAGGCATGGCGATGCGATAGATCAGCTTCGACGCCAATCGCAATTCGAAAGCCCACGGAATGTTCCACCCTTCTCGCAGCTTTACAGGCTCGTCGATCAGGATGTTCCATTCCCACAAATGCTCGTAGACCATATTAGACGGAAGCGCCCTAGAGAGTATTTGCTCCAGGATCTCGGTGGGCAAGCTCAATAGGTCGGTCTTGGATGCCTGCAGGGTATTAATGAGTTTTCGTAGCTTAGTATGCAGACTTGAGGACCTACCGTTTCATCAGGCCTATCAACTACGCCGCGCAGAACCTTGGAGCCAATTCCCTTTTTCATCGTGGTTGGATGTCGAATAAAATAAGGCAGACTGTCTGTAGCGCTCCAAGGAGAGTGGCAATAAAGCCAAATGATGTCGAGATCGGAAAGGTGGACCAACGTCTTGGCAGAGAGTGCGACCGCATGCTAGCTTTGGATGAGCCTTGGAGCATGTATCGATTTCCAGCAATCGTAGTCACCACAGGGCTTCCATCGATTCGACTGCGGCACCTTTGGTTCCAGCGCCTTCCGGACTTGACTGTCTAGAGTCACATAAGACCACGTTCCGTCTGCTGGGCCGATCTGCATGATGATCTCGGAGATCGCGTGATTGTAGGTCCCTCGGGGTCGGAGAACCTCAATGACGTGCTTAGAAGAGTAGATGACTTCGTGCGCGACGGAGTTGATCTGCTTCGAGACAAGAAGCCATCCTCCGATCCATGCATCTGTATCTGGCCAGATGAGTCCCAACAGTTTGCCGCGGTGGTCTTTGATTCGCGCACAGCTGGTCCCATTTGGGAAGCTGAAGGCGATGATCTTCCTCAGGATCTCGGTTGGCAGATGCTCCAGGTCAGGCGGGTGTTTGTGCTGCACGGTCGTTAGCGAGCTGCATGACGAACAGAGCGGATCAAGTACTGGTGGCGGAATCAGGGCGCCGGAATCTGCATCTGTAGAAGCCATCCGGCTTATCTTGGCGACGACTTCGAACGATTAGGACTAATCAAAGTAGCCAGCAGACAGTGGCTCGGATGTACAGCCGGCTATCAACGAGCGCCGGTGGCATTCACGGATTCCAGAAGTCGGTGACGTTGTTGTTGTTCGACAGCCCTTCAAGTCCGCCTGTATACATTCACTAATACCACACACTGCCGATGAGTATAGTATACTTCAGTACACGCAGTATGTCACATAGCACTGTTGTTGCTCATGAATGAATACTTAGAATGTTTGTGTTACGTGTAGGACGCGAAGTCTCGTCGGTACAGCTTCTCCACCACGAGGAATTGTGGGACCCTGCCAAGGCGGCGGCGCGTATCTGCATTGATCGCGACTTCCGCACCATTATCTACCCAGGTATCTTCGTAGCGTCCTCCCCAAACTGATTCGTGGAGTCTGGGACGGCCGCTGACGCTCCTCGGAGTCCTCCCTGCCCAGCCGCATCGCGTTACATTTGGTCCTAATCTCCTGGTCATCGAGTTCGTCTTCCTCCATGTCTCTCAACTTCTCGATCGTAAAGACCTGAAGTAAGGTCGGGTGAATGACTCGGCGGCGAAGATCGAGGATTGGCAGGACGATATCATGGATCTTCTTGTTGAGAAGCTGAAGCCGAGCCTCGATGTCGACCCACTTCGTTGCCAGGTAGCTACCGGTCTCATCCTCCTTCGTTGATTGAGTGCAGAGAAGTCGATGAGAAGGGATCGCATCGGACATAATCTTTACGAGGATCTCGACGGGCATGCTGGCGAGAGCGAGCTCTGGCTTGTCCTCCTATGTGTTAGCTGGGCAGACATGAGGCAAGTCAGACTTACCCATGCTGGAAGCATGGTGTCGTCTCCAGCCATGACTGGGCTCGTAGAGTTCGCGTGTGTGATTGTTTGCTTGGATGGAATTTGCTGGAGGTTGGAAATCACTTTTATAGCTGGAGGCTCGGCACACGCCCAGGTCAACGGGGAGGACGCTGGCAGTACCGTGAGCAGTGTTTCCTTCTGCTACAGATGTAAACAGCGTGTGGATTCACAGTGGCAGAGGCCTCCCCAAATTGTTTGGCTGTCACCGAGAGATAGAAGCTTGCTTGACAAAGCAGTGTTCATCCATTATTATCCAATGCTTCAAAGACCATTCTTGATGCTTTCCCTGTCAACACACGCACCCCGTGTGCTGACTTCTCATGACTGCATGAAGACCTCCTCGTAGACATGGAAGACCATAGGTGTGTTTTGCAAATTGACTCCAAATTCATGGACCTGTTCACTGCTCAGAACCATCCGTCTCACCCTCACAGTTGTCCGATTTCCTCTTTAGAGCCTGCCCAATCCATGAGCTTTCGAAGGCCTCACGTGTGACGAATCGACCACCTATGATGCCCTGCCAACCGCACATCGTTATCACTTCCCGCTCTCGGATGACCATCTTGGCCATTCCGCTGACCGATTTGCAGACGACGAGAAGCCCGATCACCCAATTCGGCTCCCACATGACGCTATAGCTCCGACGACCTAGCCATTGTCGGCTTTCGCAAACATGGAACTCCACGATCTCTGGAAGAGCCTCGCAAAGAATGCGCTCGAGCATCTCGATGGGCAGCTGAGCAAGGTTCGCAACGGGCTTGTTGCACTTCATCCCGTCAGCATAGTCTGTGGTAAATGCATCTCACGGGACTCACCAAGGCTCGTGTCTGCGATCTTGTCACCGCCATGGTGGTTGGACGAGCTCGTGGAATCCGAGAAGTTATTGGGTGGCTTTGACTGTAAGACCAAGCGGCAAGATGTCGAGATTGTGCTCTTGCTGCTTGTTCATTGATTCAAAGTGCAGAAACGCATTAGGAGCAATTTGATATGAACAAGGCGTTTGGCTTGTAAGTGCCAAGAAATCAGGCAACTTTTGACAATAGCCTGGGACCATTACACTGAATGGCTGAACATGATCATGATCTCTTGACTGTGAATGGACGAATGCCCTGTTCAATTGCAGCCCAACACTATGTTGTTACCATTGAAGTATCATTGTCATACCTTCACGTGAATCTCTTCACTATCTCGATCGGCCTTTCTGGACTGCTCGATCTCTTCCAACCGTCTCTCGGTGAGGTGATCTCTTTGTCGTCGAATGCCATATCTCTCGAGGCCATAGTGCTTCTCCAGATAGATGATGACTCGTCGGTGGAATGTTGGGCGCACCAGATCTGGCCAATGTCGCGCGACACGCGTCAAACCCTCCATCCAACGAGGCACCCACTCCAGGAAGACCATCTCGATACCGTCGATCTTCGTGATGCTGGTCTTGGGGATGGCAAGATCCAAGATGTACTGACGGATCTCAGTCGGGAGGTCTTCGAATGTTGTTGCGGATCTTGCCTAGATTTGCCGTCAGCTGGATATCCTTCCCGAGCAGAAAGACACAGAGGTTTGCACGTACCAGTGATGGCATTCGGTTGACCGTCGAAGCATTCATTTTGCCACACAGACTCTTATTGAGTATGTAGAGCTTGGAGTCGCGCCTGACGATGGATACAGGGGCCGAGTTTTGAGGTGCTTAACACTAAGGTTCAGCCTCCCGACACACGACTTCATGTGAAGCTCGAGATGCCCGGTCGATCGCTCCTGCTAGAACACCCTCACTTCACCTCGCTTCTCGCCACTTGAAGCCCCCAAGTGAGTCCAGACAAGCTTATTCATGTCGGTGGGCTTCTCGAACTTGACCACCTTTGGCTCGCCTGGCATAACGTCGAAACCGTTGTCACTCAGCCACCCTCCGTCTTTGACCTCCTGGAAAACAAAGCCCTTCACGGGACACTTTGCTGTAAGCGTCACTTCGTTTCGACTTTCACTGACAACTAGCTGGAGGCCTCTGGCGCTGAAACTGAGATACTTGATCGGATCGGGCCAAGCCGTGTCCGTGCTGAGGACCTCTCCTGTGTTGGAGTCCGTGATCTTGACGTAGATCACGTACGGGTCTCGCTTGGACAGATCGAATGGCGCAATGCCCTTCCGGTGCTTTGTTGGGTATCTCAGCCAGCCCGCTTGGTCCCACACCCAAGTGGACTCGTCTTCGACGACGACCTTCTCATGTGTAGACGGCTGCGTTGGAATCTCTGCTTCGACCTTCATAAGCTCGGTCGTGCCATTTGCTGAGATCTTCACGCCTTGCTTCATGATCTTCTTTGCAATATCATTTCCGTGTGTGATCGAGATGAAGCGGACTTCCAGATCCACAGTCTCCTCCCGAACAGAATTGCTCGACACCCAGACCTCGTATCCACGTTCGTTTAGACCAATTGTCGGATCATCGTGCCCACGCGTCCACGGGTGATAGGGACGCTCGACACCGACCACCAGGCGTGTCAAACAGCGCTTGATGGCGTAGTAGCTCGGTTTTGGAATCAGATGATAGTCTACCACAGCCCAGCTCATGGTCGGCCAGCAGTCATTGAGTTGCCAGACAAGGACGCCGCCACATTGCCGCTCGCCCGCTTTGCCCCATTGGCGACGCCAGGATCGATAAGCATTGGTCATGGCATCCGCTTGGACAAGTTGTGTGAGATGTGTGAACCGCGCCAGGTCGTAGTCGATAGCGAAATTTTCGCTGACATAGGTGATCAGCCTGCGTTCATGATCGATTGCGCGATTGCGATAGTCCATCAAAATGCTGCCGGGATGCTGCTGAAGGGGATCGGTGACAGACGAACGGATTGTCTGTAGATGCGGATAGCCCTCCATGCCGAACTCACTCACAAACCGTCCTGACATGCTCGCGGCTTGCTGGTAGCGGTTCATAGTACCGTGCCAAATATTCCACTGGTGGATGTCGCCCACTGTTGGATCGGCTGTCGGCTTTCCATCGCCCCATGGCGACGAAGGGTGATAGATAGCGGTAGAATCTTCCTCCACTACGATCTTTGGCAGGAGGTGCTCATACAGAAATCTCGCAGGGAAGGTTGATTTCAACCACGACTCGGGATCTTTGTCTTCGAAGTTGTAGTCGAGCTGATATTTCTCCTGGATCTGATAGTCCTCATTATTCCCTGCCCAAATGACCAAGGAGGGGTGGTGTCGGAGTCGACGAATGTTGTACCTAGCCTCGTCTTCGAGCTGCTTCAAGAATGATGGATATGTCGGCGATGACTGACATGCCATACAGAAGTCCTGCCAAGCGAGAATTCCCAGCTCGTCACATGCGTCGAAGAAAGCGTCATCTTCGTACACTCCTCCACCCCAAACTCTGATCATGATCTGGTTGCCCTGGATCATCAGCTTCATCCAGTCACGATACCTCTGAAGAGTGATGTCAGGGATGAAGCTATCAGCGGGTATCCAGCATGACCCTCCAGCAAAAACGTCGACCTCATTGATCCTAAAATAGAAAGACTTTCCAAATCTGTCAGGCTGCTGTACCAGTTCGACTCGCCGGAACCCTATAAGCTTGGACGCGGAAGCAGAAGCGGACTGGTCTGTGACGAGAGTTGCCTTCAGCTCGTATCGAGCCTGGTCTCCATACCCACCTGGCCACCACAATTTCGGGTTCTCAACCGAGTAGTCGCACTTCACCAGACCGTCGGCGTCACAAGCTGTGTCCTGTTCGAAGATTGACTTTCCATCGAATGACAACCCCAGGCGCACCTTGGCCGGCTTCGCAGGGAAGATCCGCGCAAGGAGCTGACCGCTGACTCGCTGGAGGGTCGGGTCGACCTCTGACTGGTGCCAGACATCGTCCACCCTGACAGAGTAGGTCTCGAGGTAGACACTTCGCCATATACCGGCGGTCATGATTATAGGTCCCCAGTCCCAGCCCCAGTGATACTGAGCTTTCCGGACAGGGAGACGACCTTTTTCTGTCTGGTGGGCGATGAAACGATGTTCGTGCTCGTGCTCCTTTACCAGTTCACGACCTCGGATCATAGCAGGTGCAAAGTCCACCACAAGCTCATTCTCTCCGTCCTGCTTGAGCTTTTCACTGACATAGATGCGATATTCGAGGAACATATTGTCGGCTTCCAAGATCTTTTCCCCATTCAGCGCGACCGTAGCGAGCGTATCTAGTCCCTTGAAAACCAGGTCTGTGACTCCATTCTCCCCAGCTTTGGGCGAGACGAAGGATGTCTTGTATGACCATGTCCGTTCACCTACCAGCGAGAGCAGAGATCGTTCATGTCAACAAATGGATCCGGGATCAAGCCATGATGCTGCAAGTCTCTGTGTATAGTCCCTGGCACGCTGAGAACTGGTCGCCAGGCATCCTCTGGCGACGCCCCGTGCTCTCTGAACGACCAGCCGTCGTGAAGTTCCTGTCGCTCGATCATGTTGCTAGCTGTCGTTGCGTAGAATCACAAGTGCTTCATTTTACGTTCCTGTGTCGCTGGCAATGCGACGCCCTCTGGCATTCAAAACATTGAGACCCAATACTAGCTCGGACCTCGGACACGCGCAGGAAAGCAAAGAGCGACAAGGTCACGCGTGCTCCACCTCATCCCACAGCTTCTGGTAAGGTAGTGATGGAGTCGTTGGGGTTGTTGTGGGGGTTTGGTCCTGAACAGCGGGCGCACTGATGGGCTGTGTCGCACTGCTGGCGCAGGTTGGCCTGAGAGATTCTGAATACCCACGCAGCATCGGAAGTCAGCGGCGCGTTCCAAGCCGCTAGAACGGCATTGATGTGCTAGCTAAGATCGTTCAAGCTGTACCTAAGCAATCGTGACCGGGGAGTGTCCGGCACTTAAATAATGGGACTTCTCCAAGGCTTCCAAGGTTCTCCAATTCCTGTCAGGAGGAACTCAAGAATGGTCATTTGAAGAGGGAGTTACCACGCAGATCAACGACGGCGTGGACCACCATGGGCTCTGTGCCTTGGTCGACATGTACTAAGAGCTCTTGCTCATCGCTTGGGGTCCTTGTACTGGACCATCGGTGAGCCCTTCGACCGCGATCTGCGGTCGCGCCTGAAGCTCTTTGTTTCCGTGACAGAAACACGATTGCTCACCAAGGCGACATCGATTGCGGCACACCTTCAAGGTCAGGACAGTCAATGGTGAGCGCCAGCATGACCATACTCAAATCCCGTCGCGTCGCTGATGTTGTTTAAATCGGCCATCGATACTTTGGACGACTTGGGCGGCAGCAACTTTGTGATTTGATGCCAAACTGTGAGGTTCCAAGGTTACTGTCGACTTGAGCTCGAATTCTTCGTCGTCTTTACAAATCTGCCGATCTTCGCCCTCGTTCCCTCTTCCGTCGGCGACGTTGCATTGTCACACCACTCATTTGCAGTCCCCCACAGGACCCAAATGTACATCCTGGCCCATTCACGGGATTCGGCATTGTCTGCAGCTGCAAAATATATTGCCCACGGGGGTGGATGCGCGGGCCTGTCTCGGTCATCAGCAATGGGCCTCGCAGCGATAGCAGTGCGGGGGTTAGGGCCAGCATGGTGCCCTGGAGACTCGACGACTGATAAAGACGAGTCAGTCCCAGATTCGTGGGACCGGGACTGCTGAGTCCCATTGTTCGAGTGAGACTAGACCTCTACTATGGCGGACAAACGCAACGACGACATGGCCGAGCGTAAGGCGAGCATCGACAGCGACTTGAAGGTGGTCGAAGCCAAGGAATATGAGGGCATCAACCTCGATATGGCACAGATTATGGACGGCCCGGACAAGCCAAACCCGTTCGGACCTGGCTACCTGAAGTTGTATGCTCTGGTCGCGCTTCTGATCATGAATTCAACAATGAACGGTTTCGACACCTCAGTCATGTCGTCCATCAACGCCCTCCCGAATTACGTCGAGTACTACGGCCTACCAAGCAAGGGAGCCGCGTCAACGGGTATCGTGTTCGCTATCTGGCAAATTGTACGTATTCATACGAATCTGAATCGGGCAAGACATTAGTCTCCCGCTTCTGGTTCTGCCCGATAGATGTTCAGTCTAACAGGTGCATTAGGGTCAAATGGTTGGATCCCTATTCACGTGGCTGGCAGATTGGCGAGGCCGCAAGTTCATGATCACATTCGGTGTGCTGGGCGTCATGATTGGTACTGTCATCACAGCAACGGCTCCAACCCTCGGAGCCTTCATTGGCGGCCGATTCATCTTGTCTTTCTTCGCTACACTGGCACATCTCGGAGCTGTGATCTATGTGGTTGAGATGGCTCCCACGCGGTACCGAGGCACCGTGGCCGGGCTGTACAACACATTCTACTATTTCGTATGTTCTCTACAGATCCCTCCCATCCTATTGTTGACAAGTCCTAGGGCTCGATTCTGGCCACATCGGCTGTGTATGGAGCCCACCTTCATCTGTCCGACCGAGGCAACCTGGATTGGCGCCTACCACTTTGGCTGCAAATGGTTTGCCCTGGCCTCGTCGCTTGCGGCATCTGGTTTTACCCAGAGTCGCCCCGATGGTAAGCATCAGTTATGCACGTTGACAACGAAGTCCTTCTGACAGGTGCAGGCTCCTCATGAAAGATCGGACTGAAGACGCTCAACGTGTTCTCACACGCTACCACGCCAACGACGTTCCTAATCATCCGCTCGTAGAGCTTGAGGTCCGCGAGATAGTTGCCTCGCTTCGCGATGAGCCACCCGTCACGGAATGGAAGACATTCTTCGACCTGCGTCAGCTCGTCAAGACCCGTGGTCGACGGTACCGTCTCGCCCTCAATGTCACCTTTGCCTGGTTCTCACAATTCTCCGGCAACAACGTGATATCATACTACTTGCCGTCCCTGCTGAAGAACGTTGGCATCACCTCGACGAACCTGAAGCTCCTCTTGAACATCATTTATGCTATCGTTGGCTGGATCTTCTCGACCGCAGGTGCCAACTGCCACGATCGCATTGGACGCCGCAAGATGTTTCTGATCTCTACCATGGGAATGGTCATCTGTCTGGCCATAACTGCCGGCACAGCAGCAGATTTCGACAATACAGGGAACAAGAGTTCTAGCAGTGCGAGTATTGCTTTCATCTACGTGTTTGGCGCCGTCTTCAGCTTCGCCTATACGAGCATGCAGCCTATCTATCCGACAGAGATTATCAGCAACGATGCCCGAGCAAAGGGTGTGATGTGCTACAAGCTCACTGGAGGCGCTTCCGGTTTTCTCAATACCTTCGTGACGCCAATCGCACTGGAAAACGTAAGTATCTCTTCTGCCTCCTATTCCTCCGGTCCTCGTGCTCATTGACTGACATGCGCCGATAGATCCGCTTCTGGTTCTACGTATTCTTCGTCTTCTGGGACTTGTTCGAGTTCGTGGTGATCTACTTCTTTTTCGTTGAGACGAAAGGTATCAGTCTGGAAGAGCTTGACGAGATATTCGAGGCGCCGAATCCTAGGAAGGCCAGCACCGCGGTGAAGCGGATGCAGAAGCGTGTCGTGGTTGACGCAGATGGCGAGGTCAGGGAGGAGGAGATCAAGCATGCTTGAAGACCATTGAGTCTTGGCCGATCTTGCTTCAGTTTACGAAGCGAGCAGTATTAACTCGACTGTGTACACCAAGATTGCATATAAACACACGCACCAGATGTCGCGAACTCGGGGCTGGTAGAATAGTAATCCATGTCATCTTGCTTGCTGGCAGACCGCCGTTGCTGCTGTTGATCTGGACATCATGTTGTCGCCGCTTTCATTGCCAGACTCCTCGCCACCGCCATCGTCGCTGAACTGATTGAACTCTCTTCGTGAGCATCATTCGTAAGCTTCGTGTACTGCTCATACGGTGCGACCTTCTGGTCAATTCAATACTGCAGGCTCCCGGAAAGCATATCCACACACGGATCATGAATTGTGTCATTGAGGCGGGTGGCGGACCATAATCATGGCAACTTCTGCCGATGAACAGAATGACACTCATTGAACTAAGATGAATTCTCGATATGTCCTTAAATGGTATGTACGTCCAGTGTTTCCCGTTATACATTATCGTCGAATGTGTGCCTAGTTTGGAAACGGTAAGCTTCACAATAACACTCGGGTTCACACTTTCAACTTGCCTGTTGATTTTCCTCTTCTCGTCTGGAATCGCGAACTTCTTTAACTCCTCCAAAGACACGACATCAAGCGCCTTCTTGTCCGTAGCAGAAAGGTACACCTTCGGACCCATGGAGGGTCCCATCTCCCGAATCGCGTCCTTGAAGTCGTGCGCAGAGATGCACGTCTTGTCGCCCGCCGCAATACCCTTGTACTTGGGACCGTCGCCGAATTCACATTGATGGAAAGCGTGGGTCATGATTGCTGCGACTGACAGATGTCGTTTGTCGTCTGGCCCGGTGCGGCAGTAGCCATCTTTGAAGAAGCCGACGCCTTGGGCGAAGAAGTTGAGCTTCTCGCCGTGGACTGCCAATACTTTGTTAGATTTCTGTGGGTGTCACTCGGCGTCTGAGCAGGACATTACCATTCTTACTGTCTTCGGCCGACATGGTGGCTCACTTCCCCAGCAAATGGTGCTGATGAGCCATCGGGAGACCGATGCACGTTCGTTGAAGTGCCGATGAACCTCAGCTATTTACTGTATGACGCGGTCCCAGACGCGTTGGCTGCCAACTTTCTTACCCCTGGTTATGTCGGTGACGTCAAAGGCTTCATGTCAATAACGCCGAGATCGCGACCGCCTTTTCATGGGTGCATCGGACAACAACATAGAGACATGGGCGGGTCGACGAAGATGTGTATATGAAATGTCATTCATGCATGCGATCCTTCTAAAAAGGCGCATATCTGTTGTCATGTCATGGGTTCAATCATGCCAGTGGTGTGAACCGCTCACACCATGACCAATTCGGTCCCGAGGTCGATCCTGCCGTAATCGCTGATACTATAAATGCGGTTCTTGCACAAATAGCAATCCGTCTGTCGGTCGCTAAAAGACTGGGAGCAAGACCTTGAGCTTCTGGAAACAGCCTCTTACCTTTATATTGATGCAACCATCACTCTGTTTCTGCTGATCTGAGCCATCATGATACGCGATTGCGCCGCATCTTTACTCTTCAGGGTAACCCCGAAGCCGGTCGTCGGGGTGACCAGAGTCTCTTCCGGATGGCGTGCTTGATTCACAACGTGGAAGCCGTGGCTTGAAGCGCGCCAACGCGAGTGTGTGTATACACTGTTTTGGGATTTGAATTAAAATCAAGCGGTAGGCATTTCGGCTGGGAAGATAACAGCTATTGAGCAATTCAGATGCAATTCACAACGCCGACATCTCAACTGCTGAATGGAGCTCTGCTCTGAAGACAGGCACCAGTACTCGTCCGAATCATCACATCATTTCGTATCTACCAGTCGCGGTTATATTCACGATGCTGAGAGGGTACACCTCCTTCCATATCAGCGTTGACAGAATTGACCTCAACAGCTTTGTGGACCTGGATCTTCCCTTGCCCCGTCGTAAGCTCTTCCTGACTACTCGCTCCGTCACTCTTGCCGTAGTCCAACACATCAACACTGGCTTGATTCTTCCTATGGCCGCGGCTGGTCTCGAGCATGGATCCAAACGTCTTCAACTCGGTTTCCGGGCCTTTTGCGCTTGCGCTTGGTTGCCGTCTGTACCCATCACTTCCATAACCGAAACGTGGAGTGCTGCCGTACGTGGCTTTGCGTGTCTTGCGTACCTCCTTCGCTGCAGTAATGAGGCCCGGTCCGCAGCCGACGATCACCGCAATCGCGGTTTCTATGATAGCCCAAAAGGCGAGCCATGACGAGGATGGCGTTGAGGCGCTCTGTGCCTTGCTGCCTATCTGTACAACTCTCACAATCGCCATCCCGATGCAGATCCACGCAGTGCCGAAGAGTACACCCATGCCAATCTTTTGAATCAGCGGTCGCTGAAGGTTCCAAATGAGACCTGGAAACACCCCATTAGAAACATGAATGGTTACAGATATTTATTACAGACCAATGGGCAGGAACATGATGAGCAAGTCGGATATAACGTCGACAGCGAAGGCATAGTACAGGGAGGCGATCTGCTTCGAGTCAGTGGCGAAGCGCGGAAATGCAGGACCATCCTACCTGCGCACGGACGTCTCTAGGCGTCGTACATTCGCCTGGTGTCCACCACGCATGCCATGAGTGACAGGACGTAAAGTTGGATACAATACATCCGGTAAGGGTCTCGGTCATGTCAGCGCAGGCATATTTGCTTCATCTTCTTGAACTCACGACAACACAGAAACCCGTCACACACCACCAAAGCTGCATGTATCGCCTCAACCCTGTCATTAGCCGGTAGTAGAGAGCTAGGAACGATGCCTTAACCAGCCTGTACGTGGTTGGCGTTGTCCAGCAGCGATATTCGGAGTCGACTGACCAGAGGGTGAACCAGAACAAGAGCGTGTTCGCGAAGAACACCTTGATCATGAACAGACTGTCGTCCAGGATCTCGGCATACGGTGGGGCCTTCCCAAGTGTCACATCGCTGATCTTGTCTATGACCTGTCAGTAAGACGATGTACCGGCGGGATCAGAGCCAGGACTCCTGGACGAGGCACTGTCTCGGCCAGATTCAGGTCGCAGGGCACTCACACATGACAGGAGTGACGACTATGTATAGGATCGTCGTGGCCAGGAACAACAAGTAGGCGAACGCAAGGATGTAGTCCTCAGCCATCAACGATTTGGGCTTCCAGATGCGAATAGCGGCTCTGCCAACGAACACCACCGATGTGATGGCGATCATGGCATAAGCGTTGATAGCAGCATGCCGGAAGTGATATAATTCTGCGAGGACGACATTGTAAGTGCTGCTGTCGAGTACTGACCGCTGTCGACAGGACGCAAAGCAGGTCGGTGTGATGCGAGTTGCCCAGGGCGCACAAAGCAATGTATTCATTTATCGAAGGTGTGCTCCAACCCTGGGTTCGTCACATCCCCCAGGAGGTCTCAATTTTTGCCTTTTCCGACGTTTCGGAAGAAACCTCGAAATACTACCACTCAGCGAACGGTGCCGATCGCCTCGACGTTAGCAAGGGAATAGCAGCATAAGAAACCTCTTAGCGGAGCACATGAATGCAGGAACCAGCGCGCAAGTATCGCCGCGTGCGTCAAGCCCCGGCCAACCGGACTGGACCTGCATCAGTTGCCTGCACGAGCTATCCGTACGACGAATTTTGTATAGGCCTGTACGCGAGTCAGAGCTATGGCGGAACTTCCGGGTTCGTCGCGAAACCTGTAGTAATCCTTCACTTCGAGTAAAGGCCACGCAGTGGTCTGACTGCCCCACTGAAGTCTCGAAACGTTCGATGATAAAGCTCTGGCCCCTCGCTCTGCGGTCGTCTCTTCTCGAGATCAGACATCTCCACCCACGTGGATCTGCGTCGTCTGCACGTGGTCGTACTTCCTCATAGTCAGCCTGCCCAGTCAAAAGCTACATTGTGTGATCAAACTGAACCTTCAAACGACTGTTCCAAGCTTTGCTCATCAGGAGACAATGGGAAACGCTTTAGTAAGCTGATTTTGTCGCGGTCGTTTGTCGATCCGGGCTCGATGCACCGAGAATCGGAAGCGGACAGGGTTGTTCGTAGCGATTTCGCCCATTGCTTGGCCAGCAAATTAGCCAACGACCCCCAATCGATAGCGCAGGGAGTCGCCGTCGAGCTTGTCGAACTTGAGCAATTATCCACAACGATCAATTCTCATCCGACAGGAAAGTAAGCACATGCATATTCCGAAGGCGTATCGTGAAGCACTACAGGAACGAGCTCGGGCGAGACGCCTGGTATCGTGCGGAGAACGGCGGTGGCATATCACACGGAAGCAGAAGTGCTTGTGAGGGGCATCGACGCTCGAGCAATAGAGTAGATGTCTGACCCATGAAGCCTGCGACGCCGTTGAACTCTCGTTTGTTGAATATCAAGAGTGAGGGTCCGGCACGGGCACGACGTTGCATCGTGCAGCGCGCCGGTCCGCTGTCAGTACGAAGGTAAGGGGCTCCTCCAGCGACTCCAAAGAAAGATGTCCCGACTCAATTTCACTATACCCAATACAGCTAGCATCTACTCTCGGCAAAACTCTATTCTTCGCAGTGCACAGCGCACGTCACGCAAGCGCGTCTTCGTTGCCGATTCTCTACTCCACGACACATCTTTGAATAAGACACCGTTATTGATGGAGCTTGTTTGGGAGCACTCGAGCGAGACTCCTAGGCTTGTCGAGATCCTCAAGACGAGAAATACGAGCATGATTTTCACTAGCCAAGCTTGAAAGTCGGTCTTGCCCAGGAAAAAGCGTTTAGCATCAATGATACGCACCATCTAGCTCGAGAGGTTGCCCGTTGAAGGTCTATTTTCCAACGTCAACGGTATCATTTCGCTCCAGCAGTGTCTCCATCCTCTCCTCGGTGAGTCCTGGTCAAGTGCAAGCGACATCCTAGCTCATGCACTGTCTCACCAATTCCACGTGGTAGAGGGAGCTACAAAACTGCTCAGAGGTTCCTCTTTTCTCCGTGTTCTGTTCGGTTTGCTCGCTCATCCCTCTTTTCCCAGTCACTCTTTCAAACGTTTTCCTGCTTTTTGGCGGGGTCCACTCCTTTCCCTCGCATTCGCTTCTGTTGCTTCTTCTTTACCGAACTCAGCAGAGTCTTATCTTGTTGGCCCAAGCAGCACCCTGTGGCTTCGACGATGCGTTTCACATCATGCATCTTGCTTTTGGGAGCGGCCCTATCCCAGGCAGTGTCCGCTCAAACAATCGAGTCAGCAGATTTCAACGCCACTGAAGCTCTCTTAGAGAAGGGCATCAACATCACCGCGTTGCCACAATTGGCTGCACTGGCCGAGCGATCTTCAAATGCCGCATGCTCAATCGCTTGCGGCTCGCTCCGGATTCTGTATGGCTCTGCAGTCTTGACGGAGGGCAGCACCGCATACGATAGCTTCACTGGCGGGTACTGGAGCGTCCAGCAGAGCAGCGTAGACCCGTACTGCATCTTCAAGCCTGCATCTGCTCTCGACGTCTCTGTATCGATTCTAATCGCACGTCTGTCACAATGTCCCTTCGCCGTCAAGTCAGGGGGCCACGCTGCATTTGCTGGAGCCTCAAGCATCGAAGGCGGCATCACTATCGCCCTGGAACGCATCGATGACATCGTTGTATCGAAGGACAAGAAAACAGTAGCTATTGGTCCTGGTAACCTTTGGTTTGATGTCTACACTACGCTGCAGCCCACCAATCTGGCCGTTATTGGAGGCCGAGTATCTGGCATCGGCGTTGGTGGCCTCACCCTTGGTGGGGGTATCAGCTTCTTCTCCAACATCTACGGATGGGCTTGCGACAACGTTGCCAGCTATGAAGTCGTTACGGCTTCCGGGGTCGTCCTCACAGCATCGCCGTCGCAGAATTCGGACTTGTTCTGGGCCCTTCGTGGCGGAGGCAACAACTTTGGAGTCGTCACTAAGTTCAATCTGAATACGATACCGCTCCCAGGTCACTTAATGTGGGGTGGATCACGCATTCACACAAGAGACCAATTCCCCCAAGTCATCGACGCGTTCTACAACGTGGGAATCAACTCACCTAAGGATCCCAATGCCGCCCAGATCATGAGCTTCGCCTATGCTCAGTCTGTGGACCTTGATCTCGTCTCAGCCGACCTGCAGTACGCGAAGCCGATCGCCAATGCATCCATATTCTCTCAGTATTTCGCGATCCCGCCATTCATTGACAACACAAAGGTCCGCACACTCTCCGATCTGACGCAACAGTTCAATGCTAGCAACCCGAACGGTCTGCGTGAGACTTACTGGGCATCTACCTACAAGCTGACCGAGGATCTGGTAACCGAGGTCGGGAACATCTTCTACGATGAGCTGGCGGCGATCAAAGATGCGGCCGGCATCGTCCCCGCTGCCACCCTGCAGGTCATCTCCAAGGGTATGCTTGACAATATGAAGAAGAATGGCGGCAACCCACTGGGCCTCATCGAGGACGCCGCGCAAGGCCCGTTCCTCCTTGTCAACTTGAACATGCAATGGACCAATATTGCAGACGATGCGCGCATCATGCAGGCCAACGCCAACATTATTCGACGGGCTGATGCATATGCCAAGCAGAATGGCTTGTATAATGACTATATATACATGAACTACGCCAGTCAATACCAGGCAGTGGTGCCGAGCTACGGAAAGCAGAATCAAGCGAAGTTGAAGACTATTGCTGCGAAGTATGATCCTACGGGCGTGTATCAGCGCCTTCAGCCAGGCTACTTCAAGCTTGATGGATCACCAGCTACTGGACTGTGAGTTGGATCTGCCACTCCGTGTATGCGTAGTCTTAGCATCCATAGCTGTCCGCATTGAACATAGACAGTCTGGCTTAATGTGTATAATAGAAATGCAATATATCGAGTTGCTTGGACATTTGTCGCCTCGCGCCGTCAAAGGGTCGGCACTTTGCTGTAAATTGATAACGGGCTACGGGCTACTCGTTAAGACTGCTCGATTTCGGCCCGACCATCGACAATCATTTCGACCAAGCAGCCAGAGGAGCAGTTCGCTCCGTCGATCATTCTGGACGCGCTAGGCTCCCCATGCCTTTTTGCAGAGTCGCGGGCCTTTGCTGGCCAGCTGTGATCGCGAGCAGGTCGTGCCATGCTCGCCGTGTCCTTCCCCAGGCAGATACATCGTTCGTGCAACCGAAGAGGCTCGGTTGTTCTTCTGACGTCCGTTGACAATGAGAACGTACCAGGTAGCGATGCAGCTTCCCGCTATAAACAGAGCGGAAGGATGGTCCGAGCTCGTATCGCCAGTTCGAGATGCATCAGCCTGAGACAAAGAATCATCTCTGCAGAGATACAGACGCTTGATTCTGCCCGTGAATCTCTTCACTTATCGAAAGCGTTTGATTAAGGGATCTCAGCTGCTGTTCATTGGCGACAACCGAAGCGGGTACTGACTTGATACTGTGTCCAGATAGATCTGAAAGAGAGCGGACGTCAGAAGCTTCCCACGCGTTTAAGTTCGCGTTGAGAGCTTAATTTCGATTTCACTTGTGATGATTGTAACGCGCGTCTGGTTCCGGACTCTTGGTTCTGCCTCAATACTTTTCCTCGTTGGGATTCTATGGTATTTGCGACACACTCGCTACACGACAGTCCAAGTCCACAAAAGTAGTTTTGACTGGTCACAAGTGAAATACCTTCACCATGCTCAGCCGGAGGTGGGCGCCGTTAGTGGCGCGACACGAATCTTACCAAAGATACAGCATCGTTTCGAGCGTTCGTCAAATATATCGAAGAAGCAGCGACAACGGCGCGATGTCATTCTCAGCACGTTCAAGAAGTGCTGGCGGAACTATCGAACATATGCCTGGAAGCAGGATGAGCTGCTCCCCATCAGCGCTGGTGGTAAGAACAGTTTCGGTGGTTGGGCCGCGACACTGATCGACTCACTCGACACTCTATGGATCATGGGATTGAAAGAAGAGTTCTTCGAAGCAGTAGGAGTCGTGGCCTCGCTTGACTGGAACTCTACGCCAGAGACGTCATGCAGTGTGTTCGAGACGACGATACGGCATCTGGGCGGGCTGTTATCCGCTTACGATCTCAGTGGCCATGACGCTTTGCTGCAGAAGGCTGTTGAGCTAGGTGATATGCTTATTACCTCTTTCAACACGCCGAGCGGCCTCCCTGCCTCCTGGCTTGATTTCGAGAAGGCCAAGACTGGTCAGCTTGAGGCTGGATTTCATGAGCCGTCAACAAGCGCCGGCTCGCTGGCGTTGGAGTTCACGCGGCTGTCGCAGGTGACCAGAGATCCCAAGTACTACAACATGGTCACGAAAGTGGCTGTTCTTATGCAGCAGTCTCAAAACCAGACGAAGCTACCAGGAATGTGGCCGGCGAATTGGAATCTGGCGACAGGTAACTTCGTATCTGACAACTCCTTCACGATTGGGGCATTTGCCGACTCAACGTACGAATACCTGCCGAAGATGTTTGCTTTGACTGGTGGAGCCGACACCATGTATGCACAGATGTATCGCACTGCCGCTGAGGCCATCACAAACAGCCTACTCTACCGACCGACGACGCCGAACGAAGACGACGTACTCTTTGCAGGTAGTGTATGGGTAGAAAGCGATGGCAGCCAGCGACTCAATCCGGAAGGCCAACATCTATCGTGCTTCATAGGTGGCATGTATGGCGTCGGAGGCAAGCTCATAGGTGACGAAAGCCACGTGGAGCTCGGTCTGAAGCTCACAAAAGGCTGCATCTGGGCCTACAATGCATTTGCTTCTGGCATAATGCCGGAGAACTTCAACCTGGTAGCATGTCCTAGCATACATGGGCCATGCCCATGGGACGAGGAGAAATGGCGGCAGAAGCTCTATGCGGACTTCGACGGGCACGACGATCTTCCTAAGGGGTTCACAAATGCTCGAGTTCCAACATATCTCCTCCGACCAGAGGCCATCGAAAGCGTGTTCATTATGTATCGCATCACAGGACGCGAAGAGCTGCTAGATGCGGCGTGGACAATGTTCCAGGCCATTGACAAGGCGACGTCGACACCCTATGGTAACGCCGCTATCGAGGACGTTGGAACAGTCGGATCGAGACAGAGGGATTCTATGGAAAGCTTTTGGCTAGCTGAGACGCTTAAGTATCTCTACTTGATCTTCTCGCCGCCAGATGGGATGAGCTTGGACGAGTGGGTGTTCAATACCGAAGCACATCCTTTCCGGCGGCCCCGGGGCTCATACTGATCAGCTGTCTCGAGGTGTGTATGACGATCCCGGGGGATGAGGCGCCGAACCAGACTTGAGGCCCGGGCATGATGCGATAGAATGAGACCGATTTCACGCTGCCGACGGTGGCAGTCTGGGCACGAACCCGCTCGTTACGGTGGCTCCCGGTGCTTCGTGCCGAATGACTGCATCTTCATCCCGCGCACACTGTTCCTGGCTCCGGCGAGAGCATTTGGCCGCCGCAATGGTCCCATTGAAAAGCTATACTGTGTCACTGCAGCTGTTGCTGACCTCCGGATATTCACCCGCGTATCTCACTCGATGCGCCTCTGATACCTCTCGCCTCGTCTGGCGTAAGCTTGATGCTGAACCATTTCTCGAGTGCCTCAACCCTGTCTTGCTCTTTGCTGAATTTGCCCAGAACCTCCTTCTCCTCATTCTGCCCTTCTCCGCTCATGGTTCTTGACAGCTCGTCGCTCATCAGCGTCAGTTGGCCCACACATTCCGTTCCTTGTTGATTCAAAATCGGTCGCGTCAAGATCAACGTCCTCGTGAAGAATGAGTCTCGGCACATCCTGTAGTTCAACATTTCGAAGTCCGCCGGCAACCATTCAGCATCCGCAAAGCAATATGCCGGCCTCCACCCCTCCTCCGCCTGCACGCCCTCAAACACTTCCTCCCTCTGCACCACCTCGCCGGCCCACTCATCATGTACGTCCACCACCCAGACCTTATGATCACCCTGCGTAAAGTCCGCCACCCCACGATAAGCCAACCTCTGCCACCAACCCAACATCCCCTTCCCTCTCGCCCCAACCTCCAACTTCACCGGCTCCAGACTCATCCTTCCCCCGAACCCAACATCACTCAACCACTTCTCCCCCTCAATCCTCACAATCGTAACCTGATGCCCGTACCCGCCAAACCCATGCGATCCCTGGCTCCCCATTTCTGCCTTACTCACCCTTGCACCCGCAATATACACATCAAACCCCAACGACCGCAACACCGTGCTCCAGAAGCAATTGAGCTCCATGCAGTAGCCGCCCTGGCGGCGGTGGACGATCTTATGGTAGAGGTAGTCTGGGTCGATGGAGACGATGCGGTGCGGGGAATAGTGCATTGCGATGGAGCCGAAGGGGGCGAAGGCCAGTTGGAGGAGGTGGAGTTTGCGCAGGGCGGCGATGGGGGAATCGCTGATGAGTTTTTGGGTGGCGGGGAGGGTGAGTGGTGGTTGAGAGGGGAGGAGGGAGAGGTAGGCGGAGAGTTGGGAGTCTGTGTAGGTTGGGCGGGCGGAGAGCGGGTGCGGTGCCGATGCTGGAGGGTGGGAGGCCGTGGTGCCTGGCATGGTGATACCGTTCAGCAGTCGTTGCCTGAGGTCTGTGCTTGGTCAATGCTGAGTCGGGTTTTTGATTGAACTTCAAATAGAGTTCAGCAGCAAACTCGCATCTACTCGCATTTATATTCGGTCGATTCTGAAATAAATATCAGTCATGATATGCAAGATGACTTCATCGCAGATGACGTTCGTCTCAACAACAACGCTGCTATAGCTGTGATGTGAGTCACTTCGCGGTATGTGTGTGCATGAAGCAATAGAATTCGAGAAGTCAGGACGGGTCCGTTCCGGTTCCTGACATCCGGATCTGGGGTAACGGGCCGTGTGGGCACCTGAGTCTGTGGCAAAATCCACATTCTCAGAAATGGGATACGAGCTCGTATAATCACTGGAGGAATGCCTCAGTGCTATCGAAGAAGCACGCAAGAACCGCGGAACACGCAGGACGACGACCGAGAGGTATTCATGTCTCCACAAATCCCAGAACAGTCGTTGCCAGCACCACAAATATATACTAAGTAAGTGGACTGGCTGATCGCCGCCTGCCTGTCGGTCCGCTCAAAGCGCTGCTCTGGTCCAGTCCCGGCTCAGTGGCTGTCAGAACTTCACGTATCCTTTGCCCTTCACGAACGTCTGCATCCATGGACCTTGCTTCTTGTCCTGAGCAAGCTGCCAGAAGAGCTCGGCATGCGCGTCGCCATCGACTCTGTACTTGGCTGATCCATCCTCTTTGCGCTCGTCGGCGTAGTAGTATCTGGTCTGGTCAGTCACTACGTACGATGATCTCGATGAAGACTCACTTGAATCCCTTTTCCTTATAAGCGTCCGAAGCAGCCCAGATCATGTGTGCGCTGGCGGACTTTCCCATGCCTTGGTCCATGAACCCAGGGAGTATGACGGTGTTGAGAATGTTGCCTGTCACGATAAAAGTCCTTGCAGCAGACTCCGGGAGCTCTTTGAACCCTTGAGTTGCCTGTTGTGCGGCGACAAAGGCACTGGTGACGTTGATGGCATTGGTCTTCTTCAGATCGTCCAGCGACATGCCGAACGGGTCCTCTTTGTGGCCAAATGTCACCGCGCTGACTTTGAAGTATTAGTGTGAGACTATCGGAAACTACTGTGCAGTGACTTACCATTGTAGAGGACGACGCTCGGGATGCCGAATTTCTCTCTGATCTTTGAGAATGCGTTGACGACATCGTCGGACTTGCTAAAGTCACTCGGTATGTTCAATTGCGAGTCTGTGCTCTCTGATTCTTTGACTGAGCGTGCAGCAAGGCCGACCTTGAAGCCCTTCGAAGCAAAATGTCGAGCGACAGATGCACCAATCTGTGGGCCTGCTCCGAGGATGAGGATGACTGGGTTTGTGCCAGGCATGTTGTTTGTGTCGAGGATAATGTGAGCACTTGGTCTGATACAGTTGCTGGCAGGATGTGTAGTCGTCAACTATCGTTGCTGTTCTTTTCAATGCAATGTGATGGCAGTGTGGTCCTCCATGGCGACTGCTGGTCTGTCTATATAGCAGACAAGGCTGGGCTCAGCCATAGCCTCAGTCAGCAGGCAGCGCTGATGGTTGAGCGAATCACGTTAGTCGCAGTACTGATGCTAGACATAAGCCAGACGTATTCTAGTATGGTCACGATAATCCTTCCGTGGCATTAGATAAGCCAAGCAACCCAGCGCAACGTCGATCCATATGGGCTCTAAAAGCCAATCAGGCTCAGTTAGAGTCGACATCTCCTCGTTGCACATAATCCATACGGCAGCGTCACGAAGTCGCGCAGCTCGGTTATTGCAGATGACGAAGTCGCGCGTGTGAAAGTGCTCGATTGGAAAGCAAGCACGGACTTCGGCACGATCAGCCAAGACTGAGTTATTGCCACGTGACCTGCTGTCGGCCGAGTACTTCCTGACACTCGAGCTTCTTCTCCCGTAGTGCAATGAACGCCATCGCAGCGGACAGATTCGTTAGTTGACAACTTGGGCTTGAGATGCGCGGTGATGTAGCTACGACTGGTGTGCAAGCAGTCCTTCGTGGCTGTAGTCACGAGATGTGCTTTCATCCTGGCAGCAAACCCTGACGAGACATTCAAATAACACTCACGTGGTGGACCCCGGTCAGGATGGGCAGGTACGGTGAGAATGGACAGCGAAGACCTCGACGGCCAATATGGGTTGACTATGTCGGCAACAGCTGTTGTGATCGTGTGCTTGTTCTTGTCGCAAGGCCGAACATATACGGGTCGGTCGAAGCTGGAACACAGAGGACCGGGCTTCTACTACACGCTGGCTTCTGTGTTTGCAGTCACATCACGAGCTAGTAGGTGCGGGAAGGTGTTTCTAAGCATTCGAATCATGCAAGGGAGCGGACTGCAACCTGGATCGCTCTTGCCCATGGGCATGGGTTGGGAGACTTCACTTCGCGGAAGTGCTCTGAATACCAGGTAGACTGTAGCTTGGCTGATTGTTATCTGCTTGAAGCAGCAATGCTCCGGCATCGTGCAAAGATCTGTCGATCTCTCAAGAAAGATCGCATTCAATCTGCCAATATGAACCCCTAATCTCCCGCCTGGTAAATTCTCCGAAGTGTCCTCGTCTCGCTTAATTCATCCACCCCACGCCGCGCCGGATACGGTCCTTGCCGGTCTCAGTCCTGGGGTCGCGGTAATGCCTTTGCGGCTGATAGTCCTGCTCTGTGAGTGGTGCTCAAGAGTGAAGAGTCGAGAATCTGTGCTGCTCGCCTCGCCATGGTCTGTGCATGGCTCTGAGATTTGTGAAATGAGATGAATAGAATATGAAATATGTGTGTCACCCAGCGAGTAACTGGACGCTTGGTCGCGTAAATGTCCAACGTAGTGGACGATGCAAGTCGAATGGTGGGTATAGTATGTACTGAATTGTGATTGACAAATCGTGAGCGTGTCATTAGTGTTTATGGGTCAGCTGAAAGCCCGGGGGGCGTGAGTCGCCGTGGTGAAAGCGTCGCGGCCAGAAAGAGGGAGGGCCGGTGGTTTCACGCGCCAACATAAGAAATAACCTCCTGTCGCTTGATGCTCTTCTTTCTGAGGACGTTGCCTTTCCTGCTACTCGGACGGCCGATAGAAGAATTGCGAGAAGGATTTCTTGACGGCCCGGTAGGTGTTGTGGGTGTCGTAGGCTGGGTTGGGTGCTCAGTCGGCATCATCTCTGCTCTCGACGCCCAGTAGCCCGCATCCTGAGGTTGAGCAGTCTCGTCAAGGACCAACGACTTTGGCCGAGAGTTGCGTCTCTGTAGCTCGGCATATTCTCGATCGGCCAAACTTTCCGAGCGAGAAGCGACGGAACTGCGTTTCGAAAGAGCGGACGAGCTGTTGTTGGCAGCCGCCGTCTCTTCGCCAAGACTGTGTCGGGAACCTCGGTATGCAACGGGACGTGGCACATCCGGCTGCTGAGACGGCACGACGGTGAATTCAATCGGCGGTGGGCGTGCATCTCGGCGCATTGACGAGCTAGACCGGTCGCTGGTCCGCCTGGAATTTGAGGGACTCGGCCTGGTAGAGGAAGAATGTGAACGATACGCGTCAGAACGGGAATCACTCTGTCGCCGAGAGCCTGGTTGTCGGTGACCGCTAGGCCGTGAATCACTGCTCCGTCTAGATGTCCCGCTTCGTTGGCCATCCGAGCGTGTGTCGGTTGACCTCCGCGAACTGCCGGGCCTGCTTCGGTTTGTGCCGTGACTTTGACCAGAGTAAGCGCCTTGTTGTGGTCCGTAATTTTGACCATGCGGTGGCCCATGCTTCTGACTTTGGTGCGGTCCGTAGCTCTGTGTTGGGTAAGGATCCTGCTGAGGCCGTGGGATGCTCGGGCGTCTAGGACTTGTGGAATGATCACTGGGTCGTCGCTCCCTGCGGGTACTTTCGCCTGGGACGTATCCGGACAATCGAGAAGAACGACGCTCTAGAGTGCGCTGTGATATTACCGAATTGTGAGGTGATGCTGCTTCCTTGATCATGGACAAATTCCGTCCATGAGCTTGTTTGTTCCAGCTAGGCGAGTCAGGATTTTCTTGAATTGGATTGAATGGTCGTGAGAAAGAAGCAACTCTCGCAGGCCGTTCGATGGTTGCAGAAGTATTCGTGACCTCCTCCACACTGGCTGCAGGTGCTTTCTCTGTAGTGGGACTGATGGGCGAGGCCGGCTCGTGTCCATAGGCAGCATTCATTCGAGCTTTGCTGTCTGGGCTGGTCTCGAACTGCGATAGATCGTCATGATGTGACCTTCTCTTCTCCTTGATCGTATTCCACCACTCGAAGGGACTCTTGCTCCTTGTGCCATTTGTTCGCGCATCGTCAACGAATTGATTGAGCCCAAACTTAGAGCCAGTCAATGACAGGTAATGTGACGCAGGCACAACCCGCCCTCTCCGAACTGTCATCTTCCTAGTTGGCATATCTGACACACTGCCCGCACTTCTTCTCCGCCGCACCAGGCACAGTACTACCACACCGCCAACACCCAGAATGCATAATGACCCCACCACTATTATGACAATCCAGAGCCATAGTGGCAGTGAGGTCCTGTCGAATAGCGTCGACATGGGGGATTAGAGAACGATTATTTTCGGGCCGGTATCTTTTCCATTATATTGCCAGTATCGACCTGTCGGAGTACGGTGGTCGCGCGGAGGATCAGGTACCGTTCAACCGAGGTGTCGCAGGTTTGGCAGGGAGATCCCGTCGAGATATATGTCAGCTGGCAGTCTCACCGGACGCAGTCGGGTAGAGCTTTTCCAGATCGATGATAGATGAGGTCAAGAGTGAACATAAAACGTGTGGAACAATGGCAAGCAAGGAAGGGAACTCTGATGACAAGAAAACAAAGAGTACTGCAGGATGTTGCCGATAGAGTTGGAATGCTAGAAGCTCGTGAGACTTCTGCCATGCATCTCACGGAAAGCTAATTCCAGGTGTGCCATGCCTCGAGGCCGGCCAAGTTGGCCAATTTCATTCCCACAACTCCCGCTCGAGGCGTTCTTGCATGGGGGAAGAGGAGAAATTGGAGTCTCCAAGCATGAGCGCACGAGCTAGACAGAGTAAAATTGGCAACCATAGATCACTTCGATCAAGCGAGAAGTTGGCGAGGTCCCGATCCTAAGCTTGTGCAGAGCTAGGGCCGTTCGGATGGAGAATTAACATGGCGAACAGAAGGAAAAGCTGCTCGAGTTTGCGGAGATGTCAGAGCAGGAGCGAAAGTGTTTCAAGCCGGCTGACCGTTGCAGGGAGATTATCATACACGATAGCCCCGCCCTGTCCTATCTCGTGTTAGCGTCAGGTACTGAAACGAGCTGCTCGTAAGCTAGAGTTAACACCAATGCATCCTGCACCAGCTGCGGACGGTAGTCGGTTTTTCAACCGCAACACGGCCGAGTCGGCGGTGAGGTGCATGAATACGCCGTGGATGCCTTGAGCTGCGAAAAGATTGGGATCAAGATGTTGAAGCCGAACGACGCTTTTGATCAGCGCTCCATATTTAAGTACTCTTTAGGAGACCCCCGGAATTGCCTAGGGAGCCTCATGACGACAGCGCAACCTGCGATGGTCGATCTGCCGTGCCGTTGATGATGACTGCCGTTGAAGCCACAATGCTGAGAACAACGAGACCTTCGCGAATGACTTTGCGGCGTGTGGCTCAGTCGTGGAAAGGTTGAGGCCATGGTTGCGATTTCCTTTCGAGAGCTTGCGAGACTTTCTTGTACGGAGTTGCCATGGTGTTTCAGGAATGCAGCTTGCCGAACCTTGTCAGCAGATGTTGGCAATCTTGCATATCCTACGGCAGACCGCATAAGCTACCTCCGCAGGTAAGCTCCTGCTTGGAGAGAATTCTAAACTCACCGCAACAGCGCGCTCTTTGCGGGCATCGAGATCGTTATTAAGAGACCTGTTGCGAGGATCGAAACCTTGCAGAGCAGCAGCTAGACATTGGCTCGCCGTGATCACGCACATCAGACCGAGTAGATCTGGTGGCATGTCGGCGCAGTGCCTGGTTTGGGCAGTTCGCCGGTCTTCGAGGTCTTGTTACTGCTGCCTTTCTGCGCGGCGCCATGCTCTGGCATACGCTCGTGGAAGTAGTGGGACTGCTGACATGAAGAGGACCGCGTCCAGAGTGCACCAGTACATCTGAGTCCGTCCACGACGCTTCTTTGCTCCGCCAGCGGACGAGGCGATCCAGAACTCGAGGTGTGAGGGTAAGTACCCCTGAGGCAATGATTGACCAGACAGGTGCCAATGCAGCCTGTGATCTCGAAAGGAACAACGCGATGCATTGTGCTTGATGTGTGCAGACATGTTTGCTCAAACAGTTTGCCAATGCATGCTTCTCTGAAGAGTTTGCTCTGGTTGACCCAGTTGCTAAAGACATATATAGGAAGTTCTGACCACAGCTGAAGCTGTACATTTTACCTGTGGGTGGTGGTGGTCCGCTGTGTGCGGGGCGGCTGGACTACTGAGATGTCCCTCTGGTGATATATATGTATCAACATTGACCATGGCAGTCCGATGTTCGAATTGGCGAGACTACTGAGAAATCACGCAGGGGCTGCCTGAGCCATGGAGCTCCTGTGCTCACTTGCGGAAGGTACAACTGCTCTTCACTTGAATGTTGGGGCCACCTGTGCCATAGTTCACCTGAGCCTCATTCTCACTTCAATCCTCACTTCAATCAGTGCCAAGACGCACAAATAGTGTTGCTAGGGCTTCACTGTAATGGGTGACTCACGCAGTCAAACGGCCGTCCTTCTTCTAATTGCCGTTCTCTACTTCTTCAGCCATTTCCCTCCTTTCCTTCAAGCAAGAACCAGCCGAATTCGACAATCAGAGTCCTCCTGATTGCATTGCTACGGCAAAAACACAGTCTACCACTCCGATTCGTCTTCCGTTCTACAGCCAGAATGCCTCCACGCGTTGCTCCAGTCGTCTACGCCTGGGACTTCGATGCCGGCATGCCACAGCATATCCAAGCCGCCATCACCACCACCGGCGCCCATTGCCCAATACGCGCCAACTATTGGTTTGTGGGTGGCCGCTCCGCTTTGCATCCTGCAGGCCAGCCCGCGCAGCCATACCAGTACGTCTATGCCGCTACTGGCGAAGTCCTCACCGCAACATGGTATGCATGCCACAAGAAGGGCAGATCTGGTCGTGGAAAGGGAGAACAGGATCCTCGCGGCGTGGTTGTTGTTTCTGGCGCGTCCTTCTCCCGTCCGACTATCATTGCCAGAACTGCAAGGAAGAATCGATTTCGCCCATGGAACGGGGTCAACGCGGCTGGAAACAATCTTTGGGGCTCTCTTTACGACATCGTCAAGAAGGTTGGCCATGGGGAGCAGGTCGAGGCGGAGAGCGAGGACGAAGAAGAAGGAGAGGAGGAAGGGGAAGAGGAAGGGGAGGTGGAAATGGGGGAGGCAGAGGAGGGAGCGGTGGAAGAGGGAGCAAATGAAGACGAGGAAGAAGCAGACGATGAGGAGATGGAGACGGCCCAGGAAGAATCCGAAGAAGAGGAAGAGCTTGCTGCTCCACTTACCACAGTCGAAGAGCTCGAGAAGCTTCGCGACAGCATCAGGAGCGTGGAGCAGTGGTTGCGGGAGGCGAGGGAGAAGGAAGCGGCGTTGGTGGCGGAACTAGAAGCGGAGAGGATGGCAGAAGAGGAAACAGAATAGCTATGCCGCGCGAAATCATACGAAGGCCGACCAAGAGCATGATCACGATGCGAATCAGGATATCATTCTCGCCATCGAATGGACCAGTTGCCTTTAGCATAGCTAGGCTCAACAACAGAACCCTGCATCAAGGCTTCACACTTGCGGCGAAATGCTCATCATCCGTTTCTTCCATCTGCTGCTTCTTCCCCTTCTTCGCGCCAGATTTGGGCTCCGAGACAGGGCGTTCCGTCTCAAGACCGAAGACAACAGCGCGTCGAGCTGCTCGGCGTACCATTTCTTTCTCCTCTGCCTTCTTCTGCCTTCTAACCTCTTCTCAGCATCAGCGGCAGACTCCTCGATCTTCTCAGCGCGTCCCCGCTCCCCACCGACGCTGAAGTTGATCTCCGATTGCGTTTGCGGCGGCCGCACCTTTGGCCCAGCTTCTCGCGTATTGCTGTGCCGCCTTCATCTTCGTCGTCTTCGCTAGATAGCTCACTCGAGGTCTCCATGTCTACACTACGCCACTCATCCTGACCGGGACCGATGACACGACTTTTGCGATTCTTCCGTCTGCCATAGACCTTCTCTGGATCAAAGCGACTGCCAAACATGATTTCCTCGATTTCATCCATCGTAACAATCAGTCGTCGATCACCCTTGACGACGCGATCACGGGCGCCCGTCTGGTCAACGCCAGAGTCATCCTCGCCATTGAGAACTGCTGCGATCGTTGACTCAATCTTTCTGTCGATTGGCCCAACTTTCCGGTGCCTACATCGATCAGAACAGTATTTTACTGGTTGTGAGCTCTCCTTCTTGGTGGATTTTCGCGAGCCTGAGCATTGATCAGTCAAGCGATCAAGGAGCGGTCGTGAACCCACTAATTACACGCCCGCATGTACGACAATATGGCGTGTCTTCCCCGGCCGTCAGATATAATGGAGGTGGAACCGCTGACTGCTTGGACGGCCGAGACCACGAATCCATCCAACTCATCGTGAATGTACTGAAGCGCGATATCCTTTGTGGCTTTGAAACAACGCGTCCCACGGATCGAGTAACAACAGCAGTAATAATCCGCGTCGAAACTACACAAAGCATTCGTATTCTATTTCTGTCACTGTGATACGTTGATATGCAGAGATGGAATTTGCTTTTCGTGTCGATGCACTGACGTCAGAAAAAGGCAACACGGGTCAAGCCGTCGTGCAGTCACGATGCTTACACATCTGTAAGTCTGACGCGACTCGCAGTCGCGACTTAACGTCACTGCAATGTCAACATCACCGTCAACGTGAACAGCAAGACCTTACCTCCAATGACTAACTGTATTGCTCGAATCTCAGCAATTTGATAGCCAGGATCATCCTCGTTCAGCCACAGCCAACACCGTGAAATGAGCGACCAAGCCCCGAATTGACGCCACTTTCAGGCGCCATCGCTTCAACGCCAAGATCTCCGCTGCCTGACTCTGCCTACCCCTTTCTCTGCTCGCCCGTGTGTCTGTGGCAGATCAGAAGACTTCAGGTACATGAGAATGCTGCCGTGGATGGTCATTGGCGTGTCCGTAAGACAACAAAATGCATCCCATTCGTGTCAAGCGGCGTTGCAGAAGGGTCTGCTGCCCCGGCCGCGTCCGAGCTTCCGGCGAGCGAGCTGAAGCGAGGCTAGCGACTCGCGAAGATTGACGAGTCTGAAACTCGATAGGCATTTGTCCAGCGCATGGCAATCCACCCAACGACACAAAACCGGCACCAGATCAGATACCCGGGGACATCTCGGAAACCATATCTGACGCGATCCGGAATTAGTATCCACCGCCAGCGACGGGCCGCAGCACCCTGAGACCATTGTACCACCACAATGCAGGTACAATGACTGACGATGACTCGAAGAAGGTCCAGAATCTTCGTACCTGCGTGGGACCACTAGAGAATATACCGACCTACTGGCACGGCGATGGTGATCGGCTCCGCCTCTGCTTGGCTGACGGGAGTCGAATCCCTGATGTCTCGCAATGCGCACTCGTAGGGACCGTGCCCCAGAATCATGTTCTCCGTCAAAAGCAGGGTGTCCGCCACTTGCCGGACTGCTCCCTGCTGTATGTCCTCCGCACGCTGAGCCGGCCAGCAGAAGTTCCCGTGTTCAGCGACTGCATCGGTAGCAACATGGGATCACTCTTCCTGCCAGATTCATATGAGCTTGAGTCAGTCAGCTCCGCCGACGAGAAGCTCGCATCTATCGCCTGGGGCTTCACACTGGGATTCAGTCTACTCACGGCAACGAAAGCCGCGAGACAGACGTACAAGATATACAAGCGGACCAAGTCGCTTAATGTCTATGTAACTCTGATCTGGGGTGAACTGGTCGTCTCGACTGTCTTCGGCTTCATATGCTGGTTCTATCTGAACGGCAACTTTCCGCCAAGGTAGGGCCCCTTTCGTAACGAACGATGATACATCTGACTGGGACAACAGCTTTGCATTCTTCTTCTCGATCTTGACATTATGGGCGCTGCAAGTCCAGTTCCTGCTACAGATCATCATCAACCGGATCGGCCTGCTTATTCCGAACAAGCGCAAAGTGTGGCGGATCAAGTGGGGAGTCGCATTGCTTATCACTTCGATCAATATCTCAGTGTATTGCATATGGGTGCCCGCCCGACTTCAAATCAGCGAAGAATACATTCGAATCAACGAGATCTGGGACCGTTGCGAGAAGGGCATCTACCTTGTTGTCGACGGCATCCTCAATTGGTACTTCCTCAGACTGGTCAGCTCTAATCTGATCAAGGCCGGCATTACGAAATACAAGCGCCTGTACAACTTCAATTCGATCATCGTGGTCGTCTCGCTGTCGATGGACGTGCTCATCATTGCCATGATGTCACTGCCAAACACCTTCGTGTAAGCAGTGCAGATGCTTTCTCCGTGTTCCCCACTAACTAGTCCTGGCAGATACATGCAATTCCACCCAGTCGCATACATCGTGAAGCTCAACATCGAGATGAGCATGGCCGACCTGATCACAAAAGTCGCCCGCGAAGACGGCAAAGGCCCTTCCGGCGGCAAAAGCAGCAGTGCTGGCGTCAAAGGAGCAGTACTCTCATGGACCGGCGTCCATCAGAACCAAGCACACATCACTGGCGGGAAAGGTCACAGTCGCATCACATCCGGCGACGACAGGGGATTCGAAGCCTACGGCCATGGCGGTCAGTGGGCAACGTTCGAGATGAGCAATTGCACACCAGATCATGAGAGCGGCGGCAACGACAAAGCCGCCAATGTTCATGTTCTCGACAAGGACCGGACGGAGTCCAGCTCGTCTAGCAGCACGGAGGGACTGTTCGATGATCGTCACGAGAGCCAAACTGTAGACTTCGCGACCATGATCAGACAGCCCACAGAGGATAATGGAGTCCGCGATGCCAGGCGCGACTCAGGAGAGCCAGGTCGGACCATAATGAAGACGGTCGAGTATTCTGTCGCGACAGAGCGATGAACTCGCCGCAGTGTCCTGACGGCGTGTAAGCTTCGCTGGAGTTATCGAGAGCAAGCGAAATGTATAATAATGGATGAATCTATCACAATGACCTCAACACCGGTCTAATTTAGGAGTTACGGGTTGCGGAATCAAAACTATTCCGAGTCCCGCTCCAGTATACGAAACTGACTCGTACCAAGCTGCGCACGTGACCACAATATTCGACCGACTCGTACGACTTCGAAGGCTGACTAAACTTCGCTTCATCCTCTGGCCCCTTCTTACCGACCTCATACAACGACCTTCGATGACCAAATTCGTCGTCTGTAGTGCTCTTCGGAGCATCTTTCCAGTGCTTTTGTCATTTAGCACCCAATCAAGCATCCATCAGCCATAGCCATTGGCCACTCGCCTATTGCGCGACAAGCCCTTCGCTAAGCTGGATGCGGGACGTGATGCCGAAATAGTGCTTTGGCGGGAAGCACGCGACTTTCACGAGTCCGCAAATAGTATGGTGCTACATCACGAAGGTTGGCTAGGTAAGTCATCAATGGATTTCCAAACAGCTGTGGTAAAGATGAAGCGAGGACGCTCCGTTCATTATGAGAGCGGTTTTCGCTGAGTAAAAATGCGATGTGACCGATGAATGATATATATGCTGCTCGAGGACGACGAAAGAAGGTACAAAATACAACAAGAAAGAACGTCACAACAACGACAACAAAACCAATAGGTCACCACTCCTCCAGCACCCATCCTGAGACACACACCTGCCACTCAACTACCAGACCAGCTTTCAAACTACTCAACCTACCACCACCACCACCACCCCAGATGGCCACCCCACCAGTCCTCCTAATCCTCGGTGCAGGCTCCAACATCGGCGCCGCAACCGCCCGCACCTTCCTCGCCGCCGGCTACCGCGTCGCCCTGGCCTCCCGCACAAACAAGTCCCCCGTGCCGGATACAATCCACATCCCCGTCGACCTCACGCGCCCCGAAACGCTCGAGTCTGTCTTCGAGTCCACCGCTTCCCAACTCGGTGCCTGGCCCTCGGTCGTCGTCTACAACGCCGGGATCGCGCTCTTCGAGAACAAGGTCGACCCGTTAGCCTCAGAGAGTCTGACGGATATTGCGAAGCTGAAGGATGTGTACAACGGGATGACGATCTCTCCAGCCGTCACCGCACAACTTGCGAATCGCGGGTTTAAGACGCTGGGCGCGGACAGCAGCAAGACTGTCATCTTCACGGGGAATATTATGAATCATGGTGTGATGCCGGGGATGGCGAATATGACGGCGAGCCGAACAGCTCTCGCGAGCCTGGTCCGCAACTGGGCGGAAGTCGGGGACTACGCTAAAGATGGGATTTCGTACGTCTGCCTCTCTTTTCTCTATCCTTTGCAAGATCGAAATCTCGCTGTCGGGCCTCGTCGATTGTCCATGCTAACAGGTTGTGGGAATAGATTCTACTACGCAGACGAGCGTCAGGCCTCTGGTCGGCCCGTCTACGGTGACCTATCTGGCGAAGGCGCCGCGAAGGAGTACCTTGCGCTGTCTCGACGCAAGGACCAGGGTCCGTGGGACTATACTTTTGTCAGTGGTGAAGGGTATGTCATTCCCTGGATAATCCGGATGTATGATGAGGAGTAGAATGACGGAAATGGCGTTTGCTAGAGAATGAATGCTGATGTGATATCTTTCTCTGCTGCAGGTACAAGGACTTTGGCGTCGAAGGCAACTCAGTCTGGCAGAAGGCTGCATAGGGCCGCCTCGGTGTACTGCCCGGAATCGGTATGGCTGCATGGGGCGTGCAAACGGAACAATGGGTCAAGCGACCCTGATGCCGGATGGGGACGCACGAGTGAAGGGGCATGATGCGTAGAGGTGTGGACTGGGATGAGCAGATACTTGATAGGAGACGGAGACGGGGCTCGGTGGGGGCGATGATGCGCTCCGGAAGTGGAGGGAAAAGGTTAGGAAGCAAGCAATATGGGTCAGTGGGGTTTGCAGAGAGATCATGTAGACATGCATAGGCATTTCGGAACATTCGAGGTCTTATGGCTTCAGGCGGTAACACGTGTTGTGTTGTGATCCAGGCCCGACCTGCGCTTTGACCCACGCACCGACCTCTGACGGAGCTGCTAGGATACTGTGGAGAGGAAACTAAAAGCAGCATCATCCATTATGAGGGCGGCTCCAGCGTTGGCAAGCAGACACGGCCGAGTCATTGCTTCATGTACGAACTCGGAAGTCCACAAACCGAGTCTCGTAAAATCTTCCCAATCGATACCCTGCAGCCGTGATGGCGCAAGCGGCTCGACTTTGAAGGTCTCTCGCTTCGTCACCGGTATTGCAGCATACCATACGCGCTCAAGCAGAAACATGCGAGCATGTCGGTCATGGTAAGAATATGTTACGGTGGGCACTTAGCTAAAGTAGCCAAGGAGTAGGTAGCGACATCCTGTACAACCAACCCATATGGAAAGGAACATCCGTGGAGCCGATGGGTGGGCTGGCATTGTGCGGGGCCATCCGATAGGGAGGCCTCTGTGTGCCACGATGATTGAATGGGCACTTTCAATGTGCTATCATTATTCAGTGGTACTATCTGAAATACTTTCTCGTGCCAGGGAGGCCTCCATCCCCAAATCTACCCATTCATTTCGCCTCGCCATCAACACACATCTTCAGAAAGTCGGCCGCGAACTCCAATGCTCCCATTTCCGCTTCCCCCAACGCAAACGCGCGCTTGACCAGCTGCAAATACCCATTCGTGAAGGCCTCCTAAAGGACCGTATCAGCCGGTCGAGGGGTGTACTTGTCGTTGGTGCGGATGGCTTTGTAGCAACTCGCTAGGCCGGCGTCGTTGAATTGGATGGGCTGGCATTGGTTGAAGTCGATGCAGTAGAGCTGGATACGTCGGTTGGGGTAGTATTTGTGTGGTGGGTCGGTTGGGGTGTTCGTGGGCATAGAGGCCTCCCTGGCGGTCGAATTGTTGGGTTGCCATGAACTGGCCCATACTGGCTCAGAGTCCTCCTTGATGCTCGAGTCTTTGATTGACACAGAGTCCTCCTTGATGGCCTCTTTGACGAACAGCGCAGATCCAAACACGAACTCAACATCTTGAGCATTGAACTTGGCTACACAGTGAATGATTGCGTGTGCCTCCCCCAATGCTTCAGCATAGTGTTCTAGATCCAGCCCAATTTCCGCCATACGATCCCTCGTAAGACTGAAGTTTCTCAAATTGATCCCGAACCGGTTGGGCGGACCCTGACGCGATTCTTTCCCCAAGTAGCATCGAGCAAGACAATCTCTATTGCCAGGACTCGCGAGGGCCGCCTGCTGGAAGTTCCTGCCCTGGCTGTCCTCGACGTTCGGGCAGTAAAGGTTGATAAGGTGCCGCCGGGCGCCTCCGGCAGCGGCCACACCTTCTCAAACACCAATATGGGAAACGCCTCGGGCTGCTCGTCCGGAAAGAACGGCCCAAACCTCTGCTCCCACGTCTTCTTACTCGGCTGTCCAAACTCCTTCATCCTCGGAACGTTGACCGTAATGCCGAGACTCTTGACAGAGTCAAAGGCGCCTGGATGGCTTTATGCGCGATCGCTTCGTCCTCCAAATGCCAGAACTTGTCGGCGTAGGCGAGATCGGGACGGATCTCGGCTTTGAAGGCGTGTCGCTTGCCGGGCTGCTCGAAGACGGCGCCGAATGTGCCTCTGCCGATTTCGCGGAAGGGGAGGGTTGTTGTTGTTGGGAAGGTTACGTGTTGGGGGTTTGCGAAGAGGGAGGTTGGGTTGCGGTTTGCGTGGAAGAGCTTGTTGAGGGCGAGGAGGTTTTGTGAGCGGGTGGGAAGGTCGGGCGGGCTCTGTGACGGTGAGGTGGTGGTTGTGGATGTCGTGGCTGTTTCGGCCATTTTCGCTCTGAAGGCCTCCCTGTGGATGTCAAAAATGTAGTCAGATGTTGTGGATGTCGATCGAGTCGAAATTGAATATGGTGTACTTTCTGTGGTGCTGAGGAGAGCTCCAGCAAAAGATCTCGATTTCGCCTGATATACCTTGAGAGTACCTTTTCGCGTCGAGGTAAGCAGGAATTGAGTTGCACGTGAATCACAAATGAGAGAAGCTGTGTCACACAAACCTTATCACGAAATCACCTGATGGCTACTTCGATCTCATCTGTAGGAGGCTGCATACCCACATCGGAACGAAGTTGTGTCAATGGGGAGCACTCTGGCTCAATAATCGCGCTATGAGGGCAGTCGTCGGTAGTGATATCGATTATCCAGTTGCTCGCTCATCTATGTCAGTGCTTCACCACACAATTACCGTTGCACAGTTCGGGCGCAATCCAAGCCTCCGCTTTGCTCGCCCACTAGGGCAACCATGTTGGTGCGATCGCTAATCGACATCACTTGGATTTGTTGCCTGTGCCTCGACCGTCTGCTTCGCTTCCTTGTGGCTAGGATAGAAGTTGATCTTCCCATCCTGCTCGATCATGCCTACCCGATCATACAGCGTCCTTGCTCTGATATGAGGATCCAGCTTCCAGTAGTTGTCATGCAGCTGAGTCGCAATGTCATCTCTCTGGTGCTTCGTCGTCTCTGCTTCCGGAGTCGGTTTTGGTCCTTCACATTGCCTAATCCATTCAAAGGTGTCCTTTTCGAACTCTTGAACCATCTTCTGCCTTTCCTCGTTTAGCGGCTTCTTTGCACTCTCATCCTGCATCAGCTTATCCTCGCCGTCTTGTGGCTCTACAAACACGTATTCCCAATTCTCATCGCCACCGAGCTCCTTGAGGATTTTTGATCTGTCGATGAATTGTTCTAGGTCCTCCACTGACGATGTAAAGTGCACCTTGGCTGCTACGACAGGATCAAGCCAGCCCTTGATGATCTTCCATATGCCTTGGAAAAGCCATGGCGCTTTGTGTACAAGGACATTTCCCAGCGATTCGGGGTAGTTGGCTTCGAAGATTTTGATCATGAACTTGACAGGCGTGTAGTCCATGTTGGCCATGGTGAAATGCGTCATGTCGAATAGAATTGTCTGGAAGATTGTTAGTACTCCTAGAGGGAGAGCAAGAGGGTGAACCTACCGCTGTCTCGACAGGCGGCCTCAACAATAACCTCGCTGTCTCAATCACGAAGACTGTGTACCTTTCCAAGCTCTTCTCTGTCTGGTCGCCTCCATGATGTAACCTCGCGCGAACTATACACAGCGGTCTGCCCTCTTTGTCTGCGCCGTGCAGAAAGCTCTTTCCCAGTCGCATCTGCTCGAGGAAATCGTGTCCCTCTCGCTTCACAGCAGCGTCGCTCGATCTCGAGTCGTTTAGTGCGCCCAACTCGCCATGTAAGATCACATCATCGTCAACATGCATTTCATTGCCTCGCCATGACATGGTACTAATAAGCATGACAAGCGCCTTGTTCACGTCCCACTTCCGCGCCCGCAGAAATCGGAGCAATAAAGCATCTGGATGGTCTGCCTTGACCATAGACCAAAAGGCTGTTCGGAGCGACTCTGGCGTCTGTGTAGAGAGGATCTGGTGGTATTCTTTGACTTGGCCGTACTTGTCGTCGGACTCGTCGGTCGCGCCAACCTTGGGTGATGCGCTGTGGTCGTCATGCTTGTTGCGACCGAATATGCCCAGTCGGGATTTCTTCTTCTTCTCTTTGCCCTCTGCTTCGGAATTTGTGGGTGTGTCATCGAGCGCGGCTGTTCCATTTGGATGATTGGGGTCCTGTACGCCAAACGTGTGTAGAGTCAGAGTCCATAGTTGTCGTAGTTTTGCTTCCTGGTCTGCAGTCAGGTTGCCCCTGTGGCCCGGAGCGATGGGCATGCTGGTGAAGAAGGGGTCGTGTGAGGTGGTGGGAGAGGCTTCGACGAACTCAACGGCGGTCGGCACAGGCTCTTCGGTCTCGATTCGGACGGCGGAGTCGTAGATGAGTGCAGTGCCGCAAACAAGAAAGAATCCAGCTATGTACCAGGTGTAGGACGTATATGCGCTCTGTAGGATATGAGGACGTGAATGAAAAGTGTGCTGGTGTCGTTGCTGCGGCGGACGCGGGTAGATGGGTGGCCCTGACCGAAATTGATGTCGTGGAAGCGACGGGATGGCGGTCAACGAGGATCTTGTAGTCCACGGAGGTTTTGATGCTGCTGTAGTCCGAAACAGCAAATGCTGACTGTGCAAGACTCTAGCGCTGGGCCGCATCAATTCTCGCACTGAGAGAAACGATTGTGTTGACATGCGACCAACTGCGCCATGGCAGGAAATCTCCCGCGAAAGCCGAGTCCGAACTGCCCGCAGATGAGGTCACCATACCACGCGATTATGGGTGAATGATGTGCACGTACGAGTTGCATAAAGGTGCCTGGATGGCGTACATAATTTCTAGGGTTCAGCGATAGGCGAGCAAGGCTGGAGATTTAGGGGTGCGCCATCCCTATAAATCTTACGTTTCATCTCTTCCTGGCAATGGCGACCAGATTGCGGCCTCTCAACTTTCCTGGTTCTTTGGGATTCGCCTGCCTCAAATTTCCAGCCAATTGCTGCACCAGTCGCTGTTTCTCATCCGTACTGTAGTCGTCGACGACATTCTGCATGACGGGCATTCGTACCAGCATGCTGGCAAAGTCGTCGATCTTTTCGTATCCCATCTCGTTATCAACGAAGAATATTTCAACATCCTCGAAGCCACACTCTTCCAACTCGGCCTTAGTGGCTTCCTCCGTAGACCACTCTTTACGGACCATCTTCAACTGAGTTCCGGGTCTGACGGATTCCACTGCATCCTGAATGGCATCGATGTGTTGGCTTTCGTAGCCGTGGGAAATGGCTAGAATTCCGCCGGACTGCAGGACAAGGTGTGCTTGGCGGAGAGCCTTGCGGGCGTCTGCGAGTAGGAAGAAGACGTGACCGGCCACGACGTGCGAAAGAGAGCCAGCTCCTATGACAGATGACAGGTCATGGGCATCGATCTGTCGGGGTTGAAGCCGCTTCCATACCTCTTGGCCTCCGTCGATTCTCGTCTTCTGCTTGTCGGACAGTGCCTTGACCATGTGCTCGCTGAAGTCGGCTCCGATGATTGTCGCATCGGGCGGCAGCTGTGACCCATACTCATCCAGGATGTAAGAAATAAGAGCACCGGCACCGCAGCCATTGTCGAGTATGCCAGTGGCTTCACGGACGGGGTAGACCTCATCCATCCTTGCAATCAGACGCTTGGTCGTGGGGTTCGCCTTTTGAAAGTCGGGCAGCTTGGTGAAAGCAGCAGCCATGTCCTTCCAGGATTCTCCGGTGGCTGTCGGAGTGTTAGCACGCGTGTCAGTGTCCTCTGTAAGCCGGTGAGGCACGTGAGGCAGCCGAGTTGTCAGACTCACAGGCATGCATGTCTTTTGCCATGGTCGTAGGATGTTGCTTTGAGCTTTGGGACATCACTGCTGTGCGAGATTTGGACACCACATATCACTTGTAGCAAGCATACGTCTCATATATCTACCGATTAGCCTCGACTCACCGGCGACATACTCCCTTCAATCAAGCTTGGCATCTTGTTTACTTGCTCAGGCCTGGAAAGTTGCCGGAACCTTGAGCTTCGTCGAATAAAGTCTCCGGACCCGCGGATCCGAATTACATGGCACCATACACGTGCTCAGGACGTGGCGCGGATAATGCTAACGACCGCGAGGTCGATCACTACCGGTCGAGCAGGAGAGCAGAACATGGGCATGACCATTCCAGGCGAAGAGAGGTCAGCAGCTGGTAGATCATATGCGATATCGTGAAAGATGGAAAAGGCAAGCCACCTTCCTAACTGGGCAGACTCGCATTTCTGTCTGTGTTGTGACACTGGGTCAACTTCGGAACAGCTCACCCCACATTTATGATCTTCGCGTCTGGAATCTTCTCGCAGCGGCCTCACAGCACACAAACTTGGAGAGAAGTCACTACCACAGAGGAAGGCAAGTGCACACAAAGTAATTGCTGGTCGCGTGCACTCTCTCAATCCGAGTCTGTGGCCATTCTTTACTGCGTCTGTCTCAGCTTCTTCAACTTCCATTACCCTCCTGAGTCACGTTATTTGGGTCACACAAAACCGCAATCATGGCGGGTCGGCCGAGAGTCTACTTCGACATAACCATCGCAGACCGCAAGGAGGGTCGAGTCGTCTTCGAGTTGGTAGGTAGATCGTCTGCATGGCCCTCCATTCACTGCTGACGAGTCGGACTAGTACAACGATGGTCCGCGAACCAAGCCCCGCCGTCTCGATCACCACTGACCAGCATAACAGTCGTTCCTAAGACCGCGGAGAACTTTCGAGCGCTATGTACCGGCGAAAAAGGCAAGGGAAAGCAGGGCAAGCCGCTGAGCTACAAAGGTGCGCCTCCGACACCGACAAGAAGCACTGTGCTGAAGATGAGCAGGTTCAATATTCCATCGAGTCATCAAGTCCTTCATGATCCAAGGCGGTGACTTCACCAACTTCAACGGCACTGGCGGCGAGTCAATCTACGGCGAGAAGTTTGATGACGAGAACTTCGACCTCAAGCACGACAAGCCATTCCTCCTGTCCATGGCGAACTCAGGTCCGGGCACCAACGGCTCCCAGTTCTTCGTCACGACCGTTCCCACACCTCATCTCGACGGCAAGCATGTTGTATACGGCGAGGTCATCAACGGCAAGAACATCATTCGGAAAATCGAGAACTTACCCACCCAGTCCGACAAGCCACAAGGAGGAGATGTGGTCATTGCAGACTGCGGCCAACTCGAGGGTGACAGCTACAACGCTGCAACCGAGAAGGCTCCTGATGCGACCGGCGATCCCTACGAAGACTTTCCCGATGACCAGGCCGAAGATTTGAAAGGCGAGCAGTACTACAAGATTGCTGCAGATCTGAAAGACTACGGCAACAAGGCGTTCAAGGCTGGAGATACCGAGACCGGAATCGAGAAATACCAGAAAGCTCTCCGCTACCTCAACGAGTATCCTGCGGCCAACGACTCCGATCCCAAGGATCTCCAAGCTCAGCTTGACGCCCTCCGTTTCACTCTCCACTCCAATTCGACCCTGCTTGCAAACAAGGCAAAGCGATATTCGGAAGCCGAGAAATGGGGTGGTTTCGCACTCGACTGTATGCCCAAGGATACCAAAGACCAGGACAAGGCCAAGGTTTACTACCGTCGTGCTCTGGCTCGAGTGGCACTCAAAGACCTCGACTCGGCAGTCAAGGACCTCGAGCAGGCCGCTAAGCTCGCTCCGGAAGACGCTGGTATCAAGAAAGAGCTAGCGTCGACCAAGAGCCAAGTCCAGAAGAGCATACAGAAGGAGAAGGCCAGCATGAAGAAGTTCTTCTCTTAGCTGCCCTTGCCACTTCTGCGTTCACAGAATGCGTTTCCGAGATCTCGAAAGCGCACTCCCCGAGAGTGGCCGAGGGCAATTCTGTGATGCGCGGATCATGTTCGAACGGTACGGATAGATAAATAGCAAGCGATGACATACAGAAGCTGCGACGCTTCTCAAGCGCGACTGGGGTCGGCTTCGGGGTTCGAGACTCGTGTCTGGTACCAACAATCAACGAAGCCATATCATAACGACTACAACTTCTATACGATCCATTACACATATCATTATGCGACTGACATTACATTAGTAGGAAAAGATCGGGTACTTCGAAGCTGGTATATGCCAAAAGTATACATGTGCGGGGTCACCGAACTTTTGGCTTTTCCCCAGATTTTCGGGCCTTTCGACTGCCTCGGCATGACCACACACCAGCACCAGAAACGCCGTTTCATACACTTCCACTTCCCCTTCTCGAGTGTCGTACTGAACCGACTCACTGAACAGAACAAAGCAATCCACATCAACGCCCTGAGCCATGGCACAGAACGAAATCCGCTACGACGACCAAGTCGTCGTGATCACAGGCGCCGGCGCCGGCCTCGGCCGCGCTTACGCCCTCTTCTTCGCCGCCCGTGGTGCCAAGGTTGTGGTGAATGACCTGGGTGGTAAGTACTTACAATCTGCCAGAGACTTCAATCGATGCTCGTCTGAGCGGAGTATCCTCGAGCATACCCACTCACACCCGCTACCTGACAGGCACGTTCAACGGCGCAGCCGGCTCCTCGGCAAAAGTAGCCGACACCGTCGTCTCGGAGATCACCTCCGCCGGCGGCACGGCCGTCGCGAACTACAGCGCCGTGCAGCAAGGCGATGAGATCATCGCCACCGCCATCAAGCATTTCGGGCGAGTCGATGTTCTCATCAATAATGCTGGGATCCTGCGGGATGTGACGCTGAGGAATATGAAGGACGAGGACTGGGATCGGATTATTGACGTACATGTGACGGGGACGATGATGACGACGAAGGCCGCGTGGGCGTACATGCGGAAGCAGCGGTTTGGGAGGGTGGTGAATACGAGTAGTGCTAGTGGGTTGTTTGGGAATTTTGGGCAGTGAGTTTTGGCGCTTCTTTGCTGCATTCGGGAATCTCCATACCAGAACTTCGTTCGGTAGATTCCGATGGGCAGGACCTGCCTGAGGAAGTGGAAGGTACTGATGTCAAAACAGGTCGAATTATGCTGCTGCGAAGATGGCCATAGTCGGCTTCACCGAAACGCTCGCTCTAGAAGGCAAAAAGTACAACATCACAGCCAACATCCTCGCCCCAGGAGCCGCCAGTCGCCTGACCCGGACGGTCTGGAGCGAGGACATGATGGAAGTCATGAAGCCAGACTGGGTTGTCCCTCTGGTTGGATCGCTAGTGCACGCCTCGTGCAACATCACCGGCACGATCTTCGAAGCCGCCGCAGGCCATTTCTCTGCGATACGCTGGGAGAGGAGCAGAGGACTGCTGCTGGAGCCGGAGAGCATGACGGTAGAAGACGTTCTCGCTGGCCACGCGCAGATCGCGGACTTCAAGGACGCAGAGCACCCAAAGAGTGTAGCGAATAGTCTGGAGAAGTTGGAGGCATCGCGGAAGCAGCCGGTGCTGAACCAGAAAGGGCATAAGGAGAAGGTGAGCTTCAAGGGTAAAGTGATCCTCGTCACTGGCGCAGGCGAAGGGCTGGGTAGGGCGTATGCGAAGCTGTTCGCGGAGCGAGGTGGGAAGGTCGTGGTGAATGATGTGGTGGGTGCCGAGAAGGTCGCTGCTGACATTAGAGCTGCGGGCGGGGAGGCCATAGCGAATACCACCAGCGTGGAGAAGGGTGATCAGCTCGTCAAGGAGACCATCGAGACATATGGGCGAATTGATGTGCTGGTCAACAACGCGGGCATCTTGCGGGATAAGGTTTGTTCCTCCCCAATCACATCTTCTACACGGCCTCCTCGACGCCCCTAGAACGCCGTCTGGCTCGAACTGCTACTAATCTGTATCGACCCCTAGGCATTCATGAACATGACCGCCCAACAATGGCACGAAGTAATGAACGTCCACCTCCGCGGCACCTTCCTCACCTGCCGCGCCGCCTTCCCACACTTTCTCAAACAGCGCTCGGGCCGCATCGTCAACATCACATCAACCTCTGGAATCTACGGCTCCTTCGGCCAAGCAAACTACGCCGCCGCGAAATGCGGCATTGTCGGCTTCTCCAAGACCCTTTCCCGCGAGGGCGCGAAATACAACATCATTGTGAATGCAGTCGCGCCAAGCGCGGGCACGAACATGACAAGGACGGTGAGGTCGGAGGAGGAGGTGCAGTTGATGAAGCCGGAGTATGTTGCGCCGCTCGTGGCGGCGCTGTGTTGTGAACGACCGCCGGGGAGTGGAGGGTTGTATGAGGTTGGGACGGGGTGGTTTGCTATGACGCGGTGGCAGAGGGCTAGGGGGGTTGATTTTGAGCACGCGAAGGGGGTGGTGTCGGTTGAGGAGGTGATGGCGGTGAGTGATTCCTGTGTTCTCGCTGGAAATGCGTTCGCTGATAAAGGCAAGGCGCTGCCAGAGATCTGCAACTTTGATAATGGGAAGGCGGATAATCCGGATGATCCGCAGGAGGGAAGCAAGTATACGATGGGGAATGTGTTGAAGAACCCGAAGATTGTGAGTTATCCTGCCCCGTGCTCATCGCGTCGGCATACTTATGCTTCTAGGCGGGTGCTTTGTCACAGCAGAATCGTGGGCGGAGGGGTGATGTTGGGAAAGCGAAGATATAGAGTCGTTGATTCGCGTTGTGTAACGCATCTCAGAGGACGCCTGAGAAGACAGTCAAAAGCCATTCAACCTTCTCGGTCATTGCTATCGCCTTGCAGGGAACTGATCTCATAGCAGAACTCGAGCTACTGACCATGCCCCCACGATATCATTGCTTGCGCGAGGCCATCGAAATGCTAACGATCGGGAGAGTCAGCTCTGTCGCGCCACCAGCCTTGCAATAAGACGTCAATCGGTTGTTGTCGACCGTTTGTTCGCCTTTTCGTTGATCGTGGTGGCCTTCTGTGGAGGGATCGACAGATATTGGAGGTAGGCGTGCGTCCAGGCACTGTATTGTGTAGTTGATGGTGGCTTGTCGCTGGAGGCGCTGACGGCGAGTCGCTTCTGCTGACTGGGAGATATGGGGTTGTGTGCATTTGTGGTGGAAGGCTGCTGAGGAGTTGTTGGGTCTGCCATGGTGAGTAGGAAGTCTGCGATCTGGAAGCTCGAAGTTGCAGCGAGTCCAGGTGCATCGAGCCTCTGCGCAGACTGCTCTGTGGGCGGCGCAGTGTCGTTCTAGTATTCATCTGCGGCATTCGGGCACTGTATATGTCCGCGCCTCCGAGTATTGTGGGGGACGACTTCTCTCATTCCAGGAAAACACGCCCTGCGAATGTATATCGCCCGTCTCCGTGGTGCTGGCGCATCGTCATATAGTAGTCAGCCTTGATCTATGCGACTGCTTGACTCGAACGATGACTCCACCTGCGCGTCCATGTTCGCAAGGACACCTGATCTGGGTTGAGGGCAAGCGTCAATGGTAAGGCGAGCGCGACGGGCGAGCTTGGCGTTAGTGCTGTACTACGTTAGGCACGGGCTGATAAGCGAGTCTCTGATCAGGGGACGTATGCGCAAATCAGTGCAAGAAGGTGTACGATGATGCGTTGTTCCATTTCGTGCGGGACGGTATCCAGGTGTGCCATACGGCTCGTTCAAACTCCTAATGGCGGCCTCCTCAGCCGGCAGATTCGGAATGATTCTTTCCCACTTGCTAGCACCCAACTGAGCTTGACCTCAACTCCATTAACTTGTTCGAAAGCTTAAGATCAGGCGCCAGCGGCCACCCAGATCAAGGAATCCATTTTGACCACACCTCAGGTGGATTCGTCCCTGGCCTGTAGAGCTGCGGGACACACATCCGCCAAAGACGACTCTGCTTCAACTACGGGTAGTGGAACTTGGCAGATCCTTTCGTCCCACATCCGACACACTGGTAGGCGGCTTCAGCGGCGGCGATGCAATTCTTTTCCGTGCAGGGCTTGTGCCATATACCACACTTGCATATAGCTTGAATCCACCTCGTGTTGACCGTCTCACATGAAAGGCATTTGTGTTCGGCCCTCTGAAAAACGTAAGTTGCAACATCCACGGCAAGATCAGGAACTGCTCTAAGCATCTGCGCAAGCTTTCCACTTTGGCACCTCGCTCCTCGTAGTCTGGTTTTGCAGAACTCTTTGTCGACGAAAGACCGGTATAGGCATCGATCACGAAGATCCCGCTCGTATGTTGGCGTGGTGGAGTAGACAGCAGCAAAGACTGTTTCGATATGAGCGATGTTATCAAGACATTCGCAGCTTATGTCGTGGAATGCATCGGAAAACGCTTTGCGAGCGAGCTCCTTCAGGCCAGCATTGCCAAATTTGACGCCAGCAGCAAACATGTAGACGTGCAAGAGTGCTTCTTTGAAATCTGGCCCTTCAGAGGCCTCCCTGGAAGGTTCAGAAGAAGTTGTGGTTTCTCCATCCGCCTGCTGACCGAGAGGGTGAAATAGCAGCTGATGGCCGACTGCATTATCGTATGACTCACAGTCGCCTGTATAGATGTAGTGGAGTACTCGAGCAACGATTGCGGGATCATCTTCTGGAAGGTCGATCTTGGATTCTTGACTCTCAGTATTCCAGCCAGCGCAGATGGCAGTCTCAAAGAAAGTGCCCCCCTTGGTAACGAGAACGTATTTGTGGACCTTGAAGACATGATCTTGACAGGTGATGGTGAGGTCGGAGTAGTGGCCATGCTGCAGAATCCTGATGGCTTGTTAGTCGACGGTATTCATGGTTCCACAGCTTAGTCAACAGAGGCCTCCGTCGATCGAGGATATCAATGTCATGTTGCGATGAAACGTACTTAAGGGCGCGATCTTGCTCGCTTCCGCCGATCAACTCGCGCAGGTCGGTGGCTGCAGGAACAACGGGTCCGTCGGGGACCGCAGCCGCAGTCGAAGCCGAAGTCGAAGCCATAGCGGCGGTCGTCGTTGATGGGCTTGTCATCGTCCACTTGGCAGCGCGCTGACACCTTGGGAGAAAAGAGCGAAATTGCAAAAAAGACGACTTCATTGAATTACCGTGTCATGTGGACACTGGAAGTAACAAGGTGCTTCGAGAAAGACAGCAGTGAAGACCAGGTGAGTGAATCGTTGATATCGTCACTTTCCGACATCATCAATTTCAAGTGACACTTCGATGACTTAGGCAGCACTTCGGGGATGGTTGTTTCGGAGCACCAGCGAAGTTCGGATGTCTCACTCGATGGGCCTGTCGAGCTTTGACGGATGCATTATGCCCACGATGAAAGCGACTTAGAAAGGTTCGTGTGCAATAAATCATTGTTTGAATTCGTAGGATTAGGCTTGAGGCCCGTCTCGTGCACGCATTGGACTATGTGCTGATCCAGCCGTGCCTTGGCTGTTATGTCCACTGATACGATTGTGTCCAAAGACTGCGCTGCGAGACGAGGGCGCTCCTGCGTCCTTACTTCTGTTGAGGTGGGCAGACAGCGAAGCTGTGACAAGAAGTCGTGAGCATTTTCTGCAACTCGTCACCTTGGGTGGTGCGGCCCCTGACAGCGCCCTCCCTGGCCAGAGAATCCACATCGAGTCTTTCCTGCGTAGTGACGCTCGAGTGAGGCTCATTGGAGATCATCTACCGATCCAGCGAGGTGACATTACACCTCCAGTGCCCGCCCTGACCTGACAAATGATCAAGGCACTGTTGTGAGAAAACGTCGTACTTGTAGTCATGGCTTGACATCTCACGAGCCCTCTGCAGGACAAATCAGCCTTTCGCCCCTTTTCCACCGCACAAATAGCATTGCGCGCTGGCATGAGCAGCTGCCTTGCAGCCAGGCTTGTGGCAGCGGTTAGGCCAGAGGTCGCACGCGCACGGGCCGACGATCCATGAGAACGATTTCGAGCAGGACTGGCATTTGCCAAAGTTTGCACGAAACTTGTGAGTAGCAAAGTCCACGGCCAAATCGTGAATTGACTTGAGCAATAGCCAGGTTGTACGGTGTCCGCAATCAACACTGTGCGAGCAGCTATGGCGCTCCGTCAGGAGCCAATACAGACAGATATCGCGGAGCTCGCGCTCATCTGGTGGCGTTGATTCGTAAACTTCGGCGAAGAGTCTTTGGACGTCAGGGAGGTCTCTGTGGAGACAGGGCCCATATCTCCCGCCATCAGTTAGCTCGCGGAAGAAGGCGCGACGTGCAGATTGCTTCAGGCTGTAGTTGCCAAATTTGGTCGCTGCAGCAAACATATGAGCGTGTAGAAGTGCCTTGGCTGGTCTCGAACCAATGTACTGAGATTCATCAACAGCGCCCTCCCGACCAGACTTTTTACTGAGCGCCGCAAGTGGATCGAATACGATGCAAGCGTCGTAGTCAGCCGTATAGATGTAGCGAAGGATTCGAGCAATGATGTTAGGATCATCTTCAGGAAGGTCGATTTTGGACTTCTCAGTCTCGGCAAATCCCGCGCAGATTGCTCTTTCGAAGAAGTCGCCACCTTTGGAGATGAGGATGGATTTGTGGGCACTGAAGGTGTGACCCTGGCAGGTTACGGTGAGGTCGGAGTAGTGGCCATGCTGGAGTATCCTAGCGAAGAAGTCAACTCATGAAGCCCACCTCAGGGAGGACTCCGTGTGGAATTACCTCAGAGAGCGATCTTGTTCGCTTCCGCCGATCAATTCTCGAAGGCCAGTCCCGCCAGGGTGATTGAATGTTGGCTGGGCTGCCACGGCTGGAGTTGGCGGCGGACTTGCCATTGCCATATTGGGTTCGAGATATCAAGAGTGATGGAAAGAAGGAGAGGGAACAAGGATGGAGTCGATGTCATATAGCCTGCCGATGAGGTCGTCTAGGCAGTGACTTCAACTCTGCTTGATGAGTGACTCCCAAACGGCAGCTCAGTGAAGCAGTGAAGACTGCGTCCGGTTCTGCTCTCAGTCTTGAATGAGAGGCGTCAGTCCGTCGGATTAGAGTCTGATTACGCCAGTACTCAACCAGGAAAGTCCTGACCTGTGCGAATCACGCCGAATGCTGTGTAGTATGCCTCAAGTCGAGTAAGTCCGCTGCCACAGCCATGCTCCTGGATTCGGGAGGCCACTGGGTTGGTGAACATGAAGTGAGCGATGGACCATGTCAGGCGAGAGGGCTGAAATGAGCCTCATCGAAGCATTACTCAGTCAGAGTAGTTGACTCCAACAAGTCAGGCCAGGGATGACGCTGGGAGTTTCTCCGAGCCATCTGCTAGCTTTACGGGATTCGTATGCCGCCATTGACCTCCAGAAACTCCTTGAAAGCAGCGTCCGAAGCGTCTCTGCCTTCCAAGCTGAAGCCAGGCGGACAAGCAGGCTTGGGGTGCCAAGGTTCTGTTTTCACGTCGGGCCTTCTGCCAGTAACCTTCTCTGTCTTGACCAGCACAGGTATAACGCCACCAGTCTCCATGATGAAAGATCGGTGACCAACCCCTCGCAATATGGCAGCAATGACACCAGAATGGACCGTCAGGGAGATAACAGTACTGTCATCGTGGGCGAAGATGTCGTCGAGCGCCCCGAGCATTCGTTGGGTGTGGGCAGAGTCTGTCTCGCGAAGATCAGGATCCCACAGCTCATCCTTTTCAGTGAAGCCCTCCTCAATGCGATAAGGTGGATCCTGCCATCTTGATCGGATCGTTGATAGCGGCGAGCGCTTGTCGCACGTGTGGATGCCATTCGTTTCCCGGAGCATCTCTTTGATCAGCGGTCGGTATGGTCCAGATCCATGAGGAAACTTCAGTTGCCGAAATGTGATGTCGGCGGTCTCGATAGCTCTGTCCATAGGACTAAGGTAGTAGGCCTCAGGCGTCTTCATCTTCTGCTCCTTGATTTGCGATGCCCAGAAGTTCGATGCGGTCTTTGCCTGCCCTTGCCCGACTGGTGTAAGGTGCGCATCGAGCCAGTTGACCGTCCCATTGCCCTCTAGTGTCGACCAGTAGCAATCCCACGCCACTCGACTGTAGTATGTCTCTGCAATGTTGTGGAAGCCTTGTCCGTGCCTTCCCAGAAACAAGAGCCTGTATGAAGTTGATGGCGGGGCATCTGCGTTGAGCGTGGACAGGTGATGGTAGAATCTTTGCCATTGGGTCGGCTTCGGCTCGTCAGAGGGGTACGACGGATCGGACGAGTATGAGCGGGAGATCAAGCCAAAATTGCTGGTCAGGAACGAGAATTGGGAGGCATTCGTGGTAGGGTCCGATTGCACGAAGTAGTCAGGCACGGCTTGCATGCGGTACCATACCGCCGAGGACTCCGAGTGCCCCGTCGGCGCGTCTGGTGATGTCGACAGAGACGGCTGTGCTTCTTTCATGACGACGAGCAGCGCGATTGTCACAGTGAGGAACACGAGCGATGGGATGAGTGTCGTCGTTCGGAAGAGGCGGAAGCGGCGTGGTCTTCCAGGGATTGCAAACGGCGGACTGTGGTCTCTAGGCAGCATCTTGTGATCGCGACAGCGAAGTCGCGCACAGCACACTCATCTTTGGCTTCAATTCGTAGTCGGCAGGAGACTACCTATGCATTGGAAACGAGAACAAGAATGGCAGTCCGTAGATACGGTGGTCCACACAGGCAGGCTGTGACTCTACGTACGGAGCGCTTTCTCGCACCACCACCTTCTACACGTCCTGCTTGGGGTTTCTCGGCCAGGGAGGCCGCTGAGGCCCCGGCATTATTATGCTCATCAAGTCGTTGGATCTCACATGAGACTCACTCAAGTGTCAGTGCGAAGCGCGGTTCCCTCGCGGTCTTCCTGGCTAGGGAGGGCGCTATAAGGGCAACACTCAGTACTTTAAGTCACATCCTGGCAAGCGACGTACGCTCTGGAACCGCAGCTGCACCCTTCCTGTCCGTCACGTCTACTCCACGGCGTCGAGCTCTTGCACCGCTTCGGTGGCTCACTCGATGCTGTCTGTTTCGTCTTGACTAGTACAAGACCCAGAACAGTCCCACAGCTTGTACTGCCACACGTCCTGCGATCTTCCCGCAATGCGCTTTCAACCTCCAGCTCCCAGGTACTTGAGCTGCTCCTGGTGTACGGATCGTTTGGTAGGCGCGTGCCGACCTATAAGGGGCAAGTGCGCGCTCGAGTTGTCGTCGGGTTTGACGATAGTGGTGGCGGAGGCATTTCTGTACTGCTATTCTCTGGAATCAACGAGGTGAAGTGGTCTATCCGGGCCATTACGCTGATCGCCTTGTCTGTCAATTAGTACGCTGTTACTCGAGCAAGTGTGTCTGCGGCATCACCACTTCACTTGAATATCTGGCTAAGCTTGGGGCAGCTTTCTTGCCTTGTTTGCTTTCTTGCCTTGGTGCCCGCCCTGGTGCCCCGTTTGCTTTGCTTATAGTCCACGCCCATCTACGTTAGTCCCTTTAGCCTTCTCCTTGCTACTGATGACAACCAAGATATCGAAACAAACACTACCGATCAGAATTGGTACGCCATCGGTCACTATGGCGGATATCTCAGCCTCATCGGAGATAGTCACAGACGATGAATCCACACCTTCCTTGCGAATGCTCCTCGACACCAGCGAGCAAGAAGCAGCTCAGATGTAAGTTATCGTGTCCAGGAGTGACCGACAACAATGTGCTAACGTACGCCCAGTCTCCTCGAGTATGGTCAATTCAGCGATCTGACCATCACTTGTCAAGGAACGACCTTCAAAGTCCACAAATTCGTCCTAGTAACTAAAGGCGGCGACTTCTTCAAGCACGCAATCTGCAGTGGTTTCCGCGAAAGCCAATCCTCAGTCATCGATCTTCCTGAAGATGAACCCGAGATCATCACGCGACTTCTCTCGCATCTGTACACCGGCTCCTACGCCGAACATCTGCTCAAGGAGGCCTCTGGAGGGGATGACGACGCACGCGTCGATGCGGATGCTATCCTTCTTCATGTCAAGATGTTTGCTGTCGCAGTCAAGTACGGCATCAAGTCCCCGAGAGACGCAGCTCGTAAAGCTTTTGTCGCAAACTTCACGGCCAGAGAAACCGACATGAGTAATGTGCTTCCACTGGTCATCAAAGCTGTCTACAGCACGACTGCGCCGGACGAGAGGGAGCTTCGAGACTTGTGCACGTACGATCTACTTTTCGAGCAAGCTCTCTGTACTCCCAATCGCAACGACTCTTCTGCTAATGCTATGCTTGAGGTCTTGTCTGCCGTTCCGGAGCTGGCTGTTGATGCTTGTGTCTTCTGGCTTGACAGCTTCAACGATGACACCCACACTTTCTACTGCGCCGAGTGTGAGAAATCTGTGGATTGGATCGCTAGACCTTGTGCATGCAAGAAATGGAAGGTTATCTGCGGCGAGGACGAATGTGATCAAGCCAGGAAGGCCGCAAGCATATGCCCCGAGTGTGGTGCGAAAGGCTCACTTGAGCGAGCGGATTAAGCAATGCCGGGAGTCAGGTCATTGAGCCCCGAGACTTCTTGGATTCTATGCAATCATAACAGGTTGCAACGCTCTGCAAATGACAGGCCTATTCGATATCAGCGGGTCAATGAGGGGTATCGACGCAGACGGGCTACGTTTCCGATTCAGCGGCTCGTCGGAGATCGGTCACACGAAAGTGGCGGTGACTTCAGCTCTTACGGGACTTACGTGCTAATAGCCTTGCAAGTGGAAGCACGGCACGCAGAGACCGCAATAATGAAAGACCTTTACATCACGCAGCGCTCTTCCGTTCTCGCAGTCTCTAACTTCGACGTGCTCGATCCGGCCCATTCACTACTGTTGTTGGCACCGACGTAGTTGCCGTTGTCTCGCTCCTCAACGTTGTCGCTTCCCTTGTCCCACGTCTGGGGGCAGAGCCAGCTTCGCTTTGGCCATCATCTAGTCCCTCTGCGAGCAATGCTAGTAGCCTTTCCACTCCATCAAGCACAACATTCGCCGCCTTCGCACACTCTGCTTCTAGCTCACGCTCTTTGCCGATGTGTGATACTTGCGTGATGTACCACGGCGCCACGTTTGCAACCACCGCTTCCAGCACCTTCAATTTCTCAAAGTTGTGGTACTCGCACTCACACCTGTCCGGATCTATACAAGGCGCCGCCGGTGGTTCCATGACAGATATGCAGATCGATCGCGGCGTGATGCTCGGATCTCCAGGTGCAGGCGTCAAGGTCTTCTCGATGGCTCGTAGATGGCTCAGGAGGGCGTTGTAGTGCCGCGTTTGCCAATCGCCGGACTGATTGACCAGGCTGTTGAGGAACTCAGAGGGTGCGGGAAGGAGGGCGGAGAACTCGAAGTCCAGGATTCCCGTCACTTGTGGCGGAGAGGAGGCTGTGGTGTCATCAGTTGAGATGAGGATGTTTCGGGGCGCGAAGTCCATGTGGGTGAATTTCATTATGTTGGACGCATTGTCCAGAAACGGCAGGTGTGCGAGTCGTTCTCGCAAAGCCGTGACCCTGTCGTCAATCATTGCTCTTAGGCCACTCAGCTCAGCGGCAGTCATCATATGCGCAATTTGATCGTCCAACACGAATTGATAGTACTCTGCCCATGTCCTCAACCCCTCGTGCCCAGTATCCTGTCTATGCGTTAGAAGCAGTCCGCCGGTGACAAACCCGCGCCACAGGTCCATCCGCGAGTCCTTGGGTCGCCAGAAAATTCCCGGCGACTTCCCATGAGCTGCAGTGAAAAGGCACTGGTTGCCTATCCTCGCTCCTCCACCACCGGGAGAACTCCAAGATCCTGTACCCCAAGGCAATCCCATTTCCACCGTCCGCCATGTCGCCATGTGCTCTGCCAACTGTCTCAAGATCGCATCCCCATGGATGCCGTCCAGGTCCTCGATAGTGAGCCTCCGCCCGGGTAAGCGCGTCTGCAATACCCAGCCATGCTTTACACCCTGAAGCACCTTCTTCCTCCGACCTGTAACCTTCAGGAAGCCACGATCAAGCGTCTCGATCTTCGCGCCATCAGTGGACCAAGCTACAACCTCCGGAACAGGCACAGAGGGGCAGAACTCCCGAAAGCGGAGAAGCCAGCCGACTTCATTCTCGACTTTGCGGTGGTTGAAGTAGTGCCCGGACACACGAAGGACCAGCTCGTGGGAGATGGTGTTGGTGTGCAGGGAGTCGGTGAGATCGAGGAAGTAGATTCTGTTGTTGAAGGAGTGGCCGTGTGTGAAGGCGGAGGCGTTGATGATGGCGTGGGAGGGGAGGACGGTTGATATGATGGCTTCAAGCTGTTGGTCGGTGAGGTGGACGTTGTGAGTGGGGTGGTGCGGGGGTGTGGTGGGTGCGCCTGACATAACGTCGACGGCCGAGCGCGCGTTGATGCACGATGGTCACAGTCACAATGGATAGTGCCTCAGGAGACCGCCAAGCCCCGGTGATCATGGTCAGGACGGCGGGGAGAACAATCAACCTCGCCCGGGAATGCTTATGCTCAGCGCCTTGAATTCCTATCTATCTGCTCGACCTGATCTGCTTCTACGTTTGCTGTTTTGGCAGCGGAGCCGACCTTGATTGCTTGAACTCAAGCTGTAGCTCGACGACCCAACCACTACAGCCTATCTTGTTCTGTGCGCTACCTTGTGCAGCAGGGTTCCCTTAGCTCCACACTCGTAGCAGACCGTAGCAGCTCGGCGAGCATTTACACAAGCGACCTCCATGCAAATGTTACCACCCCATTTCCTGCAAGCGCAGGGGCCGATGATCCATGCGACTTCGGCATAGCATTCCGAACACTGATATGCAAGATCACCCTTCCGATTGGGATCACCAAGTCGGTAGCAGGCCAAGTCCGCGCCGAACTCTGGAACATCCTCAAGACTCTTCAGCAGAGAGCGGCTGCCAGTCCCTTTGCACGACTTGCACTTGATCATCTCTACCAACGCTTGGACAACGCACAGATCTCTGAGCTCTCTTTCTTGTGACGGTGTCGTTCTGTAGACAGCAGTGATGATTTCTTCAACCTTGGGTAGTTTGTCTAAGCACCAAACATCGGACCAGCAACTGAATGTTCCAGCAAACGCCTTGCGCGCCTGATCTCGGAGGCCCGGTATGCCATATTTGACAGCGACTGCAAACATTTTGACGTGGATCATCACGTTCCCTGAGTTGAGCTTAGGTGGTTTAACCTCGTCCTTCTCGTCGCCATCGTCACCCTGGCTGTTATCGTTGCGCTCATGATTGTGGCGGTCGCTTTGAGAGGACTGCACTGTGGCGGATGCGATATTGTCTAAGTGGGGAAGCTGAGAGTCAGGCTCTTCCGCACACCCTGATTCATATTGACCAGTGTAGATATGCAGCAGAACCCTCGCAACCATCTCTGGCTCATCTTCTGGAAGGTCGATAGTGTGTGTGTGGCTTTCGGCGAATCCTCCACAGATCGCAGCTTGAAAGAAATTCCCCCCTTTCGCGAGTAGATACAACCTATGAACTTTGAAAGTCGTCCCTTGGCAGGTGATGATCAAGTCGGAGAATGTGCCGTACTTCAGAAGGTGCAAGCCTGTAGCTGCTTGGTCCTTGCCGATGATATCTCTGAGTCGAGGATCGAGGTTCGCATTGTCGGCGGATTCGACCTCCACCGATGAGGAGGATTCTTGGGCCGGATTCGTCGCCATCTTTGTCGTAGCGCAGATGGCAAGAAGCTCGCGCGAAATCCTAGAACCGTGAGCTTGCTATGCGCACAAAGTGATGTCAGTGGTGTGGATGTTTAGGAAGGAGCGTTCTAGCAAAGATGCTCTTGTTGCCAAGCAACTAGCCTTTCAAGTGACGAGCATGTAAGGCAACAAGTGAAGACCAGCCTGAAATTCCTTTGGGAGGCAACCAAATGAACGACGCGTGCACCAAATTCGGGATCGACGATTCTGCACTTTATCACAACTTCGCGCCCTGCTCCCGATTATCCCTGATCACCACACTCTTCCTCCCCTTATCCTTCTGAAGATCTCTCAACACCCGCCTCAAGATCTTCCCGGACGGACTCTTCGGGATCTCATCCACGACCTCAATCTCCACGATCCACTTATGCCTCACCTTCTTATCCTTCACGTACTGTATCAGCTTCTTGCCTACCTGTTCAGCATTCCCCCTCTTTCCCTGCTGAATCACCACAAACGCCTTCGGTCGCTCCCCAGCATAGTCGTCTGAGACGCCCAAGACCGCTGTGTCCTCAACGTCCTCATGTCCCAATAGGAGATCTTCGAGCTCTGCAGGCGCGACGCCAATGCCTTTGACCTTGATCATCTCCTTCAACCGATCTGTGATCGTGATGAAATTCTCCTTGTCGATCGACCCAATATCGCCCGTATGCAGAAAGCCGTCCTTGTCGAACGTCTCCTTTGTCGCCTTCTCGTTGTTTAGATACCCCATCACGATCTGCGGGCCTTTAGCCAGATCTCGCCGGGCTCATTGAGACCACATTCCTTGCCCGTATCTGGATCCACAATCTTGACTTCCGTGTTGGCGACAATCGACCCGACGCGGAAGGCATAGCTGTAGTCGTACTTCTCCGGCGGGTGCGCGGTAATGCAGCTGCAGGATTCTGTCATTCCGTATCCTTGCTTGAAGCCAGTGCCGGGGAAGGTCTTCTCGAGGAGCTGCAGGATCTCGGCGGAGAGGGGCGCGGCGCCGCTGGAGAAGCGTTTCAGGGAGGAGAGATCGTATTTGGCAAGTGTCTTCTGGTCGCGGACCATTCGAATGAGGATGGGCGGGACGAGCAGCATCTCTTCGAGTTTGTAGTCTTGGACAGTCTGGAGCATGGCTTCCATGGAGAAGGCGGGGAGCATGTAGACGTTGGCGTTGAGGAGGATCGGCAGGTGCATCTGGTGGACCAGGCCCGTGATGTGGAAGAGTGGAAGCACGGCGAGAATGCGCTTCAAGCTAGTGGGAGAAAGCTGGCGGATCTGGAAGCATTGCCCCATCACGTTGGCGTGGGAGATCATGACGGCTTTAGGCAGGCCGGTCGTGCCACTGGAGAAGGAGAGGAAGCCGCAGACCTCGGAGTTCTTCTTGCCGGGTGGCAGGCGGAATTGTTCGATCTGACCTGTTTCGCCATACGATCCGCCGATCTTGAGGAGTTCTGCCATGTTGGTGTGGCCAGCGTGAGTGCCTTCGAGCAGGAAGACGTGCTCTTTCGGTATGCCGGCAGCGTTTGCTGCTGCAGCGGCAACGTCCATGCTGCCAGGAACGGTGAACAGGAATTTTGCATCGGCTGTCTTGAGGGCGTATGTCATCTCTTCTGTATTGTATGCTGGGCTGGCGCCAGAGACGACGCCGCCGGCACGAATGACGCCGAACATGGCGCAAGGATACCAGACTGTGTTAGGAGCAAAGAGCGCCACGGTCTGGCCCTGCTTGAGTCCATACTTCTTCGTGAGGGCTGTCGACAGATGGGTCGTGTGAGTCTTGAGGTCTGTATATGAGAGATGTTCCTCTTAATATGCGGTCAGATCAGCCCGTCAAGCAAGAATAGGACACCCACTGGTGGCTGCATTTGTGTAGCCTTTCACTTCTGATACGGGCACGTTGCCAATAGGACTGAAGGCACTATCGAACAACCACGTCCAGATAGGGAGGTCATATTGCACTGCTCCAGTCAGTATCGCTTCGGGACGAGCAATGGGCAGAGCTACTATGAATGGGCGGGTTAAGCGACTTGAACGTAGGCATGTTGGGCGACTCAGGGCGGGGAGATGTGGTACAATGGAGAGAGCTCGACAGTCGAGACGAAGAACATCATTTCGTCGACCTGCGCAAATCTTTGGATCTGCATAATGCTCCCAATGATACTTCCGTATGCCCTCGGTCCAGAGAGTCAAGCAGCCGAGTCAACACTGCACGTCGACGCTCGGAACCGAGTTTGGCTTTGCGGGGAAAGCCATCTCCTCACGTGGACCGGAGCTTGTTGCCGGGCTCTTGGAGGCGGCGCCTGACGCCGTTGCCTCGTTCTTGCGAACAACACCCAGCACGGCCTCGAGCTGGGGAGCGGTTGGAGACGATATTCGACGCCCAGGTATACGAATTAATGCCGCCTGCTCTACCACAACTCTGTTTGAGTCCGGGAAGTAACCCAGGTCCGAATGGAACATGCAGGCGGTAGGCGTACATCGAGTAGCAACTCGCAGGAGCCCAAACAGTCATGAAGGTCTCAGATCCGTCCTTGGGATGAGTGAGTTGTCTGACCATCAAGATTGTCGCATTGGATGCATCGCCTTTAATGCCGAGATTCGAACCTTGTCAGCGCGCTGGTCTTTTGCTCATGCTTGTACCTACGCCCAGCGGCATAGTCGGCTGACGAATGTTGGCGTCTGGTCTCAAAAGCTCACTTATTCCCTGCCGCGTGGCAGTGTACTTATTGCATTGGTTCGTCTCTAAAGCCGCTCGCTCAGGTCGCGTGAATACGCCGAGATGCAGGGAAGGCGACTCTACCCGATCATGCGCTGATCGGCCTCGCTTGCGCGGCTGGCGGTGGGAGGCTGCAGGCAGGGCATACGAGTTCGTTGGCACTCACACCAATGCGCTTTCCTTGGATGAAAGAAATGTGGTGGTGGAGATCGCCCATAATGCCACTGCACTCATGTCGTGCGCCGCCCAGGGAGGCCCCCAAGAAGCGCGGAAGTATCGATGACATAATCTACCCAGGCAGTCATGCAGCACATTCCTTCAAGGAAGTAGTCGAGTCACGCTGCCCCGGCCCAGGGAACCGAAGAGGGCAGTATGTTGATTACCCATGTTACCCATGATATTCGTGCATGCATAAGTCACTTTTGACCATGTACAAAAAGTGCGCTATCCTAGATGTCGCAGGTGCGAACCATCCATGGATGACTGTATTCATCATTTATACTCTATACAGCCAAGTTTCCCTTTCCGGGGCTATTTCGTATTCTGTCACGACCCACCAATGAGTGGTCATTGCCCTCCTGCCTTATCTGGCAGAGCCCCGTATGTGTTCAGGAACGTTGAATGAGGGTGGCCGATGTGATGCTGCCAAGCCAGAGTCCGAGAGATCGCTAGCGCACAGGAGGACCACTGTACCTTCTGCTAGTGAAGTGGATGAGGTTGCTTAGTCAAAGCTACTCGCGACAGTCCCAGATGTATCGGTGTTTGCGACTGTGGACGGGGTCATGCTGCAGGAGACCTAACAAACAACGCCGTCCTTTCCCTGGACCTCGCAATGTTGACATGGCTCTTCTCGCTCCTGTCACTTTCATGGCATCTGCATATGACGGTATTGCCGAAAATCCACCGGTGTATGACCTGCACGCTGCTTTCCTTTGCGAACCGGTGGAGGCGGTGATCCCTCCGACGGCGGTGACGGCTGCTGGACCTGCTGCTGCCACGGTCTGTCTGACTTTTGCTGAGCGCTCTGTACTCCGAGAGAGGCGATTGAACTCCATTGCTGTGCCAGGTCCCTCTTCAGCTGCTCGTTCTGGTCTCGAAGTTCCGTGTTTGCTCGCTCGGTAGCCTTGATTCTCTCGCAAAGCTCTTTCTCGTGGGCTTGTTCACGTTCTCTGAATGCATGCTGTCTGTTGAGAGCAGGTTGTTAGTGTGGCTGGCCTCAACGCCGGTGTCCAAATGGAAGTAAGATCACGTGCAGGAACTTTGGGTCGGGCCGGACACAGCGGCCGTACTGATTGCCGATCCGATGTAGCAGGGCCGTATACTTACGCTGCTCGGTTTTGTGCTCGTCTCTTGTTCCGGCGGTACTCATTTACAGTTTGGATCTCAATACGAGGTATGACCCCTGGCTAGTGTCAACCTCTGCAGAAGAGACTGATAGAAGATTGAGACTGGGCATGCACACCTGGCTGAATCATATGACTGAGCTGCAATTGGCCGGCTGAAGCTGAGGACGCTGGCAGGCAAATGGTGTGACATCCTGCAATGCCCGAGAACAAGTGCTGTTATCCGTGGAATTCGGTGCAAGATGACCACCATATTGGGTTACGTCCAGGCCAGCACCCACGTTTCGAGCCGAACATGAGCTCGTGAGGATAGTGTTAGGGTCGGTCACATATGTTGGTACACTCCAGATATCGGGAACATCGTAAGTGGTGCTAGAGGGAGGGCTCGAAAATGCTGGAAACGCCACCGCAGATGGTCCAGAAGCCCCTATCGCATGGTGCATTTGCTGATGGTGCTCTCTTTGATCCCATTGTTGCTTCGGTAAAGGCTGATACGGCGGATCCGAAATGAACGCCATGTGCGACGACCGAATATGTGCCAGCAACAGCCACAGCTCTTGGCGATGCTCGCGTACACCTTCAGCAACCTCTAATGACACAGTCCCAATACAATTTCGGCTGTGTGAAGCGTATGAGCACAGGCAACGTAGGCTCAGATCCCCACGATTAGTGGTGGATGAGATCCCGCTCTGGTCGCGTCGATGAGGTGCGTTTCCACGATCGCTGTGAGACAAGTTGACGTAGATTCTTGCCGGAAAGGTTTTGGGTCCTTGCGAACATTTTGTATCGTGACGACTTCTGCCAAGGTTGATCGTTCGATCTTTCACAGGTTCATAAGCAGCCCGTTCAGTCAGGCGCACTAGGTGGACTGTGTTGGGACTCGGATATCGGCGTGATGGTCTTTCGGGGGTTAAGGGTCATCACATCTTGACGCGGATTTCTGGACGACTCGAAACAGAAAGTCTGTAGAGTACCGAGACGCGCTGGCCAACGTCGTGAAGAGTGTGAGGCTCCAAGGGCAGGAGACAGGCAGGTTGCTGGCCATGGTGTACCCAGTGGGTGCAGCGGGTGCGGGTGCGGAAGCGGATGTCGTAGTATCAAATGCCAGTGGCTCAGCTCACTCACAAGGACAGGCCTGAATTGTTAGTAAACTCGAATTTGACCTGCAGCGACTTTCTCTGAATTATAACTGCATTCGTCCGTTCTCCGGAAAGCATTGGAGCGAAAATCGGCAAGGCACCAGTCCAGAAGCAGTAGTCGATTGTGGGACAGATTGTACTGTTGTGCACTTTGCCACCAATCGCGATTGTGTTGTCGATGAACGCCTCGCGAAAGGGTCAATCTTCCTCGAGCGATCTCAAGGGAGCAAAGGCCGCTCGACCTTCGCGCCATGGTGGCCGACTGGCGCGATTAGAGACCCGACAATGATGTATGGACACCGCTCAGTAGCGGAGCAGAATCGAATGCAGATAAACACCTACCGGCAACACAGTCCCACAGTATTGTCTGCATTTATTTTAGCAGCAGGCCTGAACACTGGCACCGTCGCAACCAGCATTAACTGCGGCCCCGAGTGGCGAAGGACACCGTGTCACTGGTCAGGCTGCCGCGAGACATGGGGTCTGCAACGTCTATGATGAGCACGTGTAAGCTGTAATATGAACAAGGGCAAACTGAGACCGCAAATGGATCGCAGTGGTCATTCTATATAGATAGAAGAGCGCGGATGATCAGTAAACAAATGAAGCTTGACGATGTCACCGTGGCGGAACAGGAAGAAGGTTGGACCGCAAATGGACCCCGGAAATCTAAGGTGGGGCAAGCACGGTCGCGTCGATCGCTCTTGAACTCTTCTGCTCAACGCCTCCGGCAGGATGAAAGCTCTGCCATCATGCTTATGCCCTACGACAAAGCTCACTGCTCATCAGATACTCTGGCAGATGCTACAGTCGTGCCCTGTACTCCTGTGTTTCTGCGTGGTCACAAAGGTCAGAGGAAACGATTCACTGGCAAACAACTCAGTTGCACAGGACCTGGCGGTAAGCGGGAGACAGCTAGTGCGCAGGATGCCATCGTGACGCGATGCTGAGTGGCGAGCTTGCAGCAACACCACTATACTTCTCGACAATATCTTGCCGAGATGCCTCAATCTAGACCTCCAAACAGCTTTTGTGGGTGGCTGACCCCAACTACCGCGTTCTCCAAACCCCATATTCCGGATCGAAGCTGCCGATGGGCATCATATATGGGGGTCCACGAACACCTCCTCCACATCCACTGATCTTGAGATCGCAACGAGGTGACTATCTGACTGTGCAACCAAAATGGCCGTCATTGATGCCCTTCGTGAGGTTGTCAGGCAGCAGCATGCCGGCCATGTGCTCGGCGCAGCAGTACTGGTGGGCCTTCTGGCCTCATCGTTGACTATGCAATGATGCTGAATCTGAGGCGGAAAATGGTATGCTTTGATCACTTCCGCGCGTGAGGTTGACCTGGCTGATGCAGAATGTCAGCCTCCTGGACCAATGCCTTGGCCTATCGTAGGCAACACATTTCAACTGCCCAAGAATAAGCCTTGGATATATTTCGAAGAGATCTCGAAGCGAATGAACGCCCCCGTCATCACGTATTGGATAGGACGGAACCCAACAGTCTGGATCAACGATGCCTGGGCGGCTTCCGAGATCATGGACAAGCGTGCGGCAATCTACGCTTCACGTCCACGCATGATTGTCTTCGGCGAGCTTTCTACAGGGCAGACCAACCTCGTCAGCATGTACTATGGCGACAGATGGCGCGTGCACCGCAAGCTCACTCACATGGGTGTCGGTCTTCAGCATGTCCGCAGCTACAGCGGATTCCAGGATAATGAGTCCAAGGTAGTCGCACTTGATCTTCTCAAGACGCCGGATAACTATGTGATGCACTTCGAACGATATGCCGCCTCTGTCGTCTCAATCATCGGCTTCGGTCGACGGATCTCTACTCCTTCAGATCCCATCATCACTGAAGTCATCGCAGTGATGCAGCGAGCCGGTGAACTTAATGTGCCCGGTACCTCATTCCCTATGCTTCTTGAGACTTTCCCCATCCTCGCCAGATTCCCGAATTGGATGGCGCCTTGGAAACATGGCTTGGGAGGGGGCAAGGGACGGGGCAGGAACTTCTACTACGCCCTAACTGAAGAAGCCGTACGACAGAACACTCATCCGGAGTGCTATTCGCGCAAACTTTGGGACGAGGCGCCAAAGTACGATTTGTCGAATGCAGAGATCTCGTCTTTGACAGGCAACCTCTTCGGTGCCGGAAGCGACACTAGCAGTTCTACGCTCATCACCTTTGTGCTAGCTTGCTGCGCATTCCCAGAAGCACTGGTCAAGGCTCACGAAGAACTCGACCGTGTGGTCGGACCGAATCGTTCGCCGTCTCTGGACGACGATCTGCCTTACGTTCGAGCCTTTGTGAAAGAAGTGTTCAGATGGCGCTCGGTCGCCATTATTGGTGGGCAGCCACATGCACCTATTGCCGATGATGTTTGGAACGGCTACCTCATCCCTAAGAACACATGGGTTCAGGGCAACGTTTGGGCCATACATCATCACGATCGCGAGTTTCCCGATCCGGACCGGTTCTGCCCCGACCGATATTTCAAGGACCACCCTCTTTACCGCCCATTCCCAAACGACAAAGGATACATGACTTTCGGCTGGGGTCGACGAGTCTGTGCCGGTCAAGGTTTGGCGGAGCAAGGCACAACCCTGAGTGTTGCCAGGCTGTTGTGGGGTTTCAACATTAAGAAAGCACTTGACAAGTCTACTGGAAAAGAAGTTGCCGTCGACATCAATGCTTACACGAATGGGCTGAACATGCGGCCGCAGCCGTTCGACTGTCGCTGGATACCACGCAGTGACGAGATTCGGAAGACCATTGAGAGGGAGGGAAGGCAAGCCCTAGAAGATCTTGCGCAATATGATGGCGAGACGCAATATCGAATGAGCACCTTCTACAAGCAGGAGAAGTTGATTGAAGGAAAGGTACCTGCAAATGATGAGAAGCGGAGGTAGTGCTCGAGAGCCGTGCTAGGGTTAGAATCTCGAAGGAATCGTGTAGGTCAGCGCGCCGACGGAGGAAGGCTTTATTTCTATATTTTGCGCATAACAGAAATATTCTAAAGCGGCGGCTTGAGAGTAGAATTGTAAGGGTACATCCAACGGCGCCGGATGATACGTGGCGAAGGTCATGGGGGAGACCGGATGACAGAAGCTGGGCAAGATGTAACACCGGTTGACGATTCGTCCTCATGTGAGCTCGGAACCATAGCAGTGGTGCTTAATGTGCAAGCGAGCAATGACACTGTTTCCAAATCTGTGAACGCGAGTCGCTCACGGCAGTAATCCTACGGGCCCAAAGAGCAGTAAAGAGCTCGAAGTACGTTAGCGCAAAACGCAAGTGACGCCGGGAGGGAAAGAGGAATGCAAGCTCGCAGTAATATTTATACATTTGTTCATCTTGGCGCCCCTCGCTTTGGAATTTCACAAGGCAACCACCTTGTTCATTCCTTCCTATTCACCTCGAGACCATCAGCGACAGGAATCTCGATGATCCGCCTCTTTTCATTGAGACTGGCAAAACAATATGCGTCCAGATGACGCCGATGACGAGGCTCTCGAGCCGCTCGCTCGTGCAGCGTCTCATGACGAGGACATCGATCTCGACCTGCCGACGCGTTCTCCGTCAGGTCCACTACCGACGCCAGATGATCTTGCCGCGTTCATAAAGACCAACAATCTGCAGTACAAACGTGACATATTCCATCGGGCTGCGCTTTTGCTCCAGGGAGACACGCCGCCCACTGAAATAGTTGGCATCACGCCAGCCGAGCTCGATGCACTGGAAGATGAGGGGCGCCGAAAGTGGCGCCAGCGACGGTGATGTATTTGACCATCGCTTGCACGGCGTTTGGAGCCATGGGCCAGGGCTGGTGCCAGACCTCAATGAACGGGGCAAACCTTTACTTCCCGAAGGCTTTTGGGATCGATGCCGATACGCCAAGGAACAACCTCATACTGGGATTGATCAACTCGGGCATCTATCTCAGCAATGGTCTACTGGGTGCCTGGCTGGTCGCGCCATTGAACAAGCACCTTGGTCGACGAGGCGCCGTATTCTGGGCGACCGTAGTGAGCTTGCTCACAAACCTGGGAGGCCCGATGACACAGAATTGGCAGCAGCTGTTGTTCTTTCGACTTGTGCTGGGTTGCGCCTTGGGCGTGGTCAGCAGCACGCTCAACGTCTTTGCCGCAGAGTGCGCTCCAGCTGTTATTCGAGGTGGTCTGGCTGTGTCGTGGCAAGCGTTCTGTGCATTTGGTATCTTCGTCGGCTTTGTCGCAAATGTTGTCGAATACGACTTCGGACCGAACACATGGCGATGGCAACTCGTCGGACCCGTGCTGACCACGATTCCACTGCTAGCCTTGATCTGCGTCTGTCCTGAGTCGCCTGCTTGGCTGATCAAGTATGGTGACAGGTGGGATCTGGCATATCAATCATTATCAAGGTTGAGGAATACAGAGTTACAGGCAGCGAAGGAGCTCTACACGTCACATCTGCGGCGCGGCGAGAGAAGCTTGGTGAGCAGCTCTCCTACGTCGGACAGCTTCGGGAATTGTTCACGGTTCCGCGGATCAGGCGAGCAACGATTGCGGCATACAGCGTCATGGTATGCCAGCAATTGTGCGGCATTAACATCATCGTGAGTTGCAGGTAGTCCTCCGGAAGCTCCAATGCTATGCTAAGCCTTCTCCCAGTCCTTTTACTCCTCCACCATTTTCGCCGACGCCAACTTCTCTACGTACGGCGCTCTCATGGCCTCCACGATCTTCGGACTTGTCAACTTCCTTTTCGCCTTCCCAGCTGTCTGGACCATGGATACACTTGGCCGCCGCTCGCTCCTGCTTCTTACATTGCCATTCATGGCTATCACAATGTTCCTCGCATCCTTGGCTTTCAGCATCCCGGAAGCAAAGCATCCAGATCTTAGGCTCGGCCTGCTGGCCAGCATGATCTATCTGTTCTGCGCGCTGTACTCGCCCGGCATGGGCCCTGTACCGGCAGCGTACGCCGCAGAGGTGTTCCCTCTCAGTCATCGCGAGTTGGGCATGAGTTCCGCGGTCGCAGTGACCAACATCTGGCTTCCGCCCTTTCACTCACCTTCCCACAGCTTCTGTCTGCACTCGGATCACAGGGAGCATTTGGACTGTATGCAGCGCTGAATGTCGTGGCCTTATTGGTTGTGTTCCTGTTCGTGCCGGAGACCCGACTGATGACCTTGGAAGAGCTCGACGGAGTGTTTCGTATCAGCACGAGGAAGTTCATACATTATCAGTGTGTAGAGTATTTGCCATGGTGGACGAGGAAGTATGTGATGCGGGAGAAGGGGCAAGAAGTGCCGCAGATGGCCAACGACGATGCAGGGTACCGCGAGGTTGAGCAAGAGGACGAGTTCTCCTAAGTCAGCCGATGATGATTGATATGTCGAAGCCACTACATAGCCTACAATTGATGATTCGCTGCGAGCACGTGATTTGGCAGATTCCGCTCTTGCCACTGCAGTGAATGGATTTGACTGGTCGCCTCCTCCCCAGACTATTCTTAATCACTCACGCGCTCTTGCATCAGCATTTTCGACCATGTAACATTGCGCCGCTCAGAATGACATAGACCATTGATTCCACGAATCCCAAGAAGTCGCTGCATCCTGTTCGTGTTCGCGTCGCGACCGACGACACTAAATTGTTTGCCCAGAAGCTCGGTAGCCTAGCTCACGCGTTAGAGGCCAGCTCCAAGCTCCGACTTACCGATGCCAGGCGAGTGCCGCAAAAAGAACTTCTCGAGCTTCTATCCTTTCTTCTACTGCTCGAAGCAGTATGATGAGTTCTTCATGCTCACACGGAGACAACGAGATGTTTGCGCTCTCTGCAGATCATTCTCGAGATGGAGTCCTCAGGCGTTGACAGCGATGTGGCTCCAGATTGTCGGAAGAACCAGCTTTCGGCATCAAACAATGCTCGGTTGGTTCCGAAGTGGACAATTTCCCACGAGTATCTCGCGAGCAGAAACCCGCAAGTTTGACAAAGTTCGCCTAATCATTTGCTGCAGCCGACGCTGGAAGATGAAATTGCACCTATCACAATACGCTATTCCAGCCGCTTTGCTCAGTCTCAATATTTGCAGCACCTCTGTTGTGGGGCAGGAAATTACTTTTCGAAGCTAATCTTCGCCCATCACCAAGATCCACTTCAATCAACCCATGGCACAGTGCCCTCCATCGACCGTCCCGTCGCTACTGCGACGGCGTCGAACGTTCGGCGACAGAGCAATCTCGAGCTCCGCGCGATCGACATGGTCCTCTTCCAGTTCCTTCCCCTCAAAATGCTTTGACCTTATCCTTGCCATTCACCGCGCTGTCGCGTAGGTTTCTGTTGCTCTTCGCTGGCGTTGCTGTTGTTGTCATCGTTCGCGCTTGCTCGCGAGCACCACGGAAAAAATCAAAACTCACCCAAGTCGTTCATTCAGAACCAAATACGATCGCCGCGCGAATCGCTGGCCACCACAGTCATTTCCGGTATATCAGCTGCGTTACGGAGAGTCACAGAATATAAGCCTGAAGTACAACGAAGATGAGATCAAATACTATTCTACCAAGCGCCAGCGCCGTGCTGGTCTTGGCTTCACTCGTCAGCGCAAACCACAAACTACACGAACATGTCCATGCGCTTCACCAAAGGCATCACCAGCATGTTGCGAGATCAGCACCCGAGAATGCTGAGGTTGGCGTCGAGATCAGGGCGCCATCACCAGAAACTGCCGCGCCTGTAGCAGAGAAGCGTGATGGTCAATGCCAGTTTCCTTACGATGCTGGTCTCGTGCCTGTCGCGCCAGGTGGCATGAATGCTGGCTGGGCCATGAGTCCGGACGAGCCCTGCAAACCTAATGGATATTGTCCGTATGCCTGCCCACCTGGGCAGGTCATGGCGCAGTGGGATCCTTCCGCGACATCATATTCGTATCCGAAGTCGATGGTAAGCACACAATGCGCCTTCGGAGGAATGCGCTAACGTAATCAGAACGGAGGACTCTTCTGTGACGGGAACGGCCAAATATCGAAACCCTTCCCAGATAAGCCCTACTGTGTCCCAACACAATCCAACATTGGCGCCGTCAATGAAGCTGGCGGCGTAGTATCCTTCTGCCAAACCGTTCTTCCCGGCAACGAAGCTATGCTGATTCCAACCGAGATCCAACCCGGTAGCAGCGCGAGTCTTGCGAACCCTGACACCAGCTATTGGTGCAAGACAGCCGCCCACTACTACATCAATCCTCCTGGAATGCCTGCTTCAGAAGCATGCGTATGGGGAAGCAACGCCAAGGACTGCGGCAACTGGGCGCCATACGTCGCTGGCGCCAATGTTGTTGACAATGGCGAGACCTTCATCAAGCTCGGTTGGAACCCAATCTACCTCGAGCCAACGACACCCTTCCGCAATACCATGCCGGACTGGGGCGTTCGAGTTGAGTGCCCTGACGGCAAGTGCAATGGCTTGCCCTGCGAGATCAGCCCGAGCGACAATTGGGTCAACCAGATGAAGGGCTCCAAGGCCACCGTTGGCGCTGGCGGAGGCGCGTTTTGCGTCGTCACTGTTCCGAAAGGATCCACAGCGAACTTCGTCGTCTATGGCGGCTCAGCTAGCGGCGGCGGCCCTGCTCATGGTGGACCCGGTGGCCCCGGCGGACCTCCCTTCGGAGGTCAGAATAGCTGGAGCGATGCAGCGATGAGCAGTACCACTTCGGCCGCATCAAGCACCACGACTTCGGCCTGGAGTTCGAGCACGACCACATGGGCTGCTGGCAACTCAACGACAACCTCCTACGGTCCTCACCCGTCAGATAAGCCCCACGACAACCTCTTTGGGCCAGCATCATCGTCGAAAGCGCCCATTACGCTGGCTTCGCCCACGGAGAAGCCGGGCTACACCGCTGCTGTTCCTACCATCAAGCCAGCGGCCACTGGGGCGGCCTCCAGGCAGCAGTGGTCGGTAGCTGGTCTTGTGGTTGCAATGTTGGCTGCCGTTGTCCTGCTTTGAAAGGAGCGTCCATTGCCTGTTCTTGCGGCACGCAATTTGTGCTCTGGTCAGCGAAGGCTCCGGCAGCTTTTGATTTACTTCGATGTTCGTCGTCGTCGGCTGGGAACTCCAAGCGGGTCTGATTGACGACGGCATCTGCACTCATCGTACATATACCGACTATTTTCATACGATACCCACATTTTACCAGTGACGGACATTACCTGCTCAGCAGCTGGGGCAACTCTTGAGGAGATAAATGCTCTGCGCGGTATAGAAGCTGACTCCAGGGCCACATACCCAGGCAGTGCGCCGACTGCTTTTCTTTGTACAGCGCGTGTCAGCGAGATTCAACGACCTTTCGAACTTCACGTCATGATGCGAGGAGGATTGGAGGGCCACAGGACAAGGCCTTGCTTGGAGGACACGATCAGCGGATAGGAGATTCAGGGAGGGAGGTTTTGGAGGACGATGTTTATGAGGAGATTAGGAGAAGTATTATTTGGAGTGGATGTGCTACATCAATGTAATGTACATGGTGAAGAAGTATTATCGATCCCGAAGCAGAACCCGCTCCTTTAGGCAAAGTCAGTGCTCTTCGCTTGCTCACATCTAAGGTCGCGACTTCCTTACGAGTGAGCACCGTGACCACTGCCTGCCAAATCTGCAGACAGTTACACTCTGGTCGGTCCTTCCGAGTCAGGAACAACAAGCAGAGAGTGCTGAACTGTGCCAATAATTACTCGCTGCCCATACAATTGTCTTCAGATGGACACGCGACACACCACGCTTGTGCTTCAAGTTGCTTAGACCAAGGCTTGAGATAGCTTGGCCGTAAGCCAGACCTTTATCGCGGGCACAAACCTTCATTTGAACCGGCCTCACACTCCTACAGCACCAGCCTGTACTTGTGCCGACGCGCGAATTCATCTCTCACTGACCTCATCGACGAATTCGTCTGCGCGAGTCGTGAACCCACAGATCAAGCAAGATATCAAGTCATCGCTACACTGCATTGAGCAAAGCGTGTGGCAGTGCACTTGGTCTTGGCGAAAACCTGCCACGTCTGATTGGCACCGAAACACGCAACCTCCAAGCTCCTCGCCAAGATCAACACTTCCCGCCGAAGCGTCGTGTGCTTGATTGGACTCAAGGATACACAGCCAGCCCATAGTGGGGGATGTCCCAGGAGAAATTCCCTCAAAGGTTTGACAGAGTTGGAGATCAGCCGAAGCGTTCAAGCGGGGAGCTGAGGAACAACATATGATAATAATGTGCTTGGAGGGGCACAATGTCCTGGTTGCTTTCAACACCACGCAGAGAAGCCTTCTTTGGCTCGCTGCAGTAACGCTCGCCGACTGAACGGCCCTAAGTTTGGTGCTTGAGATTCCACCAGGAGATGAACAATACTGACCGTCCAATCCCCGAATCCAATCAACCTCCTGGCTCTCTGACTACAAGAGATGACAGGAAACCTCAGCGCCGGACACCATGGGCGTGCGACGAGTGTCGTCTGCGGAAACGCAAGTGTGATGGTGTAGAACCATGTTCTCCTTGTCGACGGTCTGCATTAGGTATATTGCTTGATTCGTTAGGGATCGCGTGCCTGACAATATACAGATTGCAGTTACCATTTTCGACGTCCAGCACCACCACAAACCCAGCGTATACAGATGCTGGAAATTCATCTGAGATACGTTCGATCATTTCTTGAGGATGCTGCTCGCAAGGTGCCACCCGAGCTTGGCATCGATTTCGAGGATGTTCTTCGGAAGATCAGCTCTGTGCCAATAGACGCGAATGCATCACCTCGAGCCGCCTCGGTCCCATCAGCAGGCGTCGATGCTGGGACAGCAGGTTCGCCTACCGACAATCTAAGTCGTCTGTCACACCCTGACTGCCTCAAATCGATCGTTGAGCTCTTGGACGATGGTCCGCCAGGGCAGAGCTATGATGCGGTGAATGAACTGTTCGATCGTCCACTAGCAAACGCACCCAAGGCGGCAACGAGCCCACTCCCGCCGAAGACCGAGGCGCTTGTGCTGATCAACAGCCTCTTCTCCACTCAGCATCCGCTGCTCGCCTTCCTCCATGAACAGTACTTCCGTGATACCGTGGATCTCGTCTACAACGCCGAGTCCCGAGACGAAGCAATCGACCGCTTCTTACCAATGCTGCACATTGCTCTCGCACTCGGCTACCTCTTCTCAAAGCAAACGCATCGCGAGGAGGGATGTGAAATTGCCCAGCAGAAGTCGATGCAGCACTTCATGACTGGTCGCAGTATGCTGCAGCCTCTGCGCGTCCATTCTATGATGGCTCTACAGACGTTACTATGCGCTGTCGTCTGGCTTATTTCGACCGGCCGTGTTGTTCAAGCTCATCCGCTGATCGGGCTCTCTGCATCTCTGGCATTGCGGCTTGGCTTGCATAGGAGGCATACAGGTCTGCCAATGGAGGAGACAATGCTCCACGCGAAGGTCATGGTGTCGATCTTGCAGGCGGATATGTTTGTTAGCATGTTGCTAGAGCTGCCCGGCTTTCTGCAAAACGTTGAATATGAGTCAGTCAGCCTTGACGAAGTGCAAGCCAAGGCAGCGCAGGACAAAGACAAGCGTGTCACGGCTTCATTGCAGCACTACAGTCTGCTAAAACTGTGCCGGACCAAGCAAACAGATGTGGAGGCGCTCCTTGCGGATCAAATCGCTCTGATGAGAGTCCGCAAGGACGGAAACGCTCCCTTGCCGCGGAGACCTGGCGGAAATCCGGATGACCAAAGGTAATATAGCATTCGACTTCCAAATTCAAACTCGGCTAACGCTGGCAGGATTCAATTACAAATGGAGATCATGCTCAACTTGGCATTCTTACATGTGGCTCGGACTTCTTTGCTAGACATATTGCATTCATCAGAACACCAGGAATCGCATGAGGCTTTCAACCACACCGTGATGGCTCTGGGTCTGGCCTCCGACACTATCAAGCGAGTCCAGATTGCGTTGCGGATGAAGATTCTATGTCCGGCCGATTGGAGTATCATGTATACTTTGCTGATCTCAGTGGTCTACATTATCGCTCTGCACTCCCACAACGAGCAAGCGGTACCTTCAGATGAAGCGCATCAACAAGTCGTCTTAGCTATCGAGCTGCTGGCGGCCTGCCGTTGCTGCGATGGCGGAGCGACTCGCGCTCTCCATGTGGTAAAGGTGAGATGATACCCGTTTGTAGAATTAAGTACATGCTGACGAGTCTTAGCTTGTATTGCAACGATCAAGCCTCCGCCATATCGACATCAACGACATCGTATCCAGAACATCACGCATTTGCGATGCCGAACCACAGACACCGCCGCTCAACGCCAACTTGACCCGCCAAGACGACATTATGGCGCTGCTGAATACCCGCCGACATGAATCATTTGCTTCATCCACAACCTCGAAAAGTCGCTCACCGAGCGCGACCACTTGAGCCATATGACTTCGACTTCGGTCCGCTGCAACGCTCGTTCTCTAGCCATTCATGTCCTTCCTGGCACTGATAGGCGGCACGTCGCCGTGACAGGTCTTCCAAGCACCTCTTCCCAGATTATTGTCCCTGTCCGCCTTCTGCAACTGATCGATATACTCAGCCTTCTTCGCTTTTCGCGCCTGCATCTGCGATGTGTCGATCTTCCTATACGCGAGCTCCTCAATCATTTCCTGCACCGTCATATGCAGATACTGCGGCGCCGGTGGCGCACGGCGGCGTTTGGGCTTCTCGACTGGTCCGACTGGAGCTGGAGGAAGTGGTCGCTGAACGAGTCCGTAGCCTGGTGGCATGGCTGTGTAGAAGTTTCCATATGGTGACGGGAACTGCATGGCTTGGGCACTCTGGTTGCTGCCTTGTTGCCAGGCGTCGAATTGGTTGGATGACGTATCTGCGTACATGGGCAAGTGGTAGGCGGGTACCATGACGAAGGACTGCTGCTGATCCGAGCCACGGCGCATGTCCAAAGGCGTGTTCATCGATGCCGAATCCAAGCCGAGTGGGTCGTACGCTGAGCCCATCAGCGATTGCCGTCGCATGTCATCTGCCAGCTGTGGCGGCTGCGGGAGGCGGTAATTTGTCTGAGGGTAAGGCGTCGCTGCGAAAGGACTCGAGGTTCTTGCGCGTGGATCGTCGATGGGCGGCGTTGGCAGGTGCGGTCGTTGCGGAAATGACAGATTCTGCTGGGGCTGGCTACTATAGCTGCTGCCGGTGTACTGGGATCGCCCTCTGAGTCGGTCGTAATCGCTGTAAGCGATATTTTGGGCGCTCATTATGAAGGTCTCGTTTGTCTGCTGAAACGTTCCCTGCTTACTCGAGTTATGGCGGCTCGCGTCTCGCTGCTACCGACCAGGATGGCAATCGCGTGTATGGCATCGATGAATTACGACAACACAATGTCTCAAGGCAGCAAGTAGGTTGTGGCCAGAGAGTACCAATGTACTACTTGGCTTGATGCTTCTAAAAACAAGAAGTCTTCTACACGACCCAACATCTCCCGAGCGGAAGGGGCTTTGTATGTGGTTCGTCGAGACAAGCATCATCGGATAGACAGGCCACGGGGGCCACGAGGCATACGCATACAAAAAAGCTTCGCGCTGTGAACCTGCATGCTTGGCGGTCGACGGCAGCGCGGCACATCTCGAGCGTTTGTGGGATTTTTGGTAACAATAGTAGCATTCGCATAGAGGGGCATAACTCGGAAAGAACGGGAAGAGTAGGAATGCAGAATAGATTCTTTCGCTTAGAGTGATGGATACGAGGCCCGAGCAGGAACCAAAGGAGAAGCCGTGCCTTCATCCCGCAGATGGGTGATAGATGTGAGTAATTGCTCGGCTGGACGGCACACAAGACTGATTTCTGGGACTTGGGCTCTTGGGTTGCTTGGACATTTTCCTTAGGTAGGGTTTGGCATTGGCGGGGCCCGTACCCTTAGCTGGGCGAGGGTTTGCTACAACGTGAAATAAGCATTTCCGCGCTGTGTTTCTTTCTTGTAGACTCCCGCCTTCTGCTACGCTGAGCAATCGACATCAAGCTCATAAGTAGGGGAGGAATTGAGGCAGTGCAAAAACAGCGGAAAGTGTCAGGGAAGCCGTCCAGCCGTGAATGCTCAGCAAACTTGGCTTCTGGGCTCGCCAAAACCATGGCGGAAAGTTGTTCAATGTGTGGGATCTGCAGGAAGTAGAGTTCGCGCATACGCGTCCTTTGGCTTGGCTGCCTCCTTAGCCGACTGGCTTGGCCCTAATTGTCGAAAAGTCCCGACATAGTGGGCGTCATCTCTTGTTGACTCTCCTTGCTGGGGACCTGTGCTCGAAAGTCCCCCACAAAGTCCCCAAGAGTGCGTTCGCGGCTTGCAGAGTAACAGACCCGGTGCTTATTTGTCCATTTTCGTCCAGTACAGAGGAGTTTTGGTTCTCGCAGGCTGTCCAGTGTGCTTCCAACAGTGTCGCCAGCAGTCTTACCAGAGGAGGCCCCATTCGACATGTTAAAGGATTGCCATATGTCGCAGTGACTCGCATCGGTCTGTGGCACGGACGTAGCGCAATCCTGCTATCGACCAGAAGCACACTGACTTCGCCGCTGCGAGGAATGATTACCTAGTCCCGTAATACTCGCGAACAGTCCTCCTGAGGCTGGCACGCGTTCAAAGCGCAGCCGAATCAGCCTCGCTGCATCTGCAGCACTTGGAATCCAGGATGAAAGGTACATCCTGAGTCTGATTGACCACGGCAGTCTCTCAACGCCTGGGGCATTAATGAATTGAAGTGCTTCGACAACTTTGAGGCCAGGTGCCACAGCTTCCAAGTGTGCCAGGTCATCGACAGCAGATCTGAGCTTCGCGCCCATACGTCGCGTGTCTCGAGGATGTAAGCTCTCGTTGTCGAGGATTGTGGAGCTGATGCAGTCCAGCAGAATCTCTCCTCGTTCAAACCAGGCCGTCAGACGGTGTAGCAGATTCCGAACATCCGCTTCGGCGAGGTACGACATGACGCCTTCCATGAGTATGAGCGTGGTACGTTCTCCCGGGATATCGGCCAGCCAGTCGGCAGAAGTGATGTCAGCTCCAAGCAGTCGGTATTGGGGGTTCGTTGTGGCTGCAGGCATTACCTGTGATCGCAAGCGGATCACCTCAGGTAGGTCAACGTCGATCCATGTGACAGCACGACCCGGAATCAGCCTTCTCGTGCGATCGTCGAGTCCGCAGCCAATATGTACAACCGCAGCATTTGGGTGTGCAGCCATGAAAGACGCAGCCCAGTTGTCGAAGACTTTGGTGCGAATGGCAATGCTCATGCTCATATGAACTGGCATCTCAAGTCTGTCGAAGTCGTAGCTGAGCTTCGCTACTGTCGCAGCGGCAGACTCATCGCCAAGTATTGGATCTGGAGACGCTGCATCGTGAGCTCTCGCCAATAACGGAATGACCAGTGTTTCTGCCACAGGTGGGAGGTTCACGGTGTACTTGGTGCTCATCGCTTGCTACCATGGCACTCTGCTTTGTGCGAACGAAAGCAGGTCATTGCAGAGAGCATGCATCAGACAGCATGCATATACGGCCAATATGTATAGTCGTGCGTCTTGATAGACTGAGGCATCACTCGCCGCCGTGTCCGAAGAGGGAAGCATGCAGCGCTGAGACCAGGAGCGCGGGCTTCGGTCGCGAAGCGCTTGGACTGCTTCGATATCCACGTCGCCATGGTTGCGCAAGTAAGTCGTGGAGCGGTCCCCCTTCTGGGAGCCTTTTGCGATCATCGTTGAAAGATGGAATGGCAATTTGAATCCGGGAAAGAGATGATGATGCCCAGAATAGTACTCCCAATTAGGAACTCCGTTTGCCTGATTCAGGTTCTATCTGTCCGTTCGCCAGCTTCAAAACATGAGATTCGACTTCTGCCACGCGGTTCTGCCCTCTCAAGCGTCAAGCGTGAAATAACGGCGGAAGCAAAAATTGTTATACTCCCCAGCTTCTGACACAGGGGAGACTTCGGGGAGTTAATGGTGCTCTCGGGCCTGCGAATTCGGAGTTTTGGTGAGGACTCGGCTAACCTTCCTCCGCAGAACGCCATGTCTTCAGCTTCAGCTCCAGCTCGGTCTGGGTGCGACCAGCTTTGCACCAGATTCCAAGCTGAACACTCACGTATCTATTCTAAGCGCCAAGCGCAAAGAGCTCAATCGTTCCTTCAGCAAATCCGGGTCTGAGGTTAAGTTGGCTGGTCCATGATCGCGCCGATGGTGTACTGACGCTTCCAAAACTGCGCCCCACTGGTCTGCTTCGATCCTCCCACGTTTGGTCCACGCGCCGACCGCGAAGAGCTTGAGCTTTAGCTTTTGATGTGTGACGGAAAGGGTAGCCTGTTTGGTCGGTCGCCATGGTCTATCAGATGTGATATGGTTGCAGCCCACGCCCTGAAAACTGGCCACGCGCCAGCGCCGGGAGGTCCTTCGATTTCAGAACTCTGTCACCATGCAAAAAGGCGCTACACCACGAAGCCTCACCTGTGTGTGTGGCTGCCAAGCTGCACACATGGCTCGAGAGCTGGTTGCGCCACGACATACTAGGTAAGTCGAAGCACTGCGAGGGGTCGAGCAATGCCGACTCCCACGTTGTGGGTTGCCCTTCAAAATGGAGAATATTCCCGGCCACGTTCACTTGTCGCTGTCATGATCTCACGAAACAGTTGCCGCTAACAACATGATGGTCTTTGCTCTCGCTTGGCAGCTTGCGTGCCTCTTTGCATCCTTTTCTACACTCACATTTACCCACCCAATCTCCGGACAAGCATGGACAGACGCATGGGACGTTGTCGTAATCGGTGGGGGACCAGCAGGTCTCAGTGCCACAAGCGGACTTGCCAGAGTGCGCCGAAACGTCCTGATGCTTGACTCTGGCGAATACCGGAATGGGCAAACTCGGCATATGCACGATGTGATCGGCAACGACGGTAATTACTCATCTTGCTGCGATCCAGCGGACTCCAGGCTGACCGGAATGCAGGCACTGTACCAGCAGCTTTCCGCGCACTCGCCCGTCAGCAGATCTTGCGCTACCCCACTGTCCAAATGGCGAACGCCACAGTCACGAACATCACTGGAAACGCAAGTACGAAGTTCACGATCCAGACGAGCGACGGGAATGTCTTCACCGCCAGCAAGGTCGTGATCGCCACAGGAATCAAAGACGTCATGCCATCCACACCAGGCATCGCTGAGAATTGGGGCAAAGGCATCTACTGGTGCCCATGGTGCGATGGCTATGAGCATCGAGACCAGCCCTACGGCATCATCGGATCGTATGCAGACGTGCTCGATTCTGTCTTCGAGGTCCACACCCTTGAATCGGACATCATCGCCTTCGTCAACGGCACCCAGACAGCAGAAACCATTGCCAAAGTGAACAGCAATCCTCCAGCCGGCTACGGAGACTGGGAGAAGAAGCTGCAGAAGTATGGCATTAAGATCGAAAATCGCACCATGGCATCAGTCACACGTCTACAAGATGGCAGTGTCGTCCAGTCTGCCGACGGAATGACCGAGTACGACAAGTTTCTTGTGACATTCACAGACGGCAGCACTATCGAGCGCGGGGCATTCATCGCCAACTTCCCAAGTGTGCAACGCTCAGGTCTCGGCGCAAGTCTGGGGATACCATACAATGCGAAACAGCATCTAAAGACTGATGGTCAGATGGAGTCAGTCGTACCTGGAGTCTTCGTCGTGGGCGATGCCAACGCTGACAACTCGACGAATGTGCCACACGCGATGTGGAGCGGGAAGCGTGCAGCTGTGCAGATTCACAACGCGCTGGAGCAGGAACGGTCGGATGATTTGATTAAGAAGAGGAGTAGATTGTCAGAGGAGGAGGTCGATCGTATTATGGGTCGGGATCTGCTGGATATTTACAGTAGGCTGGAGTGGTAGTTGGTGTTCTTATTGAGGCGTCGGTACCTAATATCCAGAAGGCAGCGAACATACGCGAATCATAGAGCACATCATTGTCGTTACATTTGCTCACGCTATTCTGGAGGCTGCTGTCTTGATCATGTCGTTCCAGCGCATGGATGAGCTTGAGGCGGCTCACAATGGTCCGCGAGTCCGCGGCGCTGGCATACGGCCGGTCTGAGCCGCGGCTCGTGGTGTGTGGAATTAAGCTTCGAGGAGCTGAAAATAGTGGTGAGTTCCAGCTTTGGCATACTGCTCTCTCAGCACATCTTGGCATCCCAGTGCGGCCCTTCAGCTTCAGCGACACTTCAGAAGACTCGCGCTTTGCCTCCACACCTTGCGCGTTGCGTGCAGAATGTTCTGTTAGATAGCGATCAAGAACACACGCTCTGACGGGGTCTGTGCGCAAGCAAGGGAAGGATCAATAAGCACATCTTCCGAAATGGAGGTGCGGGATGGACTTCAAGAAAGCCAAAGGTACCTCCGAGAAGCAGCTGTACCAGTGGAATGCACCATTGACTGCGGCTGAGAGCTGTTTAGGCTTTAGGATCAGAGTTCCAGGGCTGATCTGGGCCATGCCTCACAGCCGATCACCTAAAGTCAAAAAAGTCAAAGTATGCTTCGTGATAATGTGAGCACTGTGCGGAGGACGTTCTCTTCCATATGAGCTCTTGCAAGAGTCAGTCGCAGGGAGTAACGAACCAGACTTCCGATGGGCAAGAACAAGAAGGCCGCCGGCGAAGGCGAGGAGAAACACGATCCAGATACAACCAAGCAACAGCAGAAGCACGACCCAGATGCACCCAAACAGCCAAAGCAACCAAAGCAGCCGAAGCAACCGAAGGCGCCTCCTCCTCCCCAGCTCCTCTTCCACGAGTCACTAGGCAAAGAACTGACAGCTAAGTTTGAGGACATCACCAAAACACCAGGGCGGCGCACGTCTGTGACAAGCTACTTCGCGACCGGCATCGTCGAAGAACAAGTACAGCAGGATGTCAAGGCAACGGTCGTCACGACAGTGCAGAAGACTGTCGTCGTCGAACCCAAGAAAGGAGATGACATAGGCGAGCCGACGCCGCCGATTGCCGGCCGCGAGCCTCCCACCAGTCCGCCCGCAGAGCCCGCCGAAACAGAACCAAAGAGCAGACCCATCTCTACACGCTCTCACACTGACCCCGAGCACGAAGAATTCGTTGACAAGAAGTCTGTGCCCGGGAAGATGTACTCCCTCCGCGACATGAACGCCTTTGAGACGATTGAGTTTCTTGTCGCTCGCTACGGCCGCATGACGCACATGGGCGTTCGCGACCACAACTACGACTTCTTCCTCAACAAGTCGCGTACTGGAGTCATCTCGTATCGACTTGTCGATGACAAAGTCGCCGTGATCAGTGGCGACCCTATCTGCCCTGTCTCATTGTACACGCGCTTGCTGGAAGAGTTCGGTACGTACTGCAAGCACAACCACTGGCAGTGGGCAATTCAGGGCGGAAGTTCCGAGATGGCGGATCTGGCGAGGTCCAAGGGGTGGGCGACGGTGCAGTACGGAAAAGAGCGAGCGTTGAATGTGCAGACCAACCCAGTATTGCTTGGCAGCGAGGGCAAGCGCATTCGTACTCAGTGCAAGCAGCTGCAGAAGACTGTGAATGTCGGAATCTACTGCCCGGCGTATACGCGCGATGCGAAACTCGAGCAGCAAATTGTCCAGATGTATGACGACTGGCGAGCTGGCAGGAACGAGGCGAGAAGCGTGCAGGCGTATGTGACCGTTTTCGACCTGATGTCACTTCATCGACTTCTGATCTACGTGTACACACACGACGCAGATGGCAAGTTGCTTGGATTTGCTACGCTGAGGAGGCTGAAGGATGGCTACCACATCGACCCTATCACAGTCGACCCGGATGCTGCGCGAGGCATGACGGATCTGCTGCTCATTGCATCGATGGCGCTGCTCAAGGAGTCGAATATCGAGAAGTTGGTGCTTGGAGTCGAGCCTCTGGACGAGCTAGGAGAGATCTCTGGCATGTCGAGATTGCTAGAGAAGTTGACCCGTGAAAGTCATAAGATCATCTCGGCGGAACTGCCATTGGGAGGAAAGAAAGGCTTCAACGATCGATTCAAACCGGAGGACGCCTTCGAGGAGAAGCTCTTCATGATCTATCCCAACTCTCCAAGCATCAAGCAGTCCGTGGCAATGGCGCATTTCGCAAATATCCATCTCCATGAAGCGGTGAAGCAGCGTGTCGCCAAGGAGAGAGAGAAGCGAAGGCGGTCCAGTTCTGTGCCACGCAACAGCACGGAGTCAATGGAGACACTCGCAGCGCCAGAGGGCGCCCCGAGATCACGATCGCACGTCCGTGGCGAATCTGATGCGACAGCCGAGCCTGCAAACGGTGACAATCTTGATCCGAAACACCTGCGACCAACCCATCACCGACGAGCCTCATCAAGATTGAACATCTTCCGCCGCCGCAGCTCCGATGACGGCGACGCGCCTCCTGACGAGACAAAGCCTGGAGAGCAGTCTGTCGCGGACGAACGGTCTGCTCGTCCAGAACTTCCTCATCGGGGTTCGTCGCCACATCATCATTGGTTCAGACACGGCAGTAGCGAGATGGTAGCGCAAGCCGCCATTGCTAATGGTCATCTGATACCTCCTCAGCGACCTCGACTCGGAGAGAGGACTTCATCGCGGTCGAGATCTCGGATTGGGCTCTTCAGACGGAAAAGCGGTGAGGATGCAACTGTCGATGAATCTCGTGGTCGCAATTCGGATAGTACGCCGGTTGTTGGATAAATCAGGTACATAAACCCAAAGTCATGTTGTGTTACCATTGCTTAGTAGCATGTCGGTCGGGTTCTCTTTCTGCGAGTCCAAAGGACGATGCCATATGCAAGATGTTGAAGCTCAAGTCTCTGCGTCTAGTTTAAATCTCGTGGGTGAGGATCTGTGGCAGCCGAGGCTTGACAGGCTCTGACCTAGCCTGGTGCTGCTGTCGGAAGCGCCTACATTCATTCATCGCAACACTCTGCGTTCCTATGTCTTATGATGCCGGTCAAAAGATCGCCATGTCAGTTCTGATTGCGACTCGTAAACTGTACGAGCAGCCATGCACGACCAACTCATGCCTGAACCAGGCATCGTAGCTGGTAGGTCATCCAGCGCCCCAGCTTCACAACGCGTCTCCAACCTGAACACCACGTCCGCTGGTGCGCCTCTGCATCTGCACCTGGCGATGTCTCTACGGCGGTTGAGCGAATCATGCGGATGCGTGCGCGTCTCGCGGACGATTGCGATTCCGTGATGTTGAACATCCAAGACCTCAAGCTTTTCAGGCAACCAAGTGCAACAAGACTCCGATCTTGAAGGCTTGCCTCGACCAATTACGACATCGGTCTTTACGATACATCTGGAGCCTCGTTCACTGTTCCACTGCCAGGGTACGTTAGTTCGATATAGCAACCTCTCGCATCTCAGGCAGGCAGTACTGGAAGGCGCCTTGGTGTGCTACCATGCGAGGACTCCACATCTCGCATCATCCATCGTGGGCGATCGGAACGACATTATGCCTAAGGCAATGCCCAGATCTATATATGCAGATTCGCTGTGTCCCTGGTAAGCCATCTGCGATCTTTCGCTGCTGAGTAGCGTGTGCGACAGATTGTTACGTAACAATGGCATGGCACTACATCCTCCAAGCCTTAGCAGCGTGCTGTATTCTCAAATCCGCTCAATGGCTCTATCGCCTGACCTTGCACCCACTCGCCCACGTTCCCGGACCAAAACTCGCGGCCATGACCAGCTTGTATGCCATGTCGTGGGATATGCCGGCGGAGACGTCCTATGTCAAGAATTTCGGAGCGTGGCACAAGAAGTACGGACCCGTGATCCGGATCGAGCCCAATCACGTTCATATTCTGGACCTGGATGCATATAACAAAGTCTTCAGGATCGGCACCAAGTTCGACCGTGACCCTGTGATCTACAGCTTCCACTTTACCGCAGGTGGCTTCTTCAACAAACTCCGCGTCAAGGATGCAAAACCACATCGCGACCTCTACATGAGCTACTTCTCTCGGGGCGCAGTACAATCTCTTGAGCCTCGAATTCGCGAGCATCTGACCACGTTTCTCACCCAGATCGACAGGATGAGCAGCGAGGGAAAGGCAATCGACCTTACGCGAGGCTTCCGCTGTCTGTCAGCCGACACGCTTATGCGCTACTCCTATGATAGGCCATTCGGCGCCACGACCTCCCCGGACTTCGTTTTTCCCCTCCTGGAAGCCATCGAGTCAATGTTCCGCAACTCGCCCATTGGCTGGTACTTCCCCAACATCATGTTCTATGTCACGCGATGGGTCAAAGCCGCTCCTCGCTCCTGGACCCGCTTCGATCCCGGTATTGCCGCATCTCTGCAGATCCTAGACGGCTGCCTCGAACGCATCGTGCAGCTTCGAAACGACCCCAAGAAGCAGGACGTCCCATCCGTCTTTAGAACAGCGATGCACCCGAACCCCGAAAAGGGCCATCCAGTCCTCTCAGACGCCGACATGTCCTCCGATGCGCTGACAATCTTCGTCGCCGGCACCGACACAACCGCACACACGCTCACAAACGGCACCTATCAGATTCTGCGAAAATCCACCGTCCTTAAGAAGCTCCAAACCGAGCTTCGCGCCGCCATGCCCTCCATCAACAGCCTAAGCGACACCCCACTCGACTGGACCGCCCTCGAATCGCTCCCCTACCTCCGCGCCGTCATCAAGGAATGCCTCCGCATCTCCTCCCCCGTCCCCACAAAACTTCCCCGCATGGTCCCCGCAGGCGGCGCTGAACTAGCAGGCATGTTCCTTCCCAGCGGCACCGCCGTCAGCATGACCATGCATGCGTACCATTCCAATCCAGACTACTTTCCCGAACCAGGAAAGTTCAAGCCGGAGCGGTGGCTCGATGACAGTGCGAACAAGGAGGGTTCCGTGCAGGACAAGGCGTTTGCGCCGTTCAGTCGGGGGAGTAGAAATTGCATTGGGCAAAATTTGGGGCTGGCGGAGCTATATTTTGGCTTTGCGTATCTTTTTCGGAATTTTGAGTTGGAGCTGTTCGAGACTGGGGAGAAAGAAATGCACTGGAAGGATCTGTTCACTGCGGTCACGGATGGGCATTTGAAGGTGAAGGCCAGGCGAGTCAAGGACTAGAACTTCCGAGAGCAAGGCGACGCTGATGCGAGGTCACGAATTACGGCATCGCCATCTTATGAACTGGTGACTTGCCGCATGTCGAGAACGGCAATCGGGCAATGGTCAGAGGCCTAAATGGGAATGAAGTTGAAACGCTGTAGGAGTCGTCGAAATGTGTCGGACGACATAGACCTAGTGAAAGAATCTGGCTTCTGTGAAAGAGGTGTCTGAAAAAGCTGCGGTGCATGCGGGCAGGAAAGCAACACAGAGACGTGACGAAGCAGGAACTCGCGTGCAAATAAGCGGCCGCTCTTTCTTCGTCAGTTGAAGCGAGCAAGTGAAGTCTCGTCCGAGTCACGTTGTTGCCTTAGAGTATTGATCACCTCTAGTTGAAGAGGTGGAACAAAGTGAAACAACAAACAAAGGTCATTACTATCTTGCCTTGTTCAGGCAATTCACCACCTGGTCTAACAGCAATTTAAGATGCTGAATCCTCTTGCCTTCCCAGTTGTCAACACCAGCACCACAGCGCGACCACGGTCACGACAAATCAGCACCATGCTCCTACCCCAGAGAACAATCGAGAGTCGAATCGCCCCGAGCGTAACCTCAGCACAGCAGCACAAATACGATCAAGACGATCCGGAGCCATGCCTCCCAAGCCACCGAACGGAGAGCTTGCCAGGGAGGCAGCCAGAGGCTTCTCGGCGTGCGCCAATCCTCCAGTCTCCAAAGCCGGGCACTTTCGAGAAACGCCAGTCAAGGTAGTCGTAGGGCCCAGCAACAATTCCAAAACCTTCTACCTCGCACCAACGCCGCTGAAGGCCACATCACCATACTTCAGAGCGTGTCTGAGCGAAAATTTCAAGGAAGGCGCCGAGAACCTCGTCAACCTCCCTGACATCGACGTAACCACCTTCGAGTCTTTCATCGAGTGGCTGTTTGGCGGTTGTGAGAAGCACGACAAATGGTACGATGTCCAGCATCTCGTCCAATTGTGGATTCTAGGAGACAGTATCATGTGTAAAGGTCTGCAGAACACAGCAATCGACATCATGCGAGCCTCATGCTCTAGTTACCCGATCCATACAACTATGATGCTCCATCGGTCCCTATCCTTCATCATCGAACATACACGCGAAGGCTCGGTCCTGTTCGAGTATGCCATTGATTCGGTAGCACACGCTTTGACCCAAGTGGAAGGTCCGACCTTGAATGAGCTCGAAACTTTGGAAGGAGGGAAGTACTGGGCGAATCTGCCGGATACGGTCAAGGTGGCAATTCTTACGCGATACTATCACTACGTGCAACTGGGATCGGCGGTTCCAAGTCCGTCTAGCTATGGCGGCTGTTGCTACCATGTACACGATGGGAACGACACCACCGATGGGTCGCGAGCCGGCAAAAACGTCATACCCGATCCGATGGCAAAGAACAACCAGGTACTTCAGGTCTAGCTTATGCAGTATGACCACAATACTGACGAGCCATGGCAGTGCAGCAGCAAGAAGAAGGGCATACCGGGAGGCTTACAACCAGTTAATACGCTGAAGTCGCGCAATGATGGTCTTTAAGGCGTCAACTTTGGGCGCAATACGAATCTTAGACCGAGCCTCTCGACGGGTTGAGTGCTAAGGCAAGACAGCTCACCGACAGTGGTGTCAAGGGCGGAACTGCGGGCGAGCTGTTGAGAATGAAGTGGAGCGAGTAAAGAGAAATGCCTGAATGGCGCTGTACCCATGCACATCATTGACCAGCGATCCTTTGGACTTGACATTGAAAGCGCCAACGACCAGCAGCATGTGCGGAAGGTGCTCAATACTGTTTCCAGCGTCAATATCAAGACGTGTCACGGAACTTTGCAGGAGTCAGTGCCTAGCATGTCCTCTATTCGAAGTGTGTAACCCATGCTGTGTGGCCGTAATGAACGTGACCGGAGTTTCTTGTTCCGATACCGTCGATGTGGCACTGGGCAGGACGCGAAGCAACTTGAAGAAGTGTCAATGTTTCAGGTATGAACTTATCCTGGCCGCAGGCCCCAGAACATCCTGCCCCAAGGTCTTGGGACGGAACAAAGCACGGCATGTGGGCGGGAACAAGCTGCGCTGCGGAGAGGGCATGTTCTTAGAGGGCCTCTGGCAGATCAAGACCATTGTGCAGAGTTCAAATCGTCGAGCTCGCCTAAGTGAGTTGAAAAACAGATGACTTTGGCGGAGTATGTGTGTACATAGGTATAGTATATAACAGACTTCGTTCCCACTTCACCATCAGCCAACCGCACCGGAGCACAGTAAGTCCGAAATCGATCACCGCGCGTGATACCGCCCCCCAAACCCATCACTACTCCCGCTCAACTCCTTCTGATGCTGGCCCCCACTCTGATACTGCCCGTTATACCCACCACTCCCATGCTGCACCTCCCGCGCAACGCCCGTCCCCTCACCGTGTTCCCACGACCCACCGCTCATGCTTTTATCGTGCTCGCCGGTCGCGATGTGTATTTCTGTGATGGGATAGTTGTTGGCGGAGCTATGAGTGCGTGCCGAAGAGTCGCCGCCGATGTCGGTCTTCACATTGGCGACTTCGGCATTGCGGCCGTCGAAGATTTTCGCGATCTCTTCGAGGGTTGGGCCTCTGTTTGTGCGGTACGTTAGTATCAGCCATTCAGACTTCGCCACTGTGTTGAGGGTTGTGGGTGTAAAAGGAGAGTGACGTACCTAGTCTCGACGTAGAAGATATACACGATTAGGAATTCGAAAGCAATCCACACGGTGTACACAGTATACAGCTTCCACTCCTCGCCCTTCCATGCGCCGTCGATGGGAATGGGGTTGATCTGGCCGGAGAAGGCAAGGGCGGCTTGCACGGAGACGTTCATGATCATCAGACCCTTGGCGCGGAGCTTGAAGGGGAGGACTTCGACTGTGTACTGTTCAAAGCTGTCAGTATGTGGCGCTGGGTAACAAAGCGTGACGGGCGGGAGTGGAAAGCATACCGCAACAAGCAGCCCAGACCAAGCAAGAGCATACGCTACGTCATGACACCACTGGAAGGTGACGAAGGCGATGCCGATACCATGCGTGGGTGTCTCGGTATAGCGGTTGCCGAGGACTGTCATTGACGCGAAGAACAGCAGCATGCCGCCCGTGGCGGCTAGGAACAAGGGTCTGCGACCGACGCGATCGACGAGGAGCGCGCAGGTGACGGAGACGACGAGGTTGAGGATGGAGCGGCCGCCGTTGAGGCCGAAGCGCGTGTTGTCGTCGTCGATGCCGACGCTGTCGTAGATGCGATTGGAGTAGTAGGAGGTGAGGGCGTTCCCGGACATTTGGCTGAAGACACCTGCTGTGCGTTAGTGGTGGGGCTTTTTGTGAGCTTCGTGTTGGGTGCTCGACGTACCTAGCGAGATGACCAGCCCGAGACGGTAGCGATTGCCCTCTGTCTTGAAGAAGTCAAGATAGCTACTCGTCTTCTTGTACAAGAACTCCAGCTTCAACGTCTCCCTGATTTCTGCATACTCGAACTGCACCGTCGCATCGTTGACGTTGCCATTGGCGTGATATTTAGCCAGCACCTGCAGTGCTTCCTCGGTCCGGTCCTTCGAGATCAGCCACCGGGGTGACTCGGGTACCCACCAGATGAAGGTGATTTGTATGACGGAGAACAGGACTTGGACTAAAGTAGGTGCTCGCCAGCACCATGATGAGGGGATTCGCATTGTGCCGAAGGTGAGCCATGCGCAGATGATGGAGCCGACGTGCCATAGGCAGTTGTATATAGCGGTGACTCGGGCACGGTGTTGAGGGTGGCAGATCTCGGTCAGGAGTAGGGGTGAGGCGAGTTGGGCGAGAGAGTTGCCGAAGCCGAGGAAGAAGCGTGCGCCTGTGGATGAAGTTAGTCGTGTTGACACCAAGCGCCTTTGGCCGACAGAGGCCGTGAATGTCTTCTGCTTAATGTGTAGTCGCATCTTGTGGGCGACCAGCGTTTGACGTCCGGATCGACTCTGGGTGCTGCTTTGCGCAATGGCCTCAAAGTGATCTGCTGAAGCATGGCGACAAGACTTCGTCGTGAGATGCGAATAGGGGCAAGATGACTCGACCATCATAGTGCTCGTCCGTCAGAATGGGGAGCTGACTTGCCTTCAAACATCGGCTGGCCAGTGGCAGCAGTCTGCAGAGCACCGGCCGCGATCATGAGAATACATCCGCAGATGATGGATATCCTGCGCCCAAATCGATCTGATATGATGGGTGCGATTGGTAAAGAGGCTATTGACCCGAGCTGGTACATGGCTTGTAGTCGGCCCATGTTGGACCCTTTAGGATGGTCAAAATAGTCCTGCCAGAGGTCCATATTTTGAGATTTGTCAAGGAGAGAGCTGGCGTCGTCAGTCTGGTGTCGAGCCGGCGCCGATGTACTCACCCATCATATCCAGTCGTGGCGCTTGCCACACAGATGACCGCACAGAGAGCGTATAACTTCCTCAACCCAGGATCTTTCCGCCAGTTGACATATGGAATCTCGGGTGCTTCTTCTCTGGCGATGGCAGCCTCTTCGGCGTGGTGTCGTTGTCTGAGGGCCATGTTGACGATGGCAGAAAGAATGTCGGTGGATCAGGTAGCGAAGGTGAGACGATCTGGGGAGAAGTAGCGGAGTTGATATAATGGAGCTCTGATCGCTAATGGTGCCGGAAGCGAAGCAAGGATCGTGCCTTTCCAGACATCAGCTGCTTGGACTAGTGTCCCTTTCACCGAAGCAGATGGGAGTGGCGATGAGGAGACCAAGACCTGGTAGCGTCTTGTGGGGCACGTGCGACGCGCTACCCGGCTGAAGTACCTGGCATGTATCGTGCCGCCTTTGACGGAGTCACAGCTCATATACAGCACGTAATGCGCAGAGCAATGGACGCGAAAAGTGCGCATTTCGCAACACCAAAGTAGCTCACGTGGTCATTATCAGCATCAAAAATCTTTCATTGCGAAACAGCTGCGACAAGGATCATTGGGAGGTAGTTGACAAAACAGGTACAAAGGAGATGAGACCAGCCCCAACTTTTCGCTTGCGACGGCACGAGTGAGAGACGATACGAGAGTCGTTCCAGATCAATAGATCAGCAGTGCCGTTCATCCAGGAGCGCTCATGCTCATCAAAACCGAGGCATTTCTCTGCGTCAGTACCAGCGGAGGGTCAAGCCGCCCGCTGCAGGAAAGGAAAGGACAGCCTTGGGTGGAAAGTGAAAATATTGATGCCAGGTACAAGGAAGTAGGTGTGGGGAATTTCGAGAAGACGCCATGTTTCTCTCGTGTAAACCGCGGCCCGGGGAGATGAAAGGAGAAGAAACGAGCGAACAGGCGACAAGCTCGAGCGACTAGGGTCGTTCTTCAGAAACGATCTGGGGTAGCAGCCAATTGGAGTTGCCGAATGATGCCCCGAGACAATGAGCCGTCTGGCCCCGATTCGCGGACCCCAGATGGCCAGACCTCCTTGCCCACCCAGATTCAGGCACAATCTGGGTTTTCGAGCCGTTGATTTGATGAGTGCCTGAATGGCGTGGTCCGTCATCTTGGCAGCATAAGTTCCGGACTGCATTGGTCGGGGATCAGAAGAGCATGCCCTGGAAAACGAGTTTCGCCCCCGAGAGCCAACGAGCGTTGTGCAGTGCCGCAGGTCGAAGACGCCTGGCGATCTTGCCCGAGGAAGACGTACGGCGATCAGTACCTGGTTGACTACATCTGCCGGCAGCCAGCCACACGTCGAAGTACCGCATTGCTGATTCAAACGTGGGCAAAATCGCAAGCATGGCAGCTTCTGAGCTCGAGGCGCACCGAACTTCGAGGCCTGACGTATATCAAGTTGCAACGTTCTTCGAATCTGAGACGAAATTTGTGTGCTTATGTCGACGTTCAAGCTAGATGGTGAACCTTCCACCTGCCTTACAAGGTTGTCGGTGCTGTCTGCGGGACAAGCAATACCAGAGTCCAGAGACAAGAACACCTCCCCGCAGTCTGTTGCAACACGAGCATGTGAAGCTCGTATTGCGACTACCGGCAAAGCAGCCGATTGTTGGAGCATCTAGTCTTCGAGATGGGTAGGTGCCGGCGCGGCCCAGACATCCTGGATAGGCAGCAAGTCGCTCGTGAAAAGCTCACGGACTCGGGCAGAGATTATCGAGGACTAGCCGGCGCATTGAGTGACCTTGTGCGCGCTCCGTGATGTGGGCTGACAGATTTAACTTGCACATGAACGCGAACAGACAAGGGAAGCAGCCCAGAGCAACAAGACTCCTGGATGACGCTTTGCGTACTTAGTGTATTTCGATCACCGTAGACTACGGCGCTTGTTTAAGCCGATTTCCGCAACTTTGCTGGAGAAAAAAGTTCTGGCGACGACTTGACTGCCTCTCCGCAAATTTGAGCATGTGGTGAGGACGTCCTCCTCGACATACTCACCAGGAAGCCGGTCGCTGAGTGCGTGGCAACAGAGGGTCATGGCGCTCACCAAACCTCTGGCCTCGGCGACGGCTGGCCTCGACTTCGTCCGACTGTCCCACGAGGACATCACCAAGATTTCCGTGCGCCGCATCAATGCAACGCCGGCCTTGGACTCGATGCAGCGGCCAGTGCCCGGTGGACTGTGCGATCCTGCTCTCGGCGCAATCCAGGCACTCGACGTCAACTGCTCAACCTGCAAGCTCAACGCATACGGCTGCACTGGTCACCCAGGCCACATCGACCTGCCAGTGCCTTGCTACCACCCTTCCTACATCGACACCACCCTCCGACTGCTCCGCTCAAAATGCGTTTACTGTCACAGACTACGCCTGCCACGACCACTGATACACAAGGTGGACTGCGAGCTGCGGCTGCTACAGTATGGACTGGTCGAGGAGTACAACAAACTCCAGCATATCACTGCTGGCCGTGAGCCGGATGACGACGAAGATGACGACCCCGACGTGCTCCAGAGCCGACGCGAGAAGTTTGTGCAGAAGGCGATGAAGAACGCGAAAAGGCGTGGCACGCTCGATCCGACAGCATACATCAAGAACCCTTCCGCATCCGCAGCAAGACGAGACATCATTGCTGACTTCATAACGAGAGCATCAAACTACAAGACATGTATGAACTGCAAGGGTATATCGCCAGCATTCCGCAAAGACCGCGCGCTGAAGATCTTCCGGAAGCCGTTACAGCTTAAGGCACGAGAGATGATGCGCGTTCTCAGCAAGAAGTCAACAAATCCGCTCATCTTTCTCCGGGAGCAAGAGAAGCAGAAAGCAGAAAAGGAGAAGAAGTCAAAGGTCAACGGCATGGTCAACGGCGATGTGGAAATGCACGACGTCAATGAAGAGGCAGACTCAGAACATGGCGCGGAAGATGAGATTGCCCTCCAGAATGCGCTCGAGCACACCAAGGAGACCGAAGCCGAGCAGCCGGTCGAGCCAGATGACGAGGTCGTCTTCATGACAGCAACAGAAGTCCATGCTGCTCTCACACTTTTGTTCGAACGAGAAGGTCCGATTATCAGTCTGCTCTTTTCCACTGGACGAAGACGTGAGATCAAGCCCGACGCATTCTTCATTCGGTCTGTCCTTGTTACGCCGAATCGATACAGACCCCTCACGCGAACAGACAAGGGTCTCGGCGAGTCAATGACCAATCGAAGCCTAGATAAAATCATCAAAGCAGCCAACGACGTCCAAGAATACAGCAAAGCTCTGCGTACTGATCGAAACGCGCAAGTCAGACCATTCTCGCTTCAGCAGATGCAGAACGCCGCACTCACACTTCAAGAAGCCGTCAACATGTTTATCGACAACCCAGCGCCACCGAATCCCACCATGAGACAAGACCCTGGTGTCAAGCAGACGCTCGAGAAGAAGGAGGGCCTCTTCCGCATGAACATGATGGGCAAGCGTGTCAACTTCGCTGCTCGCAGCGTTATCTCACCCGATCCGAACATTGAGACGAACGAAATTGGCGTACCACTGGTCTTTGCAAAGAAGCTGACGTATCCGGAGCCGGTCACGAGTCACAACTTCGACGAAATGAGCAAGGCGGTCGTCAATGGATGCGAGACCTATCCTGGCGCCGCTGCTATCGAAGACGAACGTGGCAGGGTGATGAATCTGCGATTCAAGAACCTCGAAGCTCGTCAAGCACTCGCCAAAACGTTGCTGACCACGAACGGGAAGAGCGGACAGTCAAAGAAAGTCTACAGGCATTTGCGAAGTGGTGATGTCGTTGTCATGAATCGTCAGCCAACACTACACAAGCCGTCAATGATGGGTCATCGGGCAAAAGTTCTCACAAACCAGAAGACGATTCGGATGCACTACGCCAATTGCAATACATACAATGCCGATTTCGATGGAGACGAGATGAACATGCACTTCCCTCAGAACGAGCTTGCTCGAACAGAAGCTATGCAGATAGCGGACACAGATCATCAATATCTGTCCGCGACGGCAGGTAAGCCGCTACGTGGGCTGATCCAGGATCACATCTCGATGGGTGTCCAGTTCACGAGTCGAGACACCTTCTTCGATCGAGAACAATACCAGCAGTTGCTATACAGCTGTCTGCGGCCAGAAGATCAGCACACAATCTACCAGCGGATACAAATGGTACCACCAGCTGTGTGGAAGCCGAAGCAGCTCTGGACGGGCAAGCAAATTGTCACCTCGATCCTCAAGAACATTACGCCGGACAAATATACTGGTATCAGCCTGGTGAGCAAGTCCAACACACCAGCCGAGTCATGGGGCGAGAGTAAGGTGTCGAAACCGGAGCAGTTTGGCATTAAGAACAGCAAGGTGACCTCGTTCGCGGACACAGAACAGGTTGTCATCTTCAGTGAAGGCGAACATATGTGCGGCATTCTCGACAAAGGCCAGCTAGGCCCGTCAGCGGGTGGCTTGGTGCATTCCGTCTACGAGCTATTCGGTCATATCGCAGCGGGCAAGCTGTTGAGTATCATGGGCCGCCTTTTGACGCGCTATCTGAATGAACGAGCATGGACCTGTGGTATGGATGATTTGTACCTGACCAACGAGGGCGACAACCAACGAAGGTCAGAGTTGAGCAGATCGAAGCGACTTGGGTTCGAAGTATCCTCGAAATATGTCAGTCTGGAACCAAAGAAGGTGCAGCAGAATTCGACAACCTTGGTCAGCCGTCTCGAAGGCGTCATCAGAAGCGACGACCAGCTCAACGGTCTGGATCAAGTGTACAAGGCAGAAGTCAAAACGATCACTGATGCAGTGACAAAGGCATGTCTACCGAAAGGATTGAGGAAGCCGTTCCCAAAAAATCAAATGCAGGCCATGACGATATCGGGGGCAAAGGGCAGTGAAGTCAATGCCAACTTGATCTCCTGCAATCTTGGTCAACAGGTCCTGGAAGGACGGCGTGTACCTATCATGGTCAGTGGCAAAAGTTTGCCCTCTTTCCAGGCATTCGAGACCGACCCTGTCGCTGGAGGCTATGTCAGCGGTCGATTCTTGACTGGGATCAAGCCGCAAGAGTACTACTTCCACGCCATGTCAGGACGAGAGGGGTTGATCGATACCGCTGTAAAGACGGCGAAGTCTGGCTATCTTCAACGATGTGTCATCAAAGGTCTTGAAGGGGCGAAGAGCGAGTACGACAATTCGGTGCGCGAGGCTTCCAATGGCTCTCTTGTACAGTTCCTGTATGGTGAGGACGGACTTGAGGTCACCAAGGCGAAACACCTGAAGGACTTCACGTTTCTTGCTCGCAACTATCAGACTGTCAGCGAGTCTATCGGCTTAGAGACGGCCACAGAAAGGCTATCGGAACGAGATGTCACCGACGCGCAGAAGTCAGTCATGAAGGCAATCCGTCATGGCACGCCCGTCGATCCAGTGCAAGCAGCCAACCCACCGGGCAGCCATCTAGGCAGCACTTCTCACCGTTTTGATCTTGATCTACAACGCTACATCAAAGACAATCCCGACAAGCTGCTGAAGCACAAACGCAACAATCCCAATGGCGAGGTCAAGGGCAAATCATTCCAGGCAATGATGGATCTGAAGTACCTCAAATCCGTCGTTGATCCTGGCGAAGCTGTCGGCGTGGTGGCTGCTCAGTCGATCGGTGAGCCTTCGACACAAATGACACTCAACACATTCCATTTGGCAGGCCACTCGGCCAAGAACGTCACGCTAGGTATTCCGCGTCTGCGAGAAATCATCATGACCGCCACGCCGCATATTATGACTCCGACAATGTCGCTGAAGCTGATCGAAGAGCTGACAAAGGAACAAGGCACGCAATGGGCAAAACAGCTCACTAAACTTCCGCTAGCTCATCTCATCAAATCCCTGGATGTCACTGAGCGAGGAGATGGTGGTGAAGGGTATGAACATGAGAAAATTTACGATATCCAGATCTACCTCTTCGACCCGCAGGACTACGAGCCTGAGTACGCCGTCACATCGCACCAAGTTGAGCTTGCTATGGAACAACAATTCCTCCGTCGCTTGGACAAGATCATCAAGGATGAGCTCAAGAAGAAAGCCAAGGAAGCTAGCGAGGAAGCAGCCACAGCTTCGGTGCCCACGATCGGCCGATCCGTTGGACGTGTCGAGGAAGTTCGTGGTGGAGACCGAGCAGTGGCTAATCGTGAAGGCGGCGAGGATGACATCGACGAAGATGCTGATCCAGACGCGGCCAAGGATACAGCCCAGCGCGACCGACGAGAGGACATCTTCGACGAACCCGACGACGACGAGGAGCGCATCGCGGCCGAGTCAGAGTCGGAAGATGATCCTGACGAGGCCGAGTCCGGCGATGTGGACGGCACGCCCACGCCTAAGCCTGGGAAAACACTGCCAATAACGAATGGCGTAGACGACGACTCTGATACCGACTCAGTGGACTCGTTCACACAGAATCGTGTCGAGAAACTGAAAGCCGACTTCCCACACCTCAAAAAGCTCTCTTTCAGCCGCAAAGCCAGCAAGCCAACACGCATCATACTCTCCTACGACAGCCGAACGCCCAAGCTCCTGTTGTTGCCCCTGATTGAGCGCGCCGCACACGCTTCTTTGATTCGCTTCACCGCGGGCATCAATCAAGCTGCCCTCTTCGAAGAAGACGTCAAGGATCGCCACACCGGCAAGGCCCAACAGCGCATTAACCCTGACACTGGCTACGCCGAAACAGTAAAAGAATCAGTCATCACCACCTCCGGCGTCAACCTGGCCGCGATGTGGGACCAACAACACATCATCGACCCGTACACTATCTACACCAACTCCGTGCACGACATGCTGAAATTCTACGGCGTCGAAGCCGCTCGAAACGTCATCATCAAGGAGATCAGCGACGTGTTTGCTGGTCACGGTATATCTGTGGACAATCGCCACATCAATCTGATAGCGGACACGATGACGCAGAGCGGCGGGTATAAAGCGTTCAGTCGACATGGGATTGTCAAGGAGAGTGGGTCTGTCCTGGCGAAGATGAGCTTTGAGACGGTGATGGGGTTCTTGAGGGATGCGGTGTTGCATGGTGAGAGGGATCCGTTGTTGGGACCGAGTGCGAGGATTGTGGCGGGGAGGAGGGGGAAATTTGGGACGGGGGCGTTTGAGGTTGTTGCTGGTGTTGCGTAAGCCAAGCGAGAGACGATTTTGGGTCAAGGCTGGCCACTGTTAGATGGTAGAATGAGGAGACTGATAACGATGTCCTGATGAGGGATGCTTCGTCAATTCGGACGAGACAAAGAGGAGAATTGAGAGCAACAACCAAAGTCATACATGCGTTGACGAGGTATACCTCGACAACACAACGCCTGAGAATGTCGCAGGGTGTTCAGTAAGTCGTCAAATGCAAATATATTCGTGCCCATTGAGTCATTGAACTGCCTTGATTTGTCCATGCTGCGCGCCGTCTCAGTCTGAGTGTCTTGAAGTCAACCGGCTAGACCGGCTGCCCTCCCATCGTCTGACCACATCTTTGACGCTATGTTGTATACAGGCGGAGGAATGCATGGGCACCAGGTTCGAGGCTGGAGAACTATCCGACGCCGGATGACTGTCCCCGAATGTATTTCCGTAACCTCCGGCCTTCGCTTCGACTGCGCTTCCCCATCTCAAGTCCACTACTCCTACATCGCTACCCAAATCCGACCCAACACAAACACTCGTCGCACAGTATTCAGCAGCTGTACAACCTCCGACACTACTGACGGCCGCTTGCACACCGTAGACGTCCCATCGGCGTTCCGGCGACCACACCCACCTGCCCTGACCATCCTCACATCGACTCTCCGCAAAGGGCACTTCGTAGGCAGACCAGATCAACTGCAGAGCACCAGAGGGAACTCTCACCAAGGCATCACACCCTGCGATAGGAGTTGAAGCCACGACTACCCGGCAGCTGCACCGCCGCCGCCTTAAAGTCCAGAACGTATCGCATTCCGCCGGACGTCTCTACACCGAGCCGACACTCTGTCCTCTCTTCTCGTTGGAGGCGTGCCCTCACAAGCACGCTCCTCAGATCCGCCAACGAGATACAGCTAAACACTACGAGAACATTCCATACGCGGATCGGCCCGAGGGCCCGCATAGCAAGCAAAGATGGTGCTCTCATTCATCCTCATCCAAAACCGCCAGGGCAAAACCCGCCTCGCAAAGTGGTACGCACCCTACACCGACGAAGAAAAAGTAAAACTCAAAGGCGAAGTCCACCGCCTCATCGCGCCCCGCGACCAAAAATACCAATCCAACTTCGTCGAATTCCGCTCCTCCCCCTCCCACCATACCTCCTCCTCCAACGCCCACTCCTCCACCCCGGGCCTCGTCCGCCAGAATCTCTCCTCCACCAAAATTGTCTACCGCCGGTACGCCGGCCTTTTCTTCTGTGTGTGCGTCGACGCCAACGACAACGAACTGGCGTACCTTGAAGCGATCCATTTCTTTGTGGAGGTGTTGGATCAGTTCTTTGGGAATGTGTGCGAGTTGGATTTGGTTTTTAATTTTTATAAAGTGTATGCGATTCTGGATGAGGTGTTTCTGGCGGGAGAGGTGGAGGAGACGAGTAAGATGGTTGTTTTGGCGCGGTTGGAGCATTTGGATAAGTTGGAGTGATGCGTTAAAGTGCTATGGTCCTTCGTGAAGTTGATGGGCACTGCAGATCATTGAGATACGTGTGGACTCGAGCCGCCCGTGTCGAGAGCAAGAGATGGAATGCATTGAGAATAGACCTTTCAGCATATGCTAGCACGCATAGCTCGGAGCGGAAGGGAGATCGCGACGAGGTCGACATCATCAGGCATTGAGAAGTTCCGAAACGGAAAGCAGGCATATGTCGACGAGGCATCAATCGATCGACGGAATTCACATTCCGTACACCAGAGTCTACAGATCCTACGCCCTGGGCAGCATCGACAGACTATTCCCAGCCCATCCTCCCTCATCTCCCACCCTCCGGCGTCTTCAGCTCCGCCCACATCGACTGGCCCTGGACCTGCCTCCCACTCCGCCACCCCCAAATCAGCGCATAGTGCGACCCCAACAACTCACTCTCCTCCACCTCGTCCATCCACTCCAGCTCCCCGACCCGCTCTTTCTCCTCCTCATCGACCCAGTTCTTCCACACCCAGCTCAGATCTACTGCTTCTTGGCCGTTCACGAAGCTGCATCTTTCAACCGCTGTCTTTGCGAAGCTAAGTCCGGGTACGCCTCGAGAGTAGGCAGAGAGATTCCGCGGGAGGCGAGGTTCGAAGTCATAGTGCGGCCGAAGGCGGTGTGTGGGTTTATAGGCTCGTACAGGACGATGGATAGGGGCGTTGGTGGCGGAACGAGGGTGTGGGTGAAGTGGTTGAGGATTTGGGTTGTCCAGCTTGGTGTTAGGTAGCAGAGCGCCATCTCAGAAAGCAGCAGTGTCGGAACAGCCGCATCAAACTGCAGGGTTGATGTCTGTGGTGGTGTCGTGGCTGGACCGTCGTCTGAGGTAGTTGCTTTCACTAATTCGCGCAAATTCATTGCCATCAGTGTGTATCCATTCGCCTGTAACGATGTGGCCTCTCCCTCAGCAGACTCCGAGACAGTGAATTCCCATTTCCTGTGACAGTGCTCCTCGTACGCCTTCGCAAATGCCGCAGACCGCAGATGTCGGATCTTGGCCTGCACGTTCTGCAACATGTCCAGCTCGTAATACATCAAATCCAACCCGGGGTATTTCCTCCGCAATCGAAAGAAGCGCGTATCGCTCCCAGCACCTAGCTGATGATTTGCTTCCGCTGATTCGGATGCGCCGCAATAAAAGTATCAACAACCCGATCGATACCCACCGTCCGCGTATACGTCCCACGATTCATCAGTGGGAGTCGACGAGGCGACTTTCCGTCAACGGAGACGTGTGAGTAGAGGTGGTGGGCGAATGGGTCGTCCAGGTAGCCGGCCTTTACGGCGGAGAGGCGGGATGTTGCGGCGTCGGTGTCGGTGGCGCGGATGATGCGGTCTTTGATGGCGGAGGGGTGGGGTGGGTTGGCGATGCGGTGATCGGTCGTGGTGGTGGGGGTTGAGGGATTGTCGCCATGTCCGCGGCCCCGGAGACGTGAGCCTCCGCGGCGGAAGGTGGAGAGGTTGGGTATTGATGACGCTGTCATTATGGAATGTTCGTGGTCGGAGGAAGCAATCTGTCGCCTTCCGAGGTGATGCTGTCGGTCTGTAGTGGATGGATCAATGTCGACTGATGATTACGCCCCCGAGTTCTGGTCGGAGCAAGAGAACTTTGTCTAGCACTTTCCCCAAGTAGCTCCTCTCACTGAATGAGCCGGGAAGGCACAGTAAGATCGATTCGTAGCCACTGATACCCAACAGTCAAGATTGAAGGAATTGATCAGACCAGTGTCGCCCCCAAAACGCGCCAAGACATACACGAACAAGGCAACTCAAATGTTTGCCTTACGGCGCGATGATCTACCTGAACCTTGCTCTCCACCAATTACTTCCTATTCGGTTGAGGCTCTCGAGCCTGTCCTCCACTTGCGCTACTACAGTATCCTCAAGATGCCGTCCAAGATGCCATCCAAGGTGCCATTGAAGATACCGGCCAGATTGCGATCGGTTGGGCGCCCTCCTCCCCCTCCCCGGCCCTCAGATCCCCCCACCCCAGCATCAAAGTTCAAATCCAAGGCTATCGCCTCAACAAGTACATCACCTACGGCTCCTTCGGCGTCTGCGTCGGCATCTACGGCGCCTGGAACTACGCTCCAGGCGGTTTTTATGGGAAGCGTACAGGACTGGGCACGGAGTAGTAAAATCGATCGGCCTTGTCTCAAAAGACAGCGAACCCATCCACGCCAGGATCAGCGTCGCAACATGGCTGGTTAAGTGGACTTTAAGTTTCAGCGGGCCACGTGAGATCACCTACGTCGGTGGCGATGGCATCGAGAGACGAATCAAAAGCTACATACCACCTTTGGGATCCTTTGTGCTCGCCAATTTCTACGCGAGCCTCGAACATCTGGCTTCAACGGTATAGCCTGGTGGACTTTCTGCGGGGTCTTCCTCCATCTCCCTCCGCGCCATTACATCGCCATCATAGCTGGCAGTATCATAGCTTCTGGAGCTATGTTCAACTGGACGCACTCCGATACACCAACCCCCGTGCTGGGTGCGAGCGGTATCGTGAGCGGCCTGGCGATGGCGCACACGTTGCTGACGCCGAGAAAGCGCATTGCCTTGTATGGGTTGATACCGCTGCCTATGTGGGCTGTTACCATTGGGGCTGTCGGTCTTGACGCCTTTTTTCTGGACAGAGAAACCGTGACGGCCCCTGGTACGGACGGAGAGACCAAGACCGCCCATAGTTCGCATCTTGGGGGTGGTATTTTTGGGGCGGTGTATTATGCGTTGTTCCTGAGGAAGTTCCGTCCCGTGTTGAACCGGAAAGGATTCAATACTTGACGGACAGGAGGCAAGCTGGGGTCAGCGCGGATCGGACATAGTTCGCATCTGGGTGGTGCGGCGTTTGGAGCAATGTAATATGCGTTGTTTTTGAGCAAGTTTGGGGGCGTGCTTAATAGGACGGGACGGATCGTTTATTGATGATGGCGGATGAGTTGGGGCGAGGCGGGCTCTCAACGCTGCTGCAGGTCCTGGGCGCCTGGATACGGCGCGAATACTGACTACCCAGGTCGAGATCAAGACACACGAACTATTTCATGACAGAAGCTCAACGCGTTCGGGCCATGCCCATCAGTTTTCGGGATTCACTTCATCAGGAATGAATAGAGGCGTTGTCTTTTTTGCTACCATGTACCATCAGCCACTTTTCGGAACGCCATTGTTGGCACTGTATCGTCTCGGGTTATACAGGACCGCAGTTTCATGGGAATCAGGGTATATGGTATGAATGAAAAGTAGGACAAGGAACAAGACATGATGCTTTCTAGAAAAAATGGGTATCCATCTATCTCATTCCGCAAAAAAAGTCGACGAGATCATCATCTCGCCTCGTTCCTAGTCTTCATTTGGAGCAGCAGCCTCGTGTCGGAATGCAACGTGGTGTAGGTCAGTATGCACTTGTAGTTCCCGTTCTTGGCGCCCTTGTCCCTAACCCAATCGATGCGCGCATCACGTCCTTTTATATTCGTGACATGACATGGCTTGAATGTACAATGCGATCTCCCTCATTCCCAATGAGGAGTTCTCTACCAGTCCTCATCCCACCATTATTCATGCACAAGTCTCATCATTGCTCGAGGATCCGACAGGTCTTCCATAAACGACCTTCTAGCTCGACTTTGTATTGAAGAACCAACTCGACCTCTTGCCTCCATTCGCGTCACTCGAACTCAACGCACTGATAGCCGGTATCGATCCATTGACCGGATCTGCCGCACCGCCAACCACACCGCCACCTCCCCGAAGCGGCTTGGCTATCCGTGCACCAGCACTCGCCATCCAGCCCGCTCCACTGGACTGTTGGGGCAGCATACCACCGTTCATGCCCATCGCCGCAGCGCCGTTCGCGCGGCTGAGCTTGGTGGCTTCGAGACGCTCTTTGACTGCTTGAAGCTGTTGCTCAAACCTGTCGTACATTAGCACGCCACGGACCCGCTCGTCAGAAGAAAGCACATACCTGGTATTCGCCGCACCCAACTTCTCCTGACTCTCACTCAACAATCCCTCCAAACTCAGTATCCTATCATTCCTCGCCACAAGCTTGCGCTCAGCAATCGCAACCTCCTTCTTCAGACTCGTGTTCTGCTCCACAAGCTGCCGTTGCACCACAGTGAGCTGCTCGAGATTGCGTTCCAAAAATGCCATCTTCTTTTGCTGCTGGCGATTATTCGATGAGCGGAGCACATTGTTGTACTGCTCGCGAGTCTCGTCGAGGGAGATTTCGAGCTCGACGACGCGCTCGCAGCGGTTCTGGAGGTCGCGCATGAGATTCTTCTTCATTAGGTCGAAGTCGGCGATTTGCTGTTGGAGGGAGGCGGATGCTGGGGAGTGGGCTGTGCCGTTTTGTGTTGGCCTGGAGCGAGTTTGCAGATCTGTGACGGACTGGCGGAGTCGGTGGATCTCATCTGTTTTGTGCGTGAGTTCGTCTCGTAGGTCGTGGATGATGTCGGTCTGGGTGTCTCTGCGGTCTTGGTACAGGTCGGCGAGCCTCTTTTTGATCTCATCGACATCTGCTGGATTGAGGTTGCGGGCGAGGAGGGCCTCGTGCTCGTCTTGCAGAGCGGTGAGCTGTTCTTCGAGCTCATATCTGCTCTGTTGGTCGTTCTCGGAGAACGCTGTAGATTGCGTCTCGAGGATCTTGGCGCGCAGAAAGTCGAAGTCTGCTGCGTCGCCGTTCTGGGATGCGGATTTTGCTTGCTCGAGTGCTTCGAGAAGCTCACTGGTCCTTGTGTCGGCTGAGCCAAGATCGAAGCCGGCGAGCATTTTCGCCATACGTTCTTGCTTCTTGCGGTCCTTCTCATCAAGCGCTGCTGTTGTTGAGCTGGCGGTCATCTTGAGGTCCATGAGTTGCTGCTTGACGTGGACCAATTCAGTCTCAAGCTCTGAGTTGGCTTCCTTCAAGCTGTCCATGGTGATCGAGTCCTCCTTGCTCTGGAATGACAGCTTCTGCAGCTCCATCTGCGTTTTGTTGAATCTGTCCTGCATCGACTCGTTCTCTTTGGTCGTCCGGAGCGCACCTTCTTTGTATGTCTTCAGCTCCTCACGTACTTCTTGCAGGGAACGCTCAAGATTAGCAGCTTGGGTCTCTTTTTCGGTCAATTGGTCCTGCAGCTCGTTTTCCCTCCGCATGAATTCATCCCGCTCGTCCTTCTCCAGTATGATGCTCGGCGTACTCGACCGTTCACCTGTCCTCGAGTCTGGTCGGCTGGGAGCTCGGCTCGTAGCTGATCTGGCCTCGAAGGCGTCTCCGCTCGTGGTCGTGTGTCGGCCTTTGAGCCTATGGGCGGCACCCACCTGTCCTGAGGCACAGTCTCACCTTTGCGCCATTGCTGTACTTCTGCGTCTAATGAATGGATGTACTTCTCGAACGACATGGCCTGGTTCTGGACTAGTTTGAGCTGCCTCTTCAGCTCTTGCGGACTTAACTCAGCATTGACCTTGGCCTTGTTCTTGATCGTCTTCGCACGCATACCAAATCTTAGCGTGCTGACGGTCTCGGCATCGTTGTAGCTAGAAGGCGAGCAGTTGATGATGAGGGTGGTCCGCGAGTTGCCTCCAAGCGATTCTTGCAAGATACGCGTGAGTTTTGAATCTCTGTACGGTACATGCGTGGATTTCCCATCGGTCAAGGCATTGATGACCATTCCGAGAGCACTGAGGGACTTGTTGATCTTCTTTGCTTCTTCGAGAGTTTGGCCGCTAGCACCAGTCTTTCCCACCTTTTCTGAACCTGCCAAATCGACGAGGTAGAGCATGCCGCTCTTCTGAGAGCCGGTGTTCACGTCTTTCTGGTTGATGGTGACGAGGAAGATGGAGTGGGATCGGGAGGACTCGAGATTCATGTTGGTGGACGCGGTGACCCGTGCCCCTTGACCAAGATGCATGGCTTGGTAGACTTCTGCCACCCCGCTGACGTAGATCTCGCGCAGATCTTTGACATATGGGCCTTTGGGGCCCTCGTGGATGGGCAGGTTGTCGTTTTGAGGGTTCAGCAGATCTCGTATTCGTTCCATGTAGATCTCGAGATAGGAGATGCTGACCGTGTATTCCACCGAAGCCGATCCATGGACCATGATGCGTCAAAGATCTGCTCCATGATTCGCGGCGTGATACCCTTCTTTGTTGGGTCGTCCATGTCGCCCATCATCGTGTATGACTTCCCCGCGCCAGTCTGGCCATAGGCAAAGACTGTGCCATTGTAGCCATTCATGACATCCTCGACCGTCGTCCGTATTGAGAAGTCGAAGATCTCATGTTGCTGTGAGCTCATGCCAAACACTCGATCGAAGGTGAAGGGAGCATTCGTTTCGGCGGACTTGAGGGCGACTGTGTCGTCACCCTCGAAGCGCACGATGGGCTCGCCGCCATTGGAGACTTCGACCTTGTTCTGTGGCCGAAACCGGGCAACGACTTTGATGTTGTTGCCCTGTGTAGAGCTGCCTGCGGCAGACCTGCGGATTGTCAGTATTGGTCTGCGTCGATGTAGATCAGTCACCTACGCCATCTTGTCGGTCAGTCTCGATGAGGCCGACAGGGAATCATTGACTGGCGCTCAGCGCCACCAAATTGGGCTGAAGCCCACGATGGGGACTGCGGTGGGATTGTTGACTTGATATATCGAGATGCCAGGTTTGCGGATCGGGATTGGCACAATGCGGGTTGCTGCAGGCAGGATCGAAATGCAGGATCTCGTCGGCTGTGATGCGATGCACGTGCAAACGTCGTACGGGAGTTGTTGGATGCCGTTGGTGATGACTTCGTCGTGCAATGATCACAGTCAAGTTGGTGGAACACGTGAAAAGACGCGCCTAGGAGAAAGGAGATTGTCGCAGTCGCGCTGATTCGATGCCGCCTAAACTTTTGATAAATTGGTGTTGGCTTTGCGGTCCGCTGCGTTGCCCGGAGACCCCTGTAACAGCATCATTTGAGCCGCCAAAAGACCAGCGATGTGGGCGATAGCACGTGACTACGCTGGGAGGGATTCAAGCCAAGACTCATCAGCGCTAGGTGGCAGTCTCGCCAGCGCGTCTTCAGACACGCTGCGAGTAATCTACACGCTCCCTATCGAATGACGGCTCTCATCAACGTCTGAGACGCGTCCCACACAGAATGAGCGACAAGACTGAATGCGATTGAAATGTCTCCGCACAAAAAATGCTCAACATCGTGAAAGCCGGCGTCTACCAACAACGAAGTCCAACATTCTCAACGACTGTACTCGTCGTCAGTCTCTGTGCCTCTACATCGTGGCCGCAAAATGCCATTGCCATCGCGAACCACGGTGCACGTCGTCGGGCCGACCACGGCACGAATTTCGCAAGACTTGCCTGAGGTAAGTAAGTTTCTTCAAAGCATGATGCCGAAGCAGCATGACGTGGGGTAAGATCTGCTCTGCTCTATACGCCGCCGTTCCTGCATTGGTCTGCATCCGACAGCTCGGGAGATGACCGTCAGAGATGATGCTGCTTGTACACCTATGACAAATCGGCCGAGGTGTTTTGTATGATACAAGTATACTGATCCCTAACCTCTCATACCCCTGATTATACCAAGCATCGCTGAGACGCCATCATGGCCGCCGTCACCACCCAGAAGCTCTTCTCATCCCACCAGCTCACCCACAATGTCACCAAGCTCTCCCCAGGCCAGCAAGTGCACAGCTATTCCTCTGACCTTGGACCCGACTCACCAGTACTCACCCTGATTCACGGCTACCCTCAGTCCGCCTACGAGCAAGTCTCCCTTTCCCAGCAACAGCACCACCTACTAACACTCTCCCAGATGGCGCTACCTCGCACCCCTCCTCAAATCCAAAATCTCCCTCTTCATCCCCGAACTCCCCGGCTACGGCATCTCCCACCCCCAACAATCCAACGACAAACGCTCCATCGGCACCAGCCTCCTCCAAGCCCTCACCTCCATCTTCGGCCCTGACCGCCGCGTCATCCTCGGCGGCCACGACCGCGGCGCCCGCATCTGCCACCGCCTAGCCGTTGACGCCGCCTCTGGCTCCGGCCTACCCAACATCACCGTCCTCGGCGTCGTCATGCTCGATATCGTGCCTACGATCGTGCAATGGGAAGCTTCGCTAACCCGCGCGTCGCGGCGGGCTATTTTCACTGGCCGCTGCTTGCGAATGTGGACATTGCTGTCACGATGCTGAAAGCTATGGGTGGTGGGAATTGGGCGCGGTCTGCTAACGAGCGGATCGCTGGGCCATCGGCTGTCGGCAAGGAGCGCGTGGCTGCCGATGGCGCGTTGGACGTCTATGGTGAGTTGTTTGATAGCGAGGAGGTGATCCGGTACACTGCCGAGGACTATAGGGCGGGAGCACAGGAGGATGTAGATTTGCAGAAAGAGGATCAGAAGGCAGGCAGGAAGATTGCGGTGCCGACGTTGGTCATGTTCAGCAAGGCGAGACTGGGGATGACGCTTGACGTGGAGGATAGTTGGCGGAGCTGGGTGGCAGATGGGGTCGATTACAAGGGTGTGGGAGTCGGAGATGAGAGGGGACATTACCTGCCAGAAGAGGCGCATGAGGACGTGTACGAGGAGGTGGTCAAGTTCATCGAGAAGGTCGCCACCAAGAAGGATTAGTGTTACGGAGTCGATTCTCGACCAGGTCTACTTTCAATTACTGATCAACAGGAAATCAGACTCGCTTGAGTACGCCTGTCCATGGATTGAGTCAGCTTCCCCTCAATTTTGGTCTATGTACAACGTCTGCTCGTCTACTGATTAGGAGCGGAGAGTACAGCAAAACTCTCTTGCCCTCGTCTCCTTATGTTCATGCCGGCGTCACCGCGAACAACTTATTGAATAAGTTGCCTGGATCGTATTGGGCTTTCAAGCCCTGTAGTTTTCCATAATTCTCCCCAAAATATCCCTACTCCGCTCATCATAATGATCATAATTCCCATAGAACTGTGTCGCCCGCTTTTTCCCTACAACGCTCGCCGGCGCCTCCCCTCCCCCGCCCACCTCCTTCGAACTATGCTCCTCCAACTCCTTCTTCCACATCTCATTCATCTCCCGCGCCCACAACCGACACGTCTGGTCGTTCTTGGGGTCCGTCCAGATTGGACAGATCATCCCGTTGAAGTGCAGGCCGCGGTTCGCGAAACACCCGTGGTCCAACTCGTTAATCTTCGCAGGGTCGAAGAGCTCCCAGAGGAGCATGCTAATACCGGCGTCCGGGTTCGCGTCCATGAATTTCGTGTACTCGTCAAAATTCTTTTGCGCGAATTCGGGCCGGATGGGGAGTTCGAAGGCAGCGCCTTTCATGCTGGCGCGGAGGCCGTAGGGCGGGGCGAGGAGGTTGTTGATTGTGGGGTAGGGGACCATGGTGGTTGTGTTTGCTACGGGGCCGATGTCGATGAGTTCTTTGTAGACTGTTTCGGCTTCGTCTTTGGTGCCGAAGTAGATTACTGGGGTGAGGATCATGGTTGCGCCTCCGGCGTCGGGTGGGCGGGCGAAGCCTAGGCCGCCGCCGCCTTTGCCGTTGACTTTGGTCTTGCCGGTTTCGGGGTCGATCATGTAGAGGTTGTTGACGGCGGTGACGAGCTTCTCGAGGATACCGGGTGCGGGTGGGTAGACGAGCATGCCAGCCCAGACTTCGGTGTTCTCGAGCTTCTTGGCTTGGAGGACGAACTCGGTGGCCACACCGAAGTTCTGGCCTGCTCCGGACAGAGCCCAGAAGAGGTCAGGGTTCTGTGTTTTGGAAGCGCGGATGATTTCGCCTGATGCAAGGACGAGTTCGACTTCCAGCAGATTATCGATGACGAGACCGTACTGCCCGCTGAGCCAGCCGTATCCTCCGCCAAGTGTCAGTCCACCTACACCTGTATCCATCACTGTGCCACCGACGGTAGCGTATCCGAACTTATAAGCCTCCTCGTCAACGTCGCCCCAGTTAGCCCCACCACCGATTACCAGGACCTCCCGTTCTTTGTCGAATGTGACCTTGCGCATCTTGCCAAGATCAAAGAGAAGGCCTCCGTCTGTCGAGCTGGCGCCGGCGGTCGAGTGACCTCCACCCTTTACGGCGAGGTCGAGGTTGTTCTCGGACGCATACTTCACGACTTTGGCGACTTCGTCGGCAGTCGTAGGCAAGATAGACACACCAGCAGGCTTGCTGGCTGCCATAGACCAGCGCTTGATCGTGTCATGGTAGCCGGAGTCATCTGGTGTTACCACAGTTGCGGAGGTCCCCGCAAGTAACTGCTTGATAGCATCGATATCGCGGGGCGAGACCTTGGACTTGGATGTTGGTCCGAGTGAACCCATTTTGATGGTTGAAATGTGTCGGAATGTTGTCGAAGCAAAATTCAGCAGAAAAGTGCTCTCACTGGCTCGAGAGATGTGCCGCTCTTGCAGATGTATATCTTTCTTCACGTGTATTAGATAAGGCAACCCAGAGGGTCCTGGTGGGGCTCGGGGAGTGAGGTGGGTTCAGCCACTCACGGCAGGGGCAGGTAGTCCAGTCTTGCTGTCTCTTGATCTTACCTACAAGAAGGGCGTTGAATCCCGAGCTGAAACGTCTGTCTAACAGAAATGATCCGGTACTCAAGCTATCGCATCGAAACAGGCAAGTTTGCGACTGGCAGGGGCACAGTAACAGGGGCGATGAGTTATACTCTCCAGGGTCCAGCACCGAGGCAGCTCCAATTGCTTACCGCTTCATTTTGGGGCCTGTTACTGGATTCTGCTAGAGCGTACTTGAACATCTCCAAGCGTGTTTATCAGGGCTCGAGCATTGTTGGCCCTTTCTTCGAATTTGGCATCGGCACCCATACGTGCAGAGTTGCGAGCGCTGTCCGGCCGTGTAGTATTCGTACAGCAGAGATTCCGGTCCGCAGAGTTCATTGGCAGATGGCGAGTCAGCAATGCGATCGATGATGACCTGGAGGTGCTGACATGGCGGAGAGTTCTGGCTCTCTTCGCCACTCCGCACAGCCAGGGAACATCATGCCATTTCGATCGTCGTCGTTGCAGCCGTTGCTCGGCTAGGCCCGTGTTCTTCCCTTAATGTCGTATAAATGCTCCAGGTAAGCAATGAAGTTGTTTGACGTCTTCATGGGTTGCCGCGTCACAAACCTTGGAAGGCAAATCCTTGGCGGTAGTGCCTGCCCGGGGATCCGAGTACGGGCCCTGTGCAACCTGCCGCCTCAACCGAGTACGAGGTCTGGTGGAAATGAGAAGCCACAATCGCAGAACACGAGGCTAGGTATCACGCTCTAGTAGCGGACGTGTAGCGTGAATACAGAACAGAACGGCGACGATCATCGTTGAGAGAAGGGCCATACTCGAGCGTTGACAATCACATTTATATTCTTTGCCATTGGGGCGCTCTGCCTGCAGTGGAGCAATGGATGGCGAACAGTAGCATGATATCGCTCAGAGAACAATAGCAACAGCCGAGAAGACATCGTCATCAAGCGCGATTACGATGATACTGAATTGACCTGGCGCCGACGGTCTTCGGTAACGAGGTCGCTGACAACGTAGCCGACATGTCCATTAATGCGCCCGTACTCGGACTCGCACTTGCAGCCTAGGCAGAGCTGGAGCTGGTGCACCGGCTCCGCTACTCTGCGAAGCGTCGTGATCTGTAGACGAAGATCTGCTTGATCATTGCGCTGCATGGCTCACAGTACAACGATGTGAGAGACCGCATCATTCAGGAGTAGCTTGCTCGCCGGTCAGACCTGCCTGGGACGTACTGGCCTTGCTTGGCCGGGTATTCGTCGCAGTCGTCTGCCGTGTTCGCTGTTGCTATCACATTCCTGGTGTCTTGATCACTTCCTCATCCTCTGAAACCTTCGAGCCGCCCAGCATCAAAGCCTATCTCGACGAGTGGTGAACGTCAACGACGAGCTGGTGAGGATTCGGCTTCACATCAGCCAGGCGGAAAGCAGCTGTCATGGCAGGCTTCGAAGCCTGGCGGAAGGTGCAAGATGGTGAAGATGGATCAACAGAATGAAGATGAGGCAACCATATTTCTTGGCTCTTGGTGGGGCGACGGCGTGAGGCATTGAATGCAATTGCACTGGGCATGCTCGTAGGTTTCCTTCTGTTGCTGATGCGTTGATAGCAATCGAACATTCTCACTTATCACGCCCTCCTGTCGACATTCAGTGCTGGCATACTCGACCTCCGACAAGCCACCGGAAAAGTACATGTAGTGCGTCACTCACTCAGCCAAAGTACCACCGACACCCCCGCCCGCATCCGACTAGTTCCTCCTCAGCATTCGCACTCCCGTCCCGATCTGCACATCACTGCAGCACTCGAAGCAGCGTTGAGGGCGTTGACAAGGCTCAGTGGCTCTTGAAGCTTCACGCCGATACAGTATCGAAGTCACTGTGCGCAGACCTTGTCCTGGACTCGTAGCACGAGCCGTTTCGCCAAATCGGCCTCAACAGCACACCGGTCGTCAATATGCCAGCTCTCACACCCGCCACAGTCAAGCTGAAGTCGACTCTGCGTCTCCTCATCCCTCGTCTCCGAAATGCACAGAAGAAAGACACAGCCCTCTCCGTCGCTGCCCGGCGCGAGATGGCCGACCTCCTAGCCACAAATCGGGAAGCCTCTGCCCGGATACGCGTCGAGAACATCATACACACTGACATTACAGTCGAGCTGATGGAGATCCTCGAGCTGTACGCCGAACTGCTGCTTGCAAGAAGTGCCATGCTCGATCTACGGGACAAGCTGCTGAAGGAAGGTGGTGACAACGCAGACGAAACACAGGCTACAGGGTTGGAAGAGGCGGCAGCAAGTCTGGTCTACGCTGCACCGCGGCTGCCGAGGGACATCAAAGAGTTGGGGCTGGTGAGGAACTTGCTGATCGAGCGATTCGGGAAAGAGTGGACTGTCAAAGTGTCGGAAAATGCAGAGGGCGAAATGGTGCCGAAACGAGTCACTGAGAAATTGAAGATGGACGTGCCCAAGGAGGCGTTGGTGCAGGCATATCTGGAAGAGATCGCTCGGAGCTACGCCGTTGACTGGCCACGGAGGAATTACGAGCTTGAGAATGCACGTGATGAGGTAGATGACGAGGACGACGATGACGGTGGGCCCAAAGAGCAGCCTATCCTCGCCGATGGCGCACAGTCAGTCTCTACTCCTTCGAAAGCGCCTGGCAAAGTCGATCTCAGCAATCTCAACTCCGTCAGTGCGACGCCGCCGAAGGGTCTGGACCCGGAAGGAGCACGAAGTCCTGTCAGTGTGGCGCCTCCTGGTGCGAGAACCGACAACCCGACGCCGTCCGTCAAGTTGCCAGGTGGTGGAACGGCGGCGCCGAAGAAGTCGAGTGCAGCGAATGCTTCGAAGGGATCGGGTGCGGCGAAAGCTGGAGGTCCTGGAGGTAGCGTACCGACTGTGGATGATCTGGCCAAACGATTCTCGGCGTTGAAGAGATGACATGTCCCTATTCGATATCGATTGACAGCTTCACTCTTTGAGACGACCTGTCCACGTCGCATGCCCTGCACGCATGTTCGAGCCGTTTCTAAGCGCACTAAGCTAGTCATTTGTTTGCACTGCTGTGCCTCACCACAGATCCGACAAGCGCCTCGTTTGGATTGAAAGCGTATAGATTTCGACTAGCTGAGGCACGCACTTCTCCAATACCAAGTCTAGCAAGTTCAACCACATCTTAACAACTTGATACCGATGACCATGGCTGCGCCTGACAACTATCATAATGTTCCCCTTCATGATCTGGATTCACCTCCCTCGCACGACAGGGCATATCGCAGCTGGACCGAAGAACTTGCCAACAGACCCGGCTCGATACCATCCTACACGCCTAGTCTGCCTGCAAGGCCTGTGAAAAGGAAGGATTACTGGAAGACGGTTGTCCTCGCGATCCTGGCTATCGTCGTGGTGGGCCTGGTCATCTTTGCTGTGGCCAAGGTTGCCCAGCCGCACGCAAAGCAAGCAGAACCACAGCCACGATCTTCGCCGCCGCTGCTCGGAAATCTCATGACGGAGACCATCACTGCCTCAACAACTCCTGTGTCGATAGCAACAAGCACGGCGTCATCCACATCGACAATGATTACTACCATTGTTGTTACTGCCTCGACTGTCGAGACCAGCTCCAATTTGGTACAAACGGTCGTGACGCCCTCCCCAACAGTTTTCACCACTACCGCTAGAGTAACAAGCACTGCCATAAGCACTTCCGCGGTCACAGAATCCCAGACCATAAGTCCGAGCCAAGATCCAGAGCCATCGACAATCACCAAGTCAGCTACGGAGTCCGCTACCGTGACTACTACAGCATCTGCTTCGACGCAGACTACCACAGCCACAACGGAGGTTCCAGAGCCGACGACTACCAGTACGAAGACTGTGCACAAGACGACTACTTCTGCATCAGTGGACGTCGTTACTACGATCAAGCCATCGACTATCACCAACCAGGCTACCGTGACTGCTACGTCAACGGAGAGAGCGAAGCGAGGGCTGGTATCTACTTCCGGCGCCTCGAGTGAGGGCTTTCCAACCGACTTGCGTCATGCGTTCGAGGTATGATCTCCGCCTGAACGCCAGCTGTTTCACACCACTAACCTCATAATCCCTAGTAGGCTAGCAGCAGATCTGTCTTTCACAAGTTCCATGCACGCTATCTCAAGATGATCACCAAAACAAGAACGCATACCACAACTTCCCTCAGCACCTCCACGTCCACCGACGTCTCGCTGACCAGGATCACGGTGACGACGACTACGACCTCAGTGACCACTGAGCCAGGTCCTACCGCTGCGGACCCACGACCCGATGAAACTGGCCGGCCTGCCAATACTCCTGGTGGCGAGCCCGCATCGTCCTCGAGCCCAGCTCCCACTCCACCACCTCCACCACCTCCGTCACCAGCCCCAGAGTCAGGAGCTGCGAGCAAAACGGAGAGCAGTCTCAAAACAGTCACGACCCACTGCGTCTGGCAACACGAGCATTCGGTCTGTTATCCCAATCGGGCGGTGTCGCTGGAGTAGGAGCACATCGCAATTCTCGCTTCCGCTCAAGCATCGACGACTACCGACACCACTTTTACGACGATCACGACTTCCCCTAAACCTCCCGGCGAGCAAAGCTACGATTCTCCGCTGCCTCCGTCTGCTGCGCCAACGAATCCCAAACCCTTCTCCCACTCCAACGCCCTCAGAGTCGAACACGCCGAGCAAAACTGAAGACACTTCCGAGCACTCCACGAAAGTCTGCCTGTTCTACGAGCATAAGGCACCTTGTCGATCATAGCAACAAGGAACCTCAGCGTACATCGTATTGGGGTCGCACCAACGCCACGGTTGCCGTCTGCGTCAGCATCGCCACCAGTCCCAAGCCCCAGAAAACCCCTTTCACTCCCACGGCCCCAAACGCCCTACCTTCCGCGATACCCACCCCTTCTCTCCCAGCAATTGCAGCATGATTGCCCAACGCACCACCGAAAGCCGACCCAACGACCAACCATTCCTCGCGGCGCACTGCTCGCTCCCACTCTACCTTTCACTAATAGCCTGCGGCGCGACTAGGGAATTGCTCGCTCCGCTCGCCTGGGGCGGTGAGGAGGTGGTGGCCCTTACGGGCCACCACCTCCCCTCGCCTCCCCCACACCGTCCCCTAGCGCGGGTAGGGGAAGTTAAGGTGGGATGTGTGGCATGGTGATTCCTCGCCACCTGACTCAGAGCGACCTAGGAAGAACAGGAAGAGTGCACTGTTGTGCAGTATGCGGCTGTGCGGAGTGCTATAGCGCGGAAGACGGCGTGCAAAACGGTCACTCGAGGGACGAGGTCAGGCCGGTCGAGGTGGTGGAGATGACTTGTGGGGATGGGCTTGTTGGTGTTGCGGGACGGGTTGGTGATGGGAGGATTGGGATGTGAAGTGTACATGATACGTGGTGGCGGACCTCAGGATGAAGAATCATGCAGTTGAAATCATTTATAGCTAATTATGCCGTGGCGTCCAGATTCATCAAGTCTTCATCTGCGATATCGCCTGCATCGCCAAATTCATCCACGCCTGCGCCATTGGTGTGCCCATTCGTGCCGTTGCCATTGGGGAGGCCTCTATCGGGCAGATAGTCCATCGCATCAATCCCATCGCGTCCATAATCGCCCTCACCCTTTGCGCCTCGCTGCTCCCGCTGGAACAGCTCGAGTTCCTCAAAGCTCCAGCTGTCTTTGCCCTTCAGAGCTGCTACGCCTTCCTTCTCTGCGCCGCGTTGCTGGATGGCTGTCTCGAGTGGTTGGGCGATCCCACGCAGGAACTTTCGCGCCATTCCGACCGCTGCGTCTGTGCTGAGGTTCGTGTGGTTATCGAGAATCTCATCTGCGATCCATCGGGGTAGTTGGTTGCGGCGCTTGATGAATCTGTTGTCTGCCAGCACCATTATTCCGTAGTCGTCCTTGCCACGCAACACACGTCCTAGACACTGCGCGGCGTGGCGCATGGCGTCGAAGGAGAGGAAGTCGTTGGGCGGTATTCGGTAGGTGTCGTTCAGGAACTCTAGTCGTGCTTTCAGGATTCGTGATTCGGTGTACTGGTATGGTGCTCCCAAGCACAGCACAGTGCGGCCGTAGTGGTGGTCGAAATCGATACCTTCGGAGACCTTGCCGCGGGCGACGCACAACAGGATGGCGCCTTTGCCATTCTCGCAGGCTGTGCGATATGTTTCGAGTGCAAGTGAGGTTTCCTGCGCGTCAGGTGTTTCGACGAGGATGAGCTTGTAGTTCCAGATCTGTCGAGAACGCCCATGCCTTGCCACATGGAGATGATCATTTCCATGTATAGGTATGAGGGAAAGAAGACGACGAGTCCATCGGGAGTGATCTTGGCGAACTCGTAGAGGAGGGCACCGTAGTTTCGCACCACTCCTGGATCGGATCGATGGGTGAAGGAAGAAGTCAGCTTCTGCTGGTCGCTGCCTTTCGAGATGATGAGCGGGAGGAACGAGCGTCGAGCGAGGGACATCGGGTACGATTCTTGCAGGACGGTGGTGAAGTTGAGCATTTTCGGATACATTTCGAGAGGTGAGATTGTGCCGGAGGTGATGATGACGGAAGAGAATCGTTCGAAGACCGGCTTGATAGCGATGGAGGCGTCGAGGCAGGTGAAATGCAGGATCGGATTTGGCACAGTGGCTTGATCGGTCTCGTATGGTTCCAGGATGAGTAAGAAGCCCGTCTCGTAGGTTGCGACTAAGGTTGCGAAGGTGGCTACTTCTTGCAGAGGTTGGAAGTCCTCGATGTTGGTGAGCTCGAGCGTCCGGACGAGCGAGGTCAGTCGCTCGGCGCAGAAGCGGAGTGGCTTCCTCTCGATGAATGTCAAAGACTTGAGATGGGCGAGGAAGGAGGGCGGTGTCTCTTGGATCACGTAGAGCACTTTCATGCGGGTCTTGAGGTATTCGATGAAGCGCTTCAGAAAGGCGACAAAATGCTCTGCTCTTCTGATGTTGCCGGGCACCGCCTCTTTCAGGAGGTCGTCGGGCAGTGTCGGGTTGGCCATAAAGGCATCTTCTGACCTACCTTCATCGGCGAGTTGCAAGCCTTGGACGAGCTTGGAGTATTCATCTTGAAGTTTCTGCTGGTCTGTGGCATTCATCTCCTCGATCTTGCGCTCGAGGTTGTTCGCACCGCGGGTGGCTTTTCGGAGGGAGTCTTCGGTGATGTCGATAGAGAGGGACTCGATGCAGACATTGTCAATGTTGTGGGCTTCGTCGAAAACCACGATGCAGTCTTTGGACAGCTCTTTGGAGACTCGTTCGGCGATTTTGGGATCGAGTAGGTAGTGGTAGGAGTAGATGATGATGTTGCAGAAGGGCATCATTCGTCGGGCGGAGAAGTATGGGCATTGTTTGTGCTGCTCGCCGTACTGGAGCAGGCCGTCGAGGGTGAAGACACCAGAAGGCAGGAGGTTGTGTGGTTCGAGCAGGTCGAGGTTGTCGTGGTAGACGCAAACATCGACCGCTTCGCCTCGTTCCTTCTTCTCTTTGACGAAGCCGGCGGTCAGACTACGACATCTGGCATCGACGACGGCACCACTCTTCTCGCGCTTGACGGACGGATGGAGGCACAGGTTCTTTCGACTTGTCAATCCCAAGCCTCGAAAGTCTTCCTCGTAGCGTAGCTGTTCTGTTCGGAACTTCATCAGTCGTTTCAATTCGGCAAGAGCCTTCTCGATCTCGGACATGGTACGTGAGCAGTAAATCAGCTTGCGATGCTCTGGGTAGAACTGCTGATAGGCGACGATCAGGGACAGCAAGGAGATGGTCTTGCCAGTGCCCGAGGGCATCTCCAGGACACAGTGGCCGCCAGCGTCCAGCGTCCGCTTGAGATCACACATGTAGGCATACTGTTCGGATATATCCTCCCGTATGGGAAGAGCACCGGCAAGTCGTCGATGAAGAACTTCATCTTGACCGCTGCAGGCTGATCGTCACCTGTACCTCATGCTCATCAAGAATCAACACTCCAGAGGGAGACCGCCTGGAGGATGCGAGGTAATAACCAAGTCGTCGACCTCCAGGATGATACGTATGAAAGAAGTGAGGTCTGAGTCATGGCAGAGTACCTTATTTCTGAGCTGAAAGTGAAGCCACCGAAATCGAACGCGGTAGGCGCGTCTTTCACTTTTTTGCCCCGCGTGACGTCAATGTCTTTACATTATTTTTTTTCGACTCCCGAAGCAGTCACGGTCATGGTTTGATCGCACCTGCAGAGTCCTCCCTGGCGTAGTCAATTCATGCCTCGATTTTGAGGCAGTGAAGCCCAAGTGAGGCTCAGGTGAGAGATAATGATCGATCACCGTATCCCAGATTTCGACACAGAGGCCGCTCTGGCAAGATGAGCAGCAAAAAGTTCAAGTCCCAGGCATCGAGTGCCCGTGCCGCCAGCACCGCCTTCGGAGCCGCTTCGTCCTTTGCTTTTGGCGGCGGCGCGTCTACATCGAGCAAGCTCTCGTACATCACAGAGCAGCCCGACCTCTCAGCCATCTCGGACCCCGCCCTCGTCGTTTCGTTCCGGAATCTCGGCAAGAAAGACAGCACAACAAAGGCAAAGGCCCTCGAGGACATACAAGAACATCTCAAGAAGGCGGAAGCCAATGTGGAAGAGGCGATTATAGCAGCATGGACCGAGATCTACCCTCGTACTTCTATCGACAACGATCGCCGAGTACGGCAGCTGGCTCACGCCCTTCAAGGAGCCATCACAGTCGCAGCAGGGAAGAGGATTGCCCCAAGGCTGGCCAGTGTCGTCGGTGCGTGGCTATGTGGTCAATTCGACAGCGACCGTACTGTCGCAAAGGCCGCCTCGCAGGCCCTGGTACACGCATTCGCAGCGGAAGAGAAACGGGGCGCCCTCTGGAAGGTATACAAGGACGCCTTGCTCGACTACGCGGACGATGCCGTTCTCGTCCAGTCCGTCAAGACCCTCAGCGACGAACGTTCTACAAGCAAAGATGACGCCGAGTCAAAGTACGCGCGCGTATGCGGCTCAGCCATGAACATGCTGGCTCGGCTCATCACAGCCAACTCGGCCAATCCAGACTTCCACACCTCAGCAAGCCGAATCCTCTCCGAATCGAAGATGTGGGACATGGTATCGCATGACGATCCGTACCTGAGGCGAAGCATATGCTCTCTAGCCACCGTCGCATGTTCCGAATTCAAGACTGAGCTAGATTGGAACGTCGTGAGCTCAAGATTCCTGTACAAAGGCCTTGCCCAAGACCAGCTGGGTTCTTCCTCCCAATTCTCCCAGGCGCTTTTGGCTCTCACTGAGGCAGAGCCCTCCCTGTGGACCTCATACTATTCTGGTAAGAAATCACCACAAGACAGGTTGTGTCAGTACCTGAAGAACGGCTCGTTTCGTGGGAACGCGGATGTATGGCGGCACACGGCTGTACTCATCAAGCGCATTCCACCTCCTGCTCTGGCAAAAGACCGTGCAAACATCACCACCGAAGACGTCAACTCCATACTCGACTCATTGCTTGCTGGTATCTCTAATCCCGACGAACCACGTCTCAATCTCACAGCTGCCTGGACTTGCTACACCGACGCTTTGTTCCTGCTTCTGTCACTATTGCCGGACGCCAAGAGTCGCGAAATGGTATTCGAAGATCGGATCTACGCGATGATCTGGCGGTATCTGGAAAGCACCAAAGCATTTCCGGCGTCATCCGCCAGCGCCCTCCTCGACCAGATCGCATCGAATGTGGCCAAAAGTGGCTTGCAGGCCCCTCTTGCCCGAGTCTGGCCCCTCTTGACATCAAAACTAACAGAGACAATGCGCTTGTCCCTGCCAGAGTCCTCCAAGGAGTTCAACAACTCTCAGCTCAACGTTGCTGCCACAGCGAACAGGCTGTTCAAGACAGAGGCCCGTTTCTCAGAGCATACTAGCCTTGTGGAGTCGGACGTCTTGCAGCAAGCGTTCTCGCAAGGGGACGAAGAGTTGCTGACTTCTTCCACACAAACTTTGAAAGACCGGGAATTCAAGCCATTCGGCTGTGCAGCCGTTCTGCTGTATCTGTCCGAGCAGAACCAGTTCCTACGGACGAGTTTTGCTCTGACTTCGTTCCTCGATCAGAACCTAGAATCACTTCTGAAGTCTCCTTCTTCGGATCGGATTGTGGCCTTGTGGCGCGTTCTTGAGCGCCCGACAAGTGATCTACTTCGGCCGCTTTTGAAGGGCAAGTCGGGGCGGGCTCTGGTGGCGACTCTTGCTGTCGCGTTGCCAGAAGACATCGAATCAGACCCACGCATCAGCAGCATGCTCAGCAGCCGCATCGGTGAGGCTGAGATTGTTGCTGCTCTCATTTCAAATCGTTCCCTTGGACATACCACACCCGTCAACCAATACTTCGACAAATTGCTTGCCGATACGGCCGCAGAGAGCCCCCCGGAACAACAGCAGTCGGCATTGTCGATGTTAGGTGCTATTGTCAAGGAGACGCAGACTTTGGCGGGGTTTGTTTCCAGTACTTATGCTGGCGACATCTTGGCACGGCTGCTGTATCTGGAAGACTCGCCAGATATGGACATTGCACGTCAGGCAGCGGAGTTGCGTTCGAGGCTCATTCCACGCGAAGCTGCAACGAATGGTGCCACCAACAGTGCATCCGTCAACATGAACGTCATTGCCGACCAGTTGAGCGGCAAGCAGCCTCTTATCGCGATCCTGTCTCTGGTCGAACTTGCAACAAGCCGACTTCGTGGTATGGAAAACAAGGCAGAACCCATCGCAGCTCTGTCTCTGACCGAGCCTACAACCGCCCAAGTCGAGGGCGATGGCAATTCATGGGAGCGTATTGCAGGACTGCTGCCCACGAAGGAGCAATGGAGAACCGCCATAGCGCCACACCTTGTCCGTCGGCGTCCAGCATCACTCGCAATAACAAGTCCTTTGCAGGGCGTGGTGTACACGCTCGCAGAGTCCTCCCAGGCTGAGGATCAACCAGTGCTGCGAGACAGCGAAGACTTCTCCATGGCTTTCCGGCTGGCCATCTACGCAGTCAAGCTCTGCAGCATCCCCTCGAGTCTACATCTGATCGATTTCGCAGAGCTTCGGGAGGCAACGCGATGGCTGCCACTCGCCCTGCAGCTCATCAACGAGAAGTTGAGTGTAGAGTCTGCGAACGAGATGTGGGTCAACTCGACTGCCGAAGTGGTCGAAGAAGCTGCCGATACACTGTCAGAGGGCAACGCGTTGGTTCAACGAATGCCCGGCGTTTTAGATGACTGGCTAGACATACGAGCCATCTCATCTGGCCGCGATGTGGAGGACTATGTCAGGGCGCTCTGTTTTGCACAGACTTTGTCACAGTCCACAGGCTACCGCTTCGAGTCTGACTTCGAACCGCAGATCACGCAATTTCATCGGTCGACCCAGCTGGTCCAGGATGCCGCCGTTGCTTATGGCGTCCGCGAGTTCATCTTCTCGTCTGTTCCTGGTCGCAAGGCTCTCAACGATCTTGTCAGCGTCGCGACAGATCTGAAGGTTGAAGGCCTCCCAGATGTGTCAAAGATGTCGCCTCTGATTCTGCTGAACATCATCCTCGACGGCAACACAGAGCCGCTCAGCGGCATTCTATCTCAGCGGCTCGTCTTCCTCATGCAGAACCTGGTGCGTCTACTGGAAGCAGCCACGCTTGACCTTCGAATCGAGGCTGAGATCCTGAAAGTCCTTGCTACCGTCATTCCAGCCGTGCGCGATATCTATGGAACTCATTGGCAGCAGATAGTGGACTCGCTGATTTCTACTTGGACCGAGCTGAACAGCTCCGACGATGATCTGCCTATGTTGTATGCTACACTGCGCGTGTATCAAGCACTCAAGACCATTACGGAGCCACACGATGAGGTCAACGAGGATCTACAGGAGGTCTGGGATGCGAAGAAGGAGGAGCTTCAAAAGTGTCTCCTGAATTGTCTCGACCTCCTCAATCAGCAAGCCAACGAGATAAACCAACCACGAGAGATATGTGCCCGGCTGCTCAGCCGTATGCTCCAGGGTGTCAAGGTCAAGGATACGCAGCGACTCTTGCGCCAGCTTTCGTCGAAATCTGAGCTTGTACAGGAGACGGCATTCCAGCTCATCTATGCAGGTGTGCCAGAGCAGCAAGAACAGCTGTCAGTTGAGATAGTCCTCGAAAAGCAGGTTGCACATTTGCCACCGGAATTGCTTGAGATTCTATCTGCAGAGTCGCCCGCCAGGGAGGCCTCTACTGTGCTGCGGGCCCCTCAGCCATCTCACAGAATCGACAAGAAGCGGTATTTGCTGGCATGGAAGTTGGTCTACAGACATTTCGACGGCGCCTCTCACAAGCTCCAGCAGATGTATGCTGATGAGCTAAAGTCGAAACAAACCGACCTCAGCGGCCTCCTTGACCATATATGTGAAGAGATACGCATCACACAAGGTCGGCCACTCGACGCGTCTAAATTTGATGTCGTCGATCAAGATGCCGTTGCCATCCAAGATCTTGGCGAGCAGTCGGACTTCTCCCAGCTTTCTGTCAACCTGTACTATCTCGTTCTCCTTCATACTCCCGACCTGGCGCGCACCTGGTATCTCAGTCAGAAGAACCGAATCAAATCGCCACTCGAAACATGGACGTCGAAGTACATTACCCCGTCTCTGGTAACGACATCATTCGAGGCCGTCTCCCAATGGGCCGAGTCCCAAGACAAGTCTGACTCTCCAATTGAGATCAAAACCAACATCCGCGCCTCCGAAGTCACCGCATCCATGGCCGTCGACGCCGACTCGCCGCCTATTTCCATCGCCATTGTCCTCCCTAGCGATTACCCACTCAATGTGCCGACCGTCATATCGAAGACTCGCGTCCTCGTGCCCGAGAAGAAGTGGCAGTCGTGGCTCAAGACCTTGCAGATCATCGCCTTCTCAACAGGAAGCATAATCGAAGCGCTGATCGCGTTCAGGCGGAATGTACTGGGCGTGTTGAAGGGTCAGACGGAGTGTGCGATCTGCTATTCGATCATCGGGACGGATATGCAGACGCCAAACAAGAAGTGTGGGACTTGCAAGAACACGTTTCATGGTGGGTGCTTGTTCAGGTGGTTCAAGAGCAGTAATAGCAGCACGTGTCCGTTGTGTCGGAACGCGTTCAGTTATGCATAGGTAGAGGTAGAGATGACGCGCCTTTGAGGCCGAGAGTTATGAGTTGATCGTCAGAACGCGATGTTTTAACCGTCAGTTCTAAGTGTATTGACCGTCAGAACTAAATGGCTTGAGCGTCAAATCAAAATGACTTGATCGTGAAATGAGTCTTGCTTGCGGTATGAGCGTTCTGGAATATTGACAGTACAGCGCCCGCCCTGGCTGGAAATTTCACAAAATCAGCGAAATCAGCGAAACCCAGTATTTGTGCCTCTAGCACCCTCCCTAGCAGGACTTTCATGATAGATCAATTCTGTGACCTGATGCGCTAGTGACGCTGAAATGCGGCTCATCTCAAGTCTGCTATTCGATCAGCCGCGAAGGCGTAGGCCTTCAGCGCCCTCCCCGGGTGGAAAAGCTCTGGAATTCGCGAAACAGTTGTGTGCCAACCCTCGCCCGGGCGGCCTTCGTCTAAGCAATTCCTGAGACTGCGTTTGAGGTGGAAGGGTATGAGACACTCGTGGAAGAGCTCAGTGGGCTTGACAGCGTGGTGGTCTTCCTCTTCAATGTGCTTTGCGTCGCTCCAGGCCGCGAGCTGGCAGGCCCGTGGTTGCACCAGCAGGCCTTGGAACGGAAGTGCGAGCTCGGTGACGGGTAGGAGTGGAACGAATGGCGGCTGCCTGGGTGGGCTCGATGGGTGGCTGCCTCTCTTTGATTGGCTGACGCATTCAAGGCAGTGAGGGGCGGAGAAGATAGCAGTAGTACAGTAGACACATAGCGGGTGAAGTTCCGAATACTGAAGAAGGCAATGACATGTTCATTATCTGCCTACGCCTACCTATGTAAAGTACAGGCGCCGACTCTCGCGCTTGATGCGGGACACAAAGTATCTGCACAAGCGCAGGAGCTGGCACTTGACCCTCGAAAGAGGGGTCCTGACTGCCGACTAGCCTCCGAGGACGTGGTTGCCTTCGGTGACAGCGGCGGCTGCAGGTCGACCGGACTGGTCCTGCGCCTTGAACTCGTTGTATGCCCGAAGCATATCCGGATGTACTTTTGATGTGTCCGGCAACGCAACGAAGTGGATGTCCTTTCGCCCCAAGTCGATGTCGAGAAGACAGTCGAATGGCACCTTCAAGCAGAGTCGAAGCAACGTCGGATGATTGCTACCAACCAAGTGCTGCACGATCTGTGTTGAGAAATTGGTCTTGAACGCAGCGTACCGCACGGCGATGTCTTTGACGTCTTCATAGAGCCGCTTGACTGCTGGCCGCAGTGTGGTCGCGTTGGGCAGGACTGTTGTAGCCTGACTGACTAAAGCGTGCCGCAGAACGCCGCATTTTTGGGCCTCTGTGAGGGCTCCCATTGGGCGGTCTTGACCTGTCGAGGCGCTCCAGGCAGGTAGACAAATTTCGGCTTCGACAAACTCGAGTAATCGGTTGTTGAGTTGGGAGATGCATCGGGATGTTTCTGCATTGGCGCGTTCATAGAACGGCATGAATTCGGTGATGTACTGATCGTAACTGCATCGTAATCGTGCTGGGGCTTCGAGCATGTCGAGCATGAGCGAATCTCGGTATCTCGTGAAGGTGCTGAACTGGGTCAGGATGTATTCGTTGAGTTTCTTCAGGTGTCGAAGGCAGTCGATGAGGCTGTTCGACATATCTGGTAGGGGGTCAGCTTGCTCGTCTTTCCAGGTTGGGAGATAGATTGAAAGTTGGAGCCAGTCGTCGGTAGTGCTATCACCACCACACTCACTGTTGTGGGGCCGGTGGCACTTGAAGCAGTAGGAATAGAGCTGTCTTGGTGCACCTTGCGAGAAGTCGGGAGAGGGTTGATCACTCTCCGGCATGACTTCCGGAATAGAATCATTACTTACGTCGCTTTCAGCAGCAACTTCAGGCGCCATTTGTGGCACAGTTTGCTTCACAGGCTTTGTTCTTTGGACAGCATGCTGGGAACTGGTGTCAGTCTCGTCGGCCACGCCGAAGTCAAGAGAACACGAGGTCATTCTGCCTCGCGTCACTCCGGTGCTCGAAGGTTCACGCGGAAGATTCAAATCATGGTCGCCGTTATCGGCGCCAGAGATTCGAGCTGTTGAATTCGCTTCATCAGCGTCGCTACTGGACTTACGCTTTCTGCCAGAAGGTTGTGGTACTGATGACGCAGTCGCCATAGCCAAACCAGGAGCTCGGAGCCAAGATGCCGGCAAGGGAACATCCTCGGGCAGCTGAGAGCCAGAAGACTGCTGCACATTGGGGCCATCCACCGAATGTGAGGTCTGTGTCGGCGTGTACGTCGCCGACGAAGGCTCGGATGGCACGACTGGACGATTGCACTTTCTACACTTTTGAACATTGCGAACATAAAGGCGTCCACAGGGATGGCATTGCCACGTTGGTTTCGCCATGCCGGCTCGGGAAGAAGTGGCAGCGCGAATGCGGGAAAGAAGCAATATAAAGAAGAGAAGGAGGGTAGTTGCGGTCGAGACGGGGAGGAGTCGGAATAACAAAAAAACGCCAGTCTCGTGACCACGTGACTAAATGATGCCAAGCCTGCGCGCCCACTTTCGCGAGATCTCCAATTTCGAACGCGGTCGCGTCCTTCTTTCGCACCCGCACCACTCAACCCACTTGCTCTCGCCTCTCATTGTCGCTCAAGATGGACGACGGTATGAGCAGACGACCGCGTCGGTGGCAGTGTCCAAAGTGTCTCATAGGTATGTCTTCTTGCGATGTTCCCTTTTGTTACGAATGCGTTGAATTCGTGCGCCCGATCACTGTTTCTTCTGAGGCCGTCGATCCAAGCACACAATTCTCGCATATGCCTAGCGACCTCGACGTCCTGCAGCGCACACCGCAAGCGGCGTCGCGTGAACGGTCGTCGGCGGACCAACAGCTTCGCGGCGTCTCAGTCCGACAACCCCCCCGATCACGGGAGTTGAGTTCGAGGTCGGAGACTGCACAGTTTATGAACGGTCGTTCGTCACGGTCCGGGGTACATCGTGTACCTCGTAGATCCCGGGCGCGAACGACTGAGTCACAGAACGAAAGTTCCTACGCTGCTGCCGCACGACTGTCCTCTGGCTTGGACCAGGGACATGTCGTTGCTGGCGAGCGCGCTTTGTTGACCCATCCCTCCCGATCTCATTTGACGAATGCGTCATCCGGATATCTACCGGAGATGGTCTCTGATCCTCGGCCTGTCGACCGTTCGTCTTCGCCAATGCCAGATGACCGAACAGGAGAAGACCTTTTGCGGAAGATCGACGAACTTGAGAAGGAATTGGCCAAAGCTGAAGCAGCTGCGGTAAACGATGCGCATCCTTCTCCCAGAAATGGAAGCAGTGTTGCAAATGTGAATTCTTCCGCATCCAAGATGCCGGCTTCGCAGTCTCAGCCCGATAACGGGCATGAGATCTCTACTCGGCGTCAGGTCTCACAAAGTCCCACTGGTCAGAGTGCTGCCTACTGCTTCGATTGTCACCTTGCCCATGTGGGCGGGAGTGGCTGTGCTAGCGATGTCGATGTCGATGCCGAGAACTGGCCACGGCTCTTTGCCTCCCTCAGTTCGCTCGAATTTGACCCGACTGAAGTTTTATCAGGTATGTCTAACAGCTATGTGGACTGCTTGAGACACCTCAAGATGCTCGACGACGACTTCTCTGGTAAGTTCGACGCTTTTTCGAGACGTCGCGATTCGTTCATGCTTGACATGCTGGAAGCCCTCGGCCGATGCGGTCTCGGCAAGTATGTCGAGGAGCTCTCACCATTTTACGTGGTTGCGAATGCCCAGACACACTTGTTCATCTCTCAGCTCAGAGATATTCTTGTCACTTTCTTCGATCGCGATGTCTGCCGTCCAGTATGGCATGCCATAGCGAAAGAACCCCGCCCGCTGGGACTTTTCATTGAGTCCCAGCGGCGGTTCGTTGTCAACTACATAGTGGCCGCAGAAGAAAATGGCTATTTGCCCTTGCCTTCCAAAGCGGAACTGACACAAGCAGTCGATCGGGTGTTCACGAAGATCAGAGATCTTTTTGAGCGCCACATCGATTTCAAGGAGTCCTTTCTGAATATGATCGCGAACCACTTGACCCATGGCAGTGAGGACTTACAAGCTATTTCCTTACTTCCACTGTGCCTGATGGTGGCATACGATTGTCTTCTGGAGCTGGAATTGACGGGAGATGATGAACTTTCCGCAGTGTTTCCGGACATTACGGAGATTCACCATGGCATCCTTCCAGCGTATCAGGAATACATGGCGGAGACTCCAGCACCAGCAAGTGGCTCGCTCGTCGACAATGACACTTACGGAGGCGTCGTTGAGCGAGTCAGTGACGTTGACGAAGTCTCCGAAAGCGCAATCAGCGATACGCGGATTGTCTCGAAGCGCAATGACGATCGCCTGGACGCCAGACCAGACGATCGCAGAAAGCGAGCACGTTTCACGCAGGACCAAGTAGGTCCTGTTCGAGGTGAAGCAGGTCCGGAAGCGCAATTCAGCGGTGAACCGCAGGAGACGACGCCTACGCCCGAGCAAGATGACGTTATGGAAGACGACAACGTCGCTATCGACGACAGCATCGACGACCTCCAAGTTATGGAAGCCGATCATGCTGCACCGTCTAGAGCAGACAGATTCCGGAGCCTTCTATACCTTGCGTTCAACGCATCGGAAGACGAGGAAGCTGCGCTAGCGAAATCGCTGGCGGATCTTTTCCGGAAACCGATACTGAATTCGCTACGGTCGGTGAGCGTATGGACGAATACTGCGACAAAGCTGCCGAGGTCAATGGTCCGATTGACCTCTGCTGGCGAGCACGCCTTGTGAAGGACACAGGCAAGCCGCCACCAAATGCTTCTGGGCTTACCAACAGCAACTGTCCACGATGCAGTACCAGATCGAAGATGAAGCAGACGTGCTACTTCGCAAGATACGCTCCAGGTATCACTGGCACCCATCTCTCAGACGCGACCGTCCTTCTGGACGGCATGCGTGTGAGGTGGGTACTGAAGAAACGTAACGTTCGCGCTCGCGACCCCGATGAGGTGAGTTGGCAAGCTCTGTCGGAGACAGGCGTTCAGGTCAACCTCTGAGTTCGCATGCGGGCTCAGTAGGCTGCCCTGATTTTTTCCAGCAGTCTGACTTTTCCATCTTGCGGCTGCGCGCTCTCTTCAGCGAACAAGTAGTCGCAAGCATGGCTGAACAACATTCGTATACTGGCGCTCCTGTGAGCCACTCTGGCTGAGTGGCCTCGCTGGGGACCAGTCTCGAGATGTTGTCGTTTACATGAGCTGAAAGGTGGTGCTCGCTGACTTTGTGCAGCGCCAGCATGCTCCTCTCTGCCTCAAGAGACGAGACAAGACCCTCATCATTGGGGAGTCTTCTGCGTCTGTCACCAGTACTGAGAAGAACACGGTCAGCCGAAGCCATCTCTCCAAGCTCATCCACAGATCGTCTCCGACACCGTTATCTCCTCAGACGATGCCTATGGTCCCTTCTAGGACGAAACACTTCGACTGGCATTCGCCAGAATGTTCAGTGCGGCGTGTACCTTTCCCATTTTTTTTGTCTGATTTCCTATGTCTTTCCTTTGTCTTTCCTTTGTTCAGACCTGCGACGAGATGCCACCTTCACGTGGTGCGGGTTGTCAGTAACCATTCCTTGTTTCTCTCAAGGATGGCGAAGCTAGGAGCATCTCATTCCAAGAACTTTGCATCTCCACAAGCATGTTGACTGTCAGCAGGTAGCGAGACACGCTGCAGATGTCACCTCGGCCCGACCGAAACGACCAGCTTACCTCTTTGATCCCATACCTACATCGAGCTACGAACACAACCCGTGGGGCTGACTGCACAGTTCAACCTTCGCCGGCCCGAGTCAAGACAAGGAGTACAACGGGCGCAGCGGCGCAGCAAGAGCGGGGCATTCGCGAGCCATGCGACCGTACTTGGTGGGTCGCTTGATGTGCCGGTTGTAATGGTAAGGCGGACAAGATCAACAGACGGAACCAGCAGCAGGCCAGCGATTGCGGCACGCATGCTTCCAAGAACTTCCATCAGGCGGCCCCTAGCAGGCAAATCCACAACTTCTGAAGTGAACCAGCCGGCCTCGATTCGAGCCAGCGGTGACGATCACGTGAGCTTCTTCAGAACGCAATCCGAGGCCCATCAGAGGCAGCGGTGAAATCTACTCGAGCCTCGTCAGAACTCAATCCGATTCTCATTAGAGCCAGCGGTGGTTCATACTCGAGTTGCGTCAGAATGCAGTTGGACGCTCAACTGAGCTTGAAGAGAATGCCATTACATTACATAGCCATCTACAAAGCCATCAAGCTGGCCACGACGCCCACCACGGGAACCATCATCTTCCAGACCGCTGCATCTACCCCGGCGCTTGCGGCGCTGCTACTGCCACCTCCGGTGTCTTCGCTGCCTCCACTGCCTCCGCTATCTCCACTTCCGCTCTGTGTCGTCTGAGGCTGACTTGTATCACCTAGCGCAAATGTAGGCGTTGGGGAGGCCCCTGCGCTATCAGGCACAGGCTGCGTGATCACGTCCTCGACCGTCGGCGTGGCGGCGCGCGAGTTGATCGTATAGGTGTTCGTGCTCGTGCATCCAGGTATTTCCGTTCCGCTGGCTGGCAACGCCGTTACATCGTCCTTGGTGGCATTCGGACTTGCTTGAGCAATCGCAACGACATGGTTCTCTAAATCGTAGACAAAGTAGCCAGAGCGCATGAATGAGTTACCAAGCATCACGTATGGTTCTTCGAACTGATCTAGGAGGAAATAGCACGACGGCGTACCATCGTCGTAATTGTCGGGCGAAGTATCGTCCAAGTCGATGAGAGCCGAAAGCGGAACGCGAATTTCTGGTCCGCCTTCGCCACCGAACTGGAACACGAGCGCCGCGTTCGAGTTTCTGTATTCACATGGAATGATGCCGGGGTTTGTGACGCCGAAGCCTTGAGCAATGGTCCGGTACAGCGAGGGTGACACGTACGTGATCGTGGTGCCGCTGTCCAAGAGTCCAGGCTCTGCGAAACCAGGTTCAGTCAGCAGCCGTTGCCCGTTCTCGTCATCGATGAAAATGCCGGTGACTGCGACTTCGAAGTGCGTGTAGTTGGCGAGGCCTTCGATCAAGCCGGCGACGCTGGGGTCTTGCAGCGTCTGAAGAGCTACGAGCTCGCCGGAGTATTGATTCGCGTCAACACCACCCAAAATCACCTCTCCTGTTCCGTTCGACACGTCGTTGAGGTAGATGCTGTATGCTTCGCGATTGATATCGCCTTTCTGCTTCAGAGCCTGGATCAACGTTGGTGGCGAGTTGATCTCGGTGGCGAGGTATTCGAGTCCAGCTTGGTTGATCCAGTAGCCGATTCCAACCAGACCTTGACCATCGTTCTCGAGCTGTATTCCGTCCTGTAGACGCGTCGCTAGGCCGATAGCCATCACACCCGGATCTATAGTGGATTCTCCAATAGTGACGGCATCGGAGAAGAAGTTGCCCGACGCTCCAGTTCCATCCAAGTAGCTGATCTCGAATACATTGGGGTTCGATGGGTTGAGTACCTCGTACGTGCTTGATTCATCGACGGTAAAGTAGCCACCAGGGCATTCGTTGCGACACTGGCGGACTCCCGAGTCGGGTACCCATAAGTTGCTGGAACCTGTATCGATCTGGAGCCGGAACGGTTGCGGAGGTGTGCCAATCTCGAGGTTCAGCCAGTACAGTGATCTTTGAGGGCCGAGGGTGATATTCTGGTCGAGGTCCTCCTCGGGAAGCTGTCTAGGTCGAAGTCTGTGTCCTGTCTGCTCAGTCTCGAACTCCAGTTTCAAGTAACCCGAAGACGCCGCCGAAGCCGTCGCGGCTACTGCCAGGATCGAGAGCGGCTTCATCAGTGCGTCGGATAAGTCGCTCTTCTGCGTGAAACGAGTCGCACTTCTGCGTTAGACGAGTCGCTTGGTCGCCTTGAATGAGTCGCTCTTCTGCCTTCAACGAGTCGCACTTCTGCGTCAGACGAGTCGCTCTGCCGCCAGGAACCTATCGCTGCGTCAAAGCGAGAGTTATGTACGGGGTGATGGCTGGCAAAGGAGAACCACGACGGCCTTGAAAGGTCATGCGCGCCCAAGGAAAGGAATTATAGCTACAAGAAAGATGATAGCGAACAGAAACAGAAGAAAGTAAAGCTCTTGGATGAAGTCACCTAGATGGAACAAAAGGCCCCATCAAATCTGCCCAGTTCCTTCCGCAGTGGCTCATCTTGCAGCTTGGCACGGTCGCTACTGGATAGTGCGGCAGGCGCAATGCTGGCCAAGATCAGGTTTCAGCTGTAGCGAGCCGCGGAGCCAAGACTTCGGCCTACCTGGCGGCGAATAGTTTGTAGAGGGACTCGTGGATGAATGTGGCGATGCATTTGGTAGCCGCGGGCTATCTTCAGGACGTGAGTCCAGAACCACGTGAAGCGAATACGTTGCGATATCCATTCTCACGAACTTCGAACCCGCCCGCAGGGAAATCACGGGTTTTCAAGCAATTTACGTTGTTTCGCTTGACGTCAGCAATTCGGCCCCAGAAAAGCTTCTTGGCGGTGGGACGTAGCTTTCGCCAAGGACCCCTCCCAGGCGAGTCAGGCTATTACCATATCGTCGACACTGGGCTCGTTCCTGGGACTTCTCTGGTCGGTCAGTGTTGACGTTCTTGTGGTGCATTGGGAGAGGCACTATGTTAGGCAGTACGGGTATGAATCATGCACGTTTCCGCTAACCTCCGCAATGGCCCGAGCATCAAAACATTTATATTCGGCGCTTTAATTGTTTTCACATGTGGGTTCATATCACAGATCCCCAGGTGACAGATCTTACAGTCGTCGATATTGAGATAGGTCTCAAGCGATTCGTCGTATTGACCACGCCACATCCTTGCGAAGTTCTACCCTCCTTTTCACGTAATGCAACATGGACGCATGAAAGAGGGTGGGCTTTCGGCTGAGGCATGCAAGCAGACAAGTAGACAGACTGTCGATCATCGAGATGCGTGCACTGAGATCTTGGAGAAGGAAACGCAACTTGATCAGCGGGTCGGTGATTAAGCGGTACGAAATGCATGCATGAAGTCCACTGAGTCCGCTCGAGATGGGTCGAAGGCTATTGCCCACGCCACGCAATATTGGCTCTCTCTATGACGGTCTGAGGTCATGCTCATGACCGCTTTCGAATCATCGACTCCTCCAAGCCTAGCGATCATTCCTATCGCACGGATCAGATGACGGGAATGCTTGGACACGTTGCCGAGCGCTGTTTCACACGAACTTGAGGTGTCGCTGATATCGAAGTGGACACACATTCGACGGACTTGGAGAAGCTCCAATCGCAACGCTGTCGATGATTCACTTCGAGAGCTCAGTGGCATCAGGGCCTCCATTCCTGTCTAGGTCGATTCATGAAGCCAACGAAACGTTCCAAATTCACGATCTCGCGACCAGAGACTTCTCGGCTGTTATCTGGAACAAGTCCGCCTTCGGCTAGCGGATGGAAAGGTCGAGTACGCGGCATCAGCTCCGTCAATCCGAACTCTGTCAGGTACATATTCGTGCCGAGAAGAAAAGCAGAATTCGTGTCAATGAACGAGAGTAGGCGGACGAGGAAGCCATCCATGCCTAGTGTTGCAGCACCACGAAGTCGGAGGAGGCGAACGACAGTCGACATATGAAGGTGAAACTGACATGTCAGCGGCTTTCAGGAACCAAAAGGGAACTTACGGCCCCTGGCGATCCAAATATTGCCTCATAGCTTGCCATCTTCGCTGCTGCGGCAATGAGAACATCACTGGGCGTGTTCTGCTCGCTTTGCACTTTCTGGATCAAAACGGACAGTGCAGACTGCTTGAGCAACAACAACTCCCTGCGAGCCGTATCGAACTGACGGGGATCTGCGATCGTCGCAAAATGCGTTGCCGTGAAGAGCACAACGACTTGGAATATTACAGGGTCGCTGAGAACGATCGGCATCCATGCCGCGCGGAAGAGTGGAAGCGTAGAGCTGCCGTCGATCTCAGGTGTCGGAACAGTCAAGTTGGTGACATAATGGTCGATCAAGCATGGAAGGTATGCCTGATGGTAGAGCGGCAGACGCGAGATAGGGAGAAATGACAACCCTGAGGAGCTGTCTACCGTCGGATCCGGAAGCCTTGGCTCGGGCTGCCGCGTGCGCGGGTCTGCAGCTGGCCGGGTATCGAAGTGGACGACCTCTTCACCTCTGCTAAGTCTTGCAAGCCGAGGCGGCTGTCGAGCAGACGCTTCACGTCGTGATACGGTCGCAGCTTGCGAGCGAACGATACGCTGAAGCTCTCGGGGCGCTCTAGAATGTCCGTGGGATGCTGGAACGAATTGATACTCCTGCGGATCTGGCATGAAGAGTGTCCAGTCTGCCATCCGCCAGGCGTTCCATGGCGACTTACATACAGTAAGGCGCGGCTGTAATGCAGCAGTACTAGCTAAAGATCGCTTGAAAGTGCCTGACATGTGAGTTGCGGGGCGATCTTGACGTCAGATGCCTATCAGATCCCACAATCCTGCCTAATTTGGACTCTTAGCATTCTCTTCTTGTGGTTAATCATCGTCCATTCGCCAATCGATATCGCAGAGATCCGAGTTCTTCAAAGGGGTTCTCCAGGAGCAATCGCTCCGGCCTGTCAGGCACAAACCTAATGCAAGGACTTGACGCCCTGCCTGTATAGCATACGAGTACGGAGCAGGCATTGAGTTTCAGTCCGCAGACATCGTTCACCATCTGAATAATGCATCTTAGTTGCCAGACCTATGGCGCAAACGTCGGCGACACACTGCCTGATGTGGAACTTGGCAATGACCTGATCGGGCTCTAATGCTATCGACCAGTGAGTCGAAAGTAAAGTGCGCGGATAGTCGTTGCCCACTCCATGCCTTATAAGAGGGCGCGACGAGACTTCATTTCAGGGCACTGCGGACGCTGGACTCGACCTCTACGACATGTCTTTGCAGGGCCAGAACGTTCTGGTTGTGGGTGGCGCGAAGAATCTGGGTGCACTGATATCTCGAACATTGGCAAAAGAAGGCGCGCAGCTTGCCATCCATTACAACTCTTCCAAGACCAAGCCACAGGCAGACGAGATCGGGGCGGAACTGAACGCTAAGGTATATCAGGGCGATCTTACTACCGCAAAGGCCGTGCACAAACTGTTCCAGGATGTGATCAAGGACCTGAAGAAGATCGATATTGTCATCAACACGGTTGGTATGGTCATAAAGAAGCCAATGACTGAGATCACCGAGGACGAGTACGACCAGATGTTCGCCGTTAACTCCAAATCTGCCTTCTTCATCACGCAAGAAGCCGCCAAAGTGGTCCAAGATGGTGGCAAGATCATCAACATTATCACTGCCTTGCTTGCGGTATACACACCTTACTACACCATATACCAGGGCTCCAAAGCCCCCGTCGAGTGGTTCACCAAGGGTCTCAGCAAAGAGCTGATGTCAAGACGAGTCTCGGTGAATGCTGTTGCGCCAGGGCCAATGGATACGCCTTTCTTCTACCCGCAGGAGAACGATGGCTCTGTGGCCTTCTTCAAGACTCAAGCCATGGGTGAGCGACTGACAAAGATTGAAGACATCGCGCCCATTGTCAAGTTCTTGTGCACTGACGGTGCATGGATTAGCGGTAAGTCAGCCTCGAATTGCCAAGTTGTTGCTAATGTAGAGCCCAGGTCAGGTGATCTTCGCGAACGGTGGAATGGCAAGTCGTTAATGTAAATGCGGAACCAATCTCTCTCTGTCGCAATGAGGTAACAAGAATCAGGCGCTTCCTTGGACGACTATGCTGGGTGTGTAGTGAGAGACCGTCTTCACCTCAGCCAAAGATCTGTGCAGCGAGACGGACCCGGAGCTAGTACATAGACGACGGACCTGCAGTCGGGAACGTAGAAAATGTTATCCTGCTAGAATTGTTCCACGGGTTTCGGTTATAGCTGATGTTCTGGTCCGGAGTTGTTGGCGCAGATTGGGTGGATCTGATTCACCGTAGTAAGTGCGCTCACTGTCTGCTTGGACAACAGCACATCAACCTCTTTCCGCAGCAGCTCTGGCAGAGCTGGTCCATTTCATCACCCGTCATTTAGGCCCAGAGCACTGCAATCTCTTTGTCGTTTCGGAGCACGAATCTTAGCGCATCAGCGATTGCTGCTGTGTTCTCAATCACGACCATGGAGCGGTGACAGCAATCCATGAGCAAGCAGCCTGCGGTTGTGGCCATAGCGAGGTAGGTGCTTGAGTCTACCGAGAGGTTCGAAGCTGTGCTAATTTGAGTAGACATGGCGCTCGCCTCGATGCATCTGATAGGGCCTGGAGGGACAAGGCAGATAAGCCGTACGATACACCGCTCTCTTATGGCGGCTGGCGACAATGCCAGATATTAGGTGCTCGGATCGCCAGTGAGCTCAAGCTCCTCGACGCTAGCCGCAAGGCGGATGGGCAGGAGCTGCCTCAGAAGCGCCGTAGAATCATCGTTCACTGCTCGCCATATCTACGATGTCTTCAGACTGCCATCGCGATCAGCGCAGGCTTACAAGAGGCCGATTCTCAAGCCGGAAATCTGCCGGCGGTCTTACGAGATGGCCTCGTACTCGACACGAGAACCAAAGAGGGGGACGAGAATCAAGGAACGGAAGCAGCAATTAGTCGACCTTTGCTGCGTCTGGACTGCTTTCTCGAGGAGTGGCGATCGGCTAGCTACTTCGAGAAGTCCATGCCACCCGCGCCTTCTCGGGTCCTGCTGGCAGCGGCGAAGGAGATGCTTCAACAGCCTGCGGAAGAAATCAAAGGCACAGATCTGGCCAGTCCAGCCGTGAATTGGGTTACTGCTGTTGACCGAGAGGCCAATACTGTGGAAGATGTCACAACAAGTGGTCAGCCTGGATTGCGGCAGCAGATCTCAAAGCGAGCTCGCCACCTGTCCGATATCCCCAGCGTCAACGGACCGATATTCTTCCAGCCTCGACTCCGCGGCTACACTCCTCCGACACCAAAATACGCCCTTGCGCCATCTGATCCAATTCCTGTGGGCTTTGTCGCTCATGCTCGAGACGCTTGCCTGCGCGTGGACTACGATTGGGACAGCACAAGGGAATGGGGAGACGGAGGTGTTTGGGACGAAGAATGGGGCAGCATGCATCGCCGCGTCGGCAGCGGCCTGGAAGAGTTGGTGCGGTACTACAACAAGGAAGAGGACGATACCGTCGTCATTCTCGTTACCCACCAGGCATGCTGTAATGCCTTGATCCGGAGACTGACCGGTGCACCCGCTCTGCACGACATTGGCACTGCCTCTCTCACGCTTGCTATCCGTCGCGACGAGCAATCCCCCACAGCCGAATCGCCGACCTCTTCTCGGAGATCAGTTGATGGACACATCTCTCAGCAATACGAAATGAAGATTATTGCCTCGACAGAGCATCTCCGTGGCGGCTCCAATCCGCTCGGCCTCAACTCACCACGTCTCGGCCGATCTCCTGCCTTCGCTGGACGTCGAGCTGTTGGCGCCGATTCGGCCGAAGGCTTCACGCTTGGCGATCCATGGCGACACCATCCCATGAGTCGAAGCCTCAGCCACCGGACCTCCGAAGCAGACGTCGAACCTCTCATGGCAGACGGTCTGTGGGCTGCCGGTATCCAAGAACGAGCACACGTCGGCACCGCAATCGGCGATGAGCTTGAAAAGCAGCTTAGGGATGACGGCGAGAGAAGTCTGCCTGTCAGAGCGGCCACTCAGAATACTGGAATGTGGGTCGGCGCGTCGAGGAGAGGATCGAACATAGTTCGAGAAAGAAGTCCTGGAAAAAGGAGATGGACCGCTGTCGATACAAGTCCATAACGACTTCAATCCTGGGATAGTGACTGCTACTAGAGTCACCCGGGGCTGCTCAGCAACGCACTTGGCTACCAGAGCAAGCTTGGAGGATGTGCCTTAAGAGTGAATATCGGAGATCCAGGCATTGGGCGATGATTCGAAACAGCATGTCGGCGATTGACCATTTCCCGGCGACAAGAGCCGTTTGAGGGCATCCCCACGCTCGGGCAGCCCTCCAGACTTTGCATCAAGTCTCCCGCCCCCGCTTTCGTGGCGCATTTTGCAACGATCAATCAGAGCACCTGTTCATCCCACATCACCAGCTTTTCTCCGCAGTCGCCCACAGTGACTCCACTGCGAACATTGCCTTTTTCATTGCCATATATTTCTGGTGAAATATACAGGCACACGCGACGCACACAACAAGCGCTCTCGCTTAGAACCCAGCATACTCTTGCGTTGTTATCGTTGACCATCATGGCGCAGTTTCATCATTTGGGCTTGGGTGGATTGGTGCTGATCGCCGCCATCATTCGACTGTTGCTTATCGGTCGCCGGCCTAAGAACTATCCACCTGGACCTCCCACAATACCAGTGTTGGGTAATTTGCATCAGGTAGGGTCGTTCCGACTCTCTATTGACTGCCGTTGACACTTTCCCGACATAGATGCCAACAAGAGACGCCCACTTACAATTCGAGAAATGGGCACGAGAATATGGTCCGGTCTATAGTTTGATGCTTGGCACCAAGGTAATGATTGTGCTCTCGAGCGATACGGCCGTCAAGGAGCTGCTCGACAAGCGCAGCGGCATCTACTCTGATCGTTTGGATATGTATGTTGGTCAGACTCTTTGCAGTGGGGGGCTTCGTTTGTTGATGATGGGATACACTCCAAGATGGCGGGCTGTATATGCTCCCTTCCTTATTGTTACACCCTCTAACAATTATGTCAGTTCCGGAAGATGGTTCATTCTTTGCTGAACATTACAACTTCAAAGTCTTACGTCCAGTATCAGGTGCTTGAGAACAAGCAGATGCTGTACCAGTTTCTCGAGCAGCCCCAAGACTTCCTGAAACACATCCGGCGTTATTCGAATGCACTGACCACAACTGTAAGTCATTTGTGGCGTGCGAGCGGTCTTTGACTTCTTCACACTCGTACTCCAAGCAGATGGGAGGCTAACAAGCGCTGTAGATGGTTTTTGGATGGCGAACGCCGGTATATGAGGACGAAAATATGATGCAGCTGTTCGATGGTTTTGCCGAGTTCGCAGAAATCAACCAGACTGGAGCAGCGGGACTCATTGATTTTTATCCGATTTTGCGAGGACTGCCAGATATCTTGTTGCCGACGCGCAAGAAAGCCAAGCAGCTGCACAGTGTCGAAAAGCAGCTCTACCTCAAGCACTGGCTTAGTTCCAAGAAAGCAATCCGGGATGGGACTATCCGACCGTGCTTCTGTCAAGGCATGGCAGAGTCCCAAAAAGCGGGCGGGTTCTCCGACGATCAAGCGGCTTACATCTCCGGCACACTGCTCGAAGCAGGATCGGACACCACTTCGAGTACGCTATACGCTTTCGTGCTGGCGATGCTGTTATATCCAGAGGCCCAAAAGATTGCACAGGAAGAGATCGATCGGGTGGTTGGTGAACGTCTGCCAACCATGGAAGACCAAGAGGAACTCCCATTTGTCAGAGCTTGCATGAAAGAGACACTCCGATGGATGCCAACCACAATCCTTGGAGCAGTCCCTCATGCTGTCACTAAAGATGATGAGTATTTGGGCTATACCATTCCAAAGGGCGCTGGAGTGATGAACAATGTCTGGGCGATTCACATGGATCCTGTGCGCCATCCGCAACCACGCCAGTATCGACCAGAGCGTTATCTTCACGACACACTAAGCCTTTATGATTCTGCAGCTAATTCCGATGGAACAAAGAGAGACGTCTTCACTTTCGGGGCGGGAAGGCGTATTTGTCCTGGGATGCATGTCGCAGAGCGAAGTCTGTTCCTCGGCATTTCGAGAATACTCTGGGCCTTCTCTATCTCACCTGCTGTGGACGAGAATGGAAAGCGGATAATCCCAGATCAGGAGAAGCTGACTCAAGGCTTTGTTTGTATGCCGGAAGACTACCCAGCCGCGCTAACACCGCGATCGGGAACCCGGGCCAACATCATTAGAAAGGAATGGGAGGAAGCACAGAGAGACCATTTGGACGAGCAAACAATGCAATGGAAGACCTAAGTGCCCTTAAGACGGCAGATATCACGCTGGGTTTGGCAAGATATGTGTAGTTGCAGAGAGAAATCTAATAATATGGCGGGCAGATTCCGTCCGAAGACAACAGCTACTTCGCAGCTGGACTAGACCCCTGTTAACGGTCACTGGGGCAAGATTTGCCCGCGGTGCCCACGTGTGAAGCCCTATCTGACCCCGCAGCGGAGGTCGTCATTGCTGCTAAGGTTCGAGAAACACGCCCTCTGGCCGTTTTCTTCAATACCTCCTACGCTCTGAGCCAGTGGACGCCACTAGAAGTCACCCGGCAGCATGCACTGCCATGCGAGAAGCTGCCCAGCTCCGCGTAGCGCTGTCCCGCCATTATCATGAATGCCTGCCCGATCTGCGAAAACGTATATAAGCGACCAGAGCACCTACGTCGCCATCTACAGTCACATAGCAATGAGCGACCTTTCGTCTGTGCCATCTGTGACGGCACGTTTCAACGGTCCGACACCCTCAGAAGACATCAGAAGACCTGTATAGCTGTTGTAGAGGAGGCTTTGGAGCCGCCCCTGAAGAAGCCTGCCTATGAATCGCAAGTTTCAGCATCGGACCCTGCTCAGCCTCTGGATGAATGGCACAATTTACAGCACGATGCGCTGACTGGTCCGTTCCCTGACATCAATCACATAGCAGGTTGGCTCTCGAGCGCGGCGAGTCCCGACTTCAGTGATCCTTGGGGCAAGATACTGAATCTGCGTGGCGACGATTTTACCGACGGCATTGATGACGGCAGCTATCCAAGGAGTCTAGGGTTCCTCGACAACTTCACACGTCGAACAGGCCTGGTTGAATCATTCGAATGTGGATCATTGGCCGAGCGAGAGGCCGTCAGGAAAAGATACGGAGCTGACGACGTACAAGCAGGTGATCTCCCCGAAGGTGCCGAGGTTCTATGCGGCTTAGTCGATGAGCCTGGAGTGGACCTGTCAACATGGATGCTGGAGCCACTGGCACTCAAGACCCACGAGATCGTCTCCTCGATTGCGCAAGTCTCTAGAAATAGACCGGAGGATAGCTCGAGCGCTGTGGCGTGGTCAGTGGCAACACAGTCGTTATGTGCCAAGTTCTTCTCGCCTACGAGAATTCGAAAATATGTCGACTATTACTGGGCTCTGTGGCATCCAAACGTCAATCTAATGCACAGGCCAACTTTCGAAATTGCCAACTGCAGGTCATACCTGGTGGCTACCATGTGCATTCTTGGAGCACTTGTGTCTCCGAATGCATCGGACGGAGCAGCAGCAAGGATGTGGTTGGATGCGGTCGAAGAAGTCGTCTTCACCAGCGATGATCTTGCTGATGACGATTCCGTATGTCGCCTGACAGGAAGACCAAGCTGCAGACCCGAGAGGGTACGAGCACTTCAAGCTGCTTATATGGTCCTGCTTTATCAGACCTGGGAAGGAAGCGATAGAAGTAAACGAAGGGTTCGCCGGCTACGCTTCAGTCAAGTTGTGGCCGCCATCAGAGATGCCGCAATACCCAACGCCGTACATCCTTATTATCATGGCTTGAAGATACATGAGTTCTCCTTCGCTGACTTTGCCATTATCGAAGAGCTGATCCGAGTCACCGTGTGGGTGTTTCTCATCGACACTGCGTATACACTATTCAACAACTCCCCGCCTCGTATGGTCATTTCCGAAATGAAAGTCTCGCCCGCTTGTCCAGAAGTATGCTTTCAAGCAGAGACTGCAGAGAGTTGCCTACAAGCTCTGCAAGCTCATCATACACATTCTGAGTCAGCACGAGGAGCAGCCACACGCTTTGATGCAGCATTTGATATGCTGTATCGCCGGGCTCTACAGCCTGCTGATCAACAGATGCTAGCAGATCTTGGGCCACTCAATCTCTTCGCGATGACTTCAACGCTTCATGCGCTAATTTTCCACTTCAGGAGCTCTCTCAGTTGCCGCGGATCTCTCGAAGACGTGAAGCGATGCCTGGACAACTGGCATACAGTTTGGCAGGTGTATACCGACAAACTTGCTACAGACCCACGTCACGCTTTAGCAGTTGCCGGCACTGGTATCTGTCCACCGGAGCAGATGTGGAAGCGGATAGGCTTTATGCGACATGCAGGCCAGTATTGGACTCTGGCAAAGCTCATGATCGAAAAATTGACCTTGCTACGCCCCATACGACAGAACACGGATGACAATGAATCCTCCGACCGTGGCCAAACAACGCCAGCTTACATTGCAGAGAGTACACGGAGTGAGGTTCTCCTTGACAAGTACGATGAGACAAGCATGCGGCAGGTGAACGACCTTATCGCTATGCTACAGAAGACCAACATCTGAAGTTATACAACAGCCGAGCCAATAGCTCATTCATGTCCCTAATCGCTGCACCACTTTTGCTCTTTCATCGTTGGTTCGGGTCTCACATCAACCGTGAGCAAATGTCTTCGAGCTTGGTCCAGCATCTTTTTGGGAATACGTAGCTCACATCAATCATGGCCGAGACCCTTGAGGCTGTTGGACATGTCGGCCACGGAACTCCGACGAGGCTCGGCCAGATTGTCGAACTTGCGCTCAGCGCGAATGTGACATCACAATGCATGTTGCGCGACAAATTTGCAACGGCGTGAGGACGATTGCTGCGCACAGTATCATCCTGGAGTTCATGGAGCAATCCGCATGAATCCCGCTGGCACCACCACCCGATCTTGCGCAACACCTCCGCATATAGTGTCGTCTCCACATTTATGCCTCGGCTCTCCAGAAAGTCAAATACGAGGACCCTTTCGTCCAGGACCTGCATCGTAAGCGACAAGGTTGCGATCTACAAGATCTGGACAAGTCTGTCACTGCAAGATTGAACCTTATGGCAAGCTAGTCGCGGACTGTTTCCATGAACGCGGGGAAGGATGTGAAGTCCCTTCCCATAAGATAGGCACCGACTGTCGTTGCTGATCTCTGGCAATCCTATACCGACAACACCAACAAGACCGCCAACATGGGTTCCCTTGGACCATTACCGATCGACTATACCGAGAGCATGGGAGAGATGGACATCATCTTTGCAGGTGGTGGCACCGCAGCTTGTGTCGCCGCTGGACGGCTCGCGAGGGCTAATCCCGATCTGAAGATCTTGCTCGTCGAAGGTGGTCCCAATCAATACCAGGTGAGTCGAGGTCAACGCTTCAATCGGCAAATGCTGACGCTTGAGCCAGGATCCGCAAGTGACAAACCCCGTCATATACCTGAGCAACCTCGTACCGGACAGCAAGAACGCCCTGTTCTACAAGGGCCAGAAGTCCGAGCATCTCAATGGTCGTGAGCCAATTGTGCCGATGGGCGGCTGCTTGGGTGGAGGTTCCTCGTGTGTTGATCTTGAATGAGCGCAATCGACGTGCTGACTGGTCTGCAGCATCAACTTCATGATGTACACCAGAGCGCAAGGCGCGGACTTCGACTCCTGGAAAACCGACGGGTGGTACGCCAAAGACATGATGCCTCTTTGCAAGAAGCTCGAGACCTTCCATCAAGACGAACCGGGCATCAACAAAGACGCCCACGGCTATGATGGTCCTATCCACGTCAGCGATGGCGGCTTCCGCAGCAAGTCAGAGAAGCAGTTTATGGAGACCGTCAAGAACATGGGCTACAAAGAAGAAGTCGATCTTCAGAACCTGGACACGGTGGACGGCTTTTCTCGCTGGCAGCGTTACGTGTCTCCTGAAGGCAAGCGGCAAGATGCCGCACACACCTTCATTCATCCCCTCCTGCAGGATGGCGAGCACCAGAACCTGCATATTCTATGCAACTCCAAAGTCGTCAGAGTACTCTTCGACACATCCGATCCACCTCGCGCAGTCGGTGTCGAATACAAGCCGAACGAAAACCAGCAGCCTGTTCTGAACACGAGCAAGCCAGTTCACAAGATCGTCAAGGCCTCGAAGCTGGTAGTTGTCAGTGCTGGAGCACTTGGATCGCCTCAGGTCCTAGAACGGTCAGGCGTTGGGAACCCAGATCTCCTGAAGCGGCTAGGTGTTCCCCTCGTCAGCGACTTGCCAGCCGTCGGCGAGCAATATCAGGACCACCACCTCATCCTATACCCCTACAGATCTACCCTTCCCGCCGAAGAGACTGTCGATGGGCTTTTGTCCGGAAGAGTGGATTTTGCGAAGGCTGTTGCTGAGAAGAATCCCATGCTGGGCTGGAACGCTATAGGTAAGCCTGACGTTTTTCCGCCAGTTCTATCGACTGATATAGCACAGACGTCGGCTCCAAACTGCGTCTCACGGAAAGAGAAGTCAAGTCCCTCGGTCCAGAATTCGAGAAAGACTGGGAACGCGATTTCGCACCGTACCCAACGCGCCCAGTTATGCTGTGCGCTATGTTGAACGGTTTTCTAGGTGACCACTCGCTCGTTGAGCCCGGCCAGTACTCGATGATGGGTGTCTACACCGCATATCCATACAGTCGTGGCTCCATCCACATCACTGATCCGGAGGACGTCCTGAACGGCTACACATTTGATACTGGCTTCCTCAATCATCCATCCGACATCAAGAAGCAGCTCTGGGCGTACAAGATGTCACGCGAGATCGCACGCAGACTCCCTTTCTACTCCGGTGAGCTCGAACTCGCGCATCCGAAATTCCCCGAAACGAGCCAGGCGGCGTTGCGCAAGGAAGCTTTTGCATCTGGAGAGAAGATCAGCGACATACTATATACCCGGGAGGACGACGCCATCATTGAAGACTGGATTCGAAACAATTTGAACACAACGTGGCATTCGCTGGGCACATGTCCAATGAAGCCCAAAGAGCAGGGAGGAGTCGTGGATGGTAATCTCAATGTGTATGGTACATCGGGTCTAAAGGTGGCGGATTTGAGTATACCGCCGGAGAATGTTGGTGCCAACACGAACAACACAGCGTTGGTGATCGGCGAGAAGGCGGCGGTGATTATTGGAAGAGAACTAGGTATCAAGGGCGTGTAAGAAGAGACGCCTTAGTAGCTGGCTTCGTGCCGGAACTCAATCAACTGTACATCTCTCTTGATATGATCTCATGCGCAAAGCTCCCTGTGTTCTGTGAAGGTAGCCCATGACTCTTCTGGTCAAATACAGAGAGGCAGTACGTTGCAACAGTGCCAGTGCATGACTGGAAATGAGCGTCATGATGGGCGAGATGCCGCGGCCTTGGCGCTAGATGCGGACGCGTGACCACGGCGCGTGGGCTTGGAGTTCTGGCGTGCAAATTCCGCGTCCCTAGCAAACAACTCCCCGTTCGCGTCGGTCGAATGGATCCTGCAGACATTCCCATTTACAGACTCACCGGGACAATAGAGAGTCTCAGCAAGCCTCAAATCTGCTCACATGACTGCAGCAAGATAGTTTGATGGCCACGAGTCGTGCTGAACGACGCTGCTTTCAGGGGCAGTGACGACATAGTTCTCGCTCCCCAAAACTATGAATGATGAGGTAAGTGCCGCTAGAGGTATGCAAGTATGCTCCGGATCATGAACGAGCTGGAGCGCATCCACGTTCAATATGGCAGTAGCATCCGTGGTTACCGAGCCATTAAGTCTTGCAGCAACGTCCACCGACACGAAAGGCAAGGACCTCGACGCGAAACTTCAGCAGCTATCAAGCCACGGCAATCCTTCCCTGCACGTGCGCCCGGATCACACCCTCTCACTCGAAGACACGCCCATTCCGCGGCCCTCACCGCTACAGGCTCTTGTGCACATCCGATGTACTGGAATTTGCGGTTCTGACATACATCTCTGGCATGATGGCCGCATTGGCCCGCTACTAGTCGATCGACCGTGCATTCTCGGTCATGAAGCCGCTGGCGAGATCGTCGCCGTTGGCGAACAGGTCACGCATCTGAAGCCCGGCGACCGCGTCGCCATTGAACCAGGCGTGCCTTGTCATGCATGCCATGTCTGCCGTGCCGGCAAATACAACCTTTGCGCCGATGTCCAATTCGCTGGCGTCTGTCCCTATGCTGGCTCAATTCGTCGTTTCATGGCACACTACGCACGCTACTGCCACAAGATCCCGGAAAACATGTCATTCGAGCAAGGCGCGCTTCTGGAGCCGCTCTCAGTCATTCTGCACGCGATCCGGCAGTGCGAGGGCTCCATCCAGCTCGGCCGACCAGCATTAATTTGCGGCGCTGGACCCATCGGCTGATAGCGCTCAAATGTGCTCGCGCTTCCGGTGCTTGGCCGATTGTGATCACCGATGTAGACACGAATCGACTTGCATTTGCGAAGAAGATCATGCCGGACGTCCAGACATATCTTGTCGACCTCTCCAAACGCCTGTCACCCGCTCAATGTGCTGTGGAAATCCGAGCATTGTACGGTTGCTACGCCAGCTCCTTAAGCGAAGCGTCGCAGCATGGTGCGGACTCTATGCTCCCGAATGGTCACGGCACTCAATCGCAAGCGGCAGCAGATTCGGAACCTGTCTACGACGCCGACGCCGCGCTTGATCATCTCTCGCCCTCGACGGTCCTCGAATGCACGGGTGTCGGGTCTTCAATTATCACTGCCGCCCACGCAATCGCTCGAGCTGGTACGCTCATGGTGGTTGGCGTGGGAGCTTCCAAGATCAATGAGATACCATTCATGTATCTGAGTCTGCGCGAGATCAAGCTCAAGTTCATCAATCGCTACACTGATACCTGGCCAGCGGGTATGAACGCTATGGCCGGAGAGGCATTACTTCCGGCAATGGACCAGCTTATCACGGCGAGGTTCAAGTTGGAGGATGCAGTCAAGGCGTTGGAGCTCGTAGGTGGGAGAAGAGACAAGCAGGGAGATGGAGGTGGCGAGAGCGGCGTTGTTGTTAAGGTTATGATTAAAGACGACGTCGAGCTCTGAATTCCGTCCCCTTTAGGTCATCAGGATGATGCCACTCAGCATCTGCAGATTACAGAGTCTGGCACGGGTAAACCCAAGACTTTTGAAGTCTCACATCGAAATGATGTTAGCTGTCTATAGCTAGTGGTTTCTTAGCCTAATTCTGGTATGGGCATGGCACTAAAGGCCATGCACACCTGGTCCCCTCGGAAAGGCAACTGTTGGATAGTTGTAGGGACCGAGTGACATAGTTGCCTGTGACGTTGATTATCAGGCGCTGGATTTGCACCTACTCTCCAGTCTAGGTCCTTGTGTTCGGAGCGCTATCACCTTGAAAGCCTGGATCGGGATGACGAAGCTCGATGAAAACCTTGGAGTATGAAGATTAGCCTGTCCAATGGGAGCATGTCCGGGGGTGCAAACGCTTGGCCGGGTGCCGATACCTATCCACTCTCATTGTGGGTCTCGGACAGCCACAGCGTATAGCCTCACAAGGCAGTGGATGACTTCCTCAAGAACCGGACGGTCCCTTCAGACGCTCAAGAACTCAACACGGTGTGTCATCGATGGTTGGTGCGATTGAATACAAGATAGCTTCGTCCACAAGATGCCAGCTTTTGGAAAACTTGTCCGCTTCAAGACTGCTTCGGGACAGACCTTCTATGGAGAGGCAAAGCATCTACCAGCTATTGATCACGACGCCTTGATCGGCGCCGAGGTTCCGGTGTTCAACAATGATGATGAGCCCTGGTCGGAGAACTTCAGGCTCTCTGGCTCAACGGAGAAGATTGCAGAGGTTCATACGCCCCAGGCCGCATCGGTTCAATGAAATGGTGCCGACGAGCCATATACTGATGCCAGGTTCTGATTGCAGGTTCTAGCTCCTCTGCGCGCCGTGCCCATCTTCCTCTGCATTGGGCTCAATTACAAACAGCATGCTGAAGAGGCAGGTGTAAGCAGCATCCCCCGGCGACAAGACAGCCCATTGTACAGTGCTGACAGGCTGGCGCAGATGCAGGTGGGAGATTATCCGCAGACGTTCTATAAACCAGCAGGTCGGTCCTTTATTTTAGAAGCTCCTTGAGACTTCAGCTTCTTACGATGGGAATGTGGCAGATGCTCTTGCTGGTCCTTTCGAAAACATACCGGTCCATCCGGAGTGTCAATGGATGGACTACGAGGTAGGTGCTTTCTTTCGCTTAAGCAATCTCTTTCATGCCTTCACGTTGCATCTGTGTACAACAGCGCCAATATTGATATGTTGACAGGTTGAACTTTGCGTGGTCATAGGCAAAGACTGCAAAAACATCGGCGACACTGAAGATGTCGACCAGTACATACTAGGCTACACCGTGGGCAACGACGTGTCGGCTCGATGGTGGCAGATGCCGGAACGATCCAGTGGCCAGCCCGCAGCGGCGAAGTCTTTTGACAAATTTGCTCCGATCGGTCCAGTCATCACCTCAACAGACATCATCACGGATCCAAAGAAGCTGAAAATGCGAAGCATCGTGAACGGCGAGCAGAGGCAAATCACGCAGACAGACGATCTCATCTTCGATATTCCTGCTATCATTCGTCACTTCAGCCGTGGTATGACGCTCAGAAAAGGGACTGTCATCATGACCGGCACACCAAGTGGCGTGGCGTTTTTCATGAAGCCACAAGCGTGGCTGAAGGATGGGGATGTCGTGGAGATGGAGCTCGAGCACGTGGGCACTATGCGCAACAAATTCGTCTTTGAGAAGTTCTGAACTCTCATGCCAGTGGGCGGCTGGGTCTGGGATACCATTGTGAGAGGAAGTGAGTAATGAAGCATGGGTAGCTTGTGAGGAGTGTCGGAAGCATTCGATGCTGGTATATCGGGCTCTTTGGACACTTGAACGCCGCATTCAATCAGACGAAAAAGCATTTCCTCGACTCTCCCGTGCAGCTAGCTATTGTAAACACAGCTTTGATCTGGTACAAAGACCGGCGGTCTGGCAATAAGCGTATGGATTGTGGACATTTTAATGCTTCAGGGTAAATTCAACTCCCTGCAATCTTACACGTAGCGGATCATGGATAGAACTGGTCGAGGCCTATGTGACCATATTGGTTCAATCCACTTGCTTTTGGCGGACCTTGGAAGACGAATTGGAGCTTACTATACTTAAGAGTACCTTGCATTCTACACACTGCTATTACTAGCGATTCCGCAGGTCTGGCCGTTCCGGAATGCTTCAACCATTCATCTAGCTAGTGAAACGTGAACCCGCCACTCACGTCGAGAATCTGACCACTGATGAATGAAGCCTCGGGGCTTGCAAGGAAGCAGATAGCATATCCAAGATCCTCTGGCTGTCCACGGCGCTTGACGCATTGCTTCTCAATATGATAGTCCCACATGTCACCTGCAGTACTGACATGCTGCGTGGTGGCGTTGTTTCCACGAGCGGCGCCGGGGGTTTCGACAAATCCAGGCATCACCAGATTGGAAGTGATACCGGGGCCAGCCTCAACGGCAAGCGATCGCGTTATGGTCTCGACCGATCCCTTACTCGCAACGTATGCAAACAGTCCCTTGAAGAGGTGCTGAGTTGTAGCGGTTGATGTTTGGATGAGCCGGCCATACCCAGCTTTACGCATATGGGGTAGCACCGCCTGTGCAAGATAAAGGATCGACCACGCATTGACTTCCTGGGATTTAACCAGATCCTTAGTCGTGATTTCGGTGACTGGCTTGTATACAAGATGGACCGCAAGCTGAACTAGCACATCGATCTTCTTGAATTCATCAATGACTGATTGGATGAGATCCTTGCACTGTTGTGGATCAGATAGATCAGTAGTTCTAAAGGCCGCGGAGCCGCCCTCAGCCTTAATCTCTGCAGCGACGCTTTCGACCTGTTTCGCTTGGATGTCGACAAGTACTACCTGCGCTCCTTGTTTTGCAAAGAGTTTGGATGTGGTCTTGGCAATTCCTTGGGCAGCGCCGGTGATAACGACGACCTGTCCTTTGAATTTGGTAGGGTCGAGCACAACTGGGGGAGGGTTGGCCCCCTCCTCGACGGCGCCGGGCATCTTAAAGGTCGTGGATGGTTTTGTGACAGCGCTGCTTGGGCGACTAGTCAGATGGACGCCAAATTGAGGTTATGACACTGTGACTGCACTGAACTTTATACCTGCATGATGGTTCACTTTGGATGAGACGGTGTGTTTATGCACTTGCACCTGATAAATGACTGCGCTTCAGTTGACACTTGTCCGGGCGCGCGGCAGTCCGAGGACGTGTATCCTAGATAACGCAAGGCACTCGTGTGTTCCGGGAAAACCTTTGGCGGGCAGACAAGCCCTCTTACAATTGGATAGAGGCAGTCGCGCCTCATGAGGCCGCAAGCGTACTACCAATGGAAACGTATGGATTCGTAGCTTGCAGGAGAGTTTGTGCGACTTCTCCAACACTTTGAACCGCGTGTGCATGGCACAATACCCCAGCTGTTGGTCCGGGGCACGAAAAAGGCTACGATGGAAGCTAGACCGGAAAACCTCAGGTTGCATACATGACTGCAGCCAATAGGAGTCGATCTTCTTGCCCGAGGATCTCGATTGCGCCAATCGGATGTGCTTGGAGGCTTGATGAAGAGTTCCATAAGAGGCGAAAGTATATGCCTGGCGCAGTTCATCAAACGAAGGGTATTGAGTGCAATGTATGGGCCACTGAGGTATCCAAAGCCTATGGACAAGGTCCGTTCCCCGCCAGGAAAAAGAATGAGAGCTCCATGCACCGCAAGTCTGGGGCTCCGGGCGAGCCCTTTCACACCCTCGGTCTCGGCCTGATCATGCCGCACTTACTCCTGATGCGCTATGCTACTTGTCCTGTTTTGGGGACTACCTTCGTTCCTGCAGAGCTCGAGATCCTTTAGTTTAGTTAGAACGAAGCATCGGTCTGGCCTACATAGTGACCTCAGCATTCTTGACTCGTGCAGGCGGATGTGCCTCAGTCATCCCTATCTCGTCATCTCTGTACAAACAAGTCAAGATGTTCCCAAACCTCAACGCATCGCTTGTGATATGGCTCCTTTTCGGAGTGGCTATGATCTATGTATTGCTTGTTCCCGGCAGGCGGGGACGGAAGCTGCCTCACGGTACGTCAAGAGAGTCCTGAACGCGGCTACGGCGATCTAATTGTTGCCGCGAAGGGCCGTCGACATTGCCCATCATCGGAAACTTGCATCAGTTGCCGCAAAGTCAGCTCTATCTCACATTTGCGAACCTTGCCAAGAGGTATGGCGAAATGTACTCGCTCAAAATTGGCTCAATGACCTTCATCGTTCTTTCGAGTCGTAAACTCGTTAAAGAAGTACTGGAGAGAAAGAGCGTCATCAGCTCTGGTCGGATGTACTCCTACGCATTGGAGAAGCTGATTTTCCAAGAACACTTCATGACCATACAGCAGTCAGACAACCCTATGCTCCGTGTGGGTAGGAAACTGCTGCATCAGTACTTTGGCGATAGTGCCATCGACAAAGGTCATCTCGAAATTCTGAACGCAGAAGCCACTCAGTTACTACGAGACCTCATGATCGATCCGGAGAACTTCAGACACCATTTCCATAGATACGGCAACAGCTTTGCAATGAGTAAAAGTAAGTTGTGACTCGAGGGAAAATTAGTCACTAACCCGGGCAGCGTACGGCATACGTACTCCAAGGCACGACACTCCTCACCTGAAGGCACTGAATTATATCACCGCAGAGACTGCCGCCATTATTCTTCCGGGTGCACTTCCACCGGTCGACGTTTTTCCAATCTTGAAGATAGTACCGCAAAAATGGTTTGGCAATTGGAGAACCAGATGTATAGAACTCGGAAAGGCTAGCGATAAGCTCAATTCATGGATCCTTAACACGGTCATCGAACGTCGTAAAACGGAGGGACCGAAGGATACATTTGCGGACAAACTCATCGAATATGATGAGTACAAGTTCACCTTCCATGAGATGATGTATCTCACAGCGACTGTCTTAGACGCAGGAACAGACACAACAGCATCTGTCCTACTGGTGCTGGTTCAGATGCTCTGTACTTATCCAGACGTCCTCAAGAGGGCCCATACTGAAATTGACGCGGTAGTGGGCGAAGATCGAACTCCACTTTGGACGGACTTTCCCAAATTACAAATCATCAACCAGCTGATGAAAGAGGCGCATCGTATACGTCCCGTCACACCAATTGCGATGCCTCATAAGTTGAGTGAAGGTAGCGATCCATGATCCATGCCATAGTCGTTTACTTACCAGCCTCTAGAAATATGGATCGAAGGAAAGCTTCTACCCAAGGGCGCCATCATTGTTCCGAATTTATTTGGTCTACACCAAGACGTCGAAAAGTTTGCGGATCCAGAAGTCTTCAACCCAGACAACTTCTCAAGTAAGACCAAGCTTGCGCAAGGTTATGCAAACATCGGCGACGAGAACAATCGAGATCATTATTCTTACGGCTTTGGACGCCGAATCTGTTCAGGTATGCAACTTGCTGAGAGGTCACTGTTTACAACCTTCTCTAAGATGCTCTGGGCTTTCGATATCTCCCCTGAGCTTGACAGTCAAGGCCGCCCTATACCAATTGATCTCAATCCGAACACTGGATACACGGATGGGAGTATCGTTGCACCTAAGCCTTTCAAGGCTCGTTTCAAGGTCCGATCTGAAAGGAGACGTCAGACGATCTTGCGAGAATTTGCGGACGTGGAGGAGAAGGTGTTTTCCCGATTCGCTGTGCCTGATTTGACGATGTCTTTTGAGAAGACTGCCTAATGGGTCTGCTGAGTTACGCAGAACGGTTGCTACTCAGTAGACATCGGGCATCACGGATCTTGGTCATTACGTACTACACAACTTTTCACATGTATCATCGATCGAAGCAGTAGCTGCCAAGTCATCGAGTTACTCAAAGTCAAGGACACCATTGTTGGAAATACCACGCATTGATCTCAGGCCGGGATGCCTTCAGTGTCGACGATCGTTTTACAGGAAGGCATTCCGTGAAGCAAAACACACGGGCGATCAGCCTGTGGCCTCCTCGATAGCAACCGGCTCACCCAGTGGCCGCCGCGATGCACCGGTGCGGCTGATCAGCGAAAAGTTTCCCCTCGCTCTACGATCCTTGGTAATAGTAGGGACAAGTGCTCCGTTGTACACATATCGGCCGGAGAAGAGAAGGCTCTTGAGCTGTCTTCGTTTCATAGCACCACGCCCATATGAGACATATGAGTTTAATGGCGCTGAAGCTACGTGGCTGAGAAACATCCCCCATATGAAGTTGGTCGGTCGGGCCGCTTCCGAACTCGCACGCTAAACTGTCTGTGCATATGGCTGAAGGTCATTTCGCGGTGGATGGTGGTTCCTGTCCGGGCCAAGATTAGTAACCGCGGCCAGGGGCTATATCGGGTCGCCACTACTTACTGCGAAAGCTTCATATCTCGTAATCTCGAGCGTACCAGAATTCTGCTTCACGTCGAAGTTTGCGCAGATGCGCATGGATACTGCGTCTTCGGCATCTGCGCGATGAACAACGAGGGATCCTAGGAATGCGAATTGTTCTGGATTCTCGGTGCTTTGATATAGACCTCGAATGGTGTGCTCGCGTGACTTGACCCCATTCCATGTCTTCTCGCGCGAAGCTTGAATCTCTGTTCGGGGGTATGCTGTGTCAGCTGAGAATGCACCCAGGACGGGCATTTATGGGTTGGCTATATTTGATAGCATAAAGGCGGAGGCATACCTTCCCTGCCGTGCAAAGCGTGTCCGCCGCCGATGAATTGAGCATCTGCTGCGAACAAGGCTGCGAATGACGCCGCTGCCTGTGGGCCCCTCTGGTCTGCTGCTGTGACCAGCTTCGACAACAAGTCTTGCACCTGCTGGCTTAGCTTTCCAGTCATCGTTCTCAGGTCAAAGTGTGGTTCGGAAAATATAACAATTTTAACTGTGACTGATGACTCAGAGCACTCACAAAACACCAAGTATACAAACTCATGTACTGTGAAAGGATGAGTGCTTCGGCGCTACATGTAGGCAACGCTGCTTGAAGATGAGGACACCCCAAGGGTATAGCATCGCCCAGGGACTATAGATATCGAGTTCTCCAATTCTGTGACAGAACCTTTGAGATTGGGTGCCGGACTCGGGCGGGCCATCAAATTACACCGTGAGCCGGCCGGCCACTTATTGTGTACATAGTTATCGTTTCGTAGAAGTTTTTCGCTACACGCACCTGTTGTCCTCGGAAGGGACTTATGCCTACCAACTTGATGCGAATCTCTGATACTTCGTCAAAGAGACGTCGGTTGATACTTGTATGGAAGTCCGTACATCCGGCACAGGTGACATACTGAGCGAGCATAGCGCGCAAAGCGGTACACTCTCCACTAATGTGCTCAACAAGGATGAATTTATCTTGTTACTCATGAATCACCGAGTCCTTTGAATCACGCCTCGGGTAGTCTTGCTCATTCATGGACCTTGACAACATGGTGAATCCTGAGTTTACTTCATGTAAAATACGTATTTAATACCGGCACAATACTTTCGCATGCGTACCTACCCGACTGGTTCCGTGAGGTATTCTCGGAGGTCGGCAGCACTGCCTTCCGTTGCATGGCTGCTTTGTGTGCCCCTACTGGCCAAGCAAGTCAAGGTACGCAACGACTCTTCGAGCTCACACTGCCCGCTTTCGACACTGGCTGCTGCAAGGATAGATGCTCCACTAAGGCCACTCCGAGCCGTCGAGCCTTTCCGGCATGACAGCTCATGCTTGCACCACTCTGCATGTGCGTCCGTCCATCTGGGTGATAGGTCTCATGTCCATTAACCAGCGATGATACGGCGTGTGAGATTGAGTGTCTGCGACAGATCTCACCTATGACCACCAGCTAGGCAGCACTGCCCCTTCCGCTCTCAGCTCGTCCTTTTTGTAGGCCACATACCCTTCCAATGAAGTTGCATCCCTCTCTAAGAGCCATTCCAGCACTGTAGGATTGCCCTTGATACCTCTTTTCCGGTAGAAACTGACCAGAGCAGCCATTTTATCATAAATGACAGAATGAACCTGATCGCTCCCAAAGTTGACTTCCAGCAGAACTTGGATCGCTTCATCCCAACTGACTTCTTTGACCTCGATTTTCTTGCCCAGAATCTCCCCGATTCGAGTGGTGCATTCTCCATAGGTGTTGCCATTTAGAGAGACTAGGGGATATAGTGCCTCGTAGTGACGCTCTCGCTCAAGAATGACTTTCGCTGCGGCTTCTCCTAGATCCTTGAGTGCAACGAAGGACGACCAAGTCTCTTCGGGGACATACGTTGGACGAACAGGATGTTCCATGGTGAGCCACTGCTTGACGGGAACTGCTGCTTCGAAAAAGTCACCGGGCTGCAGGATCGTGTAACGAAGCGGAGACAAGATTAGTTGCTCTTCCACATATCTCTTATCATCATGATTGAACATCTTCCGTATCTGTGTGTTGAGGACGCTTGCCTCTACGAAGTGTTTGAATTGCGAGTTCGGCTTCTGATACTCAGCGATAGCGGCTTCGACCATGTTCAATCCCATCTCTTTCTCTCCTACTCGTATACCGGGTCCAATATTGTAGACTGTGGTGACGCCGCTCAACATCCTAGCGCAGTCCGCAAGGACTCGCATATCGCCTTGGACCACCTCGGCGTGAGGGTATCTAGATTTAAGTAGCTTCGCGGAGGCGTCTGACTGACATGCCAGTCGTAGCTTGATTTTGTCCTTCAGGAGTGGAAGGATATATGGGGCTTGGTTACCAGCAGCGCATGTCATTAACATAATGTCATTTGGTGACGCCATTGTGATTACAGGACTTGCCAGTGCTTAGTATTCTCGATGATGCATTCAATGAGCATTATATGGCCGGGCACTGAGTCGACCACCCAAGCGGTTTGTAGTGCTGAAGGCGGCTAGATAGAAGTTTTTGGAGTTAACTTCGGACAGCATCGCCAACGGAAGTCGCAAGCTGTCGTCTCCCCGCGGCACGAGGGAAACCGAGTTCCGGAGAGTGGAGCTAGGTACCGTTGGTTGGCATTGGTCTTAGTTGTTTCCTGTGCAGTTGGAGGTACGTACTATCCAGCTTCCAATTGGTTATCGTGCTACTTCTAAGTGTGGAGGCGAACTGTGGTGTGAAATATGTAGGACGTGGAGCGTTATGTGGAGAAGATCTGGGAGTCTGCTCTTGCTCGCACGTCACTTGTGGCGGGTGCGTGGCCGCAGATTGTTCGTACCCCAGAAGCGCCCCCAGTAGTCTGGCTTGTATTTCTGCTGATTCTATTTCCGAACTGATAGACGACGTCATTGTTTTCTCCGGATGGCTTGAATGCTGACGGGGATGGAGCGACGATGAGTGCTTGGCCAAGAACTTGAAGGTCTCGGTGGTTTGGCATGCGTCAATCGAATTCAAATCTTGGTAGGGTAGGTATGTTCACTTGCCAATCAATGGAAATCAAACTACATGTGTCCCGATATACACTAGCTAACACGGTCATTTCCCGCTACTCACTGAACATGTGCGCAACAGTAGAAGCGCGGTGAACAGTAACGATCATCGATAGGATCGGATATTGCGCATGGCTGCTTGCCTGTACCACTGCCCATCAGCTTCAGCGATCCGACGACGATGACCATGCTTGATCAGACTTGACCACAAGACTTTGCGATCCCGAAGGAACAGCTGCAGCCCATCGACGTGCGCCCTGCACGCTCTGATATCAGGGTGCCAAGGTTGTTGTGAATCAACACGCTCTACTGCAGCAAGCAGTCGCAGCACGTTAAAGTAATACAGCACCGGAACAAGACTCCCATTAACAAAAGTCGATCACACTCCCATGCTGAAGGGTTCACATCCTTCGACATGGTCTCGTGGCTTCCCGACGCAAGAGAAACCTGAGACTCTGCTGCACCATCTTAATGGGTCTATCTATCCTTCTCAGATAGACCGCAAGACATTTTCAAGCATCTTCCGGGGCTGGTGTCTTTTCAGACAAAACCTCCGCCTCGGTTCGTCCACCTAATTTACCGACCTTGACAGCAGTCTCTTTCGTCAAGTGCGAATCGACGCTGTGCACGAAGCATACCGCGATGCATGACACCAGGCCAAAAGCAATTGCGGTCAGGAATAGAAGCCTGAAGCCACTCGAGTAGGCGCTCTTCATGGCATCGACTCCAGCAGCGATGATTTCAGGAGTAACACCCGGCACACTGGTCGGAGGGACACCTGACGTAAGATCCACTGCACATCTCCCGCATTAGTCAAACACACCTAATCAAGTGCTTAACATACCTATGAAGCCCTGCAAGGAAGTAGTTGGCAATCCTGCCTGAACAACTGCTGCGGAAATCCTAGGTACGAGTACTTTGCTGACTTTGTTAAGGAAGACTGATGAATAGATCGAGAGCGCTATCGCTCCGCCAGTGGAACGCAGAGTGTTTAGCAACCTGTCAAAGGATCAACAAGCCATTTCCAAAGGCACTGGAGGCCAGCTTACCCGACTGCGACGCCGATATGCTTGTCTTCGACGCCAAATCCGACAAAGACGATCGCCAGGATCTGTACTGCACCCACTGCAAAGCTTGCAAGTGCAACGAAGACAATTGCTCTCGCTGGCGTGTTCTGGCTTACTGTGGACATCAACGAGATGAACAAAGTTGACCAGAACACGTAGACGATAAGCTGATACTTTGTTTTCCGCAGAATGGCGAACAAGGCGCCGCTGATAATACAGCCAGCTACGTCGCAACTGAGTAAGCAAACGACCTGGACAGGAGGGACCGGTCTCACCTGTGGTGCTGGCGTTATACGACAAGATATACCATCCAGCTTGTCTCAAGTCTTGTTGGTACAAGATCTGAACTTCTAGAGGCTGTTAGATTAGCCGATTGTTTGAGTGAGTATACTTACGCTGAGGCCAGAAGACTTGAAGACTTATAAGCTAGTGCACAGTCAGTACAAGCCCAGCTTCCATGACTTAAGGGAGTGTTAGTCACCGCCATTCCCGCCACAAAGCCAACCACTAACGGCATGACAACACCTCTAATGTTTTTGACCACATGAGGTGGACACAACTTGATACCGTTCGTGGGCCCATAGGCTTCCCACACAGGAAAGCCAATAAGGAGCGCGGTTCCTGATATGTGACTCAGCTTATTGCTCCGATGCTAGCAGTTTCAAGTGAGCTCTTACCACCGATGATAATCGGCGCGACCACAGTCGCGCTTTTCCACGGATACGGATTGCCACCAAAAGAAATGCCGACCAAGAAGGTGGTCAACCCGCCACCAAACAGTAGTAAACCCACAAAGTCAAGCTCCTTGATCTGCTGGAATCGAGTTTTGCCTTCTGGATGGAGTTTGTGAAAATCGGGTGGCCAGTAGAATAGTATCACAAGCACAAGAGCCACTCCATTTAGCATCATGCCTAGATAGAAGGTCCATCGCCAGGTGTATGAACGCACGATAGCAAACGCTAACACGCAAGTCAGCAGTGACGTGTATAGTGGTCAACAGGACCTACCGATAACGGAGCCAAATCCTGATCCAGGAATTCCCACAATACTGAGAAAGCCCATTACGGTACCGCGGTACTTCCTAGGAACGATCTCACAAGCTGCTGCGGGAGAAAGGTACTGGAGACCGGCACCGAATCCCTGATAATTCTGTCAGTCCTGACTCGGAAATTATGGTTGTGTGTCAGATAATGCTTACCATGACCGCGGTAGCAGCAATAACCATGTCAATCGAAGATGCACTAGTATCGAAAGCAGTCAGCACCACAAAATTCCAAGCATTCTTACGTATCAATGTTCTTACCGAGCGCCGATCGTGCAGCCTGGGTGATAGTCAGTATCCGATACTCGAGCGACTATCCTCTACTTGTGTCTCACTCACCGACAAGACCTGCTATGTTACCAGCAATGAAAAAGTTTCTCCTGCCGAAGATGTCGCTACAACGGCCAGCTATAGTCTGGGTGACTGCAGTAGCTAAAGTCCATGATGTTGCTATCCATGTGTATTGGGTTGAAGGTCCAATGCTTTGGTTGATGTTCAAGAGGATTGCCGCAGGAAGGACGAAAGAGAAGAGCATTGTCTCATATGTGAAGCCGAGGGCCTTTTGATGCAGGAAATTGCACGTCAGTAAGACAAACAGCGTGTAGGCGCTAAGATGCTCCATACCAAGACTGCCAGATACGTGCGGGCGCTCAGCGACCCTCCTGATCTTCTCCCTGGTCATTCTGTACTGTGATGGGGGTCGCGGTCTGCTCAATCTGCTCGGATTCCGCATACAGGCTCTCATGGTGGTGAATAGTAGGTCCGTCAGACGTCTTGGAAATCGAAGCTGCCATGGTGGCCGATTCAGTACTTGGGTTAACGAAAGTACAGATGGATAACACTGTAGGTGTTTAAGAGGCACTTGAAAGGAAGTGAACCTATACGGGGGTAACTTATAGACTGGGTATATCTATCAGGGCTGACGACGCTCGTCCAGGAGCTACGAAGACTCGGATCAAGGATCGGTCTCAGAGTTCGGACGACTGCCCTTTCGAGTGTGCGAAAGCTACGAATGCACTGCTGAGGATCTAGATCCCTTTCTTCCCCAGAGACTCCGTTCTGCCCCAGTGTACTCCAGTTAACACGTCAGGCCACTTGTCTGGGAGGGTCGTGCTCAATCATCGACCGTAGGTAGAGATCATTGCCTATGGCGTCGCGCCGCTGCAGGACCATAGCCGCTGGGCGAACGGCAGACACGTGCAGAGCTACCTGATCCATTTGATGAGGTCCTCCACCATCAGCCCGTACTGAATAGACTTTTGTGTGCAGGACCTAATATGTGGAGTCCCCGCACTCCAGGATTGCGATCCTGTACCTCAATTTCATTGGTCGCTCTCTCTTCGGAGAACTCCAGGCGTTCGGAACCAAGTGTCGGTGGTTTGGCCCGTGATGTGTCCGGATGCTTGAGACCCCGCCGATTTGCTGTGAGGCACTGGGAGGTACGCTATGGGGACAGTCAACTCGGAGTGAGGGCTGGCCGGCCTTTTGTGTTCCACTAATTGTTCCGCCTCAATTGGGGTGCTGTGCAGACCTCTCGTGCCGTCTTCGACGAGCCAGATGCGACGTGAGGTCCATCGAGATGCCTGAGGCGGCCTTGTGGCTTTTTCGATCGCTCTAGGTCTCACGCTCCAGGCTTTCCGCCGTCCTGAGCAGCCTGTTTGCCGCGCTCAAGTTGTCCAGTAGTGCTCTGAGTCTTCAGCCCACCGTCATGTACAAGTTCTAGATCCAGCCCCTGATTGCGGATCGAATTCCAAAGAACTGTAGTGAGTGCTAGTCGCCCCCTCGCACGATTGGTATACACTTGACTTATGTAGCCCTATTGAATCCTTGCTTCACAGCGTTGAGGGATCGGTTATTTACACCTGCTACTACCTAGTCGCCAAAATCTCACGAATGCGCCTCAACTCACAGCTGTGCTTACTGTTCAAAAGAACGGAGATCTGAAGCACGTATGAGAGCGACCCCATTGGACAGATATCAGTCAGACTTAATGACTAAGTATAGGGACGTGTCATAAGAAAGTCCGTCCTCTACGCGATTGACTGCAACGGACGAAGATCATCGATTTTGACCAGGCTAGTCCGCATCCCTGTAGATGTTCTAGACTGCCTTTCTATGGCCATTACTGGCAGCTTGTTGAACATCAATCTATCCTCCATTCCGTCACGATCTTGATCCAGAGCGATCAAGAAGTACACCTTGCTCCAGCTTCGTTCACGTCCAACAAGGCAAGAGCTTCCTTGTCTCGTCACCGGAGAATCGCCAAGCCGTACAACAGAAGTTCTAAGGTGCTCAATAATCTCCGACTGTCTCTCTTCACCCTTGATGCATACTTAACTACATAGTAGGCAAGCAGATTATGCACATGAACTTTTCACGAGCTCTCCTTTCCCAGGTAGTAGCTACCCAGGAAGCACATGAGCTCCCGTCTGCACCAATCGGATCCTCTGTAGAGCCGGATCTATTCTGCGTTTCACACGAAGAGCTGCTGTAGAAGAATCGGTCACGTTTGCTGGCGAAATACACCATGGGTACTGAAGAAGTACATGTTTCATTGTCATTGTTCTGACGTCGCGCAAGTTTCTGAAGCAGTTATCCCAATCAGGAGAGCTTGGGTACCAGTTATTGTTGGTCGGTGTGCTCACACTGTCGCCTTAGCTGTAGTCAGGGTCCCCGGTGTCGTTCACTGCGCTCCTCACGCTAAATTCACAATGGTTGTCATCGCTGTCGCCGGGGGAAGTGGCGGCATAGGTCAAGCTATCGTCGAAACTTTGCGTCAAAGTCATGACCACAGCACCATTGTCTTGACGCGGCAGGCGGCATGTCCCTCGCCAACTACCACGCGCGGGAAAGTGACAACTAGCTAACGGAAAGCAAGGTCGTTGATTCATCGGAGACGTCCCCCGCAACTATCGCTGTCGAATACAGTGATGTTGATGCGATGGCCAGAGTTCTGTCCGCAAATAATGTCCACACAGTCATCTCAGCCCTTCGAGTGTTCGAATCAGCTTCCTCAGAGTCAGAGGTCAACCTCGTGAAGGCCTCAGTCCTTGCTGGCACTCCAAAACGTTTCGTGGCCAGCGTTTGGGGTGTACAATATGCCGAAGGGTATGTCGTATCAAGCAACATCCAGTTGATATCCGCGTAGTGACCATGGTCATTTTAGTTCAATGGTAGGGGATGCCCGAGCACGCACTTTGACCGAGTTACGAACGACCAATCTGGAATGGACACGTTTCAACAATGGCTATTTCCTTGACTGCTTCGGACCATCAACCCTGAAGTCTTATATGCAGCCGGTCGTCTACGCGATTGACGTGGCGCATAAGGCGGCCGGGATTCCTGGGACAGGCAATGAGCCGATGGCGTTCACATACACCTTCGACGTTGCCCGGTTTTTGCTCGCGGCTTTGGACCTGCCAAAATGGGAAGAGGAAATGTATTGCTACGGGGAGAAAACGACGTGGAATGCGTTCCTCAAGGCTGCAGAAGATGCTAGGGGTAAGACCATTTCAATTCTGCGGGTTTTTTAGTTTTTCGTTGATGGCCCGCGAGTCTGACATACGCCCCAACTTTGTGTAGGCTCGAAATTCAACGTCTCGTATGATCCTCTTGGGAAGCTTCAAAGGGGCAAGGTCACTGAGCTTCCGGCACATCAAGATATGGGTTACGAAGTTTTCTCTCGAGAAGCGCTACAGCAACTAATGGCTATCTGGGGTCAATTCGTTCTGGATGGCAGGTATGACCTCCCACTCGATAAGGCTCTCAACAAGACGTTTGCCGAGGTCCATCCCATGACCGTCAAAGATGTGCTTGCAATGTGGCAGGGACTTTGAAGCTGGTATTTTGCTCGTTGAATATATTCGAGAGATGCAAGATCTTGTGAGGCATACACTTCTCTCATCGAAAACGAGATATCGCGGGTTAATGATTTTGGGAACAAAGCGTTTCAGGCATCTATTTACTGTCCACCGGCGTTTCAATTGTTGAGCCACTTGGTATTTCACGACGAACGTGTTTGTTTCGCTAAGAAAACTCTGTCAGGCGCTTTAAACATCACTTAGAGCAATACTTTATCTATGCACGATCTATACTTTCTCAATCAGTCGCCTCCTTCTGTTGAATGGGTTAGCGCGCGCATCACCCATATAATGCTATTCTGATTTGGCGAAGTACTTCGTCATCTCACGATTGGTTCCCTGTCAGTCGGTGCACCTCGCAGCTTCATGTCGGTCTTATTGAAGGTCGGAGTCCCGTTCGGTTATACACCAGATAAACGTCAACTGCTCCTGATTTGACTTGGCATCACTGTCACCAGGGTCTGTATTTGCTCAGTCATGTGTGAGAGGACCAAAAAGGCTCCAAGAAGTAAATTAAGCTCTCACAATGGCACTGAGCGGCCAAATTCTACAGACTGCGCAGTCATAGTCCGGAAAGTGATCCCGCATACATGAAGAAAATAGCGACCATACTCTCAGTTCCTCTGGTAGAGGGCCTGCGTGACTGTAGCCCATGTAGTGCCGCTTCTGTCTAGCGATTGAAGAGGATTCCAGTTCGGCAGACATATGAACAATCGCATCCGCGGCGACTCTGTTGAGCCCAAGGACAACGTCTCTGCACCAGGCCCGTTCTTTCGACATCATCTGCGGGCAGACTTCACAACTGGAGCCAGTCCTTCTTTCCGATCTCCACACCGCTCATTCTGAGCAGATTGTAGATCGTCACGGCATGGAAATAGAAATTCGGTAGCGAGTAAACTGTGACGTAGCTCAGCCCCGTGAATTTCATATGGCGCAGTGTGATCTCGACGTCTTCTTTCTTGTCGAACCATTCGCGGTCTACCCTTTCGAGAAATGCAATGGTCTTGGCCACTCGATCATGCAGGTCGGCAAAGGTGTCTTCATCATCGATCCAGAACTCGTTCGGCACATCCGCGATACGTACGGCGATGAATTTGGCGAGGTTGCTTGCTACTTGTACCTGATATGGCAGTGGATGCATGTCCGGTGCTATACGAGCCTTGAGGAGTGTCGAGTGTGGAAGACATTTGGCATCGAGGTGGGATTCGCCCTTTTTCAAAATGACTGAGAGCGCTCTGAGCGTACCAATAACAGGTCCGATAGCTGTGTCGTAGAGATTCAAGCTAGACATACTGAACAATCACACAAGCTCTACCTAGGTAGCCTTGGTCGGTTACATTCGTAAGACTCAGCACAGACTCGTTGAACATAGAAATTGCCGTTTGAGTGCCTCACACAGGTGACCGCAGGAAGGTTTAAGTATTTTGGTAAAGAGTTCGATTATGTGCTCCCGGTCCGGGGCGTCTTCCTGTCTAGTCATTCGATAAGACGCAAATCTCAAGAATCTATTATGCCCAATTGACACGTGAGGAGATAGCAGGTGATCAGGCCTCATATTGATTCCGAGTCCGGCGGCGGCAATGACCCCAGCTTCCGGAGTTCGATAATAATATATCGTGATGTATCACTGATCTTTATTACGGTGTTCAATAATGCGCTTTTGGCTACGTTGACCCTGCTTGATAGTGTGCACGTGTCTCTCGTGACTACCTGCACTATTCCACCAGAGTTCCGCGGCACGGCGTGCACGAATCGTGATGGAACCATCGTAACACTCACAGATGGTCTACAATTGCATTTATCAGCACTCAACCCTCGTCTTGGACACAAGGCAGCGATGCTGCCGCTGGAATGAATGTGTTTCTTGCTTGCGGAACTTTAGGCCTGCATAATCTCTCCGCAAAGTCTGTGACATCGCAAGGTCTCGGCCATCACCCAGTAAAATGTTGCTGCCTTGCCTTTCGTGAACACGAGCCACACATAATCATATAAATTGCGGTCCGTGCTCTGTGAAGGTCTCACTTGGAGAATGACAGCGATCAATCTGGCTGCTTCCGAGCTTGATGCATTGACCCACTTATGATTGGTCTCACGCTGAACTACATGGTCCTGTTTGTGTGGAATAAGTCTGACTGATGTGAGCCCTATCAAAGAAGACTTACCCCTGGATATAACCGTATCGACTCTCCGCTGTCCAAGATGTGATCGACGACTCCAGCCACACAGACAGAGAAATCCAGCGACGGAGTCTTGTGCATCGGACTCTCCGCTCCAGGTGCTAGATTGACCACCGATAGATTCGCTCCGGGGCCAACTATGTCAACCGATTTGTGGCTAGCAACTCCCTGATCACTCTCGTAGGCCTTGATATCTTCCTCTCCTTGTAGCTGAGCTGGTATAGACTTGATCGAGTACGCTCGTGCCATGGAACCTGTTCCTGGAAGCTCATTGTGGATGAGTGGACTGAACGGTCTATGCACACTCTTGCCGTCCGGTAGCACGGTCGTGATGTATCGTTTGCACGGTGGTAGCTCCATCGCGTCATCAAAATTGCCTCAGCTGCCTCTCCTAGCTTCCTTGATGGTCGCCTGGGTACAGACGACACCCTGGGTATGGTGAGAGTCGGACTCGCATGGTTATCACAACTCACTGGCTACCCTCGACGGGGCAATAGATTGCGTCCGATTGGTCAAGCCGGCAACCAGCCAGCAAGGATCGAAGTCGAATCGGAAGGCTGAATTTATGCGGGGAATCTGCAGACGCCATCCAGGTCTCAACCAATGGGCACTGGCCACTTCCAAAGTCTCTCCGGTCCGGCACCTGGGCGCCTGGGGAAGCATCACCCCACAGAAGCCCCAGAGTCTGCCAATGGATTCCACTGGGGCAGATTTTCTTGCTGGAGTTTGCCAAGCTCGCGCGAATAGAATGAGTGCAAAGCTTGAAGGGTGACGTTTTGCACATAAATCCAATAATCCCGCATGGTTCATATGTACTAGCTCTTTAACATCCTCTTGGTCTTTGCCGTCAACATGGCCTTTTCACCTGGAAAGTTGCAACTTCAACTGCAGGATGTCCGTCTCTACTGGGCAGCACCTGCGCTGGTACTACTATATCTCATTTCATTGATCATCTATCGTATTTTCTTCCACCCACTGGCCAAATTCCCCGGACCCTTTCTTGGCAAATTCACCGACATCATCCCGACAATCGCCATGTTTAAGATGGAGCGGATGTACAACCAAGCAGATTTGCTTGAGAGATATGGGAGCCCCGTCCGAGCTTCTACGAATCAGCTGTACTTTTCCGACTTGAAGTCCTTCACCGATATATATGGTCAGAGCTCGAACCCTTGCATGAAGTATATGCCTTTCTATAGTACGGTCAACGCTACAGGATCTTCAAGTGTACTCACTGAGGGACATCGAAATACTCACGCACGTATTCGACGCCTGATCTCTCACGCATTCTCTATGAAGGCGTTGCTTGATAACGAGGCATTATGGCATGAAAAGGTAGAACAGCTGGTGCAATATGTCTTCGCTCCGGCTGCAAACCAAAAACAATCAGTTGACATCTTCCACAAGATGAACTGTCACTATTTGGATATTGTCAGTTACCTCAGCTTTGGAGAGTCTTTCAATTCCCTGCAAGGCAAAGGAGATGTCACTGAACATAATATGGAATCCTTGTAAGTCCACTACTACACGCGGCCCGAACTGTCAGCTAAGCCTCAATTTAGCGCTGTCATCGTTTTTGCACAAGCATATATACCATTTATACGCTATATCCCGAGCGCAAAGATTCAGGACTACTGTCGAGGCCTCGATGAGCTAATCCACTTCGCGGAGAGAAGCGTTAAACGCATTCAGGACGGAGTCGAGAAGGATGGCGACAGCTTCGCTAAGGGCACTTTTCTGAGGAACCTAGTTGACGCCAGGGACGAAGAAACCGGAGGAAGCAGGCTGACGTCCACGGAGTTGGTAGAGAACACACTCACTTTCTTGGTTGCTGGCAGCGATACCACATCTTTTACAACCATGTACCTGATCTGGGAATGCGGAAAGAATCCGAAGGTAAGGGAGAAACTGGTACACGAAATTCGCACAGCTTTCCCGGACCCTGACCACGCACCCACTTATAACGAGACAGCGGACCTTGTAAGTCATTCCTGTTCGCCCTGACGCAGCCCCGATGTTGACTTTTAATCAGCCTTACCTGAACGCATGCATCGACGAGACATTAAGACTGTGGGGACCCTTGAATCCGGGGTTTCCTAGAGTGTCGCCAGGGAAAGTGATTGGAGAACACTACGTCCCGGCGGGCGCAGTCGTCAACACAATACCCTACGCTGCTCATCGAGATCCAAAGATCTTCCCGAACCCCCTAAAATTCACACCGGAGCGATGGTTAGATGCATCGGCAGATATGCGAGCGATGCTCAGACCATTCAGCCTTGGTCCGAGAAATTGTATCGGAAAACACCTCGCCGATATTAACTTGCACTTGACGCTGACGCGGTTATATCAGCTTTTCGATATTGAAAATGACCCGAGCATGACTGACGCGATGATGAGACAAAAGGATCGCGGAACCTGTGGTCCTTGTGATGGGATGTTCTTGATTAGACCAAGGGCTGCGAAGTACTAGATACTCAAGGTCAAGGGGAAGTCGGCTTCTATGAACAGCGAATGGCGACGGATCAGGCCCGCGTCTCAGGCTGACCCGTTTTGTCAGAAGATACTGCGTCGTACCAATGTCAAGTGAAATCGTCACGATAATGTAGAGTCCTCCTCACTGGACAACTCTGCACTCTGATGACGTCCGAAGTTTTCCGGTCATAGTACTTGTTTATCCAAACTAGCTTACATTGAGTCCGAGCTATGCAGGGAGATAGTGCTAAGGCGGCTTTGGTGCTCAGCATGCCAGAAACTCTCTTCCATGAAAGCAGAAGTGAGCTCGGGCGCTATACAGACGAGAATTCGTCTTCTGACCTTTCAAGCGGTCGCCAGAACCTTGAAGCAACTCAATCTGGGCATCCAAGGTCACAGCGATACCTACTTCTAGGGATGTGTTTCTTTGGTCAGCTGTTGCCGAGCGATCATCTGCAGCAGCCCAAATGCGACAGCAAGTGTGGGCTTACGGAACCCGGGATCGGGTTGTGCCTCCGAAGAGCCATTGCCCATCTATACTTATGCTCGGACTTTTACAAGGCCGAGATATCGAAGTGCTATACTGCGTTATTAGCGATCAGAGCATAGATACCTTCCGGGGTTGTTTGAGGATTTTCGCAACCAGGAAAATGGTACTTCGGGATTTGTCTCTGAATTGATTGCCTCTAATACACCAGGTGCATGCTGTATCGTAAGCGATTCGGATCATTGTGTGACCTTCCTTCGTTACTTGGTTGCGTCTCTTCTGTTGCTCAATCCAGGCAGAAATAGATTCCCATCGTTCTGAGTCTCACGGACAGGGCCCGGTACCAGTTGACTTTACGATGTCGTTACAGCAGAGAACGCAGCGAGCTCTGCTTGTCAAAGACGTGGGCAAGCCCGTTGTCCATGTAAATGATTGGCCCATTCCACAGCCGGGCAAAGACCAAGTTCAGATCCGAGTGTCGATCGCAGGTGTCAACCCTCACGTCCAGAAAGCTCGAGACTGGGGTCTCTTCATCAAGGAGAACTTACCAGCCGTTGTGACTAACGACGTCGTCGGAAAGGTCACGGCGCTTGGCGAAGGTGTCACCAAGTACTCCATTGGAGATCGGGTGGTTACTCACGCCAGTTTCAGACCCCCGTGGGTGCAAGGTGGACTACAACAGTATGCTATCGTTGACGTAGAGCATAGTGCGAAGGTACCAGACAGCATCACAGACGACGAAGCTGCAACGTTGCCTACCAACGTTATGGCACCGCTGATCTCGATATTCGATCCTTCATACCTGGGCATCCCAGCGCCTTGGACCTCTCAGGCCTCAAGCTTCGATTACAAGGGTACAACGCTGTTGGTGCTTGGCGGAGGTGGAAATTGCGGCAAGTTTGGCGTTCAGCTTGCTGCACTCGCCGGAATCGGGCGTATCGTCGTAGTTGGTGGCGACGACCATGAGCTCAAGTCATTGGGAGCCACCCATGTCATTGATCGCCACCGCTCACCAGACCATGTTACGTCTGAGATCCGTGATATCGTCGGCGACGGGTTGCTCTACGCATATGATGCAGCAAACATGCCTGCAACGCAACATATCGGTGTCAATGCCTTGTCAAACACGCAGAGAGGCAAATTTGCACGCCTTATGCCGATTGGACCCATTGATGAGGCCAAGATCAGCCCGAAGCAGAATGGCTTTCAGCTCTTCGATGTGCATGGTGTTAGCCACAACAAACCTGAAACAGCTGTACCCTTCTGGACGCGTTTGCCGGACTTTCTGGAGGAGAAAAAGATTCGGCCGACAGAGTACACCGTACTCTCTGGACTGACAGCGGAGAACATAAATCAAGTGCTGGACGCATATCGCAGCAACCAGAAAGTCGTCAAGACAAATGTTCATGTGGAAGAATGAATGCGGGTAACATGCGGAGTTGATTGCAAGCTACTACCGAGTGTGGACGATTTGAAAGATTCGTCCTTGTGCCCTGTCTAAAGACCACAAACCTGGGCGCTTTGATGATCATATTAAACGTAGGATCTACCGAAGGCAGTTTCATGCATACGCTCCTTACGGCTTAGCGCAAGAGACAAAAGCTCGTAACTACACAGTCGTTACGATTGCTTCGCTGTGACAATATGCCCGATGTGAACCGGGATGAGTGTCATTGCCCCGAGGTCGAACTGCAAGATCGGGGAGGCACGTCAAGTGAGTGGTACCGTGAGATAGTACCTTACTTATATGCACGCCACTGCAGCCGGATCGAAGCCTCGACCGTTCGCATGCGTAGGAAAGAGCGGGAAAGACGACGCTGCAACTTCTAAGGTGTCTCTGTGTTATACACAAGCATCTTCAGCAGTCCCAGCACGCTGAGCGCAACCGTGGCGTAGCAAACAACACTATGTGTAAGTTCCCTGATGACTACAATCCTGCGAATCGGGCAAAGTGCCTTCACTTGGCCAGGATGACTAGGAAATGTTGCTAGCGGAGAGCCAAATTGGTACGGGGCTTAATTTTGTCTGCCACTACACAGCTGCGATTCTCGACGACGGCCTTCAAAGCGTCTTCCGATATGGCTTAGGGTTAGGGTTAGGGTTAGGGTTAGGGTTAGGGTTAGGGTTAGGGTTAGGGTTAGGGT